AGTCAATTTTGATTTTTAATTCTTATTGTAGATTCACTAATTTATCATATCATCATTTCACTGATCACTCTCTTTAATAATTTAAGAGCCAACTAATAAACGGATGAGAGTCGTATCTTGTTTTTGTGGACAGCGAAATCCACATTTGAAAATCAGTACAGTGTCACACGATCTCAACTATAATCTATTTAACATAACTACAATATAAACTGATCTACAGGAGTATACACTTTTGAAACATATACATTACATTCTATAAAATTGATTGATTGATTGATTGATTGAATTGAATTGTAGATCTATATAGCGGCTAATGAAAAAAAATTGTTTCAGATTATTTAATTTTTATGATACATCACTTTTTTTGTTGCAAATGCGATATAAATAATATCAAAAATTCCCACATTTTAAATATTTCACATTTTCAAATTTAACCAATCATTACAGTTTCTTCTTCTAGATAAAACTATATGAATGTAGATATTTACTTACAAACTATTTAAGATATTTACTTACAAACTATTTAAGATATAAGTTTACTAACTATTTGTTTTCTTCTTCAGGAGGATTATTTTCAAAAATTACTCCAATTTTATTTGTACGTATTTTTATTTTATGATTATATAAACTTTACTTACCAACTATTTAAGAAACTTACTTATTAACCATTTAGACTGGTTTATAATTTCTATATATGAGCTTTTTTAGATTCTGAGTTTGACATTTTTAATAACTTGTGATTAACTACTAATAGCTTCCTGAATTATTGAATTGGTAGTCATGAAATCGTTTACCTGTGTTTCTTTTTGGTACTGAATAATGACTTTTATTTGTACGTATGTTATTTTACTTTTATGAATATATATAAACTCCCCTTAGTATAAATCATTAATTTGTGTAACTGAATATGACCGTGAATAATAGTTTACCCCTTGACTCCTATTAAATCAATTTTTTCCTGTATATTATTATTATTTTTTGAGGGGGTTTTCCGTCTTTATTTATCCCCAACAATATTTCAAAAGCATTGCTATAAATAACACTTTAGTTCCCTGTTATATTTATAATTTTTGTTTAAAGTAGGCAGTCAATATTTCACCTGGCTTTTTGAAAACTGCAAAAGCTATTCCGAGGAAACATAATGCATTGAATTAACACTAACCAATATTATATATTTAGGATAGGTGTATACTACTAACTGATATTAGTTTACAAATATATATATATATATATATATATATTATCTATTATAAAACTTCATTGATTAAATCAATATCATTGTAGATGTGTAACTTGTTACTGGTATCATACAAAAAATTTCCAATCAGTTTTAGTAATCATCAAATATTTTTTATTGCTTTTTTTTACTTATCTTTTTATTTGATTTTGTGCTCACCTTCAAAACCCAATTTCAATTTTGTTGCAAATTTTTAAAAATCATATAAATAGTGCTCAATTTCTCACTTTTTCTTTGTGGGTGTGTTCTTTAATTTTAATTTTTTTTTTTTTGATTAATCTTCTCCAGCAAGAGTTTTAAATCTGTAAAGGTTTGACACCCTTTCAATTGCAATTACTAACACTTTTATATAAGAAATAACTTTACTAACTATTTTCAAATAATCTTTAATTGCTTTAGAACAACTCAATTTGACCAAAATTACATAGATACTATCAATGTACAATATTTTTATATAAGAATTCAATTAACTATGGTAGAAAGATCTCTTATTATTGATAATATATATATTTTTTTTCATAACCCTCACTCTATTAAGAATTAATTTAATTTATATAAATAGAAGACAATTTCTCATTTTATTTATATCAAAATTTTCCAATCATCAATGTGTTTACTAGGGCTAACCAATGATGAAGTTCATAGCCTACAGAATATCAGGATACTTTAAATTATTTATATTCTATTTAGGAATCTTGATACTAATCCCATAGTGCAGCATCCGGAAAGTTGCCAGACTAGTCAAATCATTCTGAAATAAACCAACATTAGATTTATACTATATATTTAAGAAATTAAATTACTAACAGATTAGATGAATTATATCCAACACCGGTAAGACAACAGTCTGACTTTTATAATATACGTTATATAAATTTTACTGTAATTATATGTAGAATCGGTTTAAAATTTAAAATTTGCTCCTAATCATATATAATAATGTTGTATATTATAAATATTGATGAATGTAGTGGATTGAGCCCAAATTGGTTCTTAATTTTTACTCTGTAACTAAATTATGATCTTTAGTCATAATTTACATTTCCGATTCCTTTCTCTTTGATGTTGTAAATAATTTAAAAAAATATAAATAGGGATCAATTTCCTTCCCCTTAAAAAAAAATCCCACTTTTCTCATTTTAAGTTCGAAGGCAACTCCCAACAGTATCTTTCGAAATATGTTACACTACTAACTTATCTACAATATATCTAGGACTATGAGATTCGTCGTATTAACTCTTAGTCGTTAGTAATTCAAATTTTCGTTAAGAAAAAGTTTTTGGCAAGTATATCTTTACGATTTTAGAATAATGTAGAATAAATTTTCTCTTTTTTGTGCTGTGGAATCATTTTATATCAATCACTTTCTTTATGAATATTATACATGCCATTGGAATTCAACATGAAGAAGTTAGTTGGAAAATATTTATATCTATCTAAGACTCTTTATATTAACTAACAGCTTTAGAAAGTTTAATATAAACTCTAGTGTAGCACGGATATCTGAACTATATGTGTCAATTATACGTATATTATTATTATCAATATTATTATTACTTTGCCGCTGTAGCAACTCCTATATATTCTATTATCATTTTATTCATTCAATTGAACAATATAATCTTCTCTAATCTTGATTGAACGCTTATTGAATAGTAATTACTCAATTCTAATTGTTCATCCTATTCTCGCTTTCCCTGTTCCATTACTTTTAAATTACGTAAAATATTTTTATATAAATATGAGAAATTGTCCCCCATTTTTTATTTGAACACTACGATACTATTTTATGGTAGTCAAAATTAAACTATGATAGCAATTAAGTTATCAAGTAACGAAATTTACTAATTCAAGTTGTCTATTTAGGATACTTTTGCCATGTAACTACCATTCTTGGTTTTCAACTGCCTATAGATTCATTTTCCTAGAGTAATAACTGTTTCTCAATATACATATATTATAACACTACATTCACATTTGTTAAATGATTGTAGAACCGTACTTTGCAACTCTTACAATTCAATATCATCGTATTATGAACTTACATCATTGATGTTATATATATCATCAATTAAAAATTTCGCAAACATTTATATGTATCTCCATCAAAAGAGAAAGCAAATAATAAATAAGACCACAAATTCCTACATTTCAAACTCATAAATACTTATTCTTAAACTTTTATAAATAACTTGATTTATCGAGTATCTACTACTATTTATTTATAATTATAACTGTAATTCACCTTTATTTCTATTTAGATTCAAACCATTATTAACATTCATATTTAGGCTTGATAATGTGTCAGATTCAACCTGGATTTTTATTAGAATGGGGTCCCTGTTCGGATCATATACTTTTAGAACATTTAATATATATATTTATAACTTTATTAATTCTAAGATTATCTATTGTAAATATTTGATCTTAATTAACTATAAATTAATTCACTCATTCATCCCTTCTCCCCTCTTTTAACACATTCTCAATGTTGCAAATTTTTAAAAAAATTATAAATAGGAGACAATTCCCACATTCATCATTTTTTTTTCTGTACAAGTATAAGTTTAGCTCTGCAATTTTCATGATAATGTCGTTTCTAAATTTACATTAACATCCATTCTATTTAGGTTCAATATTAACTTATGAAATGAAATTAAAAGTCTCTAGTCTACGAAGTAGTTTAAGAAAGTCTGTTATAGAAATCCCACTTTCAATATATACTTTAACTCGTTATAAATTTTTAAAATTGTAGAATCTCTTAATTAATTGAGCTTTCTTTACTGGAAAGAATTTTACATAGGAAAGTCCATAAATAGACATCAGAATCTTCCTTAGTCTTTTCACAAAAGGGTATAATTAAGACAATTAAATTTTGAAGTGATAATGTATTCAAACAATTTATATTATCTACTTAACTTATTTATGATCTATTTAGGATTACTTTTAATTACCTATAGCAGTGAGGTAAAATAGACTTTTGCGTTCTTTGAAATATTTATATAACGATTTTTAATGTACATCTACTTTTATATTTATAATATTCTTACGATTGGTGTAGTATCTCTAAGTTATGTTGAGCTCATTTAAATGGATATTTTATAAATTCATTACAATTCTTCCATCCCTCAATACTTTTTTTGATAATGAAATTGAGTTGTAAATAATTCTAAATATTATAAATATGACGAGATTCCCTTAATATTTAACTTTAATTGTCAATTTGATTCAACTCTTAGCTCCTTTCCTTTCCCCCTTGAACATTCCTTAGATTCGTGTTTTTATAATTCGTGTTTTATGTTAATTTCGTGTTTTTAATTTCGTGATTTTGGAATATAAATAAGACAATAATTTCCCTCAGAGTCATTCAACTAACTTCTTTTTCATTTATATCATCCAGTCCATCAATTGAACTCGGTTATGATCCTTGAGTTTAGGCATTTAGGTTGATTTAAAAGATTTATTTACGAAATGGCTATTTAAGAAAATACATACTAACTAGACTATACGATAACTTGCTTGCAAGCAATCTTTGAACTGATCAATACATTCCTTATCTAAATTCTCTCTTTGGTTTTAGAAAATATATGATTACACTTTTAATTACAAATGTAGTTGCTTTAAATCATATGGCAAATTTCTCTGATTTATATTCTATTATACCCATTCATAATTCAAATAATAATGCTATAATTAACCTCGATTTTTATGGAGTTTGTTAATGAAAGGTTATCAAAACTTATTTAATAAAACTATATATTTATCACTCTATATTAACGACTACACTTTGCTTTTCTAAAATTTCTTGATCTAGATGTAAGAAATTTAATCCCAATATTATATCAGCAACCAAAGTACAAACCCCATTAATAATAAACCCAACATACAAAAGTTGATTCGCAGCTAATCTTCCTGTAAATACTGGTCCAATACATCTAGCAAATGTTTTTCCAATATTAACAATCCCCATAACTTTCGTTATTTCATCTTGAGGCATAATTGATGTCAATAATATTTGACGTGGCACAATATCCATTGTCGATACAGAATAGTATAATACTAATAATATAGCAACAATAGGGAATTTAGATACGTAAGCAATTAAAAAGAAAATAACAGCTGAAGGAGCTTGAGTAAATAAAATGGCTTTAACGGGACCTAATAACTTGGCTAACCAAGCCGAAGGTAAAGTTGTTATTGAATCAATTGAATTGGTAATGAAGAATAATGTTCCTAATCCACTAGCAGTTATTTGAAATGTTTTCTTTAAATAATAAATAATCCACGCTGATGGCATAAAACCATATCCAAAAGAATCTAGCATGAAGATTATTAAAAGTCTTGGTAAATAATATCGTGTGGTTGGAGAAAGCCCTGTAAAATTAAATGATACTCCTTCTATCGCGTCTTCGTCGTCTTCTTGTTCATCTTCCTCGTCTATTTGATCTTCTTCAGTACTGTCATTGCCGTCTACTTCCTGACTAAGTAAATTAAATGAATCTCTTCTAGCATGATTAACTTCACACTTTTGACTCAAGAATAACATACTAATAAACTTTAAAACACCAATAATCGAATAAATTAAAAATACAGCACGATAACACGTCTCGATATCATAATTCAATTGTAAATTCAAATAATCAACCAACAAACCACAAGATAAAGACCCTACTGCAGCACCAACCGTGGCAAATAAACCATAAAATGCGAACACTTCAGGACGATGATTATCCGGAGTTAAATGAGCAATGGAAGCTTCTTCAACTGATTTAAATGGACCTGTTTCATCCCCCGATGGTGAAATGACTCCAATTGTAGCAGCTATCAAAAGTAATATAAAATGAGAAGAAAATGTGAATGTAAGTCCTGATACAAACATCATAACAGTACCAATTATCATTACTACTCTTCTTCCTATTCTATCGGCATACCAAGTGAGGAAATAAGATATGATAGTATCACCCACAAGAGTTAATGTCATGAATACACCTATATTCTGTTGAGATACCCCTAATTCTTCAAGATATAACGTAAGAACTTGATTAGTCAAGCCATAACTAGTCATACGGATGAATACCGAAAACCAAAGGATTCTTATATCATTGTTTGATTGTTTTAGGGAGTCTATTAAATGCATTTTTAGTATCTAGTTTTCATAAAGTAAAAGAAAAGGTTATATTTCTTAAGGAAAAGTCTTCTTTTATCTTTTCAATCTACGCGTCAAAAGTTATCGGTAAAATTAGTCATACTTTAAAATTCTATACTGTGGCTATAGTTCAGCACAATCTAGAATACCAACCAAATAATAGATAAGCATGTAGGTAGTCAAGTAATAATCCTCAAAATTGATATTTGACACTCTCGGTTCTTATTTGATAACTAATTTGCAACTCGTTAGTTGCCAAGAAATATTTTTGCATAATTTAAAAATTACATGAGATCATTTCACACCTAGACAGAAATGATTCGACAGAAATGATTCGAAGTAAGCTCTACAATAGATGAAAGTTAGATCGAATAGATAAACCAGTTAAACCGTTTCAATATGCTTCACTTGAACTTATTCTTCATAGTTCGTTTGTCAGCGCAACCTTGCTGGTTATGAATAGCATAATAATTAGCGACAGTGAAATATACTTCAGCAATTTGATGAATCTTCTCTTGAGACGCATCACGATACTTCTAAGATTCTTCCCCTTTAAAAGCTTCATATTTAAAACATCATAATGCAATAAGGGTGATTTGGTAGGATAGATGATGTGGATATATCCTTGTTGTTTGTTTGGAGTGAAGGATTGTGTTCATGTTTGTAGTTGTTGGTGTTGAACTTGAGAAGATTTTGATGGGAGTAATATATCCCTTTATTCATTTATAACCTATTAAAACTATTCATGATTCAATTAATATCTTTATTACTCTGCATCGTATAATCTTCAATTTCAAATTATTCTCATGATAGTTTAAAATGTTCCTGTTTAACCCTTTGATATCAGGATAGTCTTGATATGCAGGAATGGGGTGTATTTTATTTTTTACGAGATTTAAACTATTTATTTTCAAGGGGGGCACAATGAATCCCAATTAGGAAAATTCGATGATACCACAAATCTGATGATGGCCCATAACCGTCATGTACAACTGTTCAATCAAACTTAACTAAGTCTATTTAAGAAACCCTTTACTAACTCGGTAGTTCTTCAATAAACTGAAGTATTTATATTGTGTCTCACTAGATTGTATAATGCTTTTGATGGAACGGAAAATAGCCCATTTAATGTATAACATCTTTTAATTTTATTTACACTTTCAATCTGTAGATGTGAGGTAGTAAGCAGATGATCAGACACTTCAAACCATAATGGAGCCTGATAACTGTTAACTATACCATATTAAGTATGATGTGGATCAGTTGATATCAATCATCAATAAAAATCTGTTCCAGATGTCCCAATTAGGAAATATCCTTGATCAATAATTTGTATCAAATTCCATAAATAAAACTACAAATTCAATTTGAATAAATGATTAATTCATTCCTAAGTAACTTCTGGTGGTTCACCAGTTGTTATATATTTTAACATTGTTTAAATTTCTATTTAGCATTATTATATACTGACAGAGCTATGCTAATGATATTTCTCATTGTTCGTGTCAGAGTTCCAAGCAGGGTTATGTTTTTTGGAAAATATCTAGTTTGTTTTAGGAAATCATTATTTTCGTAAATAAGAAGTTAGAAGCAATCTCGTGGTTTAAACGTATGTATGTTAATTTTGAATATATATATTTCTAAAAAAGACTATAAATGTATGTTTAAAAATTGTTGTAGTATTCTAATTTCCTATAAATTAAATGAGACTTAACTTTTTTTTTTGTTTTGACATTCACTTGTAAGTGTTCCTTCGACATATGAAATGCAGTTCCAAGAAAGCACATATGATAACACATTAACTATTGATACTATTTAGGATATATCTAACTTTCTAACTAGATTCCCTAGTAAATATGAAGCAGTTGATGTAATTTTCGATATGGTCTCTGATATAAATTATCCCTCAGATGTTCAAGTAGTGAAATATCCTTGTACAATTCACATTTCAGATATATTTAGGATATCATATACTGATTAGAATACGACCGAAGATCCAATAAAAATCATCATTATTTCCTTATAGCAGCCCTTAGACTCTAATTAGATGTAGCCGTATTTATTATTTAATGTATATCTTTTATTGTATATTTTCAATGGTTATTACTCTTTCATTGTTTGTAGTCATTGTTAATCTCCTTCATTTTATGGTATGAGGTGTTGCAAATATTTTGAAAAACTATAAAATAAATGCCATCGCCACTTTTTTTTTCATTATTTACTACCACTGTTTTTTTAAATGATTATTCAATAATGTTCGATTCTAAAATTGAATATTCGGGTTGATATTTATGGATTGAAGTACTTACTATCTATTTAAGTAGACTACTTACTAATCCTATAGCATTCAGCTGAATATTTAATGAAAACAAGAAGTTCAATTCATGTCTAGAATCTGCCTGGTGAAAGCTTTGACTATTAACTTCTTACAAATTGAGGAGGTCATCAATCTAACTTTAGCTATATATTTAGGACATTCATTAACAACCTAGATCGTCTTCTATCATTTAAGATTCCATAGGGAAGCTATTACGAATATAAGACTTACAATTTTTTTGGATTTTGTATCTATTGTTGTCTTTCTATATGTTAGTTATATACATTTACATTTTTACATTTATAAGAATCTTTGTAGTTCCTATTATAGTTGTAATTAATCTACTGGTACACTTGAAATTCTTTTGCTCCTCCTTAATGACCTCTCACGTTATTGATGGTTGACATTTCACATCGTATCATCAATGGATTATGTGTGAAAATTAAACAAGAAGAAAATGATGGTGATGCTGCAAATATTTTGAAAAAGTATAAATAAATGAGAATTTCCCCCTTTCTTCATCAAAAAAATCTTTTTTGAATCCCAATTCTAATAATTTGGATTTTTAGAAGAGTAAATAACTGTTTAAATTTGGTGGCGAATCTTTAGAAATGTTTTCAACGTATTTACAACTTATTTAGAGATATCGTTGTACTAACTCTACTTCCTTCATGTGGTTGAATTTGAAAGGAGATGAAAACTCCTTCCAATTATTATCTTGTAAATGACACATTATTTATTTACTTATTTGAATGTACACTGTTATAATTACTTATCCTAATAATCTTGTAGAGCAATCGAATGATATTCTACAATTTACAATTGATTATTAATTGGTTTCATATATTACAAAAGGTATGAATTATGGGTATCTCCAATGAAGATATTCTATGATATATAATGTACATATTGACTAGTTTTATGAGGTGATACTTCCACATTAAAATTAGTAACTATTTTTCTCCCCTTTGGTTGTAATAAAGGTGGTGGAGTGTTATTATAATGGTTGGAATTGAGAGGTTGTAATGGTGATGGTTTGATGGTGACTTCTTCTTCCATCAATGGATTGAAATCATAATGGCCCTTATCTAAGATTAAGAATCCCTTTTGTCTTAAATAAATCGTTAATGAATCAATGGCAGCATTCAATTTTTCTTTATCTTGTTCAAAATAACTTAAAATGATTTGATGGTAGGTATTGTTATTATTATTATGGTTTTGGTTGTTCAATGGAGTTTCATTGATTAAGATTTCAATACCTAATAACACTTTAAATGGTATGACGATATTATCATAGAAATCTTGTTTATAATTACCAAAGAAATTATCATCGAATTTACCTGAATTAAATGTAATCTTAAATTCATAATTCATTGGTAACATCATTTTCAATTTATTAAAACATTGTTTGATTTTAGTATCAGCTCCTTTAATATCCATGATTAAATTACTACTTCTATTGAATTCTTCAATTGAAGTTGGGAAATTGATGAAGGAATTAGTTTCAATTTCTAATTCATTAATATGTTGAATCTTATTATTATTAATCAATAATAAATAATGACTCTTTAATAATTGGAATTTCAAGGTATTATAAATCGTAACATTGGAATTATTCTTAACTGGAATCATATTATTTAAACAACATTGTAATACTAATTGATCGATTTCATATTTGGCTAATTGAATATTTCTTTCATTCTTTCTTGGACATTTGATCAAAACATTATCGAATCTCTTGAAGGAATAAATATCATCATTTAAAGAATTGTTGACATTGGAATTGGAGAATTTAATAAATACATTATATTTCTTCATGATTGATTGAATGATTAAACCACCATTTCCAATGATTGATTTATGGAATACTTCTGGAATATTGAAATTCAATTCCGCGGGTAATTCCAATTCAATCAATTCTAATCCTTTAAGTAAAACAGGAATATTGTTGTTACTATTAGATTTATTATTATTCAAATCAGTATTATTGTTAATTTCAAAATCAATAAAGAAATTGTATTCATTGAATGGTCTGAATTTAATGATTGATAATTGATTATTATTCAATTGATTCAAGATTTTAATTAATTTACCATTTTTCTTACCACTAATGAAATCTTTTTGACTATTATTCAATTCAATTCTTAATTTAATTTGATCAATGTTTAAATTTAATAAATTGGTGGATAATTTATGTAATAATTGTTTGATTTCACCTGATTGACCATTAATATCTAAACCATATTTAGTTGAATTAATCACACATGATTTCTTAGATGAAATTAATTGAATTAAAGCATATTCATTATTATTAAAATTATTACCATTTAATTCAACTGTATAATAATTAGAACAAATCAAATTAAGTTCCAAGATCACATCATTAATAATATCTTGACAAGTACCTTGGACTAAAACTTTTGATTCTTTGGATCCAAGATTTGGTAATTGAATGAAAATCCCCTTATCAAACATGATATTAAGAATATCACTTTGATTATATAAAGTGATTAAATCCAATTTAACCTTTTTAATATCGACTTCTTTAATTAATAATTGTTTCTTTTCAGCAATGATTTTATTTAAGATTTGTTTAGTTAAAAGAATTTCTGGAATTGATTTACTGGTAATCCATAATTTCTTAATTAAAATCTTGGAATTGAATAAATTAGGTAATAAATCTGGAATATAAATGTTGGAATTGGTTTGTTTGGCAATTTGATTGAAATTAATTAATTGTTTACCACCAATGATTGGGATTAAAGATAATTCAATATCAATTGAATCTAAATAATTATTATTTATTAAAGTATCAATTAAGATTCTTACTGAAGTTTCAGCAATAGTGATATTATCTTGATTACCTAAAATATGAATAGCATAACCAGAATTATGAGAAACAGTGGTAGATGGTTTTGAAAAACATGAATTATCATTATTAATGACGATTTCAACTTGATATTGATTCGATAATTTATATAATTCCAAAGTAAACTTTTCATTTATCTTCATGAATTCACCAGGAGTCATGGAAATGGTTTTAAAATTAACTTGATTATAAGTTTGTAAGATTTTATTTCTGGATTTATTTATGAATTCAATGGATCCATTGAATGAAACAATGATTAAATTGTTATTTTCTATTAAATTGATATAATTACCATGTTTGGCTTGATTTAAATTGATTTGATTTATGATTTGTCTTAATTCAAATAAATTATCAATCATTCTATAAGGTAAACCAGTTTGATCATTAATGCATTCTTTCCATAATTGAATATTGGATTCATAATAAGTCACCAAATGAGGATTTGTCACTTTAGGATCTATAATAAAACTATATTCAAAGTTTAAAAGTGATGTGTTAGTGTTAGTCATAATGATGTATAGAAGAAGCTTAATGCAAAAAACAATGGTGCGATGATGAGATGACTAGATTGGAAAAGGGAAACAAAATGAAATGAAAGTAAGGAATAGATCGTGGGATGAGATCGTTAGCTGGTCTGAGAAGGGAATGAATGCAAATGGTATGAAGAATTGAAGTAAGGTGGAAAGGGTATCAAATTGAATAATTATGAGAAGAGAAACAAATATCACTTGGAAAACCCCTATCAAACGATTCCCCGGTATATATATAATTATCACAACCTTTTTCTAAATTTTCCAAAGGAACTTAGGTCAGAATAGGAAAATCAAACTAGTACATGTGTTACTAAGAGTATTAATTAAGTGCATATCTGTCAATGTTTACCTTTAAGTTCTAAATGGTAAGTTGATTTTAATATTTGTTGTTAAAAATTGATTCTTTTGTGGCTACTTTCCTAATTAGGAAATGATAATTAAATAAAAAATTTTGTGGATTAATCTTGCGTTACCCAATTTGGGTAGTGAAAATTTAACCATTAAAGTGGAGCTCATAGAAATGTAATGATTGATTTCAATTTTACTCGATTTGGGTAAAATAGAGTTCAGGGAATAATGATAAGCTTCTATGAAGAATAGGATTAAGGAGGTTAGTGACCCTCATCGTTAACTGATGTGCTGTTTATAGTAAGATCGCTAATGTAAAGGAATATCCTCAATATTCCTATAAGATACAAACTGGGGTTTCTTTCTATTATTATTATTATTAATATCATTTTATTAGAAAAGTATTCTATTCTATGCAACTATAAACGTTTGGTATCCCATACATAAACCATTTCATCCCATCCAGTAGTTGCAACCCAACCTGGTTCACCCCATAAACTATAATCACATCCAATAACAAATTCTTTATGATTATTGAATACTCCTCTACATCCACCATTTTGAAGATTAAGGAATCGAGCTCGTTCATGAGATTCATCTCTCCAAACTCTAACACTCATATCATATGAAGTACTGATTAATTCTTGACCATCATGAGGTGACCATTGAATCTTACGGACCGCAAACTCATGACCTAATAATTCATTTAATGGTGTTGGACCTCGGGTATGATATGACGGTTGGATGGTATTTTGTTGATCAACTTTGGAAATCAATCTTAAATCCCAAATTCGAATTGATTTATCGGTACCGGCTGATGCAACTATGGTTGATTTATATTTATTCCAATCACAACTTAAAACTTCTAATCCTCCATGAGCTATATAATCCATTTGTAAAGGATTGGGGATTCTTATATCCCATATCTGCAAATGTGAATTCCCACTACAACTGACGATAGTGGATGGAGAATGAGGAGAAAATGTAGCGTTGTATACACAATTGACAGTACTTAATTGAGATTGTGATTGTTGATGTTGTTGTTGATGAGATAAGGGTACGGAAGAACCTGCTGGTTGAACTTGTTGAGTCGCTATAGATTGTTGTTGAAGTTGATTATTTCCTAATGTTAATAATGATTGTTGTCTTTGAGGTGACCATAGTTTGATAGTTCCATCCCAACTTGTAGATATGAAATTTGATTTATCAACTAAATTCCAATTGATAGAAAATACTTCTCTTGAATGTTCTTTCCAATTCATGATCGGAAATTGACCAACAGTTAAATCAAATAATTTAATCGATCCATCACCACTAGCAACAGTCAATTGATTCTCATGAACTTCACTCCATGCCACATCAAACAAACCATCTTGGGTTTCCCATGATATTTGTTCTTGAATCATTCCTGTATTTTCAATATTTAATACAAATAATCGACCATTCCCCACTAATCCATAATTGGCAGCACTGGCCACTGCCAATTTATTATCAAAGAATGGTGAGTATTGGACACCGTAACCATTGTATCCTTTGGTTCTATACGATAACATGTCCTTTGTTAGATCTTATCGTATCGTATCCTATTGATATAACTGGTCCAACTGTATCTTAACTTCCTTTGATCGATTTTGAATATCGTGATTTCCATTTTTTTCCAGATTTTGTGTGAGGTCCACAATTTAATTTAAGGCACCAAGAGGAGGATGAATAACAAACTACGATTTATTATCATTTTATTAGTAGTTTTTTTATTATATGATTTAGATTCTATGTATGTAAATAATCTATGTATAAGAATTGAAATAGTCGCAAACAGTACGAGAATGTATAAGTTATAGGGTTTTAGGGTTTAAGGGAGATTAGATATCATATAATTTTGTATCTAATACTTTAATAATAGAATGATATTTTTCATCAATATCATCTTTTGATAAGAATCCAAATTGAATTAAATCACCCATCACTAAAGCAATCTTTTGTTGGGAGTACTTCAAATAATCAAAATCATCATCACTTGAACTAATGGCTTCTTCAACCGCCACATCATTATCATTAATCGATAAGTTTTCAATTCCATTAGTGGTGATGGTATAAGTTCCATCGACCCCCTTTTCCACAGTGGAATTTGAAGTTAATGATGGGATCTTCACTGGTCCATTTTGAATTAATCCCCAAAGACACCAATATATTTGAACAGTGGCTCTCCAATAAATACATTCATTATATAATTTTTTAATTTCAAATTCAATTAAATCACTAGCACTAATATTTTGTTGATCTAATGAGATTTGAGTGTTTGTGATTAAATTAGTAGATGGGAATTGGAAATCATATTCAATATAACTCTTAATCAAGTTTAATTGTTCAACTTGAGATGGATAATTTTCATTATGAATATAATATGATTGTTTTTCATCATGATAATCACTCATCCATTCTGAGAAATGATTAACAATATCTAAAGCAGGGAAATTTGAACCTGAATATTCAAAATCAATCACCACTAAATTGGAATCTTTCTTATTGGAAGTGACGGTGATAGCGGTATCTTCGTCATTATGTTGATCATCATTGATGATATCTTGACGATCGAATGATTCATGTAATAATAAATTCCCATATTGAGTATCATTATGACAAAATTTATAATTTGACGAAAATGATGATTGATCATATTTACTGAATAACCAATCTTTATATTGGAAAACTAATTGTTTGAATTTTTGGAATTCAACAAAGAATACATCGGTTGGATCATATTCACTCTTTAAATGGATTGGTAAATATTCTTGTTCATATAAATCTAACCATTTTATAATTAATCTCCATGACATAGGTAACGAATTTAAATCTTCATGGGATAATTCAATTTTATAATGTAAATCTTTCATTCTTCTACCTAACATTTGAGATATAATTTGATCTCTAATATCTTTTTTACCTAAAGTTATAAAACCTTCTAAAAATTGTTCAAATCTACCATTAGTGAAAATCCCTAATAATCTTGGACCAATTCTTTTCAGAGATAATTTGATTAAAGTTTTCAATTCCAGTTCTCTATCGATTAATTCATCCACATTCTTACCATAAACTCTTAATAATAATGAAGGTAATCTTAAATTTTGTTGATGATCAAAATATTCTAATTTATAAATTGAATTAGTTAAAGCTCCACTGATTCTATTAACAATCAAATTAGAAACAGTTAATTGACGTTTATGCCATTTACTAATTCTTAAAGCTTTAATCAAAGCTAATAAATCTTGTTTAAAGAAATCTAATGGTAAACTATTATCTAAAGTGATATCAACGGTTGGAATTGATCTATCAGTATCAATATTGGTTTGAGTAACGGTTAATTTGGTTAATGAAGAACTTGATAACGATCTTCTTCCACTTAATGAAGGTCTTCTAGTTCCACTTGAAGATCTTGAATTGGGTTGGGTTCTATTTTTAGAACTTGATCTTGATCTTGACCCTGATCTTGAACGTTGAGGAGGAATGGCAGTAAGATCAGTAGAACTCATGTGTTTTTGAATGATCTGATTAATTTTGTGGTGATGTAGATGAAGTAAGTATAGTGATAACTAACTATAACTGTATGAACAAGGTCAGGTGGGTGGTATCTGAGATAATCAGTGTTGATCTGTTTTGGTTGACAGAATGTAACCTTAAATTTTTGGGGTGGGATTTCATTCTTCATCTTTCTTTATCTTTCCCTTCCTTAAATAATGTCCCTCACTCAGAAAAATTTTGTCGAATTAAATGTCTCGTGACATTAAACCGTAAATAGGGTATAAATCCGTCTTCATCGTCTATCGTAAATTTGTATTTACGGGACTTATGATAGGATATTCTATTATCATTTCTAGTATCCTATAGTGTAGATTGTATGGGTATATTGTGTATATGTTGTAGAGGATAATCTGTTTAGTTAATTGACGTATCTCTCATCTCACAATTTGTATTATCCTTCGAGATTTAGCTAAGTTAACATTGTACGAATTTTAGTAAGACATGGAGTTATTCGAGATCAAGTAAAGTTTCTATAGTTTCAATGAAGCATAATATGATAAAAGTTTGAAGAAAATTGTATAAGATTTATCAAATGATCAGTTTCCTATAAGTATTATTCAGATCAATTGAATGCAAATTACTAACAAAACTAATTAGTTCCAAATTTATGATTAAAGAACTTTAAACTTAATTGAATGGATCTCCAGTCACTATACAATATCTATATATCATGTTTAATATCTTCCAATCTTTAATAGTTATCTAAACATAGAGATATTCATTATATTATTACTAAAAACCAAATCACATGATCAATCACACGACTAAAGTCATGTGATTTGCTTTTTCAATTTCTGCCAATAATAAAACAGCCAATCAATTTTACATAACAATTGAAAAAATGATGCATCCCAATTAGGAAATTCGGTACAGACACACATAATTTTCTACAGTCAAACCAAAAAAATTTAGATGAAAACTGCCAAAACATTGATTGGATTGATTAGGTTTGAACACCATTTACTATACAATTCACAACTATAGAATCCAAACCATGCTTCGTAGCAGTTTGAAAACAAAGCCATCGTTTGTCTTGAGACGTAGTTTGGCTACCATTGCTGATCCAGCTGCCAATCCAAATAGAGTTCATGGAGGTTTAAAAGATAGTGATCGTATTTTTCAAAATGTTTATGGAACTTATGGTCATGATTTAAAATCAGCTCAAAAAATGGGAGATTGGTATAAAACTAAAGAAATCATTATAAAAGGAGATAAATGGATTATTGATGAAATGAAAAAATCAGGTTTAAGAGGTAGAGGTGGTGCTGGATTCCCCTCTGGTCTTAAATGGTCATTTATGAATCCACCAAATTGGGAAAAAAATATTGGTCCAAGATATTTAGTAGTTAATGCTGATGAAGGTGAACCTGGTACTTGTAAAGATCGTGAAATCATTAGAAAAGATCCTCATAAATTAGTTGAAGGTTGTCTTTTGGCAGGTAGAGGAATGAATGCTTCTGCTGCTTATATTTATATTAGAGGGGAATTTTATAATGAAGCTGTTATTTTACAAAATGCTATAAATGAAGCTTATAAAGCTGGTTTCCTTGGTAAAAATGCTTGTGGATCCGGTTATGATTTCGATGTTTATATTCATCGTGGTATGGGAGCTTATGTTTGTGGTGAAGAAACTGCTTTAATTGAATCAATTGAAGGTAAAGCTGGTAAACCAAGATTAAAGCCTCCATTCCCAGCTGGAGTTGGTTTATTTGGTAGACCAACAACTGTTGCTAATGTTGAAACTGTTTCAGTAGCTCCAACTATTTTAAGAAGAGGTGGTGATTGGTTTGCATCATTTGGTAGAGAAAGAAATAGTGGTACTAAATTATTTTGTATTTCAGGTCATGTTAATGAACCATGTACTGTTGAAGAAGAAATGTCAATCCCATTAAAAGAATTATTAGAAAAACATTGTGGTGGTATTAAAGGTGGTTGGGATAATTTATTAGGAGTTATTCCAGGTGGTTCATCAGTTCCAATTATGACTAAAGATGTTTGTGAAAATGTTTTAATGGATTATGATGCTTTAAGAGATGTTGGATCTGGTTTAGGTACTGCTGCTGTCATTGTTATGAATAAACAAACTGATATCATTAGAGGTATTCAAAGATTTGCTCATTTCTATAAACATGAATCTTGTGGTCAATGTACTCCATGTAGAGAAGGTACTACTTGGTTACAAAGAATGATGGATAGATTTGTTACTGGTCAAGCTACTGAACGTGAAATTGATCAAATTTTCGAATTAACTAAAGAAATCGAAGGTCATACTATTTGTGCTTTAGGTGATGCTGCTGCATGGCCAATTCAAGGGTTAATTAAATCTTTTAGACCAGTTATGGTTGATAGAATTAATGAATTTAAAGCTAAAAATGAAACCATCTCATATGGTGGTTGGGTTGAAGGTGGTAAAGTTAAAGAAGGTAAAGTCATTGGTAACCCAATACCTCATGCCCATTAAACTTAATCATTATCATTCTCATATATTCATCCATTCGTCATTCATTTCACATTAATACCATCCATTTACCCTCACTCCCCTCATAATGATTCTTCATTGAATCATCATTAAAAAACATTTGCATATTAGTTTTCTCTTTTCATACATTCTCTTTTTATATACTTTTGTTACATTAGCCATTCCATTATTATTATTACACATAAAATTAGATTAAACTAAATGTTGGTTGTAATTATATAAACTGTCTCTTATCAGTAATTAATTTCTTGACGGGAGGGGAGCATATGAGGCTCCGCTACATAATGTTTTTTTCGGAGTCGTCGTGTTTCTGTTTTTTTTTTTTTCATTTTTGAATCATCGATGATTTAATTTTGAACAGCAATTCGATCCTTTCAAAATATCACTTTCAATCACTTGTTATATCACTAATATCCAAAGGATAAGAGCTCGTGATAGATATACGTACAGAGGGAATAATCCTATATCAACAGAAGTGAAAACGTTCCTTATAAAACCAACCGATTTCCATCCGTGTGTGTGTGTGTGTTAAATTAGAATTGTTGACATAACCTTATCTCGAAATTCCATAAATTGATCATTTTCATTTAGATCTGCTATTACTATTATAAAAGTACCATTCATAGAAACCTAATATCATATTCAACCATCATGAGATTATCAAAAACCTTTTTACTTTCAACTCTTGTCATTTCTAGTTCAATTGCTGCTATTGTTGACACTAAAGCTAAAGAAGATACAAGTATACAAGTAAAATCAGGTGGAGTTGCTGGATCTTCTGAATTAGCATCATCTGGTATTGATGTTCCAAGTTCCAAATCAAATGCCAAATTAGGTGTAAAACAAATCGATCCGGAAGATAACCATCCTACCCCGGATCATCTAAAGAAACCGTTAGATCCTTATAGTGTTTCAAGTACTAGTGAATCTGAAGCTGATGATGATTCTGAAGTTACTTCTTATAATTCATTCATCATGTCCATATCTATGATCATTGTCTCTGAAATTGGGGATAAAACTTTTTTGATTGCTGCATTGATGGCTATGAGATATTCAAGATTTGTGGTATTTTCATCAGCTTTTTCTTCATTAGCTGTCATGACCGTGTTATCAGGGGTGGTAGGTCATGCTTTACCTACTTTAATTTCAAGAAGATTAACTCAATTCTTAGCTGCTGGTTTATTCATTGTATTTGGAGCTAAATTATTAAATGAAGGGTTAAATATGTCCAAAGATTTAGGTGTGGAAGATGAATTAGCTGAAGTTGAAGAAGAAATCGCTTCAAGTAAATTAAATAATCAAATGAATGATATTGAAAATGGTGCTTCTTCTGAATCAGGTAAATCAAAACCATGGTACACTGATGCTATTTCAAATTTTGAAAATTTAGCAGGTTTTGTATTATCACCAGTTTGGATTCAAGTATTTGTTATGACTTTCTTAGGTGAATGGGGAGATAGATCTCAAATCGCCACTATTGCTATGGCTGCTGGATCTGATTATTGGTTTGTCATCTTAGGTGCTATTGTCGGTCATGGTATATGTACTGCTGCTGCTTGTGCTGGTGGAAAATTATTAGCTAAAAAGATCTCGATGAGAAATGTTACATTAGGTGGTGCAATTGCATTCTTTGTATTTTCTATCTTATACTTTTATAGTGCTTATTATGACCTTGAAGGTTAGGTTAATCAGTTCTACTCATTCATGCATTTCTCCATATTCATTCTGTTTTTCTAGATTCTTACAAAAAATATATATTAGTTATATAGTTATACACATACATTTCATAATTCTCCTTGATACATAAATTTTAATACTTGATTTGGATTTAAACCTTTCTTACCACCAGCAGTGATACTTAATTCAATATCATCTTTCTTACTTTCAGCATCTTTCTTTAAATGAGCTTCACGTTTACCTTCATCAGTTTCTAAATAAGTTAATTCTTCAACCGTATGAAATCCATAAAATTGAAATGAATCTCGTAATTCTTTAACTTTAGCAAAACTCCATTCAGCAAATTCATCTTCCTTTTGTAAATTATTCGTCCCATTACTACTCATCAAATCTCTAGTTTTAATGGCACTTTCTGTCCATTCATCTACTTCAGGCAATGCTTTCTTTCTTAATAAAGTTGTTAATAATGCTTCTTGTTGAGTAGTTGGAAATAATGGTGTGGGATAAACATTCGTATTTTGAAGTAATTCATCATTATTACTTATATTAGTGGCAATCGAATGTAATTGAGTGATCAACACTTGGAATTGATTTTGGAAATGGGCATAACTAGGTAATTTCACTTTATTGGGATGTCTATTATGAAGATTTATTTGATCACTTAATTTTCGTAATGATAAATGAACTTGATTTAGTTTATTTCGTATGGTTTCTAATGAATCAACTGGGATTTGTGAGGTATCTGTGGTTTGTGATGGTGGACTATTCTTCTTCCGACTAGCTATGGGAGATTGACTCATAATGGTGTAGTAGTTATATTGATGTTGTTGATAATTATAAACAGTGTCAAGCTTAACCTTTTTCAAAAAAAAGTATCACCAAAAAAATTTCAAGTGCGATATCAACCTTCCAAGATTTATTAGAGGGTATAAATATTGAAAGAGATGATACGAGGGAATTGGAGTTTAGCAGCTGAATTGAAGAAGAATGAAAGGAAACAACAGACTAAAGTTCATCAACGTCAAAAAGATGACTTGAAAAGTGAAAAGCTTAAAGATGCAAATCCCATCAAGATTTATCATCAAATAAAGAAACTAGAAGCAACCAATGACATATCAGACAAGGATAAACAATACCTAGCTAGGTTAAAGGAAGATTGGGACTATATAATAAAGCATAAACTACATCAGGAGAAAGTCAACACATTCCTAGCTAAAATAGAAGAAGATGAAAAGAAACGATTAAGTAATGAATCCAAATTATGGGGATCAAAATCAATCTATTTTAATCCAGAATTGAATCCATTAGGTAAAGTCCCAAGCTTACCTGGTGAACCAACGTTTCCAAACTTAGTCAAACCTTTGAAAGGTCAATATTTTAAAAAGCCTAAAGTGGATCCTTTGATTGCTAGTTTGAATGTAGTTCTACCGCAAGGTGAACCACCACGGTTTTATAAACAAGTGCAGAATATAAGCAAATCAAAACCAACACCTGCTTCTACCAATGATGATGACCAACGTAATGAAGATACTGCAAAAGACATAGAGAGTTACCATGATAGTGATAGTGAAGATAATAATGACGATGCTTACGACGATGAAGACGAATTAGCACCCGAAGAACAAGACTACATTGAAAGAATATCTAAGAAGCAAAAATTGCAATGATATATTATGTACAGATAACTATTTACAGGCTAATGATATATACATGATTTTTTAATAGAGATAAAACTATATGACAAACCCCAACCGTTAACAATAATATGAATAAAAAGTAGATTAATTAATTTGAAAGTTCAATCCATTCTTTTTCTGGATTGATATTGATATGAAACAAGTGAAATAAAAAATAACGTGATAACAGGAAGTAGATATAATCCTATGATAACAATCTCACAATAAGTTCCCAAGTACCAAACATAATGATGGAATTAGGCACGGTTCTTAACAAATGAGGAGTTAAACCACCATACATACTAGCAAGACCTTCTTCTTTTATAACCAATCTGAAACATTGAATTAAACCGGTATATTTTGGTTTACCCGTAGATTCCAATGGAGCTTGTCTTAAACGAGTTCTTACAACTTCATGAGGATACGTTATTAATGAAGCAATGAATTTAGCAGCACCAGCAGCACCTGATCTAGCCGACCATTCTAAAACATGATCTCTAGTGGTTTTATTATTAGGATCAGTTCCATGTAATTCAATCGATCTTTTATTTATAAACATTCTCATTTGTTCATATAAAACCCATTGTAAAGTAGATTCAACTCCACCTAAGTATGATGCACTTAAACCTTTATATAAACTGGATATACCTTCATTCTTTACCACATGTTTAAGACAATCCCAAGAATTTTTATAATGTTTGCCCTTGGTTTTATCTAATTGTAATCTTGTTTTAATCAACCAAATTGGATTGGTGGCAGTTGATGTGACGAAACCAGCATTGATACCAGAAACTAAATGAATCCAAGTAGCCTCTTGACCATTACTAAAGTTTTCAGTTATGAATGATTTGGTAGAACCATAAGTAAAGAAATTAATGGATCTGGCTGGAATGACACCTACTAAATTTGGACCCAATCCTTTGAATAATGCACGGTATCCTTCATTAATATATAATTGACGAATGACTGATCCAGTTTCTTTTAAATGTTGTACAGTTTGAATTAATGGATTCTTTGATTTTGGAGTTTGGTTATACATCGAATGATATACATCAGATTGTAATCTGGTCTTTATAACATCCAACGGAGAAGTAACCACAGCTCCAACCATTCCACCAATACCACCCGCTACGAAATGAACCCATGCCTTAACTTGAGGCTTCTCAGTAGTGACTTTAGCTGATTCTTCTTGAACAGCCAAATGCTCTGGATTTCGAAGTGTAGATGACTTCTCATCAGATACTAAAAAGGGAAACGAATCCTCCGCCTCCTTTTCGAACTTGACAATGTTCTCAGTATTACTTGTCATTCTATAACTTCTATTATACTTCTCTAAGTAAGTTTAACAGATTGTTCAAAGTATTACTGGTATTCAAATGATGTTATTCCTTAATTATCATTTCGGTGTGTAAAATTTTTTTTATTTTTTTTTCACAACCCACCCCCCTCATATAAGCAACGGTGGTGATGTATACATAACCATGCTTATAACTATAAATAGGAGCAACAATCAAAATATATAATTACACATACTTAAGAATGGCTACAGATATCATTTTTTGAATAAGTTATATGTTTAACTGTCATTTTTTATATATGTATATATATCCTATATTACACTAATAATACATTTTGATTTTTCTTTTCTATACTGTTCTTTGTTCTTTTGATTCAGTTCATTTAAGATTCTTAATGAAATTATCAAGATTATATTCATCTTCATATTGAGAGGCATCCCATAATTCTGCCAAATCTCCAACTGCTCCAGCAGCTTTACCCGTAAGACCACCAGCTCCGACATCTTCAGGTACTCCAGTACCTTCTTTTCTTTCTTCAACAACTTCTTTTTCTTCTACGATTCTTGCCGTGGTTTCATCAACTTCAAATAAATCTAATAATTGATTGGTATCCATCGAAGCTAAACCAGCATTTTGTTGATTAACAATTGTATTGGCAATATTCATTTTAAATTTCTGTAATCCCATGATTTTTTCTTCCAAGGTATCTTTAGTAATTAATCGATAAACATTAACAACTTTCTTTTGACCTAATCTATGGGCTCTATCCATAGCTTGTAAATCAGTCATTGGATTCCAATCATGTTCAACAAATATAACAGTATCAGCCCCAGTTAAATTAAGACCCAATCCACCAACTTTGGTAGTTAATAATAATACATCAATCGATGGATCTTCATTGAACTTACGAACAATAGATTGTCTATCTCTTGGATCTGTACTACCGTCTAACCTCATATAAGTTACGGATGGTAAATATTTCTTTAACAAATCATTCTCAACAATATCCAACATATCCTTTAATTGACAAAAGATTAATGCACGATGAGCCGAAATAACTCCTTCTGATGAGATTAATTGTTGTTGCTGTTGTTTTTTAGATCTATATTTTACACCAGATGAATAATCACTACTATCTTGAACACCAATACCACATTCTAATAATAAAGTCTTCAATGATAATAATTTAGGTGAATGTTCAATATCTCTAATATCAGATTTTTGAGTTTGTAAATATTGCATAACTTCAGCAATCTTTGGATGATTAGGCGAAACCACTAAAGCAGGATGATTACATAATTTTCTCATATATTGTAAAGCTTGGAAAACATGAGTTTTAGCTTCCTTTTCATTACCATCTTTTGAAATATCTTCTTCAACTGATGATTTCTGACTCTTGGCAAAATCCTTATAAAGTTTTCTTTGAAGTTCACTTAATTCACAATAATAATCTTGAATAATCTTAGGTGGTAAATCAGATAACACATCTTCTTTCAAACGACGTAACATGAATGGTAACACTTGTTTATGTAATGCTTCCAAAGCTAATGCCCCCGCTTCTTGTTCCTTTGATGATGTCTTACTATTTCTACTAGCTGCAATTGGTTTAGCAAATTTTTCATGGAAAATCTTCTCAGTACCTAAGAAACCAGGCATTAAGAAATCAAATAATGACCATAATTCCAACACATTATTTTGAATTGGAGTACCCGATAATATTAATCGATGTTCAGCTCTAATTCTTTTAACTGATTTTGTAAGTTTTGAAGCAGCATTCTTTATAATATGACCTTCATCTAAAACACAATAATTATAATCATATCCAGACACAAACTCAACATCATTACGACAGACATCATAAGAAGTAACCACAATGTCAACTTCAGGAATTTGACTACGAAGTGGAACTCTAACACTTGGACCTCCAGCATAAACCAAGACTTTCAAGAATGGAGCATATTGATTAAGTTCTTGTTCCCAATGACCCGTTAAAGATGGTGGACAAACTACTAAACTTGGTAATCTTCTGAATTCAACAGCTTGAGCTTCTTTATAATTTTCAGCTCTTAAATAATGATCCGATGATACAATACAAATAGTCTGTAAAGTTTTACCTAATCCCATATCATCACATAATATACCATGTAAATGATATTTATTTAAAAATGCTAACCAATTAACCCCTTCTTGTTGATATTTACGTAACGTGGCTCTGATTGTAACTGGTAGATCAAATGATTTAATTTTACTAGGATCCATCATTTGTTGAATGAAATCTCTTTCTCTATCTCTACCTTGTAATAATTCCTTTGGCATATCTTCTGGATCTGGAATACCGGCTTCTAATGGTACTAATTTAATAATAGAAGCAAATGTGGTAGTGGCCAAAATACGAACATCTTGATCAGAATCACTCATTCTACCTAACACCGGAACAATTAAGAATACAATATAAGGTAAAATATCCAGGGCCATAGTAGACGCAACATGATAAATAGTTTCAATAGCACCTTGTCTTTCTTTAATTTCCAAAGCATTATTTAACATTGGTAAGATTGATTTAACTAAGAATGTAAATGCTTTGGTTGGAGTTACTGAACAAATAGTAGCGAAACATTTGGCTGAAGAATATCTGAATACAGAATAATCTGATTTTAATCCTGGTAATAGTAATGGTAAAGTATCGATAATTTCATCATGTAAGGCTTTATTCATTCTTGGTAATAAGGCACGAACTATACCTAAAGCATCAATAATACTTTGACCCTTTAATTCGTCAGATATGATAGTTTCATCCGAGGATGTCGTTTCTAATAATTTTAATGGTTCAAGCATGATTTCTTTAATTTTAGGAACTTTTTCAAATAATTGATCACCATAAGTATTTAATAAAAATTCCAAAGCTAATAATGCTCCTTGACGTTTAACTCTGGCAATATGAACTGAACGTTCATGCGCAGCGATATCGGCTGGATCAGTCTTGGCTTCTTCTTTACGTAATGATAAGATATTTTCTTTGAATGAAACGTTATGATGGAATTCTGGAACTTCAGAAGTATCAACACAAACAAAGGCACAAAGATTTTTAACAATCTTTTCGGACGCCCCCTTTTTACCTGAGTTATTTAATTCTTCAATTAATTTCGATACTGCTTTGGCTGATCTCTTTTGTAATAAATAAATTTCTTCTTCTTTAACACTATCCATCAATGATCTAATCACCGGATTCAATTTCTTAGGGATACCAAATAATGCAATAGAACAAGCTGAATATGAGGCAAGAATACTTACTACTCTATTACTTCTAGCGATTTTAGCTTCATCAATAGCGATTATAATTCTATGTTTAGCATCTTCAAGAGCTTGATTGGCTGTCATTTTATAAGTGGCTGATAATCCTTTCTTCAATTTTTCAAAAGTTTCATTGATTAATTTTTCAGCAACTTCAACTCCAAATGCTACTGGTCCAGCTTCACTTTCACCTTGAACTATAACGGGTAAAAGAGGGATTTTACTAGGTGGTACTTTAGCCATAGTGATGAATATGTCGAGTAATTGTAAACATGAAGTTCTAACTGATTTCAAAGTAGGTACTAATTCTCTGAAATGAGGTAATTGATCTGGATTTTGAAGGATATTCAGGATTGGTTCATTAAATCCATCAACTCCAATAATACTAGTAGGTTTCAAATCTCTTGATTTCAACTCATTAGCGAATTCTTCAAGGATTAACGATGCAACTAATCTTGATGTAGAATGACTTGAATTTAAATAGGTAGTCAATTGTTTGAAAATCGTAGCTAAAATAGCTTCATCTTGAATATATGACAACGTATTCCCGAACGCATGAGCAGCAGCACATTTAATAGCAATGAATTTATCATATCCTACTAACATAACATCACCATTATAAATTGGCGCATCGATATTAACTTTCAATTCATCAATTGGTATATCACTTTTAGGAGGGAGCAAATCGGCTTGTTTTCTCTTTTTACTTGATTTAGTTCCATTAGTATCATCTTGTAACGGTCCCACTGAATGGCCGGAAGGTCTTATGATTAATGTGGTATTCATTTTATAATTATGTCTGGAATACCCTATTGGAGTCATTAATAACGTTATTAAGGATTGATAATCGAAAATCGATTCAATGGATGATAATGAACTTTTATTAATGTCAAGTTGATGTAATAATTTATCATATAATACAAGTGATAATTGTAAAATTTCTTGATTTTGTTCAACTAATAAATTTTGGAATATTAATCTTAAAGCTTGAGAATTTATCCAGGTTTTCGTGGATGGATCTTTAATATCAAGGAATTTAGATATGGTATTAAGAACGGATTTTCTCACATTACTAATGGAATGTCTTAAGAATGGGTATAATCGAGGAACTAATTTTTCAAAGGATTCAGTCATGGAATCTTCTTGCATTATATCGATAACTTGTTGATGATCACATAATTTGGATAATAAATCCATGATAGAACCAATGGAAGCTGAAAGATCATCACGAAGATTAATTAAACTATCCCAAAGCACACTTAATAACGTATGAATTAAATTTTGTTTATGAGATACGAATTCAGATGCAATTGGAGTTAAAGTTAATGCTGCAACTGATTGAACATCATCATCATTTTCTCGTAATCCATGTAATACAATATCAACCACATCATCTAATAATTGAGGAGAATTTATTAATACATCTTTTCTCACCGAAACAAGATATCTTAACCCCAAGATTCCACCATGTTTAGCTTCCCAACATTTAAGTTTAACTCCTGAACTTTCTTGTAATACCAATGTACTTAAACAATTGAAAGTTTTGATAACTAATGATTCAGTTAAATGATTTAGTAATACCCCTAAAGCTTGACATGCTGATTCTCTTACTGGTGCAACAACAGTATCCGATACATAATCACCAAATCTATCCAAGGCGAAAAGAGTACATAATCTTACCGCCAAATCTTCTAAAGTTCGACTATTATTTGCATCATTTTCCGATTTGGATTTTTTCATGATTCTACCGGCTCCACCCGCTTGATTTTTCATTAATTCTCTTAATCCTAATGCAGCACCATGTCTGATTTCCCATTTATCATCGAAAAGATCATCCAATAATAATTCAAATACTCCCTGGAATTGCCATATCATTCCGGCAACTTTATTATGTTGGGATAATAAGGGAGATAATTCAGGTGCTCTTGCTTCCACCACTAATTTCTCACCTCCTTGTTGAGATGTGATATCGAATTGAGGATTATTGGAATCATCCATATCATCATTATTGATACCTTCCCCATCTTCAACTAATTGTCTTGAAAGGGAACTTTGAGAAATATCCACAGTATGAATTCTCCCTGCTCCTGATTTAGCTTGAACTTTTGCTTTTCTCTTTTGCATGGCTTTTAATCTTGCACTTGACATTGGTTTCTTTTCTTCTGGTTGTGGAGTTGTGGTTGATGCTGAAGGTGGAGGTGGGGTATTAGATGTTGACGAAGAAGGATGAGGAGATAATGAATTGGCACCAGACTCAGATTTTACCATATCAGTATCTTCTAATTCTGGTTTTATAGTTTTTCTCTTTTTAATTTTATGTAAGATTGAATTTGTACTAAAAGATTGATCTATTTCAGAATCATCAATGGAAGTATTTATTGTATTAGGTAAATCTTCTGAATTTGAAGCTAAGAATTTCTTCCCACTATTTAAGATTTCTGCTAAATCGAATGAATCAAATGTAGTTAAACTTGATAAATTATCATCTATTTTTTTTAATTCTTCATCTTGTTCTAATTTAATTTTAACTTCATTATGTTCATCATCATTTTCATTTTCATTTTCATTTTCATTTTCATTAGTTTCATTAGTGGATACTTCCTTTTTAATGGATATACTTTCTTCAATCAATTTATCTTGTTCTTTTTCTTTCTTAATAAAGATTTCTTCATCCAATTCTCTCTTTATAGATTGTTCAGAATTTGGATCCCATAATTCAGCATGATTAATGATACCACCAAAAGCTCTAGCAGCTGAAATTCTAGTTTCCCATTTGGATGATTTTAAAAACGGGTATACTCTTCCTACCAAACTTATGATTTCTTCAGGATGACCCTTGGCAAGATCAGATAATTGATCTGCAGCTGTGTTTCTTATGAAGGGGGTTGAACCTGTTTCCAATAGTACTACCAATCTTTCTAGTCTTGACATAGTTATATGATATGATGAGATTAGATGAGATAAGATTAGATTGGATTAAGGAATGATTGATTCATTTACAATGAAGATCTGATATGATAAGGGAAATGAATTGATTGATTTACAAGATGGATGAATGAATGCTGCCTAATTATTTGTTTGTTATGGTTGTAAACAAAACAAAAGCAAAAGATCAAACTAGCAAAAATAAAAGGGATGGTTAAGAGATCTAGATGGTAAAATAAGTGACCAACACTGTGATGTGATGTGATATGATATGATCTTCTAACACTCTCTGATCAACAATGAAGTTGTTGAATTTGACCAATCTTTCACTAAATTGAAGTACTTAACGTGAATTGAATCAAATTTTAGTGTTGCCTTAGCGGTATGAAAATTAAAATCTCCTTTTTCTAGTGAGTATTTATAGTTTTTTGAATGTTTTTTAGCTGCAATTTTTTTTGACACTGAAGACACGACCTTTTCCTTCATTTTGTAATGGAATTTGATGAAATGGATGGATAGATGGATGGATGAGTTTAGAAGTAGTAAGTATTTATATAAAGAGTAATTATCAGTAGGTTAAACTTAAAGTAGATAACATCAGAGGATATGATATACTAAGAAATTAAACTAATCAATCATAATTGAATGAACGTCAATCACATGAAATTAAGCTATTCATTGTTATAATATACGAATTAATTTTATATATGGGCTCCATCGGGAACTATTGGTTAAATTATATTCATTCATTTATTTACTCAAATAATGTTAATTCACTTTATTTCTTTATACTATAATTTATCATATCCTGTGATTATGACTATATCCATAGTATTATCAATAAATAAATAGATATATATAAATCTATTGATAACAGTGTATGCTCTTAGATGGATAGTCGATGATCTTAAAAAAAAACGTCATAAGAAGAGAGAAAAATTATGACTTTGTCCGGGTAACACTTTTCTTTTTTATATTATCAAATTTTTTAAATTGAATCAGACAAAATTTAAATTTTATCCACCACTTTTTTTTTCTCTTCTTCTTCTTCTGTATTGTGTATATACTATATAAATTTACAATGTGACAATGATGTAATTTTCTTCTTTTACTAGTGAGCTATGTATAAGTAAACATGTAACTAATCTAATTAAATTTCTTTTCTCTACTTGATTTAACTTCATGTTTCTTACTGGTAATTTCATCTCCAGTGGCATTAAAATGAATATTAGTATCTTGATTCATTGGATTTTCATTTGATTTTTGAAATTCTTTAAATATTAAATGCTTAATTTGTTGTAATCTTAATCCAGGATGTTCTTTTCTGACTTCTGGTAATCTTCTTTCTTCATATGCATTAAAGGCAGCTTTAACTCTTCTTTCAGGATGTCTATCAATATCTTTATTGCTTAATCCTCCATCCTTTTGAGTCAATGCTAATGCTTCTAAGGCAGCATCTAATCCAGTAGCACTTAATTCAGGAGTTTCTTTATTAAAATCAAGGAAATCATCAATCTTTCCTGCTCTTTTAGCGGCCACTTTAGCTGCTCCTCTTTGTTTCGATTGTTGAGGTTTGGTAGGCATACTTGCTTCTTCAGCAGCTAATAACAAATCACGTTCTGCTTTCTTACGAGCAGCTTCTTCCCGTTTAAATTCAGCATCTTCTTGTTTCTTATTCCCCTTTTTAGATCCTTTTTCCCATTCAGATTGTTCTTCAGCTTCAACTTTAGAATCTGCTTCTTGTTTTTTCTTATTGGCTTGTTCTGCCTTTTTTGCATTACCAGCTGCTTTCTTGGAATTTTCTCCTCCTCCTCTAGCCATTTCTTTAACTTAGATTAATATATATAATGATTTGGGTAGGTTCTTTAAAGAGAAGACTGGAAAGTGTTGTCTAAATAATTTCTTTTTTTTTTTTTTTCGTTTTGGTGGAGAGAGAAGAAAATAAACCGATTTACGGATCTCTTAATTACTGAAAATCACATCACGTCAATATATCTAATTTAAAAATTAAATATACTTCTTTTATTGACTATATATGACATTACTTACTCTTTATAACTTTGCATGAGGTTCAAAAACAATTCTTCCTTTAACTTTACCTTCAACTAATTTATTCAAATATTCAGGTAATTCTTGTAATTTAACTGTTGTAGCAAGAGGATTTAATTTCCCTTGCGCAACCCAATTCATACATTCAATTTGTTCTTGACTACTACCACCAAATGAAAATATAATTTCAACTTCTCTTCTGGCTAAATTATAATTTTGAATGAATAATTTAGATCTACCTAATCCAACTGAAAGATAAGTTCCTTGATTCTTAACATAGGCTTGACAAAGATCAGATGTAGGTTGAATTCCTACAAAATCAATCACAATATCAAATGATTCAACATCATGATCATCCGATTCAGTTAAATCAGTATAAAATTCATCAGCTCCATTCTCCAACGCAATTGATTTCAATTCAGGTTTAACATCCGTAGCAATGATTCTACATCCATAATTTCTTAAAATTTGAACACCATTTAATCCTAATCCTCCTAATCCAACCACTAATACCTTTGAAGTAGGTTGAATTAAATGTCTAACTTTTTGAATAGCATGATAAGGAGTTAAAACAGAATCAGATGTGACGGCTGCAACGGCATAACTCACATTATCAGGAATAGGCAAAAGAGTTCTTAAATTCTTAATTAAAAGATATTGTTGAAATCCTCCATCAATATTTAATCCATAAGCTTCAATATTCGTCATACAAATATTATCATGACCAGTACGACATAATTCACAAGTCCCACATGCTGAACAAATAGTAAGAGCAAATCTACCTCCAATTGGGAATCGAGCATCTTTAGTTAATCCTTTACCAGTAGCCACGATTGATCCCGCAATTTCATGACCCATAACGAATTTTTCAGCAGCTGGTACCCCAGGTTTAACAATTGGACCTTTGATAAGAACATGAGGATCACTCATACATAATCCTGCAGCCTCAACTTTCAATAAGACTTCATTATCTTGAGGTTTAGGAACTGGATGAGGTGAAAATGATTGTAATTGAGGTTTACCTTCGATATATCCGTAAGCCACTTGAGTTGATGGGATTGACGATGGAACAAATGGTTGGGGGACATTATGGTCATGATCCATAACTTTATGAAGAAAACGTAAGTCGAACATTATAAGTGAATTGATGTAGAATGAACAAGAATGAAGGATATGTGTATGGGAATGGGGTTGATAAATCAGGATATTTCAATGATTAAACATATAAAAACTACGGAAAAATCAATATCATACAAAATTTGTGCGGGGGAAACAGACCGAAAAATAGAGTTAAATATCCGATTTGTAAAGATCCTTTTCAAAACTTTATACCGACGAGATCTATAGTGGAACAAAATGACTACAAAAATTCTTAGTTATATGGGGTCTAAATGTTAGGTGTATGTACATTTTAAATGAACGAAAACGATAAAATAAAAGAACTGAGTTAAAGTATAAAAGGCAAATTATTATAGTCATGAAAATCGTATATAAAAAAGTTTTCGAGCTTGAAACATCAACAACCCTTTTGATGAACAAGGAAGAACTGAATGGGAAGAATGGAAAAAGTAACAATTGAATGTTACTTGTAACTTTTTTTTTTTTGAAATGGAGGTTTTTCTGGAAATGACGATGAATGAATGAACAAAAACTACTACGATTAAAAACTATAATTCTTAAGCAGTTTTTGGTTTCTTAGCTGATGGTTCTTCACTAACTTCTCTACCATTTGATTCAGCTGGCTTTAAAGCTGGAGTCATTATACCAGTATGATAATCTTTAATTATAGAATCAACATCATCAATATTAAGTGGTCTAACATCACCTAATTGTTTAATTTTATTAGTAACTTCTTTAACTTGATCATCAGTTAAATTCAAATTCAATTGATCAACTCTTGATTTAATAGCATTCCAACCAGTTAATCTATTGGCAAAATGAATATATCTAGTTAAACCGAAATCAGATGGATTTAAAATTTCATAAGTTGATGGATTAGCTAAAATGGCTTTAGCATGAATACCAGCTTTATGAGTAAAAGCACAAAATCCAGTAATTGGATTATTAAATGGAATATTAACTTGAACAGAATCAGCCACTAAATTTTCTAAATCTCTTAATTTGTGTAATTTATATTTGGATAAAACATAATCTCTATCAGCAGTGATCATTCTTGCCATTAAAGCACCTAATGGAGTTATACCATTTCTTTCACCAATACCTAAAACACTGACATCAATCAATTTGGCACCAGCTTCTAAAGCAGTATAAGCATTAGCAATAGCACAACCGGTATCATTATGGAAATGACATTCAATATCACAACTGACGACAGATTTTAAAGTCTTGACTAATTCATAAACTTGTCTTGGATTAGCACAACCGACAGTATCAGCAATCCCAACTCTATTCACTCCGATTTTGTCAACGGTTCTATATATGTTTAATAAATCGACGATATCAGATCTGAATGAATCTTCAGATGAGAATCTGATTTCAATCCCTTTTGATTTAACGAATTCAATGACTTCAACAGCAGATTGAGCAATATAATTCATATCTTTACCATGAGAATATTGTCTTAAGAATTGAGAAGTACCAATGACAACATCAACCCCATCGACCCCGGTTTCAACAGCAACTCTAGCATCATCCATATGACATCTGATATGAGTTAAGATCTTGGCTTTTAAACCTAATTTACAAATAGCCTCACAATCTTTTCTTGATTGTTCAGAAGCAACAGGAGAAGTCAATTCGATATAATCAACTCCGAAATCATCTAAAGCTCTAGCGATTTCAATTTTCTTTTCAGTAGTGAAAAAAGCATTGGCGAATTGTTCACCTTCTCTTAAGGTTGATTCGATTAATTCGAAATTACGAACATTTGATAAAAAATCAGATGGATGAGGACCATATGGATTAGAAGAAACTGACATAGTAACTAGTGTTATTCTTTCTTTTTGGAGGAATTGGAAAAGTGAAAAGGAAAGAAAAGAAAGCTATAAATAAAAAATTTAGAAAGAAAGTGTAATGTTATATATAAATCAGTTATGATGAAAAACATGAAAATTTTCACAGTGTCATAAATTATTCATCGGAGCGACAAACAGATTATGCTGACAGAAGGAGGAAGCAGCAGCGCTTTTTTTTTTTTTTTTTTCACTTATCAGAGTTGCCTAATTAGGAATTGACTCAGACCAGAATAATATTTTTTCGCCGCAATTTTAATTGTCATTGACTCATTATCTTTAACTGGGGGAAAAAAGCGCACCTTTATCGACACGTGAGCGAGTGCACGTGATGGTGATCTTCTCTATCGATTGCTACCATAAGAGAGAAGATCTTTAAAGATTGAGATGAATGTTCTCATAGTATAATTTAGACTACTATACTGTACTTCATCTTCATATACTAACTAATGACTAAAGTCATACTATTGATTGGTTCTAGACTTACTTCCTTACCATCAATTTGTCATACTTTTAAATAGGAGGTCAATGGCCCACACCATTTAAAGGTTCTAATTAAAAATTTCAGATTATGACGATATTGTTTAAGATGAACTTTAAATTTTCGGGCCTTAATTTCCATGAGTCACAACATCCGTGCACCAAACGTGCAATCCACACCGCAATAATATATTGAATCAATGAGGAATACATCCATACCGCAGTAATATTATACGTATATTTGCAGCATAATTAGATTAGTTGCAACAATTATAATAACTATTTATGTTATCAATATACTACTTATCTAAATTACAGCTACTCACTTCTCTCTTCAGTCGGGTCTGGATTGTTAAAGGGAATATTAACTTGAACAGAATCAGCGATTAGCCTTTCTAAATCCCTTAACTTATGCAACTTGTATTTTGACAACACATAATCTCTATCAGCAGTGATCATTCTGGCCATTAAAGCACCTAATGGGGTTATACCATTTCTTTCACCAATACCTAAAACACTGACATCAATCAATTTGGCACCGGCTTCTAAAGCAGTATAAGCATTAGCAATAGCACAACCGGTATCAATATGGAAATGACATTCAATATCACAACTGACGACAGATTTTAAAGTCTTGACTAAATCATAAACTTGTCTTGGATTAGCACAACCGACAGTATCAGCAATCCCAACTCTATTCACTCCGATTTTGTCAACGGTTCTATATATGTTTAATAAATCGACGATATCAGATCTGAATGAATCTTCAGATGAGAATCTGATTTCAATCCCTTTTGATTTAACGAATTCAATGACTTCAACAGCAGATTGAGCAATATAATTCATATCTTTACCATGAGAATATTGTCTTAAGAATTGAGAAGTACCAATTACCACATTCACACCATCAACTCCAGTTTCAACAGCAACTCTAGCATCATCCATGTGACATCTTATATGAGTTAGAATCTTAGCGTTGAGATTCAATTTGCAAATGGCTTCACAATCAAGACGGGATTGTTCAGAAGCTACTGGGGATGTCAATTCAATGTAATCCACTCCAAAATCATCTAAGGCTTTGGCTATTTCTATTTTCTTTTCGGTGGTGAAGAAGGCATTGGCGAATTGTTCACCTTCTCTTAATGTTGTTTCAATCAATTCAAATGAACCAAGATTAGAAGTAGGGTCTGTTCTAATTGGGATGTTAATTCGGGTACTGGGAATTGACATGGTGGAGCGATTATAGTTTTCGATTTCAGGAATGTAGTGTATACTGAATATATATCAAGTTTAAATATAATCTTAAATAATGAACTTGACTTGAAGAAACGTTTATACTTATATTAAATAACAACATTGGAGAATTGAGAACGAAAGTTGTTGAACAAAATACCTGGCGTCATAATTGGTGCAAAAGAATAGCAAAGAATCATTATTCCCAGTTGGGAACTGACTCAGAGCTTATAGAATTTTATTAGAACTTGGGATTGTCACCATGACAAATTGAAAATTATATTATAGGGGAAAGAAATAAACTACACAACTTGCTACATATCATAATGGGTCTATACCAAGGGCTTAGTTTATTCCCTATAAACTATATAATACAAATAAATAAATAATAATAATAATACATAAGGAGGTCTTGAAATTGCTGCAATTTTGTTTTTGGGTTTGACTCATTTTGACAAGCCACAAAGACGAGGGATATGTACACACAATGTATTAACAACAACACCTTCTATTAGATTCTGAAAAAACCCATACTGTAGTTCTTCAAGAATAATCGACATTAATGACTCACTAGATTTTGATTCTAGCAAATCTATAACCAAAAATAAAATAAACGGTTTACACATAAAAACACTAATATTTGATAAAAATATAACTATACACTAATATATAAGGAGAGAAGAAATAAAAAACAACAACATCACGGAAAATGGATTACAAACAATAAAATTGTCCAATGAATTAAACTTCAGTTGCAACCATTTTAACAAATCTAAATATTTCCGACTTTAATCTCACTAATTCCACATCTTTAATCAATAATTTCCCATTCATTCTATTCATGATGGTTTTTACAATTTGATTGATTTCCAGATTGGGCAAACCTGTGATGTGAGACCAATTGAAATTAAATTGATCACCACCAATTTCAGTAGTTTGATTGGAAGATGTGATTGTCTTTTGAGATTGATCCTTGCTGGAGATCTTCTTTTCACGAAGAATGGCTAATTTAAAACATCCAATAATCAATTTTTTCAATTCAAATCCCATATCGTTATAATTAACGAAATTATTGGTTTGATTAAGATATCTTAATAAATAAATGATATCCATATATCTGAATAAATAGATGATCCCCTTCATAAACATCGTTAAATTCAATTTTAATCTCGATGTTAATAATAAGAGAAATTTATCCAAGGATAATTCCAATTGTCCATTAGTTAACATCTTTGGTCTTTCGGGAGGGAATGAATTATGGATCTTGGTGGCGATGTATTTGATTATGATTGACATCAATTGATTTCTTTCTTGTTTGAATTGAGAGAAAGTTAAGCCATCTTTGGTGAAGATCTTATCTTGCTTTGATTCAACTGACTGATCTTGTGATTGTGATTGTGATTGTTCCTGTTGTTGGATTTGATCTTGTTGTGATTGTGATTGTTGTTTCTTGAGTTGTTCTTGTTTTTGCTTTTCAATGATTTTAGAAGCAATGATTGATTCACGAATTTGTTCAGTTAAAATAGGTGGTGGTTTACGAACAATAGTTTCATCAACATCGTGATCACTTGGGGTTGGATTATCTTGTTTGGCCATTGGTGAAGATGCCGGGATTGATGTTGCAGGTGTCCCTTCACGCACAATGTGATTAATATTACCATTAATAATATTATTATTGTTGTGATTAGTGATCTCATGAGATAAAGTAGTTGGACGATGGAATCTTGCTTGTGATTGAAGTTGTAATTGGAATTGTAAACGTTGTTGTTTTTGTTGTTCTTCTTCTTGTTTGAAATGATTGTCAATCGATGATCTGATTGAAAAACTATCTTCATCACTAAATACATCATGATCCGTGATTAATAATGGAATTTCATCTACAAAATCAAGTAATGGATCATCATCATGATGAGATTGAATATATTCTTCTTGATGATCTATCTCAATATCATTGTTGTTAATGTCATTATCATTGTTGTTGTTATTGTCATTGGTGTGATTGATTGATTGACTATTGTGATTGCTACCACTTGAACTGGTGCTACCATCATCACCATTACCTGATTCTGGATCAGAGAAACTACTGGTGATATCAAGAGTATTGCTATTATTATTGGATGGTTCGACGGGAGAAATCACCGTCTTACCTGGTGTGGTTGTATTAGCAGCAGCAGTAGCATCATCATCTGTGGTGGATGGTTTGGTTGTAAATATGGTATCGTTGATAGTTACCATTGTGATTGTCTTTTTTTAAAAAGTGATGGGAAATGATTTGAGAATTAAATGTTCATACAAGATAAGTGATTGATCAACTAGGATGAGATGATCTAATTGAAAAAACGATGGCAAAAAGCTATAAAAATAAATGACTATAATTAGATGATTGACTCACACTAACTAAAATGGTCTTTGGATGGGAACTAAAAATAAAGATAAATGATTGCTTGAAAAAGAAGATGACTGATTTCTTCTATATATGATGAATGTATATAAAAATGATTCAAAATAATAGGTATATATGAAATAAAAGGATTGTCTTTTATTTGCAGTATACTATAATATGATGATAAGGACTAAAAATACACAATTAAAGACTTGATTTCTTTAATTAACACGGGAAACTAAGGGTAAAGTAGATTTTTCAACGGGATTGGGATAAAATAAGGACGGGACGCACGGTAATGTTAATAAATAAGTATAACGGAACACTTCTAAACAGTATAAGAATACATGATGAGTGTTGGAAGTATTTGATATTTGAATATTTAAAAAATTTTAAAGGTAAATAACTTTATTGATCTGACGATAAATTAAACACATATAGATATATTTCGAGGTAGATGTCTGTGACTTTGGATGAGATTCAAGGAACAGATAGATATGGGTTGATCAGACGAGGAGGTTACGGTCTAATTGGATGGTATATAGTGGGTAAAGATATATGGTTAATGTGATTAAATGGTGGGTTAACTGGTGATAGTTTTGATTATAAATTTTTATGTTCCATCCCCCAACTGGCTCAGGAATCCCTTACAAAAAAAATTGTGTGGGACTTACAGTTTAAATTTCTTTTTTTCAGTTTGACTCATTTTTTTTTTTTTTTTTTTAATTTCCATTTTAAGAATTAAATTAAATTTGTCTGATTATGTAACAAATTATGTCATCATTTACTTTGGGGGAGGGATGCTACCATGCTACAATACAAATTATAAGGACATTACTTAATTGATCAATTATATTAAATGAATATGGGGTAAAATTGGAATTTATACTGACTAACATCATAAAAATGTGCCAACTAAGTCACAGAATGCCTTAAACAGTAAACTAATAATGGTCTTGGTGTTGGTCGTCTGGTCTTTACTTTTCTATTTGATCTATACCACATGAGCAACTTTATCATTTCCTATTAAATCCCACAACAACCGAACTTTCCACAAGTTAAATCTAATATAAATTGAATCATAAGTACATAATAATACCATCTGCAACACCATGCCTTATTTAAATACCGATATATGCTTAAATTATGGCACATTACGCCATACATAAATTATCTCACCATACTAAAATCTCTAAAAAAAATTTTCCAGGGGCAGATAAATTTTTTTTGAGGTTTCAGAGTCGATCAGGATCCACCAATTATCAATCAGATCTCATCAACAAAGTATCTTCACGCCAACAATCTTGTTACTAATTGACTTGACTAGGCATCTTACTTTGTGATTATATCATTGATTGAAGAATCCATCATCATTAGAATTAGACTCATTGGATTAATCGATTCTTTTTCTTTCTTTCTTTCTTTTCTTTTCTTCCTTCCTTGCTGCTGCCAAACTTGAATTTGACTGCATTGGTTTTGATTCCATCATCAATCACGTCTTGTATCACTTAGAATAAGTCGATAACAACTTTAGTTCCTTATTTCATATTTCAACTTTACATTTTTTTAGTTCAATTCCCATCCATTCTATTTAGATATTTTCAATCCTTTGATTTTTATCTAACTTTGACATTTTTATAATTTCATTTCCTTAATTCATTCATAGACGTTATAAATCTATAAATTCAATACATCCCTCATTGTTTCATTCCCAGTTCATACTCTATGAGTCAATCCAGCCCTAGTGATAATCAACAACCTCCTCCTACTACAGCAAGTTCAACCACCACAGTAGAAGCAAATACAACTAGTACTACTACTTCTGATCCATCATCAACTATGAGACTCCCTTCATCATCAGCCAGAACTTATAAAGATGCCATTAACGCATTAAATACTTTACAATCAAATTTCGCTTCCATCGAAGCAAATAGAAAATTAGGTCCAAATGTTGATAGACATGCTCTTTCATTAAATGAAGTGGTTGAATATACCAGAAGATTAGGTTATTCTTCAAAGGATTTTAATAAATTAAATATCATTCATATTACAGGTACAAAGGGTAAAGGTTCAACTTGTGCTTTCACTGAATCAATCTTAAAACAATATGTTGGTGTATCTCCATCAACCTCAAGTACCACTTCAACTCCAATAACTGCTACTTCAACTAATTCATCAGATTCTCCTATTAAGAAAATTGGTTTATTTACTTCACCTCATTTAAAATCAGTTCGTGAAAGAATTAGAATTAATGGTAATCCAATTAATGAATTAAAGTTCACTAAATATTTCTTTGAAGTTTGGGATAAATTATCATCAACCACTTCATCTCCTGAAGAATGGCCAACTTTACAACCATGTAATCAAATCAAACCGATGTATTTCAAATATCTTACCATTTTATCTTTCCATGTATTTATGCAAGAAGGTATTGATACTGCTATTTATGAAGTTGGTGTAGGTGGTAAATATGATTCAACCAATATTATAGATAAACCTACTGTTACTGGCATTTCAAGTTTAGGTATTGATCATACTTTTATGTTAGGTAATACTATTGATAGTATTACTTGGAATAAAACTGGTATTTTTAAACCAAATGTACCGGCTGTTGTATCTCAACAATTAGAATATCCTGAATCAATTGAATTAATTCAAAAGAGAAGTAAAGAATTGAAAGTTTCAAATTTGGAAGTTATAAAACCTTTATCAAGTCATATTAAATTAGGATTAGCTGGAGATTTCCAAAGACAAAATGCTGCTTTAGCGGTAAGATTAGCTACTGTTCATTTAACTTCATTAGGATTCAATATTAATGAATTACCTCAATACAATAAAGAACTTGAAGTCATTGAAGATGAAGATTTGCCTGAACGTTTTGTTAATGGTTTAATCCAAGTTAATTGGGATGGAAGATGTCAAATCATTCATGATAAACCAGGATTTGATAAAATCACTTGGTATCTTGATGGAGCTCATACTTTAGAATCAATCAATGTATCATCGATTTGGTTTAAAACCGAACTCACTAATTTAATTAATAAAGATGTTAAACCAAATACTAAAAAGAGAACCAAGATTCTTTTATTTAATCAACAAAGTCGTGAAAATGCTTCAGCTTTATTAACTAAATTATATGAAAATATCTCTCCATCGATCGAATTTGATCATGTTATCTTCACTACTAATATTACTTGGTCAGATGGGAAATATAATTCTGATTTGGTTTCCCTTAATAATTCTCAAGAATTAGTTGATAAATTAATCATTCAAAAGGGATTAGCTCAAACATGGTCTGAATTAGATGCAAAATCTAAAAGAAATCATACTAGAAAACATATCTTCCATGATATTGAAACTGGAGTTAATTTCATTAAGAGTTTAACTCATTCAAGTGATAGTTCTGAATTTGAAGTATTTGTTTGTGGTTCATTACATTTAGTAGGTGGATTCTTGGTTGTTCTTGATAATGAAAAGGACTAGAATTTTAGAAATATTAATTACATTACTTGATTAGCTTTTGTAAATTTTATTAATCTTTAAAGGATATATATTTATCTATATTATACAAAACGAGTAGATAACTAACTCTAAAACAAAAAGTCTCAAGCAGATCCATTATTAAAAATGTTTTCTCTAGTAGCTTTAACAATTTCATTAATATTAGCTAATGAATTTTTCCATTCATATAAAGCTTGTTTGACTTCATTCCAATTATTAGCATTAACTTGATGATTGTTACCACCAGCTAATATGAATCTATTAACTCTACTTAAATAGAATGTAGATTCTAACTGATTTAATTTACCTTCGATAACATTGGCCCTTATAGAATTAACCAATAAAGTTTCAAACTCATAAGAATTGGCAGCTAATTCAGTTGGTATTTCATCATATTTAAAGATTATTGAATCATGATCATTTGATTGAGATTTTTCACTAAGAAATTTAGCTAATGATAAAATTCTTGATTTTTGATTAATGAATTTAAAGTTTGAAAATGATTCTGGAACGGTAACTAAATCACCTTGAACGTATTTAGTAAAAGTTGCTACTAATGAATCTTGAGCGTGGGCTTGTAAGGATTGAGCAACATTATTAGTAATTAAGAATGAAACATCCACGGTTTTGGAAGATAATGCAAAGTTAATTAAGTTATATAATTCTTGAATTGATTGTAATTCATAATTGAGGGTGAATGATTTAATAAGGGTTAATGATTTTAATGAAAATTCAGAATCTAATTGAATGAAATCCCAAAAGATAGATCTGATTTCGGTATCATTAGCTTGAGATTTAGTTAACCAGTTGATTAAATTGTTACCAAGATTGTTTTCAATGATGGAAAATTTAATATTACTTGATTTAACGATATTTAAAATTTGTTTGATTAAATAAATTCTGGTTTTGGAAACTTCTGGTATTAAATTGAAGATATTAGTTAAGATGGATAAGATACTAGTTGATTTAACTGTCTTTCTATCTCTTACTAATGCTTGTTTTTCAGGATTGGATTCCAATAATAATTTTATAACATAAGAATTTTCATCATCTAAAAGTTCAGCACTTGATTTTTCTGAAAGTTCCAGTAAAATATGAATTAAAAGGTAAAAGGCAGGTTCAAATTCTCTATCACTTAACTTGGTTAAAGTAGAACTAGTTGAAACTTGAGTGATCTTGGTGATTAATTCTGATTTATGTTCGATTTCGGCATCACCATCTCCTAAATCGGATACTACTGATCCAGAAAACTCGGTGTTTCCATTGACAGCATCAATGATTTGAGCATATTCCTTAATGGAATCCTTCAACTCAGTATCAACAACAATAACAGATGCCATATTGTCCTTTTTGATTGTTCTATTCTTGACCTGTTTGAAACTACGATTCAGCTTCATCAATTTTTTTTGTTCATACAAAAAATTTTTCAACACCTCTTTTTTTTGATAATTTTGTGTGAGAGTTATATATGCAGGAAATGTATATAGAGATCTATTTGCAACATTCTACAAACAGTTGAAAGGGATAAAACGGTGGGAGAAAGTCTATATTAACAAGGGTGTAAAACGTATAAATGTATATAATAGTGAGAGTTTGGTGTATCAAAAGTCGCCTTCTTCTTCCTCATTAATGACGGGACCGTATAATGTGGTTTTGGTTGTGGTAGTGGTGGCGGTAGTCATCGGACGAGGTGAATGAATACTATGAGAAACATTATCAAACGAGGTTTCCCATTTCGTATCCATTTGATGAGTCATGAAGTAATCAGGAGGATTGGCAGTTAAACCGGGTGACGGAGCAGCAGGGGCAGGAGAATTTGAATTACTCTTCGAATCAAATGGTTGTGGTCTCATCATAGGACCCTTTATAGGAGGAGGTGATTGAGATCTCATAAATGATGGACCAAGACCAGGACCAGAATTCATAAGTGATGGATCACTATGATTATTTAATGAATTATTACTACTTGAAATTGAATTTGAAAAAATCGGATTCTTCCAACGTTTTTTATTTAATTTCGAAAAATCAGGCGAATTTGATCTTGCCATGAATGTAGGATTATTCAAAGTTTGCTCCAAGGTATTAACTGTGTTAAGAGTATTATTATCTGATGAGGCTGAGGGTGTCATTTTATTAGGGACAGGAGTGACAAACGTGTTAGATTTGATTGAACTTTCTTCAGAAGAATTCGATGATAATTGTGATAATGAGAATTTCTTAGCATGCTGTTTAGACACAGTAGCTGTTGTAGAAGCTGATTGAATTGAAAGATCAGACGACAAGGCCCGTTTATAACCAGGTCTCTTCTTTTTAACATGCCCTCCTCCAAGTGGTTTCGATGAACTATTAGATGTAGCCACACTTCCTGAGGGTGTTAATCCCGTAGACAGGTTTTTCGTAAAATCTTGAGATACACTAATACTTGATTCATAAGCTGCATCATCATCTTCTTCATAATCCTCATCCATAGTATCAGTTTCATCAAGAATATCCAATTCCGATTCCGATAACATGGTTGACATTTGACTGAAATGACTCATTTGTGATATTTGTGAAACAATAGAAGTTGGTCTAGTTCTAGTTGATCTTACAAATGATTCTGCTACCGGTGGGGTAGCTGGTTGTTCGTATGCGGGAGAAATCAATTTATTATCTTCTTCAAACGATTCTCTCGGTATTGGATTATCAGGTTTATTCAAATCTCCACCAAGCGTAAATGCTGGTCTTAATCCTTCTGCAACCCCATTAGGTGATGTGTTGGTAGCATTGTTATTATTATTGATTGATTTTTCAAGACTTCGAGATGTACTAGGCGTCACTTTATCGATTACACCATTATTATAATGATTTGAATTATTGTTACTATAATCGGTAGATGATTTAGGTAATGATTGACCACTATTTGATGATGTATCAGGGGCATCAGCATTTTTCGGTTGTTTTTTCCAAAATTGTATCTTTTCTAAAAAGTTGTTATTATTTCTATTCCTTCTCTTCTTTCCATTATTATTATTATTATTATTAATATTATTGTTGTTAAAGTTATTAAATATACTACTTCCGGTAGTACTACTAACACTGAATCGATCATTATTCGTTATTGATGATGCTATGGATGGTTTTCTTGCCTTTTCATCAGGCACAAAGGAAATCACTCTAGTTAAGGTTCGATTTCTATTATCTGCTGATGGAGGTGATTCAGGGATATAAAATTCCTTTTTGGAAGCTGAATTTACAGGAGCAATTTTGGTAGTTGAAGAAGTTGGAGTTGATACTAATGCGGTTGGATTTAGGAAATCGGAATTTTTAGTCAGTTGAGATTCAATTCTCTTTTCTGAAATATCGGTTGATTTTCTTCTTTCAGATGTTAATTTATGAATATTAGTTTTACTTGAATTACGATTTGAAGAAAGGCTTAAGGTTGATAAGATTCTTTCTAACGGTTGGCCACCTACTGCAGAACTAGCCACACCCCCTGTTGCTTGATCGACCAATGAAAGAGCACTTTTAACTCTTTTACGAGATTTCTTAAGTGTTCTTTTTGCATCATAATATCTCTTTTTCTTTTCACGATAATATTTTAATTTCTTCTTTTTATATTCTTCAGTTAATAATAATTCATAGAATGAAGTTAATGGATTCATTTCATTGGTATATACTCCACGTTGTAAATCGTCAATATCGACATTTAATTTTTCTAATTTCTTAACTACTTCACGTTCAGTTTTTGATTGGAATGGTTGATTATTAGATTGATAATGTTGATGGATAGAAATGATTGATTCAGTTTCCAATCTCATTTTATTCTTATTCACTTTACGTAAATGTTTATTATTTAAATCAATTAAGAATTCTGAATTTAAGATTTCATTAAGATCAGGTCGTTGTTGAGGATCCTTTTGTAACATTTTAGTGATTAAATCAATTATATGAGATGGTATGAAATCAGGAAATGAAGGTTCTTCATGAATAATACTGAATTTATTCTTTAAATCATCATCAAAATCAAATGGTAATTGTCCATATACCATAGTATATAGTATAACTCCCAATGACCAAATATCAACTGCAAAACCAGAATATTTTTCCCCTTTTAATAATTCAGGTGCCATATAAACAGTGGTACCACATACGGTTGATAAGAACTTTCTTGATTGAGGATTAAATTCTCTTACAAAGCCAAAATCAGTTAATTTAATAAGAGTTTTCTTTTTATCAGCAAATAAGATATTTTCTAATTTCAAATCTCGATGACTTAAATTTAGTGAATGAACGTACTTCAAACCTAGTACGATTTGAAAGAAGATATGTTGACATTCTTCTATTGGGATTCTTTTCTTTTCATAGATTAAGTAGTATAATTCACTTCCTTCACAATATTCTAAGACTAACCATAGATGTTGTTCAGTTTTAATAACTTCATATAAAGTGACGATATTTTTATGTTTCAACTGTTTATGATAATAGATTTCTCGTACTATATTAGGATCTTCTACCAACCCACATTTTAAAACCACATTGATATTAAGTAAGATATGTTTGGCTAAATAGACTTTACCAAATGCTCCTTCACCAATTTCTTCAATGATTCTATAATTACCAATTTGACTTATGGAAGGAGATGTGATTTGAAGGTAGAAGTCGTTGAATTGAGCTGCCAACTGGGCAGTTCGATTCTGATCATTAATCAATCTTGTAGCCCCATTCATTCACGAATAATGGTATAGAAGATGACAATGCCCAGGATGAATTTATATACAAATGGAATGGATTAAATGTGATTTGAACTGATACACCTGTTTGTTGCAATATCCACTTTGAGTTAACTTGTCCTTACTGGCTGTAATTGAGAGATCTGTTGTAGTTACTATAATGGTTGTTAATGATATTGAATGATTATTACGTGATGTTTCTGATTGCAATTTCAAAACCTGCCTTCTTTTTTTTTTTTCTTTATTGTTTCCTGTTTGAAGTTGCCAGATTTTTTTATACTTCACAATTCTTTTACAACCATCAATTGAAATTGAGTAATCGACAGAGTTAAATGGATAGAATACAATGATAAGTCACTCTCCAATGGGCAACTACTTGCTGCTGTTGCTGTTGTTGTTGTTGCTGGTTAAATGGGGGTACTCTTTAAGGTTTAAAGTTTATTGTGGTTGTCTTTGTCTTTGTACTCAGCAAGGCCCATGATGTAATCACTCATTAAACCAAACATATATACGATTTACTTTTAGTTAGGGCTGATGATGTCAAACAAATTGCTTAGCTCAACCGTTTGATCAACAACCCACGTCACTACACCATTGATTGATTCGTATTTACTTAGTTACCATATGAAGTCGTAATGGTTGTTAATTGAAGCATTCAAACCGTTAAAAAATGACGGTCAAAAACATTCTAAAGTGACTTGTCCCAATTAGGAAATCGCAAACAAAATTTTTTTTTCTTAGTGAAAAAAAATATAGCAGCAGCAGCAGCATCAGTAGCAGCGGTATCTCTAACTGATAGAATATAAATATATATAAATAGCATCAGCTTCAAAGACAACTTACAGTTCATATAGAGATGAGCATGATACTGCTACTAAGGCACCAGAGGTTGTTCACCTATCATCTCATAAAAAGGATAGCAATACGATCAGCTACTTCATCTTCATCTCCATCTCCATTAGATCCTATACTGAATAAAATATGGAAAAGGATTAACAATATAGAGTCATCTACTAATAGTCATGATGAAAGCAAACCCATATTCTCAGTTGATGCCAACGACAAACCTTTAGATCAACTCAAACAATTGATAGAAATCCCATTATGGGAACTTTCTCAAAAATTAAATCATAAATCATTTGAAGCTCCATATACTACTTTGAATTCAGTAGAATCACAAGACATCGATATCATTCTTAATAACTTACAATCTAACTTACATCAAACATTTCAAAATTATCTTACTAATAAAGATACTGAAAATCCCAATATTAGAAAAATCGAAGATATTAAATTAATCGATTTTTTCAATCCAAAACTTGTAAATATAACTCAAATCATATATCTGATAAATAATAATCAATATCCTAAGAATTTCTTAAAATTCAGTCAAGTTAATTCTAAATTAGGGTTATTAACTCAACTATTAACTAATTTATTATATAAAGAGTATATGGAATTAAAAATCCTCACTACCAAACCTGAAAATAATATTTTTGATATATCAAATCCAGCAGAATGGTTTCCTGAAGCTAGAAAGATGAAAAGGAAAGTCATCATGCATGTTGGTCCTACTAATAGTGGAAAAACTTATAATTCATTAAAGACTTTATCTCAAGCCAAGTCTGGTTATTATGCGGGTCCATTACGTTTATTAGCTCGTGAAATTTATGAAAAATTTAATCATGATGGTATTAAATGTAATTTAATCACGGGTGAAGAAGTTATACCTTCTATGGATGAATATGGTAGAGTAAGTCAAATTTCTTCTGGTACGATTGAAATGATTCCTTTACATCGTAAAATGGATGTATGTATTATCGATGAAATTCAAATGATTGCTGATGATAGAAGAGGTGCATCATGGACAAATGCATTTTTAGGTGTCTTAGCTAAAGAAATTCATTTATGTGGTGAAGAAAGTGCTGTACCTTTAATTCAAAAATTAACCAAAATAACGGGAGATGAATTGGAAATCAAGACATATAAGAGATTAGGAAAATTATCTACAACAAAGGAACCTGTTAATATTTTACGTGATTTGAAATCGGGTGATTGTGTGATTTGTTTTTCTAAACGGAAAATTTTGGAATTAAAATGTCAAATTGAACAAAAGACAAATTTAAAAGTTGGTGTGGTTTATGGTGCTTTACCACCTGAAATCCGTTCTCAAGAAGCTCAGAATTTCAATGAAGGTACAACTGATGTTTTAATTGCATCCGATGCTATTGGGATGGGACTTAATTTGAAAATTAAACGAGTTATTTTCCATTCCTTAAGAAAATTCAATGGTAGTGAAATGGCAGATTTAGCAATTCCATCTATTAAACAAATTGGAGGTAGAGCAGGTCGTTATTCTCAAGAATTTGGTCAACTGGAAGGATTTGTAAGTGCAATGAATAAACGTGATATCAATCTTATTCAAAAAGCCATGAAACTGCCTATTATAAATTTGAAAAAGGCATGTGTTTGGCCTACTGATTTAGTATGGAAGCATTATATGTCTAAATTTCCTCCTTCTCAACCATTTTATGATATCTTGCAAGCCTTTGCAGTTGAAACTGTCCAATTAAAGCTGAATAATTATTTCATAACGGAATTAGATTTCAGATATGAGATTTTGAAATTATTCTTAAGAGAAGATTTATATAAAGAACTTAATATTGAAGATCAATTAGTATTAAGTTTAGCTCCCATCAATTTAAATATGGCATCTGATCAAGTTAAAGAAACGGCGTTTAAATTTTTCCAAATGATTCGAAATTGTGAAAGTAAGAATATATTTGATTTTAATTTCTTAAATCAATCAGTTATAACTCAAACTCCAAAGATTACTGCTTCAGTGGGTGATACTGTTAATCTTTTAACGACGTTAGAAGATTATCATAAATTGGTATTATTATTTATGTGGTTGAGTCAAAGATGGCCCACTTTATTTGTGGATAAGGAAAGTGCATCAGATATGAAATCATTAATTGAAAAGAGAATCAGTCAGGAATTAATCAATATGAGAAGAATGAATTCTCGTTAGGGAATATGTTGTGTGTAAATAAAATATGTGTATAGTATAATTAGGTTTTAATCTTGTAAATAAACATAGAAATTATAGACTGGAACACACCATCTCATAAAAGAATTTAATTGTATGCTACGCCAATTTTTTTATCAAAGCAATCACTAACAGGATAGCTCATTGACATTATATTTTGCAACAATACTCTAGGTTAGACTTTCCTCCTTATTCTAACCTATGTTGCTATCTTTTTAATCCCCAACAAAGCCATGAAAAATTTGTGGGGCACATATAAATTTTTTAGCTCACCGACCGTCGCTGATCCCCCAAATTTTTTCGTTGTGTTCAAATGTGTAACTTTAATTTATAATTACAGTAAAATCTTGGTAATTTTATAAATCATCAGTTTCTTTCAAGTTCATATCACTGTTAGGTATTGCTTGTAACAGTATACAGAATAACATAGAACAAAAGTGGAAGTAACGAGAATGACTCAGAGTTTAATTCAAAGTACAGTTATTGTGGTTGGGGGACCCGCTGGTACAGGAAAAACCACTACTGCAACAGCTTTAGCTGATCATTTTTCAAGTCCATTCATTGAAGGTGATGTCTTACATCCTCAAGTCAATGTGGATAAGATGTCAAAAGGAATTCCATTAACTGATGATGATAGATGGGATTGGTTAAAGACTTTAAGTCAACAAACTAGTATTGCTAGTTTGGATAAAGATAATAAATCTAATATTGCCATTGTATCATGTTCAATGTTAAAGAAAGTATATCGAGATTATATCAAACTTAACTCGACTAATCATAATCATATCAGATTCCGATTTGTGTTCTTATATACCACATTTGAAGAATTAATCAATCGAGTTGAGAATAGAAAAGGCCATTTCATGAAGTCAGATATGGTTAAATCACAATATGAAATCATGGAAATCCCTGAAGGAGTTGAATTGGTATCAAATGGTGGTGATTCCATAGCTATTGATGCTACTGGCAAAACCCCAGAACAGATAAACAAGGAAGTCATTGACTCTTTAGCATTATAGATACAGTTATATACGCATAATTTTAATAGACACATAATATAACCCGTACCTATTTTGATTTATTAGACTCATCACCATAATCTCAACCCTATTTGACTATTGTCATACACTGTATTGATGGACCTCTTCCTCCCCCTTACAAGTTGGCAGCCAAAAAAAAACGAACTGATTGAGCCGAAAAAAGGGGGAAACATTTACGCAGTCAAAATTAGAAGAGGGAGGAGGGAAAAAAAATTTAGTGATGATAATTTAGAAGAACAATGGATCTGAAATTACCATCACTAATTTTAAAGTTTTGAATAGCTTTGCAATTTACAGTCGAAAGTTTAATTGATATCGTAACAGGGGAAGTTCATAAGGGTAGGGGATAAACCTATTCAATTAATTATTCACACATCACATCAATCAATTAAGATTTTATTGGTTTCTTGGTGTTATCTTGTCTTGTCTTACCACATTGCATCGGGAAACGAAAGACAACCATAGATACCCATGTTTGCAACTGATTCACTTCCTTATCTAAACCCTAATCAGGACAGACGCGTGGCATTGATAACAGGGGGGAATAGTGGTGTTGGATATTATACTGTTTTACATCTTTACTTGCATGGTTACATTGTATATATTGCAGGAAGAAGTAGATCACGAGTGTTAAAATCAATTCGAGAATTAAAACAAGATGCAACCGCTATAAGACTGACTTATACTAGTCAACAATCATCTAGTGAAAGATTCCTTGGAGATTTATTCTATTTAGAAATCGATTTAAGTAGCTTAGCATCAGTTATAGCTGCCGTGGAGAATTTCAAACAATTAGAATCAAATCTTAATATATTAATCAATAATGCTGGTGCAATGGCTTTACCTTATGCATTAACTCAAGATGGTTTTGATATTCAAATTCAAACTAATTTCATTGCCCCTTTTGTATTATCTACCAAGTTATTACCTTTACTTGAAAATACTGCTGATAGATTCCCATCAATTGATCCTCCTCGTATAATATATTTAAGTTCAGTAGGTCATCAATTATGTCTACGGTACTTCAATATGAATTCCACATTCAATTATAAACCCAATTTCGTCTTTACATGGTTAAGATATGGATTGGCCAAGATTGCTGGAATTCATTTTATGAAAATGTTAGCTTTAAGAAATCCGAAGATTTTATGTATGTCAGTTCATCCAGGATTTGTGATGAATACTAATCTTTTCTCATATTGGACAAGATTACCAATCATTGGTATAATGTTCTGGTGTCTTTTCCAAATCTTTGGTTATTTCTTTGGAGTGTCGAATGAAGAAGGAGCAAATGCTATCATCAAATGTTCTCTAGATCCTACCTTAACGGTTGAAAAGGATAATGGGAAATATTTTGCTACTGGTGGTAAGGAATCCGAACCTTCTAAAATAGCACAAAATATGGATTTTGCTGCTAGAACTTGGATTTGGACAATCCATCAATTAAGTGAAAGAGGTATATCAATACCGAGTTAACTTTCTAAAAAACAAAAACCCAATTTTCTTTTGCATTTAAAAATAACTACCACTACTGCTAATAATAATATGCTGCTATGACTTTTGTAAAATAATCATGAAAAAGTTCCATCCCTTTAAAAGTTTAAAAATAATCAGATCAAAATAACGGTTGCATTATAGTTAAAAATTCAAAAATCCATTGCATATATTTCTCATCCTACGTATTGTCTAATGTTTACTTCTCTTTAATTTAATTTTGTATAATCAATAATATATTTATTTTATTTCTTTCTAAATATCAGTTGATCTTATTAAACTACATTATTAATTAAATCTCCTCAATTAAGAATTTATTCGCCTCCTTCTTCTCATTGTCGATATCACGGTACACTTCTGCATCTTCCTCATTATCGACATCAATGATTCTATCTTCGACATCATCATCATCTTCTTCTTCATCAGCATCATTGTAGTCATTATCACTATTGTCGTCTTTGCCTTGCCCCAATATAGTTCTTAATTCAGAGTGGATTTTCCTTTTCAACTTGATATACTTTATTTCACTATCGTTATAATCCTCTAACGTATGACATTGCCTGTATAAATCATCTTCTTCATCACTAGTATATTCTGTAACGTCTTTATACTCACTGCTGATTTCTTCAGCAGTCTTGATATAAGGATCATAATAATATTGATACTTAGGATCTTCTGGATGGTAATAAAGATAGAAGTCATCTTCTCGAGGCGTTATACCTTGAGAATATAATTCATTCATATCATTAAAATAAATATATTCATCAGAAATTCTTTGAGAATATCTGTCATCTATACCTCGTCTATCTCTTACCAATCGAGACATTATGTTATAAACAGCTTCATCATCACTATCTTTTGGTTTATGAAGTTCTTTGAGTTCTTGTAGTTGCTCCTTACGCTTACGTGCTTCTTTTTTGAGTCCAAAAGGATCATCTGGGTCGTATTTGTATTCCTCTTCCTTTTGATCTCTCACGTCCTCTCGGAATTCATTTTGAAGTTCAGCTGACAACTTTCCAAACTCCTCAGCCATAGTTGGATCCGCAAACCAAACGTCTTCTTCATCATCAGAAGAATGGGGAAATAGAAGGTCATCAGTACCGAGAAATATATCTTCGAGATTTATTGGTAAGTCATGTTGGTTCATTTCTCCTAAAGTCAACTTGGCCAACATTTCTTCAATACTTGTATGAACTTTTTGTTGTACTTCTTCAACTTGACGATCGATTGATATTGGGTTCTTAAAACTTTCTTTCAAAAAATCTTCCGTAGGAGGAATTCTCTTATTTAAATATCCTTTTTGAATCAACTTATCTTGTAAATGATTACGAGTATTAAAAATATGGGTATAGGCTGCATTATCTTTATTAGATTCTGTTATTTTGTCTGGATCTTGTCCTGCCACATACACCATCCCCGTTGAAATGATTTGATATACAGCGATTTCAAACGTAATTGAATTTGGATCTTTCCCTTCATTCTTTAATTCTTGTTGTCTCTTAGTATGTAAAGCTAATAATTCACAATATGATAAATAACCAATTGAAAATTTAAAAGGTTTTGGTTTTCTTTCAGCAGGGTCGAACTGAACAGCATCTTTTAGCGTAAATCCTTTGTTGATAAATTTCGTAATTGCAGTAGGAATCATATAAGGACTCATGTTAAAAAGAGGAACGCCAGGATCATCCATGACTGTATCAACATCTATAACATACTGTAAATCATCAAATGGGCTAGTCTCAAACTTTTTACGAGATAATATATCATTGGTCTCTAAAATGTGATCGGAGGTGAATTCACCCTTTTTCATATAACCAATTGCAGTTGCTAATGGTAATATATCGGCATGTTTGTCCTCTTCATCCTCCTCAGAATCTTTAATAGTGACAATTTTGTCACCCACAATCCATACTCGATTAATTGATTTCATTGAATCAAGCAAATCATCATTTAAACCCTCATCATAATATTTCACTAAAAGACTCTCAAATGATTCTGAATTGAATACTTTAGCAAATACTAAATGGTTGGAGCAAAATTTGAATATCAAATCATGCATAATGTTTTCATCAATCGTACTATCATCATAAGTTAATTGACCATATATGTAACTAATCATCTCTTTCTTTTTACTTGATTTCTTATATTTATGTTTTTTGATTTCTATTTGAGGAAGATCACAACGAAATGGATAATGATGTCTAAGTATCTTGAGTAAGTTATCCAATTCATTATACAAAGCTTCAATCGTTTCTTTACAATTATTATTTCTAAAAATGACGAATGATAAAGTTGGCTTTGGAAAGGTGTATTCCAAATCTTTAGGATCGATCAATCTGGTTTCCCAAAGGTATGAATCATCTAATCCAGTAATTTCATCATCATTTACCCATTCATCCATTGTATTTGTGACGTGTGATGTTTGTCAATGGCTGTTGTAAATAACACCGTTTGATAAATGATTTGCAGATTTTTTTTCATCCCCAGATTTTTTACGTTTTTCGTCTGTGTAGAGTTACCATTATATTAAACTATTTTAACTAAACTATATCAAAAGCCACAATATCTAGAACTACGAACTTTACTAGATCTACTAGTAACCACTTATCAATGCTTCAGGTGACAGGACTATCAATTCTTTCAGTGATGGTCTACTTTGTTTTGTTCCCTGTTAACCTAACAATCTATAAAGCTCATTATTTGTTTTCCTCTTTAACTTAATATACTTTATTTCATTATCATTGTAATCTTCATAGGTATGTGATTGACGGAATAAATCATCATTTTCATCTTCAGTTTCATACGTGTTGACATCTTTATATTTTAGACTCATCTCATCCTCTGTAAGCTTATAAGGATCATAATAACATTGTTCAGATTCATCTTCAGGATGATAATACATATAAAAGTCATCAGCTGATGGATAAATACCTTGATCATATAAACCTTCCATATCTTCAAAATAAATATATTCACTGGATCTGTTATTATACCTGTCAGCGATAGTTTTTCTTCCACTTACAAACTTGAAGAGTACTTTTAAAGTATCATCACGATCAGTATCTTTTGGTCTATAAAGAGCCAAAAGCTCTTTTTGTTGTCTTTCACGTCTAAGAGCTTGTTTCTTGTGTCCAAATGGGTCATTCGGATCATCTCCTCTTGTTTTATCAAGATACTTCTGATACAAATCTTTAGCAACTGGAGTAAACGCACCAAAATTTTCAGGTAATTGTGGACCTGGTACTTGCACATTGCCAGGTTGAGGTTTGTCGAGATTTTTGAAATAATCTATTGCACTTACGGTATTCATACTAATTGGTAAACTGTTTTCACGAGAATTTTTTAAATTTGGATCTTCTAGTATATGATAAACATGATCTCGTGGTTTCACATTACGATCAGCTAATACTGGATTTTGAAAATCTTTGACTTGGAATTCAGTTGTTGGTGGAATTTTATCTTTTAAATAACCTTCACTTATCAATTTATCTTGCAATTTATCTCGAGAATTGAACGAGTTAGATAAATTATCTTGATTAACTTCAAATATAAGCATCGGATCAAGATCAATGGCAGTTGTCATCCCCTTTGAAAGAATTTGATATACGGCAGATTTGAATGAAATTGAATTTGGACTTTTTCCAGCATTCTGTAACTCTTCTTGCCTTTGGTTATATAAAGCTAACATTTCACAATAAGACAGATAACCAATGCTGAATTTGAATGGTTTAGCATCCTTTTCTTTGGCTTCTAAACGAACTGTATCTTTCAATGTTAAGTCTTTATCGAAGAAACTAGTAACTGCTGTAGATAGCAAGTATGGATTTTTGTTATAAACAGGTAGTAAATACTCTTCTATTACCGATTCAACTTCTACCACGTACTGTAAATCACCAAAAGGATGATTTTCAAAATTGACACGGGTTATTCTTTCACTAGTTTCTAACGTATCAACAGTATATTTGTTTTTCTTCATATAACCTACTGCAGTAGCCAATGGTAATATGTCGGCATATTTATCTTCTTCGTCTTCTTCAGGAACATCTAACTTTACAACCTTATCACCCACAATCCAGACACGATTTTCTAAACTCATAAAATCTAATAATTCATCATTCACACCATCATCAAAGTACTCTTCAAACACTTCCTGAAGCAAACTTGAATCATAAACTTTAGCAAATACTGAATGATTGGCACAAAAGTGGAATAATACATCTTGTAATATATTTTTATCATTAGTACTATCTCCATATGTTACTTGACAGTAGATGTAGCTAATCAAGTTCTTTTTCCCATTGGTCTTCTTATATTTATGTTTATTAATCAGCAATCTAGGAATATCACATCTGAATGGATAATGATGTCTTAAGATAGTAATGATCTTATTATATTCAGAAAATAATTGTTCAATTGTTTCCTGACAATCACTTGTTCGAAATATCATGAACGCTAAGGTGGGCTTGGGGAATTCATAATTGGCATCTTTGGGATCTAACATTTTAGTTTCCCAAAGATAGGAATCAGTCAATGTTGGATCATGAGCTTTTAAGTCAGTCATAATGATTGGTATTGATGATTTTGGCGATAGGCTTTGTAAATAATGTGTTTGAATAAGGGATTTGTTGTTGTAATGTTTTTCCCCAGATTTTTTTCTGCTGCTTTTTAGGCAACTATTGGTTATACATACTATTATCTAGTTTAGATAAATTATGTGGCATATAACAATATTATGAGTTCATAAAGTATTTATTAATTCTATAAACAGAGTTTATCTTAATGGTAAGGTATGTACGGCGGTGTCACTTTCCTTGTTTTCATTTCCTGAGTTTATTAGATTTTGCAACTCATTATTTCTTTTCCTCATCAAATTAATATACTTTATTTCATTATCATTATAATCTTCATATGTATGAGATTGACGGTATAAGTCATCATCTTCAGCTTGATCATAGTAAATTGTAGTAACATCCTTATACCTATCTTCGACTTGCCTTTGTGAAAGTTTATGGAGATCAAAATAACGGTACCTGGAATTAATCTCCCGATGATAATACTTCGAATACTTTGTAAATGTAGGATAACATCTTGATTGAACTAAACCTTCTGACCTTTCCAAATAAATAAATTCTTTTGATCTATTATCATATCTTTCAGCTATGGTTTTCCGACGTTTCAAAAATCGGAGAAGTAATTTCAATATTTCATCACTGTCGGTGGTTTGTGGCATATAAGTATGAAAGAGTTCCACTCTTTGCTCTTGAAGATTTTCAGATAATTCGGGACAAACCTTCTTAAAGACAAAACCATTAGTTAGATCAGATGGGTTTGAAAGGATCTTAGGGTGGGTATCAAGAAGAAGAGGTTGGTCTGGATTAATATCATCAACAAGATTTGTAGTATTCGTTGTTGGTGAATGACTTGAGAATAAATGAATAACTTTTTCACGTACAAGATATTTCATATCAATAGGACCTGACTGGTATGAATCCTCATCAATGATTTCTACTATTTGCGGTATCTCTTTTTCCATATATCCATTACTTATTAGCTTATCTTGTAAAAGATTTCTGGTATTGAAACCTTCAGATGGTTTTCCAGGATTTCCTAATAAAATAACATCTGGATTATCATACATGGCAGTACCAAGTCCTCTTCCAAGTATTTGAAATACAACCGAATTAAAAGATATAGAGTTTAAATTGTTTTGAGCTTTTATTAACTCTTTTTGTTTTTCCTTATATAGGCATAACATTTCTTGATATGATAAATACCCTATTGAAAATTTAAATGGTTTAGCATTAATTTCTTTAGTCTTAAAATCGTCTAAAGTTAATCCCTCATTGAGGAAAGCAGTGGTTGCTAAACATACCAAATGTGGATTTTCATTAAACATAGCTATGAACTTTGGTTCCATTATCCCGTCAATTTCAACCACATAGCTTAGGTCATCAAAAGGTGTTCTCTCGTAAGATATCCTTGTTAAGATGTCAAATGTGTTTGCTTCGTCAACATAATATTTGTTTTTCATCATGTAACCTATTGCAGTAGCTAATGGTAAGCGATCTGAATAAATATTTAATTCATCTTCTGGAATATCTAGCTTAACAACCTTATCACCGACAACCCACACTTGATTCTGCAAGTTCTTATCCTCACTTTCAAAGCTCAGTTTAGCTAACATTGAATCAAACACTTGAGCAAATACTGAATGATCAGTACAGAACTTGAATAAAACATCCTGTATAACATTTCGATCATTGATACTATCATCATAAATTAACTCACAATATATATACCGAGTCATATTCCTTTTCTTTGACTTATTGAATTTCTTATAGCCATGATTCTTAATCTGTAACCTTGGATAATCCCATCTGTAAGGATAATGATGTCTAAATATAGTGATGAATTTATTGAAGTCAGAAAATACTTGTTCGATTGATTGTATGCAATCACTAGTTCTAAATATCATAAGCGCTAAGGCTGATTTGGGAAATTTAGCATCTATTTCTTCGGCACTTAATGATTTCATTTGCCAAAGATATGCATCATCTAGTTCTTTTTCCTCTTCATGCTCTTCCATCGTCTTTGAGGTTTATATATTAAACAGAAGATGGCTGCAAATAGTAAACAATTTTTGTATAAATTTCATCGCACACAAACTAGACATTTTTTGGTAGCTCTACACAAAACAATTTTTTATTTTTTAATAAATATATATATTTTAACTTTAATTTAATTTGCAAGTAGAACACTTCTATATGATAACTATTAATCAACTAATCTATAATTTAGCATCATGGTCAATTTTTTCAATAACAATGGAAGAAGCACCACCACCACCATTACAAACACCAGCAACACCGAATCTACCTCCTTCTTGACTTAAGACAGAAAGTAAAGTAACAACAATTCTAGCACCAGAACAACCTAATGGATGACCTAAGGCAACAGCTCCACCGTAGACATTTAATTTTTCATGAGGAATATCACAGAGTTTAGCATTGGCTAAACCAACAACAGAGAAAGCTTCATTTAATTCGAAGAAATCAACTTGATCTTGAGTAATACCAGCATGTTTTAAAGCTTTTGGAATGGCTAAAGATGGAGCAATAGTGAAATCAATTGGAGCTCTAGCGGCTTCACCCCAACCTTTAATTTTAGCTAATGGTTTTAAACCTAATTCTTTTAATTTTGATTCAGAAACTAAAATAACAGCAGCACCACCATCATTTAATTTAGAAGCATTTGGAGCTGTAACAGTACCATTTTCCTTTTGGAAAACAGTTCTAGCACTTCTTAATTTTGATTCATTGAAATTCTTAACTTCTTCATCTTGAGATACAACAGTATCTGGTTTACCTCTGAAACCTTTAATAGTGACTGGAACAATTTCATTATCGAATTTACCTGATTTTTGAGCATTTTGAGCTTTAGTATAAGAATTAATAGCGAATTCGTCTTGATGATCTCTTGAAAATTCGTGGTCAGCAGCACATTTTTCAGCAGCAACACCCATTAATTTTTGTTCATAAACATCTAATAAACCATCTTTTTGAACACCATCAACTAAAGTGGCATCACCGTATCTGGCACCAGTTCTAGCAGTTGGGATATAATAAGGAGTGTTAGACATAGATTCAGCACCACCAGCAATGACAATTTCAGCATTACCAGTCATGATAGTTTGAGTGGCTAAAATAATTGCTTTTAAACCAGAAGCACAAACTTTGTTAATAGTAGTGGCCACAATTGATTCTGGTAAACCAGATTTTAAGGCAACTTGTCTAGCTGGAGCTTGACCAACATTAGCTTGTAAAACACCACCAAAGAAGATTTCTTCGACTTCTTCTGGTTTAATTTGAGGAACTTTAGCTAATGCTGCCTTTACAGCAGCAGAACCTAAATCACTATAAGTAAGAGAAGAAAGTTGACCTTGGAAGGAACCAATTGGAGTACGTGCGGTGGCAACGATATAGACGTCTTGAAAAGCCATGATTGATTGAATATGTATGTGATTGATGGAGTTGATATTCAAACTTCAAAAAGAGAAACAAGTGGAATATAAATTGGCAGCAAATAATTCACTTTAAAAGTTTCAAAACATTTTTTTCAAAGCTGGTCGTATAAATTTCTTTTTTTGGTTTTACGTGTTTTAGGGAACGACGATAATTTTCGTCTTTTTCCGAGGGTTGGGTAAGTCACGTGTGTGACAGTTTTCCATTTATCAAATTTTAACAGCAATTTACCCCATTTGAATAATGGTGGGGTTGGTTACTAACCATTGACAAGGGATGTGGATGTGTTTGTTTTAAGTATCAAGAGATTCTAACCTTTTCTAAACCTGAAAGGTTTGTTGTGTGATTAGCTACTACGAGATATGTAGCTTGTCGGACTTATGGATCTTTCTTATCCCTTTATTGCCACTTAGTAATTAGTTATAATGTATTAATGAGATTCTATTTCATTCATTTATGGCTGTAATATTGAAAGAAAAAGTGATATCTTTCATGTTGTCAATCTTGCTAATAAGGTATTTAAGCCATAACTTCATATAGTATGTTAAACGACGATGACTGCAAAAAGAAAACTGAGATTTGATTTTTCGCGTTAACATTTGTAGATGAAAAATGTAAACAAATCAACTTTGGTATAGTAAATTGACATCAACTGTCAGATTGACATGTCTCGATTTACTCCGGCGGAGAATTTGCAGTTGAAATATTGCCTTGAGAATTCATCTACTCCTATACTTCATATTCCAAATGGTGGCAGAGGTGAAAAGGTTATTTTAAAAATACCCGAATCAAAATGGGAAAGTTGGATAACTAATGAGAAGAAAGACAACCAATGGACACGACGCTTGAACTCTGGATCCAGCAGTTGTCTGGTCTGGATACAAGAGTACGTTTGCAGACTCAAAGGTCATCGGAAACCTAAACTTAGTGCACCTTTTCGCCAGAGGAAGAATTACACCAAAACAGTTGGTTGTGGAGCAGGATTTACAGCCAGATTAAGTCAGAAATTCTGGCCAGGAAGTAAGACTGATCGAACCGTCGTTCTAACGTGCTATTGGAACCATAATCACGAGGCACCACCACGAGAAACAAACGATGATCATTATACTAGAATTGAAGCTAAGGAATCTGAATTAATAGATTTAATTACCCCACAAGTTTCAGGCCCTACAGAACTGCCCAGACATACCAACATTTCTGGTGGTTTTCCTGAAAGTGATACAAAAGAGCTAAATGAAAGCCAAAATATGAGAGACACCCTTGGGTATGACATAACATACGCTCTTTGTGAATGTAACGGTATCCGAAATGATAATGCCTATCTGATTCTGTCCAAACAATCAACCACTAATTTTCCTATTTCTGAAGTATCTCAAGACATCGAAATACCTCATAGAGATCGAGTTATAAATATAGCAGGATATGTTAATGTATTTCAGAAACAAGGGTTGATGGAGCTACTTGCTAGAAATCGCATAATTAATTTGACCAAACCTAAAGAGACTGTTACCAATAGAACTGTTACTACAAGAGATTCTGTAAATCCACCAGAATTTTCGAAACAAATGCTGAGGTCAACCAGGGATAATATAGAGATTATTGGAAATAGAGGGGTTCCAATTATGCCTATAAGCAATCAAAGAGGTAAGTTAGCTGATATTACTAATGTAACTCACAAAAAGACAACAACCAATAAAATAGTTAAGACTAATTACTATGCTAACAAGGAAAAGCCAGTGCCCACATGTACATCCCCTAGGGCCAGTTTGATCCAAACAATCTTAAATGATGTTCTTGATTAGTAAAGATCAATATTTACAGAGTAAAGTTTCCTTTGGAATGGCATCTTTTATCAGCAACTTGTTAGATTTATAAATAGATTAAGTAGAATAATTAACGAAATTCAGTCACGTGAGTCATTTTTGAGTTAAATCAGAAAGAAAAATTAACAGATCCTAGAATTATCGTAGTTTGCTGTCTATTATATCATTCATTACCAGCACCAATTATGTTTAGTTTAACTCTCAGGTCAAGGATTGGTATCAATCTGTATTCTCGGGCACTTTGTCTTTCCAAACCGAGTTCAATCGTACTTTCTAGACATTTATTACATACCACACCATCATTAAGTAGCATATTCAAAAAGGCAGCTCCAACACCAACATCAACCACATCTTCTCCAACATCACCAGCAACAGATGAAGTTTATAAGACTCATCCAATTCTTAAGAGAGTGCCGAGATTCTTACGTCGTTATACTACACAATTCATACATGCACCTGTTAGTCATGTCATTTCGTTTCTTGTGCTTCATGAATTAACGGCCATAGTACCTTTAATTTCCCTTTGGTATTGTCTTTATAATTTCCCTGATTATTTCCATTTCATAGATTGGAGTGTGGGAAGTATGAATGAAGTATATGTGAAAGGAGTTGAAGTTATCAATAAGAGTTTGGATAAGTATCAAATTGGGGCTATTGATGGATTAGAAGATAAAGTTAAATTATTATCAACTGGTGCTACTTCATATGTAGTTGTTAAATTATTGGCACCCGGTAGAGTCGTATTTAGTTTATTATTTATGAATTGGTTTGCTAAATGGTTTGTGGTGCCAATTTCTAACTTATTCAAAAGAAAGAAACGTACCCCTTCTTCACCAATCGAAAGTTCTGAAGATACTGCCACTACGGTTACACCACCAATTTCAAATCTGATTAGTGTTAAAAAAGTGGATAAACCAAGATTATAATCAAAATTAGTACATAGATTATTTTTGTATTGTATTCATTCATGCATTCATTTCGTATATAAATAATATATAAAAAAGAGGTAATAATAATAATAAAGAATAATAAAAAACGGAATAGTAAGTTGTAAAGTTGTAAGGGTTGTAGTGGTAATAACAATTAGGAAGAAAAGAAGAAGAAAATACAATGATGAAAACAAATAACAGTCTCTTTAGTTATTGATGATGATGATATGTATATACTTAAGCACATACTTTATGCAAATCCTTTTTATTTTAATACACTTTGTTTGATATTTTTTAAATTCTGTATGTTCATTTTTTAATTTTGACAATAATAATAATAATAAGTGAGGAGGAGGGGAGTTTGTTCAATCCAAGGTTACTTTTAATTCTTCAGTTGTCAAAGGAACAAATTGATCAAATGATGTTATATTTTGAGATAACTCTAATTGATTTATATTAATCCAAGATGGAATCAATTTATAATTCAATTGAGGAGCCACTGATAATTCACGATCATTAAAATCAAATAATGGAGGTAAATCTCTTAAATCCGGTTGATTTGAATAAATTTGATATTGAGCATTATTTGAACTTACTGCCGCAGTTGAAGTTGAATTATTTGTTATGGAATTATGATGATGGAATTGTTGACTAAAGATTTTTCTATAATTTGGTAATTTAATTTGAGGATTTCTTAATTCATCAAAATATGGATTAATTAATGCTTCTATACAAGATATTCTTTCAATTGGTGAATATTGTAAAATTAAAATTAAAAATTGTATACAATCCAATGACATCTTTTTAAAGATTTTTTGTAATGGCATTGGTTTAATTTGAGGAAATTTATGTTCCATATAATTTGGATTCATTTTTTCAATTTGATCTTTAGATGGAGTACCTAAAATTTTAATAATTTCAACTAATTGATCAATACCGGATTCACCTGGAAATAAAGGTTGACCTAAAATTAGTTCTGCCATTACACAACCGGCTGACCAAACATCAATCTTAGTGGTATAATTGGTAGCACCAAAGATTAATTCAGGAGCACGATAATATCTTGAACAAATATAAGAAACATTTGGTTCATTTGGATTTAAAATTTTTGCAGAACCAAAATCACATAATTTTAATTCACCAGTTTCAGGATTAATTAATAAATTTTGAGGTTTTATATCACGATGACAAATACCTTGAGAATGAATATAATTTAAAGCTCTGAACATTTGATAAGTATATAATTTAACTTCCAATGGAGGCATTGATAATCGTTTGGCCACATAATAATGACTTGCTTTATAAAGAGTTTCGGGGACAAATTCCAAAATTAAATTCAAATATAATTCATTTTTATCATTATTAGTATAGAAATAATATTTTAAATCAGTTATATTTCGATGATGAACCAATTTCATAATTTGTAATTCACGATTTTTAAATCGTTTATCTTGTAAAACTCGTTTCATGGCAGCTAATTCATTAGTAGGTAAGATTTGAGTTTGAAACACTACCCCAAATGAACCATGACCCACCATTTGAGATTGAGTATATTGAATGGTTTCGATGGTTCCGGTATGACCATTGGTGACATTTTCAGTTATAACTTCTATTTTCGACATAGTTAGTATATTGTATTATATGATATTTGGTAAATTTAATTTATTTTATTTTATGATTATTATTAGGATTGGGGGATGATTTGGTGATGCTATGAGATTATTAACAAGATAAGTGTATAAGTTATATCAATAAATAAAAAAGTAAAAGGGAAAGGAAAGGAATGTAATTGATGATGTCAAAATTTCAATCGATCAATTTCGGTGATGATGGTGAAATGAGCAAATGATTTTTATGGAGAATGACCTTTAATTGACACAAAAATAAAAGTGAGAGAGAGAGCACACTAATTATTTTTCGGTCGGTGTAATTCAGACTTTTTTTTTGATCTCTAAACAAAATAGAAATAGACAACAAAAAAGTAATTAAGGAATATGATCAATGATTATCATATATGTTATGGATAGGGAAAGGTCGAGGGGGTAAAGTATGATTGAATTGATTTAATTCAGCTTTTGAATCAATCGATTGATGGATTGATGAATGGATGGATGAGTGGGGGAGGAGCAGGCAATGATTGATCAGTAGAAAAAGTAGCTAACGTAAACTAAACTAAAATTAAACTAATCAATCAATGAGTACAATTAAACTAATCAACCAAGTACGATTAGTCCAGTAATGATATTGATATAATGGAGTTGCAATTCTTTTTAGGGTATGTTATAATTGAGATAAACACAGCCAAAGAAGAAAAGAAAAAAAGCAGCAACAAGCACAAGTAGAATGAATGGAAAGGATTAAAGTTCTATTAAAAAAGATATCTCTATGATATGATGAATGATGAATGATTTGGTCCACTGGGATGATGATATGGGGATGGATCAATAGTATCAACACAGAAAGAAAGGAAATGGTTGTCAAACTTGAAAGAAGAAAGAAACAAAAAAGATGTTGTAAATAATTGTATTTTCGTTGGTGATGGTGAACTTCAGCTCTCAGAGAGTGGAGATTTTTTTTCCTACTTGACCTTTTCAGACAAAAAAAAAAAAAAAACGGGAGACATTTTTTGATCTTTTTATTTTTTTTCCTGGAGTTAACCTGTAAAACTTCACCCACCCCCGTATTAAATGGAAAGGAACATATCATTTGTTTATTTTTACGTGACCCATTTTTAAGATGTCGTCGTAAATTGTGTCTGAATAAGCTATGACGAATGTCGTCAGACACTTTATCACACTCTATTGATTTTGCCCCACCTTATTATTAATTCATCATTACGTAGTTACCATGTCTTAGTTTTACAACTTTAGTATATCCATTTCATTCATTACTGTCCCCTTAATACTGAAACAAATCCCTCTTTCTTTCTCTCTCCCTAAATAATGTATCTTCTCCATTATAAGGATGATTAAAAATATTGTTTGTAGCCTTGTCTATTTTTATTTAATTGTTAAGGTTTATTGTTGCTGCTAATTATTTCTTATTTGATTTGAGTTGATATTGATTTGATATAATTACTTTTAAGGACATCTCTTCTTTCCCTCACTAAGCATTTTCTCACTAAAATTTCTTTCTTTCTTCGCTGTCGCACACTTCCTCCCTCCCTTCCTTCCTGCCTGCCTCTCTCTCCTCCGCAATTTCGCTTTTCTATTTATGGATGAGATTTATTTTTGCTCTTATTTCGTTCTGTTTTTTTCCCCACCTTTCCTTAAACCACAAAGGGAAATTGTTAATCAAAAGGGTTAGAAATAATAATAAATATGATTTGATAATCATCTCTATAGATGGGGGTTAGTAATATTTTAAAAATTAATTAGTATAATGGTTGTTTGTTTGGTTGTTTGTTTCCTAAATATATTCTATCAAAGTTAATATCCTTTCCTTCCCTCTCGTTAAAATCTTCATAAGCCCACATCATTATACTCTCTTGTTGTCTTGACATCTCTCTAATAATCATAAAAATAAATTGAAATTGAAAATTTGGGTTTATACATACCGATAAAATCACTTGATCTATTATATTTTGAATCAGGAATCTTGAATTTATTAAATTTACTCTTTAAATTTTGTCTTGTTTGAGTCATGGTTGATTTTGTTTGATCATAACTGAAGGATTTTTTTAAAGGATGAATCAATCCATCATCCTCTATTTCATTCTCTCCTACTTGATTATTATGATGATGATGATTATTTAATGAATTCGATTGCAGCATTGATTGTGATGATGTACTATTACCATTTGACCCCTTCATAAAGGTGAAGAATTTATTAGTGATGGAATTACTTCTCTTTTTTTGATCTTGTAAATGAGTATAATTATTATTGATATATGAATTATGTCTAATTTTACCATCATTAGTAGTATCAATCGTATTATTAGCCGTAGTAGGGATAGTATAATCTCCATTATTATTATGATTATGGTTATTACTCCTGTTTGACATAGTGGAATTCATAAGATTATTCATATTAAAGGGATCTTTAAAATATAATCCTCCATCATTCATAGTAACATCTTTAAGTAAATCTTCTTCTTCTTCATCTTGAGTAGTTTCTCCTGTGGAAACTTCATCCTTATGATTATTATAGTTAGTGGTAGTTCTAGGTTTAGTGATATCCGATGCAGTTTGATAATTTGTTTTTGATTGATATGGATTAAATGATTGAATAGTTCCTTCTTCATCATCATCAAGTGTAGGTTTTTCATTATTATTATTATTATTATTCATTTGTCCACTAAACCCTGGTTTCATAAGACATCCTCTATATTTCTGTCTTAATTCTTTTGATTCAACTCTTTGATCATGTTTTAATTGATATAATTCTTCTTTATGATCTTTTCTTAATTGTTTTAATTCTTGCTTTTTATCTTTTCTTAATTGTTGTTTCTTTTTTAATCTTGATTTTTTAACATGTTTATTAGCATCTTGATATATCGGTTTATCAATAATTAAATCTTTTAATATGGGTGTTGCTATATCAAAATTATGAATATACATGGGATAATATTTATTTATGCCATATTTTGATTGTAATTCATCATAGTTTAAGATTTTAATATATTGTTGAGATATTAACGATTCTAATTCTTCATCATTAAGTTCATTATGAGTACTATTTATTAAAGTTGAAGCAGATGACATATCATCAAATCCTTTATTACTATGAGTATGAGTATGGTTTCGAGATTGGTCTGATAATGATAATTTATGAAGTTTCTTATTAAGTAGGGTAGCCGATGTCATGGTTAGTTAATGTGGTACGGTGAGGTATTATTATATGACAAGGGAATGACTGATGTTGGTAATGAAATGAAATGAAACTAATATAAAGAAAGAAAAGTAAATAGATAATTGAAAAAAAAAAAAAACCTATAAACATTTATTTTTTAAAATAAGTAAATCCTATAATCCATTAACTATAATGAAAAGGTTAAATGACTTCCTCTTCCTTAATAGTGTTATGAGATATGAAAGCTGGAGCTACCATGTATGTATACTAAAAACCATAACAATACCAAAAATTAAACTTTGTCAATGTCAAATTATGTATGTAAGTGGAGTAAAATTAAGTGGGGAATAAAAGTGGAGTATAAAAATAATAATTACACAAAATCGGCGTTTTTTTTTTTTTTTTTTGTCGTTTTTGTCTTTCCCTTCTTCTTTTGGTCTGTTTTTGTCGTTTTTGTCGTTTTTGTCGCTTTTTCTTTGGTATGATTGTGAAAATTTTTGCAGTACTTAAAATGATTAGCAATGAGTGAGTGAGTGAGTGAGGGCACAATTGTAATGTAATGAGGGCGGGGAGGGTAGAAATGTTAGGAGCAAAGGAAGTTTTTATTTACAGTAGCCACGATATACATATAAAAACGCAATTTTAATTAATTATAATAAGCTAATTTCATTTAATTTCATTTCATCTTATACTAGTTAGATTTATTCTAAAGTGTAAATCAATCCCAACCTAATAACAAAGTAATTAATTCAACCATTCCAGATTGCTGACATCATTGATGACCTTGAGTCATGTTTATTCAATCTAACAGCAATCTTAATTACAGACTAATCTAAATAGTATAAGTATATAAATTGATCTCTGAATAAGTTAATCTAAAATCTAAACTGTTTAATAAGATATTCAGCACCTATGAATCACTCTGTTAATCTAATTTACAACGATAATCTTATGTGTAAGTTTTTTTCTTGTTTTGTATGATGAAATAGGTTATTTCACGGATAACTAATTCATGTTCCCACAAAAGATTTAATCCCTACATATTCACTCCCTCCCTCCCACATACACACACACACACACACACACACACACCCACAATCCCTTTTATCTATAATTTATTCCTTATTTATTTAAACTACCCATTTCACTTTTTTATGTTAATAATTGAACTACTTTTCCTGCACTTAATCTTTTACTTCTATCATAATACATCATTTTATTAATAATTTGTTTAACTTTTTCATTACAACATTTTGGTAAAATTTTATCCATTGATTTTCTTAATTCAATTTGAAATTGAAATTGTTTAAAATGATAATTATCATTATTTAATTCATTCCAAATTAATTCAGGATATTGATTTACTTTCTCTTTATCAGTACTAATGATTGGGGTACCAAAATTTGTAAATATCTTTGTTAATAAATATAAATCACTTAATCCAAATTCTTCATCTTCTCCTTCACCTTCATTCTTATCATCTTCTAAGATTGATTTAAAATTAGGGGAATATAATATGGTTAATATTATCCCCATTGACCAAATATCAACCTCATAATCATAATTCGTAATTCCTAAACAAACTTCGGGAGGTTTGAATATACCTGTACTTATATCAAGATATTTTTGACTTGGATCTTCAAATTTAACAAGATTTGAATTATTATAATCATAACTTATCCCAAAATCTCCAATAATAGGCTTTCTAATATAATTCTCTTCTCCTTCATCACTCTTATTAAAGAAGATATTTGATAATTTTAAATCACGATGAATGATCTTATGAGAATGAAGGAATTCTAACCCTTTCATAACACTGATAAAAAACATCTCAATATCATCTTCTTTCATAATATTTTTAATCAGTTTACTCTTTATAGATCCATCTAAAAAATTAAATTTAGTGACAATTCGAACATAATTAGGATCACTTATTTTAATCACTTTATCCAAACTTATATGATATTCCGGCATAACCAATACTAAATCATCCATATATTCATATGAATTAAGTAATTCACATACATAAGGACATTGATGATTCAATTGATTAAGGATATTCAATTCATATCGAATATTATGAGGTTTGATATTGATGTCCACATCAACGATTTTTAATACTACTGATGTATGAGTTTGCTGATCTTCAGCTCGATATACATCTGAAACATGACCACTATAGATGATTTTCCGATTGATATATCGTTTATTGATATCCGACATCGTAATGTGATTGATCAATCGTAATCAAATTAATTGTGCTGCCAAAATTATTTCTAAACTGCTTCTATTTTTTTTTTGGATCATTATTTACATTTTGTCTGATGATTTGAATTGTACCTCTTGTAGACATCAAATTATATCATGATGTTTATGAAGTATATTCTACCAATCCTGATTAAGTCATGTCCTGGATTAAGCCAATCAGACACTAATTATACCAAATGACACATACTGTTTATCTTGTTATATATATTATGGCTTGTATCGGCTGTTTAACCTATTTATGACTAATTAAGTAATTTCCCTTAACCGGTATGCCATCCCACTATCAATCGTGCGACGATGGTAAAAACCGAAAAAAAATATCTCTGATACCAAAACAACACTTATCAAAAATTAGTCACCACTTGCTTTTAACTGTATTTATACATCTTTCTTTCGTTATAGACTTTCTTTTAGGATCCTTAACTGTTATTATAGAGACAGTTAAAGCTATTCATCAGATACTTTTTTATAGACCCCCAAAAAAAAGAACAGATAGAAACTATTGAGTCATCATGAGATCAATTATATCCAATCGTTTATCTTCGACTTTACGTAAGACCACCATTACTACTTATCGTAATCAATTCTTCAGTACCAAATCATTCACTTATCAACAAGCTCCCTTAGATGCTTCCAAATTAATTATACAGAAAACAACCACTCCTAATGAAAAATTAGCCAATGATAAATTAGTCTTTGGAAAGACTTTCACTGATCATATGTTGGAAATTGAATGGACAGCTGAAAATGGATGGGGAACTCCAACTATTAGTCCTTATCATAAATTAACCTTGGATCCTTCTACTATTGTGTTACATTATGCCTTTGAATTATTCGAAGGTATGAAAGCTTATAGAGATACTGATAATAATATTAGAACTTTCAGAGGGGATAAAAATATGATTAGAATGAATAAATCAGCTGATAGAATTTGTTTACCAACATTTGAAGGGGAACAATTACAACAATTGATTGATAAATTATTAGTTCTTGATGAATCCTTCGTTCCAAAAGGTCAAGGTTATTCTCTTTATTTAAGACCTACTTTAATTGGAACATCTGAATCTTTAGGGGTAAGTGTTCCAGATCGTGCTCTTTTATTCGTCATTGCCTCCCCTGTTGGTCCTTATTATGGAACTGGATTCAAACCAGTTAGTTTAGAAGCCACTGATTATGCTGTCAGAGCTTGGCCAGGAGGTGTTGGAGATAAAAAATTAGGTGCCAATTATGCTCCATGTGTTAAACCTCAATTAGAAGCTGCTAAAAGAGGTTATCAACAAAATCTTTGGTTATTCGGTGATGAAGGCTATATCACTGAAGTTGGTACTATGAATGTATTCTTTGTATTTAAAACTGAAGATGGTAAAAATGAATTAGTCACTGCTCCATTAGATGGAACTATTTTAGAAGGAGTTACAAGAGATTCAGTATTGGAATTAGCTAAAGATAAATTACCTTCTGATCAATGGATTATAAGTGAAAGAAAATTCACTATAAAAGATGTAGCTGAAAAAGCAGCAAAAGGTGAATTAATTGAAGCTTTTGGTGCTGGTACTGCTGCAGTTGTATCTCCAATTAAAAGTATTGGTTGGAAAGATCAAGAAATTAATGTACCTTTGGCTGCTGGTGATTCAGGTGAATTAACTAAACAAATTGCTGAATGGATTAGACAAATTCAATATGGTGAAGTTGAATATAAAAATTGGTCAAGAGTTGCAAAATAAGATTAGATATTACTAGTATATACCAATTCACACCCCATTTATTTTTTTTATCTGTTCTATATAGATTTATATATATTTACTTTCATTTATTGAATTCTTTCAATATCAGGTAATTGTTGAATTTTACCTAAAATATAATCCCTTTCTTCCACTAAATTTGGAATTTGATAACTTTCAATATCAAATCCTTTAAAAAATGCAATAAAATTTTCTTTATTCTTAACCAAAATATCTAATACTTTTTGCGATTTCTTTGGTTTTGCAATAAAAAATTTAAATATTTGAAATCCTTCAATTTGTAAATTTTTCAGTTTATCATTTAAAATTAACATTATAATCTTTAAATTAGTTGCTTCATCAAAATATTTACTATTTTGATTATATTTTTGTAATATAATTTCACTTAATAATCGAACACTTTGTCTTTTGGTAACATAATTTGATGATTGCATTAATTTATTAATATTTATAACAAATTGATCATAATTATTATTTAAAAATTCTGATACTAATTTTCTATGAGTTGTTAATAAATCATGTAAAGTTATAAATGAATCAGTTGCAATTTCAAATATTGGAATTTGAACATATTTAAAAAAATTCCAAAATAATGAATTACCTAATATAAATTTATTAATGATTTCAAATTTTAAACAATCTCGTAAGATTTGACCACTTATTAATCCAATTGAATGAGTTTCTGGACCCTTTAATAACATCAAGATGATTTCAGGTTTGGAATTAATAATATAATCAACAGTAGGAGATTTATTTGCTAATTGTCGTCGTAAAAGATTCAGAAATATTAATTGAACATCTTTTCTTGAATCAAAATCTAATTTCTTTAAATGGTATATCAAAAGGTATAATGAATCAGTGGAATATATTTCTTGGGCCAAATAACTGATTTGATCAGGTTGGGGAGCATTTTCATCATCTCCAATCAATATAACTTTCATTTGTTTTAAATATCGGGAACATTCATCTTGATACTTTTTTTGACTATCACCCACACTTGAATCCAATTTAATCACCAGTTCATTAACGGCACGAACTATCTCTTGTGGAGTCTTAGGATTTCTCTTGAATAAAAATGACATGATCTATAAGCGGCTGTATACCCTCTTTCTCTCTTTCTGTGTTATATGTCTATCAAAAAAATAGACGCTTTATAATATCAAACCCCAGAAACACTCTATAAAATCAAACTTAAGATTGATCAAAAACTTCCTATTGACCAAAAACTTAAAACACCAGGAACCTTAAACTAAAAAATGAAATAAAAATGCAATCAATCAAAAGTGGATATGAATTTGACGGTTACTTGCAACAAAAAATACTCGTTGCTGCCTATTCAATCTATATGGACCCCACTGAAAGGAAAAAGGAATGGAAAAAAGAATCAATGGATCAAACTGGTCTAAGATCAACTTATCCTTAGTCTGAACAATTCTATACCTTTGAAACGATCAATTGATGTTTGAACTGATGGAATTTATCCCTGTTGTAAAAGCTGAAACTGATTTGGTGCTGTAAAAAAATGGTAGAAAAATAAAAAAAAGTGGAATTTTTTGAACCAGGGGAAATTTTACAGTTTGCCACATTTATTATTCCCTTTTACAGTTTTGATTCTAGCTGTTTTTGACTATCAAAATATCTTGAATCAGATTTAAAGTCGAATTAACCTTCAACCATATAATAGATTATCAAGATCAATAGGATTGGACCATGGTGTCATATTTGAATATATGGCAGTCCATACTAATCAATAAGAGTAATCGGCCAGTGTTGCAAGAAGGAGAATACAATCTATTCATACGAGATAATATTGGTCTTTATCAGGGGAAACTGAAAATCATTAGTAGACAAAATGGGAGATTATATCTTACTAATAAACGAATCATCTATTTTGATAATGATAATAATGCCAATTGTATGGCTATAGCGGTTAGTGATGTCAATTCTTGTGAAATGATTGAAGGGTTCTTAAGATCGTCGCCTAAAGTTAAAGTTCACATAAAATCAAGTGATTTAGCAAATTCGAGTTCAACAGAATCTAATGGGAATGGTAGTAGTGGTAATAACAATAATAAGTCTAATGACGTGAGGATCATAAATTGGGCTTGTAAAATATGTTCTTATAATAATCAAATCTCCACCAATTTTGATTTTGATGAAAATGAAATCCCAAAATGTACTTCTTGTGGAATACGACCAAATAAACTATATCTTATAAAGCTTTTAGATACATCAAGAAGGAATTCAAGTGATGGTAGAGATCTGATTAATGAATCTGATACTCTTGCTCCCAGTTCAGCGCTTTCGTTATCCACTATGATGACCTCTACGACTGATTCCGCTACCACTGATGATGTTAGTATAACTTCAAGAAGAGATGATCAATGTCCAACTTGTACTTTTATAAACCATCCTTCCATGAAGTATTGTGAGTTATGTGGATCTGAATTAAAATCAAGTTTACCTCCAAGTTTACAACTTAAGTTGAATGAAAGTTTATCAAATTTATCCACAAATGCAAAGCCTAATACTTCTACTGATCCAAGTTCAAACATAACTAATCCTTTAAAGTTAAGATTAGAAACAAATAATGAAATATACACTAATAATAAACCATATATAAAGATCAGTTTTAGAAAAGGTGGAGAAGAAAAATTTATGAAGCATTTAGTTGAAATTCTTGATGATATTAGATGGGAATCATTAAAGAATAGAGGTGCTATAAATCAAAACTCAGTTAAACAACCATCATTAATCACAGAAAGAAAACAATCCATTAAGGGTGGACCTGGTATTCATGGATTGGAATTAAAAGGTGAACAACAAAGAAAACGAAATGAAATGATTTTAAGTACTTCATTAGATGATTTGGAACAATTAATGTTCAAATATCAAGATTTAATCAAATTATCGAATTCATTCACAAAGTTTGTGCGACGGGAAGGAAATATAAATTCAAAGTATAATACATCAACTGTAGTTCCACCATTGGTTATTAGAAAGAGTTCACCATTATTCTCACAAGAGTTATCTCGTCATATTAGTGAATATGCCACCAACTTTGAATTAACTAAAATATCATCCATGATTACGAGTCAAGAACTATTCAGTAATTATAATCGATTTTTAGTATTAACCCAAGGATTTGGGACGGAATTGATCTCACCTGAAGATTTCAATAAAGCAATTGAATTATTTGATACTCTTAAATTACCCATCAAAGTAAAAACTTATGAAAAGACAGGTTTGATCGTGTTAACTACGAGAAATTCATCTAACAGTTATGAAGAGTTCATTATCAAATTTATGAGAGATTTTGAGTATGAATTCACTTATAAAAAGTTAAAGAATAAAGAAATTGGAATTAATGATGATTTCTTACAGAATGAATATGATTATTTCAAAGGAGTTACTATTTCTGAAGTTTCTGATCGACTTATATGGTCATATAATATCACAGTACAAGAAATTGAAACCTGCATAGCGAATGGATCCATTGTCATAGATCAAAGTATCGCAGGGACATTTTATTATATCAATCAATTCTCATCCACTTACAAAAGTGAAATCGATGAAGATAAATTGATCGAAAAGATCAAGGAAGAAATCATCACTGAGCAAAATACCATCACTCAAGATTTAAAGGATCAATATGATAATGATAACTCTTCTAATTTAATCAATGTCCAACCTGATTATACGTTTGGAATCAATAGAATTAACGAATTAATGAAAGAAGATACTGGTGCAAGTAATGGTAGTGAATTAGAAAGTTTTAGAAACACACCAGAACCCCTGGCTCAATCATCCCAGTATACTTCACTTAATGACTTACAAGGTCTTTCTTTCAACTAAGTAAATGTCATGTACATACCTATACATACCTATATATATTCACACTTTATAGACTTCTTCATGTAAGATTAATAATGGGTGCAATCCCCATACTTTTTTAAAAATTACAATTTTGTTATCCGTAGCACAAAAAAAAAGCTGAACAAAAAAAAAGTTGAGACCAGTCAAACTTTCTCGAGTCTAATAATAATTAATTAGTGATAATTTAACTACTAGAGTATGGTAAGAACAAGTCATGGATAGTGATAAGATACTGCAATTACATTTATAATAGACCAAATCAACTAAATCAACTCATTAACCATAACAAATTAACCAAAATGAATAGTAATGGCATAATAAATAGCGCAAGCTATAAATCGATCAATATGAATCTACCTAATAATCAATCATCATCCCAACAAATACCTTCCAATATCCAACAACAATTGCATCTTATGAATGGTGGAGTTGGAACCAATACTAGTAATCAAATACCTATCATACCCCAACCAGCATTGATGGCTCTGAATTCAATATTAACCTTGGGACCTTTCAAACATCGAAAGGATCTTACTAGAGAATCAGTATTATCAACTTATCAAATTATAGGATATATTGCGGCTGGTACTTATGGTAAAGTGTATAAAGCGAGATTGAAAAACACTAATAAGGAGAATAATCAAAGTTCTAATAATCCTAATGATGGAATTCATGATTTACGAGTTAATGATGATAATAATAATAATAATAATGGTGCTAATAGTCGAAATAGTAATAGTAGATTAGGCACTCCCATTGTTCAAAGTAATACTGATTCTAGTCCATCTACTCAATTGTTTGCCATTAAGAAATTCAAATCTGATAATCATCTGCTGAATAAAACTCATCATAATCATGATATGGGAGGTAATGAAATCATTCATTATACGGGGATATCTCAAAGTGCTATTCGTGAAATGTCATTATGTCGAGAATTAAATAATAAAAATGTGATTAAATTAATTGATATTATTCTTGAAAACAAATCAATTTATATTATTTTTGAATTCTGTGAACATGATTTATTACAAATTATTCATTATCATTCTCATCCTGAAGTTAAACGAATTCCTCAAACTACAGTTAAATCATTAATTTGGCAGATTCTTAATGGAGTTACATTCTTACATCAAAATTGGATTTTCCATCGTGATTTAAAGCCTGCTAATATCATGGTAACTTCAAATGGAGTAGTAAAGATTGGTGATTTAGGGTTAGCTAGAAAATTTAATAATCCTTTACAGAGTTTATATACTGGAGATAAAGTGGTAGTGACTATTTGGTATAGAGCTCCTGAATTATTATTAGGTGCTAGACATTATACATCTGCTATTGATTTATGGGCTGTGGGTTGTATATTAGCTGAATTATTGTCATTAAGACCAATCTTTAAAGGTGAAGAAGCTAAAATCGATATTAATAATAAGAAATCAGTTCCATTTCAAAAGAATCAATTTCAAAAGATTATTGAAGTATTAGGAACTCCAACTTTAAAGAATTGGCCTCTGCTTAATAAGTATCCTGATTTCCCAGCATTTCAACAACAATTAACTACTAATTATACTTGTAATATAGATCAATGGTATAAAGTGATTGGTGGTACGAATAAACAATGTCTTGTATTGTTGAAAGGGTTATTAGAATATGATCCTCAAATAAGATTGACGGCTGATACAGCATTGATTCATGATTTCTTTTTAGAATTACCTAAAGTTCAAGAGAATGCCTTTGAAGGATTGAATTTGAAGTATCCTAAGAGAAGAATTTATACTGATGATAATGATATTATCTCGAATCAACAACAAGGACATCAACAACAGCAAGCATCTCAGCAACAGCAACAACAGCAGCAACAACAACAACAACAGTTACATCAACAACAACTGCAACAAGTCCTGCAACAACAACAAGTTCTGCAACAACAACAACAAATCGAATCGCAATTACAAAATCAAAATCAAATACAATCGTTACAACAACTTCAATCAGACTTGCCGTATAAGAGACAAATTGACGATAATGCAGGAACCCGTAAGAGACAAAGGTAGACTATACATATATATATATATATAGTGAAGATAAGAGGAGGAGATTGAGTACATCAGTATATAGGGCAGGTTTTAACTGATATGAATAAAAGTAAACAGGAGGTTTAATTTCAAACAAGAGTAGTCAACGTAGTAGTAATATGAAACGTGTAGTAGTAAATCGTACAACAAAACTTGCAGCCATCATGACGTGATGTTAAGTAGTAGTTAAAGTAAAAGTATCACCATTTTGACCCATTGGACACGACCTTACTCCCTCCTCTCTACACTCACCAGCAGTGACAACGAAGAAAAAAAAACTCACAACAACAAAAAGTTCCACAAAGGAAGGAAAAAAAATGTATCAGCAAAAATTGCAATTAACACCAAAAGCTTACTGTAAACGATCAATTGATCAATCAATCAATCAATCTAAGTACTATATCTGGTCTATACCATTGGACATATCATCTACCATCCCACATCAAGACATTTCCACCTTAATACCTTTCCTCCCTTCCCTCCCATTCCTCCGCCAAATAGAACAATGTCTGAAGTAAGTATAAATCCCCCTTTTCCAATTATGATTGAATTGAAGTTACTAACAAGTTATTCCTGTTTCTAGGTTAAAAGAACGATTAGAATAAAGACTGAACAACACGTTTTAAAGGATGTTCCACCTGTGGAAAACTTTCCTATGAGACAATGGTCAATTGAAGTGGCCATGTTGGATTCAACTGGAAAGGAAGTTCCTGCCACCATCTTGGATAAAGTCACTTATACTTTACATCCTACCTTTGCCAATCCTATAAGAACTATAAAACAATCCCCCTTCAGAGTTGAAGAACAAGGTTGGGGTGAATTCGATATACCTATTTCTATCCATATATTAGGATTAAATGGTAAAACTGGTGAAAGAAAATTTAATCATGATTTAAATTTTGCTCAAGAATTATATACCAATGATCATGTAGTTACTATTCCAGTAGGATCAAATAAAAATCCTCAACTAAATAAATTATTATTAGAAACTGGTACTTTACCATTTGATGAATCAAATCCTGCTGTTAAAAGAAAATTAGAATCATCATCTAATGGTCCTGCTGCTACTACAACTGCAACTTCTGATTTAAATAATAAATTAAAAAAACTGAAAACTTCAAATGGTAATGCTATTAAAGGTAATATCGATTTAGAAAAATTAGCCAATGGTTTAACTAAATTAAGTGAAGATGATTTAATTGTCATTGTACAGATGGTAACTGATAATAGAACAAGTGAAATGAATATAAAAAATGACGTTGATAATGCAGAATTTACTATGGATTTATATACTTTACCAGAATCTTTATTAAAGAGTTTATGGGATTACGTTAAGAAACATAATGGTGATGTCTAATCCTATCCATTCATCTTTATCTTATTTCTTTTCTTGATCGTGTATATTCTATTTTACTTTATATATATATATTTTATATATTACTATATTTCATTTAAAAATAAAAAATTTAAAATAATTAATATGGAATTGTTGTTGTTCATGCTGAATAAACTTTAACTGTAGAATCCCATGATGCAGTAGCTAATCCAATACCATCAGGACTAACAGTTACTTGATTGATTTTATTAACATGATCATTACCAACTGATCCAATGATTTCTTGTTTCAATGTATCCCATATCAAACATCCTAACTCGGAATAACAAGCATAGAATAATCTCCCACTCTTACTAAAATCAATCGAATAAACTCCTGGATTTTCAATACTAGAGTATATACTTTGTAAACTAAATCTTTCATTAGTAGGTGTATTAGATCCTTGATTATTTCTATGGAATGAGAATAATGGTTGCTTTGCATTCTGATTGATTCGTTGATGTTGTTGTATTTGCTTTTGACGTTGTTGTTGGGCTAATTCATTAGCTAATGAATAAGTATTCAATTCACAATCGGATCGGAAATCAAATAATCGAATATATCCATCATCAGATCCCGTTATAAATGAATTCCCATCGGGGAATAATCTTATAGTATTAACATCACTATTCGATACAAAGAAATTTTGACTGGCTGATTGAGATCTTAAATCCCAAAGTTTAACATTCCCATCTGATGAACCTGATATAAATAAATTAGGATTATTACTTTCTTTCAAGGGTGAAAACACATCTAGACATAACACATCACCTAAATGATCAATGAAATCCCGTACTTTACTCCCTCTTGATATATCCCATAATGCACATGTCATATCTCCACTGGCTGTTATTATTTGATTATTACTGATAAACTCACAATCGGATATATAAGCAGTATGACCTTTGAATATCGATTGAACCGATTGATAGAAATTCCCATACATTTGATAACCATTCTCAGAACTATCACCAGGACCTCTACCTCCATCAGATTTGATTTTATATATCGTACAAACATTATCCAATCCAGCAGCGGCCACTAATTTCTGATTGGGGGAATAACTACATGTTAAAACCCATTGATTTTCAAGAGTTATGGCTTGTTTTTTAAATCCAGTTATAGCATCCCAAATAATCATATATCCATCTTGACTGGCGGATAATATTTTGGTAGAATCTGAACTCCATTTAATCTTTGCAATCTTGGTTTGATGCCCTTTTAAAGTATTATATATTTTTAGATTGTTGTAATTCTTAGGAAATGGTTCTATCTTGGTACTGAAATCTACTAAATTGGCATCTTTTGTCCTTATTCTCACTTTCTCAACTTCATTATAAAGAGTTCGAGCTTCTTGTCTGGCTGAAGCTATTTTTCTCTGAATATCGTCGTTATTGGTTTGTATTTGAGTTGACATGATTATATATATTCTTTATAACAAATATGAAACAATCCTCGGTAGTTTTCAAAATTAGATGTAACTAGTTTGCCGTTTACCTTTATTTGGTAATAATAACACTCTTATCAATGTTTCGATGATACTCTTCGTGGAATAGAAAAATGATCTTATAATCTAAACTAACAAAGCAAAGAAATAATAAGATTACGACAAGAGAAGAATGAAAATACAAATATACAATTATACAATTAAAGTTGGTTACAGGGATGGCCAAGCAATATCTCTGTGGAAGGATAGAAAATATTACTTCTACATTTGTTTCGAAACATGTATTAAAAAATAAAAATTATACCCACAAGAGTCAGCTTAAAAAACGTGAATCATATAAAATAAAATAAATCCAAAAAAAAGAAATTGTGAAAGGCTAGATGTAGATCTATCTAAAACAAAGATTTAGTTTGGAGTAAGGGTCTTTCATACATCTGAAACAAATCTTACATATTCTAAAACTAATGACATGGGTTGCCTAATTAGGAAGTGCCATGTTAAAAATCATTTCTCTCACAAAATCATCCCAAAAAATAAATTTACGAGAGGTGATTGTCATTTTATGCAGTTACAATTACATCTTTGTTCCAACTTTTAAATTGTCTTGGTTTTCATTATTACATATATAAGTAGAGTATCAAACAGTTTATGGACTTGTAGATTGTGCTATAGTAGGTGGTACAGGTGGTGATTGTGATGGAGGTTGTGATTGTGAAGATTGATGTTGTTGAACACTTGGAACTGGAGCAGCAGCAGTTTTCTTATTCTTATTACCTCTCTTATTACCCTTTAATTTATCATCTCTTTCAAGTTCACCAGTTACTCTTTGTAAATAGGCTGGAACTGGTAATCCACTCTTTAAGAAAAACATCTTCCAATTTCTGGCTTTATCCTTTAATTGAACTTGAGATCTATTCTTTAATGCTTCTGATATTTTACCACCATTACCAAATAATTCTAAAATAGTAGACCATTGTGGACCTTTTAATTCTAAGGCATGTCTTAATGCTTTTTCTTCTTCTCTTGTCCATGGTCTTCTTGCTTGGGTCTTGTTAGACGGATTTGGATTGATTCTTAAATGGATTTGTTGTTCTGCTATTTCTGATGGTAATAATGCATTCATTATATCATTAATATCCTTAGATTTCATTTCTGAATTAGCATTGATATCAACATTGGTAGTCGTAGAAGGACGACTGATGAGAACATTTTCGTCAGAGGGAGTAGTATTCCCAATAGGTTCTGTGGTACTGCCACTTAATAATTCTTGACTATGAGGAGTGGTTTCGCCATCATTAAGACTTCTTCCCTTGGTCGGTCTTCCCTTCTTACCCCAAATCAAGAACCCCATATTCTTAGCCACATAATCAAATAACACCTTTAAGAATGTAAACCAATCATATTCTTCACTTAAATTTCTATCAGTATCATAAGATAATAAAATATCCTTTCTTGATCTACATCTTTCTATAAAATCAGCTTCAATGGGTGAAAGGACTTTAATGGCTCTTCGGGATAATAAGATTACATCCAAATTAGACGGTAAAATATCTTCCAATATTTCTTCTCTTGATCTTTCTCTAGCGTCAATAGCGGATATATAGGCTTGAGTTTTCAAATCCAAGTATAATTCAGCTTGAGGTTTTAATAATTTACCTACTTTTTCACCTATAGCAGTATTAATCCCACTTTGTAAACTCATACTATTTGAACCCATATTTGATAATGCATTATTTGGTTCTAAATTATTAGCAGGACAGAATACATCCAAAAATGATTCATTCAAGTAGAAGAAACCAATTTCAATCGTACCCAAAGTTGCTGATAAGAATGTAGCCAAATTAACTTTTCTTAATGTAGATTCAATACTTTGTTCTCTATTTCTAAACATACTTGGAGTTTTATCACCTTCTTTCCACATACCAGGTGCCAAATGTTCCACAGTTAAAAATGGATCTTCTTCAGAATATAATCTCTTGGTGAATTCAAAAAGAGAGGTTAAATCTCTAAATGTGGCACCAGCTGGAGTTTCTGGATTTGATGCTAAATCAATGATTTTTTGATATGGTCCAAGAGCAATCACTCTTAATAATTGGGTTGCTAAATTGTCTAATGTTGGTAACGTATTGACTAATAATTGAATTCTGGGTGGTAAATAATCAGCAGCAACAATAGGAAGTGGTAATGCTGCCATTTGAGCATTGGCTAATATGGCTAATGGTGGTAATTGACTTGATAATGCTTTATATGCTGCTAATGCAGTACTGGTATTTAATAATTCGGAGTTGGCTGGTACTTGAATCCCATCATGTAATACTGTTTCTTCAGAAGATTTAACTTCTTCAGATTCCTTGTCTGCTTCTTTATCTTTGTTTGATTCAGTTGCATTTTCCAATTCATTCGCTATCATGGCTAAATCCTCCTTTTCATTTATCTGTATTGATTGGTCTTGTGATTTGTTTGCTTCCGTAGATGCTGAATCATCGGCTGGATTTTCTTGAATAGCATCACCATTCTCTTTGGCCGTGTTTGATTCTTCATTAGTTTTAGATGTTTCAGTTGAATCTCCTTCTTTGTTTACACCTTCTGTGGTTATATTTGTAGATTCTTCTGTTCTTGCTCTTTTATTGGCTTCATCCCCTTCATCTTCGATCAGCCTTTTGCTTGATTCAGTTAAGCTTGGATCTATTTGTTCCTCCTTTACCGATGTTACGGTGTCTGAATTGCTTTCTGTATTATTTGATATTATCTGTATAACTTCTATGTCATTATTATCTTCTGTTGTTTTATCTGCTGTTTCCAGTATATTACTTGATTCACCAGTTTCTAATTGGTTGACCAACTCATTTGTTCTTTCCTCTTCAGGATTGCTCTCCGAAGACATGATTGATATGTTGTTTTATAGCTTGTTATGATAAGTTTTTGATACTTTTACATACAAATTAAAATCTCATCTTGTTTGTTTATATTTTTTTTTATTTCTCTGCTGCACACAAACAAAATGCGATTTAGAAAATTAACTATGTAAAACGGTATAACTGATCATCTAATGGAGTTTAATTGGTGTTTAACCATTGTTTTAACAAACGCAGTATCATTCGAGAGAATATATCTATCCAATAATATAATCAGATTGAAGGTTTAGATAAACAATATAGCATAATATTAATAAAGATAATTGGTCACGTGACTTTTCTGTGATTTAAAATCTTTTAGCGTCTCTATAGAAGTTGTACGTCATTCCAGGTTGATGTAGACGATTGAATGATTTGGATATCGTCATCTTTTATGATTTCAAACTAATAATCATAGAAATATATAGATAGTCGGCAATGGAAGGATAATTTCAAGGACTACACTATCCGTGGCTAACTAAAGGATAACATCATTATTTGATTCTGAAATAGAATAAACGCGATCAAATGTGTCTGCAAATCATGAAAGAGAGTATACACAAATACGATGATTTTCTTAAATCAGCGAATGGCTATGGCATCCCCTACTTTAAGGCGACTGATGCCGTTACACTAACCTCATTCTGTCAACCTTGACCGTGTCGAAGAGTGATTCAGCGGATGGCCTAAATAGGCAATGCGCGAGCGCATACTAAATTAGATGATTCTTTTTATTTGAAATATTTCACTGAGTATATATTCTGGGCAGAAGAATCCATAAATTCAATTTCAAGAAAAGTTTAACATCTTTCTTGATTTCTTCTTTCTTTAAGTTCTTTAAGTAATTGGTCATGTCTGTATCTGCTACTTATTTTCCAACTGAGCCTACTGCTCCAACTGTTAAAACTACTGAATTTCCTGGTGAAAAATCAAAAGTTGCTATTAAATCTTTAGGTACGGTATTTGATTCAAGAACCGCTTATTTCGTGGCTGATTATGAAAAATCAATTGGTAATTATCTTGTTGATGTTGATGGTAACACTTACTTAGATGTCTATGCTCAAATTGCTTCTATTCCATTGGGTTACAATAACCCAGCTTTAATTGAAGCTGCTAAATCTGATAAAATGATTAGAGCTATTGTTGATAGACCAGCTATTGGTAATTTCCCAGGTAAAGATACTGAAGAAATCATTGCTGAAATCTTAAAAATTGCTCCAAAGGGTCAAGATAAAGTTTGGTCAGGTTTATCAGGTGCTGATGCTAATGAATTAGCATTTAAAGCAACTTTTTTCTGGTATCAATCTAAAAAGAGAGGTTATGCCAATCCATTTTCTGAAGAAGAAAATGTTTCCGTTATGAAGGGTCAATCGCCAGGTTCTCCAGATTTGGCTATTTTATCTTTTGAACGTGCTTTCCATGGTAGATTATTTGCTTCTGGTACTACTACTAGTTCCAAACCAATTCATAAATTAGATTTACCATCATTTAACTGGCCAAAAGCTGAATACCCAAGTTATAAATATCCATTAGATAAACATGAAGCTGAAAACAAAGAAGAAGATAAAAGATGTTTAGAAATTGTTGATAAATTATTCCAAACTTGGAAGGTTCCAATTGCTGGACTTTTAGTAGAACCAATTCAATCTGAAGGTGGTGATAATCATGGTTCTAAAGAATTTTTCCAAGGTTTAAGAGATATTACTTTAAAATATGGGGCTCTTTTGATTGTTGATGAAGTCCAAACTGGGGTTGGTGCTACTGGTAAATTATGGGCACATGAACATTTTGAACTTTCTCCACTTCCAGATATTGTTACTTTCTCAAAGAAATTCCAATCTGCTGGTTACTATTTCCATGATCCAGAAATCGTTCCAAACCAACCATATCGTCAATTCAACACTTGGTGTGGTGATCCAGCTAGAATTATCTTAGCTGGTGCCATTGGTCATGAAGTTCTTAAACATGATTTACCAGCTTTAGCTCAAAAAGTCGGTACTTACTTATTCACTAAGTTAGAAGCATTACAACAAAAATATCCAAAATACCTCCAAGATTTAAGAGGTAAAAATAGAGCTACTTTTATTGCTTGGTCATTAGATGATGCTACTGCTAGAAACAAGTTCTTAGCTGACATGAAAACAGTTGGTGTTAATATTGGTGGTTGTGCTGAAAATTCAGTCAGATTAAGACCAACTTTAGTATTTGAAGAAAAACATGCTGATCTCTTAGTCGAAGCAATTGAAAAGGTTTTATCAAAATATTAAAATATATAGTATTATTTAATGTTTGCATTTTTCTGTATTAAAAATAAACGAAACAAAATTAATTTAACAAACTTTTAGCATTTTTTTGCAACTGGCGCGTAAACAAGTTTTAAAAAGTTTCAGAAATTCAAATAAGTTTGGCAGCACTGTCAAATAGTGTTTAGAATCCTTTGAATTCATCAACATCATCCTTATAAGAATCAATCAGGATCAATCAATCGATCAATTCAAACAATGCAGGCGTTTGAAGATCAAGATTTGATAATTTATCTCTTGATTTCAGCTTATATTATATTAAAAGATTTTGGATTCAATGCTTTGTTGCAATTCCTGATCCTACATGGTTACTTCTTGTTCTGGCAAATCCCATACTTTTACTTGTGCAATCGATTCTTATTACCTTATCCTTATCATTCAGTGTACTCTCAGAGAGCAACTGATTTTGAATACCTTATAGTTGAGATGTTAAAGTACTTTTATAAATATTTACAACATGATGAAATTGGTAAGATATTCTTTGAGGATCAAATTTTCAGAATCTTAAACAAATTTAGATATATTAGAGAGTTAGGAGAAGGTTTAGGAGATATTAGATTTCATGATCTTCAAGATCTTGAAATAGGTAGAAAGGATATTAAGGGTCTTTTCTTTTATTCTCAAAGTCGAGTACAAGCCTCAAAGCATGATATTCTAATCTTATATGTTCATGGAGGAGTTGGATTTGGTAAAGGATCTGCTTATATGTATTCAGAATATTTATCCATATTTTTAATTAATTTATTACAACAAGGATTTACTAATCCTGCTTTATTGGTACCCTCAATTTTCAGGTGATGGACTTGAAAGTTATCCTGCTCAAATGTCACATCTTTTGAATTGTTATCAATATCTTAGTGGTTTGGCTGATGATAAGTGTCATATAATAGTTATGGGAGATTCTACTGGAGCAACTTTAGCCCTTTCATTACTTTTGAATATTTCCAAACCTTCACCCTATTTGATAAATCATATAAGATCTCTAAATATGTATAATACTCAAGAAAAGCAACAAGAACAAATTCAAAGTTTGAATAGTTTAAGAAAACCATCATATTCAATATTAATATCTCCTGTTACCAATGTTGGTAAATATTCTAATATCAAAGATAATGATGATGATTATTTATGTGAAAATTCCCTTTCTAATTGGTCACAAGTATTTGCAACTCCTACAATTCTCGAACAAGAGTCAAACGAATATATTAGTCCCGGCCAATGTAGGGATTTAGAAACATGGAAATTAGCCTTACCAAAGTATGGTATTTATATTAGTTACGGAAGTGAAGAAGCCATAACTGAAGATATTGAAGATTTTGTTGAATTAATGAAGCAAACTGGATGCAAATTGAAAATTGATAAACAATTTGCTCAAATTCATAATTGGGCAATTCTTAGTTTTTATGGAGAAGAATTAATTGATCATCGAGAATATAGTATTCAAACTTATGCAGGAGTTTTATCCAGAATGCTTCTTTGGAATACTGATACATTCTTCAGTAGTGATGCTAATCCCATTCTTAATGTTGTCACCATTGATGATGATTATGTTTAAGTGTATATTAAAAATTAATAAAAAGTAAATTTAATGTATTGGTATAGGTCAAATATTTATTTTTTTTGCAGCGATTACGGAAGCGAGCGATAGAAGTCTTGATAAAAAAAATTTCACAATTTATTAAAAATTAAACTATTTTGACATATATTGTTAAATTGATTCATACCATTTATTCTTGATAGAAGCTTCAGGCTTTCTATGATATCTCATATATAATATTCCATACGTGAAGGATTTGAATACATCTTGGCAATTGAGTTAAATTAGTATTAGCCGAGATATATAAAGAAAAATAGGGATGAGTGGATCCACCACAATTACAGATTCAGGATTATATCATGATATCAAGACATTCATCAAACATGAATCGAATGCTTCATTCATAGCTGGTGGTGTTGCTGGAGCAGTATCACGTACGGTTGTGTCGCCGTTTGAAAGAGCAAAGATTCTATTACAAGTCCAAGGACCTGGATCAAATCATGCATATCAAGGAATGTTCCCCACTATTTTCAAAATGTATCGAGAAGAAGGTTGGAGAGGATTATTTAGAGGGAATCTTTTGAATTGTATAAGGATCTTCCCTTATAGTGCTGTTCAATTTGCTGTGTTTGAAAAATGTAAAGAAATCATGTTAGATCAACGACCTCATAATAAACATAATCTTAATGTTTATGAACGATTGATGGGAGGATCACTTGCAGGGATAGTTTCAGTAGCAGTTACATATCCCTTAGATTTGATTCGAGCTAGAATAACAATTCAAACTGCATCATTATCTAAACTTGATAGAGCCAAATTAACTAAACCACCTACGGTACTTCTGACCTGTAAAGAAGTGATTAAAAATGAAGGTGGTGTGCTTGGACTTTATAAGGGAATAACTCCAACTACATTAGGAGTTGCCCCATATGTGGCGATTAACTTTGCCTTATATGAGAAATGTCGAGAATATATGGATAATTCACCCTTTGATTTTTCCAATCCAATGTGGAAATTGTCGGCAGGAGCATTTTCAAGTTTCGTAGGAGGGGTATTGATTTATCCTCTTGATGTATTACGGAAACGATTCCAAGTGGCTAGTATGGCTGGAGGGGAATTGGGATTTCAATATAGTTCAGTTACTCAAGCATTAATTCATATGTTTAAACATGAAGGATTCTTTGGAGCATATAGAGGATTGACAGCTAATCTATATAAGATTGTTCCATCCATGGCTGTTAGTTGGTTATGTTATGATACATTAAAGGATGTTATTCATCGATGGTAAGAAGAGATCTAATAAAACCATAATTTGCATTTATACATTTTAACAAGCTGACCACAACAAAAAACTCAATCTAGACTAATTTCTATCTTCAACTACCTGTTAGATATCCATTCACTTCTTCTATATAGACTTTATTCTACTTCTAATTGTATATAAACACATATTACTACCCTAAAGTTTTAATTTTAGAGATATTCACGTGACTTTTCATCTCTTAACCAACCAGATCAAGTTTAAATTATTTAGTAGTGAGAATTGGTCGTGTACTTTTCCATTCAAATTAGTATAGAGATTTTCCCTATAGTGAGAGAGTTACAGTGAGTGTTTAAACAGTGAGATGGTGAGAGCTTTTAATGATACGATTTTTTTTTTTTGTTGTTTTAAAAAAACTGAAATCCCACTTTTTACTTCTTGATTATACTTCTTTGTCATTCACTTTATCATATCAATTGAGGATAGATACTAATCATACACAATGAGAGCTACCAGAGTTTTATTAAATGCTGCCAAAAAGGCCAATACTGGTCCTCAAATTCCAGTTGAAATGTACCCATTATTCGCTGCTGTCGCTGTCGCATGTGGTTCAGCTTGTTTCTTTACTTATAGACATTTTGCATACGACAGACAATTAAGAATCTGGAAGAATCCAGATTTATCTAAATTAGATGACGTTTTAAATGATGCTGAAAAGAAATAAACTCTTGAAAGTTAATGATCCAATGATATTTACCCCAGACATATTCAAAAAATAACAAATAACAAATAACCATTCATCAATTCCATAATTCAAAACCAATCAACAGTAAAGTTCTTATGTGATTTACCCTTTCCTTTTATATTCCATTCATCTTTTATCTCAACCCTCCATTCACTTGTTTACTCATCTATCCATCCTTTATTTTTAGCATTGCATTTTTTAAGTCTATAATCAAACTCACCTTTTTACCAACTTTCCACCTTATGATCAAATCCAATCACTCCATCGCAAGACAGAATGAATGAATGATGCCGTTAATAAAGAATGGTTAAGTTTAATATCAACACTTTCAAATTATTCAGTTTTTTATATTACAACCCAATTTAAATCTTTTTTTTTAAAAACAACAAAAAACAACAACAAAAAACCCCTTTTCACTATTAAAGATTGTCTTTAGTTAAGAGATGGATTCAACAAGTTTCCCTTTTTATAGTTCAATTTGTGAATTAACGATTATTACATTTATTAATCTTACTATGATTAAAAATATTGTAGATTTTTATCTATGTACAAGAATATTTTAAGCTATTTAAGTTTTACTCTTCTTCTTTAATGTTGGTAAAGTAATCTGTCACTTCATTAACAAGATCTAACTCAGTAAGAGCTCTATTGAATCCTTTAGCAAACTCTTCTGGAAATGGTACTTCATTATCAATATCAGCAATATATTTTGTAGATGCATCTTTCAATTTATACCCTCTTTCCTTTAATTGATTCGATATACTGAAAACATCAGTTGGATCAGATATGATTCTATATAATTTAACATTATCATATTCTTCTTCCACATCATTATACTCTCCCACATCTTCAGCACCAATATCAATGGCCACTTCAAATATATCATCAAGACTTTCATCTGGAGTCAATGGTTCAAATATAACTTCCCCTTTCTTTTGAAATAAATATAAACATGGACTTAATGAGGCATTGAATTTACCCATAGCATTCTTCACTAACATAACGGTACGGGCTTTATTATCAGTTGTAGCAGTTATAATCATAGCCACACCACCTGGACCCACAAATTCATATTGAACATCAGATAACGCCGGTCCATCTATTGAAACTTCACCAGTTCCTCTTTTAATAGCATTATCTATGATTTTCTTAGTGACATTAAGCTTCTTAGCCTTTTCAATCAACGTTTCTAAAGAAGCATTACCATCCACACCACCCATTCTAGCAGCACTTTCTATCTTTTGAGCCATTGCATAAGCTTCTCTAGATCTTTTGGCATCATTTTTAGCTTTGTCGTGTTTGATATTAGCCCATTTTGAATGTCCAGCGAATATTCTAGTACCAGTATGGAAAAGTCTGGGAGCTCCCAAAACACTAATGGTTCTCTGGTGAGATATGACACTCCGAAACATGACTTGTTCTTAAAAATATATGCAATTACTTGGGGATTATAATGTCTATAGATCTGTTGATATTAACGTTTTCCAATTTGGTAGTCCTTCTTTTTGAAATTTTTCGTTTTTCACGTGATCGATTTTATTTGTTATAAATTAAAATTAGAGATTATCAACCATGAGCGACAAAAAAGGAAGAGTTGATGAATTGATAGATTGTATTAGAATTAAGCTATTCCAATTGATCAATTGACTCCAGATTAACATCATTTCAGAATGAGTTCCCACACTGAGTCTATGACCAAGCGTTCATTAATTGCAACCATTGCTGATGAAGATTCCGTCACTGGATTATTATTAGCTGGTGTAGGTCAAGTATCAACTGAAGTTGGTAAAGAAACTAATTTCTTAACTGTTATTCCAGAAAAGACTACCGTGGAACAAATTGAAGAAGCATTCGATAGATTCACTTCAACCAGAGATGATATAGCTATATTGTTGATTAATCAACATTTAGCTGATTTAATAAGATTCAAAGTCGATAGTTATACCAATGCATTCCCTGCCATTTTAGAAATCCCATCTAAAGATCATCCATATGATCCTTCAAAGGATTCAATCTTAAAGAAAGTCAGAAGATTATTCGGTGAGTAAGTTTATTACTCTTATTCTGTGGTCACTGGGTTCAACTTTATCTCCCCCTCGTTTTTATATTCATCTTATTCAAATTCACTTCTTTTAACTATTTACGATATTTCACAAGCTATTATTACACACCATTTCTTTCATTTTAAACTTATTGGCCACTCCTCCCATGATAACTCATTAATCTTGAGAAAGATTACATAGAATATAGTATCGGCATTCATATAATATATACACTTTTTACTTAATAAATTATAAATGTACATTTTTGTAAGAATTCTATTTATTTATTATAAATTAAATCTACTTTTTACCCTTCTTCTTATTCTTCTTCTTTTTTGATTTCTTAGCAGTATTACCGGTGGTTGTTGAACCTTCAGGTTCAGGTGTAGCTTCTTCTGCTTCATCACCATCTTCTCCTTCTCCTTCTTCCTCCTCTTCTCCCTTTTCTCCAAGATCTGCTTCTGGCACTTCTGGTACTTCCTCCACTGGTTTCTCTGGAGCTTCAGTTGATATTTCTTCTTCCTTAACTGGTTCTGCAGCAGATTCTTCTTCTTTTTCTACTTCAACGACAGGCTCAGCTACTGGTGCATCTTCCTTTTCAGGTACCGGTGGTGCTTCCGATTCAGTAGATTCTGGTTCGACTTCTGCTACCTTGACCTCTTTTTCAGGAACTGGTGGTGGAATAACTTCATCTTCAGCATCTGGTACTCCAGAAGCTTCAGATTCTTTAACGAGTACACTTGATTCAACTGGCTCTTCTTCTTTCACATCTTCAACTTCAATCTTTGGTACTTCTACTTCTTCAGGAGCTTCGCCCTCCGCTGGCGTTTCAACTTCTGGTTCAATTTCATTTACTTCATCTACAGCTTCTTGTGATACTTGTGCTTCTGGTTCTTCTGCGATTTGTTGAGGTGTGCTTGGTTCTATTCTTATTTCTGGAACTTGGTCATCCACAGCCAAAGTTGCTGTAGATGGTATAACTGGAGTTGATACATCTTCGGGTGTGATTTCAGCATCAGCTTCTGGAACAACTTCCGCTGGTGGAGCAGCTGGTTGTTTGCCCCAATAATTCTTTGCAAAAATATCAGGTAACACACAATCTTTAACATAGAAATCTCTTACTCCGACAATTCTTCTTTCTCTTTCACAAGCTTTTAACCATTCTGGTCTAACAATTGGAATATTCATTTCACTTGCTTTAATATATTCTGGATTTTGTTTGTTTTCTTTAGTACATAAGAAATGAGTTGTATCAACTCTAACTTTATCATGAATTGGATTAGCACCAATATTCTTTAATGTATCTTCAATATCTTGAGTTGTAAATTGTTGATTTGGAGAAATATCACCAAGACAAATTGAAATACCTGATAAATCTGTCATTTTATGAGTGGTGACTTCAATTGTATTAGATTTATAAATACCTGATGTTGTATCTAATCTTAATTGAAATTCAAATGCTTTATCAATTGGTAAACCTGATAATTTAGTAGTCTTGTTGGATAATGCTTGAGGAATAGCACCTAATTTCTTACCATCTTTAAATAAGATTAAATTCTTTAAACTAGCGGTACCTAAATCTAAAGCATCCCATTCAAGAACACAAGAAGTTTGAGTTACATTTTTAATCTTTAACACTGGAGGTTTAGGTAATTGAGTTCCAAAAGTAGTTAAAATCTCATCTTGAATAGCAGCAAATCTCTTTGATTCTTCTTGTTCGCTTTCAAAATCTTGATCACATTTAAGTTTTACAATTGATCCTGCTTTAACTCCACTTGGTAATAATATAGTTGGAAATTCAATCAAATGATGATCTTTGGTTAATAATAATGCCAATGAGGCATCCAATTTACCCACTGTTAACGATACCTCCACCATTGATTGATCAATTGATGATAATTATATATATAGTTTGAATGGTATTTCGATTAGCCGTCGTCTTTGCCATTATCACACACGTATTAACTTTTGTTGTTTTGTCAAACGAATCTGACAGTCAAAAATTAAGTGGTCGTGCGAAATTTACAAAATTTGATTTAGATCAAACAGGAAACATTATTTTTTATATATATTAATACAGCTAGTTTATAGAATATTGAAAGTGATTTATTATAAGAGTTGTCATGTGGAGGAATGGAAGTGGGATAGATGGATTATATCGGTATTCCCATAGCTTTAAGATCTTCGTTAATTTCTTCTGAAGTAGCTTTTCTTAATAATAATTCTTCAGTACCAGAAGACTCTATATTATCTGATATGGAAGAATTAATAGCAGATGGGAATCCATGGAATTCAACCAATCCATTCAATATACCCAATTGACCGTTTATACTATTACGGTGTTCGACTAACTCTATAAGAGTATGATGTTTGATTGCCTTCTTCGACAATGTTATAGTCTCTGAAGATCCATTAACATTATTATTATAATCGTATGATGTAGAATTGGTAATTTGTGGAGCAGAAGGATTGGAACCAGCAACAATAGTTCCATTAGCATATGGTTCATCTATAGTACCATTAGCTATAACACCCAGGATCAGAGGAATGGCGGAATAATTGAAATCAGGAACCAGTTGATCTATTTGTTGTCTTTCTTTATTGATCTTATACCATAATGATGTTGTCTCACTTATCATATTATTCTTGGTGTCCATAAGATTCTTTAAATAATCTTGATGAATTGAGGTTCTTGTAGCAATAGTTTCTTTATCGATGCATTTTAATTTATAAGACAAGTTTGAATTGGCTAATCTTAAACTATCTTGATAAAAGCCATTCACTTTATAATAAATCTTAGATAATTCAGGGTGAGAACCATCGTAGCATAATTGTTTCTCGCGTTCTAAGACATTCAATTTATCCTGATATAATTTATCTCTTAATTCAGCAAATGATGCTTCAATCGCTATCAATTCATCAATGGCTAATTTACGTTGTTCATTTAAAAGAGCATCATTGATTTCTTCTTCTTCATCTTTTTCATGTTCAGCTTCTTCATCGTCCTCTTCTTTATCATCATCATCTTTGTTGTCATTGGGTTCTTCTTCTCCCTCTTTTTCCTCTTCTTTTTCTTCCTCTTCTTCATCTTCTCCTTCTTGTTCGGGAACTTTTTCCTCTTCTTTTACTTCGGCTTCTTCAAGATCCTTATCGACACCGTTAGTTTCAATTTCCTCATCTTCAGCTTGATTTTCGACTTCTTCCTCATCATGTTCTATTTCTTCTTTTTCTATGTCCTCTTTAGCACTTTGTTTTAAGGATTCTTCTTCATCTTTTTCGACTACCTCTTCTTCCTCGACTTTAACATCTTCAGATTCATTCTTGATTTCTTCTTCAACTTCCTCTTCTTCTTGTATTTCCACGTCGTTATCATCTTCGTCTCCTTCGTCATCGGCATCTTTTTCATCAACGTCAATATCAGTAGTATCACGTCTTCTTTTCTTTCTCAATTGACCATTCTGTTCACTTCCGATACTTCTTTTCTCGGAAATTAATTCATCAATCTGTATTTTTGGAACTGAATCTTCAAGTTTATTATCATTATCACCATTAATTTCATTATCAACTTCATCATCATAACCAATATCATTAAATGCTTTAGTATACTTCGACAAAGCTTCTAAATCAGAGCTGAATTTAGTACGTTCTCCATTAACTCCTCCATTGACATTATTATTTTCATCGATTTCATTATTGGCTATGATATCGGAACTTGAAGTATTATCCTCTAAGAAGTCCATTTGATCGGTTTCTGCTTCAGAGTCATCTTCTCCAAGCTCACTTAATTCAGAACTATCGTCGTCTTCTTTGGATGATTTGTTTGATTTTGATGGTAATACTTGTGATTCTTGGACGCGTGATTCGTCGTGATCATCTTCTTCTTCTTCTTCCTCTTTAATATTGACATCTTCTTGTTCCTCGTCATTTCTACCCAAGGTAAACACAGGAGAATTTGCTGTTATGTCACTTACATCACTCAAAGGTGATTCTTTATTGATAGTAATGTTTGGATTTGAAAGAGAATCATCATCATTATGATCATGCTCGTGGTCATGATCTTCCTCTATGTCGATATCTTCTCCTTCAACATCATCTTCTTCATTCTCCTGTTGTTTGCCATTGCTGTCGATGCTATGCAACTCACTTTTTACAGGTGTTGATTGTGTTATATCATCCGAAGTAGATTCCGTGGGATGGGTGGTTTTATCCGATATAGGTAATGACGTAGAAATGGCTGAATCCGCCGTTTCAGACACCATCATTTTTTTTATAATATGTGATACAGTTGGATAAAGATTATGGGAATTATTTGATGGAATAGATGAATATAACTTATAAAACAATCACTTATAAGCTTTCTGATATATTTTAATCAAAACAAATGTGAAATAGGATAAGGGAAATATAGGAAATATTAAGTAATAATTAAGGCTAAGAATTGAAAAAAAAAATTATATCATACACTTAAAACAAGTCAACAAGTCTTCCTTTGAGAACTAAAACGTCTAATTATCTTTTCAAATCACTTAACCTCGTCTTAATGATATAGTTTTCAAAAAATAGATATTTAGATAAACTTTCCATCAACAAAAATGGAGACAATGAAAGTAGCCAGAAATTTTGAGAATTTAAAGAACCCACATCCTTTGTGGTTATATGCAGGTACTAACAAACAGGGCGTAACACAATTTTTTTTTAGAGCTCATCTCTATATAGTTTATAGTAAAAGATTTTTCAACTAATTTGATCTGAAGGGATAGAAACAACCAGGATGTCTAGTTTTAGTTCTTTATTCGGGGGTAATAAAGGAGACAGTTATGATCTGGCTGTTGACTCTTTATTTAAGAAGTCAAGTGATGGTCCGGTGTCAAGAAATCAATTAAAGAGTGATAGAACTGTGATTGAGATCCCACAAAGAGAACCAATAGAAGAAGATGATGATGATGAAGAAGTTGATGACGATGAAGAAAACGATGATGAAGATGAAGAGGAAGAAATAGAAGAACCAGTTGCCAAAAAAAGTAAGAAAAAGAAGGATGCTCATGATGATTTAGAACATCAATATTATGCAAAATTATTAAAAGAAGACGAACCTAAGTCAGAAGAAAAGGAAGAAAAAGAAGATAAAGAAGATGAAGAAGAAGATAATAGTGGAAGTGATGATGATAATGATTCAACTGAAGAAACTTCAACCAAAGAAACTAAAGGTAGGGCTGCCAAAACCATTGATTTAAAAGAAACTGAATTAGAAAAAGCTGAAAGAACTATCTTTGTAGGTAATTTAACTGCAAATGTTATTAATTCAAAACCAATTGCTAAAAAATTAAAACAATTATTCTCAGAAGTTGGTAAAATTGATTCTGTAAGATATAGATCTATTGCATTTGAAGAAAATTTACCAAGAAAGATTGCTATTGCTAAAAGGAATTTACATAAATCAAGAGATACTTTGAATGCTTATATTGTATATAAAGAAAAACCATCATCATTAAAAGCTGTTACTAGATTCAATGGTACTATATTTGAACATTTCCATCTTCGAGTTGATCATATTGCTCATCCTTCACCAAAAGATAATAAAAGAACTATATTTGTGGGTAATTTAGATTTTGAAGAAAAGGAAGAAACTTTATGGAGATATTTTAATTCTAAATTGAATAATGATGTTGAATCAGTTAGAGTTATTCGTGATTCTAAGACTAATGTTGGTAAAGGGTTTGCCTTAGTTCAATTCAATGATACCTTATCTGTTAATAAAGCATTATTATTACATGATAAACCAATTGAAAATTATCAAGATTCTACCAATTCCGATTCTAAAAAGAAAAAATTAGGTAGAAAATTACGTATATCAAGAGCTAATTCCAAAGTTAAGCCTTCAACTTTATCACCAAATCATATTGATAATGTTAAGAAATCTTATGCATCAAGTAAATCAAGATTTTCTAATAATAATGTTAATTTAACTGAACAACAAAAAGTTAAATTAGGTAGAGGTAAATCCATCTTAGGTAAAGCTGATAAATCCACCATTGGTCAAGCCAAGAGACAAATCATTGAAGGTCATAGAGCCTCCAAGGGTCAACCTATAGTTGGTATCAAGGGACTTAAAACTGGTAAAGTTAAGAAACCAAGATTAAGAGATAGATCTACCAAATTTAAAGCTGAAAGAAAACAAATGCAAACTGAAGTTGCCACCCCAAATAACAGAGGAAGTGATAGAAAGTAAGTAAGTAATCGAAGTAAATAAAATAGCTTATAAATCATATGTATAATAGACGTAAATAATATTAGATCATCCATTCATTATCCCTAATTCAGTAAAAGCAAAAGTTTATAGTACAACCTTATCAGTTATATTTAAAGCCAAAGGGAGAAGTGGCTACGAAAAGAAACAAATTGTGGATGGTTGTAAAGGGGAATAAATGCGAAAGGGGGAATCACAATTAGTGAGTGCTAGGCTAGGGGGCAGAGGCAGAACAAAAGATAGTGAGTGACGCGGGGGGGGGGCAGGGAGAAGTCCTCTTACGATATAAAATGGCAGTAAATTATCTCTTATCTCTACGAATGATTTCCTCCTTCTTTTTCTTCTTCTTCTTCTTCTTCTTGTTCTATAGACTCAATTGAATCAATTGTATCAAACATGGGTAACAAACCTTCCAAATCAGACTCTGTGAGTCAAACTACTACTGCTTCTTCCCGTTCTGAAGAATCACTTAACGAAAAATACGCTTACAACGCTGCTGCTGATAAGGGTAACAAAAGTCAACTTGCTGATTATGTTCACTTATTAGGTGGTTTAAAGATCACTGATGAAGATGAAGAAGGTGAAGTTCCACCAGGTAATCCTCTTTCCAATAATGTTTACTCTAATTGGCAATCAAGCTTCACTGCTGATAAGAGAATGTTATTAGCTCAATCTGCTTTAGCCCATAACACCATTGAATCAGTTGTGGCCAAATCAGATCTTGAAACTGTGGTTAAAGATCAATATTTATTCAATGTTACCGTTGATACTATTGGATCTCCATCATTTTTCAATAATCAAAAACTGTCAGGTAGATGCTGGATATTTGCCTCTTCAAATGTGTTTAGAACTCATGTTATTAAGAATTATAATTTATCGCCTGATAAATTTCAAGTTTCCCAATCTTATTTATTCTTTTATGATAAATTAGAAAAGGCTTACTTCTTTTTAGAAAATATCATTGATACTTTTGAAGATGAATTAGATTCAAGATTGATTCATTATTTATTACAAAGTCCAGTTGGTGATGGTGGTCAATGGGATATGATTGTTAATTTAGTTAATAAATATGGTTTAGTTCCTCAAGAATTCTTCCCTGATAATGCTCAAGCTATAAGTTCAAGTGCTTTGAATTATATTTTAACTGAAAAATTACGTGAATTTGCTTTAATTTTAAGAAGCATGTTAAAAGAAGGTGCTTCTTTACCAGCTGTTGGTCTTGTTAAATTCGTTATGATTGCAGTTATTTATAATATCATTTCTGTTGCTTTAGGTACTCCTCCAACTGCTGACACTCCTTTTACTTGGGAATTTATTGATAAAGATGGTAATTATAAATCATTTGAAACTACTCCATTAAATTTCTATAAAGATCATGTTAGATTTAATGCTGAACAAAACTTCTCCTTAATTCATGATCCAAGAAATGATTATGATAAATTATACACGGTTGATAGATTAAATAACATTTCTGGTGGTAAACCAATTGAATATGTCAATACTGAAATTGATGATATTAAAAAGGTGGCTATTAAAATGTTAAAAGATAATGAACCAATCTTTTTCGGTTCAGATGTAGGTAAATTCGGTAATAGAGTTACCGGAATTTTAGATACTACAGCTTACGATTATGAATTAGCATTTGGAGTTGGTTTAGATATTCAAAAAGCTGATAGATTAAAGACTGGTTCTTCTCAAATGACTCATGCTATGGTTATTACTGGGGTTCATTTAGATCCAAAAACAGGTAAACCAATCAGATGGAAGATTGAAAACTCTTGGGGTGACGAAGTTGGTGAAAAGGGTTATTTCATGATGACTGATGAATGGTTTAATGAATATGTTTTCCAAATTGTTACTAGTAAGAAATATGCTACTAAGAAGAGTTATGAAGTTTGGAAATCAAAGGATTATGTCGTTTTACCATATTATGATCCAATGGGTGCTTTAGCTTAAGCTTGAGCTGTTTTTACTTTTTATTTCTTTATGTGTGATGTATAGTTATTTTCACTATAGTTCTTTAATTAGGATATTTTTATAACCTACAATGTTTTCAATTCATGTCAATCCAATTTTATAATTTACTAACTACTGTAATAAGCTGTCGAATTTTCATTCGTATTTTAGAGATTTTTCTGGAAACTGGCTCCAATGTCGTTACCGGTTAAGGTGAACATGACCTTAAAACGTTTGTAAGCCATGTTGCAAATCATGATTTGTTCCGTGGTATTAGTATTTCCAATCTACGACAAGCTGAGTTCACTTCTTCTTCAGGAGATTAATCTATATACATATATACATGTGGTGGTACGGCTCTGTTTGACAATTTTCTGAATTAAAGTTTAGGGCTGTCTAACGCTGATTATCAACTAAGGTTTGATAAAAAAGCGCCATTTTCTGTTGTTGCTGCCACTTGAATATAGAACGTGTTACCTTTAGTTGAATAGGGACAATTTCAAGCGTACTGTTCAAGTTTACACGGTGATGGCCGTTTAAGAATAATTGATAAAATTGTATAATAAGTCTAAACATTTAAGAAACTAAGTCTATAGCGCAAGAACTACTCTTGTTCTTGAAGTAAAATTCCTTCAACAGTAGCAACTAAAGAAACTTCATTTGGAATTGGAGTCCAATTAAAAGCAGCTTTGGCTTTTTCAACACTTGATGGAATTGGTTTAGCAGTACCTTCTAATTCTTTAGTTGGAATGTTTGCTTTTAATTCAGCACTTATCTTATCAGATTTAGCTAACACTTGACCAGCTTCATATAATGAAATACTAGGACCACTATGAGCTAAGAATCTTTCGCCATTGGCTTTTGGATTGGTCAAAGCTTCAATATGTAATTTGGCAATGTCTCTAACATCAACTAAACTCAAATATTGTTTGGCAGCTCCAGTTTCCTTTAATGTACCATCAATTAAAGTCTTGATTTTATTAATTGAGGTTGAATTAGTAACTTGATATTTCAATGAAGGACCAATAATTAAAGCTGGGTTAATCACTGATAAACCATAATGAACTTTATGCTCTTTAACATAATCCCAAGCAGATTTTTCAGCAATTGCCTTTGATTTAACATAATAACTATCAGATTTGTCAACAATAGTCCAATCCTTTTCGGTGAAAGTTTCAGTTCTATCAGCTGGATATCCAAATCTAATAGCGGCAAAGGAAGAAGTGACAACAACATGTTTGACAGATGGAGTCTTTGCAGCTAATTCTAAGATTCTTAAAGTACCTTCTTTAGCAGGCTTGATTAAAGTTTCTGGATCTTCAGGTTGACTTGGAGGGAAAGGTGATGCAACATGTAAGACATAAGTAACATCTTTGATAGCTTCAGTCCAATTGGCATCCTTTAATAAATCAGCTTCAATAACAGTTAATTTTGAATCCACAATTTCTTTAGTTAATTTATCACTTGATGAATAGATTGATTTACGGAATTGTGCTTCTTTGGCTAAGTTTCTAATAGTAGTTCTAACAGTTTTACCTTCTTCTAACAATTGTAAAACAGTGAATCCACCAACGTAACCGGTACCACCGGTGACTAAATAAGTATCTGACATGGCTTTGAAACTAGTACTACTAAAATTTCTGAATGAATTGAAAATTGGTCTAAATAGGGAATTTTTCATATATGTTTTGCAATTGAGTGTATATTTTAATTACAACTAATTACAGAACAAAGGATGATGATGATGATGATAACTATTTATACCAATTGAAAGAAGTATCACCAAATTCATATAAATTTGTCAATTTCGTCTACCTCCTCCATTTTGCCCCTTGTACAAATTGTGGTTCCAAATTTTGACGTGTGGAGGATTTAGTGCGAAAACGGTAATTTGCATACAAACTCCGAATCACCGTTACATATTTATAGCTGACAAATATATATTAACCTTTCAATATCTCTACAATCACCGTAGAAGTTCGGTATAACCAGTAAGTGGTATTGCTTTCGTAAGGCATAACGTTGAGTTATTAATGTTTAACCAATAATTTGACTTTATCAGTTATCTTTATGATATTTAATTCCAGTTTGCCATTGAAATTTAGTCAATTTTCAGTAAAAGTTTAGAACACCATAATCAAGTCAATTAAACTTGAATAGAGTAACTCCATATTTGTAACAGATACAATTCATTGATGATTTACATTTCTACGGCATTTCAACTTCATTGTTTATAGATATTGCTATTTCAGACTCTAATTTCACTATCGAATGACACTTACAAATTGATTTCATGAAATTAGAAGCATCTGCTCAACAAATTAATCTGTTGAAATTAATATTGAACATACGGAAACCCAAATCGATCATATTCATATACTTTATTCGATTTTGCAACAACTGTCTGTAGTTGGTTTTATATAGTTAATTAGTGCAGTGTGGATGTTTCTTATGTGCAGTCATTTTCCAGCGTTTGTCGTTTTCTTTTGACAACGAAATCAAACACGTATAGAAAGGATCAAAATTGATTGAGAGATCTCAAGATATCATACCATTCATAATCATTGACGCTTTAGATAGTCGATCTGATAGAAGTGAATATACTGGAATATCTAGTGAAATGACTGATCAACTTCAACGACGTGTTATAAGTCGAAATCAGAGTAGCTACGCTAGTTTCAATAATATCAATAATGGTGGTAATCCGCTATTTGCAGCATTGAATGAATCCCAATTAGATAAAACAGTTAAAGAACTTTGTGAACAATATCGATTGGCAACTACTCCTAACGATTTATTCAGAGTAATAGATGACATTGATAATGAACTTGAAAAAATAGATAAAGAGTTAAACAATTATTCCACATTAAAACTGAAACGATTCCAACAAGACATTAATAGCATTGAATTAAATAGAACTACCAAATTATCATCAGCTATAACTAATTCAAGTGAATTAGTTTCAATTTTCCAGTCTGCTAATGATTTAGGACATTCGTTAACATTTAAAATCAAATCGTTAGATGAAGAAATTGGAAATGTTAATAAGACCCTTGAATTTGTAACTGATATTCAATTATTAAGAAATAATATAAATCAAGCAAGTTATGCTATTGAACATAAGAATTATGAATTAGCAGCTCAATGTATCCATACGATCAATTCAAAAGTATCCAAAGATTTAATCCATGGGAAATTTGCTTCTATTGTCATTCCATCAACTGATATACCTGAATTACCTCAAGCTACTTTAAATAATTGGATTGACCAATTAACCGAAATATTCAAATTGAAATTCAATGAAGCTGCTAAAAACAAGAATGTGGAAGATTTAACTAAATATTTCCAATTATTCCCATTAATTAATCAAGAAGAAATTGGTTTAAATTGTTATTCCAAATTCATTTGTCAAATTATAAATGATACTTCCAAGAATTTAATTATAACAACATCATCAGTTCCAGCTGATGATTTAAAAGCTGGAATCTTTGCCACTATCACAATGCAATTCTTTGAAAGTATTTCTATGATGCTTAGCCAACATGGTCCATTGATTAAACGTTGTTATTCATCAACATATCCTAACGCTTTAAATTATGTCATAACTAAGATTCAACGTGAAATTGATTCTCAAGTAGGTATAATTGGAGATACCTTTTATGATGTACGAAGAATTGATAAATATTTCCAAGATATTAAATTATATAATTTCCCAATCCTTTCCAAACGTTTAAACGATTTACAAGAACAAATGCATGATGGTACCAGACTTCAACAACAGCAATCATCTTCACAACAAAGCCATCATCAAGAATACGATTCTATCGATGATATAATGGAAAATAATAACGATTTGGTTTCAATTGTTCAAGTGGGTGATTTAATTAATGAATTAGCTACTATTTTCCATCATTGGTCATTATACTGTAAGTTTATAACTATAAAGTATTTCAAAACTGTTGAATCACAAGATACCACCTTAAAGTTACCTGATTTAATTCTTAATTCAAACTTTACCAAAAAGGTTAATAATAAATATTTACCATCATTTGAGATATTGTATACATTTTATTTCCGTCGTTCCGTTGAAAAGGCTATCACTATTGAAGAATTACCAAGTTTAGATAGTTATCTTTTATCATCCAAATCAGGCATAAATGAAATTTCGAAATCACCCGAACAAGTTCCATGTTCTTCTGTGATTGAAGATATCACCCTTATTCTTAATAATACTTTAAGAAATGTGATTGATTCATCCATCCCATCAACCGTAAAGAAATTTATCAGTGAGAGTTTTAAAGTGATTCAAAGTGATGTAATTAACGGATTTTTAATCAAGAATCTTAATGATAATCAACCAAGATATAATCAAACCTTATCGTTAACCTTACCACCCAATGCTAATTTAGCTAATGGACTTCTCAGCAGTTCAGTTAGTCCAGGTGCCACTAGAAGTAATACCCCTGAACCATCTGGTATGTCATTTTTAAAAGGTGCTCAAAGTGCATTAGGTAATGTGGTGGCATCAGGTACATCCGGTATTGTTGGACAATTACAAACTTCATCAACTAATCCAGCTAAATTATTAAATTTTATCATTTATTTGAATACTGTTGCTATGGGTCAAGAATATTTCGTTAAAGTATTTGAAAATATCATTAAAAATGATGGAAATTTAAAACATATATTCCCGTTCGGTAAAGATTTTGAGAAGATTGAAGTAATATTGCATAATGATTTCATAGATCCTTTTATATCAATCACCAATAAAATCATATCTGATAGTATTATCAATCTTTATAATCAATCCTTGAAGAATAAATTAGTGATTTTAATTAATGATTTCTTACCGGAATCAAATGATGCCACGTATATAATCTATTCATCTAATGAATTGAATGATATTAGTGCATTATTAAAATTCTCATCATCATGGCAATCATTAATTAGACCATATATTCGAACATGTCATAAGAATTTGATCTTAAACAAATTATTGAGATTATTGGTTATAAACTTTGCTAATTTGATCGAAAAGAAATTATTATCAATCTTAAAGAAATTCAAAATCAATGAATTAGGTTCAATTAAATTAGAAAAGGATTTATCTTATTTGATTAATGAAGTTTGTAATGATAATTATCAATTGAGAGAAAGATTTGTTAGAGTCACACAAATGGTATTGTTAGTGGGAATGGATGATGAAGAATATGAAGATAGTATTCAACATATTAATCAAAGTTCAAGTACTAATGGTACCAATGCCAATAAGAGACTTAATGGTGGCATCAGCAGAGAAAATGGAGAAACAATTGAAGAAGGAATTACTGAAGATAACACAGATAAAGAAATTAAACAAGAAGATCAAAAAGATGAAGATGAAGAAGATGAAGTTATAGGTATAAATTGGGTGTTAACACCCCAAGAGAGAAAACAAATTAGAAGATATAGGGTATAGATATTATTTTAGTTTCTCTACAAACAAAAAATGGATAAAAGTTTTCAAAAATGTACATAAATAAAACACGTATCTTTGATATTTGATTCATTAAAAATTTCATTAAATGTAATTATACAAGGTATATAACTATTTACTCTATAAATGCGTGTAATGCAAGGGGTTATATCTTTTGTTTTTTAACTGGTTGTTGTTCATCATTATCATTTTCATCCTCATTATCATTGTCATCAACATCATCAAGTGAACGCTTATTACTTTCTTCTTCAGATTTGATTGATTCGTCTTTAGGTATATCACTATTATTAATCAATCTAACTTGATCAGGTTTGATTCTTAATTTATTCAAAAGATTAAGATCGAATCTTGGATGAGCATATTGACAATCAGGACCACTTGGACAAAACCCAGTTAAATATAATGGACATAATACTTTTCTTGTATGTCTCTTCGAACATTTTGGACCATCAGGACAAAAACCCATATCATAATTTGGACAAGGAGGGATTTTAGATAGAGGATCAACATGTAAATATAAACATTCAGGAGTTTGAGTACAGAATCCATTCTTGGAATAAAATATACATTCGGGCATTTTTCTTAAATTATATTCATGTAAGAATTCACAATGATCATTCTTCTTACATAATCCTCTTAACCAATGCTTACACACGATTTTATTATTATACATGGATGAAACATGTTTATTTGGACAATTAACTCCATTAGGACATGAATTGGTTGGACGTTGGGGATTATAATATTGACAAACAGGTCTATCAGGATCTAAACCAAAGTTAAACTCCCGCCTTAAGAAAGGTTCGAATTTGAATTGTTTATTCTTGGTATCAGGATGTATGATAGGATTGACACTCAACATGGTTTGATATATGGTTGTAGAATGTAAATGACAATTGAAGTAATGATGATTAATAATTTATTTTGAAGTTTGTAAATTTAAAAATATATCATCAAACATCCGTGCTGCGAGAATAAAAATTGATAACATCCACACATCAATACTATATTCTTATCATATTATAAATGTGAAGATAATACTTTACATAGAATATTTATGAAGATATATCCTATACTAATTATACTCAACATATGTTATTATATATAACCATCTACTTTTATAAATTAGACAGATAAAAATATTTTAATGGAACCATTCTTGATTTTGGGAGAACAAAAAATGTGATCGAATTTAACTCTAAAATCATTACACTCCTTGAAATTCCTAATTAGTCGACCACATTTTTGTCAAAACTGAAGAAATGATCACGTGTGTAGTCACATGACTGTGTTAGACATGGTAGCACTCAATCTGTCATCATTTGATGGAGAGTAACACAAATTTACCAAATAGGAAATGATGCTTAAAATGACCCCATATATGAATACTATTTGTATATATACTTTTACATGATCACATGAATTTAATGCAACATTGAATTACTCAACTGTGTTTGTTAATACGAGTTAAGCATTTGTCAGATTGAGTCTAGACGTTATTTATATTTAACGTGTTCCTTCCCATCTATCATTATCATTCATCTTGAATTTGATTGAGTATACTACAACCACAACTACAACTTCTTCTTTGTTAACACACCCTTTAGTTTCAATAATTATTTCCAAGATTAAGGTGTTGACTATTCATTCTAAACGTTTATTGATAATAATCGTTATTTGTTTGATTTTGGGTTTTTACTCGAGTACTATTTTTGAATTTATCCAGATAAATTATTACAGAGCCATTTCACCATTAATTATGCCACCTTCACCTCAAGTTGCCGGTGTTCCTACTACTGTTGTTATTGGAAGTGGATTAGCTGGGTTAAGTACGTGTTTGAATTTGATTGAACAGGGGTTCAAAGTGATTTTACTTGAAAAGACAGACAAGATTGGTGGAAATTCAATCAAAGCATCTTCAGGTATAAATGGGATTCTTACAAAATTCCAACCTCCAGGTGATTCAATTGAATCATTTAAAGAAGATACCCTTAAATCAGGGAAATATCTTAATAATTTAGAATTAGTGGATTTATTAGTGGAGAATTCAAAACTGGCAGTTGAAAAATTAGTCTATAATTATAATATTGATTTACTGAAGATAACTCAATTAGGTGGTCATTCATATGCGAGAACTCATAGGCCAGCCAGTAAATTACCTCCTGGATTTGCTATTATTTCGAATTTAAAGAATCAAATTGAATCAGAGAAATATCTGAATTTAATTCAAATCATTAAAAATGCTAAATTTAATAAATTCATTACCGATAATTCCAAATCTGAAGTTAAAGGAATCGAATATGTCCAAGATGATATCGCTCATGAATTATTAGTGGATAATATCGTCTTAGCAACAGGGGGGTTTTCAGCTGATTTCAATGAAGCAAATCCCAAGGAATCCCTCATTAATCAATTCAGACCTGATTTAATTAAATTCCCTCTGACTAATGGACAACAAACCACGGGAGATGGTCAAAAGATTGCTGTCCGTGATTTAAACGCAAACTTAATCGATATGGATAAGATTCAAATCCATCCTACTGGATTCGTCAATATTAAATCGATCAATGATAAATGGAAATTCCTCTGTGGAGAATTATTACGTGGAATTGGAGGGATTTTAGTTAATCCAAATACGGGGAAACGATTTGTGAATGAATTAGATACGAGAGATATAGTTAGTAATGCTATTATTAAAGAGTGTGAAATTGGATCAAGTTCAAGTCATAAATTAGATCATGAACAATCGATTGCTATTATTGTGATTAATAAAGCTGACGCAGAGGCTGCTATTGATCATATTCAATTTTATAAATCTCAAGGTTTATTAACATTAGGTAATTATAATCAATTATTAGAGTTGATTCATGAATTCAGTCCTGATTTGAAATTTGAATTAACTGATTTTATAAATGAATTCAACCAATATAATCAATTCATATCTACCAAATTGGATTCCAAATTCAATAGAGGTCATTTTGGAGCAGGTCAATTCAATCCTGAAGATCAAGTTTATTTCGGATTAGTCACTCCAGTATTACATTTCACCATGGGTGGAATCGCTATAAACTCCCAGGGTAACATAATCAATCAAAATCAAAAAGTTATCCCTAATGTCTATGCGGCAGGAGAAGTTAGTGGAGGAGTTCATGGTGGGAATAGATTAGCCGGATCTTCATTATTAGAATGTGTTGTATTTGGGAAAGTTGTTAGTGAATCAATCATTGAAAAATCCCCTTTTAAACCATTAGAATAAGATTAAAATACTACATAGATTTTTTAAACGTTCTTTATTACGAATTTAATATATATATATTATTATATGTAAAATATACAAAAATTTAAGAAATGTGATTTTTTTTTGTTATTTGGATTGGGAGGTAAGGTGGTCGTTGTAAGATTGTAGATGAATAGGATAGACATTATTGTGAATGAATGTGATATAATCAAAAATAATTAAACCTCCAAAATTAAATATAATAAATTTTTTTTTTCAATGATATAATAGTGTATAATGAATAATATGAACAAGTATACAACTTGTCGTTTAAAAATGTGGAACGTATTGATAAATAATGATAAACTATATTTGACTTAAGTAGGATATTATTAGATTATGGATGTGGTAGTTGGGGTTATATGAGGAAGATGGTTACACTTAGATGTTAGATGGGTATAACATGATTCTAACTGAAGCACCAAAAGTCTTTGGTGGTAAGTTCTTTTTAAAGTTAGCTCTGATTAAACCATTGTTACCGTGAGTTCTTGAAACTTTACCCCAAATAACTCTAATTTTAGAACCTCTAACTTCTTTAGAAGCTCTGTAAACGTAAGCGATTCTTTTACCTAAGTAAAATTTGGCATCTTGGGAGTTTTGAACACCTTCGATTTGAATCAATGATACGTTTGGGTTGGTGACACTCTTGGAACGTTGGTATGAAATGTGTTTACCTTTAACGTATACTATAAGATAATTGTTAGTATTTTTAGTTTATTAAAATTGTAAAGATAAAATAAATCAGTAAGAATGTGTAATGGGTAATGTGGAAGGTATTGAAAGTGAGGTTGAATGTGGATGGATTTGATTAATTGAAAGTGATTCTGATGATTATTCAGTTGATGATGATGATAATGATATGTTATGGATCTTGATTATAGTAGATTAATATGATATTATATTATGAATATGGATGGAAGGTTATTCACTATCCAAATACACGTATAAGAAAACTTTTCAAATGATTATAAACACAACTATCTGAACTGTACAAGTTTTCAAATACATGCTTTGCATAGATATCTGATGATCTTTATGATGATACTGATGATAATGGTTGATTAGTTACATGAATTCTTCCTTTCTTCATTTCTTTATTAATTTTTGATTGACTCATATCAACTTCTTCATTTCAAAGTGGATTCTCTTTCAAACAACACACATGAACATCACTAGTACTGATCTACCTATTCTCTCTAGTTCTCATTATTACATACATCTGTGAGATTCAGCCATTTTTAATTATTAGTATCTATTATTTGGTTGTATGACAAGAAAGATAAAATTTAATTGAATAATTTTTTTTAGCTTTTTTTTTTTTACTCTTTGAGACTCAACTGGTACTAACTTTTTACTATGAGAGAAAGTTCTACAGTGCGATACAAAATTATCTCTGACTATCTCATAGTAAAATTTTATTATCACTAAAAATTGAGTGAGTATTGCGGTATGGAGTTGTGATTATTTTTCGCTGGTTTGTACTGCACACAGAAGATCATGTGACATGATAACCCTAATAGTATACACGTGATAAACCCTAGGATATTGAGCCTCACTTACCTAAATAGGAAAGCTTTTGGTAACTATTGCGGTAATGATGTATATATCGATTTATCAATTTAATCTAATCTTGTATCATAATAAATGGTATTATTTATAAAAAAACTAAAGAAATCATAACAAATAAATCAAATCAAAAAAACATAAACTAATAGAGATAAATTATAAAAGTATATATGTATAAGTAAAAATCAACAACATTAGATATTAAGATGTATATAAAAGGTAGTAATAATAATATATATAGAAAGTAGAAAGTAACAACGAAGGGAGGACCACTATATTTTAATTTCTGATTCTTGTTCCCATTTGTTTAAATTAAATCTCCAATGTTTTGCATCACCTTCATCATATTTTGAACTCTTTAATGATCCAGATGGAGCATTATGAATTGATAAATTTGATAAACTAGTTAAACTTAAAAATGCATCAGGATTTTGAGATTGTTCATCTTCAGCAATCCAATCTTCATAATCTTTTAAATCAAACCATCTTGTTTCCCAATTAATTCCTGCCAATTGTTCTTTCTTTCTTAAATCACGTTGATTATTTTCAATTAATGATTTCTGTTGATAAATAGTTTCATATTCTCCCTTTTTAATTGCTTCAGCAACTTTATCCCAAATCTTTCTTGATTCTAATTCATGTTGTTCTTCTAATGGTTTAACTATAACATGATTAGCATCTAAAGCTTGAGCATCATAAAATAATTCATCACCATTTTTAGAATGAGGAGTAGTAGAACCTCTTGAAATATATGATTTATCAGACCATTGACCATTAATTGTAATAATTGCATTTTCTTTATTAAGAGTTGAAATTTGATCTTTATAAATTCGAGCTTTAAAACTATTCTTTTTTCCACTAAAATAACCTCTACCACTATATTCTATAACCGTAATATATCCATTGGATGATTGAATATAAGATGTACCTTCTAATTCCACAAATGGTGAAGCAGAAATTAATCCTTCAATATGTAATGGAGGTAAAGTTATTAAATAAGATTCTTGTAAATCTTTATATTCTAATAAAGCATGACCAAATTGTTTAACATTAATAGAAGTAGCAGAAATCGTAGCTCTAATACCATTATAACCTTGTAAATAAGTTTCATTTTGTTTATTAATAATAGAATAAGCCGTCATCGGAGGATGATGACTAACTTGTTCACTAACTAGTATAGTTTCACCAACTTTTGTATCATCATTAGGAGAATCCCATTTCCCAACGAAAACTTCCCCTAAAGTAGGATTTAAAGGATTCTTTTCTCCTCCTAAATTTTCACTTCTTGAACAATATTGAGATCTTAAAGTTGCAATAAACCATTTAGTAACAGCCAATTGTCTTTGTAAAGTTAATAAATCAATTTCATCTTGAACGGCATCTTCAGCTGGTTTTAAATGATTGGCAGCCACTAATAATTCAGGATGTTCTGACCAATATTGAGAATATTCAATTAATGAAATTGGAGCTAAAATAAAAGGTGGAGCAGTTAACGAATATAAATCTCCATTAAAAGTAGCAAGTGATTTAAGAAATGAAGTCCAAGAAGTGGATTGAGACCCAGTGGAGGTTGAAGCAGAAGTAGCCATGATCACTTGATATATCTAGTTATAGCAATGGATGACTGGATGAGTTAAAGAAACGATGAGTTGATAATGAAATACGTAGCCGATAAATATAACTTCACTCTCCCTTTACTGTTTCCCTCTGCCACTTTTTTTTTTCTGTGTTTGTGAATTGCTCAAGAAAAAAAAATGAAGTGTGAGAGCAAATCTATTAGTAGAAAGTAGTAGTAGTTATACTTGTCTATTGTTGTAGTTTCTTCTTGTTGTTGTTGTTGTTTCCTTCAAGATAGTCGAGAGTTGAGAGTCAATGTGATTGATAAACTGTAAATTATTGGGAAACTAATACAGATGGGTCATTTATAATTCCCTGAGATGGATGGAATTCTGTCATTTCTCATATGAAAATAAATAATGACGTACTTAAAAGTTATACGACGAAGGGAACGGAACAGTATACGAGTTATTCAAAATATATCATTTATAGGAATTATCGGAATTGTCTTAATCTATACTAACAATCTGTTCTATTAAATTTATTATCATTATATACGATTTGGATTAGCATACTATTATGACCTTTTTACAGGGGTGGTTTGATAGAAAACGGATACGACAAATCCATTTTAGGAAAGTGGTCATGTGCGCTGGATCACGCGACGAATGCCGATGATAACCGACCTATAACTTTATATAAATACTTCTCTTATTTAATTCAACAGCAATTAAACTTACCACTAATGAATAAATCACCAAGATAAGAAATGATATATAATTTGTGGTGGCTAATGTATTGATTGACATGTTTATAAATCCTGTTAATAAGTTTGAAATCAAAAATAATAATAATCCATTATTATTAGTTGATTCTAATAAATAACTGGTAGTACTTATATGAGGAAATAAACTTTCAATTAAATTATATCCTAATAATAATGTTGAATTATATGCAACTACCCAAAGTACATAATTCAAATTGGCCAATCTTCGAGAAATATTCGTGGTAAGGAATGAATTATTGAAATAATAGAATATGATATGATAAAACATTGTTAATATGATTAATGAATTTGTGGTATTGAACGTTAAGAAACCTGATTTCGATTTAGTTGGTTTGATATGAGAGGGATAGATTAAGTTATTAACGGTAGGATAACCGGTTAATAAAGTTGGACCGAATGATTGTCCGAATAAAAATATACTGAAATAACCTAAGAATGAGAAAATACCTTCTTTATTCATGGTAACGATATTATTTAATCGATTATCCGATGTTAATATGAATGATAAAAGGTCGAATTTTTGTAATCCAATTTCATAAATTAATACAATCAAAAATCCAATTAAATTTCGAGGTAATAATTGAAATAATGGATCTAAAATCCCTAATAAAATAGGTAATAATCCCAATGTGATAAAGAAATTCCAATGAATCCCATATTCAGTAACATGTTCTTGATATTCCAATTGTTTCACACTAACCAACCGAATAATTCCTAAGGCTAAGATCGGGATTGATTTAATAATACTTTTTCGAATGATATGTAAATAAGAAAGAAATGAATTACTATTAGCTTTAGATTGACTTTCCTTTAATAATGAACGAGAATTAACCAACCCCATCGAAAATACAAATGATCCCACACCTAAATCCATTAATGATGTTCCCCAAGTTTCAACTTTAGCGAATCTTCGAGGAAAGATATTGAAATCAACGGCTAAGATTGATAAATTGGTGATTATAAGCATATGAGCTCTATAAGCGGTTATGAATGGTTTCTTTGGTAAGAATTCATTAGGAGTACTCGTAGTCTTTGTCTTTTTAGGTTGGGTTGTTTCTTCCCCTGATTTTAAGATATATTTTGAAATCACATAGATTAGAATTCCAGGAATGATAGTTAAATAATGAAGATAATTGATATTATTACTATAAATAGTGATTGATGCAAGTAAAGTTAAACAATTTACAATATAATCATTCAAGAATGAGAGTTGACTATCTTTCGATAGTGAACTTTTAATCAATGCATAAGTTAAATATGATGTTAATGCAATGGTGGTTATAGTATAAATTTCCAGTATTGATCCTCCGAGTAAATCAGATACGAATAATTCCTTTTGTTCTTTTAAACTAGACATATTGTTATTGTGTTATATGGATGAATATTTAGACATCAATCTGATACTCCAATTGTTGGTATAAGTAAATAGACTAACTCTCCCCACAAAATTAGAGGTTTTGAAAAATCCAACAATCGATAATACACCTGTCTATTCTATTTGATGGGGATACCGTTTCGTTTTGGGTTGAGACGCGTTCGTGTGTTTACCATTTGAGAGGAAATGTCGTTTTTAAAAAATGTCTCTCTTTCCAAATTATGATCTCGTGACCACAAAAAAAATCATTTTTTTTTTTTTTTTTTTTGTTTTAAAGTTGTTAGTTACTCCTGAAATAACAATAAAGAGGAAGAAGACGATAATAGATGAAATTAGAGTTAAATTAAACCAATTTTAATATTACCCATTTTCCTTTCATATAGCGGAAGTCATTCATAGATATAGATAGACTTGTCTTCAACAGATCCACACCTCAAGTCACCCTTAACTCAACGTGAACGCTTGCTACTATCTAATCCTTTTATTATCTGATCAAGTAAACAAACGAGACAAATCCACAAGCAGAAATAGATTTATAATCATTACAGTTTAAAAGATGTCAGAGGGGATTCAACCTTCACCAAATAACAATAATGATGTTAATCATTATTTCCCTCCACCTCCCACTACACCTAAGGCTAGATCAACCACTCCTAAAGGCAAAGGGGGGAATAATAATCGTTACCACGATGATGATGTGGATGAGGAAGATGACGACGATGATGACGATGACGATGATGATGATGAAGAGGATGATGATGATGTGATAGATGATGCTTATGAAATTAATACTAGAGCAAGTTCACCTCCCAGTATGAATAGTGTCCTTAAACCTCCCATCACTCCCCCAAATAATCATATTAATAGTGAGTTTGATCATAATGATAATATCATCATTGCTCATAGTAGTTCTGATAATGATAATAATAACAATAGTAATACCACTAATGATAATGATTTCGTATATGCTCCACCCAAATCACCCCTTATCTCCATCACTGATTCAATGATGAATATAACTCCCTTAAGTTCAAATAATCAATATCTGGATGATTTTGTGGTTTATTCCGATTCAGATGGTGCTTCTCAAAGTTCACTTGATTTAAAGAATCCTCATTCTCATATCCCTCATACCAGACATATTGATGATATCACCAGTATAATTAATTCTGTTAATAGTAGTAGTGATGCTGTTAATACAACATCAAAATCAAATATTAAAAAATCAATAGCGAAAAAATCATCAAATTTATCAACTCCAAAGAGAAGAAGTAAATCTCCAAGAAAGGGCTCAGGCTCTTCAACAGCTGGTACTGATACTGAAGAAGCTAGTGCTACCGGTACAAATCCAACTCCAACTGCTAGCGCTACTGCTACCCCTAAATCAAGAAAAAAAATACGAAGAAAATCAAATCGGTCTGAAGTTGGTAGTGAATATGTTGGAACTGGTTATACTCTGACTCCTGCTACAGGTAAGATTTTCCGAAATTTACTTATACTTGAAGAAAGTTTACGTGAACAAGTTCGTCAACAACGTGCTTTAAGACGAAAATATCTTACATTCTTAGCTGTTTTATGTTCATTAATTGCATCTATAACTCATCATTTATTTTTGGTGGATGATTCATTATCTTCAAGTGGAACTAGAAGAGTTATATTACAATTCACATTATTAGCTTTGATAGTTACCTTAATGTTATATCATTTATCAGGAGAATATCAAAAGACTATTGTATTACCAAGAAAGTTTTTATCATCTACAAATAAAGGATTAAGACAATTGAATGTTAGATTAGTTAAGATTAATACTCCATTAACTGATAAAATCATTGATTTAATCCGAGAAATATCATTATTTATGGTTTCATCATGTTTAAATTCATTTCATAGAATATCCCCATCATCGATTCAAAATCGAAATTCAAAATTAGAAGTATTTTTGGTATCATGTCAATCTCAATGTCAACCTCGAATTGGGGTTACTGATGTTAAATTAGTTCTTAATGCTAGAGTATTCAATCTTGATGTTAGAGAAGGATGGGAAGTTTATCGTAGTGAATTTTGGGTTCATGAAGGAGTTAGAAGAAGAAATCAAATGATGGATTTTGTTACAAGTTATGGCTTAACTGATGATTTAGATAAAAGTAAATTATTAACTAAAGATAAACGAGAAAGAAGAAATAGAAGAAAGAATTCTCAATCGAATGTATCAACATCAACAGGGATTTCAATGTCAAATTCAAATTTAATACCTTCAACACCAATTGTTAATCGATTAAGTGAACAAAATTTACAAAGATTAATGAATAATCATCAAAGTAGAAGTACGAGTCCTTTAAGAAGTGGTAGTTTTGGACCTGAATCAGTTGAATCAAATGACGAATGAGTAAATAGTAAGTATATAGAGTACTTACATAATGTTATCAAATTATTTATTATAAATTGTATATTAAATTAGTAAATAGTTATTAATTGAGATTTTGCTTTCACTAATTAAACTGTTGAAACCATAACTTGTGAAATATTTATTCTTGGTTTATATGTCCTATAATAGTTAATAAAGTAATTTCCTATAAATATATCAATAATGTGATCAATTACATCAATATCAAAATATGCTTTGGTCCGCAATGGACTTTTCATTTATACTCTTGCGATATTCTAATTAGTATAAAATATCCTATAATTAAATGAAAGTAGTTAGCAGACACACTATGACATAGTGTTCTGGATTCAAATCAAAACGAAATGAATGTTGTAATAACTGATGAGTTATAGTTTATTATCCTTTTTTCTTAACAGGACACTCATTCCTTATCAAAATCTATTTATTGGAGCTCATTAACGCAAATTCATAAGAGATCGATACCCATTTCTAATTTCTTTGAAACTCCACTTCTTGATATCCATACATGAGTTTAATATTATAGTGAACATCATAACCTGTAAAAGATTACATCTTCATCTTCATCATCTTCATTATCACCACAGTACGTTTAAGCAAATACTGAATCAAACGATGAATAGTTGTTGATAGAGTAAATCTTACATATATTTGAGATGAAGTTATATATTATAAATTGTATATTCATCATTACATATACATAATAAATAAATTTATCCTCCATATCTATCTCTGTATTTATAGTAAGAATTAAAATCAAATCATAACCTGTAAATTGTTACATCATCAAAAATTTAAACTGTAAAAACAAATAAAAATATAATTTTTTTTTTTTGTATGGGAGTTTTAACAGAGATGAGTAAAAAGTGAAAGATTAAATATTTGCAATCAATAGAAATCAATATAGTTATTAACGAATATACCATGGCTGAAGTTAAGAAAGTTAGTAAACCTCAATCATCAAGAAAGGGGAAGAGAGCCTGGAGAAAGAATATTGATATTAATGATGTTGAATCTGGTTTAGAACAAGCTAGAGATCAAGAAATTATAACTGGAAAGAAACGTACCAATCATGATGAAGATGATGATGAAGAAGCTGATTTTATAATCGATGATAAACCATGCACTACTATCATTAACAAGACTCAAGTTAAGAAATTGAAATCGACTGAGATTTTAACTAATAAATCTAAAATCCCTGCTTTAATAAATAAAAATAAAAAACAAGATAAAACCACTATTCAAGGGGTTAAAAAGACTGATTTATTAAGATTAATTAAATTAAATGGGGGTAAATATAAAGAAGAATCTAAAATACTTAATAGAATTGAAAAGGATGGATTAATAAATGTTGACAATAAAGATTTATGGGGTGCATCAGAAGTTGAATCTACTGCTATTTCTGAATTTTCATCAACTGCTGAAGTTACTACTGCTTCAGTGATTCCAAAAACTTTAAAGACTCAACCTATTAATATTATTGAAAATGATTTGACTAAGAATGTGGTTGATGCTGGTAAATCTTATAATCCATCTTTAGAATCATGGAAATCATTAATTAATAAAGAATATAATGTTGAATATAAACGTGAAGTATATAGACAACAAATGCAAGAATATCAAGAAAGAATCAAAGATTTGATGAATACTTTAGATGATAATGAATCCGATGATGATGATGAGAATGAAGAAACTAAAGAAATTAATAAAGAACTTGAAGAAAAAGAAGAAGATTATAAATTATCAATTAATAAACCTACTCAAGTTAAAATTAAGACTAAGACTAAGAGAAATAGAGAAGCTAAACATAAAAAGAGAGTTAAATTAGAAGATGAATTAAAAGATTTAAAGAAACAAATGCATGATTTACATAAATTAGATGAAATCCTTGAGAAGGAACAACAAACTGAAAAGGAACAACAAAGAACAGAACAAAAATTTAAGAGTAAGAAAAAGGGGAAATTATTTAAATATAATGCCGTTCAAACTCCATTAGAAGTTAAATTATCAAGTGAATTAACTAATAACTTAAAGAATTTAAAACCTGAAGGTAATTTATTCTATGATCAAATGTTAAACTTACAATCAACTGGTAAGATTGAAACTAGAATACCGGTTGCAAAGAGAAGAAAATATACTCAAAAGATTACTGAAAAATGGACTTATAAAGATTTTAAATAAGTCTTTGATTAAATAACTTTGGCATTTCATTTTATAGCATTTTAAATATTGTACAATAGAGAATATACACTTTTACATTCAAATAATTTCGGTAGATATTAAATCGTATAATAAATCGGGTAAACTAATATATAAATAATTGAAGAAAGGAAGGAGTATGAATGGATGATGATATATGCAATGATTGTCATAGTTGTTGTATTGACAATTGTAATGTTGATCTATAGTTGGAGTTGTTATATTAACATATAGATTAAGAAAAGTCCCAAGTACCAGTGACATAACCTCTGTATAATCTTTCTCTAAGAGAGAAGAATTGTGATCTATATGGAGTGTAATAACCTTGGATAACAGTATCGGCGGTCTTGAAATGATCAGGAGCAATAGGATCACTACTTTGACCTCTTTGAACCCCAGTTAGAAGGAAATCTCTCTTCATCATTTTTTCATCCCATTCATCTAAATCAAATCTATCACCTTTCCATCCATTACCCCAATATCTGATAAATTGAACACCATGACCTGCCACTCCAAAGAAGGCAGTCATGATGGCAAATGGTAATAAACCTTCAAATGGAACAGGCATTATTACTATTGTTCTTATGTTTCTTCTTGAAAGTATAATGCAACTGTTTGGTTAAATCTGTTGATAGTTGTAATTTTTTCCACCTCTCATATTTTTTTCTGTAATGAATTCTTTTTTAATTTTGATTGGCTGAGAATTGGTCACGTGAGAATTTTTTACTTAATACACTATGGATTATTATAAAACCAAACGGTACAGATATATTAAAAGTATAGAATAAATAAGTAATATAAATAGTTGATAATAATCATAAATAACTTATTGCCAGACCCGTCTGATAAACGCTCCCATATCAATTGGTTTATCTTGTTGGTTCTTAATCCATGGATGTTCCAACATTTGAGTTGGACTAGGTCGTACATTAACATTAACTTTTAAACATTGATTAATAAAATCTTTAAAAGCAGGACTCCACATTACTCCATAATCTGGTAAATCCGTCAATTGAGGTGGAGCTAATTTATCATAATTAGCTACGAATTCATCATGTTCTGGTAATGGATGTTCTCCAATTGCAGCTTCAAGAATTGTGATACCTACTGACCAAGTTTCACAATTGACACCATATTTCTCCCCCGATAATCGTTCTGGAGCCATGTAATTTCTCGTCCCTACGAAAGTTGATGCTAAAGTTCCATCAAGATCTCGACTTATACCTAAATCACATAATTTGATAGCACCATTAAGATTGAATAAGATATTAGATGGTTTAATATCACGATGTAAGATTCGTTGAGCATTTAAATATTTCAAGCCTAATAATATCGAACGTGCAATTTCACTCAACACTCTTTCATGTAAGAATGCTCCTTCACTTTTAACTCTATTATAAACTTCATGTAATGATTTTGCATCCATATATTCCATGGCAATACAGATATTCCCTTCATGACGGAATGTACCATAATATTTGACAATATAAGGAGAATTACATCTTTCATTAATGATTAATTCTTTCAATTCTATATCTCTAGGTCCAGGTGGTAAAGTCTTTATAGCAAATATTTTTTTAGGTAGATTTGGATCATTAGGTCGAATTTCACATTTAGATACCCACCCACCTGCACCGGCACCAAGACTTCCTACATCATAAATCTCTTTATTTAATGCTAAACTTTCAAGTCCTGATGAACCTAATGTTTCAAGTGGTAAATCTCGTGGATGTACAGTGGTATTGGTGGTGGTTGTGATAGCAGCTTGTTGAGTGTATAGACTTAAATCAGGAGGTTTTCGATCCTTCTTGGGATTTATTTGTAACTGTAGTGGAGGTGGGGCTCGTGTATTATGTTCTTGGGGTGGTGAAGGTATTTGAATTCGTAAATTTTGTGGTCGTCCACCTCGTTCAGGTATATTAAACATTATTGTGGGTTATTACTAGTATGATATGACAAGATTGATGGGTTGAAGTCCGCTAAATTGATGGGAAGATAATTAAGGGAACGTTTTTGTACACGATGATGAGAAAAGTCTATAAATTGAATGATTTGCAAAGGATGAAACAAAGCACTAGGATTTGTAATGAGTAAAATTAGTGCTAGTGTAATGGAATAGAATGGAATGGGATGGAATGCAAATAAACAAGATTTATTTCAGGAAAGTATAAATGATGGTCTGTTATATAGTATGTTGATCCATGAATAGCAATGATATATCAATTGGGTGTTAAAGTAAGGTTGGTTCTAACTAAAACTTCCAATTGTCTTATTCAAATTCTGTCTGTTTATTTATTTATTTAAAATTTGGTGATACTCACTCATAAAAATTTCAGCGACACTTCTCACTTTTGGTTACCCCTGCAAAAAAATAAAAATATAACACCTAACCAAAGGCCGCAAATTTATAGTTATAATGACGAATCAGTGATGTCTAGCACACTACATTACAACAGCTTACAATGCATTAAATGTCAAGATTTACATTACAGTTAGATACATATACAATTATTTTATTTACTATTAAGATGTCTTCTTCTTCTTAGCAGCGGGTTTTCTAGCTTTGGGTTTAACTTCTTTAATTAATTTATCCTTTTTACTATCGATTTTATCACTAGAATCAGCTTGCAGTTCATCTTCTTCATCTTTAGCAGTATCATCATCTACAACATCCTCATAATCAACCTTCTCCTTTCTTGATCCTCCACTTGTAACTGAATTACCTGTCTTATAAATAGCTATAGGATGAGTGGCAGCATTATATTTTCTAGTAAATGTTGATTTAACTTTAGTAGGAATTTTCTGTAATATAACATCACCTTTATCTTGACCCACTCCAAAATCAATTATAGAATCCCAATCTTCTCTCGTTAAATAATAATAATCCATTACATCTATAACTTCTTCAATCCCTAATTCTTGTTGTTTAACTAATGGTAAAGTTAACTTTTTAGATAATAATGATAAATAATCCAATCTTAATTCCTTCTTATCGGTAGAAGTTCTTAATCTGGTATGATATTGTAATTCTTGTAATAATCGTTGATATTTCATTGTCTTTGAATTTTGTCCTAACCAACCAGCAAAATTAATTCGTTGATTAATATTACCTGCCACTTCCAGTGATGGTTTAACTGATGACATAACCCCATGGAATGGTAAAAGACTCCATTGTTGCTCACTCGATCTAATAAGTGAATTGATTTGATCCGATAATGAAATATCATCAGCTGCCAATGCAACTCGTTCAAGATGTTCAGGTTGAGTATGAACTCCTAATGGAGAAGTTGATAAATAATTTTCTTGAATCATTAATGGGGCAAAATCAATATCATTAAAATATAAATCAATCTTGTCATTCAAGGAATGATTTGAATTTGGTAAATAAATTTGTCCGTTTAATAATCGACTTGTAATATCAAAGGGTTTTAATATAGTTTGTTTCTTCCAACTTTTGGCAACGTCTTTAGCTTCATCTGATCCAATACTTTTTTGAGTTTTGGATACAGTTGATAATAAATTAATCATTTGTCTTATATCGTTATTAGTGGCTTGAACCAATTGTCCAATAACAGTTGGATCTAATTTAATATTTTCACGGTGAGCTATAGTCATTAATCGAGATCTAACTTCTACTTCAGTTGGACGTCTGAATGGTAAATCATAAGTAACACGATCAAAAGTTCTCATTTTAGGTAAGGATTTATCATTACAAATTAAAATCATTGGCATCTTAGTAATTCTACAAAAGGCTGATAAAGCACCAGCACCTCCATGATCACCACTTGACATACCATCAACTTCATCCATAATAAGACAAAATCTCTTATCATTCTTATTATGTTCATTACTATCTTTGGCTTTAAAGAAACCAACCACAGATGTATTAGTTAAAACTTCCTTCAAATTCGAATTCAAAAGAGTCTTTGATCTAACATCAGATGCATTCTTCTCTAACACATCAAATCCAAGAGCTTCAGCTACAATATGAGCAGAACTTGTTTTACCAATACCAGGTGGACCACTAATTAAACAAGCTCTAAAAATCCCTGAACCATCAGGTCCTGCATTTTTGAATCCATGTTTTGCATTATCAAACCAGTTATCTAACCAGTTCTTTAATTTTTGAATTTGTCCTTTATTACCACATAATTGAGCGGTATTAGTAGGAGCATATTTAACCGTCCATAACTTCTCATCGTCACTGATTTCTTTAACTGGTTCAGGTGGTAAACGATTTGATGAAGCGGCTTTCTTTACCAATTCTTCTTGTTTTACCTTAAGTTCATTCTGTCTGGCCAATTTTTTAGCTTGTGCAGCATCTTCTTCTTCTTTAATTTGTTGTAATATTTTACGTTCTTCATCTTCACGTTTTAATTTTGCTTTATATGCGGCTTCACTATCACCTCCTTCTGCTGGCATTTCAGATAATAATCTGATAAAACCTTCCTGATCAATCGCTTTTAATTTGAATTGTTTAATCTTTTTCACCTTTGATGGACCTGCTTCATCTCCAATTACTACTAAACTAGTCTTACTGGAGATAGATTTTGTGACTTTGGCACCATATTTTTTAGCTAAATTTTCAGCTGCATCACGATCTAAACTAGGCAACACTCCTGTGAATACAATAGTCAATCCTGATAAACAATTCTCCTTAGCACTTGGTATTTCAGGAGTGTCTGCTCCTCCAGTTGAAGAAGTTGCTTTCGCATGAGCAAAGAAATTGAACTTTTTATCTTCTACGACGTCGGGTAAATGAGCATCTGGAATGGTAGCCAAGATATCCTCAGCAGTTAAACCACCAGATGGCTTGAATGGAGGGGGTGTGGCTGTTCTTTCCTTCTTAGGAGTAGCTTTCCTTTTTGGCGGTGGAGTATCAAGGACAACAGGAGTTTCCTCTTTCTTTGGAACTACTTTCTTAGGTGATTCTCTTGGTTTTCTTGGAGTTCGTGGTTCAATTTTTTTGGTTGCTTCTATTATTTCAAGATCATCATCATCGAAATCGTCATCGAAATCATTATCATCAAATTCATCACCAAAATCTTCATCATCTTCATCGTCTTCTGAATCAATTCTTCCACGCTTCTTGATAGGTTTCTGAGGAGTAGGTTTCTTTGGAGAAGCCTTCTTAGGTGACAGTTTATTGAAATATTTACTCAGAGTTGAATCAGCTGGTTTCTGTTTCTTAGGAGTTGGCTCTTCATCATCAAGATCAATCACTTCAACAGGCTTTCTTTTGGTCGACTATACGTGTTTGTGTTAGTATTTGATCAAACTTATAAAACCTTTGGATCAAAAGCATACTTACTTCTGTCTTTTTCTTCGGAGCCGGCCTACTGCTCTTAAAGAATTCATCAATTCCAACCATCTTGAATCCAATTAGTTAATAATGATAATTCAATTGATGATCTCTTAATGCTGTAAATTCTTGATCTAATAGTAATTTTTCAAATTTTTGATTTTGAAAGTTAATTTTACACGCGCGCCATTTTTATTTTTAGATCCTATCGATATTGTACTGGTATAGTTTTTCATATTTGGTATTGATAAATACTGACTACCTAGATAACTATAGAATAAATTCGAATCAAACGATAAGAATACAAATGCAAGTGGAAGAAAGTAAAGGGTAAATGCGAGATTTTTATAATTTTTATGGGGGAGGGGGGTACATTTTTAGTAGTATTTATAAGTAAATTTGACATGATTGATGAGAATGGAAATGAATTTCTATTTCCCACTCGATTCCTTTTCAAGATATTCCGTCCATAATGAGACAAAACTTTCTTGTTTCGACATCTCTCCATTGGCATTGGCGGAGATTGATGCAGAAGAGTTTGAATTTTGATTATGACTTAAACCAGCCGTGATTTTTTGAGATTCATTCCATTCTAAAAGTGCACTAATTAATTTTAAAGCTTCGAATTTCTTAGTATCACCTCTGGGGAATGATAAAAAGCTTAATAATACATTGGAGATTAATTCTTTATCTATGACGTTCTTATTGGAAGAATTTTGATGATTTATCATTGTTAATGATTTGGTTAAATGCTCATTTAGTATAATGGCTTCATGTCTTAATTTTCCTATTAATAATTGTTTACTATTTAAATCAGTTTTCAATGATTCAATTGATTTGTTTTCTTGTTGCAATGATTCGATGGTTTCATCATGGGTCTTAACTTCTTGTTTTAAGTTTTCTATGGTTTCATTTAACTCTTTATTGATTTCATTAAGTTTATAGATTTGAGCCAGATTATTTTCAATTTCTTTATCCTTAGAACTTATGATAGATTGTAGGTTGTTAATCTTGTTATTCAAATGTATTATATCCACTTCTTTTAATTGATTAATATCTTCTAATAAACCGTCTATTTTGATAAGATTATTTTTATTTTCCATGGTTAATTCTTGTTTAATTAATTCAAATTCATTAATCTGTAATTTTAATTCATTATTCCTTTTTAATAATTTGACATTAGTATTTTCTAAATTGTATTTCTCATCTTGTAAAGTATCTAATTGAGATTGATAATCTTTACGTATCGAATTCAAGTTTGATGATAATTTATCACATTCACTATTCAATTCTGTATTTTGATCTTCAATTAACTTTAATCGATTATTTTCTTTGGTTAATTTGTCAATAACTTCTTGAGCTTCGGCCAATTCTTGTTCTGATTGTTTTACTTTATTGAAAATGGTCTTAACTGATGATAATCTATTTAATAAGTTCTCATAGTTTTCTTGAATGTGTGCTTTCTCCTTTTCTGATGTTTCAAGTTTTGATTCTAACTCTATTATTTTTGATTTGTCTTGTTGTGAATCATCATCTATCTGAGCTTTGTCTCCATTCTGTGATTGTTGTAATTGGGTCTTCTCTTCTACAGCTTGATCTAACTGTTTAGTTTTAGATTCCACTTCAAGAGTTAATTGGGATATTTTATCTTTTAGAAGTTGGATTTCTGAATCATTGTTATGAACATCCACTGAACCACCATTCAGAACAGTTGAAATGCTATTCTCTTCTTTTGTTTCTTCTTCTTCATCATTATCTTCCACTAAATCATCTGATTCATTATCCTTTGAATCATCTTGACTACCACCATTAGAAGTTGCAGCAGTGCTGGTATCGGTTACGATTTCACTTTCACCAGACGCTGTAGCTGAATCCTCGGCCTTGGAAGCTTCTTGAATGGCCTTTGCCTTACTCGCCGACTGCTTCTTCTTATTTTTAGCCATGGTCTAACTTATGATCATATAGTTAATACCACTTTAAAAGTAAATATGAATTGTCAATAACCGATCACATTTTAACAGCACTGTAAAACTCTCGAATCTTTGTTTTATTTTTTTTCTGTCTCTATTTTGAAAATCGAAAACTCAAAAAAATCAGTCACGTGAAAATCTTGAACGATTTTAATTAGTGCCCTAAAACTAGCTGTTTACTCCCATGTAGATATCGTTTTCTGACAAGCACAAAGCAGTATCACCATTTGCAAGCTATTTGTGAATGATTTAGTTTGAATTGCATTTAATAAAGAAGTTTTCAAATTTTTTTAATTGCTTGATATTTTTGTAAAAAAATTGTCGAAAATTATGAATTTAATTCATCATACTGGAAGACATACACTTCTGTAAAACTTCAAAATCTGGCTCAAAATAGGTCCTAATATCCCTTTCCATTCTTCATCTATACTTGTCAATGACACTTTACTGCTTCCTGATGCTATTCTGACCACACGATATCTATTCATTGTCTTTAAGTTATTCCTACGACGACAAAATCTGGAGGTTAATACTGCTTTAACCCCCGCCCGTTTGAATCACTGGATATCGTACCTAACTTTTGCTTAAATAAATCTTACTGATTTATTAATATAACGGTCTTGTTTGACCTTCTATTCCATCTAATCTATAAATAGAGTTTTTACATTATGTTTCTCTATTCCACTCCATTTATATTTCTAAATTTATAGAATATTAAATAAATGTATATTTCGAAAAAAAAAAAAAAAACTTCAAGTATATCCTCCCGAGATGGTTTGAAAAGAAATTTGTTCATTGAGTCCAAAAAAAATATGAATCACAGCTTATAATTGTCCCTTTTACAAAGAATGATATCCAAATGTAAGGGAACAGAAGATTACACAAATTACAAGTTTCGGGCCTGAAACCATACTGTGTAAATTATTATAATTAGACAGTAAGTTAAACTAATTTATAATTAATATAACCAACCTTAGTTTCCACATCTTAAATTCTTGGCAAGGAAGATAACTTTATAGTAATAAGGCTGTAATTAACTGCAAATAATGTTTCCACATATTTCTCAAATCAGATCGTAATGTCATGCTTTCTGATTGAACAAAGTCTTTTCCTTTTAACTTTACACAATAAAGAGATGTAAAACAGTAGTGGTTTACAGAAGACCACTTATCATTTATTAGTGCCAGCATTAGATAAAGAGAGCTTTACGATCATCAAATTATTTTTCAGGGTTTAGTAAAATAAAGGCGGTCCAGCTTTTAATTTGTGGCTTTGAAACATGATGAGAGCAAACATCTTAACTTGATATAATACTTCTTAAACTTAAGTTGTCAGTAAATCTTCCTTTGTAATGAAAAATGAACAACCTCCTTATGTATATTCAGTGATAGCAGCAACCACACTTTTAGCGGTGAATGCCGCGAATAAAAAAATTAAACTTTTTTTTTGTATGACATAAAATTGTGGCAGCACCCAAGATTTTTCTTGTCCTTCACTACCGATAGATTAATAACGATTCGTCAAGATAACTTAAGTTGATAAGTTATTCTTATAGTATGAAAACCACATCTTGGTCTAAGGTTTGAAAAGATGATAAGAAAGAATATAAATAACCTCGAAACTCGACATGTAAAAACTCGTCAAAATTGTATAGAATTAGTTAAAGTGCAGAATATTTATCATAGCTGGAAAAAAGTTGCAGCCAAATCATGTCTAACATTTTAAGAAAAATTATTGATCCTATCATTGGGATTGATGAAGATCAACTTCAGATTAAGCAAGAACTTGCAACAGATTCAGAAGACGAAGAACAAAACTCTATTGGTGCTCCAGTTGAATCAAATAATCCATTAGGTTATAACTTAGATTATGTTTCTGCTTTTTATATGGTTATTCAAGGTATTATCGGTACTGGTATCTTCTTAACTCCAGCCAGTGTTTTAAAATCAATTGGGTCAGTAGGGGCAAGTTATGTACTTTGGATTGGTGGATTTTTCATTGCTCTTTTTGAAATCTTTGTTTATATTGAATTTACTACATATTTTAGAAAAAGATCAGGTGGTGATGTGGCATACTTAGAACAAGCATATCCTAAACCAGATTTCTTAGTTCCAACCAGTTATGCTGCTGTTTCAGTTATTTTATCCTTTTCTGTTAGTTCAGCTATTGCATTTGGTACTTATATTATAAATGCTGCTGGTGTTGAACCAAGTACTTGGAAACAAAGAGGGGTTGGAGTGGCCATTTTAACATTCACTGCTGCTCTTACTGCGGTAAATTCTAAATTAAGTTTGAAATTAGCTAATCTCTTAGGGTTTGTTAAGATGGTTTCAGTATTCTTTATTATTATCACTGGATTTGTCGTTTTAGGTGGAGGTACCAGAGTTAAAGATCCTCATTCAATCTTTAAAAATGCATGGGAAGGATCAACAAGTGATGGTAATGCTATTGCTAATGCTATTATTAAAGTTTCATTTTCATATGGTGGTACTCAATATGTCTTTGGTTTAGTAGGAGAATCTAATCCTAAAAAGACTAAGAACTTATTTAGATATTTCATTCCTGGAGTTGTGGTATTTGTATTCTTACTTTATATTTTATTAATTACCACATTTTATGCCGGTGGTGGTACTATCAAAGAAATTGAAGCATCAGGTAATTTAGTGGCAGCATTATTTTTCAAAAATGTATTTGGTACTAAAGCTGGTTCTAAAGCTTTAAATGTTCTTGTGGCCTTATCAGCCTTTGGTCATTTATTAGCGGTATTTGTGGGTCATTCAAGAGCTTTAAGAGAATGTGGAAGACAAGGTGTTTTACCATATTCTCATGCTTGGACTTCAACTAAACCTTTTGGTACTCCATTATTAGCTGTAATTGTTACTTGGGTAGTAAATTTAATTGTATTATTAGCTCCACCTGCTGGTGATGCTTATAATTTTGTGGTAGATGTTGGATCTTATTCTGGATATTTCTTCAAAATTTTATTAGCCGTTGGATTATTATTAGTGAGAAGACAAAGAAAGAAAGAAGGTTTAGGTTATAACGGATTTAAAGCTCCATTACCATGTATCATACTTACTCTTTTGTTTTATGTTTTCGTTATTGCAGTTTCATTCGTTCCACCAAAGGGAGGTTCATTAAAAGGTTCTGATGTTTCATTCTTTTATGCTACTTATGCTCTTACAACCATTGGTATTCTTATTGTTTGTGTATTATATTATTTCGTATGGGCCAAGCTCTTACCAAGATTAGGAAGTTATAAACATCGTCTTGTTTATTATAATTTAAACCATGGTGAAAGAGGTCATACGGTTATTAAAGTTAAGAATGAAGACATAGCTAAATTTGATGCTGAACATGATTCAACTGGAAGATATATTGGTGAAGATCAAGATGGTTCAGTTGAAAACATTGCTATTACTGTTGACTCTGAAAAGAAAGCTTAGTCTTACATTATAATTTAATAAACATAATCCTTGATCTAATAAAAAACCTCTGTAAACCAGATTAAAATGGCTGTTAAAACAGGATTATCAAAATCTTTTTGCGACATTTGATGAATTATTCCCCAATAGGCAAGTGGGGGCGAGGTCGTGTACCTGCGCCTCGAAGTGCAGTTTTTTTTTTTACATTTTTTTTTATTTTTCTTTTTATTTTCTTCTTTTTTATTTTCCTTCTCTGCCTCTCGTATAATCCTCAAAGTTAAAAGAAAAAGAAAAAAAAAAAAAGAAATGAATTCCCAAAACGGGATTATGAAGAGCCCTTTTAGAGATTACATACTAAAAAAAGCTATAGTGGAAATGATAACAACTTTTTTTAGAAATAGAAACTATAAGAGGAAGTGATTTACGTGGATACATATTTTAATATCTACTAGTCAGGGTAGTTTGACCTACATGCACGAATTAAAATATATTTAATTTAATAAATTTCATGAGCAAATAATAATAATAATAATAATAATAAGTGCTTTTGAGATGAGTGGATTATTTAGTCTCCATTGAGATGTGATAAATAACAAACAGACAAATAAAAGAATCATCATCATAAGCAAAAGTTTATCAACGCATAAAAGATTGATCATGATCAATAAATTATAGTAACAGGGACCATCAATCCTAGATCCTTAAACTCAAAATGAAATTTATTATATTACACTTTTACAATAATCCCACATTTTTTCAAAAATCCCATTCAATTGTATTTCTATGGGATGTCTATAATTGTTAATTATATTTCCTAATTGGGTTCACCTTTAACACAAAATAAAAATATAAAATCAACACACAAAAAGGGACAACATCCAAACTGCAATACTTCACCGCGATTTTAAGGGTGTTTTTCTATTTTAACACCTACAACTTGAACTTCAGAATATATGCCATTAAAAATTTGCACAAAATTCATTTTATAAAGTATCTACGTATACCTTCTCTGTCTTAATTGGATTGTTAGTAATAAAAGGAGGTGTTATTATCATTCAATTCATCCTTAAATGAAATAAGTACTCACTTGTCCCCTTATCCATCATCATTTTCCAATCTATCAAACAAGAAATTTCCAACCTCAAAAATCATAAAATCTACCTAATCAAACTATCATACATTTTACTCACACACCTTAAAAAAGCCAGTAATTCAACTCATTAAAATTACTTATATCTATAATATTCACATTATAAGAACCTATACTCATCGATCACTTAATGTTTGTTAGCTAAATATAATTACTGTTTGATTGCTATTAACTTTTGTTCTCTCATCATTCTCATTTCTAATATCTATATTGCATCATGTCATCATCTATGAGTGTAAATTCACTCATAGGGAAACAAGATGACCCATCAACAATACCGCCTCAAGAACAACAACAACATCAGCAACCACCACCACCACCATTTCCAGAGTCATCCCCTCCTCAACCACAACGACCACCTCCACCACAATTGGCACCACCACCCGCGATTCAATCAACTCCAATTCAAACTTATCGTCTTTCATCTACTCCAGCCGCAGATATAACTTCAACACCATCAAATGCATTCAGAAATATAGATCAAACTGGTTTATTATCTATATTAGGTCCTCAAGTTTCTCATTTTCCTTATTCCGAACAATCCTATATTGAATTAGTTAAATTTAAAACTGAACAAGAAAAAACTAAACAAGATTATTATAAACTTGAAATAGCTAATAAGAATTTATCTATTATTCAAACTAGTTTAAAAGCTCAGATACCATTGAATTTAATTCCTTTAATGTGTGTTGGAAATCAAACAGCAACGGAAGTTCAACAACAACAACAACAGCAGCAACAACAATTACAGCAGCAACAGCAACAACAGCAAGCTCTGCAACAACAACAACAACAAGCTCAACAACAGCAAGTTCAACAGCAGCAAGCCCAGCAAGCCCAACAACAACAACAGCAGCAGCAACAATTACAACAACAACAAATTCAACAACAATTACAAATGCAACAACAAATACAACATCAACAACAATTACAACAGATGCAATTACAACCACCACCGCCTCAATTCCAAAGGGCTCATAGTAGATCTGGCAGTTATTCCGACACGTTGAATGCCAATCCAATACCCCCTATGAATTATAGATTTGGTGGAGGGTCTACTTTACCACCTGCACCTGGTCCACCACAGGGAAGCTTGAAAAGACCATTATCACCAGCGAGAATTGGAGCACAAGCTGTTGCAAATTTAGCCCAACCAACTTCATCAAGTTCAGCATTTCGAAACTCTCCAGCTGGAAGGAAAACAAGATCTTCTACAATGCATCAAAGACATTATTCCATGCCAGTTGAATCCCCCAGTTTAAGTTCTAGGAAAATTGAACCTATCGATACACAAAATTTACAACCTTCAAGGGAACAACTGGGAGATCCAACTTTACTTCATTCACCTTCAGGGGCAACTTCAAACATTCAAGTTAAGCCTAGTCCTGCTCAACCTTTACATAAACAAAGCAAGTTAAATCAACCTCCATCACAAGAATCAATGACTTCTTTTCAACATATAATCCAATTTCATCATTGGAAACCAGAAAGTCCATCATCAGTAGGAACAGCAACGTCGAATTCACCCACTAACAATCCTTTCAAAGTTCAATCCCCTTCAACAGCAGCAACTTCATCATCTCCATCAGGCCCAACTCACAAGCGTCATAAATCCAATGCTGAGGGAGGTGGATCTCTCGATCTTACTTCGTCAACTGAATTGAGACCACCACAATCTGGTTCATCATCTACAATGTCAAGGTTATACCGGTCCGAGTCATCAAAACAATCGATGGCCTTGGCAGAAGACATTGAAGAAGAGGAAGAGGATGACGAAGCAATCGATGAACATGATGGTAAAGATGACCCAGCGGATATGACCATAGATTCAAGTGCTGATATGCCAAGTTCAAAGCTTGTACCTCGTGGAGACAATGAATCTGATCCGGCTGTTAATCCACCTAAAGTTCCCGGTCATGAAAGGCAACAACTGAATATCGGTCGTTATCCTCATGATATACTATCACCATCCACCAAATAAACCAATCCCTTTTTCAATCATTTATTTTATATTTATTTATCACTCATTCACTCCTACAACACAAATACAACCCCAGGCATATATATTTACTTCTACTACGTCTACTTTTTTATACCAATTCAGACATTGACGTGTCTGCATTCAGGTAAATGCATATAACATTTTCAAAGGCCAGGCCAGGCCTTGGCAACAGGTATCCTCCTTTCAAAAAGTATTTGTTCCATCGCATATCGTTATTTTTCCATTTTGATACCCCTCCACTTTTTTACTTCTTAATTCTTGACTTATATACATTCTTTTTTTGTTTGTTTATATAAATTTCTACCCGATATTAATCGATGATTAATATTTTTTTCAATCATTTAAATACAATGTTCTTTCATGGATATTAAACGATAAAATCATGTAAATTATTAACTATAAATTTTATGATTGCAAATTTCCCCTCCTGTATATAATCATATAACCGGCTGAACAACTTTAGAGTGTGGGGTGCGGTGGTGTGAGTACATTTTTTATATATAAAATATCAGTAAAGGTAAATAAACAAGATAAAATATCAGTATTTTTAAAGCTAGTCAAAGATGGAAATCGATAAGACTGTTAGACTTCTAAGGTATCTGTATAATAGACGATTGAGTTTCTTATACGCCATTGCTCGGAATCAGAAAAGAATTATCTTGAAAAATGTCAAACTTATCTATTATTTAGTGACCAAAATCATCTTAAAGCAAGGTTTGTTGTCTCCTTCCACCAAGAAGTCATTTTTGATAGCCTATCTATTGGTAACCATACCGAGATTGATAAAAAAGCTCATTTCATTGATTTTGAACCGAAAATATAGAGATATTGTACCAACCACGTCCAAGATTTTAACCAAGAGTTTACAATTTCATACATTTCCAATGTTTGTGGTCAAGTTAATCAGTATCCTAAATCTTTCAAACTTCATTCTCAAATCAAAGGTTCGTAACAAGCTCGTTTTGAATTTGATTTCAAGTTTCATTGCTGCTATTGTGACTTTCCCTGGTTATCAAAGATATATCATCGAGAAGCAAAATGATAGATATTATACGTTAGATTTAACATTAACATTGGTAGTACGTGCAGTGGATACGTTGATATTTTCACCTTATTTCAATGGGGTAGGTGATGCATTTTTGTTTATCGCATCTTCATACTTTATCATGGAAAGCTGGTTTTTGTATCCAAATAAATTGATTCCAAGCTATCGAGAATGGATAACATCTGCCGCAAATATGGATGAAGAGATGATTAAAGGGTTTAGATATATGAATACCAACGAAATCCAATATTTACATAAATCGGAGGATGATGATACTACATCAGATAAGACCTTACCATCCGAACAAGATTACTTTGAAAGATTCTGTACCAAGTATGATAAAGATCCAAAATTAGGAGATTTAATACACCAAGATAAGTTACCATGTGAGGTTATCCATTGCTTTTCATTTAAGAGTTGTGAACTTCACGCTTTGTACAGATTCTGGAGACAGTTTAAGTTTGCTGTAAAACTTTACGGATCTATCAATGTTGTGTTTTGGTTGTTACTAAGAAGAAAGAAGCTATCCAAATATATCGTCTCAACCATTCGTTCTTCGTTATTTTTGGCAACTTTCAGTTCTTTAGATTGGTATGGATTATGCTTAACCAGAAAAGACTGGTTAGCAAAACTTTTTCCTAACGTGCCTCAAAGAACTTGGGATTTATTGGCTCCAAAAGTTGGTGCTTTCTTATCTGGATTCAGTTGCTTTGTGGAATCCCCTGGTAGAAGAAAGGAATTATCATTGTTCGTCGCTCCTAAAGCACTTGGAACATTCATATCTCCAAAAGTTACAGAAAGGAATTTGATGATAGAAACCTTGGCTTTTAGTATGAGTTTTGCTGTTTTGGTTGCATTTGCTAAACATAGACCAGGAAGAGTAAGAGGTTTAGTTGGTAGTGCTCTTTCCATTGTATTTAACTAGACTGTCATATATATATAAACTTATTTATTTACTTATCTATCTATCTATTTATTTATTGTTGTTGCTGTTGGTACATATCTTCGGCCATAGCTTCAATTTCACGAAGATTTAACGCTATAATATTATCATTTTCATCTTGTAGATCTAAATCTTCATCATCATCGTCATCTTCATCTCCTTCAGGAGCTTGAACCTTCTCAAATGTGATTTCTGATTTACTCAAAGTACTATATTCTTTCTTTAAATCATGAGCTAAATTTCTAATCATGGCCTCCGTTACATCATCACTTATAAACCAGGTGACAAAATCTTCTAACCAGATCTTATCATAGACATAATAGACATCATGAAATCTGAACAATTCCTTTAAGTCAAGCAATGCTTTCAAGACTAATCTTTTCCCTCCTCTTAAATTGTAATATACATCATCCCAAACCTTTGATATCAAGTTATAATTACGATGATAAGGATAAGATAAAGCTCTTCTAATTAAAGTGATAGTAGATGCTCTAAGAACATTATCAGATTGGATTATAATTTGACTATCCAAGAAAGAAAATTGAGGTATAATCTTCCCAGCTGTCCATGCACTTTCTATATTATGGTCCCCTTCATTTTCACGTAAATCAAAATGATATGCGAACAATAATGATACTAATAGTAATAACAAAGGTGATTTATCCTCTACTAAATATGATTTCTTTGGTAAGTTTAACATTTTCTCTTGCTCATCCTTGGTGAAGGAAACTGGCATTATTTGTGTTCTTTCATTTTCTGGTAACAGTTGTTCAGTTTTATACCATTTTAAGAATTGTCTTACTAAGGGATTCTTCCATTCCAATATATCCTTATATATCTTATCATCATCCGGTGTTGGATACTTCTCCATTATATAATCTGCAGCATAATACTCAGGATCAAATTTAATATTCTCTTTAATCAATCTTTCTACTATTCTATCGGTATAGGCTGTATGTTCTGAATCACCCAACTCGTTAATATCATTTCCATTAGATTGTGACACACCTATGATACTATCATATTGGTTGTCAAACCCATATTTAACTGACTTTGTTACTTGTATGGAAGGATCAACATCTATGCCTGTTGAATCTGGTTCTGGTAATTTCTGCTCAATTTCCCAATTGAACTTCTCTCCTTCAGCGAAATCCTTTTCAACTTGTCGAGTGTTAGATATCTCATTTGAGACATCCAACTCTTGAATTAATGGAGTGTTGGTCTTACTTTCGGCAACTTTATCCTTAGTAATTGAATTTGTGTCTTTCAACTCATCATCATCTATAACATTAGTGGATCTAGCAAGTAATTTTGATGTCAAGTCTAAATCATGGAAGAATTGGCCTTTAGTCAATTTTGGAACTTTAACTTTAATCAATTCTCCTTCAAAAGTAGCATTACTTCTTTCTTCATCATCTGCTAATGGAAATGGTAATCTCAATCTCAAGTAATAAGGTGGTAATGAGAATATAAACAATTCTTCATCGATGGTAAACTCGATGCTCTTAGCATTAAATCGGATATGTGATACCTTAATATCTATATAAATGAATTCATCATCTTGGGTGATACTGAAGAATGGAGTAATCATGACAACTGTTGATTACGTTTAGATCGTTCTTGATTCCTTAAATATCAGTTATATCGGTTTCTAAATTTTTCAGTATTGTGATAGTTGAGCCGCACGATGAAAGATTTTTTTATTTTTACAAATCATTTATATGTAATCATATAACAAAACTATTATTTTAAAAACTCTCTATACACAAAGATATGGCAGAACCTCAGGTAGGAGTAGAGGCTACAGAAGTCAAGCGAGCTCCAAGGAGAAGGTTTATTGGAAAGAAATCAGTAGACAACGAAGACAAAGACGGTTCCAGTAATGCTTTAGTAACCACAAAGAAGAAACATATCGGTAGAGTCATGAATCAGATCCCTGATGAAATTATGAATGATAAGGACTTGAATGATGCCATAAGGTTATTGCCATCTAACTATAACTTTGAGATACATAAGACTGTGTGGAATATACGAAAGCATGAAGCAAAGAGAGTTGCATTGCAAATGCCAGAAGGGTTATTGATGTATTCCTTAATCATATCAGATATATTAGAACAATTCTGTCAAATCGAAACAGTAGTGATGGGAGATGTCTCATATGGTGCTTGTTGCATCGACGATTACACTGCCAGATCACTTGATTGTGATTTCATTGTTCATTATGCCCATTCATGTTTGGTTCCAATCGATATAACATCTATTAAAGTCTTATATATTTTCGTGACAATCAATATTGATGAAACTCATTTGATCAAGACATTGAAATTAAACTTCGATAAAGGAACCCAACTTGCAGTCTTTGGTACCATTCAATTTAATCCAACCATTCATTCAGTCAAAGCAAAGCTTGAGAGTGACGAAAGTCCAATATATCTTATACCTCCACAAACAAGACCATTATCCAAGGGAGAAGTGCTAGGATGTACTTCTGCTAGGTTGAATAAAGAGCAGATCCAAGGTATGGTTTATATAGGAGATGGAAGATTCCATCTTGAAAGTTCCATGATTCATAACCCTGATATTCCAGCATACAGATATGATCCATATTCTAGAAAATTCACCAGAGAATACTATGATCAAAAGCAAATGGTCCAAGTAAGAGAAGATGCTATTAAAACTGCATCAAAGTCGAAAAAAATTGGATTAATTTTGGGTGCTTTAGGTAGACAGGGAAATCCAATCACTTTAGATAACATTGAAAAGAGTTTAAAAGAAAGAGGGATAAAAGTAGTTAAGATAATCTTGAGTGAGATCTTTCCTCAAAAATTATCTAAATTCGATGATATCGACGCCTTTGTACAGGTTGCATGTCCTAGATTGTCAATCGATTGGGGATATGCATTTAATAAGCCATTGTTAACCCCATATGAAGCTATGGTTATGTTGGAAAAAGATGTAAAATGGACTAGCGAGTACTATCCAATGGATTACTATTCCAAGGATGGATATGGTAGAGGTAATATCCCAGACCATACCAAGGTTGTATAAAGTGTTTGGGGTGTATATATATTTATTCTTCTTATATATAGTTTCATGAATATAATCTTGTACTTTCTATATATGCTTCTTCAACACCTAGCAACGTAGCCAATTCAATGGTATTCCACGAAAAGGCCTCGTTTAAGTATTCTATGTTGATTAAGTTGAACTTTTCATAGAAATTAATGAAAGTCAATGCCGAATTAGTTATAATATCACTGACAATCATAGGGGAATTTAATTTCATTAACGATTGTTGGATTTCAATCAATGCATTTGGAATATAATTTTGTATGACTTCATTCAATTTAATCATTTCCTCTTTGGTGTATAATTTATTCTCCTTGATAGGTTCATATATAGAAACCTCAAAAAATTCATCACTTAATGGACATATCATTTGGACAACATTGTATAAATCATAAACTTCACAATTTTTCAATAATACATTCAATTGCACCTGTGTTAACTCATTCACCAACTCATTTATTAATTCGTTAATTTCTATGGTTTTATCACTTAATATAGTTATGGGCATTATCTTTGACAATGTCAAATCAAGGAAATTTAATTTAATAATGAGGACATCTCTCTTATCTTCAATCAACTTATTGTCAACTATATGCTCTTTGAAAATATCTATTGGATCGTTAACGATTAATTTTAGGAATTCATCATGGCTTTGCTTTGGTAAATCAAAGATGGTTTCTCCTGGCATTTGATCAATGATAGGTAATATATCAGCATAATATTCCACTATCCATTCAGGAGGTTGCAAGTCAAGATTGACATCTAACCTTGCCAGATTACTATTTCTGATTGTGGCTAATCTATTAGATATTACGGATTTAGTTCTATCTTGAGTTGACTCAACCAATTGTTTAACAGTTAATAAAAGCTCACTATTAGCAGGAAGCTGTTTAGAAAACATGATTGAATATAATTCAAGTAAGTTATGAATTGAGTAGAGTGTTGCAAGTTTGGTTTGGGATGAAATGATTTGATCTATTCTTGTTTTGACAGGCTTAGACAATGCTTTAAGAATCTTATTTATCACATCATCAATAATTATCTTGAATTCTTTGACATCATTTTCATTTTCTGGGGTCTCCAATGTGAAAATACTTGTAATAGTTTCTGATTCGTTCACCACAACAGAATGGATGTAAGCCAATAAATCCCCAATATATCTTATTGGATCATGCGCTGATATGAAAACTGGTCTGGAAGATGAATGGTCACTTGAGATGGATAAAGATCTTTGGCTCTTACCGGACGAACCTACCAGACCATTTTGATCCAAGTTTCCTTGAACTTGATTTAAAAATTCATCTATTAATAACTTCGACCTTTGATCTGTGAATGTACTAATAATGGATGAAAAGTAATTTAATTTATTTCTGAGATATCTCAAACATTGTTGTAATATAATCAATTTAGATCTAGAATTTAAAGCATACAAGTTGTTTAAAGTTCTATTTGAGAAAGTGATTATTCTTTCCAATGACTTATTTATAATTTGATTACTTTTGGACATGATCTTTAATCCCAATTGAGGATTATCAATTGACAATAATATGGAACATTTTTCATTTATAGCTTCAGCTTTCTTCAAAACATTGAAGAATTCGTCATTTATATCTCCTGTACTTAAAACATACTCTTCATACTCGTTAAGAGTAAATTGATCCTTAAATGCTACCAACAAGTTCTTCTTTAAACTTATGAGCTTTTTTGATTCGTTCAATTCCGCTACTTGCTTATTGAATTCATTAGAGAATTTATAATTCTTATTGATTTTCTCATTGGTGGATAGATTTAATTCATTCAATTTGATGAGTTTATCTTCAACCAGTCTGAGTTGTTTTATTATTGGTTGATATTCTTTTAGCACGAGTCCTTGAGTTTTAATCAACTCAGCTTCGATCTTACCACGTAACTTTTTTCTTGAAATAGAGCCTTGAAATCCTGGTTCAATTAATTCTTCTAATGTTTGATCTCCAGTACCAAATTTATCTTCTAAATTCCAGAAGATTTCACGAATCAAAGAATCACTTAAAGAATTATTTAACACCCTTGATAACCTAGTAGACAAAGTAGCTCTTGTTTGAACTTCAGAAGAATTAGCATTGTGTAGTCCTGCGCTTCTTTCATCATCACTATTGTAGGCGTGTTCATTATCATGGGTTTCATCACTCTTTAATAAAGTCATGGACACTTTAGCATACTTTTCAGCTAAATCATTTTCCTTTGTAGCCTCTTGAAATTCTGAATTGACAGTATTGGTAGAACTAGGTTCATCAAACTTTAACAAATTCCTAGCTAAACTAAAGCTAGTTATTCTTTTACCTAAATTTTCAATATTTGATGTGATAGGTAAAGACAACGCTGGTTGTGGTTGAGGAAGATTTTGATCATCCTTATCGACATTACTATTGAAAGAGTCGAAATCTAAGAACTCCATATTTTCCAATTGAATTCTTCTTAGCTATGGGAATTATTATATTCCACTTCAGTGGTCTGTTTCTCTATTATGGTTAAATTTCAATAGTTGATAGCGTTGTTCTTATTTTGATCTCACCAAAAAAATGAAAGGCCAAATTTTAGCCATTGCACATACATAGAAATATATATTCCTATGGGATTGCAAAACTACATTGATACAACTTAACTCAAATAAAATCATAATGCATTCCTATATAATCTGTATCATATATAAAACAAGATTAGAAGAATTACCATAATAAAACAGAAACAACACTTGTAGCCCAAAACCCAATTGATACCCTAACAAAACATGAAAGAAAAAAAAGCAACTAAATGAAAATGTGTTACGATATATCCCAAAACCCTTGACATATCAAGATTTCCCTGAACTGAAATAAATAAAGAAATAAATAAATAAATAAAAGCCACAAATGTTAAATAGAAAACAAGAACTAGAAACAAATAAATATAATGAAAAAAACACACATAATGAAAATAACACCAAATCGTAACATCTGTTGGGTTGAGAAAATAATTAAAAACAAATTAGATGCAAAACTGAAAACATTAACTTAATAAGTCATTGATCTTCATACTTGCTCTTCTATGATGTTGAGTGGGACTCGAATCTATACTAGATTTTAAATCATTCATCTCGAGTCCATCACGTACCAATGCTTCAGTTTCACTTGAAAGACCAGCTGCCAACAAAATAGTGGATATTCCACTCTTGTTATAAGCTGGAGATGCAGTTGTATAATTAGCACCTTCAGTTTCAATTTCAACGTTGTTGAATGAATCTTTATTGTGACTATCATTTATTGGTGAAACTTGCGTTGCTGAATTCAGTTTACTTAATGATTGTAAACATTTAGAAGCATTAACAAGATCCATAACTTCTGTATATGATAAATCATGTTGATTCTCATATGGACTGACTTGCTTCAATAATAAATTAGTGGAAACTACAATAGGTTGTTCATCAGTCTTCTTAGAATTGAACACAATAGGAGAATCAAGTAACATATTGGAAGTACTTGATGAAGCTGATAATATAGGTGCACTTTTAAAATTTGGTGGTTGAGGTAATGGAATAAAAGTACCCTGAAGTGGACCCTCTTTAACATTATCATGTCTATGTTTTACCTCTTGCTTTATGTGAGCTTCAGACTTCGATTTCTTTCTACTTTCCTTTTCCTTTTTAGGATAGCCATTGACTGGAGCAAGACTGATCTTCTTTCTCTTTGGATCATTCAGCAAATCACTAGGAGGAACTATTCTCTTCTGTGGTTCTCCCATTTCCCCAGTTCCACCAACAATGACTAAATTACTATTATTTGGAATACTTGATAAAACAGGTAAGTCAAATTCACTACTATCAATTTGAGGAAGTTCATTCAATTTAAGTTCACCAAACCCACGATCATTTGGAGTTAAACAATACTCAGGAAAATCATTTCCGAAGATAGGAATCAAGTCAAACCTAATAAAATAACAAAATCTTCTAGCCAAAATACGACATAACTTATAAGGTAACCAAGTACCTTGAATCTTCAAAAAGCCACCTCTTATTCTTTTTATAAATTGATGATATTCTTTAGGACATGATTCCAAAAGTTTAACAATATCAGCTTTCAAATTTGATGACGTTGAACCATAATTAGCATTCATATAATTATTTGAAGCTACTAGAGCCGCTTTCCAAATTCCAGTTAAATGTACAAAACCTGTTTCATAATCCCAAATTATCCAATGATCATTGATATGATATTCATATACAGTTAAATAGTTTCTGATTGGATCAATGGCAGATGTAGAATACTTTTTAACTTCAATTAATGGATATATTTGAAGTCTTAATTCAACTGATTTCTGAACCGGAATATTTCTTGATTCTTCAACTGGTAATCTATGTATAGGATAATGTATACTACTTTTTGAAATTATAGTACTAGTAGTAGCATTTGTACTTCTATGTCTCGTAGAACTCGATTCCAGCTGACTATGATGATGATCTTTATGTTTTGACATTCTCAATTGTGAATTTGCATTATTACCTATATTACTGACAGCTTTATATTTAAATTGTTTAGAAGGTGGTGAATTATAATTAGTATTTATGATTCCAGATTTAGAGGTACTGGTTGATGAAGTGCTTCCTGATGAAAATCGATTGACCATATGATAAGAATTGTTGGATGGTTTTGATACTTCCGACTTATTATTATTAGGTTTCATATGAAATACTTTGGTCGATGGTAATGACTTTGATTTCTGATGATGAATAAAAGTTGATTGAGGAGGTAATGCACTATTCAATTCCTTTGACTGATGTTTCTGATAATTGTTATCGATATTATAATTATAAGGAACTTGTTCTTCAACTGAGGGATAATTTGGAAACTTGTAATAAAATGGTGCAACTTCACCAGCTGAAAGATTTCTATACAATGGAGTTGAAGATGTTACTTTATTCACAAATCCTGATTGATTTTGATTTAAGAAGATTGATGAGATTGATGATGATAAAGTTGAAGATGATGATGATGAATGAGGTGATTGATTATGTGCTGCCAAACTTGAAGATGAACTTGTTGCAACTACACTATTACCGCGACTTCTCTTATAATTATTGGACCCACTATTGTAAACTGGGGAGAATGATATGAATTGATTAATCTGAGAATTAGAAGCATTAGATGTTGAACCAATGTTCGATGTAGACAGTTGATTGGATGTAACTGGAATGGATTTTATGGGCGGTAAATGAAATCCCAAATTAAACGAAGGAACTCCACGATCAGGCAAAAAAGTTTGATGCGATTGCAGCAACTTCTGATTATGATGATGATGTTGATGTGGTGATGGTTGAGGAATTGAATCACCACTTCCACTATTATAGGTCGGAAAACTTATAAATTGAGCTTGACGTGGAGTATAGTTCAGATTTATAGTTGAAGGTACTGATGAATTTGGAGTGACAGTGGAAGGAGTTGATGGGGTTGTGGTTGGATTCAGAAAATATTGGTTAGGGATCATTTTTCTCAGTAAATAAATTATATCCTCGTTCCCTAAATCAGTAAATCTTTGTAAAATGATAAGGCAAATGAATTTTCTTAGTGAGGAAAAACAAAAAATTGCTGCTACCGATGAGATAATTGTTCCAGTAAAATTCAATTCAATAATGAGATCAATCAAGAAGGTTGAATGTTTAAATAAAGTTGAATAATAATGAAAATAAGATAATGAAAAATCACTTGAAGATGGAATAATATAACTCACAAATAAAAAAATCTGAGCCTTGCAGGTAAAGGAATGTTTCGGGAAATAGTATATCGTTTCAGATCTCTCTTCTTCTTTCTTTCTTTCTTTCTCTCTTTACTTCTATTTTTATCAAAGTATGATACTTTCAATTGTCACAAAATAAAACAGTATGATCCTTTCTAGTGTTCAAAAACAAATTAAACTAAGTAAGTGATACAATAAACGATCCTCGACTTAAACTGGAATTCTCCTTTTCATTAATGGGCAAGTTATAGATCCAAAGTATTCAAATCAAATCGCTATCGTAATGAAATTAAGTAAATCAAAGGCTGGGGATAAAGCAATTGACAATGGAAAGGGAAGAAAACAACTAATAAAATTGAATATCTCTATAAATATGACGAGACCCTTATATTAAATATATATATATATTTATATTTACAAATTACGATTAGCATTTCACTGTACTTATATAAATATACTTCAGAAATGTAAGTATGAGCACTTAGATTTAGTTGTACAACTTGATTCTCGAAGGATTATTTTGAAAAGGGGGGTGGGGGCATTTTCTGTTTTTATTTTTTTTTTTTTTTAGAATTTATTTTTGGAATTTTTTTTTTTGAATTTTTTTTTTTTACGCTTTGGATGAGATTTCAAAAGTGAATTCACATTAAGAAAAATTGATGTTACTGACTGAAAGTTAGAATCATTTTTTGCTTGATTTCCGACATTGATGTAATTTCTTGTCATGTTAAAAAAATGACATGACATAACAGTTCATCTATCTCATTGATATGGTCGGTAATAGTTTATGACAATTTCGATAGTTGGAAATTACCTATCAGTATCTACGTAAACGGGATATAAGGCTAGACACTAAAACTTGTCTTTGTTCGTATTTTTTTGGTTCAGCATACCCAATTTCAAATCAACTGAGTTATGAAATAACTTAATGTAATGTATGTAATTCCATTACATTTTTCCATTTTAAACAAGTCAGTTTCTGCTCCTCATTAACTAATTTATTTTTAAAATTTTTTTGATCCTTTTAGTATGTGCTATTATTCCTCAACTTGCATAACCAATATTTTCATTAGTAAAATCAATTGTTAAATAATAAAACAACAACCGTAAAGAGATCAGATTTATCATAAAATAACTTTATGGACAATAACAAAAAATAACAATGAAACATTAAAAGTATAAAATAATAATAATCAAAAAAAAAAAAAAAGAGAAGAAAAAAAAAGAGAGTAAACCATTTCATTGAAAACTGTTGATAACAACGATGACGACAACGATAAAGAAGTTTTTCAATAGCGGTTTAATTAATGTAGTAGGGTCAATTAGGCATGAGAGGTATTTTAATAATACCTAGGCGATCTAGTGAATAAAAAGTTTTTGGTTTTGGTTTTGATTTGATTGTTAACCATGTAAGAGGAGATATAACCATCATCTATAGGAGTCCCGTAATATATTGATCGCAACGTTTAACTATAAACTTTTCATCCGTCTGGGATACATTGCTTGGATACATGTTTGTTAATCTTTATTAGAATTGACATTGAGGATGGGGATTTTTATTAATTGCTTATTTTAACAATTAGTCTATACTTTCCCTATGTTTCTTTAAAGTAAAAAGAGAGAAATCCCCTTTTATTCGATAATAGTAGACGTGTTTTAATTTGTAAACCTGGATGCATTAATCAATCCCTCACTTTGGATTCCATCTATCCATTACTATTGCAACGTCATCCTTACTCCAAACTACTTCAAATCGGTTCCAGTGAGTGAGGTTGTCCTGATTTCGACTTTCTTCAGATGAGGCGTATGCAACACAAAAACATTAAGGGGGGCAGCACAAATGCACTCAGAAAAAGTCAAAACTACAGTCATGATAGACTCAATCATAACCAATCCACTAGATCAGATCTTTACATTTTCATCGTATAGGGATCATAGCAAACCAACTTCATCGATAAGGTCCAAGAGTACTGAAAATGTGTCAGTTTATAATATCAATCGAGAAATACAATAGAGCAAAAATAAAAACATAAACAAAATTGGCTGAAAAATATCTTTTTTTTTTTGGGATTTTTATTTTTTGTGCTGAGAGAAATTATTTTTTTATGGGATTTATTTGTTCTCTGCAAGTAATTTAAAACCCAAAACGTACAGATGGCTATCACATCACTTTAGATTACCAAAATATAGTACTACATTCTTGTTAGTTAGAAATCATTTTTAACACACGTAAAATACATACATACATGCACACATGAACTGTTCTTAATGTATGATTCCGTCAATTCAATGTTTTTGATTTCTATGCTGTTGTGTTGGGTGTTGCGTCATGTCTTTGTCTTATGGTTTGTGGTTGGCAATATCTCAAGTAGCAATGACAACTGTGATGGGTAACGAGAGTCAAATCAGATGGAATTCGATTTTAGAGATCATATAACTAAATCAAATAAACAAAACAAAAAAGCAATAAAGTATTGTTGATGATTTGCTTTTATTTGCTTCTAGCCCTGTCTGATTTGTTCTTTCGTTCTTATCATTATACTCTTTATTATGCACAATCCAGTTTTATTATTATTTTAGAATTTTTTTTATTTCATTTGCTCTCGATAATATGCGGTATTACCTTGTTCTTATTGTGACATTGTTTACACCTACGATTTTCAATATTTACACTGATTGACTTCAACATCTACGCATTTGCATAGCAATACTCCGATTAGCACTAATAATCACCTTTCAAGAATGATTTCTACAGATTGTTATAAGATATCAATTGACCATTAACGTTACAATATTTACCCCTTGAAAATGCCTAATCTAGGGCAATTGTCATAATAATATTTGATGATTAACAATGGTTAATAATTCATCGACAAATAGCCTGGATAAATGACCCAACCCCTCATTCAGTATCACTCGACAGGTTTGAGCCTGAAAAGTAAATAGTCTGTGTTGAATCGCCCACGATCATATAACTAGAAAATTTTATTTGACCCTTAACAGTACACACATCTTTTTTTTAACTCCAATTGTAATCAAAAAAGTTCCCATCCTATCCATAATGACTCCAACTATAGGCTGGAAATTTTTTATATTTGATTCGTTTGCGGATAATTAGGTTCCATTAGTGCGTCTGTCTTCTCTGCGATGACGAGAAGTCAAAAGCTTGTTTCTCCTCATTTTATCAATTTTAGTCAATTGTTTCATTTACGTGTATACCAAAATCGAGAATCGTTAATTCTTTTAAGGATATAAGACTTTCCTATTTGGTAATTCGTGGGGTGAGTTGAGTTAAGTAGAATTGAGTTATTTTAGAACATGTACCAAGGCTTTAATATTCCGAGAAAATTTTAATAGCGCTCAGAAGGATTCCTCTCCCCCCCTCCATTTCTGGATTTAGGTTTGCTATTCTAATTATATCTCATATTTACAGATACTATGATGTAGTTATTAGACAGTGCAAAATAAAGTTATTATACAACATTTTCATAACCCCATCTCTCTAGAACTGACCCACTTGAAATTGATCGACAGGTATTTATAATTAAAGCATACATGATGTAGCCTTTTATTAACATTTTAAGCTTTAGCTTTTCGCCCAAACGTAAAAGTCTTTTTTTTTCACAGTAGGCTCCCTTATCTAGAATCATGGGCCTAAAATGTATAGTGAACAATAAAATTCAACAATGCATCGAAATCCAATCCAAGTAGTAAACCACCTCATTATATGTTTCTCGAGAGTTTCATAACTCCCTGAATTTGTTATCAGTTGGTTACCATCAAAGAATTCCATATATTTAAAGTTTCATTCAGCCTTTTGCAGCAAACTACAGGAAAGTATAAGATAATTAAAAATAGATTTATAAGATTTAATTTTAACAAAAATATAGGTAAACTATCTATACACAACACAAAATACAACAAAAATAAAAAAAAAAATGCAAAGTATAATATTATACAACAAACTCTAAGCTTTAACTTTCAATTCTTCAGTTCTTTTAATTAATTCTTGGATTTGTTCTCTAGCTGGATAGAATCCCCATTGATATTGTCTAGCTTGATGAACTCTAACACCCAATTTATCAGCAAATTCCCAAACTAAACCTGGATTTCTTAAAAACCCTCTACCAGCTAATGCAAGATCAAATAATCCATCTTCAAGATACTGATTAACTTCTTCGGGTTTATTATGCAAACCTTCAACACAAGAAACAAGAGCTTTATCACCAACAGCTTCTTTAATAGCTTTAGAAAATGGAAGATGAGCTGGAACGTTGGATCTAACTAGACTTTTTCTTGAAACTTGAGCAGAACTATTACCACCAGATGAAACATCAAGTAAATCAACACCTTTTTCAATAACAATTTTAGATAATTTAATAGAATCTTCAATATTCCAAGCACCTTCAACATCAGAATTTTCAGAAGCTGAAAATCTTAAGAATAATGGAACTGATTCAGGAATATTAGATCTAACACTATCAATGACTTCTAATAAGAATTTAATTCTATTTTCAAATGATCCACCATATTCATCAGTTCTCTTGTTAGAGGTTGAACTTAAAAATTCACTAATTAAATAACCATGAGCACCATGAATTTCAACAGCATCAAATCCACTAATTTCAACAGCACGTTTAGCAGCTTCACCGAATTCTTTAACAATCGTTTTAATTTCTGGAATAGTTAAAGCTCTTGGAGTATGCAAATTACCATGTTCTCTAAATGGAATAGCTGATGGAGCCACGATTTTATCAGGCCATCCACCAACTGATTCATCAGCAGTTTGTTCCAAATGGACATATAATGGTTGACCACTAGCTTTTCTACCACCATGAGCAATTTGAATAGCAATCAAACCACCTTGGGAATGAGCAAAGTCAACGATTGGTTTAAAAGATTTAGCTTGTTCATCATTATAAATAGCTAAATCTTGTGGAGAAAGACCACCAACTTCAGAAACTGAAGTGGCTTCAACAATAATAATACCCGGACCTCTTAAAGATAATTGACCATAATGAATTAAATGATAAGGAGTAGCTTCAAACTTAGAGTTAGCAGAATATTGACACATTGGTGAAACTCCGAGTCTATTTGGTAAAGTTAAACCTCTAATTTTCAATGGTTGAAAAATTTTTGGTGCAACTTCTCCTTCCTTTTGAGGGAAGAAAGTACCTGGAGCAACTAATTGTTCAGGAGTGAAGTAATCCACAGCCGGAGCCGGGTTAACAGGAGTATTAGATGACATTGGTATATATGCTAGTAATTGAAGATTGAACGATGTTCGATACTTTCAATTCAATAACTTCATGTTGATTTGGGGGACTTGTGGTATGATATTTATACTCAAGAACCACAATTATCATGATTTGTAATATTTTTCTCGTTATCGTGAGGCGCACTCGCATCCTAATTGGGAAACTCCATCGGTTCGGAAATATCGTTAAAACTTTGAGCCTTAATTACAAATTGCAAAAGATCTCAGATAAACAATACAAGAATCATTCAATGGAGTGTTATATTTTGGAAACCTCCTTAGTAATTCTCTAATCTGTGTGGGATATTTTTTGTTGAATTAATTTACTTGCATCGATAGTACCTTTTCTTGGCTTGACTTAATTACAAATCAAATGGGATAAAAGTTTTGCATTAGGGCCGATATCAAAATCTCGATGACAGGTGAAACTTGATGTTGATAATACCATTACCTTAATAAGATGATTCCGATTATCAGGTAAGCAATTTGTCACAACATGGTCAGTTTGTTGTTGCAAAACATCAACATTAATCGTACCGATTAATTCTAATTCAAAGCCACTATTAATGACCAAGCGGTATATTTCAGACTGAGAGATTTGAACAAGTGACACAAAATCAATTCATCACTGGTAATTTTCAGCACTGAGTTTGAGATTGGGGGATGGTCTACAATATCAAGTATATTTTTTTGATCGTAAGCATTTCATTTCTGCCATAAATATTTATAAAATTTTGATATTCATTTCATTAGAAATGATTATTAGTGTTTGTTTAATTTATATATATAAGATTGAATAATTTAAGTGAAAAAAAACTGAATTGAAAACAAACCAATATCATGGTTCTAAACAACTTTCAAAGTCTAATTAATGTGATTTTGATATTTAAACCTTGACTTGGGTCTTTAATTTATCAGCAACAGCATCTAAAAATTCAGTAGTGGTAACATAAGCTGATCTTTCAGTCTTACCACAAGCTAAAGCTAAATCTTTAGTCATAATACCATCTTCTTGAACGGTATCAAGAGTAGCTTTTTCAAGAATATTAGCAAATTCAACAACTTCTGGTGTGTTATCAAGTCTACCTCTTTGAGCAATACCTCTTGACCAAGCAAAGATAGAAGCAATAGAGTTAGTGGAGGTTTCTTTACCTTGTTGATGTTGTCTGTAATGTCTAGTAACGGTACCATGAGCAGCTTCAGATTCAAAAGCTTTACCATCTGGAGTCATTAAAACAGAAGTCATTAAACCTAAGGAACCAAAACCTTGAGCAACGATATCAGATTGAACATCACCATCATAATTCTTTAAAGCCATGACATAACCACCTTTAGATTTAATCATTTGAGCAACCATATCATCAATTAATCTATGTTCATACCATAAACCTTGAGCTTCGAATTCTTTAGCATAATCGGATTCATAAATTTCTTGGAAAATATCTTTGAATCTACCATCATATTTCTTTAAGATGGTATTCTTAGTAGATAAATATAATGGTAATTTTTTAGTTAAAGCCATTTTAAATGAAGAATGAGCAAAACCAATAATAGATTCATCAGTATTATACATAGCTAATCCCACTCCTGGACTCTTATAATCATATACAGTCTTGGTTTCAGCTGGACCACCATTAGCTGGAGTGAAAACGACTTCCAACTTACCTGGTTCAGAAATAACTAAATCAGTAGCTTTATATTGATCACCATGAGCATGTCTACCAATAACAATTGGTTCTTTCCAACCTGGAATTAAACGTGGAATTCTTGGAATAATAATAGACTCTCTGAAAACAGTACCACCTAAAATATTTCTAATAGTACCATTTGGTGATAACCACATTTTCTTTAAATTGAATTCTTTAACTCTGGCTTCATCTGGAGTAATAGTGGCACATTTAACACCGACCCCATATTCTTTAATAGCATTTGCAGCATCAATAGTAATCTTATCATCAGTAGCATCTCTTGATTCAACTCCTAAATCATAATATTTTAAATCAACATCTAAATAAGGATTGATTAATTTATCTTTAATTCTTTGCCATATGATTCTAGTCATTTCATCCCCATCTAATTCAACAATTGGGTTCTTAACTTTAATCTTATCTAAGATTTGACTAGTTGAAGAAAATGAACGAGCATTATAAAAAGTGACTGGACGTCTAAGCATAGCAGTTCTAATCATGATAATGAAATTATAAGTTCCTATGTATATTACCTTTACACTCCGATCTTCAATTCAAAGACCTGATATAAATAAAATTGAAATATAAGTGAATTCAATCGTATAAAGAATTCCGGTATGTTTGAAAAATTTTCTGACATATTGTCTATAGTTTAAATAGGATGAATCATTTTGGTTTGGGGAGAGAAAAAAGTTGGAGGAAACTGTCCGGCCCTTTATTTCCGGTGTCGCACCTTAACGTGATCACAAAATGTCATTAGTTAATAAAGGCAACCATTTTTACAACCAATCAATACAACCAACAGTTGATCATCAAACAAGGTAATCAATACCTTAAAGTGACAATAGATTGATTATAAATCAATAAACAGTTCAATCATCAAGATTTGGTTGTTTTTCCGGATACTTATTATAGTTTAAATTGAGGGGAAACGTTGTACGGCTATCGTTTGAAACCATAAATATAATTAGCCATGGATATCAATCTGCCATTCATATACTGTGGGATATGTTTTGATGATAATTCAAACGTCATGAAGGATAATGATAATCATTTAATGTTGACATCTTGTGCTCACATTTCTTGTAAACGTCATATATCAAGTAATTAGATACCATATTATCAGAAAGTTTCAGTTTCAAAAAATATTGCAATACTAACCTTTATTTCCAATTAGATCCCAGTATCCATCATCAATCATCATGTCCCGTATGTCATACACAGGGTGTGTCATTAGTTCTGATTGATTCGAAGCTACCTGCTGAATTGAAAAGCTTTTTCTTACCTATTCCAAAACAAATTGATTTATTAACTAGTGCTGGTAAATTTCAATATTGTTCATTAATTGAAAGGTTAAATTATCTTAAGGGACAAAATGTCAAGTTGAATGATAAGGTTAAGAAGCAGAAACAATTGTTGTGTACTGCTAAAGAAGAGTTGACTCATTTAAATAGTTATAAAGGAAAGGTTAGTCAACTTGAGAATGAAATTCAATCATTAAGACAGAAGCTTAATTCTACGACTACAACCAATCATAAAAGTCATGATGATTTTGATTTTTCGGATGATGACGATGATATAGTGTTGAATAACATTAGTCATGGAAGCAATAGTAGTACTAGTCATATGAATAAGAATCAATCATCAGTTCCTACTAGTTTAGCACTGAATACTTTTATTGAAAAGATTCATAAACAATCATCACAAAGAGTTGTACCTTCTGTTACTACTAGTTCTACATCTACAAGTTCAAATAATAATAATAATCTTGGTTATACCAATAATGAGATATCACCTATAGTTAATCGGAGTCGAAATTCTTTCTTTGCTGAATCAACTAAAATTGGTGAGATTATTACACCATTAAGTACTGGTACTTCAAGAGGTACAACATCATCAATGGAGTTAACTCCAAGACAAGAAATACAACAGCAACATCCTCATCCTCATCCTCATCCTCATCAAGCTCAACATTCATATCCTCAACAGAATAACAGGTTAAATCGAATATCTAAAACGAGATCATTAACATCTCAGTTAGCATCACGAATCTCATCTCATATGAAAGTAGCTAGTTTATCACCAAAGAAGTTGCCTACATATAACAGAGCAGTAACCAAACCATTATTAAGTAGAGGTATAGGAGGTGGGTTCTTAAGTGCTAGGCCATCAACAGGTAAGAATTCACCATTTTTCAATGACCAGAATAGGTAACTTATGACTGATGAAATATTATTTTGCATTATTTTTTATAGTAATAAATGATTACCAGCGTCTAAAGCAGATGATCTTATCACTCTATTTCTTTTTGTGTAAAAAAAACTATTTTTTTCATGGCTCAGGAGAGACCAGCCAGGAGAAAATAAAATAAAAAAAACAATGTATAAAAGGGGAACAAATCCCTCGTTACAAAATTTTAATTTTTACAACACAATTTATTTTACTTCTAGCTATCTCTATCATCATATTTTCATTAATAGAACGGTGTATTATCAATACATTTGATTCTCCACCAGTTAATACCTTACCAAGTTAGTCCAACGCAGTTAAGTTTGGATTAAAAAAAAAAATCAAAAAAAGGAAAACAGAAAAGAGTTCAAAAACGAACCATACCACCACCAGTGTTTAAAAAGACACCAAATTTAGAGAGAATCTACAAACTGCAAGATTATTTTAATTCTTTCACGTCTATTTTAACTTAATACGTGTTTCACGTTTATCTTGAATCTGCTGTGAAGGAGTTTTTCGGTTTGTAATAACTTTAAATTTTTTTTATTATTCTTATCAGGTTAAATCAGTTTCAGATTTATCACTGTGCTTTTTAAGCCAAAACACCAACACATTTTACAAAAAGACCAATCATCTTTTTTGTTACACACACATACTTTTTGCTGGTTATACAGAAATTTTTTTCTGTTAAACCGCAATTCCAATTTTTTCTGCTTTTTTTTCTGGTTCATATTCGATCACGTGCTTAAACACGTGCCATTTGTCACACTTTTGATTCTCACACGACCAATTGTCAATTTTTTGTCTTTTGTCTTTAATTTTTGTATTTCTGACTTAAGTTCTTCGTTTGTTGCACGACTTTCAATTTTGTGTCATTATCATACTATAATAATAATATCATTCTAGTTCAAGATGGATAAGGATGCAAAGAAAGAAGCATTCATTAAATCATATGAAGAGAAACTTGAAACTCTTGTGGTGAATAAAGAATCCATTTTTGAAGAATTAACCAAGTTAGCATTAGATAATCAAGATTATGCTGAAGATATAGTGGAATGTATCAAACAAAGAATAGAAAGAAAACCAAATCATGTATTGTTAACCATGTATTTGATTGATTCAATATGTAAAAGTATTGGAAATCCTTATAATGTTTACCTTTCAAAGTATATTTTTACTTTATATACCACTAGTTTCCGTGTGTCTAAAGAATCGGTTCGTCAATCATTAAAATCATTATATAATATTTGGAAAACTGATGCTGTAACTCCAACTAATCAACCATATTTTCCAAAAGTTATTATGAATAGAATTGATAAATTTTTAATTGAAGTTCATAATATTTCAAAACCAGTACCAAATGTCATTCCAAATGATCCAAATACAGCTAGAATTGCATCTCCAAATCTAAATCAACCATCTCAACCTCAACCTCAACCTCAACCTCAACCCAAACCAGGTCCAAACCCAGAACAAGATTTATTACCCGATACCATTACTCCTAAAATGTTAATCTTAGAAGGTCGTGATTTATTACAATATATTTTGAAAGTTGATAAAATGAATGTCAAAGATGTTAAATATCTTTCTCCACGAGGTAAAGATTATTTACATGGTTATTCAAAAATTAGAAATGATATGGTTAGTGAAATCAATCAACTTATAAATGATATCAAGCTTGATTCATTATCTGATGAAAAAGTTGAAGAAATTAAAAAGAATACGGAAGATTATGATGATATCTTGGCTGCTATTGAAGATAGTGAAGAATTTGATATACCCATTAATCAACATGCAAAATTATCTAAAACTGTTATAGTGTATCATGAAAGTTTCTTAAAGATTAGAAGTATTTTAGATAATCAAAATTTTCAAATTCAAAGATTTGTGGAAAATAATAATATTAAAATTAAAGCAATTATTGAAAAGGAACTTCAGAAAAAGAAAAGATTAGAACATAACAAGAAGAGAAAACAGTATTTCAATAGAGAGAGAGTTGTGTTAAATCCAATTCCAAATCAAGTTTATTTCAAGCTGATCACCAGTAAAATTACTAAAAGTGATTATCTTTTCCATCTTATCAATAATTTCGGTAAGAATGTTTTATATAAGGAATCCATTGTGAAGGAAGAATTCGCCTACGAAAGTTTAAGTAATGATTTAGTTCCTTCATCTCCTGCTGAAAGTGTCACCAAGGGTGAAGCTATTCAAAGTTTATCTGAAAGTTTAGGATTTGGTAATATTTCAAGTGATGCTTTCCTTTCAAGCTATACTAAAGAAGAAGAAGAATTAAATAAAAATAAAGATTTGGCATCTACTGCTGCTGCTACTACTGATTTTGGTCCTTCTTTGTTATATGCCGAATCTAATAATAATAATAATAATAAAGAACATGTTGAAATGGCAGGTCCAGTTACTACTTTTGCTACTAATGACGGTTTCTCATTAACACTGTTAGATTTCGGTACATCAATTTTATCTGATGATCGTCATAATTCAGAACAAGAGAGTAATGATAAAGAAGTTGTTCCATCTACGGTTGAATCTCAAAATAAAGATGTGATTATGACTGTTGATAATAATGAAAAAGAACAATCTGCTGGTCAAGTTGTTTCTGTAGTACCAGTTGAACAACCTCAGCCAGAAGCTGTATCCAAAAGTCTCAAATTCTTCCCTATTAGTGAAGATGATAATTTGGAAATTGTTCCGGTAGAAACTGATAAAAGGGCAGGTGATGAGAACGAAGATGATGATGATGATGATGATGTTGAAATTGTTGGTTTCAAGAATGTTATGAATAGACCTCCAACTCCACCATTAAAGCATGTGAAAGAAGAAGAAACCGAAGGACTGTTAAGTTTAGTTCCCGCTGATGATTCAGATATTGATATTGCTGTGGTTGTTGAATCAAACCCAGAGCCACCAGTTGATACAACTCCTGAAGTTCCATCTACTGAAGCAATTGTTCCTGTTTCTAACACTGCGTTAGTTCCATTACATCTTAATGAAGAACCCACTATTCGTAGTGAAGAGTATAGAATTGAAATTCCAAGCAAGAGAACATATGATGTCATGGCTACTGAATCTCAACCCACTCCTGTTACTCCAGTTAATGCTACTGAAAATGGGGAAGAAAGAATTAGTTTTCAATCTTATAAAAGAGCTAATATTGATAATCCTAATAAAAGTTCTAAAGCTGCATATTCTAATTTACGTGGCAGAGCAGCTCATACTCCAACATCAACATTAGCTAGATCTTATGAAAATGCAATTCCTTCTCATATTAATGCATCACCCGCTGGTAGTCCATCATATAGTAGTTCTAGTGGTCAATCTCAATATCCAAGAGTTCCAAGTAGTAGTTCTAATAGTTCAAGAAGATCATCTAATAGTTACGGGCCAAAGAAATCCAATTTGAAACTGGTTCATCGTTCATCTCCTGGTCCTAGAGTGGTTAAAAGAGTTAGATTTCAAATCAACTAAATTAGCATATAATTAAATAGCATATAATAATAATAGATTTAATAACGTAATTACTTAATTTTAAAAGCAATTTGAAGCCTACATGTAGATTCCACTTGTTAATACTTTTAACAATAGTATATGTATTGTACAAACTATAATTGTCATATAAAAAGGTTGTTTCTGTGGGGTGGTCGTTTAAAAAATATGGATAAAACAAAAATGCAATAAAAGATTAAAGGAGGATTTGATAAAACAGTCCATGACATGATACTCCTTTTGATTTTGAATAAGTGAATTGTAGTAGTGGTGGTAATAGTCTGTTGTGTAATGGTATGGAATGGATCGATAGCATGTAGTAACCAATACTTTTCATGATTTAAAGGTCAGCTCATCATCCTATCATATCAACAAACATGTAACCTAATTACCGGAAAAGTTACCAGCCTTATACATTTGCCATGCAGTGGTTAAGAATGGGAAAGCAAAGAAAGTACCTAAGATACCCCAATAGTACACTTTGAATGGAATGAATTTGGTTTTAACTGTAAATGGAATATTGGTATATTTCCCTTCAGCTGGAGTACCAAACCAAGCATTCATACGCTTGGCAGATTGCTTGAAGGTTCTTTGTTGTTGGTTGAACAATCTTTGGTTGACTAATCTTAATCCTGGTCTAGTGAACATCGTTATCGTTATCGTTATCGTTACTATGGTATAATTGCTTATAATTGAAAATAAGTAGAATTGTCTAATTGTACGATTATTTATATGGGTTTGGTGGTCTTGTTTTTTTTCCCTCTGTAGATGGTTTTGGTCGCACACTATTTGAACCAATAAAATTTAATTGGTTAAAAATAAAAATCAGCTCAGAAATTTTTTAAATGTTTTTTTTTTTGGTGTAACAATTGTATAATTGAAAGTTAAGCTATTGGAGAAACACAGTTAATTCTTTTTCAGATATATATCATTCCTTTCATTTACTTCATTCATTCCATTGGAATAATATCATTAACCAATTAATCACATCACATCACATCACATCATAATGGCCATTGCTCCAATTACAGGTACTTTAAGAAGAAAGATCTTCACTGATATAACCATTGGTTTTGGTTGTGGATTTGTTTTAGCTACTGCTTACTGGTACTTAGAACATAAACCAATCGTTGCTAAAAGAGAAGCTTACTATGCTAAGTTAAAGGCTCAAAAGGATGTCGAAGATGCTGCTTAGATTTAAGTTAACTTAACTTAGTTCATCTATTCCATTATTCACGATTTATTTTTTAAACCCAAAAAAAGCTTACGACACTTCATCATCATTATCATCATCATTATACGATTCTAATCAACATCATGGATCTCATGCCATGCCATGCCAATGATTCTATTTGAGCTCTTCTCTTGTTATCGATTAATCCATTGAAGAATCAAATAACTATAACTAACCAACCAAACCCCATCCATCAATTCCTTTTATCAAGTCTGTTTTTCCTTTTATTTTTGTTTTACCCATCAATTGCATTTTAGTATCATTCCATAACAATCTGATGGATTAGCCAATATCGATATTATCAATATCATCAATCCTCAGTTTTATCCTATTCTTTATATCATACGAAATTTAAAAATTTTACTATAGTTTTATCTATATTTTTATATTTTAATATATAAAATATACAATTTATTCAAATAATATTCATTCATCATTATTCTGCTTTGTTAAGTTGTAAAATAATTCAATAACTTTTTACGATTGATTATACCATTCGTTAATACTATAATTCTCTTATTTTTCCCATTTCTAATTAACTTTTGTTGCAAATATTTCAAACATGTCATCTCACTTCTAGTTATACCTCCAATGAATACAATCACTATATATTCTAATGGTTTCCGTGGTGAAAGGCTGGAATTGGTAGTAGTGGAAGTAGTTGTAGTAGCTTTTTGTTGAAATGGTGGTGGAGTCGATGCTGGAGTATTTACTTCACTTTGTAAGTTTCGTACCCCATTACCATTGGTAGTTGTATCTCTTTTATCCAGTTTATCATCGACATTAATATCATTTACTTTACCTTTAAACATACTTCCAACTCCTAAGTTATCCCAATTGGGTCTTTTCTTAACATTATTAATTGGTTTATAAACTAAAAAATCACGAAAATATAATGATTCAATTAATCGATATGTTAAAGGAACCATATTTGAAGGTAATGTAAATGAAGGATGAGGATATATATCAATTAATGATATATTATCCACCTCCAATTTTTGTAAATTAATATTAATATCTTCTTCATCTTCTCTATTAGGATGTAAATTCCAAAACTTATCAATTAATGTGAAATTATTCTTATAAACATCTTGAGCTCCTGTTATACCTAATTGATTTAAATTCTCATCATTGTTATTAACTAAAATATGTTGGTTTGTAGTGGATGATGTGGTTGATAATCCAATTACACTAAGGAAAGTAGAACTTTGATCAATTATTAATCGAATTAATTTAAATTCAACTAATTTCTCAAGTGATAATGAAACTTTTAATCCATAATTGATTTGAATTTGTTGATTTATTAATTCAAAATCTTTTTCCTTTATACCATCATTCTTAATTGAAATTAATACCATTATACTAAGAATGATTTCATAATTGAAATTTAAATTTAAGAAATATTTTAATTTCGATATTTGTAAATTATATTCAATATCAAAGAATTCATTTTGAAATTGTAAAAACGTTTCAAAATTAATCAATTTATTAATGATTGATTCACTTATATTAGTATGTTTCTTAATTAAATCTTGTCTTTGAGTTAAAGATCCTAATTTACTAACAATATTCTTCATATCTTGAATATTTTGCGATTCAGTTTGATTTTGTTTAAATTGTTGTTGGATTTCCTTAGCTAGTTTATTCAATATAGGACCTAATGTGGAGAAATTTAGATTCTTTAACGTATTTGAATATAATTCATCATTAATTAAACTCTTATTGGATGCTAGGTCGTCATCTAATTGACCTTGGATTTTATTAAAATTGATATCAAGTAAATTATCAATCAATCCATGATAATTCACTTGATCCAATAAGACCGAATAATAATCTAAATTTCTTTCAATCACCACTAAATCGGTATTACTGATTAATTTCGTATTGTAAAACTCGATTTCTAAATCATTTAAATTCAAATTTAAAAATTCAGGAATCTTAGTCTCATTGATTAACTTTATAAATAAATCGGAATGATTACCCTTTCCATAGATATTTTTCAATTTTAATAAATTCTTATAATTAACCTTATTCTCATCATTTTTAATAAATAAAAGTTGCATTAATACATTAGCTAAGGAATTGACTTGCTTCAAAGGCTGATTGAAATAATCATCTACTCCACCAAATTGACTATCGATATCAATCACTAAAATATCTTCGAGAAATATAGGCAAAGTTTCCCAATTCCAAACTTTAACTCGAGGTATGATATTTATAGTTTTGATTTCATTCAATTTAAGTATACCTTCGAAGGTATGTGATCCATTGCATAGTTTATTCAATTCATATACAAATGAATTTGATAAATCTTTAACGATAAGATTGATCTTTAAACCAGTTATTGAATTCAATATCCCCAACTTTGTGAATAATAATTGTTTTACCAATTCCAAATTCTCATGATTTTCATCAATGATGATAATTAAACTTTGAAACTTTTGAAAGATGGATAGATCTTGATATTGTTGTTGTTGATTCAACCATATTATATTTTCAAAATTCCCATGTTGTTTCAATTTACTGAATGTAGTTAAATTATTAATGAAGGGGGATAAATTTTGATCAAGGATTAATAAATTGTTAGTGGAATAGATCTTAGATAAGATACTGAATAGATTTTCAACTGTTATATGATTGAATTCATCAAGGTTTAATCCAGAAGTATCTGTTTCTATAGGTATGGATGACGAGTTGGCATTGTTACTGGCAGTTGAATCACTTAGTATCGATGCATTGGTTGGAGGCAGTGTTACCTGAGGTGGCATCTCAATCTATATAAGCAAGTGATTCAATTATAACCAGTGTTGTGGCTTGTTGTAATTGATCAATGTCTGATTAAACCGTTTGGCTGCCTTTTCCAGTTTACATATTTTTGGCTGCCTTTTTTTTTTTGCCTGAAGGGAGATATATATACGCTACCGATCAAAATAATTAAGTATATATATATTAAGTGAAAATTATTGTTATTATCTAATGTAAATTATAATTTACAGTCTAAAGTCTATGAATATTTAAATAACAGTAAGAGCAAATGGTTAGAAGAATTGAATACGTAATGAATGATTTGGGATTATAACTTTGCTCCAGCTTCTAAACCATTAAGATGAACTAAACCTTCTTGAACAAAAGTGGCAACATGAACCCCTTTATCATTATATAATTCTCCTTCCATTACTACTCTTTTATTGGCGAAACGAGCTGCTTTGAACGTAACACCCATCCATTTAGTAACATCGAAATCATCATCATGGAAATAAACGACATGATCTAAAGAAACAGAGAAATAATGAACCATATTTTCTAAATCAACATCTTCAAGTCTCATGACTCTAGCTAATCTAGTTAAAAACAAGGTATCAGATAATACTGCTAACCCAGCATATTGATAATCTTGATTCACATTGGTTAAAGGTTGATTATAACCTTGTTCATTTTCAATTCCCCATTTAGCATAAAATGCTAATCTTCTTTGCGCTACGGGAACTTTTTCTTCTTCAGGAGTTAATTTAAGATCTAATAATTCAGGAATAATTTTATGATAAACTAAAACTTCATAACCTCTTGGATCAACTTCAATTTCATCAAGGTTTCGATTATTAAACCAAGGATGATAAGGAGTTTGGAATCCAAATGGTTTTTGAATGATTTCTCCATCTTCATCTTCATCTTCATCATCCCCTTTTTCTTCTTGTCTTTTTACAAAATCATCATATTTTGCTTGAGCTATTTTATTTGAATTTTTTCTAGTTAAGGAAATATTAGCAATATATTTTATTTCACCATTTTGGAATCCTTTAACCAGTCTATTACAGAAATTCTTCCCCTTTGAAATAATATCAACTTCCCAATCCATCAATTCACTTGATGATACTGGTTTTACAAAATATGAATGTAAACAATGAGGTTTAAAATCAGGAGGTGAAGTCCTAAGGGCAACTATAACAGCTTGAGCAGCCACATTCCCACCATAAGCACCTCTAGCTTGAGGCACTGGTTTGGTTAAGGGACGTTTTGATCTGAATTTATTGGGACCAGTTTCAATAACTCCAAATTCCTCTTGAACATCAACTACTTGATTTGGTTCGTAATTTGGCATTGTCGTACAGATATGATGGTAAAATTTCGAGGTTAAAATTGACAGTTTATTTTTTTGGGTAAGGGAATTTATTTATTTTTGTAATTATCCTCGTTGTTGTCGTTGACTCTAAGGGTGTATGACTATGATATGAACTACTATTTTTGAACTAATGAAAGTCAAAAATAAGGTTTATAAAATGCTAATGTAGATAGATATACCTTTTAGTGGCTAAATAGGTTTTGAAAAACTTCTCTAAGCAATCAATTCATATATATACAAAATAATAATTCTATTATGTAGTGTGGGGAATGAGTGGTGGATTTATCCAGCGACAATCATAGTGGGAGGAAGTAGGTAAAAAGTATTGGCGTAAGGCCCATTAGGATTTAGTGAAATTTCTTCGTCTTTTCCGCTGCGAATTAAATTTTTTTTTTCTTTTTCCTTAAGCCGATGTTCAGTGGGGGAGGGCAAGGCAAGGCAAAACAAGACAAAAATCACAGAGGGAGGGGGATTTTACTATTTACTGAGAAATCATTTACTGACAATTCTGTCATAAGACTGTAGAACATCTCCGTAAAAATAACTTTATATAGAATTTAAGTGGATTTAAGATTTATATTTCCTTTGGTTTTACGTATCTGTGTTAAATGGGTTATATTGTAATGTGATTAGTTTCCCTTGTTCAAGGACTTATATTTTTGTCTATGAACCCGGTAAAGTTGTAGGTAAGGAGAAAAAAAATAGGGGAGTGATCTCCCGAGTTATTTCTATTTCCTCTATTACAAAGTAAATTATCAAACCTATAGAATGAGTCCTCTTAAAACAAATCTACTTTTACCGAACAATGCATAGTTAGATAAGTAATTGGCAAGTTTTAACTTGATGTTGTCGTGTAAACTATCCCAAATTTTGATTATTTAACTATATCGGATGGCATTTTTCACTTACCGCCCCTCAAAATAACCACATTTAAAATAATCTAAACAATGTTGCAAAACGTTGACACAAAACATAAATTATAAACTCATAAACCACATTTTTAAATAACAATAGTGTTTATTTTGATAAATAATCATAAAAGCCATAACTAAAAGATAGTAAAGATAGATAGAACTAAAAAGTATAAATAGTTTAATAAATAGTTTAAATAATAAATAATAAATAGTTTAATAAAGGCAGAGGCAAGCAATAAACTATATCAAATTATAACCTAGCCAGTTCAGTTTTATTCTGTTTGTGAAAGTTTTCATGAGCAGCTTTAGCATGATCAACCATTTTCTTATCTAAAAATAATAATCCTTCTTGGATAATACTACAGAATAATTTCCCTTCAATAGTATAGAAACGACAATTAACTAAAGTTCGATCATTTCCTAAAGTTGAAAAACTATATTCAAGATATAACCATTGATTTGGATCAAAATGGAAATCATGAAAATAAACAGTTTGATCTAAACTAACTCTGAATAATTTTTTTTCTTCAGGTAATGATAATCCAATTGCATTAACAATAGTGGCTAAAATAACGGCATCTGATAATAATCCAATTTGAGCATATTTAGTCTTGATAGGATTCTTAGCCAAAGCCAATTCATCAGTAAATCTACAAAAAAATCCAAAGGTATGATTTCCAACTGCATTCAAATCAAGGGAATCTTTAGCAGGGAAAAATTCAGGAGGGAATACATGTTGAAGATGTCCATGAGTATGTTCAAATAATGGTAAATCATCAACTTGATCTTTATATTTATCATAAGTCCAACCTGGTTTAGTACTGAATTGAATTGGGATGGATCTGATTTTAGCATCACCTTGTGCTATTTGTTGTTGATAAATTTCATCTCTCTTTTTAGAATCATTGTTTCTAACAAATGATATTTGAATGGTATAAACCAATTCATTAGTATGAACTTGATAAGCTTTAGCTAATCTATTAGAAAAGTTTCTACCATCACTAATATGAGTAATTTCCCATCTTGTTGATGATTCAATAACTCCATTTTTAATGAAATATGAATGTAATGAATGGGGAGTAAACTCAGGATCTTTAACCGTAGCCCAAGCAGCAAGAATACCTTGACTAACAAACTCTCCCCCAAATGTACCTCTCATTTCATCTCTAAATGGTAATAAAGGATATTTTCCAGTATAAACTTCCTTATCAGCAGTAGTTAAGGATGAATCCTTGATAAGCTCCATTCTAGCTTCAAATTTATTGATATCTTCATTATCGAATATATGATCTAATTCTGGAATCATGATTGTTGATGTTTTCTATGGTTTACTCTATGAACTGTTATACTATCTATTAGACTTAAATATTCATCATGACCAAAGTGAAATATTTAACTTGATATTACCTGGTATATATAGCTGATAATCAATGGCTTCCTCGGCTCATGAATTTGTATGGAGAGGCAGAGCCCATACTGTTTTTAAGTTTTGTGATATGTTCTACGGTGCGACCGTTCTTCTGTCTAACCCCGAATTCTATATACTTTGTTTTTCACAATGGTATCTTTTTAATTTTCACAAGCTGTTTCATTTTAAGGATTAACTACTCTAGAGTGACATTGCTATTCATTGTGATTTGTATATATGTACGATGGCGTTTGGGTTTGCAAATGTGAAAAAGTTGCAAAATTAAAAGCCGTAATTTATAAACTACGACTGATGAATTCTTAAATATATAAATAAATAAATAATTATATTCTATGCCCCTATGAACTTAATATCAAACTTCTATACACCTATAATTTAGCCTTATATTCCGTACCATTACGGAAAAATACTAATCCCTCTTGAACTATACTGGCAAATAATTTCCCATTTTGATCATAATAATGAGCAGTTAACATGGCTCTATTATTACTAAATCTTGGAGTTTTAAAAGTAACATAAATCCAATCTTTTGGTTCAAATGCATCATCATGAAAGTAAATAGAATGATCTAATGATACAGAGAAGAAATGTCCTGGTCCACTATCTATTGGTAATCCATTTTCATAATTTGGTAAATGTAAAACTCTTGATAATGAACTTAAAAATACTGAATCACTAATTAATCCAAATCCAGCATATTTATAAGGAGTTAATGATTTCCCAGTGGAATCATCATTGATTCTGATCCAGAAAGATAATTCACGATCAGCTGCCAGTACTTGATGTTCATTATCATTTAATTTATGATCAATATAATTAGGAGGAAATTTATATTGGAAAATATTATTGATTTCAAAATTATCATAAGTAGGTAATTCATCACGAGAATATTTAAAGAATTCACTATTGATTTCTTTTTGAAATTCAATTGGTAAAGGTAATTTCTTATCAGCATTCAAATTATATTCCTTTATAGAATTTGACATGGAATTCTTTTTAGTAAGACTTATCATAACAATATATTTCAAATCATTATTTTGTAAAACTTTAATTAAACGATTAGCAAAGTTTCTACCATCACTTAATTTTTCAACTTTATATTGACAAACTATTTTATCATCACCAGCTTTAACAAAATATGAATGTAATGAATGAGGAACGAAATCAGCTGGAACAGTTTCTAAAGCAACCACAATAGCTTGACCACATAAATTCCCACCATAAACCCCTCTTGATCTTGGCATAGGTTTAGTTAATGGATTCACCCCTTCATAAGTATCTACTTCACTTCCATCACCATTTATCACTGGTCTTACTTCAAGAAATTTTTCTAATCTTTGTTTCTTATCGATATGGGTTGACATTGATTCTGACATGATTTACGATTTTCAACTGTATATGGATCGACTAGTAAAACAAAGTGAATGGATGTAGTTGGGATACAATGTTTACTTTACTTTATATATATAACGTATATACATAAATAAAATTATATGGTTATGAATAAATTCACGTCTTCTTCCCCTTTATATATAATTTCTAATTAACTAGTAATTAAGCATCGGTTATTTCCTCATCTTTATTACCCAATCTTTTTTTTTAACCGAGGCTAGAAATCCAGCTATCTTGTATATAAAAATACGCCTTATAATTTTGCATTATCAGGAACACCATTAAATAGATAAGTTAACCCTTCTTGAACTATAGTAGCCACACATTTTTTATGTTCATTAAATAAGAATCCTCTCACTAAAGTTCTATTATTGGATAACCGTTTCATTTGATATGTAAAACATAACCATTCTCTAACAATATCATAACTGGTAGGATCATTTGAGTCTTCATAATGATCATTATGAAAATAGATATGATGATCTAATGACATGGCATTATAATGAAACAAATGTAACATATTAATTGAGTTACCTAATAATAATACAGCATCTTTACTATCATCATATTCTTCAAATGCGTGGTCTTGAGTTGGATTCCATGGTATATGTAATACTCGCGCCATAGTTGTTAATAAAGCAGAATCTGATAAATCTGCTAACCCAACATAATTATACATTGGATCTTTAAATGATTTTAAATGTTTTCGATTTATGATTTTATTTTCAATGGTTACTATTTTATCATTTGAATTTTTAATATTATCTTTTCTAATTTCATATTTATCTTCATGACCTGGTAATGGTTGATTTTTAATTCCACTCCAAACAGTTATCCATCTTTCAGCTGGTTTTAATAAATCTTCTTCAGGACATAAATTATAATCAAGGAATTCTTCACTATATGCATTTCTAATATATCCTGTATGTTGAATTTGATATAATTTATCTACATCAGGATATTTCAATTGTAATGGAGGAGTTGGAATTTGAAAATCAACATCTAATTGTTGACGAGAAGGTTTATGATCTCCTCCTCCTCGTTTATATAATGAACAAATACAATTACATCTGACTCTACCCATTTGAATTACTGTTATAGATCGTTTAGCGATATTACCATCATCAAATAATTTTGCAACTTTATATTCCATAGGAACTTTTGATTCACCAGCAGCTATGAAATAAGTATGAAAGGAATCAGGTATAAACACTTCTTGAGTATGAGGATCTCGAGTTGATTCAATGGCTACTAATAAAGTTTGGGCAACAGTATGACCTCCATAAACTCCTCTGGCTTGTTTTATTGGCTTTTCCAATGGATGAGCTCCGATATAATTCTCTTCATCAATCTTTATCACTCGAAATGCTTCCTCGAAATCATCAATATGATATTTATTAGGCTTTAACATTTTCTCTTTGTCTGTTTCTTCTTCACTCATTATGGATATTCAATGGTTAGATAGAAACCAAAACTTTATCAAGGTCAAGATCAAAGTTAGATATGTACAAGTATGGAAAATGAATGATAAAAGGTGGGGCAGTTTAAGTTAGTTAAATACACTGTGTGTTCCGTTTTTTGTATTTCCTAAACTTTTTATTTTATTTTTCGTTAGCGGATTTATTTGTGGGGAGAATCAACCGGCTGTAAAAATATTTAAGGTCGGTAAGTATTTGTTCCCCCCTAAGATGTTTCAGTTCAAGCTGTTATTAAAGATACTATTTGGATGATGGATGTGATATGATAGTATTATCGTATATAAGTCATCAGGTCATTTGAATCAGAAACAAACATTGGTTAAGCATAATTGAATACTCCAGAACAGTTAGGGACTCCTCGTAAAGGATCGCAGGATTTAGCAAAAAAAGAGGTGCACATGAAAACGGACTTATTGATATGATACTGGGAAAGTATCACTAACCATAGCTTCTGAGACTGTATAATCACACTATGATTGCTCAAATAGATAAGTTGAAACATCTAGATGGGATATACCTACCTTTAATTATAATAGGAAGGAATTTTCCCACTTCAAAGTGAATAATATTTATATTTTACGGCATTTACTAAAACTAAATGACGCTAATCTTAAGTTTAAATCTCACTAAGCATTATCTTTATACTTTTTTTTTAGCTGATGACATATCATGTCTAATCTTTTTAGAATTAGACATGTGATCTGACAATCCATATTAATATGAACATTCAGCTTTAAATCCAAAAGTTTACCATAGTAAATAAAATTAGTGTGGTACTGCATATAGAGATGATATCAAAAAGAAAAAGTTTTAAGTGAAAGTGAATATGAAGACTAGATTTGATTCAATTTTAGAGAAACATTTAAATGATATAGGGATTAGATGAATAGACATCCTGTTATAGTGAGTTATCGATCTGTGGATGATTTGAAAACGTTAAAAGATTGGTTTTATAACTTTGATGACGCAAAAGATAATCGATATCGAGCCATTCAAAGAGTGAAAGCTTTAAGTTCAAGAGGAAGATTACCTCATGGGATTGAATCAACTTCATTATTAACCTCTATATGTTTACAAGAGTTGGATAACAAACAGCTTGATTCGAACATTTTACAATTATCATATTCTTCAGCCATCATCAGGTTCGTGAATGGATTATTGGATCCATTTCAACAATCAAATTATGCAATTCCTTTACATTTATTAGCAAAATCTCTTAATTTGCCAAGTTTCTTCGTGGAATTAAGACATATGAGTACTCATGAGAATCTCCCATCTTTAGAAATATGTCGGATTGCGTGTAAAAGAGCATTGAATTGGTTATATGATAATTATTGGTGTCATATAGAGGATGAAGAAGATGATGATGAAGAAGAAGACGATGATGAGGGAGAATTTGAATCACTTAGTGAATCTACCAAAGTCATAATAGATACTAAAGTGAAAGAAATAGAAACTTTTATCGAAAAGAATCAAATACAAACTAATTTAAAAGCATATAAAAAGATAAGGAAATCAAACTTGGATTTGGTTTATAAATTTGGTGATTCATCCACTGAAACAGCTATTAAATATAACAAGATCATTAAAGACATTAAGAAATCGTTAGCTTATTCACTTGATGGTACATTCATTGGAAATCAGATATTGATTTTGATCTTAATTTATAATAATTATTTGATTTATAATTCAGATAAATTGAACACCAAAAAGTTAAAGTTCAATACTTTATTAATCAAGTTATATAAACCTTTATTGAATGAGTTGGGATTGTTATTTAAAATCCAATTAGCAAGGGCTATCATAAGTATCATTAATACCTATTTTAGTGAAGGTAATGTGAAGGATTTTGATCAAATTTTTGAATTTGTTTATTCCAAATTAAATTATAATAAAGTAAAACATCCTTTTGAAATAGTCCAATTACTTGAATGGTTGAATTATCTTGTTGTGGATATAGTAAGTTATGATACAAAGACAGATTATAGACTATCAATTACTACCAAATACAATCAAGCATTGGTTGAATCAAATAGACAAACGGATACAATCACCACTAGAAATGGTTTAGTTAACACGTTGTTAAAAAAACTAAACAAATTGCATAATATCTTACCCCTGGAAAATATCGAATTACAAGAAATCTATCTTAAATTATATGAACAACTCCAAAAGATAATTACTGATGATAAAAACTTAAAGAATTTATTTAACAAAGAAAACAAAGACATCATTAATGAAAAATTCAAACAGTTAAAAGTATCGATGGATACAAGATTAGCATTTGATTTACCACCGTCATTGGAAGATATATTAGGAGAATCAGCTCCGAACCCCACTACCAAGCGTAAACCCATCTCAGACAACATCCAGCCACAAACTAAAAAAATAAAGGTTGATAATCATCAAACTGAGAAAAAGCAATATCTCTTTGAACAACATGACGATTGGGACCCAACTCCATTTGGGACTTTTGTATAATAGGTACATAGATTTAATTATAACGTGTATTATAGAAGAACATTTCCATCCTAGTGTAGTTTCATCTCTTGTGATTGCAAAATTAAATACTGCTTACTGATAACTTGTATGCAGTCCACGCTAAAAATAGGTGTTACCACAACTCCAGTTTTAGAAAAACACTGTGATTCAGATAGAAGCGTTTAAAAGGCAGCATCAGTTTTGAAAGAAGCTTAGTTACTACAAATCAACTATATTCTTAGGGTTCAACAAGGGATATATCGTATAGGAAGATTTAAGGGCAATCGTCTGTTTTAGGCAAAAGGAAATAGTTGAAAAGGAATCATATAAAACGTGAGACGATCACTCACCGTATCAAATAAGCAACATAAAAGCTAACTATATACACCTTCTTTGCCTTCGAAAGTATCCCATTTATTAGAATTAATCCATTTAACTAATCTATTGATTAAGAAAGTTGTCCCATTTCCCAGTATAAATCACATTTCTTATTAGTAAGGGCACAACAATCATATCATCATAATGAGTCCTCAATGGATACCCCAGAATATCCAAAAGCGATTACTACTATATGTACTACAGCAACTATCATTGTTTTCAGAAATAGATTTGCCTAATCTTGAAGAAGTATCGTTGAATAATATCATCTTACGTAATGTATTAATAGATCCTGAAAAAGTTGGAAAACTACCTGGTTGTAATTTAAGATTTGGTCAAGTTGGAAGTCTTGAATTGAATACTCAATCAGGTGGAGGTATAATCGGAAGTGGTGGAGTCAATATAGATGCCAGAGATGTTGAATTGGTGATATCTCCAGATTTCGATATAGATGAGAATATAAGTAAGGAAGTTCAGTTTTCTTTAGCTCAATCGACAGCTGATTTAGCAAATACCATAATATTAGACGAAGATGCTGATGCTGATGATACTGATGATGAAATCATACCTCCTGAAACTCCAAGCCTATCTCGTTCTAACTCAAATTCGTCTACATTCTCTACTTCATTCAATAAACCATCTGCATTAAGTAGTGTAATGTCCAAAGCTGTGGATATGGCATTACTGAGATTACAAGTCAAAATAACAAATTTAAATATCAAAGTGGTTTCGGAATTAACTGATCTTTGCTTTAAAGTTGAAGAAGTTCTCATCAATACCACTGATGGTACTAGAAATGTTAAGGTTTCTGGAGTTGAGCTTATTACCCTAAAACCAAATGTAAATCCAGGTGAAGGTGATCATGATGAAAAGTCCAATCCTCAACACGATGAGAAAGATGTAAGTGATGAAGATGAAGATAATGAAGACGGAAATGATTACGGTGATGAGTCATTGATGGATAGCATGGTATTCACACATGAAGAAGCTAGTTCAATTTATTTAAGTGCTACCTCTCAATCATTTGCAAAATCTGGAACCATAGGTGAGGATGCTAAGAACTCTCCCTCCCCAAAGGAGCATCCAGTTGTATTTCATATGGATTCTTGTCACGTTTCTTTCGAAGGTTTAACAAACATATCAGATTTAGTCGTCGATGTTGGTCACATAAAAGTTGCTTGTATACCGTTGACACCTACTATAATTTCAATTTTTAATGGAATCACTAGAAGTATTAAGCTTAAGAATTTACAAAAGAGAAAACAAGATTCCACAAGAAAGCAACAACAAAATTCAAGATTCCCTCAATATACTACTAATGACGATGATGATGTTCCTGTTGATGATGAGAATTCAACTAATAAAAATGACGAAAATGGCGATGCCTTTTTTAATAAGCTTCATGTAAATGAAATTACAGTCAGTGCTACCGCTGCTTTGGATAGTAAAGGAAACTTCACTTGTCCTGATAAGGGTATAAACTTTGTATTTCATAACTTAAATATCAAACAAAAGAATGAGCTGTTGATATATGGAGGAGTTGAGTTTTTTAGAATACATCAATATCTAAATAATCAATGGGTTGATTTGTTTTACTTTGAACCACCTAAGAATCCAGAAACTAGTACCTCATCGCTAAACTCCCCAGCACCAGCCAGAGCTATGTCTCCACTGAGTATTCTGTCGGCGTCATCGGTGGCATCCAAAGCTTCGATCAGAGCAGATATAAGATTTGAAATATTTAAGAAGTTGGATGAAGGATTTTATAATGTTGAAAATACAGCTTTATTTTCTAAGACCGCTATATTCAATTTAGACCTATCGAGTATTCTAATTTTGACAAACTTTGGAATTGCTATTTCTTCAATCCAGGATAGCTTCAAACAATTGCTATCAACTATAGAATCCATCAACATCAGTAATAGTTCTTCAAATAAGACAGAAAAGTCATCTAGATTGAAATCAGAAGAAATACCGACAAGACATCAGTTTATATTACAAACAGCACCTATTATACTTAATGCGAAGTTCAGTGATGATCTCTTCCTTAAACTTCTTGCATTCCCAATATCATTCAACTTATTAAAGGCCCATCTACTGTTATCAAAGATTGTAATTACCCAAGTCTTTCCAACCAGATCTGAAGAAACCATTGTTACAATCACTGATGTATCGCTCATAACTAAGCTTCAGGAATTTAAATCATTTATTAATAGGTCAGATAACTCAATCCCTAGAGAAATTAGTCTTAACTCAGAGTTGAGTCTAATTGTAGAAAAGATCTTGATTAATCTAAGGTTGGATCAATTAAAATCAATGATAAAGCAATTCACTTCGTTGTATCAATCGTTCCAAGACTTGTCTTCTAGTCAATCAAATTCATTGGAAAACTCATTCATTGATATCAGACTTCGCAAGCCAACTAGTAGGTTAGATAGTTCTTTACTACAATCGGTGCTTATGTCCAATACTTCAAGGAATCCAAGAAGAGGTTTTAGCAATAATAGGTCACTTGGATCAAGCTTTATTGCATCTAGTTCTAGATCAAAACATGCATCCATCAGATTATTTATTAAGAATTTAGAATTCAACCTATTGGAAGTAATGCCAAAGCTTGGAAACTTCAAAGTGAACTTGGATCAAGTCTTATTCTACCAATTAAAAGAAGATTTTCAAGGGTCTATACTTTCATTGGATATAACCAGAATTAAAAATGATGTTCAAGATAAAGTTGTTTATGAATTCCAAGAATTACCATCTTCATCCTTACCTTATCCGCTAATTATTATTCACTGTAAAACGGCAGATAAGATAAATAGTGTCGATATAACTATTCGAAACTTTTTGATTGAGTATTATACCAACTGGTTGAAATTATTCGGCGAAGAAAATGTTCCTGTTAAGGAGGAAGAGATTGCTGAATTATTGGTCGATAATGTACGGCCTGCAACTCCAAGCAGTCCACTGAAGAGGTTTGATATTAGATATACCTTACATGATTGCGTAATTGGTCTTAATCCAGGCAAATTGAGTTGCAAGAGTTACTTGGTCATTGGCAAAGGAACTGCTGACGTCACTTTTGGTGTAGATCAATTCTATATCAAATGCTCATTCAGAAATATGTCTATGTTATTGATTGATGATACTCAATTTATTGATAGATCTGAGTTTCATAAAAGATCAGATAGGAACTCAAGGTTATCTGTTTCAAATTATACATCACCATTGAATTATTACTTAGGTATTGGATATGTGTCGGTCGCTGTTATCAACTCTGCTCATGTGGGTATTACGTTTAATACAGATGTAAATGCTATTATGAAGAGAAATAAGAGATTAGGGATCCATGACAATTTAGCCTTACTAGACCTTAAGCTTAATTTGGATGAGCTTCAAGTTGATCTATGTGCTGATTCAACACATGTATTATTGCAGTTAATAAATGATTTGAAATTACCATTAAATTTCAAAGATGAAGAAAAAATGAAAGTTAAAGTTGATAAACCAATAAACTTATTACAAAGTATAGATGAAGATGAATTCCAAACCTTCTGCAAGACTTCAAAAGTAATCAATGGTCATAATGGTTCTGTAGAAACCATAACAAATGATCTAGGTGAAATAAATATTGTTGACACCTATTATGATGATATTGCAACGGCTTCTTCAGTATCCAAGCTGACTTCTGAACTGTCAGACTTGAATATATCTCTGGAGGAGAATCTGAGTCTCAGCTTTAAAGAGGATCATTTCACTAAAGATATAAAGAAGCAGAGTGATAGTTTCAATGTTGATCCTATTAGAGTCAATGTAAATCTATCCAAAACCAAAATATACTTGTATGATGGTTATGACTGGAGAGAAACAAGGAGAGCTATTAAAGGTGCTGTCAAAAGAGTCGGAGAGCAAGCAAAAGTAGAGAGAAAGAAAAAACAACGAACTCAAACTTCTCAACAGGGAGATCCAGATACGAAAAACAATGTAAGGCCTCATGTCAAATTCAGTGAGGAACAAGGCAATTCTGAAATTCCTAATCGTGATGAAGTTGAAGATTCTGAAAATGAAATGGATGACGATGATGTCTCCGTTTTTGAGGAAACATTATTTCAATCTATTCATGTTTCATTACCTAAAGGTTCAAGTCCTAGTGAATTGACTGACAACATCAATAAAGGAATGCAGCTTAACAATATGACACAAACGGATGAAGAATCTATAAAATCACAAGTTAATGTTGACTTAGGTAAAAATTACAAGAACTTGAAAGTACGTCGTTCAAATGTTCATAAAATCTTAGTTGATTTAAAGAATATTGAAGTCAATTTGGTGGTATTTTCAACTCGTGATCCTAGGAAAGATGAAACTAATCATAAATTGGATTATGAGCTTTTGAACTCAGTTGAAGTGAGACTTGGTACAATTGACATTTACGATAATGTGGCTACTTCGACTTGGAATAAATTTTTGAGTTATATGAATATTTTAGGTGAAAGAGAAATAGGAACTAGCATGCTTACATTGTCTATCACTAATGTGAGACCGGATCCATCTTTAGTTTCAGGAGAAGCTTTAATGAAAGTGTCAGTATTGCCTATAAGGTTGCATATAGATCAAGATACTCTTGATTTTTTGACTAGATTTTTGCTGTTTAGAGATTCTAGATTTAATTTACCTTTAGATGAAATTGTTTATATTCAAAGGTTTGAAATGAGTTCAATTAAATTAAAGATTGATTATAAGCCTAAAAAGATTGACTATGCTGGAATCAGATCTGGTAATACTTCTGAGTTTGTTAATTTCTTTGTTTTAGATGGTTCTACAATTACGTTAGAAAAAGTTATTCTTCATGGTATTCTTGGATTCCCCAAATTAGGAGAAGAATTAGGTACAGCTTGGGCTCCAAACATTCAACAAACCCAAATCGCTGGTATATTAGCTGGTTTATCACCTATTAGATCAATTGTAAACATTGGAGGAGGAGTTAAAGATTTGATTGCAATTCCTATCAGTGAGTATAAGAAGGATGGTAGATTAATAAGAAGTTTACAAAAAGGTACGACGCTATTTGCAAAGACTACTGGTTATGAAATTTTGAATTTAGGAGCTAAGTTGGCATCAGGTACCCAAGTTTTATTAGAACAGGGTGAAGAATTCTTTGGGGGTGAAGGTTCATCGGCAAGACTGCCATCTTCACATAAAAAGAAAGATCAAAGAAGCAATGTATCGTCCTCTTCATCTTCTTCGAAAGGTGAATCTCAATCTTCGAGAACTAAAAAGAAGCCAATATGGATTAGTGATAATCAATTACTTGCCAGATCACATTTATTGACTCAAAGTACAAGGTTTGAAAGGGATCAATACGGAAGTAAAAAGAAGTATTCATATTACGATATAGATGATGATGAAGATGATGACGAAGATGATGAAGATGAATTTGAAGAAAATGAATTATTACTGCGTTCATTGTTTGTTTTAGAAGAACCTGAAAAGTTGAAACAAAGTCTCCGTAAAATTAAAGATTCTAATAATAAAACAAAAGGTCAAGATAAGGATGATGATGATGATGATGATGATAATGCTGACGATGATGACAATAGAGATGATTTTGAAGAGATTGATGAGAAATTGATCAGTTTATATTCGAATCAACCGGAATCTGCAAGAGAAGGGTTAGCATTGGCTTACAAGTCATTAGGAAAGAATTTAAATCTTACTAAGAAACAAATTATTAATCTTAAGAATGAGTTAAATGAAACTGATAATTTCCAAGATGCATTTATAACAGTTTTAAAGTCATCCCCAGTAATATTAATTAGACCAATAATTGGTACTACTGAAGCCATTTCCAAAACATTAATGGGTATTGGAAATGAGATTGATTCTAAGCATATGATAGAATCAAAGGATAAGTATAGATATAAAACAAAAAACGATGATAATGAATAAAAGGTCTAGATTTTTATTTATTGTTTTGGTAAAATTTTTTATATGTATAATAAACGAATATATATTAAGGGGCATTATTATTATTATTGTAGGATTATTTTGACATATCGTCTGTCAAAAGGTAAGACAATAAGAAAGAATAGAGATCATTCAGTCGAATGGCACTTTAGGTTTGTTAAATATCGTGTGAGACGTTTAACACTTGTGTGGGGTATTAAAGCTAAACCTAAAAGTATAACATCAAAACGATACTTTATGAAAATGAATATACTAACCACCACCCGAGAGGCGCTTAAATCATTTTTGAAAGGCAATCCTAATCTGAATGAGGCAACAGTATGAATGATTTCCTAATTTTGTGATTCCAATTAATAATTTTTTTTTCTTTGCAACGCTAAGACATTGCATGAATTTGACCGATGAGAGACCTGACAACAATAAAATTTTAAACTTTTGAAAATGAAAGTTATCTCAATAATAAGTTTCCATCTGTAGTTCTGGAGGTACGATGGATCATTACGAGACCATAATAATTAATTGCAACCCATTTCTATTGATCATCGTTAAACTCATGTGACGGAAAAATGATGTAGTTGATAATTAATTGATTTACCCAACCATCATCCCATCGGAAAAATAGAAACGTCAAATGATTTTTGCTTCTCCTGCATCACTAGTAATAATGCTTAGGAAAATAATTATCATAATAATAAATTAGTAGTAAATTTATAATTACATTTTTATAGTTTTCCGTACGGCACTTGCCTGTAAAGGGCTACTGAATCCTCTCCCTTTAAAAAAAAGATAAGAATTGCGCAAAACACCTTAAAAAAATAAAAAAAATGAAATTTCTTTTTTTTTTTTTTTTTTATTTTTTTTTTTTTTTGCAATTGCTTATGAGGAGATGAAAAATGTATTCGTTAACAACAAGATGGGAACAGTTGATTGTTTGACCTTAATATCTTGGAGGTTCTTTGTTGCAGATATTGAAATTTTTATTCTTGTAAATTTTTCCTAATTGGTATTTAATTATTATCTCTTCTCCCTTGTTCTGCTCTTTTTTAATTTATATATAGATCAATCGTTATCTTTCATATTCTTTTTCTGATTTAATTTTTATTTTTGAAACTATATTGGGAATTAAGAGACTCATGAATCATTATTTGATATCTCATAATCATAAAAGTTACCTTCAATCTGTTCATTAACTAATATTAGTATAATGTCAAAAATTCAATCTATTTCTTCAGCAAGTTCGATTGTTGAAAATCCTGAAATTAATCATTATGATGAAAAATATGTTTCTTCAAAAAGCCTTGGTGATGAAGAAAATAATATTGAATCAAAACAATTAAGTGATGATTCAGAATCTCAAGCCATTGGAAGTCAAAATGATTTATCAATGATTCAAAAATTAAAATCAAGATTCCCTTGGTATAAATTAACTATCCATATCTTTACTGGTTGTTTCTTTACTTCGTGGTGGTTATCAATCATTATTCAAAAGAAACATAGACATCAATGGTTAATTCCCACTGTATTTTGGGGTATGATTATGGTTAGATTAATTACCTGGCATTGCAGAATCTTACCATGGGCTTTATCTAAAGTTAAAATCGTATGGGATTATGTTACTGATATCATTTATGAAAAACTCTTTCCTCAAAGATATCAAAGATTATTAGTTGGTGCATCAATCACTATTGCGGTGGTATTATTAGGTACTTTTATTCCAAGTGAAACTGAATATAGTAAAAGACCAGATCGTGCTATTTCATTCTTTGGTTGTCTTGTGGCTATGTTTTGTTTATACGCTACTTCCAATAATCGTAATAAAATTCAATGGAATACCGTCATTGGGGGTATGTTAATGCAATTCATTGTTGCCTTATTTGTTTTAAGAACTAAATGTGGTTATGATATCTTTAATTTCATTTCTACTTTAGCCAGAGAATTATTAGGATTTGCTAAAGATGGGGTTGCTTTCTTAACTAGTACTGAAGTTAGTCAATTAGGTATGTTCTTTTTCACCGTCTTACCTGCTGTTGCATTCTTCGTTGCTTTTGTTCACATTTGGTATTATTTTGAAGTGATTCAATGGTTTATTGGTAAATTTGCTTACTTTTTCTTCTGGACTTTAAGAGTTTCTGGTGCTGAAGCTGTTACTGCTGCTGCCTCTCCTTTTATTGGTATTGGTGAAAGTGCTATTTTAGTTAAAGATTTCATGCCTTACTTAACCAAAGCTGAATTACATCAAATTATGACTTCGGGATTTTCAACTATTTCGGGTTCTGTTTTAGTTGGTTATATTGGTTTAGGTCTTAATGCTCAAGCTATGGTTAGTTCTTGTGTCATGTCTATTCCTGCTTCATTGGCTATTTCAAAATTAAGATATCCAGAAACTGATGTTCCAATTAGTACTGGTAAAGTCGTGATGCCAAAATCTTTAGATGGTGAAAAACCTCAAAATGTGTTACAAGCTTTCTCTCAAGGTGCCACTTTAGGTTTAAGAATTGCAGGTACTATGTTAATTCAATGTATGTGTATTATTGGATTAGTTGCTTTGATTAATGGTATCTTGACTTGGTTTGGTAACTTTTGGAATATTGATAATTTGACTTTAGAATTGATCTTTTCATACATTCTTTATCCAGTTTCTTTCTTATTAGGTACTCCAAGAAGTGAAATCTTACATGTTGCTAAATTGATTGCCACTAAATTTATTCAAAATGAATATGTTGCTTATAACATGTTAATTACTGAAGCTCCATACAATGAAATGTCTAAGAGAGGTACTTTAATTGCTACCTATGCTTTATGTGGTTTCTCTAACTTAGGTTCAGTTGGTATCACTTTAGGTGTATTGAACACTTTAACCAATAACTCAAGAGCTAAAGATATTGCATCTTCTGTCATTTCTGCTTTGATTTGTGGTGGTATTTCTACGTCTATCTCTGCCGCCATTGCTGGTATGCTTATGCATGACTTGAATGAATTCCATCTTGGTTAAACCACATCTTCTGCTTTCTCTCATGTAGAGCCCTCTTCTTAATAGACTTTATAAGTAATATAATTAATTGATTATTGAAACATTCAATATTGTAGAAATTATGACGGTCAATTCTGTTTGCTGCAAATGGAAGCCAGAAAAAAAAATTGAGACAGAAAATTATTTTGAGCATCAAAATTATGATGTAGGAGCTATAGACCTAATTAAACAAGTATCAACGAGTAAATGAACAATTCCAATGACAATATAGCATCTGATGATAACGAGTTGCTGGAAATAGATGTGTCCAGACTTTCCTTACACCAAACAAAACTACCTATTATATTGCCTGTGATAAATCTTCATCGTGATCCACAAGTTTTAATATTTGATTTAGAAAATTTGAAAACTTTAAGAAACGAATATGGGATACTAGGAGTGTTAATAGGTACATTGAGTCAATATCCACAGCAGAACTTCTTCTTATCTATTCCTCTTAGATTATTTGTTTGGGAGGTTATATGGTTGGTAGAAAATAATATTGGTGTTTTGCTAGACCAAGTCAATTATAGAAAAGAGAAATTATTACTTCAAAACAGTAAAGGGTTGAAATCCCTGAATACCATCCTGCTTAACAAAGATGGATCTGTTAATGATACTAGTCTGACATCACCAAACTTTATAATAACGAAAAATACTGATGAAATAGAAAATAACGATCAAGATTTACTACATAAACATCAAATCAACATTCAAGATTATATAAATGCATACTTATCAAACAATCCCCAGATGAATGGAAGCAAATTTATTAGAAATTATCACAATTATAAATACTTCAAAGAATTGAAATACTTTGTTAGTCCAGGTTTAAAATTTGGAGGAGATTTTGTTTTATACCCATCAGATCCATTACGATTCCATTCTCATTCAGTGGTCAAATTAAACTCCATTAATCTTAATGACATTGTGGTAGGAGGTAGATTGTCTACAGGAGTAAAGAAAAACTTTGTCGTAATAGAAGATAAGGATCTGGATGATAAGGTGGATGATGATATTTCAATAGATAAGTTATTTACATCTAGTTCACAAACAGTATTTTCAATCGAGTGGGCAGGGTTTGGTTAAACATTACAAAGAAATAATCATAGGCATATAGTAGTTATATATTTAATTTAATATCACTAATTTAATCACTAATTTAAAATACTTAAAATCAATAGTTATCCAAACATTGAAAGTAATAGATACGACTGGTAGTCAAAAATTTAAAAAAAAATAGGTCATTTTAATAAAAAAAAATAAAATGACAAAAACAAAGAACTAAAAAAATAAACCTGAATCAACTAACTAGGATAGAAGAAGAAAATTAAAAGTGGGTGAAATTGTTAATGAATTTGTTGAATTGTGCAACTAAGGAATAAACAATATGATTTTTAGCACCTTCTTCAGGATGTTTTCTGAATTTATCATCCTTTTCTCTGTGCTTGTCTTCTTTTTCTTCGTTGTGCTTTCTGTGCTTCTCTTCCTTTTCTTCATTGTGCTTTCTGTGCTTCTCTTCCTTTTCTTCATTGTGCTTTCTGTGCTTCTCTTCCTTTTCTTCATTGTGCTTTCTGTGCTTCTCTTCCTTTTCTTCACGATGCTTTCTGTGCTTCTCTTCCTTTTCTTCACGATGCTTTCTGTGCTTCTCTTCTTTTTCTTCACGATGCTTTCTGTGCTTTTCTTCGTCTTCTTCGGAATGCTTTCCGTGCTTATTAGCATCTTCTTCAGGGTGCTTTATTTGTTTATCTTCACCGTGCTTCTTGTGTTCTTGTTTGTCGTCTTTACCATGTTTCTTGTGTTCTTCTTTACCTTCACCATGTTTCTTGTGTTCTTCTTTCTCATCTTTACCATGTTTCTTGTGTTCTTCTTTACCTTCACCATGTTTCTTGTGTTCTTCTTTACCTTCACCATGTTTCTTGTGTTCTTCTTTGTCATCTTTATCTTCAGGGTTCAGTTCCTTGTGATCCTTATGTTCAGAAGTAAGCTCTTCGAAGCTTTGTGAGTCAATTAACTTGTGAAATCTATTTCTTCCCCCTTTGAATTTTTTCTTATGATTCACAACTTCGTCAGAATCATGGCCAATGAATGCATGTGTCATATCAATAGTGCTAACACCGAAATTAAACTGAGGTCTCTCCAATTCGCTGAACTCAAATTTTATAGATCTTCTAAGATCAGCAAGTGCCTTTTCAAGATTGAAAATACCACGAGCACAAAGCTTACTATTTTCTGAGATACTCATGATTCTGTCAAAGAAACGATCATACTTGTTCTTAGCAAAGTTTTTAAAGCTGAATTTACAATCAGAATAAAACTTATTCATTGGTTTACCTGGTGCAGGGCCAATTGGCTTACCAAGAACATGACCTCTACTTGTACTTCTTGTGCCTGGAATTTCAGTGACGTTTCTTTTATGACTCTTGGTTTCGTCAGAAATAATAGTACCATTTTCTGACTTGACCTTTCTGAAGTATTTGAATTTCTTTTCGGGAGTCTTTGCTTTCACTTTGAATTTAGTTTCAAGTTTTCCATATCCGTGATTACCTTTAGAAGCAAGGAAGAATTTAGAAGTACCATTTTGGTGAGTACCAACTTTGAAAACTTTATCTTCATCAATTGTCACTTCTGTATCTTTAACATTAACAATTGATACATCATATTCGATTTCAAAGTCTTGACCAGGAATTAAAGTCTTGTTCTTTTCAGTAAGAGAAAGAACTAAAGGATAACTCAAGGAAACGTTAACAGAATGGATAGTATTGGCTGGTAATGTAGAGTGACCATTTGCTCCATCATCTTCTGGCTCAACTGGTAAGTCGTCATCTTGAATGATAAAAGATTTAACGGAATGTCCAACATGTACAATACTTTGTTTTTCACCGAAATGACTGTATGATTGAACATTTGATACTTCACCCTTAGTGTAAGAACTCAAGGTAGTATGTAAGATTCTACCTGATTCCAAAGTAAGCGCAAATTTACTGATCAATTGACCACTAAAGATACCATTAACAATTTGCAGGATTGATCCAGTAAATGGTGGAGCAATAGCGACAACATTACCTCTATTTGTGTGACTAATATCAATGACTTCACCAGAAGCAGCAACAACGTCAGCGTTTTCATAACCTAATAAGTTTGCTGTAGTAATCCAATTCTCAGCAACAAGACTAGATGCAGCTTTTCCAAGTTCACCTAAACCATTACTAATCTCAATTTCAATAAACTTATCTTCAATGGCTTGCGATTCCCACAAGTATGGTAATAAACCACTAACATCAATATCGATGGTTGGAACGTCAAAAGCATCGATTGATACAACTGAAGACCATAAGGCAGGAGAAATACCACCAGTGAAAATGACTGGCTCTGGAGTTTGAACGGCAAACTTTTCACCGTTGAAGAAAACATTGACAAATCTATTTGGTCCATGACCATTAAATAATCTACCTTCCTTTGAAAATCTATCAGTATATTTATCAATAACATTGGTATACCAGAATTCTTCAGCAGCATTACCAGATGTAAAAATAGATAAGATTAATCTAGTAGTATTGACAGAAACGTTCGGTAAATTAACGTGAATCTTATCAGATGGAAGATATTGTAAAGGTGAATCAGCCTTTGACTTACCAATAGTTAATGGGAAAATACTGTCAGCTGGTTTTCTTATTGAAAACACAGAATATTCAGATTTAACATCTTCAATCTTTGAAAGATCATCATGTTCTTGAACGGAGTCTGATTCTGATTCTGATTCATGATGTTTCTTGTGATGGTGATCGGCCTTATATAAATCGACGGTTAATTCAATATGGAATTCACCAGTTAATCTTGAAGATAAAACATTATCAAGTTGAAAAACAACAGTGCTTGGTTTTTTAAATAATTTCAAATAAGTTGAAACATCCTTTTTAAATACTGAAAAGACTGAACCACCACCTGGCTCAATGGTTGAAGTTCTCCAAATTTGAACTCCATCCACAAATAAATGGGCTAATCTATCATATTGGACACCACCTACAGTAGTGTTCAAATTCAAAACAACCTTGTTGTAATCAACATCACTAGGAGGAGTGAAAGTAACTACGGCTGGTTTACCCCAAGAATGACCAAAGGTGTGGTTAACTACCACAGCAGAATAAACAGAATCACCATAAACCTTTTTACCCTTGAATGGATGGTCTACAGAGATAATTTCTCTTGGTGGGATAGTAGTATTACCTTGAAGTTGAAATTGTAAACCATCATCAATAAAAGCTTTTTCCATTTTTACAGCTGGTCTACCAAGCATTAAGGATTTGTGATGACCACAATGAGCAAACTTACCATGCAGATGGAAGGTTACTAAAATAAGGAAAGCTGCTAATAAACCAAATAATAAGCGTCCTTTACCTTTCTTTGAACGTTTAGCATTAGTGTCAACAACAATTAAAGGTTCCTTTCCTTCCTTAGTAGATTCAATAATAGCTTCTTCATCAACATATTCTCTTGCAGCAAGTAACTTCTTTTCTTCCATAGAATCTGAATAGTGGGTGACATCTTCATCATCACTACTTGTAGTTGAAGCAGTACTAGGTGAACTATCAGAACTGTCGTCGTCAACCATTAATGGTGACTGACTGTCAATATCATCACCTGTAACCCCAGGATTTCTGGCATTTCCATAAACTAACATATTCCAAATAGAAAAATCTCTAACGATATGACTCATAGCAGATTAAACAGTTTGGTTAATAGTTATTAAACTGGTTGGTTAATATCAATTGTTTATATATGACTGGCCAATTCAAAATTCCCTATTTTTGCTATAAAGCCCCCTCAAATTTTATTAACCAAGCCTTGCATCATTTCATTTGTAAACAATTTAAAACCTGGCATCCATGCCTCAATACATAAGATGATGTGAGCCACCACTCTCTCCTATTCAATTACACCACCGATTTCGGTATACCAGAATTTAGAAGATATAGTATATGTAGTTAGTTCAACTGTATTAAATAGTATGAGCATGACATCATGTAAAAGGTGACGGGGTGTTACATCGAGATTTAGGGTTTGGGTTTTCTGTTAAAGTTGAAAATTACAAGCCGTATTTTTACTTAAAAGAAGAATTTTGCAATTATACTACAAAAATATTAGCTTGTTATAACTTATAAAGTTAAGTTTATTAAAATATTAAATAGATAAAAAACTAGATATGTATTTCTTGAAACTGAAGGACTCAAACAATAATGCCTTCGAATCTATTTTCATTTATCTGCTGATCTCTGATATAAGATAAGGTTCTATCAAAGAGGTTTCTACTTTGTCTAAACAATTTCGCTTCTTTATCAGTATCTTCTTCAACACCATTATTGGCAGCATCATTTATATCAATATTAAAGGCAGCCTCATTATCATCAGTCTTTAAATTATCAATATTGGTAGTGATTAAGTCGATTAACCCATTGATATATCTCGAATCAATCAATGCATTACCATACACATTGAAGATTAAACAACGATTTAAAATTTCAATGAACAATTTTAATGAAAGATATGGGTCCATACAAGAATCAGCAACACGAAGAGCCTTTTGTAAACATTCCAAAACTCTTTTATCATCTCTATATAAGGACTCTTCATCCTCTTCCACTTCTTCCCCAGCCTCAACATCAACGTCTTCTTCTGGCTCAGCATCGTCTTGCTTATCTGCATTCTGAGCTTCATCGGTTTTATCTTCTGAAGTTTCCACCTTCTCTTCAGGCTGTTTTTCAGTTTTAGCTTCACTTACTTCTTCTGCCTTTACTTCGTTAACTGTGGGTGATTTTTCCCCAGGAGGAAGCAAATTTTCACACCACCACCAAAGATGGGCACAATAATAAACAGAACGACATTGATCTTGCTTCTTTAACAATTTTGAACCATATAAAGTTAATTTAGTAATAAGGGATTCATAATTCTCTTTGTTAAAATATCTTGAGTTAATTAATTTATTACCAATTAACAAGATCGATTGATATGGAAGCGATCCTCCTCCTAATGAATCATGAGGATTAATATGATGATAATAATTATATTGATGGGAACTAAGAATCAAATTCTCTTCATAAACAATAAAACATTGATTAAATAACTCGTAAGCTAATGATTCTTGTTTTAATTGATCGGCAATAGTTGCCGCGTTAAGATATAATTTGAGAATTAAATCAGAGCTATACTGTTGATGATGTTGATATAATTCGTCTATAATAATTGATACGTTTTTAAAATTTGTAGTTATCAATAAATCTTGATTGGAGTAATCAACTTTAGGATTTCTTTTCTTCAACTTTAAGCTCATGTATCCAATGATTTTCAATTTATACAAAATCTTATTAATCAACGTTGGATATGTATAGATAATATTTTGTGAATTCTTATTTAAATACTTTCTTCTCGCATACATTAAATTTGACAAATTCTTGAAAGGATCTACCGGATTTTCGATCAAATGAATGATCTTGCAGAACTTCTCTTGGATATCTAAAAACTCTTGAGTTATTAAACCATTATCACCATTATTTACTTTAATCGTTTTAATGATTCCCAAGTTCTTGGCAGTATTCAATTGTTGCTGTTGTGAATCTTTAATTAAAACCAACAAGTATTTGAAAATCCCATCAATTTCATCAGTAGTAGTCAAATACTCATATTCAAATTCATCGGTGGTAGGTGGACTTATATCAAGAAGTTCATCATTAGTTGAAATACCTAAAAATTTATTAATAATCTCTAATGAAATTTGCTTTTGATATGATTTATTAGTTAACTTCAAATAAAATTCATGGAAGAATGGTAGGTTGAATAAATCTTTTACGGATTTGAAATATCTTATTGGTACAACTAACAATTGTAACCATAACTCCTCATTATCGCTCGATTCCTTGTCAGATGTAATTAAGTTTTCCGTGGCAAATTTATAAATCGTATCCAAGTTCCTAAAATTCTTGGGATCATACACTAATGATAATTTAATATAAAATTGCAATATTGTGGAATGTTCTTCCATAGGTAATTCCGGATCGCTTTCATACAACCTCAAGTAGAAATTCCAGAAAATCGTAAATAATTCATCAACATCGACATTGAAATGCTCAGGTTCAGGTTCAAGTTCAGTTTCAGTTTCAAGAAGAGGCTCTGGTACAGTCTCTTTCTTTACTTCAACATCCTTTGTAACGGCCTCCTCGGGTTTTGAATCTGCTGATTCTTCTCCTTCTCCTTTCTTTGCTTCAGCTGCTACCTCTGCTTCGCCTTCAACTTGTTCATGACTTTGAGTCTCTTTGGACTCCTTTATATCATCAGTAACAGCTAATTTTTCATCTACTTCAGTAGCTAAATCGCTTTGGAATTTATTATAAGTTATAAATCTATCAATTAATGTGGAGATCAACTCACTTTTCTTCAATAAAGGATGCAAGTTAATAAATACATTATTTAATAAGTTCTCTAATGTAGCAAAATGAAAATCATCAGGGAAAATTTGAATCAAAACATCAATCAAATAAGATTGGGCCAAATGATCACGACATTGTATGATTTGTTCTGTGATAGTAGGGAAAATCTTAGTCTTGTAAAAGACGATAGACGAATAATTTTCATCCTTGTTGCCCTTATAATCATCTATAATCTGGGATAATCTTACTAAATTTGACCCCACTAAGATCTTCAACTCTTTTCTTTCACGATATCTCAATTCACGTTCTGAAGAATGACCTTGATGTTGTAATCTAACCCATAATTTATTCATTTCTATGAAATTAGCGATTAAAAACTCAATTGTCTCGTTGAAATCAATGGAATTTGAAAACGGTAATAAATGTTTAGTACGTTGGGATAAATAGTAACGTAAGAATAATCCACGAATAGGATGTTGAACCCCATGACACATTTCAATCATATCTTTCATGATCTCCTTTGTAGGAGCTTCTGAAGTTGCCATATAAGTAGTACCTATAACAATCATCATATATAGACGAGGGATGATATTTCCTGAATATTGAACTAATTCATATAAATCTGACAAGAATGGAGAGGTGGTATTATCAAACGAAGTGTTTACTGATCCCGGTTCTTTCTGTTGTTGTTGTTGTTGCCTTTTCTTTAGTTTTTGTACTTTTGAATTATGACTGGTAAGTAAATGATTTGATAAACTCTCCAATGAATCAAATATTAAAATATACATTTCATAGTATTGTTTAGGACTTAATTGATTGGTTCTTAATTCATTCAAGAAATTAGAGCAATGCTTCAATCCTTGTAATAGATTGTTCTCATTCAAACATTGTTTCATCAAATTTGATTGATGATTGATATTGTTTAAACATCCTTGTAAGATAGCTTTCTGCTCCGATATTGAAGGTAAAGTCATTGCGTTGAATCAATTCCTGCCAATACAATCACACAGTACCAAAGTCAAACCTATCTTGATCTCAGCAATTGGTTGATCCCAGTAAAGTTGAAATGACAATTAGTGATCTAAAGCTTGATAGTTATTTCGATACCGTTTCCCTCTCCCTCATTAAACTGGTGGTGGCTCTGTTTGGTCATTTTCCTCCTGGTTAACAACCAGTCGTGTACCGTTTACAAAAAATGGTTTCCATTTGGCTGCGGAAATTTTGATACGTAAGCGCCAATAATATATATATATATATTTAAACTAGTATAAACATTACCATATTTAAAGTAAGCTAGAATAGGGTTCATTATCATTAAGTATCCAATGATTGTTTGTCATAACCAAATCATTATCAACATTAAGTAAATTAAAAAAAAGCATACACCAGGAGATCACTGGTAACCAAACAAAAACAAAAAACAAATCAAGATATATAGAAAACAAAAATAAATAAAGATGAAAGTAAAATTCAAACCATAATACCGAACTTAATGAATAATACAATTGAAAATAAAGAAAATTAAGTCGAAATTACTTATAACAAACTTTTTGAAATTGTATGCGCATGAAATATGAACCTGCCGGGTATTAGAATATCAGAAATAATATTTGAAACACAGATTTGACCGGAATAGAAGATGTGAAGATATAATTAATCAATTAAACTTGAGACTGAAATCTTAGTGGCACTCCCCTTTCTGCTTTGACCTGGTTTTAATTGATTAGGATTGTCATTATCATTATCCACCATAATAGTATCTATATTGTTAGTGGATGCGTCCTTTTTATGCTTCAAATTGTCTTCGTTATAACCTTCATTTGAGGTGGTTTTATTAAGTCCTGTCATCGGAGATGTATTGCTTGACAAAGCTGTAAAACCAGGTATACTTATATTAGTACCACCATTAGTACTTGTAAGGTTATTATTTAAGACTGAAGTTGTCGAGGAGACCGAAAATCTAGTTGAAGGAGTTAACAATGGAGAATTGAATGAAGAATTTTGTGATATATTACGTTTATGTCCACCACTATTATTAGTACTTGTAGTAGGAGCAGCAGCATTACCATTTGCTGATTCTTTTAAAGGATTTGGAAAGAAATCAGGAGCGATGCTTGATGACCTTCTTGATGAATTATTGGTTGAATTCAAAGTCGAGAAATCGAAATGAGAAATTGAATTATTTCTCGAAACTTGTGTACTTAATAATAATGGAGATCCATAATATGAAGGTGAAATATTACCAGCACCTGTATGATTAGAATGTGAATTTAACGTATTAGCTAAATTTGGGTGGGAAGAAGTCAAAAGATTTGGAGGGTGTTGACCTGAATGAGCATAATGAGGATATGTTACCGAATTAGTTGTAGTAGAATGCCTTCTGGAAGTATTTAAAGGTTCATCTAATAATCTTCTTTTATTTGAAATTGGTGGTAATGTAGTGGAACTCGAATTGAAATCAAAACTAGCTGATCTTAATGATGTAGGTTTCAAAGGCGAATTTTGTGAAGTCAATCCTTGAGGTGGTGGGGTGCTTGGTTTATTAATAGATGATTGAGGCAAATGGTGTTGTGGAGGAGCTGGTTGTGCTCCTGTGAATGGTGGATATTGTTGTGGTGGAAGCGGTTGTTGGAACAGTGCTTGTAACTGCTGTTGTTGCTGTTGTTGTTGCTGTTGTTGCTGTTGTAACTGTTGTTCATGCGAAAACATGGATGTGTTAAACGATATTCTAGGTAATACGGTATCACTAGTAATAGGATGTTGTAATTGTTGTTCTTGAGAAATAAGCGATGGAGCGGGAGGGAGTAAAGTAGTAGCACCATTTTGAGGAGCAGAAGAAGTTGGAGTCAAAGTTAAATTTGAATTTGTTAAATTAACATTTGAGGAATTATTTGATGAACCATTGCTATCAGGTACACTTGTGTGACTTGAATTTCCATGTTCATAAAAATCACCATTACCATTATCATCACCACTTGTATTGGCAACACTTGCTCTTCTTCTTCTATTTGCACCTCCATTCCACCAATTTTTAATGGCATTATCAGATCTACCATTTAAATGTCTTGATATTTCAGCCCACTTTTTACCATATTTAGCCACGAGGGATTCGATTAATTCACCTTCTTGAACAGTGATTGGACTTCTATTCAATGAAGGTTTTAAATTTTGATGATAACGTTCACGACATTGTTTTGGAGTACGAGTTGATAAACTATTTGCAATTCTAACCCAATTCGTAGGACCAAAAACAGCTATTAAATCTAATAACTTTTTATCTTCTAATGGAGACCATGGACCTCTTCTACTACCACCAGGGTTAGTATGAGGAGATGTATTGTTGTTATTAGGATTGTTATTTGAGATTGGAGGCAGTTGTTCCTTTGGTTGAGATTGTGGTAGTTGTTGTTGAAGATGAAGAGGTATATGTTGTTGTTGTTGTTGTTGTTGTTGCTGTTGCTGTTGCTGCTGTTGTTGTTGTTGTTGAAGATGAAGGGGTAATGTAGATTGCATATATGTCTGTGAACCTGGTCCACCTACTTGAATTTGCGGTGGAGGATGATTAAGTTTTAAATGTTGATGATGATGAGTTATAGGTGGTAAGGTCGGCTGAGGAGTTGAATTTGGTGGTGAAACAGTTGCAGTTGATGCACCACCACCATTTGATGAATAATAGTAGGTGTGTCCTGGATTATTATAATTCATTTCTTATCACACTTGTTTTATATGGATGCACTGATAATTAATTATATAAATAAGGATAATTCTTAATATGAGATAGAATAATAATTATGACTTAAGAAACTGTTTTCTTGTACTTTTTTTTTCTTTTCAAGCTTATCTTCAAAAATACATATGAACTAGTAATGGAAAGGATTATAGTGATGGTTGAAACTGAGGGTAATGGTATAGACAAATGATAAAAACTAGCAATAATTATAAGAAATTGGAGTGGATTGCCTTTATGATTTATAAGTCCTGAACTTTTTTTTATCTTCCTGTCAGGTTTTTGACTTCCACTATTTTGCTTTTTAGTTTTTTTACTTCGACTTTTTTATTTTAGGCTTTGAACTGATAATAAAAAAAAGTTGAGACAGACAGAGAGGAACCCACCGACACTTTTTTTTTTTTGGTTCTTTGTCTTTTAATTCTTTTTTTATTTTTTTTTTTTTTTTTGTTTAATTTATGATTTTTAATTTTCCAAATTAATTATTATTTTTAAAACAAACAGACGTCTTAAGAGGTGGTTTTGATAAAAGTTGAACAGAAACCAAATAATTTAGAATTTAAATATACACTAAGCTTTTTGTAAGATTTTAAGTAAGGAAATAATGAACTAATATATATACTGTTTGATATGCCGATTAGTTTAAGGGTTAAATTGTAAATATTTGCAAGCAAGTTTTACTGTACTAATTTAATTTTCTACATTATTATTATTATTATTTTGACAAACTAAAACGGTAAAACTAAAAAAAAAAAAAAAAAAAGAAAAAAAAAAAAGATTTTTTACATGCAAAAAATAAAATGGCAAAAAAATAATACATAATTAAAATAAATTAAAAAAAAAAAAAGTTAAAATATAAAACAAAAAATTAAAAATAAAATTAAAAATAAAAATAAATGTAAAAATGTCGCCTTAAAAAGACAAGGACAGATTTTTGTTTTATTTATTTTAAATGCATTGATAAAACGTTTACGTTATATAGTTAAGGTCTTATCATTTTATTTTAGGGTCAGATTGATTGATTTTTAATGTAACATAAGTACTAAACCACCAATAGACTGCTTAAGTCAAATCCAACCACTTTATGCCATTCGAGATTTACATGACCAGATGCATCAAGGGGTCGATGAAGTAAGTAAAAGGACAAAACCTATAAGACAAAAATATGTAATTATTGCGAATTAAACTTAGAGGGCCAAACAAAAAAAAAAAAAAATGAGAGACAAGAAATAGAATTAGAATTGGAACTAGACTCTAAATTGCCTGTTCCTTCAGTTTCAGTATTTTTTTTTCTTTCTTCCATGGATAAACTTCTAAGTTAATTCAGCACTAATGAATGAGTGAACCTTCTCTTACATTGTACCAATTTTGTAACAGTTAAAAATAATAATAATAATAATAATAATACTTCGGCATGCTTTACATCATTTAATTTAATATTACAAAACCGGAATGAATGCGGAGTTCTAATGATTTCAAGACCACCTTTTCAATTCAAGTTGAGTATTAACAGTCAATTGAAAAAGACAAATAGTTACAATCCCCAAAAAAAAAAAATAAAAAAAAATAGTGGATCGGTGAGACACAAAATTGGTCAGACAGTTAGTGAGAAATTATGCCGCTTACGTTACACATCATACATGATGTATCTATTTTACCACTACAATCATGCATTGCCATCTGTAATAATAAGTACATGTTGTATTATTTCATTATAACGATATATCTAAAGGGCAAGTATTAACTCACTGTCGTTAGAATTAATGTTTTAACCAGGGCTTAGGTTTGATCTTAACCTTGTAAGTCAACGTCAGCGTAAATAACTGAAAGGAAAAAAAAACATTCATAGAAAAACTCCTCGTATCTCCCGTTACTGACGCTCCTCCTCCCCTACTCCCTACTCTCACTATCCCTATCGCTATGACTTACTTTGGCGAATAACACCCCCTATCCATATAAAAATCTCTACACCACTATTTATTTCTTATGTTCTAATCTATCATACTTTTACTCCACGATATTTGACAGTCCTTTCCCTTGTATTTTTTTCAATATCAGGTGTTATTGTTACCTGGTAGATCTATGTTGTAGTAAAATAAATAAAGTTTAATTTGCCCCATCTGTGTCGCTAAACTTGATTTCCTTTTTCCTTGAATCAAGACATCATCGTTCATACATAATTCATGTCATGATCAACGATTCAAAGCATCAACGTAATACCAAAATTAAACTTTTATCTGTAGTAAATTAAGATAAATAAGATAATTTTAAATTACATCAAATTAATTTATTTTTAACTTGTATTGTTGCAATGCGGGCTATTTCAACCGATTTATTGCGGTATCATTTAATGCTATTTTCTTTTGCCATTATTTTATTTTTAATTGTCGATATTCATTGTTTACTTGATTTTGGTCCGATTTGGTCGGGGGGAGGGTGACTACATCCTTTATGCGAAAGATAGCACAGTTTTTCTCATTGTTTGAAAGTATCCTCCCTAATCAGAGGAATTTTTATTTATCGAAGTGTTTTGTTTGCGCGACACAAAATCTTTTTGGCGCTAATGGAAATTGCGACAAGTCGGGTTAAATATGTAATTACACCCATATCATTTTAAGTAAAATTTAGCGACAACAAATATATCCTTTGATTCGCCCTACTTTTCTAAGATGTTTATGTGAAATCGTTGTACATTGAATCCAATCCCTGTTGTTAAGTTATTCTTAACCTATACTAGACCCTCCCCTCCCCCTCGGTATGTTTAAACTCTGTGGTCTTACTTTTATTATACTTTTCTTGTGGAGGGGGAGGGGTAAAAAAAATTTTGGGTCTCAAAAAACAAAAAAAATATGATGATAATAAGCTTGAAAATGTTTCCAAGCATATCCTCTTTTTTCTTCTTTGCAATTTACGTGATAGTATTATTATTTAAAGTTCTTACTCCAGCTGGCAATCGTATTCCAACAGATAATTTAGATCATCTGCTGCTGTTATGCTTGTCTAAGTCTACTGCGGTCATCAGACCCAAGAAAAAAATATAATGTATAGTAATGGGTTATTGGTCTGGTTTCTGTAATGCTCTTGTTCGTTTTATTGTTTTGAATATAAAGATCTCGTATGGTTTATAGACGAGATCATCTTCTGAATACGATTAGTCTTATGATAAAATGCATGAAGCCAAGAACACGAGGAAGCTACAACTAATATTAATACAACATACATTCCGACTGATAAAACAAAAACTAGATTGAGACAAATTTTAGTCCGTTTATTACTCATTTTGAGCAAGCTCTAAAGTCATAACGATTTTGTTATTTTATTACATCACATTTTTCATAACTTATTGTTTTATTATCAAGGATTTATTAAAATAACGGGTGCTTTAAACCTTAAATTTATTTTATATCGTTCCTGTTCCGCCAACAGCCTTTTTATCCTCAAGGTCTAGATTACTCGAATATCCCAACGCTAAACTAAACTCTAATAACGGATTCTTATTAATATAATGTCCCGTTATTGCATTAGATAGCATGTTCCGTTAAATATTTTATAAATAAATATAAATTGAATACTGTACATTGTTTCCTAATATGGTATGATTTGACGCAAACGGCTTAACCCTCCTCCATTTCCCTCCCCTCTTGCTCATAACTACACATTTTCTCCACCTTAAAGTATCCGCTTTTTTAGTTTATCCTTTACTTTCCTTACCTTCTTTGTAGGATTTTGAAAAATAGAATAAATGTAAATTATTTTAATTATTTGTTTATTGTTTTCATTACAGTGTGTGATATTTTTAATTACTAAACAATTGTTATAATTACTTATAATTCTTCGTTGAGACAATTATACGAAACTCCAACAATATCCGCATTCAACCCAACCACCACCATACAATAATGATTATACTATAATGAATATTCATTTACTTAATATAGCGTCAAGTGTTTCATTACTTAATTTGCGTTTCATGTCAATTTTTTATTAAGCTTTAGGGTGCAAAGGAAGTAGAGGAAACTGATAGGCATTATGCATTGTTAAATTTCCGTCTTTTTAGGGCAATTACTGCATGTGTTGTAGTACTCAAAAAAAAAAAAAAACATTTGTGTTACAGGCATAGGTGTGTCAGAGTGAGAGTGGAGGATGTGTAGAAACAGGGAGGTAGCCTTTTTTTTTTGTACCCATTTCATATAAATTAAAGTTTGGAAAGTCTAACAGTTTCAGGGATACATTCATTGTATATAGGCTTTTGGGACAGCTAAAGGGATGATCTTTGATATCCTATGGAAAAAGGTTAAATTGAAGCTAGTTCCCGTGGAAGGAACCCGTAACGTGAAGAATTACTATGATGTAGTAAAGAACGTTAATTACGAATCAGCGTTGAGGAACTCGGATAGAACATCAACTATCATTAATTAGAATAATATTTATAAAAAATAATATTAAATAATTAATTAAAAACTTTCCTTCTCCTCTTCTGGTTGTAAATAGATTGCAAAAATGAAATATATTATTGCACGATAAATAATTAAAAAAGCGTTCAAATGTTTACCCAAACCTCAAAATGATAAATAAATATATAAATTTAGAGGTGAAAACAGACAACTTAGAAAATAAATAAAGTTTTAGATAAAATCTGCTAAATTATCTCGGTTATTGTTTCCTCAGTTGAAAAAAATAAAGAATCCGCGACATTCTATTGATCAAAAATAAAATCCAAAAACAAAAACCTTATTTTTATTTCTGGACTCCTTTTTAACACAAACAAGGGGTGTGGCAAGAGAGGATAATTAACACAACTACAACTGCCGTAATTTTCACAGTTGCCGAGAGTGAATATTTGACTGTGATTTACCCCCAACTCCCAACTTTTATAGGTATCTAAAAACAACGGATATTCCCGGCAAAATTTGTACAACATTGAGTTTTGATTTGTTATCAAGACTTACCCAACGAATAATTAAAGTATTAAGTGGCTTAATGAACGAAATATAAGTGATATAAGTGTAAACGTTGTTTAAAATAATATTTCTGACGTATAGTTTAAGGCGACTTTTGATGTGCAATAGGTATTAATGGTTTGAATACTATAATGGTTGCTAAAAGAATGATTTTAATTTTTCTCGGTGAATATTATTTTGGGGGTAGTAAAATTCTTGACTCGTATATCAATTTGTACACATCATGCAAAATGTGCCAATTACGTACTTTTGATTAGAAAATACTATAATTAAAATGCCGTTCTATATAAATGAACAATTTTTTACACATTTTATTTCGAGGATATGTGTTGGCTTTATTCAAAGGTTAGTTTACCAACATTTTAGTTATACTATAACGAGGGGTAAAATAGTAGAAGCAGCAATCTGCCAAAAGCTCAAAATGAGGAATGTTCAAGATTGGAACAGAAAAAAAAAACATGTTGGAAATTTTAGACGAGACCCAAATGTATGATAAGTCCTCAATATTCAGATATATGCAAGTTTACTTGACTCACAAGGTGATCGGCCTCTAATCACCTACTAAACGTCTTTACCAAGTTGTAATCGTACCACATTCCAATTATGGTAAGATTATAGTGAGGGTTAGACTTACGTTTCTAGAAGTTAAATACATATTTGAGACATGATGATATGACCGATAATAAATCACTGGTTAGATAAACATCCCTCAAATGAAAAAATTGAAATATGCATCAGAAACAAATAGAAAATCAGTACGTTTTTCATTTATAAATCGTTAATAGATAAATATGAGCTTTGTGCCTCAAGTTGGTAGCGCTTACACAATAATATCTAGATATTTCAATTTTCTTAACAAAGATAATCTAAATTTGTCATCACTGATCAATTTTGACCACAATAAGATGGTGGGGAGGATTCACGGCACTTCTGTTGTAAAAAAATTGATTTCAATTCGTTCACATATATCGTTGTTTGATTTTGAACAACTTCAAATTCAAGGCAACTTGTCCGAGTGGTTAAGGAGAAAGATTAGAAATCTTTTGGGCTTTGCCCGCGCAGGTTCGAGTCCTGCAGTTGTCGTTATTTTTTTGAATTTTCAAATGTCTATCGTTCATATATTACAATTTTGTAGTTTTGTTCGAACAAACATATTTAGTTAATTCAGGTAACTGCAAAATAGAGACGTTCTTTTTTTTTTGGAATTTTTATTTTTTCTTTTTTGAATCGGTAATTTTTTGCGCTCCATAATAAATTTTTGTTTACTGCGGCTTACAAAGCTTTGCAAATATCAATTAACTTATTCATTAGATGATAAGTATAATATATATACAATAATATAAACATAATGTACAGCTTCTGAAATTACCCAATTTCAATTTTATATTCCTTTTATTTTAAAAACCTCCCAAATTATTAACCCATGAATAGTACTCTTCCGTAGAATACTATGTGTGTTGTGAATAATCAACACTTTTAATATACATTTATACACTATAGTTTCAGTGTAGACAATAGAATGTTAAATGAATCTAATTCAATTGATCTTCGTATTCTTTCAAGTCTTCAGGATCAAAGATCACTCTGACCATCAATGAACAACTAGGACAAACTGCCACGTCTTCACCATCTTGTAAATCATCAAGACTAACAGCAAAACGATCTCCACAAGGACATGGATATTGAAATAATTGAGTGATGGGATCGAATGTGAAATCCTCTATTTCTATTTCATCATATATAGTTTCCATTGTGTTGTATATGGTATGTTGATATTTAGTCTATGATTGAATTATATGATCTGATATGTAATGTAATATGCTATGAATAATGCAAAGGTAATTAATAATGCAGATATACGAAGCAAGCCCTGGAAAAGTGATTAAATTAAAATGCTGAGTCAGAGATGACGTTTGGATATATTCTCCTCGAGAAGTTGTTGATATAAGCAACTCTTTATTCTTTAGTTGATGTTATTGATTACATATAATCGTCTAATGATTCATTACAAAATTTATTTCAAAGTCATCTATAGACTCAAAAAAAGAAAAAGAAATTAAAGTCACGTGGAACACCATCCTAGGTCTTCCGCCCTACAAATATCGATATTTCACGTGGATCAGGATTACTTGTTACATGCAGTACGAGATAGAAAACTAAGATTTGTGTGGCCTTAAGTATTGCGGTATGGAGTTCAATCTCACTCTCATAGTTAATTTTGTTAACGCTCACACTCCTTACCAAAAAAGTATCGCAAAATTAGTTAGAGGAACAAAACCTTTACACTGTCAGTTCAACCTCTCTGTCTGTCTCTCACTAACAAAAGTTTTTTCTAAAAAAATTTTAATTTTATTTTTCATTATTTCTACTTTTACTTTAATCATCAGTGATAATAATATCTAAGATTGTATGTGTGAATATAGTAACAGGTTAGAAGTGTTACAAGTGATACAGACCAAGTGTAAGAGTAGATCAAACGTCAGAATGTTTCCATAGTTCATCCATGTCATCAAATTTTAATATGATCCATTTCCTATAATGATGAAATTTTAGGTCGAAGTTAAAAAAGTTTTTAAATTGCAATAAGATAAAAGATTAGTCAAGTATGAAGTAGATTACGTTCAAGTGATTCTACGTTTATATAAGTTCAGGATGAGTTGATCGAATTAAGTTGAAATGGCTCTTCCATGGCATTGAAGTTTATAATATCAAATTTTCAACAAAATCTCAACATCAACTATAATTATCAACAATCTGTTCAACCAATATAACTAAACATTCAATCCATTTATAAGTTCAAGCATGTATAACATAATCAATCGTTCGAAATGTCTACCATATTGAATATTTCAAAATGAACACAATTCATCGCTTCAATATTTCCATCATTGAAAAAAATATTCTTACACTCTATCATTACTTGATCTTCCTTCTAATCATCATAAAGTTTTATGAAGTTCTAATTTACTAACTAATTATTTTATAGATAAAGAAAAATGGGTATTTCTAGAGATTCACGTCACAAGAGATCTGCTACCGGTGCTAAAAGAGCCCAATTCAGAAAGAAGAGAAAGTTTGAATTAGGTAGACAATCTGCTAACACCAAAATTGGTGCTAAAAGAATTCATTCTGTTAGAACCAGAGGTGGTAACCAAAAATTCAGAGCTTTAAGAGTTGAAACCGGTAACTTTTCTTGGGCTTCTGAAGGTATTTCAAGAAAAACCAGAATTTCTGGTGTTGTTTACCATCCATCTAATAATGAATTAGTTAGAACTAACACTTTAACCAAATCTGCTGTTGTTCAAATTGATGCTACTCCATTCAGACAATGGTATGAAAACCATTATGGTTCAACTTTAGGTAAAAAGAGAAACGCTCCTACTGAAGTTGTTGAAGAAGTTAAAAAATCTAACTCTGTTCAAAAAAGATTAGCTTCAAGAGCTGCTCAAGCTACTGTTGAACATGCTGTTGATGCTCAATTCGGTTCTGGTAAATTATACGCTGTCATTTCTTCAAGACCAGGTCAATCTGGTAGATGTGATGGTTACATCTTAGAAGGTGAAGAATTAGCTTTCTACTTAAGAAGATTAACTGCTAAGAAATAAACTAAGTCAATCATCATCATAATTAAATAAATAAACCAAAACCTTACATTATATATATAATATAAACCAAAACCACTTTCTTTCTCTATGTTTGAATAGTAAATATAAATTATAAAATATTTTAATATCTTAAAAAATTAGTATTCGATTAGATGATGGTAGTAATGAGCTCAACTTGAGATATAATCTTGATAATGATCTAGTTCATGACATAGACTATGACTACTACTATTACTACTCAACTACAGTTAATTAAAGGTATTTCGGAGAATAAATATCGTGTATTGATCTGATCTTTATAGAAGAAAATTACAACTACTAAAAACAATTCTAATATTACAAAAGTTAGTATTTCAAGTTTAACAAAATCCCAATATGATCATAAAACATTGAACGAATTCGAAAAATTAAAAAGTCAGAAGAGGCATGTCGTTATCCTTCAGCGTCTAAAAGACTCAGTACAGGTCTGTGTTAACATTTTATTCATCATTTTAAATTGTAAGTTTGGTTTATATTCTCCTTCAAATTGATTCAATGTTTTTGTTATGATTATTAATAATATTCTGAAATAGAAAACATACCAATTCACTAATACTCTATCCCCTTCATATCGTATTGAAAAGACTCAACTTGTCAAATGACATGATATGATATGATATATCTTTGAATATAACAATAACTTTCCTTCAAAATATTTGTGTACCCTTTAACTTTATAGTTTTGAAAATTTAAAAATTTTTCGTCTCTGTTTCATCAATCCGGGTAAACAATGCTTTTTAATGAGGGCTCTAAATTCGGATCATAGTTGCACGTGATTTCGCAACCGGATGTTAAACTTGAAAGAAAACAAAGAGAAAAGCTAAGTAAGTGTAGACTGTATGAATAACGTATAAACAACAAAATCTAACGATACTTTAGGAAACATTAGGTATATCATAAGAAGAAGTCATGGTGGTGGCGAATCCGTTGGCGAATATAACGCAAGATAATAACTCTACTGTGTTTGAAGATGCTGTTAATTATTCATTTGTGTTACCAAATAACAAACCAGGATCATCACAATCAACTAATTCAACATCAACATATAATCAACCATTAAAGAAATTACCTACCAATTCATTGAGTGATGTTCAATACAAGAGAACCATACCGAGAGATAACCTCTATGATGTTTTACATAAGGAGATTCCTACCGCTAATACGATAAATCCAACTATAGTTCAAGGTATGGACAAGAACGGTTTAGATGATGTTACCGATGATGCTGTGTTAAGATTATACAGAAGCAGATTAGGATTTCAAAAAGATAAAAGATTGGAATCATCATTGAATGCTACAAATTCTGTTTCGAAGAGTAAGCTGAAGAGTGAACCAATATACTACAAGCCTCCATCATCAAATTTTAAAGATAATCAATATGGTATAAAATCATTCTTACCTCCTAATGTTCAACTTCGAGGTAATTCTGAAGATGAAGAAACTAATAAGAAGAATAAAATACCACTTATATTTTCCAAAGCTATGTTAAAATCGAATTCCAATTCCAACACAACTCCAAATGTGAGTCAATTATGGAAATCAATTCAACAAGATTCTAAACTTCAAAACAAGAACGTTGATGAAGATGAACTTGATGATAATGATGTATTTAACAGTAATAGAAGTGCTACTGGAGAATGGATGAACCCGATTGTTAAACAAGCTTTAGCAAGACAAATTAATAAAGAATATGAACTTAAAAAATGTATGAAATTCATATTGGCTATTATAGCATTTGCATTAATCAAATCCTTGGTGTTAAGAATGTATATCTTATTTCAATTGAAACAAATCAAATTAAAAGTTGAATATAAACTTCATAGTGCAAGGATTTTAGCTATTAATGATAATGTTTATATCATATTATTTTCAAGATTAATTATTGGAATATTTTTTATTAATATCTTAATTTCATTGATTAATTTATTTAGAGACCAAGATCAGTGTTATGATTTACCATTAAGTGATGAACAAAGAGCTTTAATTGGATTAAAAGTTAAGAATGATGATAGTAAACTTGAAATTGAACGAGAAGTTGAAGGATTAACTGAACAAGATATAAGTGGTGAACAAGAAGATTTGAAAGCTGAATTAATCTTACAACAAAGACAATATGAATTAAAGCATAATAATAATCAACAAATCAATAATATTATAAATTTACCAAGATATAATAAATTGAATGGATATAATGATGATTATTTTACTTCAAGTATTGAAAACGAGCCGATTACATTGGATAAAAGTCTCCCAATAACAACTACATCCACAAACTCAAATATTAATCTAAACGCCACCGCAACTACAGCAACAACGCCTAATACGCAATCAATATATCCGATTAGATCGATGTTAGCAGCAATTGATAATACATCCCTTTCTAATACTAAAATTGCTAATTCTCAAGTATTAACAAATAGGAAATTATCATTTGTGACAACGGTTACTCATCCCAAGCATAATGAAGAAGAAATACGGGCCGAATTACTGAAATTTAAGAAGAACTTCAATCTTGAGTTTAACTTCAATGAGGATACTTAAAGGACAAAGGGTTGGTTATTGAATTTACAAACTATTAATTGTGGGACAAGGGCTTTATAGGCATATGGATAAAAGGTAGTTTTGTTGGTTAGTTAGTTTTGTGAGCTGTTTTGGGTTTAAATATTAACTAATAGATAGAAATAGGTGTTTAGCAAGCACTGACACTATATAGAAAGTTTCCTGTATATATGCATACTAAATAAAATAAAAAAAGGATTTTAGCGCATACATGTTTCTTTTTTGCCCATTTCCAAATTTGGTTGCAAGACGATGTATGGAAAAGTATAAGAAGTTGAACGAAATGAAATAGAGGAAATAATGTACCCCACAAAATAATATGAATTAGATACCGTCCTCCGACTACATGGAAGCCAACCTATATAGTTTCGAGTGTCGGAGTATATCTGTAATAGTTAGTAATAGTTAAAAATAGACACGACAAAAAAAAGTGATACATGAAATAGAGGTGTGGCCTGCGCAGTAAATGGAAGTGGACTTAAGAAATTACAATAATAGACTACAGTTAACCAGTTTAAGTCAAAATGAACGAAGAATAACATGTCATGACAAACATATTGACGTAAAATAAGATCAAGATATGGAGGTAGATTGGGCTTTTACTCCTTAAAATAGCTTGAACCCAAAACTCTCGGAGTTCTTGAAATATTTTTAACTCTTCGCCTTCACTATCCGTTGTTAAACATCTTAACTCCCGCTAACAAAACTACGTAGTCTAGTTTGTCTAATATTTTCGTAATTTCATAAAGAAGCACTTATTCTATTCTAACACAAAGCAGAAAATTAAAAACAGGGTGGAATAAAAAAAATCATAAGTTTAATTACCGTCCGGTTTTTAGATTTACTCTGTTTGGTTGTTGGGAGTTAATTAATTTAGTGAGCGAGTGGTGAGAGTTTTTTTTTTCTTTTCGTTAGGGAAGAGGGGCCACCACGCAATGCATTTTTCTAACTGCGAATCCTCCCTCATTAAGGTTTTGCGCTGTAAATGATGAATTTCTAGTGATACCCCCACCTTACGATATATTTTAACATAACACTATATATAGGTAAATAAAATATCAACTATATTTTAAAATGTTTATATAAATAAGATCAAATTTCTTTATTTAAAGTTAATTATAATTATACTTTGTTTAGCGATATTTGGATCGAAAGGACAACACTAAAGTTTGTTGCAAAATCTTAGGTACCACATATATATTCTGATCTATCATGTCATCGATCGATTCTCCAACCATTTCTAAAACAAATGCATCACTAAATTCAAATCCTATAGGTTCAAATCCTTATAAAACCATCACTTATTCAGGGGATGGAAATGAATATGTTATAATAGATAATCATAAATATTTACGACACGAGTTGATGCAAGCTTTTGGTGGTACTTTAAATCCTGGTTTATCTCCACCTCCAGTTCATCAATTTGGTAATGCATCAGCTTTAGGATTAGCTTCATTTTCTGTAACTACATTTGTTCTTGCATTATATCTTATTGGTGCTAAAGGTATTGCAATTCCAAATGTTGTGGTTTCTCTATGTTTTTTTTATGGAGGTGCTGTTGAAATGCTTGCTGGTATTTGGGAATTAGTGATTGGAAATACATTTGCAGGAACTGTCTTTACTAGTTTTGGAACATTTTGGATAGCTTATGGATCTATATTTGTTGAAGCTTTTGGTATTCAAGCTGCTTATGCTGATGAACCTGAACAATTTGGTAATGCAGTTGGATTTTTTATTCTTGGTTGGGCTATTTTTACATTTTTATTATTAACTTGTACAATTAAGGCTACTGTTGGTTTAGCTGGTTTATTCCTTACATTAGATATCGCATTTTTCTTATTATCTGCTGCAAATATGACAGGAAATGCAACTGCCACTAAGGCTGGTGGGGCATTTGCTCTTATTTCATCTATTTTTGGATTTTATAATATGTATGCTGGTATTGCTAATGAGACTAATGTTTACATTATGCCACTACCACTTCAACTCCCAGTTTACGAAAAAAATAAGCATTGATTGAATCAATAGTAATAATTACAATTAACAAAGATTCTTAACAGGGAGAGATGAGATGGGAGGGATTTATTTTATATTATTTTTTTATTTTCAGTTCAATTCAATTCGGAGATTTTTTTTTCCTTTTTGCATCAGAAGTGATGATTTGACAAATTTCAATTAACGATTTATGATAACAACCAAATTACCAAACTATTAAAACATCGAATCAAATCAAATCAAATCAATCAGAACCAGAAACTATTATTTATTGTTATAAAGGCAAAACAAACAATGTTATTATAATATCAAAGCTTATTTATTTATATAATGAGGTATTCAAATATACAAATTTGATTAAAATATGGTTTACTAAGCCGTTGCAGGTTTTGAGCCCTTAACAAACCCTTACTCTTGATCGATAAATAACACTATATGGAAATGATCATATCTCATTTCGATTTACAAAGAGTTTAAGTTAATCAAACAAATAAGACCATAAATTAAACATAGACAATTTGATTCCTCGAAGAAACAATTTTGTGCCATCTTAATTCCTAGTCTGGGATCATCACATCAACTTAAAAAAAATATTTCAAATAAGAGATGTTACAGAGAAATGAAAGACCTTTTATAATAACCTGAAATATATTTAATAACAAAGATACACAATAACGATGATGATGATTTCATGACACCACAAAATTTTCAATCAAGGCGACCATACAGACCACAGGTACAAATTAAAAATCTGCTTAATTAAAAAACTTTGTGGGGTTCGGAGAGGCACTCCGAAAAAAGGTGTCATAATCCGGAAACATACACGAAATGTACCAGCAGTACAATTTACTTTTTTTAATGCATAAATGATTATTATTGATGACTTGAACTGCAGTTTCAGTTGGATTAACCACAGGTATGAGGTGAGTAATGGTTTGTAGAAGTTTACGAGATATGTTTGAATTACCAACTCCGATTATTTGTTATGAGAAAGATGTCATCCATTTTTTTTTTATTTTGAAAAGTATCCATATTTGATCGTACATGATAAGAAAAATAACAATGGTGTTGTATTCCAATTTAGAGTAAACATAGAAGGAAAGTAGAATACATACAGGTACATATGTAGTGGGGTACGTACAGTTGTCGAAACGTATAATTTTCTTTGATATTGTACTGTTCTTGGAATAAAAATTCCCTTCGTCAGAGATGGTACAAAAGAAAGTAAACTTAACAGAAGGGAAATGGATACCCAGTCTTATTGGTAGTTCTAGATTGGGTATTGTTTTGCTTTTAAAAATTTGTTTACTCTCCCTGTCTCTACTGAAAGATTTACAATAAAAAATACGAACTTCAAAAACATTAATAATGAAAATGATAACTTTATTCCAATCCACAATATTACCCCATACCAATCTTTTTCATCTTAATAAGGACGATCAATGATGAATCCTAACTTTAATTCAATAAATGAAAAGAAAATAAAGAAAAAACGAACTTAACCAAGCAAAAAGCATGGATTAAAGGACATTAACCTCATATAAATTAAATATTTATTTCCGTTTTTTTGCCTAAAATAAGTAAATTGCCGAAAGTATGCGATGGCCCCACTAATTTTTGTACTGTCCCCTCTTCAATTTCCGATACCATTTACTGGATTGATCTCGCTGGAATTTTTATTTTTTGTGTTGTTTCTCATAATTTGAAATTTTGTGAACGGATTAAGTAACTTGACCCCAACATTTGATGCAAAAATTAAATTTTCTCTCACAAATTGAGCGCCTAAAAATATTTATCTTACTTTTTCTATTATGTGACAAATGGTCAGCAGGATTAAAGTGAAATTATATTTATTATTTTGATGTGTTGTAAATTCGTTAAAATGCTTAGCGTTTTATGTATGATGGAGGGGTTTCTTCGTGGGGATGCTTTTAATCTTTAAACTCTAGATCAATAAATTTCTTTTTTTTTATTTTCTTTGTAATTTAATTTGCAGTATAAATATATCTTCAAGTAATCATTTTTATTCATATCATGTTTATTATGAAATTGTTTATCAATAAGGTAAGTTTAAAGAAGTATATTCTACTTATCAACTTCAACATTATTACGAATAAAAATGTCTTCCAGAGAATCCACTGAAGAATCTATTCAATCAGTTAATAAAGAGTTAGGTCCATCCTCTGGCAATGACTCTCTTGATTCATTACCTCGTAAAACAGTTACTTACTCAGGTGACAATAATGAATTCGTTATCATCGACAACAAGAAATATCACAGACATGAATTAATGCAAGCTTTTGGTGGTACTTTCAATCCAGGGTTAGCTCCACCACCAACTCGTTCATTTGGTAATCCAGCTGTTCTTGGTTTAGCCGGTTTCTCATTACCAACTTTTATTCTTGGTCTTTTTAATGCTCAAGTAAAAGGTATTGAAATTCCAAATCTTATTATCTCATTATGTTTCTTCTATGGTGGTGTTACTCAAGCTCTTGCTGGTGTTTGGGAAATGTTTATTGGTAATACTTTTGCTGCAACTACCTTTTTAAGTTATAGTGGTTTCTGGTTTTCTTATGGTGCTATTTTAACTCCTGCTTTTGGTATCTTAGATGCTTATGCTGCAGCTCCTGAACAAACTTATCAAGCTATTGGTTTATATCTTTTAGGTTGGACTGTTTTAACTTTTATGTTCTTCTTATTAACTTTAAAATCAACTGTTGCATTCATAGGTTTATTCATTACTTTATTACTTTCTTTCCTGCTTTCAACTGCTGGTTATTTAACTGGTAATTTTTACTTAGTGAAAGTTAGTGGTGGTTTTTCAATTGCCTGTTCTATCTTTGGTTGGTATCTTGCTTGGGCTGGTGCAGTCAATCCTCAAAACAGTTATTTCACTTATTATGCTTTACAAATTCCTACCGTATCTTTTGGAGGTAAAAAGAATAAAGCTTAAAATTAATTAATTAATCAACCATAAATTTTCAACAAATCTAAAATCTAATCACAAATCTTAATCTTAATCTTAGCTGGTCTATATCAAAATTGATTTATGTGATTCTTATATACTAATACTACTTTTTTATCAACTTTTTTATTAAAATTTCTATTGTTCTGGGGGGATCATCATCATTTATTATTACTATTATTACTATTACTTATTATTATTATTATCTTAACTTGTTTTATCAACTATTTCTTCTTATAAATATACTTACCATTACTATTTTGCCATTAATTGTTTCTATTGTAAATCATTCAACTCGTTAAGACTCTCTATTAAATTATCTATATCTGGGAAATCAATTCTGAAAAAGTTAGATTTCTGGTCTAGAGTTTTATAATCCTGAGGATTTATCTTAGTTTCATCAATGAAGTAAAACAATAAAAATTCAATAATCTTAAAATTTAAATCTTGTTGAGTATCAACTTTATGCTTAGTAGTAGTTTGTTGTTTCTTATTGATATCGAATGATGATAACTTAAACCGTTTGATTATAACTGAACATCCATTACAACTTTCAAACACACGAAAGTTTTTGAAATCCTTTAATAATATATGAATTAAGGTAGAAATTAATGAAATACTAAATGTAATATCACTAGTTTCAAGCAATTGTAATATTAATTTCATATTACTTGGTCTATGAAATAACATTCTTGAATTAGGATGAATAATTAACAATCCTTGTAATAATCGATTGCATAATAACGCAGTGGCCACGTCTATCTTGCTATTGTCTTCATTTATTATCTTATAATAATTAATTAAATGACTGGCCAAGTTAAACTGAAAATTATCCTGTAGACTAATGAATGAACTCTTATTTAACTGTTGGCTAGTATTACTTACTCTATTCGATTGTAATTTTAACGTTGTACTAGTCTCATAATGACTTACTATTTCTGGTAACAATTGTCCTAATAAATAATCTAAATTATTGATACCAAAACTAACTTCTTCAACTTTATTTGAATCCAACGATTCAATGATTTCAATTATACTTTCAGAACTCATTCAATCATCAACCATCACCCTTATAAATATATCCATAACATATTCACCCTTAATACGTAAAAAGGCTCTGGACCATTTTGTTTACATTTTTAGTCAATCTGGTCGGACCTGCACAGAAATATCATTCTATTTGGGAATTGGGTAACATCCACGCACAAGTTAGCAAGCAGAACAATATCTAATATGAAGGTTTAACATCAAGTATCAATAACTTCTACCATCAGTTTTTATATAATCTAACTACTTGAACCATTGGCATTCCAACTGATTTATGGAAATGTCCAGGGTGGTGGGGAATTTTAACCGCACAACAATATTTTCGTTACACTTTGACATTGCCTACTCTTCTACAATTTCGCAACTTGTCCAGTTAGCGATAACATTGATCCATCTAATATCACAACCTTATATAGATCAATAGACCGTGGGTTAGAGGATACAAGCAAGTTCTGCAAATAACTTGGTCTCGATAGTCCATCGACCTTGTCGTCTGCCTCAGATGCTTAATGAACTCCAACCAATGTATATTTTGTATTAGTAGCATAATAAAATCAAGTTTTTTATACAATACTCTCGCCCATATTTGCTACACTTGTAGAAGGAAGGAATAATTCAAAATTTGTATTCTTAATAAAGAAATTGGGGGAGGGGGGAAGAAAATGCGCACTTAAGCGTAAAATAACGCAAATAAAAACAAAAATGCTAAATTTATAAATAAGAGGTATTTGATAGTTAACAAAGAAATTTAATGTATCGCCATACTTCATTCCAATTCATAACGAAGAATACTCAAATGGCGTCCGAATACGATGATTATTATATTTACAATTTTTTTACAACCTATTATTCGAAGTTTCCCATTGAATTGAAAATCAGAATCCTACTGCAATTATCCATTGCAAAGATAATTTTATTCAAGTCATTTATTAACGACAATGAAACTAAAGGTCTTCAAATTAAACTGATTACGACACAGAAGATACATGATTTCAGATGTGACTTTTGTGGAAATAATCCCAAAGGTAATAGTATTTCAGATATTATAAAGTTGGTCAAGAATACCGATAACATTATCCCAATAGTAGTACATTTTGAAGAACGTACCTATCAAGAGAGACCAAAAAACTTTTCTTTTAATCACCTTAAATATGGGTTGCAAAATAATGCCGATTTTGAATTGATGTACCATCACTTATATTACTTTAAATGTATGAATCTTAGAAAATTCCCTTATAAGGATAAGGTGAGCAGTATAAGTATATCAAGGCTAAAAGGTGATGAGACTGTAATGGAATTAGATCTTTCAGCATTTACTGAATTGAAGAAATTTCGATTAATATCGAATAATAATATTTTGAAATTGAAATTATCACCCAAATTATTTGAGAATGTAACTGATCTAGCAATTGACAATATTTTTGATAGCGAATTTTATTCTAAATTCATATATTTAAGAAATTTTGAAATCTATATACAAAAAGGAAGAGATATTGAAATTAAACTCATACCAAGAGGAGTTATTACGTTAAAGATTGTTGCTGAATGTGGGAATGTGGCGAAACACACCAGCGGTGGACAGGTTATTGTAAACTCTAAAGAAGATTGGCCACCAAACTTAAGACACCTAACACTTGGTGATCTGTATAACACCGATGGCGTGTTTAATAATGCGATATGTTACCTGCCTCCATATTTAACAACGTTGATAATTCTTGGTTATCCCATCAATGAAATTTTATCTCAAATACCTATCACAATAACAGATTTAGATTTGACTTTCGCATTCACTTTGGCATCTCCCGCTTCTGGTGTAAAATCTGAATTGCATTTTCCACCATGTCTTCAAAATTTGACATTATTTGGATTAGTCTTAGAGACAATAGACGAGGTATACAATGTTCCAAGGGGAGTAACAAGTTTCAGATTGGTTGCTTGTGAGTTTTCCACGTCATCGATTGATTTTAATTTCGATAATTGTAAATCAAGTTTAGAGTGGCTTCTTTTTGACCATTGTTTGGAGTTCTTTGCTTTTGCTAATGTAGATTATAGTGATTTTTCCAAATTAAATGAAATTAAATTCTCTAACTGTGGGGTATCCAGTCTAACCAATTTTATACCTCCGTCATGCTTAAGTTCTTTGAAAATATCTAATAATCCTATTACATTCATTGACGAGAGTTGTCCATTATTCAACAACGAAAAAGGTTATCCTCTATTAAAGTCGATATGGATCGAACATTGTCAAATTTCTTTTATTTCCCCTAACATTGAATTGCCATTGAATTTAAATGATTTGATTATTGCAGATGATACTACTAAAGTCTTTTATTTTAACTCATCGATTGCTAGGCATGTATCTTTAAAGCATTTATATTTATCAAAGTTATGTGGTTTTCAATTCTGTGACGATGTTGAGGTGTCCAGTAAAGAATCAAACTTCTGGTGGATGGAACTCAATGTGACAGACGACTTCTTTCCAACACATGATGCACTCAATATATTTTACGATAAATTAGAATTATACTTTGGGAGAACATTGAGATATCGTGATCAGAATCCAACAAGTGGAATTCAGTGTTATAGCTTCAAAAATAATAGCGGTAACTGAACTATCAGAATTAAAGCTAGATCTTCTTATTAACACGTTAGCCTACGACTAGGTAATTATAGATGATAATCTTTCCAAACAAAGGTCGCCAAAAACCAGTATTCTATGTGAAAGGTATTGACTTGTGATATAGATATAATGCTAATGTAATAATTTCAAATTATGTTAGTGGTAGAATTAAGTAAGCCTTACAAAGAATACAATTGGAAATTCAATATGGGTTTATTCACTAATTAAATATATGTGGGATTATATGCCCACTTCTATCATATGACATATATCACGTGCCCAAAGAGTAATATCCTAATTTCATACCTTCTATCTAATCTATTTTATATAAATATCTCTATTTGCCACTTTATAAATCGGTGATTTATAACACTCTTTAATAAAGGTGGGAAGAACAATATAAGTTAATTATCATATACATTTACATTTAGATTACTAAGTTACCGTTTCCTCATAACTTCATAGTACTTTACAACATATAAGGTAACTGCATACAGTACACAAAAGTTCTTTGCGGAATCACACATCCGAGCAAGGTCGTGTCATGGTAGCAACAGCACTTACTAGATCCGTCTTGAATAAATAACTTCAAATCTGAACACTTTTATATTTCATAACAACTCTTTCTACATCGAGTTCCGCAGAACCAAATCAACACATACATTTCATTCAACCCTAATGTCACAACAGAGTTATGTCACCTTTGGTGCCAACTCACTGCTCACTCCAACATCATCATCATCATCGATTTAGCACTATAGCTTGCAAAGTTTTCAAAAACACGGATTTCAAAAGCAACATTCACAATGCAAGGTAATTCAAACCTTCAGGTAAACATAATGGTTCACAATCACAGACAAGGTTTGATATGATATGCATTATCACTTATCACCATTACATTCTGCATTTAATGTTCTTACGTCTATACATCAAAGAATTACTTGTTAACTCAACATTGAGACATTTCACAGATTTTAAAACACGTAAATATTTTGTCGCAAAGTAAGAACGACAATTTAGTCACATGATCAATTGCGAAAAAATAATGCAAAAATACAGAAGTAGGTGTGAAGTAGGTTTACAAAACCATTTAGAACTATCATCAACATATCCACAAGCGTACCATCTACATTAGGTTAATATTTATATTGTTAAGAGTGATAAAATGGTTGATTTAGATCGCTTTGGAACAAGGTTGCCGGTTCCAGGAGATGTGTCGTTTTCCATCATTAATTTTTGTTCTCAATGTGTTGACATAAAGATCAAAATTCTAAAAGAACTTCATCTAGCCGATTTGTTAATTTTCATGGCCAAACTAGGCGATGACGAAGTCACTCGTGTTCCCATAAAATGGATCAATAAGAATCGTCTTGAATTTATCTTTTTGCCCCCTCCAACTATCACTACTATTAATGAAGAGAATTTAAAAAAATATGTTGAAAAAGAAGAAGCCGTCAAGAAATTTTTTCATCAAATCCGATATATCAATCCTTGTGTCACTATTCCAATAGATATACATGTATTCACTATCGATGAATTAGAATATTTTAATAATATTTTTATTCCAACATCCATGTATGATATCAAACTTTACATTATGGAGTTAGACGCTTGTGAATTTTCAAAGCTAAAACGCTTTAAATATCTAACACATGTTTCATATTTAAATATATTGGATATAAGTGGTGACATGCATGCAAATACATTAGATTTGTCTAAATATTTTAAATTAAAAAGATTGGCCATTGGTCCAAATTTGAATGTTAATATCAAGTTCGCTGATGAAGGTAAAAATATTGAAACATTCATTGCTGATGGTGAATTCAACAAGGAGATTTTGGCTAATTTACGTAATTTGAAATGTTTCTTCTATACATTGGGTGGTCAAAGTTTTAATACCAAATGTTTACCTAAATCTATCAAGTATTTACATATAGATTCTGATTTTAGAGGTGGTTCCATTTTAGTAACATCTTTAGCAGAAATTCCATTACAATCAATTCAACTAGAGTCTGACGAATTAATGCTATCATCCCCATTTGTTTTCCCTCATTCGTTGGAGTACTTAAGATTGAAAGGAATCATTCCTGATGATGTTTGGAATACGCTTCCTGCTGATTTGAAAAGATTGGAATTAATTTGTACATCTGAAGATAAATTATATAAATTGACATCACGATTAAATTTACCTCATTCTCTACAATATCTAAAAATTAAAGGCATGGAAATAAAGTCCGATATGGATAAAGAGATCATATTCCCTTCTAGTCTCACAAATTTAAATATAACTAATTCTCTGTTTATTACGCCTCTAAATGCATTCAAGTTTAATAAAGATGCTTTAAAAAGCATAATTATTTCTAACTACAGACAAATAGGTAATAATAATCCTTATTATTCCAATATTAACTTTACAATGTTCAAAAAGTTAAAAATTATTAAATTTTCATGTACTAATCTCCTCTTTTGTGAACTAAAAGTCCCCACAACAATTGAGAGAATTGTTATCCACAACGAATCAATCCCTGAAATATCGGAGACAAATTCTTTATTCCATAAAGATAGTCATTTTCCTTTCCTCGCGTATATTGAATTTAAAGACTGTGGAATTCAATCAATAAGTCGAAGAATATGTTTGCCTAGAAATTTAAGGAGTTTCACTTTAGTGGATGATTGTTTGAAGTCATTCTACCTTAATAGAAGTATGTATACGAACCCACATTTAGAGGAGATGAGTTTAGGATGTCTTCAGGAAATAGATTTTGTTCAGGATGAGGAATCTAATTCTAATAATCGAACCAATCTAAAAAAGCTTATCATTTGTGTTCCTAATCTGTTTAAACTTAAAGCCGAATTTTATGGGAATTTTGGAGAATATTTCGGAAGGAGCTTGGGCCTTCATCAAAGATCGGTTCTTAATGGTAAAACTGAATTTGAATTCAGGGTTAAATAGAGCTATTAAGGAGGAAATCTTTAAATCTGTTAAGAAAAAGAAAATTAATATTGATGAATGGGGATCCATCAAATTGTTAATAAGTCTATCTGAAATAGATAATGAATATATTATTTTGTAGATATCCTGTAGTAGCTTGATTAATGTGAATTATCGATCCTCGTGTTGACTGTGAAACTATCATTTGCTATCATTTTATTTTGAACTAAAGTTACTATAGTTGTTTTGCTTTGGTATAGCTATCAAATTATCATGATTGAAATATGTTGAATGGTTGTTAATGTTGTTGCAATATGCTAGATTAATGATCTGTGGATTGAATTGAAAATTCAGCTTCTATCGCATTCAATACCATCATGTCTTAACCTCTGTAAAGAGCTGCACATCAATCAATGAATAGACTTGGAAGTAATATTTAACATTGTGGATATACGATATGATATGCCACTTTTCTTTAACCTACTATTTGAATCAAACACCGAATTGAGATATACATCCAATGTTATAGAAGTTATCGTTAACATAAATTTTACTTAATAACCCTGTTCCCTTTTAACACTAATTGTAAAATTTTGATCACGTTTTATTTTGGGTTACAAGTCACGTTATCTTGATCATATGATATCCCTGTATATAACCAGCTATTTTGTTTTGTTTGTGGTTTTTGTGACAATTGATTGACAACAAAACAAAATGAAACCAATTAGGAAAGAAAGGCTGACATTAACTAACATTGATTAGATTGTCAACTTATCCTTCTTTCATGGTAAGAAACAATATAAGAATAGAACCAGTTCATTCATTTGCCAATTTATAAAGTTCGATTCATTCCAGTTTTAGCTATAATTTGTTTTTGTCCCCATTTGATTGTGTGTGTGTTTTATCCAAGGCGTAGTACATCGTTTATTTATAGATTTAAGAACAACAATAAAGATGGAGTCCCAGTCCCATATCTCATCAACGGGTTCAATAGTACTAGGATGTACAGTGGCGGTGGTGTCATCAGGTATACAGTCCTTAGGCATAACATTACAACGAAAGTCTCATTTGCTAAGAATGCCAGCAAGTCGCTCTAGAGCAAATACCCAAACCAACAACCCTTCCCATCATCATCATCATCATAATCATCATCATTATCAACGATATAAACGAAACATGTGGCTCTTTGGATTCATGTTATTCATAGTGGCCAATGTGTTAGGTTCATTAATACAGATTACAACTTTACCCTTAATCATACTATCACCATTACAAAGTATAGGTTTAATATTTAATTCCATATTGAGTTGTTTATTACTTCCAGGAGAATATTTCACAAATAAATTGGGAGTTGGTACCATAGCCATTGCTATTGGTGCATTTTTAATTGCATATAATGGAAATACAGCCCCTATAGAAAATCCACATCCACCTAAAGATATAGATGAAAGATTTAATTTAGTCATGGCCAAATTATTAAGTAAATCATTTCTTCTGTGGTTTGTGGGTACTTTTGTGATGATTGGTATACTATTAGTATTTAACTATGGATACCTTGACAAGAAATTAACGAAATATAATGCCAACAAAAGTTTAAGTTTAGGTAAAGATAAACTTATTGGAAAAAATAAATACATATTTTTAAAGGGTTTCAACTTTGGTATTATAAGTGGAACTTTAACTGCTCATACATTTTTATTTGCCAAATCGATAATTGATGTTATTGTTGAAACTATACTTAACAAACAATCGAAAATATTACCTTTAAAGGATATTACTCCATATTTATTGTTAATTCTTATGTTTGCCACTATTGGATTCCAATTGACTGCTTTCAATTTGGGATTAGCTCAAATTTCAACTTCAATATTATATCCATTATGTTTTTTGGTATATAATCTTATCAATTTAATTAATGATTTAACGTTTAATTCATTATTACTGAAACATTTGATTACTATATCACAATTTATGTGGATTACAGTGGGATTGGTTGCAGTTTTATTTGGTGTTGTTATTATAAGTTGGGATAGTGCGTTTGGAAAATCAACTGAAGATCAATATATTGTAATATCAGATGAACAAGGTATAGAAGAAGAATCCTTTTTATATCAAAAGTTTCCATATAATCAACAACTGCAATCACAAGAACTTACAAGTGAACAAACAAACCTTCTTCCACGATCTACTACAGGATATTCTTCTATCGATGATATGGTTAAGAATTACTCCACCATTGATTCTAGTGAAACGAACTATTCATCAGCTACTGTTTTTGATTCAGAAGCTTCTGAACACATCCAAGTTGGTAATGAACTACAACTACAATTACAAGAAGATAATGATGATATAATGGAAACAATCACTCGAGATAGACCAATTCCAATAGGACCTCCGAAACGAGTGTTATCTTTTGAACAGAATCAGCTTTTAAATCTGATAGATTTATAGATTAGTTTTGAATAGTAAAAATATATATACAATATAGTGTAAACTATAGCCTAAAAAATTTAAGGGGTTGATATCTCGGTTTCTCCTGCATATACGGTTGCTAAGTTCAAACAAAAAAAAAATAGCGAGTATATTTCATAACCCGTAATTAAATAACACCACTGTTTAAAACTGATAATATTTCTGTATTTGGTGATTGTGTACTGGTGATAGATAATAGCTTTTTAATAGATTTTGGTTTAATTTAGAAATTTTGATTTAGACATCCTTAGAGGCATATAATAAATTCTTGTTAAAGATCAGTTATTCATCAAGTATAACTACTGTTACCGAGGTTGTAAATTGTGATCTCATTTAATTCAAATCTGATATATACACACTTTGATTTATTCAATATTTCCATGCATCAATAATGACATCAACAGGATTATTTCATCGAACAGAGGTAATAGGGAGAGGGAAGTTTGGTATTGTGTATAAGGGATTCAATAAACAAACCAAACAAGTCGTGGCGATCAAGGTATTGAATCTAGATACCGAAGACGATGAGGTTGCAGATGTTCAACAAGAAATACAGTTTTTAGCTGAATTAAAAAACGTCCCTAATGTAACCCATTATTATGGATCGTTCCTTAACGATACTAAATTATGGATCATTATGGATTATTGTGCAGGTGGATCATTAAGAACATTACTAAAAGCAGGAGTATTCGAAGAGAGATACGTAGGAATCATATTACGTGAATTATTACTAGGCTTAAGTGGAGTACATAAAATGGGTTTTATTCATCGAGATCTTAAGGCTGCAAACGTTTTGATAACGAAAGAAGGTAAGGTCCAATTATGTGATTTTGGTGTTGCTGCTAAAATCACTTCCAATGCATTAAAAAGAACCACCATGGCAGGAACTCCTTATTGGATGGCTCCTGAAGTTATAAGAAAAGGTGATACATACAATAGTAAGGCTGATATATGGTCTTTAGGTATAACGATTTATGAAATAGCAACCGGTAATCCTCCATATTGTGATAGAGATGCAGATTGGGCCATGCAAATGATTTCAAAACTGACACCTCCAAGATTGGAAGGTCGTGAATATTCTCCTGCCTTAAAAGAATGTATTGCATTATGTTTGGATGAAAATCCAGAAGAAAGACCATCGGCTGATGATTTAATGAAGTGTAAGTTGGTCAAATTATATAAAAGTCATCCTCGAAATATATTGAAAGAAGTCATTTCAAGATATTTATTATGGCGAGATAAGAATCCTTCTCGTGATTCTGTCTATATAAACTTAGACAAACAACAAGAAAATGAAAATATAGCCGATAATGCATCAGAAGTTGGTCAAGATCCTAGTCAAATTCAAGTCAAATGGGATTTTGATTCCTTGAGTAGTAAAGAATATATCATAGAGAATGATATAAATTTTGAAAACCAAGATGGTGATGAAGAATATGATGAAAACGATTATACTCATAATGGTGTTGGAGGTGATACATATTCAACACTCCCTACATTACAGGCAGGAACAAACACGATACATGGTAGTTCATTGGCGTTACATAACAACTACTCTTCATCAAGCACATTAAATAATATGGGTAGAAGTGGTACAACGTCAGAAATTCCGAAATCTTTACAGCTGTTATTTGAAGATACAGAAGCTAACGAGGAAGAGTCCAATGCCTTTCCGCCACCTCTTTCTTCCATGCCATCTTATGTAGAAAGAATTGAATCTCCAACTATCGAAATTCCTGATATGGATAATCTTTCCAACTTCAATACTACATCAGGTTCTACGATCAAAGCTTCACTGGTAGCTCATCCAGTTCTTAACAAACCACCTGTATTATATCATTCACAATCTGCTTCTGCCAATTTAGAATCACGATTTTCATCTACAAATTCTAATTTAGGTTCTAGGCAAAGAAAGAATACCGTTTCAAACACAATTGGTGGGTCTTCATCACTCAACAACTCAAATAATTCTTCCAATTCTTCACAACAAAGTCAATCCCAATCTGTTCAACAACCCCCAGTGCAATCAATTCCAATTAGAACTCCACACACACCACCATTCACCAACAATAGTGCAAGTACTAAGACACCTTCACCAAAGATTCAAGCATCATCTGCTCTTTTGAATTCAGCTACCAACTCAAATTCTCCATCAAAGTCAATGAAAGCATTACAGGCCAATTCAAATCCATTACTTCAACCTATCAACTTCAAACAAAGTAATGATGGAAATAACTCTATCAGTGAAAGAAATGCATTAGCTCAAGCAAATTCAAAGCCGTTGGCCAACAGTACCAATGCTATTAATGGGGCAGTTACATCCGTGAATTCTGTTAACTCGAAGACAAAGAAACCAAGACCAGGATTTCGTATACAAATGCCTACACCTTCGAATTCATTGAATCCATTATCAGCATTAACCAATGAGCCGTCTGCCCAACATGATGAAAATGTCAATCAATTTGGAATCAATCCTTCTCAAATGATTCCATTAGCTATGACGCCTGTAACTGAAAAGGAGCCAATTCAATTTCCAACTCAAGGGCAAAATGAAACCAGTCAAAAGACTCCGGCTAGAGAAAGAACAGACTCTCTTGCGTCAAGGCTTGGACAAGTTCCACCAAGAAAGCCAAGCTTAGTTAATGGTTCATCTAGTACTAATCTTACGCAATCCAATATTCATTTAGCAAGAGGAAATTCAATTCGTGGACCGGTTCCCGAGATTACTCAAATAGTTAATAATGGATTGAGGTTTCCTACCATCCCTTCCATTGGTGGCGAACTCTTTATTGATACCGGTTCAAAACAAAAGCTACTTTCCGAATTAGATACCATGATAAGATTATTCAATCAAGGATTGGAAGCTTTGGAAAGCAATCTTTAAGTAGAAATATAGTATAGTTAAGAATGTACGAGAGCATGTTCATAGATAATCTAATAGTAGAAAATGCGCTACCTTTCTGGATGATCCTTCAATATTTTTTTTATCGCGACTAACCAAAATAAAAATCTGGAAAATCAATAATGAACCTTTCTTTTATATGTAAATTCCATTATTTGTGATCTGACAATCATGCCACCCCGTATTAGACGACGTATAACGTCAGCAACTAGGGAGCAGATTGAATTGGAGCAAGAAGAAATATCAAAGGTAATAGTCAGGCCTTTTGATATACTAAATGAATTGCCACTATCGTTTGCTTCACCTCCCACTGATCACTATCAAGATGTATTGAAAAATCCATTAACTATCAAAGACTCTGGAGTCTTATATAGATCATTAATGAAATCTCGATATAATTATATTCATGTCTGTCCAATGTTCAAATTGTATTGGATAAAACAAAGTTCATATGCAAAGAAATTGATGGAAATGGACAAACCAGTTCCAAAATCCCTGAAAGAAGAAGGATTAGGGGATAGAGAACCAGTTCTTGGATCTGAAGTAAGTGCTAGAGATGTTATGGTGAAGCTCTGTGATTCAACTATATCATTAGGTCCACATTCATTTGAAATTCGATTATTTATAGTTAAAGACGATCGATCAGATAAACCTGAGAAGCCAGAAAAGCCATCCAAGAAAGGCGATACAAATTCCGAGCAAACTCCAGATGTTAAAGCAGGTGAAGATCAATCTGGCGATAAAGATAAAACAGAAGAAACTCTGGAAAAGATTGTTGAAGTTAATGATGAAGAAGAAAACGGAACAAAAATGGATTCTGATTCAAAATCTGAGGACAACAAAGATCAAGAAATTAACAATGAAGAAGATGCTAAAGTTGCTTCTGACCCAACTGTAACAGAGGAAGAAAACAAGACAGAAGTTGATAAAGTTGATGAAAGTGAAAAAGCGTCAGAAATAGAAAATAAATTACCAATAGAGGAAGAAGAAAAGTTGTCCTTGAAGCAGGGTAATGATGAGCCGACCGTAACAACGGAAACTAAGAAAGATGAAGAAGCAGAAACTCCTGTTAAACAAGGAAAAGGTAAAAAAACTGCCAAGTCAAAACCCAAGAAGACGAAAGCTGCGAAGTCAAAACAAGATAATGGTTCTGAAAATGCAGAACAAAGCAAAGATGCCAACAAAGAAACTAATGAAGAAAATGGTCAAGCAAATAATCAAAAGCCCCAAGAAGGCAGTGCTACTTCTGATCCCATCACAGGTGCTTCTACTCCACAGCCATCATCTTCGACCGCTGATCCTCCACCACCATCCTCTAATGACATGAGTTCAATTGAAAATACTATCATGATTTCAAATTTAAATACAATAGCGAAAACTGATGAATCGTTAAATGGATTAATGAAAATAGTTGCTCTGGGTAAAGCATCTCCACAGCAAATTGTAACTTTCCAAGGTTATATTAAAAGAGCAAGAGATATGGGAGCTCAACCACATCATGCATTTTTGTTTCAAAAACCTGGAGTTAATGTACCATTTCCAAATCCATTCCATCCAAAGAAACCACCAAAGGAAAAGAAACCACCAAAGGAGAAGAAGCCTCCTAAAGAAAAGAAACCTCCGAAGGAGAAAAAGCCACCAAAGGAAAAGAAGGTTAAATTGCCTACGGATCAAAAATTAACTGCTTTCCAAGAGAAATACGTAACTGATGCTACGCTATTATTCGAATATGTTGAAAATTCTAATGTGAGATTCATGTTACCAAAGGATGCTGTTTGCGAAGTTGTGCCGCCGACCACATTAACCAATGCCGATGGTGATGATAATTCTGATAACAAAGATATAATAGTAAGTTTCTTGTGGATACACAATCAAAAGGAAATGGATGTCTACGAAAAAGATTTGGAAATATATAATGGTAAGATCAAGCAAAAAGAAGAGGAAGAAGCTAAAAAGCTTGAAGAAGAACGTAAGCAGTTGGAAGCTGAATCAAAAGAGAATAATGAAGAGAATAATGAAGAGAATAATGAAGAGAATAATGAAGAAAATAAAGAAGAGAAGGATAAAGATGTCAAAAAAGAAAATGAAGAAGAATCTGAGCCTGTGGGGTCTAGGAGACGACTTAGAGCATCGGCAACTCCAAAACCAATGCCTCCTAAGAAGAAGAAGCCTGTCAAGAAGCAAGCTGTTGCAAAACCCCTTGTTCCTCCAGTAGAACCTGAGATTAGATTTACAGCTTTATCTTTTACCATACATGGTATTCCTTCAAAATTCGTTCCAATCATTGCTAATAGTGTTTCGCCATTAGAGGAAGTCCAAAAGAAAATGGCACATATCATAAATGTTGGTGTGAGATTTAATAATTTCTACTTATGGTATCAAGTTGATGGAAAGTTGGACGAAGAGCTTGCTGAGAATATTAGAGTCCAGTTGGTGAATGAAGAAAAGAAAATGCCAGGTGTTACCGCAGCTCCAGTGATATCTGAAAAGGCAGCACTAGCCAAGGAGAAGAAAAGAAAATTAAAGGAAAAGGGTGAGCCTAAACCTAAGAAGTCAAAAACTAATAAAGGAGTCAAACTAGAGGACACCGATGCTGCATCTACTCCGATCGAGAATGCAACTCCTACTGGTACACCAGCTCCAGAAAGTTCTGTTGAACCAAATCAAACTCCTGTAAAGGAAGAAATCGAAACTGAAACTACACCAATGGATGTAGATGACTCTTCGATTATTCCTGAATCAAATAATATTACAGTCAGTTAGTTTGTACAGTACTGTTATGTATTTTTATGTAATTTATAAAGTGTATATATACAAGGGACTTATAATTATTTTTTATACAATTAGAAAACAATATTCAATAATGTAGTTAACATATCATTATCTTGTTTACTTCTAGCGGACGCATTCTCAAAGTTTGGATTAGTTGCTTTGTATCTATTATTATTTTGAGAATCGAATCCAATCTTATTATGCATCCAAGAACCAGTCTTAACACCATCTGCCAACACTTTCACTGAACCATTTTCATTTAATTCAACAGCATTAATCTTGAATGGCATGACGAATTGTCTAGCGTGTTTACCTGGAGCGTTAGAAACGAAATTATATTGTAAATTGGTAGTACGTTCATTAACACTGGCAACAAAACCACCAATTGCAGCTTCTTTGGTATTGACGATTCTTCCTGGAGCAACAGCTCCATATCTGACACCATTTGGAGTGTTGGTTAATCTTCCTCTTTGGTTATAAGAAAACCCACCTGAACCTTGGATTTGAGTTGAAATGGCACTACGCGAAGAACCATTCTTCTTTGATAAATCTTGCAATTGTAATTCTCTTCTAATAACATCTTGAGATGAGTGTAAGAATTGACTTAATAATTCTTTGGCAGTACTTTGAGTGATGTTTGATATAAGAGCTTGAGGATAGTTCTTGATTAACCATTTTTGATAATGACGATGTAAATTTTTGTTTTCTTTCAATAAGGAAATAACTTCATCAGCAGAGGCGTTATCTTTCAAGTTCAAGTTATTGAATATGTTATCCTTTTTAGATTTTGAGTTTGATTGGTTATTTTCAGTTGGGAATAATGGATTTGATGAAGTATAGTTATAATTTAATGGAACTCCAAGTTCTTGAAACTTGAGTCTATTATATAATTTACCAGAGTTCTTTTCGACATCTGGCATATTCTTGAAGTTATCTATGTCATTGAATGATATGTGTGAATAACCAATTTGTTTTGGTAAAGTTGTTTTAAGACCATAATCTGATCTAATGGCATTGGTCTTTGGAGTATAAATGATTTGATGAGTTGGTTTATGTTTTGACCCGTTTCTTATATTTTTCAGAAGTGGAGAAGCAACTTGTGCCAACTTGGAATTCTTCACCAAGTTGAAAAGCTCCTGTGTATTCATATTTGGGATTGGAAATGCTTCTAACGACTTACTAACAATCAACAATATATCGTATCGAAATTTTTTTTTTCATTTTCGAGTTTTGTCTAATTCTTGTTGGTAGTGAAAAAAAGAGCCAATTTTTTGTGCAGGAAACAAAATTATTTGTCGTGCGATAATCAAATTCTATATTATATTTGCAATTACAGAAGCCATATATTTACAAGTTATACATTTAACAGGCATAAGAGAACGTTATACCGAATCTATTGAACTCGGGAGTGTTTGTAGTTTGATTTAATGATAGTTTAACACCAGTGCTAACTAGAAAATCTTTTATTCTACCCTCCCATAATAATTTTACCATACGATCGTTAAGACTAGTGGAGACTTTAACAACACTAGAGAAATCACTATCATTTACAAGGTTTTGAAATGCAGTTGTAACACTTTCCGTATGAAGCTTTTTATGAATGTCGTTATTATTGCTAACGTCCTTTTCGATTGGCGAAATATCATCATCTTGTTCTATTCTTTGGGGTAAAAGGGTTGGATTTATATGATAGTAGTTGTCAAGATTTTGAATGGGATTAATGATTAAATCATTTTGGTTCTTGTTGGATAATGAGGTGTGACTTCTGAATGGGATGGTCTTTGATGGTATGGCGTTATTATTGGCTAGTTCTCTTAAATATCTATTTTCTTCGGATGATGAATTGATTTCACTATTGCCAAATGGAGAATCCTCTTTAGAATAATTATAAAATTCAAAGCCTAGGGATAAGTTACTGGCATAGGAGAAGAAGTTAAAATCATATTTTGAACAAAATGTAGATGCAACTGAGGTTTTAACTGTATATGTTGATGATAAATGACCAAGGATGGGGTTAACAGCTAAAGTCATGGTTAATGGCTTCCCAGTTGATGTGGATCTAGTTGAATATCGGAAAGCAGTAGATAAACCTGGACTCATGGTTCTCGCAGCATACCATAACTCAGTACCTATTGATACCACTGAATTATCGAATTTGGGTATTAATGCAGAATTTAAATTACTGATATGTTCATTTGTGGTACCAAAATTATATAACCATCGTATACCTAACAAAGATTCATTAGTAGAATAAATCAATTCTCTCAGATATTTTGGTTTATTTTGTTGGAAATAAAAAATCATGGTACCGCTTTTATCCATATAAGGATTACTTATACATTTGACAAGTAGTTGGGTATGTTGTGTTAATCTCTTTATTATCATCGCTTCCAATGCCGATCCTGGAAAATACATTCGACCATATAATAAAGATCCTTTACCATTTTGATTAGTAGATACATTTTTTAACTTTCCATCACTGAAACTTGGTTCAATTATTCGAAATCCTGCTATGGCATCTTGAAGTGATATTTCTTTTGTACCCATTGTATTCCTGAGTGGAACTGATGAATATAGGTACGCCAATGACCCATTCATAGAATGATTATTTGATAATGTAAGACTTGAAACCAGATGTTCACTAGCCTTTGAAGAAGAATCTAATTTCAACCCACTTGGAATGGGGAACTCCAATAGAGCTTGTGATGATGCTGTGATGTTTGAAAATATGTTATCTTCGTTCCAATCGGTAGATTTATTAAAACATTTTTGCAAATATTCCATGTATGAATACATTTATGAAGTTTGTGATACTCGTATTTTTCTGAATTTTCGCTGAAAGTTAAAAGGACCCACAAACTATGGCAATAATTGTCTTAATCTTAGAATTCCTTATCAATTTATACTATTATAATACAATATTAGAAGTAATAGAAAGTTGTAATGCTACTAACCCAATTGGCCTTTGTTTGTTGCCATTGTTTATGGTTTTTTAAAGCTTTTTTTATTTTTGCAAGTCTGAAGTCACGTGGATTTTTATGATTTTTGAGTCACTGAAAAATTATTAGATTTAGTGATAAAGAACAAGTTAGCTGATATCCAATTACATAGCATATATTATAAGCAACTTCCATAGTTAGATATAGTTCAAGATGGCTAGATCAGCAGTTATTAAAAGGGTAACCAATGAAACCAAAATTCAAATTGCACTTTCATTAGACGGAGGTCATATAGCGATTGAAGAATCAATCTTTGCTGATAAGAACGTTGCCCCAACAGATGAACATGCAACTCAACAAACTTCTTCCCAAATAATACAGGTTCAAACTGGTATAGGGTTTTTAGATCATATGTTGCATGCTTTGGCCAAACATGCTGGTTGGTCCATTATCATTGAATGTATTGGTGACTTACATATTGATGATCATCATACTGCTGAAGATGTTGGTATTACCTTGGGACAAACTTTCCATAAGGCTCTTGGTCAAGTTAGAGGTGTTAAGAGATTTGGATCTGGTTTCGCTCCGTTAGACGAAGCATTAAGTAGAGCTGTGGTTGATTTATCTAATAGACCATTTGCTGTGGTTGAATTAGGATTGAAAAGAGAAAAAATCGGCGACTTATCTTGTGAAATGATTCCTCATGTGTTAGAAAGTTTTGCCCAAGGTGCTGCTATCACTATGCATGTTGATTGTTTAAGAGGATTCAATGATCATCATAGAGCTGAAAGTGCTTTCAAAGCTTTAGCTGTTGCAATTAAAGAAGCTATCTCTAGTAATGGTACTAATGAAGTTCCAAGCACTAAAGGTGTTTTATTTTAAATGAACAATTATATATATTCATACACTTATTTACTTATTTATTGACTCTAGAAATTGATAGTTTCGAAATAACTTGCAAAATATAGAAAATTTTAACCAATTTTGAATGTTATATGTATAGGGGAAAAAAATGTATAGTGAAAAATTTTGTAGAGTGCAAAAAAATACAAATATCATCATCGCTAAATATATTTGTTAACCTTAGACAACAACATCAATAACAACTATATCATGATACCGAGAAGGTTCTTCTCATTGAGTATAACGAGATTGGCCAAGCCTAATGGTGCTTCATCGAGACCAACTAAGAATACCAATCCATTTTTTGATGGATCACTTGATTCTCCCCAGAAAATATGGGATAAAAAAGGACTTAGTAAAGATGAGTTCTTTAAGAAGAAATACGGTCATGTCACTCCTGAACAAAGAGAGAAACTTAATCAAAAAGTTGATAGACAAAAGAGATACAGACAAATGAAGAGTGACCATTTGAAACAGCAGAATATGGATAGATTTGGTGATGATTATAGATCTAGGGGTCCATCAGTTGTGACCAGAGATAGACAAGACTTCATTTATAACAATGGAGGTTCTTCAAGAAATCGTTCCTTAGGGGAATACATATTTGGTACTCATGCTGTTAAATCTGTCTTGACGGCAAATAAACGTGAATCATACACTAAACTTTATGTTCATAACTGTAAAGATCCAGCTATTATTAAATTAGCAGAATCATTAGGTATTAAAATAGAGAAAGTATCAAGTAAGAGTGAATTGAATCAATTAACTAGTAATGGTGTTCATAATGGGGTTGTTTTATGGACCAAATCTTTACAAATTCCAGAGATTTATTCCTTAGGAGAAGTAACCGAAGAAAATGGTGAATATAGCATTGTTACACATCCTGAAGAAGAAGGTGCAGACAAGATTACTACTGTCAAAACATCTAATTCAGCTTCTAGAGAGAAACGACCATTAGGAATCTACTTGGATGCTATTACAGATCCTCAAAATATGGGTAATATCTTAAGAACTGCATATTATTTTGGAGTTGATTTTATTGTGACTAGTTCACAAATTTCTGCCAGATTAGGAGCCGTGACCAATAAAGCTTCTGCTGGTGCTTTGGATTTCCTGGATATCTACAAAGTTCAAGATAGTATAACCTTCATTGATAGAATCAAAAAGAATGGATGGGCTGTTATAAGTACATCATCCAAACCTACTCCTTCTGAACTTGAAACCATGTCAGCCAAAGAAGTTAAAGTTCATGACCACTTATCTACTAAATTTGTCGATATGAATGATTTAGGAGGTATCTGTTCCAAAGTTCCAGTATTATTAGTGTTAGGAAGTGAAGGAGAAGGAATTAGAACAAATGTCAAGGTAAGATCAGACTTTTTGGTATCAATCGATAAGGGAAGAACTGATGAACAAAACATTGTTGATTCCTTAAACGTTGCTGTTGCTTCTGGTATCCTAATTGGAAAGTGTTTAGAGTAAAATGGGTTAGATAAAACTTGTATAAAGTCAGATTAGTTGATAATTGTAAATAGTAAAATACTAAGAATATGATAAGGGTCACACGATTTTCCGCATTGGGAAATTTTCCTATTACGTCTGTAATTGTAAATCATAGTCTAAATTCCCTTTATTCAGTAGCAATTAACATTCTAGATGATTTAACAACACTCAACCTATTGTTAAACATACAATAGGGGTTATTAGTATCAACGTGTGTCCAGTTAACATCTTGCTGGTAAACTAAAGATCCAATCATCTTCAAAGTGTGAAAAGATCTTTCCCCTATTTTTTTTTTGTTTAGATTTTTAGATAAGCAGCACACGGGTTACAAACAATCAGAACAACACCACAATTTGAAACGTTTGGTGTATACGATCACCTGCTTGTTCGGAAAGATTCTACTTCATTGATACCGTTAGTCTGGTTTTATTATAAATACGGTCCTATCGCCATTGCCCAACGTAAGTCAGTTTCTTCAGATTGTGCCTGAGCTCATCATCCATCATCGCATTCCGCACAACTCATTCCCAGATAGCTAAACATATAATATCATGGTGAATTATCATCTTGTTGTGTTAACCCATGGATTATGGGGTCAACCTTGGCATATGGAATATCTTGAATCTCAAATCAATCAAAATGTCAAACCTACTAGTCCAAATGAAGAAATCATTGTATATAAGACTGGATCACATACTGGTTATTTAACTTATGATGGGATTGATATTAATGGGAAACGTATTAGTGATGAGATCATAGCTCAAACCGAATTGCTATCATCGAATTCTAGACTTGATAAAGTCACTAAGTTCTCTATTGTTGGTTACTCATTAGGAGGATTAATTTCTAGATATGCCATTGGGGTTTTATTTTCCCAAAATTATTTCCAAGATATTGAACCAATCAACTTCATCACATTCTGTTCACCTCATGTTGGAGTGCTAAATCCAATGAATTATACTATTGCTGCTAAATTATTCAACAACTTTGCTTATCAATTTTTAGCTTATTCTGGATCTCAATTGTTTTTAAAGGATAGAATTGAAAATCAAAATACTCCATTATTAGTATGGATGGCTGATCCTAATTCATACTTTTTTCAAAGTTTGAAGCAATTTAAACATAGATCACTTTATTCAAATTTGGTTAATGATAAAAGAACTTGTTGGTTCACCTCTGGTATAGAAAGTTCTGATCCATTTAATTCAATGGTTAATGAACTGGCGTTGAATTTATCAGTTGGTTTCGTTAAGAATTATGAACCAGTTATAGTAGATCTTAATCAACCACATAAATATATTGGGATTACTAAAACCACTTATGTTCAGCCTCATGCCAGTACCACTAGATTTATAAGAAGTTTAAATTGGCTTAGAGTGTTTGGAACCGTTATTATTTATTTACCAATTTGGTTCTTAGTCTTTCTGATTGGTTCTATATTTCAAAGATTGAGATTGAATAGAAGAGTTAAATTATACTTTCGTGATGCATCTAATAATCTCATGCATTTATATGAAATGATCCAAGATCCATTTGAAGATCCAATTGTACCAGATGGTAAAAATATAGATGGAGAAGATGATAACCAATCTGATTACTTTGATAGTTTCAAAAGAGATATTACTAATAAAGTTAGAGATCAACAAGATGAATTTGTGGAATCCGTGTTTGACGTTATGAACAATAATAATATATCTGAACAAGAATTAGATGAAAAGATTGAAAATGTTGGTAATGTGGCCAAATTAAATTTCAATTCTGATCAATTATACATTATCAATCTGTTGAATACTTTAGAATGGAGTAAGTTTCCTCTTTTGATCCGTAATACCAAACACGCTCATGCCGCTGCTATTTACAGATTTAATGATAAGAACTTTGGTGAAGGTAAACTTGTTGTAAGTCATTTTGTTAATGAGACTTTTAAACTAGAGTAGATACTACAAGTTTTTATAATATGATACTTTTTTAATTGGCTTTTTAAGCTAGGATATAATATACAATTTATTTATTAAGTAAAAATTATCAAAACAAATTGCAAAAATGCTCGAAGAAGTTGCCCTCAACCACAAAAAATATACTACGGATTTATAAACATATTATGATAATTGTTTTGTTTTTATTTTTTTAAAAAAGTTTTATTTGTTTCGTTTTCAGAGATATGACCATAAATATTCTATAAACAATAGAGTCTATATATACGTTAAAAAAAATATAAGGGATGAATAAAGAATAGAAGTTAGACAGTTCAAAAGAAGTAAAAAAGGTGACAAACAAGTAAAGTAACACAATGAGTTAAAAAAGTCAAGTACATATAGAAACAGTGGCATAGAAAGAAAGAGAGATAAAAAGAAAGAAGAACCAGTAAAACTTATTTGAACTGATTAGATCAATTCAACATAATTGGCAGGGAAAATACCAGTTACACCATTGTTTCTTCCTGTCCACCAATCATCAACCGTTTCTGATTTCTTAATGATATCTATCACATCACCCTTCTTAAATGGTAAATCACCATTTTGTTCACCTTTGAATGTGTATAAGGCAATAGCTTGATTAGTGTTTGGTTTGGAATCTCTACCTCCATAACTTGGCTTGGAAGCAACTGGAGGTCTTGAAGGTCCTGAATTTGATAATCTTGTTTTATTTAATCTACTACCTAAGTTGTCCACATCATTACCATGAGTATTACTTCTTCTTCTGTTTCCAGAATCATAGATATCATCTTCCCAGTTTGAAGATGATGATGTTGGTTTTTTAGTATTGGTAGAAGTTCCATTATGATTACTACTATAGGTAGTATTTCTTGTAGATGGTCTTCTATTTCTGTTATAATCACGATCATCATCAGAATATTCATCAGAATAATTATCATCATCATCAGAATAATTATTTCTTCTTGAAGTTCCACGACTACCTCTTCTTCTTGGAGATGCACCAGATGTAGTATCAGAAATATCATCTGGAATATCATCATAATAATCATCATTATTATAGAAATCGTCATCTTCATAAGGTAATCTATTATTGAATACTCTACTTTCTAAGATTCTCATTAAAGAATCACAAGCTGGAGGAGCTTCAACTTGACCGGCTAAAATATTTCTTGCTTTACAGTTACTACCATAAAACTTTCTATTGGCTTCTCTTCTTTCAACAATGGCTGAACCTTCTAATGAAACACCAGCGAATAACCCTTTTGTTTTAGAATAGGCAAACACAGCAGATGCACTTTTTAATGAGGCAGTTCCTGCTGCTTCTGCATTTCTACCTAATGGACCCGCAGCCACAGATATATTAGTACCTAAAGTAACTGAACCCATTTGAGCAAATGAATCAACAGCTGATTTTGAGTTTAAGATGAATACAAAATCAGTTAATTCTGCACCAATTTGACCCCCTACACCGGCACCGGCAGTTACAATGGCAGAAGGAGGAGACCAAGTTCCATCTGGTAATCTGGCAACGATAACTCCTGATCCTGCTCTTCCGGAGAATAAGAACCCAGCTTTTAATACTGTTATGATGGCTAACCCTTTAGCATTTTTCAAGACATGAGGAGGAATGACTTGATCTGCACCTGCCACTTGATTTGGTTTTATGAAAGAAGCTAAAACTTTGGCAGCTTTTCTAGATAGAGAAAAAGGGTATGTTAGTATTGGATACGAATAATAAAGTGAATAAACAAACACTTGATACTTACTTTGATTCGTTTTTTAAACTTCTTGGAATTGGATTATTGATACCCATTGATGATAGATTTTATAACGTTGAATTATGATGATGATAATGAAGTAATATGTATAAGTCAGCCACAAGGTTTAATGATGATAACTGAGTATATGATTTGAATGAGCGATCCCTATAAAGATGAATTGATTGATTGATTAACGATAAGGAGATTCTTTAGCTTGATGTATGAGTTTAGATTATACTAATCGATTTGATTGAAGTATATGAATGAAATGAATAAACAGTTGTTTAACACATTTAAGCATCATTATATATTTTCCACTCAAAATAATTTTTGTTCTCCATTCCAATCCGTAAAGACGCTCACTCCTTCCTTCCATAATAGAAAATAAATCCGCACTTTCCCTACGCCTTCATTTGTGATCATTGAATTATACTGAGCAGCAGCAGCAGGTCAAGACTTTTTTTAGTGAGTGAGTGAGTGAGTGAGAGATTACATCATGCCATTCATCATCATCATCATTATTAATATAATTATACTGAAGTTAATGGTATAATTCCTCTCTGTAGCTTAATCAAAATAATCCATATGGTATTGGAACTGTATACATAAAGTTAATTTGATTGGACTAGAGAATTTAAACAAAAATTCAATCAATTAAACTGCCTAGAAAATGACAAAAATAACCTACTGACTCTATATTCTATCTGGCGTCTGCTCTCAGTAAAATTAGAGATCTTGGATGCCGGTAATTTAAAAAATCTTAATGCTTAAATTTTTCAATTTTTTCAGTAATTACCATCACCACCACGCGCTACTTTACTTTACGGTTACCGAGATGATGGGGTGCGGTGCGGTGGGACACACACACAACTGCTGTGACGCCATGATCTCGTATAGGAGATAATACTGACATTTTATCATGTAAATAATAGAAATCTATGACTTGCAAAGTTTTAAAAAATAATATTATATCTAACAGTTAATGACCTTCGATTTAAGTATAATTCATTTTAATATTACTCCTTGAATTCAATTCCATCGCAAGAACAAAAGTCAAACAGAGATAGAATAACATATAATAACGAAAGAGGATAAAATAAAGAAGTAATAGTTATATGAAATGATCTATATAACAATTCATTTAGATCTGATTAAACAAAAGATATAATAAATAAAAAGAAGATATTCAAAAAAAAAGCTTCCCCACCAGGAGTCGAACCTGGAATCTTCTGGTTCCAGAAGTGGATACTAAATCGTAGCCAGACGCCTTGACCATTGGGCCATGAGGAACGAAGCTTCAAATTTTTTGAAAAGTAATTCAATGCAATGGTTTCAATATCGAATTTTAAAAACGATTTATTTTGCTCAATTCAAGTGGTTTGGGACTTATAAGTTGATCAAATAATGACTCTGTTCAACAATCTATCGGTTAGAGTCTATTAGGTTTTGGTTGAGTTTTATTTGACGTCATTAGATGAACTTTTAAAATTGCCAACTTGAAAATCTAAATTTCCTTTAAATACAGAATATTAAGTTACAACTGGCTTATTTGATATTCTGATATGATACATCTGAAATATATTATGAAATGAAACCTTTTTACTCAAGTTTGGGCACCCCACAATTCATATAAATTTTAATAATGGCATTAATTTGCCACTTTTGGTAGCGTCTTCTCAAATATCATCCCAAAATTTTTTTTTTTTTTTGTGTTTTTATTTTATTTTAAATTTATTATCAATATTTACATTTACAGAAGGTTGAATTAAAATTCAATTTAAACCAAAGTAATACGTGTTATAATAGGGTGAGAGTATTTGTATGTCAGACGTTGATACAGCTTCCGTGACATCGCTGGGGTCAAGGCGACCTAAGAAGTATCTTTGTGATTTTGATGGTTGTGAAAAAGCATATACAAGACCATCATTATTGGAACAGCATAAAAGATCACATACTGGTGAAAGACCATTTGTTTGCAGTCATGAAGGTTGTGATAAGTCATTTTTAAGAAAATCGCATCTTGATGCCCATGTCATATCTCATAATGATGACGAGGCAAAACCATTCCATTGTTCTATATGTGGCAAAGGTGTTAATACTCCACAACATTTAAAGAGACATGAAATAACTCATACCAAATCATTTGCTTGTACGTTTGAAGGTTGTACTGAGTCATTTTATAAACATCAATCCTTAAGACATCATGTTACATCCTTTCATGAAAAGTTAACCTGTCAAATTTGTGATAAACCATTCAGTCGACCTTATAGATTGACTCAACATAATTTAAAATATCATAGTGAATCACCAGCATATCAATGTGATCATTCAGGATGTTTTTCAAGTTTTAAGACTTGGTCAGCTTTACAATTTCATATTAAAACAGAACATCCAAAATTAATCTGTGCCATTTGTGGAAAAGGTTGTGTGGGTAAAAAGGGTCTTAAATCTCATATGTTAAGTCATGATGATGATAAAATGATTAAGCTTTGGAATTGTAATTATTGTCCTAGCAAATACTCCAAGAAGATTGAATTGATTGAACATTATAATAACTTTCATGATGGTAATATTCCAGATGATTTATTAACCCTACAAGATAAATTGAAATTAGATGCTCTATTAAGTGAAACTGATAAAAGTATGAATAATGATCTAGCTACTTTGGATGATTTAAAAAATAATGGATATGAATCTGTTTCTGAAAGTGAAGATGAAGAAGAATTCGATCATAAATCAGATACACCTCAATCTCATACTTCAATAGATACTTTAAATTCAAAATTAATGAATGGTAAAGATTCAATTATTGGATTGATTCTGAAAAATTTCAGTATGAGAAAATTAAAATGTCCAAAAATGAATTGTGATCGGTCATTTAGAAGAGAATATGATTTATCAAGACATTTGAAATGGCATGAAGACCATTTAAAGAAAATTGAAGAATTTTTAAATTCAATCGATAACGAAAAGAAAGAAAATAATCAAGATATTAAATCAGATCTTTCTTTACCTGCTCCCAAAAGGACAAAATTATCAACCACCCTTAACGATACGACTAACGACTCAGATGAAGATAACTTGGACGACCTTATAGATGTTGAACTTAGAAAGATTAACGCTGGTGACAAGTTAAAAACTTTGTAAAATTATTATGTACATTAATTAAATTTACTTTTTTATAACATCATTACTAATACATAAATATAAAAGAAATCAAAATTAATATTTGGCTTTCTTATCATACCCTCTATTGTAATTACCATCATCTTGCCTTCTCTTATTGTTATTGTTATTGTTACTGTCAAACCTTCTATTTTGGTTATTGGTATTGTTGGAGTTATTATTGCTATTAGCATTTCTTCCACTATTATTGAAATTGTTATCTCTTCCAAATCTTTGGTTTCTGTTATTGGCAGCTGGTGGAGGAGGAGGTGGTGGTGGTGGTGGCGGTAAAGGAAGTGAATCGACCGGAGCTCTACCGCCTCTTGGCGGTGGGTTATTACTATTGCTGTTACTATTGTGTCTATTGAAACCACCATCTCTATAGTTGTTGTAACCATCTCTGTTATAACCGTCTCTATTGTATTGACCATGTGGTCTATACTGTGAATTATGTTGAACAGGCTTAACATCATTGTTTCTTAACGCTTCTTGTGGAGGTAAAGGAGCTCTCTTTACAATAGATGGACCAGCTGGATCATATTCATCCTTACCAACAGCACTTGAAGGTCTGCTTGCTTCTAATTCTTTCTTAGCTTTGGCTAATTTTTCCTTAAGCTTTTCTGGACTAGAAGTTTCGGAACCCTTCTCTGTTGGGGTGGCCTCTCTATTTTCTTTGGTATCTATCTTCTTTGTTTCGATAGCCTTCTCTGTAACTTTCTCACCTTCCTTATTTTCTTCTTTCTTGGATTCTACGTTGATTGTTTCAGCGGGCTTAATGACCAATGGAGTGACTTCAACCACCGCATCCTTCTTTTCTTCTTCCTTCTTAGCAGCTTGAAGAATGGGTTTTTCTTCGACCACTGGTTTTGGCTCGCTAACTGTCTTCTTTTCTTCACCATTAGCCGGCTTTGGCACAGTGTGTGTATAATTATCATAACGGCCTCTTTGTGTTGTAGAAGATCCTCTCGAATCAGGTCTAGAAGAAGACTTCTTAGAATCATAATCCAAAAGAGAACCAAGCTTTTTCTTTTCTTCTTCTTCTTTAACTTTTGCTAATTCTTGTGCTTTCTTTGCAAGTTCATTCTTGATTCTTTCGTCTTCTATTCTCTTTTTCTCTGCCTTTAATGCAATCTCTTTTTGTTTCTTCTCTTCAATGAGCTTATTCTTTTCATCTTCTTCCATAGCAATAAAGTCCCAAATAGGAACCCATTCCTTTGATCTTGATTTTACATGACCAATCAAAGCACTTGATGATAATTTCAAATCTTCTCTGTCTTCTTCTTTGATCACTTTTTCGATAAGCTCGACAACTCTTTCACAGTGATCTTCCACATTTGGATAAATACCTAAAAGATTTTTTAAGAAAGTAATAGCATTACGACGACACATATATTCTGAAACATGTAAAGCAGTTGCAATTTCATCCAAAATACTGGTATGATATTCATATAAAATAGTTCTGAAATTATCGAATGATACTGGCTTATCGTCCTTAGTTAATGCAGCTGCTTCTAAATCGAATGTTTCTTTTTTAGTCCAAGAATGAAGTTTAAATAGTACATCAGCAAAGAAAAGACCCAAATTTTCAGCTTCAATTGGAGTTAAAGTAAAAAGAGTACCAAATAAGATATTATTTTTAATCAATTGATCGAAAACATTGATTAATGAAAAATTATTTGGGGATAATTCATTTAATTTAAATAAAAATCTTGATGAGAAAACTGCATCAAATGATGAATGAATAGCTCTTGGTAAAATACAGTTTTGTAAAAACACATTTGATTGTTGAACCACATCACCATCTTTTGAGAACCAAGACTCTGAATGAGTTGTTAAGATCTCAAGCACTTTTTGATTTTGGATCTCATGTTGTGAACTTTCTTCTTGAATAGTTTTTGAAAATATTTCATTTTGTCTCAAATCCTTTCTGGCTTTATCAATGGCGGAAATAGATACATCTTTGTCTCTTGAATTGATGGAAACCCAATCTTTAAGACTTCTGATATTGGACTTTAACTTAATAGTTTCTGATTCATATAAAGATTTTGAATAATTTATATCTCTGAGTGATAATCTCCAGAAAGTCACATATAACAGTTGTGAAATATTTTGTAATACATCTTCTGGAACCAATTGGGCAGTTTCATTAATCATTTGTTCTAAATTAGGATCAAGAACATCTTGTTTCGAGATAGCATAATCAAGATATGGTCTCCATAAGTCAAATGCCCATTCAGTGGATACACCATAACTACCACTTAAAGTAGAAACTGGTAAATATACTTCCTTTAATTCTTCGAGATTTCCGAAAAAGTTCGTCAACGTGATAAATAATCTTATTACTGCGTTGATATCATCGATTCTACTTGCCAAAACCTTTAATGGAAATTCATCTGCTTTCGCGATTAATTGACTTTGATATTGACATAATAGCACAAGTAACTCATTAAGACCATCTATTTCCAAAAGACTCTTGATTAAGTATTCTCCTGAACGGAATCTTTCAAATCTAAGATCATCAATGGTTCTATATACCAATTTTTCTAACGAATTACCGCAGTTCAACATATCAATTTGTTGCAAAGTTAAATTGGTAATAGTTTGAATACCACCCATAGAAATGAATATTTCTTTCAATACAATTAAACCAATATGCTCACCAGCATGGAATGATTTTAACAAATAAGTGAATAAAGTCTTTAAATCTATAAGTCTTGGGTAACGTTGACAAATCTTACCAATGAAACTAGCCAATGATTGCAACCATTGACGTTCAATCATACCATTATCTTGAGTACCAGTTCTTCCGGGTGAAGTTAATCTCATTAATATAGCAGCGGTTAAATTATCCCAACCGTAGCTATTAAAATATCTTGCTGTCTCGACAACTAAACTGTTCAAATTATCGTAACTTTCAATTTGTTGCAAAATTGTCAAGAAACAGGGTAAAGGATTTGAAAAACTAATTTTTGCTAAACGTCTCATCATTGGTCTAACATTTTCTTTAGAAAGTCTCTTTAAAACGTCTTTAGTTGCTTTCTCTGCTTTACTGTAAGCCATTTTAACATGAGGATTATTCTTGGCTAAAACTTGTTGTAATTCACCATAAACACTGAATCTATCTTCTAACAGATAAAATGATAAGATTTCATAAGCTTTATCAATGGCAATGGAATCTTCTTCGATGGTTGACATGGCTGGGAATATATAGTTTCTGAAATAGTGGAACCATTCTAATTTCTTGTCAGCATCCTCAGGATTATTTTTCAAGTCCCAAACAACAACTTCACATAACATAACAAACAATTCCAAATTCTTGGAAATATTGACACCACTAAATTTAATAAACTCTTTCGATACCGCAAATAAATCTTCGGCTGTACTTAAGACAGGAAGTTGATCTGACCATTCAGTATAAAAGAATCTAAACAGCTTTGTGCTGTAACTCTTGATAGTAGCTTTAAAGCTTAGTAATTCTGCGTTGGGGAATTCCTCATATTCAACGTGATTTTGTTGTCTTGCAAATGCAACTTTCTTAGATCTACTTAACTTTTTAAAGTCTTCGGCTGAAAATGGATTAAATCTGTCATGTAATGTCGATACAATTTGTATGGATAATCGATTAATTAATTCTATTATCTCATCGTCTGCATATGCTAGGAATGGATATTGGGTTAATAAATATACGGCTGGGTAGTAAAGACCTACTGACACGAATGATCTTAAAAATTGAAACTTCATGTTTAAATGTAATTTATTATGAAACTTCTCAGAAGGACTTATGGCTGCCTTTGAAGAGTTGTTGTTCTTTTCTTTTGGTTTTCCAGTTTCTTCGTCTTCTTCAAGTAATGGAGCTGCAAGTGCTAATGCACTAGCACCTGCTTTATTGACTTCATCATCCAATAACTTTTTATAGTCTTTTTCTAAGGCAGTCATTTCTTCATCATCTGGAGCCAAGTATTTAGCTAATGCACCGAAACTTATAAACCCTTCTTTAATTAATATACCAATCATAATCTTAAACGTCTCTGGAAGATCTCTATCACTTGCATGTTTGGCAAATCTCAAACCTATAATCTTGGCAGCACCTTCATTACCACCTATTGAAAGTGTAGTGAGTGAAGAATTATCACTAGGAATATTCGGCCACCATTTGGATTGTTTTAATAAATTTATGCAAGTTCTATGTTTAGGCACAATCTGACTTTCTAAAATTGATAATAAGATTTCAAGACATCTGTTTGGATCTAAACTATAATGACCAATTATTTTCTCTATAACTTGAATAGCATATTCAACTTGAAACTCAGCATCGTCTGCTTTTAGAATGAAATATATTTCTGTAACAAATTTAGAAAAACCTTCAATTTCTTCATGAAGTAAATTAAATTTCTTTTGGGAATAAAGCTCGTCTCTCATTTTAGTATTAAGAGTCTTGGTTAAAGTCTGCTTGGGAACAAGCTCCAGTTCTGTTATCTTATCAGATCCTATGTACATGGCAATTGTTTCTGGCTTTATGACATTCTCTTTACGACTGATCAACTGTAATAAATTCTTAATATGCTCGGAAGGAGGAAACACATTAACCACCTGACAAAACACTCGGGCCACCAAATCATTCTTTATGGATGAGAACAAGAAGTTGACCAACCCATTTAAGTCCAATTCATCTTCTTCAAATACAAGTAACAATTCAGTAAATAGTTGAACAACTATTAATTCACCATCTGAACTTGATTGATCAATTGACTCCAAAGTCTCAAGCAAAGACTCTGCACCTGAACCTTGAAACTCACTTATCACCTCTTCTGTGACATAGATGTACAGAGATTCACTCATCATGGAACAGGATGTATATTATCAACTTGGTTGCTTAACTTATATACCTATCTCGACTTTATAGTGAAAATATTAAATGCGTTTATTATTTTTCTCTGGGTCCAAAAAACCTGTAAATTATTTCAAAATCAAAAAACATGATTTACAGTTTACATTTTGACTTTTTTTCTTTTCGCTACTAAAATTTTTCACTCAACTTCAACAAGCTGTTCTATTTCAATTTGGATGTTTAGAACTAGCTAACTATATTCTAAAAGAGCTTACAAATATTGAATAATGTTCTAAAGTAGTGAAAATGTGTTAACCTTCTTGTTCTTATAACCAAAAAAATATGAAAACAGCTATGTTTTCACTTGCTGTTAAAATGATGCAACAAAGAAAATTTCCGTAACTTTAATGATCGAATTCTGACCCCAAAAATGGACTAAATTACTCAAAACTTGGAGAATATCATGTTTAAGTTGATTCATTTACCTTCTGCTATAAAAATAAAAAGAAAAGCTCCGCGACGGGGAATTGAACCCCGGTCTACCATGCGACAAACGGTAATTCTAGCCACTAAACTATCACGGAAGTTTTTATGAGAAGTTGAAAATATAAGTTTTCTGGCAGGAACCAATCTTCACTAAGATTTATTTATAAAATTTGGATTTTAAGTGGGAAATTTCTTATTTCATCATATCTTATACTTGTATCCTCTATTCGAATCTTCTACCTATGATGTCCACCATTAGTTATTTCGTTGTCTGGAAATTTGATGCTGTGAGTTGTAAAAATAGTAAAGCTAATAAAATCGAAAAAGCATAGATTGGAAATGCTAATTACTTGAAATAAACGTACTAGCCTGGGACATATTTCAAAGCTTTATCTCATGGAGAATGTATCTGACAAATTTGGAAAAAAGAAACTGATATAATACACCCAAGTTGACTAGTCCAGAGAATTGTTGATATAGTCTTCAGGCTTGAATCTTCTTTTTCTATACCCATGTATTTTACCTTTGTCTTTATCATCAATTACAGATGCCTTATGCTTTGGTGCAATATGAGTTTTAGATTGACATATCAGACACGGTGCAACTTCACAGGTATATCGAATATGTCTAGTAGTATGACAATACAGACAGAACAGTAAGCTACTTAATACTTTTACTTGATGAAATTTATGGATTGATCTGCTTGCAGCTGGAACGACGTGAAATAGTAATTCTACCAAAAAATAAATTTTAGTAGTTGCATTAGTTGTGGTAACATATACTTTTGGAGCTTCTGTTCGATTAATAACTCTATAAAGACATGGTTTCTTCCCTTTTCTTTGATTACTCCCCTGTCCTTTATCAAGTATGTAGAAGGGATTCCCTGATGGCAATGCTTCTCTAGTACAATTTCCATCAAGAAAGAAATCATATTGCTCTTTTTCTTCTTGAGTTAGTTTCCATGCTTTTCTAGATTGCTTTGGGTAAAAAAAGTCGTTCAATGTCTTCCCAGCCAGTTGCGCTTCATTCCAGGGTAATGTATATTCCAAAAGGACAATGGGACCAGAAAGGATCAGCAAGATTTTGTAATCAACTCGCTTTTTAGAACCGTCCTCATATTCAGCAATAAAAGGAGTAAGATCATTAAACATTGTGATGAAATAGTTGTGCATTCTAGGAAACGGTTCATAGGGGTATTTTTCGGGAGCCAACTTAGCCAATAGTTTTAAAATGAATGAGTATTTTGTACCAACACTTGCCATAACACAGAAGTGTATTTCAAGTGAGAAAGAAATTATTATCCAATACAAGTCTTCGGCTACTAGAACCCTAGCTAGCTGAAGAAATTTAATTAACTTCATACGAGTTAACTTGTCCAAGTTGTTAATTGCAATTTCAAAGTCGGAATAACTGTAGTTCAAAGTCTGTTCTGAGTCTACGAACTGTGCTGACAAATATCGATACACATTTTTAATATCTTCATGAGAATTGTCTAATTTTTCTATTTCGTCCATTATTTCTAAAAATTCTTTCTTAGGTTTATGAAAGGCTTGATCTAAGTGTTTTTGGAATTGGGTTCGTAGTTCCCGTCGACTTAAGTTGACCCCTTCTAAACTAACAGCTAAGTCAAAGCCCGAAACATTTGCCCTAGCAGCATCGACAAAGTATTGATTTTTGAGGAAGTCAGGAACGTCTTTGATTCCTTCTTGCATCTTATTCCAGGCATTAGCACTTAAACTGTCGTAGAACCGCCTTTCGTAGAAAAGATTTTGAAGCTCCTTCAATTCAGCATCATTGAGTTCAACATCCTGATTGTCATCATCAGAGTCATCATCATTAGAAGTATAAGCATTATTATCATCATTATTATCATCATCATCGGAGTCTTGACAATCAGAATTGTTAGTATCATTGTAATCTGTATAATTATTATCATTTTCATTGTTCGCTTTATCTTCAAGTTCTACATCTTTAGGGTTATTGTAAGTATAATATCTCGAATAATACTTCAAATATTTCTTTTCCTTGACCCAAGGTAATTTTCCTATCACTCTGTCTGCATCTATTACCATTGATTATTTGTTTCGGAATATGATTTATTCTGTACAATTGATTCAACTATTTTTATAAAATCGTTTTATCATTTATTTTTATCTATTAGAAATAGCGGAGTCAATTCATATCACATGATAAGCTGATACTGACAATGACGGAGCTTTTCATGGGCTACACTTATTCAGATATAAGACTACAAAAGACATCTAATAAAGAATTATAAATGTAAATATGACTATTAAACTTACTTAAAATCTCAGTATTGGTTTAATGCTCTTATATCAAGATCTTAGGGGCATTTACCTTATTAAGTTTGGCGACCCCACCATTTTTGGCGTAAGTTTTTTCTGCCGTCGCAATCAAACAGTGCAATCTGTTTGCAACTAGTTCATATCATTCACATCATATAGTCTGACTCTCATTACAAAAGCACTTTCCAACTTTTCATTAACTATTTGAATTTGGAAGTATTGTGGGAGGTTGTTTTAACTTTAACATTTGGAGCCACTTTGCAAGTAAAAGCATTATGCGAAGTAGTATGACAAAATCCACAGAAACTCAATTTACTTTTGATAACAACTCGCTGGGCTGGAAGTACTTGTCTCGTGGAAACCGGAATCCTATCTGAATATAATTCAACAAGCATATAAACACTGATTGGATGATAAATGTGACTAGAAAGGAGGGATCCACTCCATTCCAATTGGATAAGACGATAAATACCAGATTCGTACGATTCTTCAGGAGGAATTATTTCGGCTGGACAAAAGTGGTATGGTTCAATATGGTATTCTTCTCTGACAAAGTCTACGAAGGCCTTTGCTTCTTCGTGTGGACTTCGTATAAAAAAATGTTTTAAAAACAACCATGCCCATGAACTCTCAAACTGATCTGTCTTATACTCTAATAAGACAAAAGTATTACCAGAATGAGGCTCCACTTTGTAAGAAATAATTCCTTCCGAGCCATCTGAATAATTAAATTTGACCGGGCCTTGATGGTTAAAGAATTTTGCTAAATATTCTCTCATATCAAGCAAACAGCGATATTCTATGTTTTTTGGGGCCAATCCAGCTAAAATCTTTGTTAAATCCACAAACAAATCACTATGCTTTTGAACATTTATTTCAATACCACCCGTTGATGAAACATAAACCATGTACAAATGTTTGACTGAAAGCAATCTTTGGTATTTAATATATAATAATAAACGTTTAGGGGTAGCCTTATATAGAGAACGGACATCATTTTCTATGGCTGTCAAATCAATGCTAGAATTAGATCTCACACAACTGTTTAATAATTCGTTGAATTCTTTAAACTGTTTAGCTAAAAGCTCGTCACGAGCACAAATGCTTTCTATTGTAGAAGGCATCTCTTGTAAATGATTTTGCTCCAATTTAAAAAGTCCGAGAAATGCCTTTCAAACACAAAGTGTAGCGACTTTTCATTCAAAGTAGTCTCATTTAAAATCTTAACCTCGGCAATATGTTTTGAAAGAAGTGTTTTCCCAGTTTCTACTAGATACCGTCGCCTCAAATTATATGGAACCTCTTTCACTCTCCTGATAATATCATTGTAGGTATCAGGTGCGTTAGCATCAAGGACTACTTGTTGGTAAAATGATATTGCATGATCTCTATCACCTACATCCTCTTTTGATTTTCCATTTCGATATTCTCTAAATCTTTTTCCAAGTAAATAATCTAATCAGTGGTCTATCTCTTCTTGGCGTGTCCTCCCCATAGTATAAGTAAATATGTATTGATTAATTGAATATCCCCAGGAATTCTAAATGAGAACCCCATATTTTCCTCCTTAAATCTCTCTTATTGAAATTTTAATCACATGACAAATCACCTGACACGTAAAACTATTATTGAACCCAAAAATTTAAGATTTTTGTAAGGACCAGAATGAGACTTACTTATTAAGTGGTTATATGCAGGACATGCAACCTTAAATACAAGATCTACCGAGCTACCAGTTATACCAAGTGGGTGCTTGGCAATAGTGGTGGTATGAGGTATGATGCGAATACAGGAGTATAGGCAGTGGGCTGAGGGAGCTAGCCTAGCTAGCGAGCTTGGCACCTGCTGGCCTGATGCGTAGGCAGTACCATCAGTTGAGTGATTTCAGAGTTTATAAATACTCGTAGATTCCTATTAGGTTAGAGTAAACCAGGGAGAGGAATATCTAAGATTAATACTTATCATAATACATACGGCATCCCTGCCCATTCCCATCTTTACTGTAGCATATCTAATACTAAAGTCACATCTTGACTCTTACAATTTTGTAAAATAAGCGCAAATGGTTTAGTGGTAAAATCCAACGTTGCCATCGTTGGGCCCCTGGTTCGATTCCTGGTTTGCGCATATTTTCTTATTTTTTATTTTTTTGATAATCTATAAAATATAAATTGATTAAATCTATCTAGTTAACTATCTTAATTGATATATTTGTGCCTAAGTTATTGATTAATTTGAGACTTAATAAATCTAATCATTAATTTTGCAGAATTGCAATTTTTTTTTGTCACTACGGTCCCTCGAGAAGAGGTTTTGACGTAGGGGGGCGCGCGCGTGTAAGAAGGTTTTGAAATTTTATTTGATCCGCTAGTTAATATCAGTCTTCCTTCATCTTTAACTAAACTTATATTCAATGGATGATACAGATGATAAGGAGACGTCGAAACGACGTTCATCATCAACATCGTCGTTCGAATCGTGGATAAAAAAGAATTGGGAGTATAAGGTTGCTGTGTTCATTGTCCTTTATTACCTTATATCGCATGTATTATTGGAAACCACTGGTTACTTTCATGAAACTGGATTAAATAATCATTTAAGAGTTCTACCTAATGAAGTGATACAACATTTCGATAAGACTCAATCCTTTGATGATGATGATTTCAATGTTGATAAGTTTGCTTATATCCAATATGCTACTAATTATGAATATTTAAATTTAGCCATTATAAATTTCATTCATTTACGAAAATCTGGATCCAAAATTAAGAATTTTGTCATTTTACATGATGAAACCATGGTCCATTATAATGCTCAGAATTGGAATAATCTATATTTATTAGCTAATGAACATCATATTAAATTAAAACCGGTTCCATTACTTAAAGTCAAGTTCAGTGATTCATCATCTTGGTCGGCATCATTTACGAAATTCCATATTTTTAATCAAGTTGAATATGATAGAGTGGTTTATTTTGATTCTGATTCGATGTTATTAAACCTTGATGAATATAAGGATATTGGTGATGAAGATTTTGATTTCGAACATTTAACCAATAGTCATGGAAATATCGATGAATTATTTAAATTACCAAAAAATATTCAATATGCTTTACCACAAGCATATTGGTTAAATGATGTGGTTGAAAGTAGAGGTAAAGTGAATGATTTAGCACGTAAAATACCTAAGAAAGTGGAAATTCCATCTACAAGAAGATATCATTTAAGAATGGGTAAATTAGTGAATGATATTTCGAAATTAGATTCAAAAAAGCAACAACAAGATATATTTGAATTATTACCACCTTTACTTTATGAGAGTCATAAGTATGATAATTTTGATGATTTCTTTGCTAATCATATTATGATGATCACTCCATCTAAAGCATTGTTTAATGAATTAATGAAACACACTTTCAATCCATGGTATTGGTATATATTTAATCGATCCAAATTAAGAAGATCACAAGATTATGATATGGAGATTTTAAATAAAGTGTTTGATGATAAATTTAAAACAGGAGAGAAAGGGTTTAAAATTGGGATTTTACCTCATAAAGTATATGGAGTTTTAACGGGAGAATTTGGGGAATTATATCATAGAAGATTTACGGTAGAACCACAATATTTACCATTCATTCAAAAGAAACTGACAGATATAGATGAATGGAAACCCATAAATCTCCTTAGACAGGTTAGAGTGTTACATTTTTCAGATGCTCCAATCCCTAAACCATGGGAACATCAAGATAATAGTGATTATTATAATGCTAATAAAATCTATTGTGCCAAAGTTGATGATTGGGAAGAATATTATACGTTATATCCTAGTCAATATAAACCCAGATTAACCAATGATTGTGATAGTGTCAACATCTGGAATTGGATAAGAGCTGACTTCACGGAATCAAGATTAGAGCATTGGCTTATAGTTTAGTTTAGTTATAGATCAAAATATATATATTATGGCTGTTAAAAAAAAAGTGTATACCTGCATACAATGACGGGTGTCCCCTTTTTCCCTTTTCCCTCGATTTGTTTACAAATTCCATATTTAGAAACTTGTCCCAATAAAAATTTTCTGAAATACACAAAACAAACTTCTGATTTCAAACAAAAATCATCATCTTCTAAATTCATATAGTATAGCCTCATAACAATTGAAGTGTATATCACCATAAGTTCCTTTCCATCGTCATTACTTTCATTCATTCATTCATATATATACACCTATAAACCATTCATAATCTTATTTTGCAGTCAGAATTAGTATAGAGATCAAACCACAACAATATGAATACTTTGACGACTCAAGTTATAATCAAAAGAGATGATGGTACCACTGGATTACCATCTCTTACCATGCCTACTTTAACTGGGGTTGATACTTTCACTACTCCATCAGTTTCAGTTCCACCTAATGATAACAATCCTTATATAATAAGACAACTGAATCCAACTGGGACTGTATTTATAGCCGTTGGAGCCATTGTTGGAGCTATATTATTAGGATTTATCTTATATCATTTGATTATTTCCCTTACCGCATCAAGAGTGGCTAAGAAAGGTGTTGCCAATGATAAACAACTTTATGAAAAATATCAATATAATAATAATACCGCTTATGGAGGTAATGCAGGTTATGCCGCTTCAGTTTTAACTCCATCTACATCCAATTTCGGTAATGATTTACAACAATCTATATCCAGATTACATTCTATAAGTCCATCCAAGAGTTTAATGTTTGGAAATCATCATCAAAATTATGCTGGATCACAAATGGGAGATAATTCAACTATTTATAATTCTGAACCTGGAGCTGCCACATCTAAACATGATTTAACTAAAATGTTTATTTCACCAACGGCTGAAGTCATGCTGCATAAAAGAATCAAATCTGGACAATTTGGAGGATCTACTGCTAATGTTTCAATGTATGGAGGTAGTGGATATAATGGATCAGCTCCAAATTTGGTTAATACCGCCAATAGTAGACTTTCTCAAGTTCCAAATTTATATATTAATAATGATTTCAATAATAGTGAATATTCACTTTCTGTTTATCAACAACAACAACAACAAATCTTACAACAGCAACAACAACAACAAGAATCTATGTCGAATGTTGCATCTCCTCAAACTGCACCAAGATCAACTAGAAAGACGGTTCCATCTATGTATCTTGAAGATTTAATTGATAATGAAGGTAAAGAATAAGTTATCAGTTAGTTACTATTATTCATATTCAATTCATTAGGGTAATATTGGTTACCTCGTTTCATTTCATTTGTTATACACCATTGTTCAGATTCGTTTTCTCATTACATACATGGATAAATACACTAGATCTTGTTTATTTATCACCCCATTTTCGTCTTCCTCCCCTCTCTCTCTCTCTCTCTCTCTCCTCTCATAGCATCTACATATTTATATAGTATATATTCTACATATGTATACCCCTGATACACATAAACATATCTCAGTATGTTTACAATAAAAGCACCCACCCGTACAGTTTATCCCAACTAAAGTTCCAAATTTGTTTTAGATTTGTATGTATTGATTCGTAGTCTATCTCAGTTTTCCTTTTTTGCAGTACAAAATTTATTTGTAAACACACAGAGTGTTCAAACGAAAAAAAAGAAAAACTTAAACGTAAACAATTTTTCTGTCTGTGATTAAAAATTAATAATTTCCAATTTAGAAAAAGAAACACTTTAAACATTATCTAATTCCATATCCAATAGTGTATACTCTACATCTGCTATATACTACAAGTCATCAAGTCATATAGACATATATACATAGCATAGCATAGCATAGCATATCCATATCATATCATATCATCATGCCTCTTTGTGGTAGTACTCCTCAGATAAGTATGTGTTGTTTACTATATTATCTAATGATTTCAGTGAGGTTTTGATTCGTAATAAATTAGGGTATACTGAATACGGTAATTTTTTTTCTTCATAATCAATCATCCCATTGTTGGTATATGGTGATGATTGAATCAATTAACATCAAGAGTCAACGTGTTGATTCATCCATTGATCAAGTCAAATCATGTCAAGTCAAGTTGATTTCTCTGGTACGATAAACTTTTGTTTAAAACAATGGATTCGTCTAATTTCTCGAAAGCGCCGCATCAATCAATCAGTCAATTTATCCCACCCAATTTTGAATCAAAAACCTTCCATTGATACTATACCATCAATGTTTAATCATGGTTTACTAACTTATATCTCTCTCTTTAGTTCAAAGAAAAATAGTCATATTGGGTGATGGTGCCTGTGGGAAAACTTCATTATTAAATGTGTTTACCACTGGGTATTTTCCTCAAGTTTATGAACCAACTGTATTTGAAAATTATGTTCATGATATATTCATCGATAATAAATCAGTACAGTTATCATTATGGGATACAGCTGGTCAAGAAGAATTTGATCGTTTAAGATCTCTTTCTTATGCTGATACTCATTGTATTATGTTATGTTTTTCCATAGATTCTCCTGATTCCTTAGAAAATGTCCAATCCAAATGGGTTGGAGAAATCACTGATCATTGTGAAGGTGTTAAATTAGTGTTAGTAGCTTTGAAATGTGATTTAAGAAGTCATGAAGATAGTGATCTTGATATAGCGAATAATAACATTAATAATAATAATAATAATCGTGATGAATATAATCCTTATCAATCAAGTTCAAATCCTTATCAACAAAATAATAATAATAGTCATCAACCAAAAAGATTAATAACTTATGAAGAAGGGTTAGCTGTAGCTAAAAGAATCGGTGCATTAAGATATTTAGAATGTTCAGCTAAAAAGAAAAGAGGTGTAAATGAAGCCTTTTCTGAAGCAGCAAGATGCGCTCTTACTGCAAAACCAAAAGGTGCTAATGAAAATGAACCTGAAAAGAAAGGTTGTGTAATAATGTAAAATTTTAATGTTCCCCAATCACTTAATTCATTCCCTTCATCAATCCATCCATTCATTCATTCATTCATTCATCCATGCTATCAATAACTATCATTCCTACCTTATTTTTTTAAACTGTCTATATTAATACAAGCATCCAATACAATGTAAAATTACACTTCATCCAATTTAAAAAAAAGTTTAGATTAATTTTAATATACAATTTTTTTATGTACAGAGAGAGAATTATATTTTATATATATATACACCGAAAGATTTATACCTTTCACACTTTTTTAAACGGATTACTTAATGGTTCTTTTCTTTGATCCCATACATCTTCAGAACTACCAATGGCCTTATCCTCTAATAACCTCTTCTTATAATATTGTTGAATATCATTACGAGCAACTAATTCCTTGGCCGTTAATTTTTCAATATCTTCATTCTTATCATTACTATCAAGTAAAGTACCATGAGTGATAGCAAACCATAATTTCTCTCGTTGTTTTTGACACATATCATAAGTACCAAATCTATAATAATTCTTAACTTGACCTCCAAGTGAAAAACACGCTACTAAATCATCAGCAGCTGACATTATAGACATTTGAGTTGGGAATACTTGAGTAGTATTCTCTTGTAAAACTTGAGTGATATTCTTTCTTCTTTCTTTGATTTCTTCAGGAGAATCTTGAAATAATGACCATATTTGGTCTAATTCTTCATTCCCTTCCTCCTTCTTTGCCATATTCGATAGTTATCTATAGTAATATTTGATAAAACTAGTAACTTTCATATTGAAATTTATTCAGAGCATGTCAATTTTTTTTTTCTGATACTGCTAATATTAAATTGAGGTCGTGTAAATTGACCATCACTATTTACTAACTGCTAAATAACCTTTACCTTACATCATTAACTTTATAACACCCAAATTAGGTATGTCTAAACCGGTATAATCAAGGAAAGCGCATAACCTAAAACCAATAACAGTTCAGTCGATTGTTCAATTGATATCTTTTATCAATCTATCTTCAATCAAAGGTCTATCAGACACTATGATAATATGGGTGCGATAGTGCTTATCTATACCTTCGAACTTTTATGATATGGGGGGAGCGGGGGTTCAAAACTTTCCTTTCTTATCAAAACTACTATCGACACCAGCCAGTAAGCTTCAACCCCATAGTAAAATTACAAATTTATATAGACTTGAAATATAGTTAAGAAAATTCATGTATAATGTCGCCAAAAATATAGTTTTCCTTTGTTTTACAATCATTTCAGTTACTACCCAACTTCCTAATTAGGAAGATGATTGCGGTCTGATTATAATTTAGGAACAGCAGTCAATTCAAGCATAAATGGTCTAAATGTATGATTGATTTCGGTTTGATATTCTCAAAACGTGAAACAATCAGATAGTGTTGTTATATTATATGCATGGTTTGTAGAACTTTAAACACATGAAAAATACAGTGAAATATAGATTTGCTTTGGGTTTTAATTCATGTAGTATATTCTTTTATTAACTTATCAAATCAGTTATCACAAGCTGCATATCATTGATAATACTAGTTCAAGATAACAAGATATAAACAGAATATAAAAGAACATCAAACTTCTTCAACAAATGTAAATTTTGAAATCCCTCCAAAATACAATTACATCAATATCATTAATCAATAGCTAAAATGTCAGATTTAGAACATAATCATTATGAAATGGTACCTGGTACAGTACACTTAGTTGATATGCTAGGTGATTTAAAAGTACAAAAGGGTGAGGGTAATATCATTCTTATTCCTCAACCTAGTGCAAATATCAATGATCCCTTAAGATGGAGTACAAGAAAGAGATACTTTCAATTTGCTTTGGTTTTCGTTTGGTATGTAATACCTTTTCTTTATTATTCATTCTTCTTACATGTTTACTAACTTATCAATTTAGGTCTTTCTTATTAGCAGCCGGTTGTAATTTATCAGGTCCAATTTTTGCTGAATGGACAGTTGTATTTAATTGCTCATTCTTTGATTTAACATCTACCGTGGCTATTGCTTGTTTCTTCTTAGGTATTGGTTGTGTGGTTTTGCAACCAACTGCCCTTAAATTAGGAAGAAGGTTTGTTTATTTGCTTTGTACTATAATCATGATGGTTAGTCAAGCTATAAGAAGCAGAGCCACCAACCTTGGATACTTATATGGAAGCGCAGTATTAGCTGGTTTTAGTGCTGCTCCTGTTGATTCATTAGTTGAAATCTCAACCACTGATATTTTCTTTCAGCATGAAAGATCAACGGCAATGGGTCTTGTTATCTTTGCCTTATGTGCTGGTAATAACCTTGCCCCTGTTGCTACAGGGTATATTGCTACCAGTATGGGTTGGAGATGGGTATTTTATATGATGATTATTATCCTTGCTGTTACATTTGTAGTCCAGTTATTTTTAATGGAAGATACTTCATTTAGAAGAAGTTCCGATATTACAGTTTTAGAAGCAGAAATTTTAACTCAAATTAAATCTCGTGAAACTATAGATGCAAAAGGTGGTCGTACTGATATCAAAACTGAAGAAGTTAGTGATATAGATATGCATTCTGATGAAAAGACTCACGGCGAAGATGATGAAAGTAGTATCCCTCTTAGATCCTATGCACAAAGAATGGCAATCATTCATCGTGAATATAATGATACAAGACCATGGATAAAAATCTTTTTTAGACCATTCCTTTTGGTTAGATTCCCAGCTTTCATTTGGGGTGGATTTATTTATGGTGTTACAGTTATGTGGATTACATTATTAGCCAGTACAACTTCTGAAATATATGGTCTTCCCCCATATAACTTCACTCCTAATCAAGTTGGATTAACTAATTTAGGAGCAGCTATTGGTTCATTTGTGGGAATGTTCTTTGGAGGACCATTTGTCGATTATGTCGTTATTCAATTATCAAAGAGAAATAATGGTATTTTTGAACCCGAATTTAGATTATATGCCCATATAATCCCAACCATTTTGAATTCAGCTGGAATTCTTGCTTATGGTTTAACTTCGTATAGTGGAGCTCATTGGGCAATAAGTGTAGTTTTAGGTCAAGGATTAATTGGATTTTCAATGAGTGCTGCTGGTTCAATCTCATTATCATATCCTATTGATTGTTATCAAAAAATTGCCAGTGAAGGTTTAGTATTAATTCTTTTTATTAGAAATATGATTGCTATGGGTTTCTGTTTTGCTCTTCAACCATGGATTGATGCTTGTGGTTTGAAAGTTACAACTTGGCTTTTATTCTTAATTTCAATGGCTCTTAATGGTACATTCATCCTCATGATTCTTTTCGGAAAGAGATTTAGAAGATGGACGGCCGATGCTTATGAAAGATATTCCGATCCTACTTATACAGGATTTTAATAATCCAAAGTTATTACTTTATATACATCTTGTTTATGTTAGTTTAATATAAGTAGTTCAAATAGTTGCAAAAATAATTAGATAATAAAAAAAAATGCCTTCAGCCAGATTCGAACTGACGATCTCCTCATTACTAGTGAGGTGCCTTACCAACTTGGCCATAAAGGCGAATTTTTTGAAAATAAAAAAATAAAGTGGCTGCGAAAATGTCAGTATCACGTGGAAATTCTGCACGAGAATTGATTTTGGCACGCACTTTATGTAATTTTTCAGGATTTTTTTTCTTTTTCGTAGTGGTTGATTTAATAAATTTTCATAGATTGATTGATAGTTGTTACGGTTGAATTTACATTATCATCATCATCATGTTTTCCATTGGTCAAACCTTAAAGACCAAGGTCATGAATGGGGTTAATTTATTAACCTCAATACGTAATATAGGATATATGGGATATTTAAAACCTAATGACGGGGCAGTTGTTGGATATAAGAGATTAGGTAGAGGTCAAGCTTCAGGACTTGGTAAGACTTCTGGTAGAGGTCAAAAGGGTCAAAAAGCTAGAGGAAAAGTTCCAAGATGGATGGAAGGTGGTCAAACTCCATATCATTTAAGATTTCCAATCATTGGATTCAAGAGACCTCATAAGAAAGAATATCATCAATTGAATTTAGACAGAATACAAGAATTTTGGAATACTAATAGAATACCTTTAAAGGAAGGTGGTTTATTGGATATAAAAGTGATGAGAGAATGTGGATTAATAACAGGTTCTATCAAAGACGGAGTTAAGATCTTAGGTAATGGGGCTGAAGAATATAACGTACCATTAAATATTGAAGCATCCAGAGCATCAGATAAAGCCATTCAAATCATTGAAAAATTAAATCATACCTTCGTAGCCAGATATTTCACTAAATTAGGATTACGTGCTCATTTAAATCCAGATTTATTCTTATTGAAGAAAGGTTATGTTCCATTACAAGCTAGACCAACTCATAGAAGAGATATTGAATTCTATTCTAATCCAGAAAAGAGAGGTTATTTATTACAAGATACTTCTTTATTATTGGATCATTTAAAAGCCAATACTACTAAAACCACCAGAAAGTCTGATGGTAAATCAGCATTAGCACAACAATTAGAAACAGCATCTAACAAGAAATATAATAGCGAAGTTAAATTTGTTTCATTTGCTGATCTTTAAGATCACAATGGAATATATTCATACATGTACATTTCATAATTCCTGTAAATAATAATAAATTATATTTAATATATAACAATACATATACTATACATTTTGATCATCAACGTCTATAAATAATTGTAATAATTTTTCAATAATATCCTGTAAATCAATTAACTTTATAGGAGTTTGCTTTAAATTTGAAGATTCTAAATCCTTTTTGGAGATTAACTTATCGTTAATAAAACTATAATTGAACTTTCGTAATGAAAATAATGTCGATTTATAAGTCATTTGGTAAATTTCTTTAATGTTTAATTTATCATTAATATTATGATTCAAATTATTAGTTGAAAACCCACGAATTCTTAAGCCTGATAAAATAAGTTTATTAATTGCCAGATTGACTTGATCTTGAGTTGTAAGAATCAGTGATGATGCAGAAGAGGGACTTTCAATTGTCGATTTTGATGATTGAATATTCGATGTAAATTGATTTTTAGATAATGGTTCAGAATCGACAAGGAATGGGCTTGCTCTCAGTTTCTTTCTTTGTAAGACCTTATCAAAAACAGTTGTGTTTGAATCGTTTTTAGTAGAGGATGTAGTAGTTGGTAAGTCACTGATTAGGTTATTTATCTGATCAATCAAAGAAAAATCAAGAATAATGGAAAATATTTGGTTTAGCTTAGTATCAAAGTAAAATATTAAGTAATTTGAACTATTTGAATCATCTGATTTGAAGATTAAACTGATATTTTCGTCTACGTTAAACGTTTGAAACAATAGATTTGATTTAAACCAGTTTTTAGTTTGTTCAATATTTGAGTACACATGATACGGATTGCATGTTATGAGATAGATCGGTATAAGACGATAGTTTATGTGAATAGGTAGTCGACTATACGAAGAGTTTATGGAAGCTGTGACGGGTGTAGATGTTGTTGTTGCAATTGGAGATGATGATGATGATGTAGACGCGTTTGATTGATTATACCACAATTGAACATCTTCTATGTGGCTATCATCATTGTTTTTGACACCGGTATCATGAAGTGTTATAGTATTGATTCTAATCATATTAAGACCATTATGAGCTTTTCTGTTATCAGTCGTTGTTGTATTATTTGATGAAGAGATGAAGGTTAAGTTCTTGTTACAATTTTGATTTTGATACTACAAATTTTATAACTGCGAAAATTGACAGCATTGATCCAGCACACGAGGATAAGAGGTGATATTTACATCGGTGTGTACTCAATTAATAGAGAAGATAACTTTAAGAATCAAAAGTAACGAACTAAGACTGTTGGAATGAAAGATTAAAGAAGTAATGACATCTTGATGATGATTATCAATTGGTTAGTGTGGTTGACTGGCTCCTTTAGTCAATAGGTTAGAAACCAATTTATACTAGCCACACAACTGACGTCTTACTTTAAAAAACTTCCAATTGAATACTAATCTAACAAATATCATCAGTACAACTGATTGACGAAGCATTGGAGTCATACCTCAAATATTCATATGGTAATTACTACCACACCTTCAACCATAACCTTGTCAAAAGTTATGACAAAAAAGTATCCTCAGTGTCAGAAATGCCAACAAAAAAAAACTGAGACAAAAAAAAAAAGAAACTGAACAGAAAAAGTAAAATCATCAAATTTAGAAGTTGAAGGCTAACTGATTACAACACGATTCAAAGCTGTTACCAGGAAGAGGAGGACATAGTTCGCCATCGATCAAATCAATACCATCCATATCCACAACGAGATCATACTTTACCCATACATCAAGTAGTTTGATAGATCCGTTCGTCAGGTTTGTAAAGTCAGTATTCATTTTATCACACTATCAGTTCAGTTCAACTTACGGTGATCTTGTGAGTATACCATCTAGAACTTCAATATCCATTCATCCTTCTTTAATATTCGTCATTAGTCCACGTCTATCTATCCAGTCTTCTTTCCTTATATGAAATCGAAGTCTTGTCTTAGTTATATTCCTAGACATAAAGTGAGAGTTAGAAGATATAGAGAAACCATTTAGACAAACCATTTCGTCAACAGACATATTGTCATTATTAGAAGACACAATCAAACATGAGTGTAAATACCAGGGTTTACTCCGTTTCAAGAGTATTTACTGATGTAAATAGCAAGAAGTCAAGCGATTATTGGGATTATGAAAATCATAAGATTCAATGGGGAGATATTAAGAACTATGAGATTTTAAGTAAAATTGGTAGAGGGAAATATAGTGAAGTATTTCAAGGTATTAATGTTATAAATGATGAATCATGTGTTATAAAAGTATTAAAACCAGTTAAATTAAAAAAAATCTATCGAGAAGTTAAAATTTTACAAAATTTAACTGGAGGGCCAAATATTGTTGGTTTATTAGATATCGTCAGAGATGATCAACTGAAAATCCCTGCTTTAATCTTTGAAAAGATTTCAAATGTTGATTTTAGAGTATTATATCCTAAATTCACAATATCTGATATCCAATATTATTTTACTCAATTATTAATTGCATTAGATTATAGTCATTCAATGGGTATAATTCATCGTGATGTTAAACCTCAAAATATAATGATTGATCCTTTAACTAAGAAATTAAGGTTAATCGATTGGGGTTTGGCTGAATTTTATCATAAAGGAATGGATTATAATGTTAGAGTCGCTTCAAGATATCATAAAGGACCAGAATTATTAATTAATTTACAACAATATGATTATTCATTAGATCTTTGGTCAGTAGGTTGTATGTTGGCTGCTATAGTATTTAAAAAGGAACCTTTCTTCAGAGGTGATTCCAATAATGATCAATTGATTCAAATTGCAAAAGTATTAGGTACTGATGAATTAACTCAATATCTTGCTAAATATGGATTGACTTTAAGTTCAGAATATGATGATATTTTAGGTAAATATCCAAAGAAACCATGGAAAGCATTCATTAATAAAGAGAACAAGCATTTAATAAGTAATGAGGTGATTGATCTCATTGATAAATTATTGACTTATGATCATCAATTGAGACCAACTGCAAGAGAAGCTATAGAACATCCATTCTTCTCATTAAAGTGATTTCAACATCATCTCCATCGCCAGTTATCATATCTATCAATCATCACCATTAACTTCATATCACTCTAACTTCCCCATTGCATTTATTATCATCAATTTTAAACTTCTTGTTAGTTTTATTTATTTTTATTTTATGCTGATTTTATTATTCTTTTCCCTTTTTATTACTTTAGTTCCTGACTATAATATTAATGATTCTTCAATTACTTTATTCTTTTTTGATTCAACTCTTTAAATAGGTTACATACATATATAATTTTTCTTTCTACTTAATGCTCTTGTTACTAATTAACAAACTCATAATAATAGTTTCTATATTTTAAAAAAAATCATAAAGTCATATATTAAAATGTATTAAAGGAAGTATATATATAATTTAATTTCAATCATAGTTTGAATCCATTCTCAAGTTTATGCAAGAATTCATTAACATCATAAACTTTATTCCTAGTACCTGACAATTCAGAATCCAATTTCTGTTGTAATTCATCAAAAATTAAACTTTTCTTATTCTTCTTACGATCAACAATATCTTCTTCCTCTTCATCGTCATCTTCATCGTAATCATCATCAGTACTTAGAGTGCCATTTGATAAAGTGCTTGAGAATGAATGAGAGCTGATAATGATCGATTTCAAAGGAATCAATTTGATTAACTTATCTATATTAGTTTGATCGAGGTTCAATGATGAAGTTGATTTGAGTAATTTGATTAATTGGAAATGAGTCAAATTATCATTATTGCCAACTCTCAACTTTGATTTAAATGCAGCCAATTTTGATTTTGAAACTCTACTGCTAGCGATAGTTGTAATGCTGGTGATCGTGGAGTCGACATTTATAGTTAACGAGGATGATTGTTCATAACCAGAATCAGTTTTGTTCACAAAAGATTGGATATCTTCCATGATGCTAACACATTCCATGGACAACGTTTTATGACCCACTTTATTTAATGAAGCCTTTTGCAGTATCAATTCATTTAATCGTTCATTCTGATGTATGGTTTGGTATAATTGCGATAGTATCAATGAATAATTTTGATTTATCTGGCTCAAATTTTGAATCTTTAAGTTTAGATTATCAATGTTTAATGATTTTATATTTGGATAATAAATCAAATCAATTGAAGTTAAGCGACTATTCAAATCAATTAGTAACTGTTTTATTTCATTGTAATCATCATTTACCAATTCATTATTGTTGTGACGTATTGTAATAAATGAATCAAGGATTTTAGTTATGGTTGCAAATTTGAAACTTAATTGATTAAAATTGTTCAAACATTGATTTATGAAAGGAGTGGAATAAGCGTCCTTTTGGTTGATGGTTTCGAATAACAAATCAATTGTATTCTTTAAATCATTATCAATGGTAGACACCATTTGATTAAAGGTTTCGTGATTATCGGTTAATTCATTTAGGGTGGAGTTTATCCTATTGATGAATCTTAATGATTTTGTCTCAAATTTATTTTTGAGCTTATTCGAGTAAGTTATGAATTCAACCAATTCATTAAAGTCACCATCATCGACAACTTCATCTTCTTCAAATATAGAGGAATGAATATTTCCTCTATTTTTATCGACTTCAAAATATTTATATAATTCAACACAAAGCGTAACGATACATTTCTCATCTGGACTTGAACCATCCACTGGGAAATCATCAACATCTATGAGGATTGGGATGTGTAAATCATCAAGCATAAATGAAATAATGTTTGTTAAATCACTGGATGGAGGTAATGTTATACTATAATGGTTGAAAATTAACATAAATATAGGAACAGGTTGAATCCAATCTTTATGAAAGTTTGCAATTGGAACGATTGGGTTTAACCAGTTGAATATGATTTGTTTGATTTGAAAGAATGAGGAAGTATCAGTTGAAGTCATGAATTTACTGGACATGTTAAACAAGTACAATGACCATATCAATCCAAGTGTTAGTTTTAAATCTCCATCGAAGATATTATCGGAACTTATGTTAGAAGTATTTAGTTTTAAAATCAATCTTAAGAATTTTAACACATCATTTAAATTCTCAATCTTTTGTAATTTAAACTTAGGATTGGAGTATATTGGAGTTATGTAATATAGTTTATCATAATGATAATTTGTAGTTGTGTTCCCTTTAGACTTAGCTATGGCTTGTACTTTATGGTAATCAAAAACTAATCGATTAATTAATTTTATCACAACTAAACCTGATTGAAGATCTTGTTTCAAGTTTGATATTTGAGTTGGACAGGAAGTCACGGACGGAAGTTCTAGTTGATCATAATCCTGGATGGTATTATTCATCCATTTTATCATGGCTTTTTGTTGAACTTGAACCCATGGTTCATTATCAGTATTAGATTTGGTGAACTTTAAGGACATATTGAATTATTAAATGAATGAATATAGTTAGTTACTAGAGGACTTATCTGGCCTCGTGGAAGGATTAAGAGAGAGTGGGACAACTATTCTAGCGAGTGAATATTGTAGTTGGAGATGAGTGTTTCACTACTCCAAAATTGAGTGTGGTGATGAGTCTTCGTCTAATGAATGAATATACCGACAAGGAATAAACTGAAGACCAAAGAGTACTAGTAACAATAGAATATGAATGAATGAAGAAGAAGTAGTAGTGGTGGATGTAGAAGAACAAGTAGACAGAAATAATTTAAAAAAGACAGATACACAGGGTTAGCAGATAACAAGAAGATGATGGGATTTAAAACACGATAATTACAGTTATGTAAATAATAAATAATAGTACAAAGTATATTTGACAAGGGTTACACTAAACTAATACAGAGTTAAGCATAGAAATAATATTCACGATGTTAAACATAGATAGACGAACACAAAAGTATGGAGAACACTTGCATCTTTAATAAACAAAAGGTGAATTGTTTGGTATTCATTATGACAATGTATCATATTTAATCCCAAAAGGGAAATTGCCCCATTAAAAATTTTTTCTCAGCCAAAATCTCAAACAACACCAAAACCGATTTTTTTAAAAAAGGGGAAAGGAAAGACGAGAAAAAAGACTGTACACACTTTAAAAAGTTATCGCGTCTTTGTGAATTACACACATTTAATTAGACACAACATTGGTTGTAAGGAGGTGTCTACAGTTATAGTTAGATCTAGCTATTGTAATGGTTCGTGTCTAAGCGTATATCAGCGTTGGTACAAGTAATTAAATGCCTGAACATGCCAGTAACAATACACGCAGAAATACAGAAGTATGCTTGATATATGTATGCTATGAAGACTAATCTTTGTCTTTTTACGTTTGTAAATTGATACTAGGTTTAGCTGTGAAAGATTAAAGGTTAGATTCGTAACACCCGTAATTCTTAAATATGAAAACGGTTATAAACCCAAGCAAAATAGTGAATTTGTTATCAAAATAATTGGTCGTGTACCCTTAACCGTGATAAGGGGTTTAATTATTATTTAATTTTCTTCTTTAATGGTTGCTAAAATACAAATTATCACTAACAATGTTCCACAGAAGTATCATTTTGCAAGTTTTAATAGTAGCTAAGTTTTCCTTGGCGGTGACTTCCACCGAAGTGTTATATTTTATTAATTGTATCAATCAAGGTTCTAACTTATACTATAGACAGTCCAGGACTAGTTATTTTACAACCATTTGAAAGAGGACACATTGATATTCATAGTTAAGATACCATCATACCAGGTTGCTACATATCAATTAAGAGCTATGTTAATTATGAACTAAGTGGTAACTAATTCTACGAAGCTGACCTTCTTAATTGTCAAGAGCTTGATACTGGAAATATTGATGATATGATTCTGAGAGGATGGCTGAGACTAAGACCTAGTTCATAACATAGAAAGAGTACATCCCCATAACAGTATTTGTGAACAAATAATTTTTTTTTTTTTCGAAATATACATTTATTTAATATTCTATAAATTTAGAAATATAAATGGAGTGGAATAGAGAAACATAATGTAAAAACTCTATTTATAGATTAGATGGAATAGAAGGTCAAACAAGACCGTTATATTAATAAATCAGTAAGATTTATTTAAGCAAAAGTTAAGTACGATATCCAGTGATTCAAACGGGCGGGGGTTAAAGCAGTATTAACCTCCAGATTTTGTCGTCGTAGGAATAACTTAAAGACAATGAATAGATATCGTGTGGTCAGAATAGCATCAGGAAGCAGTAAAGTGTCATTGACAAGTATAGATGAAGAATGTAAAGGGATATTAGGACCTATTTTGAGCCAGATTTGCTTACTTATTGAACATTCAAAGTAGAGATGATTCAGATATATAGTAGAAGTGGTGAAGTCAAGTTCTTGTAAACAAAAACCACATCTGTTAATTTTTTTTTTTTTGTTAATATTTAGAGTGTGCTTAGCTTTATATTTGTTAATTTATAATATGATAGTTTCTAAAAATTGTTGCGAATAAGTCTTTAAAAGCACTTTTTAAAAGTACTTTCTGTTACAGATCTTTCTTTACAACAATGTAAACGATTTCCCCCCTAGACCATGATAACAGAGATTATACATTCTCCAATTCAACCATAGTTATCTATATATAAAGGTATTTCCTTCCAATACTTTTATGTAATTTCCCTGATGGAAGTATATGGTTTCTGCTTATTATTCTTTCCCCCACCAATTTTATAGTGCGACTACCAAACTTTAAAGAATCGTGATATTCTTGTTACTGCATAGATATGGAAAAAGGCAGCCAAAAAATGGCAACCAATAGACTTAACTTAACTTGCTTCAATACATTATTCAAATACCCACTATTGGCATCCTTGGAACTGAAATACTAGATAGTATCACATTAGAAACTGATCTATTATTCTAATCCAGTAGTTTGCTTATAAGTCAATTCGTTTTTTTATCTTCAATATGAAGTTACCTATATATTACATCTCCGTATGGTTTATTTCACTACTATCATCACTTATTTCAGCTGAATCAGTTGATACATCAATTGCATCACCAGAGATCCATCAGGATGGATACTGTGCGATGTACTCTGACTGTGGTAAAAGAACTGTATTTGGTGGAGCATTACCTTGTCCCTCATATGAAAAAGCAACCAAACCAAATCAGAACTCAATCGATTTATTGCAGAAGTTATGTGGCGCTGAGTTTGATACTTCCGCTGTATGTTGTTCCGAGAGTCAATTAGCCAATATGGAAAATTCATTAAAGAGAGTTGATCCTATCATAAGTTCTTGTCCTGCTTGTCATAAGAACTTTTATGACTTCTTTTGCAAGTTCACTTGCTCTCCAAATCAATCAACATTTGTTAATATAACTCAAACAGGAAAATCAATTGATACCAATCAAGATATAGTTACTGAGTTGACTCAGTATGTTGATCCAAAAACTGCTGAAGCTTTCTTCAATTCTTGTAAAAACGTTAAATTTTCAGCCACAAATGGTTACGCCATGGATTTAATTGGAGGAGGTGCTAAAGATTATAAACAATTTTTAAAATTCTTAGGTGACGAAAAACCATTCTTAGGTGGATCACCATTTCAAATTAATTTCAGTTATAATTTAACTCAAGATGATATTGAATCAAATATTGAATTAAGATCAGATTCAATGAAACCGTGTAATGATGAATCCTATAAATGTGCTTGTACAGATTGTGAAAGTTCTTGTCCTAAATTACCTCACTTCACCGACTTTAACAACAAATGTAAAGTAGGAGTGTTACCTTGCTTTTCGTTTTCAATTTTGATAATTTGGATTTCGTTGATCTTACTATTGGGAGGTTATCATGTCTATGTTTTCAAATTCAAAGATAATAATACTGACTTGAATATCGGTGAAGATGATTTTGATGTTGAAATCAGCCCTTTGTCATATGTGAGACTAAAGAACAGGTTCAGTACATTTCATAATTATCATTTAAATTTGATTGATAAAATTGAAAATAGTTTTGCCTCAATCGGTAACTTCTGTGCTTCGTTCCCAGGTGTTGTTATAGGTTCAACTATAGTCATAACTTCATTATTATCCTTGGGATTATATTGGTTGGAATTTGAAACTAACCCAGTTAATCTTTGGGTCAGTCCCAATGAACCAGCACTTCAAAATTTACACTACTTTGAATCAAGTTTCGGTGAATGGTTTAGAATTGAACAAATTATAATTAGCAATAAAAACACTTCGGAACCAATTTTAAATTGGGATAATATTCAATGGTGGTTTGAAAAAGAATTGGAATTACAGTATATTAATAATCAAACTTCATTAGATGATATTTGTTTTAAACCACTTGATACAACTTGTGGAATTCAATCATTCACTCAATACTTTTATGGTAATATTAATAATTTACATGAAGATAATTGGCAAAATCAATTAAAAAGTTGTACCGACTCTCCAGTTAATTGTTTACCAACATTCCAACAACCATTACAAAGAAATGTTTTATTTGATAGAGATGATATATTTGATGCAAGAGCTTTTACAGTTACTTTATTGATTAATAGTAACCTGACTAACGCTAATTTCACCAACCAAACAGTTGAATACGAACATCTGTTCCAACAATGGGCAAGAAATTTATCATTAGAAAATCCTCAATTAAACATTGCCTACAGTACAGAAATCTCATTAACAGAAGAATTAAACAAATCAACTAATACAGATATCAAAATTATAGTAATTTCCTATTTGGTTATGTTTGTTTACGCTTCATTAGCTTTAGGAGGAAAGTTACCAACCACAACCATAAGAAGTCTTGTTAAAACAAGATTCCTGTTGGGTCTTATAGGTATTTTAATAATATTGTTATCGGTATTATCATCAATAGGTTTATTCGCGATAATTGGATTGAAGTCAACTTTAATTATTGCTGAAGTTATCCCATTTTTAGTTTTGGCAGTCGGAATTGATAACATCTTTTTAATTGTTCATGAATTACATTTAGTCAGTGATGTGTATCCAAATGCTGCCATTGAAAGAAGAATATCTCAAGCTTTAAAGAATATTGGTCCTTCTTGTTTAATTAGTGCAGTCTTACAAGTTGCTATGTTTTTATTAGCCACTAGAGTTGATATGCCAGCAGTTAAGAATTTTGCATTTTATAGTGCTGGTGCTGTATTTTTTAACTTTATATTGCAGATGACTTGCTTTGTTTCAATATTATCATTAGATCAGAAGAGATTAGAAGATAATAGAATCGATTGTATACCTTGTATTCAAGTTGAACATCCATCTGTTGCATTAACTGATGATATTGATGATGACCTTGACTTACCAAATGGAAATGAAGATGAATCTGAACATTATGAATATAATTTTTCACATCTTATAGGTAAGTATTATGCACCATTTATATTCTCGAAGACCAATAAACCTAAGATTTTAACATTCTTTGTTATTTGGTTGGGTATTTCATTAGCATTATTACCAAATATTGAATTTGGATTGGATCAAAGAATTGCCATTCCTCATGATTCATATCTTATCAATTATTTTGATTCAGTTTATGAATATTTAAACGTTGGTCCACCCGTATTCTTTGTTGTTAAGGATTTAGATGTTACTGATCGCGATAATCAAAAGAAACTTTGTGGTAAATTTTCAGGTTGTGATGAATATTCATTATCTAATATTTTAGAACAAGAATTCAAACGTAGTTCCAAATCAACTATTTCAGAACCAACTTCAAATTGGTTAGATGACTTTTTAACATGGTTAAATCCAGATTTGGATTTATGTTGTCGTATGAAAAAGACTACCGAAAATAAATCTCCATTGGAAAGAGAATTTTGTTTACCACGTTCCCCAACTCGTCAATGTGAAAGTTGTTTTGAACGTCATGATCCACCTTATGATTCCTTTATGAATGGTTTCCCTACTGACGAAGAATTTATGTTTTTCTTCAACAATTGGATCGAACAACCAAGTGATCCATGTCCATTAGGTGGTAAAGCACCTTATTCAACCAGTATTTTACATACAAATGAAACTATTGATGCTAGTTATTTCAGAACTGGACATCATCCATTAAGATCTCAAGATGATTTTATAAATGCTTATAAGAATTCAAATCGTATTATCAATGAAATCAAAAAATACCAACCATCATTGGATATGTTTGCCTTTTCACCATTTTATATCTTCTTTGTCCAATATGAAAGTATTGTTGCAAGTACATTTACGTTATTGGGTATTGCTTTAGCTGTGATTTGGCTTATAAGTTCATTATTATTGGGATCAATCAGAACTGCCACTGTTATGGTTGTAGTTGTGATTTCAATATTAGTAAATATAGGGGGTGTATTATCCATATGGTCTATTTCATTGAATGCGGTATCATTAGTCAATTTAATCATTTGTGCTGGTATTGCTGTTGAATTCACTATTCATATAAGTAGAGCTTATACGAAGAGTAAAGTATCATTATTTGATGATGATAATGAAGATGAAATTTATGAACAATTTATGAGTAGTGGAATTGAAGCTCGAAATGCTGATGATTTGAAATCCAATTTTAAATTATTGAAGAGTTATAATGCATTATGTTCAGTTGGAGGTCCAGTATTGGGTGGTATTACATTAACTAAGATTATTGGTATATCAGTATTAGCATTCACTAGATCTAAAATTTTTGAAGTTTATTATTTTAGAATGTGGATTGCGTTAGTATTTATTGCAGCCATTCATGGGTTATGTTTATTGCCGATCTTATTAAGTTATTTTGGGGATGATCATAAGTCTACTATATCATTTATTGATGATCTACAAATCAGTGATTCTGTAAACGAAGGTGGTGAAGATATTAGCCACTTAAGAAGATATCTTGACGAGTAGAATAATAATTAAATGATAAAAAGAAAAACCCTGTTGAATCTATGAACAATACCGCGAAGTAAGGTTTTATATTACAAACATTTACCTTGACGAGAAAGAAATAGACGATAATAATCTGTCAAACTACCGAATATAAATAAAAACAAGGACACAAAAATTGTAAATATCGGTTGATTGTTATTTTTTGTTGTTGTTTGATTTTGTACGACAATAGATGTCTAAACGGTTGCATACGAGAGAGAGAAGAAGTAATTAGTAATTATATTACTGAATCCAGAAGAAGAAGAAATCATTTAATATCACACTATATAATCATGACATTTAATTTATCATAGTTAACTTTATCGTAAAAGATAATATTGAGAGAGACATTGATTAAAAAAATATCTGGTGGCAATTCCCAAATAGGCAACACCTGCATATAAAGCGTGGGTGACCTAAAACGACAAAAATTTGGACGGTTAAGGAAAAAAAAAAAAAGTCAGCCACATACAATTTAAAGAAAACCTTAAATTTAATTATTATTATTGTTATGAATTCCATCCTGTTTCATTTCTAGTCTAGAGTGTATAAGGTTTCAAGGTACCAGATACTATCTATGGAACAGTAATAATATTAAAATAAGAGTAAGAGTAAGAACATAGTAAAGAAATGAGGCTTTGACTTGCAAAATGCAAAAAAAGGTGAGATGGGGAAAGGTAGCATTCAATTGTGCTATTTATAGCTACTAACCTAACCAAACCCAGTTACCAAAATAAAAACAGTTGATATATATACACACACATTACAAAAATTAAGATAAATAAAAGTTAATTGATATTACTATTCTGTAAATATCGTAGTGGGACACTATATCATACGTCACAGAACGGTACGTACTACAACACCATACACCGTCAGTTCCGATCCAAACAAATAAACAAATAAACAAACAAAACCAGGAATATAACCAGTCCAAATTATTTGCTTGTTTTAGTTTAGTTACCGTTTTAATTATTGTAATTGCATAAAATTTGTACCTCTTACTTTCTTGCCTCCTCCTCCTCCTCCTCCTCTTTGTCTAAAAATTTTCTTTTTTTTTCCCTATTTCTCACTAATTAATTTTATTTTTCTTCGCACTAATTTCAGAGAGGTCAGAAGTTTTTTTTGGGAAAAGGACAGGACAGTGAAGAAGAAATAAATAAATAAAAATTAAGTCTTATCTTCCTTCTCCTTGTTTTATTTAATTATTTTTTTGTATTATTGTATCCCACAATTGAATTCAATTTGTAAAGAAGTTAATTTAGAACTTATTCAATCGCTTGTATTAGTTCAGATTAGACTTTGTTTTTGTTTTACTAGAGATTGTTTATCAATATGTCTTCATTCACCTTTTCATGGTAAGTACTCACACTTGCTCAAAATTTTTTTTTCCCTCCCTCGACCCACCATCCATAGCCTTGACTGGTTCTCCTCATCACATTGCTCGAGGAATTTAACCTTGTTGATGATGAATTGGTTAGATAATAGGTTATTTTTGATGTTACATCTATGCTTCATCCATTACTAATCAATTGAAGGTGGGTAAGAATGGGGAAAATTAATGACAAAATTACTGATTACTAACAATATTTTAATTCTATAGGCCAAAAGGTCCTCAAGAAGTTATCCTTACTGGTACTTTCGATAACTGGGCTAAAACTTTATATTTAGTCAAACAAGCTGATGAATCATTCTCTTTAACTGTTCCATTCCCAAAATCCGATGAACCAGTTCTTTATAAATATGTTGTTGATGGTGATTGGGTTGTATCCACAACTCAAAGAATTTCAAAAGATGAAAGTGGTAATGAAAATAATATTTTAGAAGCTTCTGATTTAATTGAACCAAAATCAGTTTCTGGTTCTTCTATTCCTGAAGCTGGTGGTTTAATTGCTGCCACTGGGTTAGGAGCTGCTGGTATTGCAGCCGTTGCTGCCACTACTCATACTGATGATTTAAAAACTACTGTTTTACCATCAACTGAAGGTGTTCAAACTACTTTAGGTGAACCAGGTATTCATGTTCCAAAAGATCCAGAAGCTTTAGCTGCATTTGAACAAGTGAGAGATGTTGATCCAAAAACTTTAAATGAACCAGAATTATCAGCTGAAGAAAAGAAAAAACAAAAGAAGAAAGTGAAGAGAACTCAATATAAAAATAAAAAGAAGAAGAAGGCTGCTGGTGATGCTACTTCTACTACTGAAGGTGAAACCACCGAAGAACAAACTCCAGAACCAACTTCTAAAGATGAAGAATTGGCTGTTGCCGCTGCTGCTACCGCTGCTGGTGCTGCTGGTGTAACTGCTGCTGTTGCCGGTGTTCCAGTTGCCGCTGAACATGAAGTTGAAGCTCCAAAGGAAGTTGTTCCAGAAACCAAAGCTGAAGAAGCCGTTCCAGAAGTTAAGGATGCTGAAGAAGTTGTTCCAGAGACTAAGGCTGAAGAAGAAGTTGTTCCAGAAACTAAGGCCGAAGAAGAAGTTGTTCCAGAAACCAAAGCTGAAGAAGAAGTTCCAGAAGTTAAAGAAGCTGAAGAAGAAATTCCAAAGACTTTAGATCCAAAGGCTGAGGCTGAACCAGAAGTTGAACCAGTTGCCGAAACTGTCACCGAACCAGTTGCAAATGGTGAAGCTGCTGCTGTTGAAAAAGAAGTTGATGCTTCTCCAGTTGTCAAAAAACCAAAGTCATACGAATCAGATGAAGAAATAGTCATCGCTCAAGGTACTGACGCAAAGAAAGATATTGCTGCTCAAATTGCTGCTCAAGAAGGTGATGTTACTGTTGAAGAAATCCAACCAACTGAATCAGAAAAAGCTAGATTAACCTCAGAAGCCAATATTCCAAAAGCTGAAGCTAAAGTTGCTGCTACCAAGGCTGCTACTCCAGCCAAGGCCAAGGTTCCTGCTGCTTCTTCTACTGCTGATAAGAAGAAGAAAGAAAAGAAACCAAACTTCCTTGTAAGATTATTCAAGAAATTAGGTGATTAAGTAAGGTCAGCTGCATCTTTCCATACGATCATTATAAAACATTCATAAAATGTAAATTTCAGGAAATCCGTTCCAAAAAAACACTATATAAAAAAAGAACTTCCATGAAAGCAAAAGAATCATGAACTTTCCCAATGCAAAAGTAAAGTTCCCCCCTTTCTGTTTTTCATTTCACACTTTTAAATCATTATTTTCTCAAATTTGTTTTAGTATCTTTAATAAACTCTCTCTCCGAATCATTTCGATATCGATTCCCTTTGATCGAATTGTATCTAATAATCTATAATTTAAGTTATGTTATGTTATTTTATTTAATATTATTATTTTTTTTTTCAATCTTTTTAAAACGCAACCCTATATATATATATATATATATATCTAGTATCATTACAATATATTCTTTGTTATCGTCATATATCTAGTTTAAATCGAATCCAGTGATGGTTTTTTTGCAATGTTTAAAAAAGTTACGTATCTCTGCCAATGCCCTATTTTTCACTCAGAAAAATAAGTCGTGCCCTTTTCCCAAAAAGGATTGAAATTTTCCAAATTGTGTGATGGATATTTTCAATTATAAAACTAAAATATATATTTCCAAATATTGTAATACCTTTCTTCTTAATTTATCTAATTTAAACTTATAAATTAATCATATAATGTCAGAACCAAAGGTTTACGTTAGACCTGTTTCTTACGAAGGTATGTTTCTATGATTCCAAAGTGATGGATTGATGAGTTTACCAATTGATTTATTCAATTGTTGACGTATACCCAGTTTTTTTTCTGGCACTTTTTTCACTTTTTTTAAAATAAACCATTTTGAAATACTAACTAATTATATTCTTATAGTTTCTCAAGACGATCTTAGAGATCATTTTGCTTCAGTTGGTCCAATCACTGATGTCTTAGTCATCAAGGATTTTGCATACATTACTTTTGAAGCTGTTGATGATGCTCAACGTGCCGTTGAAACTTTAAATGGTAGTACTTTTGATGGTCAAGATCTTCAAGTTGAACTTGCTCGTCCAAGAAGAGAAGATACCAGAGGTAAATATAGAGTTAAGATTACCAACTTACCAGAAGGTACTGCTTGGCAAGATTTTAAGGATTTTGTTAGAGACAAAACCACTTATACTGCTACTTTTGCTAAAGTCTTTAGAGATTACGAATCTGGTGAAACCATTGGTGGATTAGAATTCGGTAGTGCTGAAGAATTAGAACAAGCTATTCCATTATTAGATAAAGCTGAATATCAAGGTACTGAAATCGGTGCTGAAGAAGATACTTCTCCATTTGTTCCACCTCCACCAAGAACTGGTGGATTCAGAGGTGGCCGTGGTGGTTTCGAACGTGGTGGATTCAGAGGTGGTCGTGGTGGATTTGACCGTGGTGGATTCAGAGGTGGTCGTGGTGGATTCGATCGTGGTGGATTCAGAGGTGGTCGTGGTGGATTCGATCGTGGTGGATTCAGAGGTGGCCGTGGTGGATTTGACCGTGGTGGATTTAGAGGTGGCCGTGGTGGTGGCTTCAGAGGTGGTCGTGGTGGATTTGATAGAGGTGACAGAGGTGAATTCAGAAGAGATGACAGAGATTCATATCAACGTGACAGATCCCCAACCCGTTATTAGATGTATTCCATTGTTTTAATTCATGTTTTTGAGTTTTTGATTTCTCATTGTGTTGTTTATTTGAAAGGAGATGTGGATTCAGTGTTTTGTATTACTTAAAGTTTCTAGTTATGTTCTGATATTGTTTATTTATCCCAAATTCTAGTATTTGTTTATTATTCATCTATTTTTTTGTTAAAGGAAGAATGAAGAATTGTTAAAAAAAGAAAAGATTAATTGTGTTTTAAAGTTGTGTTAGGAAATTAAAGAATAATATATAATATCGTAAAAAAAATAGATTAATGTATTGGAAATTTATTATGTTGTGGAGTTTATTAGTGTTTGTTGACTTGAAGTTATACAATATTATCAAAATCTATCCCATCATTCACAAGCCAAAAATAATTAAACAATAGAAATTGAAAATGAAAACTCTAATTTGAATTGATCTTCGTTCCCCCTTCTGTATCCATCGACATCCCCTTCTTTTAAAGATTTTAATGATTTTAATGATATCTGTAAATAGTATTCATCGGTACAAACCCTATCTGCATATATATTAACGAATTTATGATTGTATTATAGAGATCTCATCCTTATTTTGAGGTTATATAGAAATTATAGAATAATAGAGATTGTATTTTTTTTTTTGCATATATATTTTCGTTCCGGGGAATGAAAATTCTGAGTAGAAATTAGTTATATTATCGTAGGAACAGCCATTATATATATAATGTCATTAAAGGAAAACGAATGTCTATCGAACGGAACGACGATAAGGGAGAATGAAAGTGTATCTTACGGTGAAGATCCCTTACAGAAGTTCAAGATCTTCTACTATAATGAAGAATATGTTAAAGATCATGGTGATACGATAGTTTATTTACATGGTGGAGCATGGAGAGATCCTAGGAATACATTTGATGACTTTGACGTAATGGCCAAGTATTTGAGAGAACAATGGTATACGAATGTTATTGGTATCAATTATCGATTATCACCCACTGTCAAACATCCAGTTCATTTGTTGGATGTTTTAACTGCATTAGTTCATATTGTTAAGACTTTAAATCATAAATCAAAACCTTTAATATTAGTGGGTCATTCAGTGGGAGCTAGTTTGATTTTGCAATTATTGAATTATATCCAGATCATTGAATCAGAATTTGAACTATTAAACGAGTCGGAACTTCCTATATCCAAAGAAGCATTACAAGACTTATATAAAGATGTTAAAGAGTATGTTCAAATTGATAGAGCCTATTGCTTAGAAGGTATTTACGATACGGTACAACTTCTTGGCCAATATCCTAGTTATTCAAGTTTTGTTGATGAAGCATTTATTTCCAAAGCTTCATACACAGAAGCATTTCCATTATCGTCAACTTCACCAAAATTTAATGATCCTTCAAAGTTTGAATTGGCACCTCCATTTAGTGGTCTTAGTGATATTCGTATAATCCACTCTACATCAGACGAATTGGTGCCTGTATCACAATCTGATGCCGTTCTTGAATATCTCAAACAAAGAAACCTTCCCGTCAAACACTTCTACAGTGACTTTGGCATTCATGATGATGTATATAAACTGGAGAAATTGGCTCATTGGATATACCTTATGCTTAAAGCTATAATGTGAGGTCGTGCGACGTTTCCAAAACAGCTATGTGATATGCAGGAATACATTTTTTTTTTTTTCATCGAGTATCACGTAGAAAATTTTATACCTATATAGAATTTAGTAATTTGATTTAGATTTAGATTCATATTAACAGTGTTCACATCTTTATATATATAATAAATAATAATGTCTTCAACTATTATAGGTTCATGGGCTGATGCTGGTGACGAGTTTTCTGCTCCAGATATCACTACCAACCCAGATGGTACTAAAACCGTCATCACATTCAGAACAAATCAAGATGGTAAAAAAGTAAAGGTTACCCAAAGAATCAGAGAAGTTACAGTTCAAGAAAGAGTACATCCTTTAATCGCTCAACGTAAAAGTTGGAACAAATATGGTAAAGAAAAAAATAGTGCCCCAGGTCCAGATACTAGTACTACTCAACTTGGTGAAAAAGTTGAATTAAAATTAGGCCTTTCATGGAAACAAGCTGAAAAGGAAGAAGAAGAAAACAAAGCACAAACCAGTGATAAAATCGTGGTTCAAAAGATTGCATGTAGATACTGTGGTGGTGATCATTATACCTCTAAATGTCCTTATAAGGAAACTTTAGGTGGTGCTGCTGCTTCCGAAACTGCTGCTTCCGAAACTTCTGCTGCTTCTGAAACTGTTAACGGTAAATATGTTCCAAGACATTTAAGAGCTGATGCTAATGGTAATATCTCCAAGGAATCAAGAGATGATGCTACTACCTTGAAGGTTTCTCAATTAAATAACTTTGTTGATGAAGATATGTTAAGAAACGAATTATTCGCCAGATTTGGTCCATTACAAAGAGTCACTATTGTTAGAAACAGAGATACTGGTGAATCGAGAGGTTTTGCTTATGTTTCTTTCTTCAGTGAAGAATTAGCTGAAAAGGCATTGAATGCTTTGAATGGTAAAGGTTACCATTCTTTAATCTTGCATTTAGAATGGTCTAAAAAGAAGAAGACGACCCCATAAGTCATATGTATATAACTTTTATCATCTCCTCTCTTATTTACTTTCCATTTGTGTATTTTAGTATAGTCACTTCCATAATATAAAGATTGAAATTGAACTATATATCGTAAATTTGATTTTTTTTTTGTTTAGTATGCAAGTTCGCTCATGTAATTACCGAAAGGATATATGTCATTTTTATTTTTCGTAACATCTTAAATTTGCTTATAATTTCATCTTTATGTTTTTATCAATTATTCTTTACCAAATTTATATAATTACTCCATTGATATTTAGCTGATACTTCATTGTTTGTACCTTCATAACTAGAGTTAGTTTTAGTTGGCAGAATAGACATAAAGTTTGAAGCTAATCTGATCATGTCTCAGCAACAAATCGTGACTCCACCGCCATCCGCATCCCGAGATTCCTCATATGCAGCTTCAGCTACATCAACTCTGCCAAAACCTGGTTTATTTAAGAGGTTTAGGAATAAGACTAGTCCTCTGCTGTCAAAGTCAAGGAACTCAACTACTTCAAGTGAGTCATCGACTGCTATGGTTGATCATAGTATTGCTTCTATGCCAACCCCTAGAAGACAGGGTAGTTCGGGAAGTCGGAAATCAGCTGGTCAAAGAGATCCAAGTGTTACAAGATATCTTGACTTTGATAATTCAAGTTTATATGATGACGATGCTTACTTTGATGAAGATGGAGCTAATCATGACTCCGATGACGATGATGATTCATCTACGCTGAATTTATCCTTAAAAAAGACCACTTCGTTGGAGACTCTTGATAAACATAGATCTGAAATACCCCATTTTGATGATCATATGTTCAATGAAAAGGTTAATTTCCCAAGTCTTGAAGATACTCATTTCGATGATATACCATTAGAAATCCAAAAGGAAGAAGAACCACCTTGGGTTGGAATGACCTATGAATACCTTCTAACTCCGAAATATGTCAAAACTTCAAAACGTAACAAAAGAAGTCCAAGGATCCTTAATAATGTATTCCTTGCTCAAGAATTGAATTATAGTGAAGATCTTAAGAAGAATAGTATTACTGATTTCGAAGGTGGTAGTGTTGTTTCTGATACTAGCGATAGAGACACAGCTCCGGAAGCTGGAATAGATGTAGAACTTTCAGAAAAGACAGATGCGGCTAATAAGAATGAGATCTTCGTGATGGAATTCTCAAGAGATGGTAAATATCTTGCTACTGCTGGGGAAAATGCCACTATTGTTATTTGGAAGGTTGTCTCATCACCTTTAGGAAGATTGGAGTTTAAAAATACTGAAAATGAATTGAATGTGATAAGTAAAGCTCATCATAAAAAACACGACGTTTACTCATCAGCACCAGTTTTCCATCAAAAGCCATTCAAGGTTTTACATGGTCATACCAAGGGTATATTGACCTTAGATTGGAGTAAAAATAATTTCTTACTTTCGGGTAGTATGGATAGAACGGCAAAGTTGTGGCATGTGGAAAGAGATACTTGTTTACAAACATTCCAACATGAGGATTTCGTTACCACTGCCAAATTTCATCCTACAGACGATAGATTCTTTCTCAGTGGTTCTCTTGATAACCATGCTCGATTATGGTCAATTCTTGAGACTAAAGTTGCTTATAGTAAGAATTTGGGAGATGATGTTTTGATAACAGCACTGCAATTCACCCCAGATGGTCGTTATATAATCATTGGTGGATTCAATGGTTCCTTGTTTGTTTTAGAAACGAAAGGATTATATCACGTCAATAGATTTGAGATAAAGGACAGATCTATGGTTAATCCTTTCCACAACAAGAATGGTAACAAGATAACTGGGATTAAAATATTCAATAATAGTAATTATAAAGAAGGATCAACGACTAAGGAGTTGGATAAATGGTCCTTCTTAATAACTACCAACGATTCTAAAGTGAGATTAGTACATTGGAGTCTGAAAAGACTTGTTACTAGGTTCAAAGGTTTAACTAATAGTAGTTCTTCGATTGCTGCATCTATGAGTGATGATCAACATTATATTATTTCTGGTTCAGAAGATCACTGGTGTTATATATGGGAAAATAATAATAGAATTATAAACAACAAATTAAAGGCGTCCTTGAAGGATTTAGTTATAGAAGGAAAACATCATCTTCATGATTTACATACCAAACACAAGAAATATTCGAAAGTATTTGAGGATAACAAGTACATCAAAAAGCTTTTTGAAAATGATGAGCAAGATTTCGATTTCGTCTCAAATGAAAACAATAGCTATGCTTCTTTCCATGCTCATCATAGTAAGGTCAATGTTGCAATTTTTGCCCCAGAAGCAACGAAGAGATTACTTGAATTCTCTGATGATATAATCTTAGATCTTGTGAAAAGAGGTAAAGCTTGTCAATTTAAATCCACAGGAACCCTCCCACAAGAGGATGTTTTAACCAAAGGAGAAATTATTGTAACAACTGATCAAATGGGTCTTATTAGAGTCTTCCGTCAAGATTCTGCCTACAAGATCAGAAAAAGATTTATCAATATGTATAAAAAAGGTCCTTGTGCTCCGACAAAGAAAGAAGCTGTTGATATACATGATCCAATTATGGGCGGTAAGAGTAATAGTAGCTCAATATCAAATTTAAAGGATATGAATAATTGTGTTACTGCACTCAAAATGGATGTTGGAAGGAAATTAACCAAATCTGGGAGAAGTATGAGCCCTATACCGGCTGATGTGTTTTCGTTGAAAAAGCCCAGCAGGAAAAAGGCATCCTCCAGTCCAGTATTACCCACTCAATCTCCGAGTCTTTCATCAAAGAATTCACATTCTTCAGTACCAACTGTGTTTACAACAGGTTCATTTATCAATGGCAAGCAGCATTTAAATGTGGTGAATTCAGGTTTGTTTGGAGAAGAAGGTATGAAGGTTGATCTTATTCATGAACTGATCGAAAAGAATATGACGGACACGGAAAACGAGCAAGCATCTTTACTCCCTGCATCTAGCATATCTACCAAGTTAGATGAATTCCCAACTATTGAAAATAAGACTAAAGCAGGTTTATTTAATGAAGCCTTAGAACTTAATTTTAGAACGCCACTGGAAAATGTTGAAGAAAGAGTTCAAAATGAATTATCTAAATTACGATTAGACAGTATCAGCAGCAGAGGAAGAGAAAAGTAGTAAGTATATAGGCGTTAAGAGATAAGGTTGGAAATATTTGATTTTTTTTACATATGGTTTAGTTTTTATTTATTTATTTAATTTATATTTATTTCATGGTTTTATATTACAAATTTGGTTGATTAATTAACTAACTAATTATTGTACATTTATTTTAACCGGACCAATATTGGTAACTCTTTGGCTTACTGACACTGATTGGTAATTTATCAGTCTCTGATTGATTGACTCTTTCATCATCAATTTCCATGTTATCACCTCCGGATGTTTGATTACTGGTACTAAGAGATTTATTTACCTCACTTATCTTCACTGGTTTGATTAAATCATCAAGGATTTCGGCAAGGTCTGGTCTTTCAGTTTTAAGACGTTGCACTTTTTCGAATTGAACCCATCTTTCTATAACAACTTGTTTTCTCTCTAAATTTATTTGATTTTCAACTCTTGTAAGATTTTCCAGTAAAGTATCGACTTTCTTTAATTTATGGTTAACTTTTTCTAAAGTTAATTCTACTATCTGATTAATTAAATTAGATTGTTCGAGTATACTATCTTGTAAGCTTTTAGAAGAGCTTTGCTTCAACAATTCTTCTCCATTTTTTTCTTTGATTAACTTAGCAACAATAGCTTCTACCAAAGCTCCGTTGGAGGCATCATCGGAATCAGCTTTAGGATCTTCTCCAATTAATTTGGTTAAGAATTTATCTTCAATTGGTAATTGTATGAACTTTATTAAACATTGCTCCTTTGTTTTGGTAGCAACATGTTCAGCAATTTTATCCCATTGAGAATTACTATTAGCATTAATGCTACCATTGACAGCGGCAGTTTCATAGGTTCCAAACAATTCAATTCCTTCCAATAATAATAAAATTTCTTGTTCGGTCCATTCTTCTGATTCTTGTGATTGAGTTAACTTGATGTAATCGGATGATAAAAAGTTCAGAGGGAACAAACCTTGTTCATAACAAACGGTACATAAAATACTGGCATTGTTGATGGTTGAACTTGGATTGTGTGTATATGACTTTATTTTAAGATTATGGTATCTTACTTCTGTTGTATCTTTACCACATATATTACATGAATAATGAACAGAGGTTTCTGGTTTTTGACTTGGTTTCTTACTTGTGGAAGTATAAACATTTCTTCTAACTTCTAAATTCAAAGAAAGATCTTCGGATTTGATTGCTTCAGTTTCAGATGATGCTGGAGATGGTAAACTAGCACCATTTGTTTCGATATTTATGATTTTGGCTTTTTCCGGAATTAATGGTACCAATCCAGTTGGGGTGTCTAAAGTAACTTGGAAGTGACCAGTATATTGAGGACCAATCGATGAAGGTTTTGTTCTAGGATCGATTTGATAATTGATTAAACCCCATCTTTCTAAGAATTGATGTATTCTTATAATTGATGTAACATCACCAGCCAAGTTTTTACGGATGGCAGTGATAGTCAAATACTCCTTAGGATTAAGTCTGAAAGTATTGACAATGAAATCTCTCATATTCTTGTATACATCTTGGGATTTATAGGGAGATTTGTTTTCATTATCATTGAAGAAGTCTGGAAACAGCTTTTTCTCAATAGAATGGATCTTGCTGAAATCAAACCACTTGGAAAACGATGGACTAACGATATGATTAGTTTGTTCGACCAAATAATTCTTAGCTTTATCTCTGAATTCAGATCTTAATTTTTCAACGTCAACAGTGACTTCTTCCTCAGCTTCTATTTTGACTTCCTCTTTAGTTGGAACAGGCTCTTCGGCTGCTCCCACAGGAGTCGCAGAATTGGGTGTTTCTGGTTCTAAAGCAGACATGGTTTACCGTCGTTTATACTGTTGATATCAAGTATGGCTGTTCAGATTTACTGTCAATGTTGTTGCTTTCAAATTGGTAGTTTTTTTTCTCTGTCTTGATAGAATAATTACGCGACATTTAATTTCAGACAAAATTGAGAAATGTCTGAATTTGGATCTACGACATTACCGATCCATAGAACGCGTCTAAAAATGTAAATAGTTGAAAGATTATTGTTTACAGTATTTGATTGATCTTAAGAAGATTGAGTTCACTTTCTTAACATATTCAAATGGTGACAGCTACATCACTTAGACGCCTGGCACGTAATTCTAGCAAGTCGTCACAAGTTTACCGTGAGTCGTCAGATTCAGAGGATGATTATCTGGAGAATGAATCTGCTTCAAAATCAAAGAAGCGTTCCAGAAAGACTACCAACAAGGTAACGAAGTCTAGTAATAAAAAAGCTAAGGTTAAGAAGACAGTGGATATAGATCAACTAGAAGCTGATTTGGAAGAGAATGAGTTATATATTGGTCTTGCCCAGCCAGAAGTTGATATTCTGGATTTGGCCGTTGATTGGATCGATAGTTATGTGGAAGACACTAGCGAAGGTACAAATACATCTATCACATCTCTAATAAATCTTATATTGAGAAGTTGTGGTTCTGTTCATTTATTTCAAGCTCACGATTTAACTAATTTAGAATCAGCTGCTGAAACAGTGGCCGAATTAACCATTGCATTCGGAGAACAGCCAGCTCATAAATATCCATTCAAAACTTTACCTGTATTTAGAAAGAATATATTAGAGTTTTTTGAAGAGATTACCCAGGTTGGTCATGATAAAGGACTTCTTTATAAAGAAACGATTGATGAAGATGAAGAAGATTTAGCATCTCCTTTAATGGTTCAAGTTTTAACCTGGATATCAAGTTTGAGTTCATGTACTATCCGTCCATTAAGATATGTTTCAACTATTATCTTACTTTCTATTCAAGATCAGTTATGTCACATAGTGAGTAAGGTTACATCATCACTTGAAAGATCTCAAAATCAATTATCACATACCAAACCGTCAAGCAAGGCTAAAATTGAGTCCATTTCTAGAACTATACTGGATTATCATAGTCAGAAGAATACAATCATAGAATACTTTAATGAGATTGGTAACGTTACTCTAGGACATAGATATCGTGACATTGATCCTTTAATCAGAGTCGAATGTTTAAAATACCTTTCTCAAGCCATGATCACGTATCCTTCCCACTTTTTTCAAGCAACATTCTTAAGATATTTTGGATGGTTATTATCAGACCCAACTAATTCAGTAAGAGTTGAGGTAACTAAAGTATTATTGAAACTTTATAAACATAATACTTCTAACTCCATGGCAATTGGATTCAGACAATTTACCGAAAGATACAAAAAGCAAATAATTAAGATGATGAAAATTGATAGTGATATTAATGTTAGATTGAATTCAATTTCAATCTGTTGCGAACTTAATAAGTTTGGATTCTTAGATGATGTTGATAATTGTGAAATTATTTCATTTTTATACCAATTGATAATCAGTTCAAGTACTAAGATATCCAAAGCAAATAATCTTAAACTAAGAAGTGAATTGGCAAAGTATATCAGCATAGTAAATATTCAAGTTGCTAACGAATTATCCGAAAAGTATAGCATTTTTATTAAGAATTATAGTTCTGAAACATTCGGCGAAGGTGTGGATCAAATGAATATCTTCAATTGTTTCAAGATAAAGTCTTTGGTTAATTTATTATCTACAGCAAAGCAGTATCTTGAAAATTCCATTTCAGATGAAGAAGCCAAACAAGAGTTTATTAACGGGTTTGAGTCTACGGATGTCCTTACAACCATTTATGAATCTTTATATCAATTGCCAACATATCACAATACTTGGGAATTTTTGATTCAATATTTGTTGTTAGATATTTCTTCAGTTAAGTTTACTACAGAAATAGAATCCAGTGAATCTGAAATAGAAGAATTCAGAAAACAAATCGACTCATCACTAAATCAAAACCAAAGCAAAGAATATTTATTAAGTTTTGTGAATGGTTATTTGGATCATATGCTCAATAATATAAACAAATTAAAAACTGAAGAGTTATCATCTATTGTTCTTGTCAGGTTGACAAATTATGTTCCTGAATTACAGTCATTAGCAATTAAATCTCCTTCATTGTTGTCAGTTTTCTTAAAATTTTGGAATAAGTTAATTTATGTGAAAACTGAGTCAATTAATATTGCAAGTATATTTATTAGTTTGGACAAAAAAGGGATTTTTAATGAGATTAATATTACCTTGCTTGATTATTTCAACTCTTATAAGTTTGAAGAAAGTACCTATGGAGAATTAACCAAAGAGTTTGATCTTTACTTAAATAGATTATTGCAAGATTACAATAATCCAGTGAATAGTGTCAATTTAAGTACATCAGAAATAAGACTCAAGGTTCAAACTTTTATCAACGAAAGACTTGCGGACGTGAAAGAAAAATTGAATTTTAGTAATGATAGCAACACTAATGATGAACAAGATGACGAGGAGGTTAGAGCAGTTAAGGAAAATGTGAGTTATTTAGTTGATATTTCTGATGATCTTTTCAAATTAAGAAAATTTGCTGATTATGTCAATCTAACTGAGAATTTCCAAGGTACAGATGGATTAATCGATTCAATAGTGTTTAGAATTTTGAATTCATTTGATGCTAGACCATTTTTTACTAATGAGAATCTGTTCCATTATTTCAATGTTTCCTATCCTAAGATAATATCTAACTTTAAGAATATTTTTGATTTTATTTTGATTTGTACTTCTTGGAAATTAGAGAAATTAATTGATATCAATGAAAAGGAATATCAACATCGTTATGATATGGAGGTTGAATTCAGTTATTTATATGATATAATTGAATCAATTCTGAAAGGGTTGGAAAGGATTGGGCAAACCATTAAAGTTGTATTAGAAGAAAATGATAAATTCGACAATGAAAAGAAGTCTATTGATAAATTGTATGCTTTGAAGACATTATTTTCAGTAAAGTTGATTGATTTATTGGTTTCCATAAAAATATTTTATATTAAGAATAACCAAGATAATAACTTTACTAATTTCAATGATTTCTTTACAAACTCTAGAGAGTTAGGTAGGTACGTTTCTGAGAAAATACCACAAGAGCTTCAATTACAATTAGTTGATAATTTCCTTTATAAAGAATCAAAACTTGCTAAGCTTTTAGATATTGATTTAGATAGAGATGATGATGAAGATGTCAACTACAGTGATTTGGTTTCGATCGAGTCTCAGAGTGACGGAACAGAAGATGTCGGACAAAGAAGTTTATTCGATGATAGTGAATCCAGTGATGACGATGAAGAAATTACTAATGCAACAAAAGTTCAAGATTCATCAACTATAGAAGAGGATAAGAAAAAGAATGAAGTTAAAAAAGCACGCTCTAGAGCACGGAATGCATGGAAAGCAGAACGAGAATTGTGTGTTTATATTGTCAAATTATCTTCATTGATTAATGCATCAATAGTCAGTCCATCTGTACTTGAAAGATTAAAGCTTAACAGTCAAAAGATAGGTGGTGTCTATGATAGACTTATCAAGAGCGAAGAATCAGATAAGCCAGCTGAACATGTCCCAGTGGAAACTAATGTTGCTGACGAAGGAAATGATAATAATGTACCTGAAGCCGTCACAAATTTAGAAAATGAAAGCATTCCAGAAGTTGCTGCTAGTTCATAGTGTGTATAGTAAATAGATTGATCTGATTAGATGGGAACTCAAAGCCAAGACATAACGACTGTTTAGAACGGCTTTGAAGTCGTGTCATAATTGGTTAAATACTGTTATTTTTAATGTAATAAAATAAAGTTTAATGATTAGCCAAGAAATATTAAGATTGCGATTGAATGGTGATATTTTGATTGCATACTTTTGAAAAAACTTAATTTAGTGGAACTTGCGAGTATTCCGATTTACTAAATTTGTAAGAGGTATGATTACCATGGATATCACTAGATTCTATTATAATTGATAGATAGTATATCTTGATAAGTTGTGGTAAGGGGCAATTCAATTAGTATACAAAGTCTAAGCCTTTTTCTAACAATTTGCAATTGCAAAGCCCCCATTTAAAAAACATAAAAATAAATGAGAGTTTAAAATGTTTTTGGGACTGCAAAATTTTATCTTGGCATTATAAGAAGACGGACGATTTAAAATGAAGCAAAATATATTGTCTAACCGATAGGTATAGCAACCGATGAACAATTGAAAACTATAAATTACAATTGATTTTACCTTTAAATATCGATTTTTATAGGAATTTCCTTTCTTTTGAAATCACCACCGTTTACTATAGTTTGAAAAAGTTGGCACCCATCCCCCGGTCCAATTCTTTATCCCCTTACTATAATTGTCTTTTCGACTCTTTCTCCTATCACTTCTTTTTGTTCAGATTAAGGTTTAATATACTCACCACATAGGTAGGAACAAGAGAGATACCGATCTTAATAAAAACCTATCAGAATGGTTAGCGTTTTCAACGTACAAATTTTCTTTGTCGTCTTCAGAGAATCTTTAGAAGCAGCCATTGTTGTTTCAGTTCTTTTAGCCTTTTTAAAACAAGGGTTAGGAGCAGCTACGGATGATCCAGTGGTTTATAAAAAGTTACGAAAACAAGTTTGGCTTGGTTCGATTATAGGGGTATTAATTTGTATCATTATTGGTGCTGGTTTCATTGGTGCATTTTATTCTTTAAAAAATGATATTTGGGCAAGTTCTGAAGATTTATGGGAAGGTATCTTTTGTATAATTGCTACTGTCTTGATTACTTTAATGGGTTTAGCTATGTTAAGAGTTAACAAAATGAAAGAAAAATGGAGAGTTAAATTAGCAAAAGCTTTAATTAAAGAACCAACTACTAAATTTGGTAGATTTAAATTAGGTTATTTAACTAAAAAATATGCCATGTTTATTTTACCATTTATTACTTGTCTTAGAGAAGGTTTAGAAGCTGTTGTCTTCGTTGGTGGTGTTGGTTTAAGTCAGCCTGCTAGTTCCTTTCCAATTCCAGTTATTGTTGGTTTGATTTGTGGTGTTGGTGTTGGTGCCCTTTTATATTATTTTGGTGCTAGTTCATCACTTCAAATTTTCTTGATTATTTCAACATGTATTTTATACTTGATTGCTGCTGGTTTATTTTCAAGAGGTATCTGGTATTTCGAAACTTATGTCTATAATAAAAAGACTGGTGGTGATGCATCAGAAAATGGTTCTGGTCCCGGTACTTATGATATTTCAAAATCTGTTTGGCATGTAAATTGTTGTAATCCAGAAATTGATCATGGTTGGGATATCTTCAATGCCTTATTTGGATGGCAAAATTCTGCCACTTATGGTTCTGTCATCTCTTATAACATTTACTGGCTTTTCATTATTGCTGTTATTGCATTAATGTTGTATGAAGAAAAACATGGTCATTTACCATTCATGAAGAATTTGAAATTAAAAGAATTAAATCCAATGTACCATATTAAAGGTAAGAAAAATCAAGAAACTGCTTTAACTAGTGAAGAAAAAGAACGTTTATTTACCGAAATCAAAAACAATCAAGTCAAGTCTGTGACAGAAGAAGATGATGAATTATCAGCTCTTCATTCTAAAGAAGATGAAACTAGAAAGAATTAAATTTGAATACCTAATTTCTTAACTCAAATCTTACACACACACACACACACATTCAAGATTTGAGTAAGTTTTATATTTCAACTTTTCTTCTTTTTAATTTTTTTTTTTCAAATAAGAGATATATATTGGGTCCAAACAATATTTTATTTATAGAGTCGAGTCGTTTAATTTTTAGGGGAAATTTTCAAACAGGGGGATAATTTTTTATATATTAATTAAATGTATGGGGTCATAAATTCAATTTGAAAGCTGTAGTTTACATTAAAATTTAACTGTTGATCAAACTAAGGGATTGTAAAATTAGATTAAACAGTTCGATAGTGCAAATTTTTCAAAAACAAATTAAAAACTGGTAGCGTTTATATATTTCGGTTTGACTCCACAAAGCGAGCATTTTTAAGAATATATACACTTGGTTGTATAGTGTAGTGGTTATCACTTTCGGTTTTGATCCGAACAACCCCGGTTCGAATCCGGGTACGACCTATTTTTTAATTTTTTTTTTTTAAATTCTTATTATTCTTGGAGAATATGTAAGTGGTCTGACACCTAGACTGCAGAAGAATCGAATAATGGTATTCCTGTTGGAATTATTGTAGTGTTGTGATCTTCATTGGTGGTAGTTTAGGATGCAAGCCGAACCTTGGACTACGACATTTTTCCCCAGCTACAAAGTCGCATACAAAAAATTGTAACAGAGCTTTAGAAAGCACACTTAAATCCAGACTTAAATCTATAATTCCAAGCAAATCAAATTCCATTAATAATTACATCTAAAGTCCGTCTAGGGTTTACCTTTTTATAAATATATACATGGTCAATATCACCAAAGATCGTTTAGGAGAGATATAGAGGAAATTATTAAAGCTGCAAAGGTTGTTGTTTTACGTTGCTTCCCCAGATAAAGTGTTAACAAAATGGCTACTACCACCAGTACACCGATAGATAAAGTACTACCCCAGTATGATGATACAATCTCCATAAAACATTTCCCAAGTTCGTTTGACTTAAATAAGTCGAGTGAGAGCAATGCTAAGTATGGTGTAGCTATCCAAAAGCCAGTCTTGAGGAATAACATCAAGTATAAATCGAGTATTGATCATTTGTTATGTCCAATTTGTCAAGAACCATTCATTGAACCTTTGACAACCATTTGTGGACATACATTTTGTAAAGAATGTATCTTTGAATGTTTTAAAATGGCCAAGGATAGTTCGAGTGGATCAACAAGTTCTAATGTTAATGGTGAACAAAAGTTATCTGGTTGTTGTCCTTTGGACCGAACTCCAATTGATAGCGCCAATGTTAATGATTTATTTCCTACCCCATTATTGATTAATAACTTGATTGATGATTTAAAAGTTTATTGTATGAATTATGAAAGAGGATGTGAATGGGTTGGTAGTCGTTGGGAATTAGAACATCATGTGTTGATAGAGTGTGGACATACTGGAGTTAGATGTAATGGGAAAAGAACTAAACAAAAAGTAAAGAAAGTTGATGCTGAAGACGACGAACAGGAGGAAGATGCCAGTGAAGATAGCGAAGAAGATGAATATGAAATAATACGCTGTAATTTAATTGTTGAAAGGCGATTCTTAAATGATGATGATTCAGATGAAGATCAATGTATTCATAAAATCTTTGAGTGTAATTTTTGCAGAGAAAGAATTACTAAGATCACTCAAGAGACTCATCTTAGTGAAGAGTGTTTATTCAATTATCAGACCTGTGATTTATGCTTAAACGATTTGATACCGTTGAAGAATTTAAAGAAACATCAAGAGAATTGTACTAAAATAGGACATATTCGATGTCCTGCTCATGAAATTGGATGCAAATGGATAGGCAGTAACCAAACCTCACTTGAGATTCATTTACAAGATACTAATTGTCAATTGAATCAATTATTGCCATCATTTCAAAAGATGAATGATAAGATTGAAACCTTGACGAATGATAATCAATATTTACAAAAACAAATCAATAAGATTCTTGATTCAATAATTCAAGGTAAGATCACTAATTTAGGATATAATGAATCAATTGAAGAAATTAACAAATTCAATATTGAAGATCAAGATAAGTTACTCTATTTGAATTTTGAATTGGATAGATTAAAATTTGAAATCAATGATAAGATAATTCCATTCATAAATAATACTAAGACGGGAGGTAATTCGAATAAAGAACTGGTAATCAATAATCTAATTAATGATTCGTTCATGATGAAAGAGGATCTTAATTTACAAAGAGTGTTGGTTAATAGTTTACGTAAACAGCTACAGTTCTTATTATTTACCAGAAATAGTACTCGAATTGGTGGTAGTATGAGTTTAGGAGGTATGCCTGGTACCATTGGTGGTAGCACTAATGGGTCTGGGTTACATTCTTTAGATGATTTAGGTAATGAGATTTATGATGATATTTCGAGAACTAGTTCAGAGGAAAGATTAAGCTTAAATTTAAAGTTATAGTAAGATATGAATGAGATGAATGATTTATGTAAAAGAAAAAGAAATAAACGTATAAATAATCTATCAAATTATATAAAATAATGAAAGATGAAATCGCTAATCAAATAGATTTTATTTTAAAGAAGCCGTTATTCGACATTGTAATTAGCCGTGGAGATCTATGAGTTTTCCTCTTCCCACATCATGTGCCCCTGGAGCACATGATTTTTTGCGGAGGTGAAAAATTGAATAGTGGGAAAAAAAAGAAATTAGCCAGAAAATTAGTTAAACTGGCAGGGAGGCCAGCAAAACTTTCACTAAATACAGGTAAATCTCCTCACTAAATGTAGTTACCAGACAATGGCAAATTTGTTGTGTTGTGTTGGCTTAATCTTAATGTTTAATTTTATTGTCCAACTTCTCCACATTTTTAGTTCAGATTGAAAGGCAGGGTACTAACTAACCTGGTTTGGTCAAACAATCATCAGACATGAATTAGCTATCCATGCTTAAAAAGGCAATTACCCAAGCTGGTGTTCATATCAATGGAAAGCTAATTTATTTTAGACCTAGGCCAACATTTAAAATTAGCAGCTTCTCTCCCCTATTTCTTGGTATGAATGTAGCGAGAGAGGGGAGATTTTTCTCAACCTCGCTCTCACTAAAATGAAATAGCCAAAAAAGAAATTCAAAACAGGAAATTTTATTTCATATGAAACTGGTTAATTAACTTATCTTTATTTAGTAACTTCTGGGATTTGAAATAAAAATGTATATATGTGTATAAATCGCTGTAAATATCTTTTTCAATTCATGTCCATCATTCGACTGTGTGTGTGTTTATTCATATATTGAAAGTTTTACGTCAACTTTTTCATCGTATACCAATAAATAAATAAATAAATACCACAAAGTGTCTGATTGAACTTCTTTGTTCGTACCTCACAGTTCTGTCAGTGTCAGATTTCTATTTAAGTTTTTGTCTGTCTGTCTGAAATTTTGTCGTTTACATCATTTATCCGACACAGAAACCGTGTTTACAAATATAGCAGCACCAAAACTGAAAATTGACAGCATCTTTGATCCAACTTAACAAACAAACCACTTATACTTATTATTGGATATTTCAACCTATCCTACCTTTTGTTAAAGTCAACCGTAATCAAATTCTGATAAGATGGAAACTTTAGAGATTCATTCTAAGGATTTTTTGTTTAAATGGGTTCATGCTCCAGATAATTCAATTATTGATTGGCAAGTCAAACCATTAAAGAAATCTATTGGTCTTGCCATATATAGAAAGGATGAGGAATCCGTATTGAAGGAGAACAACAATGGTTCAACCTCAGATTTATCAATCACAACTGGCAATGGATCTTCTTCACCTCAGCTTCATCATAATGGTGATAATACTCCAGAGAATGATCTGCTGATCCCACCTATACAACCACCATCATCTTCCCTTAATTCTTCTCGTATGAGATCTACTTCGGTCACTTCAGTGAATCAAATCAATTCAAGTACTTCATCCTTCAAATCAAAATCAAGATCATCTACTTTTTCAACTAATTTAATTAATTCTGATTTAGTACTCATTAAAAATTATCATAAATTAATTGCTAATGAATTAGTCCATGGAAAATTCGAAGTCACTAAAGGAGGTATGTACGCCTTTATCTTTGATAATTCATTTTCAAAGACGACCGGTAAAAAAGTATTCTTCAGTAGCAAAATCATAGAAAGTTCTAATAGTACCAATGTCAATGGTGCAAGAAGGAAGCTGTCATTAGGTAGACAATCAAGCCTGAGAAGCATACGTGATCCTAAAACAATTCTGTTTGCTGATACTCCTCGTGAAAGTGAAGAAGATGAGCCACAAGCCATCTACCCTACTTCAACTAATATTTTAAGACCCAAAAATGGTGAATTGTTGCAAAGTATCTTATTGAAGAAAAGAAGAAAGAAGTTACAAGGGTTTACCAAAAGATATTTCATATTGAATTATAAATACGGTACATTATCATACTTTAGAGTTAATGATAATAAATTAAGAGGTCAAATGCCTATCAAACATTCCATTGTCAGTGCCAATGCTAGAACAAGAGAAATTATTATAGATTCTGGTATGGAAGTTTGGAACTTGAAGGCCTTAAACGTTAAAGAATTTAATGCTTGGGTTGATGCATTTAATGAAATAAAAGGTGGATTGTATGCTGAAGAAAAAGATCAACCTGATGAATTTGAAGAATTGGATCAAAGTCAATTCTTAGATGATTTGATTGCTATGTCAACTAAATTAGATCAATTGAAATTACAAACTGAAAATCCTTTAGTTCTTGAATTACAAGATGATCTTACCTATTTAATAGAAAAAATAAAACCTAGCTCTGTTGATGCTCTTTCAGTGGTCTCATCGAATGACTTTTATGATGCCAGTGAGTACTTAGATGTGACAAGCACTGGAGTGGTCTTACTAGATCAAGCTCCCTCAATTTCAACCAAACTTATTGATACCAAATTGGCAGAATCTCCAACAGAAATGAGTATAATAGAAGATCAAATAGATGCCGTTTCAACGTCTTCAGAATCTGGAAGTGATGATGAACCTCTTGAAATTATACCTCTTCCCGTCGAAGAAGAGACAGTTAAAATAAGTGATGGTGATGAAGATGTCACTTTATTCCCATTACCCCATGATCCAGTAGAAAGAGAATCCGATATACCCATTTGTAATCATTCACCTCCAAATATTTTAAGTCTTTTCCGTAAAAATGTCGGAAAGGATTTATCAACTATTGCTATGCCCGTCACTATGAATGAACCATTAACGACATTACAAAAGTATAGTGAAATGTTTGAGTATTGTGAATTGATTGACAATGCTTTACAACCATCTTTTTCTGATGAATCAGGTGAAAAAATCTTAAGAATTGCTGCTTTCGCAGTCAGTTATATTTCAAGTGCCAGAGTTAAAGAACGTAACAATAGAAAACCATTCAACCCATTATTAGGAGAAACTTTTGAATTAGTCAGAGAAGATAAAAACATTAGATTAATTTCTGAAAAAGTTTGTCATAGACCTCCAGTTTTTGCATATTTTGTTGAATCACCAAAATGGACTTTAAGTTTTAGTCCATCACCAAATCAAACATTTTGGGGTAAAAATGCCGAAATTGTCACAAAGGGGGTTGTGAAATTAACAGTCAAGGAAACTAATGAAGTTTTCACGTGGTCTCATCCTTCTACTTTATTAAAGAATATCATTGCTGGAGAAAAGTATACTGAACCTTCATCAGCTATAACGATTAAATCTTCAAGTGGTTATAGAGCAGTTGTTGAATTTGCTAAAGGTGGTATGTTCAGTGGTAGATCTGAAGATTTAAATATTAAAGCATTCAATCCTAGTAAAAAAGAATTGGCATATACCGTTAGTGGAAAATGGACTGAATCTTTAACGTTGAAGACCAATACTACTGAAAAATTGATTTGGGAATGTGGTGAATTATTACCAAACGCAGTTAAGAAGTTTGGTTTTACTGAATTTGCAGGTCAATTAAGTAAAATTTCTCCAATTGAAAAAGGTAAAATTGCTCCTACCGATTCAAGATTAAGACCAGATATGCAAATTTATTTGAAGGGAGAACTTGAAAAAGCAGAAGAAGTAAAAGTACAACTTGAAGAAGCCCAAAGAGGCAGAAGAAAAGAGTTAGAACTGTCTGGTGAAGAATACGTTCCAAAATTCTTCAAACAAATCGGTGACGATGCTCCTGATAACAGTGAATGGGTTTATGTCAGAGGTGAAAAGAGTTACTGGAATAGAAGAAAAAATCAAGATTGGGATGACTTGCTCGAATTGTGGTAGACAAATTATGCTACAATTTTAATACTGCCATATGTGTTATATCTTTATTTATAGTAATTTTGGTTAATCAAAATAGATAATTAATCAGATTTTATTAACGATGAGGACTGTACTCTCTTCTTTCTCTTGCTCTATCGGCGCCAATAAATTCCTCTATCTTTTTAAGAACAAGAGAAGTACATACATGAACACTAATTTCTAAATCGACTGAGAATATACTTTGACGATCAATGTTGCAACTGAATTTGTCCGCATGGATGTTTAAGATTGCATTTTCGTCACCATACCGATAGGCGTCATCTAAGTAGCCAATAGCTTCGGGAGGGGCTTTGAAAATTACCTGTTTGCAGATGAAGTCAAGAGTTTTCTGATGAACTTGTTCAGTTGATGGATTTTCGATGACTTCAGGAATATCGATATTATGGTTGATTTTGTCATAAATATGTGCCAATGATTTTTCATTATCTTTTAACTTAGTTAGATAATACCTATAGTTTATTCCCACACTTTTTGACCATCTGTAGAAAATTTTATTATATTCATAGTCAAAATTATAACCTACCTTGTACATAGTGATTTCAAAATTTTTGGTAATATCATCTGGATCTGGACTAAAGCTTAAGACATAAGTAATATAACCCAAGCGTAAATACCACCTAACTTTGCAAAATACAAATTGATCTTTCTTTTCTCTGAATCCATGTTGTAAGAAGGTAGCTTCATTCACAAAATATTTATGTACGGTGAAGAATTGATTAAATGAAATCCAAGGTTGAGTTGTTGCAAACAATGGAAGTGCATAACCCATTTGATGCCTTTCACGAATGGCTTTGGTGGTCTTAAACCATTTACATGAATAATAGTCCTTTCTGGCAATTTTTGAAACAAAAACTCTAGTTTTCCAGTTAGTCATTAACAGTTCCCAGAATTGTTTATTATTTCTAAACTCCATATACCAACCGGCATTTGGTTTTCCTGGCATGTATGGAATTATCAGAACTTTCGGTTTTGGAATTTCTTCTTCAGCTTCATTTCCATCGGGAGAGACTGTAACTAAATCTTGATTAATACTTTCTAATTTGACTGAAACATCAGCGGTATGAACTGTCTCTTCTGATATCTCTATAAGAGCACCTGATGTATCATTCTCTTCAAGTACTTGACTAATTGAACTAATTGAATGCATTTTGCCTTAGCCGCCAATTTCTAAGACATAAGTAAGCTTAATTTTTTATAATTTGGTTGCCAAAATATATAGTTGTAAAAGCTGCGAAAATCGAAAAAAATAATTTTATTTTTGAAATATATAGTCTATCTAAATATAAAAGTTTAACCTAAAGCAACAGAGGCACCATCTCCTCTTAAATCTGAACCACCAGCATAAACAAATTTGTTACCTTCTTTAATTTCTTTCTTGATTATTTGAGCACGACCGAAGGTTCCTCTTGCAAATCCAGTGATCAATTCAGTATCATGTCCTAACTTCTTTAATTTATCAATAACATCAGCAGAAATACCTTCTTCCAACTTAACAATGGTAATTGGTGTGCTTACTGGACCGTCTGCACCCTTACCTCTATCAGTTTCTGGATTTCCATCAGAGTCAAGAATAAATCTTGGTGAATCAATCAGTTGTTGTGGTGTGAAATTGAACAAAGTCAAATTAAGAACATGTTGTACATGACAAACTGGTTGAGCAAAACCTCCCATATTACCAAATGCGGCATATAAGGAATCATCAGAATTAGTAATCATACCAGGAATAATAGTATGATATGGTCTTTTTCCACCTTCTAAACAATTATTCTCTCCAGGAGTCAAATTGAAGTTAGAACCTCTATTTTGTAAACAGAAACCAAAATCTTCAACAAGAATACCAGAACCAAAACCTTGATAAACTGAATTAATGAATGAACAAGCTTCACCATTTGAATCGGATACAGAGAAATAAACAGTATCTGATTTAAATTTAGGATCTGGAACTCCATGACTTATTGATTCACCATCAATTGCCTTGGCTGGACTGAATAAATTGGCTCTTGTTTTTAAATATTTTGGATTTAACAACTCTTCAATTGGAATATCTTTGAAATCTTGATCAGTAACATATTCATCAGAATCATAGAAGGCAATTTTACAAGCTTCAATCAAAACATGTAAATACTCAGCAGAATTATGCTTCAATTCATGAAGATTGATCTTTGAACTATTATGAAGTTCTTGAATAATTCCAAGAGCTAAAAGTGCTACTAAACCATGACCATTTGGAGGGATTTCCCAAACATTAAATCCTTGGAAATTGAGTTTGATTGGTTCAACAAAAGTTGAAGTATGATTTTTAAAATCGTCTAAAGTTAACTTATGATTTCTAGCAGAAGTCGTTTTAACAATGGCTTCAGCAATTGGACCTTCATAGTAAGCTTTCTTTCCATGCTTGGCAATCAACTTTAAAGCTTCAGCAATTTGTTTATTATAAACCAATTCACCTTCATTAGGACCTTCACCATCTACTAATAATGAAGTAAGGTTTGCACCTGGGTTTTGAGCCTTAAGTTTCTTTGCACTTCCTCTCCAAGATCTAGCTGCTAATTCAGCAGCTGGAAATCCATTTTCAGCTAATTCAATAGCAGGTTCTAAAATCTCTGCAAAAGAAACTTTCTTAGATCCCCATTTTTCATAAGCATCATTCCATCCTGCAATTGCTCCAGGAACTGTAACTGAGAATACTGATGTATAAGGAATTCTCTTCATTGGTTTTCCTCCATTATGTTCATTCCATACATCTTGAGGAGTGACATTTTTAGCAGCTCTACCAGTTCCATTCAATCCCAATACTTTCCCACTCTTTGGATCATTTTTATCCTCTAACTTATAGTATAAAGCGAAACAATCTCCTCCAATCCCAGTTGAAGCAGGTTCTGTCAAACAAAGTGCGGCAGCCACAGCAATGGCAGCTTCGACACAATTCCCTCCCTTTTGCAAGATCTTTATACCAGCAGCACTGGCAAGACTCTGAGATGAAGAGACAATTCCCTTGGCTGAGTATACAGTAGATCTTCTAGAGGCAAACTTAATGAATTCGTCACCAACAACCATATTGTAAATCCGGGGTAGAACGATATTAGTGGATTGGGAATATGTATGAACTTGAAATAAACCAATCTATGCGATAGTCCGTTTCTATAAACACTAGTAAGACCCTAAAAGTGATTTAATAATCTAGTGGAAACGAGGTGTTTAAATAATGATTATGATCTAAGGGATTTTGCTATTTTTCATTTTATTGTTAATCTTTGGGGGAAGTGCCGCACATACGGAATCACCACAACAGGTCCGGAATTTTTCATACCCTTTTGTGTCTATCAAACTTTGATCCCAATTAGGCTCTTCAACCGATGCTTAATATATGAGAAATAATTTTGATTTTAACTATCTATAATTTAGACAATCTAGCACTTGGATCATGATAAATGGTTGGTTGTTTTGTAGTACTAATCAAGAGTGTAGACATTTAAACCCAACTTGCTAACAAAAATATCGCAATTTCCAAAAGTAAAAATAAAATTACAAGACAAAATCATTTCAAGTTTCTATTTTGACCTTTATTCATTTATACAGTTAGACATCAAGCCGGAATCGCATGGGTGTTAATTCATTATGGGATATATTAGGGCCCACTGCGAGACCAGTGCGATTGGATGCGTTATCTCGAAAGAAATTAGCCGTTGATGCGTCAATTTGGATTTACCAGTTCTTGAAAGCAGTGAGGGATAGTGAAGGTAATTCATTACCTCAATCACATATCGTGGGGTTTTTCAGGAGGATTTGTAAGTTATTGTACTTTGGTATACATCCTGTGTTTGTATTTGATGGTGGAGCTCCTCCATTGAAACGGGAAACCATTAATAAAAGAAAGGAAAGAAGAAGAGGTAATGCTGAAAGTACGCGTCAAACAGCTCAGAAGTTATTAGCAATCCATGTTCAAAGACTTGCTGAAAACGGTGCATCCCCTCAGAAGGCATCTAATGGTAATACAGCCAAAGTCGATGACGACGATGATGACGATGATGATGTTATATATCTCGAAGATCTTCCTATGAATCATCCTCAACTGATCACCAACTCACAGAATGCTAATATCAATAATTCTCCTGATCTACCCAAGAGTTTTAGAAAGAAAGATGAATTCCACTTACCAGATATAAAAGAATTTAGAGTGTCGAAAGATGATAATAGAATCATGCCAGAAGAAGAATACATGCAATCTGCTTTAGAAGCATATGACTACGACCACGTAGATGGAATAGACATTAATGACGTCGATCCAAGTTCAGCAGAGTTCGAACAGTTACCCCTACCAACCCAATATATGATCCTATCTCATTTACGAGTGAAATCAAGATTGAGATTGGGTTATAATAAAGAGCAATTGGAAGATATATTTCAAGATAGTATGGATTTTTCGAAATTTCAGATCAAACAAGTTCAAAAGAGAAATTTTTATACCCAGAAGTTAATGAATGTTGCTGGTATGGGTGATGATGGGAATGCTACTAGAAGAATTGCAAGTGATAAAGATAGAAGGTATGCATTAGTAAAAAATGATAATGGATGGACGTTATCTTTACAAGAAGACGAGTCAACGGCTGACAATCCTATATACATTGATGAAAAAGGCAATGAATTCAAACCTACTAAAGAAGAGACATCGAAACCGATCAAAACTGATATTGTAAGTAAACCTATACCAGAGGTAGTTGAAATAGATAGTGATTCTGAATTTGAAGAAATTCCATTGGAACTGCATGTTGATGATGAAACACAAGAAGAAAAAGATTTAGAAATGGCATTGATTAAATCAATATACGACCAGTACGATAATCAACAAATGGATGATGGATTTGATCAAAAAGATATAATGTCAGCCATTGAAAATTCGAAGAAGGACTACTTAGATCTAAAAAATAAAGAAGAACTACTTGAAAATCAGGCCAAAGAAATAGTATCATTCAAACCTGAGACTAATTCCAAAAATGGAAAAGATGAAGGTTTTAGTTTATTTCCAGAAGAGTTTTCTTTTGGAGAATCTATTCTATTCTCAGAGAATGCGTCAGAGAAGACTCCACTTAAGAAGATCGCCACGGCTAATGATGAAATTTCAATAGAAAAAGCCACCCCTGTAAAACATGATAATGGCAAAGTTCACGAAATACATCCCAAGAAACCTACAAATAATTTTCCTGTTAAAAATATGACAGAAAAACAATTAGAGCCCATCAGGAATATCATTGCTCAAGATCAAACTTCAAATACTAAGAACAACGAAGAAACCACATCAGTAGTAAGTAATGTGATTATTGACGAGGATACACAAAAAGATGAAATTAGACAGATGCCTTCGTGGTTCGCAAACAACTCCAGTAATGTATTAAATGCTCATAAAGAGCTGGCTGTTGAACATAAAGAAAGTCAAAACGGTAGCTCCAAAGCTAAAGAGGACGAACAAGCTGGTTTAATTTCATGGTCTGAAGCAAAAGATATATTGCAAGAAGAGTCAACAGGAGAAGAAACTGAAGATTCTGACCTTGAAGAAGTCACATTTTTACCAGAAGTAACAAAGAAAGACGTTATAGTGGAAGAATATATTTCTGAATCGGAAGAAAGTCAACCTGAAAGACAACCAGAGATACTAGACTATGATTTTGAAGAAGAAGATGAAAATAACTTATTAGCCCAGATGATAACAGAAGAAAATGATCATCAAGACTTCCGTAGTCAGATCAAGAAAACGCATGATATACCTATCAGTACCATCAATACCAGCATTACCGACGAACAGCTACTCCAAGAGAAGCTTCAAAAAGCAAAAAGAGATTCTGATGAAGTATCACAAGCTATGATAACGGATGTTCAAGAACTTTTGAGAAGATTTGGGATACCATATATTACTGCCCCCATGGAAGCTGAAGCGCAATGTGCGGAGTTGCTCAAGTTAGGATTGGTTGACGGAATAATCACCGACGATAGTGATTGTTTCCTTTTCGGCGGTGATAGGATTTACAAGAATATGTTCAATCAAAAACAGTATGTGGAATGTTACATTCAAGATGACATAGATGCTAAATTAGGTTTAAACCAGGATAATTTAATCGAATTTGCTCTTCTTTTAGGGAGTGATTATACAGAAGGTATAAAGGGTATAGGTCCCGTGTTAGCTATGGAAATAATGGCAGAATTTGGTTCGATGAAGAGATTCAAAAAATGGTACGATGATAAAACCACCAGTCTTAAAGCACCTAATGTTAAACTGATGACTACGCTCGAGAAGAGTTTATTGACGAGAATAAGAAATGGAAAGTTATTTCTTCCTGAATCATTTCCAGATCCTATTATTTTTCAAGCATATAAGGCTCCAGAAGTAGATCATGATAGAACTGAATTCAAATGGGGTGTACCTAATTTACATCAAATTCGATCATTCCTAATGTTTAGTGTAGGCTGGAGTCAATCTGAAGTTGATGAGGTAATGATCCCATTAATCAGAGATATGAATAAGAAACAAGCAGAAGGTACCCAGTCTACCATAGGTGAGTTCTTCCCTCAAGAATATATACAATCTAGAAAGGAGCTTAACATTGGTAAGAGAATGAAAACAGCTGCTGGTAAATTAAATAAAAGGAAAAAGCTAAGTAGTTAGACTTAAGTATTATTAGTATTATTTGTAACATTAAATTGATGTATTTTTTACCTCGCAAATATCATCTTTAAATTTTGTGATCTCTCTCTCTAAGAAAATCGCGATTCGTGAAAATTAAACAGCAAAGCTAGCACCAATATAAAGTTGATTCATTAAACAGCAGGATTATGATATTATAACAAGGGCAATGACTGATTCATTTTCGAAAATATCATCGATGTTAGAGTCCGCGAAGGATCGTACCATTGAAGCAGCGGTTTCAGCATCCTCAAGACTAACTGATACTCCAAGTGCTCTGAGACCACAAGAAATATCTAACTTATTGAGTTCAAGAACTGAACGAGAAGTTTTGAATGGTATGAAATGTGTGATCTCATTAATATCGAGGGGAGAGGATGGTTTACCTTACTTTGCCGATGTGATCAAAAATATTACGACTTCGAATATTAAAATTAAGAATTTAGTGTTGATTTACCTTACGAGATATGCTGATGTTGAACCTGATACTGCATTATTATCTATCAATTCTATCCAAAAGTCATTGAACGATAAGAATCCAATCAATAGAGCAAAATCAATTCGTGCATTATCAGGAATCAAAATAGCCTCGATTGTACCCATTGTTATGTTATGTATAAAAAGAACCATAACTGATCCATCACCATTAGTAAGAAGTGCAACTGCAATTGCAATAGGCAAAGTTTTTGATATCCATACAGGTTCGAAGAAACAGCTCATAGATTACGTATCAAGATTGATATCAGACTCAGATGCACAAGTCGTATCTTCCACGATTAAAACATATTATAAGATAAAGGATGAACTTGCAAAATCACATAAAATCTGGGAACCAATTCATGGAAATTTCCGTCGTTTATGCTCTTTGATGAATGATCTAGACGAATGGAGTCAATGCTTTTTAATAGACATTTTAGTGGAATATTCTAGGAAATTCCTTCCCAAACCAAAGCTTTTCTACATTGATGATATTCAGAGAGTTATTGACTTACCAGATGATATTAAAGATATTCCCCAAGTAGCATTCGAAGTTTCATTTGACGCCGATTTAGAATTGTTCTTGAACTCATTGAGAATCTTGGTATATTCAAGAAACGATGGTGTTATACTAAGTGTTGTGAAGGCTTTATTCTTTTTAACACCTCCAAAAACACTTGTTGATTTTGAAGCTAACTATGCTTTAGTTAGAATTACAAAATCTAGTTCACCACAAACTGCTTCCTTTGTATGGCAGCTAATAACATACATTTCTGCATATGATAAAACTATTTTTGGTCAATTTTACAAACAATTTTATGTTTTCCCTACAGATTCAGTACTTGTTGCAAAGAGTAAACTTGAGATATTATCATCACTTACCGACGAATCGAATATAAAGTACATATTGGAAGAGTTAAAATATTATGCATTAAATTCTAACAATGTCACAGTAGCAAAGACTGCAATCAAGACCATAGGAGCCTGTGCTCAGCTTTCATCTGAATGGAATAAGGTCATATTAAACTGGTGTCTAAAACAAATACATGCTACTTCAGGTTTAATTCTAAATGAAATCATTACTGTGGTGAGGTTCTTGCTCCAACAGAAGAATAGTTTCAAGGAAAACATAGTGAATGAACGTGCTGTCATTATAAAGACATGTCATCGTTTATCTAAGATCATCCAAGATGAGAATTTAAATATCGCAAGTGATGCGAAGGGCAGTATAATTTGGATAATAGGTGAATTTACAGTGGTTGCGGAAAATGAAATAGGACCTGATGTTTTACGTACATTAATCAAATCATTCTCAAAGGAGGAAGAAAGTGTAAGATATCAAATATTAGTATTGGCAGCTAAGATATGTACCTACGAATTGAAACAAATCAAGAATGAAACTGGAGATTACGAGGACGCTTTCAATGATAGAATGGCGGACAATATTAACATTAAAATGTTCCAGTACGTTTTACACTTGTCGAAATACGATGATTCATATGACACCAGAGATAGAGCTAGAATGTTCAACATATTATTGAATTCTGGAAAAGAGCAAGCAGAGCTTGCTTCATTATTTTTGCAAGTTCCTAAACCAGTTCCTATATCACATGATGCTGCACTCAGGCAAAAGGAATTGATTAAAGTACTAGCTAATTTCTTCAGTGTATCAGAATGGTCAGAGGCCAAGGACTTACCAAACGCAAAGATAAGAACTCCTGTTGAAATTTTACATAATAAATTAGCTAGCGGTAGTGGAATTTCTTTTACCTCATCAGCCACATATAATAAGTCAGTTTCACCTCCAGTTATATCTAGTCGTTCAATGTCTTCGGAACAGTTTAATTCTTCTATAACCAGTACAAGCACAGAAGCAAAGAAACAGCCATCATACCGTCTACAAAGTCTTGATGAATTCTTTGGTGGTGAAGAAGAAGAAGAAGAAGAAGAGGATGATGAGGATAATGATGATGAAGAGAATGAAAATGACGAGGAAAGTGAAGCTGAAGATTCTGATGATGATAGCTCACATGAAGACTCTGACGAATTGATAGAATCAGATTCCGAAGATGAAGTTGATCAAGAACATGAAAATGGTAATGGTCAATACCCTAAGGATAATTCTGATAATAGTAGTACAGAGGCATTTTTAAATGATTAGTTATCGCGTTTTTAAAACTTCACTTAGTTACTCCCTTTAAAATAATTTATCGCGTACTTTATAAAAGGAAGCGTTTTTGGCAGCATTAATCATAAACTGATTTCTTGTAGATTTGTTTGCTCATAAGTTACTGTCAAAGCTATTAAAACATCTTAGAATAATGAGATTCTCTATTATTGCTGCATTGCTCTGTGCTACAGTTGCTGTAGCTGATGATTACACTGAAAGAGTAGTATTTACCGTATTTAAATATTTGGCAGCACAATAACTTGTTACTAACCCGTTCAAAATATTAGATCAATCCAGATTTTGAAACCTGTGATGACTGTGTCTTGATTACAACACCTGGGAACTTGCAGGGTATTGAAACATATACTCCTTCGTTACAACAACCTAGCACCACTGATTTAAGCCCAACTTCAGTTGAGAATACTAGTCAAAGTCCAGCCACTTCTTCAACTATTGCAACAACTAGTTCTACTGCTAACTCTCCCACAGCACCGACTAGTACTACTGCTAACTCTCCCACTGTACCAACTGTTGTTTCAACCAGTACAACGTCTCAGCTGACTCCTTTAGAAATTTCCTCTCCTACTTCTCCTATCACTTCTCCACAAACAACATCTATTCTGCCTGTTACTACTTCTACAAGTTCAATTTATACAATTTCTGCATTTACTCCAACCAGTACTACTCAGATTCAAGTAACACCGGCTACAACCTCACCAAGTGAGTCTATTATAATTGAAGAAATAACTATAACTAGTCCTTCAACTATTTGTACACAAACAGAGGCAACTGCCACAAGTACTTCAGTTTCATCTTATCAATCAACAAGCACTTCAGTAGAATACTTAACTTACACAGATGTAAACCCAATTGTTGAGTGGTTTACCAGTACAAAACTAATTGAATATCCAGAACCAATTACTAGTGATGTTATTTACACATTTAATTTTTTGAATTCCTCTAGTCAATCAACTACGGAATCAATTTCTCTAGCAACTACTACATTAACCCAACTTTCAACTTTTTCAACTACAAGTTATACCACTTTATCCCTGTCCTACTCAGTTGAATATGTTTACATTTACCCTATTGTTCTTGAAATTTTAGATGTTGAAGTAAGAGACCAAACAGTTTGTTACCAAACATTCATTATTTCGATAGAGCTGGAGATAATTACAGTTACATATACCCCTTCAACTACTCAAACAGAAGCAACTGCTCCTCCAAAGTCTTCGAGCAGTTTTACTAGCACTAACGTAGGATCTCCAGTTACTAGCTCAAATACTTATTTAATACCTTCAACTACAGCTGAATCGGTAACTCATTATACTACTACCACTGTTGTTTCTACAAGCTTAGTCGTTGCTACTCAAAATTCTTTATGTCAACCAGATGTAACTACAGAGTATTCAATTTCTTCCCAAGTAATTGTCCTGCCCGAATTCATTGTCAAAGGAGGAGTTGAAAGAAGTCAAACTTCAAATCTAGCTAAATATTATATTCCTGTTTTAATTTGCATTGCAACTATTATGGTTTTATAGTTATAAAATATAACCAAAATTGCTCTCTATAAATATAATTTTCTGCTACTTAATTATGCATTTTAATATAAATTTTAAACCGAATCAAAATAAACTTCTGAATCTGTTGATTCTGTTTGATCTACTTTGGGGAAATTCATTGGATCCTCATAGATTAAGTTGATAGGGACTTTGGTCTTGTTGACTTCCTGAAGGTTTCTATAAAAAGCGACAGCACTAGTAACCATGATCCCAGAAGAAAGAAAATAAGTCAAGGATCCGAGTACACTAAGGGATAAAGTTGCCTTCCGCATTTGACAATCGGCAGATAATTTTAAAAGCAACTCAGATTGTGCCAACATTGTAGTAAGATTATTTGTATTGATAGAGGTGAAATTAATCATACTTGGCACATTAGGAATACCACTACCTCCTTCAATACCAAAAAAATTCAGTAAAATGGAATCTGGATATGTAGAATCAGTTAGATTATAGTTTAATAATAACAGTTGAACATCTCCACACTGCCAATTACCGTACATTGATGCTTGATAGATACTAGAAGTGAACCATAAACCAACAGAACCTGCTTCTGAACCAACAAGACTAGTAAGATATAATAATTGACTCTTTGAAAGTCCTAATGAAGTTTGACCTGCATTGTTAGGAGGAGAAATGTTTAGGAAACTAGAACCATATATGGTTGTATGTGATCCTGAAGTCAAAGATCCTGAAAGTAATGAGATTAGAATTGGTTTTCCTGTAGATGATAAGGTAAGATTATCAAACAGATTAAGTAATGATAGATCTCTCTTCTTTAATCTCAAATCTAAGCTCGTCAAATTCAAACCATCATTTTCAAATAAATCTAAAAGTAATGTGTCATTAGTTGCATTAACTAATGAATTCAATTCATCAATGGCATCTGATAAACTTCCTGTTTTCTTTAATACAACAGCAGAAATAGCCAAGATAATTACAGCAAGAGCAAATTGGATACCACGATTAAGTGTTGAGGTTTGCATTGTGACTTTGCTATTCTGTAGAGAATTCTTGATTGAATGAATAAGTTAATTGAGTACCATTTTTAGTACTCATATAATTTTTTTGATGTTTTGCAACACCGCCTTCCTATTTGGGACATAGGGATCAAAATATGTGGGAATTCAAAAGACCCCGTTTTTTTCAAAATAAAAAGGAAAGAATGTTGTAGAACAGTTTATTTTTAGTTGCCACGAACATCATACTGGCAACGATACTATTGTTTTCCCTTATTTTGATTCAGATTTCTAGCGGTTAGACAAAAAAAGCTGCCATTTAGGAATAAAATTTTTACAACACTCTTATGACTTTTAAAAGGTTTGAATGTGTATCAAATTTCTTAGTGATAATATTGCAAATTATAACTCTATTGTTGCAAGTCAATTGTTCTAATCCATCTTATTAAATCAGAAGCTAGTTAGATTCATATCCCTTTTTAAAGCTAGAGTGTTTACTGTTGTTGAAGAGAACCCATTCTATTCTCACAATGACTACTGAAGTTAACAATGATACTGCCAACTTGTCAGTAACTGAGGTTAATCAGTCAGATGAAGAGGAAGAAATGAAAATTGAAACTGAAACTGAACTACCAACCCTGTCAGATTCTCTTAGAAAGTTGGAGGTCATAATTGAAGAAAATTTAGATATAGATGTTGATTCTGTTAATGAATCATTTGCCAAACTTGAAATGTCAGAAGTCCCAGCGTTTGGAACTGAAAAAGGTTTGAATTTACCTCTATTTAGCCCTGATTTTGAGGATCCACTTGCTACTTCAGATAATGAAATTGAAAATGAAGAGCCGGTGGTTAATGAATATGAATCAGAGAATGTTACGTTGTCTAAACAAGATACCGCTGAAAATGAGAGTCTTACTGATAAAGATTATGCTATGCTCAAAGAATTAGTAGTAGATGCCGATAATAAATCTGAATCAGAGAATCCTTCAATTGAGTCTAAGGGTGTGGAACCGTTTGTTAGAGGCAGACCTTCAGCTTGTGTATTTGTAGCAAGTCTTTGCTCTGGTGTTTCTGATGATGATTTATGTATTTCAGTAACAAATCACTTCAAACAATGGGGAAAACTTTCCACAGTAAAAGTTTTAAGGGATACATCAAATCGTCCTTATGCCTTTGTCCAATACACTAATGAACAGGATTCAAGAAATGCAATTACAAATGGTCATAACTCTATTTTAGATGGTAGAAATATAAGATGTGAAGCGGCCAAGGTAAATCGTACTTTATACGTAATTTTCCTGGAATATCTCAACAAAAGATTTGTGAAGTTAAGAATGGATAACTTTGGAGAAATCGAATCATTAGTTCCCTCAGATAATCATGGAAGCTTAAATAAAACTTCTATTAAGACTTCCAAATATTGGTTTGTTAAATTCGTTTATAGAGAGGATGCAATTAGAGCATTTGCAAATTTAACAGATGAAGATTCAGTTGAAGTAGATTGGGCGCAAAATTTGGAAGATACAATTAATGAAAAGGAAGAAAAGTTTGAAAATTCAGCTAAGTTTGATAAATATTCTATATTTGTTGGTCAAATACATCCTGATATTGAAGTAAGAGAATTAACCCAAAGATTTGAAAGACATGGTGAAATTGAGTTCGTTAATTTAATTAAAAAGAGTAATTATAATTTTGCATTTATTAGATACAAAAATGAATCTGCAGCAGCTAGTGCTGTTGAAAGAGAGAACCATTCCATTTTAAATGGAAAGACCATGCATGTTCAATATCGAGAAAATCATGCTGTTCCAAAGAGACCAACAACAAATATGTTTGGTATTGCTTTAGCTCCACCACCAATAAATTTAAAAAGAAAGGTTTTAATTAATAATGGTGGCACTTCTGTTTCCACAAGCAGCTTTAATGATAATTTATTTTCTAAACCTAGATTTAATGGTTACTCTTCCAATAATGCTAACAGGAGTCTTTCCAATAATTTTGCGACTAATAAGGTGTTGCAAAAGAGTGCTCAAGATAACTTAAATTACATTGAAAGTTTTGATTCAAATTTCAACAAATCTTATATTAATAAGGCATATCGTGGATCGATTACTCCATCAAATATTAGAAACAAGAAGTACATCAAGAATAGCCAACCAAATGCTAATAAGATTGAAAATTTAAGAGTTGGAAAAGGTGTTGAGGCTTCCCCAAAGCCACGTAAATTTCAAGGTTTTAATTCCGATCAGAATAATCGCAAATTTAAGAAGTTTGATTTTAAGAATTATACGAATCAATTTAATGTTAATCAATCAGTTGTTCCTACTACTAATAATAATACAAGTCCTAAAAAAGGTATGAGCGATGCTGTTATCGCCGCCAAGAATAATGCCGCTGTTCCGTACTATTATTATATTCCTGAAACCGAAAATACATCTGCAGTAGGACCCGGTACTCCCAAGTCCAATGCCCCAACGAGTTATTATAACCCTTATTCTCAGTACTATGTTCCAAATAATGATTATTCTGGTACTAGTAGTCCTGGTTATGGAATGACTCCCTATTCATTGTATTATCCTGGAGAATCCGATTTTCTGCCAGTTGATAAATCTTTAGAGAAGAAATAATCGCAGCTGTGATTATTATATTAATGCCGTAATGTTATACCTGTTTTTTGTTGTTTATGTAAATTTTATATTTATGTTCGTATGTATAATAATGGCTAGTTTGAAAAATAAATAAAGTATCTAATATATTATTGCCTCTTTTTTTTGGTGTATTTTTGTCTCACTTGCATTTTTAAGCTTTAAAATTATTTGATTATCGTGAATGGTTGACGTATTATATCATCATATCATACATCATTACCAAACGTATTAATGTCATTACAAGAATTGAAGAGTTTATCTAAATTGCTAGATAACTCATTGACGCCATTGAAAGTTGTAAGTAAGGAAAACCTGAAGAAATCTGCTTCTGCTAAACCAACAACTCCTACAGCAGATCATAAACTTAATAATCCAAATATTGATAATGAAGATATCTATGATCATGAACGTGGATTATACAAATCTAAGAATGATCCATTGGATTTCATAAAGTATCCCTCTATGACGAAAGAGCTTTCCGATCAGAAGCCATGGAAGAATGATCCTCATTATTTCAAAAAGAGTTATATTTCATCCTTAGCGTTATTGAAAATGACGATTCATGCTCAACGAGGTGGATCAATTGAAATCATGGGGATGTTGGTAGGGAAGATTATAGAAAATTGTATTATTGTGATGGATGTTTATCCCTTACCTGTTGAAGGAACTGAAACTCGAGTCAATGCTCAAGCGGAAGGATATGAATATATGGTTCAATATCTTGAGTTTAATAAACAATTACCAGTTCATAAAGGAGAGAATATTGTTGGTTGGTATCATTCTCATCCAGGGTATGGATGTTGGTTAAGTGGAATAGATGTTGCTACTCAAGCTACTAATCAAAATTTCCAAGATCCATATTTGGCCATTGTGATTGATCCATTAAAGACTTTACGTCAAAGAAAAGTTGAAATTGGAGCGTTTAGAACCTTTCCTGATAATTATACTCCATCAAAAGCAATGACGAGTAAATTACATGGTGGACCAAATTTACCTAAATCCAAGAGAAAAGATTTTGGAGCTCATTCTGATAAATATTATTCATTGGATATTGAGATTTTTAATAATATAAATGATGAGAAATTGATTAAAGAGATTTTAAATAATGAAGATAAAACTTCGATAATATGGTTGAAGAATCTTATGATTAATAAATCAAGTGGGATTGATCAATCAAATGGAAATCACGATCATAAATGTATTCATGGAAAACTTGATAAAGATAGAGTTATAAAAGGAGGGAATTTACTTCATAATTTTGATATAGGAGAAAGTAATGAAGCTGATGAAAATAATGGAGATGGAAATCAATATCAGAAGAATAATTTAAATTTAATTAAATTAAATAAGAAATTACTTGATTTTGATCATGGTGAAAACCGTAAACTTGAACATACATTTGGTAATAAATTCAATAAGCAATTTGAATATATGGTGAAGAGAGGGTTATTACTAAAAGGTAAATCAAAAGGAATTACATCACGAGGAGCTGGTGGAGGAGTTAATATTGATATGAGTGAAGATTATGAAGTAGAAGAAGAAGATGACGAAGATGTTGATGATGATGTCCGTGACGACAACGACAATGACAACGATGATGAAGATGATCTTATGGATGAGAGTGATTTAGAAAAGGAAAGTCAAGGAGTGAGTGATGAAGGTGATGATGATGTATTATCGGTTGAAAGTGGTAGTGATATGAGAATGAGTGAAGATGCTGAAGATCAAGATATGGAGAAGAAATTATTAAGAAGAAGTGTTAATAGTGGTTTAACTTTAAACCTAGGTAGAAGAGATAACCATACCAATAAACCAAGACGTGGTCCATTATTTAAAGAGAAGAGAAGTTCATCAAGTGCATTAATGGGTGGACAACAATCGCCAAGTTTAAGACGATCAATATATAGAGCCAGTGACGGAAGGGAAAATAGTGCAGGTGATTACTTTGGTCAAGATAGGTCATTTGGTTTTGGATATGATTTGGGACAAAGTGGTGGTGGAAGTAGTAGCAATAATAATAATCGTGGTAGTGGTTTTCTGTTTGGTAGACATGAACATGATATAAATAGTGGTAATAATCGTGTTAATGGTTTTCTGTTTGGTAGATCAGAGCATGATGGAGAAAATGGTGGCGGTGATAATAATCAAAATTATAGGGTTAGACCACTGAATGGAGTTCATAATAAGAAAGCTATTAATTTTACTAGATTAGCCAAACATGTTGGACAACAAGAGATTAATCAATTAATTGTTCAAGATATTCAATCAAAGTTATTCTTATAGGTATTTGTATATATATATATATATATATATATATATACATATAGGTGTTTATATGCCGGTATCAAAATATAATAGTATATGCAGGTCATATTATATACAGTACCATAAAAAAAGAAACTTTTGTAAAAAAGATCACATCCATACCGCTTAAGTCATGTCTTCTACTTCCTGTATATAATCAGTTTATGTTTTGGTATTTTTATATTGCAAATTTTATCAAGGGATGATGATTATTACAATGATAGTGATCCATTAGATCAGAACAGATCCGATCTTGTCATTCAACTTGTAAACTGATGGTAAGCAAGCCTCACAATGTCTTCCGCTATTAGTAGCTTAGTTTACATCCTATTATATATTAAGTAATTATAAATGATAACACTTTCCCTACATTTTTAGCATCTAATTTATACTGACACGATGATTGCTTATAAATCCAGTTAGAGTAAGTAGAAGTTACTTTATCACAAGGCAAGTTACATTTCTTCACACTCCATTTCTTATAGTTTCCTGTTCTAAATTATCAACCATCATTATCAGTTTATTATGACAATTTAAGAGACAACATCAAAAGACGCATTTTCTGTCTGTCTCTTTCTGGCCCTTCCCATTTCTTTTTTTTTTTTTTTTTTTTTTTCCCTTCTTCCTCCTTTCAAACTTTCTTTTACGCTTAATAATTGTTATTACCATTTACAACCAAACCCATTCCAAAGTTAAAAAGGGGAAGTAGATCAGATCTTTCATTTATTCAAACCATAATCATAGCATAACATCATACATTTCATATAGCCATTTACTATTTTTTAAAATTTGAGAAAAAACCAAACCAAATCAATCAATCATATTCATAGATGGCTGCTTCATTTTTAACCTCATCTATTAATAACAATAATAATACGAATAGTAATACTTCTACAACAAATCCTTTAGTTGATAGATATCTTTCTAATCCATTAACTTTCAAACAAGCGAAAATCATGGATAACTCAAGTTCTACCAATGATTTGATTCTGAAATCATCAAATTATATCATCTTATCTCGTAAACATTCTAAACGAAGATCTCCTTCATCTTCAAATTCATCATCATCTATCATTAATGGAAATATATCTCCCTCCAATATTATATCATCTCCATCAAGAATAAAACCAAAATCAATGGCAGAAGCAGTGGCTGCTTATACGGGAAAGAAATTCTTAACTAAAAATGAAAAGAAAAAACAACAATTACAATCAAAAAAGAGAAAATTAGATTTAGTTGATCTGGATGATGAACAAGAACAAGAAGAACAACAACAAGAAGAAGTTGTAAATCAAGTTCAAGTTCAACAGGATCAAGATGAAGTCACTTCAACTATTTCAACCGCTTCAAGTTATTTAAAGAATATCTTTAGTTCATTAAGTGGAAATAGTACTACAAATAATAAAAATGTCAAAAGACAAAAGATTCAATTGACTCCTATAGAGACTGATGACGAAGATGAAGATGAAGATGATGATGATGAAGAGGATTTAGGAGAATATATCCCTGAAGATGGAGAATCAACCCCAACTAATGTTACTGATGATGCATCTCCTTTTAATGGGTTTAGTGAACCAGAATCAAAAGGTGCAACTCCAACCCCTCAAGATGATGATGACGAAGAGGAAGATGAAGATGAAGACGACGATGATGAAGATGAAGACGACGATGATGAAGATTTTGAAATCGATCAAGATGAAGAACAAATCACTAATCTCAATCAATCCAGTTCTGCATCATCTTCAAGTCCAGATCCTGAAGAAGATGACAATGAAGATTTAGGTGAAGAAGTAGTTGATGAAGATGAAGATGTTGAACAATTAAAACACGATTTAAAAGAAGATGCATATAAAGCGTTAGAAGAAGAAAGCATAAAAACAAAACTTGAAGATGAAGAAGAGGAAGAAGAAGAAGAAGATGATGATTCTGATAAACCAAATACTGAAAAATCAACTCCACCAACCTCACCTGAAGATGAATTAGAAAAAGTTATCACCACTCAAGCATCAACTCCAAAACAATCACTCATACCTAAGAATTTAGAATTACAAACTATAAAAGAACATTTTTATATGATTAATGAAAATTCAAATGATAAAGGTTCAAATGATTCTACTAGAATTTATAAAAATTGGAAGAATTTAACTAAAAAGAAACCAATTGGATTAATCAATCATGGTGTTACTTGTTATATGAATTCTGCCATTCAAGCCATGATCCATATCCCTGCCATTCAACATTATCTTACTGATGTTAATACTGGCAAATATAATAAAATCCTTAAACCAAGATCGGTTACTCATGTTTTAGCTGATTTAAGTAGAAAAATGTGGAATTTAGATGGAGGCAATCAAAAATTATCGAAATTTATTAATCCAAAGAAACTTATTGGTAGATTGGATGAAATTAATTGTATGATGAGTCAATGGCAACAAGAAGATAGTCATGAATATTTCATGTCATTAATGTCAAGATTACAAGAAGATTCAACTCCAAAGGGGAAAAAATTAAATGAAAGTATTATTTATGATATCTTTGGGGGATTATTAAGACAAAAAATTACCTGTAATTCATGTAATAATGTTTCCATTACCAAACAAGAATTTTATGATTTGTCCTTAGGATTGAATAAACGTAAACAACAACAATTATTACCATCCAACAACTCCTCCATTAATGAACCATACATTCCATCTTCAAATAAATATAGTATTGGTAAATCGATTAGAGATTTCTTTTCTAATGAATTAATCAAAGTTGATAAAAATGATTTAAAAAATAGTGGTTATTATTGTGAGAATTGTAAGAAAAGAACCATGGCCAATAAAATCTCCTTCATTGAAAGATCACCTGAAACTTTAACTATTCATCTTAAACGATTTAAATTCAATGGTAATTCATCATCTAAAGTCAAACAATCAATCAATTATAGTAAATTTCTTGATTTAAGTAAATATTGTCTTAATGAAGATGTAGATGACGATGAAGAAGAAGAGGAACAACCACAAGCAATGTATCAATTATTATCGGTATTGGTACATGAAGGTAGATCCATCTCTAGTGGTCATTATATTGCTCATTGTTTACAACCAGATGGAAGTTGGGGTTCATATGATGATGAATATATAAATAAAATCGATGAAAGAATGGCATTAAATGATCCATCAGCTTATGTTTTGATATATACCAAATTAACCCCCAAGAAGAATTAAGGGGCAATCGGCGAGTACATACATATAGAGTTTTTATAGAAGTAACGAAAACATCATCAGTGTGTATATTCAAAATATATAATATTGTAAAAAATATTAAAAAAGAAAATTAGTAAATTAAACGCAAATTAAGCAAGAGACTAAAAACAATATATTGACCTAAATAATGATTAAGAGACCCGGAAGGGTTGAATATAGAGAAACATATATAAGAGTAAATGATATAATGATAAATAATCAATATAAAAAAAGAAACAACTAAAAAACATAACAAAACAAAATTTGACCTATAAATAAAACCTAAACATATAAAAAAAAGTAGTAGAGATGAAGTAGCAACAATAACAAAAGACCAGATAACCAATAAATTAAAAACTAGGGCGTATAACACCCTATCAAAGAGTATATGTAAAAAGAGATGTAAGAGTAGAATTGAAGGAGGATATAAAAAAATAGAGTGGGGGTATATATAAAAATAAAGTAAAAGTGGCAATCTAAAACATTTATGCATCAACAAATACATCATTATCATCTTCTTCATCACGAATACGACGTGAAGGTCTTGAACTTCTTGTAGACGGAGGGGATGCGGTAGTGGATGAAGGTGATGCGGCGGTAGATGAATTAGCAGCTGCTGCAGCAGCAGCAGCCATGGCAATGGTTGCAAGGGTAGGAGGACTTGACGATGTACCATAATCAACAGATGAAGACGATGGAGTGATTGGGGCTGCGGTTGATGATGAAGATGATGAAGTTGTAGATACAGGTATTCTTAACCCATTTAAGAATAAACCATTATTTAAACTTATATTTCTATAATCAATTGATTTTCTCTTTGGTGAAGATGATGAATCAATAAATCTGAATGAATTTTGATTTGACATTGAATCATCATAAGATATTATCTTTGAAGTTGGAGAATAATGAATTAGAGATGGTTTATTAAATGAATTTGATGGATCATTAATAGTTGTAATGGCAGCAAATGGATGATTTAAAGAAGGAGTATCAATAGAATTAATGGTGGCAGTAGTTGTGGTTGATGATGAAGAATTATTATTAAAATCTAATTCATCTGAACTTAAAGTTGAAGTTGAACTAAATCTTCTTCTAAATTTATTCTTTAAAGCTTTTTCAATTAATAAATTATTTGAAGTATTATTATCAATAAATTTTATAAATGAATGTTCAATAACATATTTACCTTCTTTATAAGTTTCTCTAAAAGTATAAGATTTTTTATAATACCAACCTAAATTAGATTTACATTGATGACATCTTATATCATCAACTAAATAGAAACCAGTTCTCATTTCCTTTTTTTGAGGATTTAAATCATATTCAATATTAATAAGATTATCAACTAAATAAGCAGGACCAGATGAACCATTGAAATTATCAGATACAATTAAACTTGATAAACATAAATGAGATGAACAACCTTTACAAGTAATGATTTTTAAATCTGGAGTTTCATATTTTGAATTATCAAAATAATTAGTAACTTTTAAACCCATGATTTGAAAATGGAGTTTAATGAGTAATAATAGTAATAAATCCTATTTAACCAAGGAGGGGGTGGGGTGTGTATAGATTAAATAGTGAGGTATAAAGTAAAAGTATAATTGGGTGTTATATAGTTAGATTGATGAAGTAGATGTGATGGTTAATTGTCATATAAGTGGAAGGATAGCTATCTTTATAATCAGTTAGTAATAGATTTTGAAAGGGATGTATGATTATGATGATGATGTGTCAGTAATGAGTGTTACTTTTGGCGTACGAGGAGACGAGGAGAAGGAGTACACGATGCGGTAATTATAAAGATAAGGGGGGGATGATGCTAAGTTTGTTTGGGAGAGCGGTATATAACTAGATAAGATGAAAGGATGAAGGAGTAATAAACAAGAGGAAGGAAGAAGGAAGAAGGTGTTGTAAATAAATTAATAAATGAATTACAAATTGAGATTGGTTCTATTTAAAATTAAGGTGGGCTCTTTTAAATTATTTTGGGTTACTTAAACTGTAAATTATTGTTACAACTTAGTACTGAAATGATATAATAAATAATGATAATAAATGATATGATGATATTTTTACTGTGGGGGATGAGAAAGAAACTAAAACTAAAATCAGACAGACAGACAAATTATGTAAATGATGAAAGAAAGAATAAATGTAACACCAGACAGACAGACAATCAGAAAGTCAGTCAGTCAGACAGACAAAACATATAATTAAGTGAGACCAGACAGACAGACATAAAGAAATAAATAAACCACCTGTATAGTAAATATAAAGTACAAGAAAAGCAAAGACAAAATATATCAAAACAAAGGCAAAGGCAAAGCAAAATGTAATGTAAGGTAAGAGACACACAACCAAACTTAGCACAAGGTCATTCAGTTCAATTAACTACAGTGACCATATAGTAATTACCTTTAAGATTTTTATATAATTAGAATCATACAATGAATGATGATAAGTTGTAGTGGTGCTTCTTGTCGTTGTTGTTGTTGTTGTTATGACTTTAACCTTGCAAGCTACGGAGAAACATAACTGTATAAATAAATTATAAAATTTAAAACAAATGCAGACAATTTATTAAAATTTAACCGCCTAAAATGTATGTAATTTAAGAAAAACTGGAGTCTCTCTTATAAGGATAAAAGGATTCTCATTTAGGAATAATGCAATGGAATCACTAACCACTAAAAAAAATAAAAAAATTAAATAATAAAAAAATAAAAATTATCAGACATAAATAAATAAATAGAACAATTGTTTAAATAACTCACATAGATTTAAATCCTATCGCATATCAAATGAAACGATAAAAGAACAATATACGGTCAAGACATTAAATCACTTTTGGTTTGTATATATGATTCAATGAGTAGTGTTACATAATTTAGCAACATGTTTCCGAAGGGGGATTGATAAATATCTATAGATAAAGAGATGAGGTAACTACTTAAGTACGCTATTCGCAATTACAATTACAATTACTACAGCTATTACTATTACTATTACTACTTCCGTTATATTTGCGGAATTATATTTTGTCTGTCTGTTTCGATTCTCGTTATTTGCAATTAGTTTACTTTTGTCTATTCTGTTATTTTATGTCTGACCCGAATTGATTAACCGCCTGATAAACTTACTGACTGATCATCATTACTTTCATTCTTTGCTTCTAAATCAAATAGATTTACAAAATGACAATAATCACATAAAAATACTAAAGTTTAAGCTAAAACTAAAAAAAAAAGACAAAAAGTCAGAAAAACACCACCGCTACTAAATTCAGAAAAAGAAACCAAAACCAAAAATGTCCCGTCTCCTCTTCCACTTGCTATTTAACTTACTCTCTACACCTTCATACTCTGGGTTAAATTACTCCTTTCGTAAAACCACTCTTTTTTAATATATTTCGGTAACTAAATGTCTTCTAGTTGCTATTTGTTCTATTCAATTATAGATCACCCCCTCCCCCTCTCTCCCTCTTCCTCTATCTCCATATTTTAATCATCTCATTTCAGTTTTAGTTTCCTTCCTTCCTTCCTTACTTACTTGTCGTCATCATCTATATCTATATGCAAGAACTAATCCTATCACCCGATGTAATAATGTTTCAACTATTATTATATAATGCGGAATTTACGCTACAAAGTCCTACAGATCGTCAATTAGTATCATAGGTAAATGACTCAATCGTTTGATATGTTACACCCCCCTAATAATTTCTAAGTGGCTTACCTTAAATCCCCCCATACTATACACTCTTTCTGCCTTTATCTTTTTTGTGAGGTGACTTTTGTTAGGGATTATGTAATATCTTATATAAGCAAGAATTTATGTTCTATACTTCTTAATCTATACGCTTTACTGGAACCATTTGGTTGCAATTATACATTTTAATATGGTTTATCAATCTTTATTAAATACTATTATATTTCTATGTACAAAATGGTATTATTCAAAAGCTATTTATATGATTTATATATGCTAAATTATGTATTACATCCCTTCCTAAAGCGTTAGTTTGAATTATTATCATCCTTTATATTGTCAACACAATAAATGAAATCAAATCAAATCCAAACTCAACCTACCACTTATAATAAGGTCTTACTTTGAAATTCAATGGTTCATTATTTAAAAACATTCTTGGCTTTAAATAATTTTGATCTTTTTCCCATTGTCTTCTTAATTGAGTTTGATTGGTTTTTAAAACCACTTTTAAATGAACCCATGAATGTTTTATAAGTCCAACTCTACCTCTACCTTTCCAATCAGGTCTTTTTCTCCAATCTCCATCACTTCCAACCCATAAACTATCAATATAAAGTGAATCTTCATCAATACCTAATTCTTGTGCTTGTTTAATTCCTCTCTTTAATAAAATTTCTAATTCTGTAGACATCTTTTTTGGATTGAAATGTAATTGATTTATAGCATTTTTAACATTTAATCCTCGAACAAAACGATTCACTTGAGTAGCTTTCTTTAATGATGATTTAATACGATATGATTTTAAATAAATTGATGGTTCTAATAATTCAATTTCTTCTTTATTTAATGAAAGTTTATAAAGTTTATCATTCGAATTATTATTAATGACTTTATTATTTTTATAGAATCCATATTTGGAAACAACTTGATTAAATAATTCTTGTTTTAATGGAGTAATATACTTTTCAATTTTAATTTGAGCTTTATGAGCTTCTTCTAAATAATATTGTTGTAAATCTTTATCTTGTTCAGCTAAACTTAAACTACTTTCTTCAATAGAATCTTTCCCTTCTTCAGATGTTATATCATCTTTTTTCTTTTGTAATTCAAGTTCTTTAATATTAGTTTCTTTAGCTTGAGTTAAATCTCCAAAAATACTATGACTTATAACACTATTACTGAATGATCTATGATTATTGATGAATGATGGATTAGATGTGAGTGACGCCACGATTGAATTCGATCCGGCGAAAGTGGACGAAGATGACCTTATTATAAATCTTCTTCCTAACCCCAACATTATTCAATTATAAATGAATGAATGAACCAAATGTGATGAAGTGAAAGTTGATATTGGTTCGTGTGATATTTGAATATTTTCAATATACACTGTTTAAAATTTTTCGTTTTTCATTCGAACTTTTTATTTGGGGTTAGTGCACGACCTTTTTCTGTAAGACATCAACAACATCCATACAACAGTAATCTACAATCCTAATAATGAAATAAATAAAATGTAATATATGTATATATAAATCATATATAATAGTTAATGATATATATGTAAGTTATTTAGAAAGTATAATGCTTTCCAAATAAAACGAAGAAAAAAAATTAATGCATGTTGTTGTATTATTGTATGTATTTTTGATGGTGATGGTTGTCTGGTTTTCAGTCTGTATTGGTAGGGTTCAACTTCATCTACGTCAACATCACTAGATCACTAGTTCTAACCATTTTGAATAATTTACACTGTATGGACTCCACTCGTCATGTCCCTTCATCCTTACTTGAGTTGATTGTTTAATCATCATAACCAGATAAATTTGGATCTCTTGCTCTAGTAGGTAATGGATAAACAACAGGAATTGGAGCATGATCATCGTAAAGATACTTTCTTCTTAAAGGAGTAGCCAACAATAAGAATGGAGCTGATACTCCTAACAACACTGACCAAAAGAAATGTGGTTTAGTATGAGCATGATATCTGGCCCACTATAAGATTGATTCATGTTAGTATTTTAAATATTCTCTTTCAGTTATCAATTAAAAAGATATGTACTTACTCTTATAGGCTGCTTGAAATATACTGGATAATCTCCCCAAACTTTATCAGACATGATGTATATATGTATGATATTGTATGAATATATTTACTATTAATTTGTACAGTTCAGATATTTGATTTTTTTTCGTTTCTTGTTCTTCCTCAGGTAATCCAATTTGATAATAATTTTAATTGGTTCAATTTGTATGTGACTGCATATAACACATACATAGTATTTTATATTAAGAAAGTGATTAACTATGGGAGATGGATGGATAGATAGATATACTATAATAAAAACAAAAGGTTAAAAAACATACACCGTCTAATACTATATAAGAACTACAAAATAGAAAGGTTCAATCAGATTAAACTTTCTTTTTAATGATTCTTTTAGTTTTCTTGGTTGGAGCAGTTTCTTTTGCTTCAGTTTCAACTCCAGTTGATTCTCCAACCACTTCTTCTTGTTGTTTTCCAGCATCAACAGCAGCTTTAGAAGCAATTTCAGCTTCCTTTTTAAAGAATTCTTCTTTTAATTTATTATCATACCATTCAGCATAATAAAGACCACCTTGTAAAATGAATACACCAATTAATACTAAAACAATTAAAAATTGAGAAGCAGCAATAACATTAATACCAGTACCTGAATCAACATCACCCCATTGACCAGCCACAGCAGAAGCAACACCAACTCTTAAATTGGTTAAATAAACCACAACAGCAACCATATATAAAGCTAAAGTACCATATTCAAAATATTTAGCTTCTTCATTTGGTTTATATAATTTGATGAAACATCCAAGAAATCCTAAACCTAAAACAAAATGAAAGATATAATGAACATAAACTGGAGCAGAACCCCAAGTTTTATAATGATTCAATGAATTTTCAAAGATATCTCCACTAGTATGAGCTAACCATAAAGTTTGTAAATCATAAGGGAAATTAGCATAAATTACCCCTAAAGCAAAGGAAGTGGCACCAATGATTAAACCATTACCAATAGGAACGATATCTTTATAAGCCATTTTCGTTATTGTAGAAGATTGATTAAGAAATATCTAATGACAATTGATTGATATAAAGAGATCAAAAAGAGTTGATTTGCCTTGCTGGTAATTTTTTTTAGAGTTATCTCAATTTTGATGTCTTTTTTTTTTTCAACATTGTCGTTTTTTGTTCCACATTTTTTTTTGCCCTTTGCCTTACAGTTTTTGATAACTGATTGATTACAACATGGAAAGATTAATTGTACTTAGTATATATGGATTAACTCTTGGCAGTGACTGTTTTTATGATCAATATGGAGTAAAGAGGACATGAGTTGATTCATGAGTATGATCTTATGTATCATTATGCCGATTTTCTTGGTTGGAATAAGACTCTAGTTGATATATGTCGTAGAACTGTTATCTATCGGTGAACTACAACGAATGGGTTGATAATTTACACAAAACAAATTTAATTAAAACAGTTGGATTAATTTATTTAGTCAATACTTATTTAATGCTATTTATATAAGTACACCATACCCAAAGCAGGGATAATTGCCACCAAAGATAACTGAAGAATCACAGATAAAGGCATATTTTTAACATTCTTATCATTCAATATTTCAATAAGTTTGAATCTTGCCACGATTAACAGTATGGCAACTGTGTAATTCTCCTGATAACCTGCGTATAGAATTACGAAATCAAGAGCATACGGTACTTTTGACCATAAATCAATTGGTTCATGTAATGTTTTCTCCTCCGTTGTTGTCATCGTATTCAATGGTTTGTTAATTGTAAATATTTGTTCTTTCACTGGAGAAATCCAATTATCTTTATAGTCTGGTAAGATTTAATTGAAATTCGGAATTATATATATATAAAAGAGGCTTTTACTTTTATGTGCCAAAGTACTATATATAGAATGGGGGGATATAAACTCGTGTGAACTTATCTTTTCCTCACTTTCAAATGCGGCTAAAGTCCATATCCATTATATATGTAAATATTTGAATATACAATGAGCTTCATGTATAGATTTACAGGCTGATCGAGTTCAGTCACTTGAAATTGATATTTAAACTTGTAAATAGGAGCAATATGTTTACAAAAAGCCTTTGAAAAAGAAGAATTCGGTGGCTGCGAGGTGCTGGGTTAATTTAAATTAACACAAGCAAATTCATTCCAGTCTAACTTAAAGGCAGTATATGCAAATTAAGTATCTTGTTTGAAATAGAAGGATTCATCATAGAATGATTTTTTACAAAGAGCTTATTCAAAGAACGCAAATGACAAGAAATATAGTTTACGATACAGAAGCAATCAATTTCACCGATCAAGATTGCGTATATATTCTTGTCAACCAAATCATACGAGATACTAAACTATATAATTATCTTTATAATTATTGTATTGAATCAGTTCATGAATCGTATAATATTTTGTGACTAAATTTGCAATAAGACAAGAAATGAAAAGCAACGAATCAGAAATTGATTATGAGTCCTTTCCTCGCTTCGGGGTTTTGTGTAGTTTTTGAAATCGCTGCTTCTTTTATATATCTCTCATTGACCCCAAAAAATGTTATCTACCCTTATTTCTTTTTCATATCAGTTTTGATACAACCATAATGACAAAACATATCGATATAGTTATAGTTGGGGCAGGGATCATTGGATTATCGGCTGCTTACGCCATATTAGAAACCATTGATAATTTGGATTATACCATTCATATCATTGCTGAATATGGACCTCATGATCGTAGCAATCCTGATTTAATCAAATATAAACGGTATACTTCACCTTGGGCAGGAGCTCATTTCCGTCCATTCCCCAGTTTAACAGATCAAGATTATTATGAAAGTAAATTGACAAGATTAACCTATGAGAAATTCAAATTATTAAGCTTAATTAAGGATAGTTCGATTAAATTAGTTAAAGGGATTGAATTTTTTGAAAGAGATGATATTGATGTCAAGAATAAAGGATATTATGAAGATATAGATCAATTCAAAGTATTAGATGAACGAGATTTTCCCAAACATTTACTGAAGGAGGACAATTCTTTGATTAAGATTAATTCTGGTACTAGTTATTTAACTTGGGTTTTAAATGCTCCTCATTATTTACAATATTTATATAAAATCTTAGATAAAAATGATAAAGTAAGATTTATCCAACGGAAATTATCCTGTTTGAATGAAGTCAATGAAATCATTGATAATTATCCAATTATTATCAATTCAAGTGGTAAAGGATTACAATATTTCACGGGTACTTCTAGTTCTAATTATGATGATCAAAGTTATCCAATTCGAGGTCAAACATTATTAATTGATCCACCACAAACATCAACTACCGATTATTATTTAAACCGTACTATAACTCATCAACTGAAAGATGGATTATGGACATTTATAATCCCTAGACCATTAAATGGAGGCATAATTTTAGGAGGTACTAAACAAATTAAAGATGAAGATGAATCAGTTAAACAATCCGATACTCAACAATTGATTAGTAGAGGTAAAGAATTATTTCCTCAATTAATGAAAGTTAATGTCACTACTGGGGAGAAATATTTTGATATTAAGCGGATTAATGTTGGATTTAGACCTGCTAGAATTGGAGGATTTAATAATTCAATTGAATATAAGGATGTTAAAAACAAGAAATTGAATCATGTGTTGAATAATTATGGAGCAGGAGGAATGGGATATGAATTAAGTTATGGAGCTGGAGTTGTTATAAGTGATAATTTAAAGAAATTGATTGAATTTGATAACTTAAATAGTCATTTATAGATCATTAGAAGTTATTACTTGGTAGCATCGTATATATAATTATGTCATCTCATCTCATACAATTAATATATATCTATATATACATAATGGGAAAGTGTTTTATACAGTACCTGAAAATATTGCTGCACCAACCAACCAACCAATCGCCCATCAACCAATCAATCACAACGTGTATGTATGTAGATAATATTTTTATTACTATAGAAACAGTTTAACTGACGATATTTTAATATGATGATGATTTACTAAGGTCCAAGATTTACTATCTATATATATATATCTAGTTGATCAATGGTTATGGTATGTTGTATCCTGGTGCTGTCAAATGTCAGATTTACATAAATATTATAACAATAGCAACTTTAGCGTATATTATAATAGCTAAGAATTAATTAATATGGTAAACTAATTATACGAGATGATAAGATGATGTAAAATACCGAGATGAAATGATAAAATTAACGCTGTATGTGTGTTAAACTTATTCACTATTTAGTGGATGTACTCAATGTTCTCATCCCCCTACGATGTGATGCTATCACTAATTGCGTAAGGCAGAAGAGGGAGGAAGGGACCCCCCACGTGCGCTTTCCTTTCTAGGAATTCAATTTTTAATGCTTAATTTTAAACTTCTACCATTGACGTCCTGCATACACTCAATTTAAAGTTATTATTATTTGAAGGGAAGAAATGGGTGGTGATAGTTTTTACAAACCAACTTCAATTGGGTGTTGTAAATTTCAATTTCAATATATCCCTTTAGCGGTTCTTTTGCTTATTCAATCTAATTGTGTGTCATCCTCAATCTCTGTGGAATACTTTAACTGACTTGAATTGAATTGAATTGAATTGACTTCATTTGTTTGATTGATTGATTCGAATTGTCCTATCTAGTTTGACATTTCCTACCTTCATATCCCATCCCATCTCATCCCATCCAACATCAATCCCATCAATAAATACCAAGGATGAAATTCGGTGAACATTTAAGAAAGGCCCTCATTAAAGATTACAGTTTCTACTATATCTCCTACGATGATTTAAAACATCAATTAAAAAAAGGTTTAAAAGATAATGATTATGAATGGTCTAATGAATTAGAAGAAGAATTTCTTAATTCTTTGGAAGTTGAATTAGATAAAGTCTATTCCTTCACTAAAGTTAAAAACACTGAAGTTAATCGTCGTATTAAAGAATCTGAAAAGTTTGTTTATGAAGTTGTTGATGGTTTACATAAATATCAAGCTGATCCATCATCGGTTAAAAATCCACCTCAAGAACAAGATTTTGAAGAATTAGAAGAAGAAGTTAGTGATATTATTGCTGATGTTCATGATTTAGCTAAATTTACTAGATTAAATTATACTGGATTTCAAAAAATTATTAAAAAACATGATAAAATTACTAAATCTAATTTAAAACCAATTTTTCAAGCTAGATTAAATGCTAAAGCGTTTTATAAAGATAATTATGATAATTTAATTGTTAAATTATCTAAATTATATGATTTAGTTAGAACTAGAGGTAATCCAGTACAAGGTGATTCATCAGCTGGTGGATCTCAACAAAATTTCGTTAGACAAACAACAAAATATTGGGTTCATCCTGATAATATCACTGAATTAAAATTAATTATTTTAAAACATTTACCTGTTTTAGTTTTTAATGCTGATAAAGAATTTGAACCGGAAGATTCTGCCATTACTTCAATTTATTTTGATAATAAAGAAATGGATCTTTATTATGGTAGATTAAGAAAAGATGAAGGGGCAGAAGCTATTAGATTAAGATGGTATGGTGGTATGAAATCAGAACAAATCTTTGTGGAAAGAAAAACTCATCGTGAAGATTGGACTGGTGAAAAATCAGTTAAAGCTAGATTTGGATTAAAAGAAAAGAAAGTTAATTCATTTTTAACTGGTGATTTTACTGCTGAACAAGCTTTTGAAAAAGCAAGAAGAGAAGGTAAAAAATCAGTTCAAGAAATTGATAATTTAGAAAGATTAGCTAAAGAAGTTCAATATCGTATTTTAAAAGAAAAATATAGACCAGTTATGAGATCATTTTATAATAGAACTGCATTTCAATTACCAGGTGATGCCAGAGTTCGTATTTCTTTAGATACTGAATTAAGTATGGTTAGAGAAGATGATTTTGATGGATATGATAGAACTCATGGAAATTGGAGAAGAATGGATATTGGAGTTGATTATCCATTTAGTCAATTACCTGAAAAAGATATTTGTCGTTTCCCATATGCTGTTTTAGAAGTTAAATTACAAACTCAATTAGGTCAAGAACCACCAGTTTGGATTAGAGAATTAATTCAATCCCATTTAGTTGAAGCTGTACCTAAATTTTCTAAATTTATTCATGGTGGTGCTTCATTATTAACTGATTTTGTTGATCTTTTACCATTTTGGCATACTCAAATGGATGTTGATATTAGAAAACCAAAACTTCAACAAGAATATGGTATTCAAAGACAATTACATCCTCATCATCATATTTTAAATGGTACTTCAACATCAGGAGGAGAATTTGATGAAGAAGAATTAACTGGATCATCATATACTGGAGTTCATTTTTCCAATGATATTAATCCATTAGAAGAAGATTTAGAAGAAACTACCCCATTATTATTACCAAATACTTATACTAATAGAACTGGTGATTCACCTGTGGTTACATTCTTTTATCATTTATATGGGAAATTTTTATATTATTTTAATGATGATAGAACTTTTACAGTTAAACCAGGTATAAATTTTGATTTAAATACTACATTTAAAGATAAATTACCAAAAGGTAAAACTATTGCTATTCCAATTAGAATTGAACCTAAAGTTTATTTTGCTAATGAAAGAACGTTTTTAAGTTGGTTATCAATTGGTATGATTTTAGGTGCTACTGCTACTGCATTATTAAATTATGGTACCAGATCAAGTTTAACTGCTTCGATTGGATTTTTCATTACTGCTTTATTCACATTAACTTATTCTACTTATAGATATCTTTGGAGAGTGGTTATGATTAGAGAAAAGAATGCGGTTCAATATGCTGATAAATTTGGACCAAATATGATATCATTATTCATATTTTTAGCAACATTTACCACTTTCCTTTTTAAATTCTTAGAAAATTAATGAATCAAATCAAATCAAATTTCTTTCGTTGTTACTTTCTTTTTTATTTCATTACTCATTAATATTACCTTTTAAAAAAAAAACTCTTTCCACTTATCATACTTTTATATAACATACATACATATTTATGTCTTATCTTTTACACTTTTTACACTATGTTAATTAAAAATGAAAATGAAAATATATAATATCAAATAATATATCGTACTAATGTGATGCAATTGAGTTATTAAAATAAAGTAAAATAAAATAAAAATACTCCATTGTAATAGGCTACAGGAGGGATATGTACGTACTGATTGGATTCATGAGGGTTTTCCGATATTAGGAGAATGGCTTAATAGTTATATACAGGAGAAGTCAGAGCTCATCCCATTTGGGTTGAAGTTACGGATGTCGTAATAATAGTATGAGTAAATGTCTGATGTCTTGTTCCATTTTGTTGAGTTTTAAAACCAAAGATGAAGACGACATTTTTATCTCTATATTATCAGATTAATATTTTTAAAACCTTATTAGTGTATGATACGAATTATAATTTAGTTAACGTTGTAGATTATATTTGTAGTTGGATTGATCTTGGCTCGCCATTCGCTTGTAACTGATGATCTTGTGCCTTTCATGTACGTGAGGAACTCTATTTAAGCTATGACTATTATATATAGCCAAGTTCCATAGTATATGCTAGTATGAAAAATGATCTACGGTATGTCATTTCATATACAGTTCCACTCAATTTCTATTTCTCATAGTACAGCGGTTATTTTTTGGAGAGATCAAAAAGATAAAAGTTTCTTTCTTTATTTTTTTTTTTTTTTTTGGGATTTTAATACGAAAAAACGGCCGCTAATTTTTGTTGTCTTTTTGATGAATTAGAAGTTATTCATTCATCAAGTACAGTGAAACACCTTGGATTAGTACTGGGTCCTGCTTTGCCACATCGGACCACTTGGAATAAGGACACTTATCTTGTTCGCTTCGCTTCCATTGTTCGTTGTTACCGTCCCCATTGATTGATTGATTGTCTGTCTGTCTGTGGGTGTTTTTTTTTTGGACTGTCTGACATATCCTTTTTATATATAACTCTGTTCCATTTTCCTTTCCTTGTTCTTTCTACTGTTTTCTTCATTTCTGCATTAATCTTAAAGATTTCATCTCTTTAGTCATATCTATATATTCATTCTCCAAATCATAACTTATCATAGATTTTATCATGTCAACTACCACTACAACTAATACTACCACTTCAACTATCAAATCGATATCTCAACTTTCAAACCCTACCATCTTACCTATTGAAGGTTATACTAAACCAATTGCATTCACTACCAATATCCTCATCGTAGGTGGTTCCTATTCAGGTTTAAGTTGTTTAAAAAGTTTAAAAAATCATTTCAAACATCGATGTTCCCTTCCTCAATATTCAAAAGTATTATTATCTCCTGATGATGATGAAATAGGTCAAACTCAAACTAATTATCCTCCTAAGAGAGTATCAATCACGTTAATCGAACCAAAATCAGGTCTCTTAAATGTGATTGGTATCCCTCAATCTATTGTTGATCCAAAATTCGCTGAATCTCAATATCTTAATTATGATAATCTTAAAGGTTTAAAATTTGATAAAATCATATCTCAAGATCTACAAATCATAAATCAATTCCATTCAAGATTAAATAAACGAAACTCAAATAGTATCGCAAGTAATAGTACTGCATCTGATGATATTGAATACGATGAAACTTATAGTATCGAAGATGATATTGATGGAGTTGGTAATTTACAATTTGGATTTGAAATTAATTTCATTCATGGTAAAGTCACTTATTTAGATGATAACAAGGCTCAATATTCATTAACCACTACTGATTCAAACTCATCAGATTTACCTGAAAAAGCAATGATTGATTTTGATTATGTTATCTTGGCAACTGGTAAAGATAGATCTTGGCCTACAACTCCATTGGCTTATATTCCATCATATTTCATTAATGAAATGATTCAATCTTATACTCAAATTGAAAATCATAATATCATATCAATCATTGGTGCTGGTGCAGTTGGAATTGAATTAGCAAGTGATATTAAACGCAAATTCCCCCTTAAGACCGTCAATTTAATTCATCCTCATGAAAATTTCCCTCCTGAACCGTTAAGTTTAGAATTTAAACAAAAAGTGAAAGAAACTCTTATTAAATCAAAGGTGAATCTCATTTTAAATACCAGAATCAAAGAAGAATCATCCAATGGAGATTTAATCACTTCTGAAAATAAAATCATTCATTCAAATTTAAATTATTGGTGTAATAGTCATAAATCAAATATTGAAATCCTTTCCACTCCATTATTAAAACAATTCAAAACTGCTCAAAATAATCTTTTAATCAATGATTATTTACAATTATCAAACACCATCACCAATCACACCATTGAGAATTTCTTCGTCATTGGTGATCTTATTGAAAAACCCATTATAAAATCAGCAGGTTGGGCCGCATATACTGGAAGACAAATTGCTAATAATCTTGTTAGTTATCTCCTTGATCTGAAATTCATTGAACCATTCCCTGATGTTAGTTTAATGCCAAGAGGAATGGTTATTTTAGGAGGGGATGGGAATCTTGTTAGTGAATTAAGTGGAGTGGTTGAATTAAATAATGCAAGTTATGTGGAAGAGTATAAAGATTATTGTTTTGGTAAGATTAAAGCCACGCTTGATGTTTAATTGAAGGATTTGATAATTTTTCGCAACCATATAGACTTTGGTTATATAGATTAGGTTTCTCCATAAATACATAACTATTTATTTAATTCAGATAACTAATAGATATATATATATATATATATATCTACTTATAATATCTCACCATGATAATTTTGCAACAATACTGCTAGGATACTTTCTCAAAAATAATTTCCTACATTCATCATATACAAACACCACCAATCCAAATCCAAGAGCAATGAAATAATATTCAACTGGAACTTGAGCTGTACCCATTGCATTTTGAATAGCAGGGATATAATTAATGAAAAACGTTATACCAACTGCAATCGGCATGACAATGAATAATTTCTTATTCTTCATGGGAGAGTGTTGGAAAATACTGAGATATCGAGTTCTCATACATAATAAATTGAATAATTGCATGAATACCAAATTAATAAAATAAATCGAAGATGAAACATTGATATCTTCTTGGATTGTTGATGATAAGGTTTCATAACTTCCATATGATAATGAAAAGTCACTAAAACTGTATCCTTTTCTTTTTAAATTTAAGAATGATACTAACATTGAAGTGAAAGCGTAGAAAGTTCCAATTATGAAATATGAATGTAATAATAATTTAAAATCAACTAATCTTTCCTTAGTGATACTTCTTGGTTTCTTGGATAATAAATTCCTTTCGTTTGATTCGTAAGCTAATATCATAGCTCCAATACAATCAGTACAACAACAAATTATAATCATAAGAAATGATGATAACATTTGTGGCATTCCGAATATCACATTCAATAATACAGGCCATAATTCAGCATAGGTACCAGCGGGTAATAAATACCCCACTGTCTTTCTAAGGTTTTCAAATACTAATCTACCAAATTTTAAAGCTTCGATTATAGCATTGAATAAATCATCATCATTTTCCGTATCCATCAAAATCAAATCAGCTGCTTCTTTCGCAATATCACTGGCATTCATGATGGAAATACCAACATCCGCTTGTTTCAATGAAGGAGCATCATTGATTCCATCCCCTGTCATACCAATCACTTGTTTATATTTTTGAAATTGTTTAATGATTAATAATTTCTGTTCTGGTGTGGTACGAGTGAATACTAATTCATTATATGTGATCAAATTCTCCCATTGAGCTTCATCTAATTTATTCAAATCTGGTCCAGTGATACTGATGGCATTTTCACATTCATCATCTAAATCCTTTTCATCATGATAATAAGTTAAATCTTCATATTTATCAATATGTTTATCATTAGTGATGATTCCACATTGTTTGGCAATTGATAATCCGGTAGCTTCGAAATCTCCTGTGATCATGATTATCTTTATACCTGCTGTTCTTAATTTTTGAATCACGGATTCAATACCCCTTCTAGGTGGATCTTCAATAGCTATCATTCCAATTAAGATCAAATCTGTTTGAATCAATTGTTTGATTTCTTTAGCAGCTTCAAGCTTTAAATTGAAATCAATAGTAGATTTCTTAGGGATTAATTTTGAACAACACATAATCACTCTCTTACCATCATTAGCCCATCTTAATTGAAGTGATTGAACTTGTTGTTTCAAATCTGGAGTCAATTCAACTAAGGTGGAATTAGTCTGCATCATATAATTACAACTTTCCAATAAGATATCTGGAGCACCCTTTACCATAACTAAATATTCATCATCATATCCCACACAATCAGTATTGAAACCAATATCAGACCAATGTTCTTGTTGGAATGATTCAACCACTGAAATCATATACTTATCTTTTGAATTGAAGGGAATTTCGAATTTTTTTAACCATCTATTCTTAATATCTTCTACATTAGCTTTAGATGCTGCAAACTTTAATACGGCTCTATCTGTTGCATTACCACCAACTGAAACATCATTGACTATATTGGATTCATTACAAATGGTGGAAATAGTAAGCAATTGGTTATGTTGGGCAATTGAAATATCATAGTCGTCAATTTCGGTATCTTGTTCTAATGCATTGTTAACATTGGTAACCACCATATTATTCTTAGTTAATGTACCAGTCTTATCAAAACATAACACACTGACTGAACCTAATGTTTCAACCACGGATAATGATTTACATAAGATATTATTCTTTCTCATTTCGTTAGCTGTGATTAATAAACAAGTAGTCAAAGCAATTGGTAAACCTTCTGGAATGAAAGCCACTGCAACTGAAACCAAATCAACAATTAAAGTAGGGACATTAATCCATCCAGGATAAGAATGGCGTAACCAAGAAGCCCAAAGGATAATAACTAATACCATCAAAGTAATAATAATCAATGATACTAAACCGACAAATCTAATTATTTCAAATTGTAATGGAGTTAAACCTTTCTTTGGTTTCGAAGTCATTTTAGCAATAGATCCAAATATAGTCTCATCACCAATAGAAACCACGATCCCTTTACCACTACCATTAATAACAAAAGTACCTTGCATGGCGATACATCCACTTTCTAAATAATTTGATTTTGGAGGATCACTGAAGGATGTGGCTGGAATTGGTCTTGATTCTCCAGTTAAGATTGATCTATCAAAGGCTAAATCGGGTGAACATTCTATAATTCTAATATCAGCAGGAATTTTGGAACCAAGATTGAATTTAACCAAATCTCCTGGAACTAAAGTCTTTGAATCAACGTTTAAAGGTTGACTGTCTCTAATAACGGTAGTTTTAGTAGGAATCATATTATGAATAGAATCCATAACTCTTGAACTGGAAAAATCTTGAAAGAAATTGAATATAGCTTGCAATAAGAAAATCACCAATAAGATTATTCCAAGTACTAAGTTAGAAATAGCCGGTGGTTGACCTAATGGTTTCCAACAAATGATACACAATATACCACCAACTAATAATAATGCTCCAAATCCACCAAAGAAGTACATGAATAATTTCTTCAACAATCCTGAAGGAGGTTTTGATTGAACATTGACACCATATTTTTTCAAATTTGCATCATGTTGAAATGGACTCAATCCATTAATCAAACTGGTGGTGAATCTAGCAACGATGGTTTCAATATTATCAACGTTATAAGTGTAAGTTGAAAACTTTGTGTTTTGAGATTCAAGTTTAGTATCATTTTCAAGATCATTATCAATCTTGTGCGATACAGTCTTGAATAAGGTTGGTAATACAACTTCAGGTTTCACCTTTTCTTTGATAGTATAAATATCACCACTATCTTTTCTATGAATAGAAAGTCTTCTTTTTCTTCTAGAACCTCTAACTTTGGTTCTACCTCTTTCTAATTCATCATCATCAAATCTAATGTTTTCTTCAATACTAATAGCAGTAGAAGCATCGTCTTCATGTTTAGCAATAGTTGAGTTTGTATAAGTTGAATCCATTTTAAGAGTTAGTTGGATCTATAAATTTTTTTGATTATAGATAGCTTTTAGAGTTATAATGAACAAGTGTATATAAAAATGAGTAGGAAATGATAAATATTTATACTTGACTTAACTAATCTTATTTGTAGTTTGTTATATTTTCACAGTTCAAGACGTGGCTCTATACTTCTTAGCAGATTCGAATATAGCTAACGTTTACAATATTTAAACTTTTTCAATGGTTAAAAGGAGATGTACAAGTTATAAGGAAATTCAAAATCATAATTAGAAAAGTTGCACCCAAATAGATAATTAACGAGCTTGAGGGAATTTATTTCATTGCTAATGATAAATTATTTACTAATTTGGGAAACATGTTTATATGCATTGCCTCGTCCCCCACCAAAAGGAAACATACGAAGATGTTACTAGCTGCAGTGAAACTTCTACACACGAACACAGAATTCAAAACCCAAAGCATTAAACTACAAGTAGACTCTTCTTTCCTATTAAGAGGTATTTTATTTTAAAGTTCTTCTGTATGTTGATATTTCAACCATCCAATCCCATTTAAGATTGCAAAAAAAAGTGCTCAAATTACACAAAGTCAAAATTGTCACTTTCACTTTAAGTTCCCCTTTCACTGGTAGTTTGAATTTATATATAATTAAAGAATAGAAGTAACAAAGAGAGAATATTGCCACATTTTTAGTACTTATGACATCAGAGATCAGAAGAGGGGGGGGAGGGTGTTGTTCTTCATAGATTTTATGTTTCTGTTCTAAATAAGGCTGAGGAAAATTTTGCGCGTTTGGGATTTTAGTTTCAGCTAGTTTAGCAAATTTGGTTTGCGGTATTTATTTATAATTTAATTTGAAAATCGATTTCAAGGTTTTACCAATTTCCTTCGAGTTTAGTTGTTTATAATGCTTATAGTATGTAAGGGTTTAAGACTATAATGTAGCTTAGGCTGAATGAGAATACAGGGGTGGACGATTGCTGAATTTAAAGAACTAGATTCGCAAAGATTTTGACACAAACTCAATTACATATACAATTTCTAACTACCTTTTTAAATCAAACTTACTTTGTCTAAAATTTTATTTTAGGTTCGAAAGGACTAGTTCAGTACTCAAATCAATAATTACTTTTATTAATTAGTTTATTTATTAATGTCTTATAAAAACAACTTTTAGCTATCTATTTATGCGTATACTTACATTAGTCAGTCTATTTTACATTCATTACCTAGTATAAATATACATATTACCACCTAAAGTAACTGGCTGTGATAAACTCCAATTGATATAAAACATAAACTAACTACTATTAGAATATTATAACTTAAATCCCACATCTTACTACCTAAACTTGATTTATCTTTCCAAATCTTTCGATGCCACGTATTATGAATTCCTTGCACACTTAACATCAAAGCACCACCACCTGTTATATAGATAGTTACTGTCAGGTTCTGCGTATAGTATGGTATGATCTGAAGTAGTATTGCTACGAAAGTAACAGCATGTTTAGGATCCATTACTACTAACTATAACTATTACTATACATGTACATCATCAACAATTTAATAGTCTTGTGATCGCTACCAGATATCTCCTTCAAAATAAAGTGGTCGTGTACCAACTCATAAATTTGATGGGATCTCCATTTAAAAAATTTGTACTATCAAAGCAGAGATGAAAAAAAATTTTAATTAATAATATCCACAATTCATTATTTTCATTTTCTTTTACTTCTTCTCTTCTTCTCTCTTCTCCTCTCCTCTTTTCTAAAAAGCAAGAATAAGGTTGGCCAATTGGTTAAAAGTATTGTTGGATTTTAGAAAAGAGGTAGTTCGGTAAAAGTAACTGTATACAAAATAGATAAGCTAATTTATAAAACAAATTCAAAATGGAATCATATCAAACTGACTTTTTAAACACTGCTTTAGAATCTCAAGCTTTAAAATTCGGATCTTTCACTTTAAAATCAGGTCGTCAATCTCCTTATTTCTTCAACTTGGGTTACTTTAGTACTGGTAAATTATTATCAACTTTAGCTTCTTCATACGCTAAAGCTATTATCAAATCTGAACTTAAATTTGATATTCTTTTTGGTCCAGCTTATAAGGGTATTCCATTAGTTGCCATTACTGCTGCCAAATTAGCTGAATTAGATCCAGAAAATTACGGTGATATCGGTTATGCTTTCAATAGAAAGGAAAAGAAAGATCATGGTGAAGGTGGTTCAATTGTAGGTGCTGAATTAAAAGGTAAAAAAATCTTAATCATTGATGATGTTATTACAGCTGGTACTGCCATCAATGAAGCCTTTCAAATCATTCAAGGTGAAAATGGTATTGTTGCTGGATGTATTATTGCCTTAGATAGACAAGAAACTACTGCTGATTCAGATAAATCTGCTACTCAAGCTGTTTCTGAAAAATATGATGTTCCAGTTATTGCCATTGTTACTTTAAATGATATCATTAATATTTTACAAGGTAAGATTGCTCCAGAAGAAATCAAATCTATGGAAGCTTACAGAGCTAACTATTCTCCAAAGAACTAAAAATATTCTCTTTTGATTAAAAAATGTTATATATATTAGCTTATATACGTATAAATACAGTTGTTTTTATCTTTTCTTTATAAAAGTTTAAAAATAGTGATCGTATGCAATTGATTGAAATCATAAATTAGAATTGAAATAGGCGAGGTAAATTTTCTATCCCCTAATCTTCATAACTTTCTTCTTTTGTTGTTTAGGAGGTACAGGAGCTTTTATTTGAGGTTGTTCTGGTAATTCAGGTTCTGGATCGTAAATTGATTGAGTCATAGGATGTTTTAAAGTATAATATGAATGGATTGGAACGATGGTATTCATTCTAAGACCTTTAACTTGAGGAAGTTCTTCTGGTACATAACCTTGGAAATCTGATGGAACAGCAATACCACTCTTAGTACCAACACTATCTAAAGTAGTTGGATGATCTTCTAAATATTGAGCAATATCATTTAATAATTTTCTTTTATTATTATATCTTGGATTAATTAAACTAACACCATCAGTATCTTTTAACATTACTCTTACTCTACCAGGATTACCAAAATCTTGAGGATGAGATTTATCTAATTCCAATATAGCAGGTAAACCAAAGAAACGACATGCATCAGATACGGTTTTGGCCAAAGGATTTTCAACAGCTCTATCTGTAGAAACTCTTCTACCTTCAGCATGAGATCTATTTAAATCAAAATAACATGGATATACAATTTGAAATTTCTTGATTTGATCTCTTTCTTCTTTACTTAATTTATTAGTATCCAACACATCTTTATCAGTGGCACTATTTTTAGATCCTGAAGATGATACAGGTGCAGGTGGTACCATATTATTATTTATAGGTAAAGGAGGAAATAAAGGTGGTTCTTGATCTTGTGACCTAGTAATTACTGGTTCTGGTCTTAATGGTGCAATAGGTGTCTTTAAGTTTGGATCGAATTTAGTGATATCTAAATCCATATTATCGATATCGTCATCATCGATCTCTTCCAACTGAGGTTTCCTAGACATGACTGAACAACGATTTGTATAGTATGATATGTACAATGAAATGGTATATTTATTCAATCTTTTGATATATATATTCAACAACTCCAGTCAAAAGATCAAAGAAAAAAATAAAAAAAAAGAAATTGATGAAAAAAGCACATGACCTGAAACCATGTGACGCGACGCTACCAGTTTAGATAAAGATTGTCGGTTTTGTCGCAAAACAATTTAAAAATGTCAATTTTTTATTAATTTAATGTCCGTAATAGGGATCCACAGTTTTTTTTGTCTGCGCAACTGACAAAAACGAAAAAGTGTCAGATTAAAAGAAAGAAAAATTAATATAAGATGTATGGGATTTGAAATTAATTATTAAACTGTGGATTTTGAAATTATAAAGAGGAAATGGAGTCTGTATTCAAGATGAATATGGATGATATTCTGTCCACTACTCCTAAGATATTGAAGGATTGTTTGGATGCGTTTGAAAGTCCAAGATTCAACAACCATATCCCTCCTTCTCCATCAAGTTCATACGGTTCTTCCTCCGCTAAGTTAGATCGTTCATCATTCAATAATCATCCTGATATTCAATATTTTCAACAGGTTAAAGCTAAGAATCATTATAGTTATCATAAATCTAAAATCAATAAACAGAATCAATCGATAGATAATATTCATTCGAAAATGACGGTATTTGACCCTTATAATCCGGAATTCCTTATAACGAGATTAAAGACTTTTAATGTTATGAATTGGAGAGTTCCTGAATTAACTCATAGACCATTTGAAGAAAGAATCAATGAGTTAAACTGTGCTAGAAATGGTTGGAAATGTGTATCGTTTTCATTAACTAATAATGTCAAGAATCAGTTAATGTGTACTTCATGTAGTCAACAAGTAATCTTAAAGTTCAGTGATAATATACCGATATCATCAACAACAGGATCTGTATTTTCATCATCAGACTATCAATATGATATCATCAATGATGATTTATTATTCAGTGCTCAACAAGATGAGTTGAATGAAGCTTTACATGATAAATACTGGATTCAAATCAAAACAGAAGCTCATTCTAAAAATTGTTCATGGAGAAACTTTGAAACTCCTTTAGAAGGAGTTTATTATCCTAGACCATATATAAATCATAGTGACGAATTACTCATACGAGATTATCTTAAAATCCTTCATAATCTAATCAATAACTCAATAACGTTGAATGAATATGCTGATAATATAAGCATTGCATCTAATGAAGATGATGATGTTCATTTTAAACAATTTATAAAAGTATCGAATGAATGGTTAGTATCACGATACTTTCAAGATAATAAAGAAAACTTATCCATACTATTGGATTATACTCCAAGTTGGTATTACAAATTAGCCATGTTAGGATGGTCATTAAATGTTCAATCATTTTCTCATGATTTGATTTTATTATTAATCTGTAATAAATGTAATCAAAGAGTATTTTTAAATTCCACTAGTCATAATCCAATATCAAACGTTTCACAAAGTCCAGACTTACAATTATCAAATTCAAAAATACTTACACCATGTAATTATCCCATCACTTCAAATATAACTCATGATGAAACTCAATTCGATGAAGTTGAAGAATCGATAGATCCAGAAAAATTCAACCCATTCACAGAACATAAACCTTGGTGTTGTAATATCCATAATGTAACCACTTCAGATCCAACCATGCATACGAAAACTTTTCAATATTTGATGGAGATGATGATCAACTCATCCAATAATATTGGTCCTAATGGTGATTATGTGATATTTGATGGTAATAAAATGCATTTAGATGATGATAGTTTAGATACGACAACTCCAACTAAAAGGAAAACAAATTTTGATATTAATGAAGGTTTAGAAAGATTAAATAAATTAAGAAAATTATATTTAATCGAGGAATAATAAAGGTTATTTTTTTAAAGGGCACAATTTAAATAATGGGTATAAAATATTTGTATTAATATTAATAAAAAATTATTTGAAAAGAAAATATATAATCGTAAGAAATTTACTTTATGGTTAAACATAAAGATAAGCAACCAATAAATGTAATCATAACATAACATTAAAATATGATGAAAGTTAAAGGAATTAATCATTAATTATCTTTGTGAAATGGTTCACTGAAATCTAAAATTTCAATAAAAATGTCATTCTCATCATCTTCAGCAAATCTTTGTACAGCAGCAACACATCTCTTATAATCAATTCTAACTTGCCAAATATTAACTGTAGTATCATTTAATAATTGTCGTGTACATTTACCATCTTTGACATTCCATAATTTCAACATTCTATCACTTCCACTAACAACTCTAAATCCATCATGTTCAAAACAAGTTATGGCAGTAGTGTGTCCTTTTAATTTATTTAATGTTTCTCCAGTGACAGGATCCCAAATTCTTAATGTGGTATCTGCAGCGGCAGACACCAATATTCCATCTTTAAGGTTCAATAATCCTACTAATGATGAATGTCCTTCTAATGTTTTCAATAATTTCCCAGTCTCAAAATTCCAAACATTAATATTTGAATCAACTGAACTTGAAAAACAGGTTTTGGTATCAAACACCATAGCAATGGAATAAACTCTACTCAGGTGACCTATTAAAGTATGTTTACATTCACCCTTTTTCATTAAATCCCAAACTCTAACTGTAGAGTCATAAGAACCAGAAATTATAATATTTCCAAATCCTGAAACAGTACGAACAGAATCGGTATGACCAGATAAAACTGCAATCAAATATGGATTATCAAGTTCATTACTATCAAATATTCTTCCTTCTTCATTAGTATCGTCAGTGTCTTCATCATCTTCACTAGCAATAGGTAATTTCCAAACATTGATATTGTGATCTCTTGATCCAGTTACTAATAAAGGAAATTCTGGGAAAATTATATCATCACCATTCACATCTTTTCCGATAACAGTTGGATGAATGATATCTAAACATCTAATAGTTGAAGTATGACCCCTGAATACATGAGTACATTTACCAGTTTTAATATTCCAAATTCTGACTGTTCTATCAGTGGAACCAGTTACCAAAGTATTACCAGTATACTTTAATGCCCAGACTCCACCTTCATGACCTTCTAAAACTCGTATTAACTCACCAGTCTTTGTACTATAAATGCTGATAAATTTATCATCAACACCAGTAATAATCTTATCATCATCATGTTGTAAACAAGTTACAACTTTACTACCTTGACCAGCAACCGGAATACTGATTCTTTTTGGAGGATAAGTTGGATCCATCCATCTTTGCAATATTATATATCTCTTTTTATATAATATTTGTGCAGCATTTATGTCAACACCACTGGTTCTACTACCCCATTCTTTCGTTAATTGTTCAGAGTTAGCCAACTCTTCATGAATTATTTTATCATCAGTTATAAATTTATCTCTTTTAAGTAAATCTATCCATATGGAACTATTATTAATAATTTGAGACCAACTTTTACAAACTCTTGACATTGATAATAAGGTTTTATGATCCAAATTTGATAAAATATTTAAAGTTAGTTCCACAGGGAAATTACTTATCAAATCTCTTTTCAAAGATTTATAGATAAGACCATCAAATGAACTTAATGATGATCTATTAATATTTTGTAATAATCGATATACTAAATGATTCTGATTTCTATCCACTAAATAACCAGATAATTTGACGATAGTATTGATAAGATCACCTTGATTAGTTGGTAATTGTAAGAGATGATTCTCTATGGTATCATAAGAGGTAGGAAGTTTAGTTTCACTGGATTGAACTGGGGATGCACTTGGGGATGGTAAAGGTAACTGTTGAGGTTGCTCTTCTTCTTCTTCTGGTTCAAAATCAGATACTGGGGTATGACTAGGAGAATTCATTACATTAGGTGTACGAGGTAACTGACCAGTCAAAGCATGATCGGATGGTTGACGTATCATTTCGCGGGGAATATTCACTAAGGTAGTTTGATCTGGATGATTATGGAAAGGGTTAGAGTTAACTATTTCCCCAATAGTTGAAGCTGTTAGTCTTCTTTTTGGAGGATGAGCCAAGCTATTTTCCCTTGAAGCGGCTGAAATCGTAGTTGAAAGAAATCCACTTTGAGCTGACACTTGACTATTACAGTCATTATCTGATATTAACATTTCATCACCAGAATCAGTACTTTCTTTATCGTATACGTCATTAGTGGGAGATAAGTCTTGTGGAGCCCTTATCCGCTTTCTATTTTCTCTTGAGTTTGGGGGGTCGTTAGACTCTATAGATAGACGCTGATACTGATTTTGTAACCATGAATCAGATAACTTCCCGTTTGGATTAAACAACTTATAATCAAACTTTGCTTCTTCCTCTCTTATAGGGAACTGATGTGGTTGATTGTTTGACATGATTTCAACTGTTTACTATAGTTATATGATAATACCTCTTGAGGGGAATATACTATATTACCCGTAGAAATCGATAGCCTAAAAATGTATTGAACTTAAATGATCAAAACTATATTCTTGATCTTGATTGATATTCACCAGATAGTAATGTGTATAAACAGTGTTGATTGGGATCTTCTTAAATTTAAAGGCGTTGTGGTGCTATCTTAATTCACAACTAATTAAACAAGGAGACTGAAACAGCTGCTAAATAAGACCACTAAACTGGAAAAATGAAGGGTTGATAGATGTAAAAGAGTTTTCACCACTCCTATAACCTATTATAACCGGCAACTATTGATCTAGTGATGTTACACTAGTTCTAACGTATGAACGTGTGGATTATTTTGTAAGGGACCCCTTTGACTAATTTGGGTTAAATTGTTGTTGATAAAACGAAAACGACGTTCACCACACAAAACTACAATTTTTTTTTTCTTTTCTTTTTTTTTTTTTTTTTTGATTTTTTCCGTTTTCTGAAGCATGAGGGAATTTGCAGGAATGGCTTTTACTATGATTATTTGCAACATGATTTTCTACATCCAATAAAGGTAAAGGTATCGTATCATCATACATCTATTATTGATAATATTTAAAGATAGATTAGAGTAAGTTTATAAACAAGAGAAAAAGGTTCAAAGAAATAGGTGTAGCTTACGCTTAAATATTCTTGATTAAAATACCTGGTTCACCAGGAACTGAAGCATCAACAATCTTACCTGAAACAGTGATTTCAACTTCTTTACCAGTAAGAACATCTGTTCCCTTAGAGGCACCATTGTCAAAAGAAATGATTTCGAGTTCTTCTACTTTAAGCCAGTATGGTGATTTTTTAATGTTTGAAGTTACTGATTTAAGGATTTCAACTTCATCAAAAGCTAATTGTCTATTGAAGACAGTTTCTGGATCTTCTTTAGTTAATCTTTGTTTTAAAAGAGAAATAAATGGCATAGCACGTTTCATATCCTTACCAACTCTGTCTCTAATAGCTTTGGTATCGTCTAAAGTTTGATTTTCAAATAACTCACGAACTATTTCAATATAATTATCTTGCCATTCTGGGAATGATTTAGAAACAAATAAGGTAACTTTAACAGGTTTATCTTGATCAACATCAGCTGGCTTACCACCTTTCTTCTTTTTTATAACATTAGCTTCAGATTCACGAATGGATCTTGATAAATCTTTAACATATGCAAGAGCATCAATAATTGATTTAGAAGCTTTAACACTAGCTCTTGGGAATGCAGTAGTTTGAACTGATCCTTTATGACCAAGAACTTCCTTATATATATATTCAGCAAAATGTGGAGCAATTGGAGCAATTAATAAAGCTTGAGTTTCAATATATTTGAGAACTAAATCTTTATGCATTCCAATAGTATTGGAAACTGAATCTCTATAATAATCTCTAGCAGTTTGGAAATCGAATAAACCAGTCTTTAAAGCAGCTTTATAGAAAGTAGCACTGTAATGTTCGTAGGATTCTTCAATTAATGCAGCCATTTCATTTTCAAAGGCTTGATCGAAAAAGTTGTCAGTTGGACCAGTTCTAAGAGAGTCCTTGTTCTTAACAATATCTTCACACCATTCTTTCAAGGTAGTAAGACGTAAAACAGCAGCATTAGCATTACCTTCATCAAAGTTAGCGTCTTCAACACTATCACCAGCATCAGCTAAAGCAATTCTAGAAGCATCAGCACCGAATTTTTCGACAATTTGTTCTAAAGTCATGAAGTTACCTGTGGATTTTGACATCTTAGCATTGTTTAACATTAAATGACCATTAATTCTAATACCCTTTGGCCAGAATCTCTTTGGGAAAAGAGCAACATGAGTATAAAGGAAGAAAGTTAAATGGTTTGGAATTAAATCTTTACCCGAAATTCTAGTGTCTAATGGGTAGAAATATTCAAATTCTCTTCTAATAACTTCTAATTGTTTGATAGGAATATCAGTAGTGATATTTTCTCTTCTAGTAAAAATATAATCGAAAACTTCATGAGTTAATTGTTCTGGTTTTATATCATAAACACCTTTCACTTTACCAAAGAAATCAGAATGGAAGAAACGATCAACGGTATAATAAGCCATGTAAATAGTAGAATCAGATAAAGATTCAACTAAATATTTTTCATCCCATGGTAATCTGGTACCTAAACCAAAGTTTCTGGTAATAGCCCAATTCTTTAACCAATCTAAAACAGCTTCAAAACCATGTCTGGTTTCTTTAGCAAAAGTATTCATATGGGCTAAACATTCTAAAGCATCACTCTTCCATGATTCTTCACCATAATCAATATACCATTGGTCTTCTAAGGAAACAATACATTCATCTCCAGATCTGGAAACAACAACACCTTCTGGTTCGTTATAAACGAAAGCATCACCAGAAGCAATTAAATCAGCTTTAACCTTTGGTTTAGCTTCTTCAACTTTTTCTCCTTTATATTTACCAATAGTTAAGGTACCATTATAATAACCTTCTTTATAAGCAAGTTCTTTAGCTTGAGCTAATTGAATAGCATCTTTAGGAGATTGAATCTTTAGTTCATTAACTAAGTATTCAGCACATTTATCACCATATTTTTCAGTTTGAACAATTGGGATAATTTCAGTTTGAACCCATTCCTTTTTGATATTATAATATTCTGGCTTATTAGCTAAATCTCTAGTAGTAATGAAATCATCTGGAGAATCAGATGGAACACAGGTAACAACACCAGTACCTTTGGTAGCTAAAACAGTTTCCATAGGTAAGACGTATAAATCATCATATACAGCTAATGGAGCTTTGATCTTGGATCCTATTAAAGCTTTACCGTTAATTACGACTTCAGATTCGTAATTACCTCTAATTGGGGTTAATTTTTGATATGACATATTCTTGAAAGCTCTTTCAGTAGTGATATAGTAATCACCATTACCAACATTGTAAATACCATAATCAATTTTTGGAGAAACAAAACAACAAGTTTGACCATACATGGTTTCTGGTCTTAAAGTAGCTGCAACTAAATATACATTCTTGTTTTCTAAATCAAATTTATTTTCAGCTAAGATGGCTTTAGCTTCTTCAGCGAATTGAGTAACTTTAATTTTAATACCGGTATATTCTTGGGGGTTTAAACCTTCACCTGAAGATCTATCATGATCTAAACAAGCTTGTCCATCCTTTTCAGAGTAAATGGTGTATCTTTCACCGAACTTGATCTTACTGCATTCTCTTAATCTGGTAACTTGCCATCTAACGAAAGCATCGAAATAAGGATTAGCATCAGTGGTGACAAAAGAACGTCTCCAATCAACTCTACCACCGAAATTGGTAACGTCTCTTTGAACCAATGGTGGGAAATAGTCAAGCCAATAAGATGAATCAGCAAATTTTGGGATTTCTTCCTTTGGAATACCAGCTTGAATCATGATTTCAAATTGATATTTACCTTTACCTTGTTTAGCAACAGCTTTAGATTTCTTGGCAGTGAATTTAGTAACATCTTCTCTTTTGAATGCTTCTTTTTTAGGTTCTTCTTCTTCATCAGTTGGAACACCTGAAAAGTCAGTACCGAAAAGTTCAAGTTCTCTTTTAATTTTATCGGCAGCAGCTTTGATTGGCATACCGGTACAATGGAAACCTAATGGAAATAAAGCTCTCTTACCATTCATTCTTTCGAAACCAGTAGCAAACTCAACTTTAGATAAAGTAAAGGAATGACCAGCATGTAAAACACCGTTCATATAAGGGAATGCCATAGTAGAGAAATGTTTTGGGTATTTTTCTCTTAATTCATCGGTATCTTCAATTGGAATCTCTTCGATGGTTGGAGCATTGACTTCAAATACTTTTTCATCTGCCCAGATTTTTTGATACTTCTTCTCGATTTCGATTAAAGCATCTCTTCTGGCAGTATTTTCTAACTTAACAGCACCACTCATCTTGTAATACTATAGTTACTGTTCTACTAGTCGATTCTAACTCTACAGCTAGCCGTCTTTTGACTCATGGAATTTTTTTTTCACCTCCAACAAAAACTACAAGTCGTGCGGAAAAATAAAACTTTCACGATCTGTGCGCTACCGCTCAGAAATACATATATTTATAGTGAGTTTTTTCATCTTCTTCTACGAGCTACTGAAGCAGGTACAAAACTATCATAACGAGAAGGAGAAGGTCTATAATTATTATAAGGACCTTGTTTCACACGATTACGAGAATTCACCACTTCGTGTTTTGTAGTGATTGTGATATGGTTATCCCCAATTCTGGCATTTGTTAAAATCATGTTTGCTCTCCCAGCATCAGCCACATTGTAAAACTCAGCTAAAGCGGCACCAATTTCTGGAAAGATTGAAACCCTTTTAACACTACCAACATTGTCTTGCAAAAATGCCTTCAATTGTGGACCTGATATAGTTCTATCTAAATTGAATACCCCTATTGAAGCTTGGTCATCATAATCATATACTTCATCTAGTGGTTTTACCCTGGTGATAACGAGATGGTGACCTTGATATAAAAGAGATGGAATTTCACAAACTCTATTAAGAGTATCCAAGCTCTTGAATAATACTACTGCTAATCCATCATTATTGGACCCATCCCTTCTTCTATTACTTCGAGGAAATACAATAGATTCAACTTCTCCATATTGACCTAAAAAGTTTCCAAGTTCATTTTCAGTACATGATGTTGGTATATTTTGAACCCTGATCTTTCTATCACCCATAGGGGCATCTCGATTCAAATTAGAATTAGAAGTCAGTTTCTTTTCTGGATTTGAAATGACAACTTTTATACTATAATCTCTTTTACTTTTATCCTTTACAACTATATTATTGTAAGATAGAACTGCCTTTTTAGCAGATTCTGAACTGTCATATTGAATAAAACAAAATCTTTTTGTCTTTTGTGGAATTTGACTAGGGAATCTGATATTTATTACATGACCAACACCTTGAAAGATTGTTAATATTTGATCTTTACTGTAAGTAGGGGGGAAATTACTAACAAATATAGTGGCTTCTTCTTGTCTTACAACAGAAATAGTTTGATCGTGAAGTTTCTTTAAATTCTTGGATAAAGCTGCCAATACACCTCTTTCATTAACAAACTCAATAATTGCATATGGTTGATGATTATTATGAACAATTTGGATTTCATTAATATCTCCACAATCTTCAAAAATTGCTGTTAAATCTTTTTCTTGAACATGATCAGTTAAGTTAGTGACTTTAACACTAAAATTTTCTCTCGATCTTTTAATTTCATTATCATCCAGATCAACTTGTTTTTCTTTCTCTTCAAGCTTTCTCTTCTTCGTTTCACTAACTACTAGTTTTGGCTCGATAACAGGTTTCTCCTTAGTAGATTTCTCTTCTGCGACGCTAGCTTCAAGATCTTTCTTTCGTATTATATTTCTTTGCTTGTTAATCTCAATCATAGCACTAGTATAACTAATTTTGCCGTTATGAACCAGTTCAAAAATAAGCCATTCATTGCTAATTGCTTCAAGGAAATCTTGAGATTTGGCAAAAGTCACTGCCCTACTGAATAAGGTAGATATAAAGTCATTATCAACTTTCTTATTCTTCTTATAAAATTCATAGGCATATAACCATACTTCATGTTGATCACCAAATTTTTCTAACATTTGTTCAAGCCAATTCTCAGCGTTTTCATAATCACCTAATTCTAAGAATATTTCTATACTTAACTTTTCAATAGAGTGGGATTTATCGTTATTGGAATAAATGGCATGTTGACAAAATTTCATTAAGTCCATGTAAAGAAGTGTGATTTTGTTTTCATCTGCATCTTTTGCTGCTCTAAACTCTTGCGATAAGATTGCTTCTCCGGCAACTTTCCAATGATTGTAATCTGCCTTATTAATAAGATCAAGGGCATCCATTCTAGAAAGAACTTCTTGACTTTCAGTTAATCGAATATGTTCAGCATAAGTTCGTGGATCATTTGGAAACGCTTTTATAAATTTTATGAGAAATTGTTCAATCATTGAATTATCTTCAGTATTCTTTTCATACAAAATATATAAGCATTGGTACCAGAATCCCATCCACAGTTTTTTTGTACTTTCTTTAACCAGTGATATGACTCTTTCAAATAAGGCTAACACGGACCTAATATCTCCATCTCTGGAGTACTTTGCAATACTTTCCAAATAAGTGATCCAACCATGGCTGGACACAGGATGTTGGGAAAGATGAAGTTCAAATTTATCGTAATATGGTAGTTGTTTCTTGGTTTCGGAGAAGATTTTATTGGCAGCCACCATATGTTCACCATAATTGTTAAGATCATACTTTGAAATAAAGGCTGAAAATGATGCAAATGATTTGTCCAACTCTGCATGTGGATAAGTTAATCTTTTCAATTGTAACTTTAAAATCATATCAAATTTCTCTGGGGATGATTCTTCTTCCAAGTTATTAATATAATATTCAAGGGCAATATCCCATATTATATGACTATCTTTGTAATCAAAGGAACACACCTTTAATGCTTGCGCCAATTGAGGTGGAACTTCAACACCAGCATTGGAATCACTTATAATGAACTTTAAGAACCCCAGCCAATACGTAACCACAGGATGATCATTTAACACTTGGAAATAAAACTCCTTAAGTTGATCTATTTTGACCCAGTAATCATCAATCAAATTTATATCTTCGAGCCAATCTGAGTATTCTCGAGGTGAAAGAATGAAATATAACTTCTTAATCTTTCTAGCCGCTATTATAGATTGAATATTTTGTCTTCTATTGAGACTAAGAAGTGAAATAAGTCTGTCATGTTTATCGACATTGAATTTCTCATAATCAAATAACTCATTCTTCAAAGTTTTAATCTCCTCATCCATATTATTTGACATTGTTGAAGTTTGTCAATGAATTAGACCTGTAACAATTATGGTTTGAAAAATCATCAATTATATTATAACCGTTATGTTAGCTTCATCTCTTTGGGTTATATACAGGAATTTTGTTTCAAGATGCTCTTAATATAATTTTTTAATATTTTTTTTTATTTTTAACTACTATAGTTTGATCTGACGTCAAGTTAATACATAAAAGTTTAGTTATAGTTGATATATGAATGCTAATCAGTATCTAAAGTCCTTTGGTTGGAAGGAAGGAGAAGCTCTTCAAGAGGGTGGTCTTAAGAAACCTTTATTGGTGAAGCATAAAAAGGATACTAAAGGATTAGGACATGATGCAAATGATGCAGATGTATGGTGGGAGAAGTTATTTGATGGACAATTGAAAAGTTTAGAAATTAATAATGGAAGTTCAGGAGAAGTTTCTTTCAAACAAAACTCTTCCCAAGTTATTCTGCATATGAGAAAGGAAACATCAGTATTATATAGGATGTTTGTTAAAGGGGAAGGTTTACAAGGAACAGTAGGGAAGACAGATCATACAAAGACCAAAGATCATATAATAGCATCCAAGGTAGCTAAAGACATAGATGAAGCATTGCATTCTAATCGACTAGAAGTAGAAGAAGTTATTGAGACCAAAATAAAAGAGAAAAAGGTAAAGTCAGACAAGAAAGAGAAGAAGAGTAAGAAGGATGAAAAATCAAACGACAAGAAAATAAAGAAAGAGAAGAAGAGTAGTAAGAAAGACAAGAAAGAAAAGAGTAAATCTAAGAAAGATGATAAAATCTCTAGTAAAGTTTCGAAGAAAGTGAAATCAGATAAAAAGGAACACAAGAAGAAAAGTAAAGATATCACCAAAGATGAAACACTGAGCTCTTCTAAAAAGCGTAAGAGAGATTCTTCTGAAGACGACTCTTCCAATAGGGACAAGAAGAAGTCCAAGAAAGAGAAGAAATAATTAAATGTACAATAGACAATCCATGCATTTTATAGATAAATAGTAATAGCATAATTTTAATATTCAAAATGATACTTTTTTTTTGTTAACCAGACCAGATAACGCGGCTAAAACTATTGTAACTGTGAACCAGTGCTTTATCATAAGTACTTACGATTTCATAGAACTAGTTGTTCCAACACAATATTGGCTAACTATAATGCCTTCACTAGCAACTAGTAGTTTGAACAAGATTGATTTCCATCGTTTTATAAGAGAAGGTGGTTGGTATATACTATGTGGTTTCATATTAATATATATAATACGACGAGTATATACCTATTTATTGACATTGATATTGGGAAGTTGTATTTCAGTTGGGTTACTTGTGTATGTGATCGTTACTACTAGGGGTGAATATAAAACTAATATAATATCTAGGCGGAATGGTAGATTCAAATTCACTGTTGTCGATAATTGGCAACAACAAACAAGTGCATTGACGGTCAACAGTAAAGATTTGATCGACCCCATATTTAATGAATCAATAGAAATATCAGAGCTTTTCGAAACCTTCATAGATTTGATTCTTAATGATTTCATCAATTCTTGGTTTACTAGTGTTTCTTCAAACACATTATTTCAAGAAAGTGTTAGTTTAGAAGTCAAGCTTCTATTACAAACATTTCAAAAGAAATTACAAGATATCGATTTTGCTAAACTATTAGTAACTCATATATTACCCATTTTAAATGAACATTTCACTCGTTACATTAAAGCTGAAGATCTAGTGAAATCAAACAATACCAAAGCAGATTCCCAAGAGTTTCATAGATTAGTGGCTCAGAATTATGATAGAGGTAAAATTCATCAAGCAGTAACATTATCCACAACTGGTGAATCTGATTTAAATGAAAAGAAGTATCTAAGATCAAAAGTTGCTGAAATCATCCCTCAATTGTTATCAGAAAAGGAATCTAAGAATGAAGTTTCAATTGCATTTTTAACCGAAATTGTTGCATGTACAATATTGACTAATGTATTCCGATTGCTTAGTGAAGCTGATTTTTATAACATGCTAATTGTCAATCTCATAGGAGATAATTTAAAACATAGAGATCAAGTGAAGCAATTACTTGCAGCATTGGAAGTTCATACGAAACAATTATCATCAAAGGCATCTATAAACTTTCAAAAATTACAAGAGTTTGAAGATTCTAATAAGGCATATACCATCACTAAAAATATGGATACTGGAACTTATAGAGAATTGTTAAAATCAGTAAATACTATTGATTCGTTGGATGATATACGACTGATTGAAAGATATATTCAAATTCAATTAAGAATGATGTCTAATTTACCCACCAGCGACAAAGAAGTCTACAGAAGACTCAGAAAGCTTCATGAAACCTTAAACATAAGAGCAATCGAATTAAAGAGACATAGTAATCCAATTATTTCTCATAAAACTACTACCACTGAAAACGTCAAGCTTTATGATATATTGAATAATCTGCATTTATTGAAGTTGTTCCAAGAGTTCATGTCTTACAGAGATAGATCAGAGTTTCTTGACTTTTGGTTAGAAGTTGAACTGATCAAAGCTCCTTTGGAAGATTCTACTATAGGTGAAAATGGTGAAAGTAATCTATCTTTATCTTTAGAGTTCACATCTTTACTGGATATTAAAGATATATATTCAAATTATACTAGTTTGGATATTTTTGACGACACGGATGTTGATGTTGTTAATTTCAAAACTATTACAAGTTCCAATCAGGACAGCCTTGAGTCATATCTGAAAGCCAGAAAGTTATTATTCAAATTTCAGAATAAAGTGTATAAAGAAATGGAAGATAATGATTTTGTAAAATTTAAGAGTTCAACATCATTTTCAAAGATCATAACCAACATTACAAGTCAACCAGCTAAATCAACTCAATTAGTTGGACACGAGGATGTATCATTTGATTCTATAGATGATACCATTGCTGAAGAGGTTAATCCTGATGTTATTCAAGCTGTTGAAAATGCATTTAGTGAAATTATGAGCAAGCCACGAGAATCAGCTAATGTTAATGAATTCAATTATGATCAAAATAAGAGTAGCTCGTCATCTTCGTTGATTTACTTTTCTGATTCGGAGAAATCACAGACTAGTCATAAAAAGGAATTATTTGGTGAATCTTCAACATTATTTGGTAATGATGCAGCTGATGCTGCACATTTTAGAGGATCTAAACTATTTGACGATTCCAGTGATGAATCTGATAATGATAGTGATGCTTTAAGTTTTCAAAATGATTCACAAACACTTGAAGGAAGTGAGATTGATGCTAAAGTAGTAGATGAAGAGAACGTCATCAGTAGCGACCAAGTAGGATCCTCTGCACAAGTATTTGTGGCAGCACCAGGGAATTTGAATCTTGCCGAAGAAATTCCCAAGTTAACTGAAGAAATTGAAAAATTGAATGAGCAAGTAATTATCTTAACACCATTATTAAGAAAAGCTGAACTTACTAATAATGTGGGAGATTTGAAAATTCTATCAAGATCTATGGTAAGTTTAGAACGAGAAATAAATTCAAAAGAATTACAAAAACAACAATATATCGTCCAAGAGAATGATAATAGTTTGTATGGTAAATCGAGAGTTTGTATACAATCATATATTAGTGGGAATGAAAATGGGAAAGAATTTATTTTATATATTATTGAAGTTCAAAAATTTGATAGTAATGATCCAAATGTTGTTAAAGCAGGATGGGTTGTTGCGAGAAGGTTCAGTCAATTTTATAAATTACATGAATATTTGAAATCAAGATATCCTAATCAAGTTGGATTAATTAAATTTCCTAGGAAAACCGTTTTAAAATTCCAACAACGACAAATAGTTGAACTTCGTAAAATTGCATTAGAAGAGTATTTACAACAGTTAATCAATTTACCTCAAGTTTGTTCCGATATTGCTTTTAGATCATTTTTATCATCGGAGAATTTTAGTATTCATAAAAGTACATTAGATGAAAGTATGAAGTCGGGTAAATCCAAGAGTTATGTTGAACTGGTTGCTAATAGATTATATAATGGGATTTCAAGTAGAATTGTCCCGAATATCACAATTACTAAAGAGAATGATAATGTAACCCATACAAATGTTGGAGGTGCAGAAGGTAAAGGTAATATTGTTAATCCAAACCAAGAACAAGTGATGAAAAATATTATTGATATGCAACAAGAATTAAAACTGTTTGATGAATATGGAACCACTAATACAGGAATATTTGTGAAACCAATTTGTGACATTCTTATTTCAGTATTCAGATTGAATAATTCCAAGAGTTGGTTAAGAGGTCGAGCACTTATTGTTATATTACAACAAATATTTGGTACTACGATTGAAAAGAAAGTATATGAACAAATCGATCAACAATTGAAAACCGAGCAAAGTTTATTAAATATAATGGGATGGTTACAGAATACATTATTCCCCAATGGGAAGTTTAAAGACCCACCACCAATTCGAACATATTATCAACAATCATCTACAAGACAAGAAGCTAAAGTATTATTAGGATTATTTATGAATGAAACATGTGCTAAGATATTTGGAACTTCAAATACTGCATTTGCAACTTCAAAAATATTTAGTATGCTACAAAATGAGTACCTTACAAAGCATTTAATTTTTGAAGTATTTGATGAATTAGTTAAAGAGATATTTCCACTTGAGAAATAGAACTGTGTATATATGTCGATGCATGTACTTAAAGATGACATGACATGACCTGACCTGACTAAATATATTAAACAGCTCTTATCATATACTAAATAGGAAATCCAACGTTCTGCATTATTCGATATTTTACCCCTAAATTTTTAAATTATCACTCAGCACCACAAAACAAAATTTTGAAATGATAACAACGACGGCGACCAAGCCCCTGCAAATAATTCGTTTCTTTTTTTTGCCCTCTCTCTCTCTCTCTCTCCCTCCAGTTTCTCATCAATCAACTGAAATAAAGAAGTTGAATTTGAAATCAATTCTAATCATCATCATCAACATTATCGATATTACACACCAACATTTATTGATTTTGATCTTGGTAGATTGATTATTTGATTATAATAGATTCGATTGATCATTGTAATATTCTTAATTGAGTCTAGATCGTTTGGTGTAATAGTTAATTCATTGAGGGATTGTTCAATTCAAAATGGCAGCAAATAATGATCCAAGTAATCCACCATTAGTTCCTAATGGATGGTTAGCTAAATTCGATGATAAGTATAAGACTTGGTTTTATGTTAATTTGGAATCTAAAAAATCATCATGGGAAGCTCCAAAAGGTACTACTTTTAATAGTAAACCTGGTGATGATGTTCCACCTCCATCTTATTCTCCAGCTCAATCACAACAACGTCAACAAGCTCCTCCATCTCAACAACAAGCTCGTTACGGACCTCAACAAGGTTATGCTGGTTCTGGTTACCCTCCTCAACAAGGATACCCACCTCAACAAGGTTATGGGGGTTATCCACCACAACAAGGTTATCCTCCTCAACAACAATACGCTCAACAACAACAACAACAACAACAACAACGTCCTCATAAGAGTGGTTTTGGTGCAGGATCAATGGCCATGGGTGTTGGTGGTGGTTTGTTAGGGGGTTTGCTTTTAGGTGATGCCATTAATCTGTGGGATAATCATGAACAACAACAAGGTTACGATCAAGGTTATCAACAAGGTTATGACAATGGTATGGATCAACAACAAGGTTATGACCAACAAGGTTTTGATAATAATGGTGGTGGGTTTGATAATGGTAACTTTGATAATGGAGGTGGTGATTTCGGTGGAGGTGATTGGTAATAGGGTTACTAAAAATCTTTCTTTTGCTAACTAACTTTTCACCTCATTCAATCATATTCAACCCTCAATGGGTTAATTTCTACAACTCTCTACATTGTTTACTAGAACAAAAGTCTTATTTCAACTATAGTTAGTTACTGTCTTATTTAAATGTATGTTTTTTAATAATTAATTGGTTGCCATATCCTGTATAGAAGAAGGTCTACCATTTTTTTTTTGGAGGGTACGACATTTTTCATCCAACCACAGGATGAGAAAAACAATTTATAATGAATGTCAATATCAATAATTAAATATCAATTGATCTGTGAAGAATAATATCATATAATACTAACATGAGATTCTCAAGAACATTATTCAAACAAGCCGAAGAAGTATTGGTCAAGGCTGCTTCCGGATATCCAACTGGTTTGACTGGTTTATACCAACATCCAAACCCAAGACCAGCATTAATTTCATTATATAATCATACTTTAACTGTATTAGATACCAAATTTCCAAAAGAATCAGTATATAGACAATCAGTTGAAGCTTTAACTAAGAATAGATTAAAGATAGTAGAAGAAGAAGAAATCACTGAAAATATAGAAAATAAAATTGGAGGTGGATTAATTGAAGAAATTGTCATTCAAGCTCATGAAGAATTAAATTTAGCTAATGAATTAGCAAGTTTGAAAGTTTGGGAAGAATTGGCTGAAAAACCTTTAGATGATCAATGGGTATACTTTGGTAAGAAAGTTTAATCACTGATGTATTTACAAAAATCATACATGCATACATTCATTCATTCATTCATAAAGTTTGTCTTTTTTATTTCACTTGTATCAAAAAGTAACAGTTTCAATTGACTGGTTAGTTAATGTTCTAGATACTTCTTTTCTAACTATTATATTAGATTAATATATTTATTCGCTAATCGAATTTTCAAAGTTACATGACAAAATGTGATTGTAAAAGCTCCTCTTTATATGTATATTGGAACACAGGATAAAAGTATGTTTTTTTTTTATATGTATGTAAAAAAATGAACTAGTAGAATAAGAAGATAACTATAGAACAAGTCATTATAACAAGAAGACATTAAAAATATGAAACTATTATGTTGAAAGAATTATGGGGATAAAAAAAGGAATTTGAAGTAGAAGAAAGGGAAGTAGAAGTAGAAGAAAAAGAAATTAAACCTTATATAACAACACATCTTTCTAACAACAGTTGTTCTTGATATTAGCTCCAGTTTGATTAATATTAATACCTCCACTAGAAGTAGATGTAGGAGCAGCTTGTTCATCATTAGCATGTTTGTCTTGAATAATACCAGCTAATTCATAAAAGATAGTATCAACATTTTCATTACTCTTGGCACTAGCTTCTAAGAATGGAATATTCAATCTGGAAGCTAATTCTTGACCTTGTTCTTTAGATACTTGTCTATTCACTTCATCGTCACATTTATTACCTACTAAGAAAACTTGAGCATCTTCATTGGCATGTTGAGTAACAGTTTGAAACCAATTTTCAACATTTTCAAACGATCTTCCATCAGTAACATCATAGATTAAAACTATACCCATGGCACCTCTATAATAAGCCGTTGTGATGGTTCTAAAACGTTCTTGACCTGCAGTATCCCAAACTTGTAATTTAATCTTTTTGCCTTTACTTTCTATGGTTCTAATCTTAAAATCTATCCCAATAGTAGTAATGAATGTAGGGTTGAATTTATCTTCAACAAATCTTAATAATAAACATGATTTACCAACACCACTATCACCAACCAACAACAATTTCATTATCAGATCATAAGATCTTGATGGAGTTCTACCTGACATAATTTTACCGTGTCTGTGTTTTTTTAGATATTTTAGTTCCTCGTGTCTATAACTTAATAATTAACGTTAAATCCTGAATGCGAATAGTTGTGTCCTATAATATTGTAGAACAAATCGAACCTGAATTTATCAAACCAATTGATATGATGATGAAATAGTATATGTTATTACTTGTACAAGGCTTACAGATCCGTTAGTAATTTTTGGTATGCTAGTTTGATATTTTTTTCCCAAACTCACACTTTTTTTAACTTTTGTTCTGCTCCCTCCTTTTTTTAGGGTCGGTCACGACTTGTCTCAATTCGGAATAATTATTCACATAATGGAAGGCCGGCTAGATCTATTTTAACCGTTTACCAAGATATATTTTATAAACGATTTATTAAATGGTTAAGGGAGGTTCTATATATTATAAACAGTAGCTGGGATTAGCAAAACATGTACTATTTCTAAATTTACTTACTATTAGCAAGACAAATTTCGTTACTTATAAGAAAACTTCAGCATTGATTTCAACGGATGAAGCGGCATAAGGAATTTCAAATGAAGTCATAACTTCGGGATGTAAAGCACCAATAGATCCAATGGTTTGGACTTTGGCACCTTCACGATGTCTGAAAAGAACCTTGGCTCCTCTTCCTGGGAAGAAAGTTGGGTTTTCTTTATCTTCTTCAATCCAATAACCTCTACCAGTTGATTTAATTGGATCTTCTAACCATGGAGTTCTTAAAGTTTGCATAATCTTTCCTAATAAACCTTGAACAAATTCAAACCCAGATGATTTACCTGCATAGATAGCAGCCCAATTTCTTTGATTATAAGCACCTCTTTCTAATTCTGGATTCTTAAAAACAACATCACCACTTTCAAAGACCTTAATTGGTAAGGAATGCTTTCTGTTTTCTTTAATGGTCTTTAAGATACCTGGTAATAAGGTAGTTCTAACCACTTGATATTCCACAGTCTTTGGATTTTCTAATTTAACAGCTTGAGTATTATCATCAACAGTTCTTAAGAATTTGAAATTTTCATCATGAGAACTTAAAGTTAATGGCATGACTTCTAAGAATCCAGCTTGAGCTGATGCTAATCTTAAAATATCAGAAACTTTATTAATTGGTAATGGAGCGGCCACTAATGAATCACCTTGTGGTTTGGTTTTCTTTAAATTGTTGAATCCATATGCAACAGCAGCATCTTCCATAATATCACATTGATGTAATATATCAGGTCTACTTATTGGAATTTGAACTTCAAGTATATCATCTTTAGTTGCGGAAACTTTAGCATTTAAGGACATTTTCTTTAATAATTGAGCAATCTTTTCACCAGAATAATCTAATCCTACACATGAATTAATATATGAAATTTCAGCTTCAGCAATTCTTGGAGTAATGGTTGGAGTGATTCTAGATTCATTATTATGTTCAGATATGACTTGAATTGGTTCAATTTCAAATGGTTCTTCACAATACATAGAAAACATAGCAACCATTTGATTTACCACAATTTCAGTCTTGGTTCTATCAGTACCAGTAACATCAATGAAAACATTCTTGGTATCTAAAGTAATCTTAGAATGTTCAGAATTAATAATTGGTGGCATAGAAGCAACAGTTCTCTTGGAATCTAACATAACAGGATAAACTGGAGAATCTTTAATAATATGTAAGAATTTACCAATATTTTTATCTTTTTCATAAAATTCCATTAATTCTTCACCATTCATTTCTTTAGTTTGATTTAATGGAATGAATTTAAAGTCTTTTGGTGCAAGACCTTCATAAGTGAATGGTGGGGTTAAGGTATCTAAATCATGAGTACCAATGGCAACCAAAGTTCTATTACGACACAAGTTAGAATGTAATTTATCTTGTAATGCAATGAATGATTCGTAACGTCTCTTATCAAATTTGATGTTTCTTAAAATGGCAGCAGCAGCATATTGACGGATTGATTCACTTGATTGTTTAATAGTTAAACTGATTTCTGGTTTGGCTGGTTTGAAAGTATATTTAGGAGCTTCTTTTCTCCCTAAGAATTCATTCAAAGCTTGGGCAATACCTTCGATACATAACATATCGTATCTATTAGCAGGTATTTCAATCTTTAACTGAGGCCTTTCATCTCCAACACATTCATCGGTGGTATCTTCATCTAATTCAAGACCATATTCAAAACACAATTCGTCGAATTCTTCAGTAGTATATTCTCTACCTAAGAGATCATAAAGATCTTGCTTGTCAACAGGAATAGTAGGCATGTTGGTTGTTTAATTCAGGACAAAACTTTCTATTAACGTAACGTGTAAAGGATTTTGTATGAGTCAAATCTTTAGTGCTGAAAAAAAATTTTGGACAGAGTACTTAAAAAAAATATGCGACGTTCTATGATTTACACGACTATTGAATATGGTTCGTAAAATTCAGAATGTCTTACTGGTATAGGTTTATTCATGAGTTAAAATTATATCTAAGACTCAATACAGAAATAATTAAGATATACTTCTATTTTACATCCTCAAGAACTTCATTAGTTACCAATTCTGGTTTTGGTGGCTCTAATTCAGTTCTTGCTTTTTCCAATTCTTTCTCATCTTCACCAGCTAGCTTTCCAATATCATTAATTTCATTCTGTAATGCTTGAAGATCAAAAACAGGTACAACATCTGATGACATTGTCGTATCTCCTTCTTCAACTTCATATTCATCTATGCTACTCTTATTACTATTTCCTTCCTTTTCGGCCTCTGCTTTTCCAACTGTTTCCCACCAATCTCTATTCTTAGGTTTAAACCATTTCTTCCATCCCTTAGGTTGAGCTTCTGAATTCATTTCTTCTTTCATTTTAGCTCTTGCTTCATCAAACTCACTTACTAACTTTCTAGCTCTTTCACTTTGTTCTGGATCTGGTTCTTCAATTTCAGCGAATTCTTCACTTAAGACTTCCCAGTCCATCAATTTTAAAATCTTAGGTATAGCTTTTCTGTATGACATATGACCTTCAACAAGGTTAGTACAATCAATATTTTCAATATTATTAACACTGGTAATTGGTGAAAGACCAGCAACAGTCAGTAATCCACCACCAGTGGCTCTGAACAAATAACCTAAAACCCAATCTTTAGTGGAGTATCCATTTATAAATCTACCACTAACAATAGAACGAGCCAAAGCAAGTTGATCATCTTTAACTGATATTGGATTTCCAAGTAATATGACATTCTCTATAAGACCATATCCACCACGTTTAGCCAATTCAATTAAACAAGAATAGATAAGTCTTGCACCTAACGAAAATCCTACTAAAGTAATTGGTCTCACTCCGACATTACCAGCTATTAAAGTATCTGCTAATATCTTTCCCGCCTTCCATGCTCTATCCAAAGATACATTCCATGGATTGTCTAATAAATATGATAATTTTGAAAGAGCCATGGGTAATTGGATAGCAGCCATTAATGCAGTTAAGATTGTTGCTCCAAGAATTTGTTGAATGGAGGTTGATAATGCTTCACTAGCTAAAATAGTTATAGTTTGACCCATCGATTGCAACATTTCTGGTTCCCAAAGAAGAGAAAACATATCTCCCATAATTGGATCAACGGTTGAAAATGGTAATCTAACATCATCTAGAGCACCATTCATCCATCCACTGACTGTTATAATTAGATTTGTTCTTTTATTATTATGCAAAGGTTTAAGTTGAAATGTTTGAACATCACCTGATCTTCTTGCTCCTGCTTTAGATCCAACTTTGGCTCCAGCAACAACACCACCTGTAGTAATTATTACACTACCTCCAATACCGGCTAAAAACCCTGTTGTTCCTGTGATACCTACTGTTGTAAGACCAGCTGCCAACCCAGCCCCTATAACAGGAGCTAATAAACCTGCAGAAAGACCAATAGCTAACGAACCACCAAGAGTAGCTAACCCTATATATGCTAAACGTCTTCTTCTATTCTTTTTTATGTGTTTATTGATGAACAGTTTATCATTCAACAATTCGTCTTTATTTTCAATTGATTTTTCCTTTGTTTCCAATTCCAAACTATCAATTAATCTCCTTTCGAATTGTAATAACTCAACCTTTTGAATGCCTAATGTTTTAGCAAATCTCTTGAGTAATGTTCTTGAACGACAGTCATAATATCCATCTTTTAAAAGTTCAAGAAACAAATCACAAATAATAACCCAACGTAAATCAAAATCAGCTTCTATTTGATTATTGACCAGTCTTATTTTTGCATTTGATCCAACTTCTTTTAAACTATTGGAAAGATCAGTAACTTCTAATCCATGAATACTTAAATTTTCAATCATTTTCTTTTCATCATTATTAGCATCTAAGTGAGAATATAATTCTGTCATTACATACATTGTCCAATTAGAGAAATTTCTCTGACCTAAACTCATTTGCTTAGCTATACGATCAGATGTTCCAATTTGTAACTTAGCTAATTCAGTAGCCATTTCCACTGTAAGTAATTTTGTTATACCCAAATAAGCAAATTTTTGTGATTCAGTAAGCATGTTTTTAGTTCCTTGTAAAGCTTCCTCTGAGTCTACGTTATCTTCGTCCACAAACTGATCATCCTCTTCTGAATCATACTCTAAATCCTCCTTTTGATATGCAGCTTGTGGTTTATTGGCATTATCTTTTCTGGACCTAAATAAAAAGTCAGTCTTTTGATCCATTTCCGAATACTTGTTAACTTGTTCTTCTGTGTCTATTTTTGTATATGCATATGTTTGTTTATTAGGATTGCTATCATTGACATGATTAGAATATTCTAATTCTCCTTTATCATTATAATAGTCAAGGTCAGCTATGGTTTTCATAGCTTTCCAGTCTGATGCAGTATTGAAGAAGTCATCATCTTCCTCTACAATTGGTTCGGATTCAACTTTAATTGGTGTATTATCGAGTTCTTCTTGTTTATGGATATTAATGGGTGATTCTCGATTAATGGTCTTCTCTGTTACCAATCCTAAACTATCCAGAGTAGAATTCCTATTGGCCATTCCACTAAGATCAAACTCCACATAACTTGTCTCTGGTTCTGGTTCATGTTTATCCTCTTGACTTATAGAATGTTCTGATATGGTCAGTGATGATGGTAATACTTGATTTGGTAAGCTCGGCAATTCGGTTAGACTTGTTTTGTTTCTGTATTTCCCTGGACCAAATGAACCACCATTGAATGATAACTCTGATGAGTTCATCCTAGATATATCTTGTGGTGGGTGCATCACTTGATCTAGTGTATGATTAAAACGATTACCTATCAAATTAAAATGTAACAGGTACCTTAAGATCATAAACTGGTCTAAGGCGATATCACGCTAAAAAAAAGATATATTTTTGGCGTAGGAAACAATTACACAAAAATTGGTAGTGCCTAAAGTAGAATAGCCAGAGAATTTTTAGTGGATAATATAATACTAATACTGGTTAACAAGATTAAAAGTCTACAAATTGGAATGATGTGTTTGCAACATGGTTTTACTCAAATCGTCAGTGGCCATTATGACCTCCGCAGAGTTCAGGAATATGTTGCTACGAACCTAATGACCGAGCTACAACTTCAAATTCCGAGGAATTTAAAGTGAGCTCAAGATCGACCCGCTTTCTCTACAACCTGTCGACGGAGCTACTCTGCCATAAACCTCAAAGAGGACATACAACTATTTCATCCCTATACCAAGCCAGAATAACCTAACCATCTACCAACGTCCTGCTCAACTCACGAATGAGGACCAAGATATCAATAAATCGCGTCAAACAGTTACAATGGATGTTAATTGCTTAACGATGATAATAGAACCATAATAGTGTACGTAAAGCTTGCTTCTCGAGCGCCGATCTGCTACAGCAAACCACTACAGATATACTCCAACAATCCGAAGATTTAGCTGAAGCATTAGTCTGAGGGTCTACCGTAACACAGATTGATGATAATTTTGTAAAAAAGAGGAAAAGAAAAGTTGTATAATAAAAAAAAAATTTTCATGTCTTTTATTTTTCTGTCTGTTTATTTTCGCAATGAGCCGCACGAAGATACTTGCAAAAATAAATTTTATTACCCGCAAAGCAATGAGGTTAAACTATTTATACCTAATATAGATCTTACGATTATACCTTATTGGATATCTTATATATTTAAACAGATAGGATGAGTCGAAGATCACAAAACTATCAAGATCGTCATGATGATCGTGAAGATGACGACGAGGTTACTTATGATATCAAGGGTCAATTGCCATTTACAACTCATAATACATTAGAACCATCTCAAATCATAAAATTATTTGAATCATCATTTAAAGAAGTTATTGATTCCGATGACTTATACGAGCATGTGCAGACTGTAAAGGGAGATCTATTCAATAGAGATTACATCAGTGCTTTTGGAGATGAAGATAGAAGGTTAGCTTATTTAGCTAGATGGACCCCACCAAGAGCATTGTGCTATGCATCATTATTTTCATCATTAACACCAATAGTTGAATTATTCAAACAAACGGAAACTTCTTCAAATGTGTTATGTATTGGTGGAGGTGCTGCTGCAGAATATGTTGCATTATGTTCTGTATTCAGTAAATTAAGAAATAGTTCCAATTCAGGAGATTTATCTTTACAAATCATTGATATTGCAGATTGGAGTAATATAATATCAACAGTTGAAAAGTATATTAAGACCTATTGGATTCTTAAGGAAGAAAAATTAAAGACTGATTTCATATATGATGACATTTTAAAGTTAAACACTTCTAATGTTAAGTATGAAGAACTTGATTTAATTACATTAATGTTCACTACTAATGAATTATTTGCTGAAAAACGTCAAGAAACCATAAAATATCTTAACTTACTTAACGCTAAATGTAAAACAGGTTCATTACTTTTGATTGCAGAAAGTGCCGGTTCATTTTCTAATATAACCATCGGGACTAAAAAGTTCCCAGTTCAATTTTTAATTGATATGATATTAGTAGGAAAACAAGGCTCCAATAGTGGACCATGGGAAATTGTTGAGGAAAGTGAAAGTTGTTGGTATAGAGTAAATACTAAGGAAGTTAACTATGCATTGAAAATGGAGAATATGAGATTTTTCTATAGACTTTATAGAAAGAAATAGATTTAATCAAACGAGGTTTCGGTAATTTGTTCAACAAACCGTTGTTGAATAGCAGATAGAATACTAAAATAATACATAGAGTCATCTGAATTATCATCATTTATATTCTTCAATGCAAGATATAAATCAAATATTAATTTTCTTCTCTTAAGAACATATGAAGTTTCAGTAACCTCCGTATGACTTGCAACTCTTAACTTATGAGCAATATTCTTTGCTTCCGTAATGAGCGATGCTGGGAATAGCATTGATGATTCAGCATACTTAATTCCATAATTCTCTATATCTACTTCGCCTCTAGTAACCTGGTAATTCATCTTAAGCTGATCTTGATCCAAATTAACTCTCATATAAGATGATATAACACCAGTTCGTGTTCTCAATATTTCAGCTAAATCTCGAAAATGGGTGGACATAAAAATGGTAGCTCCAGTATTAATTAAAAATTCTGATATAGCCAAAGAAATAGAAAACCCATCATTGAAACTAGAACCTCTACCTAGTTCATCGACAATTAATAATGAATCTTTATCAATCTCCTTTAAAATATAAGCCATTTCTTTCATTTCTTTAGAAAACAGAGAAACATTGGCCTCGCTACTATCAGGACAAATACGAGTAAAAATGGCTTTATGAATAGATATTCTTGCATATTCTGCTGGACCTTTATCCCATTTGTCCCATGATTATTAAATAACTCAATTGCTTTAGATAAACAGACTTGCCGCTCATGTTTGCTCCAGTTATTATTTGAAATCTGGAAGTTAATTTCAGCACAAAATAATCATTTGGAACAAATTTATCTTTCAACACTGTTTCTAAAACTGGATGTCTGCCGTTTTTGATTTGCAATTCAGTGGATATTTCTGGAGCACAGTAGCTTCTGTCTGAAATCATTGCACTAAATGCAAAACAACACAAAAGATCAAGAGTTGCAAATGCTTCACATACCATGAATAAGATAGCAGTGTAGTCAGTTAAGTCTTTATAGAGGTTATCAATAGATTTATCACTAAGGATGGTTATCTCTAAATTCACGTCATTGAATCTAGAACTTTGCTTCATGAGGTTTAATGTAGTACATTCGATTATTTTACGTTTCTGTACCCGGTTTATGAATATGTCTGGAAGTAGTTCTAAAGTAGATTGTTTCACTCTAACAAAGAATCCGCGATTGGATTCAAACCTATACTCTAAATTGATATTATATTCCTCTGCTAAATCATGAACTTCTTGTGATACTTCATTTAGTATACTTTGATAAAGCTGTCTTGAAATATCCAATAATCCATTTTTACCACTCTTAACTGCAAAAGATTTTTGGTTTCTAAGTTCTAAACTTCCACTTACCCAAGAACAATCCTCACTAATAGATTCATTGATTAGCTCAAGAGCTTTATTTATATCATCACTAGATAATATTTGATATATTTCCTTCAGCAAATGACTTTCTTGGGAAGTTAGAAATGTAGCTAAACTAACAGCACAAAGTAAAGAGGATTTTAATAATAATACATTATTAATTTTTTGATCATTAATTTTAATATCATTACGATCATAACCTGCCACCAAGCAGTTCAATAACACATCAAAATTTTGCAATGATTTCATTTCTTTTCTTAATTCTGTAAGTATTGGCTGATTGCTTTTCAATTCTTGAACAGCTTCGTATCTAAGTGTTATACTTCTAGAATCGGTAAGAGGTTGAAGAATATTGTTACGTAAGAATCTTTGACCCATTTTCGTACAACATTTATTCAATACTTTAAAGAGTGAATTTCCTTTCTTATCTAACTTATTTTCTACCAATTCTAATTCAACAATGGTTCTATGGTCGATAAGCATTGTATTTTCACAAGTTTGAAACTTGACCTTGAGTCTTGTCAAAATTTCACGACTACTTGTAGATAAAATCATACTCTTTATACAAGCATTAGCAGCTGCCAAACATAATTCCTTATCAGCAAATTCAACTTCTAAATTGGTAATCACATCAACTGAAAACTTCTTTAAATACTCAATTCCTTCATATATATTATAATAGATTGCCTTTGGATGGATTAACTTTATACCATCCAGGAGATTGGATTGCAATATTAATCCTAACTTATCCACAGGTTTGAAATGATGTTCCAATACTAGAAGTTCAGTAGGAGAATAAACATAAAGCTGATGCATTGTTCTGACATACGTTTGAGAATCTTGATAAGTACTCATTATTAGTTCTGATGTATTGTAATCTAAAAAGCATATTCCAACTTTGGTGCAATCAGACTTTGATACATAAATACTTCCAATTACTTTAGTTGAACCTCTTCCATCTTGTCTTGATTTTGTACCTGCAACCGCTGATTTGCTCCTACTTATGTGACTTATGTTATCTTCTGTAATGAAGCCATATCTTGATGTATTGATCATCTTGATTGGTATTTCGAACATTGGCTGCCAAACTTTAACATTGTAAATATTTTGTGTATATTTTTTCTACTACAGTACTATAAAAATAGGCTACTAAACATTATCTTTCTCGTCATCCTTTGACACAATTTCTTTAGAAGAAACATCTTTAACATCTACTTTGGTAGAATCATCTTTCGAATTTGTCTCTTTAGTTATCTCTTTTTCAGATTCTTCCTTGGAACCTTCCTTCTCTTTGATCGCAAGCTTGGAAATAGCTTCTTCTAATCCTTCTAAAACAGTTTCTTCGTTCTCTTCTACATTTGATTCGTTTAATTCAGCTTTCACCAAGGCTTCAAGCTCCAGAGCCCAACCCAATAATTCGCATAGTTCTGTGGCTATTTCATCACAATCATGTAAAAGAACAGTATCCTTTTTTCTAGTGAAATTCCCAACTCTTTCTCTGTTTATCAATACTCTTGTACAGTCTTTATGGAGTTCTAAAGGAAATGATGCAAAAGGATAAACCGTTAAAGATGTTCCTCCTACTAAAGCAATTTCTATTTCTTTCTCGTCTTCCAGCCAAGTCTCAAACAACTTTTCCGGTAAGCCTTCTCCAAAAAAGACAATATCTGGCTTCACATATCCTTTACAGCTTTCACAGATTGGAACACCATTATTCTTTTCTTTGTTGGACATCAATTCTTTAACTCTTTCAGTTGACATTTCTTCCGAACAATCAATACAATGGTTCTTTGCAAAAGAACCATGTGCTTCTATAATAAACTCATCTCTAACCCCAGCTATTCTCTCTAATGTATCAATGTTCTGTGTATATACTCTTCTAAGTTGGTTTTTATCCTGTAACAACCGTATTAAATGATGATACTTAGTAGGAGCAAACTTTCCGGGGTAAAGTTCATCGGCTAAAGTATAAAATGCTTCTGGACTTTCTCTGAAATAGTCAATGTCAAACACAGCTTCAGCATAAGGTAGATTTAATTTGGCTAAATTAGCATATAATCCTGTCTTAGGACTTCGGAAATCAGGTATACCTGCTTTTGTAGAAATACCAGCTCCATTGAAGAAGGTAACTTTCTTTCCTTTCTTTATCTCCTCTGCAATTGGTTGCAAAAGCTTCGGTATATCAGACATTGTTGGTGATACTACTGGTTTTAGCTCATAAATATAAGTCGATCTCTTTGTGATATTTTTGGAATTTTATCGCAAGAGCTCAAACTATCTGAAAAAAAATTTACTAATCAAATTGATCTTGACGCTTAAGATGATCCATATAATAAGAGGTTATCATGAAGGTATGTATTTTTCTACACGGCAGTCTGATCATGGCAATTTACTAACTGAGATTATAGCAACGTATTACTAGTTTGGATCTTCAGCTTTTAAGCTCTGAATTCCAACATGCAGTGTTGAATTATAGATTGCAAAACATATATAATGTTGCTGATAGTCCTCGTCAATATCTTTTGAAGTTTTCAATTCCTGACTCCAAGAAAGTATTGGTATTGGATTGTGGTAATAAAATTCATTTAACTGATTTTGATAGACCTACTATGCAAGCACCTTCCAATTTTGTTACAAAATTAAGGAAACATTTAAAGACAAGAAGATTATCAAAAATTAAGCAAATAGGTAATGATAGAGTTTTAGTATTGGAGTTCAGTGATGGATTGTTTTATCTAGTTTTTGAATTCTTTAGTGCTGGTAATATTTTACTTTTGGATGAAGAAAGAAAGATCTTATCCCTACACAGAACGGTGAATGAGAAAGGAGAAGTGGAGAGATATGCGGTCAATGAGTTTTATAATATGTTTGATAAAGAGAGTCTTGAGTCAAATGCCCATTACGAACCTGTCACATACCAGTCCTCTGATGTAAATAAGTGGATAAAAGATCATAAGTTGAAATTGGAGGAAAACACTTCTGATAAAAAGAATAAAGTATTTTCAATACATAAGTTAAGTTTTGTAAATGCTAGTCATTTACTGAGTGATTTAATCAAGAAAAATTTCATAGAAGGGGGTATTGACGCAACATCGAGTTGTTTGATATTTGAAGATGACGAATCTAAATTGGAGGAGTTGGCAACATTGTTGAACTTCACTGAAGGACAGTATGCTGAATTGTTGAATGACAAGGAATCAAATAACATAAAGCGTTACATCGTTCTGAAACGTAACAATTATTATGATCCAGAGACAAATGATAAAAGTCGTGAATTCTTGTATGATGAATTTCATCCATATCGTCCATATAAAGAAAACATTGATGATTTCAGATTCACTGAAATTGAAGGTTACAATAAAACATTGGACACATTTTTCTCTGCTCTTGAATCTTCAAAAAATTCATCACGTATAGAACAACAGAAGCAAAATGCTAATAAGAGATTAGAAGTTGCCAAATCTGAAAGAGATAAACAAATTCAGTCATTATTGGATCAACAGACTGTAAACTTCAAGAAAGGAGAAACAATCATTCATTATGCCGATTTGGCTAATTCATGTATTAGGTATATACAAAAGCTTATTGACCAACAAATGGATTGGACTAATATGGAGAGTTTTATTAAATTGGATCAAAGAAGAAAGAATGCGATTGCTGCCAGCATTAAATTGCCACTAAATTTAAAAGAGAACAAGATAAATATTTTATTTCCTGACTTTGAATTGGAAGAAGACAGCAATTCTTCCGATGCCTCTGATTCTGATTCAAGCTCTGAATCTGATGAAGAAGAAGATGAAGAAGATGATGATGATGATGATGACGACGAACGCTCTCTGAAGGCAAAGAAATCTTCTAAGAATGCCCAACAATCAAGCAAGATTTCTATATGGGTTGATTTGGCTCTATCACCTTACGCTAATGCTCGTTTGTATTTCGACACAAAAAAGACTGCTGAAACCAAACAATTGAAAGTTGAAAAGAATACTACTATGGCCTTGAAAAATGCTGAAAGGAAAATTTTGAATGATTTAGCAAAGAATTTGAAAAACGAAAATGAAGTTCTTCGTCATATCCGTCCAAAGTATTGGTTTGAAAAATTTTACTGGTTTGTCACTAGTGAAGGATACTTATGTTTGGCTGGAAGAGATGGTTCTCAAAATGATATGATTTATTATAGATATTTCAGTGATAATGATTTTTTTATTTCCTCTGATGTTCCTGGTTCATTGAAGGTCTTCGTTCGTAACCCTTATAAAGGAAGTACTATTCCTCCAAAGACTTTGATGCAAGCTAGTAGTTTTGCTTTATCTGCTTCAACTGCTTGGGATAACAAGGCTTCTATGTCAGCTTGGTTCTTACCAGGTTCTTCTATTTCAAAGCGTGATTTTGATGGATCTTTACTTTCAACAGGTGAATTTAATTACAAATCTAACAAGGAATACTTACCACCTATCCAACTTGTTTTAGGTTTTGGTTTCTTTATACTTACAGATGAAGCAACATCGGCTAAATATAAGGAAAAGAGAGAAGAGAGAGAAAAAGATCATGGTTTAAATATTGTGGTCGACAATAAAAAGAAAGATGTTGAAGAGCTAATTGCAAGAATAAAATTAACTCCAGAAGATGATGATGAAGAAGAAATTGTTGATACAAATAGGGAAGATCTGAATAAGCTCGATGATGTGACTCATGAGGAAGAAACCAAGGTTTTGGATCCGGAAGCAGTAATTGAATCAACACCAGAAATTTCGGATGATAACTCTTCTCGTTCAGCTTCTGTGGAGCCAACACAACCTGATGCTGAAGTTTCAAATCTTCTGGAACTGATTGGTGGTTTATCTGTATCTGGAAATAAGAAATTAGCTCCAAAAGTTAGAGGTAGAAAGGCTAAATTAAAGAAAATGGCCAAAAAATATGCCGATCAAGACGACGAAGAAAGATTGTTGAGAATGTCTGCTTTGGGAACCTTAAAACAATCTGATGACTTGAACAAGCAAAAGTTATTAGAGATAGAAAAGCAAAAGGAATTGGAAAAAAATAAATATAAAGAGACCTTGGCTGTCCAAAGAAGAAAGAAACAAGATGAAAAGGAGCTTCTTAGATATATCAATGAAGAAGCTAATGAAGATGAATCAAGTGTCACCAATTACTTGGAAATTCTTGATTATTTCCTTGACAAACCAAATACAGGAGATTCAATAGTTGATGTGGTTCCTGTTTTCGGACCATGGACAGCTTTGCAGAAATTAAAATATAAGGTTAAAATCCAACCCGGTTCAGGTAAGAAAGGTAAATGTGTTAATGATTCAATAAATTATTTCACCACACGAAAGCTTGATGAATCAGCAACTGATGGTGATTTAGATTGGGAAAATGAAAGAGAGATTGTAAAAGCTAAGAAAACTAACGATTTGGTAGGTGTTTTTACTGTGTCTAAAGTCAAATTAGTTTTACCAAATGGAGGTACTGAAACCAATAAAAAAAGAAATCAAAATCCAACCTCTAAGAAGGGAAAGAAGAAGTAAACATAATAAATTTGCATATTAAATAGTATACATAATCTAATATAAATTAAGCATTCGTAAAAGTTGCAAATTTCCTGCATGTAAATTTCTCTGAGGTTTAAAGATCTCCATTGTGATTTATCGCATTAGAGATTTTAAGTTGATAAAGGAGTTGATATCAATAAAGGTCAATGGTGTCAATAACGCGAATACTTTCAACTGGATTAATATTTGGATATCCCAATCAAGTTAGTGAGGTTGCTTCTCCAGATTTGGCAGCTAAAGAACAATATAATGTGGTAAAATATTTGGCTGCAGCTGGACCCTACGTTCAACATCCAGGGTATGGTATAAGCACTGATATACCGAAAGGATGTACTATAGAGCAAGTACATTATTATCTGCGACATGGTGAGAGATTTCCTGGTATAGGAGAAGGTAAAACTCATGAAAGTATAATTGAGAAGATTTTAAAAACTCCTGGTCAGTTGAATGGAGAATTATCGTTTCTAAATTATTATAAGTATTATGTTAGCAGTGATGATTTATATGAAGCAGAAACAACTCCAGAAAATTCAATTGGACCGTATAATGGACATGATACTGCTGTTCGAGCAGGTAAGGCATTTAGGCAGAAATATGCCGCATTGATAAATAAAGATCAACCACTTCCCATATTCATAGCAGCTTCTCAAAGGGTTTATGATACAGCGATCAATTTTGCTAAAGCATTTCTTGGTAGTGATTATTCTTCAAAGAGAGTGAAGCAAGTAGTGATATCAGAGGATAGTAAATTTGGATTAAATTCTTTGGTCCCACGTTGGGGTTGCCCTTCATTTGATTCTGATGCTCATAAGGCAACAGTCTTGTCTACATTCCCAAAGACGTATCTTGAAGATATAATATCCAGATGGAAAGAATCAAATCCAGAACTTGATTTAAACACGGAAGATATATATCACTTGTTTGAAATATGTGGATATGAGTTGAACTCTCGTGGGTATTCACCTTTCTGCAACATATTCACTAAAGATGAGTTTGTCACCTATAGCTACAATCGAGACTTGGAATTTTATTATTCTTCTGGCCCAGGGGGTCACAATGCCGTCAATGCAGGGGCTATCCAATTAGCAGCTACTGTGAAATTATTAGAAGACGATAATGCTTCGAATAAGATTTGGCTTTCGTTTACACATGATACTGACATTGAATTATTCTCAACCGCGTTGGGATTGTTCGATACAATAAATCCAATGCCAATGGATAAAATCAGATTAACTGATACCTATCATCATGTTAATGTTGTTCCTATGGGAGCACGTTTTATAACTGAGAAGTTGAAAAATGAACATGGTTATTACGTAAGATTTATTGTAAATGATGCAGTTATACCCGTACCAAGCTGTTCGAATGGTCCAGGTTTTTCTTGTCCTTTTGATCAATTCAAAGACTATATTAATAAAAGAATAGGTCACCTAGATCTTGCAAAAGACTGTGGAACAGCAGCTAACGTTCCACAAAAGTTGACGTTCTATTGGGATTATAATGAGGTTACATATGATGCGGAAGCACTTAAAGTAGTACCTTAGTTTAGTAAATTAGTAAATACAAACAATATAAATAACTATATTAATTACGATTTACGATTTGGAAATAAATTCGCAGTCGCTTCAAGATTTTTTTTTTCTTAGTAACGAAGCACGTTTAGCATCAAGATATGAAAATATGCGAATCTTTTGAATACATCCATCATGGTACACTTTTAAAGGTATCAATTGATTGGGAAATTGGGTCAGGGATTAGTCAAAGTATTGATGTTTTCACTTGGCAAGCACTATTAGCTGCTTCTTATAGAATAACCCCTTTATTAGAAAATATAAAAGAGTGCAATTATTCCTCCAAGTTGCATTGCTGCTAAATCATTTTGAAGAAGTATAGATAATGGTTTCAATCTCAGCATTTATAAATAGCGGTCTACTTTTAGTTGGTCAATCGGTATTTCGAGGTCTTGCTTCACCACAGCAAGCAGCTACAGAACAATACAACCTCATTAAGTTTTTAGGTGGTTCAGCGCCATACATTCAATCTCCAGGTTTTGGTATTTCAACTGACTTTCCCGAAACATGTACAATTGAGCAAGTACAGTTATTGTCCAGACATGGTGAGAGGTATCCAACTGTTAATAAAGGTGAAGCTTTTGAAAAGATCATAACTAAATTGGGTAACACCACGGAGACGTACTCAGGATCATTAGCTTTTTTGAATTCGTATGAATATTTTGTTACAGATAAGTCACAATATGCCCTTGAAACTACTCCAGAAAACTCAGAAGGTACATATGCTGGTAGTATCAATATGTCAAAGCATGGTGCTTATTTCAGAAATAGGTATAAGTCTTTGTTTGACGATACTCAGGTGTTATCAGTTTTCACTACCAACTCGAACAGAGTGTATCATTCGTCAGAATCATTTGCCAGAGGGTTCTTGGGAAATAATTACTCTGAAGCCAATGTTAAGTATAGTATCCTTGATGAAAGTGGTTCACTTGGTATCAATTCTTTAACTCCTAGATATGGATGTACTTCATATGATAAGTCAGCTAATTCCGAGTTACTTAAACAGATTGATAGAAGCTATTTGACGAATATTCTCGATCGATTAAAGGAAGATAACCCATTTTTAACAATTGATGAAGAAGACGTCTTGAATCTATTTGAATTTTGTGCTTATGAGATTAATGTTAAAAGTGAGTCACCCTTCTGTAATATCTTCAACACTGAAGATTTCAATTATTATGCATATGACAATGATTTAGATAAATATTATTCTTCAGGACCAGGAAATAATATAAGTGAAGTTATTGGTTCCGTATATTTGAATGCATCCCTTAATTTATTAAAAGATGAGGAAAATTCAAATAAGATTTGGTTATCATTTACACATGACACTGATATTGATCAAGTAATTAGTGCGTTAGGATTCTTCACAAAAGATGAACATTTGCCTCTTGACAGGGTTGATTTAGAAAGAGTTTATTATCATGCTTACTTAGTACCGCAAGGTGCAAGATATTATACAGAGAAGCTTAAATGTGGTGAAAAGTTTTATGTCAGATATATTATTAATGATTCTGTTCATCCTATTCCTGAATGTCAGTCTGGTCCAGGCTTTAGCTGCGAATTTTCTGAGTATGAAAATTTCATCAACAGTAGAATTGGTAACATAAACTTTGTTGAACAGTGTCAAGTTCCAGCTGATGCCACTCAATCTTTGACATTCTTTTGGGATTATGAATCCAAGAATTATACGGCAGAGTTAGAATTGTAGACAAGTGGTAGGAGAAAGTTTATATAGACATAAATACACAAAAGTAAAACCCGTGAATTAGGAAGTTTCACTATTCTTATCTATCAGCTCATTTGTAGCAAACAAAACTTCAACATCGCTTTCGTTACGCTTATTCTAATCATCGTAACAATTACACCTTATAATCTTTCCAATGACTTTCATTTCAAAGTAACTTACGAAACATACTAGTAAGATTGTCTCTTCCATAGTCGCATTACATTTACGAGCATGAAGCACAAAAAAGTTGATGGAAGTATACGACAAAATTTCTTAAAATGTCAAATAGTTGTAAGTAAAGAAATGGCAACCGTATAAGTTGCATACTTGAAATATTCATGTAATGAGTTAACCACAATCACAAGAATAACATAGTGGCCAAACCCTTTAAGATGTGTAACAGGTTCATGTTCTTATCAAGTTTCTAGAGTGTTTCGAATGAGCAATTAATTTACGACAGTAGTTCTGAGAACCAAGCGGCAAAAAGGAAGTGTCTGATAGATTATACAATCTGAAACCTAATTTATACAATGGGAACTATCATATTCATTTTCACACATTTTATTTTGAATTATCGTCAATTTACCCAATGATAATGTTTAGATCCCACAATTGTTTCAAGAAGTATTCTAACACATAAAAAATATAAATGTTTCGCAGTAAAATATTGTTTCATCTTAATAACCTACATGAAAATTTTTTGTAAGCATGTGTAGATAGAACTCTACCACTTACCGAAACTGCAATGCATATCATTCGGTCGTTTCCAACCACTGGGGTAGAAGTAACTGGACTGCACTTCAAAATAGAGAATATGTAGTCGGGTAAGTTTTTGTCGACATATTTCATTTGGGATACATATGTAAAGTAAAGCTTATTATTGAGAAGGCAGACAAATGGAATATGAGTAAAGAACACAGGGTGTTGCTTAGGATCAAAGTTTCTTGGTTTCAATAATTAGTTGATCCCTACGATTACCATACGATTGATTGGATATTTGTTTGTTCCCCTCCTCCTCTGCCTCGAACCATTTGGGCTTAATTTTTATGCTTTACTTATGCTACCAAAAACGTTAGAGGGCATGCTCAAACTTTGAATAATAAAAGCTTACAGATAGATAAGAAAAAGAAACAATAACCGTCACAGCCTATGAACGGCACGAAGAACCGACACGGACTAAGTATCAGACGAAAGCAAACTCTACATACAACTTAAAAAAGTTGATTAATTTTCACTTATCTTAAATTACTCCTATTTTTCTAATACAACTATTTCATTCCTACGTTTCTTTTTTTATAAAAGATGTGTAAAGTCGAAACCAAACTAAGACAAAACGGTTTTAGCCTACCGTAATAATCAACTCAATTTGGACAAGACCTAATGAAATTCATTGTTTCTCATCAAATAATAATTGTTAATTTAGATTATTATTAATGTTGATAATGAGTAAAAGTGGAATGCCTCATCATTAAAAGGTATTTGTGTCTGATAATAATTGAAAATTCTGAAAAAATATGACACTTTCCTGTATGTAAAAAGTGTCTGTATCTCATTACCTTTCCGAATTAGGACAGACAAAGAGACACAAAAAAATAATTTAAAGTAGGGTGTGTACCAGTCTAATTTTACACAAAATCAATTCATATTAATTTTACAATTTTTTTTTTCACTTTTAAATGCTGTCTAGTCATGTAATTGACTACAATTTAGGAGATACGAATTATGTAGTCAGTTACTGTGAGCCATTAGGCACGGTTATTTTGTAGAGGATAGTTAGTTTAGGGCATGTAGGACTTAAATAATTATTTAGTTTCTTTTTTTTTTACTGTCATTTGAATTAACGATAAGTGAAAAATTTTCTCCATAATATTTTATTTTTATTGGTGGTGAAGTTCGGTATTTCGGGTTTTCCCAGTGAGTCTCATCAACGGTTATATAACTCATTAGCGAACGATAACTTTAATCGAGAAGTGATGAAGAAAATATAGCCAAATAATTAGTTTATTTTTAAAGGTAATTATCGTTTCTCGTTTCTTTTTTTGGTGACTTTCAATATTAAGATTTCAGTTTGATTGATATTGTTCTATTGGGTCTTTAGATAGAGGTGCTGAGTAATATCGTAACCAGTTAAATCGAATGATTGCGTTTAAAATTTTTGAATCAGCCGTGACGAGTTGAGATCGTTTTCGTAGTTATCACCATCATCGTACATTTATTCTTTATTTGAAGGTCAGTATATTTGATATGTATCTACTCAAATTCAAACAAGTGTATGTAGGCCAAGGAGGTCATTTTCATACATTAAATGTAAAATAATGTATGGAGTCAGCAGTTACATTGCTTTTTGGCATCTTAAATATTGCAACCTCAAGATTTTTTTTCTTAGGTAAATCAGGGCGCAAATTCGAAAAAGAAATTTAAGGTAGGAAAGTAGGAAGTAGAAAGACTAGAATCGCAATTACATAGAGTATATTATGCAAATTAACTACTGCGACATCATTACGTGTATATGTAGAAGTCATAATATGATCATGTGAAGATACTAGTTGTTGATTGCTGTTGGCGCAACTGGAAAAGGGTGGTTCAATGATTTGCTAAGATGTATCACTATGTATTATATTGTGAGCGTTGAATCAATTCTAGTTTGAGACTACAGATTTAATATAGTGAGGGAATATTAAACAATCCCGTATTAACTTACCCATCCCTTTCAGTTCTTAGAGCCTATTGTCAAGTAATGATTGCCACTAAATTATGTAAGATGCTTATGAATAATGATCTCAGTTTCTTTGTTACGAAAAATTTGTCACAAGCGAGGTAATTTCACATAAGGTGTGAAGAGGGAAGTCAGTGATGATTTAGTGAGATTTTAGTGTGTTTACCAGTAAAAATTTTCATTTCCAATCTCATTACTGAGAATACCCGGGAAAACCAAAAACAAATTTGTCAGTAGCGATGCGCAGCTAGGAAGAAAAAACATTAGAAGTCAGTAGCTCATAGCGCACAAATATTTACTGAAAGCGAACAAAACAAAGAGCGGAGGTCGTGCATTTCATCCATTTTTTCCAGTAATGTTTATGTTTTTTATTTTTGTTGTTATTATATTTTTCTTTATGATCCATTAGGAAACAAATTAGGGAGAAAAAAGATTTCGAGTCCATTATTCAACAATTGACAACGGGGTGCCTAAAACAGATGTTTTACCGTTATTCTCTCCCTAATTTATTTTTATGTGTATTTATTACTCATTTAAGCTAAATTCAACAATGACAATATAATCAATTTTTATATAATATATAAAGCAATCAAAACACCAAAAAGTAAACAATCTGGCTGTAATATAAAATAAAAAGTAATGTATCGTGATGTTATTTGTGGGTTGGGGGATTTGTTGTACCCTTGGGAAAAACACTGCCGATGTTGGAGAATCACAGGGTAGTGGAAATGGAAATGGAAATGGTAGTGGTAGTGGCAATCACATTGGTTATTGTATAATGGAACCTTTACCACTAATTGAACACAAAAAGGCGGTAAATGTGAAAGTCTAGATCACATCAATTTTAATATAGTAGCGCCCCTGTATATAACATATGGTGTACATGAAAATCTGACAATTATTCCAAATTCGGACAAATTACATACAGAGAATAAAAAAAATGTCTGCTTATTTATAAACAGAAAGATCCCCTGCTCCCACTAACATTAAATAATAAACCTTTTTTAACACAAAACTTCAAAATTGTCTGCCCCCCTCCCCCCCAAACACACAAAAAATAAAATTTTGAAAGAAAAAATTTTTAAACTTTTTTTTTTGTGTGTGGGAATTTTGGGTGAAGGAAAAACGAAAAAATGAATTTTATAAATAATCACCAAATCCAATATAAATTTTTATTGAACCCCCTTTTGCTGATTTTTAGTTCTCTTCTTTTTTGATCTTTAACACTGTTCATCAACTTATTACGTTCCTTTTGTTAAAAAAACATTTAGTTATCCAACTATAGTCTTTCATTACTCCCCCTAACTTTTTTACCAAAACTTAAGAACTTAAGATTCCACGTTGTTTCACAACTTTGTCATTCCTTTAACACATTAAATTCTTTCACATTCCTTTTACTACTACTTAAACAGTACGTTCCTTTTTAAACATGAAAACTTCATTCATTACTTTATTAGCTTTAGCCACCGCTGCTTTAGCTGCTCCTTTACAAGGTCATAAACATCATCAACATGATAAAAGAGCCATTGTTACCAAGATTGTCTATGTTGATATCTATGGTAACCCAATCACAGGTCCAAGTTCAACTGTGTCTGCTGCTATTGAAACTGCTGCTATTGTAAACCCATCTCCAGCTCAAGCTATCTCAACCTCAACTGGTACTAATGCTGCTCCAGTTGCTACTGCTTCTGCTTCTGCTGGTTCTTCTTCCGGTTCTACTGGTGGTATTAACGGTGATTTAAATCCTTTCACTAACCCAAGTGTTCCATTCGAAGATGGTAAATACTCTTGTGATTCCGTCCCAGTTGGTCAAGGTGTTATTTCCGTTGACTGGATTGCTGGTTTAAACGGTGGTTGGACTACTATTATGAGTGAAACCGGTAACACTGCTTCTACTTGTCAAGAAGGTTACTACTGTTCTTATGCTTGTCAAGCTGGTATGTCTAAAACCCAATGGCCATCTGCTCAACCAGCTAACGGTATTTCCGTTGGTGGTTTAACTTGTCAAAACGGTTTATTATACAGATCAAACACTGACTCTGATTACTTATGTGAATGGGGTGCTGATACTGCTGAATTTATTTCTCAAATTGGTCAAGATGTTGCTATTTGTAGAACTGATTACCCAGGTTCCGAAAACATGAATATTCCAACCTTATTAACTGCCGGTGGTAGTGCTCCAGCCTCTGTTGTTGATTCAGATACTTACTACACCTGGAGAGGAGGTAAAACTTCTGCTCAATACTATGTTAACAATGCTGGTGTTTCCGTTGAAAATGGTTGTATCTGGGGTACTGCTGGTTCTGGTGTTGGTAACTGGGCTCCAGTTGTCTTAGGTTCTGGAACTACTGGTGGTAACACTTACTTATCTTTGATTCCAAACCCAAACAATCAAACTCCTCCAAACTATAACATTAAAATCATTGGTACCAGTGGTGCTAGTGTTGTTGGTGCTTGTTCTTATGAAAATGGTCAATATACCGGTAGTGGAAGTGATGGATGTACCGTCACCCTTACTTCTGGTAAAGCTCAATTTGTCTTTTTCTAAATTTAACTATTTAGAAATTTGATTTAAAATGGAACTTAAAAAAATACCCAACCTTTTTCTAAAACATGTATGTTTTTTTTATTTGTTTCCCCATCTGTATTATTGTTTTATATATTATTAAGAAATTATTAATAATTGCAAAACTTTTACTTTTTGAAGTGCTTTTTCTTATTTTCTTGTTTTGTTTTATCTTGTTTTTTACGTTAATGTGTATCAAGAAGAGTTTAGAAGAATTATAGAAATTTATCACTGCAGAAGTAAAGTAAATAGGGTTTTCTAGCTATCATTGGAGGTTTATCTTTATCATTTCTTCTGTTTGAATTTTGTATTTTTCGTGACCTTCAAAGGAGTTTAAATCTTTACATGGTTTTTCTTACTTTGGGTATATTTTTTAGATTTTTTATATGTATATATATATTGTATTTTTTAGAAATATATATATTTGGTTTTACTTTTAAAATTTATTATTATCAAATTAAATATCTATAATTACGCTATTAGCTCTTATTTTGACCTGTTATCCAAATGCAACTGTATCACAATAACTTATGATTAATTCTTCTCCTGTTTTATATAAATCATATAATGTACCTAAATTCTCATCAGGATTGGGTTGAAAAGATGATTGGATATATAGAAACACACTTTGTACTTCTATTTGCTTTCTAATAAATAGAATTAGCGTTGATATGTTTCGATTTCGTCCAATCTTAAATACTCGAGTTGATAATATACGAGTTGATCCAATCGGTTGAAATCTTACTGTAATTTTTAGATCCGTACTAGGAGAAGGAGAAGTCAAGGTTGACTCATCAATAGGGGTTGTCAGAGTTGTTCTTTGACGAGTTATAGATCGTAATCTTTCAGACTGAATCATAGATTCAGGTGTTGATTTACTTTCTAATTGTGGATCTGACTTCTCTATACTTTGGATATCTCTATCAGGTAGTACCTCCTTACTCTTATTTTCGATAGATTGAGTGCCTTCAACCTTAGAAGTATTCAAGTCAACAGTTGTATCGATAGACAATTGACTTATTGAATCTGCAGCTTTGTTTACACTAGTAATATCTCTCTTGTTATGTGTCTCAAGATCCTTTAACATATTAGCAGTAATAGTCGGATTCTCTTCTTCATCTTCATCATCACCAGTTTTATCTGAACTTATGAATTCTGATGGATCATGATCACTACCTACTTCCTCCACATCTTCAATATTAGATGTGATCAGCTCTCGTAATTGAAGTGGTGGTAATCTATCGTGGGGTAACTTCCCAGATTGCAGCAAAAGTGATTGTTTAGAATACAACAATTGACTCCTCCTAAGTTGTTCAACCGAAGGATTCAATGACGAAGCTTCTGATGAAGAATCATCATCTTGATCAGAATGTATTATCGCTGACATACAATAAGAATTGTAGTTTATAACCCTTCAGTTATAATTCAAACTAACTTTATTGTCACTTACTAAATAATTAAGATTTTTTGGGTAAATCCACGCACTAAGTTAGCTGGATAAACACTTGAAAGGTATATACGCTGCAAATTTACGATTTAAACTTTACATCTTGTTATTTATTACAAGGGGCCAGTATTTGGTCTTGATATGGTAGTTTTTCTAAATATATTAAGCAATGCCAATTTATCAAAAAACTTATATCGAACATTCACCGAAAGAAATATCGCAAGACTTAATTAATCACTTTCTCAACATCTATTAATGGCATATTTATGCTGAAAGTCTCTATACTTTCTTAAGAAAAGCTAGATTGAAGGAAGATATATAAAACATGACCAGTTCTAATGGGTCAGTCACTTCTGTTGCTGCGGAAGTTATAACTTATATGCCCGTTTTCTGGTACACATTCACGAGTGTATAATGTCTTTCTAACGTACAATTCTAATTTATCGTAAAATACCTTTAGTGAATCAGGATGTGAAGGAAGAAAGTCATTAGTCACATTGAGTGACATCGACGAGAAATTTGATTTCATACAAGTTTCGTCAATATCATCGCAAAACTCAATGCTTGATAATTTAGACAAATGTATTGTTTTCAATGATACATGTCTAGCGATTGACGAATTAAAATAAAACACTTTAGTAGTATTATCTACGATTACTAATTCATTTAGATTCACTGGAAATTCAATGTTGGAAGAAATTAAAGAAATTTGACAACCATTGATCCATATTGTCCTCAATAGAGGATAATCTCTTTCTTTGTTGAATAATTGACAACTCTCATCAATAGATGTAATAGGATTATTAAATATTCTCAAAGAACTTAAACATGATGGGGGTCTAAAATTACTTAGACTATAAATCCCACATTTAGTGAATATAATTTTATTTAATTTTGTAAAATCATTAAAGTCTGCGTTAACAAGACTGAAACTATCTAAGCAATTATCAAACTGAAGCCATTCTAAACATGATTTACAATTGTCAAAATTAAAGTTATCTAATGACATAGAAAACTCACAATTGCTTAAATTGAAGCTTGTCACTCCCCTTGGAACTTTATATATCTTATCTATTGCTTTTAACACCAACCCATTTAATGTTAACAGTTGAAGAGATGACGGAAAATCAAAGTCTATTTTTTCAACATTACAAGTGGGAACTTTGAAATTCACATTCAAGTGAGATATTGAATCGGGAATTTGGGATAAAATCAGATTAATGGGATACCCATGAACGGTTAGGGTTGATAAATGTGGAGGTAGCTTAGAAATCACATCTTTAAAAATACCGTTGGAGTTGTACATATCATTAACTGATAGGTGCCTTAAATTTCGAGGCCAATCTTTCCATGAATCTAGTAAAACTTCGCCACCCCATGTCTCTTTCGTCATTGTTAAATATTGGGTAATAATAGTTAAGGTAATTACTCCTCTTGGTATGGATTTGATATAAAAATTTCTCCCTTTTTGGATAAAGATTTCGAAAATTTTTAAATTTTTAAATTTAGTATAATAATCGCTATCAAAATTGTTATCAATTGCTAATTCATTTACACTCTCAAATACGTTGGGTGATAAAACCAACTTTAACATATTATTTTTGGATATTAATCGCAATGTCTTCAACTGTGAAAAAGGAGAAAGATCTAATTCCATTAAAGTCTCTGTACCTATTATCTTTAATATACTTATAGTGCTAACCCGGTTGGGATAAGGAAAATCCGTTAGATTCATACATTTAGAATAATACAAATTATAAAAATCCAATTCGAATTCTGTATTGTTTTCGATTCCATAATATTCATCAAGGTGACTAAATGAAAAGCAATTCTGTTCCCCTAACTTATAATGGGCAGATTCATCCGAACGTAATACTATTGGGATAATATTATCTGTACCTTTGATCAAATGTATAATGTCTGAAAAGGAGTTACTTTGGAAACACTTTTCACAATGTTTGCAAATTACATCATATAACTTCTCTGTTGTAATCAGTCTTATTTGAAGATTCTTAGTTTCATCATCTTTGATTAATGATTTAAATAAGAGAATCCGTGCAAGGGATAAGTGTTTTAGGATTGTGATTTTTAATTCAATTGGAAAGTTGATATAGCAGAAAGTAAAAAATTTGTAAATATAATTGTCATCGTATTGTGGTACCATTTTGAGTATAAAAAAGTTAATTTGAAAGCACTATGATGTGTGATAGTTCCTTTTTAACTATCAAATATAATAATTTATATAATTTATATATTTTTAGCAGCTTCATTTGCGTTATGTTATGCTTAATTGCGCATTATATATATAATCCTATATATAACGCACGACATGAGTCCGACATTTTATAGAGGTCATCTAACCAGTGCTCCATTTCTGTTGTAACAACTCCTTCTAAAAGTGAACCAAATATGGAATCTTAGTGGATTGTATTCTCCAATGCTAGCTAATATCATATGATAGAAAAGCAATTGACAAACTTTTATAAGTCTTGGAATGCAATGAAAAGGAAAATACCACTACTGATTCATTGTTATCATTCATTAATAGTCCTTCAGCATATTTATCGAACTATTTAATCACTACCTACTATATGATCTGTCTTAATAAAATCATTGATATTACCTGATGAATCTATGGAAATTGATGATTGTTTTTCGTGATCTTCTTGCAGGATTTCATGTTCGATTGATAAAATTTGATGATTGTCGAAGTCTTCCACTGTCTGATCAATAGCAAAATTAGGTTGCATTTTGAATTCTGAATAGCTTTATATAAATATGGTGACAAAACTATTCTGAATAGATATAAGTATGGTGATAAAACAAGAAGAAACTAAAAATACTTTTAACGCTCAAATTTGTAAACCGCAAAAACAATTAGTTTACAAAACAACTTTTTTATTTGCAACCCTTTTAGGAAACGCATTATTTTTGTTATATCAAAATTTTAAATATACTAATCATTCAGAAACCACCCAAAATCAAATTAACTGTTTTAAGAATTAATTGAATTGAGATGAGGTATCATATTTGTCATTAACTTGATTAATATGAAATTTTGTGGCAAAGATCGGACCTAGATCATTTCAAGTTAGAATTGAGAGGCCAGTCTAAGAATATAACAACTATCTGAATATTCACTTGGCGAAACCTTTTTGTTATCTAAAGTAACATTATATTTACCTAGGAAAAGTTGGTATTGATGTAATTCAATAAACCATTACCAGTTCTGATAGTTCGGTGGCAAGGGGGCGAGTGACGGGGAAGAATCGAAAACTTACCAATCGTGTATACCAACGAGTGTATAGTAGAAGGAAATCAATTCAAAATCTGTACTGTTTTCTATCTCATGGTCTTTATCAAGGTGATTGAAAAGCAAATCTGTTCCCTTACGTTATAATGATCAGAATGTAATACTAAAGCGATAATAAGATTTTTGGGTGTGCGCGCACGACCTTTTACTTTTTTAAAAAACCTGGGATTCATTAATGCATCGCCGCCCACCTCTCTCTCTCTCTTTCAGTCTCATTCAATTTGGAAAAGACATTTGAGCTTTAAATTTTTGAATTATTATTGAAAGGAATTGCTATTACATTACAAGTTGAATATAGTTCAAGATGTCAGACTCAGAAGTATCAGAAACAAGTGAATCGACCATTGAACCATTTCAATTCGAAAAAGTATTGGAAAGTTTAGATTCTGGTGCTAAAGAGGCAGTTGAATCTAAGGATTACTTGTCCTATAGTACTCTCTTGGATATTTATCTTAGTGAACCAACCAAGTATAGTTATGATGAAAGAGAACAATTATTGAGTCATTTACTTACTATCTTGTCTGCTAATAAGGAGTTGACTTACGAAATTGGTTGGGATTTACCTAATTTATTAATTCTTTATGTCGAATCTGATTTTAATTTCCAAAATCCAATTAGAACTGCTCCTTGTGTTTATAAGATTTTAAAGAATTTTGAAGCTTTAGCTTTGAATGGTAATCCAAAAGAATTGTTTTTAAAATGTTGTGAATTATTAACTACCATTAAGATTTCTGATGTTACCATTACTGATGATACTGATATTCAAGATCGATTTTTTGATGTTAAATTGTACTGTATTTTTGAATTGATTGATAGTTGTCTTAAACGAATCAAAACTTATTATCCATCACGATTCTTAGCTATGACAGTTGCTTCTTACATTAACTGTGCTTATAATAATGCCACCAATTCCGCTGGTAAGAATGATTTTATGATGAAACGCGCTTATAGTTTTGCTAGAAATTATATCAATCCTCCATTACCGGATGAGATCGACCCTAGCTTGACTAAAGAAGAAATTGCTAAGATTAAAGATGATGAAGAATATTTACAAAGAAAATTATTAACTGGATTTATTACTAGTTTAATCTATTTCTTATCGACAAATCATCATAATGGTTATTCAGTTGATCATTTTTCATTTTTACAAGAACCAAATCGACCTCAATTGAAAAAATACTTTGAATATGAAGTTGATATTCCAGTAATGAATAGAATCGTTGAACTTGCTTTATCTTATGATATAGAATTATCCAAAGTATTTAGACAGTATATTGATGATGCTGACGCGTTATTTAAAACTTTGAAATTTGATCAAAATGAAGATGAATTAAGTGGGGAAATATTTGAAAAAGTGGTTATTGATTATCAAACTAATTTATTAACTTCTCTTATCAATAGTGATGCTAAAAGTATAAATGATTCAGTATTAGGTTGTGTATTATTATATACTCATAAAATTGCTGTTAAAAGAACTTTCGATAGAGTTTCAATCACATTTAATGATGCTGTTAATTTGACCTTAAGAACTATTATTCCTCAAATGGTTCAAAGTTCATTCGTTGCTACAGGTTTACAAGATGCTGTTTTATTCTGGGGTTGGTATGCATTATATGAAAATAATGATATTGAATTACAAATTAGTTCGATACCAAAAACTTTATTAGCTATCTATTTTCAAACTTTGTTTTATATCGTTATAACAACAAATGATAGTGTTAACTTCAGATATGTGGCTTTAACCTTATTAACTAAGATTTTGGCTTTGGCTCCAGAAAGTGCTTCATACACATTCTTAAAGGATAGTTTACTCAACTGTCCATATGAAAGAGATAAAGCCACTTTAATTGGAATTTTAAAAGAATTATTAACTAAAGATAAACAACAAGCCAATGACTTGGAATCTTTATCAAATAATCTTGCTAAAGCAACTATAAAGGAAGAAGAACCAGCAGAAGTTGAACCAGAAGCAGAAACCAAAGTAACTGAAACTAAAAAAGAATCTTCTACTTCTGTCCCTCCTCCATTACCTCACCGTGATATTCCAGAACCAACTTCCACTAAATATATCAAATTGGATAAAGAGAAGTTAGCTGATTTATTCAGTTTAATCAATCTTTCCATTTCCGAAGCCTTCATAAAGGAAAAGGATATTATAAGTATAGATCCAAGAAAATTATCAACCTTGTCAGCTTATCTCAATTTATTAGTGGTGATTAAGAATGATATTACAGTTATTACTAATAAGGCTCAATTAGATAAGATTCTTGATACTGTCGAGGAAAGATTCAAATCTGTCAAAACTAAACATGAAAAGGATAATTCAAATGTATTTGAATTGAATGCAGTTGGTATGTTAGAGATTACATTAGACAGAATCAAAGCTTAGTATATAGTTCTTGTTCTATATTTATTATACATACTTAAATAATATTATGGTTTTATTTTAAAAAAAATATGTTGTACTGTGTTTACTTTTTGCTCTTTGAAGAACCTTTCTTTGCATTATTTCCCGTTAAACTCCTATCATCAACTAATGGACCCCAATAAACAAAGAATCCTTCTTTTGTAGTAGCAATTTCATCTTCCATTTGTAATTCTTGATCATCAATAAATGGATCTTCATAATCATATTTACCCACTTTTCTAGCGATTCTAGCTTCATGACGTCTTACTTTTTGTTCTTCTGTCAATTCTTCTTCCTCCTTTCTCTTTTTAGCAGCAGCTTCTCTTTCTCGTTCTTTTTCTTCATCGTCATCTTCTTCATCCTCTTCTTCTCCATCTTCATCATCATCAACTAATATCTCATCCATATTATCTATCACCGATTTAGCATTTGGATGTATAACTTTGAATCCATATTTTTCTTCAGCTAAAGCTAACACATTGATGACAACTTCAGCTTGACCTGGTTTAGGATTTTTAGGATCTATCAAAGGAATATTTAACGCTATTATAGGAAGATCAGGCTTTTCCTTTTCTTCCTCCTTCTCTTTCTCCTTTTCTTTCTCCTTTTCCTTTTCAATGGTTTCTTCCTTCTTTTTATCAGTAGTCGCTGGGGTAGTCTCAGTTTTAGCAGACTCTTCAGCTTTCTTCTCACTGCCTATTGTTATCACTTCAGCAGCAGGTAATGTAATACTACCAGTTTTGACATTTTCAGTTGTCATTCCAGAATGAACAACTAATTTTGGTGGGGTAATTTTAACTTCTTCCTTATTGGCACTTGGATCTGGAGTTTTCCTATTCCCTGCAGCACCTTCACCTGGTTTACGTCTTTTAACAGGTTCAGCTCCAGGTTCCTTCTTTTTGGGTGGAGCTCTTTTACGTTTTGGAGCTGCAGTTGCAGCAGGTGGTGGACCTGATGGAGATGGAGTTGGAGTCTTATTGTTTTCAACTGCAATGATTTCTGGTTCATCATCAATGTTTATGATGGAATTGATTGATGTCTTACTTAAATTTGGAGGTTTACTAGCTGGATTTGATACTGGTGCTGGTGAAGGTTGTGGTGATGCGGCTATTTGAAAATTTGTTTGAAACTTCTTAATCTGATCAATTGCTACTACCCCTTTACCATTCAGTATTGGTTGCGCTTGTGGACTTGGCGATACAGTAGGCTTGGGTACTAAGACTGGTAAAGAGGGTGATGGCCGTATAGGAACTGGTCTTTTTGATCTTGGATTTGATTTGTTATTATTGCCATTTGCAGGAGATTTAGTATTGCTTGGTGATACTTCAACCACATCTTCATCATCAATGACTATGGGTGAATCGGAATTAGTATTTTCCACTATGATTGATGTTTGAAATTGAGAGACTAAGCTTGTTAAAGGAACAGCTCCATTATTACCTGTCTTTGAAGCTGTGGAATTAGATCGCGATCTTACAATTTCATTTGAAGGTATATTTGGATTTGAATTATCAGCAGTTGAATCTAGTAATGACGAAATTGGGACATTCCGCTTACCATGTGACATTGTGATGGATTGGTTTATATGATTACTAGTAACTTTTGAATTAATTTGAATGGATTCAATTTGATGTTGTAAAAACAATTTCTCGAACACTTTTTGTATTTATATTTTTTGAGCGCATATCAGTTACCGAGAAAATAAAATAAAGTAAGTTCAAATAATTTATCGTTTATTCATAAAAGTGTGTGTGGAAAGAGATGATTCTATACAAGAAATATACAAACCTTAAGCTCTATCTAATTGGTTAACATTAGAATGGAATCCAAGCTTACTTAAAGTAAGACTTGTATCACTTCCATAGCCTTCTAAGGAGTTCATGGTTAAATCACCATTCCAATAATCAGCATAAATCTTTGACATAGGTAAACCTAAACCTAATTTATACTCAAATGGTCTTGTAGTTAAGTTTTCTAAAGTTGATTTTTTGGTTTCGGTAGAATGTTCTGTATCAGATAATGAAGTTTGATTCAATAATCCTGCTGAGTCTGGGGTATTTACAATAGATGAACCAGCTGGGGTGACTTTTAAATTTGAATATAATTGTAATCCTGGAATTCGATGGAAATTGGATAATGACTTTCTAGCCAATTCTGGATTTTTCCCAAATGACCAGATTCCTTTTAATTTATCATGACCAATACCTCCTCCTCTATCTGAGATTCTGAACGTAACTTCTCTTTTCAAATTTATGATTGTAACTGTAATAGGAGGTAATTTTTTAGAAGTCATGGTACCATGAGTTTGAATGGTTGCTTCAAATGAATTTCTTAAGATTTCACCAATCAAATAATGTAAATGAGGAACCATAAAAGGGAAAGATGTAGAAGTGTCACCTTCGATTTCCAAATCAGGCATTTTGTCAATATCAGCATATCTATCAAGCATTGAATTCTTGATTACATCGGCTACTATTCTAAAATGTTCAGCTGCATTACAATTTTGGAAAATTTCTCCAATATAATGAGGTGGTTTAGTAGCATAAGGATCTCTTTTATAATTTTCACTTAATGATAAATGTTCTTCAACAATCACTCTTCTACTTATTCTTGATCTAATCATAGAACTCATGAACTGATCTAATTCTTGTTGAGGTAAATTTCTTAAAATTGAAACTTCCAATCCACCCATCATTAAATGAGGTAAATTAAAGACATGATCATCAAGCATAGTTGATAAAGTTTCACAAAATTTATCATTTTCTTGTAAGGTTGAAATAGCAGGTATCTTTCTAAATGCATTAAACAGATGATAATAACTTTCATAAATTTGAGCCAAATGGAAATTATTTACCACTCCAAACGGTAAAGTTTGTAAATCTCGGATTCTCATGGCTAATCTGATAGGTAATTCGATTCTAACAAAGTTAGCACTATTTATAATCTTCTGTTTAGTTAGTTTGTTACCATACCCAGCCAATTGTCTTAATGATACGGGATGAGGTCCTTTCTTCAGGAATTCCATTAAGATTTCATTTTGATAGAAATGTTGAGGATTCAATATACTGGAATAAGTAGGGAAAGGTCCTAAGTTTTCTAAATGCTTTGCAATCTCTTCCTTACTACTCTTCGATAAGAAATCTTGATAGATATATGAATGTGATGTAATTGGTGAATAATTAGAGCTAGAAGTGAATCTAATTGCACATCTCTGAAAATTTCGGGCTCTTATCATAGGTAAACTCTTAATTCTTTGAACAAATAGTAAATATGTTCTTTAATTATAAATATAATGACTCGAGGTAGCAATATAAGATAGGTAACAATATGAATTCTTTAATAGATGGATAATCTATATAATATCTAACTATAACTTATCATCATCAGACAACTTATGATTCATATCGACATGATATTTTTGTTCCGCTGGACCATTACGAGACTGTATATAACACTATCTCTTTTCTAAGCATCATTTGTATACAGGATTTTGCAATCTATCGTTATATGCCGGAACAACAAACAATCCTCACACTATTAGCCAGCCACTTGTTTTCCCCCTGAAATCATACTATGAAGAAGTCATTTAAAACGATCATAAACTATTGAAAAATTTGTTTGAAACAGGATCAATGTTAAACTGGAACTCTTCTTGATATAAGTATCCTCATTAACAAGCATTGACATAGAATGAGTAGTATGAAACCATCACCCAGTGGGTATTATACATCACAATATTTACAGGAACAAAATCAACAAAGGAGAGGTGGCATACCGAAATCAGAGGTTTCTACACCTCGTCAAACAAGACAAGATTTATACGAAAGTTTTCAATACAACAACAATGATAGTATATATGGAGGATCCATTCCTAAGTCTCCTACATCACCAAACTCTCGAGACGTTCCTTCGTCACCTATGTTTGAAAATAGAAAGCCAAATAGAGTGGTGGAATTCAAACCTTTATCTAAATCAAATCAAGATATGCCCCAAACTCCAAAGACACCAAACTCATTAAAGACGTTTTTCTTTGGTAAGAACTCAGATGAAAGAAGGAATGATTCGTCTCATCTAGATGATATTCTGAGTGAAGCAGATTATGAATATGGACCACAATATGATCCTGATTACTTAGAACAAGAAATAACTCCAGCCCAATTGAATTATCTTGGAGATCGAAATGACGACCAAAGTTCGAATAAGGGTGAAAAATTATTTAAATCTTATTCTACTCCTATCGTGGTATCATCATCTGATCTGAAGAATAATGGATTTGATGGATATTACATTCAACAAAAGAAAGCTTTTGATCAAGCTGATTATAAACCAAAACAATATTCTCATAAAACATTCCGAGATATATTTGATAATAAAGAAGAAAGTACAGATAAGTATAATCCTATGGAATTTGTGTTTGACGATGGACCTAAAAGGGGGAATTTAGTCAAGAATGTTCAAGTCCTTTTTGGAAAAGATGATTATAATAGTTATAATTATTATGATCATAAACAAAAAGTTAGGAAAAATCCGATGAAAGAGGTTTTTGTTAAAGAACTTAGTGATGATGAAGATGATGATGAAGAGAAAGGTAAAACTGAAGTAGTTGGTACTGATCCATTTGATGAAGCTGAACTACCTGTTAAAAAGAATAAGAAGTTATCCAAGATGTTCAAAAAGAAGATTAAGAAAGCCAAGAAAGAATTAGGTAAAGATTTCATCAATAACGCAGAGAAACAACGTGAAGAGAAGGACATTCGAAATGAACAACTAGAATTACAAAGAGAGCAGAAAGCATTGGATGATGAAGAAGCAGCAAAACAGGCAGCTCTTGTAGCAGCTTCTACTCTGTCATATTCTTATGCTGGACAAAATCCTGATTTCCATCCATTATGGAATTATATCCTTTCATGGGTAGTTTATGAAACTCAATCACCATCACTTATCAATACTAATGCCAATACCAATAAAATCCAATTAATTGAAGAACCTAATGAAATACAATCACAATCAGAAGAAGTAATATCACCTAAACCAAAGAATAAATTCACTTCAGCTATCAAAACAAAAATAGTTCCTCGGAATGTACCTAAAAATCTTAAAAATATGAGGAAAAATTATCAAACCATAACTAGTAAATGGAATGCACCAGCAGCAGAATTATTTAATGAAAATTATATACCACCACCATCAAGATCAAGAAGAGGGTTGGAGTTTCCTACTCAATCATCAGCATCAAGTTTCATAAGTCAAGATAGTGAAGATTTAAAAGAATTTGTGGTTGAATATGATGAAAGTGATGATGAAAGTGCCATCACTGAAGAATTATATTATAATCCAACCACCAAACAATTAGAGCCATATGGTTCAAGTACAAGTTCAGGTTCAAATTCAAATTCAAATTCCAACACCACTATAGGACAATTACATTCTATCGCAAATTTGAATTCACCCCTGGCAATCATGTCAAATATAAATAAACTTATCAAACATATTAAGATCATGAAAATTATTTTCGCACCCATTGATATTATTGCTGAACATTTTCCTCATTTACAAACCATTGTAATATTGATTGAATTGGTGATATTTATGTGGATACTTTATGAATTAAGTTTATTAATTGATGCGTTATGTATGATGGTTAAAGCAGTTTGTGCTCCTATGATTGCCATGGGAAGATTTATGAATAGGATAATGTGAATGGGAATAGGAAATACAAAAGGTTCTGTAAGTTGGATATAATACAAATTATTTATTTAGAATGTATAATATAAACTATATATATAATACATATACAAAAGTTCGAACCGAGTTTCAAGAACTTTAGTTAATAAAAGAGAGATAAATTATGTAAGAAAGAAAGAAAGCTAAACATAATGAGTAGTAAAAAATAAAAACAATAATAATAATAATGATAATAATAATAGTAATAATAATAGGATGTAGAGATTAATAATAACACTTAGAAAGGGGGAAGGAATATAAAATTATCACTAATAATGCATGATGGAAGCAACTACTAGAAACAAAATAACCATAAGGGATAACAAAATAAAAATAGAAACAAAATGGAGGATGATTAAAATGGCGAATAGCAACGACAAACAAACGAGGAATGTATGAGCAAAGTCTGTCTTAACGAAATAAAACCAAAAATATTAACTAATAAATCAAAACATGAATATAAGTCTGATGAAAGAATGAGAATGGCAAAGGGAAAATCAGAAACAAAATTAAATTAAATTAAATTACTTCTTTTGAACCTTTGTAGTTTTGATACTACCATTAACTCTAATACCTTTAATAGTAACCCCAGTTTGTTCAACCGGGAATTTTCTTGGTCTACCTCTTCTATCTTTCTTTTGAATTAAATTTTGAACTGATGGATCACTTAAAGTTCTTAAATAAGTTGGTTGTTCAAATAATCTACTTAAATCTGGAGTTAATTCCTTTTCAGGTTTAGGAGGTTTACCATTTGAAATACCTTGGATTGGTAAAGATACTTGAATTGGAGCAGTAGTAGTAGTTGCGGATGGATTAATGGTAGTTTGATTAGTACCAATAGAATAATGATGATCAGTTAAAGCACTCGATTGAGCAAGTTCAGCAGTAGTAATTTTTAAATTTTTATTTAATTGTTTAAAACGAGGATGATGTGAATCAATATATTGATTTGTCTCTGGATCAAGAATTAATTTCTTTGGACGTCCTCTTCTTTTCTTTTCACCATTTTGATTTTGCATAACTTGAAGTGCTTGTACTTGAGCTTGAGCTTGGGCTTGAGCCTGAGCTCTTGCTTGAGCTTCTAATTCAAGTCTAAGTTGTTCTTGTCTTCTTCTTTCTTCTTCAAGAGCTTGTTGTTGTTGAAGTAATTGTTTCTTAGTAATTCTCTTTTGTTTTGGTTTCTTTTCTTTACCTTGAGGTTGTTGACCTTGTTGTTGTTGCTGTTGTTGTTGTTGGTTATTTTGTTGTTGATTGTATTGTTGTTGAGTATATTGTTGTTGAGCATAAACTGCGTTTTGATCATATTGTTGTTTTTGTTTTGGAGATTGTTGTTGTTGATACATTTGTTGATGTTGATTTTGTGGAGATACTTGTTGTTGGAATTGACTTGGAGCCAAGTATTGTTGTTGTTGCTGTTGTTGTTGATTAGATTGTTGATTTTGTAACTGTTGTTGTTGAAATGGTACAGCATTTGGATGAGGTAAAGACAAAGAAGTTGAATTAACTGTTGATAAAACTCCACGATGACTAACCCCACCTAAAGGAGGAACTGGACTTTGAGAAGTACGACCAGCATAAAAGCTTCCAGGTTGAGTAGATTGGAATTGAGCATGAGTTGGATGAATTGTTTTGGTATTAGATTGGCCTGTAACAGAATTCTGACTACCGGTATTATTTTGTTGATTATTAGCATTACCATTACTGGCATTACCATTATTGCCATAAGAAGGATATGGAAGATACATGATGATAGTTATGTAAATCTAATTCTAATTCTGATTTCGATTATGAGGTTTATCTATCTATCTATCTTGATCAAAATGGTTTAAAAAAGCTTGATGAAGATGAATGAAATAAAAACTAATAGTTTGATTTGATATTAGGGTTTTTTTTTTATTTCAATTATTTATTTATTTATTTATTATTTTTATTTTTCTTTCAGTGGATATTTTTTACCTTATTTTTTTTTATTTAATTTTAAATTATTTTTATTTTTAATTTTATTTTTATTTATTTATTATTTTATTATTTTAATTTAATTCTTTTTTTGGTATATTACTAAAAGTCCTTTCTATTAAGTATGGGAAATTTCGTACCAAAAAAAAAAAAAAGGAATGGAAAAATAAAAAATGGGCAAAAAAAAAGTAAAAGTAAAAATTAAAAATAAAATTCAGGGAAAAATAAAGTGACGTCGACAGTGGGATCAAACAACTCGATATATGAAACGGCAGAAACAACGGGATGAGATGATGGATGTGATGGAGGGATGGCGGGAGGTAAGGAAGGAGATATATCACGTTTAGTCTATCTGATGAGGATTTGATATGTTGAATGAGTTAAGTGATAGAAAGAAAAGAGGAAAGAAAGAAAGAAGAAGAAGGAATAAAAAAATTAAAATAAAAAAAAAGGATAAAATGAATTCTTTTTTTTTTAAATTTAGTACATTCAATTTTATTATTTTATTATCATTTTTTATTTTTATTTTCAGTGCCTTTTCGTCGTTGGATTAAATAAAAAAAAACAGAAAGAGAGAGAGAGAGAGAGAAACCTGAGAGGCAAATGAAAAGAGGGAGAAAAAAAAAATACCCACCATAAAAAAAAAAAAAAAAACAATTGAATGGAATTTTTCCCTCCTGTCTCCTTCTCTCCCTACCTCATTGTGTCTGTAAGGTCTCTCTACGCTACAATCAATCCCATTTCTGGTGGAGCAAACGGAATAGCATTTGACAACTACAACAACACCACCAAAAAAAAAAATAGTCATTAAAAAAAAAAGAAAAAAAAATTATAAATAAATGAATTAAAATAAAACAAAATAAAATATAGTAAAATAAAATAAAATAAAATAATATTAAAATAATAATAATGAAGTAGAAACAAAAAAAAAAAAAAACAAGACACGGTATTTCACCTCCCTCCTCCTTTCTAAACCAGAGATCAATCACAGGATTTAGAACCTTCGGAACAGATTGATTAATATTATTATTATTGACGATCATCAAATTGAAAAATAATTAAACATAATAATAAAACTAATTGATAAGAGTTTCCTCTTCATCCTGTAATATCTTGACATTTAAGGTATAGTGATGGGATAGGATGCGATGGATGAACGATAGACGGATTGAATGTATGACGATTGATAGCTTAATTTTTATTTTTTTAAGTAAAGCTTATATATTTTAGGGACTAACCGTTCTTTTTTGGGGTGAGAATTAGTTAGTTAGTTAGTTAGTTAGTTAGTCTGTGAAAAGGTTAAAGATGATGGAGTACTTTTTTATTTTTCTTTGTCTTTCTTTTTTTTGTTTTTTTACGTTTAAGTGCATTTTTTTATTTTTTTTTTTTTTAAATCTGTACACTCTCATAATTTTTTTTTTATTTGGTTTTATTTTTTATTTTAATTTTTATTTTTATTTTATTTTGGAATATCTTTTTTTTTTTTTTATGATGAGCGGAGGGAACATTCTATATACAGGAGGAGGAGTGGAACATTAGGGAGTTGGAATTTTTAGCAGTTAAATAATGAGACTTATTTAATTATTTACATTATAAAATGAATCTATATTTTGTACCTAAAAGACATAAATAGTATACACAAGAAGAAGTAAATGACTATTACTTGAATTCAAACTAGGATCTTTTTTTTCCTTTCTTTCTTTCTTTTTCTTTCTATTACTTTTTTTGACTAGTGTTTTTTTTGTTTTTTAAATATTATGAATGATTAATTTATTAGCTGGGATTTGAGATAATAAAGAATCTTCAAATTGTTTAACAAATTGTTTTGAATCAGATAATTTTTCATCAAATTTGATTTTAAATTCAACTGTAACTGTAGTTGAACCATTTGGTGAAGAAGTAATTAAACTTGATGTAGATGGTAACCCTAATAAATCATCAAAATCAGAAGTAGAAGAAGTACTGGTTGAAATAGAAGATTCATTGGAGAAGAATTCATAATTAACTCCATAAACTTCAAATCTTGTCTTGGTAACTGATGGACTAATCAAATCATCGAATAAATCTTCAGATTCAAAACTAGAACCAATTGCTGAAGAAGCAAATTGAGGGAATTTCTTGGCATAAGTTTGTCTTATCGCAGTTTCAATTGATTTTTCAAATGCATATTTAAATTTTGGTTGAGAAATATCTTCACCTAATGAAGAAGTTAATTCAACTGTTAATATATTTGATGGTTTTGGTTTTTCAAGTTTAACATCAGTAGATTTAGTTTCTTTAGTTGATTCTTCAACTTTCTTTGGTTCTGCTTTAATAATATTTGATAAATCCAAATGTTCTTTTGATTTAATAAATTCAGTGATTTTAACTATAGATGTATTTTCAATAAGTCCTAATCCTGCTAATACATCACCTTTTAATAATCTACCTTTTGGACCTGAAGCAGGGAATTTAGTATAAGCTTCTTCAGTAGATATACCATGTTCATGTAATAATAAATCCACAGCTGGAGATAATTTAAATGAAGCATTAGCAGTGGTGAATACCGATTTTGTTGATGATGGGGATGATTCGACTGATTTAGATGGAGTTGATTTTGGAGCTTCTTTAACAGGTTCAGGAGTTGATTCAGCAGCAGCAGCAGCTACTGGAGCAGCTTCTTCCTTTGGTAATTCCAATGTAGCTAAATCATCTTCAGGTTCAGCAATAATAGCAATTGGTTTACCAACAGGTACCCCTTTTGAACCATCAGCTTGTAAAATATCAACCAATTTCCCATCATCAACTGCTTCTACATCAATGTTGGATTTATCAGTTTCAACTTCTAATAATACATCACCAGAATTAAAACTTTCACCTGGTTTAAATTTCCAAGAAACAATCCCACCTTCACTCATGGTTGGAGACATGGCAGGCATTTTAAAAAATGAGGCATCTTTTAAAGGTATGGAATTATGAAATTGACATTTATGAGATAATTGTTGAACAAAGGATCTTTTGATAGTATTTGAAGCTGCTCTTATCATTATAATGAGTATGGAATATATGTGATGAAATTTAAATATGTATATCTAGTTATGGAAAGTAAAGATGAGATTAAATTGAATTGAATTGAATAGATGACTTGAACAATGATTGAGTTTCACGAGTGGATTCGATTATGATGTTTCAAATGACTCAATTATCAAAAGTATCACTGAATAAGCCAGACGAAATGAAAATCAATTGATGATTATATATTAATATTATTAAAAACCATTTTCAATAAATTATTTTTATCATCAAATTTTTTTAGTGTGAGAGTGTTTGCTCAACAGTAGGAGTATATCGGGTATAAATCACCGAAATATTTTTATATTTTGACTTTTAATCGTTACATCCTACGGGTCCGACATTCCCGTCGTATGTCGTAACTATTTTCAAATAAAATGTCTCTAATAAGATCATGTGATAACTCATGTGCTTACGGTCACATGATTTGCCAAAACACGTAATTTTTTTGGTTCCTTTCTTCCCTCACTCCTTCTTATAACTACGATAGTCTCCGGGGCACGGCAGAGTAGAACAATCAAACAGCAATCCACAACCATTACAGTGGAGAAACTAGGATTAAAATTGTGGTAACATTCTTTATATAGACATACTATATATATATATATATATATATATATGTAGCTATCATTCAATTTCATCAAGCTTGACTTGTTAATTATCAGTTACTAAGTAAAGAATAAGGCTGGACTAAACTGAACTGAACTGAACTGGATTAAAGGAGATCTAAGAAAAAAAGAAGACACACACGATTTTTAAAACTAAACTAAACAAAAAAAAAGAAAAGAACAAAGAAGAACAAAGAAAGAAAAAAATATCATCAATTTCAATTTCATCATACAACTTTTAGTTTGAATTACATGCCATCTTTATATCATATTTACCTCATTTCAAAGTATACACCATTAGATCAATATCATTCAGATCTCAATCCCAAATACCCCCTCCACTCCTCCCTTCTTACCGTTTTTGAAAAGCTATCACATTCGTTGTTTGTGTTTGATTATCATCATTTTAAAATCAAACACGCTAGCATTTAAAATTTTGTTTATTTCTGGGGATACCAAACACATTTACATACATACCCAATCAAGTTTACTTTTCAGTAAGAATCAGATCTATAACGTCTAGATTGATATCACATTAACATTAGTCAGAGCTATTACTAAATCAATCAACTATTCAAAAACAACAACATTAATCAACTTAATATAACATATATACAATCTTCCTTTTATCCTTTTACATCCATATATATATCCCTTCATATATCATAATCATCAATCATGACATCCTTGCGAAATAGAAGTAATAGCATAGCGTCTATCACTTCAATCACTCCTCCTTCATTCCTAACCTCATTATATAATAAATCTCATCTTAAATCATTATCAAAAATACTAAAGAAATATGCTAATTTCATAGGTCCTGGTCTTATGGTTTCAGTAGCATATATGGATCCAGGTAATTATTCAACCGCAGTAGCAGCTGGTTCTGCTTATCAATATAAATTATTATTCCTGATTCTTTTATCAAATTGTTTAGCTATATTCTTACAAATTTTAGCCGCAAAATTAGGCGCAGTAACTGGTTTAGATTTAGCCCAAAATTGTCGAGTTAATTTATCATTTAAAACAAATATCTTTATGTATATATTAGCTGAATTAGCTATTATTGCAACGGATTTAGCTGAAGTAGTTGGAACTGCTATAGCTCTTAATATTTTATTTAAATTACCTTTATTCTTAGGTGTTATAGTAACTGTCATAGATGTATTAGTGGTTTTAATGGCTTATAGACCAAAAGGTCCATTATTATTCATTAGAATATTTGAATCATTTGTATCAATATTAGTATTTGCTACGGTTATATGTTTTGGTATTGAATTATATCAAGTTAGTCAAGATCCAACTATAAATTTTAATATTGGAGAAGTTTTTAAAGGGTTTTTACCCAATGAAAGTGTTATAGATTCTTCAGATAGAAAAGGTGGTAATGGATTATTTTTAAGTTTAGCCATTTTAGGTGCAACAGTTATGCCACATTCTTTATATCTTGGTTCAGGTTTAGTTCAAGCAAGATTAAAAGATTTTGATATTAAAAATGGTCATTATAAACCTTTATCAAAGAAAACTCAATCATCTACACAAGTTGAATCAAATTCAAATTTACCTTTTCAACCCGAATTAGATGTTAGTGTTAGTAATATTAGTCATGAATCTGATAATAATAATAATTTAACTCCATTAGCAACTCCATATAATGATTTATCAAATGATCCATTTAATGAAGTGGAACAAAGAGGTACTAAAATGGGTAATGGTTCAAGTTTAAGTAGAGTTAATTCTCATTTTGATAAAGATGATGATTCAACTTTAAAAATTGATGATGATACTATTATTGATAAAAAAGATGGTGATGATTATTATTTCTTTAATGGTGATGGAGGATTAATTAATAATGATATTGATGATGATGATCAAGATGATAAATATCGTCCTTCAATTCATGCCATTAATGATACTATGAGTTATACTATTGTTGAATTGGTTATTTCATTATTCACAGTTGCATTATTTGTTAATGCCGCTATTTTAATTGTGGCAGGTGCTACTCTTAATAATGGTAGTAGTGGTAATGATGATCATGATAAATTCATGTTTTTTAAACGTGATGATGATGATGATGATGATCATAATTCTGATTATGATTCTGATAATGATAATGGAACTTTTGAAAATGCTGATTTATTCACCATTTATAATTTATTAACCAAACATCTTTCACCAACGGCAGGTTTTGTTTTCGCTCTTGCTTTATTATGTTCAGGTCAAAGTGCAGGTGTTGTTTGTACATTAGCTGGACAAATGGTTTCAGAAGGATTTTTATCATGGAGTTTACCCCCTGTTACAAGAAGATTAATTACAAGAGGTTTAGCTATCTTACCATGTTTATTGGTAGTTAGTTTTGCTGGTCGTGAAGGGTTAGCTAAAATTTTAAATGCAAGTCAAGTTGTATTAGCCATTCTTTTACCAGTTGTTAGTGCTCCATTAATTTTATTTACTTGTTCTAAAGAAATTATGAGAGTTCCAATTTATGTTAAAGATGGTGATGAAATGTTATTTGATGAAGAACAAATTGAACAACAAGAAAATGATGCATTTGGAATCATTAAACCATCATCAACCAGTACTAATAAATCTGATTTACCTATTGGTAAACGATTTAAAAGTAGTGAATCAGCCATTAGACTTAAAGATTTACGTAATTCAAATCCATGTGTTGGATGGGATGAAGATGATGAAGAAAATCAAAATCTTAATCATAATCAAATTCAAGAACAACAAAAATTATTAAATGAAGCCATAACATCATCAAGTTCAACTATTGCACCACCTCCTCCTCCACCTTTAACTGTCGCATCTGATGTTGACGATGACGATGATGTTTATAGAGTTAAAGGATATAAAGATTTTAGTAATGGACCATTAACTGCTTTAATTGCGATTTTAATTTGGGCTTTTATTACCATTTTAAATCTTTATTTATTAGGTAGTATGATGTTAGGTTATGATGTACCATTTTAAATAATATAGATATATATATATATATATAGCATTCACTTTTTGACTTACAAAAAATACACATACATTCATTCAATGCATTAAAAGGTTTAATTTTAATAATTTATTTTTTTGTATATTAGAAAACTAAATTCCTCGTTTTTAAAAAAAAGACACTAATTAAAAAAAAAAAAAGATTATATAAAGTGATTGGAAAAGAGTAGAATCACATTTAAGCATCATAAGTTGAAGCAGAAACGTTACCACCTTTACCAGTCCAATTGATATGAATCCAATCACCCTTTAAGAGTTCATTTTCTTGACCTGGTAACACTTTAAAAGTGTGAGCACCGAAATAATCTCTTTGAGCTTGTAATAAATTAGCTGGTAATTGAGCTGATCTATAACCATCATAGAAAGATAAAGCGGTAGTAAAAGCTGGAACTGGAACCCCATATTCAATAGCTTTACCAATAGAAGCTCTCCAACCGGATTGAGCCTTAGTGATGGCTTTATGGAAGAATGGATGGAATAACAAGTTTTCTAAATCTGGGTTTTCTCTATAAGCAGCAGTGATTTCACCTAAGAAAACAGATCTAATAATACAACCACCTCTCCACATTAAAGCAATGGCAGGATTGTTTAATTTCCAACCATATTCTTTAGCAGCTTCATTAATTAACATGAAACCTTGAGCATAAGAGATAATTTTAGAAGCATATAAAGCTTGTTCTAAATCATCAACAAATTTAGTTCTATCAGTGATTGGAGAAGCACCATCAACAGTTGGACCTTCTAAAATAGTAGAAGCTCTAACTCTTTCATTCTTTAAAGCAGAAAGACATCTGGAAAAGACAGCTTCACCAATTAAAGTAACTGGCATACCTAAATCAAGAGCATTAATGGCAGTCCATTTACCAGTACCTTTTTGACCAGCAGAATCTAAAATTTTTTCTAATAATGGTTTACCATCGGTTGGATCATTATAATAAAGAATATCTCTAGTAATTTCAATTAAGAAAGAATCTAATACACCTTTATTCCAAGTAGAAAAGACATCACCAATTTCTTTATTAGTGAATTTACCAACTCTTTTTAATAAATCATAAGCTTCACAAATTAATTGCATATCACCATATTCAATACCATTATGAACCATTTTAACATAATGACCAGCACCGGCATCACCAACCCAGTCACAACATGGTTCACCATCAGATTTGGCAGCAATAGATTGGAAAATTTCCTTAATGTGAGGCCAAGCATCTGGATGACCACCTGGCATTAAAGAAGGACCATATCTAGCACCTTCTTCACCACCAGAAACACCGGAACCAACAAATAAAATACCCTTTTCTTTTAAATCAGCAAATCTTCTGTTGGAATCTGGGAAATGAGAATTACCACCATCGATAATAATATCACCTTGATCTAAATGAGGTAATAATTGATCAATAAAAGCATCAACTGGTTTACCGGCCTTAACTAATAAGATAATTCTTCTTGGTCTTTTTAAATTGGCAACCAATTCTTCAATTGATTTAGCACCAATGATGGATTTACCTTTAGCTTCATTAGCTAAAAATTCATCAACTTTAGAAACAGTTCTATTGTAAGCAACAACAGTAAAACCATGGTCAGCAGCATTAAGAATCAAATTTTGACCCATAACGGCTAAACCGATTAAACCAATATCACCACTAGGTATTATATTACTGTTAGTATGATTGATATTTAAATGTTGATTTATAAGGGATAATCGTGAAGTCATTCTATAAGTATTTTGGTTATTGATAATCAGTTATGAGTATGTGATCGATATGCATCAATTGGAATATGAATGGATCATAACCAAATCATTCGGTATTTGTATATATATATATATATATATATATATGAAATATATATATCGACCATGATCGACAGACCGATTCAATGTGGGGCAGACCACTAGTCGGTACTCATGCTAATTCAAAACCAAAACTTAAATGAATGACTTCCGCACACCCAAATAACCGTGGGAAGCTAACATTCTGAACATGAAAAAAAAGCTAAACCACCGGAATTAAAATACTTACGCTGGAGCAGACATTTTTTTGGAAGATTGAAAAATTCGTTGAAGGGGGAGGGGGGAGGACTATATAAATTGATTAAAATTTATATATATACTAAAGTATAACCGTGGATTTTAAAATACTTTGAATATATAGAAGTTTTAAAAAGAAAGAGAAGAGGAAAGGAGGATTAGAAAAATTTAAAAATTGATCAATTGAGAATGGACTTGATATATATATATGGATTGGTTACTAAACCATTTATTCAGACAGACACTTTTTTTTGGTACGAACGAACGAAAAAATTCGGCGCACTGTCAATTCTTTTTTTTTTTTGTTTGGTTTATTTTCGCTCATGTCTCAATTTGGGATTTGTTGGTTTTTTAGTGAAAATTTACTTTAGTGAGGGAGGGAGTGACAGCGTGAGTAAAATTTTCATAATTAATTAGTAATGAGTAAAATGATTTAATCAATGAATGAATGATACAATGATTCCAATGATTATATTGGATAATGTCATCGGATTACATTCAATTCAACTTGTCTGAAACGATGCGATGCGATACCAAATCAATTGAGTTGTTTAAATCAAGTAAGGATGTTTATCAATTACTAAACACGTCTTGTTGGCTGTTGAATCCGCCCCACGATTCCCGATAATTACTGAAAAAAAAAAAAAAAAACCTTCGTTAATGATATATAATAACTAATTTTAGTGTAAGTTCTCGTGGGGTGGGTGTAACAAACAAACAATTGCTACTGAAGTACTTAGTGGATAGGGTTTGACCTTATTTAGATTATTATTATTAATAATTAAATTGAACTTTGTGACCATAATTTGAAAATGGTGAGCATTATATTTATGGGGGGCCATATTAAAGTGGGGGATTTGTTTATTCAGTACTGTAAGTGCATTCATTCATTCATTCATTCTTTGCCCCTATAAACACTCCAGAAAATTGTAATCAGACGGTAAGTTCTAGTCACCGTTAAAACTTTAGCCCAGTAGGTTTATCTAATTTAGACTATCTTGTAACAATTCGTATACTGTTCAATTCATATAATGATTATAATATCATTTATCTCTACGGGATATACATCACCGAATTAATGGACTTTATAAATGCGAAAAATTCAAAATTCAAAATTCAAATTCAAATTTAAAATCAAATTTAGTTTAAATTGAAAATTTTCTTGGTAATAATTATTATTTATCATTGTAAAGTATAATTGTTCAACTTCGTTGTAGATGTTGCAAAACTATCAAGTATAAACAATAACATAACATAACACACATTCTCACATATTCACATCCATCCATCCATCCTATCCTATCCTATCCTATCCTATCCTATCCTATCCAGCCTGTAAATAATATTTTATAAATGAAATAAATAAATAAATAAATAAATAATATCAAATAATTTATCCGTACTTGCCATAAATTTAACCATCAATAATTAGTCCTAAATTAATCTGATCTTCACTTCTCTTGACAACTAGTTACTGTACCGTTACTTACATATACTGTATTAGTAGAAGGTGTAGTTTAATAGTAGTGTACTTTTGTCACCAAATGTTTGCAGTGTGCATGTAATTATTAATGCGTATTGAAATTCTAGACTATACAAATTAGATCTATTTAATATTATGATAAGAATTGATTGTCCAGTAACTTAATAAAACTTCTTATTAGTATATAACATTTTCATAGATGCACGCTAGTATTTATATAATGTTATTTAAGTCATGTCTTTCATTTTTCTGATATTCTGAATTAATCTGTCTTTCTCTTATTCCACTCTCCACACCAATTTAGATTAGCCACTCTTTTAATTATTCAATTCTAATATAACGGCCCTTTTTAGTGGATATTCTATATTTGAAAATCATATACTTCATTTAATTCCCCATATCATTTTTTAAAGTTTAACCAATCATCTTACATTAACACTCTCAAATCCACAGTTTTTGTAATTTTTTTCTTAGGGTTGCTAAATATTTTCTTGTCATTACTTATAACTGATTATATCACTTATAATATCAATCTTTCTGTACAAATTAAACTAGAAAGAATTACATTCACCTTGATTGTTCAATATCGATTAAAAATTACGTTTGCAACCCCCTTTTGAAGCCTAATTAAGACCTATAACTTGGAAACCGTCGACTTGAGATTTACACGTTTACATACCACTTGTTAGTAGTTTCAATTACTTGATAAGTTAAACGGTTGCAAAAATCTCCAATATCTCTTACGGTAAATATGTAATACTAAAGTCAACTTATAAGTACAACAATAATTATACAATAAAATCTTCTTCATTATATTAAAACGTGTCTGTATTTGTGGTAGCGCCCTGCCGGAACCGCGCCTAATCTTATCAATTCCGACTTGGGTCAAGAAGATTAAACACAGTCACGTGCAATGATTAAATCAATGCAAAAAAATTTTTGCTACCAAATATTTGCATTTATACAGTCTGGTAAGATTTTAATATTAATCTAAAATATTTATATTATAAAATCTTTTTATTTAACATAGTCATCTGTTTATCTTTGCATTACCAAACTATTATTACATATATTCATAATTCAAACATGCCTATTCCAACTCCCCATGGTGGTGTTTTACAAGATTTAGTAATTAGAGATGCTGCTAAACAACCGCAATTATTAAAAGAATCAGAATCTTTACAATCATTAACTTTAACTCCAAGACAATTATGTGATTTAGAATTGATTTTAAATGGTGGGTTCTCTCCATTAACTGGATTCCTTAATGAACAAGATTATAATTCCGTCGTTTCTGATTTAAGATTATCAACTTCTATTAACCCAGCTACTGGTAAAGGTTATTTATGGTCAATTCCAATCACTTTAGATGTTGATGAACCAACTGCTTTATCTTTAAAATTAGGTCAAAGAATCGTTTTAAAAGATTTAAGAGATGAAAAATTATTAGCTATCTTAACTATTGAATCCATTTATAAACCAAATAAACATGTGGAAGCTAAACAAGTTTTCCGTGGTGATCCTGAACATCCAGCTGTTAAATATTTATTTGAAACTGCAGGGGATTATTATATTGGGGGATCTCTTGAAGGGTTAAATTATCCAACTCATTATGATTATGTTGAAAGTAGAAAAACTCCAACTGAATTAAGAAAAGAATTCCATAATTTAGGTTGGGATGATCAAAATATTGTGGCTTTCCAAACTAGAAATCCAATGCATAGAGCTCATCGTGAATTAACCATTAGAGCCGCTAAGGATATTGGTTCAACCGGTCATATTTTAATTCATCCTGTTGTTGGTTTAACTAAACCAGGTGATATTGATCATCATACAAGAGTTAAAGTTTATACTCAAATTTTAAAAAAATTCCCTGATGGTTTAGCTACTTTATCTTTATTACCATTAGCCATGAGAATGGGTGGTGATAGAGAAGCTTTGTGGCATGCATTGATTAGAACCAATTATGGGGTTGATCATTTCATTGTTGGTAGAGATCATGCTGGTCCTGGTAAAAACTCTCAAGGTGTTGATTTTTATGGTGCTTATGATGCTCAAGATTTATTAAAACAATATGAAGAAGAATTAACCATTAAAATCGTTCCATTTAGAATGGTGACTTATTTACCTGAGGAAGATAGATATGCTCCAATTGATACCATTGATTTATCAAAAGTTAAAACTGCTAATATCTCCGGTACTGAATTAAGAAATAAATTAAAAACTGGTGATGAAATCCCAGCTTGGTTCTCATATCCTGAAGTGGTTAGCATCTTACGTGAAACCAATCCTCCAAGATCTAAACAAGGTTTCGTTATTATAATTGATAATGAAGAAAAAATTGGTGATTATTTATCCTTTGCTTTACAATCTACTTTAAATCAATTCTCAGGTGAAAGAAGAATCACCAAATTAGGTGAAAATCATTTAGATTCATTCCTTATCAATGAATTAGTTAAAGCTGGTTCTGGTGTTATTGTCACTACTAACTCCTCTATCAAAAGTATTATTAATGAAGTTGGTAATGGTAATTCCATCCTCGTTAAATCAGGTCAAGAATCAGCTGTGGTCAATGGTTATGCTGCTGAATCTAATGTCTTCACCATCTCCAATCCAAATGATTTAACTGTCGTCATTAAAGAAATCACTACTTATTTACAACAACAAGGTTTCTATTAAATCAACCTATGGGTTCAAAGTTATTGATTGATTTTTTTTTTTCATATATATTTATTTATTTCTCTGTATTTCCTTTCAATTATATCGTGTATATTTTACTAAAATTAGAAATTACATCTTTTAGTGTTCATTAAAATTATCATCTGTAAGAGTATGTAAATCGTTAAAATACATTTGCATTAACAAATTTTAGAAGGAAAATATACATAATAATATCTAAATAAAAGGCAAGAAAAGAAAAGCATTTTTCATCATTTCATCATTAATAATAATACCAATAATAATAACATAACATGTATCATATAAATCGTAACTAATCATTTTAAGGTTTTGCGTTATTTCTTATTTTTTAGACTTTTTCGCATTGGTAGTCGTAGTTGCTGTAGCTTTTGCTATAGCTGTTGCTCCAGATGTATTAGCATTGGAATTGATTGAACTAGATGCAACTTGTGGAGTACCTGAAGCAGATACTGATCCTGATCCACTACCAGGAGGTGAATTCTTTCTTAATGATAAATAACTAGCTCTATTCTTTAAAGCTTCTGCAAATCCCATGGCAACTGGCCAAACTGGTGCATCTGCTAAGATTCTAATTCCCAAATATAACACTTTACAGGATAAATTAAAATCTTTAATTTCTTCTGTTAATTCTTTATTTAATTTTGATAATTTTGCCTGGTTTTCTGGTTGAGTAATAATACAATTTTCATTTATAATCAATAAATCATTGGAAATACGTTGTTTTTGTTCAATCAATTGATTGATCTTTTTAACGTGTTTATTATCTTTGATTGAACTGAATATACCATCTTGTTGTTTGGTTAACATTTCCGAATATGACGATTTTAATACAGGTGATAAGACATTTTCCACAATCATCATCTTTGATTCACAATTTAACCAGTTAACTAAATCATTATCAGTCAATATTTGATTCTTCAAAATCTTTTTCGATTCTAAATAGTTTAAATAATTGGAGATAATCAAAATAGCCACAAATAAACATGCCACAAAGAATACAGGAGTTCTTAATGAAGTTTGTTTAATATCATAATTGATGGTTTCAATATTTTGAACCCATATTTGAATAATATTAAAACAATAAGGTAAACTATTTTTAATATTTTCATGAGTCTCTTCTTGAAGAATTAATAAATTCAATTGATTATTCATAGTTAAGAAATCTTTATTTAATACAGCATTCATGATTGGATTTAAATTGATTTCTAATTTGATTTTCAAAAATGAATATAAGGGTAAGATTAATTTCAATTCATTCTTGATATTCAATTGATTCCTATTATAAGAATTGATGGTTAATATTCCATCATTTTGTAAATACTTTGATTCCCAATTATTCACAAGTTTTTGTAATTTCAATTTATGGTTTAATTTCCAATCAATATAAGTGAATGACTTACCAATGTTAAGAATTTCAGATTGAACTTGTTCATGAATATAAATCAATAAAGTTAAACTATTCAAATAAGATAATTTTGAAGATTTATTATTAATCGAATTATCTTGTAATAATTTAAGCAAATTCTCTAAACTTTCACCATTACTTAAATCCACCAACAGTTGAGAAGCAGGATTTTTATTATTATCCTTCTTACCATTTGTGGTTGAAACAGTTGAGGTTGGTATCACGTATGATGATTTGTTTAATTCCTCTAACCAAGATTGACTTGTCTCACATCTCCATAATTCTTCAATATAACAATGATTACCATTTTTCAAAAACTTTGAATTAAAATAAATCGGTAAACCAATTAAACTTGATCTGAATGCTTGTAATAAATAAAACACATGGATGGTTCTGATTCTTGATTGGGCCATTATGAAATAATCAAAATTATTCTGTAATAATTGTTGATTCTTGGGAGAAAGACTAATAGCACTATTTGGATCATCCTTTGTAACAATTTCCAATATAGAACTTGGAGGAATTAAAAATTGTTGTAATGGTTCATTAAAATTGGTGGATTTAATTAAACCAATCATAGATTTAATTTGTCTGGATGTAATATCAATCATATTAGGTTCATTTAAAAACATCGATATGAAAATATGTAATACTAAACATTGATGAGCCATGAGTGGAACCTTTTTAAACTGTAAATTATCCAAAGTTATCTCCTTTTCGAAAAAACTTTGAATATGAAACTTAGATAAATTAAACAACATCAAAGTATTATTATCATGGAAGGAATATAAAGCTCCAATCGATGCCATTGATAATAAAAGAGGAATATTCTCGAAATTATCAACAAGAGGGTTTTTCAATGATGGTAAATGAATGAATGGGAAATACTTATTAAATTCCAATTCATATAATCTCATATATTCATTCAATTCTTCTAACGTTGGAAATTGACTAGCTTGGATTTTACTAATCAGGATAATTCTCGTTCTTAAAGTTTCAGTAATGAAATTATAATCCCTTTTCAAATTATTATCAAATGATAATTCAAATCTTGTAAAATCACCACCACTAGATAATGGAGGTGGTAAAACTGATGCCTGTTGTTGTTGTTGTTGAACTTGTTGTATCTTCTTTTGAGATTCCAATTCTTCTTGTGCCTTCTCTTCAGGGATAACTTGACTAGGTAAACTAAACATTTGACTTGGTCTTAATTGATTAACCATTTCATTTTGTCTTGATCTGAATAATGATGATAACTCAGGTGAATTACCTAGTAATTGAAGTTCAATCGATGCTGCTGCAGTAGGCAATTGTTGTTGTTGTTGCTGCTGCTGCTGTTGCTGCTGCTGTTGCTGCTGCTGTTGCTGTTGTTGAATTTGTTGAGGGATATTATTAGCTAATAATTTTGGAGATGATAATAAACTAGGAGGTTGAGGATCAAACAATCCATACCCATTATTATTGAAATTAAGACCATTAGGAGAACCTGAATTAGCAAGTCCAATTCCGCTTGCACCATTGCCTAATATAGCTTGTAAATTATTGGTACTATTACTATTAAAAAGAATCTGTTGCATATTAGCCTCATAAGGAGTACTTATGATATCCTTTAACCAATCATCATCATTACTACTGATCGTTATGGGCATACCATTATTAGTGAAATTCGTAGCTGGTGTATTGATTGATTCAGAACTTGATTTATCTGTACTATTTGATTCTTCACGTTTTATTTTCTTTAATTTTGGTTGATTTGCAGTTGTAGGTAATACAGGATTTGTTATTGAATTTTTCTTTTTTTTAATGGTTAATTTCTTATCATCTAATGATTTCCCATTAAGGTTGAATAAACTTTGTTGTTGTTGTTTATCTACCATATTGGCTAAACTATTGATATCATTAGGAGGATTCATACCTAATTCAAATGGAGTAGATCCTTTCAAATGATGAGGATGATTAGGATTTGAAAATTGATTATGAGAACCAGAAAAATTATTCCCATTATTACCATTATTATTATTACCATTCACATTTCCATTCACATTTTCTAAAAAGAACTGTTGTAAATTTCGAATTGATTTTTGTTTTGCTGTAAGGTTTGATTGATCTTCACCGCCATTAGCACCACTAAGATCCAAATTTTCAATATTATTCCAATCTAACATACTATAACTACTTAAATCCAATCCACTTAACATTAAATTCTTGGAAGTTAAATCATCAGTAGACGTTAATTGAGGAGTGGCGAATTCAACTTGAGAAGCGGCTGTTTCACTTATACTATTATTTTGTTGTTGAATATTTAAAGCATCTTTCAAATTAGTATATGATATATTTGAAGCTGCTGAGAATGAAACATGACGATATTGATTAGATGCAAGGTTTGAGATTTGAGGATTTTGTCTTAATGGTTGATTTGTAATTGTATGAGGGTGAGGATGAGGCATGATATCATTTATTGCTACTGGAGTTGATTTTGAACTTGCTAATTGAGTTGGAGAAAATTGTTGCTGCTGCTGTTGTTGTTGTTGTTGTAGATGTTGAGGTAATGATTTCGGAGGCATACTTCCACCACCAATAGAAACTCTATGGGGAGATTCATGGGATTGAGGAGATGGTTGTTGAACTTGCAGATTATTTCTACTTTGAGAATGACGTAAAGGTCTTGAACTGGGTAAAGTTATAGAAGGAGCCGGAGAATTATTATGAGATGAAGGCATAGGAGATGAAATCATTATATTTGAAGAATTATTAGGAGGCAGTAACAGTGATAAATGAGTATTTGGAGTACCATGATTACTAATACTATTAAAAGATTGATTACCATTACCATTACTATTACCATTTCCATTACTAGTATTAAATAACATAGTTCTAAATTGAGGTTTATTAGATGTAGTTGAAGATGTATTTAAAATAGGAGGAGGGGAGAATAACTGATCTTTATCATCCATATCAATATCCATACTATTACTATTATTCCGACTATGATCATGATGATTATGATGATTATGATTATTAGTGAAATGAGTTAATAAAGTTGAACTAGTAGGTAAGGGAGCATTAGCAGACGTGTTATTGGGTAATACTATGATATGTTCATTAATATTATTGTTATTATTACTGGGAGTATTGATGGAATTAGTTGAATTATTATCTAAATCTTTTGAAGACCCTCTTCTCATTATATTTGGTAAACTAGTATGTAATTTTTGTTGATGTCTTAACACTAAATCACGTCTAGCAAAACATCTACCACATGCAGCACATTGGAACGGTTTTTCATTAGTATGAGATCTTTCATGACGTTTTAAATGTTCAAGTCTGGCAAACCCTCTGGTACATATTGTACATACATGAGGTCTTGGTTTATCAGTTTTAATTTGTTGAGATTTTTTTGGGATTGGTTGAGTATTTGTCACTGGTAATGATGAAGAATTATCCATACTAAATGAGGTTGATGATGCTGGTGTTGAACTGGATGATACAGGAGATTCAACTTTCATTGTATTGATGATATTTTTATGATTAATATTGACGGACTTGTAACGTGGAGTAAAACAGGTTGTTTAAAAGATTGAATAAATAGGTGGATACGGGGGTAACGAGGGGAGGGGGACTGGGCGCGATTATACAAGTGAAAGTGATGATTAATTCGATTGATGTGGGTGGTGAATCCTAATGATTCAAAAGTTGTTGGCTGTAAATATGAAACAAGCTAACGGCAGGGAGGGAGGGAGAAGGAGGAAAAAGGAAATTGATATAATATATGATGAATGAAATCAGGTGAGGAGGGGAAGGAGGTAAAGTTGTTAAAAATCTTGATGGGTAAGACCAAGGATTAATGATGCATAAGCAGGATGGGTTGGTAACACTCACTAACTATACACCTAGATGATGAATGGATGATTGGGTTGGTTAGGTTGGTAAATGTTGATTGTTGACCTCCTTTTTTAACAGTCAAATTTTTTACTCTTTTTTTTTTTTTTGTTTCTTTCTTTCTAAAAAAAAAAAGATCTGGGGTGAATGACCCATAAAACAAAGGGAAGAAATGTCGTGATTATGTCTCGAAAATTTATTTTTTTAAATATTTTTTTTTGTTTTTGGGCTTTATTGTTTATTGTCGCCGTGTGCCTGAGAGACAGAGTTAAACTACTGTAGTTCCACCGACCATTCATTACTATAATATTATAAAATATAAAAGAATAGCCATTTTAAATATGGTTACTGATTCGGTACTAATCCTTTTAAATATATAAATCATAAATAGAAACAACAAATGTCCTAAAGTAACTAATAATAAATAAATAAATTATTATTTATATAATTTCAGGTTGGGCGAGAAAGCGAAATGTGGGATAGCAAAGCAAATTAAAAATTTGGTTATGACATAATTTATTGCTAAAGTCATGGTAGACGTGTTTAATACATGGTTCTACTCATAGAGACATATGTTGAGTTAGCTAATGATCTAATTTATGAAAGTAATTTGTAGTAAATCTTCTAATTACAGTGAGTAATTAATTAATTAATTAGTGGGAGAGAAAGGTTACGCCGCCTCAGCTAGTCAGTACCATAAAATATTTAATTTTCTGGGGGAATAGTGGAGGGAGCAGACACAAATGTTTTAAAACTTGGGGATCCTCCATACGACATACATTAAAGTTAAAACGACATTTTATATTCTAGTTTTAAAAACATGAAAAATTTCGGAGTTGGTGGAATTTTTAATTTGTTTTCCTGTATGCAGGTTGTCATGACTCTCACTCAAAACTGTCTCTTTCTCTATACAGGATTCATATTTTATTTTCATTTCTGGGGAAACCAAATAAAATGATGACTTTGCACGACTGATATATATAAAGCTTTAGCATTATCAAATGAATTCAGTATAAAGAACTCAAGAATAATAAATGTAAGCCAGCACAATTCTTGTTAACGGTATATTTATATACTTATGATCATTCGTAGTAGCTGTGTATTCAATCTCAGATCATAAATCTTGAGGTATAACTTTAGATGTTAGTAAACTTCCTCTTTTTTCGTCAAATTTGGTCAAAATGTTAAAGTTAGCTTTAATTATATAGATTATATATTCCACAATCTGGAAAAGTGTAAACCTTTATAAAGCCTAATACTTCAATTTAGCAATTTAAGATGTTTAAATGAATGATCATCACTGATCCAATTCAATCCTAATCAATAATTAGAAGTGGTTATTACTACGCCACTCCCCATTTCTAATTACCACTTCACCATCTACTCAAAACTGTGTACACATTCCCATTTCTTAATTATACATTTGATTTGAACTTTGATACGCTAGTGGTAGTAACCTTTAACGATCAATACTACAAATGTTTTTTTTCTTCCCGACCCGATACTTCGGAACACTTTTTTCTATCGGACGAAATGAATTGGGAAAAGTTGCAATAAAATAGTATCCTTAGTAATAATTTAAACGTAGTATTTAATTTGATTAACTAAAATTTGGTCTGATATTGCTTAGAAAACTGTGGTTACCTTGATTATAATTAGTTCTTTCTTTATTACTACATGAAATAGGGAGTGTTTTGTAATTAAGTCAAACTATCAACTGGTTGGTAAATGTAATTTAATGCAATTGATAAGATGTAACCTATAACAAAAACTTCCTCCCCTGACTATTCAATCCCTACCACACTTATCCAACCCCTTAACTTATCAATCATTTAATACGATTGGGAAATTGAAAAATTGAAAAATTGAAAAAAAATACAATTAGCTGCTCAAAAAAAATCTCAAACTTCACACAAAACTCATTTTAGCAGCCACACTTTCTATTTTTTTGATCTAAGCTTTGACATCAATTGCTAAAATACTTTATCAACTATCATTTCATACCCACAGTTTTTTATCTATTTTAAGAACCCACTGTTTTACTAATCTATTATGATACAACCCTGATGTAAAGCCCCATCTACTTCATTTATTTTTTACATTAGACATCCATACTTTTTTTTCTCTTTCTTTTTCCCTAGCCGACCCGACTTAAAACCTATAAACTCATCATCATTATTATCATTGTTTATTTCATGTGAATAGATTGATTTACACACTTATTCTCTCCTTGATAACCATTCTTGTCTATTTATATCTAACCAATTCAACTTTGATTTTGAAATATTTGCCTCTAATTTTAATTTTGTAAACTCCATATATAATTTTGTGACAATTTAAAAACATAAACAAGGTGACGATTCAAATATGTCAGAAAGTGTACAATTATTAACCCAAGCAAGTGGTTATGGGATTTTAGTTGGTGTTGGTGCCTTGTTTGCTGGTGGTATGATTCTTACTACCAAACTCTTGGAAAAATATTTACATGAAAATAGTCATTCCACTGAAACTTTCTCAGTTGCAAATCGTAGTGTGGGATTATTCCTTTCAGCTTCGGCAGTTTATTCATCTTGGTCTTGGGCAACGGAATTATTATGGGTTTCGACTATGGTATACAACTATGGTATTCAAGCCAGTTATTATTATGGTGCAGGTTTGGCTGTTCAAATTGCCGTTATGGCCACGATTGGAATTCATGCTAAAAAGAAGATTCCAAAAGCTCATACTTGTTTAGAAATTGTTCAATTAAGATATGGTGATGTCTTGCATGGTTTATATTTATTTTTTGCTTTAGCTAATAATTTATTATCTTGTTCATCTATGATTTTAGGGGCAAGTGGGGCTATTGCTATTATTGCTGGTAATTTAAATATTGCTGCTAGTACAATGTTAATTCCATTTGGAGTTTTACTTTATACAGTCGTTGGTGGGTTAAAAGCTACCTTCTTAACAGATTTCGTCCATACTTTAGTATTATTATTAATTCTTTGTTATTTAAACACTTCAGTATTGACTTCAGAACAAATTGGTGGTATTGATGGTTTATATGATTTACTTGTTAAGAAGGATGCTTCCGGCGATAGATACGTTGAAGGAAATTACAACGGATCATTATTAACTGGTAAATCTCAAGGTGCTTTATTCTTTGGTTTAATCTTAACAGCAGGTAATTTCGGATTAACCGTTTTAGATTCATCATTTTGGCAAAAGACTTTTTCAGCAAGTCCAAGAGCTACCGTTCCCGCTTATCTTATTGCTTCATTCTTAATTTTCTCCAATGTTTGGCCATTAGGTTCAATCATTGGTGGTACTGCCATTGTCTTAGATGGTACCTCTGGATGGCCAACTTACCCACGTCCATTAACTGAATACGAAATTGATTCTGGATTCGTCTTACCTTTTGTCTTAAAGCAAATCTTAGGAAACGGTGGAGTCGGTGCTATTTTATTAGTGGTTTATTTAGCTGTTACATCCACTGTTAGTGCTCAAATGATTTCAGTTAGTAGTATTTTAACCTTTGATATTTATAAAAAGTTCATTAATCCAAATGCTCAAAACAAGCAAATGATTAGAGTTAGTCATATCGGTGTCATTGTGTTTGGTATAGTTGCTGCTGCCTTTTCATTAATGTTACATTATGTTGGTTTAAATATGACTTGGATGGGTTATTTCTATCCATTAATTATTTGTCCTGCTGTGTTACCATTATTATTCACGATTACTTGGGATAGACAAACTAAATTAGCTGCTTTCTTGGCTCCAGTTATAAGTTTACCAGTTGGATTAGCTGTATGGTTATCGACTGCTAAACATTATTATGGTGAGATTTCAATCAGTTCTACTGGTGAACAATTACCTTGTCTTTATGCTGCTTTGACTGTGTTATTATTACCTGGAATTCTCTCAATCATTATAAGTTTAACTATCAACCCAAAGAAATTTGATTGGAATAAATTAAAGGAAGTTGATTTAATTGTTACTGATGGAAGTTCAACCCCTAATGACAAGAATACTATCACAGTCAATGATACGGTCTCTAACTCTAGTAACGATGAAATCAAAGAAAAGCAAGATTTGTCAGAAGTAAATGTTAATGTTGATGCTGGATCTCAACAAAATGAATCTGTAGAAGACATTACTCATGAACCACTGAAATTATCAGAACAATTAACTGATAAAGAACTTGATTTCTGGATTAAGATAGCTACTGGTGCTGCTATTTCGATCTTATTAATTACATGGGTATTGTGGCCATTACCATTATACAGAGACTGGATCTTTACCAGAGCTTACTTCAGAGGATATGTCACTGTCAGTCTTATTTGGCTTTATTCAACCTTACTTATAGTGGGTATTGCTCCAATTGTAGCTGGAAGACATTCCATTGCTAGGGTTTTCAAAGGTATTTATCATGATTACATAAAGAGAGATGGCCTTGGTGTTGCTGCTGCCACTTATAATCCTCCAAAGGCTTGAAGCTAGTATTTTCTTGCTTTGGCTTTATTTATTTATTATTTATTTGTTAGTGATAGATTGTTTAGATTAGGATACATATAATAAACTTATTTATTTATCAGAAATATTGAAGTTGGGTAGTTGGTAGCGTACATACTGTTAATTCTCTTGTGATAGTGGGAACAGAAAAAATGAAAACTATCCAAAATTTATGAATGCATTTGATCTGTAGTATTACAAAGCATCAAATGTTCACAAGATCAACTATACGATCTTTCAACGCCATTGAATCAGTAATAACTAGATCACTAATGACAACTGCACCAGCTTCTATAATAAAATCAGCCAACCCAGGGCCAATCGAAGAAACAATCGTGGATAAATTAACCAATACTTTCAATCCAAGTTATCTTAAGGTTGCCAATGATTCCCATAAACATTCACATCATGCTGGTATGAGAGGTGCAAGTAATGTAGCTGAATCCCATTTCAGAATTGAAATCGTCAGTGAAGCCTTTGCTGGTAAAAACATGCCTTCAAGACATCGTTTAATCTATGCTTTGTTAGATGATGAGTTAAAGAATCAAGGTGTTCACGCCTTACAAATGAAAACTAAGACTGCTGCTGAAGCTAATAAGGATACATCTGTATAAGATTCCCCTTTTGTTGATTAATTAATTAGAATTGTACATAGAAGTCTGAATATATATAAATATGGGACTATATTATTAATAAGATTATAAAACTAAACACAAAAATAAAAACTTCTTCGTAGCATAAATAATTAAAAACGAAAATAAATATACAAAATATTGGATTGGATTGGATTGGATTGACTTGTTTTGTTGGATTCAATGATATTAATTACCATTTAAGAGAGATGATTCTTCAGCTTCAGGAATACTATTTTGTTCTATACTGTTTGCTTCTTGAACAGATGCATTTTTAGCCACCAATTCCACAATTCTTCTAATGACAGGTAAATTCAACCAAGCAGGTACATAAGCTTCCACTCTTGAGAATGGTCTTAAATGAACAGTTCTGAATGGATCGTTGAAATGACCATCACTACCAGTTGGAGCAAATAACTCACCACTTGTATTAGAATCTTTAACTTTATCAGCTACCGCTTGTAATACCTTTGGAGCAATAGGAGTTTCATAATCAGCCACATAATATTGGGATATTAATTTTTGAATTTGAATTGGTTTTAATGCATAACAGATTTCATAAATAATTTCAATATCATCAGGGGTATTTTTTCTTAATTGTAATAATTTGGCTGATTGTAATAAATGACTTAAGTATGCTGAACCTTCAGCAATTTCATGAGTCTTACACCACTCTTCTAATCTGGTAACATTATAATTCAATTGTAAACCACGCTTCCAAGATAAGAAGTTTCTTCTCATAATTAAATCGTTAAAACATAAGGCATCGACGAATTTTAATAATTCAATTATAACTTCATTCATGACTTCTTGTTCAATAAAGTATGATTTCATTGACCAATATACCGAATTGAAAAAACTTAAGATATCATCCATCTTATATTGAATACCTGGTGAGAAAACTTTAGCTAAGAATGGTGAATTCTCGGGGGCCATGAACCCTGGTAACGATTGAGATAAAATAAGACCTGAAACTGCTTTCTTTTCTAATTCTTTTTCAATCTTCTTCATCCACATATTATAAATATTGTATGATAAAGATTCAAAATCTTCCTTAACAACAGCAACTAATTTCAAATATTCTTCAAATTCTTCTTCACTCATTTCATGAGATAAGGTATCATTGGCAATTATAGTTTGTTGAGCATAAGATACAAATGAGTATAATTCATGGGTATTAGATAACCAGAAAGCACCATTAGGTATAACGTCATCGTCCTTTAAGGTTGATACGATAGTTTGAATAGTGGATAATACTTCACCCAAAAATTCTTCACTTTCTTTGGTTAAACCTAATCTCCACATATCAGATAATATGATGATGATAATTCTTGCTGGGAATAAGACTTCCTTTCTGGTTAAATCGGCAGCAACTCCAGCAGGTGGGATCTTTAATCCCTTTAATAATCCTTCAACAATTTCTCTATGTAATTGTCTTGAATCTCTTAATAATCTGAATAATTCATCATTTATATCATCAATATTAACATCATCTTCGTGAGAAATAGCAATGACAGAAACTGGTCTGGCATTATTTTCAAGTGAAGTTGGAGAATTCCAGGCCAAGGCACTACTATGACGTTTGTTACTAATATTCCTACTCTTTGGATTATTAATCATAGTCATTGAACCATTGCCATTACGTTGTAATTGACTGATTTCAGCCTTCAATTGTTCAATATGAGTCTTCAAATCAACTTCAATGGTGTCACGTTTAACCAAATCAGCTTGAGCAGCTTGTAATTCTTCAACTGTACGTTTAACTTCTTGTTTCAATTCAGCTTGCTCTTTGGTTAATTCTTCAATTCTTTGTTCAGCCGAAGTGTAATCAGCCTTAATGGCTTCTAATTCCTTATTCAAATTTTCAATTTCACGTTGATGATCTTCATTTTGAGAATCGAATTTTTCATTAAACTCAACTTCTCTAGTTTTCAAAGTTTCATGAGCAGCATTTTGTTGTTCTAATAAATTCTTTAAATTGGTGATTTCTACCACCAATGATTTATTATCTTGAATTTTAGAAGTCAATTGTTGAGTTAAATCAACAACCTTGTTTTCCAATTTATATGAAACTTCTTTCAATTTATTAACTGATTTAGCTTCAACCTTTAATTGTTTAAATTCATTGTAAGCAAATTTTCTTCTGAAGGCCGATTGAATAACAACAATTGATTTAGTCTTCTTATTGAATTCTCTTCTTGCAACCAAACCACGGAAATGTTTTTGAATTGTGACTGCTGATCTCTCAGTTTTCAATTGATCGAATTCACGTCTAGCTTGTAATCCACGAATAGAGTTTTGAATAATGATAATTGACTTACGAGTTTGATTAGCTTGGTTTCTAATCAAAGTACCTCTAACAATGGTTTGTATTAATACTGCTGCATTGTATTCCAATTCGTGCCTTATTTGAGTTCTCTTGACATGACCTCTTATTAATGATTGTAATTTGATATGAGATTCTCTAGTTTCCAAGTATTGTTGTCTATAATAGTTTCTTCTTAAGTTCTTTTGAATCATTACTGCTGATTTGAATAACTTATCTGATCTTAATTTTTCAAATTGAGCTAACATACCAGCTTTAAAGAAAATCTTGGTATTACCTAATTGATATTTGGCTTCATCATCGATATTCTTTTGTAATATTTTATTACATAAATCAGATATGTCTGCTGGAGTAGCCGAAGAACCACCATGTTTCATTACTTTGATCCATTCATTGGAAGAAACTAATATATGATATCTATCAGCAAACTCAACATATGTCCATCTAGATGGGAATCCAGCACAAGAAATTCTAATTGTTTCTAAAACACCACAAGCTCTTAATTGAGATAACACCATTAATGTATCAAATTTCCAAGCTTCTTTTTGTTCATTAGGTTTAATACATCTAATATAATGAGCATTAGTAGAATCAATGGTTCTCATTAAATCAATTAAAGAATTTTTAAAAATTAAACCTAAAGTTGGTTTTTTATTCACACCTTTAGCTCTATTTGGAACATTGACAGAACTAGTAGATTTAGATAATTCTAAGGCAGTGGCATTCTTCTCAATAATAGATAAAATGGATTGCAATAATTCATTGTTAGTATTTTTCAATACTTCCATATGACCTTCACCGACAGTATCTCTATTCTTTTCAATGAAACCATCAATGTCATAACTAACATCATGAGCATAATGACTAACCACGAATTTAGTTTGGCCGAATCTTGGTTTTTTGAATACTTTATCAGTAGGAGCTTTATCTAAAGTTTGATACATTTTTTGAATCCATGATTCATCACTACCAGCAGGTAATCTTGATTCTTCATCTAAAAGTGATAAGATACCCAATTTATTTTCAATTAAATCAATACAAGGTTGATTATCAGCAAAATCAATAAATGACCATTCGATTTCTTCCTTAATATATTCATCTTGTTCTAATTTAAACACATGTTGATTGAATTCTTGTTGTAATTTTTCATTGGCATAATTAATACAGAATTGTTCGAAAGAATTTTTTTCGAAATGTTCAAAACCATAAATATCTAATACACCAATAAATGAATTAATCTTACCGGTCACTTCAGGTGGACATAAATCTTGATTTATATAATCCACTAACCAATCGAATAAAGCGGAATAAATATATTTAGCAAATGAATCTCTGGCAACAATGGCTTGTTTATGATTATAATTACTGATAATTTTTTCTGATCTGGTTTGAATTTGTTTCTTTACACACCATTTAGCAAAGTTTACAGCATCAAGACCTAATAATTCACAAGCCTTGACTAAGTTTGGTTCATCCGATGATAAATGAGCATCATTTCTAGTAGCAGCAATATCAATATTACCAATATGTAATAAAGCAGCCAAGATTTTATAAATTTCAAATTGTTTAGAATCATCAATACCGATTAAATTAAGAGCATCCTTTGTGATTTGAAATTCTTCAACTTCATTAACTCCTACTATGGCGGGTTGACCACCTTGATTAGTATATTTATAATCTTCAGCATTAGATAAACCTAAAGTTAATTTATCATCCTCATTCATACCAGCTAAAATTTGATAAAAGATATGATAATTTCTTTCGATAGGAGGTTGGAACACCAATCTTGATCTTTCTAAAAGATAAGTTCTAATTCTAGCACCAATAATAGAAGTATGATTATCGAATAAGATTTCAAGATATTTACCAAATCTAGAAGAATTATCATTTCTAGTGGTTTTAGCATTACCAAAAGCTTCCATAATAGGATTAGTGGCTAAGATTTGTTTTTCAACATCAGACATATCTGATTTATGTTGTTGTTTTGCTACTTCATTAGCACTATATTCTTCTTCTACGGAGGCAAAATATCTCATAATATATTTGGCACTTACTGTTTTACCAGCTCCTGATTCACCACTAACCACAATGGTTTGATTTTGTTTGTCAGTTTTCATACATCTATAAGCATCTTCAGCAATTGCAAAAAGATGAGGATCTAATTCACCTCTTGATTTTCCAGCGTAAGCTTGAATAATATCTTGAGAATATAATTGATCAACTCTTTGGAAAGGATTGGTGGCGATCAACACAATACCGGAATAAGTATAAATATTTAATTGAGAATAACGAACTTTAATAGCATGTAAGACGGCAGGTTCATTTAAATAAGATAAACTTGTTAAATCTTCAGCTGCTTCCAAAATAGGAGGATTTCGTAACGGAGGTAATTTTTCATTATCTTCATTTAAATTATCAGATTCAACTTTGAATATTTGAGCATCATCATTATCAGATACAAACTCTAATATATATTTTGAGCCTTCTTGTTTATTTGATTTGACAGTGACACCTATCCAACCCAAAGTTTGATCAGGGTACCAACAACGAGTACCGACATCATAAGACGATACCATATTGGAGGATGATTGTATGAGGATGGATGGATTGACGGGATTTTATAATAAATATCTAGTTAAATCTAGTTGTGAAGTTAAACGAAATCAAACTAAAAGCAAAATTATGAAACTTTTTTTTACCAATAATACTAACAATATAGACGTTTATTCAACCTACAATACAGGATTGAATATGATTGACTTGATTGATTGATTCAAAAAAAGGTATGCCAAGATTGGGTGGTAGTTACTTGAATATCACCAGAATTGTACGTGTTCAGATCGAGTTCTCACAAGATAAGATCCACTAAGGGGGGGATGTATTATGGTAAGACTGGAAGATGGGAAAGGTTAAAATGGTATGATGTGACGGTTTGGTCTGGGGTTGTCGTAGTATTAGATGATCTAGATAGGGGTATAAGAGTCTAGGTGATGGTGATTGATGGGTTGATTGGTCGTAGATCGATATGGTTTAATGTGATCCAAATGAGTGCTGTAAATAATTTTTTTTGTCTGTGTTGATTTTGTTTTGGTTTAGTTTCTGATTCCAAAAAAGAAAAAAAATTTTGGCGTTTCAAACAAAAAAAAAAAATCACAGTGTCTTTTGAACAATTTACACGACTACGAATATTATGATAAGTGGGATTATATGATGTAACAAATATGACAGTTGAGGGTTAAGATTGGACATTTACACATTTGAAGTGATAGTAAAGTTGTAATATTAATAGGTAACACAGTGGTACACTATAAATAGAATTTACCCAACTTTTATGTGTTAACTACACATTGAGTTTGCAACAAAGCACTATACAACAATAGTCAGACGCGTTATTTAACACTGTATGTTTGGATGTTTGTGGGTTGGATCTTTTAAGTTGTCGCAAAATAAAAAAGGACAAATTTTGCGACATAGTAAAAATGACATATTTTAGATACAGAGGAAATGTAAGTACAATTTGATTAGTTACATCATTTGACATTTATTCGTCAACGTTAAAGAATGATTCAATTATTATTTTATCTGAAACAGGCTACATTAATCGTATAATTTACAGCTGGGATTAAGAACCATTATTTAGGTTTATTAGCTTGACTTTTCCATACTTTACCTAACTCCAGACTTGCCATAGAATCTTAACCATCTATCGGAGTATCAAACAAAGGATACAATAGCCTGAATCAAATCAGAGTCAAAAAAGATAAAAACAACCCAAAACTTAAACATGATCCCCCAAACTATATATACTAATTGTCCGTCAATCATTTTCCCACAGTCGTCCCGCAATCATTTTCCGCTTTTCCATATTTGACAAATAACATTTTATTGATTCGGCAAAGCTTAGTCACATGCGGGGGTTGCTGCCTTCTATACAGGTCTGGAATTAAGTATACATGCCCCATATTATTTATTTATATATATATATATATATAAATGTAGACCAATATTCTTTACTTTATTCGTTTAATCTTAGGTTTAAGATACTATTCGTTGTGAATTATACCGTATAATAGAAATCAGACATATATCATTATAGAACCCCCTCCCCCCAAGAAATTAAAACGAATAATACGAGAAAATATGACAGTTTCAATCGAAGAAATTAAAAAGCATAATACTAAAAAGGATTGTTGGGTCATAATTCATGGTAAAGTTTATAATGTCCTGGATTTTATTGATGAACATCCAGGTGGTTCAGCTATTATTTTGAAATATGCCGGTAAAGATGCTACCAAGGCTTTTGATCCTGTTCATCCCGGTGATACCTTAATCAAATATTTGGCTCCAAAATACCATTTAGGTGATGCAGAAAAATCAACTGCACCAAAGAAGAAAAGTAAGCCTGCTCCAGTTGCTGCTGCTCCTCCAACCCCAGCTCCATCACCATCAACTAGTAATGAAGTGGATGAGTTTGATGTTGAATATGATGAACATGGTGATAAAGCACCCGCTGCTAGTACATCTGCTCAAGCACCTGCCGAAGATGATGAATATGATGATGATGAAGATGAACCACCAACTCCGGAAGAATTAGATCGTCGTCAATTGGTCAAGAATAAACCTGATTTATCTCAAATGTATAATCTTAATGATTTTGAATTCGTTGCAAGACATACTATGGAAAAAACAGCCTGGGCATATTATTCAAGTGGATGTGATGATGAAATTACATTAAGAGAAAATCATGTTAGTTATCAACGTATCTTTTTCAAGCCTCGTGTACTTGTTGATGTTAGTGAAATTGATCTTTCAACTACTATGTTAGGTACCAAAGTTTCCATTCCAATTTATATTACTGCTACTGCCTTAGGTAAATTAGGACATCCAGATGGTGAAAAAGTATTAACTAGAAGTGCTGCCAAACAAGATGTAATCCAAATGATTCCAACTTTGGCTAGTTGTTCATTTGATGAAATTGTTGATCAAGCTATTGATAAACAAACTCAATGGTTGCAATTATATGTTAATAAAGATCGTAAAATTTGTGAATCGATCGTAAGACATGCTCAAAAGAGAGGGATTAAAGGTTTATTCATTACAGTTGATGCACCACAATTAGGACGACGTGAAAAGGATATGAGACTGAAAAAAGTGGAAGATTTAAGTCATGTTCAAGGTGATGATGATGAAGCTGATCGTACCCAAGGTGCTGCTCGTGCTATTAGTTCATTCATTGATACTTCATTAAATTGGAAAGATATTAAATGGTTTAGATCCATTACCAAGATGCCTATTATTTTAAAGGGTATTCAAACAGTTGAAGATTCATTATTAGCCATTGAACATGGTGTTGATGGGATTGTTTTAAGTAATCATGGTGGTAGACAATTAGAATTCCTGAAACCTCCATTAGAAGTATTAATTGAATTAATGCCAATTTTAAAATCAAAAGGATTACAAGATAAATTAGAAATTTATATTGATGGTGGGGTTAGAAGAGCTACTGATGTTTTAAAAGCTATTTGTTTAGGTGCAAAAGGGGTTGGACTTGGTAGACCATTTTTATATGCAATGTCAACTTATGGTGATGAAGGGGTTTATAAAGCTATTCAAATTTTAAAAGATGAAATGATTATGAATATGAGATTATTAGGAGTGACTAGTATTGATCAATTAAATGATTCATATATTGATACTAGAAATTTCCAAACAAGATATTTACCAGAAGATAGATTATTTGGATCAGTTTATGAACCATTAGTAAGTCCAACTTTCAAATCATCAAAATTGTAGGAGTATATATATACAAGTATTTTTGGGTGTAGATGTGTGTATATATGTATGTGTATGTGTGAGTGTGGGCATTTGCAGAGTAAGAGACGATAATTTAGAAATTTAATCAAATTGTAGTAGTAGTTAATTACGAATCCTAACCAGATAAGACCAAGCCAAACAAAGGAATTTAGATGCCCAAATTAAAAATAACCCATATGCACATACATATATACATGCAGTAATCAACCCCATTCGTATAAGCCAATTAAAATGTGGTATTTTGGTATTACCTCCACCATCGATCCCTGACCCTATAATAAACATCAGCCTCATTCAAAATTGGATGGAAACGAAGAGCAACCACGACATTTTCTCATGAGACATTTCATTCTTACGACATAATTTTGTCAAAGATGACAAACCCTAACATTTTTTGAACCCTATTGCTATAAATAACTATTTATGTTAGAGTGACATATATAAGAAGGGAATTAGGGTTATATATAAATTTTCCAATTTATGGTATCTTTAAGAGGAAAATAATTTTTAACATTTGAACCACCAATGTGTATGTGTATTTAAGCTTTCCCTTTTATTCTGTTATACGAACTATTTCTATTCATATTATTAATCATTTTCCATTTTCTTACCAGAATCCATGTGTGAAGAGTGGCACGGTTGAATCGATGTAAACTACTATTCAATGTATACTATTCTTTCATCCACCCAACTGATAGTCCATCGCTTGTAACTAAAAAGAATCTACATTTTAACCATCTATTTACCTCTATGAACTTAATTGTAAAAGCCATAATTTACCAGACAGACAAAAAAAAATTTTTTTTTTCTTACTTCCTTGAAAAAAAGTGTCTGTCTGTCTGGAAGGTTAGTGACAGTCAGCAGCGCTCTCAGTTTCCAATTCTTTTTTTTTTTTTGGTAATTAAAAGTTTGAATCCAATTTTTACAATTTTGATTTTGACTGCTGCCATTTATCTCAAATCTGATTTTTGATACTCATAATCTCCCCTTTCATATCTTAATCAACCCACCATCTTAATCCAATCTGACCAACCGCTTGCGTACCCCTTATCACATCCAACCTTTTCCTTTCCCAATACTCCTTCCTTTGCTTCGGTTTCTTCGTTGCTTTTTTTTACGGATTTTGTTGTAAAAAGAATCGAAGACAGAAGTTAAAGCGTTGATATCATCCATCCATCCATCCATCATAATCCATCTCAATCCATCTCAATCTATCGATTGTAACCGCATCAATAATCACCGCTCTGTGTTGTTATTGTCTTATCTATCGTGATTCTCACGTTTCCTTCAATAGTTGCCAAGTGGTTCATTTAATTGTATCTCATTCCATTTCTACAAGTATAGTTTCATCAAGCTTTCTGATACTGTACTAGAGTAGTTAGAAATACCAGGTACTTCATTAAGATTCATTCTAAACACATTTAACATAACCCCAAATATCAGTTTTGCCTCCTTTTGCAAAACTAAATCACTAACACCAAATTTACATCATTTCATCTTTCCATCTTTCAATCTTTCCATCCATTCATTCCTTCATTCCTTCATTCATTTCTCCTCATTTGTATCAATATTTTAAACTTAAATAAATCTCATTCATACCCATTATATACCATATTGCTGTTTTGTCGTTCTAAAATTTAACACCTCAAAAAATATAACTGAGTAATTCTAAAATTTACTACTACTATCGCATTATAATATTAAAAAGAAAATGGTTTTAATTAATGGGGTTAAATATGCCTGTGAAAGGTGTATCAGAGGCCATAGAGTAACTACTTGTACTCATACTGATCAACCATTAACTATGATTAAACCAAAAGGTAGACCTGCAAGTCAATGTCAACATTGTCGAGAACAACGTAAATTAAAAAATTTACATGTTCAATGTACTTGTGGTAAAAAAGGTAAATCCCCTGGTATGCATTTAGCCAGTTGTTTATGTCATAAAAATAGTCATTGTACTTGTTCAAATAGTCAAAAGAATTTATTAAATTCCGGTAATGGTAATATTCATCATTTAAATGCAAGTGAAAGAGCCAAGAAGAAATCATTAATTTCTGCTGCAAATTCAGAATTGCCTAATTTTCCATCTTCTTCAACTTTCACTCCTTCATTAAGTTCAAATTATATCATTGAAGATGTTGTTGTCCCTTTCGATGTAGGTAATTCAACTGGATCAGCTAATGCTAATGGTTTATTTGATTTATTTTCAAGTAATGGTGAGATTCAAAATACTAATAATTCTCAAGATAATTCCATTAATCATTCTATTTCCCATACGAATAGTAATTCGGTCAATAATTCAAGAACTAATTTAATTGATTCTAATAGTAATTCTTCTGTATCACCAGTAACATCTACTAATTATCAAAATGGTAATGGTGGTAATGAAAATTTAACTAATAGTGATAATAATGATGATAGAAAGGCTAACTCATCCACTCCAAATCCTTCTAACTTTCATATTAAAACTGAAGACATTGATAATTCTCCCAATTCTATTTCTTTACGTCCTTCATCTTCAGCTTCAATTAATCCTCATATTAAACAAAAGCAACAACATCAACTTAAACCAGATGAAGAAGATCATCCTTCCAAACTTGATCTTGATTTTAAAAATGAATTCGACCAAGATTATGAATCTCATTTGACTCCAACTGAATTAGATTTGGTAGATAGAATGTTTCCTTTATTTCCGTTGGTTGGAAGCTTGAGTTTTGATGATGATAAAACTCAACCTTTACTGTCAATTCCATTATCAACCCCTTATAATAATGATAGTTCAAATTCACTTTCAACTCCAGTTTCAGTTTCAAATTCATTCAACACCACCAATAGTATTAATGCTAATCCTCATATGAATATCCATCATAGTCTGATTGGACAAAAGTATGGCTCTTCATCAAGTACAGGAAATACTAGTCCAGCCACTAATAATATCCATCAATCTACCAAAATTACTAAACCTCATCAACCAAAACCAACTAGACCAACTGCTATCGTTCCTAGTACAAGTCATAGTCATAGTAATAGTTATAATCATACCAATTCAAACTCCTCATCCAATGTTAATATTGCTGGTTCTAATCCTCCTGGTAACAATGCTAGTACTAATTCTACCAATTCTGGATCTCATTATCAACCAATACGACCAAAACGTCCTGAGAGTGTGTTATCAATTGCTTCAAATTCTTCAAGCAGATCATTTGATATCAATAATGTGAATAATAATAGTGGTAATGGTAATAATCATCTCAATAATGGTACTCAAAATAGTTCTATAAATTATACAAGTCATACAAGTATAATAGCGGGTCCAGGAAGTCATTTGGCTAATATGTCTCAGAATCCATCATCCACGTTTTTAAATGGTAATTTACCTAACGCATCTAATTCTCAAGCTTTCCCTCCTAGTATTCCTTTCCCAAGTTATGATAGTAGTGGTAATAATAACAATGCCACTGCTTCGAGTACTGCATCTTCGCAATTTGGTGGAAGTGGATTGAATGAAAGTAATAATAATCAAAATGCCAATAATAATGGTAATACTGGTTTTGGTATTAGTGGGGGTCCTTTAATGGGAAATAACCACGATGGCCATTATCATCAACATCCATTTGGTAGAATTGGTTTAGGATCTACTAATTCATCAACTAATAATATTACTCGCTTAGATGAAGAAAATATTAGTATTCATGAGAATGATTCAAGTTTTAATATTGATTCTTTATCAAATAATGGATTTCAAAATGGTAGTGGTATTGATAGTGATTTTATGGATTCTGAAAATTGGTTTAATGATTTAACGTCGGTAGATAATAAAATTAGAAGAAATACATCTTTATCAACTACATCATCCTTTGCTAACATTTATAGTAATAGCACTTCCAATAATCCATTCAGTGAACATTCGACCATCAAGAGACAATCAAGTTTACCAAGAAGATCAACTACTAATGGTTTCACAGATTTGACTATATCTAATAGCGATACTAAACTATCTCACTCAATTGCTAGAGCCAATACTACTAATTCTATGTCGTCTGCTCATGCTGCCAATACTTCAACCGTAGCTTCTACTACTGGTGCTTCAATTGGTGGTTCTTCTTCTGCTGCTGCATACATTGATAATTCAATTTCAATAACTCCACCACCAAATAATTCAGACAATGAGTTATCATTCCCTCCATTTCAACAATTACCACTGCAACAAAGTGTAAAGGGTGGAAGTATCTCACAATCAGAAAGTAGTCAACGACAACAGTTACAACAACATCAACAAGAACAGCAACCTGACTATGAATTTCAAGCTCCTATGTTTTCTGATTTATTATCACCAATATACGATAGTAACAAGGCTCAATATGATTAGAGACTAAAGCTTACGTTCCAACTTATTTATTCATTCATTCACTCATTCTAACATTTATTTATTTATTCATGATAACGAAGACAAAGACAACAAAGGTAAAAAGTAAAATAAAATCAAATTTACCGCCATGATGTTCCCTATTCTTTTATTTTATTCTTTTTTTTTATTATTAAATTATTGGCTTTATCTACCTATACAATTGTAATTTACCTTTTATGTTATCATTATATCGCTATTATATATTTCCTTCCCTTTCCATCCCCTTTTCTTGGTTTTCTTCTCTTTGTATTCTTATTTCTATGGTTTTAATTTAGGTATTTATATAGTTTTTTTAATATACTTCCAGATGTTGGTATAATTGAACTCAAAGAGCAAACTAGTAACAAGTCTTACAATCTTTATTTCTTGCCTAGCTTAAGATTCTCTAACCTGTTTATATTCGAATCAAGAGTTAATGATGTGTCTCTATTTGATGATTTCTTTGATGAATTCAATTTCTTAGAAATTGTTTTCGATTCAATCACTCTTGAGGAAGGTTTCGAAGATGATTGTAATTCGTCCTTAAGGTATAATGATAAAATCTCATCTTTGACTTTCATGATTGATTGTTGTTCAACTTGTTGCAATTTAGTTAATCTTAACATATACTCTAATAATGATAATGAATTCGCTTTTTGCTGAACGGGAGCTCGCTTCTTCTTGTTCTTCTTTATATTTTCTCCGTCTTCCTCGTCGTCATCATCTACTTCTTCATCTTCCTCTTCGTCGTCATCATCGTCAAATTCTCCAACATTTAGCTCACCAAATGCAACCCATTCTTCAGTGGATTTGACTTCATCGATCAATTTCAAGATCAATACAGGTGAACTACGATCATCTAGTTTCAACAATTTACCTGAAGCCGTGAAAAATAACCGTTGAATCATCTTAATATTATATACCTTCACTTGAGGTGATTCCTCTTCATGATCATGATATCTACCATCATTAAAATCTTCTCTAATTTCTAATCTATAATCATATGTTTGTTTTTCCTCAGTTGATTTAGTCCTTCTAATACTTACTTCACTCCTGGCAAAGGTTTCTTTCCAAGATATACTTGATAAGCCTATGTCAAGATCATCATCTTCTGGAATGGTATCCTGGTCTGTTCCACTAATGTATTTTGCCCTTGACGGATTGTAAAAGATGGTATATGTCACTAAATCAAAAACAGGGCCAACTGTTGCCGGAAATTCCTTGCTACTAACCTCGTTTGATTTGATTATATGATTAGAGGCTTGTAATAATCGACCTGGTGATATATTATCTTGAGCACCATCTATAAAACCATTAATATTGATACCACTGGTAATCAATGCAAGATTTATTATAGGAATTGAATCATTGATCAAATTTAAAAGACTTTTCATATAGTCCTCTACCTGTTTAATTGATTCTTTTTCATTACCCCCTGTCAAATTCTGGTTGATGGAATCAATATGCTCGTCAAATGAGTTCAATTCGGCATTCAACTCATTAATCAAATCCAAAGTCGATTCTAAAGTACTATTCCCTCTAGCAGTAGCCAACTTAATCAAATCTATTGACAATGAAATGATATTGATTTTGGTTTGAATCTTATTCCTAGTATTGGTTATACGTTGCTTTTCATGCTCTGATATCTTCTCAAGAAATTGACCTACCGTCTTAATAGCGTAGGTTGATGCAATGGTTATACCTGATCTAATGGCAAATGTAACTGCTTGATTGCTTGCCTTAGCAAGTATTTGATCCATCTTACCCTTCTATGGTTATAAGTCAATTGATAGATAGATAGCTATCTGTTCCCCCTAGTATGTAGGCTGCCACTAAAATTTAAAGATGATCTGCTCTCTGTGCGGTGCGGTTCTCCCTAGCACTAGGATTTTTTTGGCGCGTTGTTTATTTATGTTTACCTTTTCATTTTGTTTGTAAGCCAGATTTCAAATATAGATCTTACCAATTACTATTTCCACAGTTATATCAACAAAAGGTATAGACAGCTTTTATAGATACGAGATACTATGGCTGTTCGTAAACCTTTGACTCAATTCACCACACCATTGGGTTCAGGAGCTGGTGTTCCAAAGGAGAAGAGACCACCGCGTGTTAATGATAGTGCAGCAAGGTTAGCCAAACCATTCAAGGTCCCATTTGTTAATAGATCACAAACTGTTGGTGCTACATCTACTACTCGTGGTTTACCTATAAGAGGTGCTAGATCAAAGGTGAAAAACTATGCTCTTGATGATATTGATAAAGAAAACATAAATCCAGATCAGGATGATTATAATGTAGATGAGAATGGTGAAGTTGTTCGTAAAAAGAGATTTGGTGCTATATTGCCACGTCTGATGCTTTTAAATCAAAACAACTTAAATCAATCTGAAGATAAAATGAAGCAAACATTCATTGTGCCATTTTCAAGTGATAATGTTAAAAAGTTAGAGTTTTCTAATAGAGGTCCTCCTCCTCCATTAGGTACAAGAGTAAAACCAATTGTTCCTCCTCGAGCATTACATGATCCAATGAGTGAATTTGCTATTGTACTATACGATCCAACGGTTGATGTAATACCGAAAATTGAAGATGAAGTGAATGAAAATGATAAGGAACAAGAAAAATCAAAGTCCCCCACACCACCACCAACCGAAGAAGAGCAACTCGAAAGACCAGTGAAAAGAAGAAAAACACATAAATCCTTAGCAGAAATATTGGGTATAGTTAAAAATCCAGAAGAGGCATTAGCTAAATTTCCCAATGTTCCTGTAGTAATAGATCCTAAATTAGCTAAGATCTTAAGACCTCATCAAATTGCAGGAGTTCAATTTTTGTACCGTTGTACATCAGGTTTGTTAGATGCTAGAGCTCATGGTTGTATAATGGCTGATGAAATGGGTTTAGGGAAGACTTTACAATGTTTAGCTCTTATGTGGACTTTATTAAAACAAAGTCCAAGAGGTAAAAGAACAATTGAAAAATGTATAATTGTTTGCCCATCATCTCTAGTTAGAAATTGGGCCAATGAAATTATTAAGTGGTTAGGAGAAGGTGCCATAACTCCATTAGCAGTTGATGGGAAATCAACTAAGAATTCAGAATTAGGTGGAGCTTTACAACAGTGGTCGACAGCTACGGGAAGAAATATCGTACGGCCTGTATTGATTATATCTTATGAAACCTTAAGAAGAAATGTTGATAAATTGGCTGGTACAGAAGTTGGTTTATTGTTAGCTGATGAGGGTCACAGATTGAAAAACGGTGATTCGTTAACATTTACTGCTTTAAATGCTTTAAAATGTAAAAGAAGAGTTATTCTTTCAGGTACACCAATTCAAAATGATTTGTCTGAATATTTCTCGTTATTAAATTTTGCAAATCCAGGATATCTTGGAACTAGACTTGAATTTAAAAAGAATTTCGAAAATGATATCTTAAGAGGTAGAGATGGATTTGCAACAGACAAAGAAAGAGAAATTGGTGATAAAAAATTAACGGAGTTATCCGAACTAGTATCAAAATTTATTATTAGAAGAACTAATGATATTTTATCAAAGTATTTGCCAGTTAAGTATGAATACGTTTTATTCACTGGTTTATCACCATTACAAAAAGCTTTATATAATCATTTTATAACATCACCCGAAATTAAGAAGTTATTAAGAGGTACTGGTTCGCAGCCATTGAAAGCTATCGGTTTATTAAAGAAGTTATGTAACCATCCTGATTTGCTAGATTTACCCGATGATTTAGAAGGTTGTGATAGACTTATACCTGATGATTATGCCCCATCAATTGGTAAGAATGCAGGAGGAGGAGGTAGAAATAGAGAAGTACAAAGTTGGCATAGTGGTAAATTCATGATATTAGAACGTTTCTTACATCAGATCAATTCTGAAACTACTGATAAAATTGTCTTGATTTCGAATTATACTCAAACCTTAGACTTAATTGAAAAGATGTGTCGTCATAAGAAATATGGTTGCTTGAGATTGGATGGTACCTTAAACATTAATAAACGTCAAAAGTTGGTGGATAAATTCAATGATCCAAATGGATCAGAATTCATATTTTTGTTATCATCAAAAGCAGGTGGTTGTGGTATCAATTTGATTGGAGCTAATAGGTTAATTTTATTAGATCCTGATTGGAATCCAGCTTCAGATCAACAAGCGTTAGCAAGAGTGTGGAGAGATGGTCAAAAGAAAGATTGTTTCATTTATAGATTTATTTCTACTGGTACAATTGAAGAAAAGATTTTTCAAAGACAATCCATGAAACTTTCCTTATCCAGTTGTGTGGTTGATGAAAAGGTAGATGTTGAAAGATTATTCAGTGCTGAAAATTTAAAACAATTATTTGAATATTCTCCAGATACAAATTGTGATACTCATGAAACTTATAATTGTAAGAGATGTTCAGAAGAAAAGGGTCAATTTATAAAATCTCCCGCCATGTTGTATGGGGATGCAACCACTTGGAATCATCTTAATAAAGATGCATTGGTTGCAAATGAAGATTCATTGATTGTCAATGAAAATAATTTCGATGATATCACTTTTGCATTACAGTATATATCCCATTAGTTATGTCAAATTAAAAAATTAAACTTTTTTAGTAATATGAAAACCGTACGATAAACCAATTAGATATCAACGTAGATTAGGGAACGTTTGTGGTTGCTAATTTGCACCCCCATTTATAGTACATCCCCACATTCCGAATGGGTATAACCTTGTTCCGAGAGAGACGATAACATTTTTTTTGACTCCTGTGTTCTCTCCCCCACATTTTTTTTTCAAGGCTGTCAGGGAAAAAGCGCAACAATTCCAGCCCAATCATAAAACTGTTTAAAGTCATATACCAAAGGAGTTTAGATTATATCATTTATTCTTTAGTATATATATCTTACAAGGTCTTAACCAAATATAATTGTTATTGATAGACCCAACTATAGAACTTAGGATTTACTTATTACTATATTTATCGTTTTCAAATTTCAAAAATGTCACAAGCTCCCCAACTTCCTCAAAATCCAATTATTATCGTTGGTGGAGGTCTTGCTGGTTTATCAGCTGCTCATCAAGTGTATCTTAGAGGTGGTAATGTTGTACTTCTTGATAAACAAGGATTTTTAAGTGGAAACAGTGGTAAGGCTACTTCTGGTATTAATGGAGCTTTGAGTCGTACTCAAATTGATCTTGGAATTAAAGATAGCGTTCAACAATTTTATGATGATACTTTAGCTGCTGCTAAGGATCGTGCTAATCCTGATTTGATTAAGGTATTAACTTATCATTCAGCTGATGCGATTCATTGGTTGCAAGAAGTGTTTGATCTTGATCTTACTATTGTTTCAAGATTAGGTGGTCATTCACAACCAAGAACTCATAGAGGAAGAGATTCAAAATTTCCAGGTATGGCAATTACTTATCGATTATTAGAAACATTTGAAGCATTAACTGAAACTGAACCAAGTCGAGTTGCTGTCTTGAAAAATTGTCAAGTTATTGATCTTTTAAAACAAGATGGTGATGATTATAAAATTAAAGGTGTTAAATATAAAAATTTAAAAGATAAATCAAAACATGAAATCATTGGACCCGTCATAATGGCCACTGGTGGTTATGCTGCTGATTTTACTAAGAACTCTTTATTAAGAAAATATAGGCCTGATATTGTTGATTTACCTTCTACCAATGGTAATCATGCAACTGGTGATGGTCAAAAGATTATTATGAAAAACAAAGGTGTGGGAATTGATTTAGAAAAAGTACAAGTTCACCCTACTGGATTAATTGATCTCAATGATAAAGATGTTATTTCTGGTAAGACTCAACCAAGATTCTTATTCTTAGGAGCAGAAGCATTGAGAGGTGAAGGTGGATTAATGTTTAATGCTAAAGGTGAAAGATTTGTTGATGAATTAGGAACTAGAGACTATGTTAGTGGAGAAATGGAGAAGCAATTGAAATTGGGTAATGGACCGATTAGATTAGTGTTATCTGAGGAAGCTGAATCAAAATTGGAATTCCATGTTAAGCATTATAAGTCAAGAAATTTGATGAAAACAATTTCAGGTAAAGAATTATTAAAGGAATTTAACTTAGAATCGAACCCAAATAAGTTAATTAGTCAATTAGACACCTACAATAAAGCTGCTACTGGTAAAGTAAAGGAACCATTTGGTAAGAAATACTTCCCAGCTACTCCATTTAAATTTGATAACAATGCTAAATATCATGTATCATTTATTACTCGAGTCTTACATTTCACCATGGGAGGAGTTAAAATCAATGATAAGTCTCAAGTTTTGCATCATGTTGGTGAAGAAGAATATGTTCCATTTGAAGGATTATATGCAGCTGGTGAATTAGCTGGTGGTGTTCATGGGCATAATAGATTAGGTGGTTCTTCTTTATTGGCTTGTGTTGTTTATGGTAGATTGGCTGCAGATCAAGCTAGTAGTTATTTCATGCATAAGTTAAGTACTAGCACTGGTTCTGTGGGTGCTACCGGTAGATTGCAAATGATCAACTTACATATTGATCCACTGAACCCTCAAAGAGTTACTATCGATTGGAGTGATAAAGGGGAATCGTCTGGTTCTGTACCAGTTACTGCAGCACCAGTGCCTACTTCTACTGCTGCAGCTGCAGCTGCACCAGCTCAAGCTCCATCTCCTACCAAATTTAAACAATTTGAAATCCCAAGTAAAGAATTCACTGAAGAAGAAGTTGCAAAACATAATAAGCCTAATGATTGTTGGGTTATTATTAAGAATGTAGTATTAGATTTAACCCCATTTTTAAAGGATCATCCAGGTGGTGAACAATCAATTAAGAACTTCGGAGGTAAAGATGCTACAGAAAGTTTTGAAATGTTACATGAAGATAATTTTATTGAAAAGTATACTAAAGAATGTGTGTTAGGTAGAATTAAAGGTAAGACTCCAGCTTTGGAATTTTAATTTAGGTTACAAAACATATAAAGTACAATTGAATTAAGTTTATTTATTTATTTATGAAAAATATATATACGCGATATAAGAATGATGTTTTAAATTTATTCGTGTTCTAATGAAGCTTCGTATTGTTCTTCAGTTAATAATTCTTCTGAAGCTTCGACATCTTCAACGTTAGCTAATTTAATTTGAGCAATCCAACCGTTACCAATTGGATCAGAGTTAATTAATGAAGGATCACTTTCTAAGTTTTCATTAATAGCAATGACTTCACCAGCAATTGGAGAATAAATTTCTGATGCAGATTTAACTGATTCAACTGATCCAATAGTATCACCAACTTCAACTTGATCACCAATTTCTGGTAATTCAACAAAGGTAACATCACCAAGAGCTTCAGAAGCATATTTTGTGATACCAACAAAGGCAGTATCATCACTGAAAGTAGCTAACCATTCATGTTCAGCAGTATATTTAACTGAAACTGGACCTTCAGTTAAGTATTTATAAAGATGAGATTGTTGGTTGACTTTATGAGAAATTGAATTGAATACAACTCTTGAAGTAGAGAATTTGGCAGTGAATGAAGGAATGGTAGATCTGATAGATAAAGTTGAAGATCTGATCAAAGGGCTTGATGTTCTTAATACTGATTTAAACATGGCTAAAATTTATATGTATGTGTGGGGTGGATAGTGTGCGAGAAGAGAGTAACAGGCCGTCTAGATATGATTCGAATAGATGATGACAATATCAATTGGACAAAAGACAAGAAGGACCAAATACAAGAAGAAAGAAATTGAATGAAAAGTTTTTAAAGAATACTGCTATTTATTTTAAACTTTAGTTTATACCGTGAATTTTTTAAAGTCTGTTTTCATTTGTCCTCTGCCTCACATTTTGGACTCTGATGTTTTTTTTCCTTTCTGGTGTAAGGTTTTTTTGACTTCACCATGTCTTTTTTTTGACTTCGATTTGTTTTTGACTTCCCCTTCTGGATTAGTAGTTACTGCAAATTTTCAAATTATATAACTAGAGGTTAACTAATTTGTGTAGTTACTGCATTTGATTGACTGTATACGAGCATGATGAAACCACCAAGTATGCAATGTTTCGATGTCAATTTGCCATATCTACGATAAACGACAAACTAATTTAAAAATACACATATGTTTTTTGTTTTATTAAATCAATAAGGAAATTATATAGAAGATTAAGATAGATTATACCATTTGAAATGATTCAAAATGGTTAATTACTCATAAAGAAATCTATGTTATGCTTTCAAGAAGAAAAGGAAATTATATAACAAAAAAAATTACATAACATGATAAAATATCCTGATACAGGAAGGGGGTGTATAAGAAGAAAGGGAAACTATTTACTTTAGTTAAAAGTTGATGCTGATATGAATTATATATCAATAAATAAGAATGAAGGAAATGTGATTGGATTTATTTTTCATCTCTTTATGATCATGATTTAGTTTTTATTATCATTATGATAGAATATTTTTCATTAATTTTTGATTGATAATACTTTTTATTAGATGTTATTATTTGACTTTTTCTTTCATTTCAATTTTCAATTTTCAATTCGATTTATCTAAGTGAAATGAACCACAATAGGTACAATGATAACAATTAATAAAATAATTACACCTAAGATTAAACATAATCTCATTTTCATATCTTTCCACCACATATCTTTTCTAACTCTATTGGCACCTCTTTTAAAACCTTGAGCACCCATTTGTAAATCACCAGCTTTGTTTTCTATGGTATCTAATCTTTCACCTCTTTCAGCAACTTTATTAATGTTATCTCTCATAATACCAACGGTATCATCGATTTGCTAGAAAAGAAAATTAAATTAGTATAAAAGACTTCAATTTGAGGTAAGTAAATTGATTGATTGATTGAATCAATATAACAACTATATTCAAAAGATACATACTGCTTGAATTGCTGCTTGTCTGGATTGGGATTGATCACCAGTACTTTGGTTTGGGATATATGGATCGTAAGGGACTGAAGAAGACATTATAAATATATGATTTGTATTTTAATTTAGATGTGTTGAATGAAATAAGTTACAAAGAAGTAATCGACTGAGTTATATTAGATAGATTTTATGTAGTTGATATAGTTTTAATAAGATTTCTGAATTGAAAAATGCAGCTATATGATACTAGTGTTTGAAAGGGGGGTACAATGAGAGCGTGAAAATTGATCTGGCTCTGATTCAAAATGATTTGATATGATTTGTACTTGACTTGAACTGGAGGTACTGACAGATGTTCAATATAATCGTTTTATGGATTTGATTGATTGATTAAGTCTTTAAATGATGATCAGAATAATAATAATGATGATAGTTGTTTGCTATAATAGCTTTTGCCCTTTACTTATTTCTTAACATGATTTAAGAAAATTGGCTTAGAGATTTTTGGGGATTTACACGCCCAATCACTCAGTGATCTTTATGTAATGCGACATTAATGCAATCACTTTATGGTTTGCGTGTCATAATTATTAAATGTCTGATATCTTTAAATTATTTGTTTCTTTTTGAAATGTCGTATACCTCAAAGTGTCTGGTAATTTTGCCTAATTAGGTAATGACCCATTTATTACTATAATCACATACACTTACACTTTCAACAACAATAAGAGTAAGTTAAAGTTTTTAGATCTATCAATGATTCGAATAAAGTTGAATATCTTGTGATTTACTTGACCTGTTCATTACATCGCATTTAAAAGAAAATAGAGAATGATGATCTTGTTATTGATACTACTTGGTGATGTTTAATTTAAAAAGCGGATCAAATGGAAATTAAGACACACAAAAACTGTGCCCGCTTCATGATCACTTTTTTTCACATCAATTAAATTAATGGCTGTGAAACTTAACGACGGTTCATCTAAAGCTTGACCTACTAATTTCTATAGCTCTGTAATTAGATAGAGATATAGTATATATACCTACTAATAGTCTGAAAGTAGATTAGTTTACAACTAATATACATTGTAAAAGTAGGTCATCAATCATCCATTTATTAAAAATTTAAATGATCCAAATATATTCATCTTATATATTCATCCTATAAGATGAAATTATCTCCTATCTATTGAATCAAGGCTATATGACAACATATTACAATAGAATTTTTCTCCTATCCTTTTGGCTTCACTGCTGCTGTCTTATCAAATGAATGATGATCCAGGAAATGTCGCAAACTTTAATATGAGCACTACTTTCCTATCTTATATTATTATGGAGAGTATATCATCTATAATTATTAACCATATGGTATGAATTCATGATGCTAAAGATGATTGATAGCATTATCAGATTAAACGCGTCTTTTATCCAATCGATCGATGATAATCATCAAAAGAGCTCAATCCGGGTAATTCATTACTATGTATTGATTTAGTAAATTACGAATACGAAAGTATATGATCAATATTAACTCACATAGAACTTGTATTGATCACAATATCTTTAAGCTCAGGAAGGCTATTGTTAGTATCAAAAAAATTTGTTAAAGCCCAAAGAGGTTTACACTTATATAATCGGCTAATTGAATACGATGGTTATTTTTTGGTCTCTAATTGTCGCACCGTCAAATTCGTGACAATCTTGGTAAGGAGGATCTAGCTTGGGTTTGTCGTGATGAGTTAAGTCATCAGCTTAATTGACGCAGTGGAAGTTATTGTTAATCACTTAAAAAACTATTTAGAACTATAGCATTATATAGAATAGCTAAGTAGATCAAATTTGAATCTTATAATTCTATAATTATCTAAACATAGAAAATGTCGTATTAGCCTGGGCCACTCCTTTTAGGTACCTCCTTTTTTATTTTTTATTTGTTTTTTTTTTTTGTCTGTCATTAAAAAAAATAAATACAAAGAACTGGTTGGGAAACAGACAGACAGTGAGAGGATCAAAAAAATCAAAAATGTCGTTTCTGTCGACGGTCTCTTTTCCAAACCACCTCCTCCTCCCAAAATCACTTTTTTGTTTTTTTCTATTTTAATAAATTCCAACAACCACTTTCTTTTCTTTTTAATCGTTATTTCTTGTGTACATCACATTTTATACATTAACTCAATAATAATAATAGATCAAATATGGACGGTGGTATGTATATGACCCTCAATTGAGGTTTAGTTTAATTGATTGATTGATTGATTGATGCCATTGAACCAAGTTTAAAAATACATCCAGATTTTTCATTTTCCCAATCTTTGATTTGGAATCTCTAATGTTTTTTTGGGAACTTATGTGTTGGCCACTAAAATTTTTCAACATCTATCTCACCCACATCATCAAATTACAAGATCAATTCATCCATAGAAGGCGTATAAATTATCGTTATGATAGCTATGATTTCAATTGATTGATTTGATTGATTGATTGATTTTATTTGTTTGTCTACAACGATTCAGCTTACGTTCTTTTTTTAATAGGGGGGCGAGCGAAAAATATAACCAGCGATTACAAACTTATTTTTTGATTAATTGAGATCTTTCTCGTTATCAATGCATATGTTAGTTTATCAAAGTCAATATTATCTATAGCTCATCATTATCATTGATATCATTTTCAAATTGACACTATCAAAAAATTTTCAAACTTTGATTAGGCAGTGTGGTATGCATTTCTATTCATAGTAACTTTTTTTCCCTCACTCAGTGTGTGTGTGTGTGTTTATTATGAATGTGAGAGAGCATCTTTGATTGAAAAGGGATAGGACTATTTTTTTTATCGAATTTTGATTTGTTACATCTGTCTCACTCTAATTATTATGACTTTCTATTTTACAGAATGATGATTTAAGTGTCTTGAGATAGATTTAGTATCAATTTATGATTTTTAACTAGAATTATTCTATATCTTTTTTTTGTCGGCCTAATCTTATCCATCATCCAACAGATGATTGCATTTCTATCATTATCATTATCAATTCAGATCTAATCAATTAATTAAACAAGCCAATTTAAAATTAAAAAATAAAATAAGTAAATACTAACAATATCCCCTTATTATAGAAGAAGTTGCTGCTTTAGTTATCGATAACGGTTCCGGTATGTGTAAAGCCGGTTTCGCTGGTGATGACGCTCCTCGTGCTGTTTTCCCATCTATCGTCGGTAGACCAAGACATCAAGGTATTATGGTCGGTATGGGTCAAAAAGATTCTTACGTTGGTGATGAAGCTCAATCTAAAAGAGGTATTTTAACCTTAAGATATCCAATTGAACATGGTATTGTTTCTAATTGGGATGATATGGAAAAAATCTGGCATCATACTTTTTACAATGAATTAAGAGTTGCCCCAGAAGAACATCCAGTTTTATTAACTGAAGCTCCAATGAATCCAAAATCTAATAGAGAAAAAATGACTCAAATTTTATTTGAAACTTTCAACGTTCCAGCTTTCTACGTTTCTATTCAAGCTGTTTTATCATTATATTCATCAGGTAGAACTACTGGTATTGTTTTAGATTCTGGTGATGGTGTTACTCACGTTGTTCCAATTTATGCTGGTTTCTCTATGCCACACGGTATTTTAAGAATTGATTTAGCTGGTAGAGATTTAACTGATTACTTAATGAAAATCTTATCTGAAAGAGGTTACACTTTCTCTACTACTGCTGAAAGAGAAATTGTTAGAGATATTAAAGAAAAATTATGTTATGTTGCTTTAGATTTCGAACAAGAAATGCAAACTTCTTCTCAATCATCTGCTATTGAAAAATCTTATGAATTACCAGATGGTCAAGTTATTACTATTGGTAATGAAAGATTCAGAGCTGCTGAAGCCTTATTCCGTCCTGCTGATTTAGGTTTAGAAGCTGCTGGTATTGATCAAACTACTTATAACTCCATCATCAAGTGTGATGTTGATGTTAGAAAAGATTTATATGGTAATATTGTTATGTCTGGTGGTACTACTATGTTCCCAGGTATTGCTGAACGTATGCAAAAGGAAATTACTGCTTTAGCTCCATCATCAATGAAAGTTAAAATCATTGCTCCACCAGAAAGAAAATACTCTGTCTGGATTGGTGGTTCTATCTTGGCTTCATTATCTACTTTCCAACAAATGTGGATCTCAAAACAAGAATACGACGAATCTGGTCCATCTATTGTTCACCACAAATGTTTCTAAGCAAATTGTTGTTAATCAGAAAAGAAAGATATTTTCTTTTTCATTTTCTTTTTTTTATATCTCAATTGTTTATAAAAACATTATGGTAATGATTATGATTTTAGATTCTTAATATTTACTCACTTGTTTTGCTTTGTTTTGTTGTTATTATTTTGTTTATTTGTTGCTTTTTTTCTATTATTGTCAAAGTACAAATCGATTAAATGAAGACCAAAAAAAATTCTCCTTAAATTCCTTTATTAAAGTATTACTATATTAAATCAAGTCAGTATTATATATATATAAGTAATTTTCTATATATGTATATGCTGTTGATTATAATTTTTCTTATTATTTTTATATTCCTTTGTTTCAAAAAAAAAAAAAGAAGAGAAAGAAGAATAAAGATTTGAAAATATTGAAATAAGAATAATTAATTGCTTATCACAAATTTTCAGGTCGGGTATTTATTTTCATATTTCATATTTTTTATATTTTTATAAATTATTTCTTTATATCTATCTTATACGTAACACTTATATGTATTTAAAATTATATATGTGTAAATTGTGATTATTGTAAATTGTGTGTTGTTTTTTAATATTAAAGAAAATTATCATAAAAGTAGAAGCCCACATCAGCTCTGTTTTTAATCGCTTTCTATCGTTCCAGGTTCTTGACTGGCACTTTCACCTACCTCTTGCTCGTGTTCTGCTTCTTCATCTTCTTCTGCGTTTGGTGGTTGTTCAGAATCTGCTTCTTCTTGTGGTTCTGACTCATCGGCTTGATTTCGTTGTCTTTCTTTTAATTGACTCAATCCATCGTAAAAATTTGTCCATAACCTTCCTACATCATCAAACTCTTTCCCCACTTGGATCGACTCGTTCAAAGATCGATTCAAAATATCTAAATTATATATCACATTATCGATATTGTTCGATATTTCCTGTATCAATAAGTCCCGTTGTTTTTCAAAATATGATGATGAAGCAGCATGTGATATCGGCTCTATGGATGACTCCTTATTTGACATGATATGATATGATATTAGTAGTACAATTCTTTGTGGATAACTCCTCTATTCAAAACACCAGGTCGCGTACTGTCTATTTAAAATTCAGTGTTGTTTTTGTTTTCTGGTTTTGTTGCAAAGTTTGGTGATAGTTTACATACAGGAAATATCAATTTTATTAGTGGGATGCAGCATCAGAAAATTTTATATAGGCGTAATGAATGATTTCGTCATTGATTACATTTTGGTTAGATATTGACAGTATTTGTTAGAATTCAGTAGTGGTTATAGATATGGCTAAGAAAGATAAGAAGTCAAAGGAAGCTAAAAAACTTCGAACAGCAGAAAAGGCTAAGAAGAATCAATCAAAGGCTGAAATCAAAGATAAAAAAGTTGCTAAAAAATTAGGTGAAGAAGAAGAAGATGAAGATATAGATCAAATCTTAGAACAATTCGCCAAAGAGCAAGCATTATTCGAAGAAGTTAACATCACTGTTACTGAAAGACCATCAAAAAGATTGAATCCTACTATGGTGGCTAATCCTATCAATGGGAAACGTGAGTTTATGTTATTTGGTGGTGAATCAAATGATGGATCAATTGCTCATTTTTATAATGATTTATACGTCTATACCGTTGATAATGATACCTGGAGGAAGATAAGTTCCAAGAATGCACCATTACCAAGATCTTCCCATGCTATGTGTTCTCATCCATCTGGTATAATATTAATGTTTGGTGGTGAATTTTCATCTCCAAAACAATCTACCTTTTATCATTATGGTGATACTTGGATCTTAGATGCTGATAGCAAAGAATGGTCTAAAATTGATCAAAAGAAAGGACCATCCGCTAGATCAGGTCATAGATTGGCCGTTTGGAAGAATTATATTATGTTATATGGTGGATTTCGAGATTTAGGAAATATGTCAACTTATTTAAATGATTTATGGTTATTTGATGTCACTACTTATAAATGGACTCAAGTAGAATTTCCACAAACTCATACTATTCCTGATGCAAGATCAGGTCATTCATTTTTACCATGTGCTGATGGTGCCATTGTCTATGGTGGTTATTGTAAAGTTAAAGCAAAGAAAGGTTTACAAAAAGGTAAGGTTTTAACTGATTGTTGGGTTTTAAAGATGAAATCAGATCCTAAGGCAATTAGATTTGAAAGGAAAAAGAAGCAAGGTTCAAGTCCTACTGCCAGAGTTGGTTGTTCATTGGTATATCATAAGAATAGAGGTATAATGTTTGGAGGTGTTTATGATTATGAAGAGAGTGAAGAACAATTGGACTCAGAATTCTATAATACTTTGTATTCGTATCATATAGAAACAAATAGGTGGTATAATGTTTCATTAAAGAGACAGAGAGCTCCTAAAAGAGAACGTGTTAAAGAAAGATCAAGAGATGAAGATCTTGAAATATTATTGAATTCTATTTTAGCCAAAGCCAAATTAAATGATGACGATGAAGAAGAAGATGGAGACAAACAGATTTCAGAAATTGAAAGATTGAGACAAAAAGAAGAGCTTGAAGAAGCCGAAGAGGAAAAGATAGTGTATCCTATTATGAATCAATTACCTCATAAAAGATTTAATTCTACTTTATGTGTAGTTGATGATACCTTATTTATATACGGTGGTATCTTTGAAAGAGGAGAACAAGAATTCAATTTAGATTCTTTATATGCTATTGATTTAGGTAAAGTTGATGGGGTTAAAGTGTTATGGGAAGATTTAACTGAAATGGAGAAAGATGTGGTTAATTCAGATGATGAAGATGAAGATGATGATGACGATGATGATGACGATGATGAAGAAGATGAAGATGTTAAATTGGAAGCTGAAGATGAAGATGAAGAAGAGGAAGAAGAGGAAGAGGAGGAAGATGAAATTCCAGATCCAAGACCTTGGTTACCACATCCAAAGGCTTTCGAGTCATTAAGAGCGTTCTACGTTCGTACTGGTCCAAATTTCTTAGAATGGTCTATTTCAAGTCACAGAGATGAAAGAGGTAAATACTTGAAGAAGGCAGCCTTTGATTTATGTGAAGAAAGATTCTGGGAAAGAAGAGAACAAGTTGCTATAGAAGAAGATAGATTAGAAGATTTAGGTGGTGTTGGAGATATCATTGAAAAAGATACTTCCAAAGTTACTAAAAGACGTTAGATTATAGATGTACATAAACTTTTTTATTAATTTATAAATATTTATCTAAATAATTATATTACATGACCTAATTTACAGAGATATTATATGAAATGAATGAATGATATGAATGAACCGGTAGGGAAAGAAAATTATGCAAAATGAATACCAACTTGATGAAATGCGTATAATAATTTCAAGAAATCAGTTTGATCTAATTTAGAAGCTCTCTTATCTGAAAATTCAGTTTGAGTTAATACTTGATCAATCTTTTTCTTGACAATTTCAGTATATTCACTTTGACTATCAATGGCCATTGAATCATTATTATTATCACTATTTTGAGTAGCTAAAAAGGTTTTATAATTCTTTTCTAAGATTTCAATAACATTATTTGATTTGAAACCAGCAGCGATGGTCTTATTCTTTCTAACGAAAACAATACGTAATAAACCATCCCATTCATTAAAGTCAATATTTGGTCTTGGGGTTTTGATTTCTATTCTAACCACTGATGATTCAACTTGAGGAGGAGGACGGAAATTGTTCTTACCAACCTTCATGATATGAGTAACATTAGCCCACATCTGCACGTTAGCAGATAATCTACAGTATAAGGAATCACCAGGTCTGGCTAACAATCTTAATGCAAATTCTCTTTGGAACATTAAAATAGAAACTCTTGGAGGTCTTGGTTGATTTAATAATTTAAACACTAATGGAGATGAAATTTGATAAGGAGTATTTGAAATACAAACATCGAAATAAGGTAATTCAGTTTTCATGAAATCTCCTAATAAGATATCTAATTTCTTTTGTTGAGGAGTACCATGAACTCTCTTGGTTAATTCAGCCGCCATTCTAGGATCCATTTCAACAGCCACAACTTTCTTGGCTTGTTCTAAGATACGAACAGTTAAGTTACCAGTACCAGGACCAACTTCCAAAACAATATCACTTGGTTTTATATTAGCCTTATCAACAATCCCTTGGGCCACTAAAGGATTCTTCAAAATATGTTGACCTAAATTGGTATTGAATTTAAACACTGAGTTCAAATGCTTTTCTGCTGCAACTTTCGAACCAGTTGGATCAGAAGCTGTAGAGAACTTCTTCTTTGGAGCTTTTGGCATTATATCGTTACTTTCACTAATCTTGAACTATGGAAATCAATCTCTTCAAATCAAACTTCATAAATCTCATCTCTGCTCTCTCTCCAGAAATTTTTTTTTATTTATTTATTTTGAGGAAAGTTGCTGCAATTTTTGGTGTGCATATAAGGCCGCATCTTTTTGTTTACATTTTTGTGAATGTTTACAAACAACGTATCAGCTCAGTTTTACAATTGATCCAGTTGCCATTACAACACTATAGGACAAGTAACCCATTGGAAGTAGAAGAAGGTATAATACAGTATCATAGCGATCAATATCAGAAAGGGACACAACGGTTTGAAATACTTTACCATTGAAAAGAAATAGGACACTTGAAGAGAGAAGTATGTCAAAACAATAATAACAATGAGTCCCTTAACTTTGAATGATATAAGATTATCAGAACTACTACAAACAGTACCGACATTCTCCTTCTTCGAAGAACTTATCAGCATCCCAGCTGTCAATACCCAGCTACTGCTGAGTGATCTATACAAGTTTAATAAGATATTGAGTGATATAATTGTATATCTAAGAGATCTTCTAGAAATTTTTCATCAAATCAATCAATCAGATCTTAGTCTTAACAATGATTTACAATGGTATTTTGAAGGAAAGGATGCAATTCTTGATTTAGATCGGAATTTGAAAAGTATAGATGAAATCATAATGCAACTTCTTTCTGTCGTGGAGTCTGATGGAAGAGATAATGTTATATCTTTATTAGATAAATTTGAAGAATCAAATGGGTTATTATTAGAGGTCAAAAAGTTCGTCATCACATTTAAGAAGAGCTTGGATTTATCTATTGTTTATAGAGAGATAATTGATACCATTAAGATATTAACTGAAGAAACTGAAGATTGTTTGAAACTGATTGTTAGGTTATCAAAGACAAAAATATCTAGTCCTAATCGAGTATTGCCCAAATTTGAATTAGAAACCATTATTTCAAAGATGAGAATAACTAATTTATTCTCATTGAATAATTTATCTATGAGATCAATAAGATTGCCTACATTCAATGACGATGATGAAAGTTTATATCAGGAATATTTACAATTGGAATCAAGAGTTGACCCATTACATATTTCATTGGATATTATTCCATTAAAGGTTGAAGACTTTAACAAGTTATGTGTTGCTAATAATTCATTTTCTAAATCAAAACAACATTTATTTAAAACCTATGAAAAATTACAAGATCGATGGTTACATTTAAAGAGCCAACAGAAAATTCTTAAAAAGCATAGCTTGGATTCAAAATGGAGTGAAGTCTTCCAATATTTAATTAAAGAGATCATTGTCAAATGTGACTTTATAACAGATGAATTGTCAAGAAATACAATTAACGATGATATTGTGAGTTCATATAAATTATGTTCCAATTCAATAATATTGATAAATAAAGCCTTTCAAGAATCAATACTTAGCGAACAAGAAATGAAGTACTTGTTTAATGAAAAGTTATTACCCAAATGGCAGACTGTTAATGAGACATTAGTTGAAAAATCATTTGATCCACTGTCAGCTGGTATTCCATCGTATGCCGCCGATGTTCCTACTCCAAAACCAAATCAACAATTCGATGAGAATGGTTTAAAGATATTTCAAACGAAAAGAAGTAGGAATGTCCTGGGTTCAAGTTTATCTAGCGTCAATTTAAACAATGATATTGGTCTTGGTGTGAACCTTTGTATAGGTATCCATCAAGCGACAACTTCAGTTCCATTTAGTATTCGAAAAGAAGATAGAGTTAAAGACTTTTTCAGTCATGAACATCATCCACCACCAACAACACGTAATATCAGAGATTCTTTATTAAGTCTTAATGATTTTGATATTTTTCAAGATACTGAAGCTGATGATGATGAGAAAACATTGGTTTCAAAAACTCCAAGGATTTCAAGTGGATTTGATAATTTACATCAAGAAATTCAAAAATTAAGAATAAGTGATAAGAATGTATCACGATCATCAACTTCATCACACTTCACGTCTTCAAAAAGGTCGATAAAACCTACCAAATTGCCCAAAATTGTACATAATTATATTGAATTAGGTTATCCAATTCTTAAGAAGAGGCTAATCACAGTGAAACCGAAAACAAGAATCGCCAGTATCAGTATCTCCCATCCAATTTTCCATTCACCAGATAGACAAGGGAATAGACATTCCAATTATACATCACCAATGGTTCTACAAGTTCAAAAAGGACGTCTTAATGCCACAAGATTAGGTTCACCTGTCAGAGGTGCAAGAGTTGTATCGGGAGAAATCCTTACCGAAAACTTAAATGTTTTCCGAAAGCCCAGTAGAAATGCTGCTGCTACTAATACCATACGTTCAAGAAGTTCATCAGTTGGCTCTGCTAAAGGTGGTAATATAAGCTCCCTTCAAACTATGAAGATTCCTAACTTGACTTATACAAGTCCACCAGCTCAATTCAATAGTACTTCTCCTGAAAGACCATCCTCTTCACTTGGATCTCGATTTGATGATGAACACTTGCTACAAACCACAACCAAAAACGTTAAATCAAAATGGAAGTGAAATTAATAATTCATATTCTGCATTAAAATTGTATTCTATGTACATGTACTACTTATCTAATTAGTTTAGAACACCTACGATGTGTGTAGTATTATAATAAATAAATATTCCTAATATTTTATGATGATTCATCAGGTTTATTTCCACTATCTCGTTTCATAGTCTTACTAGTGAATCCATCCAAGTAGAAATCTTTACCAAATATCTTATAATTCCAACTATTCTTTTCAACTTCCCATTTCTCTTTCTCACCGTATTTTCTAATCTCATGATTCTCCATTATCTCACCTTCCCTAACTTTCTTGGTGGACTTCCCTTCTAACCTTCTATACAACTCATAAGTCGATATGAAGATTATCGGTATCGATAGAAGAATAAGATGTACACCATTGTATCTTGTCCTGACTGCTTTTGGAGCTTTGTTCCAGTTAGGTCTTCCAGTTTCAACTAGTTCCAGGATGAATTCTGCATTCTTTGATTTGCTTCCCTCCGTTATAGTACTACTTGTGGTTGTATTAGTTGTAACATTCTTCTTTTTCCCTTCTCTATGAAAGGACGAATTCTTGAACTTGCTTTCCTCCTTTGACATTGTTATTGATGGCTGTGTTCTTCTTGTGTTGCAATAGTCTAAAAAAAGTAACATTAAATTTTGATGCTCTATTTTTTTGTTTACATTTTTCACCAACACGTTCAAAATTTAATGATCTGGTTTTCATAATGAATTTCATCTTCTTCTTCTTTCCATAGTTATAACAAATAAAACATAATCATGACATTACAGAGCACATTGAGTGAATACATATCGAAACATCCAAAACCAGAGGGTTTGAAATTTGCCTATGGTACGGCTGGTTTTCGTATGATAGCTACCAATTTGGACTATGTTAACTATACAGTTGGGATTTTAGCATCTTTAAGATCAAAGCAATTAGGAGGGAAAACCATTGGTGTTATGGTTACTGCCTCTCATAATCCACCTCAAGATAATGGTGTCAAAGTTGTTGACCCATTAGGAAATATGTTGGTGCCTGAATGGGAGAGTTACGCTACTTTGTTAGCTAATTCAGACCCTGAGGACTTGTTGAAAAATATTACTGAATTGGCTACAAAGCTTGAAATCAACCTTTCTGCAAAGTCAAGTGTGGTAATTGCAAGAGATTCAAGAGAATCTAGTCCTCGTTTATCTAATTCTACTATTGATGGTTTCAAATCAATCCCTAATACTGAATACACTGATTTTGGATTATTGACTACTCCACAGTTACATTATTTAACAAGATGTTTGAATGATCCACCATTTGGTGAACCAACTCAAAAGGGATACTATGAAAAAATCGCTTCTGCATTTAAAGAGATTTTCAAATTAGGTCCACATACTGAAAAGATTGATGTCACAATTGATTCAGCTAATGGTGTTGGAGCTCCAAAAGTTAATGAGTTGATCACTGGTTATTTATCTAATGAGATTTCTTTCACCCTGGTTAATGATAAATATGATGAAGCTGAATTATTAAACTTTGATTGTGGTGCTGACTTTGTTAAGACCAATCAAAAATTACCAAAAAATGTTGATAATCCAAAACCAAACAAATTATATGCTTCATTTGATGGTGATGCTGATAGATTGATCTGTTATTACCAACAAGATGGAACAAATAAATTTCAATTATTGGATGGTGATAAATTAGCCACTTTAATTGCTTTATTCTTTCAACAATTATTGGAAAATATCGATGAATCAAAATTGAAGCTTAACATAGGTGTGGTTCAAACCGCTTATGCAAATGGTTCATCTACCCAATATATTGAAGATGAATTGAAAATTCCAGTCCGTTGTACTCCAACTGGTGTTAAACATTTACATCATGAAGCTGAAAAGTTTGATGTCGGTATTTATTTCGAAGCTAATGGTCATGGTACAGTCGTTTTTGCTCCAGAAGCTGAAAAGGCAATCTTTGACTATCAAGCTGATAAAGAAAATAAAAAGGAGGTTACCTCTATCAAGATATTACAAGAATTCACTAGATTGATAAATCAAGCAGTTGGTGATGCAATTGCTGATTTATTATCTGTTCTTGTTATTCTTCATTATCTTGATTTATCTCCAGAAAACTGGAATAAGTCTTATTCTGACTTACCAAATAAATTATCGAAAGTTATTGTTGCTGATAGAAGTATTTTCAAAACTACAAACGCTGAAAGAACATTGGTTGAACCTGTTGGTTTACAAGGCAAGATTGATGCTTTAGTCAGTAAATACTCCAAGGGAAGATCATTTGTAAGAGCTTCTGGTACTGAAGATGCAGTGAGAGTTTATGCTGAAGCTGAATCAAAGGAAGATGTTGAAGATTTATCTAAATTGGTCGGAGAACTTATCAAATAAAACAACATTACAAATCAATATAAATGAATAAATAGCATTTCTAATTAAATTTCAGTATAAAATATTATACATAGGTTTACAAAACTTGAACTTTTTTTGTTTAATCCCCTCTATAGTAGAGCTTTTTAAACTCTCCTGGAGTAGTAAGCTTCTTACCTAATGACCAAACCCCTTTCTTTAATGATTTGGCTTTTGCTTCTAACTTTCTATAAAATGATTCATTATCACCAAATTCAGCCCCAACTTTTCCTTCGTATATAATCGCTAATCCTTCCTTTATCATTTCAGCACTTACATCTTTTTTACCGGTCCATTTCCATACTTGTGCTCTTGCCACTACTCTTTTATATTGATCTATTGAAAAAGGTGTGATAGATACGTATCTACCGTTTAAATATGCATGTAACCAATTAAGAGCTTCTTCACTAAATGGTTGAGCAGGTTTGCCCCAATGTGCTCTTTCTGGTGCATCGACACCACATAATCTTATCATGAGAGTTTCATCTTTTAATAATGATCTATTGGTAGGTATCTGTCTTAACCAACCCCACCCCATCAATATACCACCTGGTGTATGATAAAATCGGAAATTATCACCATCTCCTACTCTAGTGACATACCCATATAACCTCTGATGGTTATCTAAAATCTCAGGAGTGATATCAAGATAATTCCTTATCCTTCTTACATACCTTCTATAGAAGCGATATGATAATAAAACAGTAGTAGTTACACCAGCAGAAAGTAATAATACCTTGGGATGAAACAATGATACCTCTTGAGCAGCGCTAGCAGTTAATACTCTCATCTGATCTTGGTATTAGTTAACGAAATAACTAAAGGAAAAACTATCGAAATCTGGTTGAATAGTTAGATTTGCTCCTCATCTAATCCATTTCATGATCTCTAAATCGTTAACAGCAAAAATGTAAACAGTTTTGTATACAGGAATTCCCGATTGGGAAATGATATTGAAAAAAAAAAATAATACTGAGACACTCTTAAAACATCAGCAGGGATAACAGCAGAAAAATGGAGTTGGGTCTAATAAATCTAGACTGCTTGTTTCAAATTCATTTAAGTAATTTTATCAATTAATAGACAATTTTGATAATGTCTTTGGCTGATGGAGAGTATGACATCGATCTATCGGGATTGATAGATGTCCCCAGCACTTCGTCCAACTCGTTTGGACAAAATATAGCCCTAAGGTACAACTTTATACCTGATTCTATGGATCAATCAAAACCATTGAGATTATATCAGAATGATCAAAGTTGCTTGTTGAAAGCTAAATCTACTGATGGTGGGGATGTGAAACCTATTATATTTGAAGGAACTCCTCAGAGAGCTTCTAATACTGTTAATGATTCATATTTCCTTACCTACACGGCTGACAAAGACAATACAGTACAATTAAAGAGATTACAAACCACTTATAGATTAAGTAAGTCAAGAAATGTAGCTCAGTTATTACCCAAAATTCAACAATGGGATAAAGAGTATACTGTGGTAACACCAGTTGAAAAAACTGTCAGACCAAAAAAGACGAAGAAAAGCATTCCAAAATCAGTACCCAAGCCACCACCGCCACCATCTACAAGTCTAAAAATAGATCAAGTGCCAAAGGTTTCATCTAAGAGACCTCCAACCGCAAATAGCACTCCCTTAGAGGAGCCTATAATAAATGAGTCTGATTTTGATGATCTTGATGATCAAATACGGATGGACGATTCAGATGATAAAGAGTTGGATTTCCCAATCATAAGCTTTGATAATAAAGAAGAAGATAAAGTAAAGGCACCTGCAAGAATTAGAAAGCCTTCTCCAGAGGTGGATACTAGGCGTCGTACAGCTTCTAAGAAGCTTTCTAAGAAACCAGCAACAAATATGGAAAAATCTACATCGCTTGGTAAAGCAAAAGTTATAGAAAAGGTTAGTAACGATATGGACATGGATGATGAATTCAAGGATTTGGAAGATCAGTTACAGGAAGTTTTAGAGGAAGATGATGATGATGATGATGATGATGGAATCACTGTTACGCCTCCGGATCAACTCAAACTAAATATAGATAGTGATGAAAGTGATATTGACGATTTTCAGTATGGTGGAATAAAAATTGAAGATGATACAGTAAAGCCTAAAAAGAAGAACCGGTTTAATGTTCTTAGTAAGCCTGTTGAAGGCAGACCTACTAGTTTAAGAGACTTTGTTGGTGGTGAAAAGAACGATGATGATCTTAGTGTAAGTGAGGAAGAATAATAGATTCGTTTATAATTAATAATGGATTACATAGCATATTTATAAAACGTAGCTCGATACTATACGAGTACAAAACACAGGTTAATACACATATTAATATACATTATAAGCATTTAACTTTATCTAGTGATCTCCATTTCATCTGGTAATCACTTTGAATATGATATTCGCATAGTCAACCAAAACTCATAGAAAAGAAAAATAAAAGTAGAACGCGATAATTAACCTCTTATCTTATACTTATCATCAATCAATGATGGACAGGAAAACGTTTCAACATCTCTCAAGTAGACTTGATCTACTTGAAATATTACTGGGTGATATCAATTCCGATTCAGATAAGTCCCTTCAGGATCAGATAGTCGATTTGGAACGTAAAACAGGATCTGTGTATGGACAAAATGCAGAATTTCAATCGTTATTTACAATGTTAAAGGAGCTTGGACTCTTGAATAAACCAGCTAACAAAACTAATGAACAATCTGAAACAGTCATTGATGAAATTGACTCAGAATCAAAGAAAGCGGAAATAGTATTGCATTATGCAGTTGTCAACGAAGCATATAACAATTTAAATCAATTATCAACAATGAATATCCCAAAGTTAATCAATTATATCTCCCAAAGTCAAGAGAAAACTCACAACTTCAATCAAGATCCATTGAAGATTATGGAAAGACAAAAAGAATTAGAGTCTATTTCCCAAACATTCCATAATTTGGTCATGAAAAATGTCATTGTCTTTGAAAAATATATTAGACTCATTGCTGAAGAGAATGAGTTCTGGTTAGAAACAGAGGCTAAATTAAAAATCTTACAAGCTTCAATCAAAAATAAGGAAAATAAGAAACAAGAAATGAGTAAATATTAAAGAAATGCTAAAACCTGAAAGAGAGCTGAAATGTTCTAAACTCAAAGAGCAAAATGCTATAAGCAGAAACCATATAAATGAAAAAAGATCCAAGAAGTGAAAAGAACCGAAATAAAACCGAAAATCGAAAATTAAATAAAGTCGAAACTTGTCTAATTAATAAATTAATCCCATGATTATTAAATGGGCGAAAATTATGATTGTGTTTGGAGTGTTGAGAATAGCTTGCCCAATTTCTGGGCCTGGTACAAGTGATGCAAAAGGATAAACTGATTCTGCAGCAACTGATTCTTGTGTTGTTGGTGTGCCTTGTGTGATTGTAGCTAATGTTTCAGGAATCAAGGTAGGTTGTTCTGTTTGGATTACTTGTGTTTCAATTACCTCTGTCAATGTTTCATTTTCAGATGAAGAGACATCGGCAACTGTTCCAGGTACAACAGTAATAATATCAGGTGCCAGTTCCTCGGTTCCAGCGATTGCTTCCGTGGAAGTAATAGCTCCTTCGGTACAGTCTTCTTCGGGGCAAGAAGTGATGGTTTCAGTTGTGGTTTCTGGAGCTGCAGTTTCAGTTTCAGTTGCAATTTCATTCGTGCTGATTATTGATTCAGGTGTGGTAGCTTCGGTATTAGGAACTTCGGGAGTAGTGGCTTCTCCAGTGACTTCACTTGTGGCAGCTACAGTGGGGACTTCACTAACAGCTTCAGTCGTAGGAGCTTCGGTAGTTGCTTCTTCTGTACTTGTCAATGGACAATAGGTTGTGTACACTGTAGTCTCTTCGGTGATGGTAGTTAAACCAGTGGTGGCTATAAAAGTAGTACATGCTTCTTCTTCACAAGATGTAATTGTCACGGTGGTAGTTTCTTGTACAGCAGCAGTTGAGGTTTCTGTGAGCTCTGTGATTGTTGCAGAAACTGTACCAGCGGTTTCAGCCCCTATCGAAGGAGTATTTTCTTCTGTTGTTACCGCTTCTGTACTTGTTGGTGCTTCCAGTTCCGTGGCTTCTGTGGAAGTTATCTCCTCCGCAGTAGATGTGGCAACTGCTATTGTAGATGTCAATGTTATAGTTTCTGTGGAAGTAGTCAAAGGACAATAAGTAGTGAATATAGTATTTTCACTGATAACAGTAGTAACCCCTGTAGTAATAACTGTACTTGTACATTCCGCTTCATTGGCACATGTAGTAACAGTAATAATTGTAGTTGATGGAATAACTTCAGTGATAGTCACAATAGTGATAACTTCAGTACTTACTGAAGCAGTCTCAGTTTCTGTTTCTGTAATTGTACTTTCACCAGTCACCACTTCGGTAATTGTTTCATTTTCTGTACCAGTTTCTGTTTCAGTTTCAGTTTCAATCGTTGTGTTTGCTCCTGAAGTTATTGTCTCAGTCTCTGTTATCGTGGTAGTTATATTTTCCGATTCAGTCTCTGTTTCAGTCTCTGTTTCAGCTTCTGTACTTGTAACTTCTGTCTCATCTGTGGAACTGGTCTCAGAAGTTGAAGTTGTTTCAATGGTTGAAGCTTCTGCCACCGAACTCTCAGCAGTCGAAGTCGTTTCATTGATTGATGTTTCTTCCACCGAACTCTCAGCAGAAGTTTCAGTTAATGGACAATAAGTGGTGAAAATAGTAGACTCTAACGTGACCGTTGTTAACCCTGTTGTCACAATAACGCTTGAACATCCCTCATTTCCGCTACATGAAGTTACAGTTATGATCGTAGTTTCGATCACAGTTGTTGTAGATTCTTCAGTTTCAGTTTCTGGTGAGCTTGTGATTTCTGTAGAAGACTCTTCTGTTGCTGAGATGGATTCACTTGAACTTTCAGTCTCGGTTATGGTGATTTCAATGGTAGTTGTCTCATTTTCACTTGAAGTAGTTTCTGATGCTGTTGTTGCTGCAACACTTGCTTCTGAAGTTTCCAGTTCAGTTTCACACTCAGTGGTTCCAGATGTAGCTTCAGTTTCAGTTATAGTGATTTCTATTGTCTCAGTTGTTTCAGATTCAACGGAACTACTTTCAGTTTCACACTCAGTAGATTCTACCGATGATTCTTCTGTTTCACATTCAGTGGATTCAGTGGGAGTCGCTTCAGTTTCGCATTCAGTAGACTCGGCGGAACTAGCTTCAGTCTCGCAATCCTCTGTAGAAGTAGTTTCAGTTTGACATTCCTCTGTGGAAGTAGTTTCAGTTTCACATTCAGTTGATTCAATTGCACTTGAAGAAGTTGTTTCACAATCATCACCCCAATCTCCTCTAGCTCTAATTTGGTTATCAGCATCTGCTAGAAAATCAAAATTTTGCATATCTAGCTGGGACAACTTGTTAGAAATTACATACTCCTCTAAGCTTGATTCATAAGCTTTCAGAATACCAATGAAAGCACCAAACAAGTATAAGACTTTCATTTTGATTTAATGTTATGAAGATGATTATCATTCTAATTAAAAAGTGAAAAATAGTTTCATTTTATTGTATATTTATATATTGGCTGCGAAGTTTGTTCTAAAATCATTTTTAGCGTGTATTTGCAATCTAACGCAAACTAAGGTAAGTTTAGCAGCCAGTCTTCCGAGAAAAACACACTTGATTATTCCCTGCATAGATCATTATTTGGCTGAAAACAGACAAGCAATAGACTAATTGGTAAAGTTAGATGTTAAAACCAACCGGGGTATACAGAGTACTGCAATATTGCGCTTTGCTTATGACAAAATAAAAAGTTTATTACATTTATATAGCTATACTAATATACAATTTTAAAGTTGTAAGCATCAAACTGAATTAAACCACATTTGAAACTTTCAATGATCAAACTGAAATTGTCTTCCAAATATTCAAACCATCACTACCGGTTGAAATCAAACATCCGGGTATTTGTTTGTGCCATCTGACATCTTTTACATCTCTCTGCCAGTGGACAAATAATAATTGTGGTGGAATATCATTCAATTCTTTGGTTTCTTTTCTTTGGTTTGAAATTTCTTCATCATCAGCTTCAACAGCCAAATCCCATAATGTAACAGTATTATCTTCTGAAGAAACTGCTATTATAGATTCGTCAAGAGGATTAAAGGAAATGGAAGTAATTGGAGATTTATGGAAATCGTAGTTAGCAACAGGACTTGGCGTTTGAGAACTAAAGTTACGTAAATCCCATACACTCCATGTACCGTCATCGTGACCGGAAGCCAATAAATGATTTATTTTACCGCACCAAGAAATAACATTTACATCTGATTTAGAAGCAACGGTGGATAATGCAGGTTTATGTTTTTTCGATCTAGTATCCCATATTCTTACATATCCATCACAACCAGCAGTTGCGAAAACAGTTGATTCACCTGTTGACCATTGAATATCTTCAATTGATGATTGTGATGCGAAAAATGGAGTCTTGTCGGTTACCCAACTTGATGTAGTTCTTGATGTTAAATGGATTCTACCTGATACATCCCCAGTCAATAAGGCACCGGTATTGACCAAAGGTGACCAATCTAAACCGTAACCTTCGACGTTACCGTGACTTCTGATTGTATGAATTGGTCTTTTGGCATTTTTTGGGATCATGAATCCAGGAGTATCAAATGCTTTGAATTGAGATGATAAATCATAAATGAATGCTTCACCACTTTCTGACATGGTGGCTGTTAAATATTCCCCGGTTTGAGATGCATGTGGAGAGACTCTAATTCTATTAGTAGTGTCTTTCAAAGGAATAGTTTCACTATCCATTATAGGGTCAACATCTTCGTCATCTTCATCTTCTTCATCATCGTCGTCATCTTCATCCTTAACTAAAGTCTTTGCTAATGATGATAACTTCATAGCAATTAAATTATTGTCTTTATTACGGGAAGCTTGAGTAGCAGTTGCAACGTAAACACTGGCAGGATAAGTTCTTCTTTCATTGCCGAGATTATCAGGTAAGATATCGACAGTTAAACATGGCCATGGCATGTTAACGTTATGTAACATTTCATATACTGATGGATCTGCTTCTAACACTTCATCAGGTCCTAAGGGTTTTGATCTATGTGGAAGATAAATTGTTGATTCTTTTTCTTCTTCTGCTTCAGCATTTTCGAGCTCTTCGATTTTCTTTGATGCTGATGCTTCGTCTTCTTCTTCATCTTCTTCTTCGTCAAGTTGAATAATTTCCCCATCACTTTCAAACTCATCTCCATAAGGATCTTCAAATTCACCCATTTCAATATCTCCTTCTACGGAAGCATTATTGGTTGGGAAAGAATCTGCTGATGTCTTCACTGCAGAGCTGCCTTTTAACTCAGACAAATCATCTGAAGCTGATCTCTTTGACATTTCTAATTCGCTTGATTAAATCTATATCTTCTAATGTTTACACACACCATTTTTAAAAAATTAAATGTCTGAAAAAGAATTTTTCAAATTTTTTGTAGATGAGATCACATGACCAAATTCTCCATATTTATAGCCGTTTATAACAATTTATAACTTTAGAATTTATCACCATTCATCATTAATGGAACGCAAAGCATTTCTAGATCAAGAACCACCGCCTGGTTATGTTGCGGGTATTGGGAGAGGTGCAACTGGATTTACTTCAAGTGCTGACTCAACTGTTTTTTCTACAAAACAGGATTATGAAGATGATGAAGATGATGATAACGAAGATAAACAAGATTTCTCTACCACTGATAAATCAATTCTCAGCAAGGCTATAGGCAAGAATGGAGAGGATGAAGAGGCCGACAGGATATATGATGAAATAGAAAAGAGATTGAGTTCAAGGAAGACTTCGACGTTGCCTTTGATTGGAATCCAACCTGATTCTCAACTTCTGTCAACACAAGAAAAGTTTACCGATCTAAAAAGATCACTAGCTAATGTAACTGGTGAAGAGTGGAGCAGTTTACCAGAAGCTGGAGATTTGACAAGAAGAAACAAAAGAAGCAGGTTATTAGAGCAACTGAGGCAAAGAACTTATGCTGTACCTGATAGTGCCTTGATTGGTGCTGGTTCTATCTCTTCATTGGCTAAAACAAACTTTCAATCGATTTCAGATTCAAGAGATAAATTGTTGGAGAGTCAATTAGATAACCTATTACCTCAGAAGTCAGATGTTTCTACTATTGACTTAGAGTCTTTAAATTCAACAAATTATGCCAATGTGAAAAATGTTTCAAAGGTGAGGGCAATACTTTCATCCTTAAGAAAGACAGAACCAAACAAAGCAACTTCATGGATAGCTTCAGCAAGGTTAGAAGAAGAAGCCACAAACTACACTCTCGCAAAAGACTTGATAGTTGAAGGATGTAAAATAGTTCCAAGAGATCCGGATATTTGGATTGAAAGTATACGGTTACACCAAAAATCTTCAGATGATGCTCGATTGTGTAAAATTATTGCAGCAGAGGGTTTACAATTTAATAGAAAATCTGAAAGATTATGGATAATATCGGAAGAATTGGAAAATATAGCTGATATAACCTCAAGAAAAAGAGTAATAAAAAAGGCATTGGAATCTCTTCCAAGCAATCCAAACCTATGGAAAAGATTAATAGAACTAGAAGACAATAAGGAAGATGTTGTAAAGCTTTTGGAAAAAGCTGTGGAATTCTGTCCTAATAATTGGGACTTCTGGGAGACATGGATCAATATTTTGTCATATAAAGAAGCTAAAGTAACGCTTAATAAAGCTAGAAAGCAATTGCTGGGTGATTTCCAAGTTTGGTTAGCAGCATCAAAGTTGGAAGAAAGGGAAAATGAGAACATTGAAACATCAAAGTTAATCAAAATGATGGAGCGTGCTTTCAAAGACAACGCCTCAGTTACTGAAAATTCCTTAGGTACGAGTGATTGGTTAAAACAAGCAAATGTTTCTGAATCTGAAGGTTTCCCTGGTACCTGTAACGCTATAATAATTAATATTTTGAAAACTGAGGATCTTCATGAGGATAATTTACAATCCTGGCTTAACGAGGCCGAAGTTGCTAATAGTGAAACCCATGTACTCACGGCAAAGTTTATTTATGAATATATCATTGACAAGTTCCCAACTAACATAGATGTGTGGTTGAAGCTTTTCCTGTCGTTGAAGAAAGGTCCAAGTTCAAAGCTTGACGAGTTATTTACCTATTATCAAAAGTCAATAAGCTTGAATCTGAGCGTTGAAATTTTATATTTAATGTTTGCGAAGGATAAATGGATTCTTGGAAATGATATTGATGGGGCTAAAGATATCCTTAACTCAGCCGCCAAGATACTTGATCATAATGAAAATATATGTCTTGCTCTAGTGAAATTAGAAAGCAAGGCTTCTAATTATGCTTCTGCCAGCAAGTTGTTAAAACAATTTGTCACACTGTATCCAAACTCATCTGCAAGAATGTGGTATAAATATATTCACTTATTAAGGTTTTTGAATTATAGAAGTTCAGGTGGTAAAACAGATAGCGTTTTGCAACAAGTGGAACAAGCGCTTATTATTTTTCCAGATTCTTCAAAGCTTCATTTACAAAAGACTCAGATATACTTAAATGAAGATCACAATTTATCTCTTGCTCGAGATTCTGCATCTTTAGGAACCAAGAGTTGTCCTCACTGTGTTGAGTTATGGATACTTCTATCTTCTATCTATGAGCAAATGGGAGTCCTCATCAGAGCTAGATCTATTCTAGATAATGCAATTTTACAAAATCCCGACAGCGATAGATTATGGAAGGCCAAAATAGAACTAGAAATTAGAAACAAAGATACAATCGTTGCTAGACAGTTAACGAATAAAGCCTTGAAGGCTTTTCCAGCATCACCTATATTATGGATCCAATATTTACTGTTGATTCCTAAGATGTCACAGCGTAAAACTGCATTTTTAGATGCGTTGAAGAGCACATCTAACCATCCCCTGATATTAATGTCAATTGGGGTATTCTTCTGGATTGATGAGAAATATTCGAAAGCTAAATCTTGGTTTGAAAGATCTTTACTAGAAGGTAAAAACAATGGAGATAGTTGGGCTTGGCTCTATAACTTTACTTCCAAGTATGGTAACGAAAATGATAAGAGAAAACTTGAAGATTCATTTCTTGAGAGTTTTGATGACATTAATGCAGGTGAAATGTGGAATTCTATAAATAAAGATTTCAAGAATTACGATAAAGAGCCTAAAGAGATTCTACAATTAGTTAGTGACAGATTAAGTAAATTTTAACCGTTTGTATATACATGTATATATATTTAATGTAATAGAATTAATGATTTCAACTGCGCTTTTTTGAAAATTCGTACAAGCTTAAATTCAAAGCACTAAGAAAGCATGGTATTTGTTCTCTTTCCTTAACCCATGAGGACAGTAATTCTTCACAAAGTAATTTGAAGTCATAATCTCCATAAGCTTTCAAATTCTTGGTCTCCACGTCTATAATTAAGTAATTGGAAGCGATGTTTACTGGATTGTTTAAGAATTTTGAAACTAACTTTATTCTAGATGATAAATCATTTGGATTGATAGGATTTGGTAAGAATTCAATACCATATCCAAAGTATTTTGAAATTGTTGATAATATATCCTTGCTCTTTTTAGCATATACATCTTTGAGTCTTTCGTTTCTTCGAGTCAATTGGGAGATTTTGTCCTCAAGGATAGATTTATCATGTTCTTGTCTCTCAAATATGGACTTTGGAACTACGCTATCAGAAGGGAGGTTCTTAACATAGTTGTTAATAAGGTCATTATTTTCATTTCTCAAAGCATCAAGAGTTTGCTTTTTAACAACTTGATCTTGAGCAATCAAATTAGATCTTAATTGAAGTATTTGTAGTTGATTTTGTTTTTCTTTCTTGGTTTGTAAATTCTGATTGAATTGTTGTAATTTAAAATTAGAACTTTCTAAGTCCTTGATTTTGGTTGATAAATCGAAATTCTCCTTCTCGAGTTTCGAAAGTTGGGACAGGAAATTGATTGGTATGGAAACTTCTTCTGTGTTGTCATTATTTCTTGGACGTTTATTTCCAATTGAATTCAGTTGATTTTTCCTAAGTTGTTCTAATTCAGTTTTATATTCATCAACTAGTAATTCCAACTTGGTCAAATATTCATCTGTTGCTTTTGTTGGCACTTTTTGTTCTTCATTCAGTAACTTTTTCCTATTCATTTCATCAAGTCTTTTCAACAGATTTCTTAAAAATTCTATTTCTTTCACATTCAACAATCTTTCTCTTTCAAGTTTAGATATAATCTCATTACGCACTTGTAATTCTTCTTCTAAGTACGATACATTTGAAAGATTTGTCTCATTTGAGTTTTGGAGATGATTCAATTGTAATTGTATTTGTTCTATTTCACCTTTTGCTTCATCGTATTTACTTCGAAGAACTAAGTTGTTGTTTTGAACATCTTTAAATAAACCAATGAATTTCTTTACTTTTTCTTCGTTTGATTCCTGATTAGATGTTTCAATAACGGTTTGTTCTATAACAGTGAAGAAATCATTAAACTTTGCTTCCAATTCCAATTTTTCAATTTCCAACTTACAATACTTCACTTCGATAGACTCTAACAGAGATATTCTATTAGTTAATGAGATATTTTTCTGTTTCAATAATTCAGCTGATGTTTTCTTTTGTAATAATTCATCCACTTTTGATTGTAACTTATTGTTGATATTTTGTAAATTGATATTCTTATTATGTAAATTTTCAACTAAGGAGTTTAAATTTGGATCATTTGCTCTTTGAGTATGATTTTCCAATTCATCTATTAATTGATCATTAGAAGCATGTAATTCTTGTATAGTACCTTTCAATTGATCCAATTCTTTGGTTAGATGATCATTACTATTCAATTGAAAGTTTAAATTAGAACTGACCTGTTCATATTTCCTTTTCAATCTACCATTGACTGCTTCTAATTCATTATAATTCCTCAAATTGACGTTAGCCTCTTCTACCAATTCAGCTATCTTCTGATTTAATGATTTGACTTCTCTAGATTGGATTTGGTTTTGATTCTCTATCTTGGATTCCAATTCTTTCTTTTCCTGATACAAATAATCAAAGTTCAACTTGAGTTTATTGTACTGTTCGTTCTTCTGTAGTATCACATCTTCATATTGCCCTATTTCAATCTCTTTTTCCTGTTGCAACAACCTCTTTTCAGTGGTTAATGCAGCTACTTGATACTGCAAATTCGATATCGTTTGTCTGTTATTGAAGACAGTATCACCATCCTCTGTCGTCCTTCTCACAAGTTGACTATTCAGATACTTTGGATTATCAACAAATGGAGATGAACCACCACTAGACATTACAACCTTCTCGTTTAAACTATGTCACTATTGATATATCAATATCTTGTAGTGTTGATATTTGTAGTTTTAACGATATATCTACATTTTTTATTTTTTTTCGTTGCAATGTGTGAGCAACAGAACAGATCTGGTTTAAACAAATCAATTTTAGAAAAGGAACCATCTATATATAACTAGTTCATTAGTTGAATTGGATATACCAGTAGTGAATTGATTCAAAGATGTCGAAAGTGTATGTATGAGCATTGTTAAGGATCATGATGATGATGATGATAGATGCAAGTTCAAAATTACTAACAATTGATGTATTTTATAGTCCAAGAAATTTCAAACTTTTGGAAGAATTAGAGAAGGGTGAAAAGGGATTAGGAGCAGAATCCATTTCATACGGGTTGGCTAATCAAGATGATATAACAATGACTTATTGGAATGGTACTATTTTAGGTCCACCTCATTCCAATCATGAAAATAGAATTTATTCCTTGACTATCATTTGTGATGAAACATATCCTGATAAACCACCAAAAGTTAGATTCACTACTAAGATTAATTTACCATGTGTTGATAGTGAAGGTCATGTTATTATTAGTAATTTCGAAACTTTAAAGAATTGGAAGAGATCATATACTATGGAAACTGTTTTATTGGAACTTAGAAAAAGTATGGCTTTAGCTACTAATAAGAAATTACCCCAACCAGTTGAAAACTCAACCTATTGAATTCAAATCCATATTAATGCCTATCTTTCTTTCTCAATTGATTTATGCCGTTTTCTATCTAGAAGATAAAAAATTGCTAAATATCACCTTAAGAAGCAATCTACTAGTTATTCAAATGATTATATAGTATATCATCAGTATTTTGTATCATCTTTAGACAGTCATCAACGTCTACATTTCCTCTAATATTCACGATGCATAATGTTACAACGTTTTGATTCTTTTGATTCCTCTTTATTTATCTTACTATTTCATCCATCTAATTTATAAATATAATTCTTTATTATGTCATAAAATTCGTACATGTAACAGAAGGGTATCTCTGCTATTCTATTTAACATATTTACAATTAACCACTTTCATCCAATTCCATTTCCATAAGCTTTCTAAAATCCTTTTCAGCACTTAAAAAGTTTTGAACATCATTAGTATACTTTGAAGTTTGACTATCAACTTTTAATTTATTTGTGGCATTATCCGTAATTTCTATATTGAGCCATCTTTGAACTGTCACCTTTTTACCATTTTCCTTGATTAAAGTTGGAATAAGACAACGTTGAAATAGCCTTTTGAATGGTAAACATATTATCTCTGGAGGTTTTGATCTATCATCTGGAAATGTCTTAAATGTACATTCATTTTGTATAAGGGATTTCAATTCACATTGATATTTTTCAGGATCATTCAATTGTTCTTTATACTTAGACCTCACTTCTTGTCTATTGTAAACCGGCACTGGAGGAGCCATGGCAGCAGATGTGATCTAGTCCTAGCAACACTAAAGTGGATTCCTACTGCTGGAGCTATCCTTCCCCCATTAAATCATTACACAATTTTTGTCTCACTACAGATTTTTCTTGTGTGGCTAGTCTCAGTAAAAAAAGTACGATCTTTATTTTTTTTTAAACTATGAAACTATATTTTACCTAACATTTAACATCAATTCCTCTTCTTTTTTCACTTTCTCTTAATTCAAACATCACTTGAGAAGCGACAAATAATGCTCCTGATGATAATATAAAGAATTGTATACCACTGTAGGTTTTGAAGAGATCATGTAATAATATAAGAGTACCATCTTTTCCTAAACAAAATCCAAATAAATTTGCAATCATCATCATCCAGATATTTATAACAGCACCAAATCCACATAAATATCTAAACCACCATTCTTCTTCAAATCTCTTGAATGTCATAGTAGCTAATATTTCAGGCATTAAGAATACCACTACTAGCCAACCCCACATTAATAATTTTAATTCAATATCATGCCATATGGCAACGAAACTAAACACGAATAAACTATTAACAATTCTGTATTTACCACCTCCACCTAATGGAACGTAGATATATCTCACAATCCATTTATTGTATGATCTATGCCATGCTCTCCAGAAAGCAAGAGCTGAAAAATTATTATCCATACATCTAATCATATTTTCAGGTGGATCAATCCCATCTAATAAACTCCAAAATCGGAATAATCTCCAAGGAATCAATAATTTCAACCAAATTATATTTAAATTAAACATACCAATCATCGAGATTTGAAATGGTGAATCTCCATACCATGCCTTGGTCTTTGAAACGGCCACAACATACATGAAATGAAGAATAAATTCCATAACAAAAATACAAAACAAAAGTCTTAAAAAGTAAATCAAGGTTCTTTTATAGTTTTTGACACTGGCTAATGGTTGATAATTGGATTGATATATGTAATCATTGAAAGTAATGATTGGACCGGCAATGAATAATGGGGTATAAGTAAGATAAGCAATATAATTTAAGAAATTATATTCACCCAAGGGTAATGGAGCTTCAAGTCTTTGTCTATCGTCAAGATAAGAAAGATCAAGGATTTCTTTATCATTAGGAGGAGTTTTGAGTCTTTTCTTTTCTAAATAATCCAAACTGAATGATAACATTCTTAATAAAGTGAAATTAAAAAAAACATCCCAACGAGAAATTATACCTGAGAATCCATTATCAATTGCTGAGATACCAAACTTGACAGTTCTAAAATTATCATTAATGAATAAAGTCAGGATCCCATAAACCCATACAGCGATCACTGCTATCTTATTTGAAGGGATATATTTTGCAAGACCATAAATAATTAAAACGTGAATTAAAATTCTTAATGAATTAGTTCCATGAGCACCAATTATAAACACTATTCCAAATACGAAATCAAAATAAGTACGTTTTGGAATACCTAATAAAGGAGTCAAGATTCTTCTTAATGAACAATGAGCAACAATCAATCCACATAACATCAAGAAATTATCTCTAAAGAATCGATATTGTTGATCTGAGTTATCCACTTTACGACCGAATAACCACCCGTTACTTAATAAATGAGCAAATCTTGTATAATTGGCATTAGTCTCATTAGAAGCATCCATAGCAGTTTTAAACATCAATGGAACGACTATAGCAAATACAATCCCATAGAATTTGAATTCTAAAGTTGACCATCTTGATTGAGGTCCAACTTTCTTTATGATTGCTTGTCTTTTCAATTGATTTTCAGATGGAGCAAGACGACCATCCAACGCTTCCAATGAAAAGAAGGATAAAAAGTGATTAAGTGCAATTGTAGCCATTATTAATCTTCATATCCTCTAAGTAAATATTCAAATTGATAGTATAAAAGCTCCAGATTTCACAATTTATTTATACCGCAGCAATTTTTCTGTGAGGGTTCCTCTCACCAAAAAATTCTCAATACTTAAATAAAAGAGCAGTATACTATCGAAGAAGTGGTTAAACCAAGATAGACATGACGAACAATAAGAAGGATATAGAGTCTGATTTTGAAAGAAGACCGAATCCAAAAGGTTGGGTTCCTCCCAAGGCTCCTTACAATCCATATGATGCTACTGATGTTAGACCACCTGAAGGTTATCCATCTGAATTTAAAATTCCTGGTGAACAACCAACGGGGCATTCTTCAATACCTAAGAATCCTACACAATATAAGAAGGTGAATGAAACCATGAAGAGATTGAATTATACTCCTAGACCAGCTTCAGAATTGTATCCAGGTCAATATAAGGTTTTAAGAAGAGTGGATACAAATCAAAGATTAAATGCTGGATCTCGTTGGTTTGGATCATTTCTTGGTACATCGATATTGATATATTTTGCATTCTTCCATAGATGGAATGATGGTAAAGAAAATGTTATGTCAGATTTTTATCGTGCTAGATTAAGATTAAAGGAAAGGTTTGCTCCTTTGACAGAAGAAGAATTTGATGATTTATATCATCCTAAGAATGCTCTGTTGGGTGTAAGAAGTGTGAGAGATACTGATTATATTCCTGAGAATATGAGAAAAACAACTGAAAATGAATATGCCTTAAACAGACCATCTGAAAGACATGTTCTTGAAGCTCAACGTATACAGCAAGAACAAGAAGAACAATTATTAAGAGAGATGGATAAGCATAAAAAGTTCGCTATGGAATTAATCCAAAGTGGTGAATATGTACCTGAAACAACCACAGCTGACCAATCTAATACCAGAAAGAAATGGTTTGGTATATTCTAACCACATTATAGTAAATAGGAGATCATATCTCAAAATCCATTGTAAATATATATAAATATAATAGAAATCAAGACTTTTTAGCGACCCCCCCAGGAGATGTAGCAGAAATTGTCGCGTTACCAAAAAAAATTAACGTATAACCATCAACAAACACCAAATTCATATATCATGTTAATTTCTATTAACACTATTTCTTCTTTTCCATGCAAAATACATAGATTGGTGGGTTCATATCATGGCTGGTACTGAGGGTACTTCACTAATCGTGACGTTCGTTAACATTTGTATATTACTATTGAAGATTCAAAGTTTCTTTCTTTCACAACTTATCTCGAGATTTTTAGGGATCGACATTACCATAAAATCAAGCGAGACGAATTTAAAAGATAGATCTCATAATCAGGACATTCTAGAGTTGGTTAAGAGTAAAGGGTATATCGTTAGAGAGTTTGTTGTCACTACTAAAGATGGCTATTTGTTAGTATTGCATAAGATTGAAAGACCAGGGCGGTCTCAATATTTACATAATGGGAAGATAGCCTATTTTCATCATGGTTTATTAACAAATTCAGAATTGTTTGTGTTAGGAACCAAGAAAGAAAAAAACCTACCATTCTTGTTGTTAGATTTAGATTATGAAGTTTGGTTAGGTAATAATAGAGGTAATAAGTATTCTAGAAAACATCTTAATTTATCGGTATGTGATGTTAAATTTTGGGATTTCTCATTGGATGAATATGCTTATTATGATATACCTGATTCTTTAAGTTTCATTCGTTCGTTTTATAGACCTGAAGATAAGATCACTTATATTGGATTTTCCCAAGGTTGTTCTCAGTTATTTGCTAGTTTGAGTTTGAAGCCTGAAGTGAATAATTATCTTAATTTATTTGTGGGTTTATCACCTGCATTGATACCCAAAGATTTGAATCATCCTGTATTTAAAATCATTTCAAACCAAGCTGCAAAGGATAATGCCTTTTTATATAGTTTGTTTGGAAGAAGAGCAATCATGCCATCTGTTTCATTCTGGTTCGAGGTGTTAGGGGTAGATATGTATAAGAAGGTGGTTGACAAGTCCTTAGTTTATTTGTTTGGATGGTCCGGAAAGAATATTGATGATGAACAGAAATCACTTGGATATCCTCATATGTTTTCCAATAGTTCGGTTAAGTCGATAACACATTGGTTTCAAATTATTAGTTCAAAAAGGTTTCAGATGTTTGATGAAACGGGTACTTTAGGATTGACTCGATTATCAGGAGTATTTGATGCTTCTAAATCCAAAAGTCATAGAGTAACACCATTCCCTATAGCGCATCATTTGAATACTCGTATGTTATTGTTCTATGGTGATCAAGATATCTTAGTTTCTATTGATAGAGCTCAACAACTTATCTTAGATCATAATGAAAAAATGCAAAATAAATTGGAAGTAGTGCTATGTAAAGGCTATGAACATATGGATACATTATGGGGCAACAACGTGTATGAAGATGTATTTCTGAAGGTGGTTAATAGAATGGAACTGTTACATAATAAGAAAGTTCCATTTACTGATGATTTAATTACCCCTATTAATGGATCTCTAAAGAAGTTATGATGATATAATGATTTTAAATATAGGTATGGATTTTTTTAATTTTGCAACTTTTATTAACTGTAGGTGTTACCCGCACTTTTAAATTCTGGTTTCTCATTTTCTATAAAGTTAAGAAGAGGTTCAATAAAAATTTTCAATTTTCTTTTTATGTTCTTTTCTTATTAACGCAAAATCACAGCCATTTGCAACGTTAAAGCATTCCTTTGAGGTTGAATCCATTACGGCGTTCTGACCCATGACCCTTGGGATATAGTTGTAACTTTAATTTTTATAGTTAGGTTTCAGAATGGACTGGAGAACAATTGGTTGATCTTGGGTGCAGCACCCCATCTGTTGAGAATATTCTTATTCTTCTAAGGGATTACCTTCGTGTGCCCGTATGGGGGGTGGTGCAAGGATCAACTGTACATATTTTCTAAATTTAAGCTATTCAATATGTCTTTTACTATCATTTCAACTGTTATTTGATCAATAAGTAATATCAGAGTCAAATATAAAATATAAAATCCATCGCACATAAATGATATCCATTTCAGTATTATACCAATCGTATTATCATTATGCTTGAACAACGGAGAATGAACAGCATATTCAATCTCTATACTTTTCATTTATAAAACTTTCAAGTAATTAACAAGAAGGTAACTCTTGTGACGTAGTTAAAAAAATCAATTCCTGCATATAATGCATATATCTAAATAAAGATATCGAAGGCTATAATTTTCATTAAACAGATATCATTTCTTAATGATTCATCTTGACATCTTAACGGCATGAGAATATGAGACTATCCTCTCTACTTCTCGGTTTGATTCTACCGACATATACATTGGGAGGTTCATCTCCTTTCGAAGACGAGCTATTAAGAAGATTTGATGATGATAATAGCACCGTGTGTTCCAATATTGCTTACATACCGAGACAAGATCAATGCCAATATTTCCAAGATAACTGTTTAATTGAAGATATAGGAATCATTAATTATCTAGATATTTACTATTGTCAGATCCCAAACCTTACCCTTATATCATTATCCTTGATCATTGGAAGTCTAGTATTGTTTTTCATAGCATTAGGTTTGACTGCTTCAGATTACCTTTGTCCTAATTTATACACTTTGTCAAAATTCTTAAAATTATCAGATAATTTTGCAGGGTTGACGTTGTTGGCTCTTGGAAATGGTGCTCCAGATGTCTTGAGTACATATAAAGCGATGAGTCTTGACTCAGGTTCATTGGCAATATCTGAATTATTTGGTGCATCTTTATTCATTACTACAGTTGTTATTGGAGCAATGGCTATTGTTCATCCCTTCAAAGTCCCTAAACGACTGTTCATCCGAGATGTGGGTTTTTATTTACTTATAGTTTGTTTGATAGGCCTAAGCATGTTTGTATTTTCATTTTCCATCATTGTTTGTATAGTACTAGTGGTTGCCTACGCAGTTTATGTATCCGTGGTCATATTGGATCATTCATACTTGAAATCACAAGCTACTAAACAGTTAAAATTACATAGATCGAGAGGAAATTTTTCATCCGCTTCCCATTTAAATGTAATACCTGAAGCTGGAGAAACTAATGATAATAGTATTTACCTTGATACATTTGCAAATTTGCCAACTATAGAGGACTTTAATTTAGCTAATCAAGATATCGAAGCGCAAAACCTACAAGGAGAATATACAGCTTTGTTAAGATCCGAATCGGGTAGTGCAGCACCAGTAGAAACTGGTTTATATGGTTTAAGAGTTCTTTTGAAAGATTTATCAAGACAATCAAATTTAAGTTCAGTCCATTTAGAGACTGACAGACCCCTTACAGCACCGGTGATGTCAACTGATTTAGGTGTATCCGCTCCATATTCTGCACATACCTTCCCTTTATCTCAATCAGAACAATACCTTCATGAAAATAATGAAATCGAACAAGAAGATAGCGCTGGTATTAATGAGGAATTACAACAAGAAAGAGAAGCCGAAATAGAAATGCAAACGTACCTTTTATTAGCTTCTAACAAAAACTGGTTAAACTATTTAAGAAACAAGGATTCAATTCTAGTCGAACTTATAACACCCCAGTTAATTGGCTTTACTTCATTCACTACTTTAGATAAAGTATATTATATAATTACATTGCCCATAGCTATACTTCTAAGATTAACTAATCCAGTAAGAGATCACTCCATTATATCAATGATAGATGCACTGATAAAGACTAGGGCCAGACAAGCATTTTCACCAAACAACAATAATACTTCACAGGCAGATAATGATTTTAATTTTTACTTAGATAGGTTGTCTCTATCAATCCAAGTTTTATTAGGTTCAGCTTTTGTTTGTTATTCATATTTTACTGAATATTTGCCTATTTATATCCTAGTTCCAATGGGTGTGATCATATCGAGTAGTTTGATGTTATTGGTTCGTATTAACTATAGACAAGACGGTTTTGAAGATTTCTCCCTGAATGATTTATACCAACTAAAGATCATTAATAATCTTTGTTCCTTAATGGGTTTCTTAATTTCAATAACCTGGATTTCAGTATTTGCTACTGAAATCATCTGCATTTTAAAAGCAATTGCTATAATATTTAACATCAGTGACGCTATATTAGGGGTTACCGTGTTTGCCTTAGGTAATTCGATTGGGGATCTCATTTCTAACTTCACAATTGCTAAAATGGGTATGCCAATAATGGCTTTCAGTGCTAGTTTTGGTAGTCCCCTTATATCCTTGTGCTCTTTAGGTTTAAGTGGTCTATTGGTTATACCATGGACTGGTATTACTGATGCTTATGATTTCAATGCGAGTTCAACAGTTACTATAACTTGCTTATCTTTGATTCTTAATATTATCTTTATTTTGGTTGCAATTCCAAGAAATGATTGGATGCTTGATAGAAGAATAGGTACCATATTAATCCTAAATTGGATAATAGCTACCTCATTGTGTATCGTAAATGAGTCTTTACTGAAAAATATATAGAATAAATATAAAAGGTCTACGCTATTCAAGATAGACTCGTAAATTTAATTTCGAAAATTCAAAAAATACAATTCAAATGTTAAAATTAGATTTCAAATCTTATTTAAAGTTATACAAAATACGTTTAAAAACTTAAAACCAAACTAAAACTAAGATAATAGAGATAAAACATCTGATTTACTCATCCAATATGACAGGACCATCCTCCTCTTCTTCTTCATCTTCAACGTGTGGGCCATCTCCATTTGTGCCGAAACCTTCGTTGTCTAATTTAGCAGATAAGTCTTCCAAGTATTTAATTCTTTCTATGTATTCTTCAGTATCAGCTGCCTTAGCATTTTCCAACCATTCAATTGTCTCATCACAAGCATTTTTCAAAATAGCCTTACTACCTTCCGATATTTCTCTAGCATTTCTAGTATCGAGATAGCCATATGCTACTTGTTCTAATTCATTTTGAGCCTTAACTCTTGCAGCCTCACTTTCATCCTCTTCTTTGAACTTTTCGGCATCTTCAATCATTTTTTGAATTTGTTCTTGAGTCAATCTATTAGATTCATTTTGAATAGTAATATCACCACGTACACCAGCAGCAACATCGGCAGCTGAAACGTTTAAAATACCATTTGATCCAATTCAAATGTGACTTGAATGGAAGGAACCCCTCTTTTGGCTCTGGTAATTCCACTTAACGTGAAGTTACCTAAAAGATTATTTTCGCTAACATGGATTCTTTCACCTTCATAGACTTCGATAGAAACTTGTTCTTGATTATCATCTGAAGTAGTATAGTTTTGTGTCTTCTTGGTTGGAACGGTGCTGTTTCTGTGAATAAGAACATACATAGTATCACCAGTAACCTTAACTCCCAATGATAAAGGATTAACATCGACTAAGACAATATCAGCAGTAACATCGGAAGTTTCATCTTCGACTAAGATAGAAGCTTGAACAGCAGCTCCATAAGCGACTGCTTCATCCGGATTTATAGATTTGTTTGGTATTTTACCACCGAAGTATTCAGTGACTAATTTTTGAACTCTTGGGATTCTGGTCGAACCACCAACTAAGATGATTTCATCAACACCAAATTTTTCAATCTTTGAATCCTCTAAAACTTGCTCGAGCGGTTCTAAAGTAGATTTAAATAAGTCGGAACATAATTCTTCAAATCTTGCTTTGGTGATAGAACTTTCAAAATTAATACCATCAACAAGTGAATCAATTTGGATCTTTGCTTGAGATGCTGTCGATAAAGTACGTTTAGCGGTTTCACAAGCTCTTTTCAATTTACTTAAAGCATTTTCATTGGTTGATACATCCTTCTTGTGTTTTCTCTTAAATTCTTCTGAGAAATGCTTGATTAATCTGTTATCAAAATCTTCCCCTCCTAAATGTGTATCTCCATTTGTTGCTTTGACTTCGAAAACCCCACGATCAATTCTCAATAAGGAAACATCAAAAGTACCACCACCAAGATCATACACTAAGATGTTCTTTGCAGTAGGACTAGATTTATCAGATTTCACAGCAATAGCGGTACTGGTAGATCTTTTCATAAAATTATTGTCATTTTCATCATCTAATTTATTTAAACCATAAGCGATTGCAGCTGCAGTTGGTTCATTGATAATTCTTAGAACATTAAGTCCAGCAATGATACCGGCATCTTTGGTGGCTTGCCTTTGAGAATCATTAAAATAAGCAGGAACTGTAATAACTGCATCAGTGACTTCACGCTCTAAGACTTCTTCAGCTCTTTCTTTCAATTTGATTAAAATCATAGAAGCGACTTCTTCGGCACTCAATTGTAATGTGTCACCTTTTGCATCCACTTCAATTAATGGTTTACCTTCTTTATCAACTAATTTATAAGGTAAATGAGGAATATCTTGCTGAACTTCTTTATCCAGAAAAGTTCTACCGATTAATCTCTTTGCTCCATAAATAGTATTTTTGGGATTTGAAGGGGCTTGATTATAAGCAGCATCTCCGACTAATCTTTCTGTATCATTGAAAGCGACATAAGAAGGAGTAATTCTGTTACCTTGGTCATTGACAATAATTTCAACTTTGTTGTTTCTAAAAAAGGCTGCACAACTATAGGTCGTACCTAAATCTATACCAATTGCAGTTTTAGCAGTTGCCATTTTGATTCAGTTTATTAAATTGACTTGCAACATTTTCAGAATTTTATTTAGTGACGTTTTGAAGGCATTATACAACTTTATATACGCTTAGTGTACATGTTAGAATATCTATTTTGGGGTCTGATTGCTATTTTTGGATACTTAAGATTTTGCTATTTATAACTTTTTTCCCACTTTTTTTGAATTATTTTGAGCACACTTTTGCAATTTCTATTTTTAACATTTCCAACGTATGTTATAAGCAGTCCTATGGTCTTAATCATATCGTGGCAAACCATCGTATATCCAGATTTATGTGATGTAGCTAGATTGGTTAATTAAGATTTGTGCTTTTAGCTACGTACTGAAAAGTCTACATCATTGTCTATAACAACGAACTGAGATATAAATGAACTCTTAGAAAGCATGTATAATATGCAAATGTATGAGGACTATTAACGGACAACTACATCCAAAGCAATATCATGAAGAACCCAAAGTAGGTTTTTGGAATTCGAGGCTCATATTCAACTGTTTGCGAATGTCTTAAAGAGTCCCTGTTAACTTAATTGACCGAACTTAAAAATAGTTCGTAGATTTAAAATACACATTTTTTACGAGATCGGAAAACCGCTTTAGTTAAGTCCATAGTTAATATAGTTGTGCATCAATAATATTGGCTCTGTAATGGAAATAATAAAATCTTCCTTTTCATTCTCCTTTATCTTTTGAGATCTTTGACATTTGCTGCATTTCTTGATCTGGTAGCGTCATACAGAAATATGTAAATATTTACTGTTCAAGGCACTTGAAGCTTAGGGATAAAATTCTTCATAACCTTACTTGGCTTAAACAGATCTTAGGAACTGAATATCTAGTTCGTATTTAAATCCTTAATTTCAAAGGTCATTTTTGCATCGACTTATTCTAAACTAAGCACTTTGCAAATATTATTTGTCTGCGCTGATATGTACAAAAAAGTTTCAAATTTGCTTTCGTTTTCATCTTGGAGGCAAGCAAAGATCAATCAAACATTCAAGCAATCAACCATTACTTATATATCTGTCCAATCATTTCTACTGGTACTGCAGTCGCAATCATGATACAATGAATTTGTAATGTACTCAGACGGACGTAAGATAACTAAACTTGATGAAGATATACTTCAAAAGTTGCAATCACAAGTCACCATAGATTCATTCGGCACTGCTATAAAGGAGTTGGTACAAAATAGCATCGATGCTGAAGCAAAGAAGATAATTGTCAAGGTTGATGTCACTAGTTTAAGTGCCATGGTTTGCGATGATGGATTTGGAATGATTCCTGAAAACTTGGAAAAGATAGGTGAAAGGTTTTATACATCCAAGTTAAGCTCGTCTCAAGACCTAAAGAGTATTTCAACATTTGGATTCAGAGGAGAAGCATTACACTCATTGAATACTATTTCAAAGTTACATGTCATATCCAAGCACAAATCTTATAATTCTTCTTATAAGTTACATAACAACGGATTAAGAAAGCAAAGTATGATATTTGATTTTGATAAATTACCCACTGATAATGGTTTTCTTCCTGACACCATCAAAACTGAAGGTACAATTATATCATTCTCAAATCTATTCCACAATGTGCCGATTAGAAGAGATCATATACTAAGACTACCTAACTACAAGTTAGTTGATGAGGTAAGAGGTGGTATTTTTGAATCGCTCGTTAAGAGTCCTTCAGTGCATATTGTGGTGTATCAAGTTAATCATTTATCAAAAGAGCTAGCAAAGCTTTTTGAGGTTAATGACCCAAAAGATAAATATGCTGGGCTGTTTAAAAGTGTATACGGTGATAACTTACTTCTTCACTACGAAACTATTCATGCATCGTTTAGAGGTTTTAAGATTTCTGGATTTATAGGGAACCCACAATCGAAAAAATTTCAATTTATTTTCATTAATGGACGATCATTCAACATACCAGCAGAAGATTTGAAAGATTTAAATAAAATATTCAGAAAGCTTGATAATGTGGAAGACTCGCCAAGAAAGTCAACTACTGTTGGTACTCCTTTTTATCAGTTTCAAACGTTTGTGATTAATGTTAAATGCCAATCTTCTACTGAAGAATTGCTTCAGGATCCAACAAAAACCATATACAATAGCAAGAATTGGGAAATAATTTTCAAATTATTGAAAAAGATGTTTGTTAGTTACGTTGAATCTCGTGGCCTTCAAATGAATCTTCCCCATATCAATATGGATAAAACTCCAAGTCCTAAAAAGCAACGTACAGTAGAAAGTCCTTATAGTCCTTCATTGGCAAGGTTTGCTCTAAATACTCATCTGAAGGTTGGCTACTTAAGGGAATCAGAAGTCAAAGGCATTGTCCAAGGGTCAGATCAAAACTCAGTTTCACCAACCAAAGCTTCCAGATTAAAGAAATTTCCAATTCTAGAAAATGGAGGATTGATAGCACGAGCCTGCAAATCTAATGATGTAAGTGATGCGGATATATATAAGCCAAAGTCTGAGATAGCTGAGTTATCAATATCAAAACAAGATTTCAAGGTGGGTAATTATCGAGTTATTCGACAAATTGATAAGAAATTCATCTTGCTACAGATGAATATTAACAAAACATCGAACTTAATTATTGTTGATCAACACGCATGTGATGAACGGATTAATGTTGAAAGATTATTACGAGAATTTGTTGAAACTATTCTCAATCAGGATATCGACTTGCTGACTGAATTATCAAATCCAATTAGGCTTAATATAAGTCAGCATGACCACATATTGTTTGACCAATATCGTGAAAATTTCAAGCTCTATGGTATAAAATATGCTGAGGATAAGGATTCTTTTTGCATTACTCATTTGCCGCCTATATTGATAGAAAAGGTTAAGGATGATACTAAATTTCTAGAATCATGTTTGCTTCAACATATATATGATTTAAATAACAACATAAAGTCAGCCAAACTCAATGATGACTGCTTTATAAACATATCAAATTTGCCAAGGATCATAATAGAAATCATAAATTCAAAAAGTTGCCGTTCATCAATTATGTTTGGTGATGTGTTAAGTATAGAACAAATGGAGAAGATGATTCAAGACTTAAGTAATTGTAGGTTGCCATTCCAGTGTGCTCATGGTCGTCCGTCAATTGTACCATTGATTAATTTATCTGATTCATTTATAGAGAAGTAAAAATATATTTATTCCGCCCTTGATAGGTTAAATCAGACATAATTTGTAGTTATAACTGAATATAATAGTATGATAATGTCTGCAAAAAATTAAAAAAAAGAAATGGACGAGTCAGGAGTCGAACCCGAGACCTTTCGCATGCTAAGCAAACGCGCTACCAACTACGCCACACGCCCTGTGAATTTTCTTCCAAAATGGTCCCTAGCAGGATCGAACTGCTGATCTTGGCGTTATTAGCACCACGCCTTAACCAACTGGGCCAAGGGACCATTTTCTGAAAAATAATTCTCCCACTTTTTGCTGCTGTATCTCTATCACGTGCGAAAATGAACGTGATTTTGGATGGTAGCGCCATAATTTTTGTTCTAATTCATCATGTTAAACTAGTTAGTTTCTTAGTTTATTGTCTTCTAACTTATGACTAGAGACTTCAAATACAGATGGTTACAGCAAACTGTCACCAAAAAAGTAAACGTTTGCGAAAGTAAAGTTCGACCTTTCTTACTTTGAAGCCAACCGCATAGTTTCTTTGACCAAAGTAATAATCACATCGTAGTTGATAGGTTCGGGTATGTTTGCTATTTTTTAAACTTACAATTATATGGGAAATGATGTACTCTCAATCTCATCGTTAGATTTGTTCGTGGTGATTGAATACCGAATTCGAAAGAGCTCTAAATATTTTAGTCGTAACATTTTGTATTTTATTCCGCCCAAAAACAGCCAAAAATTAGAAGTTTTGAAAAACTGATAAGTAAATGTTAAAATAGATAAAAATATGAAATATACGTTCAATGATTGTAATGGAACGGTTAAATAGACGTTGTCAAGGTTTCGGCCTCTATTGGCTAACAGCAAAAGTAATATTTCAGAACTATCCATTAGAGCCAATAATGTTTTATCAAGTTTTATACGGTTCACTTAACTAATCCTTTAAGTTTGGAGGGTATGTACGGCAACTCACTTCATAACAATCGAGTTGATCAGAGAATGATCTAACCAGCGCTATAACATTACTACAATAGAACCAAGTTCTTCTTAGTATAACACAAAATAATGTACATTAATATTCTGAATACAAAATGGTGCTTTTCTTTAACCAAACCACAGGACTATACTGAAATTTACACCATGACATATGAAATTTGTTTTAATATGATACAAGTTAAGGAGGTTTTACCATCTCCATGATTTTTAAATTTTGACTTTTTAAGTTCTTCGATTGAGCATATTGTAACTTAACGTTATGCTTTTTGATCTATCACTTATTGCTTAACGGGCTTCAAATTGCACCATTCTTCTAGTTCTAGCCTTGTAGATGACTCTATGACCACAGTCCTTACATCTGATAGCGTCATTTTTACCTAAGGAAAATGAAGAGGCACATTGAGCACAGTTATATTTTACACCTAAAGATTTGGTAGTGACTTGACCAAGAGCGGCGTGGGAAATGGATGCTGGGACACTGAATCCTTCTCTTTGTTGTGATGCCATGATGATTACCTAGTACTTTAGAATACAACCACTAATAGGAACGTATAAGATTGTTATCGAAGCTATTAGTAATTTTCTATTTCAGGTTTTTTCGTGATGATGAAAATTTGTTTCCTCTTTGGCACAAATGATTACATACAGGAAACTTTGATTCATGATAGTTTTAACTATTTGCATCAAGTATTGTAACAATTATTTGATCTTACAGAGAATGCTCTTCAATCAGATGAGTTATTGAGAGGTATAACAAACCACTTCTATTGTACACGTTATAAAGATCTGGAATCTTTAAAGGGCTATACGCTATATTTAAGTAACTATTATATTGAGTGTCGCACGACAAATTTTGAAGATATCTTTTGAAATTTTTTTATATTAGCTTTTGTATACAATTTAAGTTAAGTTCTGTTGTTGTAACTGGGACATGAATAATCATATATGAAACTAGATGATTTCAATTAAGGATACCATCTCACGACTAGGGAGATCGGTGCGATTGTTGGAATCACATCAGAAGTCGCCAAAACCTTTGAAATCCTTTCCTACCAAGACTCCAAAAGTATCAAAAGATAATGATGTAACATTTACTAGTCAAGAAGTAGAACAATTTAAACCATTATTATCAAAGTTTCAAACTAAAGTTTTTCAAGATTTTCTTGGGCCCTTAGATATGCCAAATTTAAAGATATACAGTGATGAATTACCAGAATTTGATGAAGCTTCAGCTAAAAGAAATTGGAAATCAAAGAATACTTCCCGACCTATCAATTTACTTAATAATTTCTTACAAGATCGAGGCAATTTTGATAAAATGATGGATTTACTTGTTAGAATTACCCCTTATCATCTTAAAAATGTTAATTTAGACAATGACTTAGTGGTATCAAATATTTTACGAGAACAAGAACAATTAAGAATAAATTTTCAATTTCCAAAAAATATCTTTACAGAAGTTCCTCCTATACCGAGTCCCTTAACAAAAGAATCATTCGAAGAGTATATTTACTTATTAACACATCTGACATTCCATTATAGAAATTCTCTGTCTTTAACTACGGGAATTATTCCAGATATTTTATTGTATACCCATAAGTTAAGTAATGAAGAATTCAAACCTTTCAGATCAGCTCAAACCTATAATTATCTTATTAAATATTTTGGATATGACAAGAATCAAAGTTCATTTGCTCGTCAATTGCTTTTAGTGATGAATAAAGATGATTGTAAACCCAATATTGGAACCATCAATAATTTATTAAAAGTATGTCAAATTCATTCTCATATCAGATCTACAGGGAATACATATCTGATAGTACTCAAATATTTAAGATTATGCACAAAGCTTGACATTCATATAAATTTATCCACATTCACTAGAGTTTATGATTGTATCAATAATATTTTCTTAAAGGAAATATTCATAAATAAAATTCAAGCTATAAATTTACCAATTCAAAAGAATTTATTAGTAAGAATCCTTGATGATTTTTCATTAACTATTAAAGAGACTTCCGAACTTATATATTTCATTGAGAATGATTTACGGTATACAAATTGGCGAGAAGATAGTAAGATTTTAAATAAAGTGATATATCATCAAGCATTAATTATGCGAAACTTGAATGAATTGAGAGTTTATTTTGAAGATTCAACCTATCAAATTGATGAATACACGATAAAGTCAATACTTGAAGCCATTAAGAAAAACAAGTTCCTCGAAGATAATGATCGAATTTGGTTAATGTTAAAAGTGTATGTGAATTTACTGGAAAAATTACAATTTCCAGCTATGGATAATGTTATAAGAGTATATCAATTCCTTATTGAACAGGTTATTCAATGGGATGATTCTTATATTAAAACCACTAGTCAATTGATTAGGTTTATTTTGAATGATGCTACTGAAAGTATGAGATTACCAACAGAGTGTATAAATTCAAATATTCCTGAAAATTATAAGATCATGAAGAGAATTTTTAAAGGTAAATTAGAAGATGTGGAATCTAAGATTGCATTTTTTAATAAAACTTATAGAGATGAAGCATTACCTCGATTAATGGAGCCTCTTAATGCTTATGAAATTGAGTTATGGAAATCAATTAAACAGAATATAGATAATATTCAAAGTATTGAACAGTTTATGGATTTATCGGGTGCCACTGAAGTTAAAGATTTTCAAATTGATCCATCATACATTGATAAGTATCATAAAGTCCAAAAACACAAGTTCAGTTCAACTAAGAATAAAAAGTTCTTTAATAAGTTACAAGAAGGTGCTGATAATTATACGCATCGGAAGATGGTTGAACGAATGATAATAGCAGACGACAATAATAATAATAATAATAATACTGCTAACTAGAATAGCAACAATATTAATGACAGTAATGATGTATGTATATAGAAAAATGGAATAAATAGTATAAAATTTCAAAACTTGCCACATGTAGTTGCAAAAATGTCAGGGTCATTTCCGTCCCCCCTCGCTCGGATCTCGAAAAGCTCCCGGAAATGGAATGTGTGTTACAAAGACAATGTGAGGTGAAAAAAATATATCTGCAAGTAATTTGTGTTCTAGTTTGGGAAGTGGATCAGCTTAATTCAGTAATTTTGCTATAGTATATTTCACTTCAACTCTATATACTTATATTTGATCACAAATGTGTTAAAAATATTATTATGATTATTATTTTAATTATTAGTAATTGTAACAATGGTGAGTTAATTAAAAGCTCAACTTAATTATACCCGTAATCCCCATTAAAAATAGAAAACTATAGACATTTTACCAAGAAAGATAAAATCTATCTATATCTAAATCATGGGGGCATAGTGAGGTCATTCAGAAAAATCAAATTAACTACCGATATGACAACTTCTGTTGATTACGCAAATCGGCTTAATAACCACACAAACATTGCTAAATGAATGCTGATTTTTTGTGTTCAAACTTTCATCCCCCATTCTGGTAAGTTTCATGCCCAATCTAATGCGAGAATAGCTTAATTAGCCTTTTTCCAGAAAGCTCATAATCAGGAGGAGGGGGAGGCAGAATAACGGTCTTAGTCTCCAAGGGATCCAAAGGCACACAAAGATTTACAAACATGACAAACCTACAGCATTCATATTCGTTTAAGTAATATATTTTAATAGAAATGGTTTTATAGATACTGTCAAAAATAATTGTAATTATATGTAAAATATATTTGGTTTGAGATGAGGTTAGAGAGAAGGTTAAAGTATTCATGGATATGCACAATTATGCCCTTTATTCGAACAGTTTCTTCCATCACTATATTTCTCTTTGTTATCTCTTGGAAGTAAGAAGTTTTGAAAATTATCGATTTCAGATCAGAATAATTCCTTCTATCCCCCCCCCCACCATCTTCCACTTAATCTAACCCCCTTGAACTACCATTCTTTTAGAAAACAATTATTATCTTAGGATTTATTTCTTTTTTTCACCTCTCTCCACTTGTTGCTGAGTATCCTTAAAATAAAGCTCGTGATGGCCTGCTATTACAATTGGGTTTAAGGAAACATTTAACTTCAAGGATACAACAGTTTCAAATTTAAATCTAACTTTAGTATCTACATTCCGATGCGGTCGGCGGATAAAGTATGCAAAAATTTGTAGTGAGAAGAAGCAATATTATGCTGTACCAAAAAGTAAAATTTCAGTCGTAACCATTATAACGTGATGCCTATTAAAATTTGACCTTAATTGATGATGATGACCAAATATATGTTAAGGTAGTAAGCTTACCTATCTAGACTATATATCTCTATCTATTTTATGTGGCATGATAAGAACTACAATGTAGTAGGGGTTTATTAAATATTTTTTAACCACATACACACAGTTAATGCGGTAAACTCCAAGCTTATTATTGAACTTTTCTTGTTTATCGTATTGAGTTAAATATGATAGTTCAATTATTTTTTTTATATCTATTGTATACATATTATACCCATATGTGGCTGGGTACACTTTCAATGAAGGGACGGATGAGATAGTAGTTTTCATTGTCTATAAATGAATGTGTTAAACTGTATTCTCCTCCTCTTCCTCCTCCTCCTGCCCTTAAACAAAGACACTATTTTTCGAGTGTGTCTCATCGAGAATAGAATTTCAAGTGTGTGCAGGTAGATTCGATTCCGGCCCAAATCTCACCCTCGACTCCCTCCAAACCCGAAATGTTCAGGGGGGGAGTGGGACAAAAATAGCAGTAAGTTTCTCTTTTGATAGGAGATGGTGCTGCTGCTAATTAAAACTCCTAATTAAACCAAAAAAAAAGGTAAATATTGATATGAGCATGCATTGGTGGTATATCATATATATATAGAAACATTTATAACCCTAAATAAATTATAATTCAAATTTCATAGGAGAAAATACCACCCCTTTTTCTACCTTATTGGATGTCCTCAAGACAACTATCGACATACTTATCATCATCATATTGACCTTACCTTAACTCCAATCATTACCTACCAGTCATCAATTATATATCATACCTCACATATCCGTATTTCATCTTGTAAAGACTTTTCATGAACATTTAATCAATTTTATCAACCCATTATTATTTATTTTAATCAACAAAAGGAGTTTGGTCTTTCTTCATATACATATATACATATTTTTTTATTCATCTTATTCATTTCATCATTCACATTCATATTCACATTCATATTTTCATAAAATAGCATTCAAATCCCCAACCTTTTATCCCCCCTCTAAAATATCATGAAATTCAATACTTTATCAGTGGTTGCAACCACTGCTTTTATAATAATACCAATTCAAGCTATATCACTTTCATATTGTGCCACCAATAACTTGGGAGTTTTAACCAGTATAACCAGTTCACAATATATGTCCAATGGTTTATGTCATGATACTTGTAATAATGAAGGTTATACTGTTGGTGTGGTACAAGGTATGAATTGTTGGTGTTCAGATGATGTACCTGGTATTACTGTTGCGTCATCTAATTGTGCAATTCCATGTCCTGGTTATCCAAGTGATTCTTGTGCTCAACAAGGTTATTATGGATATATTGTAATAGGTTTACCTAGTTCAACGATTGGAAGTAGTACATCATCCACAAGTACTACAAGTACTAGTAGTACTTCACCATCACCATCTACCACAAGTACAAATGCAGGTACTACATCTGCTCAAAATAATAATAATAATGACGATAATGATCCTAATACTGAAGATGTTACTAATAATGTGTATGTTACCAATAACGTTTATGTTACTAATATGGTTTTGCAAACTGGTACGACATTAGTTACTCAAACTACACAATTAACTGAAACCAAGTCTCCAACTTTGATAAGTCCAACCGTAACGAATATCTTACCTGCTTCAAGTTCATCCAGTTCTACAAGTTCATCATCATCGACTTCTTCATCTACAAGTTCATTGAGTGTATCAATTCATCAAACTACAGTGGTATCGGTTACTACTGTAAATGGTACTCGTCAACAGATTGTTTCTACATTATACGTTACTCAAATTGCTTCACCTACTGAAGATCCTGCTTCTTCTTCATCATCCTCATCATCAGCTAGTTCAACTGTTATGTCATCAAGTAGTGGTTCATCCTCACCTTCATCATCTTCATCAGGATCAAACCTTGCATCCGATGTATCTAAATCCACTTCATTTTTCGATTCCAAGGGGAAAGTTGCTGGAACATTCACGGCGGTTGGAATAGTTATACTTGGATTAGTTCTAGGGATTTTATATTGTTGTTGTTGTGCTAAATTATGTGGAGGGAAAAGACATGATGATGATGATTTGGATAATGATGGATTCACTGATGAAGAGAATCAATATTCAAGTGATGAATTATCAATTGCTCATGAAAAAGTATCACCAGTATCTTATCATAAGGGAGATAATTCTACTGTTAGTACTTCAACCATTAAACGAGAAAACTCATCCAAATCATTATTTTCATTCTTAAATGGTGGAGGATCATCAGGAAGTGGAGGTACGATAATTACATCGGCCAACAATAGTGATATTGGTCGAAGTCCATCTCGGAAGAAGTTGGTGAATAAACATAGTAGTTTAGATCTGAATAATAAGGATATTCCAATGTTTCCAATTGAGGAATGGGATTCAAGATTAGATCCAGATTCAATGTTTTTAAATCATAATAATCTTTCCAATAAATCGTTTGATGATCAAGTTGATTATTCTCGACCTTTGAAAATTATGAATCCAGAGTGATCAAAATACAATCGTTTACTAATTTCTTTCTTCAATTACGTCCTTCGTTTCCAAGCCTTTTTTTTTTTAATTCTGACTTTCTAGTTCTTTCAATCGTTACTTTTTTTAATCTTATGGGTATTTAAATTATTTTTTTTATCATCACTATATGTTTTCATTTTCTTTTCTTAACTTGTTTGTTACTTTGTTTTATTATTGTTAAATGATATTGATAACAATAATTAATCTTAATAAATCTTTTTTAGCATTATTTATATATATATATATCACAATCAATGAATCTATATTTATAAGGAATTGAATTATCGTAGTGTTGCGTGGAAAGTGAAATGAGTTGGGTATGTGTAGATGTGAATTCATTCAATAGTTCTAAAGGTATGAATGAATTTAGAGCGGAGTCAACACTACGATTAAATTTAAGGATGTTTTATTTAAAAATGGTAAAGAGCAAACATAAACAAAAAGTACATAAAAACCACTTTCCATTAGTTAAACATAATCTAAAGGTATTAAAACAGGCATAAAATCATAAAGGGGTAGACATAAGGGGAACATAAACTAGGAACAACCAAACAATTGAATTAGATGAAACTATTTAAATTTGATAATTTTGATTTATTTTTATACATTGGTTGATATTCATAAGCATTGGGTTGACTTTCAATTGATGTTCTTTCTGATAAATCATCAATATTCATATCACTATTGGAGGAAAAGGTTGATGATCCATCATAATCATCATCGTCGTCATAATCTTCGTACTCATATTCTTCGGTGGTTTGAGATTCAGATTTATTAATACATTCATCATTTTCATACATGTAAACATCTTCATCTGATGGATGATAGATACAACATATTTTTGAAGATTTTTTATGCATATTTTCATTATCGATAGTTTCTTCTGTCCATCTTAATTTCTTTTTTAATTTTTGTTTCTTAAACGTTGTTGATGATGATGATGATGATGAAGATCCTTCTTGTTGAGATTGTAATTGTAATTGTGATTGAGATGTAGTTTGATTTTGAGATTGATCTACTTGTTGTTGTCTTCTAAAAAATAATTGTAAAGGAGTTGAGGATCTTGAATCAAGTTCAAAGTTGGTGTTTGTGGAAGATGGAGATCTTGGTTGATCTTGATTGATCAAAGTTGTTAAATTAGTTTGCAGCATGATTAACTAATAACAAGGGATGAGATGGATTAAGATTAATAAAAAAAAAAGAAACGGCTAGTGAATATCAAAAGGTTAATTTGTTTCAACTAGATCATACAGGGAGGAGGGTTGATTAATCTCATTAGCTTTTTACCTAGTATAACAAAAGAGAAGTTAAGAACATTTAATCAAAAGTTTAAGTTATTTCAATTAGTGTTTAAATGAATGAAGAGATGGATGGATGGGATCAGTTTAGTTTAGTTTAGTTTGGTTATAGTTTAGTCATTCATTATAAGAATTATTATTTAATACCCAAAAGACACATCAATCAATCAGACAGACAGACAATTGCTATTTTAAAACTAAAGTGTAAACCTCCCCACAAACATAAAATAGACAGACAGACAGACAAAAAGAGAAAAAGAAAAGACTAACTGAATGACACTTTTTTTTTAATGAATGGGTGCAACTTTTGTCTTTTGTCTTTTGTCCACGGATCGTTTTATGTCGTGTAATTAATGAGATATGCCAAGAGACATTTGTCGTGGGGGAGGGAAGAAGCTTAAGGTTGATGTTTAGATGTTTTATATATTGTTTGTTTGTCTTATTGTTTTGTGATTAATCCGGGAGATGCATGGATGCACGACTTAAAAAGAATGAAATTTTTGATGATCAAATCAGTTCACAATTTAAGAAAAAAAGGGTGACTTGGCTATCCTGTATATTATTCTACTTAATTTCTTAAACAGTAGACCAGAAAACATTACCATGTAAGGGTTAATAACTCTTGATATAGATTATGAGATACAAACGAAAGATAAGATATTGTTATTTGTAGTAATAGAATTAAATGAATGAATTAGCGAAGGAAAGAATTCATTAATTCGTTAATTAATGAATGAATGAATGGGGTAAGTGGCCCAGAAATCAGTAGTCATCATGTCAAAGTTAAGTTAACAACTAGTATTCAATTGAATTGAATTGAATTGAATTGAATTAGTTCAATCAAACAATCAATCGAATGATTTGACTTATGATAACTAATCAGTTAGATTGTTCTAGTATCTACTCATAATAGATACTGGGATGATAAAGTCACGTGAAATCCAACCATGTGATCAGCCTCATAGTAAATAAATTCGGTTAAAGTCATTTTTTTTTTTAATTTAAATTTCTTTTTGTTATTTTAGATCACCACAGCCCAATTTTTAAAATTGAGAGAAAAAGAGACAAAAGAGGAAGAGGAACACACTCACAGGTGTTTGGTTGAATTTGTTTTTGAATTTATTTGGTATTTCAATAAAATGCTTGGCGCTAAGAAAAAACTGAAGACAAAAAATAAACTCCAAAAGAAGAAGAAGAAGAAGAGAGAGAGGGAGAGAATAGAGTGTCGTGTCGTGTCGTGTCGTGTCGTTTCTGTCAGTTTATGATTTTGTCATTAACTGTCTGTCTGTCTGTCTGTCTGTCTGTCTGTCTGTCTGTCTGATTAATTGATTAATTGATTAATTGATTAATTGATTGTCTGTCTGATTGTCTGTCTGACTGACTGTCTGTCTGTCTGTGTCTGAAACTTTTTAGTGTTCTCTCCCTCACTCACCCTCCATTCAATTCTGTGTCTCATTCTTAAATTGTCTATTTCTTCATCATCATCATTATGCTTTTAAAAAAAAGTTTAATGTTACAATAAAAAATTAATAAATGAAAATAAAAAAAAAGTTGTATGTTTAAAATCTTATAAACTTTCTTGGCATAGCTCTGTATATATTTAATAAAGTTTTTCTCTTCTTTTTTAGGATATTTTATATATATATTACTCTTACTATCTACAAAAGGGAACCAACCAACAGTTTTTGTAATTTTAAACCTTTTTAATTTATAATTCAATATTCATCCCATCATAATCGTATAAGCCCCCCCAACCCAACCTTTATCTTATCTTATCATATCGCAACATCTATCTACTTACCATACATCCCCCCCTCATTACACAATAATAACTATATTCCAATCATGAATTATAATTTGCACCCTGTAACTTATTTAAACGCTTCGGCAAACCTCCAACAACAACAACAACAACAACAACAAGTTCAACAGGTTGAACAACAACAACAACAACAAGTTCAACAACCTTTAGTAACAACCACTTCTAATAACTCCACCACTAGCAATCATACCATCAATAATGATCCTGATGCTATTGAAATAGATAACGTATCTTCAACCACCTCCAATTCTTCAGCTGGTTCATCCCCAAATAATAATGGAAGTCCTCATTCTTCATTCACAAGTCAATCATCAGCAAACTCTCCAATCTCTGATGGTAAACAAGTACCCCAACAATCTCAACAAGTTCAATCTCAACCTCAACAAGTTCAACAGCAACAAGTTCAACAACAACAACAACAAGTTCACATACAACCTCCTCAATCATTACATCCTCAACTCAACCATTACCCAACTTATTTACAATCTTATCCAACCCAACAACCAACCTATATCTATAACCAACAACAACAAGTACAAGTTCCTCAACAACCTTCAAATGAAAATGATCATGGTTTAAATAATATCTTTCCTCCAACTTACCCAGTTTTATCTTCTTCAACCAATAATTATTCAACTAATAATAACTCCAATACTGTTCAACAACCAGTTAAACCTCCAAAGAAAACTTATAAAAAAATTAAAGCTGAAGATTTAAGAGGTCCATTTAGATGTCTTTGGGGGAATTGTAATATTATATTTGAAACTCCTGAAAAATTATATGATCATTTATGTGATGATCATGTTGGTAGAAAATCGGCTAATAATTTATCATTAATTTGTAATTGGGAAAATTGTGGAATTTCAACCGTTAAAAGAGATCATATTACTTCTCATTTAAGAGTTCATGTTCCTTTAAAACCTTTCCATTGTGATTTATGTCCAAAATCATTTAAAAGACCTCAAGATTTAAAGAAACATTCTAAAATTCATGCTGATGATCATCCTAAAAAGTTAAAGAAGGCTCAAAAGGAATTATTAAAACAACAACAAAGAGAAGCAAAACAAAAATCAAAATTATATGCTAATGGTCTTATTGGTAAACCAACCAATTCAAATTTCGATTTACCAATGCCAACTAATAATAATAATTTCTATCCAACCACTACATCAACTACCACCACCAATAATGATATAGGTTATAATAATACTTATCCATCAATTAATCAACAACATCAAGATCTTTATGATCAACAACATTCAAGAAAGAGAAGATTAGAAAATAATTCTCAACATAATATGTATGTGGTTAATAGTATTTTGAATGATTTTAATTTCCATGGTATGAATAATAATGGTACTACTACCACTAATACTACTACTAATAATAATCAATCATCTGAATTTAAGAAATTAAAACAAGATGTTAATCCTCAATATAATTTAGAAATGTTTAATAAATTAAATCATATTGAAGATCATTTACATCAAGGTCAACCACAATCTACTCAACCAGCTCAACAACAAGGACAAGGACAAGGACAAACTAGTCAACAACATAATCCTTCCTTTGCTGCTGTGGCTGCTTTCTCCAATGGTAATATTTATGAAGCTGAAAAATTCTTTAATTCATTATCTAATTCAATTGATATGCAATATCAAAACTTATCTTATCAATATCAACCTCAACATCCTCAAGGTCAACAAGGTGCTACTAATACCACTACTGCTACTAATCCAACTTCAAGTACTACTATGACAGGTCAACAATCATTATATCCATCCTTACCACAATTAACTTCCTCAGGTTCAACATCTACTAAGAATAATGATTCTATAATGACAACTAATCAAAATTCATTCTTACCAACTTCTTATCCTCAAATTAATAGATCATTAGGTAATACTTATTATAATCATCATCATTCCAATTTTGGAAATCCAATTGGTATGGAATTTGGAGGGGTTTCAACTTATCAAAAATCAGGTCAATCATTACCCCAAGCTGAAGAAGATGATGATGATGATGAAGAAGGTATGGTTGAAGTTAAAGAAGATGTCAGTTCGGATGATCTTGATAGTGAAGATGTTGATGAAGATGAAGAAGAAGATGATGATGAAGAAGAAGTTGAAGAATTATTCAATAAATTATCAATCAATAATGATGATCCATTCAACTTGGATACTATTGCCAAACATAGAGATATGATATTAGTAGTTTGCCAATATATCAAACAACAAATTGAGGCATCTAAAGCTTCAGAACAACAAAATACTACGATAATTAAGACTGAAGATGAATCTAATTCAACCACCAGTTCAAATTCAAGTCTTTATCCTAAGATTGCTGCTTTCTAAGTTTTATAATTACGTTCTTTCTTTCTCTCTTTCTTTCTTTTATTTTTTACAGTTTTATTCTTTTAATTCTTTTTATTATTATTACAATTGTGATTATCTTTCTATTTATTTTTACGTTAGTCTGCCTTTTAGTTTTTTTTTTCACACCCTACCATTCTGTTTTTTATTCATATATTCTTATAAGTTTATTTTGTATAGTATAGTATTGATTTTTAATGTTACGAAAAAGAAATAGTAAAAAAATAATTGACTGTAATCAATCAAACTGTAATTGACGGTCATATCGGGGTTGATAATAGACTATAACCGTTAAACTTTAACAAAAATGTCTCCTATTTTACCTAATAAAATGCAAAAGCCACGATTTGTGATCGAAAGAGGGGGTTACGTACTAACCTTAGTTATTTTTGCTTCTACAGTGTTATAAACCAAGAAAAATTATTTGTACATTCACAGCTATAGTATTGCGTTTATTTTTCTAGGCATACGAAATAAACCTAAGAAAAAAACAGCAATTAACGATTACGACCACGACAACCATTAAAGGAAGATTTTAACCTAAAGTTATCAAATGAAGGGAGGAAGGAAGGATGAAAAAGATTACTTTAAAACGTAAATAAAATTAAATAACTTTGTTATTTTGCCTAGAAAAATAGAAACATCTCTTGACTACAAAAGTAAAGTTTTTCCAATTCATCATGAGGCTCTACCATTATGTGTATCTGTGTCGTTCTTCCCCTATCCTATCAATGCCATGCTTTATTGCTTGCTGACATGTGCGTGGAGGGTAGGTATTTCCTTGCTTCTTTCTCTCATTTCGATGAGGGTATGTATCTGTGATAGTCGTACATTAACCATGCTAGAATCAAACCATTTTTATGTGGGGTGGTCTTCTGATAAGAATTTATATGTAATGTAGGTATGATTCTACGATGTCTACTGATCGAACCATATTGTTCTAGTTTATGCTTATTTACGGTGAGGGAGTAAATATCCTCTTACATATTGATTTTTCTATTTACATACACTTGGACAAGGCTATATACATAGGTTAAGGTATGATTGATTGATCGATGACGTTGGTGTAGGGTCTGATCTTTTATTTATTTGTAAGTTTCTTTCTTGGAATATTTATATATATAGATATATAGCCAGACGATCAAACAATAAAAGATCTACGAAAACGTTTCGTCTATTATTCCAGACCCTAAGATTCGACAATCTTGATAAATGACAAAACTTTGACCTGGTGCCAATGCTCTTACTGGGGTTTTGAATTCAACCGTAAATGTAGAGGACTGTGCCTCATTAATAACATTTTCTTGTCGATTAAAGTTAGGGTTAGGGTTAGGGTTTGAGTTTGAATTTGGGGTTCGCTTTATTTCTCGGATTATATCTTTGATAGGTATCGGGGTTTGTAAAGAACGATATTGGAATGTTAATTGATTCATATCCAATTGTGAGATTTCTTCTGGTGTTATCATCCATTCAAAGTTTATAACTTTAGCACGGGATTTGAATAATTTAGGATTAGTTGAACCCCGAACAATCACTAATTCATTCTTATCATAATTCTTCTCACTCACAAACCAAACTCCATTATATTGTTCATCACCTTGAGGCATTGAAATCGATGATTTTTGGCCAATAGTAGCATACCATAATCCTCTATGTTTCCCCCAAATTTTCCCATCTTCAGTAATGATATTCCCTGGATTGGATTCAATATATTCATCTAAAAAATCTCGAAAATGTTTAGCATCTTGACTAACAAAACATAAGCCTTGGGAATCAGGTTTATCAGATACATGTAATTTAAATTCTTCCGCTAATTCACGTACTCGAGGTTTGATATAATGGCCGATCGGCATGAGGATCTTACTTAACGTTTGTGATGATATCGATGATAAATAATACGATTGATCTTTATTCTGACTATATCCTCTTAATAAATGATATTCCCCCGTTGGTTTATGTTTCATGACTCTAGCATAATGACCCGTAACTAACCACCATTTCTTAGACAGATTTTGATATTTATCAGTAAGATATTCAATCATTTTACCGAATTTAACGAATTTGTTACAATTAATATCAGGATTTGGAGTTAATCCTCGTTGATACATTTCAATCATAGGATTGAACACTTGATGCCAATATTCTTTTTCAAAATTAACTCTTTCACAAGAGATACTTAAATCGGCACATACTCTTTGAACATCATTCCAATCTCTTTCTATACAATTCGATGTCTGTGACCAATTTGCCATGAATATCCCCTTGACATTAGGATATTTGGATGCATACAAGGCAGCTGATACTGATGAATCCACACCTGAACTCATAGCAATAATAATATCATCATTAATATCTGGTTCTTCCTGGACATACTCCTCAGATGATACTTCATTCACAGCTTGTTCTTGTGCTTGTTTCTTTCTGTTATATGTCCCTATAATCGATTTCAAAGATGGGGTAGGTGAAGATTTAATATGTTTGATGCTGCTGGTAGTATGTTGAAAGGTTGGAGAAAACTTATGGAAATTCCGAAGTTGAAATGTTATGGGCAAACCAAGCCGTATTATTCTTGCCAGACTTCTATAATTACGCCTTATCATGAGTTTTTCCTTATTAATATTGAATTAGCAGCCGTTCTAATAATAAGTAACATCATTTGGTTACAAATTTTTTTTCATTCTGTAGATACTGGTAGGTAGTGCACGACTTTTGCAATCACTGTTAATTTTAACGGTGACGAAGTAATTATTAAACATGATACTATGAAAGTCTTCACCTAATATAATGATGGCCTAAGATCTTTCAATCGTACACTATAAATATGCTTGGTTTAAAATAAATGTCATATTCCACCATGATATCTGTTAGTGTATCTATTAAACTTTAGCACAACATATCGTCTCTTATTAAACTTCTGCTCTCCTTAAACGTCACTTTTACGACCATTACTTCTATACATATCATATTATAACTCAAAATCAGCATTGTACCATCTACATGTCAACCAATTAGAAACGGTTAACTGTTGTTTTAAACATTTATCCCCCATCGCCCCATACAAATAATCATTGTAAATCGAAACCGGACCGAAAAATTTCGCGGACAAATTTAAGTTCTCCAGATTTGATGGGTTGGGGATCCTGTCAATATTTGAAAAAAATATATACCAAATAGTTGTCAAATATCAACTAGTTCTGATAAATATCAGCAAATCATAAAACACCAAAATGTCATTGAAGTATATCGATAACGCTAGAAAGATCTTATGTATAGGTCGTAACTATGCCGCTCATATTAAGGAATTAAACAATGCTAAACCTCAACAACCATTCTTCTTTTTAAAACCATCTTCATCCATTTTAAAACCTAATGATGGACCATTTTTAGTTCCAAAAGGTGTAGTTGTTCATTATGAAGTTGAATTGGCTTTCACTTTAAATAAAACTTTAAAAGATTTATCTCCCGATTTCAGTGCTGAAGAAGCTTTAGATGCTATTGAAGGTTATGCTTTATCAATCGATATGACCGCTAGAAATGTTCAAGATGAAGCTAAAAAGAAAGGTTTACCTTGGTCAATTGGTAAAGGGTTTGATACCTTTTTACCATTATCAGGATTCATTCCTAAAGAAAAGATTCCTAATCCTTATAATGTTGAATTGATCCTTAAAGTTAATGGTGAAACTAGACAACAAGATAAAACTGATTTAATGATTTTCCCAATTCATAAAATCATTAGTCATATGTCTGCTATCATGACTTTAGAAAAGGGTGATTTGATCTTAACTGGTACTCCAAAGGGTGTTGGTCAAATTAAACCTGGTGATAAAGTCGAAGCTTACTTGAAATATAATGATGAAGTTCTTGAAGAAATCAAATTCGATGCTGAACAAAAACCAGGTCCATATGACTATAAAGAAATTTAATAAATTGACTTTTTATTTATTTACTTATTTATTTTACATAGCTTTGCATTATCATCGTCTATCTATATGAAAATCCCATCCGTTGGTGGTTGAAACTGTCTCAATATAATATTTGCTTCACTCATTACCTTATGACTTGCAGAATCCATGGAATAACTTTGAGCATATACGACTTCTCTAATCCCACTTTGAACAATTTTAATAGAACACGTTAAACATGGACAAGTATTACAATACAAAACACTATTATCTCTAATTCTATCTCTTCCTGCTTCAAGTAAGGCATTTTCTTCAGCATGTAAACAAAGACAAGTGGATAAACTTGATCCGCTACCTTGTCCTTGATTACATCTTTCACATCCACCTTCATTACAATTGGTTAAATGTCTTGGTGTACCATTATAACCAGTCGCTATAACTGTATTTTGACGAACAATAACACATCCAACTCTTCTTTTCATACAGTTAGATCTTAAGGCTGCTAAATCAGCTAATCTCATAAAATATGAATCCCAAGTAGGTCTTAATCTTGAAAAATCAACTAGATTTAATTCGCTTAATTTTATATATAAATTCTTGATTGAAGTTGAAGTATTGATGATTTTAACTTGAGCTTGATTGTTGATCTCTATTAATGGATTACCGGTTTTGAATAATAATTCATCGTTCCTGACTATGAATTGTTCAAGATTTAATCGATTACCATTTTGAAATGAATTTCTTAACATATATCTTTTATATCTGAGAAGGAGAGGGGCGTCAATAGAAATGTGCAAGAAGAATGGTCTCTTCTTTAATGCTATTAACATTTCCATATTATCAATATGGGATATGACAAAATTTTCTCTCCAATTTAATGTAACATAATCCAATAATCTATTCAAATCATCAAAATGTTGAAATACTTCAATAGTTGAAAAATAATCAAACTTTCCAGAAACATCTGACTCGTCATAGGGTTGAAATCCTTCAAGACTTTTAATCACTTTACCTTCAACCAAATCATCCACACTATCTTTGGGTGAACTATCAGGAGTACTTAACTCAACTATAGAATCATCACATTGCAGATCATCAACACCACTTTGTTTGAAACTTAATAATTTGAATCCTTGAAAAGTCAAATATCTTGCAACCTCTGTTTTACCAGAGCTTAATGTACCCGATATACCTATAAGCATGGTTCGTTAGATCCTTATCGTCTTTAAAACTGATACGTTACCATCAAGTTTATATTTTAGATTTTAAAAATGCAAACGCGCTTTTCTGATTGCGATACTTGAAAAATATTTATATAGGCAAAAAAATTTTGTAATGCCCTTACGATATTAGTATCTAATATAATCTATATGATGATTTGTACTATACGGTCAATACCAAAGATAGAGGTACCGAGTGTATATACATCCATACGACATAAATGTTCTAAATCGTCTAATCGTTGGTTGGAACGTCAAACGAGAGATCCTCATACCAAACAAGCCAAAACGTCATATTATAGATCCAGAGCAGCATACAAGCTAATTGATATCGATAAGAAGTATCGATTATTTAATAAGAATTCTCGGAATATTATTGATCTAGGATTTGCACCTGGGAGTTGGACTCAAGTGGCAGTAGAGAGGATGAAGTCTATAGGCCTTGAATCAAAAATACTAGGTGTTGATTTGATAAATTGCAGCCCACCTCAAGGTAGTCATTTCATACAAGGAGACATACTATCACGAAAGACCCAAGAACAGATCAGACAGTTCTATTATAATCAAGATGGAAATGAAACAGAAGATATCGACAATAACCACATAGAAGACAAGAATTTACCTGTTGATTTAGTGCTAAGCGATATGATGGTCAATACTTCTGGGATAAAAGATAATGATCATTTTGCTAGTATGGATTTATGTGATGCAGCAATTATATTAAGTTTGAATTTACTTAAAAGTAATGGTTCGTTGGTTATGAAGTTTTATACGGGAAAGGAAGATGTGTTACTTGTAAAAAGAATGGAAAAGATTTTTGAAAAAGTTTATCGTATGAAGCCGGATGCTTGTCGAGATGAACTGAGAGAAATGTACATAATAGGACTCAAGAAAAGGAAGGATAATGTCACTGTACAAGATATATTTAGTTAGATTAAGTATACTTACATGTGTTTAATAGTTAATGATATATGATAAAACCTCCGCACAATATTTTTGCAACATATTAATTATATTAAGACGTATATATCAAGACAACTAAATTAAGCCCTTCCGACTACTTTCTTACCAATATCCCAAATAGTATGTCTTGCTTCAAATATTGGAAGTAAAACAACATAACCAAAACTAAAAAAGAGCCAAATAATATCTATAACAACCCAAGCTTTAAGAAAGCCCTTCGAAAAAACATAATTTACATTACCAAGAGGAACTGGAATTACCAAAGTCATGATAAATGCAAGGATTGCAACCAAAATAATATATTTTTTAAATTGATGATCCAAGTGTTTATGATCAATTGTGGCATTAAGGTTTATATCAAGATCAGAGTCTTGTTTCGATTCAGTATCAGTACCTTCTTGTGAAGATTTTTCTTCTTCAACTTCAACATCTAATTCACCTTTGCTAAATCCAGCTTCTTTGAATTCTGGAGAATTTGCAACTTCAACTGTTCCACCAAGATTTTCAACTAAACTTGTTCTATTTCTTGTTTCATCAAAATTAAAGTTTGCTGGTTTAATCAAAGAAGCAACAATGGAAATAATAGCTCCTGAAAAGAGAGCAGTAATATTTCCAGCAAATGAAACCCAAGTGTTAGATAAGTTATCAACACTAAGTTCACCAAGATATGCTTTACAAGTGACCAACCAGACGATGATAGCCAAAACCATACCACCAATTGAACCACCCACAGCTCCAACTTTGTTTAGATCTTTCCAAGTAAATGAAAGGAAAATTGGGAACACGGCTGAAGCAGTTGCACAACCTAAAAAGTTAAATAACCATCCCATATTAATCTTGGCAGCACCATAAAAGATCGAAGCTAAAACTGCAGAGAACAAAGCCCATACGAATACTGAGATCTTAGCTACCCTAACAACTTCCTTTGGAGTTGCAGTTGGTTTAATGTATCTTTTAAATACATCATAAGAAATCAATGTAGATGTAGCAATTAATTCACCGGCAAATGAAGAAGTAACGGAAAAGAAAATTGTCACCAACATCATAGCTGAACCAGTCTTACCCAATAAGTAAACTACAGCTGCAACAGCAGGGAGACCTTCTCCAATCTCAAATTCACTTAAAGTAGGGAAATCTGGATTACCAGAAAGAGCTTGTGCTGCTAAACCTAAGGTCAACCCCATTGAGAGAGGAATAACAAACCAACAGATCAGGGCAAAGAAATATGCCCTAGAAGTATATCTAGGATCAGCAGCGACAGCTCTCGATAAATAAGCTTGATCATTCACAACTAAGCCAAACCCAGTAATAATACTAATAATTGCAAAAATCCCACCTTGGGAAGAATTGAAAGTTAAGTATGATCCTTGATAATTACCTGCAACTGGGGCTGGAACAGTTTGTAATAATTCCCACATTTTATCAACGGATCCAAGCTTTTCATTAGATACATAAACTTCAAAAGCAAAGACAATAAGGAAAATAAGAATGATAGTTGTATGAGTTGCATCAGAAATGAAAGTTGCTCTTAATCCACCACCAGAGACATAAATGGCAACACCAAATGGGATCAAGAAAAGAGCTGCATATTGACTAATACCAGTAATAGCTGAAAATACAGACGAACCACCTAATAAAATACAGGCACTGACAATGGAATTACAAGTGAAACCACAGAATAAGAAACTTAAATGTCCAGCCCTACCAAATCTGAAATAAGCCATTTCAGGAAAAGTTGTCACCAAATTAGCATTCTTCTTGATCTTACTTGAAATAATAGAAAATACAGACACTTGTAAAAGACCACCGATGGCATACCAATAACTTCCACTAATACCAATTGTATAACTCTTTACGGCTGATTCTAAAATAGTTAAACTCCAAGTCCAGTTGGATAAAATACCACTCAACATTAAACCGAAACTAATAGATCTACTACCAGAGACGAATTCATCAACTTTTCTTGCATCATATTTACTGTATTTGTTTTGAAGGTAAGTAACATAATTCATTACTATGGCAAAGAATGCCCCTCCCCCAATTATAACTGCATAACCTGCAGCTGCTGGTAAACTTGGTTCCATATTTATTTGTGGACTTTAACACTACAAAAAGTTACAATTTCACTACAAAAAGGATCTGATAATGTTTATATATATATATTCATGAATCACAAACTACATCGGCAAATAAAAATTGTTTTAACTGTGGCATACAATGAAAGATTTATATGATAACTTAATCTTAATAATGTGTATCTAATACCACCATTGTTTGTGGTAATTACGATATAGGCTTTATAAAATTTCACCAAAAAAGTCAAATACGGAAACTGCAAATATTATCCTTGATTATTAGACTTGACATAATCTAGACAATCGGGGCGGGAAATCTACCTGATAGTAGTAAAAATTAAAAAATAATACACCTCATTTACTAAATTAAAGAAAGCATTCAGGGGGGGTGTTACAGTAATAGCCAGGTGTGGCTGCTACTTGTGGTTGGAATACTGTATCATAATGTAATCAATAGCAAATCATCTGCTTTGTGACTTAGCCGCTAACGCATCTTACTAATTCTATACTAATATTTTGAACATTCCCACGGGATTCAAATTTAGAGTATATATATTTAAATATGTGATTTGATAAATATGACTCAAGTGTTTATTAAGTTAAAAAAATATTTGCAACTTTAACAATATTATTTTTTTGGTTGTGACATTTTATCAATTGTGGCTCACCTAACCGTCTCTTCTTTTTTTGATATCATATGTTTTTACAATTATAATTAATGAATGTAATTGTGGCATCAATATCCCTTATCAAAACTGTATGATTATTACCCGACCCGAAATATGGGAAAGAAGTCCAGTATAAAACTATTTTCAAGGCCAGTGTTTAAAATTTGACCTTAAAGTATGGATACTCTAGATTAAGCAACATGAGTTCAGTGGAAGAAATCGATAAAAAGTACAATGTTAGACCTTTTATAGAGGCCCAACCTTCTAAAGAAGACTTTGAAGTTATCGAACTAGAGTCAATTGATTTGTCTTTGTTTAAAGAAGGACCTGAATATCTTGAGCAAAGACAAGAACTTGCCGATAAGTTAGAACAATCGCTTTCAACATATGGTTTCTTTTCATTAGTAAATCATGGTATTGAACAAGCTGAATTTGAAAAGTTACGTTCCATAGCTCAATCATTGTTGGAATTGCCTGAAGATGTTAAACGTCAATACTTGGCAGGTGCTTTAACTTCTGATGCAGAAGATAGATCCGTTTCTCTTGGTGCTGAAAGAGGAGCAGGGTTTAAACCAAGAGGATACTGGTCAATGAAAAATGGTGTTACTGATTCAATTGAACATTATAATTTCAGAGATTTACAACAACAAGATCTCTTTGATGAAAATAGACCATACCCAGAAATTGCCAGAGCTCATTTACCAGAAGTTGCTAAATATTTCCGTTACTTACACTCTACTGTGTTAAGAAAATTAACAATTTTATGTGATATAATTTTACAATTACCAGAAGGATTTCTTTGGGAAAATTATTTTAAAGTTATTACTGGTGATAAACTTAATTCGGGATCAGGATTTGGAAGATTTATGTTATATCATGCCATGAAAAGGGATGATGAAGAAAAAGTTGATAAAACTTGGTTAAGAGGACATTCAGATGGTGGAGCTTTCACTTTTATTACATCTCAACCAATTTTATCATTGCAAATCAGAGATTATAATACTGGTGAATGGAAATATGTTGGTCATACACCAGGTGGTTTGATAGTGAATATAGGGGATGCTTTAGAATTTATAACCGGTGGTTATTTCAAATCTTCCATGCATAGGGTTGTTTCTCCACCGGATGATCAAAGACAATTCAAAAGATTAGTCTTAATTTATTTTTGTGATCCTAAATTAACCTCAATTATTGATCCAGAGCCACTTAATTCACCTAAATTAAAGAGTCTTGGTTATAATAAACCAAAAGAATGGGAAAAGATCACTTTTCAACAATGGGATGAAGAAAAGGGTAGATTATTTGGGAAAAAGGATGTTAATGATAGTAAGGGAGATGATCCTAACTTAGTGTTATTGTATGGACGTAAAGCAGAAGGGCCATTCTCACTTGAAGATGCAAAAAGAAAATCTAATTCTATTAAAGTCTAACATATATATAATCTAAGTTTATAAGAGTAATAAGAAAAGTAAATAAAATCTTTAAAGTCTAGAAACTTCGTACAAGATTTGAGCGGCAGAAGCGTTATCTAACAAAACCTTCTGGGTAGCGTTGTTAACATTATTGTTACAATAAATAGAAGTCAGTAAAGTGAATGTTTGACCATCATTATATATGGCCTCGTAATCATTGAACATGAGCTGAGTAGCACCAGTAGCCAGATCAAAATAAAGTGAGATGTCAGCAGGATCTTGTAAAAAGTCAAATACGAAATTTCCTTGTCTAATCATTTCAGATCTAAAATAATCGAATGATTCTTGCCATGGTACAATTGTAAGAAGATCAGAAATACCAGCATAAAGTAAATGAACATATTTTAACGGATTATTTAATATTTTGTTACTACCATAAAATGCACCATTTTGATTTAAAGCAGCATTTCCCAATTCAATAGCGGAATTTAACCACTTTGAATTTCCTGTAAATTGATATAAATAAGCCAAAGTACTTATGCCTACTCCAACTGTATATGTTAATTTACCATCATTAACATTAGTGATATCATTCTTGTCTAAACCATCATAAAATAAGTGATCATTAGGATCTTGCAAATATTGAAACATAAAGTTCATACAGTTTTCAGCAAATTCTAAATGAGTTTGATTTTGAGTAACAGAGTATAATCTCATAGCAGCAAGAGCGGCCTCAGTAGTGGAAATTGATGCTATATAGTCACCATTATAACTCCAGATAACACCCCCAGTGGAAGGATTCCATTGACCAATTAAGAAATCAACTATATCTTGAGCTGAATTCAAGTATTCTTCATTTCCAGTGATTTTATAACCATCAATAAACACCCAAGCAACTTGGGCATTATCATCATTATAAATATCATCATCGCCAGCTTCCGTAGCAGAATAAGCATTCAAAGTAGGATTCTTATATTGATAAATATTAGCAATAGTGGAGTTAATTTTAGAAGTATCCTTTAAATCAGTTATAGCTCTTCCAATAACAGCTTGATCCCAAACAACTGGTTGACTATAAGTTCCAGTTCCACAAATGGAATCATCTTCATTCCAGTTTTGACCCAGTTCTACCCAAAATCTTGACCAGATCTTACCTATTGTGGAGTAGAAATCATTTACAGTACCATTTTGGGATATGAATTCATTAGCTAATAAAACTGGTTTGGCTTGAGTTTCAGCAGCTTGAGGAATATTGATGGAAGTAGTTGATGTTAAGGTAGTTTCAGCATTAGTTGTGGTATCTAAGAGTGATGTAGTGGTAGGACTAACAGTGGCAGTAGTAGTTTGAACCCCAGCATAAACAGTTTGATATTGGGTGACAACAGCTGTAGTATATACAACTTGAGTATTAACCACTATATCAGCTTCACGTCTGAACAATGGAAATGAGAGTGAAAAGTTTATGCAAGTGAAAGCAAGAATAAAATATATATTCATCTTTTGAATGTGATAAGAATAGACATCGAAGCTACATCATAATTAAATTTATAGATCCAGATACAGGCATTTATATATGTATGTATTCAAGAAAAGTTCAAAAGGTGAGATGCTAGTTTCAACCTTGTTTTAGGCGTAGTAAAGCCCAGAACAGGATATATGTTTTATAAACTGTTTTGAAACAAGCTCGTTTTAAGATGGATGCAAATACAAAATTCCCATACTTAAGAAAAACCAAAAGTTTGTGAAACAAATCAATTTGAGCCGCAGGAAATCAGTAATTTTTTTTTTTTTGATATTGAAGTGTATAGACTGGAATGTAATGACTTGTTTCTATCTCGATTAAAGCTTAATTGAGGAATAGGTATGACGTATGTCGACAGCAACTAAAACATATTTGAAGCATCCTGTGCTTGTGAATCCTACCAAGTGGATAAGATCTCCCAAAATACATGAATCAAATTTGTATCTTACAGGATTTTATAATTCTAAATCACTTGAGAATAATCCATTTGCCAAAGCATTGATTGATACCAAAGCCGATGGATTAGGAACGAGATTCCCGGTTGGTTCTATGATTCATTTGACGGCAGATACGCCGCCTGATAAGAGAGAATCGTCTAATTATTGGATAATGCCAATCATCAACCATTCGATTAGTCTTGATAAATATTTCTTCACATCGCATTATATGATAAATAATGAAGTTTATGTCAATGAAATGATACGACAAGGTAAAAAGGTTAGTACTAGATTCCTTCCTAGAAAGATTATCCATAGAAATGGGAAGTTACGTGGTGAAATTATATTTATGCCTGGATTTTCTGATGTGGTTAAACAAAGATATGAACAAGATATTATAAGGTTACTCTCAATTCAAACAGCGCTGGCGCAGTCTAAGAAACAGAATGCTGGTTTAACGTTAACTAAACAAGGTCCATCAGTTAAGGTTGTGGGTTCTGATGTTATAATAAATATAAAGAAACTATCACCATATTTTGATTTTGAAGAGGAAGAGTTATTCATTCCTTATGAACAAAATAATGAATTATGTGAATTGATAATTTATTACTTGAATTATAAACTCGATCTGATATAGCATGTATATAGTCCAAACTACAGAAGACATTTTTATCACCTCAAATGTGTATTTTTGTTTTTAATGTATATATAAATAACCATAGAAAAGAAGATATTAAACCTAAGTGAACCAAACGAACATACTGAATAAACTGATAAATAATCTGGTGTAGAATGAATCATCATTAATACTGGCGCCTGAACTCTTCTTGGATGAACTTGCACCTGCGACAGGGACTGAAGATAATTGATCAGTAACTTCTTTATCATTGGCAGTCCAAGCAATGAAATCTGAAGCTGAGATAACTTCATCAAAAGTAGTTGAATTTGAAAGCCAAACATAGGCACTACCATTTGAATCAAAACTAACACCACCAACCATTGAATTTTCAGTATCTCTTGGGATATAACCATTCACTTGTAAACCAGATTCAATATCATCAGTACCTTGATAATCATGAATAGTAGTAAATAATTGATTAACTAAAGATGCGGTATTATTTTTAACTTCAAAGATATCAAATTCGCCACATCCTGATCTCCAACATGAACAATTGACATTAGAAGAGTATTGAGCCGTTCTTGGAATATTGGCATTTAATAACCAAATAGCTGGCATATTATAATTGGCAGTCCAATCAGGAACCAGAGTTTCATTTGGCATTTGGAAATCAAATAAAAACATCTTGGTGGTTCCAAAGAAACCATGATAAGCAGGAATATCTGATCTATAAATCCCACAATCATTACCAAGACCAGATGAACCACAAGAAATGTTTGAAAAAATGGAAATTTCTTGATTAGAAACAAGTTCAGAATCGGCTGCTAAAATAGTTGAACTTTGAGCAGCAGCGCTTGCATCAGAATTGGCATAAGATAAACCAACACCAAGACAAGTTGAATTTTCACCTTCATTATTTAAAAAGGTTACATTTTGAGAAGTTTGACTTTCAGCATCATAATATGATAATCTATTCCAAGCGCCACTCAGGGAATCTCCATTTGTGAAATTATCAGAAACATAAAAGGCAAATTTATTCAAGATTAATGGACCTCTGAAATGAACAGAAACTTCACCATTTAAAGGAGCATTTGGACCAGTGAAATTCACTGGAGCTGGATTGATTGCACAAGAACATGTATCTGAATAAATATCATCTAAATTGCTAACTTCATTAAAAGAACCAGTGAATCCAAGATTATTAAAAGCAAGTACTTGAGCACTTGCAGGACTTGAACTTGATCTTTTACTATAAGTTATCTTTCTGGCATCACTAGGATTAGTCAAGATTGTAAGAGAAACAATCGATAATAAAATACTTGACAATTGCATGGTTGAATGATCTGCGCCTCGTGGAATTTAACGAATGTGAAATTGTGATGGATAGATAAAAGACCCTGATAAGATAGATAGATAGATAGATTCAAGTGAATTTTCTGACGATGATACTCGATTCAATGCAAAAGTATTAAACCAAAACTAATAAATGAACAAACTTCAAATTGAAAAGAAATAATTGAATGATTTTATACGAAACAGAGATATATTTATCTACACATCAGAAATTTTTGTTTATTTTTTTTCCCGCAAGGGATCAAATGGATGCAATTTTAAATTTAGTAACACAGGGGCCACCCACTCATTATGGTAAGTCGTGTGTTGGGTTCAAAGTGATTTTGGTGTGTGAAACAAGGCTTATCTATGGTCATTTAGGTTTATTGACCTGAAGGACTTATGTATGATACTGTTATATAGAGTTGGTTATGGATAACTGTATGTCATATAATTTGCGCTTTCAGTTGTAAACAATGGTTGTTATTCTTGCTTTATAACGGTGGGTTGCATGTTACCGCATTACTGCAAAAAACCTATAATCATAATCATAATCATAAAATGTATATATTATAAAAAAAAAAGTGTCTATAAATACAAGTTTTAAGGGGTTAGTACCTTTCATTATTCATTTCCAACCCATATATCTCCATAAAATTGAAATAATTTTTGATCTTGTTCATCAATCTCAATCACTGTACCGGATTGAGTTCTATCTTTAGATCCAATATCACTATAAGCACACCAAACATACCCATCACATAATCCTCCAATCATATCCCATGATCTTGAAGGTTCATTTTCTCCATTGGGGACAAAAAGATTATCCTTACCATTAAAAGGAGGTATAATGACAGTTTCTATTTGAATAGGATCAAAATAATAACTTCTTAATTCTTCAACTGTGGTAATACCAGGTTTATATCTCCCACCTTGACTTTCTAAATCCTTTTTATAATCAACTTTATCATATTTCCCACAGAAATGGAATCCAGAATTAAACCAAATTAATTCATTGGTTTCATCATCAACATGAGCAGGATGTGCTGAACAAATTTCTTTTGATATCCGAATTTGACCATTTAGTTTAATTTTTTCACCACTAGCTTGACCAGCAGCAGCAGCATGATATTTATTAAATGTGAAATCTTCATCACCATTAACTATAAATGATAACCAAAATAATTCTTTTTCACCATGACTTCTATCTCTAAATGCTTCCATGAAATTTAATTGGGGTAATAATAAAATTGAATTAAAATGACGAGTTTTATCAATGACAACAACCCCAGCTTCCATAAAATGAAACATTCCTTGCATGGCATCTAATTCAAGGGTTTTTGAAGTAATCAATGGAATATCAAAGATTATAGCATCAAGTACTGATGGAGACATTTTTTTAAAAAAGTATGCATCAGATGGAGGTCTAATTTGCATGGTTGTTCTATCTTTATAAAATAAAGCTCCTGATGATTTATATTTATTATTTTGAAAAAACCATTCGGGATTCTTTAATAATACTGAATCAGCATCAATTAAAATAAATTCTTCAAATGTATTAAATACAGTAGCTAATAATTTATTCCCATATCCATCGAATTTCAGTTTATAATTTTCATGAATTACACTATATGTATTAACGAAATAAACTTCTTGTTTAGGTAATCCACGATCATAATCATTAGAAAATTGATCTCTTACTTGATCGAAAGATTCTGGCATATCTCTTCTTACTTCTCTGGCTGCTCTTACTATTCTTGATTTGGAATTTCCTGAAAGATTATCATAATATACAATTTGAATAGGTAAAGTATTTTGAAGAGCTCTTAATAAGGCAATTAAATTAATTGTGTCATCGACATGTTTGTCACCGATAGTTAAGACGATACCTTTCCCACTTAAGGATTTTCTGAATTTATTTAAGAAACATGACCCATATTGAGATTCAGTTGATGGATTTGTTTTTGCAGCATTTGAATTTTTGAATTTGGGAGGACTTAATTCAATTTCACCCGTCCATTTTTCAAATACAGGATAATGGAATGATAACCAGGGATATAATCTTTGTTCTAAGAATGAACAATCACTAGCTGGGTTTAATTTAACTGATTTCTTCCTTATTTTATTATTAATATTTTCATTGTCATTTTTGTTGTTGTTATTATCTTCATTCTTATTGTCATTTTCTTTCTGATCTTGATTTTCATTATGTTTAACTTCATCTTCTTTGAGTTCTAAAGTTGGAGCTATTTTCACAAAATGTTTTTGATGTTGTAAGAAACTTTTAATTGAATTTTGTTGTTTTATATTATTTACTGAAAGATAACATTTATTAAAGATTCTTAAATGACTTAAGAAATTCAATGATTTTTGTTCATCGATCGATATAAACAACATAAATTCCTTATATTTATCTTTTATAAACTGATCAAACTCTTCTTGATTTTGAATTTCTCTATCTTCATCATTACGATGCTGTTTATTATACTGTTTTTGTAAGAATCTATAATTATTTCGTCTCCAATAATCATATTCATAATTAAATCGATTAGCCGATATTCTTTCAAATGGATTTATGAACCAATTTTGATTATTAACGAATAAATTTTCGAAATATAATTGACAACGATTTGAGAAATCTAAATTTGATAAAATATGATAGAAATCAGGAGAATCAGATTTCAGATCAATTAAATTAAACATAGTTTCATAATTTTGGGAGAATGATGGAGGTAAATTCCGACTATCATTTAAATATTGTTGATGATAAAGTTTTATGGGAGTTAATTCTAATATAGAAGCATCCAAAGTTTTATGAACATTACTAGGTACATCTTGAGTTGAGAATGATTCAAATGAATTATCTTCATCTTCTTTATAAGAATTTAATTGTTGATTTGTAGTATCAATGATATTTATGATGGTATCAGATATGGATTCTGAATGATAACAATAGATATAAACATTGAAGGCAAGTATCCATATCATAATACAGACATAAAGTAATAACTTACTTGCCTTTAATCTTGTATTAAGCTTTATCATTTCTAGGTAAACAAAGCTTTTATGCAAATAAGGACATCAACTATTTGAAAAAAAGTAAAACTGGTAGATCTTATAAATCTATCGAGTGAGATTTATAAATGAATGAATGAATGATCAAGATGGGGTTTATTCAATTTAAATAATAGGATGAATTCTATAAAATAATGGTAAAAAATAAATAAATGCCACTATAATAAGGAACGTGTAAATATAAACATATAAAATATGCGTTCTACGAAGATATATATATATATATAAGTATAAATATGTATGAATGGCTCTTAAAAGGAAGGTATCGATTCAAGTTAATAGTTTTAAGAGGATTGTAATTTACAAATATCGGAACATTGTCTAGGCGATAATCATAATATGCACAACAAATTTCATGAAATGTATAAATATAATAACCAGAAATAGAAATGAAGTTTGACATAAAATAGGTATATATACGACAAACTCCCCACTATCTTTTCGTTTTTTTATTTCTTTTTAATTGTTTGTTTGTATGGCTTTTATATTTAAATGTATAAAAAGTTTGACATATTATGCATGGCACACATACTTATTGTGTCATAAATTATCTCTATTTGTTGGATTTTATAATTGTAAACAAAGCATCATTCAGCCAGCTCAATACTACAGAAAAAATTATAATTATATAACTTACATACGTACTAAAGATTGACAGTATATGGTAAACATATAGGACGATGAGGCGAATGAAGGAAGGAATAGTAGATTTATTTTTAATAAATATTATTTTGAAATGTGTCATTGCCCACAACTACTACCGTCTCTCTATACTAAAAATATTATTTGCCTCAAAATCGGTGAATCAAAAAGAGGACGTGTGCTGAGGACAAAACAAAAAGGGAATAGTGATCCGAATAAAAGCGAGTAATTTACCATAGTAAAATTGGTTATGAGGAGGAAGCAAAGGTAGGTAGGAAGAGGAGGTAAGAACAGGAGGATATATAACAATATGGAGATTTACGATAAATAATAATAATAATAATAATAATAATAATAATAATAATGGTGATGATGAGAAATTCATGTTTAGTCGAAGTTTAATTTATCCATAATCCTCTCTCTCCCCACTTATATATATATAATATGAGAATTTCATACCACTCTAAATACTTCATTATGAAGATTTTTCCGTTTCAGTCATTTCGTACAATATTGATTGATCTGAAGGGGATATGCTCAATGTTGCCTCGCTCTACATTGTTCAAAATCCGTTCATAACTAAGATACGGGTCGATAACCGATATCGATATGAGCCATATAAAACTATTAAAAATCAATTTGAGGTTATTTCAAGTGAAAATTGTTTATCTGTCAATGATCGACAATGACAGAGGAAGAAAGGGGAAAAGGAAAATTCTCTAACTTATGGGTTACTTTAAAAATATATCTATATATATAAGGTAAAAATTTCACAGCTAATAATGAAATTTCAACCTTCTTTGCCGTACTTTATCTGTTCCCCATGCACTATTTAGCAGTATTCCAAATGTAACATCTAATTTCTACACCCTTTTTTTCTACTATCAATGAGTCGCTTGGATATATATTATGTAAGTGATATTAATCTATGGTCCACATGGTTTATCGCATAAACTAATTTCAATTTATTACGTGTTCTAAAGCATTGGATACCATAACCACTCTATATTTATTAAATTTCATCTTCCTCTACCCTCCTCATTTTTATATCATCTTGACCAATTTAAGTTATTCCGAACTCTCGGATAGAGTCACCATCATCATTTTACACACTATTAATTTTAAATTCTTGCTGCTAAAAATAATTGATTATGAAAATGACAATTTTATATTGTATAATAATAAAATAATATGATTAAAGTAAATAATTGAATAAATTAATATACATATATGACTAACTAAAATGAATTACCCCTCCTCAATTACTCAACTCCAACCCAAATATCACCATAGTATCTAAATAATTTTTGACTTTCTTCATCAACACTTATAAGTGACCCTTCTTGACGTTTATCTGCACCCCCAATAGTATTATAAGCACACCAAAGATATTGATTACATAATTCATGAATCATTTCCCATCCTCTTGGAGGTTCACCTTCATTATTACCAACATACATTTTTTGAGAATCTACAAAGGGAGGAATAATAATAGTATCAATGTCAAGTGGTTCATAATAATAAGCTTTTAACAGATCAATTGAATCTAATCCTTCTTTATATCTTCCATTTTGTTCTTCAATATCATGAGTATAATCGATATCTGCATATTTCCCACAGAAATGGAAACCAGAGTTAAACCATACTAATTCACTGGTTTCATCATCAACATGGGCAGGATGTGCTGAACAAACTTCTTTAGCTTGACGGATTCTACCGTTGACAACTTTTGGAGCACTTTTTTTACCAGCAGCAGCGGCAAAATTCTTATTAAATGTAAATCCTTCATCACCATTAACAACAAATGAAAGCCAAAATAATTCTTTTTCACCATGACTTAAAAGTCTAAATGATTCCATGAAATTTAATTGGGGTAATAATAAAATCGAGGTGAAATGACGAGTCTTATCAATAGTGACTGCTCCTGCTTCCATAAAGTGGAATAAACCATGCATAGATTCTAATTCAAGGGTATGGTCGGTTATTAAGGGGAAATCAAACATAATAGCATCAAGTTTGGATGGAGACATTTTTTTAATGAATCTTGCATCAGCATCAGGTCTAGTTGGGATAGTAGTTCTATCTCTAAAGAAGAAAGCACCAGATTTACTGTATTTACTATTAGAAAAGAACCATTCTGGATTCTTTAATAAAATTGTATCAGCATCAATTAATAAGAATTCTTCAAATGTATTGAATACGGTAGCTAATAATTTATTCCCCCAATGTTCGAATCTCAGTTTATAATTATCATGAATTACACTATAAGTATTAACGAAATAAACTTCTTGTTTAGGTAATCCACGATCATAATCATTAGAAAATTGATCTCTTACTTGTTCGAAAGATTCAGGTAAATCTCTCATTTCTTCTCTAGCAGCTCTTACGATTCTTGATTTGGAATGACCCGAAAGATTATCATAATAAACAATTTGAATAGGTAAAGTATTTTGAAGAGCTCTTAATAAGGTAATTAAATGAACGGTATCATCAACGTGTTGGTCCCCAATAGTAAGGACTATACCTTTCCCACTTAAGGATTTTCTGAATTTATTTAAGAAACATGATCCATAATGAGATTCCGTTGATGGATTTGTTTTACGAGCATTTGAATTTTTGAAAACTGGAGGATGTAATTCGACAGCTCCTGTCCATTTTTCAAAGATTGGATAATGATTGGATAACCATGGGTATAAACGTTCTTCTAAATTGGAACAATCTTTAGTAGGATCAATTTTGATCGATCTTTTCTTATTTTTGTTATTTGATGCTTTAGTTGTTTTATGTTTTAAATCTTGCTTTTCTAAAACTAACATTGATTTACCAAAATGTTTTTGTTCAGCAATGAAATTTTTAATGGTATTTTGTTGACTTATGTCATTGGAAGTTAAATAACATTTATTAAAGATTCTTAAATGACTTAAACTATCAACCATGGTTTGTTCTTGTTGATAAATTGAATCAGCATATTCATGATATTTTTCATCAACATACTTATTAAAAGCATTTTGATCATCAATTTGTTCATTTTTATTTTTACCATTATCTTCATTAAAATGTTCTTGTAATTCACGACGTTTATCATTTAAAAATGTATCGAAATCAAAATTAAATCGATGAGCTTGAGCTCTTTCATTAGGATTTATAAACCAATTTTGATTATGATCAAATAAATTTTCAAAATATAATTGACAACGATCATTAAAATCTAAAGTTGATAAGAATTTATAAAAATCAGGATTAGTATTTAAATTATCATCATTGATATTAAACATAGTTTCATAATTAGATGAAAAGATGGGATCGATGTTTCTTTTATCTTCTAAATATTGTTCGATATAAAGTTTAAAAGGAGTGGTTGATAAAATAGAAGTATTTAAAGGTTTATAACCTGAATTTGGTTGATCTTGTTGATCAAAGGCATCATAAGTTGAATCTGAAGTGGAGGATTCATCATTATTACCTTTATTAAATGATTGAAGATGTTGATTGGTGGTATCGATTATAGTTTCAATCCCATCAGATATAGTTTCTAAATGATAACAATATAAATAAACATTTAAAGCTAAGATCCAAACTCCCACCCCGACATAAGCTAGAAGTCTATTTCCTTTCAATTTATATTTAATATTGAACATTCTCGAGGGATATTTGACTTGAAGAAGATTGAAAGAGTGAAGGAAGGAAGGAAAAAGAACAAGAAGAAGAAGAAGAAGAAGAAGAAGAAGAAGAAATAAGAGAAACAATCTATAATAGTTAAACACGATATCAAAGCCAAAAAATAAGAAAAGAAAAGGGGCCGTATACTATATATTAAAATAAATGTCGATATAACCAAATAAAACACACAAACAGACACCGTTACAAATAATACGAAATCTACTATGAAAACTCTATTACAACATCAATTACACTTGAAAGGGCTATGATTTTTAAAAATTGGGAGCAAACCAAACCCGCCCAAATTAATTTTTTTTTTTTGGTTCGTTTCTTTTTTTAGCATCTTACACAAAATTAAATTAATTTTTACAGTTTACATAATTAGCACACACACGATTCGAAAACGTGTATAGCCCATAGTTAGATAGCAACCAGACACTATGGAATAATAATAATAATAATAATATTTTTATGATTGGATTGGATTGACGATTTAGGAAAATTCAAATAAATAAATCAAACCTTCAGTTATCTCATCAGCCCTCATCATTATCTTCATTTACTTAAATGATTTAGGGTTATCTATCTATCATGGTAAATCATAAAATGTTTCTTTAAGTCTAAATGTTTAAACTTAAAATCGCCATTTGTAAAAAAATGAAAGGATTTCCATTTTATCTACATACATACATATCTACATCCAATCATTCATTCATTCATAAACAATGACATGATGATGAAATACACACTTAATTTAAATAGTTATTTATGTGCTACTTATCATTTGATCCTATATTTTTTCTTGTTCGTGTTTTATATTTATTTATTTGTTTTATTGTTTTTTGTTTCTAATGCCCCATTTATTCACTTTACTTATCCCAATATGATAGCCATTAAGGATACTTTGTCCTGTACTTGTTTTATTCTTGTCGATATTAACTCTTTCCTATCTGTGGTTTTTTTGTTTTTTTAGCGAATGGGTTGCATTTTTGGTAACAAAAATAAATTAGTCTTGTCCTTTATAATTAGCCAAGATAAATCGGGATTATATTACAGTTACAATTGGTCTGTGTTACTTTCTCATCGCATTGCCAATGATAGGATAAATAACCTTTCATTAGTCAGATACTAATGAAGTATCATCTGTTTACAAGAAAAATTTAACAAAATGATTTTCTTAATGGTGATCTTGGAAAATATTTTATGGATATCTATATAGCTTTTCCCTGCTCCCCACAAACATATGGATTGGCGAAACGACAGATAACGTTTAAATGAGAAGAATTAACTCCAGTAACATTCACAACTCATAATATCTACCTTGTCTTAGTAGTATCTATATCGTAACTCAACTATCAATCTATCATACCTTTGATATCTATATAAGCCTCCATATATAAAATTAGTTGGTACATACATAGTTAACCATCTTGTGATCGCTAAAAGTTCTAACCGAGCAGCGAGAGGAGTGTCTAATTTATATATATATATATATATATATATTGGTTCTTCTATAAAGGAACTAGGAAAGGTTGGTTTAAATTGAATCAGAATAGAATCTACAACTCATTGAGATTATATAATCAGTGTGATATATCTGACAGATTATAAATAAACTATTGGAGATATTAATAAACTGATGAATGAATAAATTAATGAATGAAATTGCCTCAATTTATAAACGCCTCATAACACTCAATATAATAAAATTTCTTTACCCTAACCGTAATCATCTCCCCTCTTTCCTTCCTTCATGTCTCAACTTCTTAATTCATTATACGAAGAGACGTGTTACCATGTGGGATAATGAACGATACTGCGAGATACTTCACATTACGCGTGATACTCAACACCCTTTATTAAACAAATCTTTAATTAAGATCACAATTATAAACATATATACACTAATAAGAGTTAAAATAATCTATATTATGTCATTATATCAACCTATAAATTTTCGTAAACCGTTTAGTTAAATTCGTTAGATTCTATAAGTTATTGTCCAAACCATGGCTATTGTTCAAAACTGTATTGTTTTCAAGAAATGACACAAAAGCCGCATCGCTCTAACTCTATTTTTTTTTTAGTACATGCAGGTTCAAAATATGACTGCGAAACTCAATTACTTAAAATATATTAATTTTGAATTTATAAATACTTAACTTTTTACATCTATAAAATTACACTTTGGGAAACCGAAAAGGAAACGAAAATCAATAGTTTCCTACCCATACATCTCCATAGTATCTGAATAATTTCTTACTTTCTTCATCAATGGTTATAACTGTACCTAATTGACGATTATCTTTACCTCCAATCGAACTATAAGCACACCAAAGATATGAACTACATAATCCATGAGATAATTCCCATCCTTCATGAGGTTCTCCTTCACTATTATCCAACCTCATATGACCCAGGTTTTCAAAAGGTGGGATGATGACGGCTTCAATATCAATGGGATCGAAATAATATGTTTTCATCTCTTCAATGGTAGTTATACCTGGTTTATATCTTCCATCTTGTTCATGTAAATCATGTCTATAATCGATATCTTTATATTTCAGACAAAAATGGAATCCCGAATTAAACCAGATTAATTCATCACTTTCATCATCGACATGACCCGGATGAGCTGAACATAATTGTTGAGCTTTACGAATTCTATCTCCATTAACTACTCTTGGATCACTTATTCTTCCAAGCGCTCCTGCTGCATAACCATTAAACATGAATTGTTCATCACCATTAATTATAAATGAAAACCAAAATAATTCCTTATCTCCATGACTCTTTTCAGTGAATGCATCCATGAAATTCAATTGAGGTAATAATAAAATTGAATTGAAATGACGAGTTTTATCAATCACCACAACTCCTGATTCCATCTCATGGAATAATCCATTCATACCTGGTAAATCCATCGAATGAGACGTGATAAGTGGAATATCAAACATTATGGCATCAAGTGTTGAAGGTGACATTTTTTTAAGGAATCTGGTATCAGTTTCAGGTCGAGTATGTACAGCAGTTCTATCTCTGAAGAAAAATGTACCTGATTTGATAAATTTATCATGATTAAAGAACCATTCAGGATTCTTTAATAAAACAGTGTCGGCATCGATTAAGATGAATTCTTCAAATGAATTGAAAAGGGTGGCTAAAAATTTATTCCCATATCCATCGAATTTCAGTTTATAATTCTCATGAACTACACTATACGTATTAACGAAATAAACTTCTTGTTCAGGTAAGCCACGATCATACATAATGGGGAACTTATCACTGACTTCTTTGAATGATTCCGGTAATACTTTCATGACTTCTCTGGCAGCTCTTACGATTCTTGATTTGGAATGACCCGAAAGATTATCATAATAAACAATTTGAATAGGTAAAGTATTTTGAAGAGCTCTTAATAACGCAATTAAATGAACGGTATCATCGACGTGTTGGTCCCCTATGGTAAGTACTATACCCTTCCCACTTAAGGATTTTTTAAATTTATTTAAGAAACATGACCCATATGATGTTGTAGATGATGGATGTGATTTTTGAGCATTTGAATTTTGAAAAGTTGGAGGATGTAATATAGTTTCCCCTGTCCATTTTTCAAATACCGGGAAATGATTGGATAGCCATGGGTAGAGACGTGCTTCTAAATTAGAACAATCCTTGGTTACATCGAGTTCGATCGATCTTTTTTCTTTTTCGTTGATGTTGTTATGGTTTGATTCTTGTTGTTCTAAGGATATCATTGATTTAGCGAAATGTTTTTGTTCAGTAATGAAAGTTTTAATAGTATTTTGTTGGCTGATGAAATTTGATGATAGATAACACTTATTAAAGATTCTTAAATGACTTAAATAATCCACCATTTTTTGTTCTTGTTCATAGATGGGATCAGCATATTCATGATATTTTTCATCGACAAATGTTTTAAATACAACTTGATCTTCGATTTTATCAAATTTATCTCGGTCATTATCTTTATTGAACTGTATTCGTAATTCACGATCATGATCATGAATCCAACTTTCATAATCAAATTTATTAGCATACCCTGGAAATCTTTCATTGGGATTTATAAACCAATTTTGATTTTTTTGAAATAAATTCTCGAAATATAATTGACATCGATCATTGAAATTTAAATTAGATAATAATCCATAAAACTCATCTTCTTGTTCAATTTTATTAAACATAGTTTCATAATTTGATGAGAATATTGGTTCAATATTTCGTTTATCATCTAAATATTGTTGAGTATAAAGTCGTAAGGGACTTGAATCCAATATCGAAGTATTCAAAGGTTTATAACCTTTGTCATCTTGGTTATCGAACTTATCAAACGAATCATATGTAGATGTCTCATCATTATCATTGACTTGTTGTTGAGTGGTATTATCTATAATACTAACGATGGTATCTGATATGGTTTGAGAATGATAAAAATATAAGTAAATATTGAACGCTATTATCCAGATCCCAGCCGCCACATAAATGACAACTCTATTAGATTTGATCTTGGAACTAAGCCTCAGCATGCTTTCAAGGAGATGACAACTTCACACCAACCTATGGAGATAGTTACGAATAAGAAATAGAAAGAGAAAGAGAAGAGAAAAGAAGACACATCGAAAGTCGAAAATTGTGATAGATAACGCCTTATATTTTACAAAATCCCATTCCAGACATAAACTATACACCTGTTCAAATGATATATCTCTAACAGCGAATTCAGGATTGATAAATAATAATAAATTGAAGCTCCTATCTTTCTTAAGCCATTACATCCACAAAAATTAACTTACAGAAAACAGTTGAAAAATACAGTTAAAAAATAATTGTACGAAAAAAAATAAAAAAAGAAAAAAAAATCTGTCACAAACGGGAAAGTTTAAATATTACTCTTTGTAAAGAGATAAAGTTGCTATCTATAAGTATTCGATATATGCCAATGCTAAGAACTAAGAGTAAAAGTGTCGAGAGAAATATGTGAATGGTTGTGTAAAGAAACTCTGGGGTTATTTACTTCCTTGGTTGTTTGTTTGTTTGTTTGTTTTTCTGGTCCACTTATGTAAATTATCTTGGTAATATGATAGAAGTTTAACCCAGAACTAATACGAAGAAATTAATTTCATTCATGTGTAAGGTTTCATCTGTAAATTAAAACTATTTACTAATCCCTGTATTTATCACAGCAAAATCCCCCTCCTGCTTTTCTTTACTTGCTATTACTGCTAGAGATTTATTAAGCACAAAATTTATATATTTATTTATTTATTCATCCACCGGGTAAATCTAACATCTATGAACCTATATACAACTAAACTGAAATTAGTTAGACTAAACGATACATACATAATACAGTGGATTTAAGGAGTATGTGGTAGTAGATGAAACTGAAATTAACAAATTTGGGCAACGAAGAGCATAGCGACAACACCCACGAGTAATTGTGAGATCTACGCTACTTAAAAGCCCTAAATATTATTCCACATAATTTTTACCTTACCTCTGTCAATTATTGCTGTATATATAGCGAGAGATACATATACATCTAAAATGACAAGTATCTGATCATAACTACGGTGTGGATAACAGGACAGTTAGTATTCTTCCACAGTTTTTTCTTGTCAACCGTTTGCATTGATCGAAGCGAGCCAAGAAAAATTGGCAAGATTAAGCGGCGGAATCATAGTATACCCATTTAAAGCCCCTTTTATCTACTTTAACTACTACACAATTAATGATTTTTTTGATTTGATTAACATATATGAAATCTCTATTAATATATTAGATAATTTATTTATTTATTTATTCTGCTCCAACCCAGATATCCCCATAATATCGGATTAACTTTTGGGTATCTTCATCAACATTTATAATGGTACCAGTTTGACGATTACCTTTACCTCCAATAGTACTATAAGCACACCAAATGTATTCATGGCATAAATCATGAATCATTTCCCATCCTTCAATAGGTTCGCCTTCCCCATTTTCAAGTCTCATATTACCTGGTTCTGTAAATGGGGGAATAATCATAGCTTCAATTTGAAGTGGATTATAATAATAAGCCTTGATTTGTTCAACGGTAGTTATACCTGGTTTTAATCTTCCATCTTGAGCATCTAAATCGTGTTGATAATCAACTACACTATATTGACCACAGAAATGGAAACCTGAATTAATCCATACAATTTCATCGGTTTCATCATCAACATGAGCAGGATGAGCAGAACATACTTCTTGAGCATTACGGATTAAACCACCATTGACAACTCTTGGTTCTCCAATTCTACCAGCAGCAGCTGCATGATATTTATTAAAGATAAATCCTTCATCTCCATTAATTACAAATGAAAACCAAAATAATTCCTTTTCACCATGACTTCTATCTTTAAATGCATCCATGAAATTCAATTGAGGTAATAATAAGATCGAATTGAAATGTTTGGTTTTATCAATGACAACCACTCCTGATTCCATTTCATGGAATAATCCATTCATAGCTTGTAATTCATAAGTATGAGAAGTAAGTAAAGGGAAATCAAATAAAATAGCATCAAGTTTTGAAGGAGACATTTTTTTAATGAATCTTGCATCAGCTTCAGGTCTCTTTGGAACTGCTGTTCTATCCCTATAGAAGAAAGCTCCTGATTTAGTATATTTACTATTAGCAAAGAACCAATCTGGACTCTTTAATAATACAGTATCAGCATCGATCAATAAGAATTCTTCAAATGAATTGAAAAGAGTAGCTAATAATTTATTACCATATCCTGAGAATTTCAGCTTGTAATTTTCATGAATCACACTATAAGTATTAACGAAATAAATTTCTTGTTGAGGTAATCCAGCATCATAATCTATCGAGAATTTATCTCTAACTGCTTCAAATGATTCGGGTAAATCTCTCATGATTTCTCTAGCTGCCCTAACAATTTTTGATTTAGAATGACCGGAAAGATTATCATAATAAACAATTTGAATAGGTAAGGTATTATGATGAGCTCTTAATAACGCAATTAAATGAAGAGTATCTTCAACATGTTGATCACCAATAGTTAAGACAATACCTTTCCCACTTAAGGATTTTCTGAATTTATTTAAGAAACATGACCCATATTGAGATTCTGAAGATGGATTATTTTTACGAGCATTTGAATTTTGGAAAGTTGGAGGATGTAATACGATTTCACTGGTCCATTTTTCATATACGGGATAATGATTCGATAACCATGGATATAAACGTTCTTCTAAATTAGAACAATCTGTTTTTGGATCAAGTTTGATGGATCTTTTATCATTCTTGGTTGAACTTACTTTATGTTTTAAGTCTTGATGTTCTAAGGTTAACATTGATTTTGCAAAATGTTTTTGTTCAGTAATAAAGTTCTTAAGGGTATTTTGTTGATGAACTTCATTTGAAGTTAAATAACATTTATTAAAGATTCTTAAATGACTTAAAGCATCAGCCATTTTTTGTTCATGTTCATAAATTGGATCAGCAAATTCATGATATTTTTCATCAACATATTTCTTAAATGCATCTTGATCTTTTATTTGATCATTTTTATTATGACCATTATCTTCATTAAAATGTTCTTGTAATTCCTTTTTATTATCATTAGTCCAATTTTCATAATCGAAATTAAATCTGTAGGCAGGAGCTCTTTCATTTGGATTTAAATACCAATTTTGATTATTTTCAAATAAATTTTCAAAATATAATTGACAACGATCATTAAAATCTAATTTTGATAAAAACGTATAAAAATCAGGATTAGTATTTAAATTATCATCATTGGCGGTGAATAAAGTTTCATAATTAGTAGAAAATATAGGATCGATATTTCTTTTATCATCTAAATATTGTTCGATATAAAGTTTTAAAGGACTAGTATCTAATATGGAAGTATTTAAAGGTTTATAACCTGCTTTGGCTTTATCTTGTTTATCAAATGAATCATAATTTGAATTTGAATTTGAATTTGAATTTGAATTTGAACCTTTAAATGATTGAAATTGTTGTTGAGTGGTATCGATTATACTTGAAATACCATCAGATATGGTTTCAGAATGATAACTGTATAAATAAAAGTTGAAGGCAATGAACCAGACTACTACAAAGGCAAAAAGTAGAAGTCTGTTAGTCTTCATCTTAGGTACTAGCTTAATCATAATGAGTTTGTGAAGTAGGGGAAGATTTAGTACAAATCAGATAATGAATTAAGATCTAATGAAAGAGCAGTGTTTACAAATTAAAATCAAATTTTGATTTTTAATTTTGATTAGGTTTATAATAAATATCTGCCTTAGGCGTAGATACACGTCCAATTAAAATTCCTATTCCAAAAGTAATTGATAAGTTAAAAATAAATATAAAAATACTGAATTCATACAACTCCCTAAAAAAGGGAACAAAGAACCAAAACAGAAATGGGAATTCACAACACACACAAAGACACACACTTACCAAGTTCACTTACTTACTTACTTACTTACACTTAATCACACTATGAATAATTCAGTACCGTATTGAAAAGGGGAGGGATATATTAATTATTATATTTAACCCAATTTGATGGTGAAAAGCCACCTTTGATGTATCCATTTTATTTTTTTATTTTTTTTATTTTTTATTTTTTATTTTTTTCACACACTTCGAAAGAATTGACATGTTAAGAGGTTAACTTAACTGATCAAGTGAATCAAGTTCAATTCATGGACAATTAATCAATGAATGATAGGAACTGCAAACCATAGTTAAGATTGCGAAATCTTTGTCAAATGAACTTTGTTTTTGTTTGAAATGTGATATCTAAAACAATAGACTTAATTAGAGGATATTGTTCGCATTTCATATTGTCTAAAAAGTTTAACCTCGTCCCACGAGGTCTACCTCTCAAATCAAATTATGAAAGATAACGAGAAAAACTAAATAAAGATATGGTGCCTTAACCTTATAATTAATCTACTATTTGGAGACACATATCTTTGCTTGGTATTCTGAGAGGTATGAGCGTACTTATGTATTTAACTCATGATACTTCTAGAACACAATTATTTTGTTAAGATAAATATAATATAAATAAATTAAATTATATAATATAAATAAATTAAATTATATTTTCTTCTTTTTTTTTTATTTTTTATTTTTGAAAAAATATTTATATTAAAAAATAAAAATTTTCAACATCCACAAATTCGTAAGTATATACTATAATCGATCAAAAGTAGTTATAGATTAATCTTTACACTAATTCAACTACTTCTGGTTTTTTTTTTTTTATTATTATTATTAATTTATATTTATACTTAATTTATATATAAATAATCAAAAACTATATTTTAATTGTACAAATAACAAGTACCCATAAATACATTAGAATTAATTATTAATCTTTCTTTGAAATAATTAATTGGATTAATTAATTGGAATCTTCGAAATTTAGATTATAATTCATCATGACCAAAATCATCATCTGAATCATCATCACCAAATTGAGCTCCATCACCTCCAGCTCCACCTGCTCCACCATATAATTTGGCAGTAATTGGATTAGCAATATCAATTAATTTTTGTTTTTGTTCTTCAAATTCTTCAGCACTTGCACTATCATAATTATCTTCAATAAATTCCAAAGTTTCTTTAACTGCATCATCTAAAGTTTCTTTATCTTCTTCATCTAATTTACTACCTAAACCAGTTTCAGTAGTATCACTTAATTGTCCCTTTAATAAATGAGCATAATTTTCTAAAGAATTTCTTGCTTCAATCTTAGCCTTAATTTCGGCATCTTCTTGAGCATATTTTTCAGCTTCTTCAACCATTCTATCAATATCTTCTTTAGTTAATCTACCTTTATCATTAGTAATAGTAATAGATTCAGATTTACCAGTTCCTTTATCAGTAGCTTCAACCTTTAAAATACCATTAGCATCTAATGAAAAAGTAACTTCAATTTGTGGAACTCCTCTTGGTGATGGTGGAATACCAGTTAATTCAAATTTACCTAATCTATTATTATCTTTAGCTAAAGCTCTTTCACCTTCATAAACTTGAATTAAAACAGTTGGTTGATTATCAGCAGCAGTTGAGAAAATTTGAGATTTTTTAGTTGGAATAGCAGTATTTCTATTAATTAAAGTAGTCATAACACCACCAGTGGTTTCAATACCTAAAGTTAAAGGATTAACATCTAATAAAACAATATCATCAACCCCTTCTTCACCAGATAAAACACCAGCTTGAACAGCAGCACCATAAGCAACAGCTTCATCTGGATTAATACCTTTAGAAGCTTTTTTACCATCGAAATATTTTTCCAATAATTCTTGAACTTTTGGAATTCTAGTAGAACCACCAACTAAAACAATATCATCAATTTCAGATTTTTTAACACCAGCATCTTTTAAAACTCTTTCAACTGGAGTTAAAGTCTTTTTAAATGAATCAATATTTAATTCTTCAAATTTAGCTCTTGAAATAGTTTCAGAGAAATCAATACCATCAAAGAATGAATCAATTTCAACTCTGGCACTCATTTGAGATGAAAGAGTTCTCTTGGCTTTTTCAGCTTCTCTCTTTAATTTAGCAATGGCTCTTGCATTATTAGAAATATCAACACCATGTTTCTTATTAAAAAGTTTAGTGAAATGTCTAACTAATTTAAAATCAAAATCTTCACCACCTAAATGAGTATCACCAGCAGTTGCTAAAACTTCAAAAACTCCACCTTCAATAGATAATAAAGAAACATCAAAAGTACCACCACCTAAATCATAAACAATGATTTGTTTTTCACCATCAGTTTTATCTAACCCATAAGCAATGGCAGCAGCAGTTGGTTCATTAACAATTCTTAAAACATTAAGACCAGCAATGGTACCAGCATCTTTAGTAGCTTGTCTTTGAGCATCATTAAAATAAGCTGGAACAGTAACAACAGCATGAGTAACTTTTTTACCTAAATATTCTTCAGCAATTGATTTCATTTTACCTAAAATCATACCAGAAATTTCTTCAGGTGAAAAAGTTTTTGATTCACCTTTAAAATCAATTTTAACCACTGGTTTACCATCTCTTTTATCAATGGCAAATGGTAAATGTTTAATTTCTTTTTGAACAGTTTTATCATTATATTTTAAACCTATTAATCTTTTAATATCAAAAATAGTATTTTCAGTATTGGAAGCAGCTTGATTTTTAGCAGCATCACCAATTAATCTTTCATCTTCAGTAAAGGCAACATATGATGGAGTAATTCTATTACCTTGATCATTAGCTAAGATTTCAACCTTACCATTTTTCATAACACCCACACATGAATAAGTAGTACCTAAATCAATACCAATAACAGTACCATAACTTTCAGTTGAATCATCATCAGAAGCAGCAGCAAGAGCTACTGGACTCTTAGCAAAGAGTAATGGTAGTACGAGACCTATAAGTACGTAAAGAAGACATACGCTTGGCACCCATTGGGATGAACCTCTCATGAATTTGACCATGACTAGTTGATTCCTTTAATTATACAAAACTCTTTCTTTCTGGGTTTGAGGGGGGGAAATAACTTAATAATACACGCTTAACACAAAATTTCTATTGATTTAACTTCTGTAGGAGATACAAAGTTCTATTAAATGAAATCGATTGATTGAATTGTGTCTTGAAGAACTTAATACCAGATAAAAATCCTAAAAACTTTGAAGGTTTATAAAGGATTGAATTGATTTAATCAGAAGGTAAATCTGGTCTTTATATTTCCCAGAAATATTTCACTTACTTTGTAAATGACAACGCAAAAATTACGTTGAAAAAAAATAACAATTAGGTGGGGCCTGCATACAATATCTAGTAGAAACTCTTAGAAAATTCTTTCATTGACGTGTCCATTTTTTAAAATTGTCATTCTTGTTTGCCGCCGTTTGGGATTTTATTTTTTTGGTCACGTTGCATTTGTAACGTGCCAGTAACCAGTAAAAGAATCGAAAGATTTAAAACCTTCTTTTACAGGTTGAATTCAGGCGATGATGTCTTGTCCGACATCATTACCATTACCAAAAAAATGTCGTATTATCTCCCTTACAATTTCACCCTTTTTTCCCTATGGGTTGGTTCAACAATCATTTTCTCCCCTTTTAAAATTAAAAATACATCTTCAACTCAATTTATGGATAAATTCAGTGTTGAATCAAAAAGGCAACATTAATCAATTAGCAAGACCATTCTATCGCATCTGATTCAATCAATCGTAATCGAATCTAATCCAATCAAATCAAATCAATTTCACTTATTCTCACTCATTTAAGGTTTAAGTTGTAACTTGTTCCCTCCCGTCCCCGTCCCCCTTTCTTTCAAACTCTGTTATTGGTAATCTTTATCGCATCAACAATAAAAAGGTCAATCCATTTACAATCTATATCCAATTGATCAAGTTTAATTACCTCAATCAACTTCATTTGTAATCGTATAGTTGAAAGACACTCATCCCATCATAACTCTCATATCATCACATTCACCATGGCACAACCATTTATAACGGATGAATTGAATAAATTACAGAAGGAAATTGCTGCCAAAAATCCTAATGATATCTTACAATTCTGTGCCAACTATTTTAATACAAAATTACAAAGTCAAAGATCACAATTATGGTTACAACAAGCTAAGGCTAAAGATGCTGGAATTGATTTATTCCCTAATACTGGAAATGGTGATGTAAGGCAACCAAGTTTTAAATCTCCTTTTGGTGTTAATGATCCTCATCTGATTCATAGTGATGATCCTCATGGTCCAATTGCAGAAGAAAATGAAGATGAACCTGCTGTTGCATCAAAAGGTGGCATATTCAAAAATGATTTTGATGTTAAAACTCCTTCAAGTTCATCTCAAGTTCAAGATTTAGATCCAAATGATCCATCAGCTATTACTTCTAAACAGCCATCTACAACTTCATCAACCACAGCTGCCCCTAAATTCCCCCTTCCATCTAACAAAATCCCTATTGCGTTTAATGCTAATAGAAGAGTTTCTGTATCTGCTGAAGCTTTAAATCCTGATAAATTCAAATCTGAATCTTGGAAACCTCCTGTTAACAATTTAAGTTCAACTCAAAAGGCTGCTTTATCAAAGAGTTTAGCATCAAATTTCCTCTTTAAACAACTAGATGATAGTTCAAAAAAGATAGTAATTGCTGCTTTATCAAGTAAATCATTTGTTAAAGATACTGAAATCATTAAACAAGGTGATGAAGGTGATTTCTTTTATATTATTGAATCTGGTACTGTTGATTTTTATGTTGATGGTTCTAAAGTTAATACTAGTCATGAAGGCTCTTCATTTGGTGAATTAGCTTTAATGTATAATTCTCCAAGAGCTGCTACTGCCATTGCTGCAACTGATGTATCATGTTGGGCATTGGATCGTTTAACTTTCCGTCGTATCTTATTAGAGGGTACATTTAACAGAAGATTGATGTATGAAGACTTTTTAAAGGATGTTGAAGTTCTTAAAGCTTTATCTCATCAAGAAAGATCTAAATTGGCTGATGCTTTAAGTACTGAAATTTATCATAAAGGTGATAAAATAGTTACCGAAGGAGAACAAGGTGAAAACTTTTATCTTATTGAAAGTGGAAGTTGTCAAGTTCATAATACTAAAAATGGTAATATTAAGAAATTATCAAAGGGAGATTACTTTGGTGAAATTGCATTATTAAATGATTTACCTAGACAAGCTACAGTTGAAGCTTTAGATACTGTAGTGGTTGCAACATTAGGTAAATCTGGATTCCAAAGATTATTGGGTCCTGCAGTTGATGTTTTAAAACAACAAGATCCTACCAAAGGTGGATCAACCGTTGCTGTTAAGTAAATATCATCACCATCGTCATGTTCTTAACTCACTTTCATGTTTCAATCATATCAGTTTTTAAAATTTGTCTTTTTAGTTGTCTCCTACACTCACAGTTTTTGTTTTAATTTGATTATTATTATTTTATCATCCTTAGTATGTTTTTTTTATTACAGTTATGTTATGGTTACCTCATATATACCAAGAGATCTTTTTTGTTAACTCTCTTTACTTTTTTTTTCTTATTAAATTTGAATTTTACAATTTTTATTTACATTTAGTTATCTGAAACTTTTATTAATTAAATATTTTAACGTATAATGAAAAACTTTTAAAAATATTCAGGTGTAATGGTTTAAATCGCCAAAAAAATAGGTACCCGTATTTTTGTTTTTATTTTTATACGATCGCAACGAAAAATTCATTTATAAATAAATTAACCACCACTTTATTATTGATTTACATCATATCAACAAAGAATCATATCCATGGCAATGATTCCTTTATTCCAATCAATCTTACCCAATACTACCCCTCAAGGTGGTAACTTACCATACTGGTTACTTTTCATATCGGTAGTATCAATCTTTAACTCCCTTCAAACCTATCAATCCAAAGATTTGCAATTGACAAAAAGAGTTTATGAAAATGAAGCTAATAAAGCTAATCATAAAGTTCCTCAAGTTACGGGTTTAAGTGCTAGAACATTCGGTACCTGGACTTTAATCACGTCGATTGTTAGATTCTATGGTGCTTATTATTTACAAAATAAGCAAATTTATGAATTGGTCCAATTTTCATTCTTAGTCGCTGGTCTTCATTTTATAAGTGAATGGCTCGTTTATAAAACTTGTAAACTTGGAAAGGGATTTGCTGGTCCTTTGGTCGTTAGTAGTATCAGTACCATCTGGATGTATACCCAAAAGGATTTTTATGTCAATTGAGTTAACTTGATTTAGGTCCTAGTGTTTACTATATGAATTCAATTTAGTTAGATAATCTTGGAATAAACATTAAACTAAGTATATCATACAGTTGCTTTAATACATGATTTTGTAATCATAAAATCAAGCATATATATTACTAATGACGTTCTAGTACTTTCGTGTGTTTTGGTGTAGTTGATAAGCTAATCTCATATTTGTATCAGTTTTGTAGAATTTAGGATACAAACGGAAACCATAATATAACTTCCAGTTCCATTCAATCATTAAGTAATAGCGAAGTAAAAACTATTTGAGAATATTTAAATAATTAGAAATTGTATCTTCTTGCAAATTTCTTCTATAATTAAATTTACGTTTGAATATTAAAAATTAATTGCATTTTTCTGCAAATTCTTTCAATATTTCAGGAAGAAGGTTACCTAAAAATACCAGAGATTAATGACCCAATTCTTCATTTAACTACCCAAACATATATTTATTAGTATTTTAATCAATATCACAAACCAATTAGTTCAATACTGTTATGTACAATATTGTTTGGATAACGTTAATTAACTGATCATAGACATCAAAAATCTCAGCGCTACCAATATAATTCACTTTCTTATTTCTCTTTCAAAATTGATTCCTTTTACGAATTAATCAGCTGAATCTATAAATTGGATGTTTATGAATAAGTTTAACAGTATTTAAGTCAATTATATTATCTTATAGAGTAGTTAAATTAATTTTGAATGTGATCACGTGACTAACAAACTAACTTATTGTCATCAACATTCAAAATTTTCTTTGAAGTTAGTAGGCTCTATGGCCGAGTGGTTAAGGCGGCAGACTCAAGTTCTGCTATCGTAAAGATGCACGCGTTCGAACCGCGTTGGAGTCACTATCATTTTTTTTGCAATTTATTGTTAATTTTTAGTTTTATTACTTAATTATGTATATTATTATAATCATATCTTCATTATTTGACCTAACCTAACCTAGCTATTTAATGCATATCGTATAATAGTTTTATTTATTTGCGTTTTCAAATGATCTAAAGCAACAATTTGTTCAGTTATTAAACTTAATTGAGATACTTGTAAACCTTCAAGGGTATTATTATTTATGGATTTATTTTGTTTAAATGAATTTAATTTATTTGAAAGATAAACCACACTATTATTGATATCAATTAACTTTAATTTTTCATCTTGAGATAAGGATTGATTTCTGGCTGATGCAACGAAATTAATAATTCTTGCTATTCTATCTTGAAGATGATCGACGGTAGAGATTAATCCATCATTCACAGCAACGTAATTACCTACTAAATTTGAATCCTCATCATCATCATTTGACCCCTTTTGAATCACACTTCTATAATCTTTAAATTTTGCAACAGTGGAAGTGGCAATGAATTCACTTTCACTACTAATGATACCAGTTTTAATAGGATTGATTCCAAGATATCCTTGGAATGATTTTCCATTATTCAAAGCGTGTGAATCATAAGTAATAGATACTAATGGTACTTCTAATTGATTGTCTCCCAATAATAATTCTGCTAATTGAGTAAGAACTGAAGTGGTAGAATCATCAATTGATAAACTATCACCCTTTATATGATATATACCAATAAACGAATATTCAGGCAATACCACCTTGAATTGAGTATAACGTTTCAAGTTATATTCCACATCGATTTGATGTGGTTTGAAAAATAGAATTTCAAATGATGTATAAATGACTACTTTGCTTGAACTATATCTCCCAAGTAATACACCAAAGCGGGATCCTGAATCCAATGATGTGTTGGCAGAGATATTGAGTAACGCTATGGGATGTATTAGAATGGATTCAATGGTGCTCATTGTGATTGACCTTCAATTGATTGATTGGATATGTGTTTAATATATCCTTTACAGTTATCAATATTTCATTTTCTTTTTTTGGTCTCCAATTTTGAACTGTTTATTGCGTCACTACAACTAACAATAGAGAAGAATCATTACCACTAAATTGATTCATATATTATATTCATTAAGTAAACAAGGAGTACTCTATCCAAACAAGAAGCTATCCCATCTAGATATCATAATTGTATACTGTTAAACTGTTCATATATTGGAAGTAACCACCACATACACGTCTAAATTTAGAGGAGAGGAGACATTTTATTTTCAGATTTTTCAAAGTGCGGCTCAAAGAGAAGAAAGGAAAAAAAAATTAAATCATCTCTATTTTAGTAATTTGTAATGTGATACTTTTCATCAGGTGAAGAAGGAACCATATAACCATACAAGTTTGAAGAATAGAGTGATAACTGGCATCAAAGATCATCAATACAAAAGTCCACCAAAGTATCACATTGAACTGTTTTTATATGATTTCCTGTTTGAATCACTATACCAACATAATAAAAAAATGATAATGTCCTTACAAGAACCCCCTTTGGATAGAAAACGATCTATCCCTTCATCTAGTTCCCAACTGGAAAGAATACCGACCAAAAGAATGAAAAGTGAATCATCCATCACAGATGATCAATCTACCAACAAAGATGCCTTTTCAGAAAAGATGTATCAAACCTTTGTTAAATCAGCTTTCGATGCCCTTGATAAAGTAAGTATCAAATATTTTTTTAAAAAAGAGATATAGTATATTTTATGATTATAAAGGAGTTCAAAAGTACTAACAAACCATCCCTCTTATTCTAGAACGATCCCATTCAGATAAATACATTGACAGAAAGAATCAATATACCAATATCCCATAGAGAAGCTCTTCCTCTTAAACATTTTAATATAGTTCTTCATAATTCCATATCTAGTATATCAAAATTAGATAATAAATCATCTCAACATTTGATTTCTGCCATTTTAAACTATAAATGGTTGGAAATAAATCAAATCGATGATCCATTTGCATATTCAACATTCACTGAATTATATTCTCATTTCTTAAGTGTTTTGGTATCTTCATTACCAAAATATTTACATGATGTTATTAATAAATTAATAAATGAATTTAATAATTTCGATCCCTTTAAAAATGAAAAACAATCAATCATTATAAATCATCATCAAATCTTAGCTAAAATCATAAGATATATACCCACCTGCATTAATAGTTTTCCATCTGGTTTACAAAAACATTTCCCTCATCATTTATCTTCATCAACCAAAGAATTAACCAATTATATTAATAACTTAATGGCATTAATCGATTATTGTCCTGAACTTCAATATAGTGCATGGAGACTCATAATTGAATGTTGTATTAAACTTGATGTTGAATTACAAAATGAATTAGATGATTTGGATGATGATGAAATTGAAGAATTACTTAATGAAGATATCGAAGAAGATATTGAAGAAGGTGATAGTGTTGCGGATGTGACAATTAATCAAGTTAACAATGAAGAAGATGAAGATAATGAACAAGATATGGAATACATTGTAGATCCAATGAATTCAACTACTAATATTAAACTTTTACTGTCAAAATTAGATTCAATTATAAATATTTTATTAACAAAAACATCTAATTCTTTCACGGTTGAAAAATTGGATAATGGAAGTGGTATAACTTTATTTAACAGCATCACATCATTATTTAGATCCCATATCTTACCAACTCATTTCACCAAACTGACACAATTTATCTTATTCCATATTACTCAATATCAACCAGAATTGGCTGATTCATATTTAGTCATGTTGATTGACGTAGCATTCAATCCTAATGAAGTGTTGGAAAAAAGATTAAAATCAATGCAATATATCTCATCTTATATTGCCAGAGCTAAAAATTTATCAAGACATCAAGTTGTTTTCATAGTAAGTTATTTAATTGGATGGCTTAATAAATATATCATTGAACGTGAGAATGAAATTGCTGATTCTCAAGATCGTATGAATTTATCATCATTAATGGAATTTAATACATCAAGACAAGTTGGTGGGATGGAACGATTTAAATTATTTTATGCTGCTTTCCAAGCTTTGATTTATATATTTTGTTTCAGACATAAATTATTATACAAGAGTTTTGAAACCAATGAATCATCAACTTCAACTTCAACCACCACCAATGCCATTCCAACTTCCAATACTGGTGATTCAGAATGGGAATGTGATTTAGATAAATTCTTTCAACGAGTTATCTTATCAAAATTTAATCCTTTGAAATTTTGTGATGAAACTGTTGCTTATATCTTCGCCAAAATCGCTACCAAATTGAATGTATGTTATTGTTATTCAATTATTGAACATAATAAAAGAGAAAGAATGTTACAAGCGGTAAGTAGCTCAAACAATGAATCGAAAACTCAAAGTATGTTACCATCAGCTGTTGGAAATTTCAGACAAAAACAAGAATTTTTGGATTTGGAAGCTTATTTCCCATTCGATCCTTTGGTCTTACCTTTATCAAAAGCGATTGTGAGTAAATGGTATGTGGATTGGTCTGCTGTTAATCCAAGTAATGGAGAAGATGATGATGAAGATAGTGGTAGTGCTAGCAGTCATCATGAAGATGAAGGTCTTGAAGATGATAGCGAAGAAGATGATGACGATGAGGATGATGACGAAGATGTTTCCTCAAGTTCAGACAGCGAAGATGAAGAAGCGTAAGCAGGAGAAAGACGAATATATAGTATATTTTAGTTCACCTTATAGTTACAGTTACAGTTACAGTTAATGTTCAAATATATAGTTAATAGATCATTTTTAAGATTTAATAAGTTAATAATGTTTGTAAAAAGTATTGATAGATAAAAATAAAAAAAGTTGCAAAAAAATATAATGAAGGATGCGAGGTTCGAACTCGCGCGGACACCGTCCAACAGATCTTAAGTCTGCCGCCTTAGACCACTCGGCCAACCCTCCAGATATTATAAATTCTAAATTTTGAAAATGGAAGGGCCTCCGTCTATATCACATGATCAAAAAGCACGTGAAAAACATTTATACAAAAAAAAAAGTTTATTTTTCAAATTAGATTCGAAAAAGTTGCAAAAATATGTTGGCGTTCAATTGCTTTCAACAATCGAACCACATTACACTGCAACATGAACGCCTGATGATAATTATGGGTAAGTAAATACGAATTTCACCAATAACAGATCATAAAACCCACTCATCGACGAGGAATGAGGACGTCATCCAAGAAATTTTGTTATAAAATATATATTTATAATTGAAAATTAGATCTATACAGTGGTAATGATAATGAGAAGTTAAACGCTTCGTTATATATAAAAAAAAAGGGAAAATAAAGAAAGAATGGTAATTGGCATGCAAGTTAGGTAACCGTGAAATTAGAAATACAAAATATATGAATTGACTTCCATAATAACTAGTATAGCGAGGGAATAGGAATATCTTTCTATGGCCTTTTTTTTCAACCAAAATGTTATTTGTCTATATGTGGAAATGATGAGATTTTTTTTAAATGTTTTTGTGATTTTTGATGTTTTGATGTTTTGATGTTTTGATGATGTTCTATTCCATTATTACACCGATGACGATTCCAAGAATTCAACTTGTTCTTTAATTTGTTTACAAATTTCTTTACGGTCATCACTATCCCATTCTGGAACGTTTCTAACTTGTAAATTTGGAACTTCACAATAAATCCATTTCATATTTTTAAATAAAGTTAATTCGAAATCATAACCTTGTAATTCTCTTGGTAAATCTTTTCCATATAATCTTCTTCTTGTACCATTACCATTTTTACAACCTCTACCATTTGCATTTCTAAGGAATAAATCAACAAGATCTAATTTAGGCCAATTAGCATGTAAGATAAATAAATTTGATGATTTAAACAAATGGAAATTATAATTATTTTTATCACCATCTTGATCATTATTTGCATAAGTTGGTTTTTCATCATTATAATAATCAATATCATCATCATGAACAGTAGTTTTATCATTAACATCAATATTTTTATATAAATCTCTTGCCTTTGGATCAAAAGTTCGAAGATCACCTTCTTTTTCATCTTCTTTAGATTGAATATAATCAACAATAGGGTCATATTGACCCATAGCAAACACTTCATGACGACGAATACTAGTCAAAGTACCGAATTCACGATTAAATTCACGAACTTGATAATAAGGTAATCCTAATTTATGAGCAGCTGCTAAAAATGTTTCTTTATCACCTTCACCAGCTGCACCTTGACTAAATAATGGATAAAAGTAATCAGGACCAAAATAATTATAATACATTGATAATACTAAAGTTTTAAAATGAACTCTTTTGTTAATTAAAAATTGACCCGTTTCAGATGATGGATCAGGCATAGCACCTTCACAATCATGCATTGAATATTGATCTTTTCCAGCAAGTGTACCTCTTTTATCACCTGGGAAATAACTATTTCTAACTCTTTTTTCATAATTAACTTTTATATCAGCAATTTCATAAAAGAGAGGAGAAGTTGATCTTCTCCAAAGATCAGGCCAAACCACCATATGATTATTTATAAATGGTTTATTTATGAATAATACATCAGGATTTTTAATAGGAATACTATCGGAATCCAAATAAAGAATATTTTCAAATGAACTAATTAATAAAGCGACATTTTTTAATTGGAAACCTTTAATTTCATTAACAATATCATGAGGAATATATTGAGTCATGATTTTACATCTTCCACCTAAAATTGGTAAAAGATTATTACAAAATTCAAAATCATAATCTGATTCATATGGAATAATGACTTCAACGGGTAATTTTGAACCATTTGATCTTAAAGTTTTAATGGCAGTTAAAGTTAATTGATCATATTTCCCACCACTTAAAAACACATAACCATCACCTTTCATAAAATCATTAAATTTATTATATTTATTAACTAAATCATGAGGCCAATCATTTGCCATTTTTTCCATAAATTTATTATGAGACCCCGTTAATGAAGTAATTTCTTCTTTTGATAATCTTAAGAAATTACCTAAATAATCTTTAGTACGAATAGGATCTTCTAAATATTGTTCTCTTAAATGACCACCATAAACTGGAGCTCTACCATCTTTATTAGGATATTTATTTTCAGTTCTTGAATCAGCATAATGAGCATCATTATTAATGGGACTAACTGAAGGTTTTGAATCTTTAAGATCAGCAAATAAATCAGTGAAAAATTTTTTAAATAAAAAGATAAATCTTGATTCATATTCTGTTTTTTCCATATAAGTGGTATTTAAAAAAGTTTCAAAATCTTCGGTCATTTCAGAAATTAAAACTTTATAATCATAACCATTAATTAATTTAATATTATATTTAATTGATTGAGATAAATCGGCATTATTGAATTTCCAATAATGACTGGCATCATCAGTTTCATCTAAAAGAGCTGAATCATATTGTTTTTGAGCCACAAGAAAGTTATTTCTTGTATCATGATGATAACCTTTTACGGAATATGATTGACCCAGAGAATCATAACGACTGAATTTAGAATTAGATGATGAATATAGTACATGGCCTGAACGAGAACCTGTTATTAGGATGATTAATGCCAATACTAGAAGACATATGAATAATACTCGTCTTTTACTATTGATTATCATATTTAGGGGTGGGATATTTCAAAAGATGGAAGGAAGGGGGTATAATAGTTATTAAATGATGTTATATGATGGGATAGGATGGGATGGGATGGATAAACAACCTTGGAAGAATGAAATGAAGTATATATAAAAGTAATAAGAAGAATTGTTTTTCTTAAAAGCCAAGGGATGAAATTCACCACGATAAAAATTTCAAGATAATGATGATCTAAAACGACAACTTATGAAGCTTGTGAAGCTGGACGATGAATACTATCAATGTAAGGATTAGAACGAAAGTCTTCACCAATGGAATCTATAAACGTAACCTCTACTTAAACACCAAACCAACACAGTTATTTTCAATAAAAATAACAACGGCACGATCAACAAAATTGATGTGATTATCTTTTTTTTTTTTGATTAAAAATTATTTTTCGAGATTTAAAAAATGGGAGGAGTCGTGCAAAATATGACAAGAAATGTTTAACTTTAAATTGTCTGTCTGTCTGATTCTTTTTGGATTGTTTTTTTTATTTTTATTTTTATTTTTTTATTTTTTATTTTTAAATTGTCTGTCTGATTGTTTGTTTGTATGTTTGTTTGTCAATTGCGAACAATGTCAGATTTTGGTACCTCACACAGGATGGAACAAAACAATGCGTCTGTTTGCAACGGGGGGTGGAGCAAGGGGGAGAATGATGAAGGCTAAAAATGTTAATAATGATAATAATCAATATATAAGTTTACGATTATTGTATTATGGTTAATCAATTAACAACTTTAATTTGGTTTGATGGGGTTCGTCTTTACTTGTTTAATGAGGTAAGCTGAAGCCACCAAAATTTGATTCGTAAGTTATAAAAAAAAAAATTGGGTGATGAATTACGTAACTGTGAACGTTTTGCAACAGTAAGTAGAATTATGAGGCGTGGATGGATTTTAATTAATTACTGATATAATCTAATGAATGGTAACTAATGAATTAGTAACCTAAATTGAATCAATCAATTGATTCAATTGATATTCGTGTTGTTTTGTGGTGTAAGGGTTGGGGGTAAGTTGCGTCTAGAGAATGAATTGTGGGTGCTAGTTTAACCGGTATCGATGTTTTAAGGTTTTTCTAATACTTATCTTTAGTGTTTAATCTTAATCAATCAATCAATCAATCAATCAATTTAATTGATTGAGTTTAATTGATTATCAATAGAGTTTTAGGTTTAACTTAGTCAAAGACTAATGAGAAGTCATTTGGTTGCCTAATTTGTAGGAAGAAGAAATTAAACCATTTGGATGTGTGAAACTGTCTGTCTGTCCACGCACACACACACAGATTCAGACAGATTCACACACCAAATTGAAACGCGTCACCAAAATTCTTCTTTTTGAAAACAGACACGCAAAGTTGTTTACAGAATAAGACAAAAAATATGAGATCGCACAGGAAGACCATCCAAAAGAAGACAAAACTTCAGATTCAACCACAAAAAAATAAAAATTAAAAAAAATGTCCAGACAAAGATCTTGGTGATTCACCATGCGACAAATTAAGTAATCCATCACACGATCATTAATAAATGAATAAATGAATAGTTTATTAACTGTCTATATAAACTAACTAGCTAATCCATAGATATATTATCAATATCATTGAATTCATCATAAATATCAAAAATACTCGAAAGGGTAGACTCTCCACATACCTTTGAATTATTTTCTATCGTATTAGTAGTGGTAATATTAGTAGTGGTCGAGTCTAATGCCAAGGTTGTTGGCACTAAAGAATCAGCAAATAATTCATTTTTCCCACTGAATTGAAACACTAAATCAATCCATTGTTGATCAATTTGTAAATCAAATCCATTGTTAGGACTATTTGTTATATTACTACTAGAAATTAAACTGCCATTATTTATTGATTCATTCAGTTCTTCCGTTACCTTTTGGTTGATATCTACTTTTTCAACTTGAATGGGATATATTTCTTGCTGTTTCCTTTGTTGTTCATCTTCTTCTTGTTCAATTCGTTTCAAACTATACTCTATAATCCCTTGTAATTCTCGAATTTGATAATCATTATATCTCATCCCCCCATTATTTTCTTGTTTCTGTTTTTGTTGCAAAAAAAATTTCTCAAATTTATCACTATTGGTAATATAATAAAAATATCTATGACCTTTGGTAATCTTCCAACTATAATAATATCGTGTACTTAAATTATCTAAAATCTCCACAAATATAATATAATTTTTAAACATAGTATCTCTTAATTCTTTATATGAATCATCACCTTTAAATTTAATATGTAATGATAATAAAATTTGACTTGATTTATGAATAACTCCTTGTAAAGTAGGATTATAAAGAAAATCACTTCTTAATACTTTATTAAATACCAATTTCTTATAAAATGGTATTAATTCATTAATATAAATTATCGTTTTTTTTAAATAAAAAAAACTAATATTTAAATTAATATCTTCATAAAATAAATAAATATAATAATATATCGTGGTAATGAAATTTATAACTGATAAATATAATTTAACATGATAAATTCGTTTAAAATTCTTAATTCCATCTAATTCTTCTTTTTCAAATCCTGTTAATAAATATTGAAATAATTCTTTAAAATATTCCAGAACATCAATTTCAAATTGATTCAATTGTTCAATCAATCTCACTAATTGATATCCATCACTATTTGTAACAAAATCAGACATCGCTTTCATTGATCCATAAAATTTATATGATTTAGAATAAATCCCATTAAAGATATCTTGTTCATGATTAAAATTTTTTAAATTCGATTGTAATTCTGAAGTTACGGGAAATGGTTTCTTAGTATCAGCATTCACAGCATTAATCCGAGATGGATTACCAAATACTAAACTATTATGAATATCAGCCATAACTATAAAATGCCAAATTTTTCTTCTTAAACTTTTTTCACTATTAGATAATTTAATAGATTCAGGAAAGGTATCAGGATCTTGATTGATTTTTAAAGTTAATGCCAATTCAATTAATTGTTTATTATAATCAATGGCATCTTTTCTATATCCATCTTCAGGTGAAATACGAATATAATATCTTAAATAGAATAAAAATTGAACCACAATTAAATTCTCATATTTTATCTCATAAAGAATTTTAAATAAACATTCTCGACTTAATGATACATGATCTAAATTAATTGGTTTTTCAAATAATTCCTTTTCTTGTTCAATGAATTGTCGATTATAATCATGATTATTTCTTAAAAATGATAAAAATGATAATCTTAAAATAATTAATAATATCCCTATTATACATAAATCATAATTAAAATCAGTAAATTTAAGATCAATGATTTTATTAGTAGTATTATCAAACTTAATAATCTTTTTAATATCATTTCGGAATATAGTTTCATCAACAAATGGCATTATAGGATAATTAAATTCAAAATATTGATCAATCAATCTTAATACCACATTATAATTAGGTAATGATGAGATTAATCTTGTTTTTAAATCAACATCAAAATCAACACCTTCAATCGGTTTCAGAACCACAGTATCTTTCAATATTAAACTATAATTTAAATCAAATTTCTTCTTCCCATGACTTAAATCAACTTCAGGACAACTTATATCATCTAATTTTGTTTTATCTAATTTAAGAAATTCCAATACTAATCGTAATTGAGGATCACTCATCATTAACACTGACCAACTAAACGGACATGATTTAGAATATTTATATGATGTGACAGTTTCTTCAAATGTTAAAACGGGGTTTACTCCAATAAATGAAGTTAAAATACTTGATCCATTAGCTATAGGTATGACAGATGCAATATTAGAATTTGAGATGGTAGCATTGGTCAATGAGTGAGATGGTATCGGTGTGCCTGATCCATTGGTGTATGATGCAGTTGATGAAGATGTAGTTGACTTCCAATTTATTGGAGGTAATTTAATAGGAACTACTTGAGTAGACATGAAAGATGTAGTTGTATTACTAGTTGGTACCATTGGTGATGGAAGAGTGATTGGTAATGGTATTGAAGGAGGAACTAATTCATTTGAACTGGCTGGTATTATATTATTTATTGATTCTAAATGTTTGATTCTATCCTTTAATCTTTCCAATTCTTGTTTGTAAACATCTATAATTTTAGAATCTTCATGTTCATGTTTATGTTCATGTTCATGTTCATGACCATTTGCATTAACTTTTACTTTCTTCTTATCTTTATGTTTAGGATGATGGTCTACATTATTATCAAGTACAATAGGACGACGAGCACTTGAAATATATGGAAGTGAGGGCGATAATGAGTTATTATGATTATTTTGATTATCATTAGTTGAAGTATTATCATTAGCATCACCATTCAGACTATCGGTACCTTTCTTAGGCCATGTATCATGATAAGCACAAGAATGACTTATATTTGACTTTAAACATGAATCACATGGTAATTGTTTATTACATCTTATTTTTCTCTTTTTGCAGTTATCACAAACTAGAGTTAATCTTCGTCTTTTCTTAGTTAATTTATCATCTTTATTATTAATAGATACTTTTGACTTCAGAGGTGGTTTCAACGTTGTAATTGGTTTTTGAGCTCGAAACGTATTGATTTGAAAGTTCATGTTTTCATAATTATGGAGATTTATATCTATTTTAAAGTATTAAATAGATTTGATATGATATGAAAGGGGAATGAAAGTGATGTAAATAATAAATGTCTACCCCTTCAAACTGATTCTAGTTAAGATGATAATGATTAAATATAATAAATGGAAAAACACAACACTAATAAATATAATTTCAAATGTAAATATATGGCAAATAGAGTTATATTTACAATAATTAACCGTATTCAACTATTTTAATTTACAATTGAAAATTGAAACTTAGTTTCGGGTTTAACCCATCGCGGAGATAGAACCTAACCCGAGAATGGAAAGAAGCGTGCGTAATTACCGGTGACAATCATGAAAACTAAATACTTAACCAGTAATTGTCATGGTAATTTTCATACTGTTGTTATCCATACAGAATGGATGATATATTATAATTGCCACTGTACTATTGGTAAAGTGGAGTATAGTTTTAACGATACCCGAATGTAAGTTCAAAGCCATCATTTAATTATTGTAGTGTTAGTGTTAGTATTGGCTGTAAAAAAATATATCTATATATAATTAGGAACATTATTAGCCTTCAAATCATTACGTTACGTAGCATAGAATAATGGTGACATAAAATCATATATGTCAATGGAGAGTATATATGCTTGAGGAGATAGATTGAAGAAAGTTGGATCCATGATTAATTAAAGTATGTAATGTCACAACTAAGAGATAGATTGGTTGTCTAAGAATTGTTAGTGTAAGCCTATATATAATTACCTTGTCAAATCAACCCTTAGGTCTTGTCACATGATATACCATCAATTGATTGTCATGTATTCCATTATCAAACTAATTGATTGATTGATTGATTGATTAGATAGATAGATTACTTTATGATGATGATGAAGTTATGGGTTTGGCTGTAAATAATTAATTATTGGTATCGTGACAGTTGTTAACTAAAATCCTCACTTGTGATTATATACAGGAAATATCTCAATGTTATCATCAAAAATAAATAAAGGGAACCAACCAAAAATATAAAATCCATAACAAGGCTGTAAATGATATAAAGGGTATTATAGAAGTTAGGAATAGATCAAAGTATCATTATATAGATTGAAGGACTTGACAACTTCATTGGTCAGTCTCATACATTACTCAATTACATACTAAAACTGATAGAAAATTAGCCGATAAAGTTAGAAGGCAACTCATCTCCCCACACCGTCACCGACACGTACAACTCTCCCCAGTTATAGATAATCATGGATTCAAATGATCATTTATTTGGAGATATAGAACAGGATAACAATCCGTCGTTCTATGGGAATCCTTCCATGATCCATGATCCTTATGGGAATCAAAGAGATGATACCATTGACGATCATCCTGATAGTGCCAACACATTTGTAAATATCCCACCTCCACCTTCAAATGGGGGTCATTCATCAACTACTCCATCAGAATTCTCAGATTCAATCATTTCAAATCCTCCTCCTTACCAACCTTCCAAACATCCTCAATTTATACCCCAACCTAATGATTTAGTCAATAATACCATTGATCTTTCTAATAAAATAAAACTGTTATTAAATGATCCTCATGTTGAAATTCATATTCTTTCCAGTGAAAGGTTAGTTAATTCATCAGTCATTGTTTATACCGTTCAATTATTATTACCCAAGACTAAGGATTCTATTATTGTTAAACGAAGATATAGTGAATTCAAATCCTTAAGAGATAATTTAAATAAATTATTTCCAACTATAATCATACCCCCAATTCCAGAAAAACATTCACTTTTATCATATTTAATCAATTCTATTAATAATTCTCATGAAATTGATATCATTGAAATGAGAAAAAGATATTTTAAAACATTTTTAACTGAAGTTGTATTCAATTCTTCTGAAAAATTAAGAAATTGTTTATTATTACATAAATTCTTTGATCCAAATTATGAATTAGGTTGGTATAATGCATTGAATGAACCACCGGTTAGTCTCATTCCTAATAATTTATTATTAGCCAACCCTTTAAATACCATTGATCAAAATGGGTTATATTCATTATTACCATTAGTTAATGGATTTGAATTTGATTCAAGTATTGATAATTTAAGTTCATTAAAAAAAATTAATGATGATTGGAAAAAATTAAATGATCAAATTAAATTATTTGAATATAAAACTAAAACACCTCCATCTCCAACTGAATCTAAAAGTTTTATTGAAATTCCTCAAAATTTAATTCAATTTGAAATTAAAGTTCATAATATTATTAAAATCTTACAAGATTTAAATAAGATAAATGCAAGATCAGTTAAGAATTATAAAATCATCATTAATAATTTAATTGAATTAGGAGGGAATTTAAATAATTTCTCACTTCAAATATTTGAATCATCATCTCATATTTCATCTATTACCACTTCAAATGATAATAATAATTTAAGTCTTGCAATTGAAAAATTTGGTTCAACCATTGATAGTAATTTCCTTTCCATTGAGAATTTCATTATGAATCAATTAATTCCTGAATGGCAAGAACCAATTCATCAATTAACTCAACATTATATTGCCAGTTTAAATCTAATCAAGTTTTATAAATATAAAATCATTCAATTTAAAATCTTATATAAATTGAAATTTAATAAGTTTCAAGAGATTTTAAATTTAACTAATATGCCATCTATCAGTACTGATACCACCACTAATCTTAATATTAATGAAAATGGACCTGTAATGACGGATGCCAATGGGAATCTTGATCATTTAAAGGATCTTCAAAGTCCATCACTTTCCAATGCCTTACAACGTCTTGAAGTTAGAAAAAAAAGAGGTAAATTATCGAATAAGAAATCATGGTATGGATTATTTGGAGGTAATAAACCTTATAATTTCAGTTTACCTCCTGAATCAGCCACCACTACTTCATCATCCCAATCATCACCTCCAAGAGGAAATAACAATAGTGCTGATAGAAGTAATGCTGAAACTATCAATAACCAATACAAGTTAAAATTGAATCAAATTGAAAAAGAGTTGGATAAATTGAATCAATTGGTGATTCTTTGTGATCAAGATATGGTTAATTTAACTACTGAATTAACCACTACATTCACGTTATTCTTAAAGGATTTGGAAGCCAGATGGCTTAAATTAATGATTAATTACATAAAGAACGGTAAGTCTCTCTTCCAAGATAATCTTGCTAATTGGCAAGAGTTTAAGCAATTTCTAGTTAATAATTAAATAGGTACTTCGTTGATATATATATATATAAATTTTCATATAAATAATTTTGGGCATTTGCACACGACTTGTTTTGTGTTGGAAATCTCACTGGCAAAATAAATTTAAGGTGGCAATCAATCACCAATTGATCAATCAAGATTGAAGACGACGACACATATCAATAAGAAGAACAGGAGCAATGTCACCAATGGATATAGATAACGATGTGTCAACTTTGTTGGCGAGTATCAGACAAGAAATAGAATCTCTGGAACTCATTAATATACTTTATGAATTGGAAGATTTCTATGAAAGAAAGTTATGGCATCAGTTAACGTTAAAATTGGATGAGTTTTATTATGGAGATTATGTTGAAATCACCAATGATTTGAAAGCTAAGATCAATAACTTATTCATAAGTCAATTCTCATCTAAATTGAATCCAATTAAAGTGGTTGATTTTTGTTTGGAGAGTTTTAATGGTAAACCAAAGGAAACTTTAGATCATTTATTAGATTTAAAAGCTCAATTCATCAATTCTATTAAAAAGGAAAACAATATAAGAGAAGATGATGATGAAGAATTAAAGAATTTGGTGGATAATGATGAATCAATCATTTATGTTGATTTACAAGCTGCTCGTTATTATGTATTATTAGCTGATATAAATAAAGCTGAAGAAATTTTAAATAAATTAAATGAAAAGTTTGATACTAATGATACTATTAATAACTTTGATAATCCAAAATTGAATGCTGCTTTTTATTTAACTAAATGTGAATTATATAAAGAGACTGAAAATTATAATTCTTATTATTTGAATGCATTATTATATTTATCATCAGTGGAAAATAATTTAAAAGATAATGATAAACTTGAATTATGTTATGAAATATGTATTGCTGCTTTATTAGGTGATAAGATTTATAACTTTGGAGAATTAATCTTACATGATATTCTTAATGTTATAAGTGAAGAATCAAGTTCATATTTCTGGTTATATAATTTAATTCAAAATTTAAATTCAGGTAATATACTGGAATTTGATAAATGGTTAGCTATTGCATATAAGAAATCTCCATTCTTAGTTAAATTTGAAGTATTTTTAAAACAAAAAATCATTATAATGTCCTTATTAGAATTAATTTCCATCAAATCAACTACCAATAAACATTTAAGTTTTCAAGAAATCTCAGGGTTTACAGGTACACCAGTCAATGATGTGGAACATTTGATTATTAAATGTTTCTCGTTAGATTTAATCAAAGGTTATATTAATCAAATCGATGAAGTATTAGTGGTTACATGGTTACAACCAAGAATTTTGAATTTAGATCAAGTTAAAGTCTTACATAACCATTTAATTGAATGGACTAGTCAACTTGACAAGTTGTCCCATGAAGTACATAAGAATGGTGGTTCTATATGGGCTAGTTAGAAGTAAGTAAACAAACAATAGTATTAATAAAATCACATATAAAGTAGTATACATCTATATCTATTTAATCTATTTTAGAATCAGTCATGTGACCATATAATGCGACATTTGATTCCAAATGTCGTAGCCATTTAGTAGTAGATGTCGCAGGTCATGAAAATTAAAGTGTCCTCTCCCCGTAACATTTCCAGTCTTTCCTTATACAATTTGAACTATTATAAACCCAATTAATAGACAGTATAGATAAGTGAATAAATAACTGGTTGATTATGAAAATTAGTTTGTTCTATTCCTTGCTTGCATTGTCTGCCATTGTGTTGGCTAATCAAGTTAAGTTTGATGATGGTCTTAACTCCCAAGTATGTTCAGGAATGTATGCCAAATCAGATTGGGGTGGATCCATAAAACCTCATATTGATTTAACGTTAAATCAATTTGCTGATGATAAATATAATGCCAAAGCCAACAATGCCGAGGATCATGATGCAGATATCTCTGTCAGTTATATAATCTTTGAATATAAGGATATTGGTAATATTGGAATTGATATTGGTGATGGTATTCATAAGTATATTTGTGATGATTATGCTATAGAAACCCTTGGAATTTGTGAGGCTAGTCATAAAGGTAAGTTCTTATTGAATTCTAATGTGACAAATACTACTATCATGACTTCTCAATTGATTCATTTAGGTCCTGCTACCATCAATTATGCCATTAATACTACTGGGTATTATTGTGTATCCACATTTGCTCAAGATGATCAAACTTATAAAGGGGTTATTAATTTCCAAAATTCTTATGGTCAATTAAGTGCTAGTGAAATTCCAAAATTACCTGCTTATGGTATATTAACCATATGTTATGCTATCACTTTAGCATTATTTGGTTTCCAATTTTTTAAAAAGAGAAAGCAAAATCAAATTTTACCATTACAAAGATATTTATTAGCCATGTTAGGATTCTTAACTTTTGATACGATTGTGGTATGGTCTTATTATGATTTAGTTAATAGAACTGTGAATCCATCCAATGCATTTGTTATATTTTATATGATATTCTTATCATTATTAAATGCCGCTAAAATCACATTTTCATTCTTCCTTTTATTATGTATTGCGTTAGGATATGGTGTTGTGGTATTGAAATTAGATAAGAAGGTGATGTTAAAATGTAAAATCCTTGCTGGGGTTCACTTTGTTTCTACAACAGCTTATTTAATTGCTACTTATTATAATGGTGGAGCTTCAACTTCTTTAACTGTAAGTAACAATATTGATGATAATGTGGGTGCAGGATTCCTCGGATTATTACCATTGATTCCAGTGACGGTTACATTAGGGATTTATTATGTTACTATCTTAGTTTCGATTAGAACTACTACTGCCAATTTACATAAACAACGTCAAGTTATAAAATTACAATTATATGAAAACTTGTTTAGAATTATATTTTTCTCCGTTATTTTAACGTTTTTAGGATTGATTGGTTCATCATTCATTTATTTAAGTATGTCAACTACAGAAATGATAGAACAGCATTGGAAGGGAGCTCTCTTTATATTTGAATTTTGGCCAAGTGTGGTATTTTTCTTTGTATTTATGGGAGTTGCTTGGTTATGGCGTCCAACTGAAACCAGTTATATGTTGGCTATTTCTCAACAATTATCAGGAGGAGATGATATTGAAGGACAAAATCCAAATGGTCATGAATTTGAATTAGATGATTTATCATTAATGAGCCATAGTGATGATGAACAACAACCAAGAGGTGATAGTTTTGAATTATCAGAAGATGTACCTCAAAACCCATTTGCTTCTAAGAAAGATCCTCCTCCTGGTTATGATGAAGTAGGTGGAGAAGAAAGCAATTCACAAGGAGAGAATGGAAATACCCTATTTGAATTAGGAGAAGACGATGAGATAGAAGAAGATCCTGAAGATAACAGTGATAATACTCATGAAGACGATAGATTAAAAAACTAAATAAACTAAAATAAAATATCTGACAATAGCACTACATCCATCATAAATGATATGTACTAATAAAATACCATAGTTAGTTAATACATAACTCTTCAATATATCTAAAATTTCTATATGTATATATATCTGACATCACCATATACGATTTTAGTGCTAGAAAATACGCGTTATTACGAGAAGAGACAGCCCAAAAAACAAAAGATAAATATTGAACCAAACAACGATAACAAATCAAGACAACGGTTTAACCATCATACCATATCTTTTAAGAACAACCCATACCATTTTGGAAGTGAATACACGGGCAATTGTGTGCATTTGATAATAAGGGTAAAAAAAACGAGAAAGAAACCGCTTTTCAAACAAGTTCTATAGCGTAAGCATGCTTCATCAATACTAAGTCAAATAAACAACAACAACAACAACATCATCATCAACAATCCTAATAATAATGCCATCGTTTACTTCGACCCTTACAGGTATTGGGTCTTCAACAAATGCAAGAAGGAGGACGATTCTCGGAACTCCAGTGTACGACGCCAATAATGATTCATTCCAATCTTTATCAGAGAGAATAGACAAATCTACAATCTCAGATGATCCTAAAAGTCAAAACTATTTAGCAGATATGAACCTGCTCCAGATGAATGGCGACTCTAGCAGCAGTAGTGCATCACTCAACTCCAATACTAATATGCCTCCTACAGTAGATATGCCAAATGAACCACTACTAGATATACCCATAGCGATCCGGTTTGATGTAGATACCTATGTTCCAGATTATGATATTCAAGAAGAATATCGAAATTATATTCAACGTCATGGTATACGATCGTTCTTGAATAAATACATCCCCGATAATATCACCAAGATTGAAGTTTGTGAATTGATTCTTGATTTAGGTTATAGTCGAGATAATGTCAGACATCATGAAACTCATACTACAAAGGAATTAGCCGGAATCTTAGTTAATTTACTTTTAGAAGACATTAAATTAAGATTACCTGCCACTAAAGATGGGAAAAGAATATATTCAATTAGCCAATTTATCAATGATTTACGTTTACTGTCAAATGTGTTGATCATTACCGGTGCAGGGATATCCACATCTCTTGGAATTCCAGATTTTAGATCTATACAGGGTCTTTATAATCAGTTATCTCATTTACATTTAAATGATCCTCAATTGGTATTTGATATCAATGAATTCACTAAACGACCTGAAACATTCTATTCTGTGGCTCATTTAATCTTACCTCCTGAAGATAAATTTTCATTATTACATGCTTTTATACGAATGTTACAAGATAAAAAACAATTATTAAGAAATTACACTCAAAACATTGATAATTTAGAATATTATGCCGGTATAGATCCTTCCAAACTTATTCAATGTCATGGATCCTTTGGTACCGCTAGTTGTTTAACTTGTCGTAGTAGGTTTGCCGGTCCAAAAATATTCAATCATATAAAACAAAAACAAATCCCTCGTTGTTCTTCATGTTGGAAAAATACTCAAGAAGCTGCTATAAGTTATGGAGTAATTAAACCTGATATAACCTTCTTTGGAGAAGATCTACCTAAAAAGTTTTATAAATCAATTGTAAATGATTCTAAAAAATGTGATTTAGTCCTTGTGGTAGGAACATCATTAAAAGTTGAACCGGTGGCTAGTATTATCGATAATATTCCAAGACGTATCCCTAGAGTATTGATTAATAAGGACCCCTTACCAGATCGTGATTTCGATTTAACTTTGCTTGGGTATAGTGATGCTATTGCTTCACTTATATGTTCTAAAATGGGACCAGAATGGAGTATTCCTCATCATCAATTTGAACAAGATTTAACATCCGATTTCGTTCCTCATGAACGATTACCTAAAACTTTTATAATTGAAGATTGATTTTATTACACATGTTGCTTTTGATTAAATATGTATGTTATATATATATATATATATATATATGTATGTAAAAATTAACGATTAATTATATATTAAAAGCTCTCAGAATATGTATGTATGTATGTATGTTATACTTACTTTAAATCATCTAAACGTTTAAGTAATTTCAGTTCCAAACCTCCCCAATTATCAACCAATCCTTTATAAAATGATATTTGTTCATCACAAAGTCCCACCATTGAATTTTTTAATTCATTTCTATTGAACTTATCCCAATTCGGATACTCTTCATTAATGATTCTACTAGTTAATTCATTTACAACTTTTGTCAGAGCACTTATTTCATCTTCTAATTGAGTAACTCTCATTTGTAATTTAAGAATTTTATTTTCAGTAGCAGTTGAACCTATATGAGCAGTTGCAGATGTTGATAAAGTATCTTTAATCAATTGAGTGGTACTATTTACAATTCCTGCATTTGCACTATGAGAAAAAGATACAGGGTTAGGAGGAGGATGATGATTACCAGAACCGCCACCACTAGTGCTACTTGCACCTAAACCAGCCAAATCACTTCTAGCATTGTTTAAATAAACATGTAACATTTGTTGATCTATTTTCTTATTATGTAATAATTCAATCAAGTTATTTAAACTTAAAATGTATTTGGCACAATCTTTTAATGCCACTAGGAATGTATCATCAACGTATTTATACAAATTAGCCCAATTTGTCAGAAAATAATTCAATGAATCAGCAAATATCTTAAAGTTTGATGTGATATCTTCGGTGCTGGAGGTGATTTGTTTAATTGGAGTGGTTGGTTCTGAAGTTGATCCTAATTCAGATTGTTGCACCAAAGTTAATTTTAAAATTTGATTCAGAAATTGTTCATAATCAGTACTTAAATCATGATTCTTTTTATTAAGCTTAACAAACATCTTATCTAATTTGATTAAATTTTCATAGATCTTTTTTAATTTATCACTTATTTCAAGTATATCCTTATTAGTTTCTTTTTTATGCTTACCAGGGGTAAAAAAATTCATCACAGTTTCAGTAAATAATTCTTCATTAACCACTTTATTAACAAATCCATTATTACTATCTTCTATATCTTTAACTTTCAAATTCTTTGCAAAATTAGCCCAATCGTTCGAATCACTAATGAATAAATGAAACATAGGCAGTTGAGATAATCTCTTATGAAGTAAGATAAATTTAATAAATCTATCTAATGAATGTAAACGTCTATTAACAAACTCTGAACTGAATGTATCACCCGTAAGGTATTTGAAATTCAGTTTAGATGGAATAGGTGGTATCAATGCAGTGGGATAATCATTACTTAAACATTCATGAAGTAAATTAAAATCTCCATATCTTCTCCTTACTTTCATAGTAAGATAATCATCTGGGTTAGATAATTTCTGAGACGACAATTTCAATATATTAGCATGATTGGTGGTGGTTACTACCAAATATGAGATGTATGGTTTAGATGAACTATCTAAATCTCTTATAGGAGCAGAAACTGATGTTTCGATAGCATATTTATTAAATAAAGCTGTTTCTTCTGCACTAGCTTGCGCCTCATCAGGAGTAACATTCCCTTCATCTTCATCACCAGCAACTGTATTAGATGTATGCTTCACATCAATGATATGGTTAGGTTGTTCAATGGCAATGTTTGATATAGTTGGAGGTGGAGGTAATGATGATTCTGCTTCATTTTCGTATGATGGTTGGCCACCACCACCACCATCAGAATTGGATTCTTCTTCTGTAATCGTATGGGGTCTTTCTGATTCATGGTCCACGTTATCTATTTCTCCTCTATCCCACTGGACAGAAGTGAATTGATCTTCTGAACTCATGATGATAACTGATTGATCAAAGTAACTATGGCAGTTGCTGTTCTTACTGTTCTTTCTCACCCACACTGATTTTTAAAAAACACTTTGTTTTTTTAAATGACTTATCTACACTCTTTATATGCCGGCACATACAAAAACTAGTATAAACACAAATCTAATATACATTTCTTTCTTTTATATAATACTATTGTTTTTTAAGAGAAGTCTAACCTTTTTATATAGTGAAGATGGGGATGGGGTTAAATGATTAACCAAAGACCAGATGCTACTAATGATACTCCTATTATAGCAGTAATAATACCAGCACCAGCTATATCACCTTTATTCAATGTTAATGGTGATGCATTGGTTTGAATAGCTCCATAACCAGCTGCAGGATTACCTACAGAAGAACCACCATCATTAGCAGTATAAGGACCTGGTACATCCAATACTCTTAAGTTTTGCATCACTTCTAAGGCGGAGATTTGTTCTCCAAGACCATAATAACCATCCCAAGTTCCATTAAACCAATTTAAACCACAAGTATGACCATCATACCCACCAGAACAAGATTTTGCTGCAGCATTTGAAGACGCCACTAACCAAGTTCTGATGGTATCATAAGTTTGAGGAACTAAAATAGATGTTGCTCCTAAAAATCTTGAAAAATAAGCTTTAAATGATCTTTGATCATTATTACAATTATTTGATGGTTGACAAGCAGCTTCATACATGATATTATTATTAAAAAAGACTTGAGCTCCATTTAATAAATTTAATGTACGATTAAGCCATTTATCATCTTGAGTATAATTATAAAGATAAGCACAACCAGATAACATTAAACCTTGATTATAAGTCCATTGATATTTGGTTATATTAGTACAATTAACTTCAATTTGAGCTCCATCATAAACAAACCACCAATCACCAGTAGTAATAAATCCCACATCAACCAACCAATCCCAAACTTTTTCAGCCCAATCTACATAAGTATCATTACCAGTATATCTTGCTAATCTTGCACCAATATGGAAAAGACAACCATTTGAAACTGAATTTTTATAATCATAACCTGAATTCCATTGAAAAATTTGCCATCTTAAACCTCCATTACATTCAGCTACATCCCATCTGGCAGCCATAGTATTGAATACAGCTTGAGACAAAGTTAACCAAGCTTGATCATCATTAGGTGGATTTGAAAAATTTCTTTCAGTGGCACCCATTACCGCAATCCCCCAAAATCCTTGATCATCATTACCTTCTGTAGTAGATTGATTTAAAGGAATATAATTATTTCCTGAACCAGTTTGATATAATAAAGCTTGTTTAATAAGAGGAACAAGACTATCATTCTGCATGAAATGACCATAATCAATAAGTGATCCCCAAGCACCACCAGCTTCCCACCAATAATATGGCGAAGTAAACATCCCAATCGTTCCCCCAGGTTTAGTCCCATCATAATAATCAAGAGTACCTTGTACTAACAAAGCTGTAGCATCAAATATAGTGGTGTCATTATTGGTATCCAACCATACGGCATTAACAGCACTAGTTAACACACTTAATGTTATAACTAGGGGTAATGCAAGATTATGACTACTGATCTTCATTGTGATTGTAGCAGTAGTAATGTAGTTGTATGGTAATGATCTAGATCGGTTCGAGTAAAAATTTAAGTTCAGTTCTTGCAATACACTAGCACACACGATATATACCCTTCTTCTATATTCCTAACAATAGTAAACAACCGTTCAATCAAGACTAAATACTATCAGGATAGATTCGTTATATGTTTAAAAGAGATTTTGAAATCTGATTTGAACGAGACAGCAAAAAAAAAAAAAAGAAATAAGAAATTTTTTTTTTGTATGAGAGAGTTAAAAATAGACGCGCTTAATGGTGACAGAAGGAGGTGGTGTAAACAAGAGACATACTGTGTGTGTGTGTGTGTGTCTTACAGAGATTGATTATTTACACATATCAATATGTAGAGATATATATGTTGCATATATTCGTAATTATACAAAAGGAATGATTGGACTATTCTATTCAGGTTTGAATACAGGATCAACGATCTCTGCTGTGGATTCTTTGGCTACTTGTGGTGGTTGTTCAGGAATAGTTATGGTACTAGCAGGAAATGTAATTGTAGAAATATCCCCGTCATTATTGATGGTTAAATCGTCTTCCAAATCATCTTCACTGTCTTCTTCTTCTTCATCGTCTTCTTCTTCATCGTCTTCTCCTGCCTCCTCTTCACCTTCAGCAATATCCTCTTCCTCTTCTTCTTCTTCTTCTTCTTCTATTATACCATTCTTCTCAGCTTCATGGTCTTCAACTTGTGGAGTACCTCCATTAACTTCATTATCATCAGCTTTGAAAACAGTAGAAAAATTAACAAAATCACTAATGAAATCTTCCTTATTCAAATTCTTAATTTCTTTAACTAATGAATCAGGATAAACATCAAGAAATGTAAATAATTTATCATACACTACTGATCCAGTATGAGAATCATAATCAATCAGTTTAACTCCATTCAATTGTAAATTGTTTTGATATTCTAATTTCTTATATAATTCTCTTACTTTCCCCTTTAATTCTCCAGAATAAGTTTGAGTTGATGGTTTAAATACAAAATGATTAACTTTTATAATTAATAAATTATATTTTCGATTATAATTTAAATAAATTGATGAACTTTTGATTTTCAGATATACTTTATTAGTTGAACTATTTGGGGAATTGAAATTATAAATATTTTTAATTGATGCTGAACTTCTAAAATCATTTAAATTAGTAGAATCTTGATTATATGGAAGATTAATAGTTGCAATGATTGGTTCAATATAAAGCGATTTTAAATTATTTTGTAAATGCATCCGTAATTGTTTTTCACCATATCTAACATTAGTTAATCTAGTACCAGTATTTGAATTAGCATCATATCTTCCTAAATTATCAGTAAATTCATCATTATATTCTTTAAGATAAACAAGATTTTTCATATTTTCACCCGCTTGTCTCTTATGTAATAAATTTAATAAAAATTGTTGATAATCAGATGTAACATTCTTATATAAATATGGATCAATATCAGTCTTACTATAACTGACATTCTCATCGAGTTCTTCTTTATTCCCCAATTTAAAGATCTCTTCAAAGATATCTTCTTCAGGTCCATCATATAATTCATGTCTATTATTTTGCAGAGACGTGTAAGCTTGAGATTGTTGATATTGTTGTTGCTGTTGATGTTGTTGATGCTGTTGTTGTTGTAAAGTTTGAGTATTCTTTGATCTATTGGTCTGTACTAACCCTGTCTTAAGGTTTATTATTTTAGGTTGTTGATAAGTTTGAAATTTCGAAACTACGGGAGTAATACCTTGATTCGAGGAAGAACTTGTAGTAGGAGCTGTTTGAGAAGTTCCACCTGAACTATAACTTGGTCTGAATGTATATTGTTGAGATGTCATTGATTCACGTGGAGTATTGTCATTATGAGGATTATTTATCACAGGACTGACATAATTGGGATTATTTAAAACTTGTTGTAATTCAGCTTCATAATTAAATGGTTTATTATGGAATCTTTTAAAGAATTCATCTTTTAATAATCCTTCTTCTTCTAAATAATTATCACTAGAAGCTTGTTCTCTAAACTGTTTCAATCCATATAACATAGTCTCTTCAGCCAATGGTTTTCTCAGATTCTTCTTATTACGTTCTATTATCCGACATTTGGCACAAGTCTTATATTGTCTAACTTCTGGCGGTTCATCATCCAACCTCTTCCTTTTACAACGACGACACCTTCTAACTTCAGCCTTCATCATATTATAATGCTCTTAATTTCTTAATGAATTGAAAATGATTCCCAATTCCAGTTATGATCTTCCGATATATCCTAACTATAAGCTTTCCAATGATAGATATAGGTTCTAAAATTGTAAAATTTCGATCTCAACTTTTTAATCTTTTTTTTTTGTTTGTTTGTTTGGATTTAGTGCTGGTGATGTTGAGAATATTTTGTTACCACACAATAAATTTTTCAAAATCAGATCTTTTTAAACAGAGCGAATATCATAAACTATCCACCATATGAACCATTATTACCACACTTATTTCTTGGTTATGAAAGTAAAAGGTTGGTAAATCAGGTATACTTTTGACTTGTGGTTTCAACCAATAAGAAAAAGGTATTTGCCTTCCATTTAAATTCGATTATGTAATCCCAAATTAAATATTCGGTCACGTGTTATTTCTAAATAAATTCAAATCAATTTGTTAATAGTATTATATATATGTATATCTAATGGAATGATAGTATTCAATTGGAATAAGAGTTGAATGAAGTTCATATAAGAAAGGTATGAGACTTGGGTAATTGTAAGTTTACGTACTTATGATTCCATATTCAATCCTCGTATCGAGTCCAAGAAATGCAAAAAAATTAATTTGGGTACTCCCTAAACCCAACAATTGATATATAAAAGTAGTATTCGCTAACCAAGACCAGTTCATTAGTGAACCGGACAGTTGACTTTCATAACACACATTCTAATCCATAACTATATGTTCCATATTCAGTTATTTGGTCTAGCTATAAAACGGACTTATATGCTTATATGTATGTATTATATTGTTATTTTTCGGATCTTTCGCCAGTATAACCTAACCCACATTGATCAAATTAAACTCGCCTTTGACCGTTTTGTCCTACTATTGAATACTGAGCGGGTCAATTCCTATAAAGGATCTAATCTTCAAATCGATTGTTAACTTAAATATTTTTAAACTTTAAGCCCTTCCATACCCTTTCTGTCAGTTGGTGGAGAAAAAAAATTGAAAAATTTCCTAATTGGGTAAACAAATCAAATGCGACCTCCTATCAAATTAGGAAACAATTCTGCCAAATTGCATAATTGAAAAGGGCAATTTTAGTATACGATGACAGTCGGTTGTTTCTTGCTATTATAATTCGTAATAACCTGTCCATTTAGGGAAGGGCCTCTTACACACTCGTCAGTTATTTTTTATGCTGTTAAGGTCTCGAGACAGTATGTAAATCATCATCATATTATAATTTCCAACAATTTGCGGAGAAACTGAATTAAGCAGTTATAAACAATTTCATATATAACTATGCTAAGATGATGTTTATAATATTTTTAATTTTAAAAAAACCATTTCAAAAATAGAGATCATTGCTCTTCTTTTACAATTCAATCATTGCTAATAATATGAAATTAATATCACTCCTAATACTTCTCTTTGCTTCATTGGTGTCTTGTCTGTCACCAACAGGAGGATATGCACCTGGGATAGTTCAATGTCCTCTTGTCAATTCAAGTTTTGTAAGAGAAGCTAATTCCATATCCCAACAAGAACAAGATTGGTTAGTTGGTAGACAAGCCAAAACCAAACAAGCTTTAATCAGTTTTTTAGATTCAGCAAATTTAACAAGTGATGCTTCTAGTTTGTTTACTGATGATAATTCAACTGGGGTTAATATTGGATTGGCATTTTCCGGTGGAAGTTATAGAGCCATGTTAAGTAATGCTGGGAATTTAATGGCTCTTGATGATAGAACTACTTTTTCAGATGATAATATTGGATCTTTAGGTGGTATTTTACAAAGTTCTAATTATATATCTGCATTATCAGGAGGAGCATGGATGCTTGGTTCCCTTGTAATGCAAGATTTTGCATCTGTTCAAGATATTTTATTTGAAAATTCAGAAACAGTATGGAATATAACCAGTACAAGACAATTGGTTAATATGAATGGTTTATGGACGATTATATTCCCTGTTTTATTTGATAATTTAAATGGAGCATTAACTCATTTAAATTTCTGGAGTGGTCCAACTGGAATTGGAAATGATATTGCCAGTAAACAAGCTGCTGGTTTCGAAACTACATTGACTGATTCTTGGGCAAGAGCTCTTGCTCATCAATTGGTACCTGAAGGGAATGATAATTTCCAAGCTGGTGCAACTTGGAGTGATATTCGTAATATGACAGTTTTCACTGATTATGATATGCCATTCCCATTAGTGGTTGCATTAGGTAGAAAACCAGGTTCAACCGTGTATAATTTGAATTCAACCACTATTGAAATGAATCCATTTGAAATGGGATCATTTGATCCTTCATTAAATTCATTTGTTGATATTGAATATATTGGAACTAATATGACCAATGGATTTCCCACCAGTTTAAATAAATGTGTTAAAGGATTTGATAATGCTGGATATATTATTGGGACTTCATCATCATTATTTAATGAATTCCTTAATACTTTAGTATGTGATGATTGTAATTCATTAAATGTCGTTGTGAAATGGTTAATTAAGAAATTTTTAACTTATTTATCAAGTGATTATTATGATGTTGCAAATTATAAACCAAATCCATTTTATCAATCTGAATATGCTGGTTCAACTGATTTAGCCAATGATGATACACTTTATTTAATTGATGGTGGATTAGCCGGTGAAATCATGCCGATGTCTAATTTAATGACCAAGGAAAGAGAACTTGATGTGGTATTTGCCTTTGATCAATCTAATGATGATGGAGTTAATTGGCCTAATGGTTCAGGTATAATATCAACTTATGAAAAACAATTCTCAGAACAAGGTTCTTCAACTCTTTGTCCATATGTTCCTGATCAACAAACTTTCCTTGCTCTTAATCTTACTGCTAGACCAGTCTTCTTTGGTTGTAATGCTAGTAATTTAACTGCTTTAGTTAAAGATGGAGTAACCCCTCCAGTAATGATTTATGTCCCTAATAGACCATATGAATTCTATTCAAATACGTCAACTTTTCAATTAACTTATACTGATGAACAAAAGAAGGGTATGATTCAAAATGGATTTGATGTTGCTACCAGATTGAATGGTACCGCTGATGCAAGTTGGAAAACTTGTGTTGCATGTGCATTGATTAGAAGAGAAGAAGAAAGAAGAGGGATTGAACAATCTCCTCAATGTCAAGAATGTTTCCAAAACTATTGTTGGGATGGAAGTTTAGCTAATGTTGAAACTCCATATTATCCTCCGGTTAATTTCACTAATAGTGGATTAACTAATGGAACTACTGAATTTTATGGACCACCACCAGGACCAAGTACAAGTACTTCACTTTTATCACTTATATTTAAAAGAGAAGATGTAGAGATTAAAGAAACTAGTGGAAGTAGTTCACTTTTAAATAATTTACCAAGATTTGATATGAAGATTTTCATTTGTGCAGCATTAATGTTTGCTTTGATATAGACTAGATTAAAAGTAGTTAATTATAAATAATGTAATATAATATAATATAATATAATACCTAATCATATGCATTTTATTCAAAAAACTTTTGTAAGTTGCGAAAAGTGAAATCCAACTATGGAAGATAAATTGATATATCATCAACTTAACCCAAGTAATTTATACCAAGAAAAGTTGAATTCAACATTTATCCGATTACGCTCTTGTTGACATTGCCTCAAATAAAGGTATCCGGTACATACGCTTCATCGTTTCCCACCCAGTGAATCCAAAAGTGAGTACTGTTAAAAATTAGTGGAATGAAGGCTATACTACATTTCGTTTCAGCCAAGTAACTAGTAATAATCTATAGAGTTAAAATTGCTAAAAGGAAGGCTATGACTGACTGATGTCGTAAAGTAATACTCAGGTAAATATACATATAAATTATAATTCAAGATATATTTTCTCTAAAATCAAACTATAACTTTTTATTACAAATCATATACTAATAACTTTGTAATGGATGCTAAGGGTATCATTGATCACTTAACTGTTGATAATTGATGATGATAGAAATTGAGATCTTTTTATCCTGTATACACCGCAACCTGTATATAACCGATTTTGGCGTAAGAAATTTAAAATTTGAAGTTTTGGAGTGAGTGAGTGAGGGTTGGCTGGGAGGAGGATGGTGGTGAGTTTTAAATGTGGTAATCGCTATTTGGAACTCCTAAGCATAGTTTGTCTATATAAGTTTATCTGTTTTTAATATAGAAATAGGAATCATCACAAGTTAGATATCATCCATATCTTGTTTCATCACTTGATCGATCCATCCCTTCAACATTTGTGAGTTGTTCTAACCATTCGTTATCTATAATTCGCTCAATCAAAGGACCTCCTATTTCTCCAACTTTTGATATTCAATTACTTCAATCCATCCATCCATCAATCCATCAATCAATTAACAAGTAAGCGCTTTAATATCATTCTGCATATATAATCACCCATACCATGTCTAAATCATTTGTTCGTTCCATTAAAAACGTTGCTAATGGTTATTCATCAGCTCAAGTTTTAGTCAGAAAGGCTACCTCCAATGACCCTAATGGCCCTATAACGTATGATATGGAAGAAATCGCCAATTATACTTATCAATCTCAAACTGAATTCTTGGAAGTAGTAGATATGTTAGATCGTCGTCTTAATGATAAAGGGAAGAATTGGAGACATATTGCTAAATCTTTAACAGTTCTAACATATTTAGTTACTTATGGTTCTGAAAAATGTGTACTTTGGGCTAAAGATAATATCTTCATTATTAAAACGTTAAGAGAATTTATACATATAGATGAAATGAATAATGATCAAGGTGCCATTATTAGAGTTAAAGCAAGAGAATTAGTATCTCTTTTAAATGATGATGAAAGATTAAGATTAGAACGTGCTAATGCTGGTAAACGTAATGGAAATAGTAATGGAAATGGAAATGATAAACAAAAAAGATCCAGAAGAAACACAAGAGCAAGAAATCCTGATGAACCTTATGATGCTGATTTACAAAAAGCTCTTGAATTATCAAGACTTACTGCTGAAGAAGAAAGAGATCGTGCTAATGAAGAATCAGATGATCCTGATTTACAAGCTGCTCTTAAATTATCTTTAGAAGAAGATGAAATGAGAAAAAATAAGAATCAAAATCTATTAGATTTAAATGATGAACCATCTCAACAACCTCAACAATACTACTTAACTGGTTATTATCAGCAACCTCAACAATATTATATAGATCCTCAAGCTCAATACCAACAACAACAACAATATGATATGTTTGGGAATCCTATTCAAAATCCAATGGCCACCGGTTATTATCAACAACAAGCATACTATCAACAACCTCAACAACCTCAACAAACAAATAAATTCACTGGATTCAATTATGGTCAACCTCAACAACAAGAAGCTTTGCAGCCATTAAAAACTGGATCAAATAATCCATTTGCCATGTCATCTTCTTCAGCTCCTAAGCCTGCAACTCAAACCTTAAATGACTTAGCTCAACAACAGCAACAACAACCTCAACAACCTCAATTCTTTACTCAACCACCTCCAAAACAAGAACCTGCTAGAGCTCAAACCATGTCAAAATTCAATGATTCTACTCATTCTGAATTAAATGATTTATTATCTCAAGGTACTGGTTTAGATACCTTTGGTAATACTGGAGCAACAAGAATCCCTCATCAACATACAAAAACGCAAAACTTTATAAATTCAAGTGGTACCGGTTATAGACAAAATACAAATCAAGCCCCAAATTTAAGTTCCAATGCTACTGGTAATCCATTCTTGAATACTGGTATTGGTTATCAAGGTCAATCTCAAACTCAAACCTCCCCACAACAACCACAACAAGCTCAAACTCAACAATTCCAACAATTCCAACCAGCTTATACTGGATATGGATTTGGAAATGCTCAACCTCAATACCAACAACAACAACCGCAACAAGCACAACAACAACAACCTAGGTACGGTGGTGATGGTCCAAGTTTGATTGATATTTAATCAAACCCCATTTTGCGCTTGTTGTAAAGACGATTTTTTTCCTTTCTTCTATCAGAGTAATGGCTGCTGTCATGTTTTAGATCTAGTTATGAGAGCTCTTCCGAGAAAGAGTATGTAAAGATTATGTTTTGCCTTTTTTTTATATTATTATATATTACTATATATTATTAAATACTTTTTTCAACAAGTATTTTTATCCTTTTTGTTTGTTTAATTCGTCATTTATTTCATACACTGTTCCTATACTTTTAAAAATATACTTGAATAAAATTAAAAAAGTTGTGATTTTTTCAATTTATAATCTGTAATTATCGAATGGTTCTAATTTAGCTTTGAAAATCGATTTCACACACCAATCCCATTCAACTACTATCAGATTCGATTCGTTCAATTTCTTGAAATTGGAAATTAGTTTAACATCTTTAGATTTATGAGCGATCAAAAGATTACATGATGAGCCATCAATTTCAGTTTCTATAATTGATTTCTTTAACGCTGGCAATGATAAATTATTCTTTATAGGGCTGAATTCAGTCATGCCATGATCCTGTAAGATACGGGAAATAACATCAACTCCACCATTCAAACTTGATGATAAGTTGATATTTAACCCTGAGAAAACGCTAACGTCACTCTTGATTAAAGTAGTAAACCCATTCTTCTTGTATGATTCGGGATAGCCTAATTCACTATTCAATTCATTAATCGATATGAATTTATCTAACTCGTAATCGTCCAAGTTGAGTTCATCAAACACACTGGGATAATTTTCTGGTTCTGAATCTTCTAACTTCTTAATTACTTCAATCAAATATTTTGGGTGAATGATTCTATCAACTTTACTTAAACTTCTTAAGAATTTTTCAGTTCTCAATATCTTAGGAGCAATTAATGTATTGACAGAGTATGAATCAGGGAAATCTGATAACACTTGTATACCCACTTCTGCTAACAAAGCGATATTACTCTTAGTTAAAGTGATTTCTTTTTCACTACCAGTCATAATGGCAACGGTATCCATTGAAAATTGTGATTTGGCCTTAGGTTCTTCAGATACACTGGATTGACTGCTAATCTTTGCTTTCTTAGAAGGTGTATTTTCAATTTCTGAGTCAGCCTTTGACTTCTTTGAAGGAGTTGTCGATCCATCCAATTCATCCATAAATGTTTTCATCTTTCTTGAACTCTTGGCCATAGCTTGATAGTTATTTAAATCAGTCATGGTATTATGTAATTTCAATGCCGCTCTTTTAGCAGCAGCTCTACCACCTAATCTACCTTCATGATTGACAATAGGACTGAAAGAATGGTTTTCCTTGTCTTTATCGTCAGCATATTTTGCTTCTTCGCTTTCTTCTTCTTTATCTTCACCTCTTCCATTAACGGTGGTGAAATTCACTTTACTTTGAGTAGCTTCATCTTCACTCATACTATCATCAACATTTTGACTATTAACTTCTTCATCTTCACCATTCCATTTCTTTAACACATTTTCATCTAACTTAGTTCTATCAATTAAAGATTCCATTATGTTTTTACCATTACCGAAATATTGATATTTCTGTACTTCATAATCAACAAGTTTCCATTGTGCAAAACATTCCTCTAACCATAAATGATTAACGATCTTTATCTTTGGGTTACCATCTTCTCCGATCCATTTCTCTTTAGCAGTGAGATGCTTCTTACCTTCATCCTTTGCCGATATCAAATAATGGTTGTCTTTTGCTAATGTCTTGGTGAAAGTACCACCCAAAGTAGATATAAGCTTAACCAAGTATGCTCTTGAATCACCACTATAATTAGTGATAGAGATTCGAAGATTCTTAAAGCTTTCAAGTGGTTCATTGGGAACAGGATAATGTAATAAGCTTGAGTTTAAGGGGAGGACCCATTTATTGGTGACTATAACGTGATATAACCATTGAAGATTACCCACCACGATTCTGTTCGATTTGCTACTAGAAATGTAATGTTCACCAGTACGATACTTACCGATATATACATCGACAGAATCTACCACAAACGTTTTAGATACTTCACCTCCTTGTCTTTCAATTAAAGTGACGAGGGAATTGGTTAATCTTTCTGAAAGATTATAATCTTGGGATATGTAAAACACCTTTTTATTAAAGAAATTAGAAATCACATCTTGACTTTCTGCTAATTCTTTAATAGGAATTAATGTTTTCGCATCTCTGGAAATAGTGCTATTACTTTCATTTAAAATAGGTGGATTAGGTAATAAGTATGGTTTTTCATCCAATTTTCTTCCTAACGTAATACAATGATCTATCCAATGAGGTAAGACGATCTTAATATCAATACCATTTTCATCATTATCCTCTTCGTTTCGTATTGCACTAGAAGCAATGATACTTTTCTCATTTGAAAGATCAATGGCAATTAAATGAGTGGTATATTTCGTTAACACATCTAAATAATTCCCTCCAAATGCTTTAATCCCACCATATATAGCTTCTTTATCTCCAATAGGTAAGTTATCAGCCACACACACAAAAGTATCCTTAAAGAAGAACTTTGGGTCAGGATTATAGATTTTGTAATTTACAGGTTTCCCAGCTTCAATAGTCTTACGAACCCATTCACATGTCGTGATGGGGATCATGGACTTTATGGCAAGACTATATTCGATGAATTGGATCGATTCGGCGATGATATGGTTTATGGCTAGTTTTTCAGCATCAGTTGATTCATCTTCATCATTGATTAAATAATTCTTATTATTGTTGTATTCTTCCTTTTCAACCACCACTGCACCATTATTTTGGAGGAGTTGTTTGATTTCATTGACTTGTTCTGGATCTTGGAATCCCTCTGATGTGATTATCAAGAACCCTTGACCTTGAAACATCGACATTGGTACTCTTGATTCCTCTTAAGTTCTATGGGTTGTAAACAAAATTCAAAACAAAAACTACGCGTTAAAATATGTTATTGCGCGCAAGTTGTGTTTGGTAGATTTTACGCGGGTAATAAAAAGAATATACATTTTACTTTATTATGTATAGAGTATAGTGCAAGGGGGGAAGGTATATGCTAAAAAAGATTGATGAAGATGATGCAGATTATTGCAAATGGGATGAACTGAAAATAATGATGAATTTGACGTTATGGTGACTATTCAAAGTCTATTCTATGAGTTGATAAACTCTCATCAAATAAATCTTTTCCTTCTGAATTAAATTTCTTTGCCCAACTTCTGCATAAAATACTTGCTTTCATGAATTTCCTTGTAGCGTATTTCTTAAAGAATTCATCATGCTCTACTGGAGAGATCAAGTATTGGAAAATAAGTTCTATGCATACTTTCATATCATTAACTCTATATCCTCCGGAATAACGAATGAGATTACCGTTCCAGATTGGAGTTTTACCAAGGATTAATCTTGATAAATACATAGCAGATGCACAACATAATGAAGGTCTGAAACCAATAAATTTATGATCGATAGCAGTTACTTCTAATAAATATTTTCCTAAAGTTCTACTTTGAACATCATATTCATCAGCTTTTGAAATTCTTCTTAAGAAATTCATTGGATTTGGATAATTAAGATCAAAACTTAATATGGTAAGGATATATTTTTCAGCTTGTAAGATTTCTTCTTCAGTATAAGATCCATCAGTAAAATAAGCATAATTCTTAACTGATGGAGAAAACACTTCTTCATATTTAGCAGCAATAAATAATGAACCAGTAGCTAATAATTGTAATTTATCAATTTGAACCACTTCTAAAGACATGAATCTATCCATTATATTAATAGCTAAGAACAAACTTTCGGGTAATAATCTGAATTTTAAGTGCATTTCAACCAACCAATCTACTAAAATAGATCTCATTTTTGGTTTTAAATGCCTTTGTTTGAATAAATATTCTGAATCAGGTAACATTCTTTGTTCTAATTCATAAAAATAAGTAAAGATATCATTAACATATTCACTTGCCATTAAAGGATCATCGGCATCTTCTTCATCTAAGTCTTGCCATTCATAATCGATGAGTCTAGCCTTTTTATAAGATCCTTGATTAGTTGATGAAGGTTGAGGTTCATTAGTTTGGGTATGCAATTTCTCTACTAAATTAGTAGATGATTCTGTTGCCTGGCGTTTCTGTGGTAGTCTTGGAACAGATGATAAAGTATTATGAATTTGTTGATTTTCTTTTGAATCGGTAGTATTGATATTATTATTATTATTATTATTATCTTCAGCAAGTTCTTTGATGGAGGGTACTTCTGATTTATATGATGATGGATTTGAACCTGATTTGATGGTGTTTGAGGTTGGTCTTAAAGGTTTTTGTTGTTGTTGTAATGGGGCAACATCACCACCAAATGGGATTCTCTTGATACCGGCAGCAGAAAGATTTGGTTTATATGATTTTGCGGTTGCTGATGCCCCAAATTGATTTGACACATCACCAAGATATTGACGGGTAGTTGTTACACTTTCATCATTGGGAGGAATCAGTTGATCTTGAGGATGTATGAGGTGATGATCTTGTTTCTGATGTTGGGAGGATGATGTTGTATGAGTTCCTTTTGATCTTGTAATTCTATAATCATTTTCATTATTAAGAGTCTGTGGCATTTTTAGGATATAATAATAATAATAATATGAATCAATCAATCTGAGAAGGATAGATTGAGTAGGAGGGATGGAAAAAGGCAAGCAAACAACGACAACAACTACAACTTCTTATGGTGAGAAACAGAAGTATAGATGAGATAGAGAAGGGAGGAGGAGAAGAGGATGTTAACGAATGAAGTGGTGGTGGTGGTGGTGTAACGAATGATGATGATGATGATGATGTATTTTCTAACAAGGAAGGAAAACAAAAGCAGATTGGGGATATTTAATTGTTGAAATGAAATCTCCTTGTTTCCATACAATTATACAAATCTTAGATGGATGGATGGTACCGATAGAATAGAAACGACTAACTAACTAATTATATTCTATTATTATTTCTTCTTTGGGATTGTTTTGTAATAACATATTGTCAAACACTGACTCTGTTTTGAAATACCTGTTTTGAAATAAGTTTGTTTTCCTTCCCATCGCGTAAACCACAAAACATCCACTTTCCCCCTACCTATTTAGGAACGTTTGTAAACATCCTTTGGCTATGAAATTTCAAACAACTTAAATAGCACGATTCTTTCTCTAGCTATGCTATGAGATCATCATGGGGTATCCCATTAATCAATCCTAAATAATAATCTGAATTAGACATGAAATAGTGTCTAATGAACTAAGATCGTTGTTCTATTATTTATTTATTTATTCATTCCATTTAGGCTGGCTGGCTGGCTGGCTCTCACTGTCTGTTGTCGCAAAATTTTGTCACTATTATTCGCGTGCCTGTTAACCACAAACAAAATATGGTTTCCCTCACAACACCACAACAACAACAAGATCCCATCGCAAACAATACTACACTATATACCATATTGTGATGTTTCTTTCCTTCTTAATGAATTCGTTACTTGGCTACCTTACTATATTGTATCAATTCTCTATTCTCATTATAACTGCATATTATACTTTTCTAACCGAAATTCAACAATACTAAAAGTTTAAACCATATTTTTAAAGTTATAATTTATATTTATTACATATTACTATTATTATTATTTAAATTGACCATTTATATTCTCCCATCACATTGATAGTATTACCCTTATCATTGTCCAGTGCACTCAGACTAGATTCGGAATTCACCGTTGCACATCTCTTACAAATCCCCTTTCTATATGGCTTTATTGGTACTTCATTTTCTTTTTCTTTCTCTTCTTCTTGACTTTGATGACACACAAAACATTTTATAACTATAGGCAGTATCTTATTATCATCTGGTACTTTCTCTTTTTCTTTTTTATTATCAATTTCATCAGCGAGCGTCATTAATACTTGATTATTTGCTTGTAATACATCTTTCACATTCTGCCAAATCTCTGGTTTATTATCTTGTCCTTGGCTTAGATGAATATGACTACTACTTGATGAGCTCGAACTTGGTCGACTTGGATTATCTCCTTTGTACTCTGAAAGAATCGTCTTCAATTGATGTAATACTCTATTAACATCGTCAGAATCAGCAACAGCTTCTTCCTTCTCTTGTCTATTTAGATTCACTATCTCAGGAAGAGGATTTGACACATTGGAATTCGATATCTTGGTTTCCACTCCTGTTCCCTTTATCGATTTTAAATATAAATTCTTATACTTTTTAAGCTTCTCAGTAAGCATGGTATTATCTCTCTTTAAATTGGCATTTTCATTTATAGATCCCTCATCACTTCTTCGGTTTAATCTATCTATCTCCGACACTAACTTCAACTTTTCATTCATCAAATTCTTATTCTCATTCTCAACTCTTGCAAACGCTGATTCCTTATTATTATACTTTTGTTGAAGAAATGCTTGATCTCGTTTAAGATTCTTATTCTCAACTTTTAAACTTTCAATGGACTGTATCAACTGATTTATGGATGACTTTAACTGGATATCTTTCTCTTGATTTCCAAATATATTATTAGGTAAGTCATTAATCACTCTATGAGTATCTTTTATAACTAATTCAGTTTTATCATCATCACTTAAATCAAATAATTCAGCTCGTGATTTTTGAATTTTATGGATTTCATTCTCATTTAAAAACTTATCGACATTCCTCTCAAAGTTGTCAAAAGTATTGCTTCGTATAGAATATGAATTAAATGTAGATTCAGTTGAATTATTTCGATTGGGAGTTGTGGTTGTAGTTGTTTGTTTCTTTTTAGTAGGACTTCTCATTTGATTTATGAAATCTTGATAATCATTCCTCAACTTCTTTCCAGGAGAGTTCTTTTCAGGACTACTAGTATTAAACTTTGGAGACTCTAATATCGAAGTTGACCGCCTTATTTCAATCGAATCATCTTCTAATAAATCATATAAATCTGATAAATCATGTTTGTTAGGGGATTCATCTGACATAGAGTACGTTGTGAGTTCTTCTTCATTAAGGGTTTTAGAAGTTATTCCTGAGCCATAACTATTCAAAATATCCTCTGTTGACTCTTCCAATCTTCCTGGCATCTTCGTCAATTGAATTGATATCTGATTTAAACCATTTAAACAACTTCTGTTGATGTTTTTCTTTTTGTTTACCTTTAAATTGCAAACGCGGGTTGCGATTTGTATGTCGAATCTGTTATGTCGAATTTTCTAGTTTCCAATTTTTGCGACATGCCACAATCATTTTCGACACAACGTTCTTGACATAATTTTTTTTAATTAGACAATCAAAGATGTGCACATGGAAGAAATTTTTATTAAATAGTATAAATATTATCGAATTGATTTTATCGATTTTTTTAAAATTTCGATTATTTATTCATTCATTTCAATGTCAACTGAAAAGGAAATTGGCGTCTTAGCCAAAGAATTAAAGGCTAATTTAAAACAATTTCCAAATTTCCCAAGTGAAGGGATTTTATTCGAAGATTTTTTACCAATCTTTGCTAAACCTGAATTATTTCAAAAATTAGTTGATGCCTTCAAATTACATGTTGGTGATGCTAAAGTCGATTATGTCGTTGGTTTAGAAAGTAGAGGATTCTTATTCGGTCCAACTTTAGCCTTGGCTTTAAATGCTGGGTTTGTACCAATTAGAAAACCAGGTAAACTTCCAGGTCCAACTTTCCAAGTTGAATTCCAAAAGGAATATGGATCAGATAAATTCGAAATCCAACAAGACACTCTTCCAGCTGGTTCCAAAATATTGGTTGTCGATGATATCTTAGCTACTGGTGGTAGTGCTTTTGCTGCTGGTGAATTGGTTAAGAAATCAGGAGCTGAAGTGGTTGAATATTTATTCGTTATGGAATTAGATTTCTTAAAAGGTAGAGATAAGTTGGGAGCTCCAGTATTTACTTTATTAAGTGGTCAAGATGAAAAATTCAAAGATTAAACTTATACATGCATGTTTTTATATTCTTTAATTATATTAAATTTTTATAGCTATTTATGAAATGTATTCACCATAGAAATGTTAAACTATGATATTATTATTATTACGTATATGTACCAGATGTATTATTAACAATCTCTTTAATTACCTTCTCTTCATCATCATCGTTCCGTTATAATACAATTTAGGAATCAATCCATCCATACAACCATCTATCCACTTTTAAATATTAAGAAAGCTAATTCTCCAATATAAAAATAAATAAAATAACCTTGTTCATGAGTAACATAACTACCAAAACTCTTTCCAACGATGACATGCCACGTTGGGCCATAAAGATGATCTAATTCCTTTTTCAAAAAGGTAGCTATATCTTTCTCTATCTTATATGATAATGCTTGTTCTGATAATTCAAATATTTTAGCTTGTATCTCCTCGGATAAATCAGAAGCTTTTAACACCGCTAGAAAAGTATGAAGAAAGTTAGTAATCAATCCAAATTGGTTAATGTCAATCGTTAGACTTTTTTGAAACTATACTTACGAATCAACTTCTCATTGTTACCTGACATTGTTGATGATTGATCGTGGTTTGTTTACTATTATGATATCAAATCATTTGTTTAGATCAACTAATTTTTTGCCTGTAGAGATTTTTTTAAAGTGCGGGATTGCTAGAATTAGCTAGTACTACTGCAAAAAATTATATATCGTGAGCTAAAGAACATATATTGTGAAAGAAACAACCCATATAAAACAATACAAAGAATAAAAGACTTACTGAATATAATCGGTAAGCAGAGAGAATTTATATGACTATAAGGCAGCTTTCTCATAAGTTAACTTATTAGCTAAAACATCATCTCTGAATTGATCAACCCCAAGTGCACTAGTATGACCCCAAGGTTTTAAATGATTTTCATTATCAATGGCCTTAGCAAAACAATTGAGCCAACCAGCTCTGGAATAAGTCTTGTTAACTAAATCCAAAGTATCTTCATGAATCAAATGATGATGTAAACCAACATTATCTAAAATGGTTGCAAGTTGTAAAATCAATCCAAGAGTGGTGATATAACCTGATTCACCTAAATCTTGATGTCTAATAATAGCTTCAGCCACAGCATCAGCATAATCTTGATCTTTCGTTTCTTGAAATACTAAATCTCTGGAAATAATCCCTCCATACCATTCAAATGATAATTTTGTTGCAGCCATATTTTTATCAGTAGTAGCAATATCATGTAATAAACTAGTAACAAATACCACTTCTAAATCCAAATCCCATTGAGGGAATTGATCATGAATTATGGCTTTACTGTATAAGTAAACTCTAATTGAGTGGTTTAACACTTGAGGTGGTAATTCTCTTTCAACATATTTCAATACATATTTAGCTAATGGTGATGAAGGAAGACTGGTGTCCTTTAATGGAGTTGGTTTGACGGGCTTTGGAAGAGCCAAAGTAACATCTCTTGAAATCTTTTCGAATCCGTAGTTAGACATAATTGGTGGTTAATGGTATTGATGGTTTAAAGTTAAATCAATCGATGGTAGGTGATATGTGATTCACTGAGGTTTAAATAGATTTTTAATATTGATTTTGAAAATGGCGGGGAATGGCACTAACTTTTTTTGCGGCCTTTGCATTACTAATTAAATAAGGCCTTCTGGTTGCGATAATTTACCAAAATGACTAAATTTACCGCCAATTTTTTATATTCAGTATTACAAGCAACGAATTGCTAACTTGGTCATGGTCATTGTCATTGTCATGGGGAACCGGCCCATAACTGGCCCGCCGTGCCACCCCACCATGCCATATGATGCTTAAGTCCAACAACTTATATATAACAATGTTTAATAATTCATCATTAAATCATAGCCCCTAAAAGTCCCACTAAGAAAAAATGCTTTAGAGGCTGCTCGCTGCCTAGCTAACTCGCTAACTGGTACGTACCATTAACTTTTACTGTCTCTCACTGTCACTGTCATTTAATTTTGCACCATACAGGACTGTGTTTATATGCAGTATTCCCTTTTTTAGCAGTGGAAAATCAAATTACGATTTGAACAGAGTCTAAAAGCGTTAAAGGTTAAATCCAAATGGTTAATTCAGTTTGTTAAGCAATCATTGATAAATTGTGAGTTATATCTAATTGGAGTCAATTCGTATCATGTCAGAGGCCCATGCTTCAGATATATCGACTCATTTTTATAAATTGGGTCATTTAGGTAAAGTCAATTACTATATTTATACCTCCACTACCAATAATGATCAATCTTTATTAGAGTTAGAATTGACAATTCGTTATGAACATCCAAAGTTATTAATAACTTATTATAACAAAAGTTTATATTATTTCACTTTCAATGACGATTTGATTATTAAACATGAATCCATTGATGAAAATGATGAAGAAAAAAGTAATAAAGATAAACCATTGGATTTGGAGAAAGCGTACCCCAATCTTCAATTAAAGCATTCAAGTACAGTATTAGCAGAAAATTTATCTTATCCCCCAAAATCAGGAGTTGGTGTTGAACCCACTGATGATTTCTTACCCTTTGCCAATATAAGTTTCTTAAAAGCTGTTAAAAAAATGGTATTTTTCAATCTATCAACTCAAGGTATACTTAAATTATTTGGTAATCATAGTGTTTTAGTTACAGATTCAAAACGGTATACTTTGATATATATGGATCCGATATTATTATCTAATGGAGATTTATTACTCTCCATTATTCAAAAGGAATCTACTAATCTTTTTGAATCATCAATTATTGAACCTGATCAAAATGGTGAACTTACCATCGAATCTAATTTTGTCATTTATCTTGTTCCAAGTGGGATAAGATGTCATTTATTCGACCCTACAGATTTAAATAAAAACTTCATCCTGAAGAAAATAACTGAAAATGATAGTTTACTTCATTTATTAAAACTTTGTACGGGTATTGATTATTCAAATGATTCTGAATCAGAAATAACTTGGATTAAATTAGTCCCCAATTTAAAACATCTAAATAATCAAACATCTCCTATCTCAAAGTTCATCCATAGTGTCGATAATAAAAAGTTTATACTATGGCCATGGAACTTATGTTTATTACAATTTGGTAAATATGAAAAACATAATTATGATAATTTGAATCAACTTCAACAACAACATCTTCAAAATTCAAGTGACCCCTTATCACTTATTTCAGATCTCCTTGACTTTAATATATCTCGAAATCAATCTCATCAACTTCAACCTCATCAACCTCAACCTCAAAGTACTCATCCTTATAGTATTTCCAGTGTAGCATCTTCATTGGGTGGTGGTATAGGATCAGTTGAACCTAGTACAATACTTGAACAAGATCAACAAAAAGATCTCATGGAAATTCATGATATCACCACTCCTATGGTTCCTGAAATGTTCCCTATTCCAAATCCTGATGCTAGCTTTTTCAATAAGAATGATAATGTAACTGCTATAGACTTTGAAGAAGATAATAATTATGAAAAGAAAGAAGATGATGAAATGGAAATTGATGATTTATTTGGGGATGATACCAGTGAAAACAATATGGAAACGAAAACTCCTAAAGAATTGGATGAGGAAAATGCTGGAGACAATATTAATTCTATTTCATCTAATGAATCAAAAAAGAGAGATGATTTTCCATTATCGATTGATAATAATGTGGCTCAAGAACTTGATGATCTCTTTAATACATCCAGTGTGGAAAACATTGATGTAACCACTATCAAAAATGATGATTCAATTGGTTTGGGCATTTCAAATCAACAAGAAGATAATAATAGTCAAGTATCAAATGGTCGTAATAATTCAATCAAACCTTCAAGCTTTTCTTATATTGATATTCCAAAAGATCAAATGACAATCAAACGTTTAAATACACCAGACTATGATGACCCAGGAGCACCTTTACCAATAATGCCTACTCCGAATATCACTCATACTACATCTGCATATCCTACAAATCCTCCCACTGCAGCACCAGTTAATAACGAATATCCTGGCTCGGGAGATGATAATAATAAGCCATTACCGCATCAATCTCAACCATTGACTCAAAAATCTGTATTTTCCCCAATTTTATTTAATCCTATCATTAAGAGTAATATCGATACCAAGTATGGTAAAGGTGGGAAGTTTTATGTGGATAAAGAAGTATCAGTTGATCCTGATACTGAAAATAAATCAAAAATGCCGAGAGCAACAAGTGTAAGTGGGTTTGATAGGCCTTCAAGAAAAGATATTCTTGAAGATTATAAATTATCTCAATTAGAAAAGTCAGTAGTCATTTCCGATGATTCCCAATCATCAGCTTCAGAAGAAAGTGATGAAGATGAGGATGAAGACGAAATCATGAAATCACCACCATTAAAATTAAATACAATGAATGAATCATTCACAAGTAGAGCTAATGCCACTATAAATGGTACCTCTGGTATTCTTGGTGTACCTGTTGGAATTACCAATTCCAATGATAGTAGTAATTTTGGTCCATTAATCAATAATAATGATAAGAATCTGCTTGGGTTTAGTAATTTCAATACGGGAGGATTTGCATCACCAAATACAACCAGTATAAATAGACTTCCTTTGTTAAAGATTGAATCTCCATTTGCTACCGAATTACATCAAGCTATTTCTCCTATGGATTACGATCGAGTTAATTCTCAAAATGCTCAACAATTCACTCCACCCCAAATAACGACATCAAGAAGACTTAGTGCATCGGATGATTCATTAAAGAGTATATCAGAATCGTCCAACTATTTACCCTTGATATTGAGAAATATTAACGTCTCAAGTGTTCCTAATACATATTATGTTAACAATTTAGTATCAAAGAATATCCTCACCAATTTCAGTATTAATGATGATGAGAATGAAAATGATTTGGAGCTTGTACAAGATAACGAAATGATTGTTAATAGAAGTCATATCAATGAATTATTGGATATCTTAGTTCCTAATTTGGTATTTGATTTGAATCAAAGTAAATCAACCTTGCCAACTGATTACTATGTCGATAGTTCTTATATGTATAAATTTGAAAAACAAGAGGCTGATGAAGAAGTTATTGAATTTAAGAATGCTAGTTTTTCATTTGAACATAAGTTTTTCGAAGTATTTCCTTACTCCTATAGAGTACGTCTTTCCGAGTTTTTATTCGATTATAAAGAATTGGAAACTACGGATGAATTGGATCGACAACTTGGATTTTTAGAAGGTATCACAGACGACGATGTTGATGTCTTGAATCCAAAAGCCCAATATAAAAAATTAAAGAGTTTAGAATGGAATGGTATCTTATTCGACGATAAGACACAGATAAATTTCGAAAAGTATAAAGTAATCATTGATAAGCTTAATTCAAATGTTCTCAAAATTGAAGATGTTTATTTCAAACTTCCTCCAGTTAAGACTAAAGTCTTGAAGAATAATAGTATTGTGAACTTGGATAGTTTGGGATTAAATTATTGGAAATATTTAAATTTCAGTCCTATTAAAGCAGAAAAGAACTTTCAAATTCTTTTGGTTGCCGAAAATGATGGAAGTAGATCATTTATGGATTCGTTCTTGAATATGATTATCCACAACTATAAAGAATGTAATTTTGGAACCATTACTAAAGTTAATCTTTCTACTGTTGACACTAGACCGGATCTAGATAGTATTACTAACGGGGTTTTTCTTGTGAACAGAGAAGGTGAACAATCATATAATGATATTTATGTTCAACTCAATAAGAAATTGAATTCACTTGTTGAACTTATTAAATTGGATCTTATAAACAAAACAAATAATTTTGAATTTGACAGACCTTTATTGTTGTTCTTTATCAATTTTAATGAAAAGATGAATTCATTACTTCAAATCTCCAAAATTCTTAGGAATTTCAAAGTATCCTTGACAAATCATCAATTACCACTTGTTCGAGTTTTTACAAAGATAATCTCAGGTGATTTTATGGCAAAGAAACAAAGAAATCAAAGTAGATTGAAGATATTGTCTAATTTTAAATTAACCAAACTTTCCATGAATTTATATAATCAATGTCCAAATGATTTGGCTAATAAAGAACTAGTAAAGAATAACTATACATTACTTGTTAAAGAACCACCAACAAAAATTCAGTTTAAGTTTATAAATGCAAATTTTAAAGAAAGCAATTTTAATGATGATATATTTTTACATTTAGCATATGAGAGGTCCATAGATAAGAATTGGTTTTCAGTAGCTTGGTCAGATCCTTTAGGCATGGTAAGTTATTCAAAGTCTTGGTATTGTGCTTCTTCTCAAGAACGTCCAAGTTCAGAAGGGACAGCTCATGATGTTGCTGGAATATGTGATCAAATTTGGGCAAAATCAAATGAACTCTTTAAAAAATTGAATGATGAATTTCATTCAAAGTCAAGTACACTTGGAGGAAAGAAGTTTTTGGTCTTAACAAGAGTTAATAATGTGATTCCTGATGATGAATTAGTTCATTGGAAGAGATTAAGTGTCAAGCATAAAGATGTTTCATTGATTGTTTTATCTGTTAGTAGTTCACCAAAATTGATATTCCAAAATGAATCAATAGTTCAATCTCAGAAACCAGATATTGATATCCATTCTGGAATTACAAACTCCAATATTAATAATTTCAATCTGCAATTTCAAAGCTCGGGTTCAGGTATAGATAGAGAATTCCATTTTAGAGCTCCAAGTTCTTCTAATAATGCTTCACCAAATACAAGTCAAAGTAACTTGGTTACCTCACCAAATGGTTTAACATTCCATTCACCACAACAATTCTTAAATGCTCCAGGAAACTTTTTGTCGCCCCTGGAACTTTTACCATCGCATAATTCTTCCAAATTTAATGATTCGGAGTATTTAATGCATGAATTAGGGTCAGATATAGTAGGTATTGTGCCTCGATTATCATTACCTTCATTTAACTCCCCAACTCGTCTTGGTATAAAAGTGGGGTATTTGTTAAAAGAATTGTCTTCTCCAAAAGCAACTTCTAAATTAAGTGATTATTTGATGTATGAAGTCACTTTACTTAGTTGTTCTAATTACTGGGATTTGGACCTGTTAATGAAGTTGCTTTTGAATCAATATAAGAAGCTTATTACTTTAAATGAGATTCTTGGTTTAAGAGATATTGATGGAAACATAGTTGGACCTCAACTGGACAATTACACCACTGAAGCAACTAAGACGGATCGTCTTAATTTCGAAGTAAAAGGATTAGTTCCATGGCATATTTCAGCAGTGACAAAGACATTAGACTATTTAGTGCACATATATGTAGAAGAATAGTTAGGGACTGTATATAGTGGTATATTTTTTAAATTTACAGTTTACGTAATATTTTTTCCAGGTTAAAAATCCAAAAAAAAGTCGTCAGTAATTTTCACCACCAAGTTATATTAAGCTTATACATCAGTGATACCTCTTGAATATTCAATCCATCAAGTTTAGTCCATTATCATGTCGGACACACATTTAAAGAGGGAAGCTAACGTGGAATCGGAGTTCGATTCTATCGATAACTCGGAATCCTTGAAGAGTGAGCAAGAATCAATCTCCAAAAAACGTAGTCTTGATGAACCTGAAAATGACAACGTCGATGACGAAGAAGATGGAGATCAAAACGGAGAAGATGAAGACGATGAAGACGATGACGAAGATGAAGACGATGTGGAATTATCAAGCAGAAAAAGAAAGAGAAGAAGAGCAAATCAGTTCATTGATATTGAAGCTGAAGTTGATGATGAAGAAGATGATGAATTAGATGAAGATGATGAAGAAGCTGAACTTTTAAGAGAACAATTCATTTCAGACGATAAAGGAGCTGAAGCAAATGAAGAGGAGCAACAAGATGATAGACTCCATAGACAATTTGATCGTCGTCGTCAAGAAGCAGAAGATCAAGATGCAGAACAACTTGCAGAGACTTTGAAACAAAGATATAGAAAGACCCATACAGTATACAGAGGTGATACTACCACAAGTGGAACTGTTTCTCAAAAATTATTGATGCCTTCTATCAATGATCCTTCTATTTATGCTATAAGATGTACTCCTGGTAGAGAAAAAGATTTAGTAAGAAGATTATATGATAAAAAGAGAACCTTGGAAAGAACGAATAATCCATTGGATATTTTAACTGTATTCCAAAGAGATGCCTTTAGAGGTTATATTTATATTGAAGCTAAAAGACCAGATGCTATTGACAAAGCCCTTTCTGGTATGATCAATGTATATATTAGAGACAAGCTTTTAGTTCCAGTGAAAGAATATCCAGATTTATTAAAACAAGTGAAATCATCTGATGTCGAAATTGTTCCTGGAATCTATGTGAGAATAACTAGAGGTAAATACAAGGGTGATCTTGCCACAGTTGATAACTTATCAGAAAATGGTTTAGATGTTCGTTGTAAGTTGGTCCCTAGATTGGACTATGGTAGAAATGATGAGTTTGACAGAGATGGTAAAAGAATAAGGCTGAAAGTTCGTCCATTACCAAGACTTTTTAGTGAACAAGAAGCTCGTACTTATGATGGTGAATCTCTTCAACCAGGAAGAGTTGCACGTAACTTTATCTATAAAGGAGAAGAATATGATGAAGGTTTCTTATTAAAGGACTTTAAGATCCAATTTATTCAAACGAAGGATGTTCATCCAACATTAGAAGAATTAGATAGATTCCAAAATAATGAAGAAGATGGTATAGATTTAACTGCTATTGCCACTTCTTTGAAGAATAAAAATCAAACTGAAGGTAAGCTGTCTTTCCAACCTGGTGATAAAGTTGAAATCCGTCGTGGTGAATTAGCAAAGACCGTAGGTTTGGTTGTTGAAGGTGCATTGAATGAAATTACTATTTCTGTTACTGATAGTGGAGATCCAAACTTTGACAACGAAAAATTGACAGTCCCTGCTGCTGATTTGAGAAAAATCTTCAATGAAGGTGACCACGTCAGAGTTGTGGAAGGTAAACATTTTGATGAAACTGGTTTAGTAATCAAGATCGATGGTGATTCAGTAATTCTTGTAAGTGACCAAACAAAGGAAGATGTGAGAGTTTTTGCTAATTATTTAGTTAAGGCAACTGACGCCACACTGACTATGAATGCTATAAATAGTAAGTATGATATCAAGGATTTAGTTCAATTGAATGTCTCTTCAGTTGGTGTTATAGTTAGAGCAGAAAGAAGTTTCTATCAAGTATTGACCTCGGATGGTAGATTAGTTGATATCAAACCATCAGGTATTTCTGCAAAGTTGGAGTTGAGTCGTCGTGAACAAGTAGCTACAGATAAGAATGGTTTCACTATTTCTGTGGGTGATACAGTTAAAGAAGTGTTAGGAGATAAGAAAAGAGAAGGTGTTATTTTACATATTTATAAGAATTCCTTATTCATAAGTCTGAGAGAGATACTCGAAAACTTGGGTGTATTTGTGACTAACAGAATGAATGTTACTACAGTTTCAACTAAGAACTCAATGGTTTCAAAGAACTTGGGTCCAGATTTAAATCGTATGAATCCAAATTTGAAACTTCCTTCTGCTGCCGTTAATGCTGCTCTTCAAACCAAAGCTGGTGGTCGTGATAAGTTATTATACAGAGATGTTGCTGTAACGACTGGTCCATACAAAGGTTTAAAAGGTAAAGTGGTTCAAGCTGATGAAATTTATGTCAGAGTTGAATTACATACTAAGAGTAAAAAGATCAAAGTCGAAAAGCAAGGTTTACAAGTTCTTGATCGTGGTGAATGGGTTCCATATCTTAAGTTTATTGGTGCCTCTGTCGAAGAAACAAGAGATTTCAACAGACCAAGAAATCCTGCGTTCAACTCTGGAGAAAGATCTGCATGGAATGGTGGTGTCACCCCTGTTGTTGGAGGTGGTGCAGCCTCAACCTGGGGTGGAGATACAACTGCTTGGTCAGGTGGTAAAACCCCAGCTTATGGTAGTCAATCTACTTGGGGTGGTGCATCAGCTTGGGGTGCAAATGCTGGTGGTAACTCAACTTGGGGTTCAAAAGGTGGAGCATCTGCCTGGGGTAATTCTAGTACTGGTGGAAATTCAGGAAACAGTTCAACCTGGGGTAAAAATAGTGCCACCAGTAACAACGGAAATAGTTCTACTTGGGGATCTGCCAAGGGTGGTAACTCTACTTGGGGTTCTAACAAAGGAGGTAGCTCCACTTGGGGCCAAGGTGGAAATTCTACTTGGGGTTCTACAAATGGTGGAAGTTCCTCTTGGGGTTCCCAAAATAAAGGAAATAGAAGTAGCTGGGGTAAGCAGTAATTTACATGAACACTTCTTGTTCTATTTGTTTTTGTTGTATATTAGTAAATAAAACTTAATCTTTCGTATATATGTATAATAAAAGGCTATGCGTTCTCACATCCAGGACAATTATGTAGAGTCTCATGAACGAAGACGTCACAATCAATACAAAAATCATTTTCACATTTCAAACATCTATATCGTGAACTAGTTAATGCCTCTAAAGTATCTTTCTTTTTGAGTTTTGACGAAACACCCTTAGGAAACTTTAACAAACAACCGAAACAGTGTAGACTTTTATATGTAGAACTGACTGGGACCTCCTTATAAGGTGATAATGGTATTAAATGATGATATGAACGTGCCAAATGAGTAGAAAGGATCAACATTAGGCCACAAACTGGACAAATTGTAGGCAAATTTGTGACTTTACTTTTACATTGAGGGCATTGATAACCTACAGCATTAGTTAATACTGTACTTACTGGATTTGAATTATTGTTATTCACTTCAACAACCTGTCTAGAGTCATCGGAACCGTGTGTTGGATCAGATGCACTTAGTCGAGGAAAATCGATTGTGAATGTGGCATTATTCAAACTTGATGTTAAACTGGGTTGAATCTTGCTAGGGAATCCCATACGAATCAATGGAACTCCTTTAGATACTGTCTTTTCGACTTCTTTTTCCTTTTGAGTTATTGGTAACGGCGTAACACAATCCATTAATAACTCTTTGAAGTGTGATTCATTCATAATAATACCATAGTTTTTAGAAACCATGTTTTTCTGTTGGTGATTTGTTCTATTAACCAACTCTTGACAAATAGCCACTTGAGCTGTCAAACCAATAACTTTTACCCTGATTTCATCTTTAACTACACTCTCGATGGTCCTATGTATATCCCCTGGATCACTGGTAAAGATAGATCCAAAGATGACTAAAACTTCCTTCGAGTTTTTTGTACTATTTGTATTATTTCCAAAATTATACTTCAACAACGATCGAGCCATCTCTAACGCATTTTGAAGTGATGGTTCTCCCTTTGGTTCATATTTATTATGCTGTCTGGCTTTGACCTGTCTGATTTTATCAAGATGATATTGTGGTGATCCATTAACTTCACTAACAAGCTGAGCGACACCATTTCTCATCAAAATTATACCCAATTGAGAGATTGGATTTTGATCGAAGAATTCCACAATGAAGTCTTGTATAAGTGATAATGTCATGTAAAATCTGGATGGTCTTAAATCTTTTTCAAGCATTGCCAATGACCCATCTACGATCAATATTAACGTTCTGATGATACCCCTTTGAAACGGTGTGCTAGGATTCTTCATAATCTTTTTCTTTCTATTTTCGATCATTGTTTGAATCACTAATTCTAATGATCCTCCATTGTCGTTATCCTTAACTATATCCCATGATCTTTGATATTCATCTTCCCAGGCATAACCATTGGAACCTTTCAAGTCACTGATCTCCGTTCTTTTGGAACGAGTTCTTCGAGACACCCCATCATCATCATCATCCAGACCTTCTGGTTCATTGGAAGAAGGTCTTGGAGATGGAGATTCCGTTTCCTCTACTGGTTGAGAGAGGTATTCTTCATCTGAGTCATCCATAGTTTACTTATCCTTAACCTAGTAATCTTCATACCAGTTTTTAAACTTTTGAAAATTTCTTTATGGTTAGAGTATCGCGCGCTACATTTTTTATGCTAAATAAAGATACCATTTGTATTGTATGGTAGCGATCTGTCTATTAATTATACTATTTACTCTGGAGTTAGATGTCTTTTCTTATTATTGAATTTTCGAATGGCTTTAGTAAAGTCTATGGTTGAATCATCATTTATATCATAAAATAAATCATAAAACTCATTGAGTTGCTCCTCGTCTATCAATCCCAATTCATCTTCTAAGAATGGAACTTCTTGAAGATTTTTCAAAGAGATTAAATCCTTTAGTCTATAAGCTTTATGTGGGATGGGGGTGATTTCTTGTTCTTTGTTTTCTAATATATCTAGTCGTTGTTCACCATAAAAGTCCACAAACTCTTCTTTGGTCAAATTGAAAAGGTTTGGTGGGTATAGCTTATTTTCGATATCTTTATTCTTCTTGATCTTTGGAACAGGTGCTGATTCATTTTCTTGTATATAGAAGTTCCTTAGTAACTGAATTGCCTCTGTTCTAGCAATACCTCCTATACTCTTATAAGGTTTATCAACTAAGAATGTATCCTTGTGAACAGAAAGAACAGTTCCATTTCCTCCAAATCTATCATTACTACACCCATATATCACTTCACCAATACCAAGCTGTCTTAAGAAAGAAGCACACATAATGCATGGTTCAACAGTGACATACATAATGATATTCAGGAAATCTATATCTTTTGAATGTTCATACAACCGTTTTACGGCAATGAATTCAGCATGTTGTGTACCATTTAATGATGAATTTGTATAATTATAGCCAATGCTTATGATCTTATTCAGTTTCTTGTCCTTTAGTATACATGCTACCGGAGTCTCACTTATCAATAATGCTTTATAACCTATGAAAAGGCTAATGGCCATATCTTCAAAGCTAGTGGTAAGATCCATCATGATTTGCCTAAAATGGCCATATATTCATAAAGATTTAAGTTGTATGATTTTTCATGATAATTTTTTTGTCGCAACCTCTTTTTCTATCACACATTTAACAGTTTGGTTGTTGTCATATATATCATGAGTGATATACAGAAGGCATTACTCAAGAGAATAAAACAGCAAGAGCAGGCCATGGGTCTCTCACTGTTGTCAGAAGAAGCAGATTTTGAAGAAATCGATGAGGAAGATACACCCGCTCATGAAGATGCAATTGAGGATTCTTTCATAATAAAGAAGTTTACAGAATTCAAAACCAACTTCTTTGATGTCATAGAAAGCTACGATCATGAATCATTGATATCCCAGACGTATTTCAAACGTCCTCTGTCGAAAGAATCCCAAATATTTGTTTTGATCCATGGTGCTGGTTCATCATCGATGACATTTGCAAAATTAGCAACAGAATTACATAAACTAGATAAAAGTGTTGGAATATTCATTTATGATTTAAGAGGTCATGGTTATTCATCACCATCAAACGATTTCTCAATTGATTCTTTAGTTGATGATCTCCATAGTGTGTTAACAGAATTCGTCAACAAGCATAATCTACAATCTAATTCGTTATATATTGTTGGGCATTCTTTAGGAGGTGCTGTCATGGCTAAGTTTTTGAGCCAAGAAAGGAAAGACTTGAACGTGAGAGGTGAAGTGATTTTAGATATAGTTGAAGAAACTGCTGTTAAATCATTAATTGCCATGCCACATTTTATTGAAAAGAGACCTAAAGTATTTCAATCGATTTCTAAAGCAATTGAATGGCATATGAATTATTTATTATTCAGTAGAGAGTCCGCAAATTTAAGTATACCTGATTTGTTGAATCCTGATTTAACATGGAAGACGGATTTAGCATTGACTCAACCAGCTTGGGAAGGGTGGTTTGTGGGTTTATCTAAAAACTTTCTTTCTTTTAAGGGTCCAAAGTTATTAATATTATCAGCACATGAAACTCTTGATAAGAATTTAATTATTGGTCAAATGCAAGGTAAATATCAATTGGTTGTCTTTCAAAATAATACTGGTCATTTCATTCATGAGGATTTACCTACTCATGTAGCGCATAGTTTATTAGATTTTGTGAAAAGAAATGAAAATCCTGATAAGTTTATGAAAGATGAATTAGGTATAGTTCCTAAATGGGGTGGTAAAATAAACAAATGAAAAAAAAATTCAAACTTGTATATATAAGTCTATATATAAATAATATCTAATCAACACTGATATTGTTATATTTAATTTCTTTTTCTCTTTCATTGATTTGACTAACAACTTCATCAATTTTCTTACTAGCAAAAGGGAATCTTGGATTAATTAAGAATGGTCTTAAATCAAATCTGTTATCATCAGGAGAATATTGTTCAGCATGATAAGCTGGGGTCATTGTAGTCATCTTATGTCTGTTGATGGCATAGAAGAACCAGAATCGTTTGACCTTTTCAGCCACTTGCTCAGCAGTAAGATTTAAAGGAGGTTGTGACCATTCATGATATAATTTAATAAACATTGCTAAAGGACCACATTTTTCAACTTTTCTTAATCTTCCAAATCTTGATAATTCATCATAAGACATACCCATATCAACTTCATCACTTTGAACATAATTTTCAGTGATTGGTTCTAATTCAGCCGTAGGGGTAGCAGTAATGAATTCATGTAAGATAGGTAATTCAAAATTAATTTCCGCCCATGCAATAAATCTCTTTAAATCAGTCTTGGAAATACCCCCAATTGGATTTATATCAGCAGATGAACAATCATATTTGGTTAAATATCCTCTTAAACATTCATCGACATTGGCACTACCCAATACTAATAATCCACCTGATTTTTTATTTCTCGTCCAAGGTAATAATTGAGCGAATAAATAACTTATTACCATTCTTAATCTTGCTTGAATATTTTGTAATGCTAAATTTTCGGTTTGACTACCACCAAATATCTTAAAGATTGGTCTTTTCCCAGTTGCAACTTCAAATGTGGTTATGACTGCACTTACCAAAGTATCCATATTCATATCAACATGATATGAACCAACTTTTCTAGCTAATTCCTTTGCCCTGTATCTTGTTTCCTTTGATGAGTTTTCAGTACCCATGAAACTAGTGTAAAATAATCTTTCAGCAATTTCTTGTGGTTTGGTTGGAGTAAATTCAGGATCATGAGTTAAAGCTCTTATATCAGCTAAAACTTGTTTATCATTTATTGAATTAACCACCAATCTACACATCAGATGAACAATGACAGCAGTGGCACAAGAATCAATTCCTCCACTTAATGGTAAGAAATATCCTCCTGTTTTTGATCTTCTTAAATAATCCCATAACCAACATGCTGGACCCAATGCTATTTCTTCTTCTGGTAAATGATATCTGATGGCTCTAGTGGCAGTTGGAACGATATGGGGATTGAAAACATTTGAACTTGGTGATAATTCAACGTCACAATGGATTGCTTTGTAAGTATCTCTTCTATTGACAGATTGCATACTGGCTGATTTTTGGTTTCTGTATGATCTTACATCATCAAGATCGATGGTGGCAGAAATAACTTCAACATCTTTTAATGAAAATTGAGATGCTTGAGCTACTACACTTCCATTGACAATAATAGTAGCACAACCATCATAATACAATCTATCCCCATCACAACCTCTTTGATTGGCATATAAATAAACACCACCACATTTCTTGGTAGCTTCTGAGATTAATTCTAATCTAGTATCTAATTTTCTTAATTCATGATGAGAACCACTTGAATTAGTGAATATTTCTACCCCATCAAGACTCATATCAATATGAGGAGATTGAGGAGTGAATAATTCTTCACATGTTTCGCAACCTAATCTAGTTTCTAAAGTTTCAATAACACAATCTCCAAACGTTACTCTTAATTGACCGGTTAATTTAGCAATTGATTTAGGTAATTGATATTCTTCATAATATTTTGGTCTATTCCACGGCGTGAAATATCTCATTTCTCTATAATTACCATCATTAGCTAATGATAATTTTGGTCTAATCAACAAGATTTTTGAATTATATGAGATGACTCTACAATTATACTTGATAGATTTATGAATGATTGGAACCCCAATATCTAATAAGATATCTTGAGTATCAGGATGAGATATAATTTGACCATATATTTCCCATGAATGATCGTATAAGTCATTTTCACCAAAGTGATCTAAACAACCATATCCACAGATTTCTAATTCAGGACCAACTCTTAATGTTGCACCTTGATTCTTTGCTTCACGGATACTTTCAATGATACGATCTCTATTGCCTTCGAAATCCAATGCCCATTGATTAAGATTACAAGTGGCAATTGTTATGTAATGGCCCATGATAACGTTGTAAGCTGATGATGCTGCTGCTGCTGCTGCTGCTTTTATAACTACTCATGACTATGGTTTGACAGCTTAGAAATTTTCGGTAGTCCATTTTTTCCCACCCACTCACCTCTCACAAATGAGGGCCGCCGCTCTTTATTTGGATCGAAGTTTGACTGGCCCCACAAAAGCTAAGCTTAAATGTGTATTGAAAAGTATCTACAAATTTTTTATAATAGATAATTGAGATAAAGCTGATTAAACGGATAAAGAGTCAATCTGGATCCCGCTGGAATGACTATTGAGTATAGCAAATCATATCATTTTAATTTCTATAATTATCCATCCCAATGGTAAGGTATCCACTAGTTTAATTTACCAAGCAATCCATAGTTATAACACGGCATCCCGATTATATTGAAATTAATTGATGATACTCAATCCTATTATAAAACATGGTTTCATTATTCAATTGGTTAAAATCATATTGTAAAATGGTATTTTCCGATTTAAATGGGTCGGGGTTTCCGAAGGAACACATTTTAGTAGAAAAAATGATCATGTGACCCGTTTGATCCCCAAAAAATGATTGGGAGTTGATGTTTTTAAGTGTAATTTGTTCCGTCGGAAGTTATGAAACTTGCTGGGTTGTATACAGGATGCTGATAAGGGCTCTAATTAATGATAACTGGAGAAGTATACCAAACAAGGGTCATAAAGTTATAAATATACCACTAGTTTCTTTTCATTGACTTGTTATTTCAGTTCTAGATTCATACACAAATCATTAAACTAAGTCAATACTAATAATAATAATAATAATAAGATGCATAAAGTAGAGAAATTGGTTGTTACTCCATTAGCTAAAACTCCATTTGGTTGTTCAATTACTTTACCCCATTACGCCAATAATGATCCAAGTAATTTAAATGATGAAGATTTCAAACAATTATATGAAGCTGTTCTTACTTATTTAGTGGTTATTATTCCAGGTCAAGCTGAATTATTACCAAAATCTCAATATGTTTTAACCAAAAGATTTGATCCATCAATTCCAGAACCAAAACCAGAATCTGGTTTTGCTGGTTATGGTCATGGTAAAGAATTTAGACATACTCAATCTGTATTAAGAAAAGATGGTACCTCAGTTAAATCTCAACCTCAAGTTCAAATCTTAGGTCAAGGTGTATTTGAAGCTGATGAACCTGGTAATGAAAATGGTGAAACCATTAGTTTAACTCATCCTTCTCATACTTCTTTCCATCATAAACCTTTAACTCAAGATCAAATCAAAAATGAACATAGAACTAGATTCTATAGATGGCATATAGATAGTGCTTTATATGATTTATCTCCTCCTTTGATCACTACCTTATTAGGTATTAAAGTTCCACCATCGAAACAAACTCAAACTGTTGTTTATGAAGATGGTTCAGGTGATGAATTAGAATTAACTCAAGGGGCAACTTGTTTTGTTAGTGGTGCTATTGCTTATAAGAATTTAAGTGAAGAAGATAAAATCTTTGCTCAAAATACTACTGTTGAATATGCTCCTCATCCATATATTTTTATTTCACCTGCTGGTGCAACTTCTGATGGTTTAACTATGGTTAGTGAATCAAAAGAATTTGCCTTTGATAAATTACCTGAATGGGAAGAATCAAAGGTTAAAAAATTACCAATGTTATGGACTAATCCAGTCACTAAGGAACAACATTTACAATTACATGGTTGTTGTTTATATAAATTGCATACAAAACAAGCTGATGGTACGGTAAAAACCTTGGAATTAAAAGATGCTCGTGAAAAGGCTCATCAATTAATGAGACCATCAATTAGTCCAAAAGAAGTTTTACCCCATGCTTGGAGTCAAGGTGATTTAGTCATCTTCTACAATAGAGGTGTTTGGCATTCAGTTACTGGTGAATTCAAAGGACTTGGATCGGATGGTCAAGATGAAAGAAGATTAATGCATCAATGTAACATTGCCAGTGGTCAAGATCCTGTCTATGTTGCTTCAGCTTAAGCTTAGTATACCTTTTCATCTCTCTTATTTGATATTAATTCTATATTTATATACATACTCGTGTTTAGGAAAAATTTATGTTAAATGAAAGGTAATTAAATTAATTTTATTTGAAAGCATCTAGCTGTAATATCTAAATTATATATATGCCTATACGAGATGGTTTTATGCAGGAATCTCTTTTCTATTTTTAAACCTTGGTACGCGCAAAAAGTCGTATATACATATATATCAGTGGTGGCCATTTATTCTATACTTCTGCTCATAATCCTTTTGATATCTAACTGACTTCATCTCCTACAATGCAATACGTTGGTAAAGTGGGTGGCTACGTCTATAATCAATGGAGTTCATTGAATCCCGCCACTTTATCGGGAGCCATTGATATTATAGTGGTTGAACATCCGGATGGATCAATGCATTGTTCACCGTGGCATATTAGATTTGGGAAATTCCAAATCATTAAACCATCTCAAAAGAAGATTGATCTATATGTGAATGATATCAAAACTGATTTACCCATGAAATTGGGGGATGGTGGTGAAGCATTCTTTGTGTTTGAAACTGAAAATGGTGATATATTATCTCAATCAGTATTAACTTCTCCAGTTATATCACCTGTTAATTCTCCAGGTGGTTCGCCAATGAGTTCACCGGGTTATACTTATGATCTTAATAAATCAGAACCTGATTTATTGGATTTGAATGCTGGAAGTAACTATGTGGAGGATAAAATAAGATTAAGTGATTCTACTCCTATGACACCTATACGATCAAGAACTGGTACTCCAACTCCAACTCCAGCATTACAATCAAAGATTGCGTTTGAAAAGGCAAGAAAGATTACCAAAAAGTTGAATATTCCTTCTAAAATCGATATTAATGGTGATATGGTGTTAGATATGGATGGTTATAAACCAAATTCTCAAAAAAATATTGATGATTCAGATGAATTATTTAAAAAAATCTTCTTAGAAGAAATCAAAGATTCAACTAATTTCACTGATGATGTTGAAAATATGGAATTAGGTTCATGGGATGAATATATTAGTAAAGATGAAAATGGTAATATTAGGATTTTAAATAAAAATAGTGAACTTAATCTTGAAGATGATTTGGAAAATACAGAAGGTTTAATGGATGATGGTGTTTCCAGTATCAATACAACTTTACCAAGTATTAATACTGAAGATCTGGAACTCACTGATTCAAAGACTTATTTTAAAACTCTTAGATTAACATCAGAACAATTACAACAAATGAAGTTGCATTATGGAGAAAATCAATTAAAGTTTAAATTAAGTGAAGGAAACTCACAAGTAATTGCTCAATTATACTTATGGAAATCGACTACTCCAATTGTGATATCGGATATAGATGGTACAATCACCAAATCAGATGCCTTAGGTCATGTATTGAATTTATTTGGTAAAGATTGGACTCATCAAGGTGTTGCCACTTTATTTAGTGATATCACCTGCAATGGATATAATATAATGTATTTAACTGCTAGATCGGTTGGTCAAGCAGATAATACCCGTCAATACTTGGCTGGTATTTCCCAAGATGGAGGAATCAAATTACCTAAAGGTCCAGTGATTTTAAGTCCTGATAGAACAATGGCTGCGTTGAGAAGAGAAGTTATATTGAAAAAGCCGGAAGTTTTCAAAATGGCATGTTTGAGAGATATAAGGAGTCTTTATTTCCATTCCGATGATGTCAATGTTTCAGATCAAGATAGTGATCGAACTCCATTTTATGCTGGGTTTGGTAATAGAATTACTGATGCTATCAGTTATAGATCTGTTAAAATTCCATCTCATAGAATTTTCACAATTAATCCAAATGGTGAAGTACATATGGAACTTTTGGAATTAGCAGGTTATAAATCATCATATTTACATATAGGAGAATTAGTTGATCATTTCTTCCCACCTATAAAACAAGTTCCAATGGAAGCATATTGGAATGATGATCAATTCAATGATTATATAAATTTTAAACAAGCATATGATGCCAATCATCAAGGTGGTGATGGATCTCCAATTGGATCCCCAAGAGCTCCAGGGTCGCCCAGAAGTCTTAATGAAGAAGCTTTCATGAATTTCCGACCAGCAGATGAAAAATTTAATGATGTTAATTATTGGAGAGAGCCAATTAACTTTAGTGATATTAGTGATGATGATGATACTGATGAACAAGATATTCCCGATGCCCCTAAATCACCATCTTTAATGTCTATGAAATCTTTCACAGCTGAACCAACACCTGAATTATTAGATGCTACAATTTCTAGTAGAACTAGAAGTAGGTCAGCTTCACGAGGAGTACCTGCCGAAAGACCAACATCAGTTTCATCTTTCACTTTGCCACTTCAAAATTTTATGAAGTTTGGAGGCGGTGGAAATGACACTAATGATGAAGATGATGATGCAGATTATGCCGATGTTGTATTGGATAGGAGACCAACTGTGGAAGATACCACTGCTAGCGATAGTTTTGCTAGTAATAATGAAGAACTTGATGATGATGACGATGATGATGAAGACTATACAGATTATGAAGATGACTATGATGAAGATGAAGAAGAAGGGGAAGAAGACGATGATGAAGAGGAAAACGACGATGAAGATGATGACTACGATGAAGATGAAGAAGATGAAGAAGAGGCTGAAGAAGGAGATGAAGTAGAAGACTTTGATGAAGAAGAGGATTTGGATGAAGGTGATGGATTACCGGAAGAAATAAAGGAGACATCGGCAGTGCCTCCGAAAGAACTAGAATCGCATGAAAATCCCCATATTATAACTGCAAAAGAATTTAACACCCTTAATATTGATGACCAGACCTATTAAAGTAGCATATCATCGTTTACATACATAGTTTAATACAAAGAATAATCTATAAATACCACCATTAATTAATATATCTAATTGTTAACGCGTTATAAAAGAATCGAAATTTGCACCTAAAAAAATCCTGAGTCGTGTGCGATCAAACTTGTCTGAAAAAATCGAAAATTTTTGTAACAATAAAGAATCACCACAGATACTTTGAATTTCACATAACCAACTTTGATTCACCTGATTTCATATCATCTTAAATCTGATCTATATAGCGATTCCCAGTTAAATAAGATTCAAAAGAGAGTTTTTGAATGATCCTGGAGGGAAGTGTTCTATTACTATGCAACAACATCTGGCGTTAAATCCACATCAGTTGAATCATCAACCTCAGAATGTTGCGAATAGGTCATCTTTAAATAATTATAGTTCAAGCTCGAGTCGGAACTTCAGGCTTGATAAGAATGATGATTATGGTCATGAAAATAGTCATCAACATCATCGTCGATTATACCTGTCCAATCCATTCACATCTGCATCCACCTTCTTTCAAAATTCATCATTAGGAGATATCATTTCATTAATCTTCATTCTTTTATCATTACCACAAGCAGTATCTTTATGTTTAATAGTGATTTATATCGTCTTGGGATCTAATTTTAGAGGTGGTAGATTCATTATTGAATTCTTATTACTTCAAGAAATCCCTCAACCAGTAATAGCTGATTATAAAGATCTTAATCTAACCTTTTCATGGCATTTGGCTATAAGTCCAATCATATTCTTTTCCTTGAATTATGTGGTTCATAAGAAAAGTTATTTCAACTATATAATCATTTTATCAAAATCTATCATTTCAAGTCAATTAATAGGAACTTCATCCATAAGTTATATAAATACCATTAGTAATAAAAGAATGACAACAAAGGTTCAATATGATGACACCAAAAGGCTATTTAATAAACATCTCGTCAATTCAATCATTTGCTTTCTAGTGATAAGTTACTTCAATTATTTAATCAACTGGTTGAACTTATCATTTAAATTCATCAAATTCTACAATACCAATGTTGGTTATATCAATAATTCAACATTTCCTCAAGTAAGTAGTAAACTATACATCATCCTATGCATTCATATTATAACATCCACCTTTTATAAAAAATCACCAGTTGTACAAAGTTCAATTCCAAATATCACTGATAATGAAAATTCTCTGCAAACAAATCTTCAACATGATGGAGTACCTCATGGAAGATTGGTTGAAGTTAATTTAAAAAATACAATTCCATCCCTTTCAAATATCCAGCCTTCATCAAATTCTGTTGCTGGTAAAAATTTCGATAATTACATTATATCACCTTTCTATAATAAGTTAACTATTTTAAAACAAAGATTACTTAGTAATAATTCAAGTTCAAATATTATCACTAATCCAGGTAAAGGAGGTATTCCTGTCGTCAATATTAATGCTATCAGTTTCGATAACAACATTAACGGTACAGTTCAAATTTCTAATACTTCGGGTTCAAAATCATCTAATGTAACATCTTCAACTACCACTACTTCAAGTACAACTACAACTTCAACATCATTAACGACCACTACTATAGCTAATAATGTAACCACTGTCGAGTCTACTCTCGGAGTACAACCGTTTTGGTCTATATTGGCAGCAAGTAAAGCTATATGGAGAAATCCTAATTTATTTAATGGTGAACATACGAGACGTAAGAACTACTTGGATGATATACCGTCGTCTATCAAGCCATTTAATATCGTCATGTCGGTTGTATTAATTGATGATTCTAATATTGTATTTAAATTACTCAAAAAATCAGATACTATTAATATAAATGATTTAAGTGTTAATATTAATAATGTTTCCTGGTCCTTTTATAAATTCTCATTCGAAAATGATGAAACACATTTAATAATCTATGGATTATCTCCTGCTTTTCAATATGAAATTGATTTAATCTATAAAGAAGATCAAGTGGTACAACGGTTTTTGATAACCACTGAAAGTATAAATAATGATGATGAAAACGATAGTGATAGATTGATATTACAAAATGAGGCAGCTTCATTAACTACTTCACAAATTTCCTTGATTTCTACGTTAAGAAACTTAAATTCGTTAAAGTCAAAGTATAAAAAGTTCAAAAAAGATGAGCATAAAAGATTACTTGATTTAAAAGCTAGTATTGATGGTCTTAAGAATAAAATTGCCAAATATAACAAATCTGCTGGTAATAATGAAACCAGAGTCTTGGGCAAGATAAAAGGGTTGGAACATTCAGTAATTCAATTAGAAGCTGAAATTGAACAATTAAATACTAAGATTATTGATTTAACCTCTGAAGAAGGGAAAATTAAGAAAGATTTTAAAATTCAAGAGCAAGATTATATTAAACAGATTTCATTATTAGAAAAAGAATATGAAAATTATCTTGAACGAGTTAAGATTGAGAAATTAAAAATCAAATCTTCTGCGAATGATATTCAAGTATTAAGTGTTAAGAAACGGAAACTTGAAACCAAACATCAAGGAAGAGCAGATGAGGTCAAAGCTTTAAATAATGAATTAAAAGGGATTAAAAGAAATGATATTTTACTAAAATTCACTAAACGTATCAAGAAAATTAATGAGAAGTTTGAAACTATCTTACCAAAAGTTTTATCAGAAACTCAAGCTTTACGAGATGAATGTAATCAAGTATTAAATACATAAAAAAAGGTAATTAAAAAAGAAAAAAGTTTTGTTTTTGCTTATAATTAATTAATTTATGTTTTTTTTGTATATGTATCAAAATATATGTAAATATGGAATGTTATATATTACTCTATTTCTGATAATGTATCACCAATTTTATGAAATCCACGATTAAAGTAAATTATCCCTCCTGAACTTTTATTATCCTGTAATTTCTTCCCTATTATATCTATGACGTTAACTGCCCATATTTCATGATTATTAACTTCAAAATTTGCATTCACTTTACAAATGAATATTGTTTCACTATCATTCAATATCGGTATGGATATTTCATCATTGATTTTATAAAAAGTATAATCTTCATGTTTGGAAATCTTTGAGAATGGAGTAGTCATTTCATGAAACACTTCACCATCTTCATTCTCTTCATTAGTAGAGGCTAACTCAGTTCCAGTTTTATCTCGTTTAACTCCACTAGCAAATATTCGACAAAGATGAACTGATTTAGATGTAGGAGGTAATAAATGAATAGCAAGATATTTAAGATTATGTAAGGCACGAGATGTATATGATGGTAAGTGTAAATTGAACTCTAGTAAAGGGTTAGGATAAACAGCTAATGAACTAACTGATGATAATGTCATACCATGTAATTCATAATTTGAATTTTCAAAAGCTGATGTTAAGATCATAGCTTGAGAGCTAACTCCTCCCATACTAGATTTGAATTTTTCCAGTATGATAGTATGATGATGTTGATTCCATCGTATGGATTGTTTAGAAAATGCTCTTGTGGCAGTAATTAAACTTCGTTTCATAATGTTAATTTTCAATGATTATAGTTTTGCAATTATATACGGGTGGATCGATAAGTTGAAAAATTAAATTTAACCATATTTTAAAATCGGGCATTGAAAAAAAAAGAGGTGAGCCCCAAAAAAATAATTGAATGTTTTGCTTGCCCCAGAATTGGTCTGATTAATAGATTTGACCATGTCCAGTGTTACATTTGAGAACGTTATGGTAAATATATAACATCAGTCATGTATGATTGAATGTTGAACTTATTTAACCAAATTATTTATATTTTAAGGAAAAATATATATGTAAATCATCTTCCTATACGAAAATAAAGTTTATAATTATAATTTTGATGCAAATCTGTTCAAATAATGAAGAAAGTACACCATCTCCCATTTATGACTAGATTTTTGTAAACTTAAACTCAAGAGCAATTAAGCCGTTGAATGCTATTGTAAAAAGACAAACCAATAATCAATTGAACTCTAATTAAGGGCATTAATCATGAAATGATTGATTCCAATGATTCAAAAAAAAGAAGAGCTCCGCGACGGGGAATTGAACCCCGGTCTACCATGCGACAAACGGTAATTCTAGCCACTAAACTATCACGGACTTTTTTTTAAAATTTTTTCTGCGAATCCACGTGAGCCGACAGTATAAATCACGTGCAAATTTACACGTGAGAATTTTTCCGATAAAAATTTAGTTGAATTTGATCTTATTTAAGTATATTGAATGATATTTGGACCATAGAATGATATTATGATTTCATATAATCAAAGGAATATCATTTCCAATGATTTAAAATATTATTGTTGTATGATATAAAAAAAAATGACAACATGACCTTAGATAAGAATAAAAAAGCCGTAGTTGTGGCAACAATTGTCATAATTCTTAATAATTAATAGAGATATCTAGTATTTTTATCCATTATATTGAATTGAATTACTATACTTCCATAATATTCAATAACATTGTTGGTAAATCATCTATAAGTAGAAATTAACTATCTAATTATAATTCATATAAAAATTTATTTTTCCGGTCCCAATCTAACGTAAAAAATAATCCTTACATCATAAAAGTGCGAACAGCGAAGGTTTTAAACTAATGTACATAAAATTTACTATATTGTCAGAACTATTAGAAATCATCTATATGTTGAGCTACAATATTTGGATAACCCCAACATTTGAAACCTAATGGTTTGGCTAAATAACATAACCCTTCAGTTTCAATACCATCATAACCTTCGGGTCTATCCCAAGTAGTACCAACCACATAACTAGTTGGAAAAACAACTCCTAATTTAATAACAATCGATCTTACAAATAATACGGCACCACCTACTGAATCTAATTCAAAATTATAAGTTAAATCACCATGATGTTCTTTATATTGTTCTTGTTCCACGAAATTTTGGAAATGAAACATTTTTGGTTTAACATCCATTGGAACATAAGCAGCTTCATCATAATTATTTTCATCTAATAATTTTAATTGATGACTTGATGGTTTTGTTCTTTCACCTCTCCAACTATTTTTATCATAATCATTATTTCCCCCTCTTGCAACTCTTGGAACTATAATATCTTTTTTAGATTTTATAAATGTAGATAATACAATATCGGGATTATCAAATTTATAAATATCAGCATCTAAAAATAATACATATTCTTCATCACGTAATACTGATGAAGTTAAAAAGTTTCTATTCTTAGCAATTAATCTTCTTCTAAATCTTTGAACCTCATCTCTTTGTCTTGAATCTCTATCAAATCCCACATTTGCTTCAAGTTCAGGATTAGTTAAAAGAGTAACTTTAGATATAAAATCTAAATCATGAACTAAAGAATGGACTTTTTCATCAAAGAATGAAACTAATTCTCTAAAATCTTCTAATCCATTACATAAAAATCCAAATGAAATAGAAAATTGATCAACTGGTTGATGAGCATATAATGTATCAATAGTAGCAAACAAATCTCTAATGGTTCTATCTTTACCATATGGTGATTGTTGTCCAACATTGACAAGTATAAGTACGGTATCTTGACTGGTGGTATGTTTTAAATGGGATGATTTAATATACTCAATTCTTTTAAATGATGAATGAGGATGAGAATATTCAATTTTTTCAAATGGTGGTGGAGGTGGTGGTGCAGGAGGAGGAGCAGCAGCAGGAACAACAGGAGCAGCTTCAACCTCAAGAGTTTCAGGAATACTAGGGGGAATTGGTTGTCCATTTAATGGACTTTTAAGTATATGTGCTGGTTCTACTGCAGAAATGAGTTGACCTGAAACCAATTCATCTTCACGTTGATAAAAACTATAAGTTATTAAAAGAAGTAATGATAATGCCCCTAAAGCAGCTAATGACAATTTTCGAGGAAGACCTTTTGATCCGTATTGTGCCATGGTATGTTACTATTCAATTCTGAATGTTCCAAAAGGTCAATCCATATGTTTACAAGATTGGTTTAAATTTTTTTAGGCTAGATTCGAGGATAGGTTTCTTTATTTATGGTATTATGTCAAAAAGGATGTTTTAGATTTACACGTTTCAAAATTAATGCAGTGTCGTTTTTTACATTTATTTAATCACTTTTTTTTTTGTTTTTTTTGTTTTATTTTTTTTTTTTTTTGGATTTTTTTTATTTTATTTTATTTTATTTTATTTTATTTTATTTTATATTATTTTATTTTATTTTACTTTATTTTTATAGTTAAGTTTAATTTATTTGCTAACTTTTCTTTTGAAATTGACTAGGAAGAACTGGTATCGTCAACCAATAAAGATAGTCTTCTTTTTAGGTGAGAATATAACAGCATAAATCACGCTATAAAGATTAGATCCAATGAGTGGTGTCTCTTTTTCTACACTAACAGAACATAAAATGTTAAGTAGATAGATAACATATTTACGTTAAAAATGAAGTAAATGGTATGGTTTACGTAATATCGGTATTATTGACCTGACATTGAACATGAGATATTTTACCTAAAAAAGGAAGAGGGCTTCCTTTTTGCAAAGATAAGCCATTAGAGTAATTACAGTTATCTTTTTACAGTGGTTAAGTAAACTCTTAAGGTAATTCACGTAAATTTTGGTTATTTTTTAAGTTAATTGTGGGAGTTTTTTTTTTAAAATAATTATTTATTTAAAGTTAGTTTCCTATTTGTAATAGTGGATATGGGAAACAATGGAATAAATCTGATAAATATACCCATATTACTATTAAAAAATATAATAATGATAATAAATTTGAAAAATATTACTGAACACCAGATATAAATATTTGTACATACATGGGTACCTTTATTTAATGAGTTCATTGTGCTCAATTTATTACAAATTAATCTTAATCTTGGCAAAAAAGGGAAAGTTTTGGTCTCCCTCATATATGGACAACTTAAAATTATCCCAATTGCAAATCTGGGCAGAATATATTAAAGTATCTACTGAAGTAGTTCAATGTGGTAGCTTATATTTCTAAACCAAACCAAAAAAAAAAAAAAAAAAAAAAAGCATTAAAAAAAGCATGTACATGAAATCGAACAATGGAAAAACATAAATAAAAACGCTGCTGCTGCTGCAATTTATTCTTTCTTTCATTTTTCAAGCTACAAACATAAACTTATCGCATTTACCACATTTAATCTTGACGTGTGCCTTGAATATCTATACCTAGTGAGTAAGTTAAATCAACTTAAGTCAGTAAATGACAGGGTTGAATTACTCCCTAACCAAGGCTTTGTTCATACTTTTTTTTCTTCCCCTAGTCCCTTTCTTTAAATGCAAAGTTTCAAAAGATTCTTATAGCTCCCCTTGGTACAGATTTAAAAATAATTTATGATCTTTCTAACCAAAAAAATAAAATAAAAAAAAAAAAATAAATTATAATTTAAAAAAAATATTTCTCAAGCATAAAAAATAAATGTAAGCTGTAAAAATTGAGAAACAAAATACTAAAAATAGATCAAGAAACCAAAAAAAATAGTTCAAAGTACACGCATACCCGCCCCCGTGGCCTTTTGCTCCCATTTCCTGCACATTACTTGGACAAAATCTCTATCCAGAAGTTATAAACATGAGGTGTTTTAATAGGACTTATTACAGAATCAGAAGTAATGATTATAATATTTATGTATGCGATAAGGCATATCGATAAAGAATTCATATTTGTTGGACGACAACGACAACGACGGAGGACAACTAATCTAAGCCGGAAGGGGAAGATTCTCCAATGACAAGCTTTTTTTTTTCTTTTTTCTTTTGTTGAAAACGTCTCGTTAGTCATATTCGTCTACTTCCACATTATCTCTATCAAAGGTTAAACCTTCCCATTGGTCGATCATTCTGAATCGCACGAGACAGAGCTAGATCATGATGAAAACTCGTAAACTCACTTAAACTTAAACTTTTCTATGGTTCCTTACTTTATTTTTTTCAGGTGCGGTAATTTCATATAAATTATTATATATACAAATAGATACAAATTAACAAAAGATTTACTCGTTGTAACATATTTTTACAATATTAGTGTATACACAAACTTTGTACAGGATATAGCTTAACCATCAAATTATTAGCTATAACTCACCCACCACTCGACCATTATCACCTTCTTCTCCTAACCACCATTCAATATAACAACTGAAAACATAAAAAAAAATATCCTTGAATTTTAAGGTTTTGAGAATAATTAAGTTAATTATACAAAAATAAAACCACCCTTTTAGCTAAACTCTGTTGTAATGTAATGTAATGAATTTCACTTGCCATACTATTAAGTTATATTCACAATGGCTTAGTTGAAATATCACTTCCAATTTCGTAAAAATCATTTAGTTCTAATTGAAAGAACGCCAAATGTTTTTTTTTTGTTTTTTGGATGAATATAAGCCTTATTATATCGTATCACAAAGTGCAGTAACATTCATAATAGTGGAGAATGAAAAGGATACTATTAACATGATAAAACAAATGGAAAATACCCTCAATCTAATTGAGTAAAAGTTGAGCAAACATAAAAAAATAAAATAACAAAATCTAGTAGAATTGGAATATAATAAAATAAAATAAAATTGGATAAAATAAAATAAAATAAATTGGTAAAGTTAAAATTAAACATAAAACTTTGCAAAAGATAAAATGAATGATAGAATCCCACTTGTACTTAAACAACACGACTCTTTGATGGTTCGAATGGGAAAAAGAGGGCTAAGATACCAATGATTCCAACAAAGGCACCACAGATCCAAATTGGTACTTGAGATGAAGTATTTGAAAAATAAGCAATCACTGGAACAATACAAGTGGCAACTCTAGTACTTGCAACGGCAAGAGCATTACCAGTTGCTCTAGCCAGGGATGGGAAAACTTCGGGAGTATAAGCATATAATACAGCATAATAGATATAAATGGCAGCAAATGAAATTGATGATAAGGCAACATTTTGGGCTCTATTTCTAATAGCAGTATAACCAAATAAGAATGCCATAGCACTAACACCTCCAATACATAATACACCACGACGACCTAATCTTGGGAAGAAATAAATCAATCCACCAGCAATTAATGGTCCAGCCATTGAACAAACATTACTGATTAAATTATCACGGTAAACTCCATGAACAGTGGATGCACTAATATCAGCACCTCTAGTAGCTAAATAAACTGGTAAGAATGAAGAATATAATGGATAAGAAATACCTAATAAGAACCAAGAAATGAAAACCAAAGCAGTTGATCTAGCAATCTTTTTATTGGCAAAAAGAATACTTAAATGATGTTTAACTAAAGTGAAAATACCTTTAAAAGTTTGATGTTTTCTATAATCATCATTACAACTAATATCACCTAATTCAGTTAATTGTTCAAGAGTTAAAGAACATGTTCTATTATATTTAGTAGCAATTTCTTGTAAAACTTGAACAGCTTCAGCATCTCTATTATTTGAAATTAAAAATTTTGGAGTTTCTTTTAATCTAATAAAAGTAATACGACAAACAGCCATGAATAAAACAATACAACCATTAACATAATAGACATATCTCCAACCTCTATTAATATGAGATGGACAATAATCAGCAGATTCACAAGAATTGTTTGGTAAGAAAGCATAAGCTAATAAAACAGCCACAGTTTGACCAATACCCCAAAAGAAAGCAAAAAAAGTTAATAACCATTGATCTTTATGAGGTAAAAATTCTAAGAAAACACAAGTATCTAATACTAAATTACCACCAGCTGCAAAACAATAAAGGAAAACAAAAATACAATAAGATGCCATAGTTCCCATAGTACCAGTTAAGATAGTAAATATAGCAGAAAGGAATAATGAAAGATTAAAAGCAACTTTTCTACCGATTAAATCAGCTGAAAATCCCCAAAATAAAGCACCAATTAATAAACCGGCAGCTAACATTTCATTTGAAATAGCATAAGTATAACCAAATTGATAATTGATAAAAGTTCTAACACTTGATTCTAAATAAGTAATTTGAGTATCAGTCCAATAACCCATACCATTTAAAAAGAATAATTTTAAATGATAAGGAGTAAAACCAATTTCATCAATAGCATCATTAATTAATTTCATTTTCTTAGCTAAAATATCATCATCACCTTCTAACTCGAACATATCCACGAGGGTACCCGATGATCCATCATCGGTTAAACTGTGGACTGAAGCGGAAGCACTAAGTTTAGTTTCAGTTAATTCGGGCATGATTGAAACTAATGATTATTAAACAGAACAACTATATAAATCAAGAAGAAACAAGTGAAAAATTTATGAAAAAAAAAGCAATCAAATTTTTAAATGAAAAAGTCCAAGAGTCAAAAGACTTTTGGTATAATTTTAAAAACATCTTTGTATATTACCGCATTTGGAACACAAAATTGCATACGATCCACAATTGTCTGAAATGGGGAAGACACACTTTTTAATTTAACTAATCCGGTTACTATAAGTGGACTGCATTTGACATGATGAAATGGAGCACGAGGATGGGGATCACGCGCAGAATCTCACGTGCTCATATTAGACATTTTTTTTTTTTTTTTTCTGTTTGTTCTGTTTCGGTAAAAATAAAAAATTTGGTGAGATTGGATGTATCAAGTGTAAAAAGCTATTGCAGTTAGTAAAGTTGGCGAAGTATCTGATTTTCTTAGTAGAACTGGTAGGTAATATTAAGAACTATATTAATTCCTTGTGAAAATGGCTAATAGGAAGCTACAGAAGTAAGTATATTTGGATTGAGGTCTTGGCCTCATCTCTCCCTCCCCCAATGAAACCTTATCACTAACTCATGAAATTATAGAGATATTGATATAATATTCAAAAAGATCCAAGAAGGTCTTCATGAATTCAACTATCATTACGAACGTTATGAAAGCATAAACACTGAAGATGACAGTGATAATCAACGAGAGAAGGAAAAACTTGAGAATGATTTGAAGAAGGAAATCAAACGACTTCAGAAATTCAGAGAACAAATCAAAATCTGGCAACTGAATGATGTAATAAAATCATTGGGGCTATCGTCTTCTTCATTGTCAAATAAATTGAATGACAATAAGAAACTAATAGAAGAAGCTATGGAAGTGTATAAAGATGTGGAACGAAGTTCCAAATTGAAAACATTTTCAAATCAATCAATCTTAATGGCATCCAAGGAAAATCATAATAATAGTTTTCGAGATGATGATGATGATGATGAAGATGAAGAAGATAGTGATGAAGATGATCTGGATGAATTCGATTCAAATGAAGAAGAAGATGATGATGAGGATTTACGTCCTGAATCACAAGAGATTGTTACTTTCCTAAAAGATGGAGTTCTTCAACTAAATAATCAAATTAAGAAATTAAATGCTGAATTTGATAAATTATCTCAAAAGAAATTAAGAAAAAACAACTTAAGTACCATTGAAAGTAAAAAGGAAAAGATTCAATCAACTGTAGATTCTCATAAATATCATACCAAGAAACTAGCTAAGATCATTAAATTAATCAAAGCCAATCGATTAGCTGATGTCAATGTTTGTTGGGTCATCAAAAATGATTTAGAGAAATATATTGAATCAAATGGTAATGATGAATTTGATAATGGTTTATATGATGACATTTTCAATCTGGTAACTATCGAAGAAGATGATTACGTCGAAGGTAATACAACTACCGAAATTTATTCAACCCCCGTAAAGAAAGAAAAAGAAGTACCTGTTATTCCAGCAAATGGAAATGGCCAATCTGAGATTAAAATTGCCAAAGTTGTTACCAACCAACAACAAGCTCCATCATCACTACCTCCAGTATCTACTTCACCACCACCAAAGAAAGTAATTAGTCCGGAATTAGCCAGTCCCGCCATTGTTCGTACTCTTAAACCAGCTTCAACTCCTATTAAACCAGTAGGTACAATGAAATGGTCAGCTGCAGCTGTCGCAGGGTTAGCAGATCATCCAAGTTCATCAAGTAGTAAATCACCGGAACCATCAACTACCTCAAGTAATGGTACTTCTATAACAAGTGTGGAAGAAGATCAAGTGAAAAAACCTGTTGAATCAACCATCGAAAGCAAATCAGTGGAACAACATCTTTCTATTATTAATGAAATCCAAGAACAAGATACTGTGAAATATTCTACTATTTTGAAAAATTCAGGAATTTCTAATGTTGAATTTAACTTGTTTAGTGATGTGAAATTAGTAAGTTTACCACCAGGAATGCAAGATTTAGTAGTATCTTTTACTTCTAAAAGAAACAAATCAGATGATTTCCAGTTGTTATATGATAGTCCAGAATTTAGTCAATATTCTACTCCAATTATTAAACCTTTCTTACCTGAAAATATTAATAATTATCCAGTTCAATTCTTAAAGTTACAAGCAGGTTGGAATAAGATTAGAGGACAATATGATTTTGAAGGGTTTGTAAAAGAAATTCAAACTTTGGCAACCAATAATATTCCAGAAACTATTCCTCAAATCAATGAATTGACTAGTATATTATTTTATGGATTTTATTATGGTATAACTCCCCTTGAGAATTTGATTGCAGAACAAAGTTTATTTAACTTAGGTTGGAAACCTTACAGATTACAAGATGTTGGACAAAATCCATTATTAACTTCTGTGAAGTCCAATAATTATTTCTTCTGGGTTAAACAAATTAGTTCTTTACCTTCTAATGATATCAATTTTGAATTTGGAGATTTCCAAATATTTAATTTATCAACTTGGGAAATCTTTGTTAAGAATAATTATAAGTTGGAGACTAGATTATTACAACTTGATCCCTCGATTAGCTTTGTATAGCATACATACATACATACATACCCCCCGTTAACCTGTACCCGTAAATTCACGTACTATTTTCAAATTCTATATAATTAGTAGGTGATGTAAGATTAAGACATTGAAACTCACTCTGTTCAGAATCAAGTAATTCTTCTGAACCTGAACCTTCAGAGTGGAGTACTTTTTCACTACTGAATGTAATCAATGGCGACGTACAAAGTTGAGAATAATCTTTTACTTGAGAGCTGTTAGAAGTGAATATACTATCTTCTTCATTAGGAATGTCTTCATTATAGAAGATCAGAACATTGTTAGAAGTCTTAAGAATTGGCATCATCATTTTATCATAACTAGGTAGCGACACAATCAGAACATATTTCCTGTCATAATTGATGTTAAACATTTCAAGTGATGATGGCTTGATATGAAACTCATCTATCAACGATGTCAACGATTCAAAGTTTTCCATATTTGAGATGGATTCTATCAGTTTTGTTGATGGATGATTCCAATTTAACCTTGACCGTCATAATTTTAACTGGTAAGATCAAAAACAGAAAAAATGGCTGTAAATATTTTGTCCGAGGCTAAAACTCTGTACTCCACAAAAAAAAAAATCTATCACCAAAACTATATCTTCAATCAGTATCATATCACATTTGATATACCCATAGACCACCAAGAATGGAATATTACTCATCACTTGATGCATCACAGTTAGATGCTGATAGGCCTACTCTATTTGAGTTGATTTCTTCAAATCAATTAGAGGCCCTATTGTCACCTTCTTTAAGATATATTTTAGTTCATTATACTAATCGATATCCAAAATATTTGTTAAAGATTAATAACAACTTCGATGAGATAAACTTATTTTTCAGGACTTTTATTGAATGGTACTTCATGAAGTACTGGCAAGGATCTTTCACTGAGAATTTCTATGGGTTAAAAAGAGTGAATCAAACGCCTTTGTCCGATAATTCCAAATACAATAATGGCAAATTAACTCAATTAGTTCCAGCTATGATTGAAGAAAACAGAGTTTTAACAGGATTCCAACAATTTATTTCAGTTTTTGAGATAACTGGAGTTGCATACCTTTCAGAAAAGTTGAATTATACCTATGAAATATGGTATACCAAATATATCACTAATCAATTAAATGTTCATGAAACAAATTCAAAAGAAGAAAACTTTAAAATTCAATTTAAGAGAAAGTTTGTTGAATTATATCCTTACTTTCAAAGTGCATATCGTATTGGTAACTTCATTACTACTATATTATATCTAAGTGGCAATACAAAGTCTCCCTCATTATTAACATACCTTTTCAGAATCAATTATTCGCGATTAAGTCAATATGATTACACCAAAAATGAGGCAAGATCTGCCAAGCCAACATTGAACGATAAAAAAATTAACAGAATCGCTCCTCCGTCAAGTTTAGAATATGCTTTAAGATTGATTACCAAGAACTTTACCGATCCATCTTGGAAATTGATCAAAATCATATTAGGAACATTTTTCCCAGTAGCTATTTTCTCATTAAAATTCTTAGAATGGTGGAATAACTCTGATTTTGCTACTAAGTTATCTAAAAATCAAGGAAATGTGTTAGATTTCTCTATACCTCCTCCATCATTCTTGACAGATGCTTTAAAGAAATCTCGAGAAAATTCAAAAACTAGAGAAAGAAGAAGAAAATACAAATCTGGAAATGTTTGTCCTATTTGCAAAAATGAAATAAGCAATCCTGCCATTATTGAAACTGGTTATGTATTTGATTACTCCTGTATATATAACTACCTTCAAAATTCACATAAGGTAGTTGCAGAAAAGGCTAAGAAATCGGCAAAACAAGACGATGATGAAGAAGAAGAGGAGCTGGAAGAAGAAGCTGAAGGAGAAGAAGAAGAACATGAAGAGAAGACCGCTAAGGAAAATGAAAATGAAAAGTCCAATAGCGAAGGTAAACAGTCGGAAGATATTGTTATTGATATTAGTAAAGGAGGAAGATGTCCAGTAACAGGAAGAAAATTATTAGGATGTAAGTGGAATCCAATTAAAGAAGAATGGGACATTGAAGGTATACGAAGACTTATATTTTAGGTAGTGTAATTATGTAACTAATGTATAATGAATCTGAATCAAAACATAGATGCAATATTCGTTTGGGCTGCAATATGTTAATGACGCCACACTCTTCACATAGTAGAATTAATTAGTATCGCGAATCGTTGAATCAAACCATCATCTCCAAGACGGATTAAACATGATTTGATGCTGGGACAACATCATATTTTAATTAAACTGATCTAATTCTCGTATCAAATGGGAGGTTCGTCTCATAAAGCAGTTGTTGCAAAGTCTTTTTATCTGCGACACTTTATTAATGCTCCATTACGCCAACATCGATAATTTGAAAGAAAAAACCAAAATAGCTTGTTTGTATTCGATACAGTAGTTAGATCTTAACCTGTCATACTTATAATACCATAGTACAAACATATGTTGTGTAAATGAACCAATTTTAACAATTTAATTTTGGAAGATTATAGTTCACGTGGACCGCAACACCACAGATTAGGAATTTATTTTTCAGCAAAATATTTATAGATTTTTGAATATTTTGATGCTAAATCAAATCATATCAGTAACAGCTTGATCATTAACCAAACAACAAGATGTCAGAAAGAACCTTACAAGCTATCAAATTCGATAAAGTATCTACAACCTTGGAAATCTTGGATCAATTACTTCTTCCTTACTCAACCTCCTACATCTCTATAAAATCAATTGAGAATGCATTTCAAGCTATCAAATTAATGCAAGTTAGAGGAGCTCCTGCTATTGCTATTGTTGGAGCATTTGCCATTGTTGTTGATACCAATACTTATTTAAAGACTACCACTGAGGGATCAAGAAAGAAATCAGTTGAAGACTTGGTTAAGAGTATTGACTATTTAATCACATCTAGACCAACTGCCGTCAATTTATCAAATGCTTTGAATGATATTAAATCTTTAATCACTAAGAGTCACAAACCAGCTGATCTTGTTGAAGAAGTCATCTATAAAAAAATCTTTGATTATTCAGTTGCATTATACGAAGATGATTTATCAAATAACTTTAAAATTGGTGAAAATGGTTTGAATTATATCAAATCAATTTTAAAAGAAGAAAAATTCAAAGGTGCTTTTTCAATTATAACAATTTGTAATACAGGATCCTTAGCTACTTCAGGTCATGGTACTGCTTTAGGTATAATCAGATCTACCTATGAATCATTAAAAGAATCAAAAACAGATGAAGACTTTTATCTTGATCATATATATCCTTTAGAAACAAGACCTTATAACCAAGGTGCAAAACTTACCACCTATGAATTGGATTATGAAAAGATTCCATTCACTTTAATTTGTGACAATATGGTCTCAGCATTAGTTAGAACTTTAAACCAATCCAAAGCTATCAAGGCCCTGTCAGCCCCAGTGAAGTTTATTATTGTTGGTGCCGATAGAGTGGTTAAAAATGGTGATAGTGCCAATAAAATTGGTACTTTCCAATTATCAGTCATTGTTAATCATTTCAACTCAATCCCTAATTTCAATAAAATCAAATTCATTGTGGCAGCTCCAAAAACTACTATTGATTTGAACACACAAACAGGTGATGAAATTGTTATTGAAGAAAGACCAGCAAATGAGTTGACAACTCTTAAGGGACCTGTATTAACTGAAAATGGAATCGGTGAAAAGATAACTGTTGGTATTGCAACTCCAGGAATATCCGTCTGGAATCCTGCTTTTGATGTTGCTCCACATAATTTAATAGATGCAATTGTCACTGAAGATCCTAAAGTCTTCTTAAAAGATGCTTCTGGTCAATTTCATTTAACTAAATAGATTAGATTAGATTAATATATATTTTTATTTCTATGCTATCTAAGTAGATACTTCCTTGTCGGTAAAGGGCTACACCTATTCTTCAGTTCCTTCTATTTTCTTCTCTACGTCATTACTGGTATCTTGTTGCGTAACAACCGATTCACCGGAATCTTTTATACTCTCAGCATTGACATCTGTGCCATTTGTCTTCGTTCCATTCACCTCATCTTCGGCAGCGGCAGTATCGGGAAGCTCTACTGCTTCTTTAGATTCACTTGCTGCTACTTCATCAACCTGACTTTCTTTAGAATGATCTGCTTTGGATAAATCTGCTTTGGATTCTTCTTCTTCTTTAGACTCCTCTTTTTTGATGCCTGTAGTCTCATCTTCCGCAGGTTCGTCTTCTTTATGCTCTTCTTTAGGCAGGTCTTCTTTAGGTTCTTCTTCCTTAGGCTCGTCTTCTTTAGATCCTGCCACCTTGGAATCATCTTCTTTTGATTCATCTATATTATGCTCCTCATTATTAATCGCTTCAGGCTTCGTTTCAGATTGATTAGATTCGACTAAGATAGAGTTTTCATTCTTGGATTCAACGTTAGATCCAACTTCTTTGGAATTAACTGAAGTCGAATTCTCTATCTCTAATTTTTTCGACAGACCATTTTCAGCATGCTTTCCATTCGATTCCTTGATACCATTGTTCTGACTTTCTTCAACCTTAACTTTGGGTTCACTGTTTTGTACATTTTCCTTGTCGTTGTTTTCATCACTTACAATCAAGTCCTCCAGTTTCAGTAGTTGTATTTCCTCCTCATGTTGACTTGCCTCGACTTCATCCGTATCTAATTTAGTAATCTGAGGTAATACAACAGTATTACTTTCTTCAGCAAGCTTTTCTTCTATTGGCTCTTCTCCTTTTGGCTCCTCGACTGCTTCTAAATCATCCTTCGATTCTTCTTCTTCTTTTTCGACTTCAGGTATTGGTAATGGTTTCTCCTTAGCATCTGGTTTCTCTTCGTCTTGTGTTTCCTTAGCAGTAGCTGGGATATCTAATGAATTCTTCTTCGAATTACCAGCACTCTCAACGTTGGATTTAATTTCTCCTTCGATATTTTTTCTCATAATCTCTGCCATTTTGGTGTCTTCCTCTGTTGGCAATGAATTAACATTCTCCCAAATGACTTGTCCGGAATTACCATATCCTGGAAGTTCACAAAGTTTAACTCTGAAGAAATCAATATCCTTTAAAACCATTTGCTTCTCATTGAAATCTTTAAATTGCTTTAATTTAGTACAATAACATTCAACTAATAACCTCTTATAATTGTCGAAAATTTGCAGAAGAATCAAAGAGCACTTAATTTCAGCTAAGTATCTAGAAAGAACTTTTGCAACAGTAGTTGTATCTTTCACCAAAGTTTCCATATATTGATGACACTGTCTTGGGTGAGTGAGCGGTTGAGACCAATCAATTCCAATAATTGCATTACAATGACTAAGGGTTCTATCGTGCATAATAGATACAAGTTTGGAAAAGATTTCATTCTCATGATCCTTGTAATTACTTATGATTCGGTAGAAGGTAAGCTCGTCAGATTGATTTGGATCCCTTTGCACAGGAGAGGTTTCCTTCTTCGCAAAGACAAGTTGAACATTTGGCAATAAAGCAATATTAAATTCAACTACTTGGATACACAACGCCAAATGTTTTGTCGTTATATGTTTCAATCCAGCTGTTCTTGTAGCCCCTGCATTTAAAACTGCTTGCGATGTTTTTGAATTCATTAACTTAAAATAGTTCAAAATATTAGTCTCAATAATTGATGTAGTGTTGGGAAAAGCTTTGGATATAATCAAATAATCTCTAATGGCTTCCAATGCGACTAAGGTCAAATTAGGTATCATAAAGCTTTCCTTGCCTGTTGCTAACCTTGTACGGTCACCACTAACAGAACCCTTATGAGGTGACTCGATTTTCCCATAATCATAGAAATCAAAAAGATCCATCCATTTGCTTCCAGAGAAACCTTCTGCTCCAGCAGATGAAAGGAATGTGGCATAACCTGTAATTTCATCAAGGATTGATTGGTACTTCTCAAGAATATCCGACTGCACAATTTCTTTCCATGTTTCCCTATCACAATCTGAGATAAGTTTTTTAAGAGAATTCAGATGAAACCTGTGAACGAAGTATAAAATGTGATGCTTGAACCAATCACTTAACGAATTTCCACCACCAGGGGCGACATATCCAGGACTTATTAATTCACATTCTTGCAAGTAAGCAGATGATATTGAGTACAATCTCAAATAATATGGCACTGGAATATCAGCAGTCTGTTCCAGTCTAACATTTATAACTTTAGTTAGTCTTATTTGAGTTAATTCAATAGCTCTATTAATGGCCATTGAAATATCAAGAGCCATGATATCGATATTTCTAGTAACATCAGGAGATACATTGGTCAAAGCAATATCCAACAACAATTTTTGATGGGCTGTAAGTCGACGTAAGCACTCTGATAAATTACAATAGATTTTTATGAACATGGTCTCAAACTCCCTTGGAGTCAATGACTTGATGTTTGATGATAAGGTATTTGATACTGGCTGGGCTTGTGAACTATTAGCAGATTCTGGAGGGTCAGAAGATGAACGTGAAGGTGCATTAGATAAATCGACCGACAAATAATTTCCATTTTGATTGGAAGCATTAGGTAAGTTATTTTTTATGATATCTTTGATCTCTGTGATTATCTTTTCTTGGTAAAGGGAGTAAGCTTGAGTCAATTTACCTGCCTTTCCAAGGTTCTTTACATAATCTATTAACTTTGTCTTTTTCTCATCCTTGACTGTCAGGTATGAAGTATTGACTGTACGGGATTGGTACTTTTTTTGCTTGTCTATGGAGTTGTAAATTCTGTTTAGTGTGTCTCCTGTTGAAACTGAATTATAATGATCTCTCAAATCTCCTAACAAAATCTGGATAAAGTCATTAATATAACCCTTCGAGCATTCTTCTTTCAAATTTTGTAAATCATTTTGCAAGTATACCAAAGCAGGTAAGTTTGAAAGATTTACGAGTGGATAATCGAACTTTGGATAAAACGAGCCTACTTCTTCATCAGTTAACTGATCATAGCTAACACCACGAATAAGATTTTCGACTACCACTATTTCTGTCAAACATTTGTTATATTTTGCATTATTGTAAGACTTATTAGCTAATTCGAATATTGAAATGATATATTTTAATTGTATAATTGAAGATTCCAAATATTCCACATTCCTTTGTTCAGCTAGCTTTTCTAATATTTTGTTTCCTAAATGGGCGTGCTCTTCGCCTAGTTTATCTAGTTTACTTTTGATTAACTTAAATTGTTCAACACATTCATCTGACTCTTCTTTCATGATTTGAATATCGCCAATCGTACTGAAAAATGAATCAGAAGTTTTTGAAATTTCTTTAATCAAGTTTACTTCAACTATATCTAAATAATGCAGAAACTTTTCCTGAAGGGCATTATTGTTAACAAGTTCATTATCATATAGAATAGTGGAATCTTCCATGACCTGTTTAAATATTCTAGGATCATCTAGTCTGAAGTTTTGATCTAAAAATACACTAGGAATGGCATTGATATCGTCACTTTCCTTATATTGAAATTGATCTATTGAAGAACTGGTAGATAATTGATCATCATCTTTGAACCCTTTCTTTTGACTGAATTGTTGTAGACTATCTTCAGTTAGATTATTATAGCTCAGTTCAAAGCTTTTGTATTCCTGAAGGGAGTTTTTGACATATTTCGATGTTATCTGTTCATTTTTGATCTTATGCTTAAGTTTATGTAACTGTATTTGTGGTATATCTTTATAAGTAGGGTATTTCAAGTTATTGATGGTAGTCAATCCACCATTTATAGTGACTGAACTCTTAGGCGCCCTATTTCGTTTAGCTCTGGCGTTATCTGAACCAACCGTTAATGCATAGATAGAATTTGGTCCTAGCGGTGATAATTCATCATTCACATTAAAGCTTTCATCGGGATTGAATTGAAGAACAGACAGGAAACTACTTTCAACATCAATACTATTTCGAAAAGATATCGCTGATTCAGACCGTCTATGAGTATTAGGATTTGAATTGGGGCCCGGTTGTGATACGAATGAACTAACTTCAGACTCAACGGCTAGATCGTCATTTAGATTATCACCTTCATCAATTGAAACTCTGGCTGTGGATAGCACAGAATTGTTCAAAGTTGAATTGGAAGACATTGGTCAGCAATTATAATCCTAATTCCAGATGAGCTCCAACAAGAAGCGTGATGATTCTTTATTATCGTTATAATTCTTATTTGATATATTTTTATAGTTGCCTATATGATCTATGGTTGGAGAGCTGTTTATTTCAGGAAATGTCGTTCTGGAGCACGAGACATTTATGAAGATGTCGTCGCACTCCAGGGTCATATGGTGTTATAATTGCAGTATATTGTGAAAAACTCATTACTAATAAACTAAGAATCCTACTACACCATAGTTACAACCATTTAATACAATTTGAAAATGTCTGATACCGTTGCCGCACCAGCTTGTCATATGAAAAAGGACGAAGCTCCTAAACCAAAACCATGTTGTGTTTGTCTTGATGAAAAAAAAGTTAGAGATGAATGTCTTTTATTCAATGGTCAAGAAGGTGGTAAATGTAATGAACTTATTAATGGTTACAAGACTTGTATGAAAGGTTTTGGATTTGAAACTAACTAAGAGTATCAAAAGCATTTCATTGATGCCAAATTATGGAATATCTTTTACGTCCACAAAAGTTTATACTTGTTTAATAGGGACACGATCAATCTCATGTACATAGATAATATTCATTCTACAAAAGTCAAGTTTATATAAATAAAAAGTTTAACATAAGTATTCAAATAATAAATAAAAATAATAAATGTAATCTATTCTATATACCCAAAATTAGCCTATTCTTGTGATCCATAACTCTTAACATTGTCTCCAAAATATATAGTACTATTACTACTATCACTATGAGTTACAAGTTGTGAATCTTGAGAGTCACGATGTTCATGCTTTCTTTTTGGATTTAACAACCTTGTCTCTTCATTGGCAAAGTCAGCAATTTCTTGTCGAAGTAAACTTTCCTGATCATCCGTGACCCCAGAACCTATTTCTTCTTGAATTCTTTGATTGACTCTCAGCCACACTTGATTACGGATAAAGTTATCAACTAACACTAACTGTAAACAATTCATGACAATAGGTACAACAAACATAACCATGAATATTTCAACTTCTTCTGGATATTGATCTAACCACACCAAAATAATATGCTCTATAATCCATAACAATTGTGTTTCAAAACATTCAACAATACCGTATAAGATAAATTTCGTTATCATTAATGATGTGAAATATATGGCCAATTGTTTCCAATAAGCCTTAAAGGATGGTTTGTTTGGATCCGGTCCGTATTCTCCAGATTGGATTTGAGTTATATGAAAATATTGTTTGCAAACTTTATTCACAGATTTGAAAACAAGGTAAAGAACGTAAACCCCGATAGTACAATCAAACACAATATTTAAAAAGTACCAATTACATGGATCATTAATTGAATCGTCATCATCTCCATTTCCAGGTTCGGATCCAGGTAAGAAATTGATTGAATTATCATTATCACCAAGCTTTTTAGATTTGATTAATGATAACAACACATTAAATATATGAACACCCAAAGCACCAATCAACTGCTTAGATACATCAAACATCCACACCGGCCAAGTTCTTCTCACAGGATATTCATATGATCTTTTTATTATTAAACAAGATAGACACAACAATCCAAGTACAGCTTGAGTAAGTAAGGAGAATGGCCCGATTAACTCACATTTGCCATCATCATCGCCTTTACCATCTTTATTACCTACCAATGAAGTAGGCAAAACCATGGTTATTATTAAAAGGGGCAAGGATATGATATCCTGCGCTCGTATACCTTGACATCCAAACGTCATGACTAATTATATGATATTTGCCTTTATCAGTTGTAAGTGTTATGAGTGCGGAGGCTGGCTGGTTGCTTTCTTGAGTTGTATCTTCTACGATGAATTTAGAACGAAACAACAATCACAGTTATGACCACTATAGCACAATGAAGCCTGTCGTGAAAATGAAACTAGCTACTTAAAAGAATGAAGTGATATTTATTAATGTGAAATAGCAATATAATTTGAAGTAACCATCACCATCATGCAAATCTATAGACCCAAATATTTTTTTGTATGTCTGATTATATGCAGTCTGAGATTTTCTTCCCCCAACAAAGCTCATGGATAGAGATTTTTGCATTCAAACTAAAATTTTACAACAATTTTAAAACCATTAATTTATAACCATAACTTGCATTAATATAAAAATTATAAAACGTAGAAGCAGACAAAAAAAACATTACATTTATATACGTATCATAGTTTTGAGCTGTGAGACTCAGGTATAGACAAGAATCAAAACTGTCTCCTATAATTTTTCCCTTTTTTTTAGTTGTTTTTGTTGTTGTTGTTGTTGATAATCATAGTATCATGATGAATCGCTTGGAGAAGCATTGTTTTTCCAACCACCTAAGAATTGATTAGCCAATCCTTTGGCTTGTCCAACGAGAGAAGGATGTACTGAGTCATCGACAGTGGCTTGGCCAACTTCTGGTGATTGATTATTACTACCAAATCCATTTTGGTTAGCAACTTCTGCTAAAGTTGCATAACTAGATTTACCTTGTAATGGTGGACGTTTGATTGATGATGATGCAGCTGAAATAAAATCATCTTCAGACTCAGAATCAGAATCGTCAAATGAAAAAGTATTCTTCGATTGAGGTTGTTGTACTATAGTTTCATTTTGATATGCTTGCTCTAAAACCGGTTGACCTGGTGGAGGAGTTAAATTTTCCAGGAATGCATTTTCAGATGTAGTTTGTGGGGGTAATGGTGATGATTTCTTTTGAGTGTTAGATAAAGTACGTTGTAAACTATTATCAGGAGATGGAGAGAATGCAACTCTATCTAGTTGTTGTACATTAGAACCAACAGTAGCAGGAGGTGATATTGCTGATGCTGAATTAAAGAATTGATCTGACAAGGCACTAGAGGATGGCTTTTGTTTAGTTAAACCACCAACACTTGAATCACCAAAAAACAGTTGTGATAAAGATCCAGATGAATGAGGTTGTTTAGATAATGATGCTGAAGAATGATGAGGATTTATCATTGAAACTGGAATATTGGTAGGTTCAGGATTTTCAAATGTCTCAGGATAATGAGCTGTCATAGTTTGATGTCCAAATGCTTGTTGAGCCAATGATTGACTTGATGAGCGAGTATTAATTGATAATCCGAAATCATCATCTTCATCACTGGAACCTCCTTCATCGTCACTCAATTGAAATGGATTGCTAACTGGGGGTCTAGATGGGATTCCTGATGGTACTGGAACTGGTATGGATACAGGCATCGGTATTGGAACTGGTACTGAACCAGAAGTAGAAGATAATGTGGGTGAAGTTGAAGTTGATAAATTTGGTGTTGTTTTAATATTGATATTGTTGTTATTTATAATGGTTGGATTAATAATCGGTACTATATTTGAAGTATCATAATCATAATCGAAATTAGATCCAATTCCAATAAGTTCTGGAACATCAATGACATCAGGAGTTTCCTTTTTATTACCATAAATAGCATGATTTGGATCGATGGTATAAACCGTATTATAATCATAATAATAATCATAACCTCTACTTATTTCATTATTAACATTATGAGATAAACTTGAAGTATATGGATTTTCTTCATCACTTTCTTCGTCAGAACCATAATTTAATGACGTCGAAGGTAACAATACAATGGATCTTGTTCTATATAGTTTACTAGTATCAGTTGAGATTGATTCATTATCTTCGGTATTTTCTTGATTTGAGTTGTTATTAAGATTACTTTGGTTATTACCTAAAGAAGGTAAGATTGTTGAAGCAGATAATGAAGGAGATTTAACATTGAGGACAAAGCCTTCTTCTTCCTCGTCATCATCATCGTCATCGTCATTATCAAAATCACTAGTGTAAGGAGAGTGATTTCTATATTTTGAAGAACGATAGCCACTCATATCAGTATCATAATCATAATCAAGACCTTGATCATCATTTTCATCATAAGAATTATATTCATTACCTTCATCATCGGAGAAGTTCTCTATTGCCATACATTGTTGAACTTCATCATTAAAATGAATATGACGTATTTCTTTAGATGGTTGAGGAGGAGATATCGAAACTGGTTCACCACTATTCACTTTATTACTATCAATGGAAGTAGCAGCTATTAATGGAGATGTATTGAAACTTGAATCTATGGAATCATTGACACGATCATTTGATAACGCTGATTTCGTAGATGAATTTAAAACAATAGTATCAATACTTAAAGTTGAAGCATTTTCATTACTATCTGTACCTCTGAATAATGGAGTTGAAATATTAACATTTGAACTGGATGAACTATGATGACTATTATTAGGATCATTTAATAAATCTTGTAATTTTGAAATACTACCACTGTTTGATCTTTGACCATTATATTGAGTATTTAATTTAGCTGATATGGCATCATAATCAGCAAAATCGGGAGTATCATTAGCATTTTTTTCATCTTCTTCTATATTTTCTTTATGTCTTTGTTGTTGAATTTGTTCTCTAGTCTTTTGATATACTTTATTACTTGCCATAGATAATTTTAATAAATTAGAATGACTAATCATCATATCTTCAACTGTTCTTCTTTTTAAAATTGGTTTTGGAGCATTTGGATTTGGAATTGATATATCACCTGCCACTGAATTAGAAGCAATCGATTGATGTCTTGTGTTATGAAAATGATGATCTTTCTTTGGACTTGAACTTAATGATGGACTATCATCTTTTAATATAGGGCCATAAAGCCAAGTAACATCACTATCTTTTGACCAATTTACAACTTCAGGACTAATAGTTTTTAAATTTGATCTTCTTTGAGCCCAAGTTCTCCAACTTGCATTTTCTAATCTTGCCGAATCAGCTACATCTTTACGTTTTTGTATAACATATCTCCAAGATTTCGATATATCCGATACATCCCATTGATGAGATAAATAATCGACATGTCTCCAAGGTTCAGTTGCTATATCTGTATCGTCATGAGGTATCAACAGAGGACTTTCAAGTTGTAAAGCTGATAAAGTTGGGGTTTGAGCCTGAGGAGGGGATAAAGACGAAGATCGAGGAAGAATATTATCATTTTCATTTGATTCTGATATTAATTTGGATGAGGATGTATCTACAGTTAAATTCGGTTGTTGTGGTTGGGCTTGTAATTGTGATTGTGATGATGGAAGTTCATGATGGGAAGAAGATACAATATTATTATCAGTAGTATTATCGTCAGTACTTTGGAGGGGAGCGATAAATTCATCTAAAAGTCCCATCGATCTTGTTCTCTTTAATTTAAAAGTAGTATTTTCAAAATGATCATCATCTTGGGCTTCCACATGTTGAGAAGTGGTGGCACCACCACAAAACACTTCACCTTGAGGTGTGGTAGACATTATATTATATGCGGATGACGTGGGGTATGGTATATGATATTATCAGTGATGATTGAAGAAGAAAAAAAATCTATGATGGTTTAGACAGATGATGATGATATGTTGAAGTAATTATAAAAAGAATTGATGTATGTATAAGATGATAGATTTATTGATTGATTGATTGATTGTATGAATGAATGTGGGGTGGAATAAATTGTATGTATCAACAATAACGGGATAAAGGCGAATCGTTGATTAAATAGGAAATTTACTTGCAATAAAAACTCTAGACACAAGCAAATGAGAATGATGTAGGGAAGAATATATGATTGAATGTTATCTAGGTAAGATAGGATATGATGCTAAGATATATAGATGGATTAAATGGTGGAGGATGAAAGAATGGGGGGTGGAGGTGTATAGGTTGTGATATGCTTATAACTTTTATGTAGTCTGTATTCTATTTATTGGTGATATAGATGATGTTTTTTTGAATCTGGATGGATGGAGATGGATTCTATTAGTAATACCTTGAGATCAAAGTCCTTAAAAATATATGAATTCAAAATAAGAATAACAGTATGAAAAGTATGGGAAGGATTATATAAAATTTGAATTCTGATGATGATGATGAATGATTTTGTATTTCTGCTTCTATGGAGGTTTTTTTTCTAGTGTCTACAGTCTCGCACTGACAGTTTTTTTTTTTTGCTTGCACTACTTTTCCCACTGCCTTTACTGTTTAAAGTCAAGCCAGTACAGAAAAATTTATAACCACCAAACGAAAAATAGAACGACATTATTAACTGACAAAAATGGATAAAAATAGACAACAAAACAGACAGTTCGCGACATTTAATTTTACAGTTTAAAGGAAAAAATCGGAATAAAAAAAAATAGACAATTTATCAGACAAACCAAATTAAAACATTAGACAGGAAAAGAAAGGGATTGGACAAAAATACTACAACTTACATATTTTTGTCTGAATATGGGTAGATAACTGAAGTTAGGTACAATGGAAGAAACGTAACTTAAAAGGAGGGATTATTAACATAAATATAGGACGATATAGGGTAGTTAATCTATCAACTACGACATTTTAAATTATATTTTGTACCACGAGTGACCTTTTAACCTAGTTAATCATAATTAGATATACAATAGTACTACACACACATGCACACTTTATTAAATATTTTATTCAATAAAAGATAAGCCTTTGTAAGTCTGTGTTTAATAATAGAATCGGAAAATAATAAACAATAATAATGAAAAACTTTACTATAAAGTTATGGTAGTTTATATATTTTTCTTGTCTTGACTCTTTTTTTGTTTGTGGATTTCGTAGTGCCGTTCATTTGACTTGACTCGGTAAAAAAGCAAATTGTTAATCATCCTCCGTAAACCTATCTGTAATTGACATGGGCTTATATTACGTGGAGAACTATTTGTTAATTGGTTATTTCTTTGTTACTATCTGTTTAACCCGATTCTCTTTCATTAAGATTTAATGGAAACATCCTTAATCATTCCGTTTTCACTTCTGTCTTGTCTTGTCTTGTCTTGTCTGATTAAAATTTCATTTTATTTTTTTTTTTCTATTTTTTTTTTTTGTTGTTCACTTTTTTATTGATTTACTGGTTGTGGACGTTTTAGGTAATAAATCTGGAGAATGAGACTACAGCACTAAAAAATTAGTTAAGCACTGAAATCAACTTGATGTTGCAGAATATGTGTTTAATGACAAACAAAAGAGGGTTAATTCAATCAATCAAATAGATGACTACATAAATAATAACTAGATTAAAATATTAAATTTGAACTTTATATGGCTGGATAAATTGAATTAATATGACTGATTAACTAACTAACTAACTAACTAGCAAGGATTCACCTTAACAGAAAAATTGTTTTTCCAGTTTTTAATTTTTCCTGTCTTTTCAATTTTAAATATTTTAATTTTTCCTGATCGAAATTTAACTCCTTTTTTATATTTTTTTTGGTTCTCGGTATTTGTTGTCCGAGCTGAATCTACAAATGTAACGTTACTCTGACAAGAGAAAAAAGATGAACCTCAAAATCAGCTGATGTTTTACACGTGTGTGTTCACGTGACTGTAATATCGTGATCAAAAGGGAGTGTGTGTCACTGTAACAGGTCATCGATCTTTGAATCTGGACCAAAGAAAAATCAAATGAGAAATTATCACATGCCAAAAGCTAAGCCAATAAAAAATAAATGTTTAAATTTTTGTGGGTCCATTCATCCACTCACCCAAAATTCCCATGTACATAATCAACTCTCCATAAATCTCGTATATTTTATTAAAATATTTTTATAAGCACACGATAAATAGCTTAAATTCATAATAAACTATTATAATCTATAAAAAAAAAAAAGAAACGAAGCGAAATAAAAACACGATATCGAAAAATTTTTCAAAAATGATCTTTGTCTAGTTTTAAAGTGTTTAAATTCCTTTTTACTTTTTTTTTAATTTGATCTTCCTTCTCTTTCTTTCTTTTTTTTTTTCCTTATAGGATCTTGTTACCTGTTTTGTATAAAGTTTACCGTGTTGACATATATCAAAATGAGATGCCATCAACCAGATATTAAATCTGAGAAACCACAAATCAGTAACGATCAACCAACTTTCGAAACTAATGATAGTAAACTTGAAGATGCTGAAAATTTCATTGCTAAAGATGATAGTCAAACTTCAATTTCTTCATCATCTCAACCTCAACAAGGTCAATTAAAGAGAACTTTCTCTACTTATTCTGTTATTTGTATTGGATTTGGTTTAACTAATTCTTGGTTTGGGATTTCTGCTTCTTTAATTACGGGTATTCAATCAGGGGGTCCATTATTGATTGTTTATGGTATTATTATCATTGCTTCTATTTCTTATTGTATTGGTGTCACTTTATCTGAATTATCATCTGCTATTCCATCAGCTGGAGGTCAATATGTTTGGTCTAGAGTTTTAGCTCCAAAGAAATATTCCAGTTTCTTAGCTTATCTTTGTGGTTCATTTGCATGGGCAGGATCTGTTTTTACTTGTTCTTCAATGGCTATTGCTATTGCTCAAGAAATTATGGGATTTTGGGTTTTAAATAATCCTGATCATGTGGTTAAAAAATGGCAATTATTTATTATTTATCAATTAGTTAATATTTTTATTGCCCTTTTTAATTGTTATGGTAAATGGTTACCTTATTTAGGTACAGGATGTCTTTATGTTTCAATCTTTTCATATGTGGTTATTACCATAACTGTATTAGTTTGTTCAAGAGGTAATTATCAATCAGCTGATTTTGTATTTTCAAAATTTGAAAATCAAACTGGTTGGTCATCATCTGGTATTGCTTTTATTGTTGGTTTAATTAATCCAAATTGGTCTTTCAGTTGTTTAGATTCTGCTTGTCATTTAGCTGAAGAAACTCAAAAACCAAGAACTGATATTCCAAAAGCTATTTTAAGTACGGTTACTATTGGTTTTGTAACTGCTTTTACTTATTCTATTGCCATGTTTTTCTGTATTAATAATTTAGAGGCTATTTATAATTCATCAACTGGTATGCCAATCTTAGATATCTTTTATCAAGCTTTAGGTAATAAAGCTGGTGCCACTTGTCTTGGGGTATTAATCTTTTTAACTGCTTGTGGATGTACTATTAGTTGTCATACTTGGCAATGTAGATTATGTTGGTCATTTGCAAGAGATAATGGTTTACCATTTTCCAAATATTTATCTATTGTTCATCCAAAATTAGGTATTCCATTAAATGCTCATTTATTTTCTGAATTTTGGGTTGCTTTATTAGGTTTACTTTATCTTGCCAGTGATGCTGCATTTAATTCTATGGTTACTGGTTGTATTACTTTCTTATTATTAAGTTATTTAGTACCAACTGCTGCTTTATTATACAGAGGTAGAGATAATATTAAACATGGTCCATTCTGGTTAGGTAAACTTGGATTATTCTGTAATATTATGACTATTGCATGGGCTATATTTGCATGTGTATTCTTTTCATTCCCATTCACTATGCCTGTTGAAGCTGGTAATATGAATTATGTTTCAGCTGTTATGGCTCTTTACTTGGTTTGGGCTCTTGGTTATTGGTTCTTCCCAGTTAAGAGATTTTCATGTAAACAAACTTTTGCTGGTGGTTTACATAATAATGAAGAAGCTGAATTCCCTGAAGTTTGTTTAACTGATTTATAAGTTTATGAAAAACAAAAGTTGATTGATTTTAAAAAGTTTCATTTTAAAAAGTTTCATTTCTTTCGAAAAAAGTATAGACTTTATGCTTAGACTATTTCCAATTCTTTTTTAAATAAAATTGTATATATATAAAAAAAAAAAGTTATAGATTATAAACAAAATTTGCATTTTTAAAACAGATTAATTTTCATAGTAGTGAATACCACTAACAGCTTACAACAATACGAAATATCCTAATAAACAATCATTAAAGTTCGAATACATGAATAAACATAAAAATATATGGATCTACTGACACCTCTCTTTCATAAAATTTTCTCCAGACAGGTTCTTAAAAGATTCAAAACATTGATCTCTCCATCAACACATCGCAATTGAAAAATGATAGGTCAACCCCATTTATTACAAAGGTGAAAGAATACCAACAAAAACTGTCAGTATATCTCTCGGGTAATCATATGAGATCCATTACATTGCACTGTCTACGTGATGGATTAACTTTCGGACAAAGTTAATTAAAGAAAAGGGAAAAAGAAGAGGTGTGTGTTTTTAGTATTTAAAATTTTTTAAATGGTGTTTCTTTTATAGTGATGGATGAAAAAAATTCAGTTTTGGGAAATCCGGGTAAATTAAATTAAATCTTTTTTTTTCTTTCGCACTGTACCAAAACCTAGACAGCAGCTATTTCATCAACCAGACGTCAGTAAAGAGGTTTGTTTGTTTACAATTTGGTATAGTTGACGAGTTGAATCATATCCAATTGAATCATCATCATCAATGTCGTTGTTTGGTCAGAACTTGAGATCAACGTCTGCTGCACCAGCATTTGGTGGTGTGGGATCAAGCAATTTGAATCCAGCTCAAAGCAGTAATCCATTACAATTTGGCAGCACCACCACCACAAACACAAACACTGCCAATAATATAAATACAGTACCATCAACCACCACCACCACTACATTGCCGTCTTCTATAAATACATCTAATTCATCTAAGTTATTAAAGGATTTACTTGAATCAGCTCACAACTTACCTAAACCAGGCAACAATAACCTTGGATCAATCCATTTAACTCTTAAAGAATTACAACGAAAATCAAATCAATTAAGAAAACAAGAAGATAAAAAAGATGCAAACTTTACTAAAGCTCATTATTTATTAGCTTCAAGTGGTATCAGTGCCGAAGAGATTGAAAATGAATTGAATTCATTCAATTTGATTGCTCCTGCTCCTGCTATTTCTCAACCATCAGATCCAGAAACTTCATTGAAATATTCTCTTGATTCATCCAGTACTAATATTGAAAGTTATTTGAATTCAAAAAAGGAAGAAAATATCTTGAATAATATTGAACAATCATTAGCTCTTGCTTCCAAAGATTTTGATAATTTTATAAGTTCAAAAATTTCAATCGATTGGAAAATTAGACGTGATGAATTAAGAAAATCAATTGGTTTAAAAAAATCAACTGATAATTCATCTCAAGCCATTAAGAATTCAATGACTTGGAATAAATCAATCGCTGGAACTTATAATATCTTAACTCCCTTAAAATCTTCTAATGGTAATACAAGACAATTCACTAGAGAAAAATTTGAAAATCATGCTAGAGTTATTTATCAATTAAATGAAGCAAGATTATCAAGTAAGAATTATCCATTATGTTTAAACTTGGGAGAATTAAATAAATTACAAAATGATTTGAAATCAAAACAAATCTCTGAAATTTGGAAGATTTTAATCGAATTAACTAATGAAAAATTTTCTAAAACAAATCAAGAATATTCATTCCATAATATTCCTTCATCTTCCATTATTGAAAGTAGTAGATCATATTTGGAATCTGAATTCTTTAATTATATTGAAGAACTTTATATGAAAGATAGTAAGAAATCTCCTGAATTTTTACCAGCTACAAATTTAAATAAAGTATCATATTTCATTAATAAAGTGATTAATAAAGAAGAATTATCTAAAACTTTAAATGTTAATGGAACTCCTATATGGGCATTGATCTTTTATTTGTTAAGAAGTGGATCATATGATGAAGTATTGGATTTAACCATCAAAAATAGAGATATATTTAATAAATTTGATCTGAATTTCCCCGTATATTTAAAGAAATACGTTGAAAGTGAAAATCATATATTACCAAGTGATTTAAGTGCAAGATTACATTCTGAATTCAATCAACAATTCCAATTTGCCATTGATGATATCGATGTCGATCCATTTAAATACTCGGTGTTTAAAATTATTGGAAGATGTGATTTAAGTAAAAAGACTTTACCTTCATCCCTTAATTTAAGTATTGAAGATTGGCTTTGGTTCCATTTATCCCTTATTAATGAACATAATGAATCTGATTTAATCTTTGATAATTATAGTTTGGTCAATTTACAACATAAAATCATCTCATTAGGTCCAAAGAATTTTAATTCTTCATCAAATAATCCATTATATCTTAAATCATTAATATTGGTGGGATTATATGAATTAGCAGTTCAATACACTTATGATAATATTAATGAATGTGATGCCGTTCATATCGCTATAGCATTGAATTATTATGGATTATTGAAAGTATCCAGTTTTAATAATAAGGATGATTTATTAATTGTCCATAATAATGAAATCGAAATCAATTTCAGTAGATTATTAGGATCTTATACTAGAAGTTTTAAGATCAGTGATCCAAAAGTTGCTTGTCAATATTTGATTTTGATTGCGATGTCCAAGGATGAAGTTCCAAAATGTCATGAAGCCTTAAGAGAATTAATTTTAATATCTCGTGAATTTTCAATGTTATTAGGAGAAATTAATCAAGTTAATGGTTCTAAAATTCCGGGTATTTTAGAAAGACAAAGAAGTTTAATTAAATTAGATGATCTTTCTGAATTCTATCATCAAATTATTGAAGTCAGTGCTAATAAATGTGAAGAAGAAGGTAGAATCTTTGATGCTATTTTATTATATCAATTATGTCAAGAATATGATACTGTTATAACTTCAATTAATAAACTTCTTTCTGAAATTCTTTCATCTACTGAATTAGATAAACCAATCATCCAAGGAGGAAATTATGAAGTATTATCAGGGAATCAAGAAGGTTCGAAAGAATTTGTTGATACCATTGATAATAATGTTATATTATTCTCACGTCATATTGTTAGCATATTTAACAAGAATAGTTCGATTCTAAGCAAAATCAATCCTCATAAAAAGGCCACTACTGATACTTTATTACCTATTATTGATATCAGAGATTTATTCTTAAAGAAGGATTTTGCTCAAGTTTTACAACAAATTAATAGATTGGACTTATTACCAGTTGATCCTAAAGATGATTTAATCAAGATCAGAGGATTAAGTGAGTTGATCCATAGTAATAATATGGATGATAATTTGATCAAGGTGATTCCTTCATTATTGATCATGACTATGACTTCTATTTCTCAATTGAATTATTCTTTATTGACAAAGAGATATCAATCATTAGGTAATGAAAAGGAAGAACTCGATAAATTGAAAAAGATTGCTAAAAATTGTATGATTTATGCGGGTATGGTACAATATAAAATGCCAAGAGAGACTTATAGTTTATTAATTCATTTAGAATCTCTGTTGTAATATAGATTAGAATAAAAAGTTTTATTTTCTTTTATATCTGTTTATGTAAATGTAGGTGGTAGCGGTTGTACGAAAAAAAATGTTTACAGCAAAAGATAAATTATTTATACTGTAAAATAAATGAATGCTAATCTTATACAGATGCACAAGTATTAACATGCCTCCAAAGAAGAAAGTCCAAAGTACTCCGACTTACAAGTTCCCTGATAACTTCGTGAAGTTATCAGAGAATCTAACCAAACAATTTTATAGACCAGAACCAGAAATCATAATTGAAGATCAAATAGTAGTGATACCAAATGCCTTTTCCAAAGACCTTTGTGATGAATTGATTAAATCATTTGAAACTAATTTGAAACTTGAAACTACACCATTGATCAAGAGTAGAGACTATGCTGCTAGATTCAATGATAGAATTTCACTTACCGATTTCGAATCAGCAGATGTATTATGGAAATATTTACAAGATTTACTTCTACTAAAATCAGAGTATGATGAAGATGATGAAGAGACCATGTTACTTGAAGATTATTTTGGACAAGGGTGTGGCTTAAACCCACAATTGAGAATATACCGTTACAAGAAGGGTCATCATTTTGGAAAACATTACGATGAGTCTGTTACATGTTTGAGAGAAGAGAATGGTACTGGAAAAGGTAGAACTAAATGGACTTTATTAATTTATTTGACTGGTGATGAGGAATTTGATGGTGGAGCTACTATATTTTATCCTGATTATAGAGGAGCCAAACCATTAAGTATACACCCTAGCAAAGGTATGGCACTTTTTCATAAACATGGTGATGATTGTTTAAAACATGAAGCAGAGATAGTTAAAGAAGGACAAAAATGGGTTCTACGAAGCGATGTTATGTATCCCTTATAAGTTGATTTATATTTACAATTTGGTAACTAACTTAGAAGTGAAAAATTCCTTTGTTTCATCTAGCATTTCCTTGCATTCCACATTCTTATTATCCAATCTTTCCTTTACCCAACCACTTAACTTATTTGTGATTCTTTCGGAACCATATCTCGAATCGATTAAATAAATAGTCGAATAATCTCCAATATGTCTGATACTTCTACCAATACTTTGATTGACAGCCCTCATACATATGTTCTCATAAAAGTTACGGGAATTATTTGTTGCATCTTGTTTACTACCACCGTTTTTTAAAGTGGTAGTTTCTATGAAGTTCCGCTTTGCAATTATTTCACCCGAAAACGCATTGGGAAATGGCAATCCGATCATGATAACAGCTCTTGCCAAGTCATCGGAGAAATTGATACCTTCGGACATTTTACCTCCCACTACTGAAAATAGAGTAGCACCTTTCTTTTCATCCTTGATAACTTTGACATATTCAGAAAGTACACTTTCTACTTTTGAAGACTCTTGTGGCTCTTGAAATATAGACTTCACTTGTCTGATACGATTGTAAATATCGTTATTGGATTTCCAGATTTGTACAACTTGATTTAAGTACTTGTAACTTGGAAAGAATATAACTACTCCAAAAGGAACTTCTTTTGCAATTCGGATTATCAATTCACCTAGGTTCACCATAATTTTCAAGCTTTCACGTTTCTCAAACAGGAATTCAAGATCAGTTCCTTGGAAATTTCCCACCGTGAAGACTTTCAAATTCTCTTTAGGAACTATATGACCACAACTGTATGTTTTTATACGGTTTTTAGGTACGAATGGAAATAAATAATTTAAATAGTCAGACACTGGTTCCATAGTTCCCCCACACAATAATACACATCTTGCTTGGGTTACTATTTCTTTGAAAATCCCACTGGGATCTAATAACATGTAGTTTATTGAGGTAACTCCATTCTTGTTTTCCCAAAAGAATTTCCCTTCGTTTGTTGGATTTGAAAGTGTTTTCAAAAACTTAACAATTTTAAATAGTAACGGATTTGAAGAACTTGAGGTGAAGTCATCACTTGTCTTTTCCAAATAAGACTCTATTTTGTATGCAATCTTGGATTTTGATAAGAATTTCTCGATTTTATGAGTATTTAACATATCCCCTGTAGAATCCTTAAAGATATCTTCAACAAAAATCTCTTTCCCTAACTTCACATTATTTGACTTTTCATTTTCTTGTATGAACTTTATAATTAATTGACAAAGTTTTATCAACTTTAATAGATTGATTCTATTCCCACTGTTTAGACGCTTCACAAGCTTATTTAAGTAGAACTTCAAGGACTTTATCACACTTTCAAGTTCAACGATCGAAACTGATACAGAATATAAAGAAGATAGCACATCGAGGATATTATGTGCTTCGTCAATGATAATTATGGAATCCTTTATGTTTAGATTGAGTATAGTTCTGGTAGAATCTTGAAAGAGCAGTTGATATGGTAATGATATAATCTCACTTACATCAAGACCGTTCCTCACTGAGTAGTAGGGACATACTTTTAATGTATTACCAATATCCCCTAATTCTTCAATATCATGGATTCTGGTGAAATTTAGATCTGCAAACCTCTTAGTTAACTGGTCCTCTCCACCTTTATGCATAAACTCACACCCTTCTTTAGTTTTCTGTAAATCAATACAAGCATCATTAATAGCTCCATCGTTCTTTGATAAGTTTCTAATCTTATCATTGATACATAATTGCTTCCGTGAACCTAGTGGCAAATACTTGGTTCTCTCGTTGATACCTTCAAATGAAGAATCAAAGTTTGTTAGCCTTAATTGATGTGAAAACTGATTCAACTGAGAATGGGTTCTTGATGAGTAGTAAATATTAATGGGACATTCGTTTATCATTTCAACTTCTTGATGCTTTTTAGATCCATCTACTTTGCTTTTCAACTGATCTATCTCTCTTTCCAATTTGGAATTTAAGTCAACTTTGGAATCTCCTTCAGCATCACTATAATAATCTGGAGGTAAAAAGTCTTCATCTTGAAGACTTGTTTTAGACATCTTAGGTTTTTTCCTTTTATTGGCTTTTTCCCTTAACGAACTCACAGCTTGTATATTGTTTTTATAATCATCTTCCAAGGAATCCAAATATATTTCATAATCTTTCAATCTGTTTTTTGATCTTGATAAAATAGTTGACTTATATGCCTGTTTGATCCAATCTGGTTCATCATCTGATTCTTCATCTTCTTCGTTGTTTTCATCTTCCTGTGGTTTATGTGTATCTCCATCATCCTCATTGAATGAGTGACTTCTCTTGTAATCACGGAGCCATGTCATTGAAGAACATATTATGGACAATGATTTACCTGTACCTGTTGGACTTTCAAATATACCGACTTTATAATTGTTCTCTATTGTATCATAGATCGCGTCCATTAACTCGATTTGAATATCATATGGATTGTAAGGATGATTGTATTTCTTCTTCTTCTTCTCCCATTTTAAATCGACCATTAGTATCAACCCATATGCGGTTACTTTGATATGTGAATACTGTGAGTTTTATAAGTAGTTCTTCAAGGAAATCACTAAGTCTTCCTAAACGGGAAAAATATTGAAAAATTGACGCGCTGCCAATTGCACCTCTTCGATTAGCAACATAAATAGTCCAAAATCACTGTTCAACATCTCTAGCATATAATTTAAAAGGAACGTGAAGTGATTTTACATGTTATCGAACTATAATACTCAATCTAAATCTTTTAAAACATTGGATTTGATACGTATAAGAGGTATACCTTCATATCTAATCCTAATGGTGATCTATGTGTTATGTGCAGGATTTTGAATTTACAAAAGCTATTTTAAAGAAGGTAAACAAAACGGTTGTAAATAATGAATCAGTTACAATCAATCAACAACGACAATGTCAGGGGACGATTCATTCATCAAGAATGTCACAATAACACGTTCTGATGCTGCAAATTCTCAGAATAGGCCACTTCAGGTTTCTCAGAATCAACAATTCGCAATTAACACTACAACTCATTTGACTATCTTTGAGCCAAAGTTACCATCACTTAATCAGGGTATTACAGCCATAAAAAATGTTAGAATACTAAATCCAAAGGATTTGTTTCAAATAGTTAATATTTTGACATCAGAGTTAAAAGAATTTTTGCCCATTAAGAATTTTTCAGTATTAACCTTTGATAATCTTGACGAGCCATTTACTTTGGCAAATATTGATGATCCAATAGTCATACAACATCAATGGTCCCCCAATAGCTGTAATACTAGAGATAACTACTTGGGGGTGCTATTCAATACAGGTGAAATGTTAATTTTACAGCGTCAAACTCTGAATGTTGATAAATACATGGTGAAATTTAATCTTTTCGAAAGATTGGTTGATCAGTTTAATTTGGGAGTTGATAATGATAAGAACTACGTTATTCCATCGTCTGATATCTTTTTATCGTTGAAAATAAAGACCTTTGCCTTCTCTGAGATTGATTCTACTTTGTGGTTAAGTCTTATCAATGCTAATGGTGACATATATTTGTATGCAGAGGAAAATGATTCGCTTGAGCTTAAATATGAGATTCATAGTGGATTGGATTTGGTTAAACAGGATTGGTCAAATTGGAAAGTGGAAGGAGATAAATTGCGTTCAAGTCATCTATCTGTAATAGCATCCGATAATAGTGTTTATTATTACGATTTTGAATACGATTCTGATTCGAAGAAGATAAAATCTTCAGATGTGAAAAACGTATCTGGTACAACCAGATTTAAGAATTCTCAAAACAAATGGCTTGAATCATCTAATAGGTTGTATTTACTTAATGCATTTACAGGATATATTCAAGTCACTGATATCAAAACTTCGACTACTATAAAGCAGAAACTAGAAAGTGCGTCCACTGTATCTGGTATAGTGAGTCATATTTATAGTGGTAGCATCAGAATAATCATATCATACGAATTAGGTTCTTTTGAATCTTTTGACTTTGGTTTGCTAACGTCACAAATTTCAAAAGTACTGGTAGATAAGGCAATTACTACTTATGTGGGAAAAAGCTTACAATCATTCCAATTATTTAATGCTTCTGCTGAAGACACTGGTAATGATGACACTGCTGCTGTTAAAAAAGAAGATGATTCAGTGGCTAATAAAAACCCAAACGATACATTCAGGCTTTATTTGGATCCTAATATTGAAGGACAATTTGTAATATACGGTATGGAAACTATAGGTGAGGGGGTCTTGGCACTATTGTATAAAATAATTCCCAAGAATGTATTATATTACCAAACTGAATCTCAGGGGGAAGTTGAAGTTGCATTCATAAAGCTTGAAGACTATCAAGCTAGTTCAGTAAGCTTATTGACGTCAAGAACTCCTTTGAGCTATATCATAGAGTTATGGATTAGCAAATATAATGATATTCCATTATTGATTACTCCTAGAACAGGAGCTGAAATTGACTCAATGGAAGCTAAGATTGCAAGTATTCACAAGTACATACAGGATATTAAAGATTTCAAACAGAATAACTTTCTTGATATTACATATGAAAGTAAATATGAAGGGCCACTCCAAGGTAATATTGAATTGGACTTACCACTGAATTTATTAAAGTATTTCAATAATAATGAAGATATGTTTAAACATCAGCTACTTCTAAATTTCGATAGAATTATCCATAACTCATTGATCACAATAGAAGCTATTGATGAGACTTTAGAGAAGTATATAAATACAATTGTCCGTGAAATAGATCAAATTGAAACAAGAATGAAGCTCCATTTACTGAAAATTGTGCTTGAGTTCTTGGATTCCACTGCTGTTCGACAATTTACTGAAGCTGAAAAGTTTTTCATATTACAACATCATTATCATCTAAGTTGGGAAGTACATAATGACGTTCTAAAGAAGAAAAATATTGATGAAGCAAAGATTACAATAAAGACAAAATTCTTTGAAGAAACGTTTGAACTTAATGGAATGGATACGTATGACCAAACTTTTCCAAAGCTCATTACATCTAGTACTAACCATGAATGGTCTATATGTCAATTAACTGGATTTCCTTTATTACAATTGAATAATCGAAGAGATGAATTAGGACAAATTAACTACATATTGAATAATTTCAGTAAAGACGATATAATCATCAATGATGTATTAACAACTATACAATTTTGTTATATAACGGGAAATAGAACTTTTAAACTACAATGAAGATGCTGTTATTTATGAATGGATCATCCTTCCAGAAACTACTACTAATAGATTTATCCCATACTAGTTGAGTTGATGACCATCTGATTAATTTTGATGTTGATGAAGGAGGAGAATCAGTTATTTTGGTTAATAAATAAGCCATATTTAATTGAGCTAAAACATACCATACGATAATGAATTGAGGAAAGTATGACATTAATAAATAGTTAACAAGACCAAACCCAAATAAAACTCCTTGTCTTGAGTTTAACCATTGTTCTTTTTCAATAGATGAATAATTAAATCTTTGGAAATAAGGATTCAATAAATCTATAGTTAAGTTTGAAGTTGAATAAAATGTAGTTAATACTACAAAAGTGTAATCTAAAGGAAATAAAAAGTTTAATGATGCAGTTAAAAGAATGGAAAATAATGTACCTAATTTATCTTGAAAGATTTGAAATGAAATGAAATTTAAAATGATTGTTGAAATTCTATAATTCAATGATGAGCATTGAATCAATGTATAAAGAACTAAATTGAATAAATAGAATTTAAAGTAACGATGAAGGAAATTTTTAAAGTATTTTGAATTTTTGAATAAGATTTGATATTTTTGGACTGTAGTTAAATTGGAATTCAATCCAATATCGTGATTAATGTTATTTGGCAAACTATTAAAGTTATTGAAATATTGGGTTGCATTTAATTGATCCACAAACTTTAAACTTTGAAGAAATAAGCTATCTAAAGTTGGATCAAAAAAAGTTGATAATGATATTAAAAAGATATTTAAATGGAAAACATTTTTGATGAAGTATTCAAAGTTAGTCAATACTGATAAACTATTGAAATTCCATAGTTTTAAATAGTCTATGATATTGATAAATAATGAAGTTAAGAATATAGGTCCATTTAATGAAATGTATAATAGTAATGATAATTTAACTGCGGTGGATAATAATGTAGTGGAAAGGAATGAAGGGTTCTGTAATGATCTTAAACTACTTAATGTACCCAACTTGACACCTCTAAGCACTAACCATATGGAAAATGCTTCCGATGGGTTTGATATAAAGATTGGTGAAGCCATGTGGGGTCGATTTGATAATGGATGCAAATTATGAGGGCTTGTTTTTTCGAGTGACCAGCTTTGGTAACAACCCCACTCTGTAACAAGTAGTGGTAGGTATGAAGGAAGAACTTGTATCGTCTAGTGATAACAGAACATCAAACAGATAGTAAAACCAAACAAATAAACAAAAACACAAACGAAAAAGAAGGTTTTCACAATTGTAGATAGTTTGCAAAAATTAATAATCACAATAGAAACGTTTTCTAACATGATTTAAATTTTTATTAATTTTCTGGTTAAAAAACGTTTCTATTTTTTTTGTTCTGCGGCATGGAATCAAATGAAAGAAACCATTTACATCCATGAATCGGTCATGTGATTTCGGTCATGCATCTCCGTTTCCATTTCAAATTTCTTTTTGTTCTCGCATTTCTCACCATGGAAGCCGTTATCCGTCAGTAGCCATGAATAGCACTCAACAGAGTTAAATGTTTGAAAGGGAGAGGGGCCGCACCTAGAAGTCATTTTTGACTTCTGTTTTTTGCCAGCTTAAGGAGCTAGAAGTCAAACACAGCTAGTGATGTTTTTAACTCTTATCGGGTTAAATGCCTTTAAGTTGCAGCCCCAGTTTTAAACTAGAGGAGTCTAGTGCCATTCAAGCCTTACATATGCCATTTCATTTTTCGTTTGTTTTAGATAGGGGATGACACAACAAAAATAGAAAAAAAAAAGGTGAAAACACATCCCTGGCAAAGGCATTTTACTTATATATATATATACAAGTAATTCTTATAAATTAATTAATTTAATTTAATTATTAATTATTAATTGACTTCAACAGTGTCAGCATCTAGTCTCTTTTAACATTATAGTTTCAACAAACTGATAAGAATAAAAGGAAGATCATAAAAAAAATATCATGTCTACAAATTTGCAATCGCATACTGATAAAGTATCACAAAATCATAGCGTTAATTATAACGAAGCACCATATGTTAAAACATCATTGATAGATGTTACTAACAAGTTACCTATTGAACCACCATGTCGTATATTATTCAAAAACGAATGGGAACAACCTTCAGGAAGTTTCAAATTAAGAGGAATTGGTAATTTAATCCAACAATCAATTTTACAATATAAGAGACTTGAAAATCAAGATAAAGAAATTCAAGTATTTGCATCAAGTGGTGGTAACGCTGGTTTAGCTGCTGCGTATACTGCTTTTTTTTATAACTTGAAATGTACTGTTGTTTTACCGGTTAATTCTAAACCTAAGGTTCAAGACAAATTAAAAGGATGGGGTGCCAAACTTATTTTACAAGGATCTAATATTAATGAAGCAGATAAATATTTAAAAGGTATGTTAAATGAAATTAGATCCAAGGGAGAAATAGAACCAATATATTGTCATCCATTTGATAATCCATTAATTTGGGATGGTCATGCTTCTTTGGTTGATGAATTAACCAATAAAAGTCAAATCAAAGGAATTGTTTGTTCATGTGGTGGTGGTGGTTTATATAATGGGATTTATGAAGGAATGATTAGAAATAATATGGTTAATAATAATAATTCAATTTTATTATTAGAAACTCAACAAGCTCCAACATTATTTGAAAGTTTAGAAGCTGAAAAATTAATCACTTTAAATAATGTCAATTCATTAGCTACTTCATTGGCATGTAGTTATACTACTAATCAAACCATGGAAAATTTCCATAATAAACAATATATTGAAACAAAATTAGAGTTAGTCGATGACTTGGATGCCATAAAGAGTTGTATATCATATTACAATCAATTCAAAACTGTGGTAGAACCAGCATGTGGAACAGCTTTATCAGTTGTTTATGATAAAATCGACTTATTATATAAACATTATGGTAAACTTAACAAAGATGATGTTATAGTAATTGTTGTTTGTGGTGGATCTTGTTGTAATGAATCTGACTTACAAGCATTTGAGAAATTAGTTAAGAGATCTGAATCTAGATTATAGAGAGTGAGATTAAATTGCATATGTATAGTAGTAATATTAATAATAATAATAATATTTATAATATTTATAATTGAAACTTTGTAAAATAATGTTATTGAATAGCATTATCAAAATTGCAAAAAAACAAAAGAAAAAATATAGTAAAAAAAACCAAATTGATTCCATCGAGGATCGAACTCGAGACCTTCTCTGAGTGAGAGAGACGTCATACCGCTAGACCATAGAACCAATTTTTCTGCAAATTTTGAAAAATACTGCGTGTTAAAGAGATTATATCACGTGATGTTTTATCACGCTTTACCCCTAATTTCAACTCCTAAATTGTATTATTTTTTGTATTGAAACAAACTAAAAAACACTAATTCTTATGAATATTGTTGATTTTGGAGCTTAAATAATCATTTTATCTATTGGAAAGCATATTATGAAAGAAACTAATAAGAATAATTTTTTTTGCAAAGGTTTATGTTGTTTTCACTGTAACAGAATGTATGAAAAATGATCCAAATGTACTTTATCCATAAAATAAACAATCATGACACATTCAAAGGCTGATTGAGTCCTTTAAGTTGTAAATAACGTTTGAATGTCGGTTTTTACTTTATTTCTTGCATATTTTTGTTTCATTTGCTTACATGAAAATAACATAAATGTGAATAATTTACTTGAAATATGACTAAAGTTCTCTAATTTTGAATGAAAAAGCGTCAAAAAATAAATAAAAAAGAAATAAGCAAAAAGATATTTCGAGGAATTGTTCAATAAAATTCTTCTTCATCATTTATTCAATCTATGTTACCACGCCAGACATTAGGATAATCTGCGATATAGTTTTATGTGTCCTTTATAATACTAAGATATTGAAAAGAAGAAGGCGCTCAAAAGCGCCAAAAAAGGTGCAGAAAAATACTTAGCGATATCGTCGAAGATCAACTGCACGTCATCGGTTGAAGAAATTCTTGGACTGATTTTTCTTACGTTGCAAATTATATTCATTGCATTAGATAGTAAATTCTTAGTATGAAGATCAGTGATTGATATGGTTATTTATCTTCTCTATAAATACTTTTATGTTTGTATAGATTGAGATGTATAATAAAATTGGAAAGGTAAAATATAATACATTCTTCTGCGTGGGTTGAAATAACACAGAAATAATGAAGAGAAGGTGGACGAATAAGTAATTAGCGATGTTTAAGCCCAGAGATTAGCGTACTTGATTCAAAACCTTGGCTTTCTATGAATTAATTAAAGATTAGTACGACATTGAGCGTGTGCGATTACTATAAAATAAATTTCAATCAAATTGCGTTAAATTCTTAAATAATTTTTGGTGAAATTACTCGACGCGTAATTTTTCTGGGAGCCTTTTAAAGATGAAAGAATATTCTCGTATTCTTAATTTCAAATTGAAATAAGCATTGGTTTTCTTTTTACTTCGATAGCTGTATTACCCCATTCTATTAAGTCGATGTTATACAGAAGCAGGGATGAACTTAGAAACAAGCAATTATGACAGAGGGGGGTTAGGATAATTTTTAGACTATTTATTTCTCTATAAAGTTTGTGTTATCTATTAATATGCCATAATATTTTCTTCCTTTTAAACAAAGGTTGTTCATAACGACAATTTTAATTACAATGAAAGAAAAATCGGACAATTTTCCGGACAATATTGTAAAAGCCTTTATCAACAGTTTTTTTTTGATAAAGGAGAATTATGCTCAATTAGGAAAGACAAGAGAACTTACAAGTTGTGGAAAAAATCTGACAAAAATATTCACGTCTTTTTTTTATTTTTATTTTTATTTTTATTTTTATTTTTAATTTTTCTGTGAAATTGAATATGTGAGTTTGCGTGGCTTAACCAGTTCACTAATAGATTTGTAGGTATGCATTAAATTGAATCAAACTACTAACAAATTAGTGAATGAAATTACTGCAGGAAGGGCTGTAGTAGGGAGGAAAAAAAAAATTTAGGAAGAAGGAGTAATGTATGGTAGAAGCTATAACCTAAGGATATTACCACTGCTATGGCGTTATCTGCAAACAGAGTTAGCGAGAAATGCCTTTACATGAAATAAGACGATAACGTGTGTGAGGTCAAACATGATTATAAAGTACGGTATTGTTTCAATATTAAAGTCGAGCATTAATGAACCTATTGTTAAGCTATTATTATTGTGGTAGGGTAGACGTGTAGCTAGGGGAGGTAAGTTGTTATTTTACGCTGATGGAAGGATTGTAGTGGTAAGAAAAACAAGCCAATTTCAATTGTCACACGCCGGTAAGAAATATACGCATGCCATGAAATTATATACGTACCTTAAAATAACACAATAAAAAATCATTAAAACAAAGAATTTCAGTAAATCAGACAGAATATACATACAGTCAGAGAAAGAAAAAAAAGAAATGTAGATAGATAGATAGATAGATAAACAACAGACAGACAGTCAGACAGACAGACAGACACTTTATCAGCGTGTGTACATTATTTTTTTATTTTTATTTTTATTTTTTTTGATCCCTGATCGACTTACACGTGGGTTGGTTGAAAATTACCGAGTCTTTGTAGGGGGAGCTCAGAAATAAAAAGTTGATTGTAGCCTTAAGCTTTAAAGTACGAATCATATTACTTAACATTGTAATTAGGGTTAGGTTTATTTGTTTGTACCTGGTTTTCCTTTATTCTCGTACTTATTCGAGTCATAATAAATGGTTGACGTTCAATTAAGCCCATTTTTGAACTAATTGTTACCTAGTAAGTTCGAAATAAAGCAATCACGTCAATTCTTAAGGTTAAAGTCAATCCATAACCCAATTACAATTTTTTATTTTAGCTGATATACTTCATTTTTATATGCTATAGTAGAAACAATAAAGATTGTTCCTTAAATTCTCATATTGAATTTCGGTCTAACTTTTATCTTCGTTTCGTTTCGTTTCGTTTCGTTTCGCTTCGTTTCATTCATTCACTCATTCATTCATTTCTACTTCTATAGACTTTACGTCCATTTCATAGTTTGGGGCACCGATTAATAGGTCATATTTGACGTTCTAAATCCTCCACTTTTGATCAAAATCAATCACTAAGGCGTAAAAGTAACACACACACATACATACTTACACACTACACTCTAGCAATATTTTTTTTTAACTTTACCACTAATCTCACTTAAAACAATAAATAAAAATCTAAAAGTAGACAAAAATAGACAAAAAAGAAAAATAAGACAAAAAATAATTCCTGTTTTGTTGAGATTGTTTTTGTTATTTTTGTCTATTTTTATTTTTTTATTTTTTCATCTTTTTTTTTTTTTTTTTTATTTTATTTTTGTCTTTCAGTCTTTATTTTTTTTTTCTGTTCCTTTCCTGCTCTGATCATTTACAACCACTTTTCTTTCGTTCATCAGTAAAAAAGGCAACCAAACAAGTTGTTGGACGTGACATTGTATACTCATTCATCCTATCAAGATTGAAGGAAGTAGTAGTGATTCGTGCTATTACTGGATTCATTCATCCATCTATCTATTCTCATTTGAACTTGGGCTGTTGTATACATAGATCCAAACCCCCGTTCAACAAATCCAATCAATATCGCTTTGAAACATTCCGATCTGGAAGTAATTATCATTTGTCTATCTTTTAATCAATCTGATACCATCTTTACAAGTTGTCTATCAACTAATCATTCCATCCATCCATCAATCATTCGCTTTAATCGCTTGCTAGACGTCCTTAATTGCATTCAACGTTACCTGCATATACAGCCTACTGCTCCCATCACATTTTTATATAGTATGATAGATATGAAGCAAATATTCAGAACAAAGTTTAAACTTATCCACTATTGTGGTGTAATGTTGGCTCTTATCATCATTAACATTTGGATCTATAACTATTCTTCATCTACTCCTTCTACTTTACAATCTCAATTCAAATATAGTCATCAAGGTGGCGCTGATAGTATTTATCAACTTTCTCATAATGAAGATTTAATTCCTGAAGAAATTGTTGGTATTACCCTTCCTGATGAAGATGAATCTGATGAAGATCGAGAAAAAAAAGAAAAAGAAAAGGAGAAAGAAGAAGAAAAGCTTTTAGCTGAAAAATTAGCTAATTATATGCCAGCTGCAAAATATAAACATGTTCAAGATAAACAACTTATTGAACAATTCCCCTTTGAATTATTACATAAACAATTTGAAGTTAAAGATATAAAACAACAATATGATGCTCATGCCACCATTTATGATCTTATTTTCAAAAATCACGAACCATTATCAGTATTTGCCAATCTTGATTTTAATCAAAGATGCCAATTATATTTCTACAATTTATATACCAATGATCATAATTGGGTTATCAACCCTACTGAAAAATTAGATCTTGAAAATGTTAATAATTTCGAGTTTATTGATTACAGTGAATCTCAAAGGGATGATTTAAAAAAACAATTTATTGAAAAAAATGAATTAGGAATTGAAGTTGATGATTTAGAAGAAACTCAAGAATTTGAAGAATTTGTAAATAAAAAATATTCTGAATTTTGGGAAAGAAATCAAATCGTTGAACAAACTGTGGTGGATTATATTTCCCATCTTAGAATCTTTAATAAATGTTTCATTGCCAACAATGAATTAAAAGGTACCAAACCAGTCAAAAAATTTATTGCAGATCAAAAGGCTCTTATTCAAGATTGGGTGAAGGTTCAAAAAACTGACTTGAAAAATAAAGATCCTAAATTAGCCAAAAAAGTAACTAAAATCCCTGAATTTAAATTAACTCATGCAGAAAGTTTGATTGATTTTGATTCATTCAGAAATTGTGCTGTTTTAGAATCAAGAGTTTATCCTTGGTTATCATTTGATTATCCAGTTTATGAAAGATGGACTGGTGATGTTGTATTAAAACCTCCAAAGATGAGTAATTATTTAAAACCAAATACTGCTGCTTCTAAAACCACAAAATCTTCCGCCTCTCAAATGCATGATGGTTCTTGTTTCTTGGAAAAATTTAAACGTGAAACTAATGGTAAAGGTATTACTTTATCAATTTCAGATCTGCATGTTCCTGATACAATTAGATTGATTCATTTATTAAGAGCTCTTAATAATAAATTACCAATTCAAATTGTTTATTACGAAAATTTATCCGCTGATTCCAAGAAAAGATTAGTAACTGCCGCAAGAGAACAAATAAGTCTGTTACCAGCTTCATTTAGAAAAGTGGCTCATTTATTCCCATCTGATTATTTAGATAAAAATGATCATGGATTACCTAAACAAGAAATTTGGTTTGTTAATGTTTATAATGTTATTAAGGAAGATTATCGTAAAAGATTTGAAAAATTCGGTAATAAATTCTTAGCTACTGTTTTCAATTCATTTGATGAATTTATCTTATTAGATGCAGATTCAGTAATGGTTCAATCACCTGAATTTTTCTTTGATTTAGAAGGTTATAAACAAAATGGAGCTTATTTCTTTAAAGATAGAACAGCTTCAACTACTCGTAAAGTAAGTGATGGTACTTTCTTTAAAAAGATAAGTCCTTCAATTGTTGATCAAACTATGTTTAATATTCCAATCATAACTGATTATACTGCCAAGAGATCATTCTTCGAAGGTATGTACCATTATATGGAATCTGGGTTGGTAGTATTTGATAGAACCAGACATTTTAATTCCATGCTTTTAATGATTCAATTGAATTTCATGGAACCAGTTACATCTCGTGTTTATGGTGACAAAGAAATCTTTTGGTTAGCATTTGCTCTTAATGGTGATGAAGAATTCACCTTTAACAAGTATCATGCTGCTGCCATTGGTGATGAATCTCCTGAAAATGAATTTTTAACCAAAGATGGTAATCCAAGAAAGGGTCATGAAGTTTGTGCTGCTCATCCAGGTCATATTAGTGGTGAAGATGGTCAAAGTTTATTATGGTTTAACTCTGGTTTCAAATTTTGTGGTCAAAATCATAAAGTTGATTTCAGTAAAGAATTCGAAAATAAATCTCATTTCAAATTCCTTAAATCTATCCAAGATATGAAATTTTTCTACACCCAGCCAATACCTATAAAACATGCAGTTATTCCTCCTTTCAAATCTAAGAACGAATTGACTTGTGAGAATATAGAAGATCAACCATCTTTAGGATGGATAGAAAATAAAGATTATTGTCATTCATATCTTTGGTGTGCTTACTCTCAAATTGGAGGTACCACCGAATCTGGAGTTGATAATACTCAGCATGGTAGATTTATCGAATTTGATAAACTTACCCAATCTTTGTTTCAATATTATGGTGATATTTGGGTTGGTAATGAATGATTTTATCATTGGTTTAGTTTGCTATTTCTTTTCCTTTTTCTTTCATTTCAATTCCTTTTGTTTGGCATATATGTATATTTTCATAGCTACAAATAAGTAGTTTTCCACTTTCTCTTTTCCTCTTTAATTATTATTATTATTACATGGTTCACCAGTACTTTCCTTCCCTTACCCTTTATTCCCCTCTACATTCTATTCACAGATCTTTAGTTTAAATTATAGAAATATTAATATATTAAAAAACATAAACACAGTAAATTAAAAACTAGGAGCAACAGCTATACAATAGCAAATATAAAAAATAAAACTTAAGCCCCTAATTACTGATATAAAATTAGATTAAATTTAGATGCGAAAAATCTTAAACTTTTTAATTTTTTGTTTTTCTTTAAACGACTTAAAAATGGCGAAAAAATTTGAGTTAAAACAAAAATAAACGGTAAATGACGATGAATTAGAAACGATAAAACCAAAGAATGGAATGAATGATTGAATGAATTAGAATGAATGAATGAAAATGTAACGTGTAAACTAAAAGACAGACCCATTTACAAAAATAAAAAGATATTAATTTAAAAATGAATAAAAAAAAAGTATCAAGCAAAACAATTTTTGATTATACTTAACATGCAACAACACTTAAAACATCGATTTCTATTTCTCTACATTGAGCACCAATACTTTCGTCGTATAAGTTGTAGAAATCACCTGATAAACATTGGTAGAAAGTGGTTTGAGTTCCTAAGGCTAATTTGTAACCAGTAGAACCATCTCTTTTAACCTTAGCTGGTTTATTTTCTGATGGACCTGGAACATCTTCTGGAGATTCAAAACTTGATGGAACAATTGACCAACCACCAGCATAGATAGCACCAGCTTGTGGTGGTGGACCATCGAATTGGAATTGACGATTGGCGACAATTGAACCAACTCTTCCATGAGAATCATAAAGAATACCACCAACTAAAGTAACAACTAAAGCGTCTGGTGAAACACAGGCAGTTAAAATATCACCACCAGAAACTTGACCATCAGTAGCTTGAGCAGCAACAGTGTTAGTACTAGCTTGAACTTGTCCATCGGTGATTTGACCAGCGACAGTAGCAGTGCCTGCTTGAATTTGTCCATCACCAATTTGACTAACAGCAGCAGCAGTACCAGTTGCTGCTTGAATTTGGCCATCACCAATTTGAGTAACAGCAGCAGCAGTACCAGTTGCTGCTTGAATTTGACCGTCTCCAATTTGAGTAACAGCTGCAACAGTACCAGTTGCTGCTTGAATTTGACCGTCTCCAATTTGAGTAACAGCTGCAACAGTACCAGTTGCTGCTTGAATTTGACCGTCTCCAATTTGAGTAACAGCTGCAACAGTACCAGTTGCTGCTTGAATTTGACCATCACCAATTTGAGTAACAGCTGCAACAGTACCAGTTGCTGCTTGAATTTGACCGTCTCCAATTTGAGTAACAGCTGCAACAGTACCAGTTGCTGCTTGAATTTGACCGTCTCCAATTTGAGTGACAGCAGCTACAGCAGTATTAGCTTGAACTTGACCATCACTAATTTGAGTAACATCTCTCTTTCTCTTTGCACTACCAGTTTCAAGAACTAAGATAGTAAATGCGAAAGATCCGAAATCTGAAGTTGCTCCTGGAATTGTGGCAGTTGGAGTTAAAGTTGTCCATGGAGATGGAACAGCTGCAGCTAAAACGGTTTCTGATGATAACAATAATGCCGCTAATGAAAGGCAAACGGAAAACTTCATGACTACTAGATTATTTTTGTATGAAATGAAATAGTTTAGACTTAGTTATAAAAAATATTTTTTAGAAATTTGTACTTTTTTGTCGAATTAGCGAATGGCTTTAGGGATTTAACGTTGGTTCCTTGATTTTAGACTTGGATTGACTAAGTTTAGTTGTCAATTAGATCTCTAAAATATAAATTGAAGTTATCCCAAATAGAATAGTTATTGATACTATATAAAAACTTTTTCCCAAAAGTAGAAATTTCTATGATTTCAAAATTACTGAAAATGGGAAAGAAATTGGGACAAATTTATATTATTTGCATAAGCAGGCTTAATTAGAATGGAATCGAATGGGATAGGATACGATGATGATATTAAGTTAAACTTCGGGACCTCTCATATACTGAATCTATATAGTAACAAACGCAGGTCATTAATTTTCCTAATTGAGTTCAGTGATAAATATTTTTTCGTTAAAATTTGCAATTACGAATAACAGAGGTGTCAATATTTTTATGTATTTACTTTTATTTTTATTGTTAAATTTAACTTTTAAATTAGTTCTAAGGCAGGAGGAAGGAAGAGATTTCGGATCAATTGGATTTGCTGTGATGTCATTTATGTATTTATAGAAACTTTACTAGTAAAAAACATCGCCTTTTTTTTATTTAATCTAATTTCAGTGGTGTGTTAGGAGTTGGTGGCTAGGTGGGGGGTGGCTATGAGAAGTCGATACTAAATCGGTTAGTAGTCCAATTTTCTAATTATGATACTATGTTCAAAATTAACTCATTTGTTAATGATATAATTATACTTTGTCAAGAAAAAGGAGGAAGAGGTTAACTATTAATGAAGAAAGTATCCACAAAACTGAGTCACACAAGTTTCAAACCTCATACATCCCACTTAAGTTTACTCCACCCCCAGGGTGAAGATTAGCACACAACACCCAATCAGAATTTGAAAACTATATTTCATTAATTAGTACAATACCAACCCTTCCAACTCCTTCCTTCCCCCACAAATACTCTGTTGTTGTAAATATAAAAAAGTCACTTAACATTCCTGATACGACAGGGTGCGAATCAAAAAAATATAAAAAAAAAAAAATAAACTGCTAAAAATAGGATATAATTAAAAAATAATAAAATTTTATTAGGCAGCTTCTTCTATATAAATCTCTCCATATTATCTGCATCTTATGTTTTCATTTTCTGAAGAGCTTGAAAATCTACAAACAAACAAACAAACAAATAAACAAATATACAGAATTATAAATATGAAAGGGACAATAATAGCAACTGTATAAACAAGCGGAATGATTTAGATTAGGCTTAAAATCCTGTGCTATGACTGTACGGTAAGTGGGGGATTTTTGTTTGTGTTCTTAGTAAATGACATACATGACCTTACGCAAGAAAAGGATACTCAAATTTAAAATCCTTCATAAAACTAGCAGATAGAGCAGATGAGATTCCAATAACCCCTATACCTAGTACATTATTTATAAGGTTACGGATTGTTAAAAATATTGTAGTTTATTGCTTGGAAGGAGGTGTATTTCAATATAATGAAAAAAAATAAAATTAATGTTTTTGTATAATACTGTAATATTAATTAGGTGATATTGTTGGTTTAAGGTAGTAACGAGGTAAGACTCCTCATTTTTGCATAAAAAGGTAAAAAAATAGTTATGAGGCCCGTGGATTCTTAGGTAAATCTTATAAGGGACAGGTGTAAATATTGTAATACAGGATAATGCCGGTAAATACTGTTATATCAGGATTCAGTTAGAAAATCATATTCATATTAATTATAATACTGATGAGATACCATGATGAACACTTGATGATTACTTTGATTCAATACAACCTCAACGACAATTGAACTTTTCAACGGCTCCAAACCGGAAAAAAAGGTCAATAGTGGAAGCAAAGGGTAAATAGAATCTATTTTTAGAACCCGTCATGTTGAATGGCTTAAATTACATACATATAAGGCACTTACATATAAATATATTTATATATCTACATACATACAATTTGTCATCAAAAAAGGAGGTCTGAAATTTGATGGTTGTTGTCAAGTTGAACTGATGTTGAAGATGTTCAAAATGTTACCCCTTAATGCGCTTTTCTCCCCGTATAACAACCGATTTTTTTTCATTATATGGTTTCTCGAAGCAAGAAAATAACGTGCAGGAATTTTCGTACGTTAGATATAAATAGAAGTTACATCATAGTTATAGATGTTTTCCAATGGAGATAAGATAAGATTCTTTGTTTGTTTACTTTTATGATTTGTTTATTTATTTACTTATTTATTTACTCTATTTGTTCATTAAGAAATTTGCTTAATACGTTATAAGCAAATTTGTTTTCAAAATGCCCTTCAAGTGCAAGTTCACTTCCTTTTGGACCAATATAATCAACACATTCTGCATAAACAAATGAAGCATGAATACCACCCTTTTCCATGATTAAATCAATATTGTTCTGTTTGTTTATGATAGTATGGAATTTTTCAATGGCATCTCTTAAAACTTCACGTTCACCATAAACAACTATAGTATTACCATTAACAATAGGTTCAACTTTTGACCAATGATCTTCAAAATTAGTGTTGGAAAATGTTAAGAAATTATTAATTAATTCGCGATCAAGACCTTCAATATAATATTCTCCCATCAAAGTATCTTTTGCTCCTAAATCTCCGAGGATAGAAACTCCATGCAAAGTTGGAATAATAGGTTGAGTAACAGGTTCAATCCAAGGACTCAAAAGAGCAAGAGATTTTGGTTGGGGTAAATTTGTGAATGATGAAAAATCAAATTGAGGAAATTGAGAGAATAATTCATGGGATTCTTGTGGATAAGCAAGATATCTTACTAATGCACATATAAGATGAACTCCAGCAGAATCTCCTACTAGATGAATATGTTTATAGTTGTTTTCGACCAAAGTCTTATAGGTTGAAAGACTTTCCCAAATTTGAGTTGGGAAAATATGATCAAATAACGTTAATGAATAATCAATGACTAAAAATGATGTTTTTGCTCTTACTTCAGGTGTTAAAGCATAATATAAAGTAGTGAATGCAACTAATTGACCTTCAAACATAGCTAATAAATAACCACCACCATGAACGTAAACAACCACATTTTCAGCATTTTCATTTTCAACAATCCAATAACTATATTTATCTAATGGTTTACCAAAATTTCTTAAATTTTGAGTTAAGGGATGATTATTTTGATATTTTGATAAGATATTAGATAATGGAACATAACTAAATGTTTTCACATCGGATTTGTGAAGATTTCCACTTAAATGATATAAAGCTGATACATGAACATTTTTCCATAACGAATCGGAGAATTCAGGAGAAGTTTGTTGATAAATGGTACCAACTGTGTAATACTCAAAGATTGTTTTAACCACCGTCAAAGGGAGAGTAACCACTTTACTAATAAATCCAGCTGTTACCATGTTATTTGAGGAAGGGGGTGAGTAAATCTATGAAGGTTTAATAAAGGTCTAAATTTTCTTCTATCTATATGGTATGTTTTCTAAGGGAATGTAAGGTTGTTGGAGGTTTCGCTAGCTAAGTAGAAGTTCCAACATAAATTTGAATTAACGACAAATCTCGGCACATAAATTATTATGGGGATAATTTATGAAAAAAATAAATGAATGAATAAATAAATAAATATGAACTCTATGAATGTTTATATATATTATACCCACAGATTATATTATTTAATGATTATCGAAATTGGATTTTTCGTTTTACAATCAAAAAAATAACAAAATAAAAAGTTACGCCCCAGACACATAGAGAGACAGATTGTATGCATGTCAAAAATTATTTCAAGTTATTGTTTATGAGTACTATTGTTTTCAGGCATTTGCAAATTTATCATTAAATTTGATTTACGAATTTATGAAATTCCTTCTTTTCCATATTAACTACAGATCATTGAGGTAGAGAAGTAAGAAGAAACAATTTTTAGTTGATAAGTTGATTAGGAGTTGGTTTGGAGGAAGAAATTTAATAGCAATAAATTGATATGAATCCCCTCACCGAACATTTTCCGACGGGGATAGAAAATGGATTTGGTTCACCGAGGACTTTGGCCTATAAGATTTATGGGTTGCATGTATGTATTCAAACATAAGCGTTGGAAATGAATTAGATGAAGCAGAAGTTTTTTATTTCAATTACTTTTGAATATAAACTAAACTGACCTTGCATTATCCACAACTTTAAATTTGAAAAAAAAAAGTTCGTAAATTAACCAATTTCTCTCCATTCTCTCTCTCCTCAAAAACCAATTAAAACCAAATGTGGCAATGTACACAATAGAAGCTCTAAATTATTATCAGTTTATAGTTTCCTTTGTGATTTACACGAATAAGCTTGAAATAATAATATTGTATTGAACTCAGCCTGCAGATCTTTGATACTTAGGGAATGAATAATTCTAGGATTGCAAGATAACCTTCACCAAGTAGATCATTACTGGTAAAACTTAGTATTATCCTTCGTAAATTGATTCCCGAACCAAATCACAAGTTTAAGCTTTTCATTTTATCTCACTTTTAAAAGATCCGCATAACATTATAAATCGTAAAATAATATTTATAAAAATAAATATAATTCACAATAGGAAATTTAAATTATTATTAAAATAGATCATATCTAACCAGTTTGAAACACCGTACAGTTAGATGGCTCTAATTCTTAACTAATCTAAGGAGACATTATAAGGTTTGAAACTTGACTTTTGAAACAACCGTAATTTAAAAAATAAGGCAATTGATCAAGGCAGCTCCCTACTTTTTATTGTTCCATACTTCTCTCGCTCCGTATACTGTTATGAAAAATAGATAACAGACGATAATTGTACTATGAATATCTTTATCTATCTATCTACGATAAATCTCTAACACTATTAGTTTATAATGTGGCAAATGCATTTTTTTCTTTCTAGTTACTCTACACATAATATTACATAGCTTCTCCTTAACTAATCTATAATTTGAATGAATTGGAGTCTTGTGCTCCACCACTGTTCTTAAGGTTACCTTTAACATCACGTAATTGACCTTTCTTATCAATAACAGTAACATTCTTAGCTTTAGATAATGTATCGACAACTGCACTAACTTTTTGACGTTTATTTGGATTATTGCTATCCTTAGAGTTTGCTTTATCAGCAGCTTCTTTAGCTTCAATTCTTTCCTTTCTCTTGTTGAAATCTTTCGATCTCTTTCTTTTACCTGCTCTTCTTAATCTTTGTTTCTCATCAGTTGATAACTCATCTTTAGAGTAAGATAACCCTGACTTCAATAACACTTTTCCATCACCCTTTTGTTTACCATCACCGATTTTATATATTTCTTGTGGAGCTAATTGAGATTCACTAGTTACATTCAATGGTTGAGCATCTTCCATATTAACAGCATCAGTAACTTTAATTTCAATGGTTTTAAATTGATGAGGCTTTGGAACGAAATGAGCAGAACTTAAGGCATCCAAACTATGAGTAACACTACTAAATAATTCAGTGATTTCATCATGTTGCTTTTGAACTTCATCACTTATTTTGGTTTCTGCATCTCCTCCATCGGTACTTGATTTAGTATATTCATCTTCATATAATTCAGCTAATGATTTAGATGATTTTTGTTCTGATAATTCATATTTATCTCGTTTTGATTGATAATATTTAGACACATCTGATATTAAACGTTTTGGTAAATCATTATAATCTTCAGTTTTTATTCTTCTTCTAATCAAATCTTCAATAGTTTCTGTGACTTCATCAGTAATGATTGGAACAGGTTTGGAAGTACGATCGAATTTTAAATTACTTGATTCAGATTCATCAATTAAGGAATCCTGGGGTCTATCTTTAGCAGCAATTTCCCCTTTCATAGTCCATTTCTTATCAGCAATTAATTCAGCTTCTAATTTGGCTATTTCTTCTTGTAATTTTTGTTGTTGCTTTTGATAAGATGATAAATTTTCACTTGATTTTGAAGTTTCCAATTCTTCTTCTTCTTCATCTTCAAATAAATCCAACATGGCAGTACCCATGGCATTATCATATTCTTGTTCATTAAATTCTCCTTCAAACTCTTCTTCTTCTTCATCATCATCTTCTTCTCTATTGTCTTGTTTATTTTTCTTTATCACTACATTTGAACCTGGTTTATCATAAAAATCATCATAATAATCAACTTCTTCATCTTCATCATCTTCACCACCACTTAAGTTTCCAAAATAATCTATTTCTTCTTCATCATCATCATCTTGTTGATTATTAGCTTGATCTTCCAAGGCTAAGACTTGTTTGTTATACTCATCAATATCAAAGAATCCATCGTTTAATCCAAAGGCATCTTTTTTATGATTATTGATATCGAATTCTTCTTCTTCTATTTCTGGTTCTGATGCTACGTTGGTATCTGCGTCTGATTCTTCTTCTTCTTGTTCTTCATCTACTTCTTCATTTGATTCTTGATCTTCTTCATCTTCATCATCGTCTTCTTCCTCCACATTAACTTCGTCTTCTTCATCAACTAAAGTTTGGACATCAGCATCTTCTTCATTTTCATATTGTCCTTCAACATCTTCGTCTTCGTCTTCTTCTTCTTCATCATCGTCTTCTTCATCTTCAAATGATCCATATTTTCCCTTTAACTCAGGTATATCAGTACCCATTAATTGTTGGCCTACCCCATCTAAGACAATTTTAGCTTGTCCAAAGACTTGAGTAGCATCTAATCCATCGATATATATCTCATCTAATATCGAATACTTATTGGCTATAGGATCTAATAATGATTTAAGTAAGGCATTAAATGAATTATGATTTGTTTCTTGATCGGCAATGTCTTCCTCTTCCTTTTTTAAATTGAAGATTTCACCTGGATTTCGAATCAACCTCTGTACGATATCCTCCGACATTATGAATTAGGTATGTATATATATGTATATGATGGTGACGGTTTGACTTTACTATGGTTAAAGGTTTCTTCACTATGCATCACAATTTTTTTTAGAACAGAGAAGAGCTACAAAAAAAAAATTCAAAATCCTGCACAAGACTCCAAACTGAAAATTTAACCATTTATAAATATCAGATGGTTTAAATTTAGATCTAAATAAGATCACATAGGTATAATCATTTAAGTGTAACGAGATGGCAACTGAGATAACGGTGGAAGAACCACTTACTTCGAACACTAGACCAGCAACTGATGCGTTGATCACTGTACGTATCATCAAATCATTCCCTTACAGAAATGTTAAGAATCATATAATTCATTCTATAAATTTAAAGGAAACTACTCCAAAGCAATTGTTAGAACAAATAAAGACTATTATTCAAACCACGGGTGGGTTAAGACCATATAGAAGTGTTGATTATGATAGTATCAAGATCTATAGTAAGGCTCATGGATCTAAGTCTATGAATCTCGTGATTAATTTTGATGATGATGAAGGTTGGGTTTTGATTAATAATGATGATAAAAGGGGGGATAAGAAAAGTTTATACGAATTAGGTATTGAGAATGAAACTGAATTAAGTTTATTTAAATGGGATGATTATGTTGCATTCAAAGCTAATCCTGAAGAAAAATGGTGAAGAAGATATTTCAAAGCAATATATTGTTCATTATCTTATTAGAGATTTTGCATTAAATGTGTATTATAGTTATAATTTCTGTTTTAAGGTATGAATGGAAGCAGTAATTTTTATCTTTTTGTATATGTTATTCATAGGTTATATATGGTTGGTTTTGTATAAATTTGGAGAATATAAAAAGTTTATGATTTGTTAAGTTTGTGTATAAGTGATTTAATTGATCTATAACAAGATCACCGAATGAGTATGCGCTATGTATATGCCAATCAAGTATGATACAGGATAATACTACTCATGAAGTAAATAGGTGTGTAAGTTTGCAATGAATAAGAGCTAAGCTACGAGCATATAAAAATGGTTGCAAATATCGCAATTGGTTTCTACAATTTAATTATAATCTAATTCTGATATAAACAATGTATATTTATATTAAACAGTATACTAATAAACGTACACGCCAAATTTGCCGAAAATAGTTAACGAGGAGATGGTTACGTGTGATCGGTGACAACGGACTCATGATTTGGAAGCACAACCACGGAAACTTAACTAAATTGTTAGTAAAATTTATGACTAAAAAGAAAGACATTGAGTTAGTACTACGAAATCGTAGTTTTAATAAAACTAATCAACTCTGATAACCGTTCATTACATAGGACGATTAATCTCTCGCTGATACTTTAGCCTGATAACCACTCTATTGAGACAACATTCACCGGATTCTTACTTCACTACCTATCTATAAATTGTTATGGTTAGTAATAAACTAGATAGAATGTAAACATTAGTAGTATTATAATATCACAAAATGATGCCCTCTCTTTATCCAACAGAGTCAGACAAAAGCTACATAAACTCACAAAAGGCTATCTAAAGCAGAGATGAAGAGAATAGTTATAGTTGTTATGGTATGCTTCAATTGATAAGGGAAAGGGGGAGGCAGCACCTAACCTGTAAAATTAATCGTCCAACTTATAAACTGTAAACAAAAACAAAAACCTGTAAACTCCAACATAATCTGTAAACTGCCATTTCAACCAATAAGAATCCATCAAAATTTTGTTTGTCAAAAAAATCAAAATCAAAATCAAAAAAAAATTAAAAATTGAGAAATGAGATGATGACATAATCGATTACTTAAGCAATATCCAATCAAATAAACCACAAATAACTTACCAGTTTTGTCAATGGTAAAGAAAAAAATTATAGTTAAAAAAAAAATTAAATTTTCAACAATCGAAAGGTGGTTTTAAACAGGAAGAGTTCTTCAATAGTATATTGCCAGAGCATTTGTTGAGATATAGCGATATCGTGTTGTTTGTATTTTGACTTTATATACGTTTGGATCCATTCATTCTATTTAATTGGAATCATAATATAGGACTTACCGTATCTGTGTGTGTGTGTGTGCTACCATCAACCAATAACAATTAATTCATAACAATTGATTGATTGACTATATTTCATATTAATTCTACTAGTCATTTATACAAGTCTTGTCATTTCTATTTATTCTCATCACCAATCAATCATATATATCCATTCATCATGTTTAAATCATCTATACTTAGAAACATTAACAGTTCAATGACTCAAAAAATCATTGCTGGTTCAGTTGGTGTCACTGGTTTAACTGCTTCATATATGTTATACCAAGATTCCTTAACTGCCAGTGCCATGACTGCTGCTGAACATGGTTTACATCCTCCAGCTTATGGTTGGTCTCATAATGGTATGTTTGAAACTTTTGATCATGCTTCTATTAGAAGAGGGTTCCAAGTTTATAGAGAAGTTTGTGCTTCTTGTCATTCATTAGAAAGAATTGCTTGGAGAAATTTGGTTGCTGTTTCTCATACTACTACTGAAGCTAAAGCTTTCTGTGAAGAATTAGAATATGATGATGAACCTGATGATGAAGGTAATCCAAGAAAGAGACCAGGTAAATTGGCTGATTATATTCCAAATCCTTATGAAAATGAACAAGCTGCTAGAGCTGCCAATCAAGGGGCTTTACCACCTGATTTATCTTTAATTGTAAAAGCAAGACATGGAGGTTGTGATTATATCTTTTCTCTTTTAACTGGTTATCCTGAAGAACCTCCAGCTGGTGTTGCTTTACCTCCTGGTGCTAATTATAATCCATATTTCCCAGGTGGTTCGATTGCTATGGGTAGAGTTTTATTCGATGGTTTAGTTGAATATGAAGATGGTACTCCTGCCACCACTTCTCAAATGGCTAAAGATGTTACTACTTTCTTAAATTGGGCTGCTGAACCTGAACATGATGATAGAAAGAAATGGGGTTTAAAAGCTATTATTATCGTCTCTTCATTATATTTAGTTTCTATCTGGGTTAAAAGATTCAAATGGCAACCAATCAAGAATAGAAAATATAGATTTGATCCACCAAAAAAGTAGATTGAATTCATTAACTTATAAATAAAATAAAGCCAAATTGAATAGAATCCAATACACTTTATAAAACTTCAAAAAAACCAAAAAGAAAAAAAAAAAACATATTCAAACAAATGCATCTAGGTAGTCATATATTTTTTCATATTTTATACCTTTCCCAATTTCTTGTTAATTAACGTTTTATTTTTATAAAAAGAATCATTCTGATCTGATTATCTATAACACTCAGTTCATTCTCACAATCTCTCTCTTCATCTCTCTTTGTTAATAACTACTGTTAGTTCTTTAGTCTACTTTTTTTTTATTCTACATCTATATTATAATAACAAATTAAATTTTAACTATTTATAATTACTAACAATAATCAAGCTTTTACTGTAATAACAATATTCACCAAGGAAAAAGGCTTGACTTTTCCTTATTGGTATTCCTAGTTAATGATAGTGTACGTGATCAACCAACCACACTATATAAAACAAATTTATACTTATATAACAGTCGATATAACAGTTGCAAAAATTATATTTCACTCCACTTTTAACCTTATTCACCTTCAAATTATAACTATAAAGTCAAAAAATTCCCTACTCCCAAATAAAAATAATTCCGCCGAAATAAGATTTACAGGTTAAGTTGCCCTGCGGCGAGTCTCATGATTTTATTGGTTACCCGCAAAATTTGACCGGCGAAATAGCACATACAAAGAATTATAATTACAATGGGTAAGAAAACTATATACACAATATAAATTTGGTTTAACTGGGAAAATTTTTTATAAAAAAGGTGTTTCTTTTACAGTCAAGTATCAAATAAGACATTATATATATAGTTCAAGTCACTTTTTCCGTGGTTTAAGACGATTTCTTCATCTATTTATCGTTATAGTTTGTTATTATTCCTTTTTTCGAGGGTCTTGCTTCATCTCAATTACATTTTATAATTACACTACAGCCGTACATCATGAGTTATCAACCTTCGTCATCAAACAAGAAGGGTTCGACCCCAGGCGAAGAGACAAATACTAATACAACAGTAAGTCCTACCACATCCAGCGACTCTTCAAACGCGTTATTAACTACTAATGATGGTCAAAATTATCAAGGTGCATCATCATCCTCGTCAGGTAATATTAGAAAACCAGCTCCAACATCCATGTCTAAACCTTCTACTGATTCAAGTACTGATATGGGATCATTCTCAACCGAAGAGTCACAAGCCAAACCTTCCAGTTTGGTAATTATACTAACCTTAGCATCATCCATCTCAGGATTTATGTTTGGTTATGATACAGGTTATATTTCTTCAGCTTTAGTTATGATCGGTACTGATTTAAGTCACAAGTATTTAACTTCTGGTGAAAAGGAATTCATTACTTCAGCAACTTCATTAGGAGCTTTAATCGGTGCTATTATTGCTGGGTTACTGACGAATATTTTCGGTAGAAAGAAAGTATTATTACTTTCAAATATTATTTTCGTCATTGGTACTATCATTCAATTAGCTGCAAAGACAGTATGGACTATGATTATAGGGAGATTTGTTTTAGGATTAGGGGTGGGTATTGCTTCATTAATTTCTCCATTAATGTTAAGTGAATTAGCTCCTTCGAAATATAGAGGAAGATTAATCGTTACAAATTGTATGTTTATTACAGGAGGTCAATTAATAGCGTATTTAATTAATTGGGGATTAACTAATGTCAATCATGGTTGGAGAGTTTCAGTGGGGTTATGTATGGTACCACCTGTTGTGCAATTCGTTTTATTCTGCTTTTTACCAGATACTCCAAGATATTATATTATTAATGGTAGATATGATAGAGCTAAAGAAGTGATTAGAAAAATCCATCATAGTCCATCTGATGCATTTGTTAATGCTACAGTTGATGATATAATCGCCACTAATTCAATCGTTCCAGGAAATACTCCAGCTCAACAAATTTGGAATTCGATTAAATTAATTCATACTAATGTTGCCAATTTTAGAGCTTTGATTCTTGCTTGTGGTTTACAAGGTATTCAACAATTCACTGGGTTCAACTCATTAATGTATTTCAGTCCAACTATTTTTGAAACTATTGGATTCCATAATCCAACAGCTGTATCGATTATTATCGCTGCTACAAATTTCGTTTTCACCGGTGTAGCTTTATTGGTCATTGATAGAGTTGGTAGAAGAAGAATTTTGGTATTAGCCATCCCAGTCATGGTCATTGCTATGATAGTTTGTGCTGTTGCTTTCCATTATGTTCACATTGATTTTGGAAGTGATATTAAAGTTGTTGGAAGTGGTATTTCAGGTTGGGGTGTTGTGATTATCATAGGTATGGTATTGTTCGTTGCCTCTTATGCTATTGGTATTGGTAATAGTGCTTGGACCGGGGTTGAATTATTCTCCGATATTAACGTCAGATCTATTGGAGCCATGTATGCTGCTGGTACAAATTGGGCCGGTTCATTAGTCATCGCATCTACTTTCTTAACTATGTTAGAGAATATTACTCCAACTGGTACATTTGCATTCTTTGGAGGATTATGTGTGCTCTCTTTCTTCTTCGTTTACTTCTTATTACCTGAAGTATCTGGTTTAGAATTAGAAGAAACTACAGAATTCTTATCTACAGGATTTAATGTTAGACAAGCTTCTGCATTATCTAAACAAAGAAAGAAGAATTCTAAATTCGTTAAACACATCGACCCAGAAGCTTAAACACTAAGTAATTACAATTTACGTAGACTTAATTTAGCATAGATAATATAATAATATTTGCATTCATTTTAGCATAATATGTCATTTAGCATAAAACTGACTGTCGTGCCCATACCAAAGAAATTATAGTCACAGAACAAAACATGACTTTTTTATAAAAACAAATTTAGATGAAGTCAAGATATATTTCACATACATACCAAGTATCTATTTACACCTTTATAGACTTCAGTTGAAACACTTATTGTTATTCAAGAAGAAGTGTATCTGTATACTTGTTTCAGAACATAACAAGGTTTTTTTTTTCAGTCAAGGTTTTTTGTTTATTATTGTCATTTGTATTATTTTTAGTAATAATAATTTCCTATAATTATTACCAAGTTTGGAATTTACTACTTCAAAGGCTGGAACTTAAGAAGAAGATAGAGTAGTGAATTGGGATTGATTAATAATCAAATATTTATTCGTGTGTCTTTATCAACCAGAAGCATATGCTTTTATACTTATCTTTGTCATTATAATCATTAAATATGCTGAATACTATAATAACAGCAAATGAAATTACATTGCCACCCCTAAGGACAAGAATTTTACAATCACTATCAACAAAACCAAGATTGGCAAGATTAAAGGATTTTGAAGTGATAGAGAAGTTGGGTCAAGGTACATTTGGGGTTGTTCAAAAGGCAAAAGATAAGCAAACTGGAGATTTAGTGGCTATAAAACAATTACTTAATCATTCAGCAAAGGAAGGATTTCCTATAACTGCCTTAAGAGAAATAACAATTTTAAAACAATTACATCATGAAAATGTATTAAGTATAAGCAAAATCATCTTTGAAGAGCCAAGATTAAGTAATCCAGAAGCGATCATTAATACTAGAGGTTGTTTTTATACCGTTTCACATTATATGTCCAGTGATTTAGTTGGACTACTTGAAAATCCAAATGTTAACTTGAAGTTAACTCATATAAAATGTATCATGGAACAACTACTAACAGGTATAAATTACATTCATCAACAAAGATACTTACATAGAGATATAAAAGCAGCTAATATTTTAATAGATTCAGCCGGGGTATTAAAAATTGCTGATTTTGGTTTAGCTAGAGTATATCATGGTCATACTCCAGAATTAGCCTTGGGACCAGGTGGAGGTGAAAGAAATTATACCGGTTTAGTGGTTACTAGATGGTATAGACCTCCAGAATTATTATTAGGTGAAAGAAAATATACTACTGCTGTTGATATGTGGGGTATTGGTTGTGTGTTTGCAGAATTATTTACCCGTAAACCAATATTGGTAGGACAATCTGATGCTCATCAAGCTCAACTTGTATTTGGTTTAGTTGGTTCACCAGCTAGTTGGACTCATGCTGCTTCATTACCAAATAAAAATGATTATGCTATTGGATTAAATGGTTCAAGAACTTTGGAATCAAAATATGAGGGTATTATACCTGAAGATGGTATAAGACTCTTAAGTGGTTTATTGACACTAGATCCATATAAGAGATATAATGCTCTTGATGCTTTAAATCATGAATTTTTCAGAAATGAACCACTTCCTATGCGTCCTGAAGAATTACCTAAATTTGAAGAAAGTCATGAAATTGATAAAGAGAGGTTCAAGAAATTACGTGAGTCAATCAAATCAGGTTATCAATCAACAACTGTAAATGCTAACAATAATAATAACAACCATTCCTATGTGACTCCATTTGGTGGAGAAAAACATGAAAGTAGCTATGAACAATCAACAGGAGCGAAGACTTCTGAACCACAAGAGTTTGACTACGGAAGAGATAACAGACATGATACTTATATACCCAAAAGTAGATCCAATCATGATAGTTACAATCGTACTAGCAATAGTACAAACGGTGATGGTGAATCTGAAAGAAATCCTAGAAACGCCGAAAGTTCGATTAGTACCAATCACAGAGAGTATTATTTAAGCTACAGTACCAAGCCTGCTCCGAAGGCTCCAAGTTCGAACACCACTACCACTACCATAACTACCACGACTACAACTACGACCAATACTACTACGGACAGTAGTACACCAACGAAACCTTCTCTTCCAGGAGTAAAGTCAATACATAAAGATTCAAAGACTCCAGGTTCGAATTTGAACTCGCCTACAGCGGATAAATTTTTAAAGGTTGAAAATGGATTTGTATCAAATAGAAGCTCACCATATGTCGGAGGTATGGAAGGTATATCTAGACCTAAAACGCCAAAATTGGTTTTACAGGATAAAGAAGGAAATGTAACTAGACCAAGCTCAAAATCTGGAAGAAGTTTGTCGTCTTCAGGAAGTGTCACAACAGAGGAGCCAGTGAAAGTTAAAGTGGAGGCTGTGAGAATGCCAGAGAAACGGAAACCAGCCCCACAAGAAAAGGATGCATTGTCATTCATCAAGAAGTTACATTTAAAATCACCAAGACCAAAAGATAACGATTCTGGCAGTGATTCGTCGGCATCATCCAAAAGTAGTGCATTAAGAAAACCATCAGCGAAACTTAAACAAATTGCATCTAATGTATCAAGTAAATTTGCTAATAAGGATCGTAAGAGACCATTAAGTCAATCACCAACTGAATTCAAAAAGAAAGCAAGGTTTGAAGTTGATGATGACAGTGATCTCAGTGAAGGTGAAGATATCGATAGCAATGATGCCAAGACCCTTAGTGACTTTTTGGATCGTAATGCATGGATTAAAGAACCAGAGTATAGAAAGTTCTGTTATGAGCTTATAAGATTTCAAAGCTCTGAAAATTAAATTTTTCCACCACCATTGTAATATTAGTAGTACATAAGAATATATAGTGTCAGCTGTGTAATTCAACTTGAGTTACATTTTTGTATATAACAGAGTTATTCTTAACGAACGATTTTTTCGCAAACGATAATGATTAATATAGAATTCATAATAGATCTCAAGAGATAACTTTTTGTAAATCCAATTTTGGATGCATTTACGATTATGCGAATTCGGATGAGGGCCACACCATAGTACGGAAAGGTGCACCGGCATAAGAGCCCGAGGAAATCAGAATTTTTGTCTGATCGATCAGATAAAAATATTAAGTGTAAAAAAATATGTCAGGATTTTTGGAAAAGTTTTAAACTGAATTACTAATTTTTGTTTGCTCCCATACTTTAATAAGAAGCAAGAGTCTCCAACAGTGAATTCTGCACTTATATCCATATATATTGGGATTAGTTGTTGATAATTCTATCTGCTTAGTCTTGATCTTTCAATTTTACTAATAATATGTCAACTTTCGAAGATTATTTTTCAATACAAACCTTCCTCATTGTTTTGAGAGAAACATTGGAACTGGCTATCATTATATCAGTACTTTTAGCATTTGTACATCAAACATTCAAGGTCGAAGGCAATCTCAAGAAGGAAAGAGAATCATCTACGCCTCTAAATGAGTATAATAGTACCGAGGACCAATTATTAGAAGGTGCAAGCTCAGAATCTTCCATAGATTCAGGGGAGGTGGACAATGATGTAATTTACAGGTTTTTAAAATTCCAAATTTGGGTTGGTGGTTTATTGGGATTGGTAGTATGTTTGTTAATCGGATCATTGATTTTAGCTGTATTCTATCTCGTTGGTAGCGATTTATGGACCATTGCAGAACATTATTGGGAAGGTACTTTTTCAATTATTGCAAGTATAATTATCTCGGTAATGGGTATAAAGATCTTAAGAGTTAATAAGATGCAACAAAAATGGAAGCATAAGTTATCTATTATTATCCAAAACTCAGATTATGTCAATAAAGCTAGACGTCATGGAACTCAAATAGGTTATTCTAAGGAAGAGTTTTCTACGAAATTGGCTTATTGGTCAGAGAAGTATTCAATGCTCTTATTACCTTTTATCACCACCTTAAGAGAAGGATTGGAAGCAATTGTATTCATTGGAGGAATTGGCATTAACGAGAATACCTCCATTGTAGCAATTGTTAATTCAGCCATTTTTGCAATCATACTAGGAACATTCATTGGTATTCTTTTATATCGTTCTGGTAATACTTTATCATTACAATGGTTTTTAATATCTTCTACGTGTTTCTTATACTTAGTTGCTGCTGGTTTGTTTTCCAAAGGAGTTTGGAATTTTGAATTACAACAATTTATAGATGCTTGTGATGGGTTTGATGTAAGTGAAACAGGTCATGGTCCGGGTTCTTATGATATAACGAAAAGTGTTTGGCATGTTGATTGTTGCAATGGGGAATTGCAAGATGATGGTCCATTTTGGATGATGTTCACTGCTGTATTTGGCTGGACCAATTCTGCAACATATGGTAGTGTTTTAAGTTACAATTTCTATTGGATAGTAGTAATTGCAGTATTTTCTGCCTTAATATTTGAAGAAAAACATGGTAGATTACCACTTATTCCAATATCATGGCAACAAAGAAGAATTAAGAAGAGACTTAATCAATTCCAACCTCTCCCAAATGTGGAAATAAGAGAAAGTATTGACTCTATTAATTCTTCGTCACCATTGAATAGTTAGTCATATGAATATGCAAAACTAAAACATTCTAAATGAAAAAGAGTTAAAATTAAACTCTCGTTCATAACCACAACGGCCATAAGCAAATTTATATTATATAGCAATATACCCACCCATATAATTAAGTAGTTTGTACTAATTCAATTAAGTAATTTTAGAAAATGCTAATACACCCCGAGGATACACAAAGGCAACAAACACTGAAGACGCATCTTTAATTCTGGGCTGTTGTTATTATAATTCCAATGTAGAATCAAAATATTTCTCTAGTCAAATGTATTGTTCCTGATATAACAGGGATTTTTGACATAGAGAACCATTGGCTACTTTTCAAATACCATTTTGGGAATGTTTTGGTACCTACTTTCATAGAAGTTAGCAAAGGCTTAATGATATCTTGAGTGCCAAGTTTTAAGGCACAACGTCTATGTCAACCCCAAGTCTCAGTCCTGTCAAAGAAGTGACCTTCATATAACGTATAGAAAGGTGATACTGATAGATTTCTTTTCTATCTTTTTGTCAACTGTGGACTTTCTAGTTCTGCAGATTCTGTTGAAGAGTCCTATTTCAAAAAGTCGTTCCATTTCCGCTGCTTCCCCTTTGAAGCGCCTTAGTTATACTTAATCTTTTTGATCAGTAGAATAGCCGCACTAGAACTTTCTTGGCTATTGTTAAATCCTGAATTAAAGGGTTCGGCTTAGCACTTTTGCAATATAATTACCATATTTAATTCAGCAGGTATATACATTAAATCTAAAAATTGTTATTGTTTAGGGGGGAAATTATCGTAAAATGAAGCTATATTTTTAACTTCAACCAATAGTGCTTTATGGATTCATTCAGAAAGATATTGTGAAAATTTTTTACAATAACTGCAAAACAATTTAAAAATTCGCCTATATATATAACCACTTCAAATTACTTTGTTAAAATCTTCCAAACGATAATTATCCACTTTCGCCTTGTTCAAGTATGAAACAACTTAATTTTCACCTATTTTTCCTTTTATTAGTAGGTTGCTTGTCTGTGATTAAAGCAGATTCTGCTTATAAGAAATATGGTCCCACATTAAAGGCATTGACCTCATGTCAACGTCAGTTAAGTAATACAGCCGTATTTTGTACTACTGGAAAAACCCGTGGTAATAAATGTATCTGTACTAACCCCAATGCCCTTGCAACTGCTGCTGGTTGTCTTAGTTATGGCCATAGGAACACCACTGCTATCTTCAAGGCATTATTTGCATCTTGTGAAGCATATAATGTCACTCTTACTGTTGATGATATGGTAGAAGCATATCAAAATTATACTAAATATGCCATACATGCTTCTGATATTCCTAATTTTAATGCAAAATCACCAGTTCATGTTCCTATTAGATTGAATGATACAAATATAAGGCTTTATATGGAAGCTTATGACAAATACTTAGGAAATTATGACAATAGTTTATATTATTCAGTTGGAGTAATTGGATATTGGGCTTTGGTCTTCTTAGTTGCTATTATTGTTAATTGGTCACAAGTATTGTTTCCAGGATTTTTCAAAATATTAACTGGTCCAATTTCCAATAAATTTAGGAAACATATCACCATGCCAGCAGCATTTGGGAAAAAGAAGACCACCGAACACAAAGTACTTAAAATTTTTCATTTCTTAATGCCATCAAGATTTGAAACAATAGTTATCATCGGATTTTTAGCAGTTGTTATTGCTGTATGTTCAGCACAAATAAGTTATGTTGAAGGTGATCCAGTGTTTGATTCAAAGTCTTCAGCGCTTTTACGTTATACTGCTGATAGAACTGGTATAGTAGCTACCATAATTATGCCATTGCTTATTTTATTCGCAGGAAGAAATAACTTTTTGCAATGGTTAACGAAATGGAATTTCGCAACTTTTATTACTTATCATAAATGGGTGGCTAGAGTTGATTTCACTTTAGTGGTTGTTCATGCTATTTGCTTCTCAGCTTCATATGGGGATTATTATACTGAGGTAATGAAGAGAAAGTACATGAAATGGGGGTACTGTTGCAACTGCAGCCGGTGGAATAATTTTAATTCAAGCTATGTTACATTTTAGAAGAAATAATTATGAAGTATTCTTGACTATTCATATTATTTTCGCTGCATTATGGATTGCAGGAACTTGGATCCATGTTCAAGATTTGGGATATGTTTGGTTTGTATATCCATCAGCTGCTCTTTGGGTGCTTGATAGAGCAGTTAGAATTTTTAGATTGATATGTTTTGGATTTCCAGAAGCTCAAATCACTTTATTATTCAATGAAACTTTAAAAGTGGTTGTTCCTAAGCCAAAATATTGGAATTCAGTTCCGGGAGGTCATGCATTTATTCACTTCATAAGACCAACATGTTTCTGGCAATCGCATCCTTTTACTTTCACAAATTCAGTACAAGAAGGAGATCAAATAGTGTTATATTGTAAAGTCAAGGGTGGTATTACTCATGGTTTAAATAAATATATTGCATCCCACCCAGGTAGAACTGCTAGAGTTAGAGTTGGAGTTGAAGGTCCATACGGAGAACCAACCAATGCCAAAATCTACGATACTGCTGTTTTCATTGCTGGTGGTAATGGCATTCCTGGTTTATATTCTGAAGCTGTAGATATGGCACTCAGATCAAAGGAGAATAACAAGCAGGTGATTAAATTGATTTGGATTATAAGAGAAAACAAGTCATTACTTTGGTTTTATGAAGAACTTTTAGCCTTATCTCAAACCAAGATTCAATGTACTGTTTACGTTACCAAGCCAAAAGGTGATATTAATAATGTGGAATACAATGAAGTTATTAAATTATCATCAAGAATTTCCCAGAGTGAAAATGATAGTACTGAAGAAGTAGACAAGAAGGAGAAATCAAAATATGTGCATGAAAAGACCGAAGTTGAATTCGAACCTTCCGATTCTGAGGCTAATTCTAATATCGGTGCCATTAAATCTGAGTTTTCTCATATTGAGTTTAGAGAAGGAAGACCAACCATTGAAGATATTGTTGATTCAGAAGTAAAGGAATCAAATGGATCAATTGCTTTTGTAACTTGTGGTCATCCTATGATGGTCGATGAAGTTAGATATTCTGTCATCGAGCAAGTTGATAAGAGTGACGGGAAGAGAATTGAATATTTCGAACAACTCCAAGTTTGGGCTTAGATTTACTTAAACCACTAATAATTTTATATAGAACTTAAACTTTTTATTTAATATCTACAACAATATATATAAAATCTATAACAAATCAAACATTAAATTAATTAAACTTCGGGGGCAACATTATTATCATTAAACATTTCATCAACTGAACCTCCTAAATAAACTTTAAGGGTTTTACGAGTGGCAGGAAGTATTCTGCATTTGACCATAGTGACTTTTTCACCATTATCTTTATCAATTTTTTCATAAGCCTGAAATCGATGACAACCTCCAAAAGCGAAGAAATAATTCCTTCCACTTTCTCTAACTTTAAACACATCTATAGGAGGTAATTCACCAGCGGTTATTTCTTGTATACCACAAGTTGCTGATGCCATTGGAATACCATTTAAAGTTGATACCATTGAATCGATTTTTTGATAATCAAGAACTGGAGGTATTGGTCTTCTGATTTCAACTAAGGGAACATATTCTTCCTTTAAACGTGAGGACTGTAAGGACATTTTGGTTTATTCTAGATGTTAATGTAATAGATGATAGTAATTATGTATCAACATATAATAAGACCATAATCAGAATGTAATTCAGGTCCTATACATATATTTATATGCATCTGTAAATGTAGTTGCAAATTATATGAATAATCCAAACAATTATAAATTTATGTCATCCTCTTCTGGAAAAAAGCAATTTTTTATTTTTCTTTTCGTAAGCGCTAGAAGAAGTCTGGACCTGTCTAATCAAAATTGATTTTCAATTAGAAATTATGTTACTTGTGGAATCTAACTACAAATTATATAGGAAAATCCAATTACAACATAGTAATGATCCTTTAAGAACAGGTGTTTTTCATGCTGATTCTTCGTTTACTGTAGATCTTGCTTCAAAATATCACATTCTGTATGTCAGACACTGATTACTGAAAGTTAATTCGTCAACACTTCCTTTAATAAGAATTCTAAAAATATTTTAAACTTTAAGATTGGATAATATAAAGTTGCCAAACTAAATTTAAATGGGTTTTGTTATCTTAAACATCAGTAAATAAATTTGTTAACAGGCCGATATTCGGAATAGTACTACCAAAAAAAAATAGTACAAAATATGTTATACCACATTTTATTTAATAGTTAATATTCTCATAATCACAATATCAACCGAGACTTTATTTATTTCTTAGCTATTACGTTCGGTCATCAAATGCTTTTTAATAAATTAGAACTAAAATCCACACTCTGTCACATCATTAATTAGTTACTTCCTTATTTAGGAGTAAATCCATTTCCACAGTAGAGAATATCGATTCGGTGATATTTTTAAGCCTTTTAATAATAAAGTATTCTTATAACCATGCTCCAAATACTTATATAAATAGTAGAAATCCCTTCTATTCTAATATATTTAATAGTGTTCTTGTCGTATAGCAACTCAATTTTATCTATTTCATCAAAGCAAGCCACAGAGAAGAAATTTTTTTTCGTCCCAAAGAATACTCATTTCCGATCGAACTGATCAAATCGATAAGTTTTTTTTTAAATTAGCTAAAATCAAATTTCATTTTATAAAAGTTATATACCAAGGTAGGTGATAGTACTACAAGTGATCAAGATGTATTATTTTGCTATGTATACATCCTTGGTGCTAGCCTTGTTACTCATACCGTTTTTAATACCTTTAAAATCGAAGAATAGGTGGCATCGTAACATCAAATCATTCCTCATTATCGCATTAATTGTATCATCACTCATAACACTAACACCTCAAATTGCAGTTGATGGAGCTCCCATTCATAAATATGGTAGTGAGAAAATAGCATTTTTAAGTTGCAATTATCAAATAGTAACAACCACTAAGTTCTGTGAAGAAGATAATTATGAATATTGTTATTGTGCTAATCCTGCCGCTTTAGCCACAATTTCTCATTGTTTCGTAGTGGGACATCCAAAGGAAATTCACTTATTCTTGAATCTGTGTAAAGAAAATTATAATATCACCATAACTCATGATGAATTCAGACAAGCTCATCATGATTATTTACTCAATTCAAAATCAATTGATGAAATAGAAGATTATTCCCCTGCAAAAGTGGTTCATTTCCCAGTTAAAATGAATGAATCACAAATTATAAGCTTTAAGGATTCATTTGATAGATACCTTGGGAATTATGATAAGTCAATAGATTATGGTGGATATGCAGTTTTATACTGGGTGGTTGCATTCATTATTATTGCCGCATGTAATTGGTCTAAGATGTTATTACCTAGATTGATTAGAAAATATGCAAATACAAGACTTTTAAACTGGATAAGAAAGAATATAACTTTACCAGCCACCAAAGGAAGGAGGAAAACTGATGCTAAACCGATTTATGGAATTTTCGATATGTTAATACCTTCGAGAATAGAAACTATTTTATTAACCGGTTATTTTGCATTTTGTTTCTTTTTAACCGTTCATGATATTTCATATTCTGATGATGATATCCTTTTCCATTCAAGAGATTTGTCTATAACTAGATCTATTGCCGTTAGAGCAAGTATCTTAACAAGTCTGTCAATGCCACTCTTAATCCTATTTGGCGGTAGAAATAACTTCTTACAATGGTTTACAAAGTGGGATTATGCAACTTTCATAACCTTACATAGATGGGTATCAAGAGTCATATTTGTTTTGGTTGTTCTTCACAGTTTGTTTTATACTTATTATCTCGGAGGGATATCTTCTCCTGAAATGAGTGAAAGTTATATAACATGGGGAAAATTAGGTACATTTTCAGGTTTAGCAATCATGATACAGGGTTTACTTGTCTTAAGAAGAAAATATTATGAAACATTTTTACTATTACATATCATTCTAGCAGCAATTTTTATAATTGGTGCCTGGATGCATGTCTTAAACTTATATTGTTCGTGGTTTTATTATTACACTGCTGCAATTTGGGCTTTTGATAGAATTATTAGAATAGGGAGATTGATATCATTTGGATTCCATGAAGCAACTGTTAAACTTTTACCCGATCAAACTTTGCGTGTCGAGGTTCCAACACCTTCAGATTGGGAAGCCGTTCCAGGTGGACATGTATTTATCCATTTCTTAAGACCAAGTAGTTTTTGGCAATCACATCCTTTTACATATATAAAATCCAGCAATCAAGAAAATACCATAGTATTATTTATCAAAGTTAAAAGAGGAGTAACCTATGATCTTTTTAATGAATTATCCCAAAATTCAGGAAACAGTACAAAGATAAGAGTGGCTGTTGAAGGTTCATATGGAGAATCTCTTCCAGTGAGATATTATGATAATTCAGTATTTATTGCAGGTGGTAGCGGAATCCCAGGAATATATTCTGAAGCCGTTAGCATATTAAATGAATCCCATGATTTGAATCAATATATGAAGTTAATTTGGATTATAAGGGATTATCAATCCATAATATCTTTCTATGACGAGTTAATGGCTTTGAAGGATTGCAAAGTGGAATTATGCATTTACATTACGAAACCGGATCTACCATTGTTTGAAGCTGAAGCAAATACAAGTACAAGCACTGACATGCTTTTGAAGAATGATTCCTTTATAAGCTACAACTCAATAGAGTCAAACTCAGCTATTAAGATGGGATCTGTAAGAAAGCAGATCAATAAAGATATTTTGAAGCTAGATTTAAGCTTTATTAAGTTTAAAGAAGGTAGACCAAATATCGAACAAATTGTTAGTGGAAATATCAAAGCATCGACTGGATCGATTTGCTTTGTGGCGTGTGGCCATCCTGTAATGGTGGATGATGTTAGAGCATCTATTGTTCAAAATATTGATATCAATAGTAATAAAAGAATTGATTATTTTGAACAGTTACAGGTTTGGTCTTAATTATTTATAATTTTATAGAGAATTTAGAGATATATCTCTAATATAATAATAATTACAATTGTATTTATAATTTAAAAAATGCAAGTTTTGTATTCGTATTCGTATTCGTATTCGTAAGTATTCTATAAAATATATAATGCAAGAGAGATCATGAGATCGTTAAAAATCGTTAATATTCGTATTGTAATTAGACTTCACCAGCAAGTTTTTCTCCTTTTGGAGTCCAGCTAGATGATTTCCATGGAGCAACTTTATCAGCGTATAATTCATCTACTTCTTCTAATGATAATCCTTTAGTTTCAGAAACGAAGAAATAGACGTAGAAGAAAGAGAATAATAAACAACCAGCAAAGACGAAACCATAGTAGAAGTGGATAGCGTTAGTGATTTGAGGAGTGAAGAATGAGATTAAGAAACCCCATAACCAATTGAAGGCAGTAGCAACGGCCATGGCTTTAGATCTGATTCTTAATGGGTATGATTCTGAAATAATAGTGTAAACACCACCGGCCCAAGTTGAAGAAAAGAAAAAGATGTATAAACAAGTGATAAAGATCATAGCGTTACCAGATCCAGAGAAAGTTTCACCTTCAGTACCGTTAACAAATAATCTTAAAGAACCAATACAGGCGTAGATTAATAAACAGACGAACATCCAGAAAGAACCAGCTAATAAAGTGATTCTTCTACCTAATCTTTCAATAGCCCAGATACCAGCAAAAGTAGAAGCAAGATTAACAGTACCTAAGATAATGGAAGTTTCGAAAGAATCTTCTAAACCGACAGCTTGGAAAATGGTAGTACCATAATAGAAGAAATAGTTAATACCGGTTAATTGTTGTAATGATTGTAACATGATACCCATGACGACTCTTCTGAAGATAGCTGGTTTACCAGTGATTAATTCTTTCCATGAGGCGGATCCAGCAAGAGCTTCTCTGTCAATACCAGCTTGGATTAATTCAACTTCAGCGTAAACGAATGGATCTTCAGAATCAACTTTATTAGATCTAGCAATGGAAACTTTAGCATCTTCAATTCTTTCCTTTTCAACTAAATATCTTGGAGATTCAGGCATAAAGACCATACCAGTAACTAAGAATAAAGCCCATAAGAAACATAAACCTAATGGAATTCTCCATTGTCTGGAATCAGATAAATCTTTAGTACCGAAACAGATACAGTAACCTAAGAAGATACCTAAAGTGATACATAATTGGAAACAACAGACTAATGGACCTCTTAAAGTCTTTGGAGCAGTTTCAGAAATGAATAATGGAGATAAGACGGCAACACAACCGACAGCTAAACCAGTGATGATTCTACCAACCATAACTTGATACCAATGTTGTTGAGATGAGATTTGAATGACGATACCGATGACGTAAATAACCATGGAGAACATTAAACCGATTCTTCTACCAAAGACATCACCGACTTTAGATAAGAAGATACCACCGAAGGCACAACCGATGTTGAAAACGGAAACGATTAAACCAGTTCTAATATCAGAAATATAATGTTCACCTTCAGCGTTGACTTCCCCGAATCTTTCTTGGAAATCAGTCATGTTTAAGAAACCACCAATGGTACCAGTATCGAAACCGAAGACGAAACCACCAAAGGCGACCAATAAACAGAAAAATGAAATTAAAATATAATCTTTGAAACCCTTTTGAGGTAAGATAGGTTCTTCCTCCTTTTCTAACATGACGTTAGAGTTAACTGGGGTGGTTGAACCAGATGTTAAATCTTGTTGAGACATAATGAAATATTTGAGATTTAAGTAAGTTTGTAATTGTATGCAATTGAAATTGTATTAGTAGTAATTGTTATTTGTAAATGTGAATGATGATGAGAATAAACAAAAAATCTAACCCAACATAGTGGGAGTTGATAGTTATTTATACTTCATGAATCAGAAACCCAAGAAGATATCTGATGTAATAAAATTAGTTGCAAATAAGCAAGTGTCATTGTACGGAATATTGTAAAAAAATTAGTGGAGCAGCAATTTCAAATTCCGATGGGCTTCGGAAAAACCAATTCTGTTTTTAAGCTTTTTTAGTGCTTAAACTACTGTCAAGGTCATGTCTAAAATTTCTTTTTTTTATTTTTTTTATTTTTTGGTTTGTTCCGAATTTTTACGATGAGAGAAGCCCTGCCAGGAATGTCGATCAAACTTTTTAATCATCTATAGATATTATTTGCATTATGGGGTATGACTATTCTGTAATCATGCATGAAATCAGAGCATCTATTTTTTAATATGTATAGAACCGTCATTAACTATATGGATTATTCAAGGCTTATGATATGACTTTATATGTGAAGCCTTTTTGCCAAGGCATTTTATCACGTGCAACTTTATTTAGTATAGTAACTATGATTTCTTACTATACTACGGTCTGATATTACCTCTTAATCAAGACTTTCTTATCAATAATCATTGATTCTAATCGATAATATTGGAAGATTAGTATTGTTATCAAAATTATTTTTAGACAAGATTTTGTTCTTTATCGAACCATAATCCTTTGAGTCATCTATAATTATATATATTTTTAAATCAATTTCATATATGCAAAAATAGAGTCCCCAAAAGGTTCCAGACCAGACACTTTAGCTTGAAACTTAATAATTCATATACTCTACATACATTTATATAACAATTTTCTTGTTGAATAATTTATAACCCACTGACTACCTTAATAGCAAAGTGTTATTGTGCTAGCCAAAACTACGTAGTAAACCTGTTAATGATTGAGTAGATATTACTTGGATTTTTATAAACTAGAGTTAAAGGAATAGACGTCTGAAATATGTAAATAAGAACATATATTAAAAGATCATTTAACTAGATCATTTAACATAACTTATTACTTCAAACTATTATGCATAGTATGAGATAATGATCGATACTCTCTAATACTAAGTCAGATAACTACAATATGAGATAAACTAATAACTACAAGATAAAGGGTTTTGAAAGTTCATTTTATATTTGTATTCATAATTATAATTCGTGTTATATAATATTTATATTTAGAAATGCAAGAGAAATCATGAAATCATTAATATTCGTTAAAAGCAAGAGTCCAATTCAATTAGACATCACCAGCTTGTTTGTCACCTTTTGGAGTCCAGCTAGATGATTTCCATGGAGCAACTTTATCAGCGTATAATTCATCTACTTCTTCTAATGATAATCCTTTAGTTTCAGAAACAAAGAAATAGACGTAGAAGAAAGAGAATAATAAACAACCAGCAAAGACGAAACCATAGTAGAAGTGGATAGCGTTAGTGATTTGAGGAGTGAAGAATGAGATTAAGAAACCCCATAACCAATTGAAGGCAGTAGCAACGGCCATGGCTTTAGATCTGATTCTTAATGGGTATGATTCTGAAATAATAGTGTAAACACCACCGGCCCAAGTTGAAGAAAAGAAAAAGATGTATAAACAAGTGATAAAGATCATAGCGTTACCGGAAGCTTCATAAGTTTCACCTTCATGACCGTTAACAAATAATCTTAAAGAACCAATACAGGCGTAGATCAATAAACAGACGAACATCCAGAAAGAACCACCTAATAAAGTAATTCTTCTACCTAATCTTTCAATAATGTAAATACCAACGAAGGTGGAAGCAAAGTTAACAGTACCTAAAATGATAGAAGTTTCAAAGGAATCTTCTAAACCGACAGCTTGGAAAATAGTAGTACCATAATAGAAGAAATAGTTAATACCGGTTAATTGTTGTAATGATTGTAACATGATACCCATGACGACTCTTCTGAAGATAGCTGGTTTACCAGTGATTAATTCTTTCCATGAGGCGGATCCAGCAAGAGCTTCTCTGTCAATACCAGCTTGGATTAATTCAACTTCAGCATAGACGAATGGATCTTCAGAATCAACTTTATTAGATCTAGCAATGGAAACTTTAGCATCTTCAATTCTTTCCTTTTCAACTAAATATCTTGGAGATTCAGGCATAAAGACCATACCAGTAACTAAGAATAAAGCCCATAAGAAACATAAACCTAATGGAACTCTCCATTGTCTGGAATCAGATAAATCTTTAGTACCGAAACAGATACAGTAACCTAAGAAGATACCTAAGGTGATACATAATTGGAAACAACAGACTAATGGACCTCTTAAGGTTTTTGGAGCAGTTTCAGAAATGAATAATGGAGATAAGACGGCAACACAACCGACAGCTAAACCACTGATGATTCTACCAACCATAACTTGGTACCAATGAGTTTGAGAAGAAATTTGAACGACGATACCGACGACGTAAATAACCATGGAGAACATTAAACCGATTCTTCTACCAAAGACATCACCGACTTTAGATAAGAAGATACCACCGAAGGCACAACCGATGTTGAAAACGGAAACGATTAAACCAGTTCTAATATCAGAAATATAATGTTCACCTTCAGCGTTGACTTCCCCGAATCTTTCTTGGAAATCAGTCATGTTTAAGAAACCACCAATGGTACCAGTATCGAAACCGAAGACGAAACCACCAAAGGCAACTAATAAACAGAAAAATGAGATTAAAATATAATCTTTGAAACCCTTTTGAGGTAAGATAGGTTCTTCCTCCTTTTCTAACATAACGTTAGAGTTAACTGGAGTGGTTGAACCAGATGTTAAATCTTGTTGAGACATAATGAAAGTATTGAGATTTAAATAAATTTGTATGCAATTGAAATTGTAGTAGTAGTAGTAATTGTTATTTGTAAATGTGAATGATGATAAGAATAAACTAAAAACCTAACCCAACATAGTGGGTATTCATGGATATTTATATTTCATGAATCCAGATAATTAACAGCACTTCTGATGTAATGAAATTAGCTGCAAACAAACAAGTATCATGATAATCTGCAATATTAAAAAAATTAGTGGAGCAGTAATGAATTAAAGTTGACCCTCGGAAAAACTCTCATAATGCAAAGAATATTTTTTCTTGGTTTCCATCATCTGAGAAGGTCACGTCTGAAATTAATTTCTTTTTCCCTTTGTGTCTCTACGGTAAATTAAAACAATGCGCGGACACCTTCCGACATTGGCCTGACGTAGATCCTCATCTTAATTAAGCATTAGAACAACCATGCATAATTTATGACATACCCATAGACTACAGGGCTCAGCTATGGAGTGCTTATGATGTTCATTTAATAAACCTTAGTTTCATTACATCATCTTTACCTTTACTGCATTTATTTTTTAGTTTCTCCATTGATAGAAGTGATAATCCGGAGAAATTGATTTATATTCCAGATATCAAGTATGCCATCAGTGGTTTTATCAGTCGATACTAACAATTTGACCTTGGCAATAATGGTTTATTACAGCCTCGATCTAATAATATTTCCCCAGTCCTAATATTTAATCTAATTTAATTAATTGATGTCATTACCTAGACATGGTAGATCATCCTATCTGCCCCAAGATAATAACATATCCCCACAAAGTTACAATTATTATGTGCATTATGCTTTGTTCTGGTATAGTTAATTGTATTGAGATTAATAGTAAAAGTATGACGGCACTCATAAGCTAACTATCTGATAGATACTTGTTATACCGAGAAACAACGAATGTGTAGAAATACGTTGATAGTAATAGCGATCATGTCTTACGATCTATTTCCACTAAAAGGTTATGATACTGTCATCTAAAATATTTAAAAGCTTAAAAAAGTAAAATTTACGATAGGCCTAAAATTCTCATAACACTGCGAAAAAAAAAACCACCAAACCCCTTAGTCCCATTATTGCTAAAAAGAATCTACATTTTTACAAAGTTAAATTTAGAACTTGTATATCATAAATGAAATTATTATAAAGATAAAATTTTATTTTAAGAACCAGTTATATAAAATTAAAAGTAAACATAATTAATAGAAAATGCAAAGAAGAAAAATATCGTTAAACGTTAGAATTTTAATATATAACTTAAACATCACCGGCTTCGGCTTCGTTTTCACCTTTTGGAACCCATTTAGGTGATTTCCATGGAGCAACTTTAGCAGCGTATAATTCATCTACTTCTTCTAATGATAATCCTTTAGTTTCAGAAACAAAGAAATAGACGTAGAAGAAAGAGAATAATAAACAACCAGCAAAGACGAAACCATAGTAGAAATGGATAGCGTTAGTGATTTGAGGAGTGAAGAATGAGATTAAGAAACCCCATAACCAATTGAAGGCAGTAGCAACGGCCATGGCTTTAGATCTGATTCTTAATGGGTATGATTCTGAAATAATAGTATAAACACCACCGGCCCAAGTTGAAGAAAAGAAAAAGATGTATAAACAAGTGATAAAGATCATAGCATTACCGGAAGCTTCATAAGTTTCACCTTCATGACCGTTAACAAATAATCTTAAAGAACCAATACAGGCGTAGATCAATAAACAGACGAACATCCAGAAAGAACCACCTAATAAAGTAATTCTTCTACCTAATCTTTCAATAATGTAAATACCAACGAAGGTGGAAGCAAAGTTAACAGTACCTAAAATGATAGAAGTTTCAAAGGAATCTTCTAAACCGACAGCTTGGAAAATAGTAGTACCATAATAGAAGAAATAGTTAATACCGGTTAATTGTTGTAATGATTGTAACATGATACCCATGACGACTCTTCTGAAGATAGCTGGTTTACCAGTGATTAATTCTTTCCATGAGGCGGATCCAGCAAGAGCTTCTCTGTCAATACCAGCTTGGATTAATTCAACTTCAGCATAGACGAATGGATCTTCAGAATCAACTTTATTAGATCTAGCAATGGATTTCTTAGCTTCTTCGATTTTAGATTTTTCAACTAAATATCTTGGAGATTCAGGCATAAAGACCATACCAGTAACTAAGAATAAAGCCCATAAGAAACATAAACCTAATGGAACTCTCCATTGTCTGGAATCAGATAAATCTTTAGTACCGAAACAGATACAGTAACCTAAGAAGATACCTAAAGTGATACATAATTGGAAACAACAGACTAATGGACCTCTTAAGGTTTTTGGAGCAGTTTCAGAAATGAATAATGGAGATAAGACGGCAACACAACCGACAGCTAAACCAGTGATGATTCTACCAACCATAACTTGGTACCAATGAGTTTGAGAAGAAATTTGAATGACGATACCGACGACGTAAATAACCATGGAGAACATTAAACCGATTCTTCTACCAAAGACATCACCGACTTTAGATAAGAAGATACCACCGAAGGCACAACCGATGTTGAAAACGGAAACGATTAAACCAGTTCTAATATCAGAAATATAATGTTCACCTTCAGCGTTGACTTCCCCGAATCTTTCTTGGAAATCAGTCATGTTTAAGAAACCACCGATGGTACCAGTATCGAAACCGAAGACGAAACCACCAAAGGCAACTAATAAACAGAAAAATGAGATTAAAATATAATCTTTGAAACCCTTTTGAGGTAAAGAAGCATGAGCTACTTCTTCTTCTTTGTCTAATACATTAGAGTTAACTGGAGTATTAGTACCAGAAGATAAATCTTGTTGAGACATGATTAATAAATAATATGAATTTGAATATGAGTAATAATTGTTGTAATTGTATGATGATGATAAAAAACAATTGAATGAACTTGATTAACAAGAAGGGGAAATTGAATCCATATTTATATTATTTTGGATTCCATGGAATGGCTGAACTTTAAAATATAGATGGACCTTATTATGCATGATGATATTAGGGTAATTCCTAGTTTTGCATGCAATTTCTTTATTTTTGCAGTGGAGCAGCACTTGCCTCACTCGTCGGAAAAATAAAAAAAAAGTCAGCACTTTAAAGTTAAGAAAAATAGTTTAAATTGAGTAGTAACAATAGAGACACCTCATCTGACAGAATTTAAGAAGGCACTAAAATGGAACTAAAAAATAAAAATTGCTTTTAAATATTTTTTATTTGTTTATTTTTTATTGTTCTCTGTTAGTTTCCTATTATGAGGTAAGTTTCATGCAATGCGTATTCAAAAGATGGGGTTAAGATGAGTGGAGGTCATATGGAGGGTGGGTTGTTTCATTCCCTAAAGAAGAATATGCGGCAAGAATCCAGAAAGTCATCTAGTTGTTCTTTCTTAAATTATTATGATTTCTATTTTCTTAAGGTGTAACTGAAATAGTACAAAAAGTAGAACCCGTAACTTTCCTTTCTTTGTGATATGCTACATGACAGGGTTTATTTAGTTAAAATATATCGTCACTAACTATTCATTTCTTGGTACCATTATTCTCTTAACTTGTTTTAGTGGGTCTGACGATAATTTAGTGGGTAAATGACATAATACCCCATCGTAATCTTAATATATAGAAGTGGCTAGATTTTCCGAACGATAATCTTGGCGCATCATAATTAATAACATTCGGATAAATTATTCTTATCTTTTAGATTAGTACATATCTCACCATCATGAGATTTTGTTTATTTATTCAACTCCAGGTCAATTGAATGTATAATAAAAGGTTTTTATATTAGATAAATCTAGCCATTTTGAAGTGTACATACATAGCGCTTCTTCTATATAGTATTATTGATAATATTTATTATGTTTTATTTTTATTTTTTCATGCATACATTTTCGTTTTTTTTTATTTCTTGAACAACACTTTGGATGCAAATCGTTAAAATCATTCAATCGTTAATAAATTAGTTTGATTAAGCATCAACCTCTTCTTCAGTTGGTGGTACCCAATTGGTGGATTTCCATGGGGCAACTCTAGCAGCATATAATTGATCAACTTCTTCTAAAGTTAAACCTTTAGTTTCACAAACAAAGAAGTAAACAAAGAAACAAGAAACTAACATTGAACCTGAAAAGACAAAACCAAAGTAGAAGTTAATAGCTTTAGTGATCATTGGAGTTAACATGGAGATTAAGAAACCTAACATCCAATTAGCACCAGTAGCAACAGCCATAGCCTTGGCTCTAATTCTTAATGGATAAGTTTCTGAGATAATAGTATAACAACCACCAGCCCAAGTGGATGCAAAGAAGAAAATGTAAACACAAGTGATGAAAATCATAACATTACCTGAAGTTTGATTAGTGGAACCATCAGCTCTGTATAAGTTAATTGAACCAATACATGAGTAGATTAATAAACAGATGAACATAAACACTGAACCGATTAATAAAGTAACTCTTCTACCTAATCTTTCAATAGCCCAAATACCAGCAAAAGTAGAAACGAAGTTAACAGTACCTAAGATAATGGAAGTTTGGAAAGAATCTTCTAAACCGACAGCTTGGAAAATAGTAGTACCATAATAGAAGAAATAGTTAATACCAGTTAATTGTTGTAAGGAAGTTAAAGTAATACCCATGATAACTCTTCTGAAGATAGCTGGTTTACCAGTGATTAATTCCATCCATGAGGCGGATCCAGCAAGAGCTTCTCTATCAATACCAGCTTGGATTAAATGAACTTCATTATAGACAAATGGATCTTCAGATTCGACTTTGTTAGATCTAGCGATGGATTTCTTAGCTTCATCAATTCTTGATTTTTCGACTAAGTATCTTGGAGATTCAGGCATAAAGACCATACCAACAATTAAGAATAAAGCCCATAAGAAACATAAACCTAATGGAATTCTCCATTGTTTAGAGTCAGTTAAGTCTTTAGTACCATAACAGATACAGTAACCTAAGAAGATACCTAATGTGATACATAATTGGAAACAACAGACTAATGGACCTCTTAAACTCTTTGGAGCAGTTTCAGAAATGAACATTGGAGATAAGACTGAGACGGTACCGACAGCTAAACCACTGATGATTCTACCGACCATAACTTGATACCATTGATATTGAGATGAGATTTGAACTGCAATACCGACAATATAGATAACCATAGAGAACATTAAACCAATTCTTCTACCATAAATTTCAGCAATTTTAGATAAGAAGAGACCACCAATACAACAACCAACGTTGAAGACGGAGACAATTAAACCAGTTCTAATATCGGAGACAGTATAGTTACCAGCTTCATTAAGTTCACCGAATCTTTGTTGGAAATCAGACATATTTAAGAAACCACCAATAGTACCAGTATCGAAACCGAAGACGAAACCACCAAAGGCGACTAATAAACAGAAAAATGAAATTAAGATATAATCTTTGAACCCTTTTTCTGGCAAGGCTTGACCGATGGCTTGTACTGGTTGGATATCTTCTGATTCCTTATCAGTGTGTGATTGAACTGGAGTGGTATCTGCAGTTGTTAAAGCTTGTTGTGACATATTGAATTGTTTAATATATATAGAATGTATTTCTTGATGTTTTACTATTTCTACAAGAGTTCTGTTTCCTACATTGGAGAAGATATCCTCAACCTTTTATAGTTGTCAAATTGACTTGTTGTTAGATCCATTTGGTTAGTTAGTTCAATGTTGTATCCCATAACATTTAATGGAACAACGATCTTGTTTGAAGATACTGCTTAGAATTTTCCTGGTGGAGTGTCGCAAAAAAAAAACATAACCACCACTTTCTCAGAAAATCTTAATTCTAGTGATAAAATTTTTTCCCACTAATTTAAGCTCTCCACTAAAAAAAAAAATTACAAAGTTTTAATAAGATGATGGTTAAAAAATTATTTTTTATTCTCTTCTCTATTAATTTCCAAAAGTGACGAAATGGGTTGTGCCCCGATTTTCTCCATACTGTAAAATATGTACACCATAAAGTTTTTGTATGCACAAACAAAAAGAATGCAGCTACGCGGCTTATTATGATTAAAATACTACGTGGAGATTGGGTGCCGAGGAAATTTAGTAGTGAGCACTGGTTCAAAAGGTCATGACATGAGATGGAGTCAATTTTGGGCTTCTATTTGGTCTTGCTCATACGAGATTTACAGTATTAAGTCATTTCTTTAAACAGGGTTCGGATCATTTCGAAAGGTTGTCTTATGGCGGTTTAATCTGATTAGCAGCTAATTTGAATTAGTTGCAACATAAACCTGAGCTATGAAGTCAATTATCAGACGTTCTTGGTTTGAAGCTTTTCTTTTTCTACTTGTATTTACAATTAGCTCAACTTTATTTATTTATTTACGAAACGAAACAGAACCAAATTGAATTTTTCACATCATATGAATGTATCTCTATACATCTTCCTTTCAACCTTAATTTACTCCGCAATAGAATAATATTTTAATTTCTATTAACATGGAGTTTAGCAGTTTGTTCTTTGAAATGGAGATGTGCATACTTCCAGAAAGAACCTTTAAGCGCTTGAAAATATTACCATTGTTAACTGTTCTTTATCTACAAAATATTATTTTAAAGAACATATTTATTCAATTAGATATTAAAAATATAATCATCTCAAAATAGTTGTCAATCATTTTTTATTATGCATTTTTGATGGTTTAGGAAATTTAATTCATTTAAACAAATGGATTTCGGTTTTGTACCTTTTCAGTCACCACTCGAGAACAAAAACAAATAAAAAATAAAAAAGAAATTCCTAGATGAGCAAAATATTTTAAATTTTTTTTAGATGCTCTTTTCGACAAGTTGTATTTTCTGTTGCTGTCTTTTTATAATGCTGTCTAACAGTTTTTCCGAATTACTGTGATCATTAAATCTACATGCGCTAAAATATTCGATGAGCTAGCAGACAACATTCTACGAGTTAGTCTAACTATTTTATATAATTACTATTTAGTTATAATTAGATATATTGCTCACACGAAATAGATTGGTTGGGTGAATTGGTTGTGGAGGTTTTTCTTGGACTCGACATAAACTTTGTTTAATTAACCAATCTACTCCAAAAATGTGCGTCATACTTTTCAACTTCCCCATGGGATTAAGGGTGGGAGTGAATAAATGAATAACATAAGCTGATGTAGCTACGGTGACTCAACTAGCGATACTTCTTCAAATAGTTATTCCTGGTTTGAATTTTTCCATGATTTTCAAAATGGTTACCAAATACAATAAAAAGGTAATGTTACCATTTTATTCTTTTCTTGGTGAGGTTGCAAAATTCAAAATTGAAATTTTTTTCAAAATCAGTTAATACTTTAAACTCTATACATCACTAGAGTGAGTATCAATTGCTGTTAATAACAATTAGACAAATATGATCTAACTTTGTTTTCGTGAAAGACAGCTATAAGTTGGTCATGACGCCAAATACTAGCTGTATAAATAGAGTTGTCAAGTTGGTCACTCCTACAAATAGTAATCACAGTTCAGGTCGCCTTGTATTATTTGGAATCTGAAAAGTCATCTCAAAAGCTTAATATTTAGATGAATTTTTAAAACCCGGATCGTTTTATAACGAGAAGTATGTACTAGCGGGAAACAGCCTATTTATATATTCAACTCTAGGTCGTGTTAAAACCTCATTTATCAGGCTTTTTTTAGCCAAGAACTTTGAGCTCGCTTTAATTGTTGTAATTATAATTGAAACTGCAATTATGCTCAAATTAGCAGTTCTATTCGTCTTTACAAGTGGTATGTTCTATTCCTGTCCTCTGAGACGATATTCATATACATCAAACTGTTCTAACTATATTATAAATGAATACACTGTTAAAGAGTTTTGTAAATAAGGCTCGAATGACGTTTGCGACTCAAAATGCACCTACCAATATTAATACTCCTTCATAAATTAAGCCCGATTTCATATTTGTTTACTACAGAGGTGAGATCCAATCAAGTAATTAGAAAGGAAAAATAAATATTAAAACGAAACCTTTGTGATACGATTTCAACTATTGTATTTTCAGAAAACAATCAGAGATTTCTAATTGCTGGTTAAATTGGTAGTAATTTCTCACATTTTAGATTCTAACTTCATCTATTTTCCTTTAGATATCCACTAAGATATCATCATACGATTAAATATAAAGAATAAGATCATATTTAGACGTTGGACAGGTGTTAAATACATGAATATTGAGCGTTATTTGTCTAATCATCATAAGTTTTTCCGAAAAGTGGATATTTTATATGCGAATTAATTAAGTGATGAAAATTTTTCCGTGAACGATATTTTGTGTCATGTAATTTATCCGGTGCGATATTTTTACTACTATTGTATTGTGAATACCATAGTAACAAACCGTAACTTTCCTCCTGTAAGTATTGAATTGTATATTAAAAAACTTTTCATACTCTTATTAAACTTTTAATAACGCCATTGGATTTATTAAAGGATGATTAAAGACGCATAAAAAAAGTGGGAGTCTCCAGGTGTTATGCGGTTGTTTGACTCCGTATACTGTTTGAACTATCCCCAATTTATTGTTAGTAAATTTGGTACCTTCAACTCTATTTTTATTCTTATAATATGTTGTTTCATGTGTTATTTTGGGGGTACCCTTTTCAACTATGGAGCGGAGACGATAAAGCAACTCAGTTATCCATTTGACCATAACTACATTTGAACCCTAACATTAGATACATATACTTAAAACCAAGCAGGGATAAACTCAATTATTCACAAGTTTAGCCATTTGATCATTTTAGCTTTATTTGATGTGTAAATATGAGCCCATTGGAGTGACTTCTCCAATTGCTCCATCATAGTTTTGGTAGATGAAGTGGGGGGTTTCCGGAAAAACTGGAGGTGTGTGTGGGTCAATTATGCGGCTCATGCGTCAAAACTGGATTAAAAAAACTTTTTAGCGTTACAATACAGGATATTATTCATATGAGTTTTTCCGAGTTTTGACCGTTTTGCCTTATTCTTGCCGCAACCTTATAGAAAGCTTAACTTCAATGCTGAAAATTTTCAACCACATTCAAAAGTATAAATATGAAAGAAATTCCACTATTTCCCTAGTCAATTAGTTGTCAGATTGGATTCTTCTCCTTCATTACTTTTAATTTGCAAAGTTAAATTATTATAATGTCACAACAAGAACTTTCTTCTGGTGTTCAAACACCAGAAAACACTTCTGTCTTAGAAAAAGAAGATAAAATCGATGAAGTCCCACAAGAAGTTAGTCATAAAATCAACCCAGCTGGTGGTTTAAAGGATCATTTATTGATCTCCATTTTCTGTTTATTAGTTGCTTTTGGTGGTTTCGTCTTTGGTTTCGATACTGGTACTATTTCTGGTTTCGTTAACATGTCTGATTTCTTAGAAAGATTCGGTCAAACCCATGCTGATGGTACCCACTACTTATCCAATGTCAGAGTTGGTTTACTTGTTTCTATCTTCAATATTGGTTGTGCTGTCGGTGGTATTTTCTTATCCAAGTCTGCCGATATGTATGGTAGAAGAATTGGTATTATGTTTGCTATGGTCATTTATGTCGTTGGTATAATTGTTCAAATTTCTGCTACTGACAAATGGTACCAAATTTGTGTTGGTCGTGCTATCACTGGTTTAGCTGTTGGTACCGTTTCTGTCTTATCTCCAATGTTCATTTCCGAAACCGCTCCAAAAACTTTAAGAGGTACTTTAGTCTGTTGTTTCCAATTATGTATCACCTTTGGTATTTTCATTGGTTACTGTGTTACTTACGGTACTAAACAATTAGATGATTCCAGACAATGGAGAATTCCATTAGGTTTATGTTTCTTATGGGCTATTTTCTTAGTCTCTGGTATGGTCTTTATGCCTGAATCTCCAAGATACTTAGTCGAAAAGCAAAAGATTGAAGAAGCTAAGAAATCCATTGCTAGATCCAATAAATTATCTGCCGAAGACCCAGCTGTATACAGTGAAGTCCAATTAATCCAAGCTGGTATTGACAGAGAAGCTCTTGCTGGTTCTGCCTCATGGATGGAATTAATCACTGGTAAACCAGCTATCTTCAGAAGAGTCGTCATGGGTATCATGTTACAATCATTACAACAATTAACCGGTGATAACTATTTCTTCTATTATGGTACTACTATTTTCCAAGCTGTTGGATTAAAAGATTCTTTCGAAACTTCCATTATTTTAGGTGTTGTTAACTTTGCTTCCACCTTCGTTGGTATTTACATTATTGAAAGATTAGGTAGAAGAACTACTTTATTAGCTGGTTCCGCTGCCATGTTTGTTTGTTTCATTATCTACTCAGTTCTTGGTTCAGTCCACTTATACAAAGACGGTGAATATAACAACAATAACACTTTTAAATCATCAGGTAATGCTATGATTTTCGTTACCTGTTTATACATTTTCTTCTTTGCTTCTACCTGGGCCGGTGGTGTTTATACTATTATTTCAGAATCATACCCATTAAGAATCAGATCTAAAGCTATGGCTATTGCCACCGCTGCCAATTGGTTATGGGGATTCTTAATCTCATTCTTCACTCCATTCATCACTAGTGCTATCCACTTCTACTACGGTTTTGTTTTCACTGGTTGTTTATTATTCTCTTTCTTCTATGTTTACTTCTTTGTTTCTGAAACTAAAGGATTATCATTAGAAGAAGTTGATGAATTATATGCTCAAAAGATCTTACCATGGAAATCCGCTGCATGGGTTCCTCCATCTTACGAACAAATGGCCACTTCTACTGGTTTCGCTGCTGATGCCAAGGCCCAAGATGAACAAGTTTAAAAGTTCCATAAACATTTTTTAACGATTGCTACGTAGGTTTATCTCATTTATAGAAAAAGATGTAATATAGATAATTAATTTTAACTAATAACTAATATTTTACAATGTAATATGAAAATTGTTTTTATTTGACCCTGAATGAATCTCCTTTTTCTTAAATTTCTGATCTTTCTTGCTTACGCTTCCAGTCCAATCATACAACCAGTAAGCAACCTTTTTTGCTTCGTAGTAAAATGTCTCCTTAAACCCTAGATATTCCATGATTTTATTCAACTGTTGTTTATCAAAATATCTTGAACTCGTCACACAAGGAAGCGGTAATACTAGAAATAGACAACTGACATTATCTCCAGTTGGTTTCTTAAGAAACTTAGTGATCTTGAGGAGCATTTCACCTCTTAGACTAGGATTAGGAACAAAATTAACCACTAGCGAGCATGATACAAGATTGAATTTTTCCTTTTCATTATTTGGCAATGGTCTCTCCATGAAGTCTTGTTGTAGAATTAAGTGATGTTGTGAGTTTAAGTCTATTCGTGCGATTTCCTTGAATAAACCACACGTTGATATGTCATTATCTGGACTCAAGCATCCTATTTCCAAAGCATTCGCATCTTCTAATTTATCTTTATATTGGGGATCGTTTAACCATTCGACTAGCTTCTTCGAGGAATCACCTCCTCTTTTACCATTTTGACCCTGAGTAGAAGCTAGTTGGTAAGCTTTAAGTCCTCCTCTGATGTCAATTTCAGCATCTATATGAGCTAAGGTCTTAAACAATTCACTTTCAGTAAGGGAATCATCTATTTTTATCAATTCGGATGACTTTTTATTAAGTTTAGATTTAGACTCTTCGTAGGAGGGGAAATATACCTTATTGAATAATGTATTATTGCTTAAGGTCTCTTTGTAATTATCTATTTTTAATAACTGATTGTTACTTAGTTTTTTGATCTTCTCTATTATGATGTATTTATTTTTTTCCAATACATGGAAACGTCGTATAAGTTGTCTTGCATTCTGAGGTTTAATACTTCTCGGTACTATTTGTGATCCAGTTATAGACTTAGGACGTTTTAAAAGACCCAGTCTTTTCTTCTTAAGAGCCATTGTCGAGGGTTGGTAAAGCTACCTACTTATACCTTAATTGGTTCCAAATTAAATTTTCCTATATGAAAAATTATGTACAGGATACTGGAATTTTTTTTGTTAGTAGATGAGATGTTCATCTCTTTCTTTAGCAGTTAATATATAATACAATTATTGCAACCATAGAATAGAGATGGCTCCTTCAAAGAAACAGAAGTCCAAAGGGGGATCTAAGACGAATAAGATCGTGAAAAAACGTAAGACTCCTACGTTGAAGCAAAAATTACAAAGTGAATCAAAAATTGTTAAAGTAGATCAATTAAAATGGAAAACTGTTGATATCCCAGATAACTTAGATGATTATCATGGATTCATGGGTCTTGAAGAAATAGATGGTGTTGATGTGAAGATGGTTAATGGTAAGGCCGAATTTATTCTTAATGACGGTGATGACGATGAAGAATTTGAAGAGGAAGTAGAAGAGGCTCAAGAAGAAGCTCAAGAAGAAACAATTATCCAAGACCAAAAAGTAGAAAAAGACGAAAAAGTAGAAGAACAAGAGGAAATAGTTGAAGAAGAAGATGAAGATGATGAATTCACAGGATTCGAGGACAAAGAAGTGGAGACTAAAGATGAGGATGAAAAAGCAGAAGTAACAGATAAATCTAAAACCAAGAATGGTTCCAAACCTAAAAAGAATGAAGAAGGATTTAAACATGTGGAGAATGCGTTCCTGTCACTTAATGCTGACCTTCCTACCACTGAAGTCGACCTTCCAAGTTGGGAAGATAAAGAAAAAGGTTTAAGTTTAAGTTCTTATACGTTAGCTGGGTTGAGTGCATTAGGATTTGAAAAGCCAACTCCTATTCAAAGAAAAACTATTCCATTGGCAATAGAAGGTAAAGATGTTATAGGTAAAGCTACAACTGGTTCTGGTAAAACTTTGGCTTATGGAATTCCTATCCTTGAAAAATATATATCCAAATCAGACGAAGATAAGGCAGATCATCCAACAGGATTGATCTTTACTCCAACTAGAGAATTGGCTCATCAAGTTGTTACTCATCTCAATCAAATCACAAAATTATCCCCATTATCTTCTCATGGTATAGTTAGTGTAACTGGTGGTTTATCTATACAGAAACAAGAAAGATTATTATCCCACAGTCCAGGTATATTAGTTGCAACCCCAGGTAGATTGTTAGAATTGCTTCAAAAGGATTCAGAATTAGTTAAAACAATAGCAAAAGTTGATATTATTGTGTTGGATGAAGCTGATAGATTGTTACAAGACGGTCATTTTGAAGAATTTGATAAGATATTGGAACTTTTACGTAAACATAGAACTAGTTCAGAAACTATTGCCTGGAAATGGCAAACTTTAGTTTTCAGTGCTACTTTCTCCAAGGATTTATTTGGTAAGCTTGCCAATAAAAATTCCAAGAAGGCTGAATCACAAGGGTTAATTGATAATGATGAGATTTTAGAATTGTTAAACTCCAAGCTTAAGTTCAAAGATACAAAGCCAGCTTTAGTTGATGCTAATCCTAAAGAAATTGTCGCTGGCTTAGTCACTGAAGCTCTTGTTGAATGTGGTCCAACAGAACGTGATTTATACTTATACTACTTTTTATTAATGTATCCTGGTTCAACATTGGTATTTGCTAATGCCATTGATTCAGTAAAGAGATTAGTGCCATTGTTAAACAATTTAAGAATTCCAACTTTTTCAATTCATTCATCAATGATTCAAAAACAAAGATTAAGAGCATTAGAAAAATTCAAAAATGCCAGTGGAAGGGCTGGTGGTAGTGCAGTATTAATTGCCTCTGATGTTGCTGCTAGAGGTTTGGATATTCCAGATATTGACCATGTTGTTCATTATCATTTACCAAGATCTGCCGATATATATATTCATAGATCAGGTAGAACTGCCAGAGCAGGAAAGGAAGGTGTTTCAGTTATGCTTTGTTCTCCACAAGAAGCTTCGGGTCCTTTAAGAAAGTTAAGAAAATTAGTCGCTAGTACTGCAGGTTCTACTAAACTCAACATGCATAATGATGTCAAACTTCTTCCTATAGAACCTGATTTAGTTGATCAATTGAAACCTCGTGTCAGTATTGCCTCCAAGCTTGCTGATTCTGATATTTCTGCTACTTCCACCAGAAAGGAAGATTCATGGATTAAACAAGCTGCTGCTGAATTAGGAGTTGAAGATTTAGGAGATTTAGATGAGTTTGAAGATGATATAATAAAGAAACAAAGAAAGAGAAAGGAAGGTAAGTTATTATCTAAGAATGAAGTTTTAGGATTAAGATTTGAATTAAAAGAATTATTAGCTAATCAAATCAGAACAAACCCAAGAAGATCTTACTTAACTAGTGGTTTAGAAAATTTAGCTCATCAAATGGTAGTTGGGAATACTCACAAGGAAGTATTAGGTCATAAGAAAGTTAATGCTCTTGATGACTTAAGAAAGAAAGGTAAAAACTTTAAAGTGAAGAAACCAAAGGCCAAGATTATTCCTAAGAAAGAAGAAAAATCTAAAGGCAAGGATAAATTTAAATCAAAGAACAAGAATAAAAAGTCTGATTAAACAAATGGTATTGTATAATATAGAAATAAATATGTAATAAAATACAAAATTAAAAAAGAAACGCTAAAACAAAAAAGTAGAAAATTATAAACAAGCAGTATGCAAAAGTAGATTAAACTATCTAAATGAAATCTTCGTCATCATCATAATACTCATCATCATCAGATTCATCAGCTAATTGATCAAAGTTAACCTTGTATCTTAACATGGCACCAATACCACCAAAACCTTGAACGAATTGAGCACCTTCAGAAGATCTATCAGTAACGAATTCTAAAGTAGCACCAAAACTTCTATAATTTTCAGCTAACCATTCTAAAAATGATTCTTCTTTTACAATTTCCATATCAGTTCCTGTCTTTTTATCTTCTTGCCATGATTTATCAGGTAAATCTGGGTTAGCATGAGCAATGACAAGATCACCTTCAATATCTTTTAAGGTATATCTGATTATATTTAAATTTTCATAAACAATGACGGTTTCACAAGCACCTAAATCTAAGGCTTTTAAAGTATCTTCAATACCATAACAGAATTTACCAGTATCTTGAGAAATTTCATCGAAATATAAGTTTAATAATTTCTTTTCTTGAACGAATTTAACATTAGCTAAAGTTTCAGCTGATAATTCTATAGCTTGATTAAAACCATTTTCACCACCATAAGAAATATCAACAATTTTAATAATTTTTGCTTGTAATCTAAGATCGAAAAGATCAGATTTTGATAATTCAGTTTTAAAATCAGCAGAACCAGCTAAAATTAAACCTTTAACATTAACTCTATCAGCAGTAATGAAATTTTGAACTGCAACTTCAGCAACTTTTCTAATATAATTATGTCTTTTTTCTTCTCTTAAACGAGAGAAACGAACAGCAGATTGACCACCTCTACCATGCTTCTTTGGTAAATCAACGGTAAATTTATGTAAAACTTCTCTTGTATTACCTGAAACAGTACCAAATAAAGCACCATTACCATCCATAACAATGAAACCGAATTTATCATCATTTTCTAATAATTCATTTAAAGCTTCAAGATGGAATTTGTTATCACATAAGTATAAAGTTGTATTGATAGGCTTGAAAGGTTCGAAATCAATATTCAATTTTTTTTCTTTTCCTTCATCGGTAATGATATCACCACAATAGACCACCAATCCATTTCTTGGAACAGAATTGTATAATTTTAACTTTTGTTGAGTGGAGGTAATAGCTGAAAGAACAGACAATCTATTAACACGCGATTTGATATTGGAAGCAGTACCATATTCTTCAGTTAATTTCTTTTGAATCAATGATATTTGACCTGATGGAGGTATAACCAATGAAATCATAGAAGTACCATTACCTCTTGCAGCTTCCAATGACTTGATCAACTTCTTGACCTTCCAGATCTCAATATTCTTTTCGGCATCACCTTCTTGAGTAGACATTATAGATATACGTTAGACTTCTAAGAACTAATTCAAAAATAGATACCAACTTGTTTCACCTCTCATCAATTGATACAGCTTTTGAAAAGTCTAAAAAAAAAAATTTTTTTTTTTGGGAGAGATCTGATCACGTGGAACCAATTCCTGTATACAAGGTCACCCTCAATTCAATCTAACAATTTAGTAATAGAAAAGGAACCATCCGGAAGTGATAATGACAACAACGACATCAAGCAAAAGGTTTAGGTTTGAATCGTTGGATTTGATTTGATCATACTTTTAATACTTCAATCATGGCATCAGAAACAGCAGCTGCTAATCAAATGCCTGAACCAAATGTCAGGGACGGTGCTGATTCTGATTATGAATCGGATTCAGCTTCGGAAGACTCTTCCTTGGGTAATAATGAGAAAATTAAAACAAGAAGACCTGGTGATAATGCCTTTAGACAACAACGTTTGAAAGCTTATAATCCTGTTTTCACTTCTAGAACTGTTATTCCTATATTGATAAGTATAGCTGTTGTGTTTATTCCATTAGGAGCTGCTATGTGGTATGCTTCTCATGTGGTTCAAGATTTTGCTATTGATTATTCTCAATGTCAAAATTTAGCTTCAGCAGATTATTGGTCTGAAATACCAGCAAACTATACTACTTATAATTTCCGTAATGCTAATGATTCATTTGTTGCAGTTTGGAAATTGGATACTGATGAAAGTCAACCATTTGAAGATCAACAAGCGGTTTGTAAAATTCAATTTAATGTTCCTCAAACTTTAAAAGCTCCAATTTACTTTTTTTATAGATTGAATAATTTCTATGCCAATCATCGTCGTTTTGTTAAATCATTTAGTGAAGATCAAATAGAAGGTAAAGCTGCATCAGAAAATGATATTAAAAATACTGTGGGTCAAAATTGTCAACCTTTATCAACTGATGAAAATGGTATGAAGATTTATCCATGTGGGTTAATTGCTAATAGTTTATTCAATGATACTTTCACTCCTACCCTTACGGCTGTAAATGGTACTTCAAATGATTATGTCATGACTGATGAAGGTATTGCATGGGCTACTGATAAAAATAGGTTTAAGAAGACTACTTATAATTATACTGAAATTGTTCCACCTCCAAACTGGTATAAATCATTTCCAAATGGTTACAATGCTACCAATGTTCCAGATATTTCTACTTGGTATCAATTCCAAAATTGGATGCATGCTTCTGGTTTACCAAACTTTAACAAATTAGCTCTTCGTAATGATCATGATGCTCTTGAACAAGGTACTTATGAAATTTCTATTGGATTACATTTCCCAGTATTACCTTATAATGGTAACAAATACGTCTATATAAGTCAAAGAAGTGCTATAGGGGGTAAGAACATCTTCTTAGGTGTGAGTTGGATAGCTGGTGGTGGTGTTTGTCTTATCTTAGGTTTAACCTTATTGATTGTTAACTTTATCCATCCAAGAAAGACTGGTGATGTCAACTTATTAAGTTGGAATAGAGAAAAGATTTTACAAGATGAAAAGGAAGAAGCATCTTCTGATTCAGGTCTCGCCACTGGAGTTGAAAAGATTCCTCAACAACATTAAACAATTTTGATGATCTATATTTGTATATTAAAACTAAATATTTTAAAGAGAAAAATGTATTACATTGCTTATTTGATAGAAAGATATTGATTAATTTATGCGCTACCACATACATAAATATGTAAATTACGATTTTTATGAGCGCGTTACACAAACAAACCAGAGATCATTTACAACCAAAATAAATGTAAACAAACCCTTCTTGGTTATATTGACTGCAGTTTAACAATATAACAATCATTCACATTCACACTCTTCCTGGATCCCAAAGGATATGGATAAGATAAGTTCGAATGTTATATAATAATTCTCGTCATGATAATATAGCAGATATGTTGGCGAACTCAAGACCAGATTCGGATGAACTGTCAGCAGCATCACATAAGAAAGAACTCACCTTAAATAAGTATCGTGAATTCCCTGATGAGTTGGAAGATGGCAAGGGATTTGAAGAAGACTTCAATTTATCATTTTCAAGGTTCTCTCATATATCTGGATCATCGGTAATTGTTAGGAGTACAGGTTCAAAATCTGATCAATCAGTAATCGAATCACCTTTCGTGAAGAGAATTCAAGGTAAATTGAATGGTATTATATTTGAAGATAGTATAGGAGAAGAACTCAACAACAACAGCAACAACAACAATGATAATGATGAGAATGACAAGTTTAATAATAATGATGTAGAATCACCTTTCATAGAAAAAATTACAAAAGAAAATATTCCAGTGCTATCACATAGTCCAATACGACACCGTAAGTTAAAAGAAGTAAGTTCCAATCGAGATCCCAGATTTGCAATTCACGGGACTCCTAATAAGCTTAGAAGTGCTTCTGTTAAAGTATCATTAACCCCAGCTCAAAGGTTTGAAAAGAGACCAGGGACAAGGCTGAATAATGCATTAGACAATTTTGAATTCTCAAATTTACTAGGACGTGGTGGATGTGCTAGTGTATATAAAGCTAAGAATCTTAAGACCGGTCAGATCATAGCTATCAAACAAGTGTTTCTTGAAAAAGATCAAGATGTGGCTGTTTTAATGAGAGAAATTGATTTGTTAAAGATTTTAAAACATTCGAATATAGTCAAGTACCACGGGTTTGTTAAGACAGCATCATCGTTGAATATTTTATTGGAATATTGTTCTGGAGGTTCGTTAAGGCAATTATACAAAAAGAAAAATGCTGGTTTGCCCGAAAAGCAAATCATAAAGTATGTCAAACAAATCATAGATGGTCTCATATATTTACACGATCAAGGGGTTGTTCATAGAGATGTAAAAGCTGCAAATGTTCTTTTAACTGATAGTGGGGATATAAAGCTTGCCGATTTTGGTATTGCAGCCAATGTAAACAGTCGACACGATACTATTGTTGGAACTCCAAATTGGATGGCTCCTGAAACTGTATTGGGTGGTGATGGTATATGTACTGCTTCTGATATTTGGTCATTGGGTGCTACCATTATAGAATTATTCACTACAAATCCTCCGTATCATGATTTAAATCCCATGGCAGTTTTACATGCTATTGGAACAGATGAACATCCTCCACTTTCAAAGAGTATTTCATTACTTGCTAAAGACTTCTTATTGGAATGCTTTCAAAAACAGCCAAGCTTGAGAACAAGCGCCAAGCTTCTTCTGAAACATAAATGGCTCACACAGCCTATATCTAAGATATCCATGAGTAATCTAGTGTCAGCTAAACATAAACCAAGTATGGAAATCAAGAGTATTAGTATGTACTCAGAGTTGAATGAAGAGAATTGGGATAATGATTTTGGAGAAATTGCAAAGATATCATCTGTAAAGCAACCATTAGATGCCGATATCATCCAAGTGAAAGAACTTTCTAATGATGAAGAATTCCCTCAAAAGACTAAATATACCAAAACTGAATTGTTGAGTAAGTTCACAGAAGATGACGAAGGTTTTGATGTTAGCAGTATTGATGAAAACCTTTCGTTACGGAATAAAATCGATAATAGTGAAGAAATAAATCCCTTTGTTGATATTGATATTCAAAATTTTGATAGTAATGAATTGGAAATTCAAAGTAAAATGGAGTATTTAGTATCCAAGTTTTCAAATAAAGTTGATATGTTACATTATGATGATAACATTGATATTGAATCCTTAGTTAAAACTACAGGAAGAATGCTTCATATTGTTAAGAAATATCCTTTACTGCATGATACATTGATCAGAGATCATGGTATTATCTCTCTATTGGAATTGTTAAACTGTGTCAATGAAATTGCGAAAACTGAAAAGATTTGGTATTATGCTTTAGCAACTTTGAATGTTATATTTGAAGAGAATGTATCTATTTTTGAGAATTTTTGCTTACTAGGTGGTATTCCGGCTGTGACACAGTTTAAAGGTTCAGCTTATGATTTGCCTGTCAGACTACAAGTTGTGAGATTTATTAGATTATTTAAGAATTCAGATAAGGCTCTTTCAATGTTGGTCTCATGTGGTGGTCTTCGAGTTGTGTCAAAGTTCTTGGAAGAAGATTTTGATGTTGCTCCTGCTTTCCCTATAGCAGCAGTTGAATGTATTCATAGTATTCTTTCAAAAGACTTAACTAGATCAAAATCTGATTTATGTCGTATCTTAGCCAAATATGGAGTTGTATTTTGGTTTGCTGTATTTTTAAATCGATTAACAAGAGTCAATTCAAAACAGCGTATGAAGGAAGTTTCTGAGGAGTCATTAAATTCCACGATTGATAAAATTATGGATATCATAAAATTCTTTGGTCAATCAGAAGTCAGAGTTAGAATAAATATAGCGCACAGTGATTTATTCAAGTTGTTGATTAAAATCTTTAAGAATGTGAATATGATGCATCAATTAACCATTTTGAGATTTTTCAAATCAATGTCATTCATATCAGAAGTTCTTAAGGCATTTCAAAAGGCAGAGTTTTTAGAATTCATTGTTCAATTATTAGAAAGTCATCCAGCTGGTAGTGAACACTATAAGGAATATATCAACTCCTTGGCTCCAATATTGTATAATTGTTGTTATTTGAACCATGCTAGAGAAGCTGAACTTATTAGTTTGGGGGCATTGCCATACATGAAAGCATTATCAATGATTAATTTACCATTCAGACAGTTTTTACTTCCAATTATGTGTGAATTAGTTTATTGTGGAGAATCTGTAAAGCAACAATTGAAAAGTTTGGACATAATGTCTATATATTATAACTTAGTACTTGATCCATATTGGCAATCTAATTCATTGGACTCAATCATAACTTGGTATAATCAAGAATCAAAATCTATATCTTTAGATACTAAAGCATTAGATTGTTTCATAGCGGGTTTTTTAATTCCAAAAGTATCAAATCTAGAATCGGTGCTTGATAATTATCTAAAATTGATTAGTTTCAGTACAGTGGTGGCAAATAGAATGGCAAATAGAGAAATCTTCTCTAACATTTTAACAAAAATTGGTAGTCATAGTTCAAACATGGTAGTGCAATTGTCCTTGCTTAAGATTCTAAAGCCATTAGTGTCAGCATCATCGGGACAAGTGCTTGACGAAAATTCTGGAAGTATTAAGAAAGTATTACAAGCGTTGGTTGAAAGGAAGGGATCAATATTGGTTGTAGAATTATCGTCTGAGATAATAGATCTTATATAGTATAATAATAATTTGCAGTAATAAAAAGTACAACCTAGTGCGATAAATAATTCCTCGGTGAAAGTAAAAAATTAATTTTCTGTGGGGAACAGAATATCAACATCACCACTGTTAATCAACAGCTATATCCATCAACAACATCAAGAACGATGATACCAATATCGTATCCTTCGCCAAGGGTATCACAGCTTGATGCCCATATACTAGACTCTGAGTTGATTTCATTATTGAAGGAACAACTCGCATCTATATTTCAATTGCATAACAATAGTCGATTTTCATATAATGAACATCCCGAATTATGGTCATTATTGTTGAACTTACTTGTATTTAGTCAAACTGTGTGGAAGAATGGATCATCTTATGGGTTATCCCTTCAGAATTTGAAATTGACAGACTCGAGAACGGGGAAGATGATTGGATTTTCGAAACGATGGCTCTTGTTAGGATTACTCGTTGGTGATTATTTATACTCCAAACTTCAAAGTTACTTATATTCCCTTGATGAATCAAACAGACCACAACCTTATAGTGTTACCATCTTAGAAAAAGTGAAGAATTTCTTGTTTGAGAAGAGAGGTACTATCTTAGCCCAATTAGATAAGATTTTTAAGTCATTAAATTTAATCAATTTCATGCTTTTCTTGATCAATGGGAAGTATCCATCCTTGATTCATAGACTATTCGGTATAACCATGACACCCATTGTATCAGACTTATTGAAATTTAACGGTAATAATGTCAATTTTGAATTTCAAAACAGACAATTGGTATGGAATGTGATGACAGAATTTTTAGTATTCATATTACCATTATTACAAATCAATAAATTCAAGAGATTAGTGAAATCAGCATTTTCAAGAGGTCAACCTCAATCTCAATCAGGTCCATTTTTACTCCCATATGTGAACTTACCTATTTCTCAATGTGCAATCTGTCATAATAATAATCATAAAGCTGAAGCATCAGGTGGTAGGACATTTATATCAGCCGGTGTTATCACTAATCCATATGTGACCAATTGTGGTCATGTTTACTGTTATATCTGTATATCGACTGCATTCAACACCATGAAGGTATCAGGTGAAGACTTGCCTTGTTTACGTTGTGGAGAGAAATTAGAATATTATCGAGAATATGGAGTTGTAGAAGAAGATGGTGACGAGTATGATGACGATGCGGTGATATTTGTGAATGAAGATGATGAAGAGGATGATGATGAGAAAGACGAACAAGATGACGACGATAACGATGAATTAAATGAAAAAGCACAAGTAGATACTCCAAATTATCCATTGATTCAAGATGATAGTGAAATTGAAGAGAGTGAAGACTCTGATTATAGTGAAGAAGAAGATTACGAGCAAGATGAAGCATTTGCATTATAGTGTTAGTTTTTACATAATGATATTTTTTATATTACTAAAGTACAATGATATTTAATGCAAGAAGTTCTATTTATTTATTTATAAAAAGACACCCGTCTATTTTAAAAGAGTTAATAATAATTGACCACCTTTATTATCTTTATCAGCAGCTAATAAATTTTTATACTTGGATAATTCCTTTTTAAATTTCTTAAAAGTAGCAGCTTCACTCAGTATTTGTAATACTTCAAATACAGAGATAACTACAAATGCACCTTGACCAGTAGTCCAATCTTTTAATTTTTCTATGATTTCATCAGCAACTTTAACAGCAAATTCAGTACCGGTAGCTGGGATTTTAGCAATATTAGCGTTCACTTGTAATGATTTAGATTCAGGATTCCATTTATATTCTGATCCCTGGATAATAGCTTTCAAAAGTCTAGTGATGAATGGACCTTTGTTGACTAAATGATAATCTTCACGAATATCTCCCTTTATGGTCTTATCGAAGATAGCATCGACTAATTCTGGTCTATATTTTTCATTGATTTCTTCATTATCAGTTGGAGTTAAGATTAATTCTGATAAAAATTGGGAAACAAAATTATTAGAAAGAATTTTATCTAAACTGAATTCTTCACTTGATTCATTAGATAAAATACTTTTATATATGAGTGGTAAAGCCTTAGTAACTAATTCTTGTCTTCTTTGTTCTTGAGGTTTTTTGGAAGTTTTCTTATATGCTAATTCTTCATATTTAGTTAAAGCTTTCTTAACTGATGGTGAGAAATATCTACCATCTAATCCTTTTAAAAGATAAATTAAAGGCCTTCTAGAGAATTTATCTTGAATTAATTTTGGAGTTAATTCTTTAGTAAAGATTTCTTGTCCAAATGATTTATGAACTAAAACAGTATCATCAACAGTAAGGAATAAAGTAATCAAGACTAAATTACCATGTTCATTTTTAATAAGTTCTTCAGTATGTGATTTTAATGATCTTATAATAACTTTTCTTTCTTTAGCGTTAGCAAGTGCAATTAAAGCACTAGCAACTTCAGCACCTTCTTGAGTATGAACTAATTCAGCAAATTGTTCTTCAAGTAAATCAATGAAATCTCTAATTTGAGTATCATGGAGTTCAACATTATCTTCTAAGATACTGACATATTCTTTCATGGCAGCATGTAAAATTTGGAACCCAGTTGAACCTTTTTCAACTGAAGCTTTGATAGTACCGAATAAATTAGTCATGATCAATTGTTTCTTTTCAGATGATTCCTTGGTGACTTCCAATACATTTTTACCCTTTCCTGAATCTCTAAATACAGCATATTCAGCTCCCCAGAATTCTCTTATTATTTGATGTCTTTGTTCAGCAGTTGAATATAAAACGTATAAATCTTCAGCCACATAAGCCCCTTCTTTATGTCTCATTAATTTTCTTAATTTACCATGTAATTCATCAAGGATTTTACCTCTTGATTCTTTAGAACCATAATGTAATAATTTAACTAATAAATATTTACCATATGATGAAGTAGCTAATTGATAAAAGTTACCCTTTAATGAATCAATGATTTTAGCTCTTCTTTCTTTGGACGAGTATTTGATTAAAGTTTGAACCACTCTGGAGGCATCATGTTTTAATACTAAATCAAGGATAACATCCTTAGATAATTCCCAAACTTCATCACAAAGTTTATCTCTAACTTGTTTTGGAGGAGTTGGTTTAGTGATTCTTAATTTTTCCCACAAATTTTTGATTTGTTGGACTTCAACCCCTGATTTTCTTTGTAATTTACGTTCAGCTAATACTTTACGTTGTTCAGCATGTTGTTCTTTTGATGATTTCTTGTTTGGATCAACTACTTTATCTTTATCTTCTTCATCATCGTCATCTTCATCATCACTGTCTTTATCTTCATCTACTTTGTCTTCGTCGTCGTTGTCAAGATCATCTAATTCATCTTTTTCTTCCTCTTCTTCATCATCATCTAATTCATCTAATTCATCTTCAGAAGAAGCTTCGATATCTTCATCACTTGATAAATCTTCATCTTCTGATTCTTCTTCTTCTTCTTCTGATTCAGGTGGAGGAGATGGGAGTTTCTTCACAACTTTGCTTTTCTTAGCATTGTTACCTTTCAGCGATTGAGCTGGAGCAGCACGCTTGACCCCATTAACTTTAGTAACCATTGTGTAGAGTTTAATATCAATGATCTAGAACTTTATCCAATATATATTATATATATATAAATTTTTCACAGCTATATAAATAAATATAAATCCATCGCAGAAAAAAAAATAAAAATTAAGAAAAATGATCACATGATCAGTCGTGTGACTAATCATGTGACTTACAAAGTGTGGTGGTGGATGAAATTTTTAATAAAGGACTTTGAACATTTTAAGTTATGATGATTACTAAAATCGATATTGATCTTAAGTCCTTAGTATATAAATAGTGGTTTGAACTTCTCCAAATATATATATTTATTTACTTCTTTCTTTTCCTTTCAATAATGTTAAGAACGTTAGGTTATCGTACAAGTTCTATATTAAGACATCAACAACAACCTTCCTTATTCCATTCTAATTCTATATTATTTCATAAAGTTAAAACTATGTCCACAGCTGCTAATCCAAGTAAGATTCATGAGATTGCTAATTTAGCTGCCTTTAATGAATTTATTAAATCAGATAAACTTGTCGTGATTGATTTCTATGCTACTTGGTGTGGACCATGTAAAGCCATCGAACCAATCATCGATGCTTTAGCTGAAAGATTACCAGAAGTTAATTTTGGTAGAGTTGATGTAGATCAAGCTCAAGATGTTGCTCAAGAATATGGCGTAACTGCTATGCCAACTATTTACTATTTCAGAAATGGAGAAAGATTAAATTATGTCGTTGGAGCTGATCTTCCAAAGATTGTTGGTTTAGTCCAAGATTATACTAAAATTGATATTAGTTCTAGATAGTTGTTTTGTAATATGACATTTTGCCATTACATAGTATAGTAATATTAGAAATCAAAATCAAACCCCATGTTTTATATAACACATTTGGCCTGTACTGTATATAATAAAAAGCTACCATTTCTTTTTTTTTCTCTGTAAAGGGTCAATCTCAATCCGTAGAAGATGATGGACAGAAGTAGATCTATCCAACATTGAAATCATATTCATATCATTTACCATTGATTGATTATTCATATATCATCATCATACATATCATACTGGTAGGTAGAATGTTCAAAAGACTTGTAAGAACCTCAGTTCCTTTAATTGCATTCGGTGTAGGTGTTGCTGCTTTCCCAGTCAATTATAGAAAAGGTAATTGGAGAGAAAAGAAATTATTACATATTAATGAATCAATCGTTAATCAAATCTCATCTACTGATGAATATAAAGCCTTAATTGAAGATCCAAACACATCTCGATACAATAGTAGCGATGCCTTTCCTGATCAACATCATAAAAACTATGTTGGTACTGGATTATTATTTGGTCCTGATTTATTTGAAATTGATCCAATTGTATTTCTCAATGAAAAACAAGGTGAATTAACTAGTTTCTACCATTTAGGTGATAAATTAATCAGTCAAGATGGTAAGATTCATAATGGAATTGTATCAACTATATTAGATGAAGGGTTATGTTCTTGTGGATTCCCATTATTACCTTCTAAAAAGGGAGTCACTGCCTCATTATCCATTGATTTTAAAAATCAAGCTCCTCCAGGAAGTACAGTTGTGTTACGAGCCAAAGTAGTTGAAGCAAAGGGGAGAAAAGTTGTCATTGAAGGAAATTTAGAAACTTTACCATTTAATAAAGATGAAACTCCAATTCAAATCGCTCATTCAAGATGTATATTAGTTGAACCAAAATGGTTTAAATATTTTGCTTGGTTTCAAATCATATGAAATTAAATCATTTTCCTCCTCCTTTCAGTTGCTATTATTAAGTTATGATTTTCTCGATGATTGCTAAATGCATCATCATTCTCGAACTCGTATAATCATGCTTGCTATGCGATTCATTCGTTCGCATATGGAAACAAACGTGCGAACAAAGGGGAACCAACCCAAAGCTAAAATTCCCCCGCCACAAGCTAATTCGCTACCGTAACTTAACCACACTTGCAATAAGTTCTCTATAGCAACTTTATGAAATGCTAAGAAATTCTGCTTATAGAATTAGTCTATAAATAGTGGTTTAATTCTCCTTTCTTTTATGATATTTGGTATTTCTTTTACTATACACTTAAGTTAATAAGTATACAACAACAACTACAGCAACAGATAATTACAAACAAATATGTCAGATTTCGGTAGAAAAGATATTGGTGATAAAGTTGAAAGTGCCGTCAAGCCAGATTCTCAAAAGACAACTTACGAACAAGCTAAGGATAAGGTTACTGATACCCTTGATAATGCTGTTGGTGATAGTACCAGTGACAATAACAAGTCTTTTGTTCAACAAGCTTCTGATGCTGTTTTTGGTAACAAGAAGGAATAAGTCTGCGGGTTATGACTATTAATTGACGTTTTCTTTAGATTAGTTTTATTGATTTTTAGTGAATAAAAAACTTGTTTATTGTCTTTATTAAGATATTTTTATTGTAGTTTGTACTCTATGAGTTGCATCGATGACTTACGATATATTATGTATGTTGAACTATATGTTCAGAGGAAGTCTACATGCTTGATTGCTGAATTTTGCAATCATAGGCTGGATATGACAAACTTCCTTTCAGAACAGTATGTTCTTCAATTTCATCATATCTAACATCTAACGATATACATACGTGCTACGTATGTTATCAACATATCCACTCTACAACCTGAATCTCTTAATGATCCTACCATATCTGAAGACTAAGAGTCATTAGTTATACGCGACATCACCAAAAAAAATATGATACAAAACTTTTTTATAACGCGTTCGATCTTTATTTATATTTTCAAATCATTCTTTATTTACATCTCCAACTTACATTCAATACCACTCATTATCAACATCATGACAGTTGCAGCTCCTCATGCTCATCCAGAGCAAGGTTATCTTGACTTATGTGAACGTATCATTAACGAAGGAGAGTTTCGTCCTGATAGAACTGGAACCGGTACCAAATCCATCTTTGGACCACCTCAATTAAGATTCGATCTTTCCAATGATACATTTCCATTATTAACGACTAAGAAAGTGTTCTCCAAGGGTATTATCCATGAACTTCTTTGGTTTGTGGCTGGTTCCACCGATGGGAAATTGTTAAGTGCCAAGGGAGTTAAGATTTGGGAAGGTAATGGATCTAGAGAATATCTTGATAAATTAGGGTTAACTGATCGTCGTGAAGGTGATTTGGGTCCAGTATATGGTTTCCAATGGAGACATTTCGGTGCAGAGTATAAAGATTGTGATACCGATTATACAGGCCAAGGTTTTGATCAATTACAAGATATTATTAAAAAATTAAAAACAAATCCATATGATAGAAGAATCATCATGTCAGCTTGGAATCCACCTGATTTCGGTAAAATGGCCTTACCTCCATGTCATGTATTCTGTCAATTTTACGTCAGTTTCCCAACTCCAGATTCAACCAGTACTACCCCTAGTAGACCTAAATTATCTTGTTTATTATATCAAAGATCATGTGATATGGGATTAGGAGTTCCATTCAATATTGCTTCTTATGCCCTTTTAACTAAAATGATAGCTCATATCGTTGATATGGATTGTGGAGAATTCATTCATACTCTTGGAGATGCTCATGTCTATTTAGATCATATCGATGCTCTTAAAGAACAAATCACAAGAACTCCAGGTACGTTCCCCAAATTACTCATTAAAGAAGATAGAAAAGCTGAAATTACTTCTATTGATGATTTTAAATTTGAAGATTTTGAAATCGTAGATTATAATCCTCAATCAGTAATTAAAATGAAAATGAGTGTTTAAATTGAGGGTTTAAATACTACTTATGTATACTATATAAATTATTATAAAAGAATGTTTATTGTTTAATGCGTAAATGTTGTATATCTTCTGTTAGTCTTGCCACCTTTTCTTTTTCCGATATATTTGGATTGACTAGATGGAAATTCTTCAAAATCAAATACTGATAATTGATCTGTGCTGAAAGTTGATGATGGCTTTGCATCTGGTGTTGGTTCCTTTTCAGATTGAGTATTATTGTTGTAAGTATTAGTCTTATTACCTAATGGTTTCCGTTTATTAGAAATTTCATTTGGTCCTAACGTACGTCTTTTCTTCTCATTATTTGACTCTATCTTTACGGTTGGAATAGTATAATTGATGTATGCATTTTCATCAACAGCATCAACCAAGTGAGTTGACTCTCGTCTCATTTTCCCTCGTAACAGGAGAGGTTTATAATTAACTTCACCTCTGTTTCTTAATGGTCTTCGAGGTCTTTCAAGCTCATTGGCTGTTTCAGGTGTAGATTCTGCAGATTTTGACGTTACAAAATCATCTGTATCGGCTTCTTTATGATTAGCAACTTCTGGTGATACTTGTTTGGTAACAACGGGTACTGTTTCTGCTTCTTGTGATCTTCGGATGATTTGATCAATTATTTGTTTTGCCTTATTAAGATCATCAGCTGACTGCTCTCGATCCTCAAAAACAGATATAGTTTGTCTCTTCCGTCTCTCTGTGACACTGTTGGATCTGTTTGTTATTGCTGGGTTGGGGATGTCAATATTTTGCTTCAGGATTGGTTTTATGACTTCTGGTTCCAGATCTATTATTGTTTGTGGTTGAGGATCTGGCACAATGATTGGATCTGTTGTTTTCTTGTTTATGGTCTCGGAGTCAAATGAATCAAAAATAGACGTAGTTGTAGGAAAACTAAATGGTTGAGGAGTTGACTCTATGATTGGTTTATCAGTGGTAGCTTCTAGTTGACTATTTATAGGTAATCCTTCACTTTCTCTAAATTTCTTAAAGATTTGGAAAATTTCATCAAATTTATGAGTCAATTCCTTTTCAACTTGACCAATTGTCTCATCCAACTGTTGTTTACTTGCTGTATCATGTAATGTCTTAGTCTTTCTTAAACTCATATTTTCATTGATCAATTCACCAACTTTCATCTCTAAATCAGATATTTTTGATGTAAGTACTGCATTACTTTTAGCTAATGAATTGTTCTGTATGGTAAATTTAGCTTTGAGAGATTCATAAGCATCATCATCTCTTACTTTTTGATCAACAACATCCTTCATTTTCTCAACTTCACTGACTTCTACATCTTCATCTTCCTTATCATGATTGGGTTGTTTTCTTAGATTTGATCTTGTAGCGCCATGGATATCCAACGATAAATTCTGACGTTTCTCTCGTTCACGAGAGTTAAACTCCCTATGAAAATTCAACAACGACCTCGTAAAGTCTATTGATTTACGTGCCATCAATCCTAAACCTCTTTCTTACTTGTATCCCCTTCAAAAGCTTTATTTATCAAATCAATTCTTAAATGCAAAAAAAAGGTAAACAAAAACAAACTCAAAAAGTCACGTGAGTTTCTGTTGTGTTGCGGTGAGGATGTTTCTAATTTGATGATGTTTTTGTTTTGAAAATTAAACCAAACAGATCTTAACGCGTTAAGAATGGTTTAAGATACAGATCTATAATCAATTGAAGTATTAATATATCAATCATGCTGAAGTCTAATGTATATCAGCAGAAGATAGCTGAGAAGAAGGCTGATTTGGAAAAATTACAAGAGTTCAGAACTTTAACTTCAGAACTAGCTACCTATCTTGAAGGCATTGGTGATAGATTAGATCATATGAAAGACGGTACAGAAAGTGTAGCATTAATATTGGCCAACTGGCAGAATGTGGTGAAGGCTATATCGTTGGCATCGTTGGGTCTTTTGAAATACTCTGATAAAGACTATGATACCAAGACTCCTCTTCCAGAAGCTTTGGTACGGATCAAATTAGATAAAGATGAAGATGATCCTCTTGACAATGAAGATGGTCAAGATGTTGAAGAAAGTATAGAGTAAGTCAGCTGCTGGCGGTTGGAACTACAATAGATAAGTCTGTATTATATATAAAATAATTAAATAAAAATAACATTAATTTTATTATTCGAATGTCTATATGTATATGTACTTAGTCTATATTATTGAATTCTTAACTTCTTGTTTAATTGAATCAATCCATAACTTCAACTCATTATTCTTGTTATAATCATTGAGTTGAACTAATAACTTTTGATGAAATGCTTCAATCTCTTCATCAATCTCATAATTAGTTTCATCTATCTTACCCGTTGTCAACAATTTATCCAATTGGGAAACTAAATCATGATCTAATTTTATCTCTGAGAGAGTCTTGAATATAACAGTTTTTCTAATTTTATCCTTAATATGTTCATCAGTTGAAAACTTACTATTCAATTTACTAATTACTGACCAATCTTCAGTAATTGTCAATAATCTTAACCAGATAATATTAGTGAAGTACTTATATTTACTTTCATTGTTGATGACTGATGCAACTTTTAATGCTTCTGAAAATTCCTTATTGGACAGACCAACTGGTTTAATAACTGTTAATAAATTAATCAAATTGGAACTTGAAACTTGAATGTTTTCAACAAAATCATTGAAAATTTCTCCTCCAATAAGTTGATTTCTTATACTGAATTCAATTAACTTGTTGGAATGATTCTTTAATATATAATCCAATGTCAATAATTTCTTTTCCCCATTCACATACTTAAGTAATGATTGTAATAATTTACTTTGAGCTCTAATTTGAACTAAATTAGCTTCGGATTCATTTAATATTTCATCTGATTTATCTGCAACAATATCATCTTCAGTTAATTTAGCCTTAGATGCGATTATAGCAAGTTTGGCTAAGGAGTATTTCAATTCTTTATTATCTAAGTTTTCCAACACTTTGACTGATTTCAAGAGGGATTCAGATGCTTGAGGAAATTCTTTATCCAATAATTGACGAATCCAGGCTACTTTTGCCGTCTTTTGTTGATTCTTTTCAAAATATAATTTAAGATAATTCTTATAATTGGTGAAATCCAATAATAGTGGTTGAATCTTATCTTCCGTCAAGTAATAATCATATAAACTGGATGCAAAATCATATTCAAATGTTTCAAAATATTGTCCATACTTTTTAATTAATTCATTATGTTCTTTACTATTAGCCCCGTATTTCTCAATGATGTTTGATCTTTCGAATTCCAAAATCAAGGCTAATGAATTGAAATCACGATACTTCTCACTTAAGACAATGGCGTCTTTACTCAAATTGTTCTTAAGTAATGCATTAATCCATTTTGGTTTATTGGTTTTATACCATCTTTTATATTCGGTTAATTCATCCTTATTATTCGATGAATCATTTTGTTCGAAATAATTTATAGCATTTATAACAAAATAATATAACACCTCACATAATTTAATTAAATTGGATTGTCTCTTTTCAGTTATAATAATGCCATTGCTCTTTGTATCATTATATTCTTTTTCATAAATATCCCCAATGGTAAATAATAATTTAGTATCAAAGATCCACAATTTATGAGTACCCTTGGATCCAGTATTGACAATATAGTTGGATTCAATTAAGAAAATTCCATTATATTGTGTCTTGATTAATAATTCAACTAGATTAGTTAAGGAAAAACTATCTTGGATTAATTTATCAATGAATCTAGTAAGGATTACATTTATGTATTCAATACCTTGGCTGCATACTTTCCTTATAACATCACTACCTGATTGTAACTCTGGTTTGTTTAATTCAAGCACAATTGATTCAAGTATCTCTTTTAAATATACCAGTTGTTTTTGTGATTGTGGTTGTTGTTGTTGTTCGTTATCTAAATCGTTAATGAATATCCATAAGTTTAATGCAACTTCAACCTTCTCTAAATACTCAACGATCTTTGGAATTAAAACAGAATTCAAAGTTGAGAAGTTTCTCTTAGAATAGTTAATTAATTCTTTGTATAAACTTGATTTTTGATTTAATGATTCGATTATTGATGGTAGAAATTCGGGTAAATAAGGAGAAGTTGAATTAATGATTTCTGAGATTATTGAATCCACTGCCTTTAAGATTAAATCATCTGAAATGTTAATTGATGATGAATTTATATCGAACTCAATTTGAGAAGAACCAGCAAAGAATATACCTTGTTCAATATGAGATTTGATTATGAATATTGGATCAGTAATGGCTTGTAATTCATCATCGTTGATAGCTTCTGGAAATCTTTCAAGTCTTAAGACTCCAAAATTCTTAGTAATTATAACAATTGAAGGATTTGCAGAAGGTGATTTGTTTTCAAATCCATATCCGATAATTTGAACATCTGATTTTAATTGAATTATATCTTCCCATCTTGGTTTATAATAAGAAACGGTACCCGAAGTAGAATCATTAATATAAGATGTGTTAATATCAGTTATAATTACAGAATTATCAATAGTTACAAATGCAGTATGTCCAGGTTTTGGTAAAAATAATTTAGGTTTAGTGATTAATGGATTAGTAGAATCACTAGGATTATATCTTATTAACTTATGAGAACCATAAAGTAATCCCCCAGTGGAGTCAATCTTGATAGTGATCAACAATAAATTCTTACTATCTCCATTAGGATCATTATTATCAATGATATGACATAAACCAAGATAAGTTTTTTCATATTGTAAGAGAGGCCATAAATCTAAGAAATTTATAGTTAATGAAGAACCAGGAATAAAGCCATCAATACTATTTTCAACATAAGGGGTAAGATTATGTTTATATGAATACTTTTTATCAATGTATGGTATACCATTTGCAGATGATAAGTTATAAATAAAGAAGTAGAAACCTCCATTTGAATCTTGAATGATTATTTCTTGAGTCATACCATGATTTGTTATTTTTCCAGATTTAATACTTATAATTTCATTATTAATTTCTAAGTTATTATCTGATGACTTATTACCAAAGAACAAGTTAGATATAATTGAGTTGGATGTAGTTGGTGATATTAATTCGAGAATGGATAACTTTGGCTTTCCTTTGAAATCACGTAATGAAATAAGAATTGAACGTTTCCAAGATGTAGCAATAGCAATTCCAGCTGGTTCAATATTTTCAGCTAATGTTATAAATTCTCCTCTCTTAGAATTAATTGGGATTGTTAATTCTAAGGACTTATCGTTAATTAAACCTAATGCAGGAGCATGTTGAACACTTTCATAAAACTTGATTAACCCAGTGGTTGAGTTTATTATAACCAATCCTGGATCTTGACCACTTATTCCATTTGAAGGTCTGGTTAAGATTGCTAAGGGGAAAATTGGTTCTTGATTTGAATTTGTGTCATTGATTGGAAATTGAAATGATAATGGAGATGAATCAGTAGATTTATAGTTCCAAACATGTAATGAATTTTCCGTTATAACTAAGGAATAATTTGATTCTGAATCTGAATATCCATTTAATATACTAGATTGAAAGGTATCATTTTCAAATATACCAGGCAATGCAGGTAATCGTGAAACACAGTATTGTTCATTCTTAGTCAATTCGAATAAGGTTTGACTTTTACTAACCACTGTACTATTACTTTTCTTACTTATATGAGTATCATCATAATCATGGGTATCGTTGATGCCAGTAATCAGCGTTGAATTCGCGTTGGATTGAGGACGTTTTCTCGCCTTGAAGATCGATCCAGATCCAGTATTGAATGACATTGAAGTATCTGGCTATGCTAGAATGAATCACAAGTCAATCAAACTAATCGATTTGAATTGAACTGTCTAAATCACTGTTGGCTGTAAATTTAAAAGTTGTTTACAAAAATTACAGTTGGTGAAAAAAACTTATTTGAAAAAAGCACACGACTTTCTTTAAGTTGAAGTTTTAGTATAAGGATGGATGCAAAAAGGGTTAATCAACCAAGTATATTTGATTACAGAAGTGTATTGGTATGGTTGTCAATAGAGATTAGAAAATACGGTAATGATTTACTTGAACTACGAATAAATTATCAATTTTTTTAAAAAAATGTACAATTATAATTCTCTATTTAGATATATGCCTATAATACTTTAATGAAGAAATGAATGAATGGGATTAAACTTTTTGTTTCTTTGATTGAGGAGCATCATATTCTATGTCACTTTCCATAGCATCTTCATATCCTTCACCGAAATCTTGATCATTTTCTTCATCGAAATCACTATCTTGATCATATCTAGCTTTCAAACCCTTCATCTTTCTGGTTTGTAATTTACCTAAATCTTGTTTACCCATATGGATTTGAGCCACTTTATCACCCATGAAATCAGTAGAGACATTCTTCTTTGTTTTAGCTTGTAATTGTTTTGGTCTTTCCATAGCTTGTTTTTCAACTTCTTCACTTGGAGTTATTCTTCTACCAATTTTAAAATCAAATCTTGGACCAATTTCATCTATTTCAACTCTTGGTAATTTTTGACCTGATCTAAAAGTTTTTAATTTATAAACTCTGAAATGTAAATTTGGTAAATTTTTATTATTATTGTCATTAATGTCATTATTTATGTTTGATTCACTTAATTCACCAGCTGATAAGGCGATTATGTATTGTAAACCAGCAGCATCTTGTAAATCGGTTTCTTCTCCACGGTATAAATCCATGAATAAAGATTTTAAATGCATATAAACAGGATGAGAATCAAATAATGGACCATTAAATACAAACATTGGTTTTAAACCAATAGTGAAAGTAACTTTTTTGAAATCTTGTAATAATTTATAATTTAATATGGTTAATTCAATCATATCATAAACCTTATAGTTAAAGAATCTCAGGATGATTAAATTATTTGGTCTTTTCTTATTATGACTTGAAAATACAATAATAGAACTATCATTCTTTTCTGAAAAGAATTCTAATTCAGAATAATCTTCAAATGGTCTAATATCATTCTTCTTGGAAAATTTCTTAGCAAATGGTTTCTTAATAGCCATTAAATCAACCATAGAATCATGTAAGACTTTACTACCACTTGATCCTGGTACAAATAAAGCTGATTTAGTATTTTCAACTAATTTAGCTTCTTTCTTAGCAAGAGCTCTTTTAGAACGAGCATTCTTTGGCTTACTATAATAATAACTGTTAGTAACTCTTCAAGGTCTTCTTATGAATATAATCAATAGGATCTTATACATACATTGTTCTAATCATCTTTGATAGTTAATGTGGTTATAACAAACTTTATAAATATCTATACTTTATAAGTGAAAAAAAAATTATATCCATCACATCTCTGTTTTAAAAAAAAAGTAAAGCTGAACTGTAATATGCAGGACACTTGTAAAAAAGAGAAAATTTAAAAAATTAGGTCGTACCCGGATTCGAACCGGGGTCGTCCGGATCAAAACCGAAAGTGATAACCACTACACTATACAACCGCCTAATTTATCAAAAAACTTTGCTGGTTTATCATAAAGTAACGATTTGCATGGCGCTACCAACTAAATAAAAATTTTTTGCATCCCTAGTGCAGTGGGCACTTACCTCCACCGCAACCACTCGTCAGCGGTTCAAACCGCGCGAGCAGGCATTATTACCGATATAAAGGCAACCATCCCCGGGCTAATTCCCTGGGCTGGAGAGTTTTAGTGAGTAGTGTTCCTTGGAACGAGTCTCACACTATTAGACCTTGATTGGCTAAAGCAGGTCTTTTGTACGTAAATGTATTTCTCTTCAGGTATAGATTTATACAAAAAAAAAAAAAAAAAAAAAACAATTTTAAATGAATTTTTATTAATTTGCAACTATTTATTAAACATTTCTACAATACTTTTACTTCAAATAAACAACAAAATATCAATATTTTAGGTATTGAAATTTATGATTACATATCAAATTAGTTAGATTTCCAAAAATGATTATTCCAATCTTTGTTACACATCCATCGAAGTTTCTGTTCATCATGTGAGATTCTTAAATCAAACCCATCTTCCTCACGAAACCCTTTATAAAATGATCTTCCAAAATCTAACACCAGAAGTTGATGTGTGGTTTTGTTAAGGATGAAATTACCTTCATGGATATCACCATGAGTAACGTTTAAAGCATGAAGCTTTGAAACTAACTTCTCTAATTTATCTTGTAATGTATAATACATATTTATATCTTTGAGCAACACTCCTTCAATTTTTGTCATTTTAATATAAAATCCAGATAAAGAGTAATCATCGTCACTTGATATTTCCTCAAAGAATTGTTTATTGTCATTAGTTAAATAACCCATTTCAAGGAATTCAGGCATTTGATCAAATTTACCTTGTAAATAAGTATGTACAGAAACCTCCCTCGCAAACAAATCAAATGCCATTATTATTTTATCGTAGAACGATAAATATTCAGGGTGAAGTTTATATTCGAACGCTATTCTAACAGGATCATACACTTTGTAGATGAAACCATCTTGACTTTGGATGACGGTTGAATAATTCCGTTGAATTCTTTTACCACTAATGATTTTATCTGGTTTAATTGAACTAATGGAGGTGATTCTAAAAGGATATTCTTTCATCACGTTTGCAAGGGTAGAAAGATCTAAAGTCATATCCCATTTATTAAGAATTTGATTTTGAAGCACTTGTACATTTTGTTCCAATTTTAAACTTGAAATTAATTGATTAAATTCATCTAGTATTTCATATTGCATCTTAGCTCTCTTATCTTTTTGTTCATCATTGAGAATAATAGTTTGTCTCAATTCTTCAAATTCAGTTTCATCAATTTCCAATAATTCAATATTAGAAGTAATAACCATTCCCATAAAAACGGTAACTGAAAACTTATGTTCATTAGAATCAAACGTTAGAAACTTACAAGGTAAAGATCTAACATTATAGCGATAATCAGCTTTTAACAAACTTCCAAATTTGAAAATCATAGCAATACAAAAATTCCCATCAGTTACAAATGCCAACCGTGTCTTACTTCCCAATGCTTGATAGAAACATTCCAGAAATATACCTAACATGTCCTTTGAATCCTTATGTTTATATTCAAATGACGTTTGTTTATATTTTTCAAAAGTATGCTTCAAACTATTCATTCTGAGAATTACAGGTATGAAAATGGTCTCATTCACCAAAATATTTGTATCTGCGATTGCTCTTAACGTCATTTTTTCAGATATTTCTACTGGTTTTTGTTGACGCATACACATTGACATTTGAATTCCAGATGGTACGAATAACTGTGAAATGGTATTAAAGATGTGCAGTAATTCTGATTCAAGTTCTATATCACCATTAACTACTATTTGTTTGTATACAAACAAATCAATATTACATTCACAAAGTTCAGATGTGACGATAGTGAATAAATGAAGGTTGTAATTGAAGAATGTTTCATCTATAATCAAAGGATCAGGATGAAAGAATCCTACTTCCCTAATGAAACGATTTTTATTAATTATCCGTTCAGGACGTTTTTGTCTATAATTTGCATCACTAGAACACAATGTTGGAGGTAAATTAGGTGATCGAGGAGGATTTGAATCAATGACATTCATTTTCCAATAACTTTGAGCAAGCTTGAAATTGAAAACATAGTTTCTGAAAAAGAGTATTCTACAAGAATATTTATATCCTTCATCTTTATACTCATAAAAATAATGATCTAGGACATGGAGACGTCTTCTAATATGATCAATTTCAGTAGGTGAAAGATTATTAATGGGGAAATAAGCATTCAAAATTTTATACATCATTATAAAAGATATTTTATAATCATATTTTGGTGACTTTGTTCCAAAATAAGCATAACCTTCCTTTTCGATCATTTCTTCATTCATATTATCAAGATATTCTGTTAATTTAGCTAAACCATCATGATATTTGATTGATAATGATTCATCTTTTAAAACATCAAAGAAGTTTAAACTAGGTGAATTAATATGATCTTCGAAAAAGCGGAAAAATTCATCAGTATTAATCAATTCTCTTATTGAACTCATGTTGTTTAGATGAATAAAGTAGAAGAATATAGTTTAAAATGGTATAGAATTAATTTTCAATATAAAGAAGTTTCCTTTTTTGCAGTAATGTTTTGTTATGCTAAAGAAAGTATACGGTGTATATGCAGGTTTCAGATTAGTTTTATAATTAGTTGCAAAAGTCAGCATAACAAGAGTATCAAGAGAGTTTGGTAGATCAATTGGGTATATTATTAGTAGTCATTTATGTTACCTGATAACGAAAGCTATCATTTGAAATTATGTATATGAAAATATGAGTTTATGTTAATTTTTGGGTGTAAAATTATAGAAAAGTTGATAAATTTGATCAGAATTACAAGGAAGAAATTTAAATTATGTCAATTGAATTAAAGTTTCATTGAAGAAACTTATCGTCCTGGTCAATGATTAAACGAACATTGTAGACCAAATACAAAAAGATTAAGATGGTTAAGATAAGGCAGAATCGTGAATTAATTAATTGGTAAACATAACAAAAAATGACATCAGTGGAGCATTTATCAGACCATTGACAATTTTAAAAGGAGTTTACTGTGGAGTATAACTTTTACGTAGAAGTATAGTATAGATTTTCATTATTAACAGTAGAACAAGTTAGTTTTAGGTTTATATAGAAAAGACGAGTTACGGACATTAGTGTAAAGTGGGGTGAGATAATTTTGGAGCCATTTCAAATGAAGAAGAAGAAGAAAAAAAACGGAATAATACGGAATATCCTCAATGACTCTTTTTTGACAAAATTTGAATTCACGTGCCGTTCCGTTGGACCGTAATAGTTAAGTATTTTAAATAGTTATAGTGTGATAATTAAGGTACTACAACTAAGAAGTGAAATGGTTACATATGATTTAATTAAAGGATTGTAGTGTAAGTCTTAATAGTGTAGATTAAGGTCAATCCAGTAGGACTACTGAATGAATGATACGATTATTTAAAAAGAAACTATATATTAAATATATTAAATATAGTATATAAAATTGAATCAATTCGGATTGAAGGTAAAGGAGAAGAAAGAAAGAAAGTTGCCATAGCCATCAGCCACTATACTATGAAGTCAACACTATTAACTATGTAAACTAAGTAAAACTAATGAGTTATTCATAGTACAAATTATCTGTTTTGAGTCAATTAAAAATTTTTCTGACTCAAAAACCGAAACCGAAATGGAAATGGAAATTGAAGAAATTTAAGTTGAGCTTATACTGTTGGAGAGGAGGGGTATGATTCAATTTTTCAATTTTAGCGGTTAACGGTATAATTGAACTTATACCCTTTTTTTACTTTTTATATATATCACCAACCTTCCAACAATTGTTTTTTTTGAACTTTTTAAAACCTCTTTCTTCTTCTTCCTTTCTCTTCTTTCTTTCTCTTCATTCTAGTCAATTCAATTGTATAATTCAAACCTTATAGACATCCCTAGATCAATTAGCCCTTTGTAATAATCTTCAATTTTTCAAATCCTTTTTTTTCTTGATTTTTTTTTACCTCGGATTAACTCAATTAAACTTAGATCACCAACTCAAAATGTATAAGTCAACTTCAAGATCATCAACTCTCTTGTTCAAGAGACAATTCTCCCAATTAAACAACAGATTGAACAAATGGAATGATATCCCATTAGCTCCACCTGATAAGATTTTAGGTATTTCTGAAGCTTATGTTAAAGATTCAAATTCTAATAAAATTAATTTAGGTGTTGGTGCTTATAGAGATAATGATGGTAAACCAATCATTTTCCCATCAGTTAAACAAGCTGAAAGAATATTACTTGAATTAGAAGTTGAAAAAGAATATACTGGTATTACTGGTAATAAAAATTATCAATCAGTAGTTAAGAATTTCGTATTTAATAATTCTGATAAAGATATTAATGGTAAACAATTGATTGAATCAGGTAGAATTGTTACTGCTCAAACCATTAGTGGTACTGGTTCTTTAAGAGTTATTGCTGATTTCCTTAATCGTTTCTATACTTCCAAAAAAATCTTGGTTCCAAAACCAACTTGGGCTAATCATGTGGCTGTATTTAAAGATGCTGGTTTAGATCCAGAATATTATAATTATTATGATACTACTCAAAATGATTTAGAATTCGATAGTTTAAAATCTTCTTTATTAAGTCAACCAGATGGTTCCATTGTTTTATTACATGCTTGTTGTCATAATCCAACTGGTATGGATCTTTCAAGTGCTCAACAAGATGAAGTTTTAGATTTAATTCAACAAAAAAATTTCTATCCTTTAATTGATATGGCTTATCAAGGTTTTGCTTCTGGTGATCCATATGAAGATATTGCTTTCATTCGTAAATTAAATAAAGCTGTGGTTGATGGTCAAATCCCATCTTATGCTTTATGTCAATCATTTGCTAAAAATATGGGTCTTTATGGTGAAAGAACTGGTTCAATTTCAATCATTACTGAATCAGCTGAAAAATCAGTCGCTATTGAATCTCAATTAAAGAAATTAATTCGTCCAATTTATTCATCTCCTCCAATTCATGGTTCAAAAATTGTTGAAACCATCTTTAATGAAAAATATAATTTATTATCAAGTTGGTTAGGTGATTTAAATGCTGTGGTTGGTAGATTAAATACTGTTAGAGGTGAATTATATAAAAACTTGGATAAATCAAACTATAACTGGGATCATCTTTTAAAACAAAGAGGTATGTTTGTCTTTACTGGGTTAACTTCTGAACAAGTTATTAAATTAAGAACTGATTATTCCGTTTATGCTACTGAAGATGGTAGATTCTCTATCTCTGGTATTAATGATAAAAATGTTCAATATTTAGCTGATGCCATTAATAAAGTTATCAAGAAATAGATTTAATTATATATAATGTATTAAATTTTTATTTTTTTATATTTGCTTTCTTTTCTTTCTATATAATTTTCAAAAAAAAAATACATATACACTTATACTTATCCCTATTATAATTGTCCATCAGCAATTAATCCTTCAATGGTTTCTACTAATGATACTTCATTTGGAATTGGAGTCCAATTGAAAACACTCTTAGCTTTGGAAATATCACAAGGTTTCAAAGGTTCTGATCCTTCTAATTCCTTAATTGGTAAATTCTTCTTTAAATCTTCACTTATATTTGATTTCTTTAAAATTTGAGCAGCTTCATAAAACGAAAGATTAGGTCCACTATGAGTTAAGAATCTTTCTCCATTAGCTTTTGGATTAGTTAATGATTCAAGATGTAATTTAACCACATCTTTCACATTAACCAAATGAGTCAGAGATGGGGCAATACCTTTATCCTTATATGTTCCATCGACTAAATTTTTAATTCTTAATAATGAAGTGGAATCAGTAACTTGACCCTTTAATGATGCACCAATGATTAAAGCTGGATTAATGGTAGTTAACCCGAATTTAACGTTATTAGCAGGATCTTTAACGAAATCCCAGGCGGATTTTTCAGCTAAAGTTTTCAGTTGAATATAAGGACTAAAATCGGTTTTTTCAACAATGGACCAATCCTTTTCGGAATATGGTTCTGTTCTATCATCAGGGAATCCAAATCCAATAGCAGCGAATGATGATGTAATTACCACATGTTTAACTAATGGAGATTTGGCCGCAAATTTTAAAATTCTTAATGTACCTTCTACAGCTGGTTTAATTAAAACTTGAGGATCAGAAGGTTTAGAAGATGGGAATGGAGAAGCAACATGTAAAACATAAGTGACATCTTTAAAAGCTTCTTCCCATCCTTTATCATCTAATAAATCAGCTTGTAAAACCGTTAAATTTTCATCCACAATAGCTTTGGTTAATTTTGGTGATGATTCATATAAGGATTCACGGAATTGACTTTCTTTACCAAGATTACGAATAGTGGTTTTAACTTTATGACCTTGTTCTAATAATTCTAACACAGTAAAGGCACCCACGTACCCTGTACCACCAGTAACTAAATAAATTTCGGACATTGTTTAATATTTCTTAAAAATTATAAGAATGAAAAATAGTTACCACAGAGGTCAATTGCTGAGATGAAAACTTACAAAGGAGAATCAATTGAGTTTAAATAGTAATTACAATAAACGTCAATTATATTACTAATCAAAACTGTGGTAATTAACATCCCTTATTAGGTATTATCTAAACACGTACAATTTTGTTACTCCACTAATTTTTCAAAATTACGGGGGACAGCACTGACAAGGATCAAGAAACGAGTTCAGTTCTCACTAACCACTGCCTTTTTTTAGGGGAGTTTTTTGGGGGATACTTCGAATATGTGGCCCTAAACTTTCAACTTTATTTTTCTTGATTATATGTGGAGGAGCTATCAATATAAAGGGTTGGGTAAATAGCCCTTCCCCACCTTGTGCTATGGTGTCAATATACCAAGACAATTACAGATAAACCTACAATTACACAATGATATAATAAATCACACACGTTATACTAAACAGTCTAATTAAGAGATCTAATATTATCAATCGTAACTTTAAGACTTTCTTCTACTGGAATTGGAGTCCAATTAAATACAGATTTAGCCTTTTCATTACTTGCTACTTTAGGGAAATCCTTAGGTTTGGATTCATCTTCTTTGGAAGGTAATTTTTCAAGTAATTCCTTATCATGAGGATATATTTTTCTAATGATTTCTGAAATTTCAAATAATGAATATGAGATACCCGTATTAAGAATAAATCTTTGATTATTGGCTTTAGGATTAGTTAATGCTTCAATATGAATCTTGGCAACATCTCTCACATCAATCACACTAACATATCTACTTGGCACTCCTGTTGTGGCGTATGTACCATCAATCAACGATTTGAAAACAGAAAGGGAAGCGGAAAATGAAGTACTACTAGTTAAAGTAGGTCCATAGATTAAATTAGGGTTAATAGTGGTTAAGCCGAATTTAACATTATTCTTTGGATCTTTGATAAATTCCCAAGCTGATTTTTCAGCTAATGTTTTCGAAACTTGATAAGGTCTAAGGGTCTTTTCAGTTTGTTCATTAACAATAGTCCAATCTTCTTCTGTAAATGGTTCTGATTTAACTTCAGAAAGTCCATATCCAATAGCAGCGAATGATGAAGTAATAACCACATGCTTGACTGAAGGAGCTTTATTTGCGAATTGTAATACTCTAAGTGTTCCCTTTGTAGCAGGGATCACAAATTCATCTAATGTACTTCCCTCAGTCGTTAATGGTGAAGCAAGATGAAGGATATATTTCACATCATCAAATTGAGATTGATGCCAATCTTCATCATTTGCTAAATCTCCTTTAAAGATAATTAAATTAGAATCAATGATTGATTGAGTTAATTTTGAACTTGACAAGAGAAATGATTGTTTTAATTGATCTGCTTTTGAAATGGTTCTAATTGATGTTTTAACAATGTGGCCTTGTTCTAATAATTGTAAGATCACAAATGAGGCAATGTGACCAGTACCACCAGTAACTAAATAAATATCCTTTGTCATGACTAGATAGTGTAATTGAAGTTATATAAGATGTGAAAGAGTAATTGATAAATTGAAGAAATAGTGGCTACTTTTATATATTAATTGACGATTAAGGGAGATTTTTCAATTGTGGAGTCAATGACGGCTAAATTATTTTGCAGACCGGGGGGAGAATTTACATTAAGGAGAAAGAGTAGGGAGAGTGAAAAATTGTTTTGTAAGCGAGGGTAATAATGCCGGTTGTAGTGAATGAAATAGAGTTTGACATTATAACCGCAAAGTAGTTTACACATTCGAATGCAAAAATTGAGTTACTTATTTTTTTTGATTTCTCTACACTTTAATATCATATGACTTCTTAATTCAATTATCAAGATCTACTTGCAATGGCAACCAACTTTGATACCATATTCGTAAGAGCCACATTTAAAACTATAATGCAAAATAATAAAGACAAACTTATATACGGAATGGATGAGGATAGATCGACCAAAGATAATTCCCCAAAGAACAAGTACTAATATCCATCATATGATACATTTAAAGCTTGGAGATTATCAATATATTCAGTGGAATTCTTAAATTTATTGATAGCAAAGAGAACCTTACCTTTCTCTTCTGGAGTCATTCGCATGATCTTGAATATGGAATGAAGTCGATCTCGATCCTCTTCAGTAACATTTTGAAGATAACTTAAAATGTGTCTGTAAACCACTAAAGCAGGACTACATTCTGTATATCTAAGACATTGAATATTGCATTTTAAATTGGCTAATCTCATTTGAGTCAATTCATCAACTTCTAATTCAGGGATTTCTCTATTAAACAATTTTATAATCATAATAGATTCTTTATCGAAAAGAAACCCGATCGATGAACGATACTGCAACATTTGATAAATATATTGATTTGTAATTTGTGAAAAATCCGAATTTCTTTTATTGAAAGCTTCAAATAAACCGATAAACTTCATATCAACAGGAATGCTAAAAACCGAGTCTCGAACTCTAGCCCGAATACAGTAATCAGGATTCAAGATCTTGTCATCCTGAGCAAACATTTCGGCCCGGAAACTAGAATTTACTAAATCGATGACTGGATATAGGATACCATTTACCACATTGTAACTAAGCGCTTTATCAAAACGAATCAAATCAAGCGTTGGAGTAGGTGGAAAGATTCTCATTATGCGATGTAGCCTTACAGATTCTGTGTATTCGTTATTTTCGTCCACTACGATAGGTTTTAAATAACGATAGGATTCAATAAATCCATTGGCTATTGCATAGGCAGGGATACGATTTGAATCAAAAATCGATGGATTAACCGTAATGTAATTTTGAATATTTCCCCTCTGTGATAGTTCAGATTCTTGTTGTTTGTTGGAATCTATTTGATGAACTTGATGTGGGAAAGGAAGAACAAATAGTTGAGAATAAATAAAAATATTACCCACTTTTCTAACAAGACGATTGATGTCATTAGCTCCCTCAAAATATTCTCTTGCCAAATCCATTATATAAGTTTTGATAAAATCCATGGGGTCGAAAGGTGGTTCGAAATCCACTATATGATATGTTCTAACTCCTCTCAAGTCATCCGTATTGCCAACATAGTCATGGAAATAATGCAAGCGGAGAGCTATTTCCTCCCGGAAAAGTCTAACGTGTTTTCTAGGTTCCAGTTCAGTTATAAAATCAACTTCTCTCTGTAAACGCAGTTCTTTAAATTCTCGAGGTGTATCAAATTTCAAATAATCATGATTTCTATCTTGGATAAAAGTCTGAAGTATATCTAAACTCTTTCTTATAAGGGTATCATCAATATTGAATTGAAAAATTAGATCATACATAGTTGATATTTTACTTATACTGAACTTTTGGCAGCGTACTAAAATTTAAATTAAGAGTTAGACACGTAATTATTAGCTTAGCCGAATAAATCATAAAGAGGTGTGTTACTTCTACTGGTAAGCACAATGATTTAAACTGAGATATTTTAATTCCTAGGTAAAGTCATGCTAAGTATAGTTATGCAACATATTTCTTTAGCAGCTAAAAAAAAGTCAAAAAAAGAAACTCCAAAAAAAGAATAAGGAAAGAAGATGCTAAATAAAAAAGATCCATGAAATACGAGTATAAACGTCATAACAGATAATATCGGAAGCTATATCCATAGAATGGATGAAACTTGTCTTAAATAGGACTGTTTAAAGCCATATTTGTAAATAGAACGACGCGTAAAAATATTTCAGTAGCCGTTTGATATTAGGCACGACTCGATATGAATTAATTAAATTGGGATGATGATGATGGTATTGTACATTATAAATAACACAATAAGAGTTTAGAAAGGATAAGTATAAGAGAGAAAGATATGATGAGAGGGTCAATAGAACAAGAAGGATAAAGGTAAGGGACCTATTAATATTAAGGTGTTGTCAATGAGAATCCTTGGTTGACAAGTTCACCAGACAATGGTTTGATCTTAAGATCTACCAATTACTCCACGACTAGTAAATATGATAATAGAATTAGTATATCAAACCCACACGGTCAACAATGCTATTGTAGCTATTATGTTTATAGTGGTGTTATTTGAAATTACGTACATCCCATTCATAACAATAGTTTCAATTCATAAACAATAACAAGGTTTTATGGTTTTTCAAAATTGGGTTTTCAAGTTTTTTTGCAAAAAGCGCGTTCTAGTGAGCATCCTCCACTAAACAAGTTTTAAAGTTAGTGAGACATCATTATTGAAGTCTACTGGTCTATTCTATCAGTATATCAAATTGGTTATGATTCATCTTGTCTCGAACTCCACAAGATGGATTTGAACTTATATATATACGATTAACAATATAAAAAAAGAGACCGCTGACACCTTAAAAATGAAGTCATAATAATTAAACATTGATGGTAAATTTAGCATTTTTAGTTATCTATTAATCCTCCCTAATTACCGTAAACAATTTAAGCAGAATGTCACCACCAGCCAACTATTTTTATTCTCTCTCCCCAAAAATAAAAAATAATTTATAAAACATAAATAAAAAACTTTTTGGTTTTGTGAACGCAACCATCAAATCCATAAACAACACAACATTTCATCATCTCTTTGGAAAACTTTTTCTAGTTTCAATCTATCTTCTATCACTTCATCAGTATTGTATAAGAATCACCAATCATACTATCCTAGAGGTTAGATTCTTTAACTTACTAACATTCTTTCATCATCCCCCCCGCCCCTTACTAAGACAAAATCGCCTCCTAGGCCTAATTCCAATTTAAAACTGATCTCGATCCAGAAAAAAGGGGTACCCGTCGTTTGACATTTTATTATACATACTTTACACGATCCATTCATTTAAAAGGACAGACAAGAAATCTTATAATTTGATTGATTGATTAAAATAGACATTATGAATCCATACGAAATCAAGAATCATCTAGCGTATGGTAGTGATCCTACCTTATCTTCAACTGTGTCATCACCAGCAACAGCAACTACAACAACAACGCGACCACTGCAATCACCTCCCATTATATCATCAAATCAAGACCCTACATCATCAAGTTCTTCATTGGAGAATACAAATCGTTTATTATCTGATTTAGAACGAAAATTATCCATCATTTCTTCAACTTCTTCAAATCAAACCCAACAATCTCAAGCATCTTCCGTCATTGTAAATAAACTGTTATCAGGTATAGGTAAACAAAACATTCAATCAGCTGTATTACAATATATTAAAAATACTGATAATGATACCAATAATCATAATAATAGCTCCCTGGATAATTTCTTTAATCCAAATGAATTATATCAAGAACGTCAAGTTAAATTAGTTACTAAATTTGGTAACTATTATAATGATGATAAACAACAACGGAAAATAAATCAGACTAATACTAGTAATAGGGGTAAACTCGATGATTTTAATGATATTGAAAGTCAAGCTTCAACTATAGATCAAGAAAAGGAATTAAATCTTCATGGTAATAATAATAATAACAATAATAATAACAGCATCCACACGAATAGTACAACCAGTCCTAACACTGAGAGTGATAATGACCACAATGATGAAGTCATTCTTTCAACTCCAAATTTGCATACTGTCGACACTAGCATAGAAGGTGTTAATGTCGATGATCCTATTGGTATAGATACCGAAGAATCAATTGAAATAAATCATCCTAAAACACTTACAGCTGAGAATGAAAACCTTAATGATATAATAGATGAACCAGTACAACAGAAACAATATGGAATATTCTTTCGAGATGAAGTCGATGATCATCGTCATGATATTCACGTTGATGAAGATGATGAAGATGAAGAATATGAAGAACTTTTATTACCCCCTTCACCTCCTAGATCACCTCCACGAGATATGGATCCTAGTAAGTTATATGGATTATATGATTTTTCTGGTCCTGATCCTTCCCATTTAACTTTAAGTCGCGATGAACCCGTTTATTTAATTAATGATACTGATAATTATTGGTGGTTAGTACGTAAAATGAATACAGAAGAACGTATCAAATATGAAAGACTCAAGAACTTAACTGATGATGAAGATGAAGATTATAATAAAGAAAATGAAGATGGGAAAATTGGGTTTGTTCCAGCTGAATGTCTTGAAACTTATGGTGAAAGATTAGCCAGATTAAATTGTTTCAAAAACGAAGAGTTAGAAAAATCTTCTAAAGATAATTTACTGGATTTAACCGTTAATAATCTCACTAATAATGATAGTACCAGTTCATATGGTCTTGGTATAATTAATGAATCAGGATTCTTCCAATCAGATGATAGTTTATCAAGAAATAATAATAGTTCAAGTGGTATCCTTTCCAGAGGTAATAGTTTATTAAAGAGAAGTGGTTCTAAAAAGAGTAATAAATCTGTTACATTTGAAAATCTTGCTGATTTAGCATTAGATGAAGAAGATGACGACGATGGTGAAGACGATAATGATAAGAGTAAAGACAGTAATGAAATAGAAGGAGACATTTTAACTAATAACGATGAAGATTTAATAAGAGAGGAAAAGAAAAAAGCGGGATTTGATATTGATAATTATTATGATATCCCTCATAGTGAAATCAATAAGAATTTGAATGATGATCTTCTTGCTCCTCATATTAATGACGATGAAAAACGATCTGAAGTTTTAAGTGATGTGTATCCTACTGAAACTCCATTGATTATAAATAAAAATTCTAAGAAAACATCTCCTACCATAATATCATCATTAACTTCCACCACTGAAAAGACAATCAATCAATCACAACAAACACAACCATTGCTTAATTTAATGCAACCTCCTTCTAAAACGAACAATCAAGCCATCAATCCATATGATACAATTTCAATTGGTTCATTTTCTCCAGATACACCTCCAATAGGCTTTTTAAGATCAAATGATTCTCCATCTCATCAATTAACTACACCAGTAGATGATAAGTTTGATGCAATTGGTATGGAAAGTATTAGTGCAGGAAGAGGTGGTCATGCGATTGACGAAGGATATGTTTCCCCTAATTTGAATTTATTAAGACGTTCAGTGATTTTAGATCGTTTGACTAAAGTTACATCTGATATTCAAGATAGTTTGGATGAATTTGATATTGATGATCTTGAAGATGAACAAAGTCCAATTAAAGAAATATCTACGAAAGAATTATTACCACCAACACCACCAGTACCTACACCACAAGCCAATGATTCTTTGGTTAATAAAGTGATTGCTTCTAGAATCTCATCAACATCTTCTACTGTATCAGCTGCAGAACATACTGAAGAATCAATCGAGCATGATAAAGAGGTAAAAGTTTATCATTCTACCCCTGAACCAGAAACTAGTTTCCATACTCCTCAAGAAGTAGAAGCAACATTATCAGAGCATAATATTAGTAATAATTATCCGACAATATTAGTATCCACTGATAAGGAGATCGTTCCTGAAGCAGGAGAAATTATTGATAGACAACGTGATGAAGATGAAGATGATGAATTCGAAGAAGATGAAACCAACGATCAAGATGATGTAGGTCAAAGAGAGCATGAAGATATAACACCATTAACAAGCATGAATTCATTGAATTACGGAATTTCAAACATCCTATCTAACACTCCAAATAAATTATCCTCAACATTAACACCAACTAATACTACAACTACAAACAATACTTCTTCAGAAACACCAGTGTCTACAGACCAAATTACAAGTCCAATAACTAGAAACATTCCCTCTTTAACAACTACAACTAAAACTAATGTGGCTGATAAAAGAAAATCAAGACCAGTTCATGATATGTTTATGCCCATCTTAGGTAAATTTGATGAATTGGCTGAAAAATTGGCCGAATTAGAAGACCTTCTTTAACATCAGCCAGACTGACGGTATTAAATTAAAAAGTATATAATGTTCAAATATACATGCATCGATAGAATAACAACCTAAGTAATTATAAATTGTAAATAACAACGTGAGAGAAAACACGTCCTATAAATCCTTATATAGATTAACTAAACCTCATACGCATTTCACTATACACATTCCTTTTGTGATGAGAGCACAAAACTGAAAAAAAAAATTTAAATTTTACCAAAAAAAAAAAGAACAATATTTAAAGAACAACCATCGAAACGTATCGATATCTACCATTTACAGCCTATAGCTAGTGAGACGTTCACAGACTAACTGATAGATAGATAGAAAGATTGGCATTCAGTTATCGTGGGCTATTTTCGTACTATAATCTTAGAAAGTGTGTGTGTCCATTCCATCTGAATACAAGTTCATCATAGACCCATCAGATAGATCAAGATATATACCTTATCAATCACAGCTTCAATTGATCTAGTTTTAACTAAGAACTAGCACATACTACATATAGTGAACTGAATATATTGAACTGTTCTTAGTATAATGTCTTGGTCTGCTGATCCTCAGGCATTAGATCAATTACGACAAATTTTTAAAGCAACCTTATCAAGTAATAACCAAGAACGAAATCTTGCCAATGATGCATTACGTCAAGCTAAGCAACAACCTGAGATTGAGAACTATTTATTAAGTCTTTTAGTGCTTGATGATAACTCTACTCGTTCAGATGTTAGAGCTGCTGCTGGTGTCAATCTTAAAAATAGCATATTACGTCAACTGCAAGGAAATGCTCTTCCTGATAGACAATTTATAAAGGAGAATGTCATTAAAGGATTAATTTCCCCTGATCAAATGGTTAGAAATATCACTGGTAATGTTATAACCTCATTATTTTCAATTTATGGTTTACAAGGTTGGCCCCAAGCCTTACCTCAATTAATTGAATTAGCAAAAGGAGAATCATCACCTCGATTCATTCCTGAAATTGCATCCATGAGTGCTTTAAGTAAGATCTGTGAAGATAGTTATTTATCATTAGATATTGAATTTAATGGTGAAAGACCGCTTAATTATATGATTCAAAATTTCTTAACTTTAATGATTCATCCTCATAGTGGACAAATTAGAGCATTAGCTATTCAATGTATTACACAATTCATTTCCTTGAAATCACAATCATTTTTAATTCATTTAGATGTATTTTTATCCAATTTATTTCAATTAGCATCTGATTCCAATGAAAAAGTTCGTAAGAATATATGTGCTGCATTTTCTCATGTTTTAGAAACAAGACCAGATAAATTGATGCCTCATTTAGATGGTATTATAGATTATTGTTTACATTTGATGAAAGATAAAGATGAAGATGTGGCATTAGAAGCTTGTGAGTTTTTATTAGTCTTATCAGCTTCATCTGAAATTGAAAATAATAGATCTGGTTTTGCTCCAAAATTAAAATTAATAGTACCTGTTGTATTGGAAAAAATGGTTTATTCAGAAGAAGAAATCTTTTATATTAAACTTCAAGATGAAAAAGATAATGCTGAAATAGCTGATAAAGATGAAGATATCAAACCACAAAATGCCAAATCTAAAGAAATTCAATCATCAAATGGTACCAAAAAGAAACAACAAGCTCATGATTCAGATGATTCAGATGATGATGACGATGACGACGAGGATGATGACGACGAGTTAATGCAATGGAGTTTAAGAAAATGTTCAGCATCAACTCTTGAAGTGTTGTCAAGTAATTTACCTGCTGAAGTTTTGGACATCAGTTTACCTATTTTACAAGAAAATATAGTTTCTAATGAATGGCAAATAAGAGAAGCTGCCATTCTTGCATTTGGAGCCATGAGTCTGAGTTGTATGGAATTATCAAGAGACAAACTTCCATCATTAGTTCCTTTCTTAGTTGACAGATTACAAGATGATGAAGCTAGAGTAAGGCAAATTACTTGTTGGACTTTATCTACTTACTCAACCTGGATTGCGGATGAAGCTCATGCTGGAGGTGATTACGCCAATTATTATCAACCTACTTTCCAATCAATCGTGACTTGTTCATTAGATAGAAAGAAAGTAGTCCAAGAAGCTGCTTGTTCAGCCTTATCATCATTTATAGAACAATCTGATATTTCCTTGATTCAATTTTACATCGGTCCATTATTAGAACATTTTGGTAAATGTTTCCAAACCTATCAACGTAAGAATTTAACTATCTTATATGATTGTGTTCAAACCTTGGTTGAAAAAGCAGGGTATGAAAATTTATCATCAGATCCTGAATTAATTAATAAATTATTACCCCCATTATTAGAAAAATGGCATAGTTTAACTGATGAAGATAATGATTTATGGCCATTATTAGAGTGTATGGCAGCAGTAGCAGCCACCTTACGAGAATTATTTGCTCCTTATGCGGTTCCAGTATATGAAAGAGCTATTAATATTCTTTCAAATTGTATTCAAATTGAAATGCAAACTCAAACTGATCCATCTATAGATGTTCCGGAAAAGAATTTTGTCGTTACATCATTAGATTTAATCGATGGATTAATTCAAGGGTTTGGAAGTCATTCCGTTGATTTAATTCAACAAAATCGAGCAAATTTAATGGAATTATTATTACTTTGTTTTGAAGATAAATATACTGATGTTAGACAATCTGCATATGCATTATTAGGTGATATTGGAATCTATGCTGTTGATATTGCCAAACCTCATTTATCATCCATATTCATAAGTATTGGTAATGAAGTTAATAATAGATCATATAGTACCATTGCTGTCTATCATAATGCTATATGGGCATTAGGTGAATTTGTATTAAGATTGAATTATAATGAAATGAAAGATTATTTACCTAATTTAGTTGATTTAATTATTCCAGTTTTACTAGGATCTGATATGCAACAAGCTGTATTAGAAACTGCTGCTGTTTGTCTTGGTAGAATGGGTATAAATGGAGGAGCACAAGTTCTTGCACCAAGATTATCAGAATTCATTGCTGAATGGTGTTCTCATATGATTTATTTTTCAGAAAATGAAGAAAAATCAACTAGTTTCCAAGGTATGTTAAATATTATCAATGCTAATCCAGATCAAGGGTTTGGAGGATTATCAACTAAACAAGGTAAAAAGAATTTATCATTATTTATAACTTGTATTGGGAATTATATGGAGCCACCTGAAGAATTACAAAATACATTTCATCAATTCTTAGCTAGTTATAAATCATTAATTGGAGCTGAAATATGGCAATCACAAGTTTTATCATCGATTGATCAAGAAACTTTACAACAATTGTCTCATTATGGAATATAGAAAAGAGCTATAACCAAAATAAAGAAAGTTTTTTATTTCCTGTATTTATTATTATATATAGATTAAGTAGTTTAGTACATAATTGTCATTCATTAATTTTTATTATCATCATCGTTATCTTCATCATTAGTGTATAAGACTTCATTGACTAGAGTAATTGGTAAATCCCAAACTCCACTAGGTGCCTTATGAATGTAATCTATAGAGGCATCAATACTAGCAGATGGGTCTAAACCTTTAGATAGACCTGGAGTGGTAGAGTAGTCATCAACAAAGTTTCTTATATCATCCAAGGGTAATGTTTTAACCTCAGTAATATACAATGCAAGGAATATGTACATGAATAACATTGACATCAATGAATAAGCTGGTATAGCCAAAGACCAATATTTATCAGGATAATAATAGATTGATAATTGATTCTGTAACACCAGTTCAGGAAGGATAGTCCATGCAATATAACAGCCTAACCCAATAGCAGTTAGGACGTATACGAAAAACCCTTTATATTCTGGATTCAGGGTTATATTGGTAGATGAAACTATAACATCTGATTCACGAGCTAAAGTATCGATTTCTTCTTCTCCTCCTACTGGTGTAGGTGGTTTACTTCCTCCAAAGCTAGACCGAGTTGGAGAAAGAGTAGATAGTATGTTTAAGTGTAGGGATGACATGTCATATAGGGATCATCACACCATGGAATGGTCGTTGTTCGATGGAATACTGATAAACTACGCTTAATACCACTTTTCAATTTTGGTTACAGTTACAATTTTTCGTTTTGTTCCACGCATACAAAATAAATGATAATGAAATTTTTATTAAGATTTTATATATAAAGACAACGGAATAATCTAAATGTACATGCAAATGAATCCAAAGTCAAGCTTTGAAGACATTATAAACTTGAAATATAATATAGCAAGCATGATATTCTGATTTTTTAACCAAAGTATCTTTCTTTTTCCCCGTTTTGTCTTTTTAAAATGAGTTAATTAGACTAATTGCTTTCTAGAACCTCTAAAGAATAATTGAACAATGGTGATTTGTAAGAAAGCCATTCCAACCATTAATAAGACTTCAAAGATGGAGAAGTAATAGATTCTGGTTTCAGTAGATTTAACAGTTGCTTGATTTCTATTATTTCTAGTTTTATAATATTGTAAGGTTCTTAAAAGATCATCTAATTGACGATCAATCTTTTCCACGGTATTTTGCATATTTTCAACATGAGCAATTGGTTTAGTATTTGGTTGCTCAGGCATAGTAGCTTTGAACCCTTTAGAATCATCATCATTTTCAAATTTAATTTCAAAATCAACTACTTTTTCAGCAAAAGTAGACATACCATTAGAGAAACAGAATTCATATTCTCCAACTTCTTGAGCATTGAAAACAAAATCACCTTGTCTTTGTTTATCTTCAGATACAACGATATCACCCTTAGGATTCTTAATAGCATAATCAACATCAAATGAACCTCCACTTTGAACAGCAAAATAATAACTTATTTGAGTATCTCTCTTTTCAGTGAAAATGTAGTAACATGATTTCTCTTGTGCACCTAATATAAAAGTGAAAGCGGAACCAGCAATCAATTGTGAAAGGGCAAGAATCGACAATACAACTTGGAAAAGCATCATGATGGACAGTTGTACCTATCTATAAACTAATTGAATCAAAGTCAACGACGAAAACTTTCAAATCACTGCTAAACAAAACAACAAAAAAAAAAAATCACACTGAAAGAGCGTCGCTCCAGACGTGTCAACACGAATTTTTTTTGGGAGTCGTGTGGAATTGGCAAAAAACTTTAAATTACAGTTATAAGGTGTTATACTATGAATGATGATGAATGAATGTACATTAAATATGATGATGACGGGGTTATAACTATTTACATGATTAAGTTAGATTAAATATATACCATACGACCTTCTGAATCGAAACCAACTCCTCTGTTTTTCTTGGTATCTCTTCTAGAAGCACCATAACGGAAACCAACGTTTCCAACTTTTGAAGTAGTGAATTTGAATTGAACTCTATCACCTTCCTTTTGAGTTCCAACCACAACTTCTTGTTTAATAGAATTAGCTTGATCTTCAGCAGTTTCTACATTGGATAAGTTGGATAAAGTATCACTGGCAACTGGTAATTCCAATAATTCAGCTGCTTCAATTGGACCAAAAGGTTCTGATTCAGCAATAGTTAAAAATCTTTGCGTTAAAGTCTTATGAGGAGTTGGAATTTCAGTTAAATTATCACTTCCAACTGGTGGTTGATATAATGGAAACATTTTATACATGACTTCGGAATAATTGGTTAAATCTTCATTTAATTTACCCTAAAAAGTTCAATGTTAGTAAATGATGTTATTTTTTTCATCAAAATATTTTATAAAGTCAATTGAAATATTCAAATTAGATTTAATTTCAGCGCTTTGAGTTGTAACCTTGTATTTTGTCTTAAAGACTAATCATTAAATGCAATCTCATCATGTTAAATCTAATTTGATTTTCATCAACTATTGAAATAATAATTAATACATACTTCTTGTTCCCAATTTTTTTCTATATCATGTAATTTAAGTAATCCTTCAATTCTAGCAATTTTAATACCATATTTATGAGCTACTTCTTGAACATGAAGTCCATTCTTACTAACTTCTTCCACAATCTTCCCCTTTAAGTCATGAGGAAGTATATTTGAAGTTTTACAATATATATTTTGAGGAAATGGATGTAAAGTTGGATCTCTATTAAATGCTTGAGCTCCCATTGGTATAGATGATCCAACACTTTCTTTACCCACTATAGTATTACCATCAGGGACAATATAATTTGGTCTATGATTTTGAGGAGGATAATAATATTTATTTCTATAATATTCACCTCTAATATTCTTTGGTCCTAACCATTCTTTAATAGCTCTTTGAAAGAAACTTGAATGATCTTTTTTATTGAATGATTGTTTGGGGATTTTATGAGTATATTGTGGATAGGCCAATTTTCTTTTATAACGGACCTGCTGTATACTCGTGCTGGCCACTCGAGGTATACTGAAACTAGTCTTACTAGATATCATCATTAGTAGTTGTAAGTCCAATTGGGATAAGACAAGTTTGACATCTGGTTCATAATTTTTCATTCCATTTTTGTATGTCCATTGAAATTTTTTTTTTCGTTTGGTAAAAAATGTCTCTCAAAATTTAATGTCGTGTGGATCCAAAAAAAAAATTATATCGTGACATTTTCAAAAAAAGTTATAGTTATTGAAGGATGAGTTTATGGTTTATTTTAATATGTAAGTATAGTTATATATAATTTAAATCGAGTAGTATGATAGAAGGTAAACTGATGATACAATTGAAGAATGGTTAAACTATGTTTTCTATCCATTGAAAGGTGATTTAACATATTATTATTGTCTTATATAAGCAAAACCTTAACTACTAGTGCTTAAACTAATATCTCATGAAGTTAGACTACTACCCATTTGAGCTACTTACCATTATCATCCATTCTAACCACCATTACCACACTTAAGTAGAAGGTTGCAAAATATTACAGCTTTTTAACCAGATTCTTTTTCTGGTAAACAAAACAACGAAAAAACGCGAACTGCATATAACTCAGTGTTTACAAATTTAACGAAGGGGACAAAAAAATGGCTGTAAGTAAATCATGAAATTACAGCCAAACGTCAAACAATCGATTTCAACCATATAGAAGATAGAATTGACTGGTATCTAGGTATCGGGAAGCAAGATGGACTTGATGAAATTGTTAGATGATAAACCATCGCCTCAGAAAGATCCTTTACTTCTGTTACAAACCAATAGTTTTATGATCAAGAAAAGAAAAATATCAAGTGATGATCCATTCAATGAAAGACAAAGCTCAGAAAGAAGAGTTAAAGTGATATCGAAATCACCATTTGAAGCTGATTTGGGTGCTTCTCCTTATATACGGAATCAAAACTTAGCCAGAACCATTTCCCATAATCATAGTAATAATAGTCATAATAATAATAATAATCATAATAATAATAATTTCAGTAATAACGCGGTGGTATCTAGTGATATTGATTTTAAAGCTGCTAATAGAACCACCATAGTTGAATTAGATCATAGCGATCAACAGAAACAAGAAAGTGGAAGTGGTGGTATAGGAGACATTATAGAGGAAGATCCATTATATGAAGATGATGAAGTATCTTTAGAAGTATTGGAAGAAATGCATAAATTAGAAGAGAATTTCCCTATTTTATCAACTGAATTCAGATTGATTGATAAAATTGGAGAAGGAACCTTTTCAACGGTATATAAAGCAGAAGTATTAAGTGGTTATGTTAAATTAGGGTCAGAAATGTGGAAATCTCCTCCATTAAAAAAATCAAATAGATCAGTACCGGCAAAGAAAAAGAATCCTATAGTAGCATTAAAACAAATTTATGTCACATCTTCACCTAATAGAATCCATAATGAATTAAGTTTATTATATACTTTAACTGGTAATTCTCATGTTGCTCCTTTATTGGACGTGTTAAGATTTCAAGATCAAGTATTAGCTATATTACCATTTTATCAACATGCTGATTTTAGAGATTTTTATCGAGATTTACCCATTAAAGGAATAAAGAAATATTTAAAGGAACTCTTTGAAGCCTTAGATTATGTTCATGATAAAGGGGTATTACATAGAGATTTAAAACCTACCAACTTTTTATATGATCCTTTTAAAGGTAAAGGAGTATTAGTTGATTTCGGTTTAGCTGAAAGAATGCCTACTTATGGTAATGGTAAAGCATCAGTAACTACCACCAATGGTTGTCCATGTCTTAACAAAGACAAAATAATGATTAATAGAACCCATACAAAAAGATTAAATATCAAAGGAGCATATCCTAAAACAGATGGTAGACCTCCTAGAAGAGCCAATAGAGCAGGAACCAGAGGTTTCAGAGCACCAGAAGTATTGTTTAAATGTACTAATCAAACTACAAAGATAGATATATGGTCTGCAGGAGTGATTGGATTTTCATTATTATCAAGAAAATTCCCACTTTTTAATTCTCCTGATGATACAGATGCATTATTAGAATTAGCCCTTATATTTGGATTAGAGAAATTACAAAAATGTGCTGAACTTCATGGATGTGGATTAGAAGTTAATCTCAATAATGCTATTGCTTCAAATGGGAACTTGATTAAAGTATTACATAGTTTATTAAGTTATGAAATTGATAATGAATGTTTCCCTCCTGATAGTGTGGCATATGATACTATGAAATTATTTAGTTCTCAAGGTGATATATTTGTTAAACCAAGTTTCGATGAAGAAGAATCAGGAGATTCATTTAAAAAGAATATTGAAGATTATAGAGATCATAAACAAATGATGGAATTATTAAGTGGATGTTTTAAAATGGATCCTACCAAACGATTATCAGCTAAATCTGCCTTAAAATTACCATTCTTCCAAGAGTTAACTATATCACAAGATGATGAAGTACTTCTTTAAAAAAACTAATTTACATGCATTAAATAAATTAAATAAATAAATAGATATATATATATACGTATTTATAGATATATATATATATAAATGGTAAAAATATCAAACGTCATAATCGTCATAATCGTCGTAATTATTATCGTCATCAGTATCAAACAGATCTCTTGATCTTTTTCTAGCGGCTGATGTATGAGTACTGACTTCATTAGTAGGTGTGGTGGGGCTTCCTTTGCCCAGTTTATCATCTTTATCCTTATGATCGAAATGGACCCCTTTATTCCATTTTCGATTCAATTTATGAATTAATTTATTCTGTTCCTTTAAAGTTTTCATTATTGGTTCGTCAGATATAGCATCTACCGATATGCTATCATTATTATTATTGTTATTGTTGTTGCTGGTGTTGTTATTGCTATTTACAAATTTTGTTTCGATGCTTTTTAATGAGGTGGATATACTTGCATTTGGATTGGTATTAGTTAATTCGAATTGTAAGTCTTTAGAATAGATCGATTTCTTCTTTAATATTGAATGTTGAATCAAACTACTTGATTTCTTCTTCTTAGCTGTTAAACTTTCATTACTAATTTTTTCTAATGATAATGGTGATGGAGTTATATCTTGTAAATTTCGAAGTGCAGTACTTAAATTAGCAAGAGTTACTGAAGAAGTTGGACTTGAACTTTGATATCCATTATTGGTGGAAGGAGATGATGGAGTTGTTGGTACTCTATTTGATTGAGTGAAATCATCATATTTAAACTTGAAATCCTTTTTAAGATTGACCATTTGTTCTGAATTTTTCTTTAATTTAAATACTGGTTTAAGAATTGATCTTGCTGCTAAAGCAGGAGCAATCGGAGTTGAAATTTCAAATTCCAGATCATCATCAGATAGGATGGCACTAGTATTGATCATAGTTCTTACTTTTGGTGAATCATTAATCGAAGTGGAAGCATGATGATGAAGTTGAGAAAGTGTGGTGGGGTTATTTATGAAGGCTGTGGGTTGTTGAGCATTTAGTGAGGCTAAACTGGTAGTACTATTATTTCGAGTTGGTCGTATAAGATTTTCATCTATAGATACTATGGAGTTCCGAGGACTTTCTAGACTTATGATCGATAAGCTTCGTACTGTGGTTGAAGTATTATTTATAATGGGATGAACGGTAGATGTATTTGATATCCCAGACGCATTAATGATAGAATGATTGGAAGTAATTGAATTCATCGATGAAGACCGTTGTTTAGTGGATGTCACGATGCTAGGTTTTATAAGATGGGGAGTACCAGAACTAGAAGTATCTGATCCTCCTCCAGCATTATACTGAAGTTGTTCACTAAAGTATGATGATGAAGATGAAGATGCCATCTTGTGGGACATGGCTATATTTAGAAATTAAGAATTATTTTCCCACACAACAAGCCTCTTGATAATGATATGAAAAATAAGCTTAGTTGGAAAGGAATAATCTAGGATGAACCAAAGATCGAGTGAATGAACGTTACTTAAGCTTCTACTACCACTAACTAGCTTCAAATAAAGATGACAGAGAATTCTGATAACGATAAAATTAAGAAAAATGGGTTATAATATTTTAATTATGTAGCCAGTAATCAAGAAAAAAAAAAATTCGCTTTTTTTGCGTGATGAGAAGTGCTACGCTACGCTACCCTAATTAGTGACAAGAAAATTCCGCTAACATTGGATTGTTTTAATGATCTATTTATCAGCTTATATGTGGTTAATTGGGGTGGTGTGGCGTCTTGTGTCGTTTGATACTGACAGTGTTAATGGATGCTAAATCTAGGGGGCAAATATGGTTTTGATCTCTCTATCTTTTGTGATTGCCAACGATAAATGGTTGCATAACACTCACACACACATCGCGTAAAAAAAGTTATGAGGGCAACTTAAGCGAAGACTATTTTTAGCTGCTAAATTGAATTGAAGGGTTATATATTTACACTAATTTAATCTGGATTAGGTTGGGATTTGTTATGCTCGTATATTTGTGCTAGAGTAAGAGATAAACAAGTTACAATGGTAGTAAATGAAAGATTTCACCTCATTTACACCGAGTCATTAGATCGCAGATCATTATTGATAAGATAGATCTAACCCTACAATTCAAAGTTTATACAAAGTTTTCAATTATTATAATTACTTTTTTTAATATACAAGGGGTGGTGGAAGAGACCAATTACATAATACTCTATATGATCTATTGACTAATTGGACAATTTCTCAAGTATTGAGCTTTATTTTTCAATACTCTTACTGATTTGAAGAAAATTTCTTCTGGTGACATGGCTCCAGTGGATTCAACATTGAAGATGAAATGATCTCTCTTTCTACCTAATTTGACTTTACCATCAAATTCATCATGTCTTAATACTTCTCTTGAAACAGTATCCTTTCTAGCATCTTTAACATAAGCTTCACCATTGTTATTAATAGCAATAACACCAGATGGGAAACATTTTTGAAATCTTTTGGCAGAAGATCCTTTAATTGGTTCTTTAATATCAATTACTGGCATTAATCTATAAGATGCAGTAGCAACTGGAGAAAATTTAGCATGATCACTACCAATACCTAATACACAATGAGCTCTTAATGAAATTTCTTGACCTGGTCTTAATTTAGCTAATAAAATATCTGGATCTGAAGCAACAACTGGACTATTCTTAAATCTTTCAGCTTGATTACCTTGAGGTTCAAATTTTAAATCTTTAGCATAAACATGAGCATTTTTATATAATTCTTTTGGATTAGTGGAATTCTTTGGTGCATGTGTGTTTTTGGAACAAACCACATCTAATGATAATACAACAGTGTTTTCTTCAGTATAACGTTCATTTTCATCTTGAGTTTTATCAACCCAATTTAATAAATCAGGATCAATCTTTAATGGAATTAACCCAATTCTATGAGCCAACACTTCATCTTGTATAACACTGGTGTTCATAAACATATAAACAGCCTCAGCAGCCACAGATGGAACTTCAGCAATCATGATACGACGGAATGCATTGGATATAGAAGTATCTATATTAACTAAATCGAAATTGGCAGTTCTTTCAGTTATATATGAAATTTGAATATCAAATTGATCTTTGAATTTTTCAATATCCCATGAATTATCTTCACTACTGGAATGACCTGGGAAGTCAGTTGAACTAGCATTAGTCACTCTATTATATTCAATACCCACTATATTATCCCCCATCGTTGATTGACTATAGTCTAAACTCAAGTTTTATGTCTATGCTTCTCTTCTCTTCTAAATCGAAATGCTCTTCTGTATTTTTTTTTTTTCACTCTCTCATCGATTTTTTGTTAGGCATTAATAATACAGTTTAGTACATGATAAACTGTAAAATTTTCATTTGACGTTATCCTGCTTTTATTATTGCCCTACAATTATCCATCATAGTTGATAATCTACGAATCTTATAGTTAAGTAGTATAGGTGTATATAATACTACTTCCTGTGTAATCTATGCTATTTATTTAAATTGTTACATTATTCATTAGTTTCTTCGATTTCTTCATACCATGAACAGAGCTGTTGGTGGAGTAGCGGGGGTGGCACCTCCTAACAACAGTGTAGGTGAAGAGAATCTATCTTCATATCTAAGGACTTTTCTAACATTACCTGTTAAATCAATACTCATTAGGAGCACGTTTCCATTATAACCATCACCTTCAATATGAGCTTTATCAATGATTTGTTCTTCTTCATTAAGATTCAAGTCCGGCTTTTTCAGTTCTAAAACAATAGAATCATCAGTAACACACATTAAACTATGATAAGTTAATTGAATGAAGAAAACAAGTAAATCCAATACTAATAATTCAAAAGTTGAATAAGGTAACCTTTCTCCAATAAATTGAACTGACATTCCACCATGCAAATATCCATCTGCCGATGGACTCTTTTTATAAACCCCAAATAATAAATGTATCAATATACAAAACCCATTAGCTGTTATTATCCCTAATAATAATGATTTGGTCAATGCTCTTTTATTTTCATCTGATACCATTACTCTGACACTTGCCGTCGGATATGGATTTGATATGGAATATTGAATAAACGCCCTTATGGCCAATCTTAACATCGATATATCTCTTAAGTAGATGATTCCTATTATGGCAAACCCTATGAATTTAGCTGATTGTCTTAAATCTTCTAAGAAGAACTTCTTCCTTTTATATAGTACAGATGCATTATTGACTAACGTTTGTTCGATAGTGGGGTACTTTTTTGCTTGGAAATCTCGTAGCTCTGCTTCCAAATTTATGGTTTGTGTCATCACAGAACCTACTAACACTTGATATGACACGGAATGATCTTTATCCAAACCGATTGAATGATGATGTATTATCAATGTCAAACACAATTCAAAGGTCAAATGGTGTTCAACTCTACTTCAATTAGACACGCAAAAAATCTCACACAGTCCTGCATATTAAATTTGCATTCAAATAATTCTAATTATAAAAAGTCAGCTATACCCTTACTTACAGCATCTACAATGATATCTATTTGTTCCTTAGTAACGTCAAACGATGGGGCAATTAGGATATGATCACCTGAAAAACCATCATTTGTTCCAAAACCAGGATAAACCCCCACACCTCTATTCCAAATAAAATCATGAATTTTATAACCAACTTTAAGGCTAGTATCAAAGGTTTCTAAAGTTTTCTTATCTTTGACAAATTCGATTCCCCAGAATAATCCTCTACCTCTGATATCACCCACAATTTTAAGAGGCAAGACTTCTTGTTTAAGTTTCTCTTCAAGGTAGGCACCCATTTCAAGTACATTGCTTAATAAACCATCTCTCTCGATAATCCTTTGAATTGCAAGACCTGCAGCACTGGATAAAGCAAATGATTGATAAGTATGTCCATTGTTGAAACTACTAGTACCAGATCGAAGACCTTCAATAACTTTGGGAGAAATGAAAACTGCAGACAATGGTGAATAACCACCTCCAAGAGCTTTTCCAGCAGTAGTAATATCAGGCACTATTCCTTCTTGTTCCCAAGCAAAGAAAGTACCTGTTCTTCCTGATCCACACATGATTTCATCAAGCACGAGTAAAACGTCATACTTATTACAAACTTTTTGTATTGCTTTAAAATAACCCTTTGGAGCTGTAACACAAGCTGTAGTTGCTCCAACAACAGTTTCAGCAAAGAAAGCTGCCACATTTTCAGGTCCAATTTCTAAGATTTCATTTTCTAATTCAGTGGCTAATCTTTGGACATATTCATCACTAGTTTCAACATCCAACTTATATCTATATTCAAAAGCAGGACCAACTTGATGAAATTGAGAACTAATGATGTTTTCATATGGTAATCTTCTAGCTTTATGGCCTGAAAGAGATAATCCAGAAAGACAATTACCATGATACGATTGTTTTCTTGAAATAAAATGAACTTTTGATGTTTTACCTTGCTCATAGAAATATTGAGTAACCAATTTTACAGCAGCTTCGTTGGCTTCACTACCAGAGTTGACAAAGTAAACCTTTGATATCTTTCCTTCATACTTTTCTATCAATTTATTTGCTAACTCTTCCGATACACTTGTAGTATAATCCCCAGTATGGATATATGCAACTCGATTTAATTGGTCAGAAACAGCCTTAATAACTTCAGGATTGGAATGTCCAACTGAAATAACAGCCGCTCCACCACATCCATCCAAGACCTTGGTACCATCCTGTAAGTAGAGGTAAGCTCCCTGTGCTCTTTCAACAACATTGGGAGCATGACCTAACGATCTATGAAGTAATTTTGAGGTTAAAACCTCTTCATTTGACATCATTTTAGAGCCCTCCATTATGCTGTTTGAGTTATTTATTTTGAAACTGATCAACAAAGAGAAATATCCCCTATTTATATACTTTTCCAACTACAATGAGTCATGTTATTTAGTTTTAAATCGCTCTGACCACAGTCCATTTTATTTATATGTCAAATTCAGATTGTTTTTAAAAGATAAGGCTCTATTTGTGCTGGGAATGGAGTGTATATAATAGAGTAACATTACCCGGATAAGTCTTTGAAGAATGTTGAATTATATCCATGGGTACAACAAGTTTTGTGCCCTATAAAATCGTATAACTATCCTTCAAGTAGCCCTTTAACGGATGATATCATCGAATTAACAATTTTACTTTCTGTATAAACAACCATTAATAGATACTTTCTTATCATAAATTTCTACTGTAAATTGATTGTGCGCTTATTCCAAATTGGGAATAATTCAATTTTGCGACAACAACACTAAAATTTTACGAGGCAACTCACATTAAAATATAATATTACAATAAATTAAGATTATATTTACTATACATATATGCATACATATGTTACTCTACTTTCTGATCTTGATAGATTGAACTAAATCTCCACCAAGTAATGTCATTTGGTTGTAGATAGCTTCTTTATTGATTACGATTTCACCAGTCAGATCTTCTACTGGTTTGGTATTTATACCGACATTAACCCTAAACTTCTTCTTATTTAAAGCCATTGGAACAAAAATACCAGTGACATAGTTTGAATCTCCACCTTCACTTATACCAGTGAACTTTCTTGATGAGAAAATGATTGCATTTCCAAATTTCTTGTTTAATTCATCAACATATGCTTGGATTAAATCATACTTAGTAGTGATATCATCAGGGAAAGAAGTCAATGGATTAATTAAATTCTTGAATGTATTAGGAGGTAAGACACCAGATGAGGTAGTTAAATTAGCAGACTTAACATTGATAACAAAATCATAATCTTTTAAAGCAGGAGTGAAGATTAAATCAAGAGTAGCATCTGATAATCCATCCTTTTTAATCAATTGAATAGCAACTCTAGATAAAGCAGTCAATCTAGAAGAAATTGGTAACGCTAATTGATTTGACCATAAAATACCAGAAGGATCTTCCTTTGAAGCAACAAAGAATTGAGTCTTGATACCAGATGGATCATTGGATCTAATGGTTTCAAAATTTTGCTCAATCACTCTATAGGCTTGAACAGTTAATTTATCATTTAATTTTTCATCATCATCCGTGACTGTACTTTTAACAAGATCCAATACTAATGATTCTTCTTTCCAATTCCAGTTAGCAACGAAATTCAATATTTGTAAGAAACCATTTTCAAGTGAATGTGGAACAGAATAAGGAGCTGGATCAACGAATGATTTAAGAGCGATTAATTCGATCAATTCATCAGTGAAATGTTGTAAAAGTAATTGAGAATCCAACCATAATTTGAATAATCTGACAGTGGATGAATAAAATTGGAAATGATGAGCTAATTGAGTTACGGTTCTAGTATGTTTAACAGCTCCGATATATTTTTGATTGAATTTTAAATAAACGTCTTGCATCAAAGCCTTTTGCTTTTCTGAATTTGCAACTGCTCTCAAGTATAATACTTCATCTCTTTCAGTTAAGACTCTGATCTTAAAACCAAAACCTTCTGGAGTCAACACATTCAATAAAGAAATATCTTCGTTGAATGGAATAGAGTCATCTTTGGTAATAAATGACTTATAAGTAGTATTATTATTAAGTAACTCATTAATCTTTAATAAGAAAGCTGTCTTGGTTTTCTCTAAAGATGATAATTCATCAGGCCACCTGGTAGAAGTTTCAAATTGTAAAACTACTTCATTCCAAAAGTCTGGATTGGAAACAGCAAATGGTACTGGTTGTAATAATGAAGAAAATCTTAAACCAGTTGATGCAGCTGAAATTGATTTGACTCCTAATGGTAAATCCAAATTAGTAATAATCTTATTCATATTATCAAAGGCTGATCTCAAGGCAGTGAAACTTGCTGATGAGGATGCAACTTGATTAGATGCTGATGGTAACAATGGAAGTGGAAGTTTACTTGTGAAGCTTGTAATTTCTGTACTTAAATGATGAGAAATTTCAGAATGTAAATGTAAATCAAGAGCAAATTTGATTATACTTAACACCAATGGTTCATTATCACTTGGAGTCCAAACCACACAATGTTGGATGGTACCTACTTTAAATCTTCTTAATGATGCTTTAGAACCCCAGAATGATCTGAATTTTAATCCTAATTCTTGTTCATCATTATTTGGACCTCTTGTTACTAATTTATCACATTCATCTGGATTTAATTTAAGTCCTATTATATAACTATTAGTGGTGTTGGTTGGTTTTCTCTTACTGATAGGAAAATAATTACTAACTTTTTCACTTTTGATAAATAAGGAAGTTATTCTATCTCCTAATGCCTTTTGCAAAATTTTGTAAATCTTATTCTTAATGTAATTATCAAAACTTATGAATGAAATCTTTTCTAATGGACCAAATGAATCATTTAATTCTTCAGGAATAGAAAGATTCAATACAATATCGTATTTCATATGATCAAAATTAGAATTTTGTAACAAGATAGGATCGAATCTATCTTTAACAACATCATTTAACAAGTTCAATGATTCCTTAGCTTGTTCTTGTAAAGTTTGATAAGAAGCTTGTGTCATTTTCCATAGTATATTCAACTTGGTATTTTTATCAAATATAGTTGGGACATTAAAACCATCTGAATTATATTTTGAAGAGCTACTTTCACCAATTAAACTTGAAAATGAAAGATAACCACTATTTAAATCCATGGTTGCTAAGTATTTAATCAAACCTTTAAATAATTGGTATGACGAGAAACCATGAAGTAAGATTTTATTTCCATTTAAACCACCACCATTTAATAAAGCACTCATCAAAATGGCGAATTCAAAATGACCGAACCCACCTTCATTAATAGATGAACCGAAACCTCTTTGTTTTAACCATAATCTACCTAACACACAAGCATCTTTAAATGCTTCTGTTGATTTTTTGGTAGTATATAAATATTTCAAATAATAATCATTACTAGTCAAAGATAAAATGGCGGCATTATAAAGTGGAGTTGGAGGTAAATCTTCAGTATCAGCTTGAACTCTGATACAATTCTTATCTGGTAAAAGCTTTTTATTTTCAAAAATACCGAATGGGAAGGAAACAATTAAATTAATGGAGAACTTTGTTTTATGAAAAGTTAAATCTTCTGGATTGTCAGTGCTGATACTTTCGACCCTTAAAACAGGAGTTAATATATCATCATTTAAGAAATGATTAGTGATTTTAATAGGTAAGTTATTTTTTTTGGATAATGGGATTAAGTTTTCAGTTAAATAAGCCATGTAGAATGCTCTCTTATATAAAGCTCTATAATTTAAGTAATCTTTAGGTTGAAACAATTCTCGTGGCATGACGATAGCAACATCTATAGTCAGACCTTGAGGTTGAGCTATACCAGTCTTCAAACCAAATGAACCCACAAGAGATACATCTTCAGGAGGTAAATAAGAAAATGTATAATTAAGTTTAGTTGGTTTTGGATCTGGGAATGGGATAACCACTTTTTTGGAATTGAAATGATTTTCAGCTTGTTGTAAAGTTAACTTACTAACAGGAGGTATCTTGGTGATTAAGTCATGTAATCTATGTAATGCTTTTTCTATTTTATGGATATTGCTTTCTTTTATTCTCAATTCTTTCATTAATTCATCTATTTGCAATTTAAAGATATTAGATTTGAATAACTCTGCTGTTTCACGAGCAACTTGAATGTCTTGAGCTGAAAGTTGTTTCTTTTGCTTCTTAGTAGGACGTTGTGTATGTTTATTATTATTATCTGCTTTACCTTCTTCTTGAGCTTTTCCTTCTTCCTCTTCCTCTTCCTCTTCCTCTTCTTCATTTCCATTATCTAATTCTTCATCGGACTCGTCTTGAGATCCACCATTTTCATACGCCACATTCTCGATCTCTCTTTCCTCAACCTCAGGAGCAAACGTGACTTGAGCCGACCTTTTCTTGCCCATGTTACGATCTGTATGGTTGTCCTTTACAGCTGTGTTTGGTATATGTTTGCCAACTGAAGTTTGAAAACCTTTCCTTAGTTATATATATACATTAGGGCTTTTCACATTTTTTTTTACAAGCACACACTCTTCTCATAAATTTTTTTTTCCTGGCTAGAAAATGAAAACATCCATACATCCACTTTTTGAGATGGTAATCACACGACTACAAAATTTGAAATATTCGCACGACCATTGTCAATCATGTGACTAAGTGAACGTGACTTTTCTTTCTCCTCTTTCGTTTAACATTTAAAGTATACGAAGATTTAAGTTAGCAGCTAAATTTATAGTTAACAATTGTTATAATTCCATATCATTGTGTTGTGGTCAAGTCTTCATAATGTATTATTCTGAAGAGATTGGACTCCCCAAGACGGATCCTAAACGATGGAGATTGAGAACTGATCCAGTTGGTCGTGAGACTTGGCATTATATCAATGAAGAAGATACTATTCATGAAGAACAAACTAGTTATGTGAAATATTTGTTGGGATTGGAAGATTTTTCAACACCAGAACCTGCTGTTATTGAAACTCCATTCAGTGCAGCTAAGAAGGGAGCAGAGTTCCTTGAATTGTTACAAGATGAATCAAGTGGAATTTTCCCTTGTCAATATAAGGGTCCCATGTTTATGACTATTGGATATATTACTGCTAATTATTTTAGTAAAAATGAAATACCTGAACCATACCGTCAAGAAATGATACGGTATATTGTTAATACTTCACATCCAGTTGATGGAGGTTGGGGTTTACATTCAATTGACAAATCAACTTGTTTTGGAACTACTATGAACTATGTATGTCTTAGATTATTAGGTCTTCCTGCTGATCATATAGTATGTAAGAAAGCCAGAGAGACATTACATAGCTTAGGTGGGGCTATAAAGAATCCTCATTGGGGGAAATCATGGTTAGCATTATTAAACCTTTATGATTGGGATGGAGTTAACCCTGCTCCACCTGAATTATGGACATTACCTTATAGTTTACCAATTCATCCAGGTAGATGGTGGGTTCACACAAGAGCTATTTATTTACCATTAGGTTATCTCCTGTCAAACCGAGTCCAATGTGAATTAGATCCATTATTATCAGAAATTCGAAGTGAAATTTATTTACCCCGCCAATTACCTTATGAATCAATCAAATTTTCCAATCATAGAAATGATGTTTGTGGAGTTGATTTGTATTACCCTCATACTACCATATTAGATATGGCTAATTATTTCTTATCAAAGTATGAGAAAATAAGACCAAAATTCGTATTGGATTGGACAAATACAAAGGCATATGAGTTAATGTTGAAAGAATATAAAAACACTGATTATTTATGTATAGCTCCAGTCAATTTTGCATTCAATATGATAGTAACAGCTTATCATGAAGGTACATCATCTAAGAATTTCAAACAATTACAAAACAGAATGAATGATGTTTTATTCCATGGACCACAAGGTATGACAGTTATGGGAACCAATGGTGTTCAAGTATGGGATGCAGCATTCATGATCCAATATTTCTTTATGACTGGGTTGGCTGATTTACCACGTTATCAGCCTATGATCAGGAAAAGTTATCATTTCTTAGTAAGATCTCAATTTACAGAAGACTGTGTGGAAGGAAGTTTTAGGGATAAAAGGAAGGGGGCATGGCCATTCAGTACTAAAGATCAAGGGTACAGTGTTAGTGATTGCACAGCTGAAGCCATCAAAGCTATTATTATGGTAAAATCTCATCCTGATTTCAAGGACATTAAAGATGCTATTAAAGACGATGATTTATTTAATGGTATTGATGTATTATTAAACATTCAAAATGTGGGTAATTTTGAATTTGGATCATTTTCAGCTTATGAAGGTATTAGATCAACTTTATTATTAGAAAAGTTAAATCCAGCCGAAGTATTTAATAATATTATGGTAGAGTATCCTTATGTTGAATGTACCGATTCATCTGTGTTAGGATTAACTTATTTCTCGAAATATTATCCTGATTACAAGACTGAAGTGGTTCAAAGTGCAATTAAGAATGCTATTAATTATATTATAAAAGCTCAAAACTACGATGATGGATCATGGTATGGATCATGGGGGGTGTGTTATACTTATGCAGGTATGTTTGCGTTAGAAGCTTTGAATACAGTTGGATATAATTATTCTAACTCGTACACAGTTGAAAAAGGTTGTGATTTCTTAATTTCCAAACAATTACCAGATGGAGGATGGTCAGAAAGTATGAAAGCTTGTGAAACTCACACCTATGTTAATACCGAACAATCATTGTTAGTTCAAACTTCATGGGCTATAATTGGATTAATTTTGGCTGATTATCCTGATCAAGAACCAATCAAAAAGGGAATTAAATTAATTATGGATCGTCAATTGCCAACTGGTGAATGGAAATTTGAAGATATTGAAGGGGTATTCAATCATAGTTGTGCCATTGAATATCCATCTTATAAATTCTTATTCCCAATCAAGGCCTTAGGATTGTATAAAAATAAGTATGGGGATGAAAAAATTGTATAGGTTAAATTAAAAAAGTAGTAAAGCAACAGTAGTTTAAAAAAGTAAGTAATAAATTATTACAAATGTTATAGGTGCAAAAGAAAGACAACAAAGAGATGTGTAGTAAAACTAAATAAAATCGTGCAAGACAAACACGGAACGGGAATATTACTCTACTCAGAAGAATCCGACACTTATTATTCGACAATCATAGGCAATGACGCTTTTGTTGACACAAGGGATGGGAATAGAACATAACCAGACATAAATTTATGTTAAAAAAACAACAACAGTGTGGGGTTAAAACTAAAAAGAATATGTACATTATAAATCAAGAAAAAAAAGATTTCTGGGCTAGGCCAGGATAGATCTCCCACCAAGCTGGTAATAAATTAGTCATTTTGGCTTATGTTCACTATTTTGCTGTATGAAAAGCTTGTGGAGCCTCTGCTGAGCCAAACACGGTATTACATAAATTTCTAGGCGGTTATAGGCTTTTTTTGACTTTAGCTTGGGGGTAATAAAAAATTGAGAAAATTGTCAGGGCTGCTTAGTCACAAGCTTAAGATTTCCTAGTGGGGGGAAGAGGCGGAGAGTTGTTACGTGACTGGAACGAAAGATCTCGTTAAGCCAAGCAGCTACAGCGACGACGACTAACAGCCATGACGACAGAAAAAAAGAAAACAGGCCGCAGTGCGTAGGGATAGTGAGAAATGTATGCCGATGGGAATTTATGTCTGATCGCAAAAAAAAGTGTCTGAATGGAAAAACTAACATGGAAAAATGTTATGCAAGTTTCATTAGTAGAAGCGCAAAATATACTGTAAAGAGGCAAAATTGAATTTTTTAACTATTTATCGAGGTGATGAGCTGAAGGTGGTAGAAATCCTACCTATCACAAAAAGAAACAAGGTGGATGCTTAATGAAGATACGGTGTTCTAATTTCACAAAACAAATCAGACAGAAATCTTGGTAGGGAAAACGATAGCGATTGTGATACTTACACTTTAAATTTTGTTGAGATGGCCCTAAAATGAGAAAAACAAAGACAATTCAATTCAAACAAGGTAAAAAAAAGTGAATAAATGAAAAAGCCCTTTTAGTTTTGGGGGGCTCCTATCGGTGAAAAGGGTGTGAAGTGGGAGGGGCGGTAGATATTATACTAAGGTCAATCTCTATAGTCACTTGTAAGAAATGAAGGCTTGATGTATGTGGAGATCTTCAATATGCCACTTATGTGTAAATGAAATTAAACATTAATTATTGACATGAACTTGCAATAGTAATAGTAACTGTATATTAAAATAGTAATGTAAAATTATGTAAATAAGAGTATAATTATTGAAATTAAAAGAAACAAACTAAATGATTAAAATAAAATAATCAATTATTAGTTAATAAACAATAACAAAATTAGTAATGATGATCCACATCCCCAAAAAGCAAAAAGTAAAATAATGTCAAGTCAAGAAAAATAAAGTAAAGTTAAAGATAAATATAAATAAGATTGATGTTAAGTGTGTCAAAAGATAATTAGATTCCTCACGTCTAATTATCAATTGATTCACGAAATATCAATTAAAAGTGTCATAAAAATAGTAGATTTGTAAAACATAAAATAAATAAGTGTTGGTTGGTTGATTGATTGATTGATTGGTCGAAGTTGTTAAGTTGATTGAAGATTAATCCATACACAAGTAGGATTTCTTCGCTTTTCCTCCAAATTGTTCCAGCTAAATCACAGATTCAGCAATTGGGCAAAAAACAAATAGTATCGAAAAAAAAAAAAGGTTGAAAACAAAACAAAAAAAACGCAATTCATAAAGAATGCATTTAGATGCTTTGTTTAGTTAAATGGAATGGATGAACTGTAATATAAGAATTAGTGCTGTTAGCCACACCCGCAAATGCGTTATAGAATCCCAAAAGACCAGTAATAACACCAACGACACCTCCAGCTCTTGTAACACCAATATGACCACTAAAGGCACCACCAGCTAAAAGAATGAAAGTTAAAGTTAAGCAACTGAATAAAGCACAGAAACCAACGGTCGATTTCAAAGTACAAATGGTTAACATAAAGGTAAAGAGAGCCCAACCTAGTAAATAGAAACCAACAGCATTTTCTAATTGTTCAGTACCTTCATAAGCAGCAACAATTCCAAATGAATCAATAAAAATGGCACCATAAGATAACCAGAAAGCACCATAAGAAGTTAAAGCAGTACCACCAAAAGTGTTACCAACAACTAATTCCCAAAGACCAGCTAAGAATTGAACGGCCCCACCATAGAACATAGCTAAACCAATAGTAACTGTACTAATTTTAATACCCATAGCTTGAGCATTGAATAAAGATAAAACTAAAGTAGTCAAACCAAAAGCTGCTAAACCTAATGGAGAAGGATTAGCAAATTTATGAACTGGAGCAGGAGATAAACCTGGGTTTAAAGTACCACCAAAGGCTTGCATTAATTCATGTCTATAGTATTTATGATTACCTATAACAACGAATTCATCACCATGACCAACGGTTCTAACTTTGGAGATTTCTCCATGGTCTTCAGTGTAAAGTGAATGTTCTTTAGAATGGATTGAGTCGGAAGACATATTGAATAGTAGTAGTAGTACAAGTAGGAAGACTAATAATTAGAAAATGAAAAAGCAATTGTTGGTAAAGGTAATTTTGGTTATTAACTTGATTTGGATATCCTCCGTATAGTTAGTTAATATTAAATTGTGGTAATACTAAAATATATATAGTAGTATCTTAAAAATAAATTTATAAAAACTGATGATAAAGTAATACCCCAGATTTAATAAAACTTTTGGTAAAAAAAATAATATAACCTCTTTTAGTATAGTCTTTCCTTTTTAAAAAGATGATGGTTGTTGCCAAAAAATAAGATAAATTAATTAAGTGCTTATTTATATATACTTTTATATCTTTATAATCTTTTTATAAAACTGATGACAATAACAAAAAATTATTTATTTATTGTGGATTTTTCTGTTTTTGTCTTTTTTTATGCATTTTGTAAAATATTTCAGACATTTTTTTTTCTGTTTCTGTCCCGTTTCCTTTCTCGTAAATCACACAAACCCAAAAGTGTCTATTTATTTTGGTACCGACCAGCAACTTAAGCATTAGTTAGAAGGAGACAGACGGAGGGTGTAATTGATAGATAACCTACCACAAAGTATTAATACTGAAAACAGATACAATGTAAATGTAATAAGATTTATCTAACTATTCGAAAAATAGACAAGATACGGAAGGTAAGTGCGTTACCCACCACTAACCACCATGTAATGATTAATAATCCATAATACGGTACCATGATAGTTAATGTTTTGAAATCATCAACTACTCCACCTGCCCCGCAAACATAACTACATTAGGGGTAGTCTATATTATATTATATTATTTGAATCATAAATAAACTGTTACGAATAAATTAATTAATTATTGGCAGAAGTTATTTTTAATCAAAATTTTGTCTGCTCGGTATCGGAGTTCATAATTAAGGTTTAGTTAAATCTTTTTTTTGTTTTTTTATCTCTCAACAAAAATGAACTCCCTCTGGGTTTTTTTTTGGCCGCTAAATCGTGCTTAAATTATTTTTGTCTGATAAAAACAAAAGTGGTGTCAGTATAGAACAAAAAAAAAAAAAAAAAAACACCAAGTCATGCTTTGTGTAATATGCAGTTTGTGGGGTTCTCTGTATTCCTCCCTCAGTAAAGTACAGCATTATAGACCTTAAAACTATTTTATCGAAACGTCTTTTGCCTCCCTAATTGTGTTTAGGGGGAGGCACACCTACTTACTGACAATTTTCCTTTACTGTCTAACTATACAATTATATTTTTGCTGTGTGTAATTATGAAACTCCATCCCATAAATTTTGGACCAACCCCACCCCCAAAATATTTATTTGTTATTAATTATAACTAATGTGAATGATTTTGTCTGTCTGATTTTCTTTATTTATTTTCATCTTGCACATTGTTATCATCTACCTTTGCAGTATTGAACTTTTGCCAAACAAACAGTTTGTTTTCTATACATATATTAATCTTACATCTTACTGACACAATTGGTTTGGGTTTGGGTTTGGTTTGACGATAGCGTACCATAGCATTGTCAATCCCACAGTTATAATTCTACAATACTCTCACCATTTTTTTGCCCCACACTTGAATATAAATATCAACGGTCAAGAATGAACTGATTATTATCCTTCATAATAATATAATGCAAATAATTTCCCTTCTCTTCCTTAGTTCTGGGCCAATCACAATTATTATTATCACTTTTAAATTAATTTACCTTATAAGAAAAATATCCCGTAACACAAACTAAAGAAGAATAATTAACTTTAAAACTCAATAGAAATATTAAACTCTCATTCAAAAAAAAAAAAAAAAAATTTTGTAGTACATAATACATTTCGCTCAGTAATATTTTTTGTATCACTTTTATTTTTTAAAGTTATGATTTTTGTCTGATTTTAACAGTTTCAGATATCTCGGAGTTTTTTTTTTTTGTCTTAACTTTGGGTTATATTTCGGTTCAAATTTTAATTTTCATTTCAAGGCTGATTTTTACATCATTTGTTTTTGTTCATTTAACTACTCAAGTATGGGATTCACCGGGTCAAACTCTCATCTTTTTTCATCTATTTCAGGTTAAATCGGTTCCACATATCTGACATTTTTCTTTCATTCTTTCTTTCTATTTTCACAACCATTTCTGAAAAAAGAAACTACTATGTTTTCTTGCCCATTTTTTAATGACGTACATTTTGATTTTAGTTTCTACCTAAAGCTTTTGTTGAATCCGTTCTTATCTACTTATTCAATATGAATCTTTAGCTTGCTCTTTCCTTCTTGGTACACACTTCCGAAATTCTTTGTTAGTACTCATTTTTTTTTGTCACACTGTAAGTTGCTCTATCGGAGTTCGCATGCGCAAAACCGTACCATACATAGATACAAACAATATCAATAATCTTCCCCACAAATCTGACACCGATTCATAAATCAAATATCAACAGAGGCCAAGACGAAATGAGTATTAACATCAATAAAAGATATAATCAAACTAACAAATGAGAATTTATTACGTAAATGTGTGCATGGATGGTCCAATGGAACTTATCTCACTGTTGATATCAAATTGTTATTTTCCAACAAAACTCTATTTAAACCGTAAAAAATTCTAACATGCCCCACACAACTACATCAACCTGGATACCCGTACAGTCTTACCTTGAATATAATGGCTATTCAAAACTTTATTATGGACTATTTCAAATTAAAATTGCTCAATGCTTAGTTTATTGTCTCCAACAAAGTGGTAATATCTGCGGGGGAGGGGCAATCATATTTGCCCCACCACTCTACAAATAAGTGCTTGACCTTTTTATTGACTCTGTAGTATCATATACCATCCCCACAACTTCAATTCAAAGGTAATAATCAATTATCCCGTCAAAAATTATTGCAAAAAGTCAAATTGTCTTCTATTCTTATAAATAAATTTTTATTGAGTTAAATAAACTTACCAAAAAAAAGTGTCTGCTAAACAACATACACCATAATTTAAAACTATGAAAGATACTACTATACTAAACTAAACTGATTGTATGGTAGTAAATTCCCTCTTTAAATTCTTAAATAATTTTTTACTTTTAGTGAGTCTCAGCTTATGGAATACTCTCTTATAATAAAATGCAAATTTTGCAAACCATTTCTCTTCACCATACATCATAATTAACAAATTCACTATTCCAAACACAATTAATAACCAATAATACTTAATGGACATATTGGTTAATTGCATGAAATCTCCCCACCATGAATCACCATCAATATAGAATAAACTAGCTGAAAGTAAAGTAGATGCTACTAAATTAATAATAAATGGCATATTTTTAATCATTGATTCTCTATAAGGTGGACCTTGACTTAATACCACTGCAATTAAAATATATTGAAAGTTGGAGAATAAGAATAAAATGGTATTATCTGTAGATTTGACATGTTCATCATCATCGGGAACAGGTTTAATATACCATGGTTCATGTTGAACCATCAACCATAAAATTAATTGGAAGATTAATATGATGGTTATATGACAAATTAATGGTATTAAAATCTTGGGTGAAACTAAATTAGCAGTTGGTCTCTTGGATATTATTTGTGGAAATGGTTTAGACCATGACATAAAGATAGCCAAAGGTAAGATCAATATTAAATCAATATATAAAAATTGAAAATCTCCAAGATTAGTACCACGTTTATATAAGATAGTAACGGTGATAAATTGAATAGCAGAATATAACGACATATACTTAAAACATGAAAAACTAGTAACCAAACTTGATCTACCTTCCTTTATAACATCCAAAACACATGAAATTTCAAACTTTCTTGATGTAAATGGAGCTGCCACAGAGGCTTCAGCTTCCGACAAAGAGATACCAACATCAGCAGCTTTCAAAGCACCACAATCATTAGCACCATCTCCACAAAACCCAACTGTATAATCAATCTTTTGTAATTGTTCAACCAATTCATGTTTTTCATCAGGAGACATACGGGCAAAAATATCACAATTCATTAACACTGAATTAATCATTGAAACACTTTTAACTTCAGTTAACAAGTATCTAAATATGTCACCGGTAATGGCCAATTTATAATTATTCAATCCTGGAGAATTATCCACTTGTCTAATATCATTGATGATAGGTTTGAGGGTCACTGAATCTAATTTATTATCGGAATCATTAACATCTTCCCATACAATTTGTTGACTAGATTCATCGTAATTAGGTATATACACATGTTCAATATGAGGTTGAATCAATTCACATTCTTTAGCAACACTAATAGCAGTTAAGATATTATCTCCTGTACACATTATAGTTCTAATATCAGCTCTGTTCAAAACAGTCAAAGTATCCTTAGTGGATGGTTTTAACTTATTTTCAAAGATAATAAAACCAGTAAATGTTAATTTCGATTCTAAACTTTCACGAGATTGATTGAGGGATTTCTCATGGATTGATTTATAAGCACAAGCTATAACTCTGTAACCACTGTGAGTGTAATGATGCAACAATTCATCATAATTGGTAGGCAATGATTCAGGTTCACAAATATCATACATTACTTCTGGAGCTCCCTTTGTAAATAAATAATATTCATCATTAGATTCAGTAATGACTGACATTCTTCTTAATGATGATATGAATTCTAATTCTTTCAAAATCACAAAATTATCGGTATGACCATCCTTATAAAGAATTGATTTGTTATTGACTTCATCTTCACGATATTTGTATTTGGTGAAATCAAACATTTTAATATCTAATGGATCACCCAATAATTCATCTTCAATCAATCTTAATGAGTGACAAGTGATCAATCCAGCAAGGAAAAATGGTCCATTATTTGAATCATGAGCACTTTTTGATAATAATCCTGTTCTTGGTTGTTGTAAATCATCAACATCTTTAACCATATCTTCAAAGATGATTTCTTTTCTACCTTCAGCATTATTAGCCACATGAATCCCTAATACATCTAATCCATCTTCAGTCAATGTACCTGTCTTATCAAAACATATAACATCTAATTTACCTCCAATATTAACTCTAGTTGGGGCAATACAGAAGATTTCAAGTTTCTTTAATCTATTGATGGCAAATGTTGTACCAATAGTCAATGTAGCTGGTAAAGCTGGAGGAACAACAATAGTAATGATATCTAATGCTCTTAAAATCATGACTCTTGTACTTAATCCTAATTGAATGAAATTATATGTCGAATAAGTAAAACCAACTGCAGCTATGATTGTCATAAATCCAATATATTTGAATGAATCTTCATAGAATTTAAAACCGGTAGGTTTTGGAAACAACATTGATCTCACCAATGAACCTTTAGTAGTATTAAACCCCGTTTTGATGGTCATAGCAGTGACTGGTTCATCATTTGATGATTTCATTTTTAAAAGTTTCGTACCATTATACAAAAATGATTTTGATAATGTTGGATGAGTGAAATTTTCTGGTAAATATTTGACTGTTTCTTGAGTTGCAGCCACTTTTGATACTGGAACACTTTCTCCTGTTAACATAGACTCATTTATGACACATTCTCCATTAATCAACAAAGCATCACATGGAACAATACTTAAAGAAGGATCAACTTCAAATACATCACCTGGGACGAGATATTTTGATTCTATTTGTTTCCAGAATCCATTTCTCCAAACTCTGACATCACATGAAAATCTTGAGATATCTCTCAATCTTTGAATGGTTGACCTTGTTTCAATCAAGGTATTCACAATTGAAATCATTGAGATCAAGAAAATACAAGATGCATAGTAGTAATAATCATCAGCTAACCAAAGAAAAATTGAAAACACTTGGAATATATAGAATGGATGTAAAACTTCATCAACTAATAATTGAACCACAGACTTCAGGATAACTTCAATACTATTTTCATCAAAAATATCCAATCTTCTTTCTTGTAAAGATTGTGAGACACCATCTTTTGTACTTTTGACATTCAACCAACGTAAATCATACCAATTACTATTAGTTCTAAAGATATCTTCCACTGGATCATAGAAGAATTTTAAATATCTATAAGTGAAAGATTGGATGAATGGAATTATTGGGTCACTTTCTTTGTTGGGTATAATATCCGCACCATTATCATTGTCTCTGGGAGATAAATTTATGAAACTTGATAATGGTTCATTCAATCTCTTCTTTTCAATATGAACAATTTGAAGTTCACCAAATTCATTTTCAATAACACACCAGTCTGACAAACCCAATGGACTTCTATTACCCATTAAATTGACTCTATATTTTGGGAACCATCTTAATACAAGATATCCTAAACCAACTGTCACTAAACATATAACGTAATAAAGGGCCCTTTTCCACAAACAGTTAGAATAACCAGCAATACCAATAACCAAATCTTCTTCAGCAAGATAATATCTTTGATAATTTAATTTAGCTGGATATTCTTTATTGAATTCGCTATTCACTTTAGTGCTCTCTTGTCTATCTTCATCATCTAATTTAGTACTACTATTATCTGAGTCACGTCTATGTCTATCGAAATTTAATGCACCATAACTTGATGGTTCTGGTGATTGAAAACGACTGCTGGTGGCGTCATCAAGTAACATTTCATCTTGGTTAGAAAACACAGCTTCATTTTCGGCAGGCATTTCTTCAAACTTATCAACAGAATAATCCCAATTGGTATTATAATCGACTGGATCTTCTGGATTTTCTAAAGTTGAACCACCTTGGGCCATTTCAATTTCATCAGGAGAAAAGAATTTGAATTTAGCCTTGGTATCGTATGAATTAACTGAAGCATTTGAATGGACCGATCTTAAATCGAGGTCATTCTCATCAGCTGCCAATAATGGTGAAGTTTCTCGAGAAATATTAGAATCTCCACGAGATCTGAAATGTCCAAAGTGATGAGGATAATGTAACGATGAAATCGACGAAGGAATAACCTCTGAAGCTGCACCAGAGTACATTTCACTGTTATTCTCATCGATTAAGAAACTAGCAGATGAGTCAAGAGATGTGACGGAGTCATGACGAGAACGAGACCTTCTTCTGTCAAAGGACGAAGATCTTCTGCCCCTTGACCCAAGGGCTTGGTTTTTGGAATACAGATTCACCATCAAATATCATAAACTAAATTTACCTAATGGGTTGTCCTTGAATTTCTAAAATATTTCACCAACTATATTTAAGTTAAAGAAGACTTTGAGTCTTATCTTCTTAACTTGCTGAAAAAAAAAAGATTGATCATGTGACCAATTTTCTCTCACTCAAAAATTTGTTATAGTTGTATTTAAAAACCTAAATAAACCAATTAACAAACTGCCAATTTAGAACATAGAAATTGACAATGGCTATAAAACTAAAGATAAAGGTACCTTCAAGTAGTAGTAATGGGGAGTCTAGCAAGCAAACTAGTGCACCATTGCCGAAGTTGAAAATCAAACCACTTTCAGGTTCACCACCACAAAAGAAGCTTAAAATCAGCCTAAAGAAACCAGATTCATCTTCAAGTTCCAGTAGCAATGTCACCGAAGAGAAACCACGAGCGGTCCCTAGAGTCAGAATAAAACCAACCAGGATTCCCGGAGAAGGCTATGATTCAGAAGCACCGGATTTGGAAGATGATCCTTTAATTGAACAAGGTATAATAGTAAGATTCTTAAATGATGTGAATTTGGACTTTGTACATAATGCTGTTGATACTGGTGATTTAACAGGTGTAAATATTAAGTGGATTACTCGTGAGAAAGCAGTTGTGAATGTGAATGGAACATTATATTCTGCTCGTTTGATTGATTTACCTACCATTACAGAATTATATAAAACTGTTGACAAAAAGAATATATTTAAGACTTTTGATATATGTCAAATCTTATTAGTATTGCATAAAGTGATACCGTCAGAATTAAATGTGGAAAAGGATTTCGAAATTCCAGAAGAAGTTTTATTCAAACATCCATTATATTCATTATCCAAACAAGCAGAAATAAAACAAAATAAGCTTGTATTAAAGGATGGGTTGATAGATCCTTTTGAGAAAGTTCATAGAAGATTCAAGCCAAGAAAAGCACCACACAGAGTCGTAGATGATATAGACTTACGAGTTAATGAATTGATCCGTTTAGATGATGAAGCAGAAGAAAGTCATTTTGAATTGGTAGATCCAAAGAAGACTGTTCAAAGATATGGTACTGGAACACCATCAGCTGCAGCCACGCCTGCTGCAACGAAGAGCTCAGTTGAGCCAGAAGAGTTTGATATGGAAGCAGATGAGCCAGATTTGGAAGAAGAATTACAAAGAGCTTTGGATGAAGAAGGTGAATTTGAACTCGCGGACGCAGAAGGCGATGCGGCTGAAGTCGAAATAGAAGGCGAGCTTGATGCAGCAGATGAAATACAAGAAGAAGGAGAGATAGAAGATGAAGAAGAGGAGGACGAAGAAGAAGAAGACGACGATGATGACGACGACGAGGAAGAAGAAGATGAAGACGAAGATTCTAAGGCAGATAAACAGCATGTTAAATTACTTGAAGAAGAGATTGCAGATCTTGAAAAAGTGGTGGAATACAATAGAAGAAACCTTGCAACTGCAAATAGTAAGATGTTGAAGATGAAATTTCAAAACACTTATACTTCATTGAAAGCATCATTAGATCAAAAGAAGAGAGATTTAGGTAAAATACTAGAAGAGCAAGACCAGTTGCAAAAGAAACTGGATCCTAATCATGTATTAAACCAATCAAAGGGTGCTGACGAAGATGACGAAGAAGAAGATGAAGAGCAAGAAGATGAAGATGAAGAAGGAGAAGAAGACGAGGAAGATGAAGAAGGCAATAACGAGGATAATATCAATGATATAGATGATCTCTTTTAATTGTATTTACATATATCGATATATTGCATATATTAAATTTTTTGAGTATCCCGCGGAGTCAAAATTATAAACTGTAAATTTGGGACATCTCTTCTTTAAGAACCAAACAAAAAAAAAATAATTAAAAAAAAAAAGAAGTAGTATGATTGAAACAACGTTTTCTAACTAACTTGTGTTCTAGTTCTATTGAAGGGTTTTAACTATCAGCTCATATCGAGGGATTCTATATCTACAACATGTCTACCAATTCCATCAAATTGTTGGCCAGCGATGTGCATCGTGGTCTTGCTGATTTAGTCGCAAAAAGATTAGGACTTAGAATTACCCCATCAGAGTTGAAAAGAGATTCAACTGGGGAAGTACAATTTTCTATTGGTGAATCGGTTAGAGATGAAGATATCTTCATTATTTGTCAAATAGGATCTGGTGTTGTCAATGATCGTGTAATTGAATTATTGATTATGATAAATGCTTGTAGAACAGCCAGTGCAAGAAGAATAACGGTCATATTACCAAATTTCCCATATGCTAGACAAGATAGAAAGGATAAATCAAGAGCTCCTATTACCGCCAAGTTGATGGCTGATATGTTAACTACTGCTGGATGTAATCATGTTATTACTATGGACTTACATGCTTCACAAATTCAAGGTTTCTTTGATGTTCCAGTTGATAATTTATATGCTGAACCTAGTGTTGTGAGATATATCAAAGAAAAAATCAATTATCAGGATGCCATTATCATTTCTCCTGATGCCGGTGGTGCCAAAAGAGCAGCTGGATTGGCTGATAGACTTGATTTAAATTTTGCATTGATCCATAAAGAAAGAGCCAGAGCCAATGAAGTATCTAGAATGGTATTAGTCGGGGATGTTTCTGATAAAATCTGTATTATTGTCGATGATATGGCTGATACTTGTGGTACTTTAGCCAAGGCTGCTGAAGTTCTTTTAGACAATGGTGCCAAAGAAGTTATAGCTGTTGTAACACACGGTATTTTATCGGGTAATGCTATTAACAATATCAATAACTCTAAATTAAAGAAAGTGATATGTACCAATACTGTTCCATTTGAAGAAAAGTTACAATTATGTCCAAAATTAGACACTATTGATGTGTCAGCTGTGTTGGCTGAATCTATTAGAAGATTACATAATGGTGAAAGTATATCATATTTATTTAAGAATGCTCCTTTATAGTACGAATATAAAATGATTTGAATTTATTTATAAGCATTTATTAAATCTAGATTGTAGAATAGCTTGAATATGAAAGAAGCTCGAAGAGTTGTTTATTTGACTGACTGCATAACTGGTACCCCATGTCGTAACTTCATGTTCTCCAAAAATTATCATTATTGCGAATTTTTATAAATAGTCATTTTTTTTCTCTTTGCAATGTACATTCAAATCAAAATCCATAGCTGATTAAACCATAACATGACAAAGGCTAGTGTTCATGGTAGTACGCCCAAGAGGGTGATCAAAGCATGTCTATTTGGTAAGTACAATTTCAGTTGAAGTCAATGCAAACTAATGATTACTAACTTATTTCAGATATGGATGGAACCATCATCAATACGGAAGACTTATATACCGAAGCTACAACTGAATTGCTTGATAGGTATGGTAAGGGACCATTGACTTGGGATGTGAAAATCAGGTTACAGGGAAGACCAGGGCCAGAGGCTATGAAGATCATGATCGAAGAATACGACTTACCATTAACCATCGAACAGTTTTCCAAGGTCGCGTTAGAAATACAAGCTGATAAGTGGCATAGATCGAGATTTTTACCTGGCGCTTTAGAATTAGTGGAGTATTTATATAGTAAGAATGTTCCAATTGCTTTGGGAACAAGTTCAAATAAGATTAATTATGATAGAAAGACAAAACACCTAACACATGGGTTCAAATATTTTGATAAGCATATTGTTACTGGAGATGATCCAAGAATTCCAGCAGGCCGTGGTAAACCACATCCAGATATATGGCTCGCGTGTTTGGACAGTATTAATGCTGATAGAAAGGCCAATGGTTTAACAGAAGTAACTATTGAAGAATGTTTAATATTTGAAGATGGTATTCCTGGAGTTATATCAGGAATTGCCGCCAAGGCACATGTTATTTGGATTCCAGACGTCAATGCTTTAGAAGTATTAAATGGAGAAGAGCACACTATCATTGGGGTCAATGGTGAAATTCTTACAAGTTTGGAGCAATTTGATAAAGTAAAGTATTCTTTATAGTTATGGCGTATTGTAAAAAGTAAATAAAAAATATAATCGCGCAGGCAAAAATTTATATATTGATAAACTTGATTTGTATGGAGTATAGCATTAAGTCTCTAAATAATGATAGGTACGGATTCGTATCTAATAACTATTGAATTTCCTGATAAAGAAGATAAGAATTCAATCTCAGATTATCGCTATTCCGATATTGAAGTTACAGTCATCGATTTGACGAAAATGGGTAATGACTTAGAACCCTTGAAGGCACAGCTGCTTGGAAAAGGTATTATAAGACTATATAGAGAGTTAGAAGATGAGGATGGAGAGATATCGTCTTTTAATATACTGGATCATCCAACAGAACTCATCTCTGGTGATGATACGATGGTGGCAGTCGTGGCTGTTCCAACCTATTTTACTGCCACAGATCTATTAGGATTTATAGGAGAGTCAAATATGAAGCATATTTCACATATTCGGATATTGAAAAGTGATAAACCAAATCGATTCTTAGTATTAATCAAATTTATGGATATTATTAAAGCAGCAGAGTTTCATCATAACTTCAATGGGAAGATGTTCAATTCAATGGAACCAGAAACATGTCATGTTGTTTATGTTAAAGGAGTACAGGTTGAACATCTGGACAATCAACTTGATGACAGAGAGAATACACTTATTCCATTTTTATTACAAGATCCTTTCACATCTCCTGCTCCTTCATTACCCAACAGTCCAAATTCTAAGGGGTTCTCACTTATATCTACAGAAAAGCCATTAATGGAACTTCCATCATGTCCCGTTTGTCTTGAAAGAATGGATGCAACAGTGACAGGTTTGCTTACAATTCCATGTCAGCATACCTTTCATTGTCAATGTCTATCAAAATGGAAGGATGATACTTGCCCCATTTGTCGTTATTCAAATAATTTTTCAAATTTAAAAGTACGAAGAACAGTAAGGAGATTGCTGCAAATAGCTTTACCAAGACGTCGAAGTAGCGCCATTGAACAGGAAGTACCGGAAACATGTTTTGATTGTACTGATAATGAAAATTTATGGATTTGTCTTATTTGTGGTAACGTTGGGTGTAGTAGATATGCCGATGGTAAACATTCGCTCAAACATTTTATTGATACAGGTCATTGTTTTGCCATGGAAGTTAACACCTCAAGAGTGTGGGATTATGCAGGTGATAATTATGTACATAGGTTAGTGACAAATGAGTCAGATGGGAAATTAGTGGAGTTACCTGATAAAAACTCAAATTCAGAAAAAGCGGAGGAAAAAGTTGACGAATTAGGCTTTGAATATTCTCAGCTTCTTGTTAGTCAGTTGGCATCGCAGAGAGACTATTATGAATCATTATTAGAAGAGCATGATGCTCCCAAATCAAGGAGGGGATCTAAGCCAGTTGATTTAGAAACTACAGTTGAAAAATTAACTGAGAAAATTGCAAATTTAACTGACCAAATTGTTCCTAGTTTGAGAGAAAAGATTTCACAAAAGGATGCAAAGCTTAATAGTATTTACAAAGAATTAAGTACATCGAATACGATAAATAATGCGCTTTCGGCCAAAGTGGATTATCTTGTCAAATCAAATGAGGATTCTCAATCAAAAATCAAGCAGCTTGAACAGGAAAATAAGGCGTTAAATGAACAGGTCACAGATTTAATGTTTTTCCTTGATAGTCAGGATAAATTTAAGGATGAGCCTCAAGATGTAAGAGATGGTACCATAGTGATACAAGAACAACCTAAACTTAGACTTAGGGGTAATAAAAAGAAACTTTGAGATTGATTTGGGAAAGAATAAGTCTAAGAATGCATATAACGTTGCGCTATCCTATTTTAGGATTTGCGCCAACTCACAGTAATTTGCACTTACTGTGAATTAGATTTTAATAATACAATAGTTTCCCAGATTATTAAAGATACAATCAAAAACTATTCAAGTTTTGCATAAGCATCTAAAAAGATTTCACCAAGATATAAACCGAGATGGCTAGCTTAAAAAAATGATTCAAATCAAAATATATTCCCAGAAAAGTTCTTCAAATACTAATGAACATTTGCTACTAATACACTCAGTGATGATGGATACAACAAGCAAAGAAAGCTCTCCTTCGAAGCCGACCAATAATTTGCCTTTGCCTTCCTTTGAAGTATTGTATCAAACATCACAAAGAGCAGATTCGTCCCTAACGCGTCACCATTCACAAGATTCCAATTTATCGTTACAATCAAAAAACCATAGCCCCCAGGTATCAATTTCCAATCCACCATATATCTATAATTCGCCTCAAGGATATTCACATACAAGAATCCACCACAGTAGAGATGAAAGTTATCCTTATCCTTTTGATTACAAATATCCCGCTGCTCAAGGAGTGGCATTAACAAGAGAAACACCACCATCTTCTACACCAGTGTACAAAAGACCAAGCACTCAGCTCACTTTTGGAAGACCTAATGTTGAAAAACCAGCTGATGTTTATAACACATTACGTAGAACTTTTGAATGTATAACTGATCTTGAAAACTTTGGTAAAACATATAGTGGCTTGTATAATACCATGAATGAATCGATCGCAAAGGATGTTACATTACAAGGTAGTTTTGCTGCTAAGCAGGAATTTGATAAAATTTTTAGATCGTTTTCAGTTGGGGAAGTAGATACTGCACTTAGCAAGTGTGATCTGCTAAAAAGTCTGTTACAGGAAATGAAAGATCATATGCTTGAGTCAATTGGATCACGTCCAATTTTAGGTGGTGTTGTTGAAGGTTCTTCTAGTATGAGGGAATCAGTCTCGGCGAGTCCAGCGAGTCCCACAAAGAAGAGAAAGAAGGCAATCCATGAAAGGAGTATTAGTGTTGGTGGTGAACTTATGGATATGAGAATTACTGCTCCTGCTCTAATCGTCGAAGGTCATCAAGAAAAAATCGATCAAGGTGGATTAAATCCTGATTTGAGTATTAGAGAAAGAATCATTACTTGTAACCATTGTGGTGCTGATAATACCCCAGAGTGGAGAAGTGGTCCTGACGGAAGCAGAACATTATGTAATGCGTGTGGTTTATTCTATTCAAAGCTAATAAGAAAAAATGGACCAGAGAATGCAAAGGTAATCATGCAACAAAGGAAAGCGGACCCTACTGATAGAAGAATCCTTCCTTAATCTAAATACAAGTGTATCAATAATTAATATTTTGCTAATAATAAAATAAATTCAAACCTCTAAACAAATCATCTATCTTTTTGCAGATTTAGATTTAAATTGGTAGCTTTCTCAGTTTATTCTTTTTTTCAGCCAAATGATCCGGCACGTGACCATTTTATTTCAATTTTTTTTTTTTTTTTTGTGAGATGTAAAACTCACGATGAGTAGGAATTTTTTTTTAAAAAATTGCAAATGAACTTTAATGGTAAAATCAGTTTTTTAGAAAAGACTTAAGCAAAGATGTCTGACTCTAGATCGGTAATAAGTAGTAGTGAAGTTGCATTCCCTAGAGGAGGAGCTACTGCTTTGACTCCTTTAGAAGTGAAAGAAATCTCAAATGAAGCTACTAAGGACGTTCTTTTTGAAGCATCCAATGCTTCTAAGAGATCAAGTAATGATCCTTCTAGTCAACCAAGCAAGAAATCAAAGAAAAAGAAGAGTGCTAAAGTGGAAGATACTACCGAAGAATCTTCTGTTCAAATAGAAAACTTCAACTTTAAGAATATTATACCTGGATCCTATGTACTTGGACAAGTAACCAATATTGGAAAACTTGATGTTACATTAGCTATTGGGGATAACTTAGTTGGGTACATTCCAATTACTGCTGTTTCAGAAGAAATTTCAAAACAGTTAGAAAAGTTAGATGAAGAATCAGAAGAAGAAAGTGAAGAAGAACAAAGTGACAATGAAGATGCCGTCATCAAGACTGCTACTTTAAAGACCAAAGAAGTTCCAGAATTGAAAAATTTATTCAGAATTGGACAATGGTTAAAAGCGAAAGTAGTTGAAGCAAATGATTCTAAGAAAAAGAAAGTTCAATTTTCCATAGAACCTGAAGTAGTTAACAACCAATTGGAAACTGAAGACTTAACCATAGGTAATATCATTCAATGTTCAATAAAGTCTATTGAAGATCACGGTATAATATTGAATACTGGTAAATCAGGTTTAACAGGTTTCATATCTAATAAAGAAATTAATAACAGCACAGACATTGAATTAGCAGATTTAATCGTTGGTCTGGTATTATTAACTACTATTGTTGCTCAACCATCAACCAGATCACTTACTTTAAAACCAATTCAAAATTTAAAGAAAACTTCAGTCAGTTCCATATCATCTATCGATGCCATTCAACCAGGTATTATCGTTGATGCCTTAATTTCCGATATTACTAAAAATGGTTTGGTTACTAAGGTTTTTGGTTTAGTCGATGGTACCATCAATTTATCACACTTACAAGTTTTCGATCTTCCAGCTTTGAAACATAAATATACCATAGGTAACAGTATAAAAGCAAGAATTATTGCTGTAATTCCTAAAGCAGGATCCAAAAAGCTTATGTTATCCACATTACCTCACCTTGTTTCTTTATCACCAGTTGAAAGTCCATTAGAAGCATTCCCAATTGGTCACGTTATAGATGAAATCAAAATTGCTGGTTCTGATCCAAATTATTTATTTGCCAGTTTTGGTTCAACTACTTTATTTGGACAAATCCATAACTCTAGAATAGATAGTTCAAAATCATTAGATGTTGAATATACTAAAGGTACGACCCATAAAGCTAGAGTTCTTGGCTACAATACTATTGATAATTTATTAGTATTAACCTTACAACCAGAAGTTGTTAATGCCAAATTCTTACATTCAACAGATATACCAGATGGTTCATTACTTTCATTTGAAATCGTTAAAGTTTTACCAGAGAATGGTGGTATTATCGTCAAAGCCGAAGAAGGGTTCGAAGGTTTTGTTCCTAGTATTCATATGTCTGATGTGAGATTAGTGTATCCAGAACGTAAATTTAAACAAGGTAGCAAAACAAGAGGTAGAGTTTTACATAAGAAAGGAAAGAATTTAATTGTTACATTTAAGAAATCTTTAGTTAATATTGAAGATGAAGAAGTCATTTCATCATTCGAAGGTGCCAAAAAAGGTTTAAAATCACCAGCTACTGTTGAAAAATTCGTTCATAATGGTGCCATTGTCTCATTATTTGGTACTTTAAAAGCATTTTTACCAAAAAATGAAATCTCTGAAACTTTTGTTGATAAAGCAAGTGATTACTTAAAGTTAGGACAAACTGTTATTGTTAAAATCTTAGATGTTAAAGAAGATCAAAGAAGAGTTATTGTTACTTTAAGACAATCATCAGAATTAACTTCAACCCAAAAGAATAGTATTGATGAATTGACTCCAGGTAAATCTTTAATCCAAGTTTCTGTTGTTGAAAAGACTAAAGATTCTGTTATTGTGGAATTAGAAGGTACTAATTTACGTGGGGTTATTTTTGCTGGTCATTTATCTGATGGTAATTTTGAACAAAATAGAGCTTTATTAAAGAGATTACCAATATCTGACAAATTAGAAGTTCTTGTTTTAGAAAAAGATTTGAAAGCTAGAACTGTTATTGTGTCCGCTAAAAAATCATTAATCGAAGCTTCTAAGCAAGGTCTTGTACCAGCTTACTTCAAAGATATTAAATCAGATAGCAGAATGTTAAGAGGGTTTATTAAATCTGTTACTAATATGGGTTTATTCATTTCTTTTGCTGGTAAATTAACTGGTTTGGTTTTAGCTAAATATGCCACAGAAAATCAAAATGAAGATTTATCTACGAAGTTTTACAAATATCAATCTATTTCTTGTCACGTTATAAGAGTCGATGAAGATAATAAAAGATTTTTGTTATCATTAAAAGATACTTCAGGTTCAGATGATTCAGAAGCTACCGTAAATCCAATCGACTCTACTAAAGCTACAATCAGTGATTATGCTCCGGGTGTCCTCACAAAGGCTTTTGTCAAATCAGTTAAGGGAACTCAATTAAATGTTCAATTAGCTGATAACTTACAAGGTCGTGTTGATATTACTCAATGTTTCAATTCCTGGAATGAAATTAAAGATAAAAAACAACCATTATCACAATACCATAAAGGTGATATTATAGATGTTAAAGTATTAGGTTTCCATGATGCCAAGAATCACAGATTTTTACCAATCACTCATCGTAAATCAAATAAAAATATCATTTTAGAATTATCTATTCTTAAGAAAGAAACCTCAGATTTAAGTTTATCAAGTATTTCAGTTGGTTCAGAATACACCGTTTATGTTAACAATTTATCTAGAGGGTTTGTCTGGGCTTCAATTACACCATCAGTTAAAGGTAGAATTTCACTTATGGAATTACCAAGTGAAGTTGATTCATTTTCTGATTTAGATAATAAATTACCAATCGGTAGTGCTCTTAAGGCTGTTGTTAAGGAAATTGACAACGAACATCAAGTTGTTGTATTAAGTGCCAGAAGTGATGTTGTTTCTTCTATTGCTGATCTTAAAGTTGGGCAAAAGTACCCATCAAGAATATTAAAGGTCAGAGATAGTTATGTATTAGTTGAATTAGGTAACAACGTTGTTGCTTCCGCTTACATCACTGATGCCTTAAACAATTACGCTGATAGATTGGAATCTGTCTTCACTCCTAATGATTTTGCTACTGCTACAGTTTTAGATATCGATACAGCTGCTGATAAGGTTGCTGTCTCCTTAAGAACCTCAGAAGCTGTTGATAAGGTTATTAATTCTATTTCAGACTTAAAGAGAGGAGATGTTGTCAAGGGTTTTGTTAAAAACGTTGCTAATAATGGTGTTTACGTTTCCTTAGGAAGATCAATCCATGCCTTAGCAAGAGTATCAGATTTATCAGATTCATATTTGAAGGATTGGAAAAAATTCTTCAAACCACATCAACATGTGATTGGTAAAATATCTGCCTGTAAAGAAGAAGGTCGTATTTTAATAACTTTAAAAGAAACCGAAGTTAATGGTGATTTGAACTATTTAAAGAGATTTGAAGACTTAGAAGGTGGTCAAATATATGAAGGTTCAGTTAAACGTGTTACTGATTTCGGTGTCTTTGTTAAATTAGATGGTACTCTCAATATCACTGGTTTATGTCATCGTTCTGAAATTGCTGATACTGTTGTTGAAAATGCCTCTTCCTTATTTGGTGAAGGTGATCGTGTTAAAGTAAAGATTTTATCAGTTGATCAAGAAAAGAAACAATTATCCTTAGGTATGAAAGCCTCTTACTTCACTGAAAAGAGTGCCGATGATCAAGATGATGTCGAAATGGAAGATGCTGATAATGAAGATGACGACGATGAAGAAGAATCCGATGCTGAAGATAATGAAGATGAGGATGACGAAGTTCTTGATGAAGCTAACTTTGCTAATGATGATAGTGATATAAGTGATGATGAAAATGAAGAAGAAGAATCAGTTGGAGCTGTTAAATCAAGTGGATTATCCACCAATGGTTTCGATTGGACTGCATCTATTTTAGACCAAGTTGAAGCTGATGAATCATCCTCTGACGAAGAAGATTTCACTCAAGAAAAGAAAAAGAGTAAGAAAGTACAAAGACATGTTGAAGATAAAACAGCTGATTTAAATACTCGTGCTCCACAATCTATTTCTGATTTTGAACGTCTCTTAATCGGTAATCCAAATTCATCTATTTTATGGATGAACTATATGTCTTTCCAATTACAACTTAGTGAAATCGATAAAGCTAGAGAAATTGGTGAAAGAGCATTGAAAACCATTAATTATCGTGAAGAACAAGAAAAAATGAATATTTGGGTTGCTTTACTAAACTTGGAAAACACTTTTGGTACTGATGAATCCTTAGAAGAAGTCTTCAAACGTGCTGCTCAATACTTGGATTCATTTGTTGCTCATCAAAAATTAGTTGGTATTTACACCATGTCAGAAAAATTCGATAAAGCTAAAGCATTATATAAGACCATGACTAAGAAGTTCGGTAAGATGGTTGCTGTATGGGTTCAATTCGGTTCATTCTTATTAGACCGCGAAGACCGTGATGCTACTCGTGAAACTTTAGCTAGATCACTTCAAGTCTTACCAAAAAGAGATCATATTGAAGTGGTTAGAAAATTCGCCCAATTAGAATTTGTTAAAGGAGATGCTGAACAAGGTAGATCATTATTTGAAGGGTTAGTTACTGATGCTCCAAAACGTATTGATTTATGGAATGTCTACATTGATCAAGAAATCAAGAATGATGAAAAAGCCAAGGTTGAAGAGTTATTCGAAAGAGTCTTAGCTAAAAAGATCTCACGTAAACAAGCCAAATTCTTCTTCAGTAAATGGTTATCATTTGAACAAGAAAAGAGTGATGAAAAGATGGTCATTCGTGTTAGAGCCAAGGCTACCCAATACGCTCAACAACACACTAAAGAAGAGTAAATATATTCTCTAGACTCAGTATTTTGCACATAGTTAGATGATTTAGAATTATTTATTTTTAGTTTTGTATATTAAATAAAAAAAATTGCATATAGATTTTAAATCTCACCAAAACAGCTGCGAAAATTTATGACGGTCAAAATAATTCTCTGAATAGCGTTTACTGTCCAACCATGGGAAGGTAAGTCAATACATCAAATCAATCAAAGATAATGTTAATAGAGAGAAGTAAGTCGAAGAAAGCTCGTTCCATTGTATATAGATATGTCATTAACGGAGGGCTTATTTTGTTATCGTTAGGATTATTTAAAATATGGCTCCAGGGAGGACCATTTCAAGATGAGAACATGGAAGGGAATCAAGTCAAATCAGTGTTTAGATCATCATCTTTTCAAAAGTTAATCCAATGTAGTGATACTAAAGATGGATCACAATGTTTAAAGAACTATAAGGGATCATTGATTGATGAATTAAGGCCAAAGCTTAGTTCAGCTATTCGCGTTCAATTAGAAAGGTAAATAAGACCGTATGATGATCCGTTTTGATGATAATATTGTACTAACCTTGACATTTATAGTTGTTTGGATACATCAGCTTTAATCTCCAATGACATGGAAATGCTTTTGAATACTCAAACATGTTTCAATCAAGTTGATTTCTGGGATCTGATTGAACAATTTAAAATCGAATCTAAAAGCTCGTCGCTACCACTGTTGTTAGTGGTAATTGTTTATGGTTTATCATTTGGATTAATCATTTACAGTCATCGGATTACTAGGAATAAGATGGAATCATTTATAAAGCAACAACTGGAAAAGATTAAAGGGTTGGACAGAATGTATGAAAATTATCAAATTACTATTGAAAATAATCACGAAAGATTAACCAACTTAGTTGGATTTGTTAATAATTTAAATCAAACTGTTAAATCTGAAATCAGAAACATGAAAATTAAATTTAGTAGAGAAGAAGATTTAATTTCAGATGTTGAAATGTTAGCTGTTTTATTCTTAGAATTGAAAAATGAATTTAAAATGTTAAGTAATACTGGTTATTATTATAAGCCAACAAATAGTAAAGGGATGTTGGTTCCAAGAAATACACCTGATAATTCATATTATAATACATTCAAATCCTTTTATGATTTTAAGACTAATACGAAAAATAGTAGTGGAATAGATAATGAAAATATAAAGTTTAGCTCGGATATCAATTTGAATTCTAATGCAGAGTCTGAATTAAACTCGGTTGTTCCTCCTACTAGCGAACTAACGACTGCAACTCCGATTTCAGAATTGAAGATCACATCACCAGATTTATTCGACTCCACTACCGATTATTATGATTTAGATGACAAAATTGTTAAACAGTCTTCTACATTAAGAGTACATACCATAAACTCAACTCAATTGGATGATAACAGTACTATTAGTTCATCAATATCTAAATTGAATGTTGCGAAAAATGGTGATGAAATCTCCTTTGATACGATTAAACCTAGTTATGAAAATGAAAATCTTAACGGAAACCGCAGTAATAAAATTAATTTTGATATTGCAACACCCGAGGGTAGAGATAAACTTAAAGATTTTCTAAGTAAAAAAGTTAACTGTGAAAATGAGAACTTTATTACAACTGTTAAATCGGAGCCGTTATCAACCTCAGGATCTACATTATCACCTGAAGATCTTAGTATTAAAATTAATGAAATAAATGAATCAAATCCACGTTTACGATATGAAGACTTACCAAGATTTGATCATAATATGAAGAAATTAAAACGAATCTTTATACCAGAAAGAGGATGGGTTTCACATTTACAAATCGAAAGCGAGGAGAAAAAGTATGGAAGTTCAAGTTTTATTCAAATGTCTACTACTCCAAGTTTATCATAGGGGTTCATATAATAATAATAATTTTTTTTATTTCTTTCTATGCGGCTAGATCGAAGATAAAAAATAATAAAGGAGAACAAATAGATTTAAACGAAAGATTGATAATAATTGCTATTGACTCAAAAGTTTAACCATAACCATGTTGGACTGATGAAGTATGATTCAAAATGAAAACAAAACAATCATTTGATAATTCTATCATCATCATCATCATCATCATCATCATTATTATTAAAGTTATACAACAACTAGACACGAAATTGATTCATCTGCTATAAAAATAATATATTATTACATAAAACAAATAAATCTTAATTGCATATGATATTGGTTTGGAGTAAATTACCACATTTACTCCACTTGAATTTGTAGCTTTTCACTATTTATTTTGAATATGATTTAATTTTTAAACCGTAAATTTGGCTTAAAATGGAGTTTTATCACATGCAGGTAACGCAGACTTCATCATACAAATTGTTTGACCTCAGGACACGACCAGACTCAAAAATACCCAAAATTTATAAATTTATAAATTTCTATATATATAAATGAAGGTTTACCAATTAAATGATCAAGGGTGGGAGTTAGTTAGTAAATCATTTCAACTGATCATCTTCATCATTTGTTGTTTTTCTTTTGATTCAGACGTTTTATTCAGATTTAGTTCTACTTGGTTAGTCCCAGAAGTGATAATAATACCCTATATCAACCTTTATTCATTTACATCACAGATCTTACTGTTATCTTGTGAACGTGGAATTGTCATATTTATCCCTGATTTAAACAACTTATTACCTCGATTCAATCATGTCAGAGATCAATAACGCTGACTTTAAGCGTAAATTATCTATGAATACTCCTCAGGCTCAATCGATTGCATCATCTCCTTCATTATCACCATCACCTCCCCCAGCATATGAACATTCTCAAGCAAATGTAGCCAAGACTGTTCCTAGATTCGTTAGTCATCCTAATTCTCCTCAGTTAAGACCTTCCACTAATGGGTCCAAAAATAATAATGATGAAGATTTAGTCTCTGCGGCTGAAGCTTTAACTCAATTAAATAGAAGTGTTACCCCTCCAAACTCCGACCCTACCACTTCTCCAACTCCTCAACATCCATTAGTTACTAAAGTTAATCAAGTTTCTAAACATCCTATTGTGACCCATGCTGTTAAATATTATGAACATACCAAGAGAAATTATGCCTCATTTGGTTATGCGGCTGAAATTGTCGAAAAAACTGCTATACCTGTGGTATCAAAAATTGAAGATAATCTTAATAGTAGACATCAAAGACTGTTAAAGAAAGCTGCTGCTGCTGTCCATTCCAATTCAAGTTCTACCACTTCATTGGCTTCTCTTACATCTATTAATAGTGAAGCTCAAAATACTAAGAAAAGAAGAAGATTCTCGGGTAATGCCAATACAAACCCATTATCTGTATCACTTGAAACCAAGAATAGAATTCAATTCTGTTTACATATTTTGAGATTGGCTAATGAAAGTATCAATAGTAAAGTTAACTTTTTACAACAAAAAGTGAGTGAACGTGAAGAATATGTTAAATCAGAACGTGAAAAAGAATATCAACAACAACAATCTCCTATACTTCAACCTACTGAATTAGTTAATTCTGAAGCTATTCAAACCAAAACTGAAATCGTCACTACTGTGAAAAAGATTATTCGTTTAATATCTAATTTCAAACCATCATCCTTAAATCCTGAAGCTTTATCTCCAACTCCAAGTAATGCTTCTGAAGATAATGAATTAAAAACAACCATCAGAGATATAATATTGAATTTACCTAATGCTTTCCAACAAAGCACCATCACCAGCAGTGAATCTGCCAAACAAGCCAATGATAGGATAATATTATTCGCTAAAGAATCTCTTGATATGATAGGGAAATTAACCAATGTATTAAATGATCAATTGGTTAAAGCTGAAGAATGGGTAGCAGGAGCTGAAGAAATTCATTCTCAAGCTCAAGGCCAAGCCGTGACTCAAACTCAATCTGAACCCGAAATTGATAGTTCGGGTAGTTTTGAAGTAACAAAGACAAGTTCCCAGTCTACTATTGAAGAATCATTAGAAGAATATAATACGTTTGAAACTAAAAGAATAAAAATCGAAGATTCAGAGAGGGAAAAGATGTTAATCGATAGTTAGTTAACATCTTTGAATTTTTTAAAGTTTTTTATTGGGTTTAATTTTTTTGCATATTTCGTATTTTGGGTTTCTTGTTGCATTTTTTTTTTTTATTTTATTTTGATCTGATTTCTAGTTATTGTCATTTTCTTATTGTTTTGACATTTTTGACATTTTTTTTGAACGGTGTATATTGTATTATAGAGTAAGTCTTTTCAAATACATATGTGTATTATTACTTTTAAAACTGGTATGACTTTATATTGTACATGTAGGGCTATAATTTATCTATTTACAAAAAGGGATTGTGTATACCTCATAATCAACTCAGCATAAAACTAACATTCTTATAAAAATCCAACATTGGATTCTCACCTGCTTTAGTGGTAGTAGCATCGGTATCAGCCCATTGTTCTAAATACTGTTTATGGGATTCAACTTTAGGAATCTTACCTGTTACTTGACGATATAAATCAGCAGCAATCCCAAAATCGGTAGCAAACATGATATCAAAGTATCCTTGATGACACATATAAGTACTGACATCAACAGTCTTATCTTGTACCACAGTTTGAACTACAGGTCCATTGTAACTACCTTTAATAACTTTGGGTAAGTAATGGAAATCAGAACAAAGTAAGGAATGATTAGGGAATTTATGTTTTAAAATTTGAAAGAATTGTAATAATCGTGTTGGAATAAATTCGGGTGGGGTAAGATTATCTTTGAATGGGAATAATGAATTTTGCCATCTTAATTTCAAAGATGAATGTAATAAAGGATGGATTTTATCTTTATCAGTTAAGAATGGAATCAAACTCTTGAAAGTTTCTAATCTACCTGCTAATCTATTGGATTCCTTTAATACTGAATAATCTCCATGTTCACGTAATTGTAAATAAGCATTTGTATAATAACTTAATTCAGGAGTGAAGAATTCAAAGAAATCGCCATTCTTATCAATCAAAACTTGGCCTTCATATGGTTCACCAGTGGTATTATCATAACGTACCACATCATGAGCGAAATTATCAAACACTTCTAAAGCAAGGAAAAAACAAGGCTCAAGAATAACTTTATCCCATTTAAAGATCGATTTGTTGATGATTTCAACTTTAGTAGTATCCAATCCATTCTTGATTAATTTATTATTCAATGCACTTTTCACTTGCTTTAATGCCAACTGACTTGAAATCTCAATGATCTTATATTGAGTTCTATCATAAACATCCGGTTGATGCTTTCTGATGAAATTTAAAATATTACACATTAAAGTCCCATTACCTCCTCCCATCTCATAGATAATCAAATCTTCATATGGATAACTTCCATTCAATTTATAATTCACTAATATATGTCTGGCAATAGCTTCACCATAATAAGGTTGGAATAATTCGGTAGGAGTATGCCATAATTGTAATGATCTTCTCGTTTTATTAACCCCTTTACTAGAGGCCATTGCAGCTGCGGTATCTTGTTTATGAATTAATTGAGCTCGTTGAACGAATTTAGACGTTAAAGCATCTTTCGAGGGTGGTAATGGTGGTGGTGCGTTAGGATCAACTTTAGTCACACCAGTATTCTTATTTTGATATTGCTTTGGAGCAGATTCCAATGAATTGTCATATTTCTTATATGATTGATTCCAGTTCTCCATGAAATCATCTATATCTTCTATATTATTATAATCGAATGGCTTGTCAGGTTGATAGATATTGACTTCTCGAGAAAAGTATCCATAATTAGGATTATAAAGTGAATCTTCAATGAAATTTGCGGTTGTCATTTTCACACCTTTTGGACGAATCTTTAATCGAGCTGCAGTTTCAGAATTTGTTCTAGGATATTCATTATAGACCATTTGAGGAGATTTATCACCAAATGGATAATTGGTAGTATATCGATATATGAATTCGATCAAATTGAATCCTCCTCTTTTTGAAGTGTAGACACTTTCACGTTGGAATGGATGGGACGTAGGTTCTTGTACATCCTTAGAACTGGAAGACTTTCTACCTATATCATTGATCACTTTGAAAGCATATGTATCTGGTCGTATAGAATATTCATGGTGGAAAGGTTCGTGATCTATATCATTCTTGTCTTTCTTCTTTTGTTCTTGTTTCTGGTTATAAAGCTCTAGTTTCTTGGACGCATTTTTGAAAAGATACCTCACTGATGATTGATTGAGGTTATACGATCGAGAATATATAGATCTAGACGGTAGCATCTTAATTGATACATTTAATGATCCTATTAGTTAGCCTTACATTGGTTCTACATTGATTCCCTATAGAAAAATTCTCAGTGGTGTAATTTTCTTTGGTAGTGCACATAAGCAATCTTCACCCATACTAAGGGAACCAAACTACTATAACAGATATACCTATTAACCACACAGATCTGGATATAGAGAAGGGTTCTGAAGTTGAAAAATCATTACACCCATTCCCTTGGATCAAACATAGGTTAATTTCGCTTATGAAAATTTACGGGGAAATCAAATGACAGGTTCAACCTACATTTAGCGAAGTTCACTGATAATATTAATTATTATTACACACGCGTGTCTTGCAACACACCAACTCTGTAAATTGCTATATCATAGTCATATATTAATCAAATAAGGTAACATATTTACAAGGGGTTAGTTGCAGATATATATATTAAATTACTACTACTACTTTAAGTAATTGAGTTCTATACTTTAAACCTAACTTCGATGCCTGCATATACCCGAATTACTTAAAATGGAATTGCTCATTAAAAAAAAGATAAATTTCCTAATTAGGAATTCTAATTAATGATATATGTTAAAGACTGCAAAAGAAGATTAGAATTATTTAGGTAGTATAGGAGTTTAAACTATCATATACTCCACAAATGATAGTTTATTTAATTCTTAATTAAGTAATTCGCCTTTTGCCTTGAATTTCGTATTTCCTAATTAAGAGCTTTACAAATAAATATATAAAACGAAGGTAGTTTCTTCTTATCACTGAATTGGTTTTCAATTCAAAAAAATCCTTCTTTCTTTTGTTATCATTATCCAAGCTACCATAAACCTTTACCCAATCTATTATAATTTGTGAACGTTTTATTCAAACTAACGATTATCAAAAATGCCTGGTCAATTAGACTTAAGAGCTTCTGAGCTCTTAAACATTGAAACATCATGGTCTCAAGTTGAAAATAAAGTTAATTATCAAAGAATTGATTTCATTTCAAGAATATATTCCACTATGATTTCCAACAATAGAAAATTTAGATCTATCTTTAATGATGATTTAGTTTTAAATCATCATATTGCTATCTTTAGTGATTTATTAAACTTTTCCCTTTCATATCTTAATGAACCAAGAATGTTGGATGAATTTATGTATCAATTTAATATTGAAAATGCTATATTCACATCTGTTGCTGTTACTTATTTAGAAGAAATGGGTCCTGCTATTATTTCAACTCTTAAAGAATATTTACCTGATTTATCAGCTGAAGTTGAAACTTCATGGGTTAAACTTTATGTCTATATTGCTAATTCTTTATTACAATATTCTGATAGTGATGATGAAGAAGAAGAAATGGAAGACTCTTCTGAAGATATGGTTGCTCCATTAAATATTAACCGATCTAATTCAATGAATACTCCAATTACTTCTAAATATGAAGAAATTCAAGAACCCCAAATTCAAATTCAAAGACCACAACCAAGAATTACAAAACCATCATCTATTTTAGATCCATCTAAATCAATTCAATTCCTTTTAAATAGTAATGAGAAATATAAAGGATTCAGAAGAAGTGTTGAATATGAAACTGCTGATCCAATCCAAGTTGAAATCCCTCAAATGAGTACTTTCCAAAAGGTTCATCAACCAGTGGCTGCTTCAAGTTCAAATATGTCTGCTTCATTAAGATCAATGTTAACTACTACTTCTGGTACAACTACTCCATTTATTACTCCACCTTCTACTCCATTTGATCCAAGAAAGACTAGAAGAGGAATCCATAGTTCTGCTTCTTCAATTCATGAAGATCATGATACTTTTGTTTCAGTTCCAGCTTTACAACCTGTTGTAAAACATGAAGAAGAAGAAGAAGAAGAAGAAGAAGTTTTCACTCCAGTTAGATCAAGTAGAAGAAACTCATCTTCAGAAGGAAAGAAATTACCTGAAATTCCATCATTATTAGCTAAATTAGAACAACATCAACAATCTTTAATATCATCATCTTCAGAAGATGAAGATTATGAAGAAGCAACTAATTCTAAACCAATTGAGAAATTTGATCCTCGTAGTAGAAAGGGACACAAGAGATCTAATTCAGTTCATATTCCATCTCCAGAATCTTCAGAAGTTGATGAACAAGAGGAATTTGAATATATGAGAAATGATAATTTTAGAGAACATCAACAACCAGCACAAATCAATATTGAACCACCAACCAGTGTTCCAGAACGTTCATTGTCAAGAGGCGGTTTAACTGGAGGTACTTTTGATTATAATAGTTTTGGTTTGAAAGGATTAGCTCCAATCGTTGAAGCTGATTTCGATGATAATGCTTCTTCCAAATATGGTGATAATGAAGATGGTAATTCTACTACTTATGGAGGTGATGAAAGTAATAAATCAGTTACTGATGAAGAAGATACATCCTCAAGAAATTCAAGTTTATCTTTACATAATAGTGATTATAAATCATCAATAAGTTCAGGTGCTGAATCTGCTAATAGTTCACCAACTACTGATTTAAAATCTAAATTCAGTAGACAAGCTGTTACTGGTCTTGATTTTAATAATAATAATAAAGTACAACAACCAGCTTACAGATCCCAAATCCAACAACATTACCAAGTATCAACCTCTACTTCCAATCTTGGATCCTTGAATAGAAATTATTGTTCATCTACTCCATCATTATTAATGGGTAAATCGGGTGATTCATATGGTACTAAGAGAGCTTCTATGGGTTTCATGAGAAGTTCATTTGTATTAAAGAAGGAGATGGAAACTTTAGGTTATAATGTTCCAGAAAATGTATCCATGACTAATGTTTCTATGTCAAGTAATACTGTTAAAAGATCATCACCTCCAATGGCTTCAACTAGTAATTTTAGTGAACAATATAATCAAAGAGCTTCAACTACTATCTCATTACCAAGAAACTTTAATTCTAATAAATTCAGACCTAAAACTCCAGTATTTGATGAAGATGATTCATTTGATATGCTTAATTCATTCAGTACTTCAACTAATAATAAGAATAATAATAATAATGGTCAAAAGGGTGGATTGAATTATAAATCAAGAGTTATTGAACCACCAGCTAAATTATCATTTAAACAAAGACTTTCATCATTCTTTGGTAGTTCATCATCATCATCCACTAGATCTTCAACTTCTACTGCTTCAACTAGTCGTTCTGCTAGTTCAACTTCTTCTACTGGTATGAACTCTAATAATTCTATTAGAACTTCATCAACTAGAGCTACATCTGTTGCTAGTGCTTCATCTGCTGGTAATATTCCAAGAAGAACTTCTGCCAGTCCAATGGTTGCCTCATCAGGATATAGTATGACCTCCAAGATGTCTCATCCATCTGTGATGAGTGATAATGCATCGATTAATACTGTTGATACACGCACATCATCAAAATCAAGATTTTCACTTTTCAGTAAGAAATCAAAGGATGTTGCATCACAATATAGATTACATGGTAGTAGATCAAGGAAGGGTGGTAAATATAAGGTTCAATCTACACCATATGATTTAGAATTATTTAGAAAAGGTCATAATATTTGAAGAATGGAATACCCAATAAAATTACAAAACACCAAAAAATACAAATGGACTAATTATAATTTCTCACGTTACTATAGCTACAGCTCCTATTACTATAACAACTTTTTCAAAATATTATTTAACCACGTTGAATGATTGTTTGAATTTATTTATTCGAACATCGATTTATAATTACAACAAGATTGGTTTTAATGATATCAGTTTGATATAGAATTGGAGGGTGGTTTTTTTACTTTCAATTCTTTTACTTATTATTTTTACGATTACAATTATTTATTATTATTATTAACTAAGTAGTTTATATTATTATTCTTAGCTTTATTTTGTGTATATTAGAAGAAACAAGTATGATGATACTTTTCTTGATAGTTGTAGATGTTGAAGTTGAAGTTGTAGTTCTTGGATGACATACATACCAGAAATTGTAATTATTGCCCAATTAGGAAATTCTGGGATAAGTTTTTTTTTTCTTCATTTCGACAGTTCTACAAACGGCAAAAAAGGGGGATTTGATCTTGTGGCAGGTTTGGGTTGTCAATGCAAATCTTGAAAAAAATATTATTATTATGGATTAAACTTTGTAAAAGGGGTGGTATAGATTAGAGTTGAAACAAGATAATGGTATGTTTACATACTATCTACGACGTTTCATAGTAAAGTGTAAGTTGTGGATAGTTGTATGGTACAAAAGAAATTTAGCGGTGGGTTGTAAATAGGCTCCCTGTAGCAGCGAAGGAAATTTTATTTTTTATTTTTTCTTGGGGGGGAAGGGTCAGTAAAAAATGGGTGAGGTTTGTAACCCTCTTTGAGTAGTTTTAAATATGTAATTAATTGCCTTGAATACATTACAACCATATCCTAAAGGAGTAAAGAGGCGACGTCAATGTCAATATTAAGTTAGTAGGTCTTAAGAGGCGTTGATTAATGATTGAACTTGAAGTATTTCTAATCATTCTGAGGTATAATGTTTCAGTAAAATTATACGAAATAACGGAATTGCAAAATATTTCAAGGCAAACAAACAAACAAACAAATACATAAACAAATAAATAAATAAACAATTGAAAACAAATAAATAGACCTTAGACGGTAAGCTAATTTCATTGTTTGATAGGTTGTGATGGTACCCTTCTATCTGCTATCTACTCGTATTCATTCAAATGATATGTATGCTTCATATCTACTATCATTCTCAAACCCTCTCTCTCTCTCCCTCATCATTTCAATGTCGATTAAAATTAATTAAATGCCACAAAATGCTAAAAATAAATTTCGTAAGCTTTGATTCCTAAAATTTCATTGTTCATTTGAATGTTACATTGTTCAATGTTATATATCAATTAGTTAACGTGTTTGTGATTGTCTGTTGCTCGTCTATTAATGGTTAAAAGTTGTCCTGTAAAGCTTTTGTAACTAATTTAAATCCCACTTCAACGATCTTAGAACCTTACATTGTGCATGTACTGTATCATTTAGCCTACAGTTAATATCTTCTCATCATCTCTACTCCCTCTGTAACTATTTCCCAACTAAGTCTAGATTGAACAGAATTATTATAAAATAATATCCCTCAAGACAGATAGATAGATATATATATGTCTGTTTAAGGTTATAAATATAAATGCAAAGTAAATCTCCAAATCTGGTAGTTTTTTAATATTTTTTTAGAATCTTTCATTAACAAACCTTTTCCATTTCATTGTTAGCCTTTTTAAGTTTTTAAATCGGATTGATTAATTGATTGATTCAAGCGGAGTAAAGGAAGCAAAGGTAAAGAAAACTTAATTGTTCATTAGATTATATTGTATTATAGAATCGTGTTTTCCATACGTCAATCTTCATCCACTTTTACCTGTATCCTTTGCATTTTATTTACTTCATTCATTCATTCTTTCCATTCATTCTTTCTTTCTTCTCCATTTTTCATCATTTTATCTACGGCAAAACATGGTATCTGTAACAACTATCCAACAACCTCCATCGTCAATGCTAAATCCAAAAATATCCCATCAAATCCAACAACCAATAACACCCCAAACATCAGCTCCAGAATTTAAATTAACCCAATATGAAATAAGTTGTATCAAACTTATATGGAATAGTTTAAACTTAGTCAATACCGTCTCAACCACTACCACCACCAATTTACAAAATACAACAAGAATAGGTTTACTTCATAGTACAAGTTCAGGTAGTTTATCAATCCATACTCGAAAATTATCCATATCATCCATTAATAGTATACGATCTATCACTAATGCTGTTTCTCCAACATCCACTACATCTCAATTACCAATTGTAACATATAATGATTCCAATTATATTCAATTTCAATATGATCTTTGTACTTTAGTATTCAACAGAGAAAATCATACTTATAACGAACATTTAGATTCTGATGATGATTTTAATAATGTCTTGAATGAATATCAAATCTTAGAATTGATAAATCTAATATGTATCCTCATAAATTATCTTGAATTTAATAAAGTCTTACCCACAGGGTATATTATCAAATTAAGTAAACAAAATTCTCGAATTTATGATTATGATATAGAGAAATATACTTTATTTGGAGAATGTTTAATTAACAATATTATGAATTATATTAATCATAGTGGAAATGATAATGAAAGAGCTTTATTATCCCTTGAAAATCAAATATCATTGAATAAATTCATTTCCCAATTCTTGAATATATTAGCTTATCATGGGAATGAAGTCATAATCCATGAATTTGATTCATATATGATTCCAACTAGTGCATCTCAACCACCAGGACCTCCTTCATCATTATTATTACCTCCTACTATGCCAGTCACAGTTCATTCTCGAAACCCATCCATAACGAAAACCACTACCAATTCCACCTTATTAACTGATTCTCATTCAAACATAACTATTAATTCCTCACCTTCTTCCAAAGTTATGAGTGAAACTTCATCTCAATTATCGTTATATAAGTCAAACGATATGGATCATGATACGAGTCGTAGTATGATGGGTCATGATGATGATGATAATGTTACTATTAGTTCTAGTGGAGATATGAAAAAGAGTTATGTAAAACCAGTGGATGAAGAAACTTCTAGTACTTTCACCACTGATACTGATGATACATTTGATGATGAAGATGATTCATTTGATTATCTTAACTCCTTCTCCTCTTCAAATTCAAATAAGAAAAAACGATTATCAATCTTAAAGAAAAAGTCAACTCCATCATCAAATTCCAGAAATGGAAATACGAATACATTATCAAGAATGAATACCAATACCAGCGTCAATACGAAATATTCAACCATGACGAACAATAAACGTATGCCCAGTCAATTAAGTACCACAACTACTAATTCCACTTTAACTAACGATAAGAAGAAAAATGTAAATGCTGGACCATCCGATTCAATATATGCTAGAGGTAGTAATGGATCAGATGAAGGTTGTATTATAATGTAATTTGATCATATCTTACACATATAGGGTATAAATTTAATAAATGAAAGAAAGGATTTTTTTTAATTAGAAGTAAAATTGTATGTAATATATTTTTAAACTAAGTCTCTATCAGAATAAAAAGGAACGTTATAAAGAAAGAAAGAACGAAAAAGAACTAATGTAACTAAAACTATGACACAGACTATGCATCACTTGTAAACGATTAAGGACGATGAAGACATGACAAAGGTTATTATATAAGGTAGGATGGTCCCTACTTACTTACATCTATCAGTATCACAATTTGCCACATCATCAATCCAACAATTTAAACTATTGGATTTACCATATACTGAAGGTTGTTTCTTTAATAAAAGAGCCCCATTCACTGGTGATATTTGTTGGAATTCAGGTTGAATCGTTACGGAATGAATACCGAATTTATGTAATACGGATCTAACTTGACCCACAGCCTTTAAAAATAACACTTTATCAATTTGATTAAAATTTTTCGTAATGGTTACTTCATCTTGTACATTTGGTGGAGTTGGACTAGTGGTATAACAATTTTCTTCAAGTTCTAAATGTAAAGAAGCAATTAAGATTTCTTCATTTAAATTCCAAACATGGAAATCATGAACTGATTTAACTAATGGTAAGTTGATAATCTTTTTAATAATCAAGTTGGAATTTATATTGGTTGGAGTAGCTTGTAATAAAATTTTGGATGATTTTCTACATAATGGTAAAGCAGATGAGAAAATAATCATCGTAATCACTAATGAAGTAACGGGATCAGCTAAATTCTTCCAACTATAATCAGTCTTCCAAATGAATAATGCAGTGATTATAACCCCGATATTACCTAAAGCATCTCCCATAACATGTAAGAATACACCTTCCATACTCATTGATTTTTTCTTTTGATTAGCATGAGCATGAGCTTCGTGATCATCATCATGATCATCATCATGATCATCATGATGATCGTTGCTGGTACCATGACTATGGGTATGACCGTTAGATCCATGATCATGACCATTATTAACTTTATCTACTGATTCATCTTGTTTGATTAAAGGACTTGATTCATTATATCTTCCTACCACGGTATCAGGTAAATAATCAAATACATTTGTATTTGAATCTGTAATTTGACTATGACCATGTTCATAAACTGAGCTTACATTTGATTGTTCGATTTCAGCTTCTTCATCATGAATATGTTCTTCACTGGAACTTCCACCATGAGAATGTGAATGGCCATGTTCATGGAATAATACTAATCCAATACCATTACTGATTAAACCAGCAATACCCACTACTAAAATTAATTGAGGATTTGAAATTTCTTGAGGTTCGAAAAAACGTTGAATGGCATCCATAACGATAGTGAAACATAAAGCTAATAAAAACACTGCATTAATTAAAGCTCCCAAGATTTCAGCTCTTTGCCAACCATAAGTATATTTCCCATCGGCAGGTTTTGTATTCTTAACTCTTACAGCCCAAAGAGCGATTATAAGAGAGATGATATCATTAAGCATATGGAAGGAATCAGCAATCAAGGCTAAGGAATGGACAGAATACCCAATGATAGCTTCTAATAAGAAGAAGATGGTATCCAATACAAGTAAAGCCACAATTCTAATTTCTTTATTATTCATCGTCATCTTGGTATAGATATTTTATGTATAATGATTTGGTGATTTGATCTTGACTTTAAAGATCAGATTATATTAAGGATAGAAGGTATAAATAAGGAATGAATTATAGTATGATCTAACCACTAATAACTTGGTATGATATGACTTTTTGGTAATGAATAAGATGGAATACGGCTTATAATGCCGATATCAGGAGAAGGAAAGAACAACAAAAAGATGCTTACTACCACAAATCAAAAATCACACTAACAATACTGAGTTTGAGCTAATAAGTAGTACTATCCAGAAGAAAGTAGTACTTTGATGATATTGAAGAAGAGAAAGATCTGATGATATTAAAATACAAAATACAGCCAAAATTTTTGATTGATCCTTTCCAAAATTTGAATCCTTATTTTTTTTACTTTTTTTTTTTTTAGGTAAACTGTAAAAATAAGGAATGGTGTCAATCTGTAGAATTGGTGATGTAATTAGTAAAACTGTTGATGTAACCTGTAGAATTGTAACAATCGACTTATAACCACTACAGTCCAATTTAAAGTTTTAGGGTTAAAGTTTACATTTGTTTTAAAAGTTCGTATAGAAGAGATTCGATGAGGGAATTGGACTATGATTCATAACAACAAGGTTTAGAAGTGGTAGCAAGGAACTTTCTATTCAAATGACTTGAGATATATGACAAAGCTTTTAACTATTTGAATTTATATTTGATGTATAGCTTTTGTCATTTAGTCGGCTTCTTCGTCTCTGCCTACCATATGAGACTAATTACGGTCTCATACTATTATAATTACTTAGTATGTCGGTTTCATGTATCCCAAGTGGAACCATTCTCGCTACAGGTATCATTCCTGTAATTTTGATTTAGACATATTCACGTGCGTATGCCTATAACCAAAAAAAGCTTATGCAACACAACTATAATTACACACACAATTTACTCGTAACTATAACAACTATAACAGAAACTATAACATCTAATCTATAATTATTCAAAATAATACATAATGTATACATAGAAGTTACTATTTAAAAAAAAAAAAGAAAAAAAAGAAAAAGAGTCAAAAAAAAAAAAAAAAAGCTAAAAAAAATTAGAAAAAAATTTAAAAAACTTTAAAAAAAAACCACTGTTAAAAGGTTTTGGTCTTTATAGACCAATTATGAATTATTCATTATTCATAATCATATTCGTTAATCATTCTAGTAATAGTAATAATATTGATAAAAGGAAAAATCATGTGACAAACAAGAGTGATAAACTCACCTATTTTGTAGAATATGAAATGAATTGCATTGAAAATGGAATGGATTGGAAATTTGATATAGGAATAACATTAAATTTGAATGATAAAAATAAACTAAGATAATAAAAGTACCCCCAATTATAGTTTAAGATGAAAACTAATAAAAAAACAAACTGAATTTGATCTCCAAATAAATAAAAAATAAACAATAATAAAAAAAAGTAGTAGTAGTAGTAGTAAAATGAAATAAAAACATTGGAAACATAAAAACACAGTAATACCAGATAGGTATCACTATTTTGAAGAACTTAATAAATCATTAAACGAAATCTTTTGTCCTTTATTACCATTTGTAGAATCGTTTGAACCAGTTGGAATTGGAACCGGAATTGGACCTTGACCTTGACCTTGACTATGTAAATTATAGTTATTTCCTCCATACATTGGAGCTAAACCAGTTCCTGGCATTGGAGCTTGGAATGGTGGATATTGATATTGAATAAATCCTTGTGGAGTTATAGTATAAGCAAATCCAGGTTGAATGTATTGATTTGGAGGAAATTGATGTTGAAGTGGGGGTGGAGGCATTTGCATATAATTTGCAGCAGGAGGCCCAGCTCCTGGTGGATAAGCAGTAACTGGATATCTTGGAGGTAGATTATTATTTGGACTAAGAACACTACTTAAAGGAGATGATGATCCACCTGAAACACTTGAAGTTGGAGAATGTTCAGCACTATTACTACCATTGTTTTGTTTTGGAGAACTTTTAAATGATGGTTTAGGTAAATTTAAAGCTGCAGGAGAAGTACCAAATGATGATCCAGCATAAACATCTTTAGGATCTTTTTTGTTATTGTTGTTGTTATTATCATCGTTCTTTTTATTGTTGTTATTACCAAAATTAGGTTTTTCACCACTAGGTAAAGATTGTTCTGAAGATTTTGGTCTTGGCTTTGAATCATTATTATAAAAATTTGGTTTTTCACCATTTGGTAAAGATGCATCACGAAGATTTGATTTCTTTTTACTACCTTTAGATGAATCTTTATTCTTATCATTACCATTATAAAAATTTGGTTTACTTCCATCTGGTAAACTTGGTGAAGTACTTAATTCAACTGATGATAGATTTCCATTTTGGTTCTTTTTCTTTGACTCAGGCTCAGGAGTATTACTATTCTGCTTGGAAGGTTTCTTAGGTCTATTATTAGATCCATTTAGAGTTCCATTCCCAGTACCATTTCCAAAATTAACCTTTGCCCCATTTGGTAAACGTCTATCATCATTACTTGGTTGTCTTTTATGATTCTTTTCCTTAGAATTCTTAGCTTGATTTGATTTATTACCAGTATTACCGCCATTTCCATCAATTTGAAGATGAAGAATGGAAGAAGGTAGTTCATGCGCCATCATCCCTAGAACTTAAAATAAAACAGATGTTGGATGATAAAGACAGATGAAATAAATATTGATAAAGTGTATAACTTAGTTGATGACAAGATGCTATTAATGTATATTGAATCTAGATCTTGTTGTTGTTGTTATGGATGATATGGATGATTGTGTGATTGTTGAAGTTATACTTATATTATTGATTGATGATATTATGGTTGTTATACTATTGAATGCGTTTTTCGTCATAAGATGATTTCTTGAATGGAATAGTATATTATATTTATCCTTTAATGTTGAAAATAATGATATAAGGAATATCTAATAAATGCTGTAAAACAACTGTTGTATATCCCATGTGTGATAATATCCCCTTGTTTCAAATCCTCTGTTTGATGCTGGGATGTATCACCATTTTTTTTTGTTGAATTTGAGGTCGTGCGTGGTGACCAAAGTTTTACTCCCTTTTCGGAATTGTAAGCCCAGTCGTGTCATACACAACTATATAAGCTACCATGTAGATGTTATTATATTTGATTGAATTTATTAATTATTGCTAATCTAAAATATATATATAAAGTAAACCCGATTGATAAAAAAGACAAGAATGTATATATGTATAACCTAAAAATATGTTTTTATAATTTAAATAGCAGCTAATCTATTGCAATAGATGATAATCCAATCACTGAAATACCAATAATACACCATATTAATACTGAATTTAATGATCCACCAAAGGCAACTGCAGATCCATACATAGAAAGACCAATGACAGTTAAGAAACTACTGGTGATTGATAATGTAATACCAAAGATGAAATTCAAACTTTGCATATCAATAATCTCATCATCATCCCCAGAACCATCACTGAGTCTATTCTTATTATAAGCAATAAATAAATATCCTAATAATGCACCTAATGGTTGAGCTAACCCTCCAAGTAATCCACTAATACCTATGGCTTTCAATTTAGCATAATTCTTAGATGAACCGGCAGTGAATGAATAATATAATGGTAAACACATGGAAAATCCTTCTGTGAAATTATGTAATAATAAACTTAAAAAGATAGAAACTCCTAATTCAGGATTTGTTTCTGAAGTAATATAAGTAATAAAACCCTCTGGTAATTTATGTAAGGTTATGGCTAATGTAGTTTGAATACCAATTAATAATAATCTGGATAAAGGGGTATTTATATGATGATGATGATCCAGTTTATGTTCTCCATGATTTAAACTTTGATTGTTATGATGACTTTCATTATTATGGGATGCATGGGATATAGAATGATGAATAGGATGATGGAAAGGATCAATTAAAACTTCACCCCCATTGGTAAAATTGGATGAATCTATAGCTCCATAAGTAGCAGTGGCTAAATCAGATTGAGTTCTGTTTAATTCTGGTAATTCACAAAAATGAAGTTGAGTTTGAGTTGGGTCTATATTAACCGCATGATGTTTATTAAATAAACATAACTCAGCTGATGAATAACCTTTACATTCCCCAACATCATCAGAATCATCAAGATGTAATGAGAAATAATGTATGATTGATTTTCTTTGTTTAATTGATTTTTGATTTTCAATTAAAGGAGTTGATTCATCATGATCTTCAATTTGAGTTTGACATGAACTCTTTGTACCTTGACATTCTTGAGGATTTGATGAGGTGGAATAAGTATCTGATGAATCACCAAATTCTGGGGAATTTGGATCACTTGGTTTTCTAGTTTGAGTATCCTTAGGATCAATATCATGATCTTCATTACTATGAGTATGATGATGGTGATGATGATGATACTTACGGGGCAGACTATTACTTTCTTCGTGATGTTGATGTTGTTCATGATGAGAATGACTATGAGCTTCTTGAATCTTACCTTTATCATGAATATCATTATTAATCAATTCAGCTTCTTCATCATCATGATCACCATGATTACAATGAACCACGGATTCACTGGTTATAAGATGAAGAATGGTATTGAATGATACACAGATCGCAGCTCCAATAATATAAGAAACTATCAAATCAAATTGTAATCTTCTTTCCACATTAACAGGTAATGGAGTTAAGTCATCTTCATCTTGGATTGAATTTTTTAAATATTGTAATGCTTCAGGTAACAATCTAAATAAAGATGTGAATAATAAACAACCAGCACTAAACGCTAACGAAGCATTTAAAAAAGTATAATTCTCTTTAAGATGAAACGGATATCTTGATGTGATAAACTTTGGAAGTAATAAATAATATAAATCATCTAAATAGATGATAAGACATCCTAATAGACACATACATGATGAAAGGAAAGTCAAGTACCAACCTTGACTCCAATCTTCAGGATAATTCACAGGTGGGAAAGTCATGATGTCCCTGGGCTGTAGAAGATGTTGGAACAAATTGGTATCAATTATTTATATATAAAATTTGAATTTGAATTTGAAATTGAATTTTGAAATTTTGATTTAGCTTACAAAAATATGATGGATGGGAATGAGATTGGTGATAGTATTTATAGTACAAAATGCAAAATTAGTAATAACCACTAAACTAAATCTGTTTGATATAATATGGTATGAAATGATATGGTTTCAACAATATTCTCCTAATTTATATAATTTGACTTTACAACCTGTATGTCGTCCTCCTTATAATTATATTCTGCTAATTATACCGTAGTGGTTAACCCTGATAAGTCATATTTTTTTTCTTATGCTTAGAACGAAAAGGAAAATTCTACACACGTGATGAACTGTATAAGTTTAAAATTAATGATTTAGATCTACAGTTACGTTACAATGGGAGGTATGTATGTCTGACTTATTTGTGTTAATCGTTGGATTAACTAATTTCTATTAAAATGGTTTGAGTTTCAGTTTAAAAATCATAATTAAATAACTATATAAGAAAGTGTCAAATATATATTGAGGATGGATGGATGAATGAGAGACTGACTAACTAATCAGTCTTATTAATATTATTACTATTATATTGAGGCAATGGGGCATACTCTTTATGTTTACCTCTTAATGGTACTAATCTATGTTTGAAATTTTCTCTGGCAAAAGTTCTCTTTTTCAAATGACTTAAATCAACTTTATTATACCATACGAATAAATACATTCCTAAAGCAAATACAGCAACCATAGTTGGCATAGTCATCATAACATAATATTTTTCAAAATCAACTCCATCCACAACTTCATAATTTGGATCGGCTAATTTTTCTTCTAATTTCTTTAAATCGGTATAATGACCTTTAGAAACTCTCAGACCTTTAGCAATTTCAATGACAATAGAATTAGCTAAATGATTGAATTCATTTTCTTCAACCACATCAGGTTGGATTGATACTAAGACTTTTCTATAATAATCATTATCCCCAATCCATTCTTCTTTGATGGTTAAGGGGAAATAACCTTGAGTTTTAGGTATCCATTCTGATTGGAAAAATGATGTTTCATCAACTTTAGCACCTTGATCAATCAAAGCAGATCTCTTTGATAAATCAATATTTTCATCAAATTCATCATCTCTTTTCTTTAATCCCTTTTGTCTAACGGTTTCCTTTACATAAGATAAATGAACTTTAACATTTTGAATTTGATCATCATCAAAAAATCTTGAAAACCAACTTATGAAATAAGTTTGATCCATTTTTAATTGTTCACCATCTCTTGGGAAACAAAATGGTTCGGATGATTTATCCTTAGCAACTCCCTTTTTAAAATAAAAATCAGGTGTACATCTTAACATGGGATTTAATTCATGTTCAGTTTTATCTTCTTCAATATAAATCTCATGTTCAAAAACTTCACCTTCAGCCATATTATGTGCTTGTAATTCTTCTTTGGTGTATACTACAGTAGTAGCAGTGGCAAACCAATGACCATAAGTTGGAGATGGGTTTTTAATATTACCATTTTTCATTTGAGGTTTTATAGTTTTGGGTAAACCATTTTTTTGGATTGAAATCCAAGGTTCTAAACCATTAGTAGTTTTAGGAGGTTGAGCATTGAATGTAACACCAGCTACCACAGTTGGAGTAACGATTTCAACTTTGGTTGATGAAATAGTTCTAATCCAAGCTTTTGGTGCATCACTTTTCCCATCTTTATTTGCCTTTTTAGCCTGTTCTGCGGCATATTCTTTATTTACAATGACATCTTTACGTCTTTTTTCAAGGTATTGGGTTGGTTCTGGAGTTGGGGTTGGTTGAGTGATCTCAGCAATTAAGGATGGAGATGCACTAGCAGTAGGAGAATATATAGAAAGTTGATCAATTTGTAATAATGATGATGATGATGCTGCTGCTGCAATTGATGATTCCGGATCAGATTGACCCCAATGTTTAAGAAACAATTGAGGTAAAACAAAGCCATTAACTTCAGAAACAGCAAGCAACGATGCTACTGATATGAGGTAGCTTAACTTCATGATGATGATGCTTCCTTCAAAATGAATTGAATTGTGAAAGAAATGATCTATAATGAAAAAGGATTCAGTTATACTTTCTTCAGTTTATATCTCAGCTTTTGTTTTGATAGAAATTGTATGCGTAAAACGTCACCACTGTTAAAAAAAAAGAAATTTTTCAATTTTGAGAGAATTTTTTTTTTTTTTATTTTGTCAAGCCGACATTTTACCACATATTAAATACCGGTTAATTGAACAGTAATTATATGGTAATGATCATGTTCAATTGTGTTAAAGATCATTGTCATTGAACATTTACAGAGGATAAATAAATTTACTTCTACTAAATTACAAAATGTAAGTTTTTCAAATCAAGTGAAAGCTCTAATATCCACTAATCAGATATTAAATACTTGATTCAATATAAATTAAAATTCAATCTATGGCAAATAATTATAAATTCCATCATTCAATCCATGAATTAAAAAGGTATAGAATGAAACTATGCTTAAGTTGCCAGGTTTAAGTCTAAAGAGAAAAGAAGTAAAAAGAAGAAGAAGAGTTAACTTTACAGTTATATTTATGAAAACTTTTTATCTCTTTTTGTAGCCTGGTTTGGACTATGATGTGAGTTACCCTGATGTAGACAATATAGGGTAATTTACAGTCTGATTCAACTTATTGCAAAATTAACTATAATACAAAATTGATTTATCCTATTTACATCGATATACTCTATCTAATACTCAACAAGTCTAGTCCAATACTTCACTTCATTCCAAAGATTAGGGATTTCATCTCCCTTTGGTGGTCTGAAATTACCCTTCTTCTTATTTAATTCATTAATACTTTGATTTATAAACTTTAATGTTTCAGGAAGTTTATGATTTAAATAATTATTAAGAAATCTATCCGGTAATTCTTCAAATGTTAAACAATAGATATAACCATATAATAATACTTCACTTGAACTGAACTTTTCTTTAAAGATATATCCAAATTTCCGTTTCTCTTCTGTACCATTAAATTCTTGATAGGTCTTGAAGAATATATCAAGATATGAATGAAGTAAATTCATACATTTTAATGAATTCTGAGATTCTTGTAATAACAGTTTTTCCTTTGATTTTTTAATTAATTGTCTTTCATGTAATGCACTTAATGGTTTAGTCTCCACTTCTTCAATCTCATCACCACCTTCATCTAAATCCTCCCCTTTGAAATACTCCGTCTCGGCAACTTCTGGTGTAGCACTAAGGCTGAAGAACCCTACTTTACCCCGATTTAATCCAATCAATGGAACTTGTAATTGAGCTTGATTATAAAATTTCAACGGTTGATTATACATCATTGGGAATGGTAAATAATTTTGAAATAATTTTCGAACATATCCTTCATAATTTCGATTATTTATATATAAATTATATTGATTAATATATTCAACTTTACTTATAAGTTGATGAATTAATCCTATATTGATTAATTTCTCTCTAATGGAAAGATCTTGACTTTGAGAAAGTATCAATTTATTATTCTTCTTACCACTGAACTCATCTATGAATGTTGATATTTCTTCATACCCATGATATTTCTCATTGGTATCACTATCAATAAGAACAGGTAAAGTATGAAGATCAGATAAATTGGTATTACATGAAGTTATAATCTCATATTGATCTTCATTGTTGAATTGATTTATAAGTAACCAACTACTTGCCACACATTCTGGTGAAATAATTGAAACTTGAGAATTCACTCCCCAAACATGAAGTTTCAACATTGACAGCCCTGTTTCTTTATAGTTCTTTTCTTGTAACTCTTGCTGATAACTTGCTTATAATGAAAATTTCCATACTTATTAGAGAGATCATACATGTTAGACATTTTCCCACAATGCGACTTTTTTATATGATGTCGTTGGCAAAAAAATTCGTGCTGGGTCACCAAAACTAAATATACTTCAAATGACCTTCAATATTGATAGTATCATCACAGTATATCATAAGTGACAGTGTTAACCACATATCAAACAGGTGTAATCAGGTCAGAAGGAAGTTTTCATTAATATTCCGAGGTTAGAGAAAGGATTGAAGTAATCGAATCCAGAAGCTGTTGCCAATTATTATAGATCATCAGTTATATTTATCAACCAATCATCCAACCAATCAATCAATCAACCATTCATTCATCAATCATATATCATGTCCAAGAGTGTGTTCATACAGACAGACAAGAAGAAGCGACTTTCGCTAGATGTGATTGGTCAACTTGAAGAAGATTTGGAACAAAATCCTTTGGATTATGGCAAATGGAATAGACTCATCAAACAAGTTTTAATTAAAGATAAAGAAGAACAAGTTAGATCTGTTTACGATAAATATTTAAATATTTTCAAGTTTGATGTATGTACTTTTATCAGTTGAAGTGGGAAGACAGGTGTTTTATGAAGTTAATTAGGAGTTTATGTTTTATTTAAAGGTATGGGTTATCATCATTTGGGTTATATTATACGATTCACAGGAGTGAATTAGATGAGTAATGAGATGGGAAATTCCCTTAGAGAGACTAGAGTTGTGGTATATTGATTATACGATACTCACACCAGTCTTAAATATCTCTATTTTCATATTTACTTTTACACAAGTAATGCATTATTATTCTTTATTTATATATATTTATTTAACGAATTTTTTTTTATTTATTTCATTCTGGGAAATATATCAAAGAAAATGAAAGTTGCTTATTCGGAGGTGTTCAAAAGCTATTAAAACAAAGCAAAGCTAAACAAAAATACATGGATTTAATAGAGTTAAATTTTAATTCAGTAAAAAACAAAAACCAAAAGAAACTTAATCCTATTTAACTTTAAAACCAAACTTCTCACTATGATTATGGATGGTGATAATTATCATTTAATTATGATAAGGATACGCCAATAATCTTACTTAAAAAGAACTTCGATACTAACTTAATAACTTATAGGGAAATCAATGGTGCAATTATATAAATTACGAATTAAGTAGAGATGAATTAGATCGCGTGGAGAATTTATTTCAAAAATGCTTTTCAATTACTGATAGTGTTGAATTATGTCGATTATATGTGGCATATGTTCGTAGAGTTAAAGATGTTAGAATAGGAGGTGAAAAGGCAAGAGGTACCATTATCCAAGCATTTGAATTTGCCATTGATAAAGTGGGTTTAGATTTATTAAGTGGTCAATTATGGAATGATTATATTGAATTCTTAAAAGATTGGACTCCAACTGCAACTTGGGAACAACAACAAAAAGTGGATTTAATTAGAAAAGTTTATAAAAAATATCTTGTGATACCTTCTGAAACTCTTGAAACTGCTTGGACTCAATATACAAAATGGGAAAATGAAGTTAATCCTGCTACTGCTACTAAATTCATTTCTGAAAAATCAGCCGAATTCATGCTTGCAAGATCATGGAATACAGAATGGAATAATGTAACAGAAAGACTGTTGGAAAGAAGTATTCATGAAGGTGGTATAATTGGTTTAAATGCTAAACAAAATGAAAAACAATTAACTTATTGGTTAAATTGGGTTGAATTAGAAAAGAAAAATATTTTGGAATTAAAAGATTCAAATCAAGTTGAAAAAAGAATTACTTATGTTTATAAACAATCAACATTTGCATTACCTTTCATATCGGAATTATGGTTTAAATTTAGTAAATATTTACTTTTTAGTAATGAAGAAGCTAATCTTTCTAAATGTATTGAATTATTACTGGAAGGTTTAAAATTAAATCCTAGAAGTTTAATTATTTCTTTTCAATTAAGTGAATTGTTTGAAAAGGAAAATTCCTTTGATAGAGCTAAAGAAATATATACTAAACTTGTTGATGTTTTAATCAACGATCATAAGTTGGTATCAGGTGAGATAGAGTTAATAAATGGTTCTACTACGGCATCAACTAATGGAAATAATGATGTTAATATGGAAGACAGTTCAGTCACACCTGAACCAACTATAACTTTAAATATAAATAATAATAAAAATAATAATGACGACGATGATGATGATGATGATGAGATTTCTAATTCTGCCAGTGCTAATATAGTACAATTAAGTGAAGGGGATAAAGTTAAATTAAAAGATTTAAATAAAACTCGTGAAGAATTAGAATCATCTATAACACTTGCTTATGTGAAGTATATGACAGCTAGTAAACGAGCAAGTGGGATTGAAGGAGCTAGAAAAGTATTCAAACAAGCCAAGAAATTTAAAAATATCGGGTATCAATTATTTGTGGAAAATGCTTTATTGGAACATTATACAGATCATAAGAAAATTGCTGTTAGAATTCTTGAATTGGCTATGAAGACTTATGGAACTCATGGACCTTTCTTGACAGCATATTTGAATTATTTAATAAATTTAAATGATGTGGATAATATTAGAATTTTAATTCAAACTGCTGATACGAATTTATCTAAAGAATTATCTTCATTAAATGATGAATTACAAAATCCTGATTTAATTCAATATAAGAAAGATTTGATTGTGATTGAAATAGAAAAGAAAAAGAGATACCTTCGTACCTTATTGAAATCATATATATCGTATGCATCGACGTATTTATCATTAGATGTAGCTCAAAGTTTTGCTAAGAAGTATGAACAAAATTTCCCTGATGATGATCCAATTGATTTATTCACTGATAGATATAAATTGAATAATGATAATTTAATCAAGCAATTTGAATTGAATACTGAAACTGAAGAAAGTCAAGATCATGAACCTAGTAGAAAGAAGAGAAGATTATCCAGATCAACCAATGAGTCAGCAGATGTCAATGATAATAATAAAACTGATGATTCAAATGCACATAGAAATAGTATATTCAATAATGGTGGTGAAGCGGCTGAAGAGAAATCATTCGTTGGTCCTACCATAAGATCTCTCTTACAAGTGCTACCTAATTCATCGTATTTCGTACCTGAAAGGGTATTCAAAAGTGATAAATTAGTGAAATTATTTGCTAATCTCCCTAATATTGATTAAATAGCATATACATCCATGTATAAAGAGTTTAGTATCTAATAATTAATATATTTCCAACTCATTAACAAAAATCTCGTAGATTCCTATTTTGGCTGCAAACAGGATTTTTTTTCTCTCTCTCACAGACCTTTTGGTAAATATTTCTGTCAATTTTCTATTTGTAAAATATATCTATTATCAGCGTCTAATTATTTATTGAATTCAATCAATTGACATCCATACTCTAGGTTGATACGATCTTCAAGATGAGTGAATACTTTAAGAATTTTAAGAAGAATTTCATAATGTCTGGTAGAGATGATTCAGATGAAAAGTCAAATAAATCTCGTGTTAGTGCCACTGTACCTATGGATATCAATCTCAAAAGAAGAATATTTATCATGACAATTACATCATTACTTCTCCTTAAGGTTTGTTTCATTAATTATTGGTTCTGCAGTTCATTTACATTCAGACTTCCTGTTGTCGATGTGATTAATATTTTAAAAAGTCCAGATTTACTTCCAACCACCAGTTTTAGTTCAAGTACAAATACTACCTTTGAGTTTTCAAATACACTCTTAAAAGATTTATTACAAGAAATCTATCTTAGAAATGAAGCTGAATATCTCACATTCTTATCTCATACTAGTCTCGTCGTTGAACCTACTCTTCAAGTTAGTCCTACTCAAGTGGTGTTGAATTTACATGAGGGATTCTATAATTATTGGCCAGGATCATTACAGTTCCCTACTCTTTCATTTTCCAATGTTATTACTAGTAAGTTCCATGATAAAGTTGGTTTATTGAATATTATTTCACCTTTGAAGCCTAGTGGAGATGATGAAGTTCAGCTTTTCGTTAGACAATATGTATTCTCAATGTTTTACCTTTCAGATGTATCAGAAACAGAATATTCTTTAGACTCATTTCAATATTCTTTTTATCTATTAAAAGTAGGAAATTTTTCAATCTTGTCAACCTCCATATTATTCATTTTAACTTTAATTCCACTTTTCTTTATTGAAAATGAATTTATCTTACCAAACTGTATTGTTTCAAGTATATTTTCTGGTTGTGGTGCATTCTTCTCCTTGTTTAACTTTGTCTCATCCATTATCATAATGGCAAGAACTCCAAAGCCAACATCTTGGTATTTAATTGTTCTTTACTTTTTAGAATCATTACTTTTCTTTCTATTAATGTTAATTGTTTGGAATGAGTTTATAAATTTAAAACAAGCTAAATTGCCAGAAGCTACATTTAGTGGAACAAAACAAACCTTAGTCTCTGAAACTCTGATTCCATTATCAAGTGTTTATTCCAATCCCCAAGTTGCTTCTGTTCTCCCAACCCTGCCTCATATTTCGGAAAAGTCTGCTGATAATGTAGATGATATTGTTCAAAGTGCACAATTTAGAAGTTCTTTAAAATCTCCTGAAACTAGACAAACTGAAGAAGATGGTCTAACTTTGAATTTACCATTTCCAAAGACTGACACTGAAGAAAGTAGTCCTTTAACTCACGCAGGAATGACTGCTCTTGGATCTTCTACAACAGATGCCTTTCAAGATGAACAACTTGAAAGATTTCCTACATTAGGTGAAGATGTCCAAACACCGGTTTCTCAAAATAACAAATTAGAAGGAGGAATCTTTTCATCTCATCTCTATTCACATAATCTATAATCAGGGGGGGGCAGAGTTTATATACAGCTTTTTTTTATATACAAATGTATCATACTTAAAATACTCTAGTATCATCTTGTAGGATATCTAAACGGTCTATGTAACTTGGTTTGAATGGCCAATTATCATAGGATTTAAATAACGTTTGCCAATCTTCTAGAGATAGCTCTTTAACTTGTTTATCTAAAATATGGTCTGGTAAAACTGCTGGTAAATCTTCTTCAGCACCAACTGCAATGTAAGTTAACATTTCTCTAACCACACGAGAAGAACTAATAAATAATTGTTGTAAAACATGTTCATGATCTTCAACTACAGCAGCATCAATCAATTTAGGTTCTAATTCTAATACCGCGAACTCTGCATTTGCAGGAATGGTATTTTCTCTCTTTATAAGTACGGGTTGATCACGGATTATAAGTCTAGGATCGTAACCTATACCTTTAGAATCTATTACGTCCTTTGGTTCTGTAACTGCGATTAATTTTGCATTGGTATATAATTCTCGTTTCACTGATGATTTATTTCTTTTGAAGAATCCAGATCCAGCTAAAAACTTTTGAGCCGTTGCTACTGGAACCAAACATATCATTCTTACTCTTCCATATTTTTGTAACCAATTTCCAAATGCACAACACATTATCCATTGAGCTATTAACGGTTCTCCAAATTTTGGTGGTGATAAATTTCCTATTACTAAAAGTTCATCATGTATCTTATCTCGTGGTTTAATCTGAGGATCTATAATCTTATCTTCTTTGATCATTTGATCATATGCTTCCCATGACCAACCATCTCTTTGACAAAGTACAAAGTTCTCCTTATTAGATGTAACCTCTTTCAAATGTTCAATCTTTTCAGTCCATTCTAAAACATGAGTCTTGGAATATTCCATTATAACATGATTCCGTGGCTTCAACTCCATATTAATCATACTTGAAAGAAGACCATACCCTGGAAATACATCTACTATGTCAAGGTTTTGTGAATTGGGATATTTGGATCTTAAATCCAATTTGTCTATTATACTTTGACACAGCTCTTCATTGGTAATACTTTTGAAAGTGTTTTGAAATCTGGATGAGTTCTTAAGGAAAAGCTTTTGTAAGTGTGGGTTAACACATCTGGCCAAGCTCATTGATTCTGGTCCTTAGCCTTAGTTATATATCTTACTTACAATGTCTTCACTTAAAGGTTTGATTTCGTTTGCAAAAAAAAAATATAGATGCAAGTCGTGCAAAAGGGTGAACTAACGAAATAAGGAGAACACAGCTTTTACAATCTATCATCTTATCTTGCAATCATTCCACGTCAGTATGTCCATCAATAATGTTACCTTGAAGAATGGGTATATGAAAGAGTTAGGTACTTCTCGTGAGTTGCCATTTGAATTATTAGTTGGTGGAGGTGAAGAATTGAAATATAGTACACAGACAGGACGTCAATCACTACTGATTAATCTGCATGATAATCAAGATAGTATCATTCACATATCAGCAAAGGATGGATTTATCTATTTGACTACTAAGAGATTGATCTTTATTACAGCATCACAAGGAGATATAAACTCATTCCTGATTGATTTACGATTTGCTGATAAATTACAATTAAGTCATGAATTGAAATCACCCTGGTTTGGCGCCAATTTCTGGGAATTCATATTCTTTAGTAGCAATGTTAATGGTGCTAGTGATGGATTTCCAACTAATAAATACTTCAAGGGTCTGCTTAAGTTCAATGATGGTGGTTTGTTTACGTTTGTGGAGGTCTTTAATACTGTTCTCAATGATAATGTCAATAATACCCATATTGATGAAGAGTTGCCACGCTACACTGAATATTGATAAATGAATATATAACAAAATAATAATAATAATAATAATAATAATAATACTCTAAAGTCAGAATCAAATTTAATAATATACATAATACTTAATACTTAATACAAACAAACAAAATAATTCTTAAATAACATTTTTATTCAAAGTTCATTGGTGTTGACTCTTCTGATCCCGCAGTGGTGGAAATACCGACGATTGGACTATCAATAGGTTCATCATTATCTAATTTCTCAAGCTTTGCTTCCGCTGGTTGTTTGAGAGCTGCATTAACATTCAATGGTTTCAAACTGTAAATTTCATCAAAATCACTGAAGTCAAGAATTTTATTCAATTCTTCTTCTGATAATTCAGATGAAAGCTCTTTAAGCTTATCAGATGCTAGCAGTTCCAATTTGGCAGCATCTTGGTAAACAATAGACCCTTCTTCATTATAGATCTTGGCATTGCTAAACATTAAATGAAGATCTTCCATCATTTCTCTCACTTGGGTATAACTTCTGGAGCTGATTCTCTTCTTAACAGTATCCAAAGCAATAGGATGTTTGATCAAAACATAATAATCTGGATATAATTTCTTCGATGGTTTAACCAAGAATAAAGCACTTAATTTTCTGTCATGTTCATTAGCGTAATTCGTTACCATACCATAAATAGTTTCGACAGTATTTTGAAGTTTAGCACGTTCATCAACATTAAGTGGATCAATGGTTGGAGTAGCTCTATAAAGTAAAGAACCACGTCCTCTTCCGCCTCTACCGCGTCCTCTACCTCTTCCTCTTGTTGCAATTGGTTTTGGAGTCATAGATTTGGGTCTCTTTATGATTGGCTCTTCTAATATTTTATCTTCGTCATCATCCAGTGGACGTTTGACAGCCGGTGTGGTAGCTTCTGGGGTAACATCTTTACTTGCGTCATCTTCATCTGAACCTTTAGACTTTGGACGTCCTCTTGGTCTACCTCTAGCCTTCTTTGGTTTTACTTCTTCATCATCACTATCATCAGATACAACACCATCAATTTGTTTCAACCATTGTTCTTCAGTTAAATTATCATCATATTTGGCAGTTCTACGTTCACGTGTACCTCTACCATATTCTTCAATGATATCTTCTTCTGATTTCATCAACGATTCAGGGTCTCTTCTATAAATTTCTGGTAATTCTTGATCAGTAAACAATCTTGATCCAAAAGTAGATGCCTTAGTAGCAGCCGATCTCTGTTCATCTAATCTCTTAAATACTACCAATTCATTCTCACTTCTAGCAATAATTTGATTTAATTCGTCATCATCCAATTCTTCATCTTCATCAGATGAACCCTTTTGTTTTCTTTCTTCTTCTTTCTCAATCAAGGCTCTTAACAATGCTTCTTGTTCTTCAGCGGTCGACTTGTTATCGAACTTACCAGCTTGAATAACTTTACCATCAATCTCTAATTTAGCATGAGCACGTTCTAAAATCATTTCTTCAACCGAATCTTCAGTAATCAATCTCAAGATACGAACTTCATTCTTTTGACCAATACGATGGGCTCTATCTTGAGCTTGTAAATCTTGATGAGGATTCCAATCAGTATCAAAAATAATAACAGTATCAGCAGTTTGAAGATTAAGACCTAAACCACCAGCTCTTGTAGATAATAAGAAACAAAAGTAATCAGAATTTGGAGCATTGAAATCTTTCAAAAGCAAAGTTCTATCATCTGCCTTAGTACCACCATCCAATCTCATATATTTCATATTACGGTATCTTAAGAAATCTTCCATGATATCCATAATTTGAGTCATTTGAAAGAAAATCAAAACTCTATGTCCCGTTTCTTTAAACTTAGGAAGGATTTTATCTAACAATTCAAATTTACCTGCAACTCTCCATATTTGATCATTAGTTTCCACTGGTGGATTAATCATCCTTTCAACTTCTTCATAAACAAAAGGATGGTTACAAATTTTACGCAATTGCATAATTTGATTATTTGCATTCTTAATTGTAGTAGGAGTATCATCTCCATTAAGACCACCAGCAAATAAAATGTTGTATTTCAACATTTGTTGATAAAGCTTAGATTGAAGTGATGACATCTTACATTTAACAACTCTTTCAACTTTATTAGGTAAATCTTTTTCGACATCCTTCTTCAATCTTCTCAAAAGGAAGGGTCTTAACACTTTATGTAATCTTCTAATGACCAATAATGTTTCTTCTTCACTAAGTTCGATCTTATCTTGGCCACCTGTATTTGCGAATGGAGTGTTAAACCATTCATCAAAAGATTTAACAGAGTTGAAAATCTTTGGTAAGACGAAATTCAATAATGCCCACAATTCAGGTAAATTATTTTGTAATGGAGTACCAGTTAAAATCAATCTATAGTCACTATGATAGTTGTGTGTTAATGTTTCAGATAATTTAGAATTAGCATTTTTCATACGATGACCTTCATCAATAATCATATGCACCCATCTGATTTTAGCAAGCAATGCTTTATCTTTAATGATATATTCGAAAGTAGTTAATAATACTTGGAAATTTCCATTCTTAATATCAACTTGTAAACCTTTACGTTGATTAGGTGTACCTTTATAAGTAATTTTCTTAACTCCAGGAGCCCATTTATCAAACTCTAAATTCCAATTAGTCAAGGTGGATAATGGAACAATAACCAAGAACGGACCAGCAATTTTCTTCACTTCTATCAAATATGTAAGCAATGATAAAGTTTGAATAGTTTTACCTAAACCCATTTCATCTGCTAAGATACCATTCAAATGATTGTTGAATAACGAGACCATCCATTGTAAACCTTTCAATTGATATTCTTTCAAAGTACCACCGATTAAAAGATCAGGCTGTTTGGTAACTTCTTCCTTAATACGATGAGCAACATTATAATAATCAACCTTTTCTCTACGATCCTCATCTCCACCAAAGACATCTTCTTCTTGTCTACCACTTTCAACAACCTTAATATGATTTTCTCTTTGTTGGTTTTGAACAGCTTGAGCCAAAGAATCCAAGAATTGATTGGTTTGCTTTAACAAATGTGTAATTCTGGTATCCTTCGTATGATCTAATAATTTCAAATAAGCTTCTTCGTCATTCAGTTTCAAAGCTTGTAAACGTTGTTTGGCCATTCTTTCCAATCTCTTCTGTTCTTCTTTGGCAGTTTGATTATGGAAACTTCCAATCTTAGTGATAAATCTACCAACCTTTTCCTTCTTACGAGACACCACTTCTTCATGTTTATACACATAACTTAAAATTTCATTAATAGTTTTTTGATGCTTCTGGTTTTGAACTTGTAAGAGAGTCTCTAATTGATGGCTGTATAAATCATGAGTAGCTGAAACATTCTCAAGTGATAAAGCACTAGATCTGCATTGGAAATTTGGATGAGAATTTGGAAGGACACTCTTGCTGAACCAAACTTGAGATAAAATCTTTCCTCTCAATTCTTTTTGATAAGGCAAAAGTTGTAATTGTTCTAACTGCAATTGTAATTCTTGAAATTGATCGTCTGATTCATTTAACGTACCAAGTTGCTTCTTGATTTGGTCAATTTCTTGTTCAATCTTGAGAATAAAATAAATCTCTTTATTGTTGTAGATTTCATCAAGATTAATACCATCTGGAAGTAAACCTGGGAATTGTAATCTACTTTGAGGAGCGTATATAGCATTAAATTGAATGTCTCTAACTTGATCACTGAAAATGTCGGGAAGCTCGAATGCATCAACTTGAGCATTAGGTTTATTAACTGGGATAACAAGTTTATTATTCTTTGTCTTATCAGGTATTAATTTATTAATATTGGTTGGAGGTTGTGGATCATATAGTATTGGTCTTAAAGGTTTTGGAACTTTAGGTTCTGGTACTGGGACTTGGATTGGTGGTCTCAAAGCTTGAGCCTCACTTAAAGCCAACGTTCTTCTTTCTTCTTCCTTCAATTGTTTCTTAGTTGGTTTCTTAGGTTGAGGTGGTGCTTTTGGTTTAGCTCCTCTCTTTCCTTTCTTCTTTGCATCTGCAGGAAGGTTTGGAGATGGAATAGTTGGAGCACCATTAAAGTTGTTTCCAGGAGCCATATTTTGTAATTGAGGTGATTGTGAGCTATGTTGTGGAGGGATTTGATTTTGATCAAATGTTTGAGCTCTCAGATTTGCTGCAGCTTGAAGATAATTTCCATTAGGTAAAGCAGATCTATCATTTGTTACAAAGGCTATGAGATTTTGAGGAATTGGTTGATTAGATGGTCCTGAACTCTTCAACAAGTACTTAAGAGCTTGGAATTGTGATTTAACTAATTGGAACTGTTGAGTTGTGAAAGCAGATTCACCACCTCTAAGTTGTTGTCCTTGAATAGCTTGTTCTTGTAAATTAACGGGCATTTGTTGTTGAGAATTACCTATATAATTTTGTTGTTGTTGTCCTCCACCATTCGAATTAAATTGAGGGTTTCCATTTTGAGGAATAGTATTGGCATTAGCTATATTAGGAGTGTTTTGATTAGAATTTATAAAGTTTGATTGTAAGTTTTGACCTTGAAATTGTTGTGAACCATTTTGAGCTAACTGAGCTGGAACCTTTTGAGGAGAAAGCTGTAGTGGTCCAGAAGATCTTTGACTCTGAGAATGTCCTTGCGATTGTAATTGATCAGATGGTTGACGTTGCAACTGTTGCTGAAACCCTTGAGATGGTTGTTGCTGTTGTCCTTGAGAGAGACGTTGTTGTTGAATATTTGCTGGTTGTTGTGGCTGTTGGAGTTGTTGGGTATCTTGTTGGAGTGGTTGAGATTGTTGTTGTTGCTGTTGATGGATTTGCTGCGGTGCTTGTTGTGACTGTTGTGGTTGCTGCTGCTGTGGAGGTTGTTGCTGTTGTTGTTGTTGTTGTTGTTGTTGTTGTTGTCTTTGCATCTGTTGTTGATTCTGTTGAAGTATCTTTATCACCTTACTGAGGTGAGCAAACTCAGGAACGTTGACAGCCTGGTCACCATATTGGTTTTTCAATTGGTGCCAACGTTGAATGATCTTTTGAATCTCTTCTCTAGTTAATTGACGATTCATACTTAAATAAGATATCAAATAAGACTCTACGAGATAGATTGATTAAATAATATAAATATGTATTTTGTAAATAAATATTAACCTATTTTTAAATTCCTTGTAATCTTTTTCGTTCCTTCAAAAGAAAAATAAAAAAAGGTCGTGTGGCAGGAAAATTGCTTGTACTATAATTATCATTTTATTTGCACATTGTATACATACCACAAGTCAATAGCCTTTCGTTAATCCTTTCACTTATTTACTTAGCGATTCAATCATAAAGCTAAGGTTCCTTGTATCCCAATCCTTGCGCTTCTCTAGTTGCTTTACACCTTCTTCAAATTGAACTCGGTTGAGTCCCCGAAGACGTGCTAATTTAGATTGACCAAAGTCAATTAATGTGACAGTTTTGGTGGCTTCATCGTAAAGCACATTCTTTTTATGTAAATCACCGTGACTCACATTGAGCTTGTGTAACGCCATAAGTGACGATTTCAACTGTTGTGCAATACCGGCATTCCACTTAACATTATCCATAGTAAGCCCTGGTGCTTTTTTCATTTTTATAAAAAAACCAGATAAAGAACCTTTCAATATACCATCATCGGATAAACGGACTGATAATTTGTTGCAGAACAGTCTATTATCATTAGTCAAATATCCCATTCCCACAAAATCAGGCATATGTTTATAACCTTTTGATTTCAAAAATATATATGTTGAAATTTCACGGATAAAGATGTTGTAGGTGTCCTTAAGTCTGTGATAGAAAGTAGGAGAATCTATTTCCCTTTCCATTCGGATTCTAATTGGATCATAAACCTTAAAAATTTCTGAATCGGATGTACAAATAACAGTGGAATAGGCAGTATTTATTATGTCTCCACTAAGAATTTTTTCAACCTGGACTTTGCTAATATCCAATATTTCAAATTCATTGGATCTCAAAGCCTTTCCATACAAACGTAGATTTAATCTGACATTAGACTCCTCCATGAAATTTACTTCAATCTTATTTATTTCAGCAAACATTTCTGAGTGGACTATTTCGGCTTCCTCGTCACTGTCTTCCGTTTTAGTTAATAAATCAGACAGATTGAATGTGGGATAATCATTCATATAAATTTGAACATCAAAAAGTTTTCGACAAAATTCATTCAATTTCTCATATTGCTTTTTAGTCCTTCTGTTTTTCTCTTTTTCACTTATTGTGAAAGATTCGTGATACTTTTTAAATTCGTCATCGTTAATCTTTGCATTATTCTGAAATTTTCTCACTACCATCATTATAAATATAGCGACGTTAATTTGATAATTGTTTGCATCAAATACTTCAATATCACATTTAACTTCCCTTAGAACTGAGATATTATCTTTATCAACCAATGGTTCCATCTTCAATATAATTGCAACACAATATGTTCCGTCGGTAAGAAAACCAATCTTAGAACGACATGTGAGCATTTGATGAAACAATTGCAGGAACATCTTTATCATATTTTTGGTAGCTCTGCACCTCTTATTTCTGGTATTCTTGAAGTCATCCAATACCTTCCGCATATCTTTGAATTTAACCTCTATTGGGATAAAAAACCCATCTTGAAGACCGATGTTAATATCAGGTTTAGCATAAGTTTTAATTTTTAAAGATTCTAGTCTCTGTAATATTTGATTTTGTAATGTAATATTCATACCAAAAATAAATCTTGTTGCTCGTAAAACTTTTAATAATTCAAATTCTAGTTGGCTTTCATTTTCAGTTTTAAGGAGGCGATCAAAATCAAAATTAATGAAATTAATTTGTGATAGTTTGATATCAAATAGCTTTCGATTCTCTATGAAAAATCTAGTCCCAGGAATATTGGTAGATGGTGTAAAGAAACCAAATTCTTTAAAAAAACGATTATTCTCTTCAAATTTATTGGTGATAGTACTTAAAATAACTGATTTGCTTTCTATAGGACTAGATATAGTATCAAAAGGTGGTGGTTTAGAAGAATCTTTTACCCGGTCTATATACCACTCCGTTTTCATATAGCTTAACAAATTCAAGTATTGAGAAAACAATCTAACCTTCCTTCCAAGCCTCACATCGGTGATATGTCTAGTTCTATAATCAACAATATCACCGACATATTCTAAATAATACGAATATTCCTGATATGAATATTGCCTAATTATATGTGGATTAGATATATAGTATAATACAAGGATGATTTCTTTTTGTATTTCAATGGAGTTTGTGAAGAAACTGGGATCGACAATGTTATTCAATCCAATGTCAACAGATGGATCATAATTGTTGAGTAATAGTTGTAACCTTTTTAGCCTAACATTATATACTCGTAAATCTTCATTATTGGCACTTGAAATATGAATAATATTGATGTCACGATCCATATTCTTCTTTACGAATGAAAGATAATTATGAGGACTGAGTAAATCTGTTATTGAATTCATTTTGATATAAGTTTTGTCAATTGCAAAGAGTTTGATTGATTATAAGAGATTATTTTTCTTTTTTGAATATTAGATAAAACGGAATCATTAAAAGGATCAGAAAGTTGTTCCTGGAATGTCCCTTTTAGGATATGACAATATGATATTTCTGCTAAACTAACCTGTATATTAACTGGGTTAACTAGAATATCTAATGCTGATGTAAATTCTTTCCCTTTTTTTTTTGCAATAACAATTTGTTATGCTGAAAGTCACATAAAATTGCTTAACTTATATAAAAAATTAAATCTTACAATTATATAGAATAAGATAACTTTTTAGTTGATCTCCTTGTTTGCAAACTTTGGAAAATTGCTAGAACAAAATTCGTATAACTTCGTTAAACCATTTACAAATATTTACTTTTTTGTTTACAAATAATTGCGAAATAATTTCGCAATTATTTCTTAACTTTTTCCACCCCTACTAAGAACAAAAGATTCAAAAAGATTTATTAAACAGAAGTTACTGACTAGAAATTAAAAATATCCAACAACATTAACAATACATCACAATATTCAATCATGTCAACCATTCTGAATCTATTCAACAGCAAACAATTTGTTTCATTTTATAATGAAAATGAAACATCAAAAGTTAACCTCGTAAAGCTTGCAATTAAAGAAGACAGAGATGAGTTTAGAGTAAATTATGAAACAGGTTTAGAAAATCTAAAAAAGCTAATCATAGATATTGACAAAGATAAAAATTCTTCAGTTGCAAATGAAATCAAATCAATAATTGGAAAAAAGATTTTGGATCAACCAGACTATTCCGACGTTCTTCTTTCTATTTTTAAGGCTCTAAATCCACATATTCCAAAAATGTTTACACCAAAAGAAATCGGATATTTAAGTTCAAATAATCAGCTGATTCAACGATTAGCAGATGCAACAATTAGAGTGTGCTTCACTGATTGCGATGATCAGGACAATGTTGAGTTATTTTTCGATTATTGTACTTCATTCAATCATTTAAAGCTGTTGAAAATGATTTACACAGCAAAAACGTCATTCGATGATCAATCTAATAGTAGATTGACGAATTTGAATAATCACATCAATCTGTACAGTCTCCGAAATTCATTCTTTGATGACCAAATCGGTTACTTTCCTACTTTCAATTCAAATAATATCAAATATTTATTCAAGGATTTGAAATCCATGGACATAGTTCCAAAAGATATGGTTAAAATAATTTATAACTGGCCATACGAAGACCTTCCAATAAAGATAGTCAATGAAGCTGAGTTAGAGAATCTAATGCTTCTAAATTTAGATTGGTCTCGGAGGTTATTTTCAAAAGCTGGAATTGAGTTTTTAGAGCAACGGCGAATGCATATGGAGAATAATGATAAAATTCATACGTCAATTCCTGACATAATAGTGAAATACAAGAACCACGAAGTTCCTCTTGAACTTAAATTCCAAGATCTAAAAAAGATCTTTAATGAATTTAAGCTGAGAAGGAATGACAATAGTCAAGCATCTAAATTACTCATTGAGTATTTCAGTCAATGCTTTTTGCAGTTATTAACCACAAAATCGAGATTATCATTATTATCAGATGGTACATTCGTCATTGCCTTCTTATTGGAAGTAGAACCGCCTGTTATAGCCGATATAACGGAAGAGTTAAGGCCAATAAGATGTTCCTTGACAATTTTTGATTCCAAGGAAGATAAATTTGACGTGTCGTTATTTATTTTATTGTTTATCATTCAGAATGAAGAGAAATTGACATTCGGAGAAGATGAATATAAAAATTACTGTGATGCAATCACTGTTAGTAACGATGAAAAAATTGCAAGAACCGTACATCATTATCAAATTTTGGAAAAATTCTTTGCATGTTTCCTTGAAGTACGCAACAGTCATCGCCAACAAGAACCAGTTCGTCCAGGTCTGCTGGATATGTTAAGTGTGATTACTGAAGAAAGTCTGGATCTGACTCACATTGCCAAGAAGGCGAAATTCGATGCTTTGGATAAAAATATTGAAGATAGTGAAAATGCTGCCGATAAGTTCGTCGGAACTATTCTTGATTATAGACTTAAAGTGTTATTCAATTCCATGGATTGGTTTCCTTTTGTGATATTAGATGCAACACGGTTAGCTAATTGTCAAATAATTAGTGGAGGTGTCTTATACGAATCTTACTCAACTGTTTTACTTCACATGGGTCTAGTCTACAAGGTTATAGACCCTGTAAGATTGAAGGTGGACAGGATAGTTGATTATCCTAGTTTTTATCATCGTATAAAAGCTATGATGCAACTCTTTGAAAGAATTGATTGATAGATGGAAAAAGTGAAGGTTCATAGATAAAAGTTATATATCTTTAGTGTTAATAGTTTGTATTATGTGTATCAATCCTATTTTTGTAGCTTTTTAGAATATAACTTATCAATATCTTATTTTGCAGTAATACTCCGCTACAAGTTGAATAAAATAACACTCTGCAACGTGCAGGAAAACTTATATTGACATTTATAAGGATTATATAGTAAAGCCAAGACCAGCCCACTCCCTAAATTAGGAGTTCGATAAACTGCATCTGTTGCAATGAATTTAAAACCCTGGTTGTAATTGTTGAAACCAATCTGTTAACAGGATAGTCGCTTTTCATGTTGGACCCCCGTCTTATCGTGCAAAATTTATAAAATGGAAATAATGATAAACAATTACTATTCCCCTTTCAACTTGTCATAAAACATAAGTAGTCTTTGTGTGATACTCTTGAGTTCTACCTAAATAGAACATTCAAACGAATTAAAGATCAAGATCCTGGTCTCCATAATTGTCCACGACCTCTAGGAGCAAAATTTATAGCGTCAAATCTTTCCTTTGAAACATATTCACCTGTAATATTTGATGGTTGTACATTCACCACCCCTTCAACTCTATTACGGATTGGAACGGGTCTGTTTTTCTTTCCAGTGACATTGGGAGCTGGGGTAACGTCTGATATATTTGCATATGAATAAGCGGTTGCATCAACTGTGTTTTGTAAAATATCATTAAATGGATCATATTCTTCTTCCATTGAGAAATTATTATAATGTTTAAACTTATTGACATCATAATTTTGAAACATTAATAATTCAGCTTCATTAACATTAACACAATCGATTCCAAAACTCTTGGCCCAAATTTTAGTAATAGGATCTTCAGTCACAAGTTTCCAATCTTCTAATTCATTGGAATGTTTATTCTTTTCCACAAATCGTTTATAAATACAATTCCTGAGTAAATAACGTAATCGAGTTGGCATTTCAGCAAAATTATCAGAATGACTAAGAGCATTTTGATATGATTCTGAATTTTCATATTGAATATCATTTCTCTTGTTACTATCTCTTAAGGATAAACTACTATTGAAATCATCTGAATTTGCATTGGTATTATGAGCATATGATTGACTAATGGCTGAATAATCAAATTTAGTTTTAAAATTAGGAAATTCTTTAACTTTTGGAGAATGAACTTTATACCTAAGACATTCTTTCCATTCAACGGTTTCACCCGGACCTTCGATTATTAAGTTGTATGAGATGGGATTCGTTGTATTCTCCTTGGGTTCACCTTCTGATTCAATGAATTTATCAATGAATCTTAAAGCTTCTCTTGCATTGGATGCCAGCATTGACATTCCTTTCTTTGCGAAATCAAATTCATGTAAAGTATAAGAAGGGATATAAATATTTAAGGTTATGGAACCTTTACTGGTATTCATATTAGTCTTGACATATTCATCATTAAACCATCTTTTAACATTACCTATCCCACGTATGAAAGCAGTATGATCTAAAATCAAATTGACTAATCTCTCCTCTTTTTTAGTATTGGATGGGTTTGTATTGGCATTATGAGTTTCAAAATCGACTAATTCATCCCGTTGATACTTCAACTCATCATCATCCTCATCATCACCATCGTCTATGGTTCTCCTAAACGAAGACATTGTATTTCTAGCAACTGATTTGTCTTTGCATGGAGTAGCTGAAATAATTAACTGGTCAGGTCCAAAATTGTATTTAAAAATAATTTATGGCATTTTTCTCCTGTATATAGTACGCCTAACAGAGTTGATAGAGATTTAGTATGCTAAAATCAAACAGTTACAACTTTAACAGAAGACTATGACATGAGAGAACTAGGATTGGAAGTCCTAGGTGGTCGAATCCTCAAAAAGGAAAGCTCTACGATTATCTACATGGTAATTATATTGCATTTGAACAAAAAGGAATTGATGTCTATTGACTATCTAAATAAAGTATCCTAAAATAAAATATCTAATGGTGAAATTGAGTTAGTAAAAACACATTCATATAAATCATAAATCCATTGCTTCCGAGTCCTAAGGTTCAATCAATCATTCAAAAAGGTTTTAAAGTAAAGCTTGGAAGCTTATCAGATATAGTCATGGGTGTATTCATGGAACTGTAAAGTTCTAACATTAGAGATGCCAGAAAAAACATATAAATAAAAAAGATTCATCCTGAAAACTTTTGATAAATGATTGAGGATTTCCTATTGATGGTCCTGTAAAGCTGAAGGTAGGTGTTTAATACATACTTATTGATAATGAGACAATAATCCTTATGGGTTGATCCTAAAGAAATGAAATAAAAAGTGGTATATAAATTTATTTTTTAACAGAGCATTGAAAAAGTTTGAAGAAGATGAAGAAGAAATTTTTTTGAGTGTATATATTATATACAGGTATTTGGTATCACACGACCATAGTTGCAAAAATAGTAAAAAATGGATTAGGGTTATATTAATTATATTATATTATCATAATTCATTTCTTTTAATCACATTAACCAAAACCTATATAATATATATAACAATATACATATAAATAAACAAAAACCTTTACCCAAACCAATAAATCCATAAATTAATTTTTATTCAGTTTCATCAAATAAACTTTGTAAAATTAATCCTCGATCTTGGGATGATAATTGAGGTTGACCACCACCACCACCACCACTTTCAATATCTTGAAAACTTAAAGCTTCTAATTCTTGTTTTAATTTACTATATTTTAAATGATCTCTTTGAATATCTTCATTTAAACGATTTTGTTCATCAACTAATTCCTTTTTCCAATCTTTAAAATGCTTTTCTTGATCAGATATTAATTCTTGAAATTTCTTTTTAGCAACTGCTTCTTTATGTTCAAGAACAAGATCATTCTGTTTTAATTTTGATTCTAAATTTTCTAAATTAATTTTATTATAAGTAATATATTCCAGCATACCATCATCATCATTATTATTACCGTAAATAGGATAATTATCTTTTGATTGTTTAAATCTTTCTAATAAACAATGTTCACGATAATTTTCATAATGTTGTTCAGTTGATAAAATAAGATCAAGCATATTTTCATCCATAATTAAATCTCTTAATTTAGCAAAATTACAATGAATTGGATTTTCAATTTCAGAAATTCCCCAAGGATAAATTCTACCTCTAACTATTGATCCATCAGGTTTATAAATTTCTTCATTTGATGAAATTATTGAAAATGGAATATAAGAAGCTATTGCTTCCATAAAATCAACATCTTGAATTAAATCACAAACTTTAATATCATGAAAAGTTAAATTTTCTTTAATATGTTGTTTAAAAAAATATAATTCATCTCTGGTTAATGTATCACCTTTACCAATTAATGGAATCAAATTAACTCTTTTTGATAATTCTTTCATAGTCTTAATATCTAATGGAGAAAGAATATCATTATTTGGAGATATAATATATAAACAACAATGAACTCTTGTATCATCCAAATCATTTCTAAAAGGTTGTTCCAGTTGATATAAATAAGTTCTAAATTGTTCATCAACAAATTCACAAAGTGGAACCCATTGAGAATCATTATCAATTTTATTACCATAACCAGAAGTTTCAATAGTTGTTAATCGAAGTTCAAAATCATTTTCCCATAATTTATAACGTTGAATTTGTAAACCATCCTTATTTATTTGATAAGAATCTAAAAGTTCATCAGCTAATAAACTATTAATGAAAGAAGTTTTACCAACACCACAAGTACCAGCAATCATTAAAGTAAAATTAACACCCTTTTTAGTAACAATCTGAGTTCTTTGATATGGAAGTGATTCAAGACCAATTTTATCTTTTATAACCAGTTTAACTTTAACATCATCATAATCTTCAAATTCAGTACTACTATTTTCAGAGCTTTGGGGAACAGTAGTTAAGACAGGACTAGGACTTTGGAGAGGAGATTGAATGGATTCAGGAGATGATAATGACATCATTTGATTGATTGATTGACCTGTTGAAACGATATTCTCTTCAAGTAACTCATTGTCAGCGGTAACGTCATCATCATTCAAATTATTGAAATCTGAGATAAGATTAGGAGCAGGCATCATCCACTAGACAATCAATGGGTTCAAACTATCACTTTCAGCGATTGATTGATGTAATAAGTGATTCAAATGGATGTATTTGCCTTTGGCTGTAAATAAAAAGGGTGAGTTCAAAAGAGGGAGGAGGATCCAAAAAAGATTTGTTCTAAGACCCTCTCTTTCCTTCTATCGTCCCTCACCAAAAATTACTGCAAAAAATGATTCCTGTATATAACAATATCAAAGAACAAATCAATCAAACTTTACTATACTATAATTAGAAATAGAATACAAAGATAGGATCTAGCCATAACTAAAAATAAATTCAATTAAAGAAAGGACCGTGGATCACAGACAATGGATAAGAACCTGTCTTGGTTTGAACAAACTCAAAAATCCAAAATAAGCCTATAATTACATAGAGAATTAACCTGCACTGGATTGCCTGCCCTGAATTCAATCCTCACCACAAAACTGGTTCCAACTATAAAAATTGAGAATTGCCTAATTAGGACCAATCCAAAATAAATCATCAACTTAATTTTCAACCACAATGAAACTGGTCATAATAGGACGTAAACTATGATATTATTTAAACTATCAAGCCTGAAGAATGACAATGCATGTCGACTCAGCAACCACCCAACTGCAACTGCAACTCGAATTATTTCGTATTGAATTTCATTATTATTTATTATTATTATTATTCAACCACAATACGTATAAAATTTTTTATTTTTATTTTTATTTTTATTTTAAATTATTTTTGCTCATTGAAATTGAAATTGATTGATTCTAAAAATCTGATATTTTATATTCACACATCCTTCATTCCTTCCTTCCTTCCCCCAACTACTATCACCTTCATAAATAGTCATTAAAAGAACCCTTGTGTTATTCCTCCTTTGAAAAATCTTATCTTCGTTTTCTATTTCCCATTCTATTTTCAATTCATTTCATATAGTCCAATAACTTTAATTTTCTTGGAAGAAAATGCAAGTACATTCCCAAGACGATTTGTCCTTGTTGAGAAATGGGAACAACGTCTATCAAGAGACTACTCCTAGAGCTAGGTCAAGCTCTCCCATAAAGAATAGAAGGTCTATGCCTCCCAATGCTTTCGATTTGAAATTACCTACGGTACCTTATACCAATAAAATAGATGCTAATCTAACTCAAGAACAATTAAGGATGCTATCGAAATCTCCCATGTCAAAAAAACTTCATATTACTTCTTATACTCCTTCTAGTAAATATGTTATTCCTGTTCCATTAACTCTTCATTTGCCTCCCAAATTAAGTCCCAAGAATGTCGAAAACTTAAGATCTGTTTCCCCTGATGGAACTTCAAGACCAAGATCAAAATCTCCTCAAAAACATAGAACTAGGTTGGTTTATACTTCGACAGGATATCTGAAAATGAATTCTCTGTCGGATGAAGATGAAGACAATGATGCATCATATACTGAAGAACAACTCATTAAACGAATTGCTTTACCTCGTCGTCCATTAGTTAGACAATCGCCTCCACCGGTGGTAACCAATAATACCAAAGTACTGAAAATCGTTGCTAAATCAAATTATAATGCTCATGATGAATTAAGTATTATAGAAGAAATGTCAAACGCAGGTAGTTCAAGAGCAGCTAGCTTAAGTAGTGAGAAAACATTACCACCATTACCTCCTAGTAAGGTAGATAATATTGTATCATCAACCACCCCAGTTCCACCACAAATCATTAAACCATCTGTTTCAAACTTAACAAAATCACCAGCATATACAAATATTAAAATTATACCTCAACCCATTGCTCCTTCCCAACAACTCAATTCATCCCCCACTAGTAAAAGAAAACCTCCACCACCACTTATACTTCAAAAACCAGTTGAAGCACCATCTATTGAAGTCAGTTGTATTCCAAGAATTCCAACTGAAGAAAATCTTAGAATAGCACAACGATCAAATGCCCCCGCCCCAATTGAATCAAAGGAAGTCCACTTGAAAATCAATAAGAGAAGTTTCAGTGATGAATCTCAAGTATCATCGGCCAGTTCATTCAGTTCCGTAGGTGATTTTATGAATTTTGCTCGTTTTTCAAGTCAATTAAAAAGAAATAGTGCTGCTTCTCCTACTCCTGATAAGCGATTGGAGATATATCATCAGAAACCATCTATACTGACTGTTATGGAAGATAAACGAATAACATCTGGTGCTAGTGAAGTATCTGCTGCTAGTAATGATTCATGGGAATCGATTCAAGAATCAATTGATCTTTCTATAAGTGAATATAGTATTGCTTCTCTGAAAAGGAAAGAGAAGAAAGAACAAACGAAGGACAAGAGCATCATGGCAAGATTACAAGCTGCCGATGTAGATGATGAAGAAGAAGAGGAAGAAGAAACTGAAGAAGAAGGAACAGTTTCCGAATCTAATGAAAATGAAGACACAGATGAAGATCAACTTGATAACGAACCATTAACCCCAATTACACCATTAATAGAAATCTCAAAGGAAGCTACCAAAGTAGTCCAAGAAAGTTTACAACCAACCAATTCAACCCGTATAAATGATAAAGATAATGGAGGATTAGGAAGAAGATTTAATTTCCCTAATAATTTATTGAATGTAACCAACAGCCCTGAAGTTAAAAATAGAGCAGGTAGTCTAAGATCGGAGAAATCAAAGTTTAGTTTCTATTCATCTAATGGTCAAATTGAAATCCCTGATTTTACTAATCAATCTGTATCTGATACATTTTCTTCTAAAAAATCAGTTGCTTCTACTACGTTCGATGAAGTATCGAATGGTTCATCAGCTCCAACTGAATATAACGCTTCCGAAACAGAACATGCATTAACTAATTCCAAACCAAATTATAATAATCCAGGATTTAATAACTTTTATGGAGATGCAAGACTCTCAAAGAGTACACCTTGGAGTCTTAGTGAAAGTGGTCATTCTGATCAATCAACTGGAAATAGATCAAGGACAGGTTCTCCAGTGAGACATACCAGACATAAATCCATGCATAATATTGATTTTAGTGATTTGATGGAATCCCAAAGCATGCATTCTAAATCACCATCAGTTGATATGTTGAATAATCGTATGGTTGCCCCTTCAATGCCCATGCCCGAAGCTTATACACAACCTAAACCAACACAACCTCAACAAGAGGAAGAGGCTTTGGAAATACAGATTGAAGAACCTCCAAGTCAAGTGCGGTATGCTATTGATTTCAAGGATGCCACTTCCCATGAAGATTCTCATTTCAATGATCTCAATACTAGGATCAGTTCTTATAACTATGATGTTGAATCAATTTCGGGTGCTGTTAAAGCTTTACAAATTGCTCATAAGGATCAACCTGTCAGACCTACATCACCATCTCCTAGTGTGATATCAGATACTGAAAGTGTGGTTATTGATTTGACGGATGATCAATATGATATCTGTATGATAAACAGAAATAATTCAACCACTTCATATAGATCAGTGACAGAGAAAACCAAAGATGGAAAAGAAATAGAGGTGGTTTTGGTTGATGATGAAGGTGAAGATGATGAAGATTTAATGAGTATTTATTCAAAGTATAGAAATAATTCATTTGTGTTTAGAAAGGCATCCACTTCTTCAACCACATCTTCAGTTGCATCAAGATCGAGTGGCACATCGGATTTCTCATCTGCATCTTTCGATAGTATAGCATCATCACAACAACTTAAAGTCATGCCATCTAGTCATTTAATTAATAAACTCAGAAAAGACCATATAAGAGGTACAGTGGTTGAAGATTTAAATAAAAAGAGAGGACAAGGTAGTGTTTATTCTATCACATCAAGCAATAGTGCAAGTTACACATCGAGAAGAATTAAACCACCAGTCAGCATAGCTAAGCAAACCTCCATTCCACATTTAAACCCACCAGTGCCAACAAAAGCATCACCTCAAGTAACGTCAGTTCCTACAATAATCGTCACTGAAAGGGCCCAAATTCCTAAAACGTATTCATTCACTCAAGGTCAAACATTTTTAAACTAAAAAGGAAACTTAAAATATAAAAAAAAATTCATTCATGCATTAATATAAAAAAAGCATTTCAATTTTAGAATTTCACTTAGCATATTTTCATTTTTTATTTATTCGATAACTTAATTTAGTTTTAATTTACTTCTTTGCATTTACTGTTAATGTTATTATTATTATTAAACGTAAACTTTAATTTTTAGATATATATATATATGTCCTGTAGTATACTTATTTAAGGTATGGACTATCTGTTTCTGTGATAGTCATTAAGTTAGTATTGCTTGTTACTGTATTTGAGTCAACTCTTTCATAGGGAAAGGTTGAACTTTCATCATTATGATCCTCATAGTCATCTTCAACCGATGCTTCTTCATTGACTGAAGCAAATGAATTCATTGATCTTGTAGAAGTTGCTCTACTGACACTTCCACTTCTCCCAAGTTCCAAACCTAAACTGCTATTACGATAAAATGTAACTGTTTTATTCAAAGTTTCAATTTTATTAGTTTGGAATTTATTATCCATCACAGTTCTGATGGGTTTTTTATTATATGAATTACTTCTTAAAAATCCATTATTATTATTATCTTGAACTTTATTTAATAATTTTCGTTTATAATCATGATCTTGGAAATCAAAATCTTCGGGTAATTGATTAATTTCATCCAACATATCTTGATCCCAATTATGTCCCAGATCTTCTTTATTAGAAGTGGTACTACTACCACTTTTATTAATCGATATGTCTTCATCATTATTGAACCAGGAATATCTCTTGGAACTATTGATTGGAGTCAGAACAATACGTCTTGTGGCAATGGTAGGATCTTTAACCTTTGGTTTACGAATGGTTGAACTATTGGAAACATCAAGTTTCGCTAAAGTACTCATCATATGACTTATGGAATCGCGTCTTTTCTTTAAGGTTGACGTGGAAGCATTCAGATCAGATTGTTCAAGTTTGGCTAAGGTTGACATCATATCATTAATTGATTTTCTATTTTCTTTCATTTTGTCCTTTTGCAAATCACTCGATTTATCAGTACTATGTTCCACTTCCAGTTGATTTTTTTCTAAGTCTGCAAGAAGACTCATCATACCAACTATAGATTTTCGTTGATCAGATTGGAAAGAACTAGTACTGATATTGGCATCTTTATTATTGCTTCCACTATTTTTTCTTGATGAAGCAGTTTGACTTGATTCTAATGAACTTAATAAATCCATCATACTACTAATTGATTTCCTCATCGAATTATTACTCACACTAGTTTTATTACTGATGGTAACATCATGCACGGAATCAGGAGTTTCAATACCTAATCCAACTTCAGGAGATTTGATTTGAGATTTGTAGATCGTATTATGAAATTCTTCCATATTATTGACTTTCTGTTTGATTTTTAAGTCCAAATCATCACCTATCGATTGATGAAAACTATGAACTTTAAAAACTTCATTACCTCCATAATCAATTTTTAATTGTTTTTGACTTACGTTGTCCTCTTCTTCACCTTTAATACCATCACTATCTCTCCGATTGATGAAGGTTTGACGAGATGATTTCTTTGATGAATGATTACTTCCTGGTCTCATAAGTTTATGTTTTAAATTATGACCGATAGTTAATCCATTAATGATGGGACTACTAATATCGAATAATTCCAAATTATCCACTGATTTCAATTCAGGAGTCTTTCGAATGGCCACAGGGGTCGTTATGGCCTTTTCAATCGATGATGACAGTTTAGTCATCACATCCAAGTAATTCTCAAGTATATCATCTCCACTACCATTATTATCATTGGTTAAAGTTTCAATCTCTTCTGAAAAATCAATTCCCAGAATTGATAAATGATAAGATGAGTTAAAAGGTTTTTGAGTGGTGGGTTGTGAAGGGAATGGGATTTGATAGGGATGATCATAAGGTGTAGATGGTATATCATCTACGATTTGTGATTTGAAAGGGAACGGGTTTAAATTATGGTCCACATCTTCATCCACTGCTTTGTTGTAACTAATGAATTCATCATCATCCTCATCATCTCCTGGTATATCATCATCATAATTCTCGTAATCATCTTCATAATCATCTTGATCATAAAGATTTAACTCATTATCGAAAACCTCATTTGAACCTAAGCCTGACTTATGTTCAATCACCAGACTTTGATCTTCCACTTCATCTTCATCATCATCATCATCATCAAATACTTTATTATATTGAATTTCATCATCCTCATCATTATCCCCGAACACACCATCCTCATCATCACCCTCATCATCATCCATACCATTATTTTCAAAATCATAATCGGAATATTCATCAACTTCATAACCTAAATCATGTTCAGAGAAGGTATTTATCTTTGCGAAATTATTCCCCACCGAAGCTGAATCCTTTGATTTATAATATTTAACCGACGTATTCCTACCTCCCTTTCTATCTCTTACAAATGAGAATTGAGAGGATGAAGATGTATCAGAGGAAGTTCCATCTGCTGCTTCTCCCTCCGGTCCTTCTTCGGTATGGGGCACTAAGTTCATCTTGACTTTTTTAATGTTTGACCCACCTACAGATTCATTCTCATCTAAGGGTGTATCATTAGTCGATTCCACTTGGGTGGTATCAGAATCAATAGGGAGGGAAGTTCGTGTGGTGGTATTAGTGATGGTGGTTTTCTTGGATGAGTCGAAACTTACTTGTTTCCGTTCAAAATTATTCAAACTTTGAGTGGAGGATACAATCAGATTATTGGCTTGATATATCAGGGATGAAGCCGTTGTGGATGAATTCGGTTGTTCCCGAGATAAGGAAGATGATGTTTGAGTAGTTGGTATAATATGAGCTTGGGATTGATTCGCTGATGATGATGATGCTAAATGGGAATTAGCTGAATGATATGAATTTATAGATGTTTGAGAAGGTGATGAACCAATGGGACTACTTCCTTTTGAATTAACCAATGCAGGAGATGATGTAGAATTGAATAGTACAGGAGGAGGAGCCAATCCTGCCACATTAGAACTGCTTTTCGAAGATGGTTTATTCTTTGTGGTGGTGGTAAAGGATGGATTAGTATATTTCGAATGGAATTCATGAACGGAAGAAGATGTCAATTCACTAATATTTGAAATCGAAGTATGACTTCTCGTATGTCTTAATTTCTTATGTTTCAATTTCTCCAATGTTCCAGATGATGAATGTAAGATATTATTCAAACTTGTACCTGATGAAGGAGATGCTCCGTAATTATTAACCGTGGTGGATGAATGATAAGGTTTTGAGTGATGATGACTATGACTATGACTACTCCCACTTGAGAATAAGTTCTTTATAGGTGAAAGTAACTTCTTGGGTGAACTTAGACTTGAAGATGGATTATTGGATAGATTAGGTGGAGTTAAAGTGAATTGAGAAGATTGATGAAGTCGAGGGGATGGATTAGGAGTTATGACGGATACATTCTGCTCACCAATATTATTCGATTGAGATCCTGAATTGGTTGATATCGATGTGGTGGACGGTAGAGATGGTGGAGGTTGATAATCCAGTATTGAAGATTCAAATGTATCAGACTGATTCGAATCATTCCTTCGATGTGATTTTATAAATGATCTCATTTAGACTTATCATTTGATGACGACAAAGCTACCCGAGATGAGATATAGACAGTCGTGGTATCTATCTATCTGTCTGTTGGTATAAAATGATGGGTTTAAATTGAAATTTGAGATAGTTAACTATATGCGACAGATCTGTTTTATTACACGCATTTATTTTGTTTGTTTGTGTGTGAAATTTATTTATTACTATTTATGGCATACAAGTTAATATTTTAAGGGGACACCCAAAATATGATGATGATGTCAAGTTGCAACCAAACTACAAAATTTCAAATTAACAACCCACACACTCATCTTCATTGTTATCCCTATTTCAATTGCAACATCTACACTTTTTGACTCCTTTAAGGTTAAGGTTGTTTATTTGCGATCCTCCTATGGGAGGAATACAATTTAACACATATATACATAGCTAAGACTGATAATGATAATCATCAGTCCAAATTTTTTTTTATAAGTAATTTATAACATTTTTAATAATCCAACAGTAAGTAATTCTTTATTTTTTTTTTTTTAATTAATTAGGTTGATCAATTTTACTTTTGTAAAGATCTTCTGGTTTTAATAGCATTGGCTAAAACATCTAAAACTTCAATAGTATTATCCCAACCAATACAAGCATCAGTGATAGAACAACCATATTTCAAAGCAGATTTACCTCCTTGTTCTAAAGGTGGAACATCTTGTCTACCTTCATTGATATTAGATTCAATCATTAAACCACAAATGGCAGTAGAACCTCTAGCAATTTGATCAGCTACAACAGCAGCTACTTTTGGTTGATTTCTATGATCTTTATTTGAATTACCATGAGAACAATCAACCATAATTCTTGGACCTGGGTTTGATTCAGTAACAATTTTACTTTTAATTAATTGTTCTTGAGTTTCTTTAACTGATTCTTCATCAAAATTAGTTCCCTTTTTACCACCTCTTAAAATAACAAAAGTATCTTTATTACCATCAGTACCAACAATAGCAACAATACCAGGTTTAGTAACAGAAAGGAAATGATGAGGATGAGAAGCAGCTCTCATGGCATCAACAGCAACTCCTAAGGTACCATCAGTACCATTTTTAAATCCAACTGGGAATGATAAACCAGAAGCTAATTCACGATGTAATTGAGATTCAGTAGTTCTAGCTCCAATAGCACCAACAGAAAATAAATCAGATAAAAATTGAGGAGAAATAGTATCCAACATTTCCCCTGCAATAGGTAATTTTGAAGTTAATTCAACAAATAATTTTCTGGCAATTCTTAACCCTTTATTAATTTGAAATGAACCATCAATTTCAGGATCATTAATTAACCCTTTCCAACCAACAGTGGTTCTTGGTTTTTCTAAATAAGCTCTCATAACAATTAATAATTCCCCTTTATGTTTTTCAGATTGTTCATATAATCTATTAGCATAATCTTTAGCAGCTTCAGGATCATGTATAGAACATGGACCAATAACTATGATTAATCTATCATCTTTACCATTCAAGATATCAACAGCGCCATTTCTACCCCTTAAAATCACTTTTTGAGAAGCTTCAGTTAATTGGTATTCATGTTGTAATAAATCAGGAGGAGTTAAAGGATCGTAACCACGAACTATAGTAAAGGCAATTGTTAGTATAATTTGAATCTTTGACAAAGTTTTCAGTTGCGACAAAAAAAAATTTATGACACATCGAAAAAAAAGACGACTTTGAAATATTTAACTATTAGAATTAGTACTAAGAGGTTAATCACATTGACAATGACGATGGTATGATGAGATGTGAATGTGATAATAGTAATGGTACTAATGGTAAATGACAATACTTCAGATCAAGAAATGATTTACATACTTCTCCAATCTTCCATACGAGATCTGTCGCCGACGTGCTCGTTAGTGATGAACATATTTATGGTGGTAGTGTAGTAGTTAGATGATGAACTTTATATGAAATACGAGAGGTTATATATCTTAGATCTCTTTTGAATGAAGATTTGATATAAACGAATGTATTTGAATGAACTTAACTAATGAACTAATAGTAAGAAGAAGAAGAAGAAGAAGAAGGAAATCAAAAACTAGCAGTTAACAAGGAAGGAAGAGGGTTCCATTTATAATTCTTTTTTTCACTTTTGTGGTCAAAGAATTTATTTAGTCATAGTTGTTTTTTACAGGTTATGATTGGTTTACCTGTAAATTAAATTATAACCTGTAAAAATCATATTTTATACACGTTGTATGTTGGTACTGTATATAGTGTTGCAGTATATTATAAAAAGATAAGCTTATCTTTACAAGGTGTAACTATGTTATTATTCCAACTACAATGACGTAAATTAGTTTCAGTTTCAGATATTATTTTACGTTCTTCGAGGCTATACGGATCAATCAGATTACATTTACAGTCTAATTATAAATAGTGTCATTTTTAGTTTCATCGTCTGTCTATGTATAGTGTTATTTATTTTTCATATACAGACATAGATAATAAATAATTATAACTTATTTATATCCCTTGGCTGATACATATGGATATACACGGAAGGGATGATTATAATATAACAAACTTTATCCCGTTGTAGACCACATAAAGCTAAGCAAAATTAATTACTGAAAAAAAAAAAGATAATAGGTGTGGCAAAGATCGACAAATTCAGAATTCAACACCGAGATAACAAAATAGAGTTACGCTACAATATTATGATCTAATATAGTATGAACAGTTTTATTTTCACCCCTTTTTCATATTATTATCAAATATGAATCACTTCTATATCTATATATATGTATACACACTTTCTCTCTCTTATTAAATCTTTTCAAATATGTATACATAACCATTACTCTTTATATCTTGTAAATTCTCATCTTCACAAATAACCACTTTTTCATCATTATACAAGATCCATTTATCCTTTCCTTCAATATGTTTTCTAATGAACACCACATAATGACCAGTATGGGGTGATGTACCCTTATGACAAATAACCGACTTTAATTTATATTTGGTTTGACTTGTAGTAGCAGTCGATTGTAATAATTTCTGTTTTAAAGCTTTATGTTCAGCCGCTAAATTAACCACAGCTTTGGATGTAGTTGTTTCCGTAGAAATTTCAATAACTCCATCATCATCAGGATTAGAAAATAACCATTCAACTGCTAAATTAATATCATTATTATTTAATATTAAGGCTTTTTTAGCTAATTGGGTACTAAATCCCATCCCCACTAAATTATCAATTGAATCTTGTGAAGGTCCTGAATCAGTAGTTGTAGCAGCACTTGATGTTTGAACATCGGGATTAAATGGTTCATCAATATCAATATCATCCATATGTGCAAAGATCCAATTCATAGCATCTTCAGCATTATTATTTCCATGATATAATCCTTTTAAACATCTTGGTTCTGGAAATCCCATACTTAAAAGCGTACTAAGTGCTTCTTCATTAGGTTTGAACTTATTATCACTAGATGAACCAGATACTTCCTCTTCCTCATCCTTTTGTTCAACTTCAACTTCATCACCTTCAAATATAGGTTCTTTAAATTCCCCTAAATCAATTTCATAAGGTATTTCAATCGGAACGTCAATTTTAATAGGAACCCAATTCTCCAATATAATTCTTTGAACACTAACTACCAACACATCAGGATAAGTTTTAAATCCTCCTGATTTAATCGCTAATCCCAGTGGTACTTTACAATGATCACATTTATAACCTTCGATACCTTCTGTATCACAATAATCTCTGATACTCTCAATTAAATTAACCTGTTCATAGAGTTTCTTTCCATCTTCATCTTTACCAATAACCTCATGTTTGATGGGGATCGAAAGATTATCAATCAATTCTGATTGAATCGATCCATGTTGACAATTTGCACAGATGGTTTTATTGGCAAATAGAAATTTCAACGATTGATTTAATGTTAAGCCGAATTCTTGATCTAATTTATCTAATAAATATAATAAGAATTCAAAGGCATCTTGTTGTCTTTGAGTTTTAAACTCTGCATGATTTTCTCCAATAAGGGTTTTGAATGATACTGGTTTTAAACCTAATTGATAATCATCACCTTTATTAGCTGATATTAAACTTGGTTTTGAATATCGTCCACTCCATAATCCATCATAGATTTTAATCAATTGATTAGATAAATCTTCACTTGGATTCTTGATTGATGAGGTGTTGAGTTCAGATGATAAGTTAGAAAAGAATTGTTGATAATTATCTAAACTGAATAATGATTGTAATACTGAATTTAAATAACATGAATTACCTAAATTTTGAAATCCCGTATACCCTTTACCATAAACAGGTTTTAATTTTTCACCATTAGCACCTTCTAATTTGAAATCCCAATTTAAATTTTGATAAATATTTAATTCAATTAAACTCTTTTCAGTTTTAACTTGAGATTTTAAATCAATACCGAATTTAAACAATTTTTCGGATAACTTAGGGACTTTAACTTCATCATTACATGCATAACAATAAACATCACAACTATCTTCGTTATCAGATGATAACGATCCTAATTTGACCGCTACGGGATGACCTGTGATTTCATAATGATTTAAAGCATGACCATTTCCTTTTAAATTAGATCCAAATTGTTGACGTCCACATCCTAAGGCTCCACAATGTAAACAGATCCATAAATTTTCCTTCAATTCACATACAGAACATTTCGTCAAGTCGATTTCTTTACTGGATGTTTCTTGTTGAATATCAATCGAATGATGACATGGTATAATTTCTAACTCCCATTGTTTGATTTCATCCTGTTGATGAGATGAATTCGAAGTTAAGATTTGATCGATCAACTTACGGAATGGATCACTCAATTCATCCAACCGATACGATTTATCCTGCTTAATATCATACACGGTATACTCCACATTATACAATTCATTTTCATCGATATCTTTGATTTCTAATTTTTGTAATTTAGTACTCTTTTCACCATTTTCATCATAAATTTTCTTTCGTTCCGATTCAGGTTTTAAAACTTTATTAATATTCAAATATAAATAGTTCCCTGTCTTTTCATAATTATCCCGAGTATAATTATGAGTGGCATTTCGTGAATATGCAAAGTAACTCTTTAAATCGATATCTAATCCGAATTCATTATTCTCAGGTGTATCAAACGAATACATGCAATCATCCTTGTAAATCTTAGCATTGGCAGGGATAGTAGATGGAATATCAGATGGTAGTTCTAACATAGTTCAAAAAACAACTGTAATATAATTGGATAATGAAAACTATAGTGGTTATGGCAATCTAAGGTTAGATATTTCTAATTTTGCCATTCTAACGCTGGTGTACAGAAATATTTACTGGGGTCAAGTTTTGCGACGACAGCTGAACTAAAGAAAATTTCTGTATACACTCCTTTGGCGGTAGATCCTACCATAGCCAAGATCTAGTTACTAAAAGCTTATTCTGTTGACATATCTTAATAGATACAATAGCAATTGGAAAGGTCATCGTTAATCTGGTGACAATACCAGACTGGTTTCAATAACGTGTTCATATTTAATCGTTTCCTGTTCATCAAAGTTCACTAATACAAGATCAATTATCTTTGCAGTCAACCACAAACAATACCACTATTATGTATGTCGGGTCAGATCCTGGGCGTCATCAACGTGATGATTATCATCGACCTCAACAACCTATCCCATTAAGTCGAAAACCATCTGCTGCTTCTGAACCGCCGCTTAAATTCAATAATTGTGTTTATTTCAGTAATTGGTCAATTTACGATAGGAAACATTTTGCAACTGATCTTCCATTTAATAGTATTACTCACGTATTCTATGCATTTATGAAGATCAATGCTGATACAGGTCTGGTTGAACTTAGTGATTCATGGGCTGATAAAGAAATTCCTTTGCCATCTGTATTAATCCCTCAAGGTAAAGCTAAAGGATCATTACTCCAATTTCTTCAATTAAAAACAAAATATCGTCATGTTAACGTTATCATGTCAGTTGGAGGTTGGGGAACTCATGAATTATTTGAAAGTTTAGTAGGTAATCCAGTAAAGTTGGAAAAATTTGTTACTAGTTGTATGAAATTTGTTATGGGATATGGATTTGATGGAATTGATATTGATTGGGAATATCCTAAAACTGAAGCTCATGCTGAAACTTTATTATTGATAATTCAAAAGTTATATGATAGAATCACAAATATATGTCAAGATTCTGGTTCACCACCTTTATCAATCTCCATTGCTGCTCCTGGTGGGAGTGAAAATATTAAAGTATTGAAACTTGAAAAAATGGCTGAATATTTATCATTTTGGAATGTCATGTGTTATGATTTCAATGGTGAAGGATGGTCTGAAAAGACGGGTTATCAATCCAATTTATATGGATTTAGTGGATGTAATAATATGAATGTGGATAATGTAATTAGACAATATCTTGATGCTGGAATTTCACCTCGAAAATTACATTTAGGAATGCCCTTATATGGAAGAGTATTTCATGGAGTTAAAAATCCACTTCTTGGTAATTCATTCACTAAACAAAAAGTAAAAGGGTGTGTGGAACAAGATACGGTTGATTTCAATAAATTACCAATTGGAATTGAAACATATTATCCTTTAATTGGTGCTGTTTCTTGTTATGATTCTAGACTTAAACAATTGATAGTTTATGATAATAAGCAAACAATTAGTATGAAAGCAAATTATACAAAAAGAAATAATTTAGGTGGTGGTATGTGGTGGGACTCAGCGGGTGATAAAAAGGGTGAAGATTCATTAATCAAATCATATTTACATGATTTGGGAGGTACAGTTGTATTAAATAAAGAAGAGAATCACCCTGCTTCTTTTTATAAAAGAAAGTAGGTTTATGTTACAATTTTGGATTTAGATTTGGATTTGAATATTGGATTTCAACTCGGTATATATATATGATTAAGGTTATATAAAAAGTATAAAATTGGGAATAAAAGTAAATAACTATATATGGTAATAAAAGGTAAAAAATTAGAAAAAGTAAAAAGTATTATAATAAACTATAATAGTGACAAGAAGATAAGTAAATAAGAAATGATAAAAATGGTGATATAAAAAAAGTAATAGTGTGATAGGAATAGCATTGGTTTAAAATTGGGGATGGATGGATGGATGGGAATTGACCACTAAAGTACATGCATTTGATTTCTTCAAATTGATTTAATTTGAGTATTATGTGATGAGATATGATTAAACTATAATATTGAATCCATTCTTGAAAAGACACTTAATACAGCTGCGATTAATTCTAATTGTAATTCACCGGATGAATCCTTTTCAATTTCTTCATTTACTTCCTGACCTAGATTCAAACCTATACCCAATGGAGATTGAGTTGATAAATTGAAAGGGAATTCACTAAAATCGTTAAGTAATTCATCAGCTCTGGCGAATGCTTGATCTCTTTTATCATAATTCAATGATAATAATACATTTTCTAAGACATTGGCGGCATAAGATCCACATACTAATGCAATTGATCTTAAATGTTTGAATGAAGTTTCTTTGCCAAATTGATCATTGGCAATACTATCTAAATCAACTGTTCTTTGAGCTAATAAAGCTAATACTCTATTTTTAAGATATTCTTTAGATAATTTATCGGCCACAGGATGAGTTGCCATATCAAATAAGAAGAAATTTTTTCTTTCAGTTCTTAAGATTCCTTTATCAACTAAACCTTTAGCTAATCTTTCTCTTACTTGTTTTAATTGATAATTGATTTTCATTAAATTCCAAGTTTCTCCACTTAATAAATCAATCCAATTGGTGACTGATAAGTTTGATTCATCATTTTTCATAATTTTTAATGCTTCATCTAATAATACTTCACCAGTTGGTTCAGAATCTATAACTTCAACCAATCTATCACTCAATTCAAAACGACGTCTGGCAGGATCATTAACCAATGTTATTTTGTTACGGAATGCAAGTTCAAGAAGAATACAACCTCTTAAAGCATATGAAATATTATCATTCCAAAATGATAAATAACCTTCTTTATCTTTAATACCAATCAATAAAACTTCTTCCATCAAGGTTAAAAGAGGTAATTTCAAAGTCTGACGATCTTCAATATCACGAGAATCATATCCAATCTTATGATCTCCCCCTCCATTACCACTAGAAGTGAAGTCATCATTATCATCATATGCATCATTCAGTTGTTGTTGTTGTTGATTGGAAGTTGTTGAAGTAGTGGCAGCTTTACCACCACGACGTCTTTGTAAACCAGAAGATGACATTGTTGCTGTTGTTTGTTCTCTATAATGTATGTCACTTTACACTCTATTCCCAATTCTAATTGTCGTTAGACTTGTAATCCACACTAATTGATACAAAACAAATAAGGTTTTAAATGAATGATATTTACTCCAGAAATACTGTATGTGTTAATTAGAGATTTGGGTGAATTTTTTTTTCCCTGTCCTGTTTAGCTTTTGTGTGAGGATTTGAAAGTGGTGCTGGATGTTTATTACGAAAATGATCAGATACTCATAACAATAGCATAGATTAGATATAGATATGTACTATCTAATTGTCAGATGGTGATGGTATGATCTATCACTGGTTATGAACTACCATGTATATTGAAGAAGAAGAAATTGGAACAGAATAGTTTATCTATCTGTGATGAACTGTCATAGCCTTCTACACTGTAGTAAGATCGTGATAGTCTAAAGGATCACAGATTTCCCAATTGAAAAATTTCTACTATTCTACTTAATCTTATCTCATGATACTGCCTCTAACCACCACTCAACATAAATTCCATCTCTATTATAAACTATAATTATCCCATCACCAACTTCTCTTCTCTTACTTTACCGACCGTTAAACGGGGGGTGTTAGATCAAACGCTTGTATACAGTACCACTGTTTTTGTTTTAAAGTGCGATTGTTTAAAAGAGCCATAAAGAAAAGGCAGCCAAATTGATTATGATATCACTATATAACTGTTTTTGAATCAATATAACCCAGATATTTATCATATCAACACTACACATTGGTTAGTTGAATTGCTCTGGAAGTGATTGAATCGATTAATCGTATAATTGATATATCTGTGGCCAATCTCAACCTCACATCATCATGATAGGTAGAGATACTAAACCCCAAGATTACCCTTCATTCAATAATAGTGATGATGAAATTGAACCTAATAACACTATTAAAAAGGATCATTTCACTTCATTCCCAAACTTACCTGATGATGAACAAGATGATCCAAAAACTTTCAGTCGGATATTCACTAACACTTTAAGAAAAGTAACTCATAATGCATCTAATTTAGTCCAAAATTACTCCTATTCATCTCCAAAGTCTTCCCATCAATTTTCAAATTCAATATTAAACTCACCGGAAGATGACACTCATATGGATAAACCATTTAAAGATGATATTGATGATTCTCCTATAAAACCAATTATAAGTGCCAGTAAGAAAGTTACTCAAGATTTAAATAATGTCATCAAATCTCTGGTGCCCCCATCAATAATACATTCTCCAAAATTAGAAAGTAGAATAATGAGTCCTCAACTTGAAGGTCATAGTTTTAATCTTACTAAATCTGATATGGAATCGAATCAAAATGAAATTAAACCATCAAAGCAATCAGATATACTACCTAATAGTCAAAAAGGTGGTGCTGATGATATCAATAATTCAACTACCATTTCTAATAATACCAGTATTAATAACCCTAATATCAATACTAATATGGTTAAACTCCAACCTCCAATAATGCCACTTGCTTCTACTCCTATCCCACCTCCCCCACCAATAAGACAATCATCGTTTATAGATGAAACAATAACTCCAAGAGTGACGGCTGATAATAAATCTTTAAGAATAACAACTATGGGAGCTCATATTATGCCAAATTCAAGTGCAACTAGTTCAGTTATTAATGTTAATGTGATTGCTGGTAGTGATAGAGATCTTTCCAAAACTGAGATTTCAAAATCAGAGACAATTGATAAAAGAGGGAGAAGAAGTTCACAAGCACCACTTCCCCCACCACCTGCACCAATAGCGCCCCCAGTTGCATCAATACTTAGTATCCCCTTGGAAAAAGTCCTACAAAGTACATCTATTTTCACAAATTTACCAAATGATATTGAATTATCTGATGATTCAGCTTCCGATATAGAAACCATTAATAATGATAGTTTTTCAACGTCTCCTTCAAATGGAAGTGGTAGATTAGTTAATGACAGATCCGATGGTCCAACCGCAACCGATATTCATAGGAATGGATCTAATAATATACTTCCCAACTACTATGATGTGTCATTATATAGTGAATCGGTTGCTAAATCATCACCTATCAAGGCTGAACAATATCGAAACTATAACAATAATGCTTATTCTGAAGAATTAAAAAATTCTCCAACCTTAAGTTCATTTTATGAATTAAAAAAGAAAGATCATAAAACATTAAGAAAGAAAACATCATCAACATTATCTACCGTCTTATTTGATAATGCAAAGACATTGATTAACAATAATTTACCAGTCGTATCTTCGGCATCATCAATAGTTAGTGAAAAGAAAAAGAAAATCAAACCTCATAGACTGTCCGAGAATCCATTAAAGAATGGTGGTATAGCGAAGAAATACTGGATGAATGATTCATTCGTTTCTGATTGTTTGAATTGTTTCAAACCGTTTACCGCATTCAGAAGAAAACATCATTGTCGATTCTGTGGTCAAATCTTTTGTTCAGATTGTACTTCATTTGTTTCATATAATCAACATAAAGATGAAAGAAAGAATGCATCACGGAATAAAATTACTAAAAAGACGTATAATGATAGATTAAGAGTTTGTAAACCATGTCTTGAAGATGTCATAGTTTACTTAAGTGATGATTCCTCAAGCTCTTCAGAATCAGAAGCCGAAATCGAAGAATCAGAATCAGATTCAGCAGTTTCTAAAGTCAGTGGTGAAGAAAGTATAATAGCCAATCATCCATTATCACGAATAAGGTCTTTATCGGTCAATTCTAGAAGAGACAGTATGACTAATGATGCAGTATTAACTGCTAACAGGGGATTTCTAAACAGAGATCGTTCGTCAATCATTGAATCGCCCATTAGTAATACCTCACCATCAAGAATAGAATTAGGATACCCTGATGAATCAATTAAAGTTCATCCCAAACAAGCTCCTCAAATGGCTATTCCAACTACAAGAGCTGGTGAATCGGTTGAAATTCCCGTATCTAAAAGCTTTTATAATTCAAATTTTAAGAACTCAGTCTATAGAGGTTCAAACTATGCTTTAGATACCATGATGATGAATAATGGTAGTTTTAATACTCCATTACACCGAGTTAATTCTTCAACTGATGCTATTTCACTTCACAATAGTCAATCTAATAATAACAGTAATAATAAGAATTGGTTATCACATCTTAGATCGAGTAATATTTCAAATCCTGATTTACCCCGAGTAAACAGTATTGATAGTTTTAATACCATGTATAATTCAATACTTGGTAGAAAACCTTCACAACCAAAATTAAGACTCAAAACTAGTGAACATGGATTACATAGGAAGCCGTCCGGTAAGAGTACTGTGCTGGTTGGAGATACTCTTGACTATAGAGTTGGTGGAAGTGATGTTAAATTTGATCATGATGATGATGATTTGAAAGATTCTGAAAGTGATGATGATGATGATAATAGTGCCAATGCTAGTGAAGATGAAGGAGCCATGTCGGCATATATATCCTTGAATGAAGAAAAATCAAATAAATCAATTCCAAATAGTTCCATTGTGGTACCTACATTAAGTGAATTTCCTGATTTTGCATTTGGTAATAAATTCACTCTTCCAAAGGCACCACCGGCATCAACCCTTCAATTGAGTAATAATTTAAATAGAGCTCAAGCATCAATGATGAGAATGAAATCAAGATCAAGAAGAAAAAGTAAACCACCAAGACATTTACATATAGGTAATACTAGTATGAGATTACCTAGTATTGAAAGTATGAATCAAGGTAGAGCCCCTGGTGTATTATTTGCTCCAGCATCCCCAATTCCAGAGAAGTTGAATTCACCATTTTCAAATCAATCGAATTTAACAAAGGGACTTGCTAGAGATAGAGGCGATACATCCCTGCCTATGTCAGCTAATTTAGAATCAGAAAATTCGATTAGAGATAGTGGAGTAGTTGATATTTCTATGTCGATTAATAATCTGGATAATGAAATAATGTCCAAGATTGATTCTTCGCCAATTGATGATCTGATTATCGAAGGAGCAAATGATTCAACTTTTGATCATATGTATCATCATTTACCTTCCAAAGAAGAAGTGTTTTTGGATTTATTTGATGCTATTATTGCTCAAACTATGGAGACAAGAGGTATAGTTGAAAATCAAGATAAATGGAAGCATGTTATTAAAAATGTATTAGATTATGTTAATTATTTAAAATTAACTGATACATTAGATATCAAACAATATGTCAAGATAAAGAAGATACTTGGAGGAAGAATTTCGGATACAAAATTCATGGATGGGTTATTTATGACCAAAAATATAGATTCTAAAAAGATGCCATCTACCATTAATAATCCAAAGATTGCATTACTTACGTTCCCATTAGAATATTTGAAACTGAAACAACAATTCATTAGTCTTCGAATTATTCATTCTCAACAGAATGTTTATATAACTAATCTAGTATCTCGATTAATTTCATTAGAACCTGATGTCATTGTCGTTGGTGATAGTGTATGTGGATTAGCCGAAAGTTTATTAGCTGAAGCTGGTATTACAGTTATATCAAATTGTAAACCACAAGTTATTGAACGTTTATCAAGATATACTAAAGCTGAAGTTTTCCAAACTGTTAATGATTTATCATTTAAGAAGGGAACTTTAGGTAGTTGTCAGAAATTTGAAGTTAAAAAATTTATGTTTGAGAATAAGGTTAAATCATTTATATTTTTCACCGGTACAGACATGCAATCAGGTTTCACAATTCAATTAAGAGGAGGTGATGATACTTTATTAACGTCAATTAAATATGTGTTTGAAACTTTATTACCAGGATATTTAAATGCTAAGTTTGAGAAAAGTTTAATGGATGATGAAATGAGTTCATTTTCAGGTATAACGACCAATCATAAGATTTTAGAATTTAAATCAATTCTAGATGAGATTGCTAATGATACTGAGATTGACAAAGAACAAGAAAATAATGCTTGTGAATTTGGATTAGAAATTATTGATGTTCAAAATTCTTTTGCTTTATTCAATCATCGAAAATTAAGTCTTTCACCGGCTTCAAGTTTTAGTTTACCAACTCCATTATCGAATATAATTGAATCATACTATAAATTCCATAAATTTTTCAAAAAGAATCAATTAATTCAAACCACAGATAATATCGATCATATTGATCCATTATGGTTAGATGATTTAAAAGTTAATTTCAGTTTAGATTTATTACCAAATCGTGAACAAGATTTACTTTCAAATTTAAGATTTGCAAGTGAAAGTATCTTAAAATCATTAATTTCCGAATATCATTCCAAAGCTCGTATATGGACTAATTACATGAGATATTTCCCAGCTTTATTAGAACCAAGTAAAGGGATTGATGTATTACGATCAACTGTCTCTATCAAACATGCTACACCGTGTGCTGGACCTGATATTGTTGCTATTCCATATTATGCGGATAAAGATTCATGTTTAGGATCATTCATAGATCAGATCTTTCATGAATCGATTACAGAATGTGATGAATGTGGAGAAAGTCATTTAGATCATTATAAAACGTTTGTTCATGGAGGTGCCAAATTAGATTTTATTTTGGAGAAATTTGAAGGTATTACCAATCAACAAGATTTCCAAGGTAAGAATCAACGAGTTATGTGGAGTTATTGTAAAGAATGTAAATATACTACACCTATTGTGGCCATGAATGATAATACCTATTATTATTCGATTGGGAAATTTCTTGAATTATCATTTTATGGAGAGAATGTTATCCCTACGAATCCTAATTGTAATCATGATTTTTATATTAATCATGTTCGATGTTTTGGATTTAATGATTTAGTGATTCGAATTGAATATTCCAAGATTGATACGTTTGAAGTTATCCCACCTAAGAAACAATTAGAATTCATTGCTGATGTTGATATTAAATTAAAAATTGAATCATATAATTTCATTAAGACTCGAACTGATAAATTTTTTGAAAGTGTTTCCAAAAGATTAAATAGAGTTAAGATTGATATTTTTGATAAGGGAGAAGATGGAATTAAAGTGATTGAAGATTTTAAAATTAAATTAGAGGATCAAATCTCCAATATTAAAGAAAAAACCTTACATATATATAATTCATCATCCCCTACTAGTCATTTAGGATTGAATATTATTTTAAGAGAATTACAACAATTAGGGGTATCATGGGATACTGAATTTAATGATTTTGAACATAAATTTTTACCTACTGAAAATGAAATTACTAAGATGACTCAATTCCATTTACGAAATTTATTAGATAAATATAGTCATGATTATAATAATAAAGAGAGTGAGAAATCGAAGGAAAAAGAAAAAGATCAAGATAATGAAGATGGAGGTGACGATGAAAAGGTGAAACTTAAAGAAGGTGAAGAAGGAACCAAGTCCAATGATCAACCTCAATCTGACTCTCAACCTAAATCTCAACAACAACAATTATTGGTTAAACCTGATGAGAATTCAATTAATAATCAATTACGTCATGGAAGAGATAATAATAATATCTGGGATAAAGTTAATAAATTTGAAGAATTATTAGATTTACAACGAAAGACATCGACGAATTCTACCAATAGTGGGAATGCCACTCCATCGAATGTACCAGGAACATCATCCACACTGACGAATCCCCCCACCAATTTCAGAAGATCTTCTTTATCAAGAAAAGAATCAGATGTATCTCTTAATGCGTTAGTTAATGGTCCACCTAATAAAGTAAGTCATTTGGCTAATTATTTTAATAATTTGAATTTAGATCAAATTTCGATGGAATTTAAAAAACAGAGAGAACAAGAATTAGAGAAGATGTCGAATAAATTCAAAGCTCGTAATATTGTGGAATCAAAACCTATTGTGGAGATTTATAATAAGATTGAAGATGTGGTTGATGTTAGTGGGAAGGGAGGAGTTGGAGGAATGGGGGGTGCAGGAGTTGGAGGGATGGATGAATCTTCGATGATTAATTCTAAATCGATATCACCTCCGTTGAAGAAAGATATAAGTTCAGTTCCACCTACTACTACACCTGCCACTACACTTGGTAGTACCAAAAATACATCTACTAATACTACTAATACCACTACCCCAAAGATTGAAATTCCTCAACCTGAAAAAGTATCAATTTTAAAATCCTTAACTAATTTCTGGGCGGATAGATCAGCTACATTATGGGATCCATTAGAGTATCCTTTAGATTCACATGAACATACATTTGCTGATTCTTTGATTATTGTTAGAGAAGATGAACCATCGTCGTTAGTGGCGTTTTGTTTATCATCTAATGATTATAAGACTAAGATTCAAGCTGTTATGGATCAAGCTGAAGAAGAAGGTGATGGAGAAGGTGATGAAGTGGATGGAGATGAGGGAGATGTTAAGAAGAAGGATGATGAAAGAGAAGGAGGAGGAGAACATGAAGAAATTGATTCTGATAATGTTAAAAAAGAAGATAAGACATTGGAAGAGACAGGAGGAGAAGAAACTGGTGATGAAGGAGGAGTTGACAAGGAAGAAAAACCAAAGAAGGATGATATTAATATTAATGATATTAAAAAGAAGATGAATTTCCTTAAATTGGAGAAAAAATATAAGAAATCATCCAATGGAAGTTCTAAAACCAATATACTTGAACGAATCATGATTAAGAATAAAACCAATCATTTAAAATATCAATTTAATGTGGGAGGGAATATGAATTTATCATGTAAGATATTCTATAGTGAACAATTTGAAGCATTGAGGAAATCATGTGGAGTAGATGAGAATTTCATTCAAAGTTTAAGTCGATGTATTAAATGGCAAAGTAATGGAGGTAAGAGTGGAAGTAATTTTCTTAAGACGTTGGATAATCGATATATTGTGAAAGAATTGAGTAAATCTGAATTAGAATCGTTTGTATCGATTGCGCCATTTTATTTCAAATATATTTCTCAATCAGTTTTTAATACTTTAACGACGGCAATTGCTAAGATATTTGGATTTTATCAGATTGAAATCCGAAGTATTAAGAATGGAATTAATCAAAAGATATTTAAGATGGATTTTTTAATTATGGAGAATTTATTTTATAATCATCAAACGACAAGAATATTTGATTTAAAGGGGAGTATGAGAAATCGTCATGTTCAACAAACTGGGAAAGAAAATGAAGTATTATTGGATGAGAATATGATTGATTATATCTATGAATCGCCTATATTTGTTAAGGAACAACTGAAGAAATTATTGAAAGGGTCCTTAAGTAATGATACTAGTTTTCTATCAGCTATGGATGTAATGGATTATTCGTTGGTGATTGGGATCAATGATCAAACGAAGAAGATATATGTCGGTATTATTGATTGGTTACGAACATTTACGTGGGATAAAAGAGTGGAGAATTGGGTTAAGGGGAATAATTTAATGATTGGAGGGAAAACTCTTAAAAAGGATCCTACTATTGTTACCCCTAAGCAATATCGAATTAGATTTAGAGAAGCTATGGATCGGTATATATTGGAAGTACCTGATATATGGTATAAGGGAGAGGAGAGGAGTTCAATCAATTAATTAACCAATCAATTTATTGATTGGTTGATTGATTAGTAGAGTCAATCATTTAAAAAGTACATATATATCATATCATATAATATACATTATAATTATAATTATTTATATTTATTTATATTTATACTTGGTAGCGTAAATGAGACATGATTGGTGACAATCCACATGGTTTAAGACATGACAAGACACGGTCTTTTAAATTCGACATTTTAAAAAAATAAAACGCGAAATTTTTTATTTTTTTTTTTTGTAATTTTTGATTTTGTGACATTTTTCTGTTTAAAGAGAGGAAAAAAGAGATTAGAGAAAAAAAATAGGGGGGGAGGAGGAGGAGGAAAGGTAACTTAAACAGGAAAGGGAGGAGACAGAGGAGGAGTAGTTGGAGTAGAAATGATTATACAGTGGAAGTAAATGTGTAACTGGATGAGATGACACTAGCCCACCATAGCCCTGGTGGGTTAATAATGTGTAATTATAACAAGGCATAGATGAATGATGACTGTAACTATTAATAGATCAGAATGTTTCATATGTAAAAATTTGATCTGTTAAGCACTAAATGATACAGCCTCCTCCTCCTCCTCTCTCCTTAACTGTTTATTAACTATGCAAAAAAAAAGATAAACGAGACGAAAACAAAAAAAAAATAAAAATAAAAGAAATAGAGCCGTACCATTAACAACATACAAATTACCGCTTGTGTAACAGCAATCAATTAAGATAATAACAATGGTCAGTAGTAGTAGTAGTAGTAGTAGTAGTAATAGTAGTAATAGTACAAAGTTAGTGTAAAGTAAGTATATGTAACCCCTATCTGTCTAGATTAATTATACTGTATAATCATTTATACTGGTTAGAGATTTAATTAATTAATTAAGGCGAGGCTCTCCTTCCCTGGCAGTTTCTTTACTTTACTTTACTTTACTGACCTCTGTCTCACTAAATTTAGTGATTGTTTGTTTTGAATTTTTATTTTTAAGCACTTCTGTTAACTTTAATTTAAATTAGAAATTATAAATTTTAGCGTCAACCACAACTACTACCACCACCACCAATTCCCACAACAGATTTGGTAAAAACCCTTCCTTTCTTTATCATCAGTTTCATTTCATTTCATTTCTTTCCTTTGTTTGTTTGACTTCTACCGTTGATTGTATCATCAGTTATAAACTATCATTAGTACTAGTACCACCTCATAACCTTAAATCTGGTCAGTTCCAATCAAGACGTTTTTTTTCCTTTCTTGTCTTGTCTATACCACAATCTATATCATCATAATCAGATCATATCATATCATATCATCAGTCACTCCTATTGATCAATCACTCGCTTACTTCCCATACCCACATCCACATCTAACTCACCATGGCCTTCAAACTCAGTTTTAATTCCCTTTCTTTCATCCTAATACTAGTCTCCTTTGTATTCCTATTATTAGCAACCATATCATCTCCTATAGTTCAATCCTTCAATTTAGGTAAAACTTCTTCTCATACTTATGGAATCTTTGGTTATTGTGATATAAAATCAAATACTTGTTCCACCGCAACTTATCCTTATTCATTATCTTCTGCAAAAGATGATACCTCAAATTGGTTCCTTTCTTCAAGTTCAACAAGAGATAATTTAGCTAAAATATTTATTATTGCTCCAATCGCTTTAGGTTTCAATTTTATTACTTTAATCTTAATTATTGCCAGTCATTTCCAAATTAAACCTGTTATTATCGCTGGAATCGTGTTTAACCTTTTAGCATTCATTTTAACTACTTTAATTACCGTTATTGTCATTATTGTATTTTATCCTAATTTAGCATGGACAAGTTGGATTTTAATTGGTGCTGCAGCTGCTACTTTAATTTCATTTGTATTAATGATTTTAACTTTATTATATCATCAAAATGATTCTTATGATGATGATGATGAAGATCAATCTTCTGATGTTAAATTCCCAACTTTTAATAATTCTGCTCAAGTTCCAACCCTGAATAATTTTAATTCAACTTTTACAGGTCCAACTAATTATACCAATTTAAATACTAATAATAATAATAATAATCATAATGATTCAGGTTCGTCCTCCATTGAAAAAGATTATGAATATAAACCTCATATTCAAACTCAACCTATCGCTTCATCTTCATCTCAAACTTATGATAGATCAATGATTAGTAATAATTCAAATAATTTATATAATTCAAAACCTCAATTAGCCAATGATTTCACTACTTCAAAACCTCTTCAACAACCTTATTATAATCCAATCACTGGAAGTGAACATAATTCAAAATTAAGTTTAATTCAAAATTCAAATACCATTCCTCAACCATCTCAACAACAACAACAAACTTCAGCTCCTTATCCTCAAAATCAATATCCAACTAGTGTATTCGAACATCATCCTGAAGTTGAAGGTCATAAACCTTTCACGGAATTAGATGATGAATATTATCATGATGTAGATGAAGATTTATTAGATGAAAATGCTCCATTAAGAAATGGATCCGATGTAGATTCAGATTTTACAAGTGTATCTCAAAGAGCAGTAAATCCAAAATTTTATGGTCATCAAGTATCTCCACCTCAACATCAACCTTATTATCCATCAGCCCAACCTTATCAACCTCATTTCCAACAACAACAAATCCCAATCCAACCTCAATTACAACCTCCACTTTCTCAATCAACCTCATATTATAATGCCTCTCCTCAACAACCTCCCCCACCCCAACAACAACAACAACAACAACAAAGAGGTCCAACCATTTCTGATAATGTCCTTTCTCAAAATCCAGATTTCGCCATAGGACCAGCTAAAAGAAGAATGCAACCAGGTTTCGTCCCCGTAGCAGCTCGAAATAAAGCAAATCAACAAGCTAGTGCCAGTGCATTGATGGGAAGAAGAAATGGAAGTGGAAGTGGAAGTGGAGTAGGTGGAAGTGGACCTTATGGATCAGCCTATTAAGAGTTGGTTCGTTCTACAGATTTAATTTTAATTTAATTTAGTTCAGTTTTAGTTCTTGTCACTTTTTGTATAGTTTTGTTTGTTTGTTTGATACTTTTTACTTTTCCTTTTTTCAACCTTACTTTTGTTTCTTATAAACCTTTTGTATTTTTTATCATCCCTTTTATCTTATATATTTTGTGCTTTTAATTTATCTTAGTTTAATAAAGTTCTTTTGATATACAATTATATTTATTCATTCATTTAATTAGGTAGCTAGCTACTTCTATAAAATTATATTAATCCCATCTTCTGAAATTCATTATTTACATCCCCATCATCAACGAAATCATCCTCAGGTGGATTCACTGCTGGTCTATCATCAGCGGGAACATCAGGAGTCTTAGGAGGAGGAGGAGAACTAACGGGCTTCTCAATCACAGTGGTGGTCCCATGCGGTTTAACCAATACCACAATCACCAATACAAACACAATCAAACACATTAAGAAAATAATCTTACATTTGGTAGTCCTCTTTTGATAATGTTTAGCCTTGATTAATTCTCGATCACTATCTTTTAAGTCAACGGCGGCATTTTGTAAATTATAATCAATCCGATCTAAAATCGTTCCTTGTTCAACTATCATTGATTCCATTTCTTTAAAAATTGTCGATATTTCAATGATCCCCATGGCTAATTTTGATATTTCTCTCTCTCGCTGTTGTAAGAATGCCGAATTGGCATTAGGAGCATGTTGTTGTTGTTGTTGAAGGACTTGTCGGGAGTAATTCTCTATTTCTTGATCTTGTTCTTCTTGAAGGATGGTGGTATTGGTGGAAATGATATGCGAGGAGGTGGAATCATTTTGATCTTTCTTTAATAATTGATCAAATTCATCTTCATCATCATCATCACGAAGAAATTTGATATAATTATTTTGCAAATTCCGGAATATAATCGAACTTTCTTGAATCTTTATAGCATAATTCTTTTTAAAATTATTTAAAATTTCTAAATCCAGTTCATTAAAATTTAACCCTAATTTTTTATAATTTAAATTCAAATATTCAAATTTCTTAATCATGATATAACAACTCTCGAAATTCTTCAAAATCTCATAATTCAAATCATCAATCCTCTTCTCAATCCTATTCTTTTCACTCTTATTAATAATAATCAATCGTTTATAATTACTATTCAAATCATTCACTTGATTCTTGATTAATTTCAATTTATCATCCAAATCCCCCGCTATATCATAGATGGTGGGGATAATAGGTTTCATCTCGATATCATTCGTTCGACCCCCCTCGGTCTGTCCTCTCCTTCGTTGGCTATTATGGTTATTCCCTATTAATCCTTCTTCTTCTTCATCTAAATTATCGAATCGAGTTTGACCAGAATTATCTCCCCGCAAATTCCCAATCGGATTAGATCGTGGAATAGTTCGACGATATGAAAGAAATAAATTCGTCCGATCTCTAAACATGTCTTGCAATTATTATAATATCAATTGATGGTTATGATTTTGATGGTATTCACTTCTTAGTTTGGCCTCCCATGATATTAAATGTTTCGGTTGCGTTTGCTACAATCTGTCCTCTCTCTCCTTTTGGTGGTTCCTGCATATAATTTACACACATAAACTACAACAACTTCACATCTAATGATTTTAAATATACGTTTAATATTCCTATATATATCCTATAACCCTGTAGATAAAGATATCTCATAAATCCTCCCACATTCAGATCAATTCTTGGATTTTTCCTTTTTCCGATTCAAGAATGATAAATTATGTAAACTTACACTTGAACTTGATTTAATTGGAGTAGAAGCTGATCTATCAGTAGCGCTACTGGAAGGTTTTGTAGTTGATGCTCCACTTTGTAATGCAGCGGCTAATAATGATGCATTAGTTGATGTGGATGATGATGATGGGGTTGGATTCATTATATGACTTGGAGTTTCTAATGTTTTATAATGGACTGGAGAAGTAGATAATGGTGTCATGGTGAAGGTGGCTGAACCAGTTGATATGATATTATTATGGTTTGGCACCAGATTATTATTGAATGAACTTGAATTGGATACAACACTAGAAGAGGTCGTAAGTGGTTGACCATTCCCATTGGTGATAACATTTCCACCAGCATGATTTAATAAATTTAATCCACTTCCACTTCTCTTTGATGATGTTCTTGATAATGAAACTAAATTCGATGATGAAACATTTCTCGATTGAGATGGAGAAGTACTAGCAGATGAATTCTTAGATGAGGTTCTTAAATTCAATGAACTTGATCCTCGTGATAATAATGATCGACTATTAAAATTATTATTACTAAGACTACTACTGGTTTTAACCATATGAGGACTATGAGGAGATTCATCGAATCTTCGATTTAATTCTGCTAAATTGATTCCAGATCCAGGTAAAGGTGGTTGATATACCGGTGATAATACTCCATCTTCATGGTTAGTTACATCCGATTTCATAGCTTGAGCATATGTAGGAACTTTCGATAAAGTTTCATGATGTAAAAGACTTGTATCAGATCCGATTCTTGATATATGATTCGGAGGTGATTGTAATCCACCCGCATTTAAAATATGATTACTGGGTAAAGCAATTAAATTAGGTGATCCTGATCTAATCGGTAATCCTGAATTAGTTCTTCTACTAGAGAAATAATCTCCATTTTGACTAGCACTATCATCCCCATCTAAATTGAAAATTGCTCCTCTAGGAGATTCATCAGCAATATCAGGAGTAGAAACTACCAGTTGTTGATCATTATTATCTTGCATTAATCTTTGTAAGCTTAATTGACGTAAATTTTCTGTTAAAAGATTACTATCCAATGGAGACATTGAAAATTGTTGTTGTAAATCAGATGTACCTCTTGAATATAATCTTGGCGTAGAAGTACCTGAATTCATAGGGGATTCAATTGGTGATATATCCGACCATAAACGATCATAAATATGTTGTTCATATAATGGTGGAGCCATTATACCATTGAATGAAGTATAAGAATGTTCATTTGATCTTAATTCTCCATTATTAGCTTGTTGATCGGCTAATTCACTTAAACTGGTATTACTAGCACTATTGAAATCAGTTGCAAATAATAATTCTTCATCTCTACCATGAGGATTTTCATCTCCATTAGTATTAGCAGTATCTTTATGATCATTTTTATCAGGAATCAGTTCGACATCACTTAAATTTTCTTCATTTCTAGCTCTAATCGAAACAAATGGTGATATGAATAATTGAATAGGTAAGGAAGCTCTTAATTCAGATACATGACCATCAGGATTAACTAAACCAATGACGAATTTCAATTTATGTCTTACTTTAACATGTTGTTGAATATCACAATCTTGAGTACATTTAGCTAAACTTGGAGGAACTCTTAAAAATGTATCAACTTCCCATTTATCCATTTGAAAATTAGGATCATTTTCATCAGGTTGTTTAATTTTCCGTTCTGTAACAATTCTTTCTCCATTGTAAGGTGGAGGTAAATAACCTAAGAATGAATAATATTCTACTAATTGAATTTTAATATCACCTAATCTTAATCCTTTTAATAATGGAACCATCATAAAACTTACTGGTGTACCACTACCGATAGCAATTGCCTTTTGAGGAACATTTAAAGAATATTCAACTTTCTTTGGCCAAGTATTATCAACAGCTACTGTTTCCGATAATTCTACTGAATCAGTGGTTAAAGTTCTTATAACTCTAATATGTTTCTTTGCCACCATTGGATTATGGAATTTACCTTTATCGATAGTTGCTTCTAATCTATAAACTAACGAAGCACCAGGTAATCCTTCTATAGATTCAGGCATATTACCCGGTAAGATAGAACTAAAGGGGATTTCATAATTACCTTGAACTAAAAGATGAGATTTTGATGATGATAAATTTGATGATGAACCATTTAAAGAAGCAAGATTAGTTGATGAGCCAGCTCCACCACCATTGAAACTATTAGTTAAGGATGATATATGTAAATTACTTAAATTACTGGATGATTTTGATCTTAATGAACTACCTAAATTCTTTAATGATGAAGTAGATTGGTTTCGAGATGATAATCCAATAGGACCACTACCTCCATTAACGGAAGCATTGTTTTCATACAAGTTATTAAGATATTGATTAATTTCCGAATTATCCCAATTATGTTCGAATATTTTCTTTGAAAATCGAACTGGTTTTGAAAATCCTCCTTTGGAAGTAGTAACTGTTTCATTCCAACTTAATTTTAAAGTAGCATATAATTTGATGGATAATTTCTTAATGGTAAATGGTTCATTTACTGATAAGCAAATCTTTCCACTTAATAATACTGAAGCAGCGTCATTTTCATTACCTTTTAAAACCAATACATCATGATCAAGATTCTTTAATCTAATATCGAACAACGATGTTGATTTAGATGATGAACTTGACTTCTTAGGCATGGTATGGATGTAATTATAAGGTATGTTGTTAGTGCTGCTGCTGCTGTTGTTGTTGTTGCTTTTCTTGATGGAATGACAGTTTGATGTTTTGTGATGGTTGACGGAGGAGGAGGATTTTGTCTTGGGGATCTCGGTGTGTCGGTGGATGGATGGGTGAGTTTATCTCTCTCTCTGTCTCCAAATTAGTGGACTAAAAAAATAGTAGCCTCTCTTTATCTTTAATTATACAAATAATGGATAATACAAAATGAACTGAATTATTACTTCTTCTTGTTAACTGGTATGATCTGATCTGATCTGATCTGGAAAGTTATAAATAGGAGTTAAAGAAAATACTATTATAATAAAATTCGGAAGACAACAAAACTAATAAAAGAAATATACTGCTACTCTGTCTCTCACTCCTTGTCATCTCTGGGGACCTCCTTCCTTTTCTCACTAATTAATTACTACTGCTACGCTAAACTTTTTCCTCACTAAATGTCTTCTCCCCCAATTAATCACTTAATTTTTAGCTTTCGCCCAAGAAAAAAAAAATCTTAACTCAAATAAAAAGAAACTAAATTTTTTGATTAACTATGTGTCATGTGATCGATAGCCGCTATATTTCCCGGAAAAACCTAACCATTATTTGAAAGATGAGCGTCTATATTATACGTCCGGATAAACTCGTACTATAACAAAAGGCAAAGCCTTCCCTACCTTTCCGTTATGTGATAGTTTTCTTAAAAAATGAAAGGTTACATAAACTAATTTAAGTCGCTACAAATAGTTTAAAAGAACAAAATCCACATCTCATAGTCAATCAAAGATTAAACTATTAACGTCTATTTGGTCTGATGAATAATAATCCTTAAATATAATGTTTAGTGAGTGTGGTTTACCCCACTTCATCTTTCTTTCTTTCTGGTAAAAAATTGAGTCTCATCTGATACACTCATGATTTAAAATAATTTTTTGATAAGGTCGAACCAAAATCGTCCATTACCTAAAAAAAATGAATTATATAGAGGATTTTTATTTGATTGTCTTGACAAATGAGGAAAGTATCCCTTAGTTACATCTAGTTGTATGGTGTTGTTTAGAGAGTCTACTATGTCATTAGTATCTGTCGTATATAGTAACATACAACAAGTAACATTCTACATATCTATATTCATTGCTATTTCCATTACTTATAAGACATCTTCTATGCAGATGATATGATTATTAACTCTATGCAACCAACGTTTTCATTGCTTTCGAATCCCATTTTAGAAAACATTCTTTATAGTAAGAAATGTAACATGAAAATAGTGTTTATTGCGTTATGGATCTTTGGGGGAACCCCTTTGAGAATTGTGGTTGAACATCTGCGTTAAGAAAAATAAAAAGATTTCCACATGGTAGCACCGACTATCATTACAAATTTTGAATACAAAAGCTTCTACATCAAAAGCTTCTCTTCTTTCTTTCATAACAAAGAAGTTATGTTTGTTCAAGCCAGTTACATTGTTGAACCAGCATTGTGTTTCTTGATTCTCATCTATAGCCGAATTAAATATCCTCTAAAAATTATTATTTATTTTCACTTTTGACCAATCTTGTAGGCAAAAAAATATATGGATAAGTTTATAAAATATCTTTTAACCAGATCCAAGACAATCAAAACCAGTAGATCTCACAACTGGCTTTAAAACAGACAAACAGGCTTGCTTGTTGTTAATTGAGATTAGCAAGCTTTGTTTGGTTTAAAAATAATAACCAACAAACTACAAAATAAGTTGTTCCATGTGGTTTAATTCGTAAACACACAATCATTTACAATGTAGAGTTGAAATAATATATCAATATAGAGAGATTTTAAATGCTTGCAAGTATTTTATAGGAAATTGGATGCTTATGGAAAGTTGTTTAAATAGTTATCTACCGAAACGGATATATTAATTTCAAACCAGATAGAACCACATACAGATTGCTTGCAAATAATTATCAAACTCAAAGTATTTACAAAACCTAGCCCTTGTTGATTAAAGATATAACTAAGGTTATGTATGGTTGTATACTTGAAACAGAGATTCCAGCATGAATTTGCATCTTTTCTGTCCAATTCTCTTTCTGCAAGTATTAGGTCAAAAAATTATTGACACACATGTTTGCAGCAGATGTACACCCTGTATTTTATTTCAAATAATAATTAAGTCCAACAACCAACTTTGAAAAAATATTAAATCCAACCTGAAAAAGAAAAATATTATATTTTATGTGTAGGTACCTTGTTGGCTTACCACAGCCCAACTCAACTCATCCTAACTAGGTCAGTGTGTTTAAGGTAGGGTTGATGGATTATTTTGGTTGATTTGAGTATCGTGCGTATAAATAATAAAAATGTGTTTGCATCCTTTCTCAATTAGGGAATTTGGCGCAAAAATAAGCAGGCTCAAGCAAACCCAAAAAAAATAAAAAAATAATGTTTACAAATGCTCATAAAAAATATTCAACAACTATTTCAATTATTTTCAAACCCTGGTTGATTGAATTGAATTGGTTGAGATTGGGTTGGGTTGGGTTGGGTTGGAATATTACGAAATAATGGAGGCTTTTATGACTTGCTTGCATATGTTTCCAAATGTAAATGAAATGTAAACTTTGAAAAGACTAAGTGCGGTCCGTCAAAGGGTTTACTTTTTTCACTCCTACAGGTGTTTATACTTTACATAACCCTGTAGAATTAACTCGCTTGCAAGGAAGGTTGATAATGTTTTCCGCCCTTGCTTGTAACCCCTAATGTAGTTTAGATAGCTTGCTTAAAAGGCTGAATTCAAAACAATCATAAATGAGGGTTAGTATTGTTTCCAGCAACTTCGGTACATCTGGTTAAGACAATGTATTGATCTGTTTCATTATGTGCCATCGTGTAGATGTAAGCAAATGCATCGTTTAGGAAGACGATTACGAGTTTCATAACTTTTAGTGTGAAATTAAGTTGAAGACAGCCTCATTTGTAAAGGTTTTGATAAAAATAAAATAAAATAAAATAAAATAAAATAAAATTAACAATAGAAAAAAAATACTCTACTAATATTTGCCCAGCTATTATTTTTCATATTCATTCACACATATACATATAGAATAGCTGTAACGATGTGGTAGATAATTGCAAACATACGATATTTATTTTTTATGCTATGTTGTAGCAGTCAATTGGACCAATGAACACATCCAACATGTCACTCGTCAAGGTTGGTTAAGACTAAAAATAAGAAAAGATATCAGGATACTACATACTTATATGCAAAAAATTGTAAAAGAAAATTGGGTTGTAAAGTGGAAGTATACATCAGGGTTGGATAGTTTCAATATTTCTACTCCAGCTGTTTCTGTAACTCGCTGTACCTCTTTTCGGTTCGTAAAAGTTTAAGTGAAAAAAAAAAGTTAGGCGACGATTCGCGCTAAAGGGAAAAAGAATTTAAGGGAAGATAACGAAACCCTCACCAGCTTTAACAATAAGGCGATCATAACCAGCAGCTCAATAGGTGGATAATCTAATAATTGTAGTCTATGGATCCATACCATTACACCACTTTCAATCACACATTGAACTTACAACCGTTACTATATCACTTCACTTCAATCGACTGAAATAGGCAAGTGGTTAAGACGAGATTTACTATTAATAGACACTATCCACACACCCACACAAATTTGTTCTGTTTGGTCGTTATAAAATAAATTTTTTCGCCGCCAACTAAAAAATTTTTGACGCTTCAACCCAAACAAACAAAAAAAGAACAATAACCGTAAACATAAAAATAAAAATGATTTTCGTGAATGGAACTAAATAATAAACACATAAGTAAGTTCATTCTACAAAATAAACTAAAGTATGAAAATCTCCACTTAACGCAAGTAATAATAATAATAACAATAATAATAAGATTCATGCTTGTGGTGTAGTTAATTTTAATTTTAGTTAGTTCATTCAACAAAGTGTTTGCAACTGCTTGGTTGGATACAAATGTTGAACAATGGAATAATTAAACATATAGACAGATTAATGGGTTAAGTTTTGGTAAGCCATCTTTATATTTTCTGGTGGTTTCTCCCTAGCAACCAAATAATAATCGATTTTATTCAAGTCCTATCTGTCTGTATTCGTAATTAATAATTACTAATTGAGCACAAACAATAGAGCGTAACATTGATCAACAATGATCGAATAAAAATAAGTTAAACAAAACCATGAAAAAGATAAACAATAACCACTAACTGAAAGTAACCAAAAAAATAAAGATGTGATAGATTTTTACAAACAATTAAAATAAAATAATAAAAAAAAGCTTAGATAGAAAAGAAAAAAATAATAGGCGTTAATCAACATACTACTAGCCAGTATAATCTTGTGAAGTTATGACTAGACGATGAAGATATATTTCAGATTTGTAAATTAAAATTTATCATATGTGGAAGAAGTAATATATAAGAATGAACATTATATTTAAATAGAGAATGTACCTCGATTTCATATGGCTCAACTCAAGAGCTGGGTTGGGTGCCTTAAAATTATACTTCGATTGCAAGCTGGGGTCCTTTGAAAAGAAGAAATGTCTTCTCGTCTAAAATTCAGGTCCCAAAACCACAGAAAACCACCCTAATTTGACTGGCTTGGAAAATCTATAGGAAAGGTAACATATAAACTTTTTCAAAAATTTGTAAACATCACAACTTTAAAGCCAGTACTAAATATACGAAGTTAACTATGTAAAAGTCACGTGCACCATAGTTAACGCCAAAAATAAATATTTCCTAAAACGATCATAAAAAATAATTTTTTTTGAGCCAGCCATTTTTTAGCACCAGTTGAAAAATTTGACTGCTAATCAGGAAGAATCTTACCTGGTTTCTAGAGGCTGCTGGTACAGCATGCACATATCGATATTTCACCATTCATCGTTTCGAAGAATATTCTTTTTTTTGAAACATATCTCTGGGTAATGCCATTTGGTTTGACGTTTTCACTTCACTTCACAACATACATACATATCATTTAACACATAACTTAACTATCCATCAAAATAGGATTTGGTGTTTTTAGTGGCTGGTAAAATTACGCGAGCTTTTTCTCATAAAGCTTTTTCACAACCAGGGGTTCCAACCTTGTAACAGTTTCAGAAATAATTTGTATATAAGTCATTTGATACCCACTTGAGATTAATTTCTTATATTTTCCATTTCATTTCCATTTATTTTATTTATTTATTTTCATCAAGCTGTTAGCATCCTTCCTTCCTTCCTTTTTTTATTTATTCCTGTATTGATTAACCTTGGTTAAAACTATAGAATACCGCCGACCCTACTTGTATTTGCATAATCCCACATACACTCACGCTGGTTTCTATTATAGGTAAAAATCCAATTTCAGATAAAAAAGGAACATAGGGTTTTTCAATAATCAATTTACTTCAATTCATAATTGTTTCAGTCTATACTGCAACAGTAATTGCATTTTTCTTCTTAAACTCACCCTAGTCAATCCTTTACAAAGTCATTTTATTTAAATTCTTTAATTCATTCCACTGTTTTCAAATTTTTTTTGGTTTTAATTCACATATTTATCATTCCAGAAAACATTTAATCTTTTACTTTATCATTTTTAACTATTATAAAGTAAATCAATCAACCTTATTATCATTTTGCATGTTCATTTGTATTATATCAAAGCAAAATCTTCCTTAGAATTCCTTATTTATCCTTCCCTTTTTTTTTGCATTCACAACCTTTTAAATCACAACGAATATGGATATTAATCCCGTATCAAAACATAAAACTCAACCATTACCTTATGCTTGTCATATTGATAATAAAGTTTATGACTATCATCCGTTTATAGATGTCGATGAAGATGAACTTGAAGCTGAATCTTCTTCTTCTACTTCTCCAAGAAGTCCTAAAAGAGCTAAATCTATAAGTTGCTTTAGTAATTATTATCCTGGTGTTAATAATAATGGTGGTTCAAAATCATCTAGATATACTGGTAATAACTCATCCTTGAAAAGACGTTTGAAATCTATCTGTGTTCCATCAACTTCAACTAATGCTTCTACTATTCAAACTAATTTCTCATTACAAGAACGGGAATTTTCATTTGATTCTCATTCTGTACCTTCATCAACCAATAATTCCGATATATCAGATTTAGAATCCTTACCAGATTTAACTGAAGATGAATATTCTCCATTTTCAACACCAATAAAGAAGGTTCCATTAATTAATAATTTCATAACTCATGAAGATGAAGCTGATAAAACTAGAACTAATTTATTTTCAAAATTATTACTTGCTCAATCCAAACCATCTATATTTGAAATTCCAGAATTAGTATATAGAATTATGGAATTTGTTGATGTTCAAAATACCATTATTCCTCAAGAACCAACTCCAATGAGACGGAAACCATTAAGTTATAATCATGCTTTTTTAATCCATGGTAATAAAGAAACAGCTGAAATGTCAATGAAACAATCTATAATCATGGATAATATTGAAGATGAACATAAAAAGACCCATAAAGGTACTTTATTCAATTGTCTTTTGGTTAATAGATTATTTTATCAAGTTACTCGAGAAATCATGTCTAAGAAGATGGTTTTCAATGATGCTAAAAAATATGGTCAATTTATTCAAAGTTTACAACATCGTAATTTTCAATATAAACCAGAAATTTTCGTGTTACATAAATTATTCCATATAAAACAAGGTACATTTGATTATTTAAAGGATCATATTAATTTTGAAAAATTACAATGGTTAGAGATTTATATGTGTCCAAAAGTATTACCTCCAATTGAATTCTTTAAAACTGGCGGTAAAAATTTACGGAAATTAATTTTGACGGGTTCAAAAATAATTGATGATGATTTTTTAATTATGATTAGTGAAAATTGTCCAAATTTAGAAGTATTGGATATTAGAGCTTGTGAATTGGTTAGTGATATTGGAATTTATTCTATTGGAAATAAATGTCATAAATTAACTAATATTAATTTTGGTAGAAAACAAAAAGGTCATTTAATTACTGATACAAGTTTATCTAAATTAATTTCAAATAATAAAAATCTATCAACCGTTGGTTTAGCAGGATGTCATATTAGTGATAAAACCATTTGGGAATTGGCTATTCATTGTAGTCATTCCTTAGAAAGATTATCATTAAATAATTGTCCATTATTACTGAATCAATCCATACCATTAATATTGGCCAGTAATAGAAACCATAATAACAATAACAACCCTTATACCAATTACTACACTCATCAACAACATAACAATGGATTGATACTTACTACTAATAATAATGTGGAAAACATAGCGCCATCACCACCATCATATTTTCAAAATCTTTCTGTGTTGGAATTAAGATATAATTATCAAATAAGTTCATGGCAACCAATAATTGATTTTAAACGAAGACAAGAATTTAGAGGTATAACGTTGTTATTAGAATTATGTGAGACTTTATTGTTAAGAATGAGACAACAAGAATTAGAAATGGATAAGACTATTTCTCAACGGATATTCAATGATATTTTAGAATGGGCCAATGACGAGAATGATGGTGATAGTCTGTTTCAAGATTTACTCAGAAATAGATGATGACGATGAACAATGTAGTAGAACAAAACACTATACATACATACATACATAAATTAATAAACAAATTGCATTTAAAGAGTTATTGTTGTCAATGAGATTTATTTCTACGTAGACGATTTCTATAGTTAAGATGTGGCATCGTTAAACCACCGCCTTGGCGGTTAAGAAAACAATTTTATATAGAGATTGTTATCTTATTACAACTTCTCATTCATTTCAATCGTGTCAAGTACAAGTACCCGTGATTAATTGCTTGTTCGTTGTTTCACAACTCAACTCATCAATTATCGCTATAGAATAATTTATTATTCTCAAATGTAATCATGGAGTTTGTTTTCCAGTGATTAAATTTTACTCTTCTTAAACGTCTTACAACTAATAGTTGTTTTAACTATTTCCTGAACCAAAAGCTACTCAATGTGAATGTACATTTTAACTATAATTTCAGACAAAACCTTTACATACTATTATTTTAACTCCTCGCTAAGTCTTCTTTCCTCTTCTTCTCTTTCTCTTTCTGCTTGTTCTTCAAGTTGATCTTGCTTATTTAACCATAAAAGATACTCTATCTCTTCATCTGTAAGGTCACCCGATTCTATGTTTTCTTTCCTTTCTTTTGCATTTCTTTCTCTATCTTCAACTTTCTTCGCTCTTTCGAGTGCAAGTTTAATTTCAGTAGCATTATAACCTGGTTTATGTGACCATTCATATTTCTTTTCACTGGCTAAACAATATTCAGTAGCTTCTTCTACTGCACATTCGCCTAAGAAATCAGTCTCTAAAACATTTTTAGATTCTCTTAAATAATGAGTTCTAAATTGATATTTATTCCCAGTTAAGACTTTGGAAAGATGAGAAAACCACCCTTTTATATGAATCACTTTATTATTTTTATCAGCTTCGGAGAATGCTATACCCATTATATCTTCACCGTATTGATTTTTCAGATTAGATAAATTTTTAGGTATGAAATCCCAATACGCTACTGAATTTGGAATTAAAACTGATTTACCATCACTACATTTATAATCTTCCAAATCCAAATCCCAAGCTTCAGGATTGATATTGAAATCTAATAATGATGTAATATAATCTATGGTGAATAAATCATTTGGGTCATTAACTCTAGTGGAAATTAACACACCATGGAATCTATAAACTTGTTCCAAACATCCGCATTTATAAATATGAGATCTAATAATACCAAACCAAATCTTTCTATATTTAGCTAAATCACTTGGTAAAAGGTTGGCAGGTATTTCCATTAAATTTGAACTTCCGGACAATTCTCTAGTTTCTTCATTAGGATCAACTTCGGGACCGGTGACACTCAAACAAACTCCATGATGAATATTACATTTTAAAACTCTGAATGGTAATAATCCATAAATAAAATAAATGAAGTCTTTATCCGTATTGAAAAATGGCGACCAATTCTTTTCAGCAAATTTAACTTTAACGTTATTAATATCCATTCTAACCGTTTTAGTTCTATGAGTGAATGGTCTATAAATATGCATGCATCTTGCTTCACCTTGACTTTTCACTAAGGTATTAAAAATAATGACTGGCTCTTGATCCATTTCTCCTGTTTTATCATTATAATAATCTCTTATGATAACTCTTGGATCTTCCGGACCCAAAAGTGATCTATCACCAAATTCATCCATTTGAGCTGGGAAAATTGTTGGGAATACAATCGGTTCACCATTAATATCATTAATGGTATAATCTTCCAATTCATTCCAATCTTTATCAAATAATTGGGCATATAATAATGAAATTTTAGGTTCTTTATAAACTCTATTAGGACAATATGTGACTCTATTAAGAGCAATATAAACTCCATATTTATCCATCCAAATTGGAGCAGTACAGAATTTAAACCATTTTCTTTCAAGGATGTATTCTAGACTTTCATCAGGACCATCTAAGAAGGCCAATTTTAAAAGAGGATATTGCTTCTTCTCATGCATGTCCTTAGCAATGTTTCTAATTTTTAATAATTCATCAGGCTTGTCTAGACTAGTTAACTCGGTCGAAGCACTTAAGGAAAATGAATCAAAAAAGGAAACTCTGGGACATTTCAAATGATAAAATTCTTTTAAGCTTTCTTCTCCACCTTGATTATCTTTAGGAAAGGCCACTTCAATATCAAATATATCTTCCATATTAGAAAATGTTTTCAATTCCACGGGTTTAAAATGACAATCCGCAAGACCTCTTGTTATAGGTGTTGTTCTTAATCCAAATGAATTCTCCTTGGAATTTATAAAATATAATTCAATGTGCAGATTTTTATATAAGACACTGCTGAATGATATAAAAAGATTGACATTTAAAATCATTAATAATATCATTAAAACTAATTGTGATATAGCTTTCTTATCTCTTAAGGAGTGTACTGAGAATAGAGCCAATCGATTGTTTCTTCTGAAGATGACATAGGAAATTGGGACCACAGTTAGGAATAACAAGGTTGAAAATGTGATATCTTCTGAACTTTCTTCCATTATGACACTGTTTTCTATAGTTTTGTAACATATATAAGGGGATTAGGAACACACTATGACAAATGTTGATGCTCTCAAATAAAAGAAGACAGTGATAAATTTAAAAGTTTACAGCTCAGACTACTAAAGCATTTAGAAATATAAACATAAACTTTCAAAGTTTACTTATCAGCTATGACTTTACGAATTAAATAATTTGAACTTAATGGCAAATAAACTTTTTACCTTGTACAAAAGTTGCCTACATAAAAAATAACATAGACTATATCGGTTTGGCCGTACTTCTCCTCAGTACGGTTTTAACGTCTTCGTCTCCGACGAATGAAAATGATTATAAGACATATAAAAGATAATTAAAACAGATATTTTGAAGTTTTTTTACATGTTGAGATCGAAACTGGAATCCGACTATATCACGAATAATTAAAACCAACTCGAGCACTCCTCTTAAGAATATATATTTTGGGTTATAAAAGTAAATCTTAAGATCTAAATTATAAAATGAATATGCAAGATAAACAAGAAAACATATGACTTCTTTAAAAATACATTTATGATGTCCCACGTTTTATGAAAGCTTTTACTCTGTTGAACATCATATATTCGAATTTAGAAAGCTATTGCCATCTTGTGAGTTCAAAAGTGGTCATAAGTGATGGTAAATTCATCAATACATATTAAGCAGAATAGTGATGCAGACTGTAATTAGATACACTCTGTGACATTGTTTCAAAATTATTCTCCTCTTGCAACCATTATTCAATTAACACATTACAGTAAATCCATAAAACGAAACTTGTGTTCTAGCCAAATTTGACGTATTGTTTTCAGTTCAAGAAACGGAAGGGTGTTGAGCTATCTGACACATACACGAAATGGTAACAACTTATTTTGTTTATTATTACTTTCCGCAACGCGAATTCAATTGGATTTAAATCTTTTTATATAATACTTGATTGTTTGTAAACATCATTTCTTTAAAGGGGGATGAATAGGGGATGGTTCAAAAAAATCCATATTTTCGTAAATGGTAAAAAATTATTGCAGCAAGCGCACAACCGGTTGTGAGAGTCGGTCAATTTTTATTTTTTAGGTACTAGCTTCTTGTCGTAAAAAGTAATTCGTAACACAAAGATAAGCAAATGTCCTACCTCCAAAAAATATTCATCAATCTAGAATAACTAAATAAGAATGAATTAAACTGACGGGTAACTGTCCATTCTACACCACATTGTGTAAATCATATTTATAACATTCAATTCTGCGTGGTATGTTCTACCAAAAAAAATCATCTAAAATTTTGGGTGTTTTAAAGGTTTGAATCTCAAGCTTCTGATACTACAAGTCTTATCCATTAAACAAACTAAATTAGAAGAAGTCTAGGTTGATATGAAGTTTGCTTCTTTTAGATTTTTAGTATACACCGTAGTGGCGGTGTGGACCATACTTTTGAATGTTTATTTATTTATATATCATTATGATTCTATTGCTTTGAATTTAAAGAACTCTCTCACCAACAAAGTTAGCTCACAACAACACATCTTCGAAGGTCATGATAGTTATTATGATAAAGAAAATGGAGTTGAATATCTGCACGGAGATTATAATAAAGAAACAAATCACAAATGGGCTTTTTCAAGCGACAATAATATGTTACATAAATTTGATCCATACCAATATGAACCTGTCGATACTTCAATTGTGAATCATAAAACTTTTGATTTATATCAAATGCATACCGGTATTAAAGACCTAAGAGGAATAAGACCCACCTTTGCATCCAATTATGAAACTATTTTTAAAAATCATCCTAACCCAGATACCATTCTTGGAAATTTAAATTTTAAAGAACGATGTGCATTATATTTTCAAAATTTATTTATAACTGATCATAATTGGTATTTGAATCCAAATGAAGATTTGCCACTAGGTAGATATAACTTTCCTTATGCCATTGAACTTGATGAATTTGAATTTAATAATTGGAGAACTCATCACTACGAGGAGTTAAAACAAGAATATATAGATCAAGAATTTGAAGGTGATGATCAATCATCAATTACTGATGCTCAATATGAAAAATTCATGATGAGAAAATTTGAAGAATTTTGGAATACAACTTTACAAGTTGAGCAAAGAACTTTGGATTCGATAACTCACTTAAGAATCTTTAATAAATGTTTCCTTTCAAGTTCTGATCCCAAACAACTCGAAGAAACAAATCACTTTATTAAGGATCAAAAGGAATTAATTAAAACAATACAAGGTAAAGATTATTTGCCATCATTTGAGTTCACTGAAAATGAAAAAATGGCCAAATTAGATTCATATCGTATTTGTTCAAGTTTAGAAAAGAGAATTTATCCTTGGTTATCACTTCAACATCCTGTATTTGAAAAATGGACAGGGGAAATAGAATTAGCCCCTCCACAATATAATAACTTACACAATAAAAAGAAATACAAATCTAGTACTCCAGCCACTCCTCTTCAAATGACTGATTGTTTCTTCAATGATATGAGAAAAAGTATGAATGGTAGAGGTATTGTCTTAACATTAGGAGATGTTCACCTTGAAAATACACTTAACTTAATAAGATTATTAAGGGCACTTGGAAATATGTTACCAATTCAAATCGTTTATTATGATAATATTAGTGGATCTAGTAAAGCAAAAATTGTAAAAACTGCCAGGGAAACTATGAGGGATTTCCCCTTATCTATAGAAAAGATTAGACATTTATTACCAGAAGGGTATGATCTTGGTTTGCCTGTACAAAACATTCATTTTGTTAATCTTTTCAATGTGGTTAATGAACAATATAAGAGTAAATTCGATGGATATGGTAATAAATTACTAGCCACTGTTTTCAATTCATTTGAAGAATTTATTCTATTGGACTCAGATGTGGTTCTTTTTAAAAATCCTCAATGGTTTTTTGATAATTCAAAATATAAAGCAGGTGGTGCTTTATTTTATAAAGATAGAGCCACAACTGACAAGAGACCAGAAACAGACCTATTCTTATTAAAATCATTATTGCCCAATATCATAGATAATGCCATGTTCGGATTCCCTATGGTAACTGAAAAAACTTTAAAAAATGATGCTTTTGAAGGGATGTATCATTTTATGGAGGCTGGAGTGGTTGTATTAGATAAATATAGACATTTAAATTCTATTTTAATGTTGCCTCAATTATATTTCATGGAACCATTACTGAAAAGGAGTCATGGAGATAAAGAATTCTTCTGGTTTGCATTTGCTTTTAATGGAAATGAAGATTATATCTTCAATGAGTATCGTGCTGTGGCTGTAGGTGAAGTTAAACCTGATAGACGTAAAGATAATGGAGAATTATATCTTGCTCAGGAGTTGTGTAATTCTCATCCGGCTCACATTGATGATAATGATAATTCGTTGCTTTGGTTAAATTCCGGTTTCCATTTCTGTGGTAAGTATGATTTGGTTGATTATGAGAATGATCTTAACTATCAAGGAAATTATTATCTTCAAACCTTTGCAAGTCAAGAAGAAATGAAAAATTATTATTACAGTCCTATAAATATTCGTCATGCAATTATTCCGCCATTCTCTGGCGCAAATTATTTGAAGGGTCCAAATACTCAAGGAGAGCCAGAGATAGCTTGGCAAATGCTTCATGTACTTTGCCATGATTATATGTGGTGTACTTACAGTTCAATTGGCTATGGCGACACATTTCAGAACGGAACCGTTATTGAATTTGATGAAGATCAGCACTCATATTTCAAGTATTTAGGTGATATTTGGGTGGGATTGGAATAACGAAAACAGAATCATTACAATATACTGGATATCGTACTACAATACTACTTGCTAAGCTTCATGTTAGTACTGCACAAACCGGCTAAGTTTAATCCCACTCCTAAAAGAGTTTTACACTATGCCTACAAATAAATAGAGTTTTCTTTATATAGTTTATCTATCAAGCTCATTTCTTGCAAACCTAAGTTAAAGATTTGTGTAAAGTATAGAATTATAAAACTTATTCCAGAGATTGTAAACAAAAAAGTTGAGAATGAATGTTTTAATTATGATATTTCAAAGTCACCTACTTCATCGTCGATAATAATAGCAAAAACAAAAAAACATCAAAATATTCGACAAATTAGGCATATTTAATATGACGGGGGGGGGTATTGGAAACAAATAAGGCAGTCGGTTTTACAGCTCATATATTTAAGTTTTTATTTATTTTTAAATATTTAGTGTCAAGATCTAAGACGCATAATGCATTGCATTGCGCAAATGTAAAAAAAAGAGTGATTTATCCAGTTCTAAGTCTATATTATTCTAACCGGGACTAAAGCAGGATTTCAGTTTTTTAAGGGCTAATACTTCCTTGTGCATTTATGGTTTTCTATAATATTAGAAGTGTAAAAGGAGAGTAATAGAAAAGCATATTCTTATAACTCAATTTAAATATTCGAGAATAGCAAAGTTCATGAAAGAACATCATAACCAAAAATCTGTTATTTAAGGTACAATATGCAGTTATTAACATTTAGTACATTGTAAATGAATCGATTTTGTGTGCTTAAACAGACAATTGAGTTTGTAGATCAAATATTGTTGTTAATCAAGTATTGCATTGTTCGAATTATTCATCTAGTACTATTAAAACAAAAGTCTTTATTTGAAATACTGAAAACTATATCCACATCCACACTCGGGTGTGGGTGGGGTCATAATTAGTCATTAGTTTATGTTTAGCCCGTAATACGTTATAACACAATTTATTTGGCTATAAACAAAGACAAGATAAAGAAATAAGTGACGATAAGTTCACCTGCTTCTGATATGGTTATAAAATAATCTAAAACTAGCATCATTCTTTATATGTATATATGAAATTAAGATACAACTAATCAATTATGAAAAGTAATTGCTTGTATGTTTGTTTTTTAAAAATAATTTATTTTTGCGACATTTTTTTGTATATTACAATAGAAGGGGGCTTTTTCATTTACAAGGAGTTTTTATATTTAATGTCATGAAGGATTGTGCATAAAAACTTTAATAAAACAGAGCCCCACACGATATACATAAGGAAAAAGTTTTAATTGTCCGATGAGTTTTGTCCTTCACTGGTTTTGTATGTCAAAAATCCATTTATTTTGATTTGATATTGTGGCAAATAATCTTCACTCTTGTCGTTTCTACAGTTTCCTAAGCATTGGTATACAACGGTACTATATGCTTTTATAATATTTTATGCAATACAAAGGTGTATATAATAGCAACGGAATCTCATCAAACTTTAATAAATGGTTTGAAAGCTTCGACTTTATTTATATCTAATCTTATTTTTTAAAAATGAGCCTAAGATCACATATAAAGACAACGAAAAATTAATGTTTAGTTAGTCTCTCTAAGTACGTGGTGTAATTCATGCACAACATATACGAGGCGAAAATACTTGTCTGCATTATTTTTTGTGTTTTGCGTAATTTTCGTTTTTAGTGGCTTACAACTACTATATTTTTTCCAACTAGACATTAGTAGCCTCGTCAATATAAACGTCTCGAGATATATACAATATAATTTCATCAAAAATATTTTTGTTTATAATTGGACGTCACTAAAGTACGATCCATTCATTTATAGGCACCAATTTACCCATAGAGCTGTTTTGAACAGAATATGGTTATAGATTCCTATTCATAATGTCCTTGAATTTTGTCAGAAGTAAGTAAGGAGAATCCAATTACGCTAGGATTACTAGAACTTGAAAAGAAATTGTTTTTGTTCTTTAAACAACAACTAATTAATTTATAACGGGAAAAATACATTTGAATGTGTTGCTATTGTTATTCTGCGTATTTCCTTTTTTCTCGAAATCTTTTTTTATCTAATAATAAGCAACTTCCGAACCAAAGATGTAATCCATTTCCGGTCAAGATATGCAAAATATTAATTTTTTAATATAAAAATGAAAATAAAATAAAAGAAATTTTAATAATAACTGTCAAAAAAAACCATAATTTTAATAATTTAATCGTTTCTGCACCTAAAACGATTAAAAAAAGTGTTTTAATTATGATGTTAAATTAGTGCATATATAAATATTGCTTGTAACATATGTTTAGGGATATTTGTTGGTAAAAATATTTATAGTCAGCTCGACCGTGTTTCTTGATATGGTTGTAACATTTTAATCCAATCATCTTTGTTCTCATCCTTTGCACTTAGCTTTATTTTTAAAATTGTCAACCGTTAATTCTTTATTCTAAAGGTGAACTTTACCATTTTTACATTCAAAGAATAAAAGTTAACTATGTCAACCCTTCATTTGCTTCTTAAAATTAATTTGAATCATAAAAAGTCAATAGTAAGAATCTGTATTGCATGCTCAGTCCTTATCTTGACACTCAGGTTTATACTCTTGGGTACAGAAAGATCTATTTCATTTCCATCATCATCCACATCAAAACAACTTACCAGCAAAGAAAATACCGCCATAAATATTCACCCTGATATAGAACACAATGAAGCAATCTCTATGAAAGGATATCATTATGACTCTAAAAGCAATTTCTTAGTCATGCAAAGATGTTTTGATAGCATATTGCTTGATGAACAAGATGATCTTAGCCATTTTTGGAAGTATGCTAATGAAGATTTATTTAAGAAAAAACAAAGGAATTTCAAAATCAGAGTGATCGAAAGTTATGATTATAACAAACTCATTGAACAAGCCAGAACTATGATTGAAATAAATACAAACTCCACATATATGTCTAAAATTGAAATTGAATCTAATTTTAAATTTGCATTTAAGACATTCCTAAAAAAATTGTTTGAGCAATTATTTGAAGCCAGACCACGAAGGATTGAAAGTCTCAATAATGACGAACATTATCAAAGCAATAATCATAATTTAAATGCCAACGGTAGGGTTCCTCAAGATACAGGCCACTTACGCGAACAGTACTTAGAAGAACCAATTAGAACCAAGGAATTTCTTCAAAGTTTCTTATCATTATCTGAAAATGAAGTGGAATCTTTAACCAATTCTCATCAAAACTTTATAGAACATTTAAACCATTATTGGCCATATGATCTTATTAATAAATTAAATAAATTTAATTCTTTCCTTAAAGGAAATGGATACATATTTTTAGGTAATAAGGGTGACGAATCTCAATTAATGTTGAATATTAAGACTCTAAGAACAAATGGAGCAAAATTACCTATAGAGGTTATAATTCCATTTGAAGAAGATTTTGATTTTGAATTTTGCAATGTGATTTTGCCAACTCTAGGAGGTACCTGTAAAGTCTTGACTCATTATATTCATGAAAATGACTTGGAAAAGATCCAGGAAAATCAATTAAGATCACTAGCGTTGATTATTTCCTCGTTCAAAAATGTCCTTTATATGGATGTTAGTAACTTGGCCATCAAAAACCCAGATATCCTTTTCGTTAATAAACCATTTATAAATAACCATCTTGTTGTTTGGCCAGATCTCACTAGAAGATCAACTTCACCTTATTTCTATCAAATTAGTGCTATCAAAGTTGAAGATACAATGAAGGTTAGAAATAGTTATTTTTCAAATGATCCTAGGGGTAATTCACCTGGAAAATATTCTTATCATGATACAAAAGGAACTATAGCTGAATCTTCAAGTTCTGGAGATGTATTACTTATTAATAAAAAGGTACATTTTAAAACTTTAATTCTAGCACTATACTATAATTTGTTTGGACCTAATTTTTATTACCCATTATTAAATCAAGGTGGTGCTCCAGAAAATGACAAAGAAACTTTTATAGCTGCTGCACATCAGTTAGGATTACCATATTATCAAGTTAAAGAATTTCCCAGAGAGTTTGGGCCTTTGAATGAAGCAAGACATCATGAGATATATGCAGTAGGTCAATACGATCCAATTGTCGATTATATTCAGAGTCACGAAGAACTGGAAGGTGAATTGGAAACATTTAAGATAGGAAATGAGAAATCCAACAGCAAAAGAAAGACCCAAACCAAGAAAACACATATAAATATGGACGACAACAACCCACTTTACGGGTTAACTGATTTTCATAATACAGACACCCCAACGTATGGGTCGAATGCTCAAGATTCTGCTAAAAACAATTATGACTACCATCTTTTTAAAGCATCCAATCTTTTCTTTATTAGGGCTCAAAAACCAAAGCTTGATGTGATGGAAACATTTTTGAGAAAAGAAGATGACGATTTCAAGAAAAAAATTATTAAAAAGAGATTATTTGGTAAAGAATTAATTCGAGAATTAAATGGATATGATTTCGAATTATCAATCATGAAAAATCTTAATTGGATGTATTGTGAAGCTGTTAAGTTGGGCTTCTTGGAGTTTCAAGATTGGAATAGTGATTCACACAGAGAACTTTGTTCTGAAATCAATAGTCAAGTCGAATTCTTATCCGATTCTAAAAAGATGATATATAATTGAATCAAGTTAATGCAGTCCCTTATTATGATATCTGCTTCCTTGCAACACCCAGATAAAACAAGTAGATATATAAATTCTAACATTAAAAAGTTCTTATTATGGATGGATAGTTTGTCACCAACTAATAAGACTTGCTGCTTTCATAAAACTGGACGTATATATACTTATAATTATACACAATCCAGAATGCAATAGTCCTGCCGTTGCATTGAATTTAGGGGGATTTCTGTCGGTGAGTCGGATTACCGAAATAAAAAAATGTCGATTTTGGACGATCTAAAAAATAAGAGACAAAAAAATATTTTACGAATTAGATTATTGCGCAAAGAAAGAAATAACTGAAAGCTATAATTAACTGGTTCCCACCAATAATTGTTTATATAGATGTATCCATATTCTTATATATGTCTTAAATACACTTCAGAGAAACAATCAATGTCACTGATCAAGGAGATGAGTTATAAATAAATAGCTTCTAACTGGGACTGTTGAATGATATTAAGATTGAGCTATTGCAGATGCATAAATACATCAACTAATTTAGAATACGATTTTGGAGGATATGAATCTCGTATTTCGCGTGTCAACGAAATTAGTTAACTCTGAAATAAATATCTTCAGTTTGATACGACCTTGTTGTCAACTACAATGCAAAAAAGCCAACCTTATTATATCTTTCTTATAAAATTATCGAACGTATGGAATACTGTAGATTCGGAATTATTGACTGCTTTTCCAACAATTGATTTTTGGTGTTGTGTATATTACTATAACCAAAACAATAGCCGTCTTAGTGATGTTATTTTTTATCTTCTCTCCTCTTTATTTTTTCTTTATTTTCTTGTCATAGTTAGAAGTTGTCATAAATAGCATATCTGAAGCATTATTTGCTGTTTAATTTGTTTTGTAATTGCTAATAAGACATTTTTTATTTCCTATTTTATATTTTTTCTCTTTTTAGAATTAAATATATTACTTTACATACCAATAAAAATTATTTACTTTTTGTTCAACGGCATGCAGTTTAGTGAAGATACTGGAATATATCAAAGAGGTTTAATTTATCTCATGATATAGTATTTCCGAGAACAATGTCGCGGATTACACAATTTTTGTAGTCTAGCTATGCTAATAGAGTACTGACTTTTCAAACAAAAATGGAGTTCCTATTCCAGTGCATTCCAAAATAATGCAGTTAAGTAGAGAATGGAGTACGCTTCTGGATTTTTTAATGGTACTAATTTTTAATTACTCAAGTACTGAGAATTTAAGCCATATAAATAAACGATAGAGGAAGTCCTAATCTACTTCTAAATTTATTTGTAAATTTATTGATCTTGAATACAATGAACTTAAGAATAGTAGTTTTAATTGAAGCATAGCAAACTTGTTTATCTACGAAAGAAAATTCTTGCTAAGAAATGTAAACCCTAGTGCCATGTAATTCAAAATTGGGTTGATACCATTTATTACCAAAGTCTTTTGTATTTCACTTCCAAGTGTTAGTTATTCTGTGACATTCGCCCGAGAAAACTGAGTTTGTTGTAACCGATGGTATTATATACAGGCCGGTTAATATTGATTATATACACTACAATTCTAGCAGTATAATGCGTGACTCGTGTCATATGACAAAGTTTAAAAAGAGTAAGGAAGGGCGGACAAAATGTTCTAGTTCTAGACGGAAGGGACGATGAAAAAAAAATAAAAAATTTTTTTTAGAGCAAGCGTCTACAGTAAAAGTTTCAAGCAGCAAGAGGTTGAATGATGTAAGTAATGAAATTTTTTAAGTTTTCTGAATCTGATTTGAAATGGTTAACCTGTGAGATTCTACAATTTTAATAGATTCAACTGTCAACTACTACTTCAATTATAGTTGTAGTGTAGTTTTCTCTATGCAACAAAAAAAGCCCATTCTCGTGTGTACTAGAGCATGTATAAAGCTGTCAAATTTTTTCCTAAAACAGAAAAATAAAAAATAAATAGAAATCCTGAAAACAAAAAGAAGTTCAGATTTGAGGGGGGTTAACTTATTTTCTACTGTAAGTGAAGTGTTAAAAATAACATCACATTTCTGTATTTATTATACTCTTTTTACCACATTTTCTATTATCAACTAGATATTGTGGGGATACAACCAGATACACATAGATAACATTTCCATTCATCAAGGGATATTTCAGTTACTAACTATCTATTTTACTCATTGTTCTCATATATATTGCTATTATTTTATATTATTGCGAAATAAACAAATTTCGTATTTAACAGCAACACACTATAAATAATTTTTAGTTTCCTTTCTTTCTTCCTTCCTTCCTTCCTTTTGTTTATTTAAAGTTTTTTTATCAAACCATTTACAAAGCAATACCAACCAACTAACCAACATTATTTATTACTTACTTTGGGATATACTTCCTTCATTTCCAGTCCATTCGCTATTTATATCCATTCATCTTCAATGAGAAAATAACATTAATCAAACATCAACTACTAAACTATAAAAATGATAACATCAAGTCAATCAAATATGATTAATCGGGTGTCTTCAACACCTTCACTATTGAATAGAACCAATAATCAAAGTGTAACATCCATACAGACGGATTTATCACATCAAGTACCATCATTACCTCATCATAGATTAAAACATCAACCTTCACTTATAGATTTAATCGATGATACTACCTTAACTTCATTACCTTTACCACCACCACCTAAGAAATATAATTCTTCAAGAATAAGGAATAACTCTATTTCCACCATACCGTCATTAATGAATTTACAAAATCATCCACCACAACAACAAGACAATCAATCTTCCCTGTCATTAGACCAAGAGCCCGAACTTAAACATAGCAATATTAACTTCAATGTTGATATTGAAGATGATGATGACGAGGATGAAGATGATGAAGGTATCACATTTGAAGGTGATGAAAGTCAAGATCCTATCGTCTTAATCGAAGATTATATGATAAACGATGACGATGAAGATGAAGAAGAACAAGATAATGTCCATATAGAAAACAGTCAAGCTATAATTCAATCTGAAGCTTTTAAAAGACGATCATCAACCATTAATAAAAAGAAGTCCCTCGCAAACTTTAAACAAAGAATGTATTCCATACCCAATTTCAAAATCCATAATGAATTAATCTCCGCCTCCTCAAATGAACCTCTTGTGGATCATTTATCAGAGGTGTCTACCATAACATCTATAAACACCTCATCATCATTACTTCGATCTAATAAGCGAGCTATTTCCGGTGGTGGGAATTCTACTAATGCAGGGAATATGACGGTAAGACAGAATTTAGAAGAAATCTTTGGGGGAAAAGTACCTGGCTCTGATTTATTAAAATATTGTGATATTTGTGAAAGACCATTATATGAAATTTCATCATTATTAGGGAATTATCGAAAGAAATTGAAAAAGAGTGATAGTATCAATAGTAATAACAATAATAATAGTAATAATTACGGTCATGAGAATTCTACTTATACGAATAATTACGATGAGTTTATCTGTTGGGAATGTATTGATATTTATGAAGATTTCTTTAATGAATTAGAATTTGAAAAACAACATAGTCATAATCATCTGGATAACAATAATGATAATCATTGTAATGATAAGTTATTAATGATTTTTAAAAATATCCAACAAAAATATAATCAAAAGGAAAATACTCCACCTCCAACTTCAACCCGGAAAGAATTTTCAAATCTGTTAATCCTAAAACTAAATACTTTGAAAAATATCTCCTCCTCATCCAGTTCCGCCTCATCTAATCTGAATAACACTACTAATACCGCTCCTAAATTCGATTTGGATTGGATAAAGAATCTTCAAGTGAAAATGAATTGGTCATCTACAAATACGAAATAAGTATGGTATAAATATAACAACATTTTAATTGTTTGTCTATATATGTATATATAAATAATAATAATAATAATAAATTGTAAGATTAATAAATAAAAAGAAGTAAAACAAAAATAAAAAAAAATCCGTAATTATTCATGATACTTCATTAAAATCGTATCTAAATGCTTCTAAATCATTGCCTGGTGTAGGCTTTGTAGCTTCAGCTAATGTAGCATTAGTAGTGGTTGACATAAGTGATCCAAAATGATCGATTTCAGGTGATGTGGGTGATTCAGATGAAACTCCAAAAGCTCGTGTGATATTGGTATTCACAGTGTTAATAAATTCATTATTCACTTTATTACTGAAATCTTCAACGATACCTTCATAACCTGTTAAAGTAAATAAATCTTGAATACAAGCATTGGTGATTTTATTAGTTTGAAGTAAAGTCATATACTCAATCTCAGCTCCTTTAACTTGAGTTTCATCATCTGATAAATTCTCATCATCATATTCTTCACTAAATGATGATACTCCATCATCTTCAAACTCATATGATGATGATGATATTTGTGGTGTAGGCAATGAACCCCAGCCGAAACTAGTTTCATCTTCATAGAATCTAATATTGATTAAGGAATATGAAATATCAATACCATTAGTTTTAGAATCTGATTCTTCACCACCTTGATTTATAAGTGGTTGTTTCAAACAATCTAATGAATGACCAATCACAGTTGACCAATGTCTTGAAACTTTATCATATTTACCAATACTAGCAAGAACATCTTTACCAATCATGATAGCTTCTGATAAAAGTCTAATATATTCATCATCAAATTTAACCAATTGTCTTTGATTTAAAGTTGTAACCCCCAAAATCAATGATGAATAAAGTCCCACTGTGATCAATAAGAAATTCTCATTACGATCAGGTTTGGAAGATAAATAAGATTTAATCAAATGAAGGGATAAATAAGATGCTTTAATGGTTAATTTCATGAAATGAATCACCATATCATTGGTATGAGTTAAAGTTGGTGAATTTATAAAATTCATAAATATAGGCCTGCCTAAATTTATAATTCCAAAAAGATAATTTAAATGAAGGAAAACTTTTGAAATATTGGTGAAATCATCAGGATTATCCCAATTTAATTTCAATTGAGGGGATAAATTCAAATACCAATCATTTAAATCTTGACATAATTGATTAAGAACAGGGATTGAAATGGATTCATCATCTCTATAAATTTTTTCAATGATGGATCCATTAATAGATGAGATCAAATATAAATTATATTGAAATTGATCTTGTAAATCATCCACTTTACCATTGATTAAGCGAGGGCCATGATCAACATTGATGGTTAATGGACGACCGAAGGTTATAGAGCAAATTCTATCACAGATGAATATTGATCTCCATATCTTCTTTCTATGTAAACTATAATTCACATTGGCAAATTGGTTATTAGTTTTATTATCATATAATCCAAGTGCTTGACAAATTCTGATTGAAATACCTAAATGAATCCATGATGATCCTTTATTACAACAGGAGATATAATAGAAGTAAGTTAACAAATGATATTCGGCAATCCATAACTTATCATCATGCTTATGAGGATGATTTTGTAAAAGAGTTTCACAAGCTTGTAAATATTGTTGAGGTTGTAATAAATTCAAATGAGTTAATTGATTAGCATCTTTAAATTTGATGAATAATGTACTTATAGCAAACACCATATATTCAAGACATAATAATTTATCTTTAATAAGGGGATCTAAAGTATCATCATTGTTGAAAACGGGTCTGAAAATAGTTTGTTTAAAATATTCCATATCAAAGACATAATAAACATTATTAATATTTTCTTGAAAGATATTGATTAACATATCACAAGTTTCTTCATCTGGAATGGAAATAGATCTTGGATCAGAGATTCCATCTGTAATTAACATTTGTTGTTGTTGTCTTTGTAAAGTTTCTTGACTTGGGATTTTGGAAAATTTAGAAGTACCAACACTTGATGCAAAATAATTTCTACATTCATTTAAGAATGATATAGGTGATGTTTTACCATAAAATCTTAAATCCCCTGATTCAGTCATTAATAATCGTGATCGAGATCCATTTGCATGTTGATGTAAGCTAATGATTGATTTATCATTATGAGTAGGACTTGGAATTGAAGTAGTTGATGATGATGAATAAGTTAATGATGTTAACAAATTTTGATATATAGTTGAAAAGGATGGTTCTTGACGAGGTAATGCAATTGGAGTTGGAGGAGAAGAATTTGATATAGATGATATTGAAGATCTAGATGGATCAAGAGCGGTAGTAGTATAACCAAAATCTGCCAGCAAATTTGAGATATCCATGGTAACCAAGTTTCTCTTGTTAAGACCTGATCTACCTTTTAAAGATCGACCATCAACTTTAAGATACAGACAAGTTAACCCTCTTTTACTACAAAATAAACATGGCTGCAAACCATTACACTAGACACATTGTTAGTAATCATAAAATACTATGAACAGGTTACTGGAATGATATACATACTTTCATTTTACGTCTTTTGCAAATATCGCAAGCCTTGGAAATTTTCTTTCTTTGATTATTGATAGGAGCAGCATTATTTTGCTTTACCTTTGATGATTTAATCGATTTATTTATCATGGTTTAAGGATTAGCGTCAACGTTTGAAATTATACAAAGATTGATTGCACCAAGATCAGTTAAACTTTGACTTTATCGTTTAACTTGACTTCAACCTGAAACCTTAACTTTGATTCATTCTTTTATCGAAGACTAAAGTCACAGATTTACGCTGCTATAAATATAAATAATTATCTCCCCTACTTAGCGTGAAAAAAAAAAAAATTAGTTTGTTTTGTTTGTTTGTGTACCCGGAACCAATTTACAGTTTTTGGTCGGCCCCTCCTCCCCCCACCTACACCCCACAAAAACAAAGAAAAAGACGAAATAAAAATATTTAAAAAAATAAAATTGGTTAATAAAACTGAAAAAGAAATTTCTGTCTGACTTTCTGTCTGTTTCTGGCCATATGTGTAACTTTATGGTATTTTAAAATATCTGATATTATAATTGGGATATCGCATAAATAATTTAATGAGGTTTAAGGTGGAGGATCTGGTAAATATTTATGCGCGGATAAACTATTAATCAATTATGATTGTTAACTTGTCTATCATAAACTAATTATTTCAAGGTTGTTGCAGATATGTCATATTCAAAGCATTTGTTTCTTTCACCAATTTTGTTAGTAGCCTCCATCATTAAAATAAAGATAAAAATAAATATGGTTATGATATTTGGTTAAAGAGGTACGGAAAAGGTTTTGAACGGAAATCGTTGGAAAAAAGGGGACTTAGTTCCAGATTTACGTTTAAAGTATATACTTTTAAACATCGATTTTTCGTAAAATTCATTGACCATTAATATGTTTAAGTTTAGAGGTTATTCATTCACTTTCTCCTTATTATATTTCATATCAATGTATGAAGTATGATTACCATTTCGTATAGTTTTAGTGTCCCGTTCCGATGTAGGTGTCCCACCTTGCGGATGCAGATAGACCTGGGGTAGAAGATGGGGTAGACAACCAAGGATGTGTACTCCGAAAACTCAACAAAATAATTAGGGTTAACAAATAGGTATTCACCATAATAAAAGGTGTAACCGGTACAAAGGAAAGACAGCGTTCAATCTAGATCCAAATATTACTAATTCTAAATAAAAAAGGGACAAAAGCCTCTGACTCAAAAATAACGCAAAGCCAAAAAAGATAAAAGGTTAATCTTTGAAGTTCATGTATCGGGTTTATTGGTTCATATTTGGAAAGTAGCTGTTTCCCACTTGAGGAAAAGGTGGGGTAACCTTCCATTTATGAATATGAGGAGTGTCGGACTAAAACTACCGAACTCCTTGTTATATACAGGTGAGAGGAGACTCATATAATAACTTACCGGGATGGTCAATTCTAAATTATAAATAGGTGGAGAAATTTCGTTGTTAATAATACTTCAGTTCTACTGCCTAATTAATTCTCGTTAGACGTGTCAATTCGTTGATCATATCACCATTGTTAATTTTAGTTACCTAACTGATTATTTGATTTATAATTATTCAAAGTTAAAGTAATATCAAACTTTGAATACACTTTTTGCTTAGTTTAAGTTAACTTAACTTATGTTTAGGGAGGAGGTGGGTGTGTGCTAAGGATATTTTTAAGCTTTTTATTAGAGGAAATCCACCAAACATCCATTCCGCCATATATAACGTTGGGAAAAGGATCGAAACATCCGTACCTCCATTGACCACTCACAAAATCCAGAAATTTCTCTTATTTCTAATTAACTAGCAGCAGCAATACTATTAGCAGTAGGCAACAAATTTCTTAACCAGATTCATTCCATTATCAAATCAGAATCAATCCGATAGTCAATCAATCATAAGTGATCATTAGTGTGATTGTTAACCTAGTTCAATTGGATTCATCGCCTAGTTAGTCTAATTGTATCAGTCATAATCCTAAACCTCTCTTACAAATCGAAGTACGGTTTATCTAATCAAAAGTCAGACCCACGTCTTTGATCATTTGATTTTTTTTAAACAATACATCATTGATTTGTCAATCATCAATCAATTGAACTTGAATCAATCAATCGAATCTAGATACTGGTCGATTCAAACATTCAAATCGGTTATCTTATCTAATCATTCATCGCCATTGATCGATCAGATCGAGTTTTGTTCCCCTTTTTAGAAGTTCAGGTCATCCAAAAATATACAACCTTCTAATCAATCAATCAATCAATCAATCAATCAATCAATCAAACCATGGTTGCTCATACACATAATCCATCAGAGAATCAGGATGATTCCATGGAAATAGATCAACGACCTCCTGCTAAAGATCAAGAAGTGATTGATAATCATACTAATAACAACAACAACAACAATAATAATAATAATAATAGAAAAACAAATGGCAATAATAGTCCCATAGAAGAAATTGTCATCGATGATGGCAATACTAATAATACTAATAACAATGACAATAATAATGATAAATCATTCGATGATGAAATTGATGGAACCACGAAAAGAAGAAGACACACCCCTCATGATGATGTTGAAATTGCAGAAATCGAAGATGAGGATGATGATGAAGATGAAGTGGATATAGAAGATGAAGATGTCGAAGAAGAAGAGGAAGATGAGGATGACGAAGAAGATGATGATTTAGTCATTCTTGATGATGGTCCTTCTCAAATTATAAATTCAAAAACTATCGCCACCTCCATCCCATTGGCCAATGATTTCAAAGCATCGGCTGATAGATTAATGAAACCGATACCTGATTATCCCGTTAAAGATGAAGCTGTTTATGTGTGGAATATCAAAGATTGGTCATCCTTAAAAGATGAAAAGGTTAGATCGCCGGCATTTGAATGTGGTGGATTTACTTGGAATATATTATTATTTCCAAGAGGTAATAATCAAAACAATTCTATTTCACTTTATATGGAACCCCATCCTATTGTTAAAGAAGGTGAAGAAGTTCCTAATGATTGGTATGTTTGTGCTCAATTTGGTCTTGATATGTGGAACCCTTTACATCCTGATTGTCATTTACCAAGTGGTTCTCATCATAGATTTAGTAAATCAGATACGGATTGGGGTTTTAGTTCATTGATTGATCATAAACATTTAACATCTACGTCCAATCGAAGAACAAATCATCATTCACATGCATTATTAGAAAATAATCAATTAAATATCACTGGTTATGTAAAAGTTATAGATGACTCTTCTACAGGTGTTTTATGGCATAATTTTGTCGATTATGATTCCAAAAAGAATGCTGGTTTCGTTGGTTTAAATAATCAAGGGGCAACGTGTTATTTAAATTCTTTATTACAAAGTTACTTCACTACTAAAATTTTTAGAAAATTAGTTTATCAAATTCCAACGATTAATAATTCTTCATCATCAGTATCTTCATCTTCATCAAAATTTTCCCCAACAGTGCCATTATCATTACAAAGAATATTCTATCTTTTATCAACTTCAAATGATCCTATTGGTACTTTAGAATTAACAAAATCATTTGGGTGGGATAGTTCTGATGCATTCACTCAACATGATGTTCAAGAATTAAATCGTATTTTAATGGATAGATTAGAAACTGCCATGAAAGGATCTGAGATTGAAGGAAAATTAAATGATATCTTTGTTGGGAAAATGAAATCTTATATTAAATGTGTTAATGTATCATACGAATCTTCCAGGGTAGAAGATTTTTGGGATATTCAATTAAACGTTAGAGGATTTAAAAATTTACAAGAATCATTTAAAAATTATATTGAAATTGAAATGTTAGATGGTGAAAATAAATATCAAGCCGGTGATGATTATGGTTATCAAGATGCTAAGAAAGGGGTTGTATTCGAATCATTCCCACCTGTGTTACATTTACAATTGAAGAGATTTGAATATGATTTTATGGTTGATGATTTGGTTAAAATTGATGATCTTTATGAATTCCCTGATAAAATTGATTTAAAACCATTCTTAGATGAAGATTTACCTCAAGAATTCAAAGATCAAAATTGGACTTATAAATTACATGGTGTTTTAGTTCATCAAGGTAGTATTTCAAATGGTCATTATTATGCCATGATTAAACCAAATGCTAATGATGATGTTTGGTTAAGATTTGATGATGATAAAGTTTGGAAAGCAACTAAGACTCAAGTTTTTAATGAAAACTTTGGTGCAAATGAACTTGCACAAGAAGATTTCCTAAAATTAACTAGAATTGAACAACAAGAGAATTTATTGAGAAGAGTTACTTCAGCCTATATGTTGGTATACTACCGTGAATCTGATTTACCGGAGATCTTACCAGATAGTGATAACATGATGCTTGACGCTATTCCAGATCACATTCCTAAACAAATCAAAGATGAAATTGAAGAACGTGAAAGATTAGAACGTGTAAAACAAGAAGCTTTATATTTCACTAATACTAAATTTATTACTACCAGTACTATCAATAATCATATTGGATTTGATTTATGTTTAGATCCCACTCTTCCTAAATTCTATGACGAGTCTCTTTCTGGTAGTTTATGTGATCCAGTTACCTTTAAAGTCAAAAAGGATGATCCGTATTATTTATTATATACTATGATTGGAAAACATTTGAAATACTTTGATGAGAATGATGACGAAATTATTAAAGATGATAAGGAATTACCATTTAGATTAGTCATTGTTTGTCATAGAAATAATCATACTAATAGGGTTGATTCTGAAGTTGTGGAAGAAAATCGTGATGGTACTATAAATTCAGCTTATTTCAAGTCATTTAATAGAAAATTTGATGAATTCTTATTCTATCTTGAAGAAGTTAATAAAGATATTAATAATATCAATACAGCTACCAAATCAAGTGAAATTATTGATCCTAAAGATTTCAAATTTGACCAAGTATTTGCCAAGATTAATAATATTGGTCAAGAAGTCTACCCTGATTTTAAATTCCATCCTATTTATGAGCATTCTAATCATATCATAATCTTTATTAAATACTTTGATCCAATTTCTCAAGAGATTAGAGCTTTATCCCATATAGTTATCTCGAAGGATACGGTTATTTCAAAGATTATTAAACCAATTAATCAACTTTTAAACTTTGATGAAAATACCATTTTACAGTTGTATGAAGAATTATCTCCAGCTAAGATTGAAAAAATTGATACTTCATTAACTTTTGAAAAACATGAATTAAGTAATGGAGATATTATTTCAGTTCAAGTTGCAAATGCAGCTGAATTAGCAGGTGATAAGAAATTTAAAGACCTTAAAGAATATTATAAATTTATGTTGACTAGAATTCATATACAAGTGAAACCATTCAAAGCTGAAATCGACGAAGAAGATAGTGATTTTGTGGTGGAAGAAAATAAGAATGGTAATGGTAGTGCAAACGGCGTTGATGATTTCAAAGATATTGATGAACCTAAGGATGTTGAAATAGTAGATGATATTTCTACTTTGAAACAAATTGAAACAGCTAAGAGGATAAGTAAATCATTCGATTTCTGGATATCAACCTTATATACTTATCAAGAGTTGGCTGAAGAAATTGCTTCTAAGTTAGGACCAAATGTTGATCCAACTTATTTAAGAATATTCGTTCTTAACAATCAAGGTCTGAGATATCCCTTAAAGTCTTCTCATCATTTATCAACATTTTTACCTAAAACTGTTCCTGTTAATCAAATCATTTCCTTTGAATATGAACTCTTAAATATCAAATTACGCGATTATGAAAATTTAAGATCAATTAAGATTCATTGGTTAACCAGTCTTTTACAATATCAATTATTTGAATTATTAGTTCCTAAGAATGGATCAGTACGTGATTTAATGAGTAAATTATTAAATAAAGTGAGTACTCCTGCTAAAGATTACAAACATATATTAGTATGGTCAGGTAATAATCATTCATATAATGATTTGATTAAGTTTGATAAACCAATTGAAGAATTACAAGATGGAATTGATCTTTATGCTGGTGTTTTCCCATCCGAAGTTGAAGTTTTATCAAGCCATGATGTTATCAAACGATATACGGAAGAGACAGTTGATGTTGATGAATTTGATAATGACTTTATAAAAGAGGAATTCTTATTATCAAGAAAATTAAGTAAAAGTCTTAATATAATGACAGCATTCCACTTTTATAAGAATAGTTCTTATCATCATGGTATTCCTTTCTTGTTAGCAGTTTTCCCAGAAGAAAAATTTGGTGAAACAAAGGAAAGGTTAAGAAAGAAATTGGGTTTGGGTATTCAAGCATTTGAAAAGATCAGATTTGCTTTAGCTGATAATCAAGATAAAGGTGCGTACATAGACAATGATGATATGAATCTTTTTGATGAAATTGGTAAAGCACCATTAACCTTGGCATTAGATCACCCTGATAGATCATCTCGTCGTCAAGGTCAATTTGATAAGGGTATTTCAATCAAGTGAAATATGTTCATAGTTTGCTCTCCTATAATAAAAAATTAACGCCATTCATTCTATATATTCCTATATGTATATCCTGTGAAGTATACAGTTTTTACTACTATAATATATTTATTCTTCCTTTTTATCATCAACTTTGATTCTCTTAACACTGTCATGTTGAACTCCATTAGTTTCGTTATGATTAAACTGTCTTTTACTTCGATTCGATTCGAACTCTCTAATATCTGTTGAACTTAATTTACCTTTCCAATTATTTGATTTATCACCACCTTCACCCCCAATAACATCTATCGCTATCACTTTCAAGGCACTGAATCCTTGTTCTTTTCTGTAGTTATTCACATACTCACCACCACTAGCAGTTTCACGACTTAGAACTAAACCATCAATATCACTAACAAAACCAGTTGGACCACAAACATCTGTTATTTGGTAGATATCAATAGAAATATACGGATCTACATTAATCAAATCTATGAATTTCAATACCGCCGATTGTCTTGTCTCGAATGATTCTATTTGATCATGAAACTTCTTCTTGACTAATAATTGTTCACCTGTAATACCGATAATTAATTTCTTTTTTGTAAGGAATATTGCCATTGATAATAGAATTTTATGCCCATCATGTAAATGATCAAAAGTTCCACCAACAGCAACTGTATCAAATTCTTGACCTTTAAACAGTTCTGTTTCAATCTCAGCCTTAAATGATTCATTTGGTTGTTCAGATTTGATAGTAATCACGTTAAACTCTGATCTTAAGTCATCCAAAGAGTCTTGCTCCCAAGTAAATACAATACCCCAATTGCTCACAACGGTAGCATCAATGGGTCTATTGAATATGATATCGATGTCGAATTTGTAAGTGGATTGATTTCTCGATGCCGTAGCTGCTTCTCTCGCTATACTATAGTATTTTGATAAGATATAATTTAGATGGAGTGAATCTTCAATGTATTGCTCAATGTATATTATAACTCCTGAAAACCCAGGATTAGACTCAATAACATGCTTGACTAATTGCTTGTAATCATATTTAATTGGATTCTGGATATATATCGCTGGTGAAGACATCTCTTATTGGTTTAAAAGACACTGTGTTTTTAGAAAGTTTTGCCTAATTATGGTTATACATTTTACTTTGAGAGTGCCAGAGACTTTCTTTTATGCAGTACACTTTATTTTTTGCATCTTTTCTTCTTTGATTTGCAAATTATGATAAATATTTATATACAACGTTATTCTATTTACAATAGTATTTCTTATATACAAGAGATAGTTCGTTAATCTAAATGGATAAATATATCCTTTCAATGAATGGTCTTAAGTTTTCATTTTCCTTTCTTGATTTGATTTTAAGTAAATTCTTCAAGTTTCTGATTAATGATTTATCCTTTTCAGATAAACTTTCCTCTGATTCATCTTTAAGTTTAGTATAAACTAAGTTAATGGATTTACAAATGGCCGAAGATGATAATTCTTTGCCTTCAATCTTTCTTAATTCGGTAGGTCTATAGAAAAGTATACCTGATTTAATGATTTGTTTGTGGGTCTGTAAGTCATTTTCATCAATTTCTAACCATTCATTTTCATAAATTCTAGAAATGATTTTATTATAAGATTCAATATCACTTGAGAATAAAACTTGATCAATAAAATTTTTCTCTTCGTTTCTCAATACTAATAATGAAGTCATGAAAGAATCTAAAGATGATAAATAAGTTTGTAATTGATCTGCAGTGATAGACTTTTTAGATACTTGATTGTTTTCTTTCTGTAACACTAAAGTATTGTAGTTATAATCACTGAAATAAAAGAGATCCTTCACAAACGAAGCAAACATAGCATCAACCGTCTTATTTCTGATCTTTAACCCTTGCTTGATATTGGTGTGTTTTGATACTAACATACCAAAAATCTCGGTAATCAATGCAGTAGAATTTTTACCTCCATTTCTAACATTTTCATTCAATTTAAAAATGAAATTTTCAACTGAAATGATATCCACTACATCTTCAAGATATTTAACTTCAAATTGTTTGACATGAGTTAAGGCTTTAACTTCCTCAATCTCTTCAGGACTTTGAACAAATTTAGGTAAATAAATCGCATCTAAACTTGGTTGTAATCTTCCATTAATCTTTGGAATATGAATTCCACCCCATTTGGATAATATGTATAAGATAGATGTATGGAATTGTTCATATCTTCCTAAATATATCAACGCATCAATCATACGATGAAGTAAGAACTTATTAACTCCAATTTTTTCTCTATTAATAATATCCTTTTGTCTTTCAGTCAATCTACTACCGAATTTACCACGAGATGTTTTAAACAGATCATCTAATGCTAAAAGTCTTTGTTCGGAAGAAGTTGAACGAGCGAAATCAACTAATGGTTTCTTAAAGTTACTAAATGTTGCTTTGGTCTTATTCTTGGATGAAAGTGGAGGTGGGAATATAACTAATGGGTTGACTTCTGATTGTTCGGGGTATTTAGGACATACCTTCTCAGGTAAGATGGTATCAATCTCAATATCAGCTTTGGTATATGATTCTATAGCTTTAGAAACTCTATTATCAGTAATTGATTTAATTGAATTAGATGCTTGGATAATACCATCTTTTATTTCTGTATGGTTTGTCTTATAGGCAAATTCTAAAATGGAGTTTATTTCTTTACACCATAATTTCAAATAGGTTAAACCTTGTTCAACATATCTATAATGAGATCCAACGGTTGATTTCACCCCAGTTCCACTTTTATTAATGAAAGCACCTGTGAAAACTGACGCGAATGCTGGTTCAATATCAATAAGGATTCTATTTCTGACTTTTCTATAATCTTCTAATAATTCAGGATTTTGTAAAACTTCTTCTTTAGTAGGTGGTGGAGGTGGAGTTGCTTCTGTTATTACTTTTTGAAGGATACTTTCTGAAGTTTCAATTTGTCTAGCTTGGATATCTAATAATTTGATTTCCTTTTCATTAGCTGATAATTCATTTGAATTCATGATTTGGTCAGCTTTATATAATGAATAACGATTTATTCCATCAATGAAAATGGTAAAAGTTTGACAATCAGGGATTAAATTAGGTAAATCAGATTTTGGATCAGGAACCAATCTATCAAAGAAATCCCATGCTAATTTTTGATCATCATTATAATTTTTCACTAAGAAATTCAATAATGCATTAAAATGATTAATCGTTGTTTTATTCTTTTGTAAATCAAACTTCCGTTTAGAATTAACTACTCCATCAAATGCTTTATGACTTTGCTCTCTATATTTATCAAAGATCGATATCATATCTTCACTTATCCCATTAGTAACTTCTCCCCATGCATGGTTTTTAGCTAATCCATCGAATAAGATAATATAACTTTGAGCATTTGGCTTTACTCCCCATTTACTTCTATCATGGAAGTTCTTAACTGCTGCTTTCACATCACCTTTATCAAATAACCATTTACAAATAGTATTCATTCCAACTACTGCTGCTTCTTTATCGACCATTTTTAATAATCGTAATGCTCTTTCAGGATCTTTATCCCATTCTAATAATTGTATAACATTACTAGTGACGAAATAGGAATCTTTAATTTGAAATGAGTTTGTTCCTAATAAAGCATATAAAAGATTTCTATCCACTCCAGTATTAATGAATTTTTTAACTCTATAAATATTTTCAAATATGATTTTTGAAATAGGGTTGGATGGTTTTAAATCATGAGATTTTAATTTAAAGATTTCTAATACAGTTCCATCAGGATTTAAGAAAGTAGCTCCATCGAATTGATTCTTTAATTTCATCAAAGCATATTTCAATTTAGCTTCAGAACCTGATTTTGTAGTAGGATCAAATCTCATTGATCTATTCTTTCTCTTCATTGGCGTGGATGGGATATCACCTGTTTCAATGAAATAATCCAATTTAGATCTAAGACCTCTTGGGAGTGCCAGATCTTCATCTCCATTCTCATTTTGTCTGTTGTTATATGGAGTCTTTGAGGATGTATATGACTTAGGTTTTCTATCTTTAGAATAATCTTTACTCTTGTAAGATTTAGTAAACTTGTCAGGTTTAGTGAACTTTTCATATGTCGTAAACTTCTCCGCCTTGAATGCTGAGAACGCTATTCCTCGTACTTGTCCGAGGATAGGAACACTCACCGTCCGTATTCTAATCATCTCCACTATAGTAACACCTTATGAATAGTTATATCTACTGACTGCTGCTAAAATTTTTCAGATTGAGTTTATTTTTTTAGAGTGTGTACAAAAAGCGATGCTGCATTTTTTTTGGTTTATAGAAAATGTCATGATACTTTTAAGACGTAATAGTTATTTGAAGTCAAACAACCAAGTGATGACAAGATGAAAAGGGATAAGGACGAGGATAGTAATGCTGGGGTATCAGGATCATCGTCACATCATAACAATGGGAATGGACATGATATAGTGAATGAAGAAAGTGATCAACAACCAAATGAATCGATTCAAAAAGCCCATTGGAAGAAGACCAAACATAGATTACAATACTTGATAGGGACAAAATTGACCAATACCACAATTCCAGAAGTCTCCCTTGACTTATTCAAGATCAATCTTATACGATATCAAGGATTATTAGTTCGAATCATTATGAATCAACAATTACGAAACATTAGTTCTACAGCGATATTATCAAGTTTAGTATCGATTTTAAATTCAAAGATTCCCGATATTGGAGAATTGTTAATCAATCGATTGATCTTACAATTCCGAAAGAATGTCGATGTTCGAAAGAAGAATTATTCCTTCATACGATATTCATCATTATTCATCTGTCATTTAGTTAATCAAAGAGTGGTTAATGAAATCCTTGTATTACAGATTATTCAAAAGTTATTCGAAACGATTCAAGGAGAAAGCATAGATATCATAGTGCGGATACTATGTGTTACCGGTCAATATCTTACCAAGAATTCTAATATGGCGATTAATCTGATATTTCAAAATTTAATGAAAGTTTTAAATGAGCAATCAAATTATGATTTAAAAGATAGAAGTATTAAACAGATTGAAATGATCTTACAGATTAGGAAGAACAAGTTTAATGATTATCCTATTGTTGTTGAAGAGTTGGATTTGGTGGAGGATGAAGATAAGGAAACCCATGCGATTTTATTCGATAGTGTACTTCATAGTAAGAGTGAATTAAATGTATTTCACTATGATGAAGATTATGATGTTAATGAGAAAGTGTATTATGACATAGCAAAGGAGATCCTAGGCGATGATGATGAAGAGGAGGAGGAAGAGGAAGTAAAACAACAACAACAACCAGAAGAAGAATCAAAACCTAAAGAAATCATTAAAGATATGACAGAATCTGAATTACTTGAATATCAAAAAAAAGTATATCTAACTATCAAATCATCATTATCAGCCGATGAAGCGGTTCATAAACTTCTTAAATTGAATCTTAAAACCGCTAAACTTGATAATGATGAGATTATAATTGATATGATTATCAAATGTTGTGCTCAAGAAAAGACGTATTCGAAATTTTATGGATTAATAGGTATAAAATTATGTTTAATCGGTAAACGAGAAAAGAAATTCCAAACTTTATTAATCAAATTATTTAAATTTTATTATTGTGATATTGAAAAATTTGAAACTAATGGATTAAGAAATCTTGGTAAATTCTTTGGGAGTTTATTTGCGTCTGATAAAATCCCGATTGAACAAAGTTGGAATGATATAAGATTGACTGAAAATGATACGAATTCTGCTAGTAGAATATTATTAAAATTTATATTTCAAGAGATGATTGAAGAATTGGGGATTGATGAAGTTAAAGATCGATTAATTTATGATGATTATATTAAACCATATATCAATGGTATATTCCCAGTGATGAATGTGGATGAAAGAGATGGAGAAGATATTCGATTTTCAATTAATTATTTCACTGCTATTGGATTGGGAGTATTGACGGAAGAGATGAGATCAGTTTTGAATGATTTACCCGCTGCTCCAACTAGAGGTAGAAGTAGATCAAGAAGTTCGAGTTATTCTCGAAGTGGAAGCGGTAGCGGTAGTGGTAGTGATAGTCGAAGTAGAAGTTATTCACGTAGTGTATCCTATTCTAGGTCACCTAGTCGTGATTCACAATCAAGATCAAGATCAAGATCAAGAAGTGGATCATATTCTCGATCACCAAGTCGTACCCCATCTCGAAGTCCGATGAGGAAACGTGGAGAAGAAGAATCCAAGGGGATTGAAAATGAAAATAGTAAACGACGTAAGTATTGATCGTTATTAGTTGATTATATTAATTAGTTAATTAAGTAAGATTATAGTATATAAAGTCGGGGTTTGAAAGAAGAAAAGAGAGTAATATATGTATATATATAAGAAAATAATATATAGCGGACATATCGACAAAAGTTGATATAATTAAATCACAAAAGTAAAATAACGACTCATTTTCATTTTTTTATCATTAGCCATCATCAACAACAATATAACTATAATCATCATCATCAATTGATGATTGATGATCAGAGGTTAATTAAAAGTAAGAGAGATGAGTTTTTCAGTGCGGAATTTTACGGACAACACCATTTCATATTTTAATTAACCCATTTTACACTAGAAGTGATGGATGATATGATGTATAATAGTATGAGATCACTTAGTACTAATAGTAACCATCAAGTATAACATACCTATGAAACTAATTAAACCATTACAATTATAATAGATGAGCAACGGTTAATATTAAATAATTAACTCATCCATCATCATGTCCTGCACATACCAAGACAGCCAATAAAATCAAAGTTGTTAGTAAAATTACCGGAACAATCCCACACAAAGCACAAAGGGACGACCAAAAAAAATTTCAAACTATAAATACTGATCAACATCTTTCTTGTAATTATTTCTTGTATTTACCCTATTTACTTAATTAAATAATAACTAATTAATTATTCTTAATTAACTTATAACTTCATACAATGCCAGCTCCATTTGAAAAAGGTTCCGAAAAGAAAGGTGCTACCTTATTTAAAACTAGATGTTTACAATGTCACACTGTTGAAGAAGGTGGTCCTCATAAAGTTGGTCCAAATTTACATGGTGTTTTCGGTAGAAAATCAGGTAATGCTGTTGGATTCTCATATACTGATGCCAATAAAAAGAAAGGAGTTGTTTGGTCTGAACAAACCATGTCTGATTATTTAGAAAATCCAAAAAAATATATCCCAGGTACTAAAATGGCTTTTGGTGGTTTAAAGAAACCAAAGGATAGAAATGATTTAGTTACTTACTTAGCTTCTGCTACTAAATAAGTTTGATCAAAATCAAATCAGCTCATTGTGCATGTATTTGACTTGGACTAAATGACTTTATTCCTTCATTATAATCAAACTATTCCTATCATAAGGTTGGGGTTTATTAGATCTAATTCAATACAACAAAAAAGAAATAGAATTTTTATGTTTCAACTTATAACTTTCCCCCTTTTTTACTTCCCCTTTCAAACAACTCAATTAGAACAATTCGCCTTTGTTCAATTGAGATTAATCTGTACATAATGTTTTACTTTTGCCTTTATTATTAACCATTGTGTTTTTATGAACCTAAAACTATATTTTATTTATAATATACATGAAGAACTTTATAAATTGGAATTATCTGATTTATATACTTTTAAAAATTAATTTTATTAATCAATTGTGTAGATATAACCCATGTAAGGCCATTCCACTCCATTACACTCAGCCATCCATTCAGCCATCTCATCAAAATTTATGAAATTTAATATTCGATTCCTGTATATAACAGAAAGACGCGGCATGGATGTTTTGTCCGATCAGATCAACGTTAAAAGGTGGAAAAAAAAATTACATGAACAATTCGTATAAATAAGAATATAACTACAACTAAATCAATCAAGATGGAAAATATGCAAATACCAGTAGAGGTTGATCCTACTGAAGATACAGAATGGAATGATATTTTAAGAAGTCATGGGATCATACCGGAAAAACCACCATCACCGACGGCCCAATTAGAAGAAGCATTGGAAGAAGCTATTAAAAGACAACATGATAATCGATTAGAAGATAAAGATTTAGATGAATTAGATGAATTGGATGATCTTGAAGATGAGGATTTTCTTAATAGTTATAAACAAAAGAGAATGGCGGAGATGAAATCTTTAAATGCTCAAAAACAATTCGGATCAGTGTTACCGATTAATAAACAAGAATATGAAACAGAAATTACAAAAGCATCAATGGATTCATATGTATTGGTTCATTTAACTTTATCATCGAATATTCAAAGTCGATTATTATCGTCTATTTTCCAAACTTTAGCGTTTAAATTCTCCGAAATTAAATTTTGTGAAATCCCCGCTAATAGATGTATTGAAAATTATCCCGAAGTCAATTGTCCAACATTAATCATCTATTATAAAACGAATGTGGTTAAGCAATATATAACGTTGACGGAATTAGGAGGGAATGCGACGAAGATAGATGATATTGAAAGAGTATTGGTTCAAAATGGGGCAGTAAAGAATAATGATAAAAGATTAATTATCAATAATGAAGATGAATATGAATCAGAATTAAGAAAGACAAGATTTGTGAAGAAATCATTAAGAGGAAGTAATAGACTTGGAGATGATGATGATGAATATGATGATGATGATGATGAGTTTTATGATTGAGCCCCTGTTCAAAAAGTATTTATAGATTAATATAAAATGACATTAAATGTGGTTAATAATACTTTGTAAATTTAGTAAGGTTGCGAAAAAAAAGCTGATGGTGTGAGTTATTTGTTTGTTTGCCACCTCCCCTCCCTCCCTCCATCTCCCTAAACATTAAATAATTAATGAGGTAAAATTACCGAGAGTGCTCGCTAAATTTAATGAGAAATTGTCACTAATTTTTAGTGATGACTTCTTTGACAGCAATTTCCCTCCCCCTGAGACAACACTCACTCAGAAAAAAAAAAGAAAAGTGAGAAAGTCACAAATTTACAGCAACCTGAAAAATATTTAAATTTCCATCCATCATCCATCAATCATCCATCATCATCACTACAACCACTATTGTTAGACAACCCCAAGTTCAACCATAGGTAGATAGATAGATAGATAGATAGATAGATAGTTGTCATTCACTTTATAAGATACTCTTATAAGATCATACTACCAAGCATCAAAACTATACTATAATTATACCATCTATCTTTAAATTAGTGATCTCTGTCTCTGTCTATCTTTACAATCACACTACTGATTTTTTTTATCAGGAACTCACTGTCTGTCAAACTACGAAAAAAAAATATACTGAACCAAAATAAAAGAAAGAAAGAAAGCCTACTTTGAATATTTTTCAAACCCATTATAATCAGGATATTGCAACTGTTTTACTTAAAACAGATATTTCATCCTTTTATACCCCTTTCATTGCATCTCATTCATCTTTACCTCATATCAAATCCATTTTATTCGTCATTATTCATCTTTATTCCCCCTTCCCGCCATTGTTTTCCACTGTTTAATACCTAATTTTGCATTTATCATCACATAATCTTCATACCTATCATATAATCTTTCCTATCTTTCATACCATCCTTATTAATATTATCTTGTTGATCGATCACATTCCTCATATACCCAGCACATATCCTTTATAGAAATCATTTCCCCTATCATGTCATCATCTCGAAAGACGATTCCTGGTGCTCTACCTACACCTCCGATCACTGATTTTAAAAATGGATCAAATGGTAATACTCATACAAATGGTGATCATATCATCAATCATAATCATGGAAATCATTCCACTTATCATTCTCATAACACTAATGATCATAAATTCATCGCATCTTTCAATAATTATAGTGTCATACCTTCATGTACTCATTTAAATTCAGTATTAGAAACTAAAGCAAAGGAAACTCTTTTAATAACTTATAAACAAGCAGTTACATTATCTAAACCTATTCAAGATTCAAATTCATATTTCACCAAGAAAGATGGATCAAAAATATCTAATGCCCAATTAATTAATAAACGAATTCAAGCTTTAAAATGTTCAGATTGTTTAAATCATAATTTTCAAAATTCTTTTATGTGTTTACAATGTCCTCATGTTGGATGTTGTTTTAATAATCAATCTCAATTTCAAATTCATAATCATAATCATGCATATTCTCATTATAAATTAAGTTCTCATACTTTTGCTATTGATTCTTGTAATGGATTATTATATTGTTTCCAATGTGGGAATTATATAAATCATCCTCAATTAGATAAAATTAGAAAAGATATTTATTTGAATAAAGTAGAAGAAGAAAGTGAAGAAGAAGAAGAAGAAGATGATGATGATGAAGAGTTGGATAGTGATGATAATAATGATAATTATAATGCTCCCAATACTATGGCTATTACTGGTTTAAAAGGATTTGTAAATTTAGGAGCAACTTGTTTTATGAGTTCAATTTTACAAACTTTTATTCATAATCCAATCTTAAAATATCAATTTTTTAATAATGATTTACATTATTTTAATTGTGAAAAGAGACATTATGTAAATCCGGATGAAGATATAATGATTGATGAAAATAATGCATGTATAACTTGTAGTATTGATAATATATTTCAATTATTTTATACATCAAGCTCAAATGAAGGTTATGGTATGACTAATTTATTAGCTACAGCATGGTATAAAAATAAATCATTAGCAGGATTTCAAGAACAAGATGCTCATGAATTTTGGCAATTTATATTAAATGAATTTCATTCTGATTATGAACGAGTTTTAAAGAATTCAATGGAATCAGATCAGATAGATGATAGTGGACCTTTACAATTAAATCATGATAATTGTCATTGTGTTACTCATTCTACATTTTCAGGTGAATTACAAAGTTCAATTAAATGTTTATCATGTGAGACTATCACTACTACTATTGATCCCATGGTTGATTTATCCTTAGAAATTAATCATTTAAAGAATTCAATTCATTCACAACAAGAAATTGATCTTTATGATTGTTTAGATTTATTTACAACTGAAGAAAAATTAGATGTTAAATATAGTTGTCGATCATGTGGTGATAAAACTCGAGCTATAAAATCATTAAAATTAAGAACCTTACCTCCAATCTTATCAATTCAATTAAAACGATTTAAACATAATTCATCAAATGATACATCATCAAAAATTGAAGATTCAGTTCAAATTCCCTTATATTTAAATATGAATAAATATTGTGTGTCACAAAATGAAAATGAAGATAAATTTTATGAATTATTTGCCTTAGTGTGTCATATTGGATCCGTTAATACAGGTCATTATATTGTGTTGATTAAAAATAGACAAGGAGAATGGTTTAAATTTGATGATAGTATTATATCAATGATAAGTCCTGAAGAAGTTAAAAATACCAATGCATATTTATTATTTTATATAACTCGTAAAATTTAGTACTAAATAGCAGTATATATAAAATAATATAAAAAAACTTAATAATAATTTAGAGAATGTATAAGCCTCAGTATTATTAACACATACCGAAAGGAAGTTATCGAATCGAATCAAAAAGGAAAAGGGGGAGTCCATCAAAACTGTGAACTTTTCAGAGGGACAAACCTTTTGAAATCAATTTACCTAATTAAGAAATCGTTCATGCAAACATCTGTCAAAATCTGGCGTCTTCTGTCGACCGTCCTGATTCTGATCACTATAGCGATGAGAGATAATTACAACTGGTTGAAATTACCTAATTTAGATATATTAGATTTGTGATAGATCGCGAAATTTAAGTAGTTGATGAGGTTGTTATGGGGGGTAAGATCACAAAACAGATAGAGAAGGAGGGGGGGGAGGGACAGGAGTTATTAAAATGGTAGATTTGGCTATGTTAGGGTCGTGGTCATATTCATTCATTCATTCATTCATTCATGCCGGTAATAATGGAGAGTTGGGTATGTGGTAGACAGGTGATGATAGAGATATTTACAATCGGTAAATAAACCAGGTTATACGAGAACAAAGTGTGTATAACAGAAATGCGGTACTTCTGAACAAAGGTTGAAAATAAATGATTGGTTTAAACTATAAAAATATACGAGGTTTACCTAAATGTTATTCATCCCTTTTTCCACATTAATGAGGACACGATCATCATTGTATATAAGGGTTCACATCAGTGTTTGATTCGTTGATAAAGCTTGTAAGACCGATGATGATAGCATTTTTACCAATCTAGAATGAAATTTTCACTATTCAGATTTGAAATCGGTTAATTTTAGACGTGTTCATTAGAGTTAGCTTAGAGTTGGTATAAGTATTATTTGGTTGTATAGTAGTTCTGTCTGATCTTATCATCACAATTTCCTAATTGGGAATATTAATTAGAAAAAAAGAAATTTTTTGTGTGTCTGAATTTGCATTTTTAGCTTGATTTGGCCGTTTTATATAGGCCACTTTTTATAACAATTCTAGAATTTAAAGGTAAAGAACAAATCCACCTCCTTCATTGGCAGATCAAATCATGCATATGAACTAAATCAACTATAGTTTCTTGGAAGAAATATATTTTTCATAATGAAACGGAGATGAATTCCACTTCACTCCTTCCTTCAATATATTATTGACCCACGATTACCTTTTAGTCAAATCCCAAACCGATCGGTATCCCCAGTAATGTGTATTTGTGACCAAAGTCTTTGTGATGTGTATCTATTTCATCACATAGTACTTACCCATACACACAAGGTTGTTGTTGATTTCTGCACCCTGAAATTATTTTATTTCATACATTTTATTTTTTTAATATACGACTTTGTAAAACGTATAGATTTCATATCTATCAGTCAGTTGACGGTACTTGACTACTGTTTATTCATATGGCATTTAGCAACAACACATTCTATATAATTTAATCATACTTTTAAATGAAGCCTCGTCGAAATACACAATTGGGAATGTTTAATTTAATTTATATATATTATCCATGTATCCCCCTAAACTGGATCTTGTATTTTAACTTATTTGATCCCCTTCTTATTTCTCTTTTTTATATAATTCGTTCCTTTCCTTCTTTACTTGTCAGTTTCATTACTAGTCACAATTGGTTAACTTCTGCCAAAAAGAATAAAACTATCATAATTAAATCAGTTAGCGTCCATTCCTTGTATTATTCCCCTATTTACTTTTACATTCCTTTTTTTTTGTACTACCATATTATCATTTTTTCACATCTATTATCTATCATAAAAATACCCCTAAAAAATCATCATAGCTAACTGTATTCAATTATGTTATTTTCAAGACTCTTACTTTCCTTAAGTCCTTTGATTGCTTTAAGTTCTTCTCAACCTATTGGTAAAAGAGATGGTACTATAACTTCTGAATCAGCTTATAGTTCCGCTTTAGGTACAACTTGGTCAAATTTCTGGAATCCTGCACAGAATGCATGGAATCTTAATGATCAAATATGTCCTGGTTATGGTTATTCATCTCCAGTAGTTTGGAATGTAGCTGTTGCATCTAAAGTTATTATTGATTCAGGTAATGCTCAACAAATTCAATTGGTGGTAAATGACATTTTACAATATCAAAATTCTGCCGGTTATTTCTCTGCTACTACCGCTAGAGATGATGATGTTTATCTTGATGATGATTCTCAAGTCATGTGGGTTTTAATTGGTGCTTATCAAGCTCTTGGTAATCAAGCCTATTTAACTGCTGCTCAAACTTTAATGAATAATATCATGAGTCAATGGAATCCAACCGTGGGTGGAGTTAATGAACATGTCAATGCTGATTATGTGGCATCAATCTCAACTTTAGAAGCAGCATTAGCAGCTGTTAAATTATATGAAGTTAGTCCAAATCAAGATTTAGTCACATTTGCTGAAAATTGTATCACTTGGATTTCTAAAACTTTACAAGATCCCAATGATCATTTAATTTATGATGGTATAGCTCCATCTACAGGTCAAATTAATGATGGGAAATTAACTTATACGGTGGGTGTGATGATTTCAACTTTAGCTTATTTAAATAAAATCACCGGTCAATCCAGTTATATAGATCAAGCTATTGTTTTAGGTAATGCTGCTACCAATGCTCAAGGTGCTTTCTATACTCCACAGGGATTTTGGAATAATGAATTACAATATGTTGAATTTTTATTTGCTGGTTTTGCTGATTTATTAAATATCGGTACCGCTACCACTTCAACTCAACAAGCTGCTTTTTCATCTTATACTACAGAAGTTTATCAACAAGCTACTTATCTTTTCAATTTCTTCCAAGTTGGAACAAGTGGAGCTTATGTTGATGATGTTTTTACCGCAAGTCAAGATATCTTTACTAAATATACTACTGCTTTCCCTAACAGTGGAACTTTTGCAACTGATGCAAGTAATTTCTGTGGTGGCACACTCGGTGGTACAGTTCAAACTTCATTACTTACTCAAGCATCTGCTACTGAAATATTCTATCAACTTTCAAGAATCACCTAGTGTGACTTGGAAGTTTTGAATCATTTTGTTGTAAGGTCTGACAAAATGGTTTTTTGTATACCCCCTTTTTATTCACTTCTTCTGAAATTTTTTTCCCATTTTAGTTACGTTTTTTAGAATACCCCACATTTAGCTTAATTTTACTCTTTAACTCATAATAAAAATACTTTATAGTCTTATGATTTATTACCCTTTTTTAATTAATCAGGCGCATTTTACGAAATCTTTAAAATGTTATAAATGAATAATTTTATATTTAAAATGTATTATAGATAAAACTAGTATGACCAAATAGAATTGAAATAAAAAGAGATAATTAGAAAAATAGGTATCATTATTATAAATTGGGAGAAAATCATCAAAAAAACTTTTTTATTTATGTTTTTGGTTGGTTGGGGTAAATTTCTGATTGCAAAAAGAAAATATCACTGGAATTTTTTTTATATGAATAGAATGGAGTTGTAAGAAATTACTAATATACATGGGGGTTGGTTCCGATTGTTTTAATGTGTTTAGTGGAAATCATCACCTCTAATGTTGGCTTTATCACACATTTCTTTGAAAATACCATTTTGTTGGAATAATTGAGTTGGAGCACCTTTTTCAACAATTTTACCTTTATCCATAACGATAATTCTATCGTAATGTAAGATTGTTTTCAATCTATGAGCAATACACAAAATTGAACATTGTCTGAATTCATTGGAAATTGTATCTTGAATTTTTGAATCAGTTTCAAAATCAACTGATGAAGTAGCTTCATCTAGGATTAAAATCTTAGAATTACGAACTAAAGACCTAGCCAAGGCAATCAATTGTCTTTCACCTAATGAGAAGTTAATACCATCTTCATCCACAAGTTGATCAAGATGAAATTTATGTAAATCATCATAACCAACATTTCTCTTTGGATCATATTTAGTTCTTCTCACTAATTCAATCGAATTATGATCTAATAAACCAGATCTTCTTAAAGCATCTAATAAAACTTCATCTTTATATGATTCAAATGGATCTAAATTCTTTCTAATGGAACCTTGGAATAAAACTGGATCTTGAGGAATAATAGACAAATTGGATCTTAAATCATGTAATCCCATTTTAGAAATATCTAAACCATCAATGGTAATCGAACCCTTTTCTAATTCAGTTAATCTATACAAGGCTGTCATGATTGATGATTTACCAGCACCAGTTCTACCACAAATACCAACTTTTTCACCTGGATAAATGTTTAAATTCAAATCTTTTAACACTAATGGTAAATTGTCTCTATATCTTAAAGATACATCTTTAAATTCAATATATCCTGAAGCTGGCCATTCCTTTGGTGGTTCACATTCTGGAACAACATATGCTGCTTCTTGAGGTAAGTTAAAGGCATATTCATGTAATCTTTCAACTGAATTCATTTCATTTTCAACTTGAGTCATGGATCTAATAGTTAATGCTAAAATACCAACAATTTGAATCACATAATTCATTAATAAACCAGTTGATGAAGCACTAATATCAAATTGTTCAGTAATACATAACATACAAATGATCAAGGCGAATGAAGAAGCAATCATATCTAAATGAACACATAACCATCTTTGAGTAGCAATGGATAAGAAATAAGCTTCATTCATTTTATTAAGATATAAATCATTCTTTTTAATGAAATCATTTTCAGCTCTGAATGATTTGATAGTAGCCATACCAGTTAAAGTTTCATTGAAATTATTATACACTAATGATCTTTGAGTTGCTTCTAATCTTTTTAATTCACGAGATGAACCTTGATAGAAATTAGCCAAGAATGTAAATGCAAATCCTAAAAATGGAACAGCAATAGCAAACCAAGGTAAATAAGTAATACACAAGATAATAATACCAATAATAGTTGCCAATGGAAAAATGAATAATCTTAATTGTTCACCAATTTCATTATCTAAAGAATCAGTATCCTTAGTAAATCTATTCAAGATTCTACCAATTGGAGTAGTATCCATAAAACTCATTGGAGCATGTAAAATCTTATCAACAGCTCTAACATTCAAGATTCTAGCAGATCTATTATTCATATAAGCTAACATAGTAAATTCAATGGCAGTGAAAACGACAGTTAAAACAGCAAGACAGACGTAGATAATAACGTAAAATTTATCTGATTTACCTGGGAATTTCTTTTCAGTCCAGAATGATAACCAAGTATTAGTGAAAACTTGACAAAAGGTAGCTAAAGCCACTAAAAATAGGAAAACTGGAGTAGCAGTCCAACCGAAAATACCAGAACCTAAGTGAATATATTTCTTATAAACATCCCAAGAAATAGCATTAGTGGCACTAATTTCATCAGACATGGTTCTACCGGACAAATCAGCTTGTTCCTTTAATCTCTTTTCAGATAATCTAACTCCAGCAACTTCATCATCTTCCATGTTATTAACAGCCAAGTTATATTCACTGTTGTTGGCAGATTCAGCTTGAGTTTCTTGACTGAAATCGATTAACTTTTGGAAATTTTCATTTCTACAGATTAATTCAGTAACAGTACCAACATCAATTGAACCATCACCATTTAAGAATACAATTCTATCAGCTGATTCAAGTATACCTAATTGATGGGTAGCTAAAACAATGGTTTTATCTCTTAATAAACCTTTGAATAAACGATTAACAATATGTTTACCAACTCTTGAATCAACAGCACTAATAACATCATCAAATAATAAGATTTCAGCTTCAGTATAACAAGCTCTAGCTAAATTGATTCTAGCTTTTTGACCACCAGATAAAGTAATACCACGTTCACCGATTTCAGTTTTATCACCAGCTGGTAACATTTCAATATCATCTTCTAAAGCACAAGCATTTAAAACTTCATAATATTTTTTATGATCAAATGGTTTACCAAACAAGATATTTTCACGAACAGTTGAGTTTTGAATCCATGGGGCTGAACATAATAATAAATCATCATAGACTTTAAGTTTACCTTGATGAGGATTATTTAATTTCATAAATCCAGCCATAGCACTTAAAAGGGAAGTTTTACCAGTACCAATGGCACCAGTAATGATAATAAATTCATTCTTCTTGATAGAAAGATTAATGTTTAATAAACCAGGGAACAGTTCAATGGAATTAGATTCAACGGATTCAACGGATTGGATATATGATTCTTTGGTATATCTAGCAGTTTCATAAGGACTGGAATGTTTTTCGGAAAATATTGAAACAGAACCAGCAGCGATATCTTCATCTTCATGTTGTGGTTGTGGTTGATACTTATGGCTCTTGTGTTGTCTCTTCTTTTCTTTCTTCTTTTTGGCATCCTTACTTAAATCCCATAATCCTTCATCTAGTTCATCATGAAATGATTCCCAAATGAAATTAGCATTTTTAATTTCAATAACCGTTTCTTCATCTTCATCTGATTCATAATCGTAATCATAATCATCATTATTAGTAGATCTTGACACAGTTTGTTGATTATTCATTGGGACAGATTGATGTTTGAATTCAAATCCTTCTTCTGAACCACCTCCAATAAAGTAACTTTGATTAGAAACTGGTTGATTCATTCTATTAGATAATTCATCATTTAATTCTTCAGCAGAAAGATAATCTTTACATCTAGTGAATCCAATAAGAGCATCAGCACCAGTAGCTAAAGCAATTGGTAATAACATAATAGCTTGAGCCAAGATTGAGAATAATGATAATGAACTGAAAACTTCACCAGGAGATTTCATATTATTAGTAGCCCACATAGTAACAAATGAAAGCATAGAACTTAAAGTTGGTAAGGTAACAGCATAAGCAGTAATGAAATTTCTTAAGACTTTAATAGTGAAAAGATACTTCATTTCCTTTTCTCTAATTTTAGTAATATTCATTCTATAAGCTAATTCCCAAGCATAGAACTTGATAACTTTTAAATTAGTTAAAGCTTCTCTCATAAGACTAATTCTTTCATCAGTATATTTAACCACAGTTTCTCTGGTATCAAATAACTTCTTAGTTAAAACCACACAAACAATTAATGAAACAATAAATAATCCAATACCAGTTAATGAGCAAACACCAATATTAGTTAATAATAACACAATGGCAATGATGATTGGAATTGGGAAACAAACCACTAATGGTTGGAAACCAATAGCTAAATCAATTCTAGCTAAATCAGTTGACATTAATGAAGTAACTCTTCCAATAGGGAATAAATATCTTGATTTAGCACTTAAATCAAATGATTTTAATAATAAAGCTTTTGTTAAAATAGCTTTAGATTGAGCACCAGTAGTCATGGCAGTATGAAAGAAATGATTTAATAATAAACCATTAATAAAGATTAAAACCACTGAAGCAATAGTATAAGCAACGCCTTTAGTTAAAGTTTTTTCTAAACCAAAGTATCTATATTCCACATAATCAATTAATCTTCTAGTGATTAATGGTGATAAAGATTGAACACAGAATGATAATGCTAAAAAGAAACAACTTAAACTATATTGCCATTTAAAAGTTAAAAATAAAGCATATGGAATTGACCATTTTGGCCATTTGAAATCATCCAAATTTTTATGTTGTTTTAAATGTTTAGCTTCAGCTTTTTTCAAAATATCTTTTAAATGTTCAGACCAAACTTGATGCATATGTTCGACGGTTAAGTCAGGAGTTAAAACCCATAAATCATTAGGTTGTAAAGTTCTCTTATAACCACGAACCAATATTGGCCATAACCACCAAAAACATAATCTATAAAGGAAATTAGCATTTTTTAAAGCATACATTTCACGTTCTGAATCTAATGGAATTGGAGTAACTTTTCTTGAAAATAAAAATGAAAACCAACGCTTTTCATTCTTTAATTCTTGAGATTCTAAATGAGATACATTAATATCGATATTTTGATTCTTTTCCAAATTAGTTTGGGACAGTATTATATTAGATTGATTTGATGTGATTGGTTCTTCGTGAACTCTTGAAATTTGGGAATTTATTCTATCATATGGATTAAATGGTTTATCTTGATCAGCATTATTTAAATTTCTTGGTGATGATGATGATGATTTTCTTTTACTTCCTCTCTTCTTACGTCTTGGAGGAGGTTGTTGTTGTTGTTGGGGTAACATATTACTATCAGCATAATCGACATAAGTAACGGTAGTATCTGAGTTATTAGATGGCAGAGCTTCTAATAAATTATTATTCATAAAGCTTGTATTTGAATTATAAGAATTTCTTGAATTGTATGCACGTTGAATATAAGTTTGATAAGCAGGAGAATTTGGTAATTCTGGAGATTGAGATCTTTCGATATTATCATTATCTTCGACATCACCTTCTTCGACAAAGGAATCTCGAATTTGTCTGTTATAAATATGATTTCCCATTATGGCTGTGAAATTTTAAGGTAGTGTGACAAATTCAGGGGGGAAGGAGTATAAGCTTCAACGAAAAAAAAATAAACCTCTTTTTTGTTCTATTATTAAAAGAAAAAAAAGCAGGGGGTGTTGAAAGGAAGGGTAGTGATTTTCTATTAGTGATTAGAAAGATCAGATATAGTAGTAGGTTGTAGTGAATGTGGATGTTGAACTAATATATGAAAGGATATAGTTATGACGAATGGAATACTAAAATGAATTTGAATTTTCAAAATACGGTTTAGTGGTTTTCTTCAATAGTAGTAATGACTCAAGTTTTGTTGCTTTCTTTCAAAGTTGATAGCAGTGTAGGTTGTGTTTAGTTCGTTGGAATGGGTCGTTGTCGATGCTGAGGGTATCAATAAAATAATATATATATATAAGAAGAAGAAATGAAATAATGAATAAAGTAGTAATTCGAAAACTGAAAATAAAAAAAAAAACCTGACAGACTACAATATATTTATTTAATAGTTAACAAGCACAGAGTATATGTAATTACTATTGCAAACTAGTAAATAAAAAATTTGAAATGGGTATAAATGGATGTTACCCAAAATTGCCTAATTAGGAAGAGTAATTTAATTTTGTGAAATGTCAAAAAAATAAAAAAAAATAATATTTTTTTAATGAGAGAAGGAAAACAATTGAGTTTATGCGATTATGTTTTAGTTCAACTTCCCACTGGTCATTGTAATAAATTGTACCATTATTTATTTATTTATTATAGTTATTATATTGCTAGAAATAGTATTATCAGTATTTTAAGGTTTAGATGGAAAAGATTCTGAACTGTGTTATTTTGGACTGACTATTTGTGATTGTATTTTATGAAGTGTCATTAATTGTACTAACTTGATTAATTTCATGATGAAAAATACTAGTAATGAGCCAAGTCTATGCAGTTAAAGAGAATGCATAATGTAGACGAAGAGGAGTAGTATCATAAATAAGGTAATTATGGCTTAAATGATTATAGGAGAGTAGTGTGTGTAAGTGGGATTTCAGTTTTAGTTAAAATTTTATGTATGAGGTAACATATAAAGTTTATGCTATATGGGGTAAAACAAATTACAAGCCTACTTAACTTAACTTAACCTTCCGTTCCATATAATAAAATAAAACTTGCCTCGTCTTTTTTATCAATTTTTACACCGTTTAATAAAGTAGATCGTTACGTAATATCATGTCCCTTTCCTTATTTTAGCCATTACCCCCCATTTCATAAAATATTTTATTTCCAAGTTGCTATAAAATATGACGGACTTAGTCAGTATCAATGATGCTATTGTTGATATTAACAACTTAGGGGGGAGGAGGAGGAGGGCGTGTAAACGTGATCTAGATGGTGTACTCCATGATCACTAAAGTCTATCGGCTTGGAACAACAGCAAACCACTTGCAAAAGCTTATCCTTGCTGGACTCCGTCGAAATTATAACCTTTACTTCGATTCACTTCTATAAACTGATCTTCCCTTTTTGTTATTTTTTTCTTAGTATCAACTGACTTTTTTTTACTTAACTATTTATTCACTTTACTACTATCTTACCGTTATAACTGAAACTCTCAGTCATTCATTTAATATAACCCTTTCCAACCAATATAAACTTTCAAAATTTGAGGTGAAGTTTGACATTTAATTTCTTCCCCCGCACAGAGAACAAAAAGAATTATTTTTTTCATCTGATTTTTTTTTTTTGTTTGCCCTGCTCGTTAAAAAAGCATTAAGAAATTTCCCCTTGAAGTTATTTTGTTGCAAATGGGCTGTGTGCAGGCATTTCCCTTTTAAGGTAAAAGTTCTTAAACATTGCCTAATTAGGAAGTTTTCTGATTATGTTCAAGCTGTCAAAACTTTCTTAATTTGCAAATTTGAATCTAAATGGGGGTTATAAGGTTATTATGAATCTATACTAATTAGGCTTTATTTTTGGGATTGTTTGCGTTTGTGTATATGTTTTAGCGTTTAACTTTTTATCTGTATCAGGATATACGAACTGATTAGATGGGGTAAGTTGTCATGAAATGTACCAAACACTTCGAGACAACAATGAAGTTAGTGGCTAATAATTAGGGTCATGGTCCAGTTAATATGGTTAAGTTTTAAAGTTTAAGGTCGTTTCTTTTGTTTATTCGTTTAGATTGGTTTTGGTTTTGGTTTTTGGCTTCGTTTCGTTTCGTTTCGTTGGTTTTGGTTTGCATTTGATTGTTTTGACAAGTTTCTTTTTATTTCTTGTCCTACTAGTTTTAGTAATTCCTCAAACGACCTTAAAAATAAAACTTAATCATTTCATTTGATCCCTTCGTATAAACCTTCACTTCGTCTCTGATTATCGTTTATTCCTTGCATAATTTCTATTATCTTTACGTGGACAATGACGTAAAATCGTTACTTTTCATATGAAAAACCATTATCTAATCTAATCTAATCTCATCTTATTTATTACATTTAACTTTATATTTGCATTATATAATAACTTTTCATTCATTGGTACACATACCTAATTAACTAAAACTGAAATCCTCCTCCACCACTTGGACCTCCAAATCCAGGAAATCCAGATCCTCCACTGCTATGATTTGAACCTAATCTTAAATTACCAGGTAATCCACTTCCTAACGCATCTAAATTATCTTCACCATATGGATCATCAAATCTTGCTCCTGGTGGAACTCCTAATCTTGAGGTATTCCCTGATCCTGGTGGTCCTCCAAAAAGAGGATGATTTGCCGTAGGATGCATACCACCTTCACCCGGATTATTTGATGATCCTCCCACTCTTAATGGATCTAAATAGGGGTTTAAATCAGGATGACGGGGTAAACCTGGTGGATTAAGATCTCTATCCCCAATAGATGGGAAAGCATTGGTAGGTGGTTGTCTAGAAGGAACATTAACTTCATATTCATCATCAAAACCAGGCATATCAGATGGACGACTAGATGATGATGCTGCTGGAGCTTCCACTGATGAAAGTGAAAGAGAAGGCATAGGTGGGATTGATGCAGGAAGGAACTCATCGGGTTGATTTTGAGGAGATCTTGATAATTGATGATGTAAAACATTTGAATCAGAATTAGCATTTTTATTAGAATATTGATCAATGATATTTTTATATCTTTCATTTGAAATATGAGGTCTTAATTTTAAATTGAATGAGTTTAATAAATCTTGAGATAAATTTAATTCATCAATAGGGAAAGTTAACGCATCTTTAGACCAATCTATAAGTATATTCTCCACACTATTTGATTCAATACCTTCACCTTCATTCACTTTTTTAATGATATTGATTAAATTCAATCGTCCTTGACCTTCGATTGGAGTGATATTGAATGTAAATAATAAGATTTTGTCAGTATCGGTTAATAAATAAACTTGTTGTTGATATGAAGTTGGAGTATCATGAATAGTTACATGTTGATATTGATTTGAAGATGTACAATATTGATCTTCAATAAAGTTATGGAATAGTTTACAAGTTAACTTGAAGTAATTATCAATCGTCATCTTGGATAATTATTGACTTGATTGGGATAAGTTGATATGAGTTGATTAGGATGTAATTGAATTGACTGACAGATCTTATACTATATCAATTGCCTTCATAATTTAAATTAAAATGTGAGTGTGTGGAGTGATAAAAATTATGTCGTCATCAAAAGGAGGGTCATACAATGTCGTCGTTTTCTATTAAATAAATGACTTAATGTCGCAGTAGTATGGTAGTGTTATGACAAAGACATCCATACCACCATACATTGTCCCAATAGAGTAATTATGCATTTAAATTACCCGGATGATGGTAAACCATAAGTGTTATCTCTATCTATCTATAAAGTGTTAATTAATTAATTGTTATAAAAATTAAACTTTAATATATGTATAATCAACTAATGATTACTTATCAACAATTCATAATTAAATAATAATTAATTAAATTAATTTAATTAGAAAATAAGTTAACTCATAGTTAGTTAATTGAAAATTAGTTAGTTTAAGTAAAACGAAACAAAGGTATGACCATATTGGGCAGATAACTACATATATCATGACCTTACGAAATGGAAATGAATGCTTACATTACAACAGAAGTTTCAATTTCTAATCGGTTATTAATATGGAAATTAAACTTAACCGTTATAGAATCAAAACATCATTTTAATGGCTAGAAAGGGAAGTAGAAAGAGTTAAGGGAACAACGGAATCATTCACTCACACACACAATTTCTCCCTCCCTAGACGGTCACGTGACGCTTACAAAACAAAACTCAAAAGTTAAATGATTAAACAACATAGAAATGGATTTCAAGTTTAGTAAGACCGTAGTTAACTTATGTGACCATATATATATATACCTATATCTCTCTATATCCATTTACTCATGGTTAATCCTTCTGTAGTGTAACTTACATCATAAATTTATAGTACAAAAAAATTGTGTTGAACGAGAAAATCAAAAATCAAAAAAAGGAAAAAAGAACAGGACAGAAATTTATAGAAATCCAGACAGACAGAAAAAAAAAAAAGAATTATCGATCAACCACAAATATATATAATTTCTAGCAATTTCCATCTATTTGATTTATCCATCTTTCAGTTTGATTCATCTTCAGTTTTCTATATCACATCATCCTATAGAGTGCGACTACTATTGAACCATACCAATCGATATTGAATCTGATATCTACTATCAATCTCAATCTCATTCTCATTATCATATATCTAATCCAATCGATTTGAATCCCCCCCTCCTCCGATTATCAAAACCTTATCGATCCATCATCGATCCAATCCAATCAAGTCAAATTCAATCCTGTCTTTCATTGTTTGTTCCGGTATCTACCCATCCTCTTGATCAAACATCATCCGTTGTTACTTCTTATCTCATCTATAAGGAAGTCTTGATATCTTAACCGGTTGATCAATTCAAGTCAAATTAATTCAAGTGACAGTATAATCCATCATCCTTTATCACTTGTTTGCTTGATATTTCACTACCAATACTTCATCCATTCCAAATATTAGTTCATAGATTCTCATATATCCCCAAAACAATCCTGTCATCTTGATCCCCCAATTTCCAGATTTTCATTATTATTTCAATTCTAAATAAATTATACATCTAATTCATTCAAATTGTATTACATTATCAAATCCACCCTATAAACAATCATACACATTCATATATATATATATAATTAATATCCAAATATGACTACTACAGTTCCATTAATATATTCCTTTCCTGGATTTGATGGTGTTGCTGATGCAGTGGCTGATCATATTATATCAGCTCAAAATCAAACTTTATATAATACCTTAGACCCCAAACAAATTGCATTAATTAAAGAAGAACAAGCCAAAAGACCTGGTTTATTAACTTCTTCATCCACTGCCTCCATTTCTCATTCCACTAATCATTCAACCAGTCCTTCCACTTTGAATTTATCTTTAAGTACAACTCAATTAACTAATGGTATATCGAATGGTAATGGTAAAAAAGATAAAAAACGAAAATCAGCTGATATAAGATTTAAAATTGCTATTTCAGGTGGGTCATTAGTTAAGATTTTAAACCAAGGTTTATTATCATCATCATGTAAACAAATTGAAGATTTAATTGAATGGGATAAATGGGATATTTATTTCGCTGATGAAAGATTAGTACCGTTCGAATCAAAAGATTCAAATTATGGTGAAGCCAAAAGACAAATTTTTGATTTAATAAAAGGGGATAAAAAACCAAGAATCTTTCATATAGATGAAGCCCTTATAGATGATAGTCAAGAATGTGCTGATGATTATGAAAAAATCTTGATTAATAATTTCGCTAGAAAAGATTCAGTTAAATTACCAATGTTTGATCTTTTATTATTAGGTTGTGCACCAGATGGTCATATTGCTTCATTATTTCCAAATCATGGTGAACAATTACGAGAAAAATTAGCTTGGTGTTTACCTGTTTCAAAAGCTCCATCGGGTCCTGAAAATAGAATCACATTATCCATCCCTGTCATTTGTCATGCTGCAAGAGTTACTTTCGTAGTGGAAGGATTAACTAAAGCTCCTGTCATGAGAATTATAATGGAAAGACCTGAAAAGGGATTACCTTCTTCCATTGTTAATGAGGGTGCAGCAGGTAAAGTCAGTTGGTTTGTGGATGACGATGCATTAAAAGATTGTTATGATATTACCAAGAAGAAGTATAAATTTTTATCCATTGAAACTCCAAATTCTACATAAAAAAGGTCATATATAACTCCCGTGTTCCTTTCTTCACTCCATATTCCTACCTTGTCCCATAAATTATGATATGATTGATTGATTTTTGTTTGTTTGTTTTAGTCTTCCTTTTTTTGTTGTTATTTATCGTTGTACGATATATGGTCTTGATTAACATGTTATTTTTTGTATCCACTCACCTCCACTCTTCTTCTTCTTTAACTTCAATTGCTACTACTAATACTCTCTTCTCCTTTTTATGTTTACTTTTACTTTAGTTTTACTATCATCTTTTATCTCTAATACTTTCTCTGTTTTAATTGATTTTTCAAAGTTGTTGTTTTTGTTATTCTTTTTTTTTATATTGTTTACGAAAGGCATATTTGGTATATTTGTTTATCCTTTTTATCGTATATAGGTTACTTAAAAAACATTTATATATGATACAATTTATCTATCTTCTTATTATTAATATAAACTATCTATATTTGAATATTGTTGCTGTTGTTGTTATTGTTGTTCTAATTCCGTTTTAGGCACGAGTCTGAAGTTGTTGTTGTTGCTATGATGGCTTTCAATTCCCAGGGAATGAGTTCCAATAAGCGTGAAATCTATTTACAAAAGGATATATGTAAAATTTAACTTCCAGACCATTAGAGACAGGTACCAAAACTTTAATAATAATAATATCATTATAAATTACAATAATATTATTATTATTATTATCTCACGTAAGGGGTACACAACCCATGCTAAACTAATTTCTAAACTATAACTAAGGCTGGAGAATGTGGTACGATATAAACCACATCAAAATAACAACAACAACAGAATAAACTAAACTATGTAGCTTTCAACTTTAACAATAATAACAACAGCGAAGCATTATTTTACCCCTTACCACATTTATTGAACTTTCCTAAAACAGATTTATTTTTATGAGTTCACACAAAAAATAAAAAATGAGATCTGAAAAATAAAATTCTACAAAATAAAAATAAACCAAAAAAATAAAAAAATAAAAAAATGTTTGGAATTTTAAATTTTCGCAACTAAAAAGAGGTATGGGAAAATGGACCATAGAGAGGATTGGTCGACGATCTTAATACGTTTTACCCGGGGGGTATTTTAGTTTTTTAATATAATTTTTAAGGTATATTTGAAGGGGAATGAAGAAGAACTGAAAGACAAAGCATTAAGGTAACCTTTAGAAGGTGACCAAACAGAAAAGGGTGGATATACTAGCAATAAAAATAAACATAACTCTGAGCTATAAAAAGAATAGAAAGGAGGAAAATAAAATAATAGTAAAAAAGCAAGAAACCAATCTATAAAGCAATCTTTTCAAAATGGGGAATTTAAACCACAAGTAGTTGTAGAATCACCATTTGGGAGTGAAATAAATAGGTAAAATAACTTAAAGTCTAGTCTTTTTTTTTGTTTTTTGTGAAAAGATATTGTTGATGATGTTGTTGCTAAAATAAACATTTGAGGGTATTTTATCTCTAAAATATAAAACCTAAATAACCGAAAAATTTAACCTGATAAAACCTTTAACTTGTTGTTGACTTAAAAGAAACCTTCTTTTGGTTCAGCAACCTTGGCAGTTGGTAAAGTTGGAAGTTTGGGTTCTTCAGCAGTGAATGGATCTTTGACAACAGTTGGTAAGGTTGGGAATTCTGGAGCTTTTATGGTTGGAGTTGGGAAAGTTGGGAATTCAATGTGAGTGGTTGGAATAGTTGGGAAACTAAAACTTGGAATTGGTGGGAAAGAAAATTCAGTTGGAATAGCTGGGAATGAGAAATCAGTTGGGATGGCTGGGAATGAGAAATCAGTTGGGAATGGTGGGAAAGAAAATTCAGTTGGGGCTGATGGGAAGGAGAATTCAGTTGGGAATGGTGGGAAGGAAAAATCAGTTGGGAAGGTTGGGAAAGTGAAGTTTGATGGGAAAGCTGGGAAACCAGTTGGGAATGGGAATTCTGGGAATGAGAAAGTTGGAGTTGGGAAATGATGTAAAGTATGGTTTTCAAATTTGGTGAAATGATGAGATGGTTCTGATTTATGACTTGGGGTTGGGAATGGGAAAGGTGGTTTTTTATCTTCTGGATAACATTGGTATAAGAACCACCAACCCCAGAATGGATTTTCTTTAAATTGAGCTGGAATGGATGGGAATGAGAATTCACTAGCAGTGGTGTGAGCAGTAGTACGTGGGGTGGTGGTAGTTGCTTTAACTGGACCAACTGCAAATGGATCACCTTCATTAACTACATCATCAACTTGGAAACGTTTAATGGCAGCACCATTAGCAATGGATGCAATAGCTAAGACGGATAAGGTTAAGGAGAATTTCATTGTTGTATTGGTATTATTTAACGAAAGGAAATAGATATTCTGACTCTTAGTGATAAACAGTTAGTTGATAATAATAAAAGGAATATAGAAAATAATAAATTTGTAAAAAAAGGATAATTAGCAGCTATTTAAATACAATTTGGCCATACTATAGTAAAACCAAATATGGAACGGAAAAGGGTTAAGGAAAGTGTGTTTGGGTCATAAAATAAAGGATTAATCCAAAAAGTTAGTTAGTTAGTTGCATTACATATGTAACCAAAATCAAAGCAAACCCGTATGTACGTAAACATGTATGTAAGAAGGTATGTATGTACTTACTAATAAAAGCGAATAAATCCATACCAATCTTTTTCACAACAAATACAACTAGATGTAAGATATCATAATTTTGCCATTTGGTACAACAATAGGAGCATAAAATTATTATTTTGGGTTTGTGATATGAAGTCGTTTCTTTTTTCCATTTTTTGATTAATTTTTTATTTTTTTTTTTTTTGATTCTTGACTTCAACGTGTATTCAGAAACGTTAATCTCTATAGTAAGAGGTTTTGTTAGTTAGTGATCTCCATTCCATAGTAAAATACGGTAAGACTCAGTTCTGACACCCCCCTCCTCCCTTCTTTTCCATTCCCCCCTTCGGGATCTTCGTTTTATCTGTTTTCGATTTATTTTTTACATTAAATATTTATTTTTCATAATTCTTGCTGCTTTTTTGAAATACCGTTCAAAAATAATCTGAAATGATGGGTTCTAGGATGGAAAATTCTTTCAAATTATAGTTTATAACGCATTTTTTTTATTGTTAAAAGGTGGCTACTAAGTATTTCTGACTAATAATAATTAATAACCTACTCTGAAGAGGAATCGTCTAATTGATTCTAGGTCTATGAACAAATAATGTCACATAGGTATCATGAAACGTATAAACCTAGTATTTAAAGGTCTACAACATACCAATACTCTTGCTCTTGGGGCAACTAACGTAGTGGGTAATACTTGACATGAACGATAGATCCTAAAGACTCACTACAAAAAAAAGGATGGCTTTTTTTACCTTTTTATTTTTTTTTTTATGGAATCTGTCAATGCGGCATATCGCGATTTCTTTCACTTTTTCATATTAAGTTAAGCTTTTTTGGTTTGAAGTCTATAACCTCTTTAATAGTTTCTTTCATTTTATCTGCTTATTTTATCCATCGTAAATCCTTACATGAAATCTCTAACTATCTAATATTGCTTATCATATTAAGTAAAGGAAAACAATCGCTAGATATATCCTACCTAATCTAGTATATTGCTGTCCTAAATTGGGTACTTCATTAGTAGCCCTAAACTATGTTCTTGTTGTATCCTTTTTTTTTTGCTTTCATTCTTTCCTCCTTCCTTTGTTAAAGGAAAGCAATCGAAAGTATCAGAAAATATTTCGCCTCTATTATGCTCTGAAACCGTTTTACCTTTATTTCGTGCTTTGTTTCTCCTTATAATGACTCTCCGTTGCCTCTACTCCAAACGGATATCTCTCCATAAACCGAATCAAAGATCTATGGATTATCAGGAGAAAACGTGCATTTTGTAATAATAACTTTATCCTTTATTCCCTATTTTGCTAAATTGTTTGACCTCATTCTTACATCATCATCACCTGTATTGTGGCAAACTCTAAAACATTTAAACTTTTACGTTTCCTTCATCAACAAAAAAAGATAGATTTCGTTCCTTAATGTTACGTTTTAACTTTAAATGATACGTTTGCAATATAATTCATAATGATTCAACTCTAGTTTATCACTAAACAGTAATGATACGTATTAATAATAAAAAAATGAGCTAACACGCTCCAAATAACAAATCAACAATGCAAGAAAAGGGAAGCCACTTTTAAGATTTCATTGTTCTCACTATTTAAAATGTCAACAATAACAGGTATAAAGGAGCAAGTTGCATTAAATAAGTGGATAAGTATTTGCTTTTCTTTTATTTTCTAACAGTCTAGAAGTATAGTAAACAATACAAATCCATAGTAGTAATACAAAATTAAGCATATGTACTTCAACAACATACATAAAACATATACAAGCTCTGCATAAATACATACATATCACATTGAGTTCGTTATCAGAAAAAACGTTCTGTTTCGTAACCACAACCACGCTTAACTTAAATTAATCACATTCTGTTGCTTTTTTTGATTTAAAACAATCAATCCCCTTCTATTGTGAGTATATTCATAATGGTTGGTCAAAGTATATGGGGTTCCCATTCACAACATGACTAAACAACACACAATACATTGCATAGGTCTAGCCACCTCAACGAATATCATGGCAAAACTTTAAATATTCAAACATAATAACAAGACACCAGGAACGATCTACAAGAAATTTAAGATATCAACAACGTTTTTTAAGATTCATTTCTTGTTGGTTGATTAAGTTTTTAAATTTTAAATGTTTAAATTTTAAATGTTTAAATTTTATAATCTGCATCATGCTGAGATTCACCTCTAAATTTCAATATTAATCTCCATTAGGGACAATTTGCCATAATAAATTTAAACTTTTATGTAACATATAAGGTTGGCTAGCACATGGAGTGAGTATATACGTCAACCCATTTAAGGGGGAACTCCCATCATCATTATACCTTGCATCATGGGCCCATGTCTTACTCTCTAATCCCACTTGTAACAAACTTTTGATGAACCTTCTTCAAATGTGCTTTTCCCAAAATGGTCTCAAAATAAATATTTTTTGCTACACGGTAAAATTAGAATGTATTAAATTCCAATGTGCAGAGGAAGAAAAAAATTCAATTTTATTTTTTTAGTGAGAGAGAAAATAATTTTGATGCCAAAATTCAGGGGGGGCAGAATAAAATACTAGATTCTTTTAAAGGCGGGAAGATGAATAAATATTGTTAACATTTCCATATATTTCCACCGTATCTTTACGTAGTAAGCCATTTTATTTATTCTTGTAAGGATTCAAATCAACCTCTCTACTGAGTTTTTCTTTCGTTATGTAGTTTAACTACAAGAACATATTTTGGTTATGAGTAGTAGTATGAAAGTGAATTATGCTGGTACTAAGTTAATCCGAGTCAAGGTGTGGTCTAATGTATCTAAAGTAAGTATCACATAGCAGGTAGATCTATGGATTAATTGAAGAATTTCATTTCCCCTGCTTCGAAGAATAGGGGATGGTTCTACGTAATTATGCAAATGAATATTTTAAATAAAGCAGAGCAATTTTAATTTATCAACCCTAACACGATATTACTAAAGTGAAATTAGTTAAAGAAGAGCAAGGATATAATTCTCAATTTGATTAATTAATTACTTGCATATAGGAGATTAATAACATAGATTAGCCTTGACATTGTCCACGAATTCAACAGTAAGTAATTGAGTAAAGGATCAAATCAACTTGTGGCTCATCTTAATCAAAAGTGGAGTAATCTTATAAAGTTCTTGCATGATCTTTCATGGTTTGGAATTTCATTTTGGTTCCCTTGCATTATTCGTTGCGGTATTATTATTCCTTATTCCTCTTCATAATAGAGATGAACATAGCCATCCTTTGTTGATAGTCTGACAATACGCATTGTACCGAGAGATTAGCAAACATTGTGGATAATGAAAAACGGTCAATCACCATTATACGTGGTTTCCGGTCTTTACATCTAATAATTGAATTCATTATTGCTTAATTTCATATCCTTTACTACAACTTGACGTTATAAATCTTAACTCCAAGTATTATATCATTTTGCAGTCTTTTTGTAATTTTCCTTTTCTTCCCTTCCCTTCTCTCGAGGGAGTGTGCACCATAATAAAAATAAATTGAAATTTATCATTGGAGGATCATCCGCCTTTTTTCTTCATGGGCTTAAGTTGCCTATTTTATTTTTAACAGAATCTTCAACTACAACCTTCAATGCATATTTCTACTTGCACTTACATGAGAGAATATTCTTTTGGGTAATGATAAACAGATGGAAATTGATAATACCCTTACAAATTATGCTAACATTATTTTTCAATTCTAATATGGGTATAATATATTTTTACGTACAAACGTAGATGAGGAAGGAGAGTATAAAAGGATAAAATAACAGTAAGTATAAAATGTGATTAGAAAATACTTCCAACTTCATTTAATAAGCTTGGAATTGAGGTAGGTAAAGCAGCAAGTCCAAGAGAAGCGATATCACCTAATTGAACATCTAATAAGTCTTGTGGAATAACATCAGATAAACCCGGGTTGGATGGAACACCACTTGGAGTAGAGGTACTGATGGATTTATGGAGGACAACATCTTCAATGAATTGAATTAATTCACCAAGAGTTTCTCTCTTTTCGACTGTGGCTTCGACTTTGCTTGGAGGAACAGCAGCAGCACTTACTAAACTTAAAGCAGCGATGGAAGTTATAACAGTGGAAAATTTCATTATGTCTTGTATAGGTAAGTAGGTATTTGTGTTGGGATACTATTGAAAATAGATGTAGTAAACATGATATCAGTTATCAATTTCTGAGATGATTTGACTCCATATTTATACCTCTTCTGAAGATACCATCGTTTCTCCCATCATCCCTTAGAATCCACAGATTGCAAAATAACAATCTGAATTGAGTAATTGTTCAATCTTACAATGGCAGCACAAAGACCCATAATCAGTATAATTACTATTATAGTATTGTCAGATAAAGGGTTAAAAGATCTAATTATCCCTTGCGCTCCCTAACTTTTTTCCTAATTAAGATACTTTTCTGTCATCTCACATTGTCTAAAACTGCGAAAAATAGAACCTGAAATTTTGAGTTTGCGTCTTTTTTTTGACTGTGATATTTTTTTCTGATCTAGTAAGATCCTAGATCGACTAATATCCTTATTAGATAGATCTCTAGAGTTGAGTTGTACTTTAATTACTTACATATTGCCTTAGTTGTGTTGACTTGGTTCAATTACACCATGAACGTGTATCACCTCCTATCAAAAAGTAAGCTATTTATAGTCGGTAAATGCTGTCAAAAATAGAACAATAATTTGAGAAACAATGAGGAGAAAAATTTCCTCGCAACCACACAGTTCCTAATTAGGGAATATTTTTGTTACTACAACAATGATATTATATTTCAAAACTAGATTACTTATTGTACAATCAAAGATATATAGAAACTAATTCAATTAGATTTATATAAAAAGTCCAACATTAACCGAACTTATAAACGTGTGTTATGTCACACTTATAAACCAATGTCTTCTAATAAAGAACCAAAGTTTTCTGGGAAAAGGTTTAATGAAAGAATATCACCTAAGTTAATATCTAATAAGTTAGCAGGGATAGGATAACTGAAAGTGAATGGAGCATTTGGAGCAATAGTGCTAGTAGCTTGTAATGGATCAGTTTCTTTGATAACTAAGTTATTAATAGCATTTAAGAAACCACCAAGGTTAAGTTCAGTTAATAAATCTCTTTTTTGTTCAGTTGGAGTAGCTGGAGCTGGACCGGCTTCGGCAGCTGGAGCAGCGGCAACAGTTAAAGCTAAGGCAAGGGTGGAGATAACAGCAGACAACTTCATTATGTTTGATAGATAGATATGTTTTGATTAACAAGAAAATAAAAATAAAGTAAAAATCTTGGAAAAAGCTTAATTCAAGTTGTGTTTTGTCTTGGGGTTTTTGCATCTATATTTATACTGTTGGAGTACTACCTTAAATAGCTCTGTGGATGTAAGTAAGGTTAGCTTTGTAAGACTTTATCACAACCTATCTTAATCCACAGTAGTTGTGTTCTTCTTCAGTCTGCCTCAAATTGTATAATTAAGCCCTTGAATAAAGTTGGCAGCCAATAAAAATGAGCAATACTTTGTGTTAGAAGCAAAGAACTGCCTGATCAAGAATTCCTTTTTAAGAAATGTTATTGACATGCTCCTATAAAGTCATAAGTGCCAATATTTGAAACCCAAATTTGCCTCGAATTGTCTGATTTTTTTGCGGTCTTATTGCAACATGAAATTACCAATTTATTAGGCTAAAAAATATTTCGTATCGAAAAATATTAGCGTGGTCAATCTTGCGAATAGATGCTTAATGTTACTTCCCTCTACATCATTCACAATGATATATCCCTTCACTTATTATGATGTTTAAATACGAAATAATAAATTTTTTATTCTAAATTCTACTTATACAGCATAATCAAGATCAAAGTGCACATGCTATGTGTTGTAAGATCTCCCTCTTGACAACATGAAAATTTTTTCTTGTACTAGTAATATTACTACACAAATTCTTTTTTTAAGGACAAGTTTTGCATCAAGTTAAGGCGTTCCATAAAAAATTACCGTTTTTGTCACATTGAGTTAATTTTTACTTATTGCCAATCCTTATTAATTCCACCTGTCTCCTATAATAAAACCGCGCAGGACCCTTGTTAATGCCTGAGAATCATTCCATCGCAGTTGTGGAATAAATTATCCATTCTTACCACAATACAAACTTTTCATTTCTAATCCGCCTCGTAAAGGTCAAAGCTGTATCTCTTTGCTTCTATTCATATCGTATATACTATATGAGGAGAGAGCAATGTGTTCATTATACAACTATAAGCCTGAAATTGAACTTTTCCTGTTCTAGAAATCCTTATGGATATATTCCTTAGGCGCCCTACTTGCCCATTCTGTCCAACTACCATCATAGACACGGATTGGTACATCTAATCCAAGAACTAATTCTATAGCAAATTTCACAATAACTGCTGTTACCCCAGAACCACACATTACAATGATACCCTTTTTACCGGTCAAGAAATCTGTATTTGAAAGGTCTAAACCAAAATCATCCTTGAAAGTTTTCAAAATCTCAAATTGAACTTTATAACATTTATTAGTAGGGTTAATAAGTTTTGAAAATGGTAATGATAATGCTGAAGGAACATGTCCTGAACTTAATCCTGGTCTTGGTTCTGGTGCTTTTCCGGTAAATCTATCATTGGGACGAGCATCAAATACAAAATAATCTTTACTCAATTGATCCTTTTCAACTAAATCCAATAATTCTTCATATTCAATTACTTGATTTTTATAATTTTGTTCGAATTCAGATCTAGAGATTGGTTCATATGCTTCTGATTCTGATGCCTTTAATGGAGTGGAGAAATTTTCAACAGGAGTCGTATCAACTGGATATCTAAATTGTTTATAATAATCATAATTATCCAATAAAAACACAGTTGGATGTCCAAATAATGCAAAAGTCCATGCAGCACGAGGACTTGAGAATATCCCTGATTTATCATATACCACTAATCTATCATTCTTTTGAAGTCCTAATTCCTTCACGGCATCATTGAATATATCATAAGTAGGTAACATATGAGGATATGGTGAATTAGGTAAGGATATAGCATCAAGATCAAAGAATGCCGCATTCTTAAGTCTTTCAATATTTAAATATTCATCTTTATTGTTCTTAGGATTGTTCGGCATATACCATGTGGCATCAATTGGAACCACTCTTTCCTTAGGTGTAGAAGTGAGTAAAAGTGCTCTATAGGCCGATGGCGACAATTTGGCTAATATAGATTTAGACATGGTATTGTGGTGATGATTCAATTGATTATGGTAAATCAGCTGTTTCTGAATAATTTATTTTGCTTGATTTAATTTTTATTCGATCGATCCCCATTTTTTTCCCTTTCCGTATAGTTTGATTGCGCAATCATAAATTTTTGTGTCGTTGATGTCCGAAATCGAAGTATTTATTAATTTTTAACTATATACAAAATTATATTTCTAATCAGTTTTTGTCTTGAGCATACTTTCACTCCATCTGGCGGTATCAGCTTTCATGAATTCTCTAAGCGCCATAGTAGCATATGAACTAACTCCTAATTGCATTTTTAATACCACAGCAAGTTTAGTAGTTTGTTCTTCATTAGGTTTAACTACGGGAATCACTCTAGTAGGATTTTCTTCACCTTGTTTCTTAAGTCTTAAAATCTCTAAATCGGTTCTAACAAGGGGCTTACCTTCTTCATAATATTCCACAATGTCATAACTTAAATCTTGTGGTTTTGACATAAGATTTCTATATGATCCAGTTAAGGAAAAATCTTTAACTTTTCTTGCCATTTTGAATGGATCCAATCCATCTTGAGCCATGGTATCAATATAGACTTGTTCAAGTTGTTTATTGGAAGGATACACTATTTTGTAACCTGGCGTAGGTAAGATAACATCATAAATGGTGTATTTCCCACTTTCAATATCTTCTTTAGATAATGGCTTGACTTTTTCATCTTTATTTACTAACACATCTTCTTCGAAATCATCTTCTTCATCTTCTTCTGGTTTAACAGCAGCTGCATCATCAAATACCAAATCACCTTCTTGTAATTCTAATCCAAATAATTCAATTCTCTTGGAGGCAACTTTATTCCATACATATGATTGATAAGCATGACCATACATTATTCTTAAATTCTTTGGAATAGCCGTTATACTCTTGAAATACGAATTCTTACCATATTCTTCATTTTTATCTAATGGTTCCTTTTCCAAAACCTTTAAAATTGAAGTTTCAGCTGAGAAAAAATGAGGTAATTTCTTTAATGTTAATGATGGATTAGAGGTTTCAGCCCAAATACGTCTGGCTTCAATTGAGGCAGGTGCCACTAATTCTTGTTCGGATAAGATTAATTCAGCTGCTTCTTTCCATTCTTCACGTAAAATATGAATACCAAGTTGATGAGTTGAAATTGAAAATGATCCAAATCTTTGCATACCAAAATAGTTAATGAATCCTTGATCTTTTAATGAATTAAAGCAAGTATCAATAACTTGTCTAACATCAACATTATTTTGAATTGATTGAATATCTCTAATAGTGATTATGAATTCATTACCTTTCAAATCACCTAATTTCAAAGGAGCATCTTCGTAACTAAATCCACCTAATACAGTATTTTTCAAGGCTTTGTTTAATGAATTTACTCTAATAACTTTTCCTCTATGAATACTGAATTTTTGACATGTAACCCCTCTTCTATCTTTAGTTCCGGCAAATGTAATAGCTTTATGAGGAAATCTTAAAAATTTCGAAATTGAAGATGCAATTTCCATAGTTTCTCTATTCTCTTTATATACAGTGAAATGTAAATAGTTTTTAAATGATCCTAATCCATAGTTTAACACTCCATTTTCATCAACATGATGCATACTTTCTTGAGGATGTTGTCTAACTGCACCTCTGGTTGAATTCCTAGCAACGGCAATTTTAAATGTATTTTCAGGTGATGTGAGAGTTTCTAATTTACTTTGGAAGGCAGCACGGAATAATTGATGTAACTTACCTCTTATTTGTTTATCTGGGAAAGTAGATTTAGTTTCCACGTTATCACCAGAAGTGAATAAATCTTCAACTTGTTTCAATTCTTCTTCAGTAATAAAGGTTAATAATTCAGAACGATGTTCATCTGATAATTCATACTTTGGAATTGCTTCAAGTTTAGCTTTTCTATCTTCCAAGATTGCCTCAACTTCTTCAGGAGTCTTACCATCAAGTTCTTGTCTTTCTTGTTCTCTCTTCTCGTATCTCTTTTCTTTTTTACTCTTACCAGTATCTATACCTTCATCTAACAAATGAATGACTTTATTATTGATATCAATCTCATTGACTTGGAAATCAGTATAGAGTTGTTTGATTGATCCCACAAACCCACTTCCTTGTTTATTTATAAACTCAGTTATCCCCACTTGATCTTCATGAATGGCAGATTTTGGTTGTGATGAAGATTCAAATCTTGGCTTTTTAAGTAATGATGATGATGAATCATTATCCAAGGATCGTTTAATTTGGTCCATGATGGGAGGTCTATACGGTTTGAATATGGTATTTAGTTTGGATTGGACTAAAGTCTTTGTTCTAATTACTAGTTATTCGTAAACTCGATACATTTAAAGCTTAATGATGAAATGTCATATATAATTATCGATTCTATGTACTTTTTTTTTTCACTATACCCATCTCATCCAAAAAATAGAGTGTACATACAAAATTTTTGTTAGTAAAAGTACTTCAAAATCTGGGGATCTCCATAGTTAAACATGTTGATCGATTTCTACGGCATTTGAAAGTATAAATGATGTAAGGATAAAGTAATAGTAGATACCGTCTTACTCAATGGGTTTTGGAACCATTAAATTCTAGATTTATTGTAAGGTTTAAAATTAAATATGGTGAGCTACCAAGTGCAAGTATTTTTCAAAGATATAAGCGCTGATCCTAAATTCTTAAAACCTCCACAAATATAACTTTTCTTCTCTTCATTTCTTTTCTATTATAATTCCATATTCACTTTATAAAAGTTTGATCCAACCATATTCAATAGCTCTACTCAACTCAAGCTTTACTTGTCAATAAGACACTCGCTAATAGTTGACTATAAGACTAATTGCTATCACCATTAAGTTCTTATTTCTATTATTTTACTTATCAATTGAAAATTATATTTATTCACAATGTTAAGAAAAATAAGTCAAACTGAATTATCACCATTGGGGTCATCATCATCTCCACCTCCTCTTCCTCCTGCTTACGGTACTCCAGCCTTAACACCTTTTTATCTTTCAGATCGTCATGCTCAAACCCCCTTTCCTCCCATTACGGATAATTATAGCGCTACTGGCTATGTTACCAAAACTGAAAAATTAGCCAATTTTAAAAGGTTTGCTAAAGTATGTTCATCTAAATGGGTAGATATGATTTCATCTACTGCTGCAAATGAAGAAGGCATTATTCGTAATACGTTAAAGAGTTCTGTTTATGGTGGTGATAAAACAAGTTTATTTGGTTTTGATCATAGAAAGATTCAACAAATTGAAAAGAACTATCAAGAAGAAAAGTTAAAATTAAAGCCATCGGTAAATGATTTCTCTATTCACAATGATATTGATAAAAATAAAGATCAAATTAGGAAGCAAAATACATTACGTGCTAAAAGTTCTTCAAATATTGGCAATGATATTACAGTATTCAATTTTAAGAAGAAAATGAAATCTAATGTTGGATTATCAAATCGAAAAAGTTTAGAGAGTTTCAGGACCAAAAGAGTTATTGTGATAAGAAATTTACCATCTTATACGAGTGCTAATGCAATTTTATCTCAAATTCGTGGAGGTCCATTAGAAAGAATAGTTTTTAGAACTGGGAATCAATCTACTTCTAATTCCAAATCAAATACAACTACCAATTCCATTGAATTATATTTTGTATTTCCTGATAATGCTAGAAGGTTTTTCCATTATAGTAATAATACTGGATTATTTTTAATCAATGGTATTAGACCAACTATTGAATGGGCTAATAAAACTAATACTGAATATTTAGATGAAGTTCATCCTAATCTATCCAAGAATTTCCAACAAGATATTGTTCATGGTGGTTGTCGACGTACATTGATATTTGCCAAAGTTATTGAAACTAAGATACCATGTAAAAATGGCAAACCTGATGCATATACTCATTTTTCACATGGATTAGACATAGAGAATATTAAACATGATTTCTCATTATTTGGAGAGATCATAGATGTTTGTGCAGTTATCTCTAGGAAATTATGTTTCAGTTTACATTTCACTGATATTAGAAGTGCCATTAATGCTAAAAGAGAATGTGAATTAGAAGGTAGTGATTTCAATAGAAAATATCTGCATTGGATTATTTGTTATGGAAAAGATATAACTGATCTTCCATGTTTTGTTGTTTAATACTCTTAAGTGGTATTATTCCTTCCTTCTCTATATAGTTATCTGTGAAAGTATTTGTCTTAAATATATATATATTGTTTATGTGTACTCGCTATTACTGCAAAAAAAAAAAGAGAGATATGTGAAACAATTATAATTCCTAATTGGGAATGTTTGTAAACAATGGAAACAAAAACATCAAAATTAAAAAAAATTCACAACCAAAAATAACAATTATCATCCTTTCGTCTAATGTGTAAGTTGATTGAATTATAGTTGTAGATAATAATTAGAAGGATAAGAAACTGTTTTATGGTAATCTACATTACTAAAAAGGTCACAATAGAACATATCATATAAGTAATGTCAAGTCAGAGAACTCCATTACGGACCAGAGCTTCGTTTACAGGACCTATATCATCCACCCCTTCCAATCAAACTACGGTTCCAAGAGCCAGTTATACCGAATTAAGGCCTCCGTCTCGAACATTCAGAACATCATCACCTCGAGTTGGTCCTTTAAGTAATTCTCAAATATCACAATCACAATCTCGATCAAGACCTGGTTCAGCTTTAGGAACAATTGGAAGTAGTCGACCAAGTACACCTTCTTTCACTAGAAATCATGAACCTTATACAGGTACTATAACAGTATCGATAAGACCCAATCCTCATAGTTATAATCCTTCACAGTCAAATGCTTGGGAAGTTGATCATTTTTCCAATACCATTACTCATACAGGTGATCTCAGTACTTTTTCATTTGATAATGTTTTCCCACCTCGAATTGAATTAACGAATAAAGAAGTTTATGATAAGAGTTGTTCCAATATCGTTCAGAATTTCATAAATAATGGTTATAATGGGACTGTATTTGCATATGGGATGACCGGGTCTGGTAAGACGTTTTCTATGAAGGGTGATGTGGGAGATCCTGGATTTGTAGAATTAACAATTGATGATATTTTTAATAAGATTGAAACTGATAAATTTCATAAAGAGTATGAGATATCAGTTAATTACTTGGAAATTTATAATGAGAAAGTGATTGATTTATTAGAAGTTAATAATGTGATGAATTCAGATTTAAAAATAAGAGATGATCCTATTCATGGGACAAAAATAGTAGGGATATCAAATCCAATTATAACTACTAAAGATCAATTATTACAATTAATCAAGAAAGGGGATAATAATAGAAAAACAAGTGCCACTGATTTCAATGCTCGTTCATCAAGATCTCATTCCATCCTTCAAATAAGACTTTCAACTATAGATCTTATAAATAAAACTGAACAACATGCTACCCTTTCATTATGTGATTTAGCAGGTTCAGAAAGAGCAACTTCAAATGTGGAAAGAAGAAAAGAAGGGGCATTCATTAATAAATCATTATTAGCATTATCAACTGTCATAAGTAAATTATCCATGATGTCAAATGGGAATGGTAATAGTGAACATATACCATATCGTGATTCTAAATTAACAAGATTATTACAACCTGCCTTATCAGGATCTTCATTAATTCTGATCCTTTGTACGATTCATTTAGGTTCAGCTACATTGAATCAACTGTTTGTAGCAGAAACTTATAATACATTAAGATTTGCTACGAGGGCTAAAGATATTATCATAACCGTGGAAAAGAATTCAACATCAAAATTAAGTGATAGTGATTCATTTAAGATTATTGAAGAATTAAAGAGAACGATTGAAAATCAAAATAATGAAATAACGATATTGAAATTGAATACGAATAATGATAGTCACAATACTAGTCCAAGTAGTAGTGAAGATTATCCAATGATTGATAATTCCCGACTTTCAGATCTTGAAGCCGAGAATAGAATATTACATGAGAAATTAGAACATTTTACAAGGTTGACAGATTTACAAAAGACTGAAACTGTGATATTGAAAAATGATACTTTAAATGATATACTAGGATCAGGATCTCATTCGCTGCAAATGGTAATGGCTAATTTTGAAGAATATTATAAGAGGGTCAATTATGAAATTGAAGAATATAAAGGATACATTAACCATTTAGAATCACAATTGAAGCATGCGTACGAACAGAATGCTACCATGCCACCCCATAACAATAATAATAATAATAATAATGAATTACTGAAATTTGCTAGTAAACATTTTGAAGCTATTTTGAAAGATCAAGAAGAAGAAATCCTACAATTAAAGGAAATGCTTAAAGATAAAGATCATATTATCAAGGGATTAACCAAGAGTACAAAGTTAAGACGATTAGCAGATTCAAACTCTGCTAACATTAGCGTGGTATCTCTGGGATCTAATAATGATCATCAACTGGGCCCCAAACCAATCGTTAAAATGGCTAGTTCCATGACCTCCCCCACCAGATCCAACAAAGAAAACGAGAGATACTTACGCGAGTTCAACATTAGTCCTAGGAAACCCAAAGCTACCATTGATATCTCTGAAACCAATGGGATTAAGTTCGTTATATAGATTGTGTAAAATGTATTAAAGTGATAGACGCAAATTATTTTTTCGAATCGTTATCAAAATAAATTTGATTTTGTGTATGTTCATTAAATTTTTACGATAACAAAAAAAAAAGACAAAAATTTATGAGCCACTCCAAATTGATTAGTCAATTTTAGAAATATCAACACAAATTGTAAGATTTATCATCAAAATACGATTGGATAGTTCAATTATAGGTATAATCTAGACCCATTCCCATCCCATATATGAAAAGACTATTTGGAAGACATTCAAGAGCAAACTCAAGTCATGGCACGAGTAATCCTTCTTCTTCTTCTTCTTCAGTGACAAGTTCTCATGTAAAGCCAGTTGTGGATAGAAGATTCAGTGCTCCTACTTATGCTACGGAATTACTTCATTCTAATAGTTCCAGTTCAGCCCCATCATCGGGTTCTTCTTCTTCTTCGAGATATTCAAGTGGTGAAAGTGCTGTGATTGATGATGATGATAGTATCTCTCCTCAAACTTCAATGGATAATGAGTCAGTGGCATTATCTGAAACTGATACTTTATATTATGATAAACGTCATAGACTTGAATTACAAGAGACATATAATGATAATTTCACGTTATATCTTCCCTTTATCATTCGACAGATGAGAATTGAATCTCAAAGACTTAATACTGCTATTCATCAATCACTTCATACAGAATACGATACTACTGATTCAACCACAAGATCTTCTACACCTCATGAATCGGATAACTCGGCGCAAAATAGATATCATACCAATCCATTGTATGATTTAGATGATTTAGATGATGATTTACCCACTATTATAGATGAATCAATCACGGTAGATCCGTCAGTTGCTAATAATTTAATCTTAAATAAATCAACATCAAAATTCAATTTAAAAAGAGATGTTATAGTAGTAACTGAATTCATGAAAAATAATACTTATGTATTCACTAGTAATGCATCATTTGAATTATTTAAAAGTTTAAGATCGAATATAAAGAAAGATCGTAAGAATCTGGTTATTGTTTATGATAAAGGGGGTAGTATACGGCGATTATCCAATGTTAAACGAGAAGATTTCAATACCAATGATCGAACATCGATATCGGCCAATAAAGAATACATTATTGATGATCGACAACATATTGTACCTTTAAATTATAAAGTTAAAGGATTAGGATTACCCTTATTCAAAATTCAAGTTCCATATATGTCAACCTTCAAAAAGAATGCTCCATTTATGATATTTAAAAAATATCGAGAAATCCCCACTCAACCACTTAAACAAGATTATGAGAATGGAAGATCATCATCATCACTGAAGCATGCGGATAAGGAGAAAGATGAATCAGATAATTATGAATCTTATAATTTCTGTACCATTTATTCTAAATTCTTTCAACGAGTTCGACGATTCATATTTCATTTCAAATATATTAATAAACATAATCAAGTGGAAGAATTCAAAGTGATAATGTTTTTAAATAATTATAAACCTTATGCTGATTTCAATTATAGAAATACTCGATTTAGAATCATCGGTCCTGCTATTCCTAGTGGATACATTATGAATTATAATCCTCATTTACGATTATTAATCATTGATGATGATAAACCTTCCTTATGTGATAATTTGATTAATAAAAAACCAGGATTTGAAATCCTGAAAATGATTAAAAGAAGCAGTAGTAATGGAAGTACCAATGAGGATTCAGTTGATACTAATGATATTGTTGTTATTGGATCTACCACTTATACCAATGCATATCCTAATCCTAATCTGGCATTGATGCAAGATTCACCATTCTTGAATACAGGAGTGGAACAGAAACATTCCTATATCAGTGATAAATTACCTCCATTTGGAGCTTTTAAAGATGCCTTACTTTATCTTCGAGAACCATCAAATATCTTACCCAAGAAGTATTCTGAAGCAGGGAAGATTCAAGTTTATCAAGATAATCTGGCTATAAGAGATCATGATAATCTCGATAGTACCTTATCATTTGATGTAGATTCAATGGTGTTGACATGTGTATTATGTACACTTCGAGAAGTATCGATTCGAAATTCAAATAAAGCTCCAAATAGTAATCTTGGAGTAGTAGGTAGATTTGGAGCTTTCCCAGTTCAAAGTCCTGGAGTTACTGCATTTGGATTTGCAGCTGGATTATAGAGGAAAAGACAGAGAAAAATTACAACTATTACTGCAATTCACTTTGGAAATGATGAATATTATATATAGCGATTATTTATTATAGATGTTTGTGAATTTAGGTATTTTTTTTTTTTTCATTACCCCACTGTAAATTTTGCGTGTATATCTTTTTTTTAGCGGTTAAATCCTAATTTGTAAAATATTAGGAACCACATTTTTTTTTACTACAATAACCAATTTAATGAAGGGGGCAAATAAGCTTTTTCTATTTAATAAGGTTTTCGTTCGATCTTGTCGAAACGATTAACCTTCTTCTTTGTTATTTTATACAACTATATACTCTTTTATTAAGTTTTATTTTAAAAAGGAGCAGAAAGACGAGGATTGAACATTTTAAAAAGGAGCAGAAAGACGAGGATTGAACATTTTAAAAACGTTCTGGAGATCTGGATCTATCTCTTCTACTTGGAGATCTAGATGGAGATCTGGAATATGGTTTTCTTTCACTTGAACCACGATCTTCACCTTCTCTACTACGATCATCACCATCTCTTCCACGGTCATCACGGTATCCACCACGACCACCTCTGTAATCGCCATATCCACCACGACTTCCACTATATCCACCACGACCACCTTCATATCCACCACGACCACCTCTGTAATCACCGTAACCTCCACGGCCACCTTCATATCCACCACGACCACCTCTTGGTGCATAACCGTATCCACCTCTTGGAGCGTATCCACGGTCACCATATCCTCCTCTTGGAGCATAACCACGATCACCATATCCTCCTCTTGGAGCGTATCCACGATCACCATATCCTCCTCTTGGAGCATAACCACGATCGCCATATCCTCCTCTTGGAGCATAACCACCTCTGAATGCACCTCTTGGAGCTCTAACGGCATAAGGATCACTTCTAGCAATTTGAACCACTAAACCATCTTTTAAAGAGTATGGTAAGGTTTTACCATCTAAATCTAAGGCTTTTTCCATACTTTCATAATCTTTATATTCTACAAAAGCATATTTTTCACCATCATCAGTTCTTGGAGGTGGGATATCTAATCTTACTAAATCTCCATATCTAAAATTTTAGTTAGTTGATTGTAATTCTTTTTTTGAATATTATTTTAACTTATAATCTTATAATCATTTGGAAAAATTGACTTAGAAACATAAGATAAAATGAAATAAAGTGTTTATACACATATATATATATAACAAATAAATATTTTTTTTTTATAAAATCTTATTAATTGAAATGATTAATCTTTTTGTTTGATGATGAATTTATTTTGTTTTGTTTGATTTGTTCTTTTTTGGGGCGAATTTGATTGTGATTTGAAAATTGAATCTATACTAATGACAAGTGATCATGATGTATATGAATAGAAAGGAGGGAGGATGGGGTTAAAGGAAGGAAGGAAGGAAGGAATAAAAGGGAAGGAAATATGACAAGCTGGTCATTGGAAGGGAAGGAGGTAAGGAGGGAATGATGGAAATGAAGAATGAGGATTGAAATGGATAAAGGATGATGGAATGGAGGAGGAAGGAAAGGGAAAGGAGATTAGAATAAAGGAATGATGGAAGGAAGGAAGGAAGGAAGGAAGGAAATATGCTTAAGGGAATGAAATGAAATGAATTGAATTGAACTGATGGGAATTGGAAGGATTTTGATTGAATTGAAAGGATGATAAATTAAATCAGTTAGTATGAGAAGAAATAAGAGAAAGAAAAGAATTAGAGATAGATAGAAACCAATTAAGAAATCAACAAATCATCAAAATTAAAAAAAGACCATAGCAATAGCAACAAAAAAGCGTCAACACCAAAACACTAGAAGAATCAAATTAATCAAAATAAACGATATACTAAACAGTGGTTCGGAATAGATAGGATTGATTGATTGATTGATTGAATACTATTCTTCTTTACTGATTAATATATCATTTGATTAAGTTTTCAATTGTTAAGAAATTAAATAAAATAAGTATTTGTAATAATATAAGCGTATTATATTATATTAAAGGGATACATACTGTTCGAAGTCAGGAGCTAAATCAGCAGCCTTGGTATCTTTGTTGAAACCAGTGACGTATAACGTATTCTTTGGCATTATAAATGATTGATTGATTGATTGATTGATTGATTGATTTAGAATGAAGAAGAGTAAGAGGAAGTAAGAGGGTTATGAAAGTTGCCGTTGTTGAAAATGTCAGTCATGGTATTGAATGAAAAAAAAATGTTTTGGTGAAGTTTACACGACCTCCAAAGTCATATGACTTTAGTCATATGATTTATCATGTGACTAAATGTAGAAAAAAAAAGAAACGATTTTTAAAATGTAAAAAAAAAAAAGAAATGACCATTTTTACACGACTCTCTTAAATGGAAAAAAAAAAGCCCAACATTTTTTTTTGGAGACTAAAAGGTTAAAAAGGGGAATTTTAGTTTCCTGTATATAACCTTATATAGTATATACCGAAAAAAAAAGGCCAAAATTCGATTTGATTCTATTTCACAAAGCAATTATTATGTTTAGTCAGTAAATAGTTAATAGTTAATAGTGTAGAATAGGGGAAATTTAAAGAATGATCAATTTGATCCACTAACAACTTTAACCTGTTAATTAATTAAATTAATTGTTGTATACGTGTTTAGACGTTAGTTAGTTAGTAGTTAAGGTTAGTTCTTGTGTAATTTATCGCTGTTAAACCAAATTTTTACACACACCGACTCCCACTCCCACTCCCACACACTCTAAATAAATAAATAAAGAGGATGCGAAAACCAAGCAATCCAACAAACTTAAACACTAATCTTTAAGTTTATAATTGTAGTAGTATCTATAGATGATTGATAGTGATTATTCAGTTGGTTAATCAGATCTAATCGTATTGAATGTAATTGGTCTACTTAGTTAACTATTAGTGTAAATCTATCTCTCTATCTCTTCACTTAACTTCACTTCATCCTAATCGAATAGCTTAAAATATTTTAGGGACAAACACAAAATAAAAAATAAAATAAAAAAAATAAAAAAATTGACTGACAAAAAAAAAGAAAAGAAAAGAAAAAAAAAAAAATGCTTTGGCGCACACTAAAAGTGTCAGAGTACAACAAATTCAAAAATAAAATAAAAAAAAATTATTCCTAAATTTAATGGCAGCACGTAATTAAAATAAACAATTCAATTTCAATTTTACAACGGCAAACCATAGCAAAGTAAAGCAAACTATAACGGCAGATACCCATCCCATTTCATTCATCCATCAAATCTGATTGTTGATTATTCTGTGTGTAACTGTGTGTTAATCTGTTTCAATTTTAGAAAAAATCCACCCGCTCTTTTATATTAATAGGTACCCAAATTTTCATTTTATATTTTTGGCTGCCTAACTTTTTGATTGATTCCTTTTTACAACATCCATCAACGTTTTATATCACAAGGGATCATCCATCCATCCATCCATCCATCAATCAATCAATAGACTTGACATATCCATCCAAACTGATCTTATAAATCTTCAACAGAACTAATAAATCATTCATTCATTCATCCATCCATACCTACCTTTCTTCATTCATCATGTCGTCAACCATAAAGAATGAAAATGGTAATTCTAATAATAACCCTTTATTAGATCCTACTTTTCTTGACACATTCCAATCTAATCTATTGGGTACCACGAATGAAGATCAAGATATCCTTGATGAATTCCTAGATCAAAGAGTTTATGATTCAATGGGAACTAATACTCCAATATCAGGAAGTCAAGTTAAATTAGAACAACATGATTTAATCGATAGTTTATTTCCTATAGTTGATCAATCAAATCATAATCAAAACAATACCAATAATAATAATAATAATAATAATGACTATTTATACTTAGATACCCTCAACTTTCAACCTAACTCATCCATCAATAATAATAATAATAATAATAATAATCAATCTACTAATACCAACTATACAAGTCCCTTGGATCAAAAATTAATCAATAATGAAAGCCCTCTTTCCACTTATTCAAATGGTTCTCAAGATATTCATCACCATCAACATCATCATCAACATCATCATCAACATCAACCTCAACTGTTCAATTTCAATGGTAATCAAAATGTTTCACCCTTATCAGACTATGACTATGTTCGTGATGAATTATCAAAATTGAAATTCGGTAATCATTTCATGAATGTTTGTCCTGAATCTATTAATATCCCTCATCCATCATATCTTGATTTTTCTCCAGAAGCTTTAGCAAAATTACCTTATAATTTACAAATTTCAAATTTACCAAATTATTCAAGAGTTGAAACTCAAATTAAATTAAAATTCTCTTTAAGTCCTCCTCCTCCTCAAGTCCTTTTACATATCCCTCAAGATTTAATTTCAAAAAATAAATTTTGTTTAAATGAAAATATTAATGATTTATCTCAAAAATTAAAAGAAAATTTATTATATTTAGATGCTTATGTTTTAACATCTGATTTATCAAAATCTTGTAATATTTGTTCAAGATGTATAAAAAGAGAACAAAAAAGAGCTTCAAGAAGAAAAACTGGATTTGAATTAAATAATGAAAATAATAATGAATCAATGGATAATACCAATACCAATAACGACAATAATAATGATAATTTATCTACTAACTATAATACTCCAAATTCAGTAGTTAAAAATAATCCAAATTCTTGGGCTGATGATAAAATGATGAAAAAAGGTATAATCTTCAATTGTAAAGAAATTGTTTCTTTCCCTCCTCCAACTGGGTTAAATAATGATTCAAGTAAATCATTAGAATTATCAGCTAGAATTATATGTTATTGTAGACATCATAAAGAATCGGATGGATTTAAATTATTATTTGTCATTAAAAATAGTGAAGGTTTAGTGGTTGGTAAACAATTATCTTCACCAATTATGATTATGGATAGAAAGAAAAATACGGCTTCTATTAGAAATGAAAATTCAATGCCAAATTCAGTAGCTGGTTCTTCAACTAATTTACAAGGTTTAAATACAAGTTTTGGAAGTGAATCATCTTCTTCAAGAAATGGTGGAATAATAAGATCGAATCAAGATATCAAAAAGAAAAAATCAAATTCAGATAGTGATGATCTTGATGATGATAAAAGTCCTTTACAACATTTATCTCCTAATTCAATTGATGAATCTGCTTCAGAAATTCAAACTAATACTGATACTGATGGTCGTTCATTAAAGAGAAAGAAATTATCCATTGATGATGCGTTTAATTCTTCAACTAATCCAATGTTTAATGGAAGTTCAAATGGATTCTCTCCATTAAGTAATAGTGATACCAATACTTCAACAACTAATCATAATGTATTACTTAAACCAAATCAACAAAATAATAATAATGGTATGATTCTTCATGCTCCAAATTTCTCTAATGGTTTATCACCTTTAACTCATCCAAATTCTCAAGGTTTAACCAATAATAATAGTAATGATCTTAATAATATTCAATCATCAAATATGCCCTACATTCAAAGAATCATTCCAGCCCAAGGTCCAATCAGAGGAGGTATCGAAGTGACATTATTAGGATTTAATTTCCGTCCTGGTTTAAAAGTTAAATTCGGGGCTAATATGGCTTTAGCTACTCATTGTTGGTCAGATACAACTATTGTAACTTATTTACCAGCTGCTGCTCAACCAGGTCAAGTATTAGTAAGTTTTGAAAATCATGATAATAGTGGTATTATTGTTAGTAGTGCTCAACAACAACAACAAATCTTTACTTATACTGATGATACTGATAGACAATTGATTGAATTGGCTTTACAAATTGTGGGATTAAAGATGAATGGTAAATTAGAGGATGCAAGAAATATTGCTAAACGTATTGTTGGTAGTGATGCTACTGGTAAATCACCTAATAATAGTATTTCTGGTGGAAGTGTTAGTAATACTGATCAATTATCAACATCAACTAATCAAGCTAATAATGATTGGTTTGATAGTGCTCATAAAGCAGTTCAAGAATTATCAAATCCAAATTCATCAACTGAAGAAATATTAATTACATTCCTTTCCTTGGTTGATTTACCAAATTGTCCAATTATAATTCCAAATTGGCAATTATCAAATAAATTAGGTCAATCCTTATTACATTTAGCTACCTTGAAGAATTATAGTCAATTAATTAAATTCCTTATTAGACATGGATGTAAAATTGATTTACAAGATAATCAAGGATTAACTCCTTTATTCTTAGCTTCATTATGTGGACATCGTGATTTAATTAATATTTTTATTGATTGTAAATCAAATTGGAATTTGAAATTACAGAATGATAAATATTTGAAAGATTATTGTGATTTAAATGTATTGGATATCTTTAATAATTTAGAAGAAGTTCTTAATAGTGGTAATGAAAAAGATTTAACTGATGTGGGTAGTAATAACATTAATAATTCTGAACATAATAATAATGGTACTAATGATGATATTAATGATGATAAATTAAATAAATCAGTTAGTTTGGATTCATTAAATTCCATGTTTGCTATGAATTATGGTCGTCATATTTCCAAGATGGTTATGCAAGAAAATTCTCATAATCATTCTAATCCAATTAATTTAAATTATTTTGATAATAATGCTATTAGAAGAGAATATTTTGAAAATTCAGATTTAAATAATAATAATAATCAAGATTCAAATTCGGAATTTGCTGATTCTGAATATGAATCAGGGGATTATGATGAATTTAATAATGATTATGAAGATGAAGATGATTCATTTAATGATGATTATGATGATGAAGATGATTATGATGAAGAAGAAGAAGAAATCATTAATGAAGAAGATATGGAAGCTGATGATGAAAGAGAACAAGAAGATGAAGTTGATAATGAACAATTCATTGAAACTGGTTCATTAACTTCTGATTCAACTATTCGTTTAGGTTCAGGACCAAATTCCTCAATTTCAACTGCTGCATCAAGTGGAGGAGAAGAAAATGGTGAATCTTCAATTCAAGCTGGTATTTGGCAAAAAGTTAAAAATGTTTTCACAACTGAAAATGAAGAAGAAAATTTACCTGCTTATGATGATTTATTCCCATTTGGTCCATCAGCATTAAATTCAAAACCAAAAACTCAAATTGAAAGAACTTTAAATGAAGGTTCAAGTACTACTCATGAATCTAATACCACTACTATTGGAGCTAGTTCAACTGAACCATCTGATCCTCAAGATGATGCTGGAATTTCATCTGATTCTTCAGAAGATATGGTTATTTCATATATTAATCATCCTCGTAAAGCAGTTGAAAATGATAAAATGTTATTATTCTTTTGGATTCCTGCTTTAATTGTTATCTGTGGATTATTCTTCATGGTTAGTGTTATGGGTTATAGATTTGAATTCATTGAATCTATTAAATCAATGATTAGAACTACAATTGGAAATCTTATGGTTGGTAATGAAAGAATTGGAAGAGTATTTAAAACTGAAACTAGAAATGTTCTAGCTGAAACCAAACGATTGATTGTTAATAATTAAACCACTAATGACAAACTTATAAAAAAACACGACGACGAAAACAACAAAACAAAACAAAACAAAACAACAACAACGAATCTTATTTATCATTGGGGATCATGAGAAATACATTAAATTATTTCTGATATTATAATAGTTATGAAGTTATGAAATGTTTATTTTTATATTATTTTATTATTTTTATTTTTAATTTATTTTCTTATATTTTACTTATATTTACTTTTTTACTTTTAGTCTTTTTTCTCTTTTTTCATTTTGCTTATTTATTTATATACATACATATTCTGAGACTTGTTTTTATATAATTATCATCAATTCATTTTAATTTCATCTTTAGTTAGTTCATTTATTAGAAAATCTTTAATATAAATTTTACAATAAAAAATCTGTTTATATGTAGAGCTCGAGAAAATCAATAATCACACGTTAAAAAAAAATTATTTTTCACATCTTATCGTTAAAAATACAATCACCAGAACCATTTTGATCTAGAACAACTTTACATCCAGCCATGGCTCGTAGGACGGTGCTATTGCTTAAGAATAAGACAACACCGAGTGACAACTATGAACTTGAATTGAACCAATCTACAGACTATACACCAGTATTCATCCCATTATTAAGTCATGAAGGTATAAACACTGCTTCCACCATATCATATCTCCAATCAGATACATATCTTAACCCGTCTACCATATTCATCATAGCGTCTCAGAGAGGGGTGGAGATCTTAGCAGAATGTCTTGATAGTGTGGTTGATGACAGTGTCAAGAAGAGGATCTTGGATAAAGTCGGATACGCTGTGGGTCCTGCTACTGCTTCTCAATTATTAAAATTAGGATTTGTCAATATTAAAGGTGGTGATAATGCTGGTAATGGTGATAAATTAGCCGATTTGATTATTAATGATTTGAAACAAGACAACGAGAATGATCGTTTATGTGTATTTTTCACCGGTGAAGTTCATAGAGATATCATACCGAGAAAGTTAACTTCAGCTGGTCTTAAAGTTGATAAGAGAGTGATTTACACTACGGCTGTTAGAAAGGATATTGTAACTACATTTGATCAATTCATAACTACGAATCAAGTTAATGATGATTGGATTATTTTCTTTAGTCCTCAAGGTACAGAATATATCATTGATTATGTTAAACTTCATCAAACTCAATTTAAAATCGGGGGTGATTGGTCCTACTACTGAAACATACTTAATTGATCATGATATAATCCCAACCATAGTGGCTCCTAAACCAGATGCGATATCATTATATAATTCTATTCTTAAATATGATAATAATTTATAGATTCTGTACGTTAAAAGAAATATATATATTCATAATATCTAAAAACTCAGTCATATCACGTTTCTTTATATTCAAAAGTACGGGCATATAGGGTACTGCTGTGATCACCACGTATGTACCAACTCTTACAAGCTGTTTGATGTTCTGGTAAGAATGGTACCTCTACTAATTTAATCTGAAAGCGAGAAGATAATTCATTTAATATCAGAATCGTTTTCTCTGCTACACCAGAAGACCAATCAGGATTACTCAGATAATGAATTGTTTTTGTAACAATTGGTAACTGGAACAAAGCTTCATCTATGGTATAGTAAGGATCGATTGCAGTACCATGGAGATAAATTTCTTTAGCTCCCCATAAATATAGAACCCAATGATAATGCATTACAGGTATTTCAAACCCTATTAAGTAAAGCTTCTCTACATGTAATCGCACATCCAAATAAATCCTTCCAGATTGGAAATCTTGGAAAACTACCTTCTTTAAAGTGTTGTTATGATACAAGAATGGAGCCCAATTATGACTTGTGACTTGATCGTAACATTCAAATCCATGATCCACTAATTTCGGAAATTTATACTCACAGAATTCGTAACCGTCTAATCTAACTTTTTGTCCCAAATATAATTCTTCAATATTTTGTCCTAACCATGAAATTGAGATTGGAATATGGTGATTAACATTCCTATGATATTCAACTTCCTTTTCGTCTCTGGATAAATTATGAATCTTTGGTACAAGATCAGTATCAAATCTGAATCCAATACAATTCAAATCTTTGAAATACAATTCTGAAGGCATAACAAAACTATCCTTCTTCTGATGGGCAACAATCTTAAAAATGTAGAGCTTGAATTCGAAATTTCCAATTGCTTTAATGGCATTGGCCTTGAGTAACAAATCAGTCATTGAACTTCCATCATCCAAAAGTCCAAGTTTAAACTGCAAAGTTACGATCAAAGGTTCAGATGCCTCGTTGAATTTATGTGCATTATCAAAAAGGAATTGCAGAGAATCTTTATAGTTAGCTTCACTATTGTTATGGTATAAAATCTGACCTTCTGTGGGTACTTCTTTAATTAAAAGATTTTCAAAATCGTCATTCAAAGTTGTATCAACAAGAAGCACCAAGTTAGTGATTCCTTGAAGTTTATCAGGTAAAGGATCTTGATTTACCATTGATGGATCTTGAATGAATTGTTGATCAATTTCTTGAGCAATAGAATGGCTATGAGAGGTTTCAAATTCTTTAGTCATATTGCTTTTGTTGATAATATAACTATTTAAAAGTTTGAAAAAGATTACATTTTCAAGTATTTATAGTAGTTATTAATATGGTATAACAATAGTCTTTCGCTCAAAGCAGTTATGCTAGAAACTGTATGCTTGACCAATTATTCTGCTTCAATATTTTTCTAGATCTTTGCTCTGCTTCTATTTAGTTTTGGGCATCAATAGTGTAATTCAAGAACTCCTATAATATTTATAGCTTCCCATATTTACAGCGCATTCAATTTCCCGAAACGGTAATTTTTGTGGGTGCGAAAGCAGTTGCCATTTTTAGTTTAAGATCAGATTGTATCGCGTACACCAAAATAATCACAAATCCAATAACGAGAGACCCCCTTAACGTGAATTCTAATATCTAAATAAACGACTCATTCGTGTAGGATTACTTTAATTTGAAGGTATCAGTACATTGATACTGACTTTCATGTTCTTTCTATCTACTTTTTCTGGACTTACTGTAAGTGCATATTGCAGAAATCTAGTAAATATGCCTTTGGCTGCTTTTTCAAAAATTAATCATAAAAGTAGTAAAATCGATTCTAAAGACATTAAAAGTAGGTTTATTAGAGTTTGAATGGGGTCATTTTGATTAGAATGGTCTCTAAAGTGGTATAACTATATAAATTTTGATTGATTGATTGATTCAGTGATAGATCGCTTTTGTTAAGTTTTACAGCGTTTGTTCAGTTTTTGGCTGCCTTTTTTCTTTTTTTATGTGTTATTTCTTAACCTTTCTTCTCCCTTCTTTTCTTCTTCTTCTTTCTGTAGTTTATATTATCTTTATTTGATACTAACCATAAATAGTTATCTAAGGCAACTAATTAATCATAATATTAATGGATAACATTGGCTTAACGTCTGCTGAGCTCACTGGCATTATCCTCAACGAAATTCCAGAGCTAGGTGCAGATCAATTGGTTAACACCAAAATTGGAGTTATCTGCACTCGTTACAACATATTAAAAGAATTACCTGTATTAGCCGAAGAAGCTATTTATGCTAGTTGTTTAGGTGCCGAAAACCAAGAAAGATTTGACCAATTATTAAATGAATTAACTTCTGCCAAACTTAAGGATGAAGGAGATAATTTACCATTAGGTGATATTCATCAATATGGATACACCAAAGCAGTTAGTTTGCCAATTAATGATTCAAAGGTCAGCCTCAAATTAATTAGTTCTTTGTCGGATTTCATTAGACATTACAATGCAATTCGTGATAAAAAGGAGAGAGATGATATTAAAAAGCTGTTAAGAAAGTACTTAACCCAACGTAAAACTATTTTACCACACAAAACAGTTTACGGCTTTTTTCAACACTACTAAGGATATGTTTATACCCTTCACAAGAGGAATGTTCTTTTCCGCATACATAACCAAGTCGAAGAGTATTATGCTAATGATAAAGCTGATGGTGATGGTGCTAATGGTGACAATGATATAGAAAGCTACATCGGGTTGCTCAAAATTATTGACAACTTACTTCACGATTAGTAGTTGATATTTTATTGATATTAATAGTTTTTAGGTTAATGGTTAATTCGTGTTTAAATAGACTAAATATATATTGTGATTTATAAAATTTAAAATTTACTGATCTTACAACCAAAGTTATGATTATTTAAAATCAATTCATATGTAATAAATATAATATTAACTAATAATAATATCAAAAAATAATATAAAGACTGATAACAAAAATTAATGAATGAATGAATGATTAGTGATTATTGTTACAAATCTAACCCAACTACTTATTTCTTAAGTGCAGTGTGAACCACTTCAATGATTTGTTGAACTGCACCAGGATTAGATAAGGTGGAGATATCACCTAATTGATCTTCTTCACCAGCTAATACTTTTCTTAAGATTCTTCTCATAATCTTACCTGATCTAGTCTTTGGTAAATCATCTACTAAAAGAATAGTCTTTGGAGCAGCAAATGGACCAATTTCTTTTCTAACAGTCAAGATTAATTCCTTCTTGATAGCATCTAAATCATCAGTTGGACCTAATTTGTCCTTCTTTAAAGAGACATATGCTGCTACAGCTTGACCAGTCAAGTCATCAGCATATCCAACCACAGCTGATTCTGCAACCAAATCATGTTCAATCAAAGCAGCTTCAATTTCAGCAGTGGATAATCTATGACCAGATACATTAACCACATCATCAACACGACCTAAAATCCAGTAAAACCCATCATTATCTCTCGCAGCTCCATCTCCTGAGAAATAATAATTGGCATATGGTTTTAAGTACGTGTCGATGAATCTATTATAATCATTGAAGATACCTCTAGTAATAGATGGCCAAGCAGACTTGATAGCTAATACACCTTCGACATCATTGGATTCTAATTCTTTTCCAGTTGTAGGATCTAAAATCTTTGGATCTATACCGAAAAATGGTAATGAAGCTGAACCTGGTTTAGTTGGAGTTACACCGGCTAATGGAGTTAATAAATGAGAACCTGATTCGGTTTGCCAATATGTATCAACTATGTGAGCCTTTCCACGGCCGATATTATCATTATACCAATGCCAAACTTCGGCAGCAATTGGTTCACCTACTGACCCTAAGACACGAAGGGATGATAAATCATATTTTTCAACAAATTTAGTACCAGCTCTCTTTAATAATCTTAAAGCGGTTGGAGCAACATAAAATTGATTAACTTTATATTTATCAACAATTTCCCAATATCTTGAATAGTTTGGATAAGCTGGAGTACCTTCAAAGACAACCGTAGTAGCACCGTTTAATAAAGGACCGTAAACAACATAAGTATGACCTGTAATCCAACCAATATCACCAGCAGTGAAAATGATATCTTCTTCATGAACATCAAAAGTATATTTGGTTGATAATAAAGCACCTAATAAATAACCAGCAGTATTATGTTGAACACCCTTTGGTTTACCGGTAGAACCAGAAGTATATAATAAGAATAATGGATCTTCAGAATCAACTGCAACAGCAGGGAAATAAGGACCATATTTATTTAATTCATCGTGCCACCATAAATCTCTGGAAGGATTGAATGGAACATGAGCATTACCAGTTCTCTTAAAAACAATCACATTACGAACATTTGGACAATCCTTTAAGGCATCATCAACAATTTTCTTGGTTTCAATAGTTTTACCACCTCTTTTTGATTCATCAGCAGTAATAACAATTCTAGAATCACCATCTAAGATACGATCTTTTAATGAAGTTGAACTAAAACCAGCAAAAACAACTGAATGGATAGCACCAATTCTAACAATGGCTAATAAAGTTACCACAGCTTCAGGAATCATTGGTAAATAAACAGCAACTGAATCACCTTTCTTAACTCCTAATTTACTTAAAGCTTGAGCTAATTTAGAAACTTGTTTTAATAATTCACCATAGGTAATGATTCTACCTTCATTTGGTTCATCAGCTTCATAGATAATAGCAGGTTTATCTGGGTTTTTGATAGCCCAACGATCAACAGCATTATAAGCAGCATTCAATTGACCATTAATAAACCAAGCTGGTAAATCACCATTATGGAAATCTAATTTTGGATCAGGAGGGAATCTTGCTAAATCAAAAGGTTTAAACCAATCCAAGTTTTCTTTAGCTTGATTACCGAAAAAGGTATTTGGATCTTCAATTGATTGTTTGTATAATTTTTGGTAAGTTTCAAAATCAGGTAAATTTGGTTTTAAAGTTGATCTTTCAAAGAAACCAGCAGGTGGATCTTGCTTTTTCTCATGATCTAAAGAGATATGAGATTGAGTAGTTGATTCAGGCATTATTTTTTTTTCAATTCGATTCAATTAATCAATAATTCAACAATTTGGAGGAATGAATCTTTTGTAAAAAATGGTAGAATTGAAAAAAAAAGTATAAATAAAGGTGCAATTGGAACTTAAATCTTTTAGATTAAATAAATAAATAGATTGAACAATCAATTGGATAATAAACACACTTTGATAAATCACCAAAAGTCTAAGAATCAATTAACAAATAGAAATGAAGAAGAAATTTAAACGAATTTAATAAAAACTTATTGAACAAACGGGGGTTTGTTTAAATATTTATACACCAAATTTTTGTCTTGTCTTGTTGGTACTTTTTTTTATTTTTATAAAGATCCTTTTTTGGGTTTTCTGGTTAAAAATTATTTTGTCTGTTTTATTAAAGTCCGTAAATGAAAAAAAAAAAATAAATAAATAAATAAACAAAAAAAAGACAAAAGAAAAAAAGGTTAAAATAAAATATGGTTAGTAAAATCAAAAAAATGTCTGTCTGTCTGAAATTAAATTTTGTTGGATCGCTCGCTGTATGGTTTTAACCCCTCTCTCCCACTCAGTCTCCTATTTACTGACGACCAGACAATTTATTTATTTACAACCACACCTTAAATGTTTTTTGATGGAAATAGACCCCCCACAAAATACACCCAAATAGTTATTTAGTTACAATTGAGAGGTTCAATACACAAAGCGTTTGTTTTTTCTTGATCAATTTAAGCAAATTATCATATCCGCTATTTTCGATAACTATTAGGTAGACCATATATTTCATTTACATTATTTATGCTTAAGTTAATTGGATATTGATGAAGTTAGCGGCTAAATTGAAACTGTAACCCTATCATAACTCAGGTTTAGTCGATCTCGATTGATACAAATTGTCACAAAATAAACTTCAGACCCGGTTCCAGTGCTACCTACTTCTTCGTGATTTCAAACAATAATGATAATAATAATTATTATTATTATTTAACCATTAATGTTTCGTATTATCATATTATCATTTGATAATGATATATAGCTCTACAAAGGAAACGTCGGAGTTCTAATAAACGCAAAAAAAAGGCTTGAATTTTGATTATAAGAAAAAAAAAACTCCGAGAGTGACTTTTTTCAATAAAAACCTCGTTAAAATGACTGGAGGAGATTCCCAGTAATTTTTTATTTTTCTTACACCTTTATTACCCCACAAAAATGACACAAATCTTTATAATGTGTGTGTAAAAAGAGGTAGCGCGCGTAAAATAAACAGTGCTGGGGGAGCACAAAAATGACTGACTGATTGAATTGAATTGAATCAATTAAGACAGAGAGCGCAACAGGAATAATTACAAAATAAAAAGACAAAAAAACCGTCCCATTTGAATCGCCTGTTTCTTTTAAATAATAATTTTGTCTATAACTACCCAATTAGATGTTTATACCATATAATTTTCAAACATTTTTTCTTTTATTCTAATCAGACTTTTTGTCTTGTAAAATTTATTTTTTTTAGTTTTATGTTCCTACCACCCCCACCATACGCCCCCCCTCCCCCACAAAATACACAAAATACAAAATCAATCAATCAATCAGTCAGTCAGTCAGTCAATTCTTATTTCAAATTAACTGATTTCAATTTAGGCTAAAAATAATTAATGAATGATCATTTGATTGTTTAATGAAGGATGATTAATGATTGATGATACTATCAATTGATAATAAACCGTTTATTCTCCATGTTTCGTTATTCTATTTTTATTCGATTTAAACTTAATTTGTCAGATTAGACTTGACTTGTTCGCTCGTGTTTGAAAAGAGATATGACCTCACTATGATAACTAAGTACATCGTATGACATCTAACTCCTACGCTCCTTATATCCACCACCACCCAAAAAAATATATTTAACTTCTCTTTATACAATCTCTTCCAAATAGTCAAGAAAAATAATAAAATCTCCATGTCCCCGACCGACCATTTTGAACTCCGAGATTTTCTTAATAATAATCACTAAGTTACTACCAGGTTCTTCTTTCCATTTCTTTATCTAATTTATACTATCATTTATTGGTTAACTATTTTGATAATCATTCATTATGGCTCTCTATCTATCTAACTTTTTGTCTGCTTTATCAGCTTCTTTTTCTTAGCTTTCTTTTGTGTGATCTTACAAGCTTATATATCAAAAATGATCCTATATCTTCTATCTTCTTATTAATTAATCAATAGATGAGTCTAGGTCTTAACTAATGGAGTTCCGAGGAACTACTTCCATGGATAACCTAACTCATACAAATAAACTATTCCATTGGAACTTTCTTCTATTAATTCATTTATTTAAACGTAATCTATTATTATAATTTTGTTTCTTTTTTTTTTTTTTTTTGTATCAACGTAAGTAGTTAATTTATACTTAAAAAAGTCTTTTATATACATATTATTATTTACAAACTATTAACTTCCGATACAGGAGTTGAGATTGGAGGTTGATTAATTCTTTCATAATCAATTAAATCTAAAATTTCTTTTGCACCCTTTGCAATTAATTTATCACCTAATTCTTTACCTATAATTTCACAATCATTTCTATCATTTATAATGGTTTCAATTTGATCTTCAACTGATTTTAATCCATCAGGACTAACAATAACAGCTTTTAATAATAATTTTCGACTTGATTCATCATAAAAACTTTCAACTCCTAATGGTACAGAACATCCACCTTCTAAATATCTCATTAATGATCTTTCAGCAAGACAACGATAAGCAGTAGGTAAATGTTCAATTTTACTCACAATCGATTTAATTCTAGGATCATTACTTCTAATTTCAACCCCTAAAGCACCTTGTCCCACGGCATAATACATATCTGGTGCATCTAAATATTGATTGATTCTATCACCTAATCCAACTCTAATTAATCCAGCAGCAGCTAATATAATACATTCAAATTTTGGTTGTGTTTCAGTTGGGGTATCTAATTTGGTTAATCTAGTAAATACATTACCTCTTACTGATTCGAATTTTAAATGAGGATAATTTTTAAGTAATTGAGCTGATCTTCTTATAGATGAAGTACCAACTAAAGCATTTGGAGGTAAATCAGCTAATGTTTTATATGGAGAATTTGGAGGCATTATAACAGCATCACGAGGATCTTCACGTTTAATAATACAACCTAATTCGAATTCTTCAGGTAAATTAGTTGGCATATCCTTTAAACTATGAACAATCAAATCCAATTTTGGAAATGGTTCCACCGCTTCCAATAATAAAATTTCTAATTCTTTAGTCCAAAGTGATTTACCTCCAAATGAATATAATGGTTTAGATTGAACTTTATCACCTAAAGTACTTAAGGCAAGGATGGAACAACTCAACTCAGGAAATGCTGTTTCTATTTCTTGTTTAACGATTTCTGATTGTTTAACAGCTAATTTTGATTTTCTACCTCCAATTTGGATATGATTAGCAGCAGGAACAGTACTAGTGGTAGTACTACTACTTCCATTACTTTCTATTGATTTATCGTTCATTATTATGTTATGAGGCAGCATTTATGATATGGTGTGTGTGAATAATCTTGGGTGTGACTTGATCTGGACGGTTATGATCTGATTAAAATCAATGACGTTGATGAAATAGAGTTGAAGATATGCAAAACTTTTTTTTTAAAGCTAATGAAAGCAAATGATATGAACAAAGGAATATAATAAATAAGTAACCAATAAAATAAGATGGAAGAATCCAAATATAGATATATATATACAGTTAATGAAATCCAAAGAATGTAAAATCAAAAGTTGGAATTCCAAATGACTTTTATATCTTTCTTCGTATACCCTCGAAATAAAAATCACAAGTAAATTTTCACTTCTTTTTTTTTTTTATCTCTATACAATTTTTTTTTTCTGTGTCAAATTGGATTTGTGAGCATTCTACGATTCTCGATGTTTTACAAATCTATTATGGCAAATGATAGAATTTGTATAAATAATCTTATAATTTGTATGGTAGATGGTAGTTATAGAGATGTAAGGGGTATAATATCTATGGTAAGTATATGTACCGCTCATAATATTTACTTGAACATGTGGTTATCTATAATATATTGTTCCTTAATTGATCGAACGGCTCTTAATTCTTATTTGAGCCAATCATCACACTACAAAATGTAAGCTATTGCCTAATTAGGAAAAGACTTCCCTAGTTAAATTTTTGCAATCAAATTTTTATGTTTAAACTCGATATATGTATCTATTTATCTAGTTAGAATGTATCATCAGATTCATAATTTATAGTACTATCCTTATCATTATCATAATCTTCTACTTCTTCTTCATCATGTTTATCTTCTGGTTCAGAATCTTCCATATATAATCGTCTTGGAGTTTCCTCTATAGTCGATTGATCCGAACTTATCAGTTCAATATCATCTAAGGTAGCTTCATAAATATCATACATTCCTTCCGTCAGTGGTTGTGATTGAATTATCTGTGGTACTGATGATGATATAGGTGTTTCATAAACTCCTCCATCTTCCTCTTCTTCTACCACAACTTCATTATGAACCACTGATTCTATATCATTTATCTCTCGTAAATTATTCATTAATAAGATTTCTAAATGTTTTAATCGATTTAAAATCTCCATCGATGATTTCTTTTGAAAAGCTCGATTAGGTGTCTTGAATTGAACTTCACTATTATTAGTTTTAGTTCGTTCAATCTTTCCATTAGTATTATTAGTGTTTCCTCCACCACCACCATATTTCTTAGTTAATAACTCATCAATGAATGTTGAATCAGTAGATGCACTACGATAATTCCCTCCTAATGTACTGATAGATTGAACTTGATTAAGCTTTGGAACCATCAACCCTTGACTCTGTTTATTACTATATCTTCTCTTAAACTGAGATGGAGTTCTTCTTGATTTTTGAATTAATAAACTTTCTTCATCAATACCATTTTCTTGTAAATAAAGATAATCTAAATCATAATCATCTTTATTTAAGAATGTGAAATGTTTTAATTCATTATTAGTTAAGATTGTATTCGGTTGATAACTTAATTTGGATAAGATTAATTCATAAATGAATATAACAATAATGATTGGTAACTTGAATAAATTTAACACTATTGTAAAGATTCCTTTATTCTTATTCAATTTAGCCATTTTAAAATATAATATCATATTAACCGATTTGAAATAATTAAATTCTTCTTGATTATTATCATTGACTTTAGAAAAGATTTGTCCTAACACAATGGCTAGAATAGTTCCGATTATAAATTGAATTAAGAACAAATATCCCATTTGAATGATTTTCCCTAACGTATTATAATTATCCCAATTATTCCATACCGAGGGGGTAAATCCAAAGAATATCTTTGTCATATCAAACATAATATCATAATTGGTACGATTTTTAGATAATGATATAAAACTGAAATAAAATCCACTGATTAATGAAATGAAGAAACAGATTAATCCAATCAAGTTAAACATCATTCGATTGAATGATACGATTATAAGGTTGAAGAATCTATAATTGTTAAAGCTGGAAAGTATACGTGGAACTAATATGATTGACAATACACTGAATAAATCATCAAAATATTCCAGTTTAACCACTTTTAATATAAATGTGATATCAAGAAGTAAAATTATTATGAAATCAATATAATTCCATATAATCATTCTGAAATATTTCATCTCGATATTAGCAACTTTAATAATGAATTCAAGATTGAAGTTAAATCCCATTAACCAGAATATAATCTTACTTATAGTCAACACATTATCGGTAAACTTATTATCATTGTTAAGATTATTTTTCTTACTTATAATGATGAAGAAATATAATATCATAAAAGAAATTAGTTTTAAGTTGATCACAATCGATTGATACTTCGGTACCGTATTTGATCTTTTTATGATATTCTTAAATGATATTTTATTGAACTTATAATTAATAATCTCATTATTGAATAATCCTTGTTCATCGTCATTATCATCCACTTCATTCTTTAATAATGCTTCATCTGTATTATCAATCAATTCCCCATTGAAAAACCTATCAAGAATCCTTACGATAATAGGTTGGGATAAGAATCGCTTTGACTTACTTAACACACTCAACTGTAATGTATTGAAATCGTGGTTCTTCATAGGTTTAATGAATAATAATTTGATCCGATTATATGATTTATATTCTCGTAATAATCGTATAGCTAATAATTCACATACATTAGCTTTAGTGTTTAATAACTCATATAAGATTAAATTATTTTCAGATTGAATGAGGAATTCATATCGTATCAATAATAAGATGAATATAACATAATTAGATACTTTGTTATTCTCCTCGTTATATCGATACTTGTTAACCACGATCTTATTATTATCAGATAACTTTATAATAGAATCAGTTAATGGTTTGATTAAAGTTGAATATATTTCAGGAGTTTTCAACTGTTCATACTTCAAACTTAATACCACTTTCTTATTAATTGATTTTTGAATGCAGAAGTAAAGATATTTGAATTCCACTTGATAATTATTCTGATTCAGTAGATGATGACTATTGCTATTCTGATGATAATGAGAACCAGGTTCTCTCGTTTTCATCATGGAAAGCTTTGGAAAATTTTCAGTATGTAAAAAACAATAAGATCACTCTTAAATAACAATAAGTGAAAACTACTATATCTTATATTGAATCTGATGATGCTTCTCCACCAAAACTACATCATCATCTGCATTTTCCAATTATACAAATTTAGCAACAATCTGTCATATTTGAAAACCATAAAAAATAAAAAAATGTCCCATTTTCGCAATTTGTAAACAAACCCAAAAATGGATCATCCCGCCGCATAGCCCAATTAGGAAAGTTCTCTCCCACGTCATAAATTAACTCTATTTACAAAAATCAAATTGCAAACTGCAACTATCTACTTATCATATAAAAACTACTTAGCAACCATCATCTGTTTACAAAATAAAGTCCTGGCTGATTTTAATAATTTCATCTTATTTTATGATTTATGAAATTATACGCCTTCTTCCCATTCTCCTCTCCTAATAATCGAATAAATTGTTCTCGACTTAATTTCACCATTTCTTCAATACTTTTAACTTTTTGAATGATTAGGTGATAATTAAGACTATTGATTCCTGGAATGTTTTGAATGAAATCAATGGGATCTTCATTAAAGACGGGTGGTCCTCCATCTTCCGTTATGACTTCTTTATTAACTCCTTTATCCATTGCCATTCCAATATCAGGCTCTTCTTGATTTGCTTTTAATTTAAGAAAGATTTGGGCTGTTTCATAAGGTGATGAAGACCAAATGATTTTTAATTTGGGGAAGGCAATTAACAACAGAAGAATCTTACTTTGAATATTTTGTTGTACAAGTAGATTCACATTAGGATTGGTGGGATTTACCTTTTGAAATCTTGAAACTGAAAATGGTTCTAAGGAAAATGATTTACTTTCATCAAATTCAATTAAAAGGGTAGGTAATTCATAATATCTAAACATTTGTTCACATTGATGATATAATCTACCACTCTTAAAACTTGACACAAGATCAGGAATCGATTTTCTTTCTACACAAATCTTTGGCGATACAATATAATCACCCACTGTTATCATACATGGTACAACAGTTACACCAGCTCGATATAACAAGTTTGGTAATGAAGATCTGAATTCTCTAACATCAACCACCACTCGAAATTCATCATTTTCAGTTCGAAAATTGGCACCTCCAGCAATTCTAGTATTGATAACTCTATTTCTATTGATTTGTAATCTACTATTATCTTGAGCAGTTTCAAATCGATTACTTAAATTGGCCTTCTCTCGAATTAATCTAGTAAATGCATCTTTTTCTTTTTTGATTCTTAAAAGAAATTTATGTTCTTCCACTGAACCTTTATAAAACATTAAATATGCTTTGGCTGGATTATCCTTATTTATGGCTTGATAACTCTCTACTCTACGAATGAATGGAACATTAGGTTCATACATGATGATATGAGATGGTGAAAGTTCTTGAAGTAGAGGATCGCTTAGATGATCGTTATACGATTGTATTATGATTTCATCACTTTTAGAAATCGATTCAAACACAAGCTCTTCAGGATTGAAGAGTGATTCTCCACCAAACATTGATATATCGGGAACTTCTTCCCCTTCAATCCGTTCAAAGTCTTCATCTTCACTTTCTTCTGAACTTGTGACACCATCTTCTAACTTCTCTAGCATTTCCTCATCAACGTTAATAGGCTTGCTTGGATCTCCCGAGTACAACTTTTCAACTCTAGCAGTTGCTGATGCACCTCTTGTTCTTCTTCTCTTACTTGAAGGTTGGCCATTTCTTGAAAAACTCTTCGAAGTAGCTACTTCCTCGGTCTGTTGTTCTTGTGCTTGCTCTTGCAGTTGTTCACTAAATTCATCATTTAGTTGCTTCACTTTTTCGGTAAGTCTTGTCCAGTTCGGAAGCTCTCGTATCTTTTGAAGCATGTATTTCTTAAAAGTAAATCTTTTTCTTCCAAAATGATCTTTATGTTCTTGCATTACTTCGAGCAATCGACTTAACTGCCGTACTGTCTTGCTGCTGGTACACATTATTAATATTGGTCCTTGACTAGGATGTAATGATTTCTCGTGGACTATATCGTCAATTAATAAACCAAGTTCGTGCCATTTGGGTAACTCTTCAGATTCATACTTTCCATCTCCTTTATCAAGCAAAGCTCGTTCCTTTGCATAACTTATAATTGTACTTGATTCTTGTAAACTTAACCATGGACTTACACTTACATGCATTCCTGAATTTTTAATCAATTGCATATTCAGCGACACTATCCCATCGACTACTTGATGAAAACTAACAGCATCAAGATGTACTAAATCGGTTAATAATTCAGTTAAAGTTGTTATGTCAAATATAAGTTGTTTGGCAGTATAAGTTAATCTATGCCATTGTGCTTCCATTGAACCTCTGATAATTCTTACGAAGTCAGGGTCATGCACATTTTCCATATCCCAGTACTCTGTAACTAATGATGATACATGTCTCTTTAATTCATATAAACAAGCTTGTATGCATGATAGTATGGCTGATTGGATTTTATTCATTTTATAAGTTGGTTTAGCATGAATTTCAGTAACAATTTTTAATGCTAGATTTTTCTTACCTTTTTCAGTAAGAGATGTTATAATATCTAAATGGAATCTTGGCCATAAGAAAGCATTAGAAACACGCAAGATCCTTAATTTTGATTCTAAAGGTGTGAATCCGCCAAATGATTCTGGTTCATCAGTTATGGCTTTGATAAATCCCCAATCATTTTGATCTCGATATAAACTAATAATAAAAGCATCATTTGAAGTTTCTCTTATTCTTTCAGCATGAAGCACAAATAAGCCAGTCACATCATTGGGAGATATTATACCTGATAATATATCTACCACCAAAACTCTTGAAGATACAGAGATTATACCTCCATTTAAATATAAATTCTTTCTAGCAGTTTGAGATTCACCAGTTATCACTTCAAACGGTATATCATTTTCGTCATCCAACCATTGTAATTCCGTTATTTCTTCCCGCAATCTCGTCAATTCTTCATCTCTTGAATTCAATACGAATATTAATGCTCTTTTCTCCACTTCTTTATTTGAACCATTCTGTAGACTCACAAAGGGTGAACATAACGCGTGTAAAACGTTTGCAGTTATTAACTCATACCCTAGTCCTCTACCCAATATCAATAAACCATCTCGTACCAACATGTCTTCCACGATTTCTTGATGATATTTTAACGTTAATGAACTTCGTACCTCTCTTGATGGATAAATGGGTATGATTTCGGGGTCTTTGAATGTAACAGGAATTGCTCCTTCTTCTCGATCTATGACTGGTCTAGATTCATTCTCAAACAATTCAGAAGTACCACTACCTTCTTCTCTTGTAAGACCCTGATTGTCATTATCATCTTCTATAAATAATGACATGACTGCCAAAGAATGTCATAACAGCCAAATTATAATTCGCAATTGAAAATTGTTTAATACGGAGATTTTTTAAATTTCAATTTTTTTTCTGGTGATATCTTTGAAATACTTCTCTTGATACTTTAGATAACCCTAACCAAACATGGACTATACGACAGGATCATTGCAGTCATTCAATCCCAATGATTATTCCAAACCCAATACCGAACTGACAATAAATGCTCCTATACTATTTAATATAATACATATAGAGAATATCTCTATGTCTCGATTGAATCAAATCGAAGACTGGCAACAATATCAAGATCCAAATAATGTATCAGTGGATAGAGTTAATAGATCAAAAAGAATAATACGAGAAGTACCCATAGAAGAAGATGGAAGCAATTACAATAACAACTTCAACAGTTCTGTTTATCAACCTGAAGTATATAAATTATTACTTCGAGATTTTTCAAATAATTACTGCTACGCGTATGAATATAATGATCCACTCAGATTCATTAGGGAATCAAGAGAAGAAACGTTTACACCTCTTAAGATTAAACTTGGTGGAAGACTACGTGTGAAACCTGGTGCTAAAGTTATCAATGGGGTTATATATCTTGATAATAGTTTTTGCCAATATTTAGGTCTAATAGATCAAGATAAAGAGTTGACAGACAATTTGAATACAGGTATTGTTCAAAGGTATATTGAAATTCTCACAGAAGGGCTAACGTCTTAAAATATTTTATTATGGTTGAAATATATATTAATGTATATAAAACGATGGAAATTTTTAATTTAAAGTTTCCATCGTGCCGATGGTTATTCATCTAATAAAACATTCCAAAGTGCATATTCATCAGTAAAATTATGATGTACAAAACTGACCAATACGTAGTTTTGATAAATATTATTTAACAAATCATATGATTTGGAATTCTTCTTATAACATCTAGCCCATTCTAACCATAAATGGAATGCTTCTTCATTCCAAGCTTTGAATGATTCATAATCTATAATTGTTGGTTGCAAAACCTCCTTTTGAGGGAAAACCCCCCATGTAATAGCATTCTTAGTGTTATGTTCTATACTTAAATTAGATGTAATATTTCCTTGAGAATCACCTTGATAATAAGTTATGGCTTTTTCATCAAATTGTTTCTTTAATCTAGGATATAATTCTGTTTCCCATTGTTCTCTTGGAATGAAAAGTTCAACAAATGCTTTTTGATATATCACACCATTGCCTGGACCCCAACCAAATATATTATCGGATGATTTACAGCCATTGACAGCAGGTTGTGAAGCCAGTGAGAACCAACCCTTTCCATTTAATTCGAATAATTCTTCTTGAATTAAAGCAGTCTCTGGAGATAAGGCATTATCAGCCCAAGGTAAGACATCGATTCTTCCTGATAAATAATCAACAAACACTTTTGAAAGTTCCTTGATAGTTTCTGGTGTACCCCATTTAATAGAAGCTTCTTCATGAGAATGAATCTTTAAATTTGGTCCATACCCATCGATTTCACCATAAGCAGGAGAATTAGAATCACCAAACCTACCATTAGGGAAATCATCCCAAGTAGCATCTTTACCGAGAGCACCTTTACCAGTACTTATATCCAATAATACTTTTTTGTCGTTAAGAAGGGCTTTTCCTGCAAGTGCTTTTTGAGCAGAATTGGTATCAGCTAAACCATTTTCATTCATAATTGAAGATCTTCTTCTCTTATTAATTTGTGGAATTACTCTCTCTTCTTCATCTGAATCAGAAACTATAGCATCATTACCTTCATCATTGGCTTCACCTGAACTTTGAATAACAGGACGTAAAATATCAGATTTATCAAGGATGGAAGCAACTGCCTTTTCTAAATTCAAACTGTAGAAATGATATCCTCTTATACGACCTTGAGTTTCAGTATTTATATTACTGATAATGTCAGTTAAAATATCTACACCTAAACTTTTAACAGCATCATCATCATTAATCGAACTTTGAAGTTTTGTAAGAATATCATCTGGAATTGAGGCATGTGAAAGCTTACTAGCTCTTGTGAATACTTTATAAGTTGTAATTGGCATTAAACCAGGTATTAAAGTAATATCTTTTAATTGAGGATAAGTTGATAATAACTTTTCGTATTTGATAAATTTATCGGCATCATAAAACAATTGAGTTATGATGAAATCTGCACCTGCTTCTACTTTTTCAATTAAATAAGGAATATCCTTCTTAGGATCTTGTAAAGCACCATCAGATCCATCAACATGACCTTCTGGATATCCAGCTACCCCAATACAAAAGTAATCTCCATACTCTTGTTTAATATATTTAACTAAATCAATAGCAGCATTGAAGTCACAGTTAGGAGTCCAATATTCCTCTGCTCTTGGAGGATCACCTCTTAAAGCCAAAATATTTCTAATTCCATTTTCTTTAGCTTTCTTCAATGCATTATCAATGATTTCTTTATTAGTATTTGTACAAGTTAAATGTAAAACGGTGGTTAAACCCAAATCATTTTGAAAAGTACCTGCTAAATCAAGAGATTTTTCACTAGTTGAACCACCAGCACCCCAAGTTACTGTTACGAACAATGGGTTTAACGCCAGCATACGATTCAATCTTGCTAATAAATTTCTAAACCCAGAATCTGTCTTTGGTGGGAAAAATTCAAATGAAATGAATTTCTCATTTGGACCCAAACTATTTATCTTATCCTTCACGGTAGACATGGTTGATGATGTGATCTAAGTAATTCGGAATCAAATTAGGTGTCAAACTATAGTATTAAAGCAACATTAATGGTTTATCAAATCTTAACTCTGATCAAAGAGGTCGGATTTTGAAAATTTGTTTTTCCACGTGACCACATTTTTGACTCTTCTCCACCGGAATAAGTCATTCCTTGTCTACATTGTAATTCATAAATAAAAGCTTTAAATTATACTAATGAAGGTATTCTAATTTACATAATAACAGTGACATTGCAATGGAATGTAATGAAATGCATTGCGTTGGTTGGTTGGTTGGTTGGTTGGGTTTCTCAATGAATGAAATATATACAAAAAAACCTTACAATAATAATGATGATGGGGAAGTTAAACAGCACTATATTCGCCCCTGTTATGATTACCAGTAAATTTTTCAATAATTTCTCTACTGAAACTTGGTAAACCCTTTAATAAATCAATGAAATTATCTAATACTTCTCTTAATGCAGTTGAGAAATCAATGGCATTCCCTTTATTATATTGAAACCAAGCTCCACCAACGATATAGATACTTAAGAATAAAACCAAAAAGATAAAGATCCAAGTAAACCAACCCCAAGATTCACCATTATCTGGTTGTCTACCATTACTTTTATCTGGAGTTTTTGAAGGAGGAGTTTTATCGCCTTCACTAGTGACACATGCAGCTTTTGTTCTCATAGTAGCTTTTAAATTTTCATTATCCCATTTATCTAATACAAATCTATCTAAATCATCTTTTGAATCATCTTTACCAGGACAAACGAAATTTAATTCAGCATTAACTAAATTATTTCCCCAATTTGCACCTGTATATTTAATAGTAACTCCTATGTTATCACCTGTTAAGGTAGATTCATAAGATTTTTGTAAATTTGAATTGAAACCAATGATTTCATATACTTGAGGATTTGGATCCTTTTCAAATGTAATGGAAGTTATACCACAAACATCGGAATTCTTAGGACAATTGGCCACTTCATCATTAATAGATTGACAAATTCCAAATGACCAGGTGATATTGGTATGAGATGGAGGAGTATCCTTTATAGTTGAAACCGAATGAATCCCCTTGATGGCTTGAAAGTCAAAAGGAACAAGTTCTTTCACAGAACAATCAATGGCAACCACTGATCCTAGGGTAAGGAGAGCTGCTCCCACGGTATGAATAGAAAATAACATCCTAGTATATAGAAAAATGATGTACTTTTTAATATTAGAATATTTAATCTTAACTTTAAAATAAAGTATTTGGTAAGCTATTTGATCACCGTCTCAAATTAAAAATATTAAAATGTCACCGGTTCAATCACATGATTTATGGTCATGCTCCAAATCATGTTATCTGTATCATGTGACTGATTTTTCTCCACCTTTTTTTTTTGAAAGGAGACATCTCCCGAGGATCATAAGCATCAAAAAAATCATGGATGATTCATGTGACTACCGAAACAAATTTGAATAACACGGATATTTCAAATTTATCAAATAGTGATGTAAACTATTTCCAGTGGTTAATTACATAAATACTTTTAATTAATCTCTTTTTCCTTAATTCTCCCCGACTTCTTTTCTTTAAAAAGTTTTTCAGCTTTACTTCAATTATACTTATTTATATTATAGAACATCATGGTTAAAGTTACAGTTTGTGGTGCTGCCGGTGGTATTGGTCAACCCTTATCATTATTATTAAAATTAAATCCTCAAGTTTCAGAATTAGCTTTATTCGATATTGTTAATGCTAAAGGTGTGGCTGCGGATTTATCTCATATCAATACTCCTGCTATTGTTACTGGTTATCAACCTGCCAATAAAGAAGATAAAACTGCTATAGTTGAATCTTTAAAGGGAACTGATTTGGTTATCATTCCAGCGGGTGTTCCAAGAAAACCAGGTATGACAAGAGCTGATTTATTTAATATTAATGCCTCAATCATTAGAGATCTTGTGGCTAATATAGCTAGAACTGCTCCAAATGCTGCTATTTTAATTATTTCAAATCCAGTTAATTCAACTGTACCAATTGCTGCTGAAGTTCTTAAAAAACTTGGTGTATTCAATCCAAAAAAATTATTTGGTGTTACTACTTTAGATTCAGTTAGAGCTGAAACTTTCTTAGCTGGTTTAATAAATGTAAGTCCAACTTCTTTACAAGGTAAAATATCTGTTATTGGTGGTCACTCAGGTGATACCATTGTTCCATTAATTAATGCTACCCCAGAAATTGCTAGAAAAGTTGCTACCTTATCTACTGATCAATATAATAAATTTATTAATAGAGTTCAATATGGTGGTGATGAAGTTGTTAAAGCTAAAAATGGGGTTGGTTCAGCTACTTTATCTATGGCTTATGCTGGTTACAGATTTGCTGAAAATGTATTAAATTCATTAGCAGGTAAAGAAACTTCAGGATCAATTCCAGATTCTTCTTATGTTTATTTACCAGGATTACCAGGTGGTAAAGAATTATCTACCAAATATTTAAATGGTGTTGATTTCTTTTCAGTACCTGTTGTGTTAGAAGGTGGTCAAATCAAATCATTTGTCAATCCATTTGAACTCTTAAAAGTTACTAATGATGAAACTAAACTAGTTAAAGTTGCTTTAGATGGTTTATCAAAATCTATTGATCAAGGTGTTGCCTTTGTTACAGCTTCAAAATTATAAGTAATGTATAGTTTTCAATAGATTATTTGTGTAGTTAAAGGATAATAATGGTTTAAATTAAAAAGTATCATGTAGTCACTATTTTGTAAATTATTTATTATGTAAATTAATAACATTATTGATAAATATTTTATAAATTTCGCAGCAATATGTTGAAAAATTCATGATTTGAGCTGTTTACATTTTCTGATTAAAATTGAAGCTAGTTTAACAGTGTTTCGCAACTGATTCACCTCCTAAGCCATTTATAGTAACTTATGGAAGCACCTTGATCAATTTAAATCAAGTTTTACTATTTTAAACTGGTACTTTTATTTGAATATATTAAGTTCTTATGGTCTTTGATTAAAATATTTTCAAAAATATTTCCCTTTTGAGTAAAACTTTCCGCGAAAACGTGATTTTTTATCATGTGATAAAAGCACTCTACCAGAAACTTAGCATATTTTTTTTCTGCAAGGCTTCTGACTTGGGATGTGGAGATACTAGTGGTGTATAGGTTGCAAATAATAATTTGTGGTAGAATAAAGTCAGCCTTACGATTGATTACAATTTATAGTGTTCACTATCTTGTTACAATATATTCAAAATAATTAAAAGTAATTATATGATATAAAAACAGTAAAAACGTTCGTTCTAAAAACTTCTTCTTATGAAACCTTTTCAAGGGATATTTAGTTCTTTATATACTTTTCCAAGAACAATGACTTTTGGATTACTCCTCTTTTCATTTTTAGAAATGAATGACCAACTTAGTTACAATTATATTTTCTCCAACTTTAATCCTTAAAACCAAAGTGGTTTAACAACCATTCGTATTTCACAACTTAGAAAATCTTATCACATGATTAAAGCTCGTGACTCTTATATGCCTGACGACTGTCGAGTCCTAGCATTATCCCCGGTTCCATAGAAGTTCGTCCCATGAACTTCCTTTAAAAGAAAGCATGGTACAGCAAAGAACAACAAAATTTTCACAAAAATTTAAGTATAGTATGGTAGAAAAAATACTTTATGTACACCTCTTGGTAGCACCAAAAGGTAGTGTGGGACTCACTCATAAATCATAAGAATATAAACATGATTTTCAAAATATAAAAAGCAAGACGAAACTTACTGAAGTATACCCACTAAAATAACTACCAGATTTAAGACACAATTCTTAAATATAAAGGAAGAAACCATGTTCTCCAACAAAAGCAAGCTTGAAAATAAAAGTTTAAACTATAAATGAATGAATTAATTAATCGATTAATGAATGAATTGACTAGTCATAATTTGATATGATAGGATCCTATATTTAAAAGTTAGTATACTAAATGTTAACGTTAACGAAATACTTAATCGTGATAGACAATTGATGTGTCTTCAGCTAGTTCAGGGGTAAAGGTAATCATTCCGTTGACTTTTGAAAAACCTTTTGGGTATTGACTAACAGGTAATACTTCTAACCATTTGGTGTCAATAAATCTAGCTTGAAACTTATCAATAAATTGAATCATTAGCCTTTCTTGAACAGGCTTTGGAATATCAACCTTATATGCTGAAAAGGAATATTCTCCCACATGCATTGGAAGACAATCAATAAAACTTAACGCTATTTTATCAGTCTCAGTATTAATATCTTCAATTTGAACTATTTCCTGCACTCTTGGTACTAATCCCCTAATGGTCTTTGGTGGTTGTTTAGTGTACATCTTAAAATCTTCATCTGGTTGCCAAAGTCTTAGATTTTTAACATTATGAGTAGCATGTAACTCTCCATCCTGTTGCATGTCGAGTATAGCTGTGTTTTCATGCGGTACTTCAATCACCTTATAAGGACCAAAATATAGAGGTTTCATTTTTCGATATGGACCAGCATAAGAGTGCGCTTCACGTTTTACGAGAACGAAGTCTCCAACTTTGACTGTAAATTCACGACGTTTAAGATTGGTATATTTTTCCATTATTGCAGCATTATCCAAAATTTTATCTTGAAGTTGTAATTGAGTTGCTTTTAATTTAATTACAAGATCATCAGCACTTGCGTATCTATAAGGAGTTAATGCGAAAGGTTCATCATAATGAGGTAGTGACAAATACGGTGGCGTTGGATTCCATCCAAGATCTGCTTCAAATGGAGTTTGACCTATGGCGGAATTGAACCTATTGTTATAAGCAAACTCGAGACTGCTGAGTCTCATATCCCACTCCTTTCCATAGTCACTAGCATTTAACAAAAGTGTACGCATTAACTTATACGCATCAGCTTCATTCCTCAATTGTATAGTGGAAGTTCTTAACATTTGATTTAGGGTTTGGTTCGTCCTCTCCGTTTGGCCATCCGTTTGGGGATGGAACGGAGTCAGGAGCTGAAGTCTTACTTTACATAACCTTAAGAAATCAGACCAGAAACCCTTATATCTTACATCTTTATCACAGGTAATAGTTTTAGGTACACCATGTAACTTGATGATGTTATCAATGAACCTCCTGGCTAAGGTTTGACCATTATCATTTTTCGTGCAAGGTATAAAATGAGCACGCTTTGTTAACCTATCTACCACCACCAAAATCATGTTATGGCCTTCACTTGTGGTAGGTATACCTGTTACAAAGTCCATTGTTAAGTGTTCCCAACGGCCGTCTGGAATGGGTAAGGGATGTAAAAGACCGTTGGCTAATTGAGTTGAATGTTTAGAAACTTGACATTCTATACAAGCTTTAACATACCTGTCAATTGTCTCCTTCATATTATTCCAGAAGAAATAACGAGCCATCTCCATATAAGTGACTAAAACACCTGGGTGCTCTAGATATGGAGAGGTATGGTGTTTGTGAATTAGCATCTTTTGGAGTTTGACAGTAGGTATACACAACCTTTCTTCATAATTATCAAAATTATTAATGTTAATGAGATATAAAAATCCATCTTTATAAGTAAAATTAGTGGCATGATGACGAATTAATTTATTAGGTTGTTGTTCTAACTTAAGTGTTTCGAACAATTCTGCAAAGTAAGGATCATCTTTATAAGCCGCTTTAACATTATTATAAAATTCTGGATCAAGAATATTTTCAAAGGTAACTATAATGTTACATTGTTGTGCTTCTAATGATGCCTTCCTAAGATAGTGTTGATAATGATTTTTATCTATAACAGATAATGAATTAAATTGTTCTTCAGGTAAACGACTTAGAGCATCAGCACGATTATGTTCCCCCTTGATATACTCTATCAGGAAGTTAAATTCGGCAAGGAAGGAAAGCCACCTGGCAATCCTCCCGATAGGTTGTTTCTTTTCCCTTAATAAGAACTGAAGTGACTGATGATCTGTTCTTATTAGAAGTTGTCGACCAAGTAGAATATGTCTAAACTTCTTAAGGGTTTTGATTATTGCCAAAAATTCTTTCTCCCTGACAGTATAATTTAATTCTGCACCTTGTAAACTTGCTGAATAATATGCTACTACGCCCACTGGCTTATTTGTGGTTTCCCCAGCTGCTTCAATAGTCGCACCAATAGCTGATTGACTCGCGTCAGTAGTAACAATATATACACGATTGGGTAAGGGACTTATTAATATCGGAGCTTCTTTCAATTTTAACTTCAATGTTTTAAAACTTTCATCTTGTTCAGTGCCCCAATCTGCCTTACCATTTGAATAGTCATATAAAGGTTTAGCTATAACAGAATATGCTTTAATAAACCTTCTATAATATCCTACAAAGCCCAAAAACAGTGATGCCTTTTTGGGTGTAGTGATATCTGGCCAATTTTGGACTGCTTCTACTTTGTCTTTAGAAGTATGAATTCCAGATGCATTGATCGTATGACCAAGAAATTGTATACTATGTTTAAAAAATTCACATTTCAGACGCTTAGCAACCAACCTATATTCCTTTAATTTATCAAGTATCAATCTGACGTGTTCATTATGTTTCTTAGCAGTAGGACTGAAAATTAATATGTCATCAATATATACCAAGCATATTTTCCCAATATACGGAGACAATATATTATTCATATAACGTTGAAAAGTAGCTGGAGCATTGGTCAATCCGAATGGCATGACATTCCACTCGAATAGACCGTTATACGTTACAAATGCAGTTTTATAACGATCCTGCTCAGCTACTGGAATTTGGTGGTAGCCACTAAACAAATCAAGCTTCGAGAAGAAACTTGAATGGGCTATAAGGTTCAACTCATCCTCAATATTGGGTATCGGATAGTTGTCCCTCCTAGTGACTAAATTCAATTTCCTATAATCAACTACCAACCTTTTCTGATTCATAGCTTTATCTACTAAGAAACCAGGACTGCTAACGTTAGAGTGACTTTTCCTGATGAATCCTCTTTCTAACAATTCATTAATTTGTCTATCAAATTCAGGCCTAAGATGAATTGGTGGTCGATATGGATGTAATTTTGGCAACTGAGCTCCAGGTATTAATTCAATATTATGATAATAATTCAGTTGCTTGGCTGTTTGTAATGGAGGCTGCGTCAGTACGACCATCTTATAATCTTCTAAGATTTTGTTTACATCTGCAGTATATGGATCAGCCGAATTGTAATCTTGAATCGCTTCGGAAGTAAGATACGGATCTTGAATAAACCTTACCGGTACTTTCAATAGTGTTTGAGATTCTTCCCTAGAATCATTAGTTACAATCTTTCCTTCAGTTACATTATCTTTCACTTCCAAAAGCACTATTTGTTCTACCGTTTCTTGATTAATAGTATTCGAAGTAGTGGAATCCTCAGATATCCGAGATACGTTTCCCAGATTAAAAATATCTAATTGCGGTGGTAACTTAAGATACATTTCACAAATTTCCTTTCCAAGTATAATTCCATAAACAAGAGAATCGCAAACGAAAAATTTCAATTCCTTCCCAGTTTCCTTCCAAGTTAATACTACACTTTGTGTCAACTCAATTGGTCTATCACCATTTCCCATTTGTAAAAACACTGGATCAATTTTATTTATTGTTTTATTTAAGGGGATGTATATACTATGAATGAAATTAGATGTTGCACCACTATCTAAGATAGCAGTGTACCTCTCGCTGTTATCCGCCAAAGTGAATGGGACCTTTATTAAATTAGTAGTATTAGGATCGTTGGAAAGAATGGAAAGGCGTTGTTGTTAGGATGAACGATTGCTGTTATCTCTCCGGTTGTTGTTACTATTATTACGATTATTATGATTGGAATTGGAATTATTATTATCTTTATCTTTCTTTCTTTGAAGAGTATAACAATTATCGATGGTATGTCCCTTCTTCTTGCAATAGGAACATACCTGCTTGGATTTATTATTATTTGATCTGGAATTTTGGTAATTATTGTTATGATTATTCCCCTTGTGTTTCTTGAACTTTCCAGAATTATTTCCATTGTTATGGTTATCTTCATTTTTCCTTTTAAAGTTTCCACGATTATTCATCTTGAAATCTTCACCCTGTAAAGGTTCCAAGTTTTGAAGATCGTCCAATGTTTTAATCTTATCAAAATACGAACCTCCGTATACATTACTATACTGTCCCCTCATATTAGAACGAACAATATCTAAAAATGGCTTCCAATAAACGTCTTGATCAGCCTTATCAAAACAATAAAAAATATCAACCATTTTAGCAATATATAACTGAAGTGATTGAGTTTGAGTGGTTTTTCTGAGCTTTTCCAAAACTTCTGGATTTCCCCGTTGGTAATAAAGCTTTTTGAACCTTCTCAAGAATTCTTGAACTAAGGGAACTCCAGTGAACTGATTTCTTCTCAATTCCTTACAAACCATTCTCAACCAAGCTCCTGCTTCCTTTGGATCAAATAGATCTCTGGCCAACTCACCGACATCTTCCGGTCTAAGATCATAAGAACTATGTTTAGCTAAAGCCATAAGTTGATCTTCCAAACGATCATAAACTGCCATAACTTCAATTGGTTTCTTTCCATCAAATTTCTCCAGTTGATACATGTTTTCGTTACGTTTGTAAAACTGTTCTCTGTTAAAGTGTGGACGAGAATTTGAATTACCATTACCATTACCAGTTTCAGTGACAGTATTATTAGCATTAACCGTTGTTGTGTCATTTGTATTAGTATTTGGATGACTAAGAACAGGATTGGAAGAAGAAGAAGCAATTGGTGTATCAAGAGCAGCAACAGTTTCAGTCCTTGATTCATTTGGAACAGTCCTAAAGACAGGACGTTCGGTGGAAGGTGGTGTTGTTTCCCTGGATGAAGACATTGAAATGAGATTAGATAATTACTTTAAGGCTACAAGAAGATTCCACAGAAATCGCACCAATGCAAGGCTTCTGACTTGGGATGTGGAGATACTAGTGGTGTATAGGTTGCAAATAATAATTTGTGGTAGAATAAAGTCAGCCTTACGATTGATTACAATTTATAGTGTTCACTATCTTGTTACAATATATTCAAAATAATTAAAAGTAATTATATGATATAAAAACAGTAAAAACGTTCGTTCTAAAAACTTCTTCTTATGAAACCTTTTCAAGGGATATTTAGTTCTTTATATACTTTTCCAAGAACAATGACTTTTGGATTACTCCTCTTTTCATTTTTAGAAATGAATGACCAACTTAGTTACAATTATATTTTCTCCAACTTTAATCCTTAAAACCAAAGTGGTTTAACAACCATTCGTATTTCACAACTTAGAAAATCTTATCACATGATTAAAGCTCGTGACTCTTATATGCCTGACGACTGTCGAGTCCTAGCATTTTCAAGAAATTGCCTGCGTAGCGTAATGGTTAACGCGTTTGACTTCTAATCAAAAGATTCCGGGTTCGACTCCCGGCGTGGGTTCCATATTTCTTCTTGCGGTTTTAGCTCAGTTGGGAGAGCGTCAGACTGAAGATCTGAAGGTCCTGTGTTCGATCCACAGAAATCGCATCTATATTTTTTTGCAACTTTTGAATACATTTTTTATATTAAAATGAAGATGATAATACTATCTTTATAAGAACGATTAAATAATAAAGATGTGGATAATACATATATAGAAGAGAAAAATATAAATTATAATTAAAAGAATGAATTAAATCTCAATAGACTTTGAAATAGATACTAACCCTCTATCTCTATTAGCCCAACTTACATAATTAGGACTGTAATGCAATAACTCGTCGTATGCGGGAATTGCAGCTATAACACCGTCTTCAGTTGCTAATGGAGCTAAATCGGCCCAGAAACAATTAATACTAACGGCAAGTTTATTTGAAGTTGCGTCTTCAACTAAATTAGGTACCCATTGAACTGCAACATGATAATCTTTGGTCCAAGAAAGTTTGTTTAATTGAAGTTCATTGATACCATTAAGATCTTTGAAAATGTAATTACCCTTTTCATCTCTTGAATACCCTTCTGGAATAGCTTCTATATTGAGTTCTTGAGGTAATACGTTAGAAAGATTGGATTTCGTTTTATCGTCATAAACGATCACAGTTTTGACTGGAACATCTTTATAATTTGAACCTTCTGAATTTGAAGTAATTGCATTCTTGAAATTTAATACACACATTCTATTCTTTGGAGCTTTAATTTTGAATTCACCAACCAAAAATCCGAATGGATGATCAGTACCTGAAGAAGAGTTCTTAAGAACATCAATTTGTAAATAATCATTGAAATCACTGATACCTTCCACAAAATGAGGTGGTAAGCTACTTTTATAAGAACAGACTTGATTTCCATCAGTTAAGGCAGTACAATTGACACTGTCATTAGATTCCTTAAGTGAAGGAACATCCAGAAGAACATCACTTAATGGAGTACCTACTCTACCGTATACGTTAACAAAACTATCAGAGCCAGATAAATTCAAATCAACAGTTTGGATGAATCTTACTTTAAGAGGATTTAATTGATCAAAAGGTTCAGTGATGGCAGCTAAGAAAACTCCTGAAGCAACAATAGTTAATAAACCAAGAACAATGATTCTATTTAATTTGAAAACAAAAGGTAAGAATGGAAGTGACCAAGCAACTGAAAAGACAAGAATGAATTTGTAAATTAAGAATTCTGAAGCCAATGATTCTTGGATTGATTTATGAATACCATCAATGATTAAAAATCCTGAATTGTAAATAAGTAATGAAGAAAGTGGAACAACGATAAGAAATTGGATTGACCAATCATAACTAAAGAATTTCTTTAATTTTTCATGTCCAGCAAAGAGATCTTCCTCATCAAAAGATAAAGATGAAGAACCCAGGAATCTTGGTTCACCTTCTTCAGAACCATAACTTACCCCTTGATCAGATAAAAGAGGTTGTGATTCTTCAGAAACTTCAACAATGGTTGGTTTCTTTGATGATTTCAAACTCCATCCGATAAATCCAAAAATAGATGCCACAGCTTGGAGCAAATATAAGAATAAAAATGGGAATTCACCAGAATGATCATCTCCAATTTTATTATCAGCAAGTTTTATAGTTGACCAGATTAAAATGATTTTATAAAGAATTGAGATTTCAAAAAGAACAATCAATTTTTCATCATGATTAATCACTTTATATCCGTTCAATGCATTGAACAAGTTAAGTACAATATAATTACTTAATAAAAATATAGCTGAATAAGTAACAACCAATAAGCCGGCACCAGAGTTTGGTAAGAACTCATTATATTCAACCGTCTTTCTAACAACTTCATGAAGAGCAACTAATGAAAGTACAACTGATAATGGGAATTTGATAACATTTAAAAAGCTAACTTTCCAAACTTTTTTATAACTGAAAATAATGAGTAAAAATGGAATCTCAATAATTGGAACAATTAATAAAGTTGCGACATTGACAATGAAAACTTGAGATACTGGGAAAGCAAAGAAATAGTTCAAGAAACTGCTATAAGCAGCAACATCATGACTATAATTGGCAGTTTCATGTTTAAGATATTCATCATCTAAATCAATTTGTTGACTTGATACGATATCAGTGAAATCCAATGAATTGGCAAGCATGTGCCATAAAGCTTTTATATTTATATTCTTAATGTTATCACCACCAGTATGATAGATATCTCTAGGTTTGTAAAAGGCAAGATCAAGACCTCTAATGGAACCCTTTTCTTTATAAACCTTGTAATCAGTTTCACTATGGATAAGATGATTGTTAAACCCTTCTTGAAAAATTGAGGTACCATAAGGATATCTTACATCTTTAAAGAATTTAACAATTCCATAATCGGTAGCTCTGAATAAAATGGCTTTACCACCTGCACCTGTACCTTCTAAATTTAAAAAGTATTTAATTTGTTCAAACCATGGATGTGATAAGAATGAAGTTGCACCATAAAGACCGAATTCTTCATTATTATTGAAATTAAAGATAATAGTACGTTTTGGCTGAGCAGTAGTGTTTTCGGAATAATGATATAAAACCCCTAATAAACTAGCAATACCCATACCATCATCAGTAACACCAAAACTTGATGGGACTGCATCATAATGAGCACTAAGTAATAAAGCAGGTAAAGTGCTATCAGAACCATTAATTCTAACGATTAAATTATTACTTTCATAATATGAAACAGAACTGTATTCAGGGGAAGATCTTGTACTAAATAAGATGGAATTTGTACCATTTAAGTCATTATCATATTCGATATAAGCTTTACCTTTGATAGCAGAAAGGATTTGAGATTGAAGATAATCATGAACATAATCATTACTAGTAGAACCATAAGTATGTTCATATTTAGCGATTTTTTGTAAGTCAAACCAAGCTTCATCAAGTACTAGTTTTTCCTTTGGGTCTGTTGGTAAGGCAACAGAATAATCCAAATTATTATCATACCATGAAAATAAGAAGGTAAACACTAAAGATAATACCACGAATAAAGTCAAGGTGGTCTTACGATATCCAAATACAGTTCGTATGAATCTTATAAATATATTAGGGGTATCAGACTTGGTAGCAGGTGTGGCATCCAATGTTTGCTGTTGTTGCTGTTGCTGTTGTTTGTTCAAAGTTGGATGAGTGATATCAGTATTCAAACTTTCTTGTCCAGAGTAACCTGGCACGTCTCCTTCAGACATCTTTGACAAGTTAAATTATCAATTGAATAAACTAATGATACAATTGTATGGTCATTTCATTTCAATCAAAACATAGTTATCTCTACAGTTTTTTCCTATTTTTACAATGGCGGAGCACGACCCTCTTTCTCTCTCTTTGTTCCCTTTTCCTTCCTAAATAAGAATCTGAAATTAATCCGCACTCGTTTTGACAGGCAATTCTTATCAGTTGTTGATGAATAGCCTTTAATAGTATAGTAATATGGAGAATAATAGTATCACCTTGTAGCCATCGAACATGATAATGGTATAATTAACTAATATGATATATAATATATTTACAAATGATAATAATTACTGTTATTGGTTCAATCACGTGATCAATTATTAAGTAAGAAGCGGCTCTAGAATTTAATTTAAAGGACCATAAATGTTTGGAAAATTTTCCACCTTAAACGAGGGACCCCACTAAATCAGCTAAGGAACAAGAATCATCTTATATCAACAAGATGACTGGGTTTGCTCCTCTAAAGAATGACTTGATCCTTAGAGCTGCTAAGGGGGAAAAGGTTGAAAGACCACCTATCTGGATTATGGTATGTTTTCCATTGGTTATGTTTTATCTAAGTGACATGTGAAATACTAACCAAATCAATTATTATAGAGACAAGCTGGTCGTTATCTTCCAGAATATCATGTTGCCAAAGGTAATAGGGATTTCTTTGAAACTTGTAGAGATGCTGAAATTGCATCAGAAATCACAATTCAACCTATCGAACATTTTAATGGCTTAATTGATGCCGCAATCATTTTTAGTGATATTTTAGTGATCCCTCAAGCTATGGGATTCGAAATTGAAATGGTCGAAGGTAAAGGTCCAGTTTTCGTTTCTCCAATCAGAACTCCAGCTGATTTAGCTAGAGTTAATTATAAACCAGATGTTTTAAAGAGTTTAGACTGGGCTTTTAAGTCTATCACCTTAACCAGACACAAATTAAATGGTAGAGTACCATTATTGGGTTTTGTTGGTGCACCATGGACATTATTAGTTTATATGACTGAAGGTCAAGGTTCCAAAATGTTTAGATTTGTCAAAGAATGGATTTATAGTTACGAAGAAGAAACTCATAAATTATTACAAGCTATTACTGATGCTTGTATTGAATTCTTAGCTCAACAAGTTGTTGCAGGTGCTCAAATGTTACAAGTTTTCGAATCATGGGCAAGTGAATTAGGTCCAAATGAATTCAATGAATTCTCTCTTCCTTACTTAAAACAAATCGCTCACAAATTACCCCTTAGACTTAAAGAACTTGGTGTTACTGAAAAGATTCCTTTAACTGTATTTGCCAAAGGTGCTTGGTACGCTTTAGATGATTTATGTGATTCTGGTTATGATACCGTCTCATTAGATTGGTTATATAAACCAGAAGATGCTGTAAAAGTCGTAAATGGTAGAAGAATCACCTTACAAGGTAACTTAGATCCAGGAACCATTTATGGATCTGATGAAGTTATCAGTAAGAAAGTTGAAGCTATGATTAAAGGTTTTGGTGGTGGTAAACAAAATTACATTATCAACTTTGGTCATGGTACTCATCCATTTATGAAACCAGAAAAAATCGAACATTTTTTGAAAGAATGTCATAGATTTGGATCTCAATAGATGTTTCATAGAACTTTTTATCTTGTAATTATAGTATTTAGAGTTTTTGTATTAGTTTTTTAGTAATATATTGACTCATCCAGACTCATTTTTTTATGGTAGCGAAAAGACTGAAAAAAAGTGCTAAAAATAAAAATAAAGTGTATAGCGATTATCAAGATCAAGGAATAGACCAAAAGTCGAAGAAAGCTTAACAATGGAGTCAAAGATTCCCAGTAAGGATCAATTATACATATTTGACTTGTCAGAGAAAGTAGTCAAGTCATTGGAATTACTTTACTTTGACTCCGAAACTCTGGAAGAAGTACAGTTAAAGACAGATGGCAAACCAGAAGAAGTATCTGTCAGCAAAACACCACAATCATCAAAGCCAAAAGATGTCAATTATTATAAATCAGATCTTCACAAGTATAACTTAAAGAGAAATGTTCTTGGATTGCCCCCATTAACAGAAGATGAGTTTGATGAAGTATTGGAAAAACAATCTATCGAAAGTTTATCTGGATCAGAAAGTGAAGCCGAAGAAGATGACGAAGAAGAAGATGAAAAAGTTGACCAAAACGAACTCAAGTTGAAAGCATTGATTTCTAAATTAAGTTTAAATACAGATTCTGATGAACGTGGATCTGTTAGCTATTTGAATACCAAATCACCGTTCATATTATTCAAATCCAATCTTTTATCATCAGATTCAGCATTTGGAGCATACAAGTCATTGTTTTCGAATAGTGAATTATTAAATAGTCCCTTAGAAGCATTAAAAGGATTTTCCAAACTTAAGGAAAAGAAATCAGCTTTATTTATGATTGGTGGTGGTCATTTTGCAGGTGCTATAATATCACATAAACAGAAGAGCACCAAGGGAAACGCTCCAAATATGAAAGTAACTAAAGAAGAGCAAGCAGTTGATATACTAACATCCAAAACATTTCATAGATATACCACAAGAAGAAAACAAGGTGGAGCACAAAGTGCAAATGATAACGCCAAGGGGAAAGCAAACTCTGCTGGGGCCGGTATAAGAAGATATAATGAGCAAGCATTGATAACAGAAATCAGAGAATTATTACAAGAATGGAAAAGCTACTTACTGGAATGTAGCTCCATATATATCAGGGCCAATGGTGCTGCAAATAGAAAGATATTGGTTGGTTATGAAGGGTCTGTATTGCAAAATGATGATGCAAGAATAAAGAGTTTTCCATTTACTACCAAAAGAGCAACGACTTCCGAGCTTAAACGTGCATGGATTGAGTTGACTTATTTAAAGCCAGTAGAGCTTCCAAAAGTTAACGAGAAGTTGAAAAAGAAACTAGAAACTGAAAAGCTTCAAGTTCAACAAAGTGGTAAAGATAAGCCGAAAACCCCAGAACCATTATCAATTGATGAAACACATTCCATAGAGATAATAAACCTATTAAAAAAGCAAAAAGCGCCTAAGTTGTTAAGTTATGTGAAGCAAAATAAAATATCAGTGAATGAATTCAGACTCAAGCCCGATTCAAAATACATTGCAACCCCTACTTTATTACACTACGCTTCAGCTAATTCATTAAATCACATGGTTCAAATCCTACTAGTTAATTTGAAAGCAGACCCAACATTATTTAACCAGGTCAACAGATATCCTATAGAAGTTGCCAGTGATATAACAACCAGAAACGTTTTTCAAATTTGTAGACAAAAGCTTGGAGAGGATTATTGTGATTGGGATTCAGCTAAGGTAGGTCCACCTAAATCAAAAGAAGAATTTGAAAGTGAAGAAAAGGCTGAAGCTGAAAGAATAAAATCAGAGAAACAGCAAAGAATTAAAGAAGAACTTGCTAGGAAAACTGAACTTGAGATGAAAAAACCATCAATTGTTTCAAGCGGAAGCTTGGGTGGTTCTCGCGGATTAATTAATGACTTAAATTCTCTTTCTGAAGATCAAAAGCTCAGAATAATGAGAGAACAAAGGGCTCGTGCTGCAGAAGCTAGGTTTAAGCAATAAGTCTAGATTAAACTTTATAGATCTATAAATATATATTAATGGTAGCGCCTTATTCATCCGTGTTTAAATCTTCAGCAGATTCTGATACTTTAGACATTATGTATGATAATGGATATTGATTACCACCTGGTTCATATCCATCTATCTTTTTGAGGATTGACATCAACACTTTATCATTCATTTCGATAAGCTTTTGATGAGGATCAATATGTCTATATTGATTTAAGCTATTTCTTATAATTCTCTTTTTTGCAACATCGATATTATCACCTAATTTTTGATGTAATTCTAAAGCTGACACCCATGAGCCTTGTCTTACGGCATCGCTTGCTTCATCATCATCACCTTCAGTTGATTCCTCCACCACTTCTGATTCGTCACTTTCATGTTGGTATGATCCATCACCTGTACAATCACATTCAATTAAATCATGGGTATTTGAAGTTGTTGAATAATCTACCTCGAATAAATTTCGAAGATCTTCAGAATCAAAAACATCGTTAACTGACTTCACATCATCATCCATAAACTTTGAACTTAAGTTGTTTTTCATAATTTGACGTTGGAAGATCTTTTCATCGATACAACCAGTAGTCAAGATTCTGTATATAAAACATGGTTTCATTTGACCATCTCTATGAATTCTTGCCATTGATTGTAAATCAATAGAGGGGTTCCAATCATTATCGAATAAGATCAATCTTGAAGCACCAACTAAGTTAATCCCCATTCCTCCAGATTTTGAAGACAATAAAAATACCTTAATATTGGCAGATCGATTGAAGTCATTGATTAACTTATTTCTTGCTTGCTTTGGAGTCGAACCATCCAATCTTAAGAAGTTTATGTTCAATGCCTTTAAGATTTCGTTTTCTAATAAATCAAGTGTTTTGGTGAAGTTTGAGATTAGAACAATCTTTTCATCTGCTTTGATAATTTCAAGCAACAATGGAATTAAAATGTTGATTTTACCCGAAAGTTTGTCAATTTTGATTCTACTCAACTCTTCATTCTCTGCTTTCAACTTATTGAACAAGTCATCGTTCTTTAACAATAGTGGCGAGTTACAAATCTTTCTAAAGGTGTTAATCAAGGCTAATGAATTATTAGAATTTTCAGACAGGAACAACAATTGATTAAAATTCTTTAAATTCAAGATAGTTTTAAAGATCTTAACTTGCAGTGGTGTTGGCTTAACATACAATATAATATCAGTCTTTATAGTCAAGTAATTATTCAATAGTGATTGATTCCGACGAAGGGTGAACTTCTTAGTAAGATCTATTAATTCATTTGATAATTCTTCACCTTTCTTTTTAATCTTTGGATCTAAACAATTAATTTCTCTGGATTTCTGAATTGGAAGTAAGTAATTTCTTTGGAAACTTTTAAATTCTCCTAATATACCAGGATTTATAAAATCAATAATTGTGAAAAACTCAGTTAGATTGTTCTGAATCGGAGTACCAGTTAATAAAATCTTCTTCGTAACATTCAACGTTTTCAAATTCTTTAAGATCTTTCCGGTATTGTTCTTTAATTTATGTCCTTCATCACAAACCAACAAGTCAAAATGTACTGTCGATAACTCCTTTATGTGACTCGATACCTTCTCATAATTTATAATCAAAACTTGATAAATATTGAACTTACCAAAACTTATAATGTTCTGTTTTTCTTTTTCATTATTTACATTTAATGAATTAAAGTCAAGAATTCCGATTTTGTTTAACCCCAACCATTTTTTAAACTCGTTTCTCCAATTGTTAATTAAGGTCGCCGGACAACAAATCAAAATCTTATTAATTATTGGCTTTGGCTGGCGTTTAAAGGGACTCTGTTTATACAAGGTCCAAATTAATGCAATAGTAGTTAAAGTCTTTCCTAGCCCCATCTCATCAGCCAATAGACTCCCTGTTCCTTTATAATCTCTAAACCCCATTAAACATTCATACAAGAAGGTTACTGCTTCTACTTGATGCGGTCTTAATTTGGATGCTAAATGGGGATCTATTAAAACTTCGACGATTTCAGAAGAAGCTAAGCTGGGTGGTGGAGGTAAAGCAATTGCTTTAGGATTGTCGTATAAGGGTTTCCTAAGGTCTTGTATGCTTTCATTTTCTTTTTCAGTAGTATCCGATTTAGATGTCTCTATTAATGGCTTCACAGCTTTAAACTGGGATTGTACAACAGGAGCCATAGTAACTGGAGATTGTGAATGTGTTTCGTTATCAATTTCTTCTCCTATGATCTTTTTGAATTCAGCATCAGACTTTATTTTATAATCAACTTCAAGCTCTATTTGACCAATTACGATAACTGAGCTTAAGAACTCATCGATATCATTAATGTTATTGAACGACTTTTTTATTGATTGGTTGGTTTCCAAGTTCTTGAAATTGATAATGTAGGAGTTGTCAGAAGTCTCATGTTGATGAACTACTATGTAACCATCACCATCCCAAGTCTTATTCTTCTTATTAGTTCTTTTCCTCCATTGGACAGTATATCGATCTTTCAGTGCATAATTCTCATTTGACAGTTGAGAAGAATGCGGTACAGGACTCGAGCTAAGCTTTAACTTCTTCACTTCATTGACCTTTAAAGAATTACTAAGAGTTTTCCTCTTCAATTGTTGTGGTACTTCAGGTTGCAGTTGTTGAATAGGAACAGGACGGGGTGATGATCGAACAGGTTCAGCAGCTGGTGAGGAACTATTATCACTCCTTATTAAACGAGGTGCTTTGAATGGAGCATTAGGTCTTGAATTATACATCGAATATGGGATCTCTTATATGTTCATCGTTTAAGATACTAACTGATAGATCTAAAGTAAATGAATGAAATATTCAGAAAAAGGTAAACAACGCGGTTATACGCGCAACAAAATTCTAGACATACTAAATAGTTTACAGTGTGATACTAACTAAAATGGAGTGTCTATATATTTGATTTATTAATTAACTATATGATATTAGAATACTAGACCATGCTTATAGCATAAATGAGTTTGTAGTTTTTAACCTAACCTGAAACTTATAAATAAGGTAAAACAGATATTGATGAATAAAGGAGAAAAAATAGGAGATATTAAAATAGGGGTTGACAAAGTAGAGATATTGTCTCTATATATGCAAGTATTCAACATATGAACAAGGAAACAATTAAGGAGTTGAATGACGAAATGAAAGATGATGTTGTATGTTCTAATACATATCTTAAATGCGATTATACGCATATCTGATGAATAAAAATGAACATAGTGAGTAAAGATGTTGTTATTGAATTGGAGATACAGGGACATAATCAGCTTTTTAAAGCTTCTAATGGAGATTCAGTATCAACACCGAATATATAATAATAAGCTCTTGAAAGTGAAAACATTATGGTTGATGGTAAATAAGAATAGATACTCCAACCAATCAACAAAGTGAAGGATAACAACACAATATGTAACATGAAACTTTCAGTTGAGGTTAACATGACATAAGGGAAGTGATGATAATACATCTGATATATCTTTTTAGCGGAAGGCATTTTGTTTATTATTGATTATGATTGTTGATGAATTGATATGACGTAAAAACTCAAAGTAGACAGACAGAACTTTCAAGAAGAACAAGAAACTAAAACAAACACACTTAAGGAAGGAATCAGTTCAATGACCAAGTATTTTATATGATGTGATAACCTGTTGGAATCGATGTGCTATCAGCTAATAAATGTAAAAGCTATCATCAAAAGTTACTTTCTCTCAGTTGACTTTTAAACATGAAAATATTGAGTGAGTTATATACAGGAACAGCCAAATTTGATACCATCACAATTGTAAAAAAATTAACAGCCAAAATCGATCTGATAGGAGTAGATGTAGAGGATGACGGTATGAGCCATGAAGCCAGAAAATGAATCAGAAGAAGTTATATTGGTAGATATGGGGAAGATAAATGATCTCAAGAAACTGCTTATTAGTTTAAAGCCAGTATTGATCGAACCCACGGAGATCAACCAAGATTTCCAATTTTTGTATCATCAACTTCAAATAATTCATAAAGATGGAGGTTTGAATGATGGCAATTTAACTCTATTTAATGATACGATATCCATTTGCATACTTAGAATAACACAAATTATTAAGTTGAAAACTTCATTCAAGTTTGACCAAGTCAATTTGGATGAAATATTTGATTATATATTGCAATACATCAATAATTCTTCAAATCCATTATTCAATTCATTACAAGCATTGTTCAATAAGTTGATTGATTTCATTAGCATATCCCAAGGGAATTCATTTCCACAAATACTATCACATTGGGTAACCATTATATTTGATAAAAATACAAAAGAAAATAACCAGATCATAATCTTGAATAAGAATTCATATTTCATTCTCAACATCATCCTTAAGAGACTTTCAAACTTAAAGCATATAATCAATGATCACGGGAACTTCATTTACAATGCTATAGACTTACTATCCTTAGACACATTAGCCAATATCATTGCTAAAACTATAATTATGATCTTCAATGATTCATATGTCAAAAATGAAGATGCTACCTTGTTTGAAACTTGGTTTCCATTTATTTCATATGGGTTAAACTCATCTAATAAGAAAGTCATACAAAATATTCAAACTTATGTGCTTCCATCATTATTTAAGACCAGTCCCCAATTCTTGAATTTGCTAATTGACCATTATCTCCTTTTAGATGGGAAAACTGATATAGTTATAAGTTTATTGACTATAGGACAGAATTTATCGTTAGTCGACCCACTTACCTTCATTGAAGAAAAAGTACTTCTTGGATTTTTGACTCATGAAAATCCAACGTATAGGATCAATAGTCTTGATATTTTATTGGGTGGTAATACTTCAATCAATAGTCCTCCTATACCTTTGAAGATATTTCAGATCATTAAAGATAACTTTTTAATAGATACATTTTTAAATGATGAAGAGATTGAGATCAGAAATCAATTTATATCCACCATGAATCAATTTATCAATTTGCGATTCAAAAACTCAATCTCAAACCTAAAAAAAACATATAAGAAGAATGAAGAGGATCAAGAAGTGAATGCTTCAATCAGGGCACATGAACAATTTTTAGATTGGTTAGAGCATCATCTATTAAGTTTCTTGAATATTACAAGCAGCTATAGTCAATTAATTACCAGTTTAAAGTTAATAGAAATCATTGCGATTAGAATTCCTGATATTACCAATTTATATAAAAATTCCCATTTTTTGAAATTACTAATTCATAATCTTTTTAACGATTATGAGAACGTGAGACAGTTGAGTTTAAGTCTATTAATTAATAAGGTTCATTCGGAGCAATTGAAGCAAGAGTTCAACGAACTTGGATTCAATAATCTTGCTTTAATTGAGGACGTGTATCCTATTCTTCATGACTTGTCCGGAAGAAAAAGTGAAGGTGGTGCAAGATTTATCGAATATATTGCCCAAACAAAGCTTATAATCTTCAAAGATGAGGCCTTCGTAGTATCTTTGATTGATAAGATTTTAGATTACATGTCTAGAAATAGTAAGACAGATGACTGGAGCTATTCAATGCATGGATTTTTCAAGTGTCTCAACTTGATTATCTTAAATTGGAACCAGGACTTTTATTTGAATAATAAAGACTTGGTAACCAGATTATATCTAACAATTTATAAAATTTCAAAGGGATCATGGGATTATTATGTCGAAAATATACTAGGAAACAGTAACCTTAATGATATTGAAGAGGACGAGGAAGATGATTCTTCTGACTTAAGCTCAAGCTCCGGATGGAAATCAATCAAAGAATCAAATCTATTATTGACGAATTTGTCAGTGAATCTTAAAATTGCAACTGAAATAATACCTGCTGATCATATTCTTGATGTTCTTAATCTTATCAAAGAACAATTAGAGAAAATCAATCACAGAGGTACGTTTTCTTCCATTTATCCATCCTTCATCTTGATTTGTAAGTCCTGTTTTGAAAGTGACCAATACAAGCATGTTCCAAAGGATTGGCTCAGCAATATTCTTACCACAATTGAATCAGAAAATGATAAATACATTTCAAGACGTTCAGGTTCAATACCGTATTTAGTATCAGGGATTTTGATAGGAAATATTATGTCAGGTAATTCTGAAAGGTTATTCATTCCTACATTTGATACATTATTTGCTATTGCAAAAAGACCTTACGTTCATAAACATAACGAAGCATATGATATCCCCCAAGTTCATGCATTTAACTGTTTGAAGCAAATGTTTCAAGAAAGTCCTTTATCAAAGGAGTGTTTGAAATATATACCAGCTGCCTTAAGACTTAGTTTAGAGCATTTCACATCCGATAATTGGTCAGTTAGAAATTGTGCAGTGATGTTATTCAGTGCTATTCATCATAGATTATTTGGAGGTAATACAAAGGGAGCATCTCTTTATCCTGCCGATTTGTTTTTCAAAAAGTTTGAAGGAATAGATGCAGTGTTGGAAAACTTTTTGAATATTGCTCTTGAATCTAAACAAAATGATAGATATGTTCCAATGTTGCTTTTATTAACAAATTTGAGCTTTCCAACAAAAGTGAATGACAAGACTATCAAGACCATTAAAAGCATTATACCATCTATTCTTGAAAATAGTGCTTATAAGATCAGGGAAATGGCAGCTAGATCGATTGCTAATTCATTTGAAAGCTCAGAAATTTGGCAAATATTCGAATCACTGATTAAAGCATGTCAAACAAAAAATAAAAATCATATCCATGGGCTCTTGTTGATGGTATTGGAAAATATTAATAATTTCAAATCTGATTCATTGAGAGATGCTGTCAAGAGATTTATGTATATCAAGCACGATTTTATCTTGGGCTGTAAGTGCTACGCTATCACAAAGGTGTATGCTGACATCTTGATTTCATTGTTTCATGATGGTTGTGATTCGTCTCTAATCAATGTAATGGGAAATTATTTCATTGACGAAGTGACAGATGAATCATCCAACCTAAAGGGTGGAAAAGACTTAGCTACTTCAAGTGTTGCTACCTTCCTTCTACAACAATACTTGATTCAAGATCAAATGGAGAATTTTACTGATGTTGTAGAGCTAGGTCTTTCATCATCAAAAAGTTATGGTACACAAGTCACTATTCTTCAACTTCTTGAAAGTAAATGGGATATTGTTTCTAAGGATGCTAGTCTCTTGTCTAGATTGAGCATGGTGCTTTGGACAATTATAGATACGACTTATTCTTGGCCGTATGTACAAGTATTTGCTTTGGATATTTTTAAGAGGCTTGATATTACTTCTGAAAGACAATTTACAGTAATTAAACAGATATCCGATCAAGATCCAAATGAAAATAAGAGGTGGAAAGCCTTAGAGAGCTTAGGAAGATCATTAAAGTCTGGAAGTCACCATAGTAGCTTAGATTTTCTTGCCAAATGTTCCGATGGCCCTAAAGAAGAAAATCCATTTCAATCGAGAGAAAGTGCCTTAAAAAGTTTAGTATCGTTCTGTAGCCATGGTATGATTGAATTGGAAGGATTTACAAGAGCATTATTTCTAATTATATCAAAGGGATTATACGATGAAGATGGAGATTTGCGTTCTATTTCAGGTGCCTTATTATCCAGGCTTTTGAAGTCGGATCACCCAATAGCATCAACAAATTTATCCAAATTAGACTTCAAAAGAATAATACCTCATTCTGAGATCAAATTATTTAATGAATTAATTTTAAAGGAGATCTTAGATAATACAATGTCATTTGTTGATATTGCCAACCTTCAATATGAATCGTCAACACCAAAACTATTTGAAATTGAGACACACAACTTGTATAAAAATGAAATACAGGCAATTCAGGGTTACTCATCATCGATTATTATTGGTGAAGGTGTTGAACAAGGTTATCAATTTGGTCTCTTAGAATCAAAGATATTATCAGACATATTAGTTCTTCAAAAGCAAAGCTTCCTTTCAAAAGGAACTATAATAGAATTAGTGAGAAATCCAACTCTAAACAAATCAATTTTGATAACTATAACAATTGCAGAAGTCTGGTTAAGTAAGTACCCCAACCATACCATCCAAACTGAACTTCAACTGCTTAAATCGAATTTACAATTTTATGATTATATATTCACCGACGCTACCAATCCAAAGCATTTAACCTAAACCCTCCTCCCAAAATTTTTCATTGCGGGTAACTGAGATGGATTTTGAAAGCACTAAAAAAATTTTTTTGTTGTTAAAACAAAATTTATATTATTACTATCTTTCTTTATCATCAACTATAATGAACTATTAAGTTTATTAAGGAAAATGGTATGTTTTTAACGATATGATAACGGTTGAATGAATGACAAGATGAACTCAACAGCAAATACTTTTTTGTGATGAACACCTATACACAACTACAACGAATTTCTTCACCTGAAATACCATGTGGAAACAAATATACAGAGCTTTTTAACACTGATCTAAAAGTAAATGCTAATGGAGATTCTTCTTTGATTTCATTCGAACATGATTTGTAAATAATTGAATAAAGTACTAACTTTAAATACGTAGTTCTTGTAAATATTTTCATTTAATAAACATAATAGATTATTCAAAATTGAGTTTTTAAAACTATTGTAGATTATAATAGACTAGCGTTAATAGGACATACCATTGACATAGAGCAATGTATAACAGGCTTTTGACTCGTTACTTTTTGAGTTGATATTATCATTGTTGATAGTATTTTTAAAAGCAAATGCTTTTTTATCTCATCTAGAAAAAAAATGTATAATGTAGAACAGTATTAAGATTTATCAAATAACAAAGACAACGATGGATCAAAATATTGAAGATGGGTTCTCTATCTGTGACGAGTGTCTTGGCTCTGATAAACAGATCAAGATGACGAAACATACGAATGCTGCTGAGTGCAAGCTTTGTACAAGACCATTTACTGTGTTTAGATGGAATAATAAGACGGCATCAAGGCGAACTGGAAAGACTACAATATGTTACACTTGTGCAAGAACAAAGAATTGTTGTCAGAGTTGTATGTTAGACATAAATTATCATATACCAATTGAAATACGGGATACTGCCTTGAGGATGGCTGGACTTGATAGCAGTAAGGGACTTTTAACAGCATCAAAAGTAAATCAAGAAACTAAAGCATTGATGGCTGACAAAAATGAACAAACATTGAGGAATTCAGATTTAGTTGGAGAAGATGATGTAAATCAAGAAAAAGCAAGAGAAATACTATACAAGCTTGCCGATAAGTTAAAGAATGCAACAAAGACTGCCCCAAAGAACCCTAAGACAACAAATACCGAAGAGTCTGCAAAATTAAGTAAAGATATTTCCAAATTGATTTCAAAGCTTCCTTTTGGAGGAAATATAAACCCTGATACAAATCCTACATTGACTTCATTCTTTTTGTTTGGGTTCAATCTGGATTTGCCAATATATGCTGTTACCAATTATGCTACAAAATTTGGGAAAGTAAAATCATTGACGATACTACATAACGCTAAATGTGGATATTTGACATTTACAACCAGACAAGCGGCAGAAAACTTCGCTTCAGATATTAATAGTAATGGATTGAATACCAATAAGTCAACAGCAGGATTAGTGGTACTTGAAGGAAAGTATCCGATCAGGGTTAGCTGGGGTAAGGTCCAACCTTTAGGAACATCAAACGATGAGCATCATAAATTGAGTCTTGTTGTTAATAAGGTATTGAAGCAGTTGTCCGAAAAAGATACACGTACTGAATCTAAACCAAAGCAGTCTTCAAAGGTTACTACACCCAAAAGCAAGAATAAGAGCAAGAAACCTCTCGAAATTAAAAGTGCTCCAACTAAATATAAGGCCATACGTTCTGATTACGAACTATGAGTTGATTTATATTCACAATTATAGACTATTTCTTTAGGTTACTTTTCTTACGACATACTAGTTACTCAGATTATAGAAATACACACTATTTAATGGTATAAAGAGGCTTGATTTGAGTTACGTAGGTGAGTCATCAAAAGTCAAAAGTCAAATTCAAAAATTGTAATAGATCAAACAACCCCTTTTTGCAACTAAACAAATCCAATTACGCTGACCACATCCATCATGCATTCTAGCTTCAGTCTACTGGCTTTGCCACCATCTACAATTAAGAATGATAACTTGACTTTATAGTGGTTGACTAATTAGGACTCAATTACGCATGCAACACGGAATTACGATCTAGATATTTCCGAATTAGGACAATTTTCCGGCCAATTTTTCTGTTTCCCCCCTTTTAAGCCATACTTATATACGGCTCTGATAACCAATAATTAATCAGATTTAAAGGGAACCTAAGATGAAACTAAAGTTTGTGATACTATACGAACAATAGCTGATTTGGTTGATCCTTCTTCTGACTAATAGTGCATAAAACGTTTGGTTGTATGCGTGACGGTAAAATTTCGTATCTACTAACTTTTTGAATTTCGAAAAAAAAAAATCTTAACTTGTATTTAAAGTTTTCAAAGTCTTTACGAACTAACTGATTGTAAATTATAATTTATTGCTGTATTACCACATTATCTAAACAGCTATCATCATGAATAGCGAAGAAACTTCACTCGAAGTTGGTACCGATATGGTGCCCCAGAAAAGGCTATTGACCTTTTTATTTCCAAAGAAGAATGTTCCAATTCCAGACGATCATGAAAGAAAACCCCATCCCTTTAAAGATTCCAATATCCTTAACAGGGCTTTCTTTTATTGGGTTACCCCAGTGATGAATGTTGGTTATAGAAGAACTTTGCAAGCTAATGATTTATATTACTTACCTGAAGATATGAAAATTGAATATTTTAATGAATTATTTCAAGAAAATTTATCAACTGAGTTAGAATATAGTCATGCTAAACATATTCAAAAGAAATGCAGAGGAAGAGGAGAAACGGTGTTGAGTTCCACCGTATCAAAGGAAACAGATTTACAGGACTTCAAATTAACTCGTTTTAATTTATTATTTGCATTAGTCATTACATTTAAAAAAGATATTTTTTATGCCTTCTTATTTGCCCTTATCGGTGCTACAACTATATCTTGTCAACCTTTCTTAACTAAAAATTTAATTGCTTTTGTGGAAAATAGAATTCTTGGGTCATCTATTCACCTTGGTAGCGGGATTGGCTATGCCATTGGTGTTACTTTAGTCAATTTATTATCAGGAGCAACAATGGCTTATTTTCAATATTGTATGCAAATGTGTGGTGCTTCTACTAAGTCTGTTTTAACAAATTTAATCCTTAAAAAATCATTAGTACTTGATGCAAATAGTAGGCACAAATTCCCGGATTCAAAGATAACTTCTTTAATGAGTACCGATTTATCAAGAGTTGAAAGGGCTTATATAAATTTCCCACTTTTTGCATGTTTACCTATTGCAATAGTTATAAGCATTGCGCTATTAATCGTCAATATAGGTCTAGCTGGTGTCATTGGTGTACTTGTATTTTTGATATTCTTAGTTGCTATTTCATTATCCACCAAGCAATTATATACATATAGAACCCTTGTATCAGGATTAACTGACGAAAGAGTAAAAGTCATTAGAGAGATTATCAATAACTTGAAAATTATAAAATTTTATTCTTGGGAAGTACCTTATTTATCGAATGCTATAAAGGCGAGAACCAAAGAAGTTGCAATAATTTTAAAGATTCAAAGTTTAAGAAATATTATTGATGCTGTTGCAACTGGTTTAACAGGTATAACTGCCATGATATCTTTCTTAGTCCTTTATGGATTAGAAGGTTCCACTAGAAATGCTGCTTCCATGTTTTCATCGGTTACTTCCTTCGATGTATTGTCATTTGTCATTTATTTCATTCCTGTAGGTTTATCAACCACTGCTGATATGTTGAATGGTTTAAAAAGAATTGCTGAATTTTTATCTTGTGATGAGATTAAAACAAACGAGTTTTATACATTAACTAATGATGAATCTAATCTTACGGCCATTGACATTAAACATGCTTCATTCAGTTGGGAAAATTTTGATGAGGATGACGAAGATGGTGAAGAAGAAGAAGATGAAATCGTGAAGCCAACTACTGATGAGCCAATTAGCCAGGATGATTTCGAAAAACCGGATTCCAATTTCCCCGGTTTATTAGATATCAATTTATCCGTTAAGAAAGGCGAGTTTGTTGTCATAACTGGTTCTATTGGAAGCGGAAAAACTTCATTGTTAAGCGCTGTTGCAAATATAATGAAATGTGACGCTGGTGAAATAATAATTAATGGATCCCTATTAAATTGTGGTGCTCCATGGATTCATAACGCTACCATTAAAGATAATATTTTATTTGGAGCAACTTATGAAAAGGAAAGATACGACAATGTAGTTTATGCATGTGCTTTACAAACTGATATCGATAATTTGGAAGCAGGGGATTTAACTGAAGTTGGTGAAAAGGGGGTTTCCTTATCAGGAGGTCAAAAAGCTAGAATCAATTTAGCTAGAGCAGTCTATGCTAATCAAGATATCATTTTATTGGATGATGTTTTAAGTGCGGTTGACGCAAGAGTTGGAAAGCATGTCGTTAAGCATTGTATTTTGGGTTTACTTAAAGACAAGACAGTGTTACTTGCAACGCATCAATTATCATTAATTGGTTCAGCAGATTCTATTGTGTATTTAAATGGTGATGGAACTATTGATGTTGGTAGTTTGGATTCATTAAATAACACCAATCCAGATTTTAGAAGATTAATGGCTCATAGTTCAACTGAAAATGAAGAAAAAGAAGAGGAACTGATTCCGGCCAAACCTGCTTACGAAGAAAGTGATATAGCTGATGAATTGATTCCAAAGTTCACTAAAAATAGCTTCCAAGAATCTGCATCCAATGTTACTAGGCGTAGAAAGGCTAAAAGTGAAGAGGACGATAATGAAGAAGTCTTTAGAGATGTTACAATTGGAAAAGATGCATCCAAGGGAAAGATTATTCAAAAGGAAGAAAGAGCTGTTAATCGTATTAAAAATGAGGTTTATTTTGATTTCATTAAATACGGATCTGGTAAGTTGACTCCTTATGTTACAATTCCCTTAGCGGCAGTTTTATTAACTCTTGCTACATTCACTTCAATTTTTTCGAATACTTGGTTATCGTTTTGGATCTCAAAGAAATTCGAAGATAGGTCAAATTCCTTCTATATCATCTTTTATGTCATATTCAATATTTTATATGTTGTTTTCCTTACTGGATTGTTTGTTTTATTAGCAAATATAACCACTAATTCATCGAAGAATTTAATTTTAATGGCCATCAAACGTGTTTTACATACTCCAATGTCATATTTAGACGTGACACCAATGGGTAGAATTATTAATAGATTTACGAAGGATACTGATACTTTAGATAATGAAATTGTTGAAAATTTAAAGTTAATGTTACAAATAGGTGGTTCCCTAGTTGGTATTTTAATTCTTTTGATCATTTATTTACCTTATTTCGCTATTGCCATTCCATTCATTGGAATATTATTTGTTGCTATTGCCCTGTATTATCAAGCATCATGTCGAGAAATAAAACGATTAGAAGCCATTCAAAGATCGTTTGTTTATGATAATTTCAATGAAACTTTAACTGGTATGAGTACAATTAAAGCTTACAAAGCAGAGAAATTTTTCCTTGATAGAAGTAATCAATATATTAATAACATGAATGAAGCTTCATTTTTAGTATTTGCCACTCAAAGATGGTTAGCAGTTCATTTAGAAATTTTGGCTGACGTTGTAATTCTTATTACTTCAATATTCTGTGTTACCAGAGTTTTTTCCATTAGTTCTGCAACTGCCGGTTTATTGATATCTTATTCATTACAAATTGCCGGTTCATTATCTATGGTTATTCGTACTTTTGTTCAATTTGAAAATGATATGAATTCAACTGAAAGAATATGTCATTATGCTTTGAAGTTGGACCAAGAGGCTCCTTATACAATTCAAAACACAAATCCATCATCTTCTTGGCCACAGGAAGGTTCGATTAAGTTCGAAAAAGTATCAATGAATTATAGACCAGGTTTGCCATTGGTTTTAAAAGAATTATCTTTCGATGTTAAACCAGGTCAAAAAATTGGTATTTGTGGTAGAACCGGTGCTGGTAAGTCTTCTATCATGACTGTTTTATATAGAATTTGTGAATTAGAAGGTGGTAAAATCAGTATTGATGGAGTTGATATTTCAACTCTTGGATTGTACGAATTGAGATCCAAGCTCTCAATCATTCCACAAGATCCTGTATTATTCAATGGTACCATTAGAGATAATTTAGATCCATTTGGAGAACACGAAGATTCTAAATTATTTGATGCTATCAGAAGAGCAGGCTTAATGACAATGGAAGAATTACAAGAAATCCAAAAACGAGGCGATAAGTATACTGGGGATAGTGAAAAATTACATAAATTTCATTTAGACCAAGTGGTTGAAGATGAAGGGGAAAATTATTCATTAGGAGAAAGACAATTGATTGTGTTTGTAAGAGCTTTAGTTAGAGATTCCAAAATCTTAATTTTAGATGAAGCTACTTCGCTGGTTGATTATGAAACTGATAGTAAGATTCAAAAGACGATTGCTACCGAATTCAAAGATTGTACTATTTTATGTATTGCTCATAGATTGAAGACAATCATTAATTATGATAAGATCCTTACAATGGATAGAGGAGAAATCAAGGAGTTTGACACTCCATGGATGTTATTTAATTCAGATAATGGTATCTTTAGACAAATGTGTGAAAAATCACAGATTGTTGCTGGAGATTTTTTAAATGAAGAATAGTTGGTTTGTTATTTTATTTTTATATATAATATATAGGTTTTATGGTTTACATTTTATAAGAGAGATAGATATATATATATATACATACATATTCATACAATTTTCATATTTTGCAATCATAAGCGTAGGACCACAAACTGCGACTTTGACAAACTGTCACTGCGCTAAAAAAAAAGGAACTGGAAAATGTAAATAGAAAATGAATTGGCTGCCTTCGTCAGACAACTTTGATAACATCCATTTGTGCTTAATTCATAATGGACAAAGAGACATATCTAAGCATAATAGCAGTTAGTTTGCTTGTGCCATGCATTCTAATTGCAATTAGATTGTTGCAGATATTGCCTTCAAGTCATTTAGGAAAGACATCTAGTAAAATCATTGTTAATGATAATATAAAAGGAAAACATATTATGATCCTTCTTGGTTCAGGGGGTCATACAGGAGAAATGATGAATATCTTGTCCAATATAGATTTGAAGAATTTTAATAGGATTTGGGTGGCATCCTCTGGTGATTCAACTTCATTACAAAAAGCACAGACATATGAAGAGAAGTTAGAAAAGACCAAGTATTCAACTTCTTTCATGACTTTATACAGAGCTAGAAAAGTAGGAGAATCTATCCCACTGTCAATTATTAGTACAATCAAGTCATTGATATCTACATTTACAAGTCTATTAACATTACCACATATACCTTCCATTGTTTTATTAAATGGTCCAGGAACATGTGTTCCATTAGCTTACCTGTTATTTGTACTTAAATTCTTTGGACTCGCCCATACAAAAATCATCTACATTGAAAGTTTAGCAAGAGTTAATAATCTCAGTTTATCTGGAAAGTTACTATTACCAATATCAGATAGATTCATTGTTCAATGGGAAAAGTTATCCCTTAAATATCAAAGAGCTGAATATTACGGAATCTTAGTATAGCGGAACTTCTCGCACTTTCCCAGAAATTTATTTCTTTACGCGTAGAAATATTTTTGCATTCTTTTCTTTACAATGTGATTCATCAGATAGACCATTGAATATGAATGGTTCTGTGTTTGTCGACTTTAATGGGCTAGTGGAGGAGTTTCCAGGATTGGGAGTTGATAGATTTAATACCAATGCTAATGTTTACCTTCTCACTCATTGTCATACTGATCATTTAGTTGGTTTATCGGCCGCGTCTTTTAGATCAAAGGTATATTGCAGTCATACAACGAAAAGTATATTAGGGTTAAATCCAGATTATTCACATATTCTCCCATACTTGATTCCCATCAACTACAATAGTCCTTTTGAATTGCATACGGATCCTTTCAAAATCATGGTAACTCCAATACCCGCCTATCATTGTCCAGGTGCATGCATGTTCTTAGTTGAAAGTGATATAAAATCTGTTCTTATTACAGGAGATGTTAGAATTGAGGATTGGTGGTTAAATAATATTTCTACAAATGCGTCGCTTAGTCCTTATGTCCATGGAACTAAGAGGTTAAGCAACATATACCTTGATACCACTTTTGGTTATCGAGGTGAACCTTACATTGAAATTAACAGTAACACAGAAGGAATTGGCATAATTATCGATATACTAAAGTCATATCCTATGGATGATCCACAAATTTGCTTCAACTTCTTAGATCAAGTTTTGGGGTTTGAAGAGGCATGGGCTCTGATAGTTCATGCTTTTGAAGGTAGATTGGTCGTAACCGATTTGATGAAAAGGCGTATACTGGTTATTGGAATGGATAGTATAGTTTCATATGCAGAATTATTAATTAACCTAAGTGATCATAAGAAGTCGAAGGGTCCTATATTCAAAGTGGCTCAAGGAGATGAGACTAAGTTCCAAGTCAATATTAAACAATGTATAAATTTCAATATTGTTGACTTTACTGGCATATTTTTGCCAGTATCAATCCAATCTTTAAGAGAAGATGAATTTGAGTTAGTTTTCACTACCAATAAAGGTAATCAGATTTACAAGTACAATTCAAGAGCTTGGATATTACCCAAAGGTGGTACTGAATTACTTCCAAGTGAACTAAAGTTACTATTTTCTCGACATGCTTCTTTTCTGGAGTGTAGAAGGCTAGTCTGCATGTTCAAGCCATGTCAGGTATACCCATGTGTCTCATCACCCCAAATGTGGAAATCAGGTTTCTCAATGTATCGGCTTTTTGGGGATTTATGTACAAATGATAGAGCAGATTATTCATATGATATAAGTATGTTTAAACAGTTTGGATATCCAGAGCGTTCAATATTAGAACGTCGCATCACAGTGATAAATAGATGGAAATTTGAAGACTGCCTCGACGAGTACAATATGGTAACCAATTACATGGCTACCAATTACAACAGTTCCAATCATTCCATTTTGAAAGGACAGCTTCACAATTATGAACAGTTTCAACTAAAAAATAACTTGGAAGTTCAAGTTGCAAGAGCTAAAGATTTCAAGCTTCAAACCATCATTGCTGGTCGTTCAGAGGCAAGGTATAAAGCAATAATACAAAAAAATCAAGAATTATATAGAGCAAGACCAAAAATAAAATCAAGAATTACTCATGATTACCATACTGATTCTGAAGAAGATGATATATCTGACAATGAATCTATACAAGAGTCATTCAGTGAGAATGGCATAGTTTCAAAAGGACCCATAGATTCAGATGTGGATGTAAGTCCCCTGAAGATAGATCAGATATCTTTATTATTGACACAAGACCCTTTTAATTGGTTTGATGTAACTCTACAATCTTTAGAATCAAATTTACGACCATAACTCTTTTTATACGTTATATTAATCTATATACCCAGTTAAGCTAATATGAAGAGTTTTAATAATATACAAATGATTTAATAATAATACACTTTGATGTAACTCTTTTTATGATGATTTCTGTTACTGCTGATAGATAGCTTATCCTAATTTTCTTTCCATCTATGACCACAACTAACACATTTATAAAAGGTAGTCATAGGTTCATCAGCAGATCTGATTTGTAATTGGAAAAAGTAAGCCTTAGTACTATCACATGAATCAATAGCACATTGAGCTGCGGTTTGATCAACGTTATCCCATGTACCTTCACCTCCTAGAACATCATCAACCTCTTTTCTATGCAATTTCTTTCTTTCAAATAATTGAAACCCATTTATTTTGAATTCATATGGACAGGTTGGACAATAAAACTTGTTACACCCATCTTCTGATGATGGTGTTATCAATAACATATTTGAACAGTTAGGACAGAATGTCAACATCTTGCTGCTAAAGAATAAGTCATCTTAGCAGTCATTAAAAACTGAAGTTAATAATTTTTTTTTTCAAGTACAGTGATTTAAATACTATACAGGTCAGATCAAAATATTTAAAAGTAACGATATCAACAATTTTTCAATTAATTGAATTTGAATACTTCAATTCAAGACTAATTACATTCCCATGACTATAGAACAAGATGAAATACCAATGGTGGAGCCAATAGTGGAATCCACAGAATCCATCAAGGTAGTATCAACTCCAAAAAAACTAGTGCTTCAAGAGCTGCTGGATTCTATACAACCGCGTCCAGTTTGGAATTTATCACCATCAAAATCACCAGGTAAGAGAGGTATTATCAAGCTTCTGCCTGAGAAGGGTATCAATTCATTATTTTCACCCGTGAAAACTCCAAATGGTAGAGCTGGATTAATATCCCCTGTCAAGAGGTCATCGGATGCCATAAACAGATCTGCTCGTAAAAGAGCTGTCAATAGTTCTATGTATTCTCGTTTAATGGATGAATTAGATAATGATGATGGTTCTGATCCAAATGATGCACTCACAATCCAAGAATCAAATTTGGCTGATATAATCATTAAGAGTTCTAGAGACGATGGTGATTTTCGTGGTTATGGTAGTGATGTTGAGTTCGAAGAGGATTTGACATTGGCATCAGGTAAGAGAACGAGAAGGAAGAAAGTTAGCTATGATGAAGATGACGACGACGAAGAAGATGATGAAGAACTTGACGACACCGATACCAATGAAGGGGACCTCGATTCAGGAGAAGAGTTAGATGATAATGAATTTGAAGCTCCAAAGAAAAGACAAACCCGAACTCGTACTCGAACTACTAAATCACCAAGAACTTTGAAAAGAAGAAGAGTTAAAGCCAAAAGAGATCCGAATAGTGCTAAAACATCTGTAATAAGAAGATCAAAAATGGGTAGACCTACGAAAGCAGAAGGGGTTGTAGGAAAAATCAAGAGTATATTTCATGAAGATGATGAACTTTTATTCAAAGATAATGCTAGACTAAGCAGATCAGGATCGCCTAGTTCTAAGCCAAATGGAAAAGACCCATATAATGATTCATTGATAAGTGATACATTAATAACTATTCCAGTGATATCAGGGATTGAAAAGCTCAAGACTGATGCTGAACAAGAAACTGAAAAGCTTGAATTTGTTCCATTACCAATTCCAAAAACAGATTCATCTGGTGTCATAATAGATAAGGAATTCTTGGATACTTACTTTTCAGGAAAAGCTTTTGAGGATATTTCAAAAGGTAGATTTTTGGATGAAAAAGCATTCTTTTTAGAAGGTTCCGAAGGGTACTTTGAGCAGCATAGTGGTAGAACTACATTGAGTAGCTCTTCACTTTCACAGATGGCTCCACTGATAGATTATAGTCAATTCATACCATTAATAAACTTATGTGGTGCGGTGTCTAAGAATGAAAAAGATCTATTAATCAATTTGCATAAGATATTGTATCATCAATGGTGTTTCGAATTAAGTCAAGGATTTAATTTATTATTCTATGGAGTCGGTTCTAAGATAGATTTACTTTCAGATTTTGCTGAAAATTACTTTGGAGATTGGTTTAATCAATGCTATAATGAAGACATGCCTGCTATACTTGCTATAAATGGGTTTAATCCAAGTTTAAATTTTAAAACTGCTATTCAGGAGATTGTATCAGTTTTTATACCTAAAAATTCGCCAATGCACAGTAGCGTTCCAAAACATGTTTCAGAAACTGTACCTTTCTTGATTAATCATCTTGCAAGCAGAAGAACTTCTAATCCAAAACCAAAGCTTGTATTATTAATTCATAATATTGATGGTAAAAGTTTCAGAGATGAAAAGACTCAAAATTTACTCTCGCAGTTATGTTCCGTGCCAGAGATTTGGGTGATTACTTCAGTGGATAATATAAATTCACCTTTAATGTGGGATATGTTCAAACTTAAGAATTATAACTTCTTATGGCATGATTTAACTACTTTTTCTACTTATCTGATAGAATCATCATTTAGAGATGTATTAAGTATGGGTAGATCAAAGAAATTAGCGGGTGATTCAGGTACTAAATATGTGTTAAGTTCATTAACTTCCAACCATAGAAACTTATATAGAATATTGTTGGATATGCAAATTAATAATTTAAAAGGCTCAGCCACATCAGATGCATCTAGAAATGTGCTTAAGGGAACTACGCGGTCAGGAGTTGAAATGAAAGCGTTATATGAAGCATGTGTGGAACAATTCATCACATCTAATGAAATAACGTTCCGTACCTTACTTGGAGAATATGTGGAACATAAGATGTGTAAACTTGTTAAAGATGATTCTGGTTTAGAGAAAGTATTCATTCCATTTAGATATGATGAAATGCAAAAGATAATGAAAGATGAATTTGCAGTATAATTACATTTATAGTTAGAATAATTATATACAGTACACCATTTCCACGTGACGAAATCAAACCAGAAATTAGAGTGCTAATAAAAAAATGCTGTAGGCAAATTTGGCTTAAGTACCAGAATTCCCACCAGACAGACAAGCGAAGCGAGGTAAATCAGAAACAACAATTGAGGTGTGTTAAAATAGGATTAAACGTGTACCAATTACCTGTTACCCATCACATCGAACTTAATAGAGATGGGCAATTTCCCTAAGTTACCGGAAGGAACCGACCTTCCAGTGGGGACTCATAAGGTAAAGGTTCTTAAATACTTATCTGAGGGAGGGTTTGCACACATTTATAAAGTTAAGATTGATCCACCAGAAGATGATTCTGATATTGCTTGCTTGAAAAGAGTGATTGTACCAGATAAGGCAGGATTGAATCTATTAAGAAAAGAAGTTGATGTTATGAAAACCTTACGTCATGGTAGAAATATCGTTAAATATTATGATTCTCATGCAGAACGTCTAGATAATGGTACTTATCAAGTATTGGTAGTAATGGAATTATGTCCCAATAAATCATTATTGGATTATATGAATGCTCATATAAAAACAAGATTATCTGAAAGAGAGATTTTAAAGATCATGCTTGATATATCAGTGGCCTTATACGAAATGCATCGGTTAAAGATGATTCATAGAGATGTTAAGATAGAGAATGTCCTTATTGATTCAAGACATGACTTTAAACTTTGTGATTTTGGTTCCACATCACCTCCAGTATTACCTCCAAAGGATCAACAAGCATTCCAACTTTTAAGTCATGACATATTATATCATACTACTCCCCAATATAGAGCTCCAGAAATGATTGATTTATATAGAGGATGGGCTATTGATGAAAAAGCAGATATTTGGGCTTTAGGTTGTTTCTTATTTAAGCTTTGCTATTATACTACACCATTTGAAGCCAATGGTGACATAGCTATCCTACATGCATCTTTTCAATTCCCTCATTCCCCTATTTATTCAGGAGACCTTAAAAATTTAATCATTATCATGCTTCAAGAAAGTCCACTTTTCAGACCTAATATAATTCAAGTTTTAATGTTGATTTGTTCAATTTCAGCAATTGATTTCAAAACTTTAAAAGTGGAAGATATCTATCATCGTGGTCCTTATAATTTTCAAGCATTACACAGTTATCAACGTCAAAAGCAGGCCGAACTTCTCAAACAACAAGAAGTATACTTGCAACAACAAGCACACTCATTGGCGGGATCGAAAAATCCCAGCAGTGTTAGTCTTGTCAATAAATCATTTGACAGCTCACCAGTCACACCTAGTCCTTCACAAGCCAATAAAGTGGTTAAGCAAGCAGACCAAGCACCTCAATTACAAATACCAGAAGCAGTTCAGGGACTGACACTACCTATTACTCAAAAGCCTCTCAGTGATGGTTCTAACGTGTCACTAATTGGAACCCAAACTGAGCCAACGACAATTCTGAAAGTAATCTCCAAAGAATCAGACGAGGATCAAAATTCTGATCTTGACTTTAATGATTTGGATGATTTAGGAGATTTAAGTAACGCAGAAGAAAGATATCCATCATTGGATGATTTGTTAGATGAACCATTGAAAGTTCCTATGTCCAATAATGAAATTCAGGATGGTATTATTAATTCTCCAGTCACAATTGATAATTTTGAAAGTAAAAGGGAAACTCTGAATTCATATGCACCATCCATAAAGGTTTCTGATAGCATATACGACCAGGATTTCAACATATCTGACAATATTGAAGGTCGTAAGTCACAAGAGTATCCAGAACTACACCTCACAGAAGAAAATTTGAAGAACTTGAAAAAGTCTAATGTGTCGGAAAATATGCTTGATAAGAAGGAAAATTGGATTGGTTTGCATTCAAAAATGGACAAGAGTGCTGAACAATTGGTAGATGATATATTTTCGAGTCAAAGTAAATCACCAATGCCATTTGAATCTCAACCCCAAAAGACCAATCAAAGTTCAAAATCGGAAAATTCAGCCCTGAAGAGTAATATAATGTCCGAGGATGAATCACATTATGTTGAGAGTAAATCCAATGATGGCAGACAGAGAGAAAGAAAACCATCGAATAATGATAATGAAATTAACTTAATAGATCTTCATGTTGAAACCCCAATTTTATCAAAATCAAGTGAGGATGTCAATCAAGTAAGAAGCCAAATAAACCCGCTGGTTTCAATGGAAAAATCTCAAACTACAAGTAACGATCAACCATCTTCTTATAATACGGTTTCAGTACCTATGAATATTGGTGCATCAATCAACATGAATCCTTTCCCATTCATTCCAAATCAAGATATAAAGAGTTCAGAAAAGCTTGATTCTCAGAACCAGCGTACATCTAGTTCAAACCCTTGGGGTACTTATAGAGCCAATGTTCAACCAGTGATTAATAATAATGATTTCACCAACTTTGAGGCAGTTGCATTACCAACAGATGAAAATAATACGTCAATGAAGATGACTGACTCTTTAAGCAATAAGCCACCGAAAGAGGATTTTATTGAACCTAACTTAATTGATCTAGAAATTGGTTTAGAATCTTCAGGATCATCATTGAACACTCCAGTTTTAAAACCTAGGGTTAAGAGTAATGAGATGAGTATTGCTGAGTCCGGTATGTCACTTCTTGATTTGAATACTAATGATGAAAATGATTCAAAACAAGAGATCAAGCAAACATTTAAAAAGAGAATACCTTCAAATCAAAATCCAACTAATTTAAACTTCCAAGAAGAAGTTATTGATTTTGCATCTGATGATGAAAATCCTGAGAATGGTTCAAATTTGAATAGATTAAAGATAAGGAATTCTTTAAAGAAGCCTCCTAAAGCAAGGAGATCAGGTGAATACAAGAGAAATGAAAGTGTTTCAAGCGAAGGAAAGAAGAGATTATCTTTCTTTGGAGGATCTAGTTAAATTAAATTAATATTATTAATACATAAGTTTTAGATAGGATTTTTTTGCATATAAATTTATTTTATAAATTATGATAACTATATGGTAGCGTGAGTTGATTGTGTTGCATCTCAAAAAAAAAAATCGGTTTTTAGATCAATATAAAAAAAATTTATTGATGAATTGAAAAGTTGTGTTTAATCGATATCAAGACGTTTATGAACATGAGTGAAGAGGTTATTAAGCATTATTTAGCTCAACTATTGCTTAGTATCCCAGATGAGAAGTTTTCCAAGTTTCCAGGGGATGCAGGAGCTTTCCAATCCATTGAAAACCCCATAATATTCATTCTCAAAGGTCAATCTTCAAAGCTAATTGCTCAAGATGAATACTTTAGCTTATTGTTTTCAGAAGAATCAAGAAGTGTGTTGAGTCAGTATCCTCAAAATGACTTGAAGACAACTATAGTAAATTACGTGGATGTCATACTAACTTCATTCACATCCTATTTTGAATCTCAAGAAGTTGCAATTAGTCATCTTCATCTTATTGCAATTGCATTCTTACAAACTTTCATTCAATTAAATTTCACTGGGCCTAATATTGAATATAATAGCAAAGAATTATTCTTCCCTGAAACAGATGAATCAACTTTAAAGTTAGAATCCATAAAATTATTGAACTTACAGGGTCAAATTGCTTATGATTTAACGAATGATCCACTTTTCTTGATCATATCAGAAAGTATATTTGAAAAGCTATTAGGATTCAAGAGAGAGTTTAGCTTTTTAGGGAGTGATATCAATACCAATTTTGAAGAATTTGGTGATTCTATAACCATTTTAGCCAAAGAAAATGAACAAGACCCATTAAAGGCATCCATTCAATGGTGGATGGTTAGAGCTTTACAGGTTCATTTATCAGTATTATCAGAAGCTCCAAGCATTCCACTTACCGTGTCATCAGTCTTATTGAATCCAAAAGTATTGGCTGCTTTGATACCTAAGACTCAAGCCGATGTTAATATCCAAAAACATATGCAAATATTGTATGTGTTAGAATTTGCAAGATTACATATTCATTCAAGTACTGAACATCTTGCCATTCCATATCTTGTAAAAGCCAGAAATTATTCTGAATTATCATTTTTAATGACTGGTGCAAAGGCTAAAAGAACCAAATTTCAAAAACATCATAATTCAGCTTTAATAATATTAGCTAAAAGTAAAATAAGTAATATTTATGAATCATATGCCATCAATAACAATCCAGAAAATTTCAGCTTAGGTGATGATTTATTATTAGAAAAGCCTGAATTTGAATCCTTGGACGACCTTGAATTACCAGACCAATCTGATCGTAAGAGAATTAGACTTGATGATGATAATGATGATTCATCAAATCAAGAGGACAAATTGGTTCCTGTGGTTTCTAAACAAGATGAAATTCCAGCTGAATTAAAAATCTTGGATCCAAACAATCAACCTGCTTTGAATGACATTGATAGTCTTCAATTGTTATTGGTTTTAACTATCCTTAAACAAACATCTCCATCCAATGATTCTCTTATCCAACAAGAATTATTTGCCCTTGTCACTAGACTTATCTATTCGGATTGTATAAATACTAATTGGAGTATTTTCTCTCGTGCTCTTTGGGAAAGATCTTTACTTGAAACTAATAAATCAAGAACGGTCGAAAGAGGTATTTTACAAATGACATCATTAGTAGAAGAAATCGGTATTAAAATCAAATCAAGAATGATACCCCAAGCTGCCGAAACTAATAATGAAAATGATACTGTTGCTATTAGATTGAGATTCATTCATCAATTACCATTAATGCCACAATGGACTATGGATGCAGAATTAGCAGAAAAATATATGTCATTGGGAGTTATTAAATCAGCCCTTGAAATTTATGAACGTTTACAAATGAGTTGTGAAGCTGCCTTATGTTATGCCGCTACTGATAATGAAAAGGAAGCGGATGCCATATTGGTAGAACGTATTAAGAGTCATCCTGAAGATTGTCGTGCCATCTCAATATTAGGAGATATCAGACAAGATCCAACATTATGGGAAGAAGCTTGGAAACTTGGAAGATATGCCAAAGCTAAGGCTTCATTATCAAGATATCATTATTCTCCACCTCATGGACTTAAACAAGATATGAATTTAGCCATTCAACATATGCGTGATTGTTTAACTATAAACCCACTTAATTATGGAAATTGGTACTTTTATGGGTGTTGTGGGTTAGAAAGTGGACAATATGATTTAGCTTCAGAGGCGTTTACCAGATGCGTTTCTTTAGATGAAACTAGTTCACATGCTTGGTCCAACTTAGCTAGTGCCTTACTTAAATTGGATAAGCAAAGACCAGCTTTTAATGCCTTACAAAAAGCAATTAGAAGTGCTAATGAAAATAAGAAATCGTGGAAGATTTTTGAGAATTATATTATAGTTGCAGCTCAATTGAATGAATGGAGTGATGTTTTATCAGCCACTAAGGAAGTTATTGAAATTAGAAAGAATGAAGGTGAAGTTTGTATTGATCTTCCAATTATTGAGAAATTAGTGGAATTATTAGTTTCAACTCCATTTGAAGATAGTTCCAGATTGACTCATTATCAAAAATCATGTATCGATTTAGTCTGTAATATTTTACCTCAAGTTATAACTACTTCATCAAGATGTTGGAGAGTTGTAGCTAGAGTTGAATTATGGAGAAAGAGACCATGGGCAGCTTTGGATTGTCATGAGAAGGCTTATAGAGCATTATCACAAAGACCTGAATTAGAAAGCAATGAAACAGCTTGGAATGATGCAGTTGAAGCATGTAGTGATTTAGTAGGGGCTTATGAATCATTAGGTGAATTACCAGGGAAACACGATGCTGGAGATTTAGTATGTTCTGATTGGAAATATAAAGCTAGAACTTCAATTAGAGGTTTGAGATCAAAAGGTAAAGCTATGTGGGAAGATTCTGAAGGTTGGAATAGATTACAAGATTTGATGGAAGATTTAACTAATAATTAAACGCCGTATTTATTTAATAAGATTTGTACATATATAAAGATAGAATAATAAATAATAGAAGTATACCAATTAACTATAAGTCATTTATAACACTTAAATTATCAAACATAAATGATGTGATTCTATCTGAACGTTTTAGAACAGGAAGGCTAAAACCTTCAAAAGTAGAAATATCGTTGATTTCAATATCATTATTGAGATCATCTTCAGGATCAGATCTTGAATCATCATCATCATCTTTAGCTCGAGGATCAGCAACAATAGGTTCATTCACATTTGAATTTGAACCAGGGGAAATATTAATCCATTTTGATAAATAAGTGAAGAATTGGAATACATATTTAATTGCCAAACATGAATAATAAGAATTTTGAATTTTCAAACAAATCAACATTAAATAAAGAATGGTTGAATAAGAATGAGTTTTATTGAATAAACTATGAGTTAAATAAATGAAAAAGTTGAATAATTCCAAAATTGCAGCCATTAATAATAATTTATTCTCAACAATTACAAACAAGGGAAAAGTTAATTCAAATAATTTTGTTTTAGGATATAACTCAATTAAGATATAACTTGAGATATTTAATAAGGAATAAATGGTTGAAGGGAATAATTTAGTTATATTAATGGGAGTGAAAAGAGTTAATATTGAAATCCCAAGTAATGGTGTATTTTCTGAATTTAAAATCTTAATAAGAGTAATTTCCTTTTCATTTTGATCTTGCTGATCATTATCATTATCATTTAACAACTCGTTTGAACCAGAACTATTAAGAATAATCAAGTAATGATGATAAAGAACTAAAGCGTATGCTAACATAGAACCTGAAACCGATAATGCATACCAACAAATTAACCAATTGATTTGATAATCTAATTGAAAATCATGAACAGGAGGAATAGAAGTATTACCAAACAAATTAAAAGAATATAAAACAGTTCCAATAATAGTTAACAAATGAGAAGAGATCCAAGAGTAATGTAAGATCAAAGAAACAGTTGGAGGAGCAGGAATGTATTGAAAAAGTTTTCCTAATAATAAAGTAATTAGCTGATTTGTTCTAATTACCATTGAATTAGTTTTCATAAATTTTGAATAATGATAACTTAAATTGGAAGGAGAAAGGAAATTCAATTCAGGAATACAATTGAAAGTTGCTTCAATTAATTGAAACGTTGACAAAGGTTTAACTTTCGTCATTGGGAAGAAGAAGGAGTTGAAGGAGGAGGATTGAGGAAAGAAAGCTTTGGTTTGATAGAAATAGTAATAATAATAATAATGAAGCTTAGGGATTATGATTTAGGTAATGGCAACGTTAAGGTTGAAGAAGATAAAAGGAAAAATGATAATGAAGAAGAGGAGGGTATAAGTTTACAAATAGAAATATGGAGAGGATGGAAAAAGGTCAGCGGTTAAAAGACAAAATTTTTGCAATTAAACAGACATTTTTGCAATTAGCTGTAAAAGGTAATATACACCGACAAATATTAAATAGTATCGGACATTTTCTCCCAACCAAATCATAATGAGTAAGCTTTTTTTTAGAGATCTTTGATGTAAATCTTTTTTTGACATAGGACAACAAAGATAATTGCCTTGTCATGATCATAGTTAGTTATTGGTTTATCCTAATTAGGAATGGTTTCTGATTTATTCGTTTTGGAAGTGAAGATGAAGATGAAATCCACGGGGCGGTGCAAATTGTTCAGACAAAAAAAAAAGAAATTAAGACAGACAGACAGACAAAAAAAAAAAACCAGACACGTTAAATTGAAACAAATGTGTTAAAATGAAAAATGTAGCTAAAAATAGCCAATGAACATTACCATTCAGATCAATTCTCTATGTATATAAAGGTTGAGTATTTAACTCATCATTACGTGTTTTGAGATACTACTCTCATTTGTGTTAAAAGCTAGATATACTTCCTTACATAGATTAAAATTACATCATTCATTCTCTTCATACTTAAGGTGAAATTTCCTAATTAGTACATTATGTTTCTTTTTTTTTTTTGTTGTCCTTTTTTTTTTGGTTTGAACAAAATCAATTTAAACCAAACAAGAATTTGAATATCAACACAAGACACTTTGACAACATCAGTTGAAGAATCATCATTATATCACATTAGAGTGTTTTGGATTCATCCATCGTACAAGACTATCAACCGATTCTTCCATCCCTTCCTCCCCTTCCTTGTCAGTTTCTCACAAGACATATCCAATTTCAATCAATCAAATCAAATCAATACATCACCAACCTCCTCCTCATATTCTTTCTAATTAACTTCTATTTCATATCATATTATCTCATATCATCGCTTAAGTTCATATTCCTTCTAAATGCTTTCTGAAATGGTGGACGATAAATATATAGGTTTAGGATTAGCCATGTCATCCTCTTTAGCTATAGGGACTTCCTTTATTATCACTAAAAAAGGTTTAATTGACGCTTCAGCTAGAAATGGTGGAGGTCAAGTTCAAGGTCATGAATATTTACAAAATCCTATATGGTGGGCTGGTATGTTAACCATGGCCATTGGTGAAATTGCAAATTTCGCCGCCTATACTTTTGCTCCTGCTATCTTAGTTACTCCTTTAGGGGCATTATCTGTTATTATTGGAGCTGTATTAGCTTCAATCTTTTTAAAAGAAGAATTAGGAGTATTAGGTAAAATGGGTTGTGCCATCTGTTTAATGGGTTCTGTCATCATTATCCTTCATGCTCCTCCTGATAAAGAAATTGAAACGGTTGATGAAATTTTAAATTATGCCACTAAACCTGGTTTCTTATTTTATGTATTTTTAGTATCAATTTATTCATTATTTATGATTTATAAAATTGCTCCAAAATATGGTCATACAAACCCAATGATTTATCTTTCCATTTGTTCTTCAGTTGGTTCAATCTCAGTTATGTCAATTAAAGCTTTTGGTATTGCCTTAAAATTAACTTTTGCAGGAAATAATCAATTTAGTCATCCTTCAACTTATTTATTCCTTTTAGTGGTGGCTTTATGTATTGTAACTCAAATGAATTATTTTAATAAAGCTTTAGATCAATTTGATACTTCTATTGTTAATCCATTATATTATGTTACTTTTACCACTTTCACTTTATTAGCATCATTTATCTTATTTAGAGGATTTAATACTAGTTCTGCCATTGATATTATTTCTTTATTAATTGGATTTTTAATCATTTTTAGTGGAGTTTATTTATTAAATATTTCAAGAACTGATACTGAAGGTAAAGCAAGACAATTATTTGGGGTTCATAATGATAAAGATATGGCTCCTTTAGATAATGGTGTTGGTGGTTTATCAATCAGAAGATCAATGCAAATCAATAGAGGAGAATATGATGGTGAATATGATGATGAGGAAACAGTTGGTTTAAGACATATTGATAGTTTTGAATTAGGAAGTGATGATGATATTGAAGATGAACAACAAAATAATCGTAATCGTCAAAGATAAACGATAAAAATATAAAAATATAAATAAATAAATAAACAAACATAATCACAAAATCAATCAATCAACCATAGAACCTTTCATCCATCCATCCAATGTATATTATTGTCATCGTACCAAAAGCATTCTTATTTAGTTCATCTAGTATATATGTGTCGTATATAGTTACATAGATACAACTCTTATCTCAATACATTTTACTTTTTTAGAAAAAATTAGATTTTAGATATTCATACATTTATTTTATACTGATTTACTTGAAGTAGATATGCAAACAGGTTAAAATTATGAATTAATAATAATGAACTATACATATACATATACATATATAATCTATATACATTATTCTATCGATAGATTTGTATAACATCCAATAAATATGAAACAGAATAGACAAAGAAAAATGGATCAAGAAAAATAATAAATTCATCTTAAAAAGAGATGAATCAGTGAATGAATGAATGTAAATAAAAGGAAATAAAATACAATATGATGGGTGATGGTGATAGTGAAGTGGGTTCGTTTAATGACTACTTATGTATCATCATCTTCACTTTAAAAAATATGCAACATGCTTTCTCTCTTTCGATAATAACTTGGTATAATATCTAGTAACAAACAATAAAAGTTACTTGTTTAAATATCATCAATATCTAACTCATCATCATCTTCATCATCATCATCATCATCATCAGCACCGAATTCGAAGTTGACATCTTCATCATCATCAGCACCAAAGGTATCAGTTTCATTAATCTTAGCATTTTCAGGTAATTCACCAATACTCTTTAAAGTTCTGGCTTCATCAGAATTATATTTATGAACCACATCACATTGATCATCTTGGAAATCTCTTAAAGAAACTAAAATGATATCACCTTGACCCATCCAAACCTTCTTTCTTAATTTACCTCTAATATGACCCATTCTTTTAATTGTATCAAAACAACTAACTTCAATTCTTCCATTACCTAACATCTTAGTGATTTGACCATATTCTTGACCTTCTTCTTTCAAGATCAATTCTCTCTTTTGTCCAGAGTTATCGTTCTTTCCTCTTCTTCTATTCTTACCTCCTTTACCTTTACCTGATTTACCCATTATGATATACTTTTTATTTAGGTGGTTTCTATAAGTTGTAAACTATCTCTAGATATGACTCTGTTTTAAAATGTGAAAAAAAAAAATTTTTTTTTTTATGTTATGTCTCAGAATATGCAGGAAATCAAAGATTATGTCATCACTGAGTAAGCAGAATTCTTTCCTTAGCCCAAAACGAAATAGTATAGCAAATATGGAATATATAAGTTTTACAACAAGTTAAATCAAATACCCAATATCATCAATATCAACTATGGATTCGTTTGAGGCTGCTACTCAGTTCAGTCAGATACTTCGGAATTTGACTCCTTCCTTACAAACATTGACTAAAGCTGCTCATTTTGCTTTAAAGAATAGTGAAAGTGAAGATTATTTATTTCCAACCATCATAGAAGTTATATCAGATAATAGCATTGAATTGAATACTAAATCGAATCTATTCCAATTCATTGAAGTCTTGATCAATGAATCATTTTACTTCTCCAAACAATCCAAATATAATCATCCATATGTTCAAAATCTAAAACAATCATTACCTAGCATCATCTTACAAGTTCTTCCAAATGTTAATAATTCAAACATTTATAATGTATATAAAAGTCTTATTAAGATATCGAAACAATTCAAAATCAATAGTAAGGAATATATCCATCAATTCAATGTCAGTCTTTTAAATGATGATGATTTAAAGAATATAGATGATAATATACCCTTTCCTCAAATTGGGATAAGTGAAATTAATAAATCATTAGATCCATTATTATCAGCTTGGGATATCTTAATCCAAAAGAAAAGACAAAGTGAATATGAAAGATTACGATTATTAAATCATACCGAATTTGAATCTGAAGATGTGGCTGAAGATCTTATGTTTTCAATCAAAGAGAAAAGTGATAAATCAACAACTTTATTATCTAAAAAGCAAATACTATGGAGAATGGAAGAAGATAGAGAATCTCATAAACGGTCCAAGGAAGGTTTATGGATGGTTAATAGAAGTAAGGAAGATAACTCAGTTGGGGAAGAAGAATTCTTGAATATGTATTGGAACAAATATGATGTTTTAAATCATGAAGAAGATAAAGCTCTCTTAGATTCACTTGGTGAATTAAATAAGATCGTGGCTGCAAGTTATAAAGATTCACAATTTTAAAACTTATGTTATTTTTAAATATATTTTTAAATACCTATACATACGAAATATAATATATATATATATAATAATTCCAGTTATCCCACATATGATAATATTCCTAGTAATTGATTTTTCCCTCTTACACTATAGTTTGCTGCTGTCCTTGCATCTGCATCAACCCCAAGTGCTGTAACCGTAGCAGTGTTTTCAACCTCACCAACCTCTTTAAGATTATTAACATATTCATATAATGGTTCATCAACAGCAGTTGAACCTCCACTGAAGAATATACTACTAACCCCTTGCAGATTAACAGTACTACTCTTAGTATCTGCATTTGGTGATGATACCACTGGTAAGCTTTCTCTCTTTATTTCTTGTACAGGAGATGATGGTTCACTTCCAGGTAATAATGACCTTGATTTCAGTTTATAATCTTCAAGCAAACTTTCAAACTCTTCCGGCAGTTTATTTTGATTATAATAAGCAATGATAAACTTAAGAGCTTCTAATGATACTTGACTTTGTTGAACAACAACTGCATCTCTCACTAAAGTAGCATGAATCTCTTGTTCTGTACCTTCAAATACATCATTAACATGTTGGATAAAATCTCCCATAGCATCCACACTTCTTTCATGGTTATCTAAAAATGATTTACCAGCATGAAATATAACAGTACAATCACCAATGGTAACAAATGAACCAGGCAATCTTTCAGCTTTAGCAAGAGCCAATTCAATGACTTGACTCATCCATAACTGTAATTCATCATCATCAATAGTTGAAACCCATTTGTTAGATCGGATAAGCTTGATATAAGCCCCATTTTCAGCAATCAAACCAATATTAGGATATCTACCATAAACATTATCCAAGTCTCTTCTTTTCATAAAACTTATCAAATATAAAAAGTTATTAGGATTTTCAAGTAATGAACTCAACAAGTTTGAAATTCTTCCTGGCTCCGAATATGAATTTTTACCAGCAGAAGTAGCATTTATATTCCCCACGTTGGAAAGGGCAAATGGTGTTTCCAAATTAATGAAGAAAACTCTCTTACCAGATTTCCCATCTTTATAAAATGATCGGAATAAGCTTCTGGTGAATACAGGTAAAGAACTTGTATTCTTTCTTTGATCTCTTTCCCAAGCTTCATTGATACTTTGTAAACAACTTGAAACCCAATGTTTTGAATCACGAGTTATAACAAAATCAAAGCAATTCTTCCAACGTAATTGTTTTTCTTCATCAGACATGGTTAACAGCTGTTTGAATGCTTCAGAAAACTTTCTATGATCCCAAGGGTTAATCAACACCGCTCCTTTACCATGACAGTCAAGCAATGGAGCTGAACCAGTGAATTCGGATAAAATTAAGGGAGATTTTCTATCTCTCGTAGCGGTAATAAATTCATGACAAGTTAAATTCAAACCTTCTCTCATGGATGAAACCACAAACACATCGGCTTCACATTGTAAAGCAAGATACTGATCGAATTCAATATCTCTTTGAAGCAATACAACTGGTTGAGATACTGATATATTTTCCGGCAATGAATTAATTCTAGCAACTATCTGAGCAATCTCACTTTCATATTCTGGATCATGAGATGAATTAATACAAATTTGAATTAAAACTGTGTTATCAATATACTTTGGATTGTCAATCAAGAAAGTTTCATAGGCTAATAATTTCTGTTTTATACCACGCAATCTGTCTAATTTATCCCTACTAACAATCAAATGTTGGTCGCTCCAACGGTCTCGAATAAGTTGTCTCCATTCTGCGACTTCATCACTTTGAACTGTCGTAGTTAAAGACTTAGCATCAATACCAACAGGCGAAGTATTAACCATAGTCAAGTTACCTTCATATGAAATACCATACTCATTTGCATCAGCGAGTAGTAACCTGCTACAAGTTTGCAAAAAATGTCTAACATATTCTTCAGTTTGGAATGAGATACAATTAGCTCCAAGCATCCCTTGTAAGATTTGATTTCTTTGGGCGAAACAACGGAACACTTCTGAAGATGGAAATGATATATGTAAGAACAATCCAATCTTAGCATCAGGGAGTTTTTCACGAACCATTAATGGAACTAAAAGTAAATGATAATCATGAATCCAAATCATATTTTCAGGATCGTTAGGGTCATTAGATTCATTTTCACGTTTATATGTTTCCACAATTTTATCAGCAACCAATTGATTTAATACTTTATAATGACTCCATGAATGATCTTCAAAAGCTTTGGATTTGGGATCATCAGGAATTTGATAATGGAAGGTTGGCCATAATATTTGTTTACAAAATGATTTGTAATGACCTTGGAATGTGATATCGTTGGGAAACACTGCTTCACAATTATACTCATCAGATAAAGCTTTTCCAATGTTGGCTATTACTGATTCAGGTACCGCATCACTTGGCATAGCTAGTGTTCCAACCCAGGTAGTTTTATTGATAACACCAGCTTCTTGAGATAATTTCACCGCTTTAGTTAATGATAAGTTTCCCTTATCCGCAAATTGAATGTTCCAAGGAGCAGTTTCAAAAATGTTATCTTGATTAAAAAAGTTATGTTGAAGATCAGGATTTGAAAACCCTCCGAATGGAGCTAACTTTGTAGTATTATGTTCAGATCTTCCATAAATTAAATCATTATAATTATTCTCCCAATCTTTATGATCAAGGGGTATGGTATCTTCAATTTCTTCAGCTATAACCAAGGAACTTGTACTACTATTACTAGTTAATGTTAAACCATGAAACTGACGGGATATTGAAGCCCTAGCTCTGGCAGAACCAGCATTTGATCCTCCTGAGGGTCCTAATGCAGTCAAACTAGTCAATTTGGTAGCAGATCTACTCATTTTCAAAGAAGGTAAACCCAAATCATCATTTTCCTTCTTTGCATCAATTATTGATCCACTTAATTTAAAACTGCTGTAACGCGATCTAGGCTGAATATACTGAGGTTGAAGCTTTTCAGTTAAGTTATCAGCGAATTGACCCTGTGGGGCACTTAATGTCCTTGAGTTCTTAAGTTTAGACTTACCATAAAAGAAATTCTCTGTATCAATACTGGATTCTTTAATGGCTGGGGCAACCTCGTGATGTCTAGGAGAATTTGAAATTGGGCTATGTTGCAAGGATCCAACCTTACTCAATGATGGTAGAATAGAACTCCTAGGTGTAATTGAGACAGGTATAGGTGATTCTTCTTTCTTGGTCTCTCCTGTTCTGCAAATGTTAATCTCTTTAGCCGCATCTCCAACTATTTCCGTTTGAGGACCAATTTCAAATTGGACCGTATAAGGTAAAAATCTAAATGAAATTAGTTAGTATAAATCACTTTAATAAGTTCAATGGGAGGCGATACATACAAAGAAGCAATAATAACAGTCATTGGTGATAGATACTATTAAACAATTGATGAAAATTAGAATGAAAAGAAAGATATATATTTTAAGGGTAGCAATCCGTTTTACAGCTCTTCTAGATTCTTCTGAGTACAAAAGCCCCAGCTCTTAACCCAAAAATAATCACGTGAGTCACCCATACAAAAAAAAAGAGGAACTTTTACCCCTGATCGTATAATACTTTAAGTATGTGTAACTATCTACCTATCTACATATCATCAGATGTCATCAAATTCTATATCTGATTCGATTTCGGAATCGTTGTTATCTGCACTATTACCAATATTATTTTCTGGTTCCTGTACTACCACTTCTTGTTCTTCTTCTTCTCCTTCTTTCATCGCATCTTCTAACTCTCCTTCAAGAAAATCGTCACTGACGTCACTATCGTCCTCTTTACTAAAGTCGACCACTTCTATCCCTGACTCAATTTGTTTGTCTATTACAATATCATCCGCATCATTTGGTGCAGTATCATCTTGAATGGTTTTTTCATTGTCATCTTTATTATTATTATTATCCAGTAAGTCTATACCAAATCCGTCGTAAGAATCCTCGTCATCCAGCGAATTATCAATTGTATTGAACTCAAAAGGCAAAAGGTGATTAGCTTTTTCCTTTTGTATATCATTTTCTCTATTAGCTCTCTCCTTTACCATTTGTTCCAATCTGACTTTTTTGAATGATTCAGCCAATCTGACATCTTTAATGACTTTATTAAACGATTCTTGTAATGCGGAAGAGAAAAAGCTATTGATTTCTGCCGTAGGTTTAAGTGTAGCATATGGAGAATAGTATTTCTCTGCTTTTATAAATATATTATTCTCTCTTAGTTTACGCTTCTTTTCAATCTCTTCTGCTCTTTTCTTAAAGATAAGAGATCTCTTCTTTGCATAAGCTTCAAAATCAAATATAAATGGTGGTTCTTTTTCTGGTTTTTGTTCTGTTATATTCTCTGTTCTTTGTGCTTCAGAATGATCACCACTTTCTTTTATTGGTATGATTTCACCCTCCTTATCCTCTTTTTCAGCTATTTCCACTTCCTTTATGTCAGTCTTGGTTACTTCTTCTTCTTTGGGTTCTTCCTTTTCTTCAATTTCTTCTTCTGCGTTCACCGCCACTTGTTCTTCTTCAGGTTTCTCCTCAATCAATTTTTTCCATTCATTTTCATCATCAACTAGTCCATATAACGAATTTTGCGTCATTCGAGATTCTTCCACTAATTTCAACCTTAATTCCTTCAAATCTGTCAATCTATTAGTATAATCATATGTATTTTGATAAGTATATTCGGGAGGGAAATCAGGTAAATAAGATGGAATATATTGCGGTTTTTGATTACTTTTGGGAAGAAATTCTGCAATTTCATAACGTTCATTAGTGAAAAATGGAAACGACGGATCTTCCTTATCTATTTTAGAATTATCTGATAGTATTTGTTGAAGGATTTGTGTTGTTTCTTGTTCTATATGTTTTAATTTTGTTTGAGTTTCTGTAGAAATGTTCTTATTGGAAATATGTAATTCTTTGTACAATTCTGAAGGATGAATGTTTTTCAATCTGAATATTACTTTTAAATCTTCTAAAGATGGAGATCGACGTCGTTGGGATTGAGTAACTTCTAACAATGATGTTAATAAATTATGAAAGTAAGCTATAGCTAATTCTGTAACTTGATCGATAAATTCTTTTGATGAAGACAATTCTTTATCTTCCAACATGACACTGATTATCTTATTGAATTCGAATTCAACAGGTGGTAAGTCCTGCCTTACCTCTTTGACCAATGTAAGTGTTTCATCTGAAAGGATTCGAGAAGTGGCTGGTATATATCCTGATGTTGACTTTTTATCGTTCAGCTTGGAGTCTTTTATTGTTGCAATTGTATTCGTCAATGCATTCAACGATACATCATCCATGTTATGTACTGATGCCACATTTGTTGTCATGATGGACTAATGAAGTGGTTGACTCTGGTTAATTCAATGAATGGTAGTATTTTATGAATTTACAGTTCAGTTTATAACTACTCAAAAAAAAATGCTATTGATATTTTGACTACTCGCAACAACACAAAAAATACAAACAATCAATATAAACAACTGACAATAAAACGCAATTATATATATATTTTGCAGTTATAGCTAATTATTATTACTTAAATCATACTAATTCAATTATTCAACAAATATTCAATGGCACCTTGGACACTACCACCAGTTCTTCTTAAAGCTTCTACATTTCTATCAAAATCAAAAAATCCCATATCATTCAATTGTCTCAACTGATTTTCATATCTTTCTTCAGGAGGACGAGTGTCAGCTGGTGGAGCAGGAGCACCGCCGGCAGCGCCAGCTCCGAGAAATGAATAAGGATCCATAGGAGGAATACCATTAGGGAATAAAGCAGCGAATGGATTAGCTGGAGTGGAACCAGCAGCAGGAGTAGTATTAGTGGTGTTCTCAGTTGTAGAAGTAGAATTTTCAGATTGAAGGGTTGGATTAGCACCAGGAGCAGGGAAAGCAGTAGCTCCAGGTTGACCACCGAAACCACCGAAACCTCCAGCACCGGCACCACCACCCATTTGCATCATCGATCTCATCATTTCTGGATTTTGTAACATTTGTCTAAAAAATGGACTTTGCAACATTTCTCTAACTTGAGGACCCATGGCTCTTAATTGAGGATTTTGATTAATCATGTAATCTAACATTTGAGGATTAGATAACATAGCATTCATACTTTCTTGAAACATTGGATTTGACATCATTTGGGACATTTGTTCTGGATCAGGAAGATTAGTATTCATCCCTCCATCTGGTCCAAACATTGATGCAGAAGGTAATTGAGCATAACCGGCATAACGAGCACCAGTCAAATCAGCTATTGGATTGAATGCACCTTGACCAGAAGCAATATTTGAAGGAACTCCACTAGCAGCAGCCAGAGTAGCAGATGTAGATTGGTTACCTGTAACACTTGTGGTAGAACCAGTTGAAGATGAAGGATTGGCAGGTTTGGCACCAGCACTTTTAACAAGATGGATAGTGTGACCAGTTTGAACTTTATATGATGCTACAGTTTCATTATCTTTTAAAACTTTACCGGAATATATTAATCTTTGACGATCAGCTGGAATATCAGCCTTTTCCGAGATTTGTTCTTTTAATTGTAACACTGTTATGGATGGATCAATGGTTAATTCATATTTATTATCACCTGAAGACTTTATGGTGATTGATATGGAGTCCGACATCTCTTAATCTGTATGATATTAATCAAATGGAACTTATAGATTCAATCAAATGATTATAAATAAACGTTGTCAATTATGGCAATTCACAAATTAATTATTGCCCTCCAGACTCAATTTCTCCCAAAAACTTTTTTGGGTGGTGGTGGGCTTACATACAGGAAATGAGATTAGAATGTTCCAAAGTGTTCTACAAAAAATTAAATAGTTGCAAATTAGTTTAATGGGTTTGGATAAATTAATATATTATTAAAATAAATTAAATTAAATTAAAAGATTTGATTAAAGGATATAATCATAAAAAGTGACATATTAAAACCTGAATAAATGAAGAATTAAATAAACTAGAAAACCTAATACAAAATAGAATTATTTGGGAAATAAATACAGAAATAGAATGAAAACGAAGAAAGGAATATGCTAATAATAATATAATCGATCACAACCATACTTTTAGAAAATCAAGATGGATAGTTACAATGAAACGTTATTTTTTTATATGATCGATTTTTGAATTTAGTTTAATTAATACCATGTTTAACCTCCACTCTCCAACCACATTCCAAACAACTATGACCTTCAATACCATCTTCAAATTGAACTTTTCCTTTACTTTGCATTAAGGACCATTCACCCTTAGCAGGAATCTTTTTACAACTACTGTTAAGACATCTTGCTGAAGTTTTCTTATATCTTAAACCACAAGAGTTACAAAGCTGACCTTCTTTAATCGACCATGATGGTCTCCAACATGGTGATTGATCAGATCCACAAGAAATACAAACTCTTGGATTATGATGATTATGTTGTTTTGGTGGAGATTTTAAAAGATCAGAACGAGATTTTGATTTGGTAGATGATGGTGGAGTAATTGGAATGAATTTATGTTGAGTAGTTTCTGGAATTGAAGTTGGACCAGTTAATACAGTATGAGAAAGTGGTGGTGGTGGTTGAGTATAAGGAATTGAATCCTTGGTGGCATAATAATTAGCCCCCATTAAACCAGGAATAATAGGAGGAGGTGGAGGTGGTATAGATGCAGTTGAAATATGAAAGCCAGTTGGACTAACGGCTGAATAAGGTTGATATTTCTGCTGAGGAGTTTGTTGTGGGGAGATTTCATGATGTTTATGTTGAATTGGCAGTTGTTGTTGTGGTTGTTGTGCTGGTTGTTGTTGTTGAGGTTGAGATAATTGAATTAAAGATTGAGCTAATTCAAGATATTCAGGATATTTCGCCACATCATTAAGATAAGTCTTATTAAGATAAGTATAATTTGATTCATAAGGGAAATTTATTTTTCTTTCAAAATGAGGTTGATTAACATTTGGTAAAGAAGAAACATCCTTGGTAATTTTCGAACTTAATCTTGAATCGAAATTTGGTTTATAAGATGATGATGATGATGATGAGAAAGAAGACATTCCACTTGAAGTAGCATGTTTATTGAGGTAATTATATTGATTAAGATGGAAATGTTTTGAATCTTTATTTATAGTATCCAATAATTCATAACGCCAATTTTCATCATTTGGTTTATAAGTATCGAAATAATCAAGTGATACAGTTGGAGTGATTGGTTTCAAAGGTAAATTCAATGCGGTTGAAAGACTTGGCAATTTTATTTTATTAGCATTATTAATATGATGATTTATTTGACTTGTAGTTGATTTAATATTTGCTTTTGGAGAAGTTGATGGAGATAAAGGATTTACAAACTTTTTATTTGGAGATAAAGATTTTGATCTTATATCAGAAGAAGATTTCTTCTTCATGGAATTTTCATCAGAAGATGAAGATGAATGATTTAAAACTCCGAAATCGTAAGGGGGAGAAGGAGGAGCAGTTCTTGATCTTTTTGATGTACCAGAATAATCTAAATGATCAGGAGAATCACGAACAAGATCAGAATGAGATCTCTTTTTGACATATGCTGGATTAGAAGAATTGGCCACACTTGATTTGAATTGATTTAAAAGTTCATGAAAAGAATGAGATCTCATATGAGCGGATGCAAATGGACTATTTATATGATCGTTAAACATAGCTGATGGTTGCAATAAACTCATATTTTTAAATGTTAATTATAGGAGGTGACAGTTATGAATCAATTGATGATGAATAATTATGGTGAATACAAGATACAATTCGTTGATTTATGAATTAGGGGGTTTGAATTGAATTTGAATTTGATCTGTAAATTTGTGTAAGTTTTTTTTTGGGTAAATCAAAAAAGGGAAAAAAACAACTTTGATATAGCGTGTGGGTAAAAGAATGGGTTGATTTAGGTAATTTAAGTAGATCCTTTTTGGAAAATGAATGAAGTTTAAGATTACCTTAGGTTATGGAACAGTAGTAACTAAGGTTTATAGTATGAAATGGATGCAAATTCAATGATATACAATCGGTTGTATCTTGATACCTTGATGAATTTGTGTCAAATTAATGTAAAGAAGCACTCGATCGTTTTAGGTAAAGTAATTAGATCGATCCCTTTAACTAGCAAAAATTTCTTTTTTGGGGGAGTTAAAGTATTGCAGTTAGGATGTCGGACTGCACACAGGAGATGATTTAGTTTTTAACACAGAAATTAAAAATTAACTCAAATGGGAAGGGGGGGATGATAAATTGGGGGAAGATGTTAATGATGATGATGATGATGATGATTAATGTATAAAGATTATACAGAGATATGTTAACAGAAATACAAATCAATTAGTTTAAAAAACGAGAGATCAGATTTAGAAATATAAATTTTATAAAACTGACAAGGAACAAGAGTTTATATATCGAGTTTTAAACTAGGATCATAGTTAATTCATTTCAAACCTGATTCAGCTAAGAAATATCCAAATCGGGACAGATTCCAGCATATATCAAAATCCATAAAAGGGTTTTTACAGGTAACCAAAAAAAAAAAAAATTAATTATTATTTTACAATTTAGAATTTTAAATTTAGAATAATCTAAAGTTATAATGAGGTTTGTACTATATTATATCAATAGCCAGCAAGTATTAATTGAAGTGATAATGTTTAAATTTAAACTATTAATAGAATAATAATAATAATAATAACTGTATAGTTACTATGAATACCGCATAAATCATCCTCAAGGGGTATAATGGTAAAGACACGCACACTTTTTAACAAGCACAAATGGGATTATGTGCAGTCCCACCATAATTTTTGTTTATGAATGGCTGGTTACTATATATTACCAGGTTGATTTTGAGGTTGATTTCAATCATGATTTACTTGCAATAGAATCCTTTCAAGTAACTCATCTGCATGAAGTGGATTACTTGTTACTTATTTCACTGGTAACTTTTGATTCCAGGTCTGATCTTGTGTACTGTAGTGTTGTGTTGTATCGTAGTATGGTAAGACTTTTAACCTATCCACGGTTAATCATGTCAATTCACATTGATTCGCTTGTTAATAGCCACCTCATTACCAAGAAAAGATAAATCACTTCTGTTTTGGGCTTTTATTATCATCATTGTTTTATACCCCTGATAAGATACACAGAACGATTATTAAAATCATATTTCTAAAAAGACTTAACTTAATTTTAGTAATGACTATATTTCTTAATTGTGGGATAAGCCGTTTCATCTCTTGTTTAAGCCATTTACTATTTAGTATCATTTGGTGATTCACAAAATCTCAATCTAATCACGATCCCAAACGCACGTGATCATTCTTTTTCAAATTTTTGGAGTTTGAAAAAAAAAAGTACTATAAGCTTAAAGCAGAAAGTGATATAAACTTTATTATGCTAAATTCAAATCCTATCCATATATAAATAAACATGTCACAACTACAACAACAGGATATCAGTATGTATCGCCACTCACAGGCTTATGCCAATTCAATCAATCCAGTATGATTATTATACTAACTACTCCCTCAACAGCTCAACCTATAGAACCATTCATAAAGAAGTTATTAACTTCATTAGATCTTCAATATAGTACCCCAACTACACTGTATCCAAGTGTAGAAGCTTATGCTACTCAATTTGGTAAATCATTAAAGCCAGACGGTTCTATCATAATAAATGGTACTCCATTAATACCTCATGCTTCTCCACAACCTTCATCATCAAAATTGGAATTTCAAAAAAAATGGTTACAATCTCCATTATCATTCCATCAACTAAATAGTTATGATTGTCATTTAATACCAGGTACAGGCACTTTTATTATAAATGTCAGTGCCAAAGTAAGGTTTGATGAAAGTGGAAGAAATAGATTAGGTGAATCTGCGGATCTAATTACAGATCATCAACGACAATCAAGAGCACTTTGGGGATCATGGTTTGGAGTTAATATAATCTTAGTTGTTGATCAAACTATTATGACAAATCCAGAAGCTGAAGTTATAAATAGTTTTAACTACAGATTTACATTCCATCCTGAAGATTCAGTCATAAAAATATAGTATAATAATAATAAGAATAAGTAAAGGAATTAATATCTAAAGTCCTTTATCTTTTATATATTCATTTAATAGAGTACCTAAATATTTCTTTGAATAAAATTCAGGCTCATTAGAATCTTCTTCAAGAGTATAATTCAATTGTTGAAGAGCCCAAAATATATCTTTTTGAATAAAATCGTAAAACACAAGATCAACTAATTCATCATTTGGAGTTCCCTTTTTTAATTCTTGGGAATCAACCACATTGGGAATTGGGAAATTAACCACGGCCTTATGAGGAGTATCATCCCCATCATGACCTAAATCATCAAATGTAACATACCCTTTCGTTAATTTAGCTTTCTTTTTACTATTTTTAATTGTTTGTTTATCAGCTTCAGTCAAATCTAATACAGGATATCTAAATCTAGTTTGTCTCTTTAAAGAATTTTTATTTTCAGCATCATCCATATGATGAGGTGGAGTTAAATGTTTAGCAATATATCCTTGATCATTTAAAATTGGTGCAATTTGAATAGCTATACCTTTTGGTAAAGTTAATTTAACCCATAAATTCTCAAATGGGGACACAATATATTGACTATCAATAGTATATGCTCCCTTATATAAATCATATCTTATAGATCCAGTATTTATAATAATGATTCTTTCATCATGAGTGGTAATGTTTTCATTCTCAGTTACCAATGTTGGTAAGATTTTTTTCGTTAATAAATGGAATATATTTTTAGAATCAGTTATTGGAACATAATCAATATAATAATTACTACTTTTAACATACCCAATTGGATCATTCAACTTTAATTCTTTTCTAGTAGTTTTAATCAAGTTAGATACTTCAATTCCTCTTTCAGTATCAAATAAGGATTTAGTAGTTATCTTTGAATGATGTTGGAATGAATCAATATTGAAATCAATATAAGTTCTTGAATAACGATCATCGAATTTCTCCGTAGTTAAATTGATACTGGTCCATCCAATAGTTTCACAATATCTTCCACTTTGTAAAGCAGTAGCATTAGGATCCAAGACAATAAAATCTCTAATATGACTATGACCTCCAAAATATTGAATTTTGGTGGTTGGATAAAATTCACGAAGAACAGTATGAAGATAATATAATTCAGGCCAACTACGAGATATTGGAACATGAGTTACAAGTAATAATAAATCCACTTTATCAGGAGGATAACTCTTTAAGATCTCTTTAAACCAAGGTTCATTGTCGATAACTTCTTTTATGGATGTAACTTTTGAATGATCATTAAATCTATCAAAATCAAAAAGAAATCCAAAGGATAAGACGTTTAATTTTTGATTTGGTGTAGTGAAATACTTAAATTTATCCCCAAATGAAACAAATGTACCATTATCAAGTTTAAATTGAACATTTGAACTAAGATAATTCCCCTTAAAATGTTCAATTAAAACTTCATATTCTTGTCTTGAATTTTCCCATAAATATAATTCATGATTACCAATGGTTAATAAATCATAATCTTCTTTCATAAAGATAGGAAGTGATTTAACTCCATTAGGTACAGTAACATCAGATAATCCATTCCCATCATGTCTATCCCCACTATCAATCAATAATAAATCTTGATTATTTTCATTAGCAATCTCCTTCAATCTACTCGTAAATGAAATGAATTCCCCCCAATCAGCACTGTATATCTTCTGATTAAGATGACCAGAATACCAACCATGAGTATCAGTAGTATGAATGAAATTGATATCACTCCAAGTCAAGTCTCGTAATGCTGAGATTTGACTATTATTGTTCGAATAAACATGATACAACTTGTACACCTGACTGATGGCGACAAGAGCCAAAAATGCCAATACAAGATTCCTATACACTGAAGTATCAAACATGCTGTATAATTGCTGTTGTTTCTTCCAACATTCAAAGTTGTTGTTGTTTGGGATTTTTGAAATGGCAGCCACAACAACGTTCTCTTTATACTCCCTCCCTCCCTTTTGCTCCCTATCTCTCTATAGTGGTTATCTATCAGTGGTTGTATGCAGGAGCTGTCAAAATCGTTAACCATAGACATTTAGACATGTCAACTGATTTACTATACTACAATATCAATGGTATCTCTTTTTATATGTTACATGTGTTTATTAAAATTGTATACTAAATGATTGTTGTTGAAATTGAAAGTGTTGTAAATCACAACATGTTTCAAACTATAAAATGTCAATTGTCAATCGATTAGATTTATAAACCTTGTTGATTTCTTCTTCTGTCTCTTTCTTCAGAAATAGATAATTTAATACCTTTACCCTTTGGTAATGAGACGTATGGTTTACCAGCTTCAGCACCAATAACGAAAACGTTAGCTAATCTGGTAACGAAAAGGTTATCTAAAGAATCTTTAATATGAACTAAATCAAAACCTCCTTCGTGTCTTTCTCTATGGGTGATAACACCAACTCTACCCAAATTTCTACCCCCAGTAACCATGACTAATCTACCGGTATCGAATTTAATGAAATCAGTGATTTTACCAGTGGCTAAATCAATTTTAACGGAATCGTTAGCTTTAATAGCTGGATCTGGGTATCTAATAGTTCTACCATCATGGGTAACAACATATGGAACACCTCTTTTACCTAATTGAACTTTCTTAACTTTACCTAATTTGTAAGAAGCTTCTTCAGCAGTGATTCTGTGGACAGCGAATCTACCTTTAATATCATAGATTAATCTAAAATGTTCATTGGTAGCATCTAAACTGATAACATCCATAAAACCAGCTGGGTAAGTAGAATCAGTTCTAACTTTACCATCAACTTTGACATGTTCTTGCATTAAGATAGCTTTGACTTCTCTACCGTTTAAAGCATACTTAAGTCTGTTTCTTAAGAAAACAACTAATGGTAAAGATTCTCTTAATTTATGTGGACCAGCAGATGGTCTTGGAGCGTAAACACCGGATAATTTATCCAACATCCAGTGGGATGGAGCTGCTAATCTCTTTAAATGCTTCTTTGGTCCTCTACCCATTTTTGATTAAGTTTAATTGATATGGTATAATAACTTTTAAAATCTCTGTAAAAATGAAATTAATGTATAGTAAATTATAATTTTTTTTTTCACTATACCATTGGTACAATCCAAAAACAGAAATTGAAGATGTGTGTGACACCAAAAAAAAAAGATTAATTTTGTCTTGAGGTCTGGAGCCCTACACATATCGTGTAATCACGTGGGAGTGATGATGGTAATGATCATAACCATCATATTTTGCAACCCATTATACTACAATTTAACAACAAATTATTATAATTACATAACCTATCGTTTCTTATATTATATTAAACATACTTATAAATACTATTGACGAACTAATCATTTCCATCTTCCAAACCATGCTTTACTTGGAATAGCCTTTATTTCAGCTGCTAATCTCTCGTCTTCATCTAATAAATTATCATAAACATCTTGAAGATTAGCATACTTTTCTGTCTCTTGAGCGTTGATTAATAACAATTGATGAATATGATCTTCAATATTATCGGGTATTCCATCCTTCAAATCATTATTCTCTGTAGTTGAAGAACTCTTTATCTTTGATTTTAAATCAGCTAATTCTTGTTCTAATCGTTCAATTTCAAGCTTTAACTCTTCATTATCATTAAGCACCTCTGGTAATGTCACTTTGATATCCACCATGTTTTGAACTATATCAACATGATCACTATTAAGATTAGCATAACTTGATTCTAAATCTTTGATTTTATGTCTTAAGTTGCCATTTTCAAGTTGTAACTTCTCTATATCATTGATTTTCGATTTTTCTCGTATATAAATATGTTCAAATTCATTCGTATATTTGACCAATTCAATAGGATCAATGTTTATCGCCATAGAATCAACCACAAGATCATCTAATTTATAATATATCAATCCTGTACTTGGACCACTATGATTCGAAATCCCTGTGATTGAATTTCTTTTGGAACTAAGAATCGAAAATCTTCTGGTTGTAGTTGGGGTTGGAGTAGTTGAAGAAGTAGATGAAGTTGTGGTGGAAGTTGATTTATCTTCATCATTAACTATGAATTGATCATTTATATAAATATTGAATAATTTATCCTTTAAGAATTCTAATAATTTATCAAATTTTAAATTTAATAAATTAGTTTCATTCTTAATGATTAAATTAACCGCAAATTTCAAGATTGATTCTATACCTTGAGTTATAATTATATCATAAATCCTTAATACAATATCTAATGGGAATTTATAAGCAAAGAACGTTAAAAACCATTGACTGGCATACATGGAAGATTTTATGCCTTGTTTAACAAGATGATTATATAATACGGGGGAATAATGTTCTAATAATCGATCGAATTGATATAATAAAAGATGTAATCCTTTCATTTCAGGACAAAACAAGTTTCTTAATTGATAATCTTTCATTAAAGTTACTAAAAGACAAAAGCATTCTGCTTCATTCATATTCATAATTAATGGTACAGCAATGAATATCATACCTTGAGTATAACCCACATCAGGATCAAATATGGAATATGCTTTTATCACATTATATAATTCGGTAGCTTTATTAGATTGATCGATACTTGTATAAAAACTAGTTCTGGTTAAATCTCTTTTAATCGATTTTTCATGAATGGAAGGATCATTCTTTAAATTTAAATAGAATTCTTCCAATTCGAAATTCTTCGATTTAGAAACTAATTGCCAAATAATACCTCTAAATTCCTTGGGTATCCCCTTTATAATCAATTGATTTAATTTATCAGATTCATTATTTATAACAGTACCATAATCATTAACGATATGAGTCCAAAAATCCCAATCAATCTTATATTCACCCCCGAAATTACCAATCGTGTTCTTGATATTATCAAAAGTTCGTTTAATGTTTGCTTGACCTGAATTAATCGATGATTTCGATTTAGAATCCTTTAAATTAAAATCATGATTTAATTGATTAAATTTAGATTGTAAAAGATAATTAGAACTTGATTTATTGAAAGTGGATTGAATCTTGGTTAATTCTTGGATGGATTTATCTTGTTGATCCTTTGAATCCGAATTATCAATATCTAGTATACTTCCTTCAAGTTTATCAAGTTTTAAAGCATCTTGAATGACTTTCCTATCCGGTAAGGGTGGACCCTTTAAAGGTTTGGGAATGAATTGACTTTGTTGCGATTCATTTTCAGTTAAAGTGATTTCAGAAGCAGCTCCTGGACTCTTACTTTCAGTAGCACTGATTCCATCATGAGCATCTTCAAACTCATCAGCAGATGTTGACATGGTGTAAACTTTATCGATTGTTTTCTATTATCAGATATGCCGCAGTTCGCTGTCAAAAAAAGGGAGGAGATAGATGGAATTGACTTGACTTGAATTGGGGGTTAGACTATTTCAATGACTTTGATATTTGAATGAATCCTAACAATACCTTCAATACAGCCAATCTAGGGTATAATATGATGAATCTATGGAGTTGTAATTATTGATTTATGTGATTGATACGGTGGTGTTGTAAATGGGTTAATTTGTGGTTTTGTATCAGACATTTTTGGTGTCTCGTTTATGTGCAGGACACCCAAAATCTTAACCGATTTATCCTTAGCCAGCAGGTAGAGCAAATAGGTAACTACAATGCTAATTATATCAATTCAAAACGAATTAATCAATGAATGTAAATTTGGAATATATATATGTATATAGATATAATAAAAAATCGAATATAAAAAGAACTAAAACCTAAAAAATAACCTCTGTCTGCCTCTCTTTCTCCTGTTGTAATAGTAGTAATACTAATAATAATAATACTTTGTTAAATGCTCGTCATGGAAACCAGTTCAATTTATTTCATTATGCTGGAGAAACCCAGTAAAAATCATCATAATCATTAATATTTATGTCTTGTCGTTGTTGCTGTAATGGTGTTTGTGGTTGCAGGAATTGGAATTGTTGTTGTAATTGAACTTGTTCCAATTGATCAATTAATGGAGCTTCACCTTCAAGTCTTACAATTTCATCATTTGAAAGGGGTTGATATTGAGTTGAACTTGATAATACTTCATCATAATTTGATTCTGTCATTGATGTAACTGATGAATTAGTACCATATAATGAACTAAGAATATCAGTTGGAGTTACTGATTCAACTTCTTCGGCTGCTTCATTAGTTTGATTGAATTGATTATAAACTCCTGATTCATCTTGATCTAAATCTTCAAAGATTAAACCACCAATAATATTTTTCTCTTTACATAAACTTTCTAATTTTAATTTATCACAATTTGGGAAATAAATTCTTAATACATTTTTAGTATTAATATATTTTATAGGTAATTCACCTAAATCAAATAAATTATTTAAATCTTGTTTTAAATCAGTTAATTTTCTTTCAAACATTTTAATATTAAAGATCATTTCTTCTAAAATTTCTTGTGATAATATAGTTTCATTTGGAATATTTAAATTAAAATTAATGGGGAAATCAATATAACAACCATTATTAACTTGATTTGATTCAAATTTTTCTTGAAATGTTGCTGATGAATCAGTCTTAGCTAATTTTAAAGTTAATTGATGATGATCAGCATTTAATGATAAATTTAATGAAATTGAAGGTTTTAAATTTATAGCATTATATTTTGATCTTGATAAATTTGATTTTTCATTTTCTTGATAAACTTGAAATTTTTCTCTTAAATTATAAAATAAAGTTCGATAAGTTATTTTAACATTAGCATTATACCATTTTAATCTATATCCTGATTGATAAGTCTGACTAAAATTATGAAATAAACCTGATGATTGTCGATTTAAATTATTGATAATTTTAGAATTCACATTGGCACTATTATTAAAGATATTGAAATTATAAAATTTAAATAATCTTGATTTTAAAAATGAATTTTTAAATTTAAAAAATTTCCAACTTGTTGGATTAGCATTTGGATTGGGGATTGAATTCTTAAACATATAAGCTCTGATTCCAATTCGAGTTGAACTTGAAGATGGATTGAACCCAGTGAATGATCCAAAACATCTTTGAAAGTTTCTGGTAGTTGAAGATGGTAATCTTCTATTACCAGAATTCCCTCTAACTGGGATAGCAATGGGTTGAGGTTGAGGTTGAGATTCATTAGCCAAAGCTTCTGCCAACTCTTCAAGAGCTCGTTGGATCTTCCTAGACCAGTTTTTTGTCCTCAACGCCAAGACGTTCCTGAGACGTTGTATACTCATGATGTATGATTATTTCAAACTAGCAATATGATGGAAACTGAGATGAAATGAATATAGAATATATGACAATGAATATACGATGAAGTAATAAAAAAGAGATGGGACAAAAAGGAGGTTGGTGTAAATGAATGGAATAGATGTGATGGGTGGGTTGGTTGGTATGATCTAGATGGATATGATGATGATAACTGATGAGATGGATGGATGATTAACTTGGTTGTAAATATGATAGTTGTTGTTGTTATCTTTTGGTAGAACTTCCCCCTTGTTTTTCCCTCAGCCATAGAAATTTCTATCACATTCTCACAATTTGAATCATTCTTTTTTTTTGGGTATCGTCAAACCAAAAAAAGAAATTTAAAATTTCCTTCCCTTAAATGCGAAAGTCGGAGGAGTTAGCCATTTTCTGGTATACGCCACAGTATCAATTTTACACCCACACCTTATTTTTGCACCCATTGCAAAATGGATTATTACTAGTAATACAGTAGATGATATATCATATACACTATTCTATCAGTTACACTGATAGAATGATTACAATAGAATAGTTTCAAGAAAGATCGTAGATCAAATATCTCTTTGTTGATACCCATAATTATTCTTTAATTATTTGACCAATTTCAACTGATAATCGAAAACAAACATTTAATACTACAATATATATTACAAATTAAAATTAAAATCATAAAAGGTATTATTATACTATATCAAAAAAGGAATAAAAGAAATAAAATATAGGCATCAATCACATTAATTAGTTAATTCAAACAAGCCATAAAAATAAAATATATATATAGAAAGGAATAAAATGGTGGGTGAGGTATAGAGGAGGGAAGAGGGATATAAATAAAGCATAATTAGAATAATATATCATAAGATAATAAAGCAATAAAACGGAAAATAATAATAATAATCATAATATGAATCAAAACCAAGTCTATATATCATAACGGAGGTACGGGGACGAGTGGATGAAAGGAAAGGGATACAGATTTTCAAAACGCAGGTAGGGATGGAAAGCAAACGGGGTGGATTGAATTGGATTGGACTGGATTGTAATGGTTATAATGAGAAAGTAAGGAAATTGTATTTTGTCAGTCATATAAATAATATATCATATCTTATCCTATCATAGAACATGGTTTGACTGGAAATAAAGCGTTTTTCTTCCAACTAGTAACGGCAAAAAATAATAATAATAAGTTGATATTAAACATGTAGTAATTAACCACAACGATGATAATCCATAATGCATAAAAAGAAAGGATATTGTTTTTATTTAAACTAAAGATTTTTTCCATTTTTTTTTCTTTTCTTATTCTTTTTCATCATTTCAGTAAATTCTGAAAATCATAACCAAAAATCATATATATAAATCGTCATAAAAAAATAATGTCAAAAAAATCAAACTCAAAAAGAAAACAAACAGAACAAAACAAAACGGAACACAACTTTAAAATCAAGCATACAAGGAAGAACAAAAACAAAAAAGAACAAAAACAAGAGAATAAAAAAAATCATTTCAAACATTAATAATATGAGAATCATCCATAACTTCATCAAAAATTAAGTCATAATTGGAAACATCAGCAGAAAACAAAGCAAGATCATTTGATTTCGAAGTGGATGGATTAGTTGGATTACTAGTAGAACTAGTAGATGTAGGACCAGAAACAACACTTGCATCATTACTATTAGCACTATTGGATCTTGACATACTTGAAGCAGAAATCATTCCATTCGAAGTTGCTACCATATGCGACTTTGGAATTATAGAAGCATTATTAAATTGAACTTTTGATTGTTGATCAAGTAATGGTTCATTAGCAGATTCATTTGAAATTGAGGTAGATAATGAAGTGGAGGTTTTATAACGTTTCAATATTGGTTGAGTTGATAATAAAAATTCATCATCATCATCTTTAATAGTACGATGATGAATTCTTGAATCTTCATCATCATCACCATAATTATAAGAATTCAAGGATAATAATGAACTTGGTGATGTAAGTGAATTACTACTCGAAGTTTGTAATGATTGATTAGCAAATTGAACTTGATCAGATAATGATTGCGATTGTAATGCTGGATATTGAGATTGAGAATATTGATATTGGAAACTCTTAAATACAGATGGTGTCACAAATTTGAATGCATTACATGGTAAACTTAACTTCTTTGTACCAGGTCCAATATCATTACCACCATTACATCTCATAGTAGCGGTTGGACCATTACCATTAACGGTAGCAGCAATGGTTGCAAAATTATTATTATAATTGACATTTTCTTCAGTTGGAATGTTATTCAAAATAAAATCATTAATAATCTCTTGTTTGATTTTAACTTTATCGAGTTTTTCAAAATCAGGAAAGTATAAATCATTAGCCGATGTCATCACATTTGCTTTGGTTTGATTATCCAATTGATAATTCTTATTTTGGAATTGGGTTGGTGAATGTTGGTATTGTGATTGTTGCTGTTGTGGTTGTTGACGTTGCTGATGTTGATGTTGCGGATGTTGATGTTGCGGTTGAGATTGATCTTGAGATTGTTGAGATTGTTGGTGTTGAGATGGTTGACGTTGAGTTTGATGATGATTTGAAGTCATAGAGTCATCTTCATTTGAAAAGATTGAATATGAAGGAGAATGAGAAATTGAATTAGCAATTGAGTTTGAATTCAAAGAGTCTTCATATTGAGATTGAGATTGATGTTGTTGTTGCTGTGGGTGTGATTGTTGTGATTGAGATTGTTGTTGTGATTGATGAGAACTATGACTCAGCTGTCTTAATGATTTTGTGAGATTCGATTGAAAGCGAAAATTACTGTTATTACTATTAATAGTAGCACCAGAATGATTACTTACATCTTCATTAGAACTTGATGAATCCAAACCAATTGGTTTCAAAACAGTCTTATAATTATTATTCATTAACAATTGATCAATATCATATTCATCAGTAGTATTAGGAATCAAATAATAAATCAAATCTTGTAAATTCTTTAATTTTGTTTCCACATCAGTTAAATGAGCTCTAGTTAAAGGAGATCTGATAGTTCTTGGACTATAAGAACAACACCATTTATGTTGAATACATTTGGAACATCTTGGATATTCTTTTGAACATTTCAATTTACGCTTACGACATGAATCACAAGCTTGTTCAATGGGTTGAGGAGGATGAAGTTTTTGACCCGAAGAACCCGAGGTTGATTCATTAAGATCTTCTTCGGTATCTTCTTGTTTGATGCTATTATATGAATGAGTAGAATCGGTTGAACTTGTACTATTGGTGCGGCTTGAATTACTAGCATTGGTAGCGGCCGATGATAACGATGACGATGATGTAATGGATGAAGCATTTCTATGACCACTAGATGTTGATGAGGATGAATCTAGAGTTGGAGATGATGATGGAGGGAATGTGATGCTATTTGAAGGAGGAGATCCTGATAATGATTCTTTCTTCATGGTGTAAGATTTTCAATTGACAGCCAAAAACAACGAAGAAAAAAAAATTAAATTTGTTGATTAAGCGATAATTTGATAGACAGAATTAATTATTGTAGATCAAACAGGAAAAAGCAACCAGGATAAGGAAAAGATCAAGTTAGATAGATATGATGAAAACTTAATCAGTGTTGAATGAATAGATGAAAAGGGCTTTGAATAATTAACTATGATGATGATGATGATATATAAGTATATGTAGATATTTCAATTATAAGATAATTGGTAGTTGGATAATACACATACACATGTACTTATGGATAAGTATGTATATGGTTTATCTATATATATGATATATATATATATATCACTAAATGATATGATGATAACAAAACAAGGGAATGAAGCAATTGATAAAGAATAATAATAATATATAATTTTCAATTATTTGAATTATGGATGATATTTATTTTAAAAAACCAATTTGATTTTTTGATTTCACTGATTTAATTAAAAATGGATGTGTGAACTGAAAAGAGATGTATGTTTGAGGGTGTGCGTTCCTGTTATTGAGGACTTTCAGCTATTATTATTAAATTCAAAAAAAAAATTAATTTTTTTTTTCTGGAACCAAAAAAAAAAAATAATAAAAAAAAAAATAAAATTAATTTTAATTTAATTTAATTTTAATTTATTGAAATTAATAAATTAAAAAAAAAAGGACTTGAATTAAATATTAGAAATTAAAAATTGAACAAACAAACAAAAAATTTATTTTTGTTGATTTTGATATTATTACAGTGAATAAACTTTTTTATACGACTTGTATATAATGTAAAAATGTAAATGATAATGATATAATTGGGGGGAGACAGACAAAGTTTGGAAGTATGAATGTAGCGGAAATATGTCGAAACTATAATAATTGATCTTTTATAATAGAGTGGGTTATGATTAGTAGTAATTCTTTTCTAGGGTATTCCTAATGAATTTAGGTTTGTGATTTTGATAGGGGGGTGCAAAAAAAAATGGGAAAAGAGAAGAACCAGAACTAGAACCAATTTAGAGACGAAAATTATGAAAATATTATGGTCTATTTATATACTTTCAGGAACTAGATTTAAATCGTAAACCAGACCGCATTGACAGTATCAATTAACTTAATTGATGAAAGAAAGGAAGGAAGGTTTCGATCCATATCCCGTCAATTGAATCCATCGTTTTCAATAAAGGTGGATTGATAACCTAATGGAATATCTTTAACCAGTTTACGAATAAAATGTTCAGTAAAAAGGAAATCAATTTTCGGATTAAAGTTTTTACAATTAGTTTTGAAAGGGTATCCTTTGCCGTTGTACATTTACTTTTTACAGAAAGAGATATCTATCCTCCACCTTTATTTTTGAACAGGTATCTTAAATAATTAAAATAAACAGCCATAAAAGATAAGTTGCGTATGATAAATATTTAAGCTCAGATTGTATAAAGTTTAACCTTAAAAATAATAGGTCGGAGAACATGGATGATTGAAATGAATATTTTTAAGATAATTGTACGAAACAAACTATCGTTCCTTTTATTGTTATTCTTCTTCATATTCATTCCTTTTTTTTTTATTTTCTATCATTCTTTTTTTGCATTCTCCTATTTGGAATGAGACTGACTATTTTAAAAATAAATATTTACGCCATTTCATATTCAATTATTATATCATAGTTTATTATCATTATTATTAGTAGGCTGCTACTTTCTTCTTTCTTTTTTTTTTTTTTTATTTTTTTTTTATTTTCTGTTTTAAATTTTAGTTTTTTTTTTTTTCTAAATTCTGGTAACTCAACTTTGTGTTATACAAATAATCCGATCATTTACATCATATCTACACACCGATATTGAAATGGTAAAATGGAAAAAGTATCTATATCAAGAAATACAATTGTACATATAAACTTGATCTGCCGTACCCTTATCCAATAATATTCGAGATAATAGAAACTCAATTAATTCTACTAATTAATCTTAATTTAAAAAAAATAAAAATAATTAACCAAAAAAAAAAAAAAAAAAAGATCCATTAAAATTTTGACTGTTCCCCTCTTTAACCAAAAAAAAAAAAAAGATTGAGTTCTTTATTTATTTTTGGTTCCCTTTGTCTAAATAAATTTTGATCACGTGAACAAATGCATAGTTAATAAAGCCTTTTCCGGGGGTAGGGTGGAATCGTCGGAATATCTTGCCGTCATTAAATCAAGTGATTGAGAATCATTTTATTATGTGTTTAATACTATCGAAAGTCTGGTTCTTAGTTTGACTAATTGATGCATGCAGGTATACGCATTCATGTCAATGATGGTACTGAGAAAGTACTACTACTAACAATTTAATATTTCTTAACTGTAAATGTTACTTGAACGTTATTTGCTACATCTGAATTTTTGATGGTGTTAAATACCTGTTGAAACTGGATGTTGTATAATTAACGAACTGCTTAAGCCCTCTCCGGTCTCGGAGTTCGTCTGTTGGTACTGCACAATGGCAGATATTGCACTAAATAGACAAATTTAAAAAATGACAAAAATATCTCATTCCCCTCTTTCTCTTTTTTTTTTTTTTTTTTTTTTTTGGTTTTCTAATTATTTATTAATTGTCTCAAAATATTTATTTTATTTCTGTAGGGTACGCTAATTCAAATTTCTTTTGTAAAGGATATATTTATAGCGACTACAACCCAAGTCAAAAATATCACTATCAATTAACTACGATAATAATAATAATATTAATACTATTAATTACTACTTAATTTGGTATAAGAGGAGAAATTCATAATCATAATTCTCCTCTTTATTGTTATGAACCTTTTTTAGTCATTTCTTATGAGTCTTTTGTTTACATTTTTTGTTTACCATGACTAAAATCAAAAATATATTTTTATCAAATATTGTTTGTAAAACAAGAGCTTGCATTTACCGTTTAATCATGTGTCTATGTTATATGCTTTTAAGAGTTTATAAAAAAATTTCTATTTTTCATTTGATATAGAGGGGTTTTACGTTTGATGACCATTGATTGCGGCATTCATTTCAAACTATTAGCTTATCTGAAACAACGATTGATAAATTTGAAATTATTGAAAATAAAAAACGAAATTGCAAGGATTATTTTGTTGATAACTTAAATGGTTGATCTTGTCAAATTTTAAAGCTTTACTCTACTGTTTTTGAAAGGTTCTCCTATTATAGGTTATCTTCAATGTTTCCCAATCAAGTATCAGAACCGCCTCTATTCCTCATATCTTTCTTTTCTTCGTTCGTTGTTTCCTTTATTTCTTTTTTTGTTTGTTTCTTCTTTCTCTAATTTCAATCCGTTTCGTTTGGTTGGTTTCTTTTTCTAGTTACAATCCCCTTGATAGTGTGGATTAATTGTTGGTGTCAAATTGCATTACATCCCAAAAGGGAATCATTCCTAGTTTCTCATGGACAAATACTTCCGATAACAATTTTCAAGTTTTTCAAATTGGTACCTTAACAAAATATTTTTCGATTGATCTTTTTTTTTTTTGTTCTGATTAAAAAAAACAAAAAAAAATTAAAATTAAAATTAAAGTTAATTAATTCTTTTTTTTTTTTTTGCTAGTCGGAAAATTCCTTTCTAAAAATGCAATGCATTTACGACTTCTTAATGGTAACCCTTTCTTTTATTTTCTTCTTTTTCAGCCTTACATACGCTACACTGGTCTATCCTCTCTACTTCTACTGGCTTCAAACTCTACTCATACTCATATCCCTACTTGATTCAACATAACCTCACTGGGCGCAAATTTTCTATATCTCAAACCATAGTGTCAGCAAATACTATTATTTTTAAATACTCCGCTATTTTACGTTACCCATTCCAATATTATTTTTTTTAATTTTAAAGTCAGTAGATTATTTAGCACCGCCACTTGAAAGGTTCCAGACTACATAGTTTGACTTTAAAGTTGCTATTGTTCAATTATGAGGGTTGATCTACCATTATGCAATGGAAAAGGTTTGTCTCACTTGTAAACCTTTCTTATGATAAGCATGACATAATGTTAACCTGAAATACCCATTAAGGGGTCATTTGTCCGCCTTTCTGTCAACCAGCCAGTCATTCTTTACTGACTGATTTCGACTTTAATCAACAGATTTCCGAACACTCCTATATTTTTTATCTGCCGCCATAGTTAAATTTATTATTATTTCGTATTATTATTAATATATTGTCATTGTAATTTTAGTTTACGGCTCATAAATATCTTAATGGATTAACCATTCCTCATTAGGCTGATATCCCTTCTTTAGTATTCAAAATGGATTCTATTCCCTGCACGCTTTGCTTCCCCTTTTCATTGTCTTTATGCATTGTCTGTTTGATTGTCATAGAACTCGTCTTTGACTTCTTATCAAGTGGCTCAGTTTATCCTCTGTCTCTCAATATTATTTTCTATGCATCTTTATTCTCCAAATTGATTTTATCATGTGTTCCATCCCACTGGTTAATCCTTTTCATCTATAGGCTTTAGTAATTTTTTTGTTTTTTTGACCTCTCCTCTTACACCACACACACACTCTCCACCCCCTTGATAACAAGATTCATTTTCCTTTTATCCTTTAGGACGTTTAGCTTCTAGAATCCTACTTCAAAAGCCACCACTTGCTATCATACCCCGTTGTCAGAATGTACGATTTATTTTCATAAATACATACATGACATATCTTAACATTAGCTCTACATTGTCTTATTATTGTCAATATTATATATGCAAAGTGTGTTATCATCATTATTATTTGAATTACTTTTATAATGGCGGAACCAATGTCCACCAGCCGTAGATTTAGAGTTAAACATTTATCCTGGTAATTATTATTATTATTGGTCGACAGTTACTATCACGAGTTTTGGGATATTATTTTATTTCAATGCTTAAAAACTTCATTTTGCAATTATAATTTTGTTTAAACTTTTAAATCGGATAACCAATCAGTTATCAGATATGGTTCTTTTCCATATTAATTTGAAATCACTTAACATAGAACTAGCCCTAGTAATACAGCTCAATTATACCGGGGATCATAATTTATGTTTATATGTATAACATTAACCTAATCAGACAAAGTCTAAACTTACAATGAAAGAAAGTCCCCCAAATTCCAAGAAAAACCGTATTAAAATGTTTAAACATTACAAGTTTTACCCCTAAAAGATAAAAAATAATAAATATATACGTAACTAAATCGAACAAAATTCTACTTGTATAAAAATAATATAAAATACACCCCCAAATAACCAAAAAACCAAAAACAGAAATATTGCCAATCTAAAAATGTTTTATAATAATATTATATTATTACTGTAATGTTCTATTCTGTTACGATGAACAATATCCTGGAAGATCGAATGAAAACGACTTTTGAAATAAGACCAAGAAAATTCCATTGTATAAATTGGATTGACTTGATATATCAAGGAATTTTTTCTCTGTTACTTTTTCATTGATTCATCATTGACACAGTTAAATCTATCCCTGATAGACCCATATTTTCCCGGTCGTATTAAATTCTTTATCAAACTAAAAAAGTGTTCTCTTTACTTTGAACTAATGGAGTCTTTAAATTGATGCCGTACCTATGAACCTAAATAATATTAAATTATTTTTTAAATGTCCCTGCTTTAATATCTAAATTTAAACGTATGATAATTACTTATACGGTATCAATGAGCCATACCATTATAGTGATCAATTACCAATTTGAGCATCACTCATTAGCATCATTATTATACCGTATCATCATGATACGCAAACGATGATAACTTTGGATCTTTGGGTGCATGACTAACATACGAAGCATTATCGGGTGGTCTTTCGTTTTTATTATTCGTATTTAACATCGATTGAATACTTAATACAATCGTTTCAATCGAACATGCAGGACTCCAATCTTCTCCTAATAGATTTAAACAAATATGACCATTAGAATAGATATGCGGATGAATGGGAATTTTGGGTTCACCATTTTCAATCACTGATTCGACAGCGTCATCATCTCCATCTTCATCTTCATCATCATCATCTGTAGTTAAATCAATCACTTCTTGTTTAGCTTTATATAGTATGAACTTTACTGACGGAGAATCAACGGGATAATCTGGCGTGATCTTGATATTTAAATGATAGATCTCTGAATCGGGATAAATAGTGGTCTTATGATCAGCTTTTACCCGAAATATGAAATTTGTTAAATCTTCTTCATGACTAACTAACTTGATACCTGGTAACGCATCTTTTTGTAATTCTTTATATTCTTTGAATAGACGTCTGTAAAATAGATGTTTTGACATTGGTTATATCTTCAGTAGCAGTCTTATAATTGATAATATGGTTTGGTGAATGATGGTTTATCTAATTTAAGCGTTATCTATATGTATAATTTGTACTTCTTACGCCAGAAAACATTAATATTTTGAGGGTCGTGTGCGACACCATCAAAATATCTAAAATTATTTACTGCAAAAAATTATAATTAATTAGGTGTGTTTAATGAATAAATAATAAATAAATAAAAAATGCTAAGTTTTACATGCATATATAGATATATACCATCTATATAAATTTTCTCATAAAGGCATCCCTTTCCTCTTTGGTTTCTTAAGCACAGGGTGCTTGGTAACTTTGGAAGATTGTGAAGATCCTGAAGTCTTTCTATATGACTGAGATCTACCCTTATGTTTGTAATATGGCTTATGACCCGACTTTTGAGTTGGAGTTTGTGTCTGGGTTTGTGATTGTGATCTTGACTTTTGTGATAACCCTTGTCTTAAAGAAGCGATAATTGCTCTGTCTGAATCATTTGGAAAATAAGGTGATAGGACGCTGGTTGAATTCTTAGTAATGGTGGTATTAGGAGTGATGGTTTCTATACTTGTATTGGTTTCATTAATACTAGTATTCGCAGCCGCATTACCAAATTTCTTACGTTCACGACTTAAGGATATTAATAACTTTTTAAAATAAGGAAAATTTTCATTTGCATCTTTTGACATATTAGGCATTTTTGCAAAATCTCTTTTGTTGGTAGGTAATTTGATAGCCATTTCTCTTAAAGCTGCATCCGATACAACTTGTTTAATAGGAACTCCCAATTCTGACAGAGTATCAATTCTAACTTTATCTAACTCATTATAGGAATACTCAACATGTTCCTTACTAGCACCAGAATCAATTCCAGAATTGTTCTCTGGTAGTGATATTGGTGATGAAGTGGATTCATTGAATGTATTCAATGCTGAAATTTGACGAGCTGTAACAAATGAATCTTGATATCTAAATGAATTTAAAGGTTGACCTTGATTAGTGTTACTTGAACTATTGCTTGAGCTATTACTAGATTCATTTCTATTATTAGTGTTTTGCCTTCTTTCATTACTAAATTTGATTTTAATCTGCTTCTCACCATTAAGAACTTTCGAAGCAAATTTACCAAGTCTTACATAATTTGAAGCAAATCCTCCTTTCATTACTTGATATTCAACTAGACAATCTTCACTTAATAAGTAAAAGAATATTCTTTCAACATCAGTCTTATCCAAAGCCTTACCTTTTCCGTGGAATGTATTATTAGTGTGACCCATTTTGCTGATTTTACCACTATTGACTCCTTTATAAACATCTTGACAGTGAAGAACTGTCACTTGTTCTGATTGGATTGATTTGACTAAATTGATTATATCAACTGCGTTAGATGTACAATTCTTCTCAACAACAGTAACCTTTTTGGAATTTCGACAATTGTCACATTCTTTATGGCAATTCACGGGATCGAATTGTTCATTAAAATAATGCAATACCTGTTTTCTTCTGCAATCAGTAGTGTTTTCACAATACTGAATTACCTGTCTTAACTTCGCTAAGTGATTTTCTTTGGCCTCAGGTTTTAATTCATCATCTCGTTGAATCATACCTTGTAGTTGTCTTGCATCTCGATATGAATAGAACATAATACATTCAGAATATTTACCATCTCTTCCAGCTCTACCAGTCTCTTGATAATAACCTTCCAAACTTCTAGGAATGAAAAGATGAACCACAAATCTCACGTCAGGTTTATCAATACCCATACCAAATGCAATGGTAGCGCAAATAACTTGGCGCTCATTTCGTTGCCACATTTCTTGTACTTCAAATCTATCTTGAGGATCCATACCAGCGTGATAAAAAGCAGTCTTGATACCAAGTTGATTTAACTTTGCACTTGTTTGTTCACATGATTGTTTAGAGTGACAATAAATAATACCTGTCTTACCATTGTACTTACTTAAGATATAATCTTTTATCCATTCAACATGATTACCAGCTTTCCATCTAATTTCATAGTATAAGTTCGATCTATTAAAACTTTGTTTTAAAAATACAGCATCATCAATCTTTAAATGATGAACAACATCCATTCTTACCTTTTCACTAGCAGTAGCAGTTAAAGCCATTAAAGGAACTTTTGGATATTTTTCTTTAAAGAATCCTAAACATTGATAATCGGGACGGAAATCATGACCCCAAGAACTAACACAATGAGCTTCATCAATAACTATACGAGCTAATTGATTTGATTCATATAATTTACCAATAATCTTTTGCATCATTCCAGATGTATTAACCTTTTCAGGAGATAAATAAACCAATTGTAAAAACCCATTACGAAATAAATCAGTGGTATGTCTATTCTCTTCAGCTGAAGCCTTTGAACTGATCATACCAGCTTTAATATTTAAATCTAATAAATGCAGAACCTGATCTTGCATTAAAGAAATCAAAGGTGAGATCACCACTGTTGTACCTTGTGTTTTACCTCCATTTATCAATGCTGGAAGTTGATAACATAATGATTTACCACCACCAGTAGGCATTAATACAAATACATCCTTACCTAGTAAACTTGCACAAACAGCTTGTAATTGATTTGAACGGAATGAATTCAACTTAAATATGGATTTCAATACTTGATATACTTCTTTGATGAAATGACCAGATCCAGGAGGGACATTTTCTTTATTCCCATTTGCAGTAGTGACTTTACCATCAATCAAGTCCATTAAATCTTCATCATCTTCACTGAAAGCATCTTCATCTTCCTTTGTAACATTCGTAGAATCAGTGGTATTAGAAATATTGATCACATTATTATTTCGAGCAAGATTCCGAATAGGTGCTATAATATCAAGATCATCATCATCATCAAACGAATCATCATCGTCAATATTTATGAATTGTGTACTGACCTCACGTTCTTCATTCAACTGGGTTGTAAAGTAACCAATTTCTTCAATTTCATCATCATCTAATTCATCCTCTTTCTTTTCTGGTTCCACTTCTTTGTCTGATTCTCCATCATCTATCGTATCTACTATCTCTTCAACTATCAAACGACCAGTCTCTTCAATATCACTACTATTATGTAAATCTTGTATCTCATCAACAATATCAGATTCAGCTGGTTGACTCATATATCCAATCTCAACATCACTTATATTGTCATTATCAGAAGCTGCATCATGATAAGTTTCATCTTCAGAGATATTAGTTCCATCAATAAAACTACCCAAATCATTAATTTCATCCCGGTCTTGAGTTGGGGTCCTTAATCCGTCCATCTCATTTTCACCAAAATCATCTTCATTTTCATCCATAGTAATGTTATTGGCATTCAGTCTAACTGTGGTTTGCATTACTAAATCTCTAGCATTATTCAAATGATGAGAAAAGTTTGAAGTGGCGGGAGGGTTCATTGTTGGTTGTATATTGCTGATACCAGTGTAACTATCAGGAACATCAACAGTGTGACGAGGAGGGGTTGGAATTGCATTTGAAATTGTGGTGGAAATATTAGTGACTTTGGCATTAGTTGTAGAAAGTATGGGTATTGAAGGTTGGATTTCTATATCTGAAAAATCATAGGTATCAAACACATCATCATCTGGGATAGTGGTTGGATTAGATATTCTAGGAGGTGGCAATGGAGTTGATGTTATTTGTGGTGGTATAACAGTGGATAATTGGTTATTGTTATTTATAGGACTTGTTGGTCTTGGTATCTCATCTGAAGGGCCTACTCGTTGTTTAATTTGCTTTATTGCTAACTCTAATTGATTAAATTGAGGAGTGAAAGTATTGGAATAGAAATCACGTTTAGCATCTAATGATAACGATGACGACTCGCTAACTTCAAATCTGTCATTTAATAATTTGATTTTTTTGTCTTGTAAGTTGATTAAATTCCAAAGTAATTTTGAAGTATCAATAGTTGGTTTTGGAGTATTATCTGTAATTTTAGTTGGTATTATTCTAGGTGGATCTATCACTGACACTGATCCTACTGCACCAAACTCAGTTATAGTACTTCCATTATCTAATCTTGTCTTCTTCACAACCGTTATTGATGGTGATAATGATCTTTTGGCTTGATCTCCCGATGTTAGATCTATAACACCATTCGATTGCCTTGGTATAATTGGTAAATGTGTTATTGGTTGTTGTATAGGTTGTCGCGTTTGAGCAGGGACTGGATCACACAAGGATGGGGAGTTTCCACGACTTAAAGGTTCATTATTATTAGATAAATTTGTATGTGATGTAAATGATGATACTTTTGTTATTGATCTAGGTCTAGGTCGTAGTATCAAATCTATGGTGGATTTCGTAGGTATATGAGGCGACACTCGATTATACCACGTTTGTTGTGGAGCCCAATTATTGGATTCAATCATCGTGGTTGTAATGGATTAATGATGATTGCTATAATTGATTCCTTAACAAGCGTATATTGTTTATACTTTGAATATGAGGTTGATTTGGTAGTCAGATTTTTAGATTTGCCTGCTCACATATTAACGCGTTTTCTTGCATCTCTATTTTTTGTTTTGATGTTTTAGAAATAAAAAAAAGATCCAATCACATGATAGTCTGCACCTGACCAGATGTGTTTATCTAAACGATCTAAAATGGATAATATTACATAATACAACTTTCATAAAAATCATTCAAAAATAACACTTCCAAAAACGGTAATGTTATTCGGATCATTTAATTTGTAAAGAACAAAAATATAAAAAAAAGGGCCAACAAAAATATTTACGCATCCAAAAAAGGAAGAGTTAGAGTGATTCAAGGATTATGGTAAAATCAATTAACCGATCAAGAAAGTGTGACTAATGAGAGGTAGAACGTTGGATTGAATGAACATAAAAAGAATGGGGAACAATAACATAAAAGTTCTCCTCCAACAGGGTCGAGCTATCATGATGGAGAGAGCCTTTTGTCGTTCCTCATCATCTACACACACATAACGATGTTATGTCTTATTTTTAAGAGATGTTTCTGGAATGATCGCTACTCCACATTAGTTCATAAAAATAGTAGAAATGATGGAATAGGGTGATGATTGCAAAGATATTTGTTTATATTATGAATAAAAAGATGGGGTTTCATGACGAGAGGGGAATTATAGTGCTTTTAATATATATAAAAAGAAATGGCTAAAGTAAACTACGCACACTAACAAAACAAAAAAAATCATGAAGAAGGTGTAACCATCAACTGTTATTTTTTTTTTCTGTTGTTGTTTCGTTTCTAAACCCAAATTGAGAAACTGCTAATTCGCAAACGACCAGTAATGAAATTCAAAATTGATTTTTTTTTTCAATAAACTGCAAAATGCAAAATCAAAAAAAAAAAAAGGATTTTTGAAAATTATAAAAAAAATAAAGATAACGACAAAATTTTGGAGGACGTTGAGAGTGTGGGAGAAGTGAATGAATTGTGTAAATAGTGATTTTTCATGCAATGCCTGTATGTATGTGTGTGTGTGTGTGTGTTTATATGTGTGAGCGATCATTATTTGTGTGAAAATATCCATCTATTTAATTATTATTTTACATTGTCTTTGTTTGTGCTTAATTCTCTGAAATAGAATATGGTCTTTCTCGGACTTATTTGGCTATCAGGCAAGATTACTTGAAACAGACATCTTAACTACTTTCTGTGATATATTGTTTGGTTAGTTTATATTTTACAGAGATCTACTTTAGTCTACATGTGTATATAGGGTTCTTCATTCAAATATGAATCCAATTTACGTGAAATGAGGAGAAATAGAACTTATGCAAGTTAATAAAACTAAACTTGTGTATATGTAGTAAGACTTATAGGTAAAGTTGCATAAAGGTTATGAATGAAATAGGATCTTTCAATATTTTTCCCACAAATCTTATTTTTTTATCAATTGGATTACTGGTATCTTTTTCACTCCTTGTAGTTCAATTCAATTCATTCAAACATCATACTAAAGCCAATTATGATGTTAACCGGAATTCGCGATTAAATCTACGTAAACTGTAAAATTTCATAGTAGACATAAATAAATAAAAAAAAAAAAAAAAGAAACCTAAACAGCAAATAGTGGGAAAAAAAAAACGTTTGTCCAGTATCGGAAAAAGCCTTAACATTGAGCCATTTAGTTACACCTTGTAATTAAATAGTATAACTGGCTGCTATTTAAGATCTGTGAAATTCAACAAACTACATACTGCAGTCTAACTTCCCAATTGATGTCATAGAGAATATTATCTTAAATAGGGGGGCATCAGAAGGGAGGGGATTAAAACATACAAGAAATAGTGGTCCAACTAGTTCTTGATTTTTTTGGGGGATCTATATTACAAAACTGATTATATCATAGGACTCATCTACCCATGTAATTGCTTGCCCAGCAACATCATAAGTTATATATATATAATATGTCTATACACATTGTAGCCCCTAACTAAAAACCAACTAAAAAGTGGTTTGATTAAAAAAAATTGGTTCACAATATTTCGCTACGATTCATGGCCCGCTGGTTTTGTAACCATAAAGAATAAAAAAAAAGTGGTTAGACCAGGAATCATTTCTTTTTTTATGATTTTACAGGTTAGAATTCACTAAGTAAACTGGGTCGTTTTGTGTCTTCGGAATAATTATTTATGTACAGGATCATTTATATGATTTAATTGTTATTGTCAAACCCATTTTAAAGTATGGCTTAAAAGTCTAAAAAAAAGTTTATATATGACAATTTGGTTTTATTTTATTTTTGGTAATGATATATATGGGGCCACCTTATTGCATTATAATTGAAGGATTTTGTAGATTCATATATATATAGATATATCTATAGTGTCATTTCTTTCAAGGGAATGAATCTAAATACGATTGAAATTGACGTATAGAATTTAAACTAAGCGTTGTGCCAAAGGAAGGGGCCAGGCCAAAAAAAAAATATTACTAAAAACACAATAAAACAAGACAATTCGAACAAAACAAAAAAGCGTTATATAATATTCCCACATTCAATATTTAACACATAGAACAAATTAAGCATTTTTAGTATTGACTGTTACAACGTTACAATAACCATGTCTGGTATAGACACACTCCGGTATACGTATAGTATAACCTGGAAGTGAAAGCTTTTTTTTTAATATGTTTTTGTATATAACATATATAAGAAATAGCTTGAATTGAATCAAATTGAGTCAAATCAGGATTAAGACCTGTTTAACCAAATTTATTTACCAGACAGTAAATTTGTAATCAGAGAATTTTTAATTTTTTATTTTTTTTTTTTTATTCTCCAAATTTTTACAGGTTAGCTAAAAAAAGATAGAAAAAAATAAAAAATAAATAAAAAAATAAAAAAAAAATATTTTAAATAAAAAAAAAGCTCACCTAATTTTTTTTTCACTTTCTCGAGTTTTTCCTGTTCCCACCTACTAAAAGATATCCCCCTATAAAGAATAGCTAAAGAACGTAAAAATTATAAATTACAACATTTTGTACGATTGTAAATCTATTCTATAGACATAAATAAAAGATATATATATATATATATATATATATATACGTAAACAGGACAAACAAACAAACAAACGATTAAATTATATTATCAACAAATTCATTTTCAACTCTCCAGTTTATTCACCTTCAACGCTTTACAACATAACATTTATTATTTACCATTTACGTTAGTTTTAGTATACTGAATCTCCACATATCGCATTATTAATCCTACCATTTCGTCAAATTGAATTTTTTTAAACCCACCAACAACTACCCGAGATATATTTCATTTAAAAAGTCGACTCCACCCCCAAAAAACTTTTTAAATAAAATAACTTTAAAAATAATCCATTTTAATTAATAATTTACACCTAAACCTACAACTACTACTACTTATACTTTATAAACAAAGGTAGTTTAGTATAACAACTCCATCAAACCTTTACCCTTTCCATTAAAATAAAAATACAATTTTGAAAAAAGAAATTTTTTTTACATTTTGGTTCCCCTCATAGTATATATTCCCCCTCCTCCTCCTTTCCTATCCCCATAAATTACCACCCTCCCACCATTACTATAGTTAGTGGGTAATTATAGCATCTGGTTACAATAATAATAATTTAGGGCTTAGATTGTTACCTAATTTTGATTATATATATATATTTACCATTCATCCTTGTTCAACAAAAAAATTTCGGAGTACAATTCAATTTATCCATCCATCATCATCTCCCCCATATAACATTGTTTTTTTTATTATAAATATCTATATTTTACTTATACATCTAGTTTCATCATTGTCATTATCTTGTTTTCCACCTTGTGTTCTATAAAGTAATGTCTTCTACTATGTATCAGGTTCCTTTAACCGTATTACCTTTCAATCCCGAAGACGGTAATAAATTCATGGCGGGAAACGACTTTGGATCTCACACTACTGCCACTAGTAATACCGCTAGATCTTCAACCTCATCTGCTTCATCAACTGGTACAACTCAAAGTCTTTATAAAACCATTTCTCCAACTGCAGCTGCAAGTTTATCTTCCACTTCTTCTACTTCGGATTTCACCGATTTAAAAGGAGATTTATTACCAGATCTTTGGCAAACTGCTTCATTGGATTCCCCACAAAATCAATTAGTAAATTCTCATTTGATTAATCAAGCTCATCAAATTGCAGTTAATAATAATTGGTCTCAGAACTTCAATAATCAAAGCTATTCATCTCTACCAAGCCATGCTCAACAACAACATCATCAACATCAACATCAAAACTACACTACTGTACAAGCACCAATCGGGTATGCTCAACAATTAACTGAGGAAAATCTCATCTTTAATTCTGATGTAGATTCAAATGATGGTTCACGAACTTCTCCTCCTGCTCATATCATTCCATCATACAATAGTCCTGTTTATTATATGGATGATCAAAATAATAATATCAATCAAAATATTAATAATGATGATATTTTTAACTTTGAAAAACAACAACTTTTATTACAATCTAATGGAGTCATGTTTGATTCAAATCATAGAAATGGATCTACTTCATCAACTTCTTCATTAGATGATTCCAGAAAATTTGGATTTTCAAGTAAAATGAATCAACCATCAGTTAATACTCAATTATATAAAACTGAATTATGTGCATCATTTATGAAAATGGGTATTTGTCCTTATGGAAATAAGTGTCAATTTGCTCATGGAGAAAATGAATTAAAGAATGTTGATAGACCTCCTAAATGGAGATCAAAAGCTTGTGCCAATTGGACTAAATTTGGTAGTTGTCGTTATGGAAATAGATGTTGTTTCAAACATGGTTGTGAGTAATTCATTTCTATTCAAACCTAATCTATTCATTACATCCACCACATACTCCTCATCCTCCCCTCCCCTCCCCACTATCATGAATTACGATCCCCGTATTTGGACTTTTTACCTTTTATTGATTACTCAAAGTGTCAAGACATTTTATTCGACTATTCAATAGTTTTTTTATTCAATTCATCCCCTTATTGCTTCCTTCCTTCCTTGCT